GAATAATGAATGGTGTCCGAAGGCCATCAATATACTGACCCTTGTAGTGTCCATGCAGCCAATAGGGTTTCCCCCACTGCTTGGGTGCATTTTCGCCACTCTTTGGCGAGTTGAGAATCTCGTGGTAGAACGAGTATCCATCCGGGACAGGGCACTGTGTCACACTAGCAGCACCATCGTAGTAGTTTACGTTCGTGAAGAAGAGTCCGTGTGCATGCAGTGTGGACGGGCGTCCATCACCAAACTTGTTGGTAAAGTTGATGTGGACAAAGTTGTCCGAGTTGACAGAGAGGGGATCGGCGGGGAACTTGCCATTGATGCCGATGGCTCGGCGAGGGAATTTTCCACTTGGATTGTCATCATTGACCCAGCCAACACTCCATTATTCCTTATCGTCATGTCCTTGAACTAGCAATTTCTAGCTCATAATGAATAGTAACGTGTACCAGATACCTTAAACGAAAAATGCCGCTACTGTGTTGCGCTTGGCAATTCGAAGCCGGGATATCTCAAAGTTCGCGCTGTCTTGCCACACTGGGATTTGTGAATGTGCCACCACTTTTGCGCACATCTGAGGAGTTTTCTTCTTCTCAGATATACTTAAATGCTGACGGCAAAAATGCCTGCATGTTAAACCTATTCCCAGCGTCTTATAGAAAGGCAGTGCATTTTCGATCCATAATAATGAATCTTATGCAATTTTTTCTGCTTTAGCTTCATGTTGTCTCTAGGATGGCCCCCGAGATGTCGTTGTTTCGTATTTGACTTGTATTAAAATTTGCTTGAAGCTATGATTCCATAAAAGAGTGCGTATAGTAGCAAGAGATTCAACGTTTGATCGCATAGTCGAATCTTTTAAATAAGGTCTTTTAGAAAGATAATTTTGACATGTTGATGTGCCAAGGTCTAATGTCCACTGAAAGTGAAGGAATAGAACGCGTGCTCTCAATTCCCCTTATTAGTCCATGTATCGATGTACTATGTTCTGAATGGACCTGTTAATCAACAATCCTCAAAATTCCAGTCTCCAGATAAAACTTTGTTTTCAAACTCTATATCAGCGCTAATACATAAGTCTCCACTTATGACGTGACTCTGGCGTTAGGCGAACTATAGGTGCACTTTTCTCTTATATTTAACAACACAACTTGGACATTGGAACGAGCACGATTCGGACCGACGAATCAGTCCGATGCTTGTGTGATTGTTTGAATCCTTTTTATACTAATCAACACATGCCTAAATTATCTTTGCCACAGCTTTTTCGAAAACAAAGGGAATTTGTTGAATACGCGCTGAGCCCAATTTTGCTCAAGCGCATTTTTTGGGCGTTGCGCACGTGTGGAGTCCCAACTTGTAGACCTGACGTATCTCGATATGTCTAGATGAGGCTGTCAAATCAGCACTGACAACCGGGACGCCGCGTTCTAATTTGTAAAAAAGCATACGCAAATACGGGAAAACAAGCTCGTTGAACCAATAGGAGGTACGATTCGAAATTTCTGGACAGGGTCCCTTTATCTGTGCGCCCAACCTTCGACGTCTGTGCTTTGCCGGGTAAGGGCAACACAAAGTATAAAAGGAGACTTCCCCTCGCCCCGTTTCCTGCTACACAATACTTGTCTCTAAAATGTCGGAAACTTGTACTGTTGTTACTCCTACTGGACGTGAAATCACGGTCCCTACTGGCCTTTTGATTGACGGTGGTTTCCGTCCTGCACAGGCAAATGACAAGCTGGACGTATACAATCCCGCCACTGGCTCAGTCATAGCGTCTATAAGCGGCGGTGATCAAGCTGACGTCGATGCTGCTGTCAGGGCGGCCCGCAATGCATTCGACAACGCATGGGGGAAGCATACGACGCCTGACCAACGTGCTGCTCTGCTTAACAAATGGGCTGATCTGATTGAAGCACACACCGATGAACTAGCAGAGCTCGAATCATTGAACAACGGGAAGCCTGTCTGGATTTCCAAGTCTATGGACATTGCTACAAGCGTGAAAACGTTGCGTTACTATGCAGGTCTTGCCGATAAACTAAATGGACGAACTATCGAACTTGCTGAGGGCAAGCGCCTTGCCTTTACAAGGCTGGTCCCGTATGGTGTTTGTGGTCAAATCATCCCTTGGAACTATCCGATCATGATGTTTGCTTGGAAGGTTGCTCCTGCTCTGGCTGCTGGCAATACCATCGTGATGAAGCCAGCTGAAATTACTCCACTCACGGCGCAGAAGCTTGCCGAGCTCTCTATCGAAGCCGGCTTCCCCTCTGGCGTGGTCAATGTTGTGAACGGTCTGGGCTCTAAGGTCGGTAAAGCTATCTCCGAACACAAGGGCATCAACAAAGTTGCCTTTACCGGCTCTACGGCTACCGGTCGTACAATTGCTTCGGCTGCTTCTGCCTCGAACCTTAAAAAGGTTTCACTCGAGTTGGGCGGAAAGTCTCCTATGATCGTGTTTGAAGATGCTGACCTTGAGCAATCTGCCAAGTGGATCGCAATGGGCTTCCTTTTCAACATGGGTCAAAACTGCACTGCCGGCACGCGCGTATTTATTCACAATTCCATTAAGGACAAGTTCCTCAACTTGCTACTTGACACGATGAAGCAGCACAAGGTTGGCGATCCGTTTGACCCAAGTACCTTCCAAGGCCCACAAGTTAGTGAAAGCCAATATAAACGTATATTAAGCTACATTCAATCCGGAAAGGAACAAGGTGCGAAGGTTTTGTACGGTGGTGAACCTTATAAGATGGAGGACGAGAAGTTCAAGAATGGTTACTGGATTCAGCCTACACTATTCGGCGACTGCAAAAAGGGAATGAAAATTGTCGATGAGGAGATCTTCGGCCCCGTGGCTTGCGTCTTCACCTTTGACACAGAAGAAGAGGCCATCGAAATGGCGAACGATACAGACTATGGATTAGCTGCTGGTGTCTTTTCGAAAGACTCTGACCGCTGCATGCGCGTCGTACATGCTCTTGAAGCTGGTACCGTCTGGTGCAATAACCAGCAGATCCTCAACCCTGCTGTGCCATTCGGTGGTATGAAGCAATCTGGTATCGGTCGTGAGCTTGGTTACGAAGGTATCCACGAATATGTACAGACAAAGGCTATCAACTGGAATTATGGTGAAAAGCTCGAGTGGCCACCCTCAGGTCACTAAAATGTGTTCCTATTATTTGAACTTGGTTCTTTAACCCTGACGTACATAGTTTCTTGCAACTTGAATTTGCTCTCGATACATGATATAGACTGTTGACAGAAGGCATTTTTGTCTGTTCAACGGCGTTATGGCTGTATGCATGAGTCGGTCATTCGTATAATTTATCTGAGTGGTACGCGTGATCTGTGTTCAGTACTGCCGGTAACGCAGCGGCCCCTGCTCAAGCTACTTTAACACATGCCTTTGGCGCAGATCCAATTATTGATAGGATACCAACGGCTGGAGATCGAAGCATGCTTGAGCCCAAAAAGCGTGACTTATATTTTTGTTTGATACTATTTGCGCGGATTCTTGAGCATCATCTTAACATATCTGCTGTCGTTACCGACGGTATCAAGGGTGGTGCGAAACTTTGTGCCACACAGCTAGGTACAGTTTTTGTCCTTTGTCCATGATCAGATGCCAAATTCATCTATAGTTTAGCCCACGAGAAATCAAGAGTCTCACATACTGAGGTCACAGTCACATTGTCGGGCCGCGTTGCAAGTGAATCGTCTAATCGGATGTATTCCGACTATCACAGAACTGGTGCGCCTTTACTATCTCAGTGTTTACGATACGCACATGGCGTTACAAGCCGCTTATGGCAGCAGAGATAATCACGACTATGATGCTTCGCGGGCTGCACAAGGTGTAACTCTTGCTCAAGAGAACCGGCTGATTACCTTGCCGTAACACTACAAACGATTGACGCGCCCATATGAAGATTAACGTAAACTCGTCATTAACATTCAAAATCAATCAGAAACATAAACTAAAAATGCAAAATAACTTTTCCAATTCCCTTCCAACCAATTCATCTCAAGCTCGAAGGTTACTTACAGCTGTCTGATACATCACGAGCAAGGTAGAAGTACTCGTCCATGTTCTTATACAAGTTCGCCTCAAGATGGGCTGTGCCGTCTTTATTAATACCAATAAAGTTTTGCGGAACATCTGACTGGTATCCAAGTAGCGAAACTGTTGGAGGACACATGGGCACTCCCTGAGAAGCAGCGAACCACTGACGGCGAAGTGTCATTCCATCCTTGGCGCACTTCTCAAGGGTGACGCGACCGTTGTTGATGAACAAAAACTCGGGCTCGCCTTTCTCCTTGCCACCAATAACAATCGAGCCAGACGTTACGCACATGTCTGAGTCCTTCTTACTGCGTATTTGACCGTAAGCAGCACCGAATCCAGCACCAGCAAATTCGTTTGACGGCGCTTTGCAGCTGTAGAATTCGAATTCTTGATCAGTCTTGAGAACTTCGTGAAGTGTGGAAAGATTATCAGTCGAATCAAATTCAAAGATCGACTTGGCGCCAGTAGCACTGTTGTGTCCAATGAGTCTACCGGACCTGCCCGTAGACTTGCATTCCATGTCTCTCTTAGCAGAGGGCACGGCCTCTGCAAGAGCGATGCAAACAGCAATTATGGCCGAAAACGTTAGCTTCATGGTTCTTTACTCCTTAACTAAGGGCAATGGTCAAGTTACCCCATTTGTGGTCCTTTATTTATAGTTAATGCAGGCTTTGGTTTGTGGAAAAAATCGTTAACTGTCCATAATTCAATTGTCGTTTGGTACGTTGGAACGTCAAAATGTTTCGGCATGAAAAGTCATGTGCCTCAATCGTAGATTTTAATTTGTCAGTTCAACGTTTAAATCTGGAATTCGAAATGCAATTGGTTATGCGCTCAACTTGAACACTCAGGTCCAGGTCTTAACTTGGCATTAGCGACAATTTACTGGTTAATCTTGATAGTGCACAGCCGAATTTTGAGAAACCAAATGCCAGGATTTTGTCGGAATGCTATGCACGAGTGGTCTCGGTTTGTCCATTGCGACCAATGCCAACAGTCTTAACATGCCCCCCTCGGAACTTGATTACTTTCTCTAAGATATTTGCATCAAGCCCTTGAGCTAGCCCCTGAGTTAAAATAGGTTTGTCCCATTTCAGCCCTTCCATACGGCTAGAGTACGGTAACCTGTTGTTACAATTTTTGTCAGAGTATGCTTGGGTTTGGGCATGCAACCAACGCCTGCGGCGCTGTTTCTGAGAGAGATTTCGTTTGTTTTTAAAACGAATGCACGGGATCGTTGGCGTTACTAAGTCATTCGCCTGCGACGAAAGCGTTCGTTCATCCGTGCAATGTAGACATCGCTTCAGTACATAAGATTTTTTACGTTGCTCTAATAAGTTAGCTTGAGTGTAGCGAAGACGGGGCATACCTTTAATCATGGTGCTGCATGAAAGGCCGTCTACCAAAGGCCGGAAACAACGCCGACAAACACTATGCTTGATTGACGGATCAACACGGATGACAGCTCGCCTCGCTAATGCAAAAAATTGGCGCATGCACAAAGGTGTGTCCCACACAGCATTTGTCTGGTTCTGTAGCAACATTTGAATTTCATAACAAAACGCACGTTGGTACATGTAATTAAGCGTGTGAAACACATCAGGGTTTGGAACGGCGAGATTCATCCTTGCATCTTGGACATCAAGCTGCTTTGATTTCCCTCTCTCTGATCTGGCGACTTGTTTCGATACTGGGCGTTTAATGTACGAAAGAGAATGTATTTGTCTGCGTAAGTGTCATGAACATACTTCTTCAAAGAATCCAAGTCTTCATCTCGATAGGAAAAGTTTAACAAGGCTCCCTGATCCTGACATATGTTAAGTTTAATGCAATCTTACCTCAAGAAGTTCATCCATCCGCACTCCTACTTGGATACGTCGTTTTCGCTCCTCAATGGGCTCCATCTCTAACATGCCGTGTGACAACAGCGAATGCCCACATCTCCCGCAGGTCGGCCAAATGCGCAGTAAATCGTCGACAGAATCCAAAGTTTGCTCTCCTACTTGAACCCGCAGCGATTTAGGAGGAACCAAGCCTTGACATTCGCAATTCGACCGGCCAGGTTGAGAAGTGATGCGCACGTTCTCGTACGGCGAGTTAGGATTGGGCTCTAGAAGCCATCCATATAGACAGGGTGAATGCCTTGCCACTTTGACGAGCGATGTAGCTTCTGAACATTCCTGAGCTTGGCTTATACGTGCTGCGTATGTCCATGACATGAGGTCGTAGCAACAGATGAACTATTTATTTGTGGAGAAGCTCCTTTCTTTTCAACAGTCTATGTGGGTGCTCCTCATCTGTGGCCTGCTCACCGTTCTTTGCGGTGCAATGTTGCGACGGACAGCACGATGGGACCCGCGCGATAAGGTTGGTACCTCGTGTCACTAAATCCAAAGAAAGTATTAGTTACGGGCGGATCCCAAGGTTTGGGCCTCGCACTTGCCACACTACTGGCATCACGCGGTGCTCATGTCGTCATTTGCAGCCGTTCAGAAGCAAAACTTGAGCTCGCTCTGAGGAAAATAGAAACTTTCCGTCAGCAAGAAAAACAGCACCTATCTTACGTGGTTGCAGATGTATCGACTTTTGCAGCCGCTTCTGCTGCATTGAAGGACTGTCCCATCTCAATTGATACAGTATTTTGTTGCGCTGGAGCGGCCACACCTGGCTACTTCCTCGATCAAACCGAAGCAGAATTCGACAAGGGTATCAGTCTCATTTACAAAACAGCACTCTCGACTGCTCACGTATGTATGCTTACTCTGACTCACACTTTCAGGCTGCGGCACTATTCATGAAACAGAATCGGACGCACGGCAAAATCATCTTCACTGGAAGTGTTTTGAGCTTGATGGGGATGGTAGGATACACTCAATATTCCCCAATGAAGTACGCTATTCGCGGTAAGCAAAGCTTTTTACTGATGACGGACTAGGCTTGGCCGAATCCCTTCGCTCAGAGTTGCAAATGCATGGTATCCAAGTACATATGTACTTCCCCGCAACGATCCTTTCCCCTGGTCTGGAGGAAGAGAACAAATCCAAACCTCAGCTTACGAAGGATATCGAAGGTACCGACGAAGGATTGACGCCAGAGGCTTGCGCCCAACATCTTCTTCGTGGTGTTGAACGCAACGAGTTCTCTATCACAGACGGATTGGTTGGCCTACTATTGCGCATATCCTCAGGCGGATGTGCCCCAGGAAACAATTTTTTGCTAGATTCCATTTTTATGCTTCCAAGTCGGGTATGTTGTTTTCTTAACGCAATCAAGTCTCACATTACAGTGGGCTCTTCTCGTGTGGCGCCGTTTTATAGCCGATCGAATGATCCAACAACATCAGCATTCCGTTAGTTGGTGAGGACATGGTCTTTTTCAAATCTAGATTCAACTCAAATTATGTACATCGGTGATCCTGAAATGCAGTCAAACTGGTTTCGATTCATGTAGCTTAGCACCGCATGTGCTCGCTTCACTTTTGTGATGACGGTTAAGCGCGTCTAAACGCGCAAACGTTTTCCCACAACTTTCGCATTGATAAGGCTTGATATTTAAATGCAAATTGTGATGCCGTTTGCAGTCATGCGTTCTAGCAAAACTGCGCCCGCATCCAGGCCATTCACATTTGAATGGTCGTTCGTCCATGTGAGAGCGCATGTGACCTCGTAAGTTATATTGGCGCGTAAACGTGGAGCCACAATCTGGGAAGGGACACGTAAAGAGCGCCTCTGCTTTCCTTCTCGAGGCAGATGCTGCTTGTGCGGCTGTAGTCGTGACAACAGGTGTATGAGTTTGGGCGGCTGTTTGGAGAGCGTTATCCATTGGTTCAACTTTAACTTTACTTCTGGATGGGCTAGAATCAACCATCTGACTCGAGAGTTCAGGCTTCAGTTGCGGCTCATTCTTTGATCGTTCCAAATCTAGCTTATCATTTGGATCAGAGATATTTCCAGTGTCCATCACCTGACCAGCAGGTGATGCTTGAAATTCTGAAGGTTTGCCTGGCGAAGAGGCACAGCGAACCATCGCAGGAGATAGAACTTGTGAGTCGCCTGTCGTAGGTAAATGGTTAAGCAAAGGGAAGCCTTGGTGTGTAAGGTCTAAGGAATTGCCCCAAGAGCTTATTCCTCCTACACGTACACGACCATGAAAATCTTCGGAAATAGCAGCCCGCATATGTCTCCGAGCACTTCTGGGATGACCTGGATATCTCACACTTCCTGGGAAAGTCAAGGTTGATGTGTTGACTGCATGCCCATACGCGTCCAACGGATGAAGCGAATCACTCTTATGCCCTGCCTGAGAGTTATTAAGCGGAAATCTCCACTGAGACATCCGCAAAGCCGAATCATAAATAGCACTTTCCTCCAAGCTCCTCTCTGACTCGGGGGTTAGACTTCGAGTTGATGCGTGATACGGACTCACAGAACGTGAGCTCCGCCCACTTGGACAAGTTCGAATTGGCCCCGTAGAACTTTCCTCTTTTGCATCTTCGAGCGTCGTTTCGTATAAGTTTTGACTGGAGAGTGCATCCACGATTGAACTATCCACTAATGGGGTTGGATTCATCATTGTGGGGATATACGATGGGTCCAATGTAGCAGCCGACTTCCCAGCCTGTTCCAAGGTGTTTTGGAGTGAGGATTTTGCTTGAGTCATTGAAGTTGCGTCACCATCTCCTTCCATTGCTCCGGGAGCTGATGCGGTAGATTGCGAAGCGACATGTGACACCGGGTGCTTTTCTGCGTGCAGATTCAATGACCCAAAGTTAAAGGCCGAATCCTGTTCATCTGAATGTGTTAAATTCATCGAAGGCCTATCCGTCTGGGCGCGACTGCCCATAGAGTTGATCAAGTACGATAAGTCATCAATGGGTGATGGAAGAGCGTCCATAGAGGGTCCAAGCATTGAGGGCGTGCGTGGACCAACGTCAGACACGGAGCGACGTTTTTTCCAGCCGATAACAGGTTGCAGACCCGAAGTAGGTGAGTCAATCTTTCCATCTCCCATAAAACCCATGTTCACATCCAACTTTAAGAAACCCTTAAGGTTTGAAGAATCTTGTCGACGAACGCCGTTTGTAGGATCCAATACATTCTCAGGCCCTGTCTGGCGAGTAGAAAAACATGGCGTTCCTGATGACATGGCAGAGTCTGGTGAATAATAAACCGACATAGACGAACTGAGATCTTCTTGATTCCCTAGAATAACTGACTTTGATACATGAGATGCATACGCTCCTTGTTTAGGACATAAGGGTGAAGATGAACCGAATACATTCATCATCGCCATAGGATCTTGCCCACTAGGTAAAGGCCCCGCCTCAGAAACATTAATAATGGGAGGCTCGGCTGGATTGTTTGAAGGCGCAGGATTCGTTTGCATACTTGGATCACAAGATGAGATGCCATTCCATGAGGAGCCAACTTGACCAGCAAGTTGTGGCATTGTAACATTGCTACCGGGAATATACAGTACGGGCTGCTCCATTGTGCGTGTCATGGATCCGGTGCGAGTCGTACAATTCAGATCTTGGGACATGGAGCTCAGAGATCCATTATCCGGGTGGTAAGATACAGACTCAACCTGAGACAATGGAGCAGAAGAATTGATACCCGCATCCACCATTGGGAAACGGGAGCCTGGTCCTGGACAGTTCCAGCTTAAGGTATCCATACGAAAGCAAAGTATATAACAAACCACAGTAAGTGTTCGAAACTTCGTCGCAACCAAGCAAAAAAAAATCCAAAATCAATCAACAGTATGAAATTGTCTCAGACTCGTCTTGCTTAAGGTTCCTCGTATATGCTAAATTCTTGAAGCAAGCTTTAGTTCATGCTTCGTGAGTTGGAACCACTCGCCCTGAGCGTATGCAACTCTTGGGCACACAGCAAAAAGATGCCAACTCCTAGTCGTACAGTTAAGCACCTGCGACAATCTGCTAGGGGAACCCCACAGCTCTGGGCAAGACTACCATCCGATAGGACCAAGTCAAATCTGAGTGGCCCATTTCCCTTTTTTCTTATGGAGCAAGTTACTATTTCTTGCACGTCTTTGCCAATCACAAACTATCTACCTTTTAATGTCGTGTCATCATTTGTCATTTGGTGCGTATGATGGATGGCGTCAAGTTGGGCAAATCCGACCGCTAGCCGTACAAAATATAGCCATGCGCATTAAGGGGTGTTTCCCCAAGAATGAGCTAGCACAATAGTTTGAATGGCGTCGACAAAGGTGATGCCCCGTGCGTTATGCCCTTGCATTTCATGGTTTGGAATCGTTTCGCTGTTCATCGACTTCTGTCGCTGTGAAATTCAGTATATATTGATGCTAGAAATGTGAACATGATTCTATGCCTGAGTGTTCTGAAGGGTGGCGTATTGTTTTCTTCGCCTCACGTTGAATAAAATGCAAGATTTTTTTGGGGGGGGGGGAGGGGGAGGATAGCTAGTTCAGGTTTGCACCTCGTAGACATATAGACATATCTGGCGCTTGTTAGTTTTCCCGCACTCCCTTATAGTAAAGCTTTTGACCACTGTGCTTTCTTGCAAGTCGCTCATAGTGGCAGCGCCAGGAGCATGCCCAATCATGTTGTAAAACATAATTGATGCATACTTGAGCGCATTCGTTATAGGCTCACATGTCTCGAGATTGGCGTCTTGTTTGCACTGGGACCTGTGACATTACCAGAGCGCACTGAGTGCGATATGACTCGCACACACACGTACAACCATTCTCTGACTGGTCCCAACATATAATCAGTATGATATTGAACTAAGTACGTCACTTTGCCATAAGACGTCCTGATTCGTGGCACATTGATATTCTCGTGACCTATGTTGATCTTGCGTTGAAGACAATTCGTCACAGCGACTGCCAAATTAATCGCTTTAGAGTCATGTCCACTAGTATATTACCAAGCAAGAAATTCGGTATCGAGGAATGATGTCCTGCTACCAATCTCAATACCGTTCTCCACACATGTAGGCCTTTGCGTATGCAAATGTGTTACTGCATGGCGGCACGAACCTCGACTATGTTTCTTGTATGGCAGTCACTGACGTCAAAAATACATGTTAAGTCTCATTTCGCTAACCTCTAATGCACCTTTTACAGCTGCATTTTTATTTTTGGTAACCAACAATATACAATATCAACTCTGATTTATTGCGAGATGTGACGGTCCATTTGATGGCTACGTGACTGTGATTATGCAGTATCTCAATTGTAATGATTTTGGGGAAGCATGAAAAGGGTCTTGTCAGGTTGTCTAGCAGGAGAAATGGTCAAAATGCAATGAATGGATGTACCATACAATGCTCCAACACTTTCTTATTCGATTCAATTCAGTCTCTTAACCAATCGTAGACGTTATACTAATTTCAAAATATCGACTCCTCATGCATGCTTATGATTCGTTTGAACGCCTAAGATTTGCGAATGACACCCAAAATATCCCGTCTTTCGCTTGATTTGTCTCAAATCAATATGAGGATGGCAAGGTCATTATTAGCAGCTGAAACTTCTATGAATAAATGGGTCTAGCCTTGCGGTTTTGATATTTCAATGCATATCCGGATATTGTGGTAACTTCACCCCAGAATCGTAAAATTTTGAGGGGTGCGCAAGGCCATTTGGTGTTATTTCAAACTTTACCCGCTGCTCTCGACGTCAAGTATTACAAAATCCGGTCTGTTTCGGCGACCATGATGCTGCGATGAGAATGTGCTGGCGAGTGCGCATGAAATTCTTACACATCGAAACTGAACCCTCTGTCGAAACTCACCATTGTTTAATAATCTTATGTATCAGTTCACCGCTAGAAATACCTGTCGCAGAGTACCTCCGTAATTGTCATTCTCCTATCCGCTTTGGACGTAGGCTTGGCTTGACAGGCTTTGGACAATTCAGAAACTATTTATTGACATGATGTCTTTACTATCTGCTATGTAAAAGGCCCAACGAGTGATTGAGTCAAACTGCATGCGGCTTCCATCGACTTTGTGAATAAGCCAAGCATGATGAAAGAGCCAAGGTTAATAATCTAGGCAAGCGTTGCAAATTGTACCCATCTGTCCAAGTCATGAGTTGCCAAAAATCTCCACTCATGGCTAAAGCATGTAGGAACACACCTCCACAGATAGCTCTTTTGTTCGTCGATCTTCTCGCAACGTGGCTTTCCGCCAGTGTATGCCTCTTGGGCTTAGCCTAGCACGACTCGTTCACCCGGCACCAAGACGGTTTTCTTCTGGCATATTTCTTTCTTGTTGTCTTTCTAGAAAGTTGTCTATGTCGAATTCAAGCGCGACTGTGGTGAACGAATGGCCAGCGGCGAAGGTTCGCAGCACCTTTTTGGATTTCTTCCGTGAAAAGGAGCACACGTTCGTGCCGTCGAGCTCAACTGTCCCTTACGATGATCCAACACTCCTTTTTGCCAATGCTGGAATGAACCAGTACAAATCTATATTCTTGGGGACAGTGGATCCATCGTCCGAATTTTCGAAACTACGTCGCGCTGTGAACTCGCAGAAATGTATTCGCGCAGGTGGTAAGCACAACGACTTGGATGATGTTGGTAAAGACACATACCATCACACATTTTTCGAAATGCTGGGCAACTGGAGTTTCGGTGACTATTTCAAGGAGGAAGCTATCAGTTTCGCTTGGAAACTTTTGACAGAAGTGTATGGGTTGCCCAGCGACCGTCTTTATGTAACCTATTTCGAGGGAGACCCAAAGCAGGGCCTTGAACCTGACGTTGAAACACTCGAGATCTGGCGAAAAGTCGGTGTGCCTGATGAACGTATTCTTAAGGGCAATGCAAAAGACAACTTTTGGGAAATGGGTGCAACTGGCCCCTGCGGTCCATGCAGTGAGATCCATTTTGATCGTGTAGGAGGCCGAAATGCTGCAAGCCTTGTGAACATGGACGACCCTGATGTTATTGAGGTGTGGAACAATGTGTTTATTCAATTCAATCGAGAGGAGGATGGCTCACTTCGTCCCCTACCTGCACGCCACATCGATACAGGCATGGGCTTTGAACGTCTTGTCTCCATTTTGCAGGATAAGCGGTCTAACTATGATACGGACGTTTTCATGCCCCTGTTTTCCCGTATTCAAGAACTAACTGGTGCCCGTCCTTACAGCGGCAAGCTTGGCGCTGAGGATGTAGATGGCCTCGACACTGCATATCGTGTGGTAGCTGACCACATTCGAACGCTGACATTTGCGATTAGTGACGGTTGCATTCCCGACAAAGATGGTCGTGGCTACGTGTTGCGTCGTATCTTGCGTCGTGGTACGCGCTTTGTCCGCAAGTACTTCCAGGTCCCGATTGGTGCATTTTTCTCCCAGTTAGTCCCTACGCTGGTTGAGCAGATGGGCTCATTTTTCCCTGAGATCACGAGGAAAACCAAGGAGTTGCAGGCGATCCTTAATGAAGAGGAGCAATCTTTCGCGCGTACTCTGGACCGGGGCGAGAAGTTGTTCGAACAGTACGCGAATGCTGCACGCACCGAAGGACGCACGAAGTTGAGCGGTGCAGATGTATGGCGATTGTACGACACGTATGGTTTCCCGGTAGACCTGACTAGCATCATGGCAGAAGAGCAAGGCCTTACCTTTGACCAGGCTGAATTTGAAAAGGCACAAGCTGAAAGCAAAGAGGCTAGCAAGGGTCAAGGCAAACAACAGGAGGCCCTTGCTGTTAAGCTTGATGTGCATGATCTTGGCCACTTGGATGCAGATGCCTCCGTTCCTCAAACGAACGACGTATTCAAGTACGACACACCGTCTATGCAGGCTCATGTGAAGGCGATCTTCCAGGAACACAAATTTGTGAGTGATTCGAACTCGTTGGCAAAGGCGGGTGAACCATTCGGCATTCTTCTCGATCAAACCAACATGTATGCTGAAAGCGGCGGTCAGCAGGCTGATACGGGTAGTCTTGTGATTGATGGCAAAGCTGAGTTCGAGGTCTCCGACGTACAGGCGTCTAATGGATATGTGTTGCACATCGGCTTCCTCAAGTACGGTAAACTGAGTGTGGGCGACCAGGTTGTCGTCAGTTACGACGAATCGCGACGCCGTCCCCTTCAAAATAACCATACAGGTACACACATTTTAAACTTTGGACTACGAGAGATTTTGGGTGACCATGTGGATCAGAAGGGCTCGTTGGTGGCACCTTCCAAGCTCCGCTTCGACTTCTCGCACAAGGCCCCGGTTAACGTGTCAGAGCTACAAAAGATCGAGGACATTAGCAACTCGTTTATTGAGCGAGACGTGAGTGTATATGCCAAAGACATGGTACTTGAGGAAGCATACAAGATTCCTGGTCTTCGTGCTGTATTTGGTGAATCTTATCCGAACCCTGTGCGTGTCGTTGCTCTGGAATTTGATATTGATCAGATGGCCAAGGATCTAACGAACCCACGCTGGCGTCAAACCTCTATCGAATTTTGTGGTGGTACTCATGTCAAGAAGACCGGTGAGATTGGCCGTTTGGTTGTCACAGAAGAGAGCGGTATTGCTAAAGGCATTCGCCGCATCGTCGCTGTGACCGGTGACGAGGCTGTGGCTGTGACCGCTACGGCAGACGAAGCATCCAAGCGCCTCGACGAGATTGATCAAGTATCAGATGATGTCGCTAAGGAGGCACAGCTGAAAGCTTTCAGTGTCGAGCTTGCACGCATGGATATCAGCGTAGTTCGTAAAGATGAACTCAAGGCACGCTTTACCAAGATTCGTAAAGCTCTCGACACGCGTCTCAAGGCACGCGCTGCAGCAGATGTAAAGGTGGCCCAGGAGGCAGTGCAAACGTATTTCAACGAGAATCCTGACGCGCGTGTTTACATTGCCCAGCTCGACACAGGTGCCAACTCAAAAGCGTTGCAGTCGGGTGTCGCTGTCGCTCGAAAGCTAAACAAGTCTGTGTACCTGTTTGCTCGCGAGTCTGGCTCCGAAAAAACCAAGACGCTATACGGCAACTTTGTGCCGAAAGATGAGCTTGAGCGTGGCCTCGACGCTGTCTCGTGGAATAAGGCTGTATCGGAAAAACTACAAGGCCGGGGAGGCGGTAAACCCGATGGAGCACAAGGCCAAGGCGAAGGGACGAAGGCCGACGTGGATGAGGCAATCAAGTTAGCTCAATCTTTCTTCGACATGCAGCTCAAATAATGCACGCAACTAGGTTTCCAGCTTTTGTTCTTGCTCTTCATCACCACAACATGGTTGACAAGTCTTATGACATAACTATGGAACTCGAGGAATGGACGCCTCGGGAATTAGCCATTCTAGTGCAAGAGCGATTATCATTTGTGCAGCCACAACAAGACATATGATGGGTCCACCTATCGGCCCGCCGATAGACATATAGCGTTCGAACCGTTCCGTGACTGACCGGTTCGGAGACGCCATGGCCCGAGCATATACCGTCTCTAGTCTTCGTGTTGTTTCAGACCACGAATACATAGAAGCCACCTTGTAGTGTTGTTCATGCGGATCGTGTTGCCCTGTGCGGAGGTACTCGATCGCTAGTGACATTTCGCTGACTATTGATTCCACGCATGGCTCAGCGAGTCGCATCATTGACGAAGGCAACAACTCAGGAATGCCACCCACTTTGGTTGTGACAATGTACAAGCCGGCACAGGTGGCCTCGATGATTGATGTACCGAACGCCTCTGTTAATGATGTGTTGAGGAAGAGTTGTCCACGATTCAGATGCGTGCGGATGTCGCGCTGTCGTACGGCTCCGACTAATTCCACACGGTCCTGGAGCATGTATCGTTCGCGCATTTGCTCAAGCTCCACATACTTCGGTCCATCACCACCAATGACAAAGCGGATGTCGGAGTGGCGTTCACAGAGTACGGGAATCGCGCCCAGAAGCAAGTCGATGCCCTTGCGATACATGAGGCGACTAAGCACGACAACACATATATCCTTGATAGCATGGGATGTTGGGTCCGGAAACAGCTGTTGAGCGTCTACAGCATTTGGGATCGTGGACACGTTTTCGGGTCGCAACGAGGCGCGAAGAACGGTATTTTCACGCCCTGTGTGGCTTACACACACCACATGATCGACATCAGCAAGGGCAAACTTCAGCAACTTGTTTGTCAATATACTGCCGACATCGGCAAAGCCGAACAGAGAGTGATCAGTAAACACGGCTTTGAGACCCAAGCATTTGGCATGGAAGAGTCCCTCATGAGCCATACTTGAAAGTGCCTGGTGTCCGTGTACAAGTTGAATCTGCTCGCGAATCAGGATAGTTCGAAGTACGGGCATCAGTCCAAAAAAATTTGGCAGCGTGTCCTGACGAACAAGCACAGCATAAGGCACGTAATAGACTTTCATCCCTGCTGCTAGGTATCTCACACCTACACGATCCGGTGCATAGGCATGTGTAACGACAATCACCTAAATAAGCAGACCCGTTCATACATACCTTGTGACCACGACGAATTAGTTGCTGTCCGATCATATACATATGGCCTTCAACGCCTCCTACGTTCGGAAAAAAGAAATCCGACAACAGCCTGTCGTCAATCGGCACAATCAGCTTACGCGATTCGCAATGGCGCTGTGAGACGCGGCGCATTTGAAGTATGTGCGGCATTTTCATGTAGTAATGGCACGAGCAGTTTCTCATGAAGCAACTTTTGCGTGTAGGATTGTGCGCCATCTGGCAGAGGAATACGCCAATGACACGCCAATTCCACGAGGAGTGCACGCTGCAACGTAATTAGGTAAGTCGCTTGGGTTGAGACTTCTTCAAGCTCATTGTCATGAAGAGCCTGCCATGCTAGCTGCGCGCATTCATGTAGTGACGCCGGCGGCACCATGTTATCTGACAAACATGCATAATACGCGCGTAGTACATCTGTGACGGGATCGTAGTATTGGTTGGCAGCCTCTGTCGGAAATAGCGATGTCTCATCGACAAATGAAGCTGGGCAAGTCTGTTAGCAACGACACACGAAAAGCTCAAGAATACATACGAGCGATTGGAACCAAAAGTTTCCACACATATGAATGAAAGGCAGGATCGCGCAAGCGACGCCGCCAAATCTCTCGCGTACAAGCTTCAGAGCCACGATGGAGCGCATAAATACAAGCAAAGCGCCCGCCCTTTGTATGATCTGACTCTTGCAGTTGACATGCGGCTTCTCGAACGTCAGAGTCATCATCGTGAAGCAAGCGTAAAAGTATGAGATCCTTTTGAATATGCGACGTGTGCACGTGCTGGAGGGCATATGCGACCCCAAGGCGAGATGCGGGCGATGCCTCTGCATGTGAACATTGATCCCAGATCCAGAAACACGCCTCTAGCATGTCAGACCGGTCAGACCGAACCGCACGGCCCGTCAGCGGCAAGAGAGCTTCAAGAAGCAATACTGACTCTGTCGATGCAGCTAATACGATCAATTTTTGAGCATAAGTATCCTCGAGCTCGCATCCGAGCACGTTGATTAAATGAGCCGCACGTGAACGAGCATGGAGCGACACATGCACATCGAAGAGGAGCGTATGCATCAGGGCGTTGTGCACCTCCACCTTGTCCCATTGGGCAACTTCGAGCATGGCTGGGTCTTGGTAAAGGATATCGATCGTCGCTGACCGTATGTCATGATCTGCATGCAGGACGGCAAGAGGCAACATGTCTACACGCATCGCCATAGTGAGGGCGACTGGGAGGAGCCACACCGTGAACGGATCACGAGCAACGTTCCACGGTGGATTCAAAAGGTCGTGGATCCATGAGGCTAGCCACGGCTTCACTGCCTCGAGTGCATTGCATTTCCTTGCCACTTGAAGAAAAGATGCAAGTGTAACAGGGCAGTCATTATCAGTGAGCAAATCCATGCGACTCTCAATATCAGCCTTATAAGTAGGGCTTGCCCAGTGCTCCAAGACAGCAAGCGTGCCAGCCAACGCATTTTGATTACGAGTCGTGGCCTGCTGAAGCAGTCGCTTTACAGATGCGTGCTGCTCACTAAGCGGTACAAGGACAGCATAACAATGTGCAGCTAATGCGCGAAGGGCCGCTTGACGACTCTGCGTGCATCGCTCCACGGCCGCCAGCAGTGATGGACTGCATATAGACGCATCAGACTGTGAGAACAAACACAAAACTGCATAAAGAGCTGACGCATAGCCCAGGTCTGTATCCTCCTGGCCTGCATACGTCTCGAGTGTATCTGTTAGAGCCTGTGCAAGCGTCTCGCTGCCACGCCACAACGTTTCAAGCCTTGCACCGCGTCGATGCGAACCGGGACCTCGGGTGCTAAATGCGTTTGTTCCAAAATATCGAGCAATGATCACGGAGAATAGCATCATTGCTGCATTCCGTACACTCCAATGGACAGACTGGAATGATGTGACAGCACATGCAAGTACCTGTCCTAAGTGCAATTTCATGGTTGGAGCCATGGTACTGTCCATTACAAGCACACGTAGAATGTGTAATGCATGAATCGATCTTATCCGCTCTGTCCCTTTGGCCATATTCAACAGGCGTGAGACGCATGTACGCGTCAGATCCACAAGCTTGGTGCCCGAATGTGCACTGAGCAATGCAAGCACAGCAAACCCAAGACCGGCGCCACGTCGAGTTGTGCTCAGAGATGCTGCATATTGATCAGCATGATCCAGGCATGCTTGAAGCCACAAGGACGGCCCGTCCATGCCACGCTCACAAATCGCACGTGCCAAGCTTTGATAGTGTGGATAGACTGTGCTGAATGCACCGCGGTGCCGGATACGTAAGAGCCACAGCATGAAGAGATCGCTCGCTCGCTTGATATTTTGTTCGGTCATGTGATTGCGCGTGATGATTTCGAGCAAAGCAGCAACTTCTTTCATGGCTCGCCACGAAAATGAGAGGATACGCTGTGATGTAACGGATGTGAATTGAGCTCCTGTGTCGTGCTGCTCAACTGTATCATAAGTTTCGTCATCTTCATGCTCCTGCGCACGAGCGAGTTCAGAGTGATCGTCTGCATTTTCTGGCGCTGCTGCACATAGTACAGGCATAACTAGGGTCCAAACCCGCTGCACTTCCTCGAACAGTCGTTCAAATGGTACAAGAACAGATGCTAAAGCTCCTGCCTCTTCTACAGCCGCACTTACGAGGTATGATATTGCAGCCAATGTGCCGTGAAGACCCTGGCAAGATGCATGCGTTAATGAAGCAGCTGCTTCATCCAGCTGCGTTTCTAGGCGATGTAGATGAATGTCCAGCAAGGCACATGTCCAATTCGATTCGTTTTTACGCTCTTCTGAGAATACAAAAAAGTGCAAACGCGATAGAATTGGCACGTGCGAAGGCGCAGCGCATGCTTCGTGGTATAGCTTCAGAAGCTGGACACCAGCATATGCATCAGATTCCTTTGTTCCAGTAAGTCGTCGAAGGCTCGGCTCGACCACGTGTGTCCACACAAACTCTGGATCGTCCCAAACACGAGCCACCACGATGTGCGAGGCCTATCAAGACCAACACTGCAATCGACTGTATGTCGTCATATGTGCTTTCTGTTGCGAGACACAGCAAGCGATGCACGAGAGCTGGCGTAGGTGTTAGCGGGGTCAGTTGGGCTGCAGGGAAAGTTTTCTGTGCTTTTTGCAATGCACGCACAGCATCAGTGAGTGAGCCCTCGCGCATTGTGGCATTCTGCAAGTCAGTGGATATTGTTTTTGTTGCTTCAAGAAGTAGGTATAGACACGAAACAGCGAGAATCGTACGGGCGTATGGTGCACCTGGATGCAGTGCATGTGCCAAGGAGTTGAACAACGTGCGTAGAAACTCTTGCATTTGCAAAGCGTATTCATCTTTGCGCTTATTCGAGCTAGTTCGGATCCGCACTAGCATCTTGACAAACAAGGCAATGGTGTCTTTTCGAGCGACAGCACTTGTTAGATGCATACTTTCACTATCTTGGAAGAAGTGGTGAAGAATAAGCATTTCCGCGGGCCCTAGCGGCATAGCAGGCGATTTTGCATCAACGCACAATGCCAAGGCAGCTACGCGCATCCGTGGTAAAGAGGAAGTTAGACACACGTCAAGTATCTCTCCAGGAACACACACTTTGTCATCGGATGTGTCTGCAACAACGCATAAGTCATGTACTTTCGCAGCTTGTAAGATTGACATCACCACACGCGAATTTCCGTACATTTCCAAAGCCTGCAAGAGCTTTGGAAAAGTGGATGGGTTTTTGCTAAGCCATGGGTGTATGACATGGGCCACAAGGTGTTCGACGCCACGTTCTTCTGCCGTGCATAAACAGTTTGCCAAAGGATCGAGCCAAACATCCATGACAGTCGATGGATCCAACGCATGCTGCATAAAGGTTATGGCAAGACTTGAACGCTTGCTAATGGATCCAAAGCCCTGCTGGATGCCGAACAGCACACGGGTGTAAAACTCTTGTGGCGCCTCAGCCAATACCTTCAGACCATAATGTGCAAGCAAGGCTTCTTGCACAATAAGATTCGCTTGGCTTTCGCTGTCCGAAAAAGCGGCTTCACGAAGTGAAGAAGCAAAGGTAGGTAGTTCCGTCGTTCTCTCGACGTGATCTAGCGCAGAGCATACCTGCTGGATCAAGGCACGCACGCGTTGCGTCGCCGAAGACGGCGGCAGGTTGAGTACATTCATGATTCTTACCGCCAATAAAGACCAGGCTCTATCATTGCCAAACTGCTTGGGGTCCTCGAGCTTTGCCGTAAGCGCCTCCAGCGCCCTGGTCCAAGCCCGCAAAGCGTCGACGCCGAACGATAACGTGCTGCCTGGACGCCCATTATCGTAGGCATGCGGGCATTGCAGCAAATCTTGCACCTGACCAAGTATACGCAGAAGAGCGACATCCGCGTTTGCTGGTGCCTGGACAAGCGCCGCTAGCTCCGCCTGAACCAGCTCTCGCGCCCCGATGGCGCTGCTCATGAAATGGTAACGGTCGAAGACGGTGAGCGCTGACTAAAACAGGCACAGTGCATTGTGGTGGTGTGTGGATACGAAGATAATTTCCATTTACCAATGGCGCGTGACACGCACGCGTCATTGATTTTGCAAGGGAGAGGAAGGATCTTGCGCAGTCTGTCGGTCTTGGCGCTCAAGAGCCAGTCGCATTTGATCACTGGGTACCGCTATGGCCGAGGAAAGTGGCAGCTTGCACGTTCCGTTGGATGTGCGGCGGGTCATGCTGCGGGCTTTCACAAAGAAACGACACTTGCAGCTCCAATCAGATGCCGTGCAGTTCATGTACAGAACATTGGAGGAACATGACCTGCTTGTGGATGAGGATGCGACAACCGAGGCTATTGATGCTCTAGCAAGTGCTCTGGTCGATCAGCATGTGGCCGGTGCCAATATTGCCGGGTTTGATGGGCATGTCGTCACTGCGCAGGCGCTACAAAAAGTGTACGATCAACTGCTTGTAGAGTCGGCGGACGATGCGAATGCCAATGCGATGCCTTTGACGCAAGGTTCCATACCTGATCTGGCCAGATATTTCAGTGTCTGTGACGCCTTTCATCAGCCATATATTCGGTTTCATGCTCCACGGCAGGTGTTTGAGAAGGTTGGCCGGCGTGGATCACTCTTGTCGGGAGCTCAGGCGCCCAGTGCACACATGGAAGAACGATATCAGCTCTTGCGCAGTATTGTGCTGCGAAATGAGCATTTTTTGCCGGCACTTACGGGACCAACGTCCTCGCGATCTTCTATGATGCAGCTCACGACAACGAAGCATTTACTTGGTCGTCAAGGCGAGCATTGCTTGCTTTTTGGACGACTGTCTACCTCGGCAGACGGCACTTATATCCTGGAAGACACTGAAGGATACGTGCCGTTGGATCTCCAGCAAGCTGTCGCGGGTGAAGGCATCTTTACCGAGGGTGCCTACGTCCTGATCGAAGGCGAGTACACAAACTCGGAGCAGTTGCGTGTGTGGGCGATGGGACATCCGCCTAGTGAGCGCCGCGAGGATGCACGCCAGATTGCTGGACACTTGGACTGGTACGGCACGGGTGCTGTGCCCACGAAACATGTGTCGGCCTTGCGCGCCCAAGAACTTCAACACCCTGATGTGTGTGTGACTGTGCTCTCGGACGTCCACCTGGACGATCCGGTCACACTTGCGCATCTTCGTGCCATCCTCCAAGGGTACCAGGATGCAGACTTTGTACCTCTAGCCATTGTTCTGTGTGGTCACTTTTCATCTACGCCTGTGGAAGTCGATGGTGCTCTAGAGACATACGCTGCGTCGTTTGCTCGTCTCGCTGACATTATGACCCGTTTCCCCCGCCTACTTGAATCCTGTCATTGGGTGTTCGTGCCAGGTGCACGCGATCCAGCAGCTACGCCACTTCTCCCACGACCGCGTATTCCAGCGCCACTCGTAGAGCGGTTCGAGCGTCGTCTTCCGCGCGACTTTTGTGAAACGCGCCTGCATTGGATGAGTAATCCGTGTCGCTTGGTATACTTCTCGCAAGACATTGTGATTTTCCGCGATAACATCATGAGCAAGATGCTTCGTAGCGCGATGCTGCTCAAAGATCATCTCGAGGCAGGCGACTTGCAGAAGTATCTGGTGTCGACGCTGCTGGATCAGGCGCATCTGTGTCCGTTGCCGCCGCAGGTGCGCCCAATTCTTTGGGAATACGCTCATGCACTACGTTTATACCCCATGCCAAGTGCGGTACGTCTCAAAGCTGAGCCATCCTAAACTCTTTCCTCCCATTCTCACTTACCCACTTACTAGCTTGTACTTGCGGATCACTATGATCGATTTGAACTAACGTATGAAGGATGCCATGTGTTCAATCCCGGCTCGTTTCGTGGCCGAGCAAGTTGGACAACGTACTACCCAGCTACGGGCCATGCAGAACGAAGGTACGTTGGTGGACGCCATTTTTTTGTTCTCGCAGCCATCATATTTGCTTACGCTTCTGATAGTGAGCTGCCAGAGTCATGAGGATCACGCTTATGTTGGAAAGTATATCCATATAGACGCGCAGTAAGCAGTGATGTGCGCGCATGTCGAACTTGCAAGAGTCGCTTCAACTCAGGATCCTGTGCATATGCTGCCCGATATGTATTTGTCGTGAGTGTCGCAAAATGGCGCGATATCGCGCCTAGGTCGGCGAGCATGTTGGATTCCGACACGAAGGAAAATGCATGCATGCCTTCAGTCTGCGACAACACTGGCGACGTTTTTGGCGTGCACACATTCCACAGAATCCCTCGGAGGCACCAGTCTTCCGGCAGGTCTGCTTGCGCTGGTGGCAGTAAGGCAGCTTCATCGGTTGGCCGCGAACCAAAAACATCGCCACATGCATATGATGCGAGCTGACTCCACGGAAGCCGGTCGCGAAGAACCTCACACACCGCAGAAATATGGGGCTCATCCGTACGAAGCGTCAGCACATACAAAAATGAAAGCATGACGGTCAGGAACATGCCCGGCGCATTGATATGTGCAGCAGGATCATTGAGCGCCAGGCTCAGGCGACGTGTGGCCATATCAACTAGCGTGATAGCCAGTGCCAACGCACATGACAAGGGCATCGGCATATTGTAATTATCGCATGCGGCTAGGATACTCGCAACGTCACGGGGTTGAGACACATGTGTCTGAGTGGCCAGCTGGATTTGCTTATATAGATCCGGGAGCAATGTCGCACATGAGTCCGACAGCGGGCGTGCATCTGACGGTATATGGAACGCACCGAGGTGGCGCGCCGGTACCCAGGCATCTTCACGACCGAATTCAAGAATAGCCGCAGCCGTACATACACTTATCATGCACCATTCGGTCTCGAGTAGGGGACATGGATCTTGAGTGAGGTGGTGTGCTAGACGATTCAGTACGCCCTCGAACGTGTCGAGTTCAACTCGCATGAGCAACAAGCCGAGCAGGTGCGCGAACAAGTCATGCGCCGGTGAGCGTATTGCAACACGCGTCTGTTGCACTTTCCGGTGAACCAGCTCCAGCATAATTTCTCGCGTCTCTAGACGCGGATGCACGACTTGCAAACTCTTGCAATAGTAGTACATGGAAAGGAGCACATCTCGTTCACACAGTTCACCCAGTGCTGCATACCAGCGGCCATCGTCCGGCACGTCGCGAGCGGCTATGCCGTACCAGTGAGCTGCCGTCGAGCGCCATGCTTCGCATTCTTCATAGTACAGGCTGTGCGGCGTCCCGAGCGAGCGGCAGTATTGCAGTGTTGCCAGCTGTTGCCGGGCCAGTTCGCCCAGCCATTCCACACAAGCGCGACGCACGCGCCCCTCAGATGCACGCTCATACGTATACGCACACAATGCGTATGTGTCACAAAGCATGCGTTCCAGCACGTCAATTACGATGACAATCGGCGCCATGCGCACGTGCGAGTCTTTAGGCGCCACGAGCCATTCCGTCGTTGCTGTGCGGTCCATCGTCGCCATAGTATTTAGTGTAGTGAGTACCAGCTCTAGCGGCGTATGTATACCACGCGAGTAGGTGCGAGCGATGATTTTATAGATATCTGGCAGCTGTCTTGCATGTGGGTGTCGAACCTCGCGCTGGAGAAGCTCGATCAGCGAAATACTCGCATTGATCATACTGAATTCAAAGTCAGACATGATCCTCAAGATGCAATACAAATACATACATGCGTTGGTGGTAATGTAGATCAAGAATCCCTTGTGTTCCGCGCACGGGCGCCTGCATCGCTAAATCGTGGGCATCAATTCGAGAGAGAAGTTCAGCAGCAGTAAGTGCTGCATATGTTCTTGAGCTACGTCGGCCATGCGCTGGGCGCGGTGCTGGTGCTGGCGGTGCCGAACTGAGTTCTGCATTGGTTGACGACGTCGCTCTGTTCACATCTGTCGCTGCGGATGGCAGGGCAGACGTTGAGATCTCTGCTGGTGCCACATTTTCCACCAGCTTAGACTGTGCGCTCAGTTGGCGCGGTACGCTTGAGTCCATATACACCAAAGGCTTTCTCACGCGCACAGGTTAGAAAGACCGTCTAAAATGCCAAGCAATCACGACGCAAGTCTGGCGGACGGATCCACCTTGTTTCTTGCTTCTTGCTTCCCCCTTTCGTGCACGACCATCACTGTCCAGTGCGACCAGCCTTTTTCTTTCAATGTATTAGCTAATCGGATCACATCGGGTGCTGACCAGCCCAAATAGGGGATTCCTCTCCACTGGTCTTTCCAGGTGTGCGCGTGAGATTGGAGGAAGACACACCCACGCCGTTCGGCCCCTGCTGTCTGCTGGCAGAAAGAACAGGTGGAGCGTAAGGCCTAATTCCAAGGCAAGAAAGAGGGCTTTTCAATAAACGCGAGATCCACAGGGCCTTAAAATTCAGGCGAGTGTGCCTTTCGATGTTCCTGGGCCGCTCGGCGCTGAGTCGGGTCATGTCGAACGGGATGCGCAGCTTGGTGCTCTCGCACGCCCGACCAAACACTTTACGTGACCGTATCAGCGTGAATGATCTACAAGTACGCATGCAAGCTGGCGTCGACGCTTGGGGCAGATCAGTGCCTCAGCCTTTGCATATCGACGCACACATATTCACCGACGTGGCGCGCGCCGGCCAAAGCGATCATATTCAGCATACCCACAACTATGGCACCTTGTATCGAGCGCTCGAACGTTTTGCTACAGAAAATGCTTGCTCCTCGATGATTCATGCCGCGGAAGGTTGCATGCAAGTGTGCCTGGAAGAGTGCCACGCACCCTATGCGGAAGTACATGTCCGCCTTCCTAGGGCTTTGCTCCATGCAGACGCAGCTGGTATCTCTCTTGTACGCAGTGCACGAGATGCTGCCACTACCCACGGTATGATGCAGCTGGAACATGGCATGCTGCGTATTCATGGACTCCGTGTCGATGCGATTCTTGGTGTCAATCCTTGGGGAACGTGAACATACACAGCGTGTCATCGTGGACATAGACGTATGGCCCGTGACATGTGCATCCCACAATTCCGTCGCTCATAGTGTGTTCATGCACATACAAGCGTCGGCGTGCCTAACGATTGAATCGCTCGCAACGCAAGTGGCCGAACTATTGTGCCGTCAACATTCTGCCGATCATGTTCGTGTTTGTATCGCCAAGCCCAGCGCCATCATGTTTGCCGAGTCCTCCAGCGTGGAAATTATAAGGGATAGCTCCAGCTTCGGTCTTCCTCTCGGAGACCCGGCCGCATCACAACCACATCTGGACCTGGGCCGAAAACAAACGCCCGTGCAGACGCCCCAGTCCCATCATACTGCTGTGTTGGCACTAGGCGCGAATCTTGGAGACCGCGCTCGTTATATCGAAGCGGCTGTCTCATCTTTGGATGCGCATCCGAGCATTCGTGTCGTCGATACCTCTTTTCTCTATGAAACGGCCCCCATGTACTACATCGACCAGCCTCGATTCCTTAATGGTGCATGCAAAATTTCCACTTCTCTTTCGCCACATGCATTGCTAGATGTGTGCCAGCAGATTGAACGGGATCTTGGTCGTACCAAGGAACATGTACCGCGAAATGGGCCTCGTGTCGTGGACATTGATATTGTCCTGTATGACCATGAACAGGTTACAGATGGCGAGCGACTGATCATTCCACATGCGCGTCTGCATGAACGTGCATTTGTGCTCCGTCCTGTGTGTGACATGATGCCGACGTACGTACATCCTGTTCTCCAGCGCACGATGGCATCATTGCTACCCTTGACCATGGACGGTTCCATGACACGTGTGATGCCCGTCAAAGACCGCATGTGGCATTGGGGCCAGCAAACTCGCGTAATGGGCATATTGAATGCGACGCCTGACTCATTCTCAGATGGCGGTCAGCACTTGGATCTGGAGCGGGCGTTGGACACAGCCCGTGATATGGTCCGAGCGGGGGTGGCGATTTTGGACGTAGGCGGTCAAAGCACGGCTCCTGGCCGTGTAGAAGTGTCTGTCGAAGAAGAAAAGGCACGAATTCTTCCACTAATCAAGGCGATTCGCGAAGATCCTATCACACAGGAGACACCCATCTCCATCGATACGTACCGAGCAGACGTGGCCAAGTGCGCCTTAGATGCTGGAGCGATGATTGTGAATGACGTCAGTGGAGGCTCAAGAGACCCACAAATGCTTGTGCTCGTGGCACAACGCCACTGTCCATTTATCGTTATGCATATGCGTGGTGATGCGTCGACCATGACACGCCTTACTCATTACGAAGGTGGCATTGTGAATGATGTCCGCATGGAGTTGCAAACACTCGTCCGAAATGCATTAGCTCACGGAGTGCGTCGATGGAACCTGATCTTGGATCCAGGAATTGGATTTGCAAAAAACAAACAAGATAACTTGCTTTTGCTGCGCCGTTTGCCAGAGCTTGTAGATCATTGCGCAGCAGGTATGTTGCGTGAGTGTGCTAGTCCGGAAGTTCACGATACGACGCAATTGCATGAGGGCCCGTGTATGTCACTCGCACATATACCTGTGTTACTGGGAGTTAGCCGCAAGCGGTTCCTTGGTGATTTGGTTCATGCGCCATCCTCCGACCCAGCATTGCGAATGCAAGCAAGCATCGCTGCTTGCGTCGCTACCATGGCCACCGGTTGCGTCGACTTAATCCGTGTTCACGACGTTGCACAAGCTATGGATGCCGTGCGAACATCCGACGCCATTTGGCGCAATTAACCTTAGGCAAAACGGTCCGGTACTGCGTAAGTTCTTAATCCACATGCAAACCCTTGTACGTACAAAGCGCAGGGGCCAGAAGTGACCACCCATAAAGTGCGGCGCATATCCATGCACTAATGATGCGAATCCACATAGATGCCAAACTTGTGCCAATGTACATGGTCATAGAGTCACTAGACGACGATTCGTGCAGCATTGACTGCCAGTCCGTCAAAAGCATCGACACATAGCATGCCGCCAATGCAAAGATGCAATGGAAAATGCTATAATTGTAACGTGTACCCTGGCGCTCGTCGTCGTTGGGAGCCAGGACTTCGTGTTCTTGCTCCTGTTGTGATTGTAGCTCCTCCTCAAGAAATGAAGCAGGCAACGAGCCCGCGGCTACAGCCGATCGGATCGCCTCAATGCGTAGCGTATTTTTTGGTGCAGGTGGTGCTGTGATGGGAGTCTGCATTACCACTGGCTCGGTATCCAGGGCAATCTCGCCACCTTCTCGACCGAGTAGCATCCGCGAATGCGTAGCAGCACGCGTCGTCGAGTACGCAATAGCGACAAATGTGAAAATAGCGCCAAGCACGGCTGCCGTCGTCTGTGCACTCTCACCACGACCGCGTGCAATTGGGTTACACTGTTTGTTATCACGATTCATAAGCGCAGACGCTAGTAGATATGTCATATACGCCAGTACCATGCTGCTTTGCGCAAGACCGCTCCTTGGATTCGCTTCTTGAATACGCGGATGCACACACAGAATCGTCAGTATCACCGCAAGCATCAAATTCACAGTTATAAGTGCCCGATTGACCGGGCAGTGAGATGGCGCGAAAAATATATACAGCAGCACTGTCGCAATTAGCACGACGACATACAGGCCAAGCGTCGTTCCCACCAAGATGTACTTCCATATATCAGAGCCGTGCCGTTCCCACTCCTCTAAACACGTCTCCGACCATGTATGCGCAAAATCCACTAGAAGAACGAGACCAAGAAAGATGAATGACATCGCAAACGTGGGCGCAGCATAGTTTGCCCACATCACGAAGATGGAGCTCGGCATGAAGAACATGCCCACGACCGTGGTGAGCAAGGCCAGGATCTTTGGTCCCCACCAACCATTCTGAATTTGCGCCCGGGGGTCGCGTGAGGTGCGCACATTGAGGAGCAACAAGGCGAGCACTAGGTGGAATAGGGCGAGCGCAAACGTGATACGATGCACCGCTAGTACGCCCACGCAAGTCTCTTGCTCGACACATTTCACCTGCACATAATGAAAGGTCCAATCCTCGATAGAGCGAGCCAAGCCAGGTGTAAGACTGATCCACGCGACGATCGCATCAAAACAAAATAGCATAGCATAACCAACACGCGTTGCCATTGAAGACTGGCAATTACACGATTTACACATCATTGATGCTGCAGTTGATGTGCACAGTGAAACACTCGCTACCGTGCAGCAGGAAACGATGGGAGAAATCAGCCATGGTAACAAGAACCAAGCCATCCTGGACACAGACGGCCGGGGTTGTGCGAACGGAACGTTAGTCTATCAATGTGTTGCGGAACGATCCAAGTGATACTGACGCAGCCATCACTGGCCAATCAAGATGTGGAGGGAATCTGTCTGCGCAGAACCTGGATCTCGTGGCTGTACGACGTTGTCCCCTTCTCGCTCGGACGTCGCTCATGCTTCGCCACGTCGCTGAGCGAGTGACAAGGTATCCTGGGACCATGCGTATGGTTTCAACTGAAGCGCTGGCGAATCGTAAAGCAGATCTTTCGCGGAACAGAAAGTCGCGCCATTTCATTGACACCCTTCTTGTACAAGTCCACGCTGGTCACGGTGGCGATGGATGTGTGTCATTTCATCGCGAGAAGTTCGTTCAGTTAGGTCCCGCTGCCGGTGGAAATGGTGGTGTGGGCGGAAATGTATTTCTTCGTTGTGATTCATCCATACACTCACTCGCGCGTGTACACAAACGCGTAGCAGCGAATAGCGGCACGCACGGCGAAGGCGACTGGCTCCATGGACGCGGAGGTGGTAATGTCACAATACATGTTCCCGTTGGGACAACTGTCCGAAGCCTGGGTCGAATCATGAACGACAAGCTTGCGGCGGCGCAGCCATACCTAAACTATTTATTGGATAATCATGCTCGCAAGTCTGTCATGATTGATATCGACGAGACTCCCGAATTGGCGCATGCTCGATCTTCTGTATGGCGTCATTTTCCCCGCTTCGAAGAGGACAATTATGAAAGACAACATTTTCGTGCCGCCGAAGACAAACTGGCTCAAGAAATTCGATCCTGGCAAAGGATGCTGCGAAACTTGCCACCCAAACTGCAATCAGCGGCATTTCTCTCGGAGTTAACAGACTTGGAGCCTAGTATGGTCTCAGACCTACGCACAGATGCCGGTTGGTCGATAGACATGGATCAACCGACGCCACCTGACGAAGACGGCGTCTTGTTAGCTCGTGGAGGCCAAGGCGGCCTGGTGCAACCCGCACTTTCTCCTTGAACGATACCATGCGCCCAAAATTGCTACACGCGGCATGCCAGGTGAATCTCTTCTTCTGTCGTTAGAATACAAGCAGCCATCGGATATTGGGCTCGTAGGCTTACCGAACGCAGGGAAAAGCACTCTGTTGCGTTGCCTTAGTCGCGCGGAAGCCGAAGTTGGCTCTTACAGTTTCACCACATTACGACCAAACCTTGGTGTTGTGCGCTTCGGCGCTGACGGCAAGATTATCAGTGACGAGCAGCACCAGCACCAGCACCAGAACCACGAAACAATGCGCCTCACTATTGCAGATCTTCCCGGACTGGTACGAGATGCATCAAAAAACCGTGGCCTGGGCCACGACTTCCTACGACACATTGAACGATGCCGCTCGCTCGTTTACATTGTGGATTTTGGGCCGTCCAACCCACGCCCATCCAGTGATGTTGTTCTGCTAAATCGCGAACTTGAAACTTATCGGCCTGGACTCACAGATCGTGTGACTATGGTGGTTGCTAATAAGGCGGATTTATTAGGTGGGGACCATGACACATATTCAGATGTTGACGCCCGCGAGAAACTCACACGACTCCGTCAGGACGTCGCTATGATTTTTGAGCCGCGCACGGTCCCAGTCATTCCACTGTCGGCGAAATATCGACTAAATATTGACCACGTGGCGAAACGCCTCCAATCTTGTACCTTATAGTCCCCAAATTAGTCATAAAGCCGCGTGTGTCAGCGGCACATTACGCGAGATTGTGGCGCAACATACGACTTTGAAGGCGACCTCGTTCGTAGCAAGGTTGTCCAATATACGTATTGATTATGTTTGGCGTCGCAACATCGCGTTTTCTGCGTCCAGCTACACTTACAGTCCCAAAAACTCAGATCTACCGAGCCATGGGTACGGTTGCAACTAATTCCATGCGGAGTGGCTTTTCAAAGGATCGCCTTAGTGAAGCTTCAACATCTTCGTCGTCCGACTCAGTTGCAGACAAACGATCTAAGGTATCGGAAAAGATTCAAGCGCGCGCTCAGAAGAAGGCAGCAATAAAGCTAACTCCTACTGCGGTGGAGCATATTCGAAAACTTTTAAGCGCAAGTGATGGACCCAAGCTTGTTCGTGTGGGTGTGAGAAACAAAGGATGTGCAGGTATGAGCTACCACTTGGAGTATGTGACACCGGGCGAAGAAGGTCGTTTCGATGAACGTGTTATGCAAGATGGAGTAGAGGTGCTAATTGACTCCCGAGCTCTGTTCAGCATCATTGGTTCAGAGATGGATTGGAAAGAAGATCGCATGTCTGCCAAGTTCGTCTTCAACAATCCGAACATCAAAGATGCATGTGGCTGTGGCGAGTCATTCATGGTCTGACGTGCCTGCTCATACTTCTTCTTGATCTAGTTGATACCCTATCCATTTGATGAATGCGTGTATGCACGAAGCATTTGGCTATGTTTGATTCACCGTAAGTACAATGTTTGCATGTTCCCTGTGCCTATATGGGCGTGGATAAGCGCATTTAAAAGAAATAAATTAGCTTGCTACATCTTGGGAACGACTTGAAGCCTATTACTCGTCTGAAGATCCATTCATGAGACGAAGAACAGAAATGAAAAGGTTCACGATGTCGAGATAGAGTGAGACATTTGCTAAGACCCAGTCGTCCGGTGAAAGCCGTCGTTGCAACAGCCAAGTGTCATAGATTACATATCCACTGAATACGAAGCAACCGACAATCGAGTACGCAAGCTCAAACAAGTGGTTGTAAGGGAAAAACATCTGGACCAAACCCGTTCCCACTAGAATCAGCAAGCTCCAATATAGCCATGTGCCCATGTGAGAAAAGTCGTACTTGCTCTGTAGTGTGAACAAGGTCAGCCCTAAGAATATGAAGGCTGTTACAATAATGGCTTTAAGCACAATAGTTTGATCCAGGAACGATACAAGCGTGCCCAGCGCCACAGACTCAACGGATGTAAAGAGTCCGAGCATGTAAAGGTTCGTGGGGTGATTGTGTCGCTTCCAGTACACGAGGCCCAAGGATCCAAACGATCCAATAAGCGTGAGAAGCATAAACCATGGATTTTTCATGACCCAAGATGTAACTGACGTCGCATACATTCCGCTAGCAACGATGCATGAGCCCAGCACTTGGAAGAACAGCACACTGTAGACTTTGCGCACAAACATGGCGCGGATCTCAGGCGCACTCTGCTCCACTGTCACACCAATCTTGAAGTCATCTGGATTCACTTCTCCATGGTCTACTGTTTCATTGGTTTCAATAGCCTGATAACGATACGGCGGGGGAGTATCTGCTTTCGACATAATGTCAGGATGTGCTCGTCGAGGTGGCAACGAATGATTAAGTTGATAGACCCTTGTTCGACGTCATAACCTTGTCCCTAGTTGCCTCCCTCCACACTTTGTGTTTAGGATATAATCCCAGAACTCACGCGTGCATCAACGCGGACACGCGTGCCAGTGTGTATTTCCCAGATACATTCAGCCGCCCAAACCTTCAAGTGCCACGGTGTAACGTTCTTCACCACATCTTCGAACCGTTTGGGGAGCACGTGTGGGGGCGCGCGAGCAAGCACCATGGTTTCTCTGTGGCAGCTCTCGGTGCTTTTGTTCATTTTCGTACTAGTAGTGCAAGCGGAAGAGCTCACCGCTTCAGAATGGCTAAAACGCGCGAATGCCGCACTGACGTCTTACGATTATGCGGGCGCGTTGGAAGCGTTTGACCAAGCCATTGGGCTCGATCCTAATTCATACCTCACCTATTTTCGCAGGGCTACCGCGCAGCAAGCTTTGGGTCGCACTAGTGCTGCGATCCAAGATCTCATGACAACAGTGGAGAGAAACCCTCACTTCGGCAAGGCCTACCTCCAGCAAGCACGGATCGAGCTCAAGGAGGGTGATTTTTCTCTCGCTCTCGAAACACTTAATCGTATGAGCTCGAATGGAGCTAAGAGCTTGCAGAAGGATGGGAAACAAGCAGAAGAGCTTCTGGAGGAAGTGAAGCGTGCACAGGCCTTCGAGAAGAAGCTTGGACAGATAGGCTCCAAGCACGCCGATGACTGCATAACTTTGGCTGATAAATTGCTGCAACTGGCACCAAATTCTGTTTTTGCACGGAAACAACATGCTGAGTGTGCACTTGTCTTGGGTCAGTTGCAGTCAGCTGTGACCGACTGGACGCGTCTGTCAAAAATGGCACCGTCTCCCGATTTGCAATTGCGCCTGTCCCTGCTGTCGTACTATATTTTGGGCACTCGCGGATCTCAAGTGCAGGATGCAGGTCTAGCGCATCTCAAGGCGTGCCTGCATGAAGATCCTGAAAACAAGTTGTGTATTCGTGCTCACAAGCAGCTCCGGAAAATTGATAAGGCCCTGCAAAAAGCGCGGGGCTTTTCTGACAACAGCAAGTGGACAGCTGTTGTTAGTGCTTTGAAGGGAGCAAAGGTTGGTGGACCAACTATATATGATGAGATCCAGCAAGTCATCCTGGATGCGGTGTCATCAGGAATTCTACCAAAGACAATAAAAAACCCTGCTGATCAGAGCGAGCTTTTGCATGAGATTGAGACACTCTATTGTCGGGCTTATGTCGAACAGGAAATGATAAATAAAGCTATGCCTTGGTGTGATAAGTTGGGAGCTGTCGATCCCCGAAACGAGCACGTACTCGTTGCCAAAGGCGAGGAACAGATGAACCAAGGAAACTATGAAGAAGCTGTTCGTCTCTTCTCCCAGGCCTCAGAGGTGTCGCAGAGCTCTGGCCAAAAGATTCGTTCGCGACTCGCAAAAGCGCAGAAACTGCTTAAGCAGTCAAAGTCCAAGGACTACTACAAAGTCCTAGGTGTGTCACGAGATGCTGACCAGCGCACAATCAAGAAAGCATACCGCCAGTTAGCTCGTGAGCATCACCCTGACAAGGGTGGTGATCAGGAGAAGATGGCTCAAATTAATGAGGCGTTCGGTGTTCTGGGCAACACTGAGTTGCGTGAACGTTATGACCAAGGCGATGACCCCAATGACCCCTCGGGCGGCCAAGAAGCCAGCTACGACGACTTTTTCGCTCATGCAGGACATCCATTTGCACAGTTCTTCCAGCAAGCGCATTTCCAACAAGGCGGAGGAGCTCATGAGTTTCACTTTTCATTCTAGTGTATAGATCGTAGCGCTAGCTCATATGTACGACATTCTCCTGTCCCAACATGACGCCCAAATGATCGAAGCGAGTTTGTTTTGGGTTGAGTCGGTCGACGCAACAGGTCTTCATTGTTTGATGTGCTAAGGCCATCGACGAAACCAATCGTCCGGCGGTGGCTGTATCCATGCCATGCTGATGGCACAAATTCAAAGCTGCGCCAGACGACATACTGAGCACCATACTTGTCAACGTCCGCCGTCGACGGCGGACGAACTCCCTTCGGAAGAGTGGGAGCGCTGGCAGCGATGCTGTCCACCACGGAACGGATCTGTTTCGCAAGCATGGGAATGTTCCAGAGTGTATAAGGAGACGCATTCCGAATCGTGATCAATACGGACCCCTGACGAGCCGGCGGTGAAAATATCTGTGGGATGTTGGCATACACATCTTGCGCTGGCATCTCGCTTGGTTCATGGCCACTTTCATAACTACCATCATCAGATTCTTCATCTTCGTCGTCATCATCACGACGTTTTTCAGAACGCGTTTTAGTTCCCTGCACATATTTGGGTGGTCGACCCTGCGTTAAGAATGGCGCAGCAGAGATAAGAAATCGCAAAATCAATAGTTGGTTTGCAAGCACATTTCGGAGTTCATCCTTGTGACCAGCACCAACATGAGGGAAGCCAAACCATACTTTACTCCATCTGTGCGCATGGTTCTTGTCTGGTCCAACCACTGCATCGCACTTATTTAATGCTCCTGCATCTACACCGAACGCCAGAATACGAGGTGCGTGATCACCGGCAATTTGTCGGATCCGTTCAACGATGCCGCGTGCATCGGGGTATTTCTGGTACACTTCATCTTCTGTATCGTAACTTGTAGCAAGGATGAGATGCGGTGGGTGGTGATGAGGCGCTGAGAGTAGAGCAAGCGTAAACGAAAAGTTACCTTCACCAACCAAAAGGATTGTATCGTCGCGTAAAAACGGGTAAATGGCTCGTCTAGGAGCAGGCAGATTTGTAGGAGACTTTTTGGATTTGTGCTCTCTTTCCGCTTCTTTCTTATTTTCGTACGCACGCTGCTGACTTCGAGCTGTATGGTTGGCAAGCGCGGTGCGCAACTTGCCTTTACCCCGCTTTGCCATGAGTTTCACAAAGGCTGCATAAATCGTTGCGACTATTGCGCTAGAGACTGCATAAGTTGTTTAGTAACAAGCTTGGAATTTGAACCAGAGGGAGCATAGATTATGAAAGATGAGAGCTTTAGCTGCGCTCTATTTCAACACGTTCCAGCGTCCGAGACCGGAAGATAGCAATACAAGGCCAACTAATAGGGAAGAATATGTGACGTTTGTAAGACCCAAGCGTGGGAGAACAAGAAGCCACGCCAGGACGGATATGGTGTGTATGATCACGATAATAGCAAAGGTCCATCTCATGGAATGAAGTGGAGGGAAGGGCAAAAATCGATACGTTGTATTACCGTCCAACGAAGCACAGCCTTGTGCCTGAACAATGGCTGCCGAAATGAGCAGACATGTACCGAGCTGCCACAGGACCGAATCAAGTCGCCAGAGCGTGATAATGGCAGGCGGCACATTCTCTAGGTATTCACCCAGTTGATCCTCGAGCTCCGTCTTTTCACGCATGAGGATCAATTCATCGAGTGACATTCCCTCCAGTTGATCTGAGCTTCGGCCTGAGGACAAGTATGAGCTTGAACCTTCATCTTGTTCCTCTTCCGCAGCATCGATAAAGTCTGTAAGCAAGTCCTCTTCACCGAGTCCTAGCATCGGACGATCCGTCGTGCGGTACATGGGAACAAACTTATACAATTGGTACGAGCCTGCAAGCACCTCAGCAAACGCCCAGCCGCATCCCAGCCATAACGTTAGTATGAAACGTGGATCATCTACGCCAGTCCAACACTTCGGCTCTGCATCAAAGCTCTCCGGCTGCAAATGCCCATACTCATTCCAAGCCAATGCGATTAGAATTAACGTACTTGCCTCGTGGCTCACAATTCGTAGCGACTCAACCACAAGTGTGCGACAAAGCGCCATAAGTGTAGAAAGAAGCATTGGGGAAACTGCATTAAATTGTGCATTTTGCAATAAGATCGATAATAGAAATCCCACGACTTTGAGAACCACAAACACTACTTCCCAAAAGAGCGGTCGGAGCTTGAAAGATGCGTACCAGCAAACAGTACCAATGGTGAAAACCATGACTGCTATGCTTCTTGTCATTACGGGAGAACAGGTCTCTGAAACGAGCTCGGGAAACAGAAGACGTATGTTACATACGTTCATCACGGCTTTCGTTGACCATAATGTGATGCACAAGATGATAACTGACGGTGTCAGAGCTAAAGTATGATACAGCACAAGTCGGATTTTGTGGGCGGGAGATAAGGTAGGAGGTAATGACATGCGAGAAGAGGCTGGTGATGGCGTTCGTTCGTCGCGCATTGCGGAACGATCGCCTTCCTCGTTGGGCATGCCTTTTGCTCTTGATGTTTTTTCTCTCTCAAGCCTGTATGATCACAGCCGTTGCTGCTGAACACGGGCTAAGAAGCTCACATGTGGAGGGCCATCGTACAATTCTAGAGCTTAGTTCCTAGAAAAACGCTCGAGTCAATTACCACTGCCCGCCATCTTTGAAGTCGCTCTTGAATTTGGGTCCCGCGGCCATGCCCAACTATGTGCAGCGCGCACTGCCAAGCCAAAGCTATGATAAGCTTTTAAAAGGGGCAACAAAGCCAAAACCTACTCTTCCTAAGGAGAAGTACATCAATCCCATTTTGCAAGCCGGTTCTGGCTCCAGTACGGACTTACAGGATGTGTTTTGGGCATTGCAAAGTCGTCTGGAGGATCCTAATAGCATTGTATGTCGAACGAAGTAACTGACTCTTAAGGTTGTTTTCAAGGCGCTGTTTATTTTGCATAGTATGATGCGATCTGAGTCAACGATCTCGGTGTTTTCGTACTTGGCCGGCGATCCATCAGCCATCCTGCTGCGTCGCGTGGCCACGAATGGGTTAAGCGAATATTCGTATTCCAAAGTACTATCTCGATATGCCCATTACCTTGATGATAGGATTCTCTCGTTTCGTGAGTTGGGGTACGATATTGTATATGCAGGCAAACGCGACCGTTTCGCCCGCTTGCGTAAATTGAGTGTGTCGAGGGGGTTGTTCAAAGAAATCAGCATGATTCAGCGTGTGATGAGTTCTTTGCTTAAGTGCTCCTTTTTCTCAGAGGATCTTCGGGACGAGGTCTCAGAAGCAGCATTACAAATGACTTTGAAGGACCTTCTTGCTTACTACATGGCAATGAATGAAGGGATCATCAACATGCTGGAGCACTACTTTGAGATGTCAAAAGCTGATGCAGAGCGCTCCTTAGAACTGTATCGCCGCTTCTGCTTTCAAACTGAAAATGTGCTTGCATTTTTAAATGCGGCAAAGCGTTATTCTTACCAGCTTCGTTCAGTTATCCCTAACCTCAAACACGCACCACTTTCACTCGCCACTGCTCTAGAAGAATACCTGCATGAAACTGATTTCTCTAAGCATGAAGTTGGATCACGAGCAAAAGCTTCAACTGCAGAAGGAGTTAAGGAAAGTAAGACGGATGCTTCGTCGGAGGAGCCAAATGCCACGACCGATAAGCCTGCCACTGAAAAGTCCTCACCACAAAAAGCTTCAACTATGGCAGGGATGAATCAAACAAGTTCTTCAAGCAAAAAGGCTTTGCAAGACTTTTTCGAATCACTCGAACAGCCATCAACACCTTTCAATTCGGCATATGCCTCGTATACCGGTTTTTATACGCAACCAGACTGGTTTGGCATGAGTGCAATGCCCACGAATGGTGTTTATGGAATGCCTCAGGTGTCTGGAAATCCTTTCGGAGTTACACCTAAAGGCAGTTTGCAGCCACAGATGACTGGATTTAATCCGTTTTCCCCTCAGATGCCAATAATACCGCAACAGCAGCAACCGCTGATACCTCAGCACACTGTGGCAACGACGCCTTTTGACTCTATTTTTGGACAAATGTCGCTAAACTCGGCCCAGCGACCACAACAACCGCATCAGATGCAGTTCAACCCTCAGTCGATACCGCAGCAACCACAACCATCTTCCCAGGCGCAGTCCCAACTTATGGCCCCTTCTGTACAACAAAGTTCTATGTTGACACAACCCAATGCTCAGAAACAATCGCCTCTTTCCTTCAGCGAACCAGCAAAACCTGCCAAACCATCGTCAAATAACCAAGGGGTTCGTCCTCAAAAAACAGGGAGTATGAATCCTTTCTCAATTCCTAGCGATTTCGACGAGCCCAATCCAGTTGTCCAGGAGCCACCAAAACCCACACTTAATGAGCTTGCCATGGATGCTTGGCTTGGTAAAGAAAAGAAAAGCGATCATGCATCAGCACTACCATCTGTACAGCCTAATCAGACTGGTATTTTTGGGCATGTTGCATCTGAATTCGCTCGTCCGCAACTTGCACAACCTAAGCAGGATTCTTTCAGCAAGTCCCCGGACCACATGCTAGGAGAAGGTATTTCCATGTCACCACAGATCGCGAGTCGAATGCCATCGCATTCTATGGGGTCTCAGGTATTCGGAGACCAGCATACTCCTTTGTATGGGCAACCCACAGGACAAACCATCCAGACTCAGCCATTCGGACGGCCAAGCTTAACTGCAACGCCAAACACGTTGGTCAGCTCAACAAGCTCAGAGGCCCCTAATCGGCGACTCAGTGCATTGGTTCCACCCCAACAGGGACTTGACATTTCATCTCAACGAACCGGCCTGGACGCTTTTGGTGTTGGCGGAACTCCATCTCAGGGTCTCAGTCCACAGTTCTCGGGCTCCGTTTTTGGGACTAGCCCTATTTCTTTGGGAGATGGCTCAGTTTTATATCCCAGAAATTCAGTGTCAGGATCACAGGCTATGACAAGCTCTTCGGGCATCGGCTCTCAACCAAGTCATCCAAGTGGGCGTTTAACCACATTCGAACGCAAGCCGAGTGTACCCCATGTGTCCGCTATGTCGCACTCGGATCTTCAGTCTCAAATCACCGGTCTCACAGGCATCAAGCCCTTCCAGCCTTCGAGTGCTTTCGGTGCAAGTCTTGTGTCTGGCCAGCTTGCTCCGAAACAAACCTCTAACACCACGACGCCAACCCCAGTGGAGGCTCAGCAGCAGCCGCAACCGACGCAGGACCTCTTGCAATTGTAGTTAAATAGTTACTCGTTCCCTAAACATGCGCACTTGGTCACGTGAAAGGATGGTCCTGATGGGAAGAATAGAGGGAAGCACGAACATGGGGTCGTGTTGTATGGCGCCTTGTGGGCGGCGAGCGGAGCATGACCCAAGAAAGGAGCGAATGCACTGAAGATGAAGCAAGAAAATCGAACGTCGATGTTCAAGAACTAAAAACTGAATCACTTCCGAAAGAAAAAGTAGATGGATCGAGTACGTGTGGCATTTATGTACAGTCTGACACCCAAGCGCCGCCACCTTGTCGGCAAGCGAAACGCCGGCGGACTTCGGACTCTGCCATGAACGAGAATGTATCTGAGACCGAGCATCGTGAGGAGAAAGAACGAGCAAATGCGCCAGAATCTGTCGCGGATGAATTTAATGTATGTAGAAAAGTATGCTTCGCGCACTGACCCCCACAACAGGTGCCACCGAAACGGGAGAAACCGGCTGTTATTGAAGAGCGGACAGGTCTAATTCAGTTTCGTGTCGTTACGAATGATAACAAACCTGAGTCACTTGTAATACTCACTGGATTAAAGCACATTTTCATGAAGCAGCTTCCGAAAATGCCCCGAGAGTACATAACAAGGCTCGTGCTTGATCGAAACCATTGGAGTATGGCCATTGTCAAGCGTGGATTACAGGTGGTTGGTGGCATCACGTACAGGCCATTCCCACATCGAGAGTTCGCAGAGATTGTTTTCTGTGCTATTTCAAGCTCAGAGCAAGTCAAGGGTTATGGCTCACACCTTATGAATCATCTAAAAGATCATGTCAAAGACGTGTCGCCCATAAAACACTTTCTAACATATGCGGACAACTACGCTATCGGCTACTTCAAAAAGCAAGGCTTCAGTAAGGATATTTCATTACCACGGTCTGTCTGGGTCGGGTATATTAAAGACTACGAGGGCGGTACACTTATGCAGTGTACCATGGTACCCCGAGTCCGATATCTGGAAATACACGACTTTCTTGCAACCCAAAAACGCATGATTCAAGCGCGTATCAGTTCTTTCTCACGCTCCCATATCGTATACCCTGGATTGGACGTGTTCAAACAAGGCAAGAAGGACGAAAAGCGAGATATAACTTCTCAGGCAAGCAAAGTGGAGATGATTGTGCAACCGAATGAGGTGCCAGGGCTTAGGGAGTCTGGATGGACACCTGAGATGGATGAACTTAGCAGCCGATCGAAACGGGGCCCGCATTTTGCTGTGATGCGCCATATTCTTGTTGAGCTAAATGGACATGCGAGTGCATGGCCATTCGTGGTGCCAGTGAATGCAAATGATGTTCCCGATTATTACACTGTCATCACGAATCCTATGGATCTCTCTACGATGGAAAGCAAATTGGAAAACAACCAGTACGAAACGGTGGACGATTTGGTAAAAGATGCTCAACTTGGTGCGTATAATCCTGTATCAATTGGTCTCATACTTATCCAGTCTTTGATAACTGCAAATTATATAACCCTGCTTCGTCCCCTTACGCCAAGTGTGCAGTCAAGCTGGAGAAGTTTCTGTATGAACGATTGCCTCAGTGGAAACAGGCTGCAGGACTTGCGGTGTGAATAGAATAATCAGTTGGTGTTTTCTGTCCTATCCTATTGTTGTAGCATATCGATCAGACCATTTGTTATCAATAAAAAAATAATAACAATATCGATTGGCCTGAAATCGGTGCATGCGCACGCGCTTGAATAGACTTCCGAACCCCCCCCCCCCTTGCCCCCAAAAAAAGGCATGCGGAACCTCCGAAAGTCATCATGCGCCGGACAATTTAGGGTCGTCTATGGGCACAACTCTTCGAAATAGACCCCCCTCTTTACCCCACACATTGATTTCACAGGGTTCCTTTCAATTTTGCGTGTGCCTCACCGTGTTTCTCACTAAATCATTCTCTTCAACTGGCAATACTCATTAAGCGAGGCGTATCATCCCCGCACTTAATTGTATCTTTCCGCAGAGCATGTTGCATGTGAACCCGAACCAGTGGAGCTGTACACAACAACCTGGTCGACTGCGCCGAGTATCACTTTCGGATCAGACATACATGATGCAAGCATGTAAACCAATGATGGGCCAAGGGCCATCACCAAACACCAAGAATGATGCACAAATGTTTGATTCATTGACACTCCATCAACGGCTTGGATCTCTTCTCCTTGACCTTCAAACCGGCTCTGATCAAGTCCAAAGTGTGTGGGAAATGTGGCATGATCCTGACAGTGACTGTCCTTTGGCGCTTGTTGACAAGCCCCAGACTGCACCACCGCCGGGATCTCCCACAGTGAAACCTGCTGATATCCCAAATGAACCAAACGAAAACGTGATTAAGTACAGTGAGATTAGCTCGACGGGCGATTCAGAGTTGAACTTGGACGCTCTTCATCTTGGTGATACCACCGGGGATCTTGTATTCAAGGTCTCAAATCAACAAACATGACAATAATCGTGACGATAATTTATGGGCTATGTAAATAATCTGGCACGATCGAGTTTCAATGACGATAATCCCACCCTTTCCACTTTACACTACACTATTTTCTTCGGTGGCGGCGGGGGAGGCACTGACGATGCATCAGCCATCCGAACGAGTGCATAAGTGCTTTTGACTAGCAAGTATGCCGGCGTGATGACCCATGCACCATTGCTGATGACGAGATAGAACCAGAGATGTAGTGGATTCTGGGTGTCAAGTGCGGCCGCATTTGTGAAGTATTCAGGCACGAAAGTCATGTAGTCCCCGTACAGTTCAGCCAAGCATAAGAAGCAGAGCCAAATATGATACTTGGCATTGTCCTTTAGTACGAGCCAAGAAGTATATAAGGCAAGTGGGCCCTTAACGACGACAGTCAGCAGCTCGACAGCAACAATGCCTGGGTCAGCTACTCCCCAACGTGAATCTGCAAGACTGTATTCTTGCCACACAGACGCAAAGAAGCCTCTAGATGCATTTACAGTGCGACCGTGCATTGAAAGATACACAAATGGACCCTCAACTACCGGGTAAGCATTGCAACCAAATTGGTCACTTACGACATATATGTATGAGTGCATCAAACACTAGCCAGAAGAAAAGGATTCTCTGGCTCGATCGCAAGTTGAAACGTTGAGCACTCACCATGGCACTAGAGGCCAGTCCGATAAGTAATCCCACGTATGCAATTGCCATGCATGTTTGCCCAGTCTCAGTAGTAAACATGGCGGCGTGTCAGAGAGGATTGGCCCAAGAGCCCTACTGCCAAGGTCCGATGACGGGTGTGGTGAATCAGAATAAGATTTTTGAATGTGATCAAGTGTAATTATTATCTGCTTAAAAATGGACAAATTAATGGATCCGTCCCTAGCAAGCTCCAGCACCTCAAGTAACGCGTACGCAACTCCTCAAGACGGCCAAATTGTGTCGCGGGTGGGTTTGCCTTACTCGAGTTCGCACCAACTGCATCCTTAGATGCATACGACAAGACCTCTGGCTGTATATGTTCCCAACCGGGCTCTATCAGATCTTCCATCTTTATATTAGCAAATTCCTTTTGCAGGGCGACTAACTCATCCCTGATTTGCGCGTGCTTCGGTGAGGACACTTCTCCTGACATTACATGAAAGGCCAATGCATCAACTTTTCCTTTGAGGTCACCAATAGCTAGGCCTAACTTGACCCCCACGGTATTATAGCCTTGATCGAATCCAGTCTGCAACAAAGCCAACTTGCCGTTTTCCAGTCCTTCGCGAAAGCCAATCTATCGGTCAGAAATGTCCACATACATTGTGCATCTGTGACTCCATCTTTATGCGATCTCGATTCTCCATCAATGCATTTGCCGAGGATCCTGGTCCATCGTCGTCGGACGCGAGCCAATCGTCGTCAGCACCGCTCATGATGAAGTTGGTGTGTGTGTGTGTTGTGAACAAAGCACGTATTACACCTCCACTCGATGCTCCTTTCCGCTACCCATGCACAACGTCAAGCGAGTCCCTGTAGCAACGCTATCTCCTCAGGTGCTTGAGCAGCGCCGAATCGAGGAAGAGCATAGACTAAACACGTACAAACAAGTCGAGAAGAAATATCTAGAACACGTAAGTGTAGGAGAAGGTGATATTCTGACAGGCCAAATTAGCGAGAGCGTAATGATGGTTCGCCTGAGGCCTTGGACAGTACATCGTCATTGCTTGCTTGCAATCCCGAATATTACTCTGCATGGAATTACCGAAGAGTAGTTCTCTTACGTATGTTTGAGAAAGAGGATGTAGAGCAACAAATACGGTTGCTTGAAGAGGATCTCACTCTTCTTCAGCAGAGTATGCGAACGCATCCAAAGGTATATTGGCTATGGAATCACAGGCGATGGTGTCTACAGAAGCTGCCATCGAAAAATGAAAATCATGAGCAAAGTAAATGGAGAAGAGAACTCGCACTCGTAGATATGATGCTCGAGATGGACCCAAGAAACTGTACGTTGGCACGTTAATTTCATTCGACTCATACAGCTAGTTATGGGATGGAACTATCGCCGATGGGTCGTTGAGGAGCTCGCAAAGGCCATGTCGAAAGTGGATGGCATACCTCCATTTCCGGCATCTTTATCTAGTGAGCTCGATCCGGAGACACGTACAATGCATCTTGCTCTCGCATACCAAGAACTCAAATATACGCTCGCCAAGATCGAGAGTGATTTTAGCAACTTTAGTGCATGGCATAGCCGTTCAAAGCTGCTCCCGCGTATTTGGGATGGAGAGAGGCTTGATTCATGTGCACGTTCGAAGCAGCGCATATCAGGTGCGTGATATCCTAATTCGCTGATGCCCCAGAATTTGAACTTCTTCAACAAGCCATGTTTACGGACCCGAGTGACCAAAGTATTTGGATTTACCATCGATGGCTTGTAGCTCAAGGTTTGTACACTTTCACGCACAACAAAATCCGTCATTGTTCATCATCACTGACATACTAAACAGATCCAAGTCTATCGACGCTAAAGCAACAGATCAGAATAATCGAGGAACTTGCCGACTTGGAGCCCGATAGCAAATGTAAGCATAACGCTCTCTTTTACCACGGTACGACTGACAACTCACAGGGTGCTTGCAGTCACTCGCCCATTACAAGCAACAAATTTTGCTCAGATATAGGGGTGCAATGAGTTCGGATGAAGCCACGCACCTGGACCAGCAGGTCTGTGAACACTTACTACGACTTGAGCACATCGATCCTCTTCGGCAAAATCGGTACCGCGATTTACTGGCTGCTAGTCATTAGTCGTTTTCTTTGACGAGATTTATCTTTCTGATGGCCTTGTGCAAGTTGTAATTCGGCTCCCTAGGTGATTGCTCGTTGCCATTGTCAAAAAAGATTAGGCACTTCTGCCTGTTGCCATAGACAAGGTATCTTGCTCGATAGAAAAAGGACCAACGGGGAAACCTTGGCGCACGTCACAACCCGTACCTGTGTCGGTGAGGTGTGAAGCTTCCTACGCATTGACTGCGGCCGTCTGGACCATCCCAAAGTATCTCATAATCTTGTTCAGAAACATTTGTGTCCGCGAAGACTTTGAGCTTGCTTATACTGTGATTCTATTTTTCTTGGTGATGTATGTGAAGCCAACGCCGTTTTAAACAACAGGCCAAATCCTGAGATTCAGAGCGTTGGATTCCCTTAATTGATAGAGGGCAAGACAATGTGACTCAGTCATATTCATTGGGCGCTCATTTTTTATTTTTTTCTTGAAACTTTGCATAGTTCCTGCACGTCATTTCAAATGCACTCATGCAATGCTCCATCAACATTCCCTTGTTACACCATATCTGAACTCCAGCGTATGCGACTGTACTGTACGAACGACACCCTCTGTCCATGCAAGAATATTTTGGAAAGAGCGGGCTCGTACGACAACACAACATGTATGTCGAACAAATAGTACGTTAGTTCGAATCTGATCTGAACGAACACATCAAACGAGAGCTCATGTTTTTTTGATAAAGTATTTCCCGTATTTCCTAAACGACAGAACGGCACTCTCATTTTTTGACAGATCAAGTCATACGGGCGGATCTTGGCATGTCTTACCCAATAGCGACAACATTCAGCTCCACTCAATCCCTTTAGGTGTTGCGTGTGTGATAATCACTGCTAAGATCCTTTGATCCTGAAATTCGCTAGTACACTTGCGCTTCACACCGAGTCCGTAAGGGCAAATATTGGTCGAAGATAAACCGAGTATAGATGGATGAACACAACCAGCGAACTGGAGCATGGGCTACAAATATGCACTAACGATGTAGCACAGCATATTGCGGTCACCCTTTGATGAACGTTCAGCATCCACACCACCGGTCCATTCACACAAAACCAATTGCGGCATATCAGATCACCAGTTCAGACATGTACTATCTCGCACATGATTGTTTAGACGACGTGATCCAAAATTCGCTTTTTGGACCATGAATCATTGTCTCTTGCAACGTTGTTGTCAAGACATAGGTCAAACAAGGCCGAATCCAACTTCGATTCTGCCAATTAATCCATTTCTTCATGAATGTATTACAGTGATCGTTCCACGTGCGGAATTTTTCTGCCACGAAAACACGCTGCGACCCTCTTGCAAGCTGCTCATGTGGTATCCTATCAATGTCGTGGATAGTATTTCGCAGTGTTGTTACGAATGCTGCCTCCGTGAGAACTGGCCGATCTTCAATATCAAGCACACTTTAAACTAGTGGATTTAGATGCGACACATCCCCATGATGTTTCGGTTATCGTGATATTGTTGTAACCAGCACCCGCATGACCAAGGAATGCACTGCATGCCAAATAAGAGTGAGTGTCGGCAGATATTGCCGGGCCGTTCTAATAACTTCATTCTGATTTAACACTTGATGCCAAAATCCATGCAGAAATGTGAGGGAGACAATCGTTAAAGCAGCTCGCTAGAGCTCTGAATCGCAATCCGAATCGGACTCATCCTGAAGATAAAGAATGGGTTTGCATTGAAACACAACACTTTCATTTTCAATAAGAATGCCATCTTCCAACGCTATTATGTATATATGTGGTCCCCAGCATAGCTAAAGAGTTCTTTTTACTTTGCTGGGCCTTCTCCATTCAGAAACGGAGCCACGGCGTCTCTCGTCACAGCATGGTCCTCAGGCGACTGACATGGCTTAAGGCTCGTCAAAATCGCCTGGAAGTATCCTCAAGCGCCGGAAATAGATGCTTTGGTAGTTCACCTTGCCTTCCGAAGTGATTTTGCCATGCCTTGGTGCTTGGCTGAGGTATTGACCAGGCGGAGCTCGAGCAATTTGGTTTTTTTCAGCAAAATTCAAGTGTCCAAATGTTGGAGATCGAGATAAGGAATTCACGCCTAACCAACCGTAGCGCCATTATTGCGACAAATCATATTGGGTGGAGGCTATCATTATCGGCGCAGGCAAAGCTGTCAAACTACGTGGTGTCGAGACATTGGCATTTGGTGAAAAGGTCGAAAATTGTGGCTCCAAAGTCCGGCCCCAAGGCGCCATGCAAGTTGAATATGCTGGAGAACGTCCATACCAATGGTTACTGAGTTGAACGCTCACGAACTTGCGCAAGAAGTGACGATGCTATACGACCCTTAATATCAGACTCCATTTGTTCTTCATCGCCCTCGACTTCGGCTGCCTGTCCGGACACACGATCGGCCAATTCAAGCTTCCGGTGCGCAAGTGCCAGAATATCCTCATCAATTGTTCCGCGGCTAATAAGCCGTACAACAGTCACTGGTTTCGTTTGTCCTATCCGGTAGCACCGGTCAGTGGCTTGCTTGTCATTCTGCGGGTTAAAGTCTTGGTCGAACAGTACGACCCAGTTCGCCGCAACGAGATTGATGCCGAGACCTCCAGCACGCGTCGACAATAAAAAGACAGGGATGGTGGGGTCACTGGTAAACTTGTCGACGAGAACCTGTCGATCACCCACATTCGTTTGGCCGGTAAACCCAACATACTTGACGCCCATGTGCTCTAGACATACGCACAAGATGTCGAGCACAGAAGTAAATTGGGAGAATATCAGCATTCGATCACGCCGCTCGACAACCTCGTCGATAATCTTACGAAGCTGCTGAATCTTGCCAGAGTTCATCCATTCCGATTCCGGCAGTACATGCCTCCGCGTCGACTTCCATGAACGCGCTAGGAGCGAAAGCTCTGCATCTGTGTTGATGGTGAAGTCTTCGCGTAAGTGCTGCAAGTTCTCTTCCGCATGCTCAGGTTCACGGACATAATCGCGCGCGAGTGCCGCAATCTTCTTCTCATCGTACAATGTGCGGAATAGCAACGGGTGGTTTGCCGCCTTTCGGAGGTCCATCAACACATTCGCTGTATCCCTGTTCGTGCCCCTCTTACCCTTTGGTTCCTCAGCCAACGCTGCTTTTGTGCGCTGCAATACATCCTTGTAAATTTGTGCTTGACGCTCCGTCATTTCACACATGACATTCCGTTCTGTCTTTTCTGTGAGGCCTCGCAAGACCTGATCTTTCCGTCGGCGTAGCACAAATGGCTGCATCATCCGTTTCGCTCGCTCAACACGTTGCTGTGAGAGCTGCGTCGTACCTGCACCTTGTTTCACTTTGAAGATAGCCACCAGCGCTTCCTCAGCATCTGTGAAATAATCCGGAAGAATAAAATTTAGAAGCGAAACGAGTTCCTGCAAATTATTCTGCAAAGGCGTACCAGTGAGTAGTAGACGCCAGCGCCCGGAGATGCGCAGCAACTTGGCGTATTTTTGTGACTTGCGATTCTTTAGCATATGGCCCTCGTCAAACACACAAACGTCAAAACCACGTTTCCGTAAGAACGTATGATCATCATGACTACCTGTAGCCATGTCATACGTAGTAAGGAGCACATCATAGTCATCGCGGCCTTTGAGTTCCGCACGCAAATCACGGCGTTCAGCCTGCGAGCCATAATATACTTCCATGCGCAAATTGGGGCAGAAACGCTGAATTTCCCGCGCCCAATTTTCTAATACAGACGACGGTGACACAATCAAGTGGGGTCCTCGGCGCTTATTATTTTCTTTTAGGTGAGCCAGGAAAGCAATTACCTGGCACGTTTTACCGAGCCCCATTTCATCAGCCAAGATACATGATGTATTCTTCTGATACAAAAGATTGAGCCAGCTAAGACCTGTTAACTGATAATCTTTCAGCACCACATCTTTCGCCAAATTGCTTGGTTGCTTGTCAAGAAACTTATCCTCTTTGCTTCTAGATGGATCCAATGCAGCCTCTTCTTTCATACGCCATGAACTCATAGCGTCGTTGATTTGCTGCCCAATTGATTCGCACTTTGCAAGCACTTCATCGACTTCCATGTAACCTGCCATTAGTTCCACACAGTTTGTGAATAGACGAGGTGATACGCCCTTGCTTGACTTATCACCCAGCTTCTCATAGACATCGTCGACAGTATCAAACGGGCGCAAATTCATTATCGTGTTGGCTTGTTCTGTTGAGCAGTTAATGGTGTCGATCAAATCGGGTGCATCACATTGGTTGAACCAGGACAGTGCTTGCTGTTGCTGGTGAATCGTGCGTTCATCCATATCGCCAAACTCTTCTTCATCTGTAGATGCGTCATCAAGACTCAATGATCCATCCGAGTCGGAATCCGACACAGCACGTGCCTTGCGTTTGGGTGGGCGTTTCGATGCAGTTGGGCGGCTTGCAGGAGCAGGAACAGGAGTAGGCGCAGCAGGATGGAAGACAGGCATTGCGAATGAATGTTGAAGAGAGGGAGGAGGGGGCTCTAATTTTTTAGGACGAAGCTTTTCAATAGCTTCGCCTAGATCATAGTTAGAAGAACGCAATACGTCCACACATTGGTCAACCGTGTAGCTTGAGAACAAACGCGCAAGACGCGTAGCTTTAATATGCAAGATACTGTCAGAAGGCGTAGGTGAACTTCCTGACGCAGATGAGTACGCAGAGCTGACACCATCTGCCTGTCTTGGAGCTGTGCTCGTTGTGGACGGATCATGGTATTGAAATTTCTCTAAATTTTGCCGAAACGAGTTGGAATCAGCACCAGAATCCTGCACAGGGATCTTTGCATGATTTGTGTAGGTGTCGCGACTAGCCGACGGACTAGAGTCCGGTGCCAACACGAATGGATCATGTGCCGTTCCGCTCATCAGACGAAGTGTGGAAAAAGGTGACTGTGCTGGCCGTTTTAAAAACGCGTCAGACGCGTCTCTAGAAATAATTTCGCAACTGACACAACGCCACACGCTATTTACGCGCGTGTTGACCCGAGTTGAGAAAGGACTATATCTCACACCTGCTGGTTTGTGAAGGTCAATATAGGGTTCGGTCAAGCATCGTGAAACGAACAATTTTTTTTTCTATCATCATATTTATTATTTTTTCAGAATCATTAAGCTGCTTGGATGAAAAGTAGGTCTCTGAGTATCAACAGTTGTTGCACTTTGTGCGTGCGATCGTTATCTATATTGTCTTAATGTTATTTTCCCAATACCTTCAGGATTCAACTGAATATATATATATATATATATATATATACCATGTATCCAACGACACGTCCCAATAGACTCGTACTGTTGTGTCAGAGAGCCTGTGTGGCATAAAATGTACCAGTTCCTTTCCAACATATGTTGATTTCGCTTTGCGGCAAACGAACCTGTAGGATGGCAGCCGAATAAGGCAGTATGGCCTTCTCTTACAGATCCACGCTTTAGTGAACAAACATTTGAACCTTTAACACTTGCATTTGTATGACAAAAAAAGTCAATTTAAGAGCCCCAATTTCTCAATATTCGTCTCAAAATGCTTTCTCTAACGTCTAGTACTATGAGAAGCTCATCGAAATCACATGTGTATGGAAGGTTGCTCCGTTTGGTACGCCCTTTACACGCCCAACCTCGTGGCCAGTGTCGCCATGACGGGGGTATCAAAATCCGCGTCAGTGCCTATCACGTGATCATTCATTGGCTAACCACGACCCAGCGCCGCTTGCTAATGTTGAAGTGTTGATTATGTCTATGTCGTATGCAAGTCGCAAGCCACAGTCTCGTGCAGAGACCGAGGCTAACGCAAGAACTCTGCGTTCACTCGTGAAGCAACCAGAAAATAAGCAATGTGCGGACTGCAAGAGGAATGATACGCGATGGGCGTCGTGGAATATCGGGTGTTTCCTGTGCATTCGTTGTTCCGGTATTCATCGCAGCATGGGCACGCACATAAGCCGTGTTAAATCTATTGACCTTGATATCTGGACACCTGAGCAGATGCATTCCATCCAGAAGTGGGGGAATAAACGTGCAAATGCATATTGGGAGGCACGTCTGAAGGAGGGGCACGCCCCCCCCGACCACAAGGTGGAGAGTTTCATTCGCAGCAAGTATGAACTTCGTCGATGGGCGATGGATGGGTCTCCGCCTGAAGACCCCTCAGTGCTCGATGCAGATAAGCCTAGTGTTACGCCTATGACAACTGCTAACGAAACTACCTCTATACCAGCAACGGTGTCCGGTCTCTCGACGGGGGCGCGGGCACAGGCCGAACTTACGTCTGCCACAAGAGCAAACATGTCGGGGGCTCCCGAGATTCAGCGCTCAGCGCCAACCGGATCCTTGATGGATTTGCTGAATGATGATACAAGTAATTCAACCGCAAACATAGGTGCAGCGCCTGCCTTGACACCTAAGCCAGCAATATCGGGATCAGGATCGGCATCAACCAAAAACACTGGTCGAGGTGGTGGTCTTTTTGATCTTGACTGGGATGATACTGCATCCAAAGATCCAGTACCCTCGGTATCTCGTCCAACCAGTGCGCCAAAGAAGAATCCCGCGAAGGACCAAATTCTAAGTTTGTTCTCAGCTCCCCCACCATCTTCAGTCAAACCGGCATCACTTGATAATCCGTTTGCATCGATGTCTTCGGGCAACCATCGTGATCTTACCACAGACATGGCCTCGATAAATCTTGGCTCATCGCCTATACAGTCAACCAACTCCCCTATACAGGCGCGTGCACCGCCGACGAGCGACATATTCAATACTCAGGACATTTGGAGCTCACCTACACACCCTGAACAGTCTAGTGCTTCATCGAGCAAGAACGAGGATGTCTTCGCCAATATTTGGGGCGACTTTAAATAGTGCTCTACGAGCTTTGGTCCGTATACCACCAAGGTAGACATTCTAACATGTGCTCAATGTCTGAGACGCGCTTGTGGATCACGTGCACACTCATTTTGGTCCATCGCTGCAGCCGCCCCTGGCTCCTGTGCCACGGTGTCGACACCTCGACACGAATACTGTTCACGCATTTCGATTGTCAAGTCGACCACGCATATCCACTTAAGAGTAGCTTGTTAAAATGGGCATATTTCAATCCAAGCCCGCGGCGCGTGCGGACGGCAAAGTATATTGCAATGTATACAATCAGAAGGAAATCAAGTTTCATTGTGATGATGTGCTTGAACAGGTATGTACGATCTCACATCCAGCGACTCGCTTACTAGTAGATCTTGACACGGCAACGTGAAGTAACGAAATCGGAAGACAAAAACACATCCACTGTTTCCTTCCGACCATTTGCTGCATCACACCTGATAGATGATGCCCTACTTTTTCTCCAATTTGCCGCTTCAATCACCATGCTTGCTTCTGTGGGCTACGTTTATATGAAAAAAGTTTCTTGGAACGATTCAAAACCAATATTCCTTATAAGCGTTTCGATGTACGTTATACATGTGCTAAGGCATAAAGCTTCTTCAGTGCATATGTGCTAGTGACTCTTGCCAATTATATCCGAGGTCCAATTGTATTCTCTGGAGTGCGAAAAACTACCGAACAGCCAGTATGTTCACCCACGTGTTTGTGATAATCCAGGTCCTGACACAGCTCAGAGCGAACTTGAGTGCATTCTGATCAAGTCGCCTTACATGAAAGGTCCAACGAAGAGCGTAGAAAGGACCAAGGAAGGTCTGAGCGTGTTGACTCCTCCTTCGTATGAGCTTGATGTAAACTACATGCGTCTTGGCTCGGACAGTCGCACAGTGCGCGCGAAGAGAAAGGGACGTATTATTGTCGGCCACCACGGTATGTTGAATATTTTGACTGATTCCAGGTGAATGGTTCACGCATGAAGGTGAATTCCTTCCGAATGAGTTCGAAAGTCGTTTCTTGTCTAGTCTCCAAAAACATATGGGTGCATAGTTGATGAATGTACGTATATGTGTCAGGAAATGGAAGAACCCAGCTGGAAATTCGCATCCTCCGCCTGCTCCACACTTCTCCCCTGTCGCCGTCGCTCATTTGGCGCGATGAACAAGCTAGAGGAGAGAAAATGGAGCATCTACAATCAGCCGGTGCGCTTCGTGCATGTGTGCAAGTGCACATGCTTTACAACTAATGTAACTCTCATTCCCATATACTGGCCCAAGGATGGTCGCAATCTCTGTAGCACCTGCACGAAGAACTTTTGTGTCGAGCAGGTCGAGGGTTGTCGAGGTGCGCAAATTGTTGAAACGAATAGCGACACAGCCACAGGATTCGAGGGTCAAGTGTGGGCAAAATGCTTTGGTAAGTTCCTCCTGATTCATTTCTCTCATGCGCAGTACGTGATCCGACAAGAGACCAATCGATTGTGTTCTTGTACCTAGTCTGTGTCCTCGGTCTACTAGCTTGGGCACTCGTTCGAAGTCGTCTCGGGCAAAACTGGCTACAAGGGTTACAAAACATGGTGCGCCGTCATCGTGGTATTTAGTCTCCTTGATGAAGCCTATGTACTTTAGATTGACGGGTTAAGCTGTATGAAGTCCTAGTGATAGGGTCACCACCCACTGCAGGTGTGTAACATGGCTCAGGTGGCGAGGGCCGTGCGTTAGCACTCAAACTGCCTGCTAGGCCATAATGCCTGTTTTGAGGCACAAGTTCGCGTCGCGTCCCTGTGGTACTTCCCCGCCAAGCACGATGGAAGCCAAACTCCAAGCTCTCAAAGTAGCGGAGCTCAAGGAGCTCTTGCACTCGGCTCAACTGCCTACGTCTGGAAATAAGCCTGACTTAGTGAAGCGGCTCCTTGAGAATCCTGACGCGACCCAGACTCTGCAGGATGCCGCGGGCGATGATAAAACAGCCGCGCCACAAAAGCCGGCTGAGTCCACTGGACAAAACATAACCAAGCCTCTTGCAGTCCCAGCGCCAGCATCAGAGCCATCAAAAGCTTCGTCTGATTCTACAGCAACGTCTTCAACTCTTCCAGAGAACAAGACAACTGACACTGGCCAGCCAAGCAATGCAGCAGATTCAACGGCCGCCCAACGGAAAGAAGACTTGCTTGCCGAGCTGGAAAAGCGAAAGTCGCGTGCTATCCGTTTTGGACAGCCGTATGATGATCTCGAAAAGCAAATTTCGCGTATCCATAAGTTCGGTATTGAGACAAATGAGGCTAACGGCGTAGATCGCCTTGAATCCGAACTGAACAAGAGCAAAGCCACAAAGTCATCAGGACCAAAGGCTTCAGTAAGCGGCAAGGGTGTCAAATCAACCCCATCAATGGATACAAGTGTGGATGTACGTGAAATTGGGCTACTAACAGCAGGCGGAGGAACAAGAGCGTAGGAAACGGCGAGCCGAGCGTTTCGGTCTTGCTCCTAAGGATGAGATTGCAGAAAAAAAGCAGCGTGTTGATTAATGTAGACGTTGACTGTGTAGTGATAACTAGGAAGTACTATTTATATGGCTTTCTCGCACCCTCGACTTTCATACGGCCAAGAAGGACTTTCTTTATGGTTGGACAGCGAGAGAACCTGGGGAAAAGAGAATAAAAATATCTATTTTTTGACAGGTGCAACTTGGAGATATACAGAACTACTTCGACACCGACGTTGACAATACGCGACGTGGGGTAATCGCAGCATCGCCGAACGTCCATGAATAGGGGCACCTGTGTGGCATGTAAAGGCTCCGAGTCAAAATATACATGTCCCTATTGTCAATCTACAACATGCTCTCTTGCATGTTACAACCATCACAAGCAAGCAACAGAATGCCAGCAGGCACGAATCCAACATGCACAAGCAAATGAACGTGGGCCTCGTCTCTCACTTTTGCGCCGTAATCGCGGACCTCCTTCTCGATACGTGCCGATGAACGCATACGACTACAATCAGATGATGGAAGATTACCAGTTTCTTAATCAAGTTGGGCGGATGGTCTCTTCTACAGGACGAGCCATATACGATGCTAAGTTGATGAATGGTGTCCCGAACGGTTTGCCAGGATCAAGCACTCGCCATGTGCCAGTCACGCAGCAGAGGCGCGAAGCTCTTGCGAAACAGCTCGCATTCCATAAGCTGCCCATCATGCTTCTCCCTGATGGCATGTCGAAGCGGAAAATGAACCGGACACAATGGGATGCAAAACGTCGATGTATGTTGTATACGGCACAGATAACATTTCCTTGTGCACCGTCTCAACCAAACAATCCACTCTCTCACATTCAAAAGGGTGGCTGGCTTATCCATCGACTTGAGGGAAGTGTGGACATGACAATTTGTGTGTTATCTGAGATGGAACGCATCTGCGCTCGAATGAATAACATGAGTCTTTCTCAATGGAAAAGCCACCAATCGGATCCTGAACGCGCTCCCAAGAGGATCAAGTCAGAATCTGCTACTCCTGCGCTCATTTCGCCGAGTGTGTGGTCCAGTCTGGGTGTGCCATATGCTTCGGCCCATGAAAGAGGCATTCTACCTGAAAATAGTGTTATGCTCTTGCATGTGTACGAAAAACGGCTTCGTAATGAAAGTTCAGCCAAGTTCCTCGACTGGTGGATAAGAAAAGGCTCAGCCTTGGAGTCATCAAACTGCGTCCACTCACCCACTCCAAGCGAACCATCTATTGTTCCGCCACACGTGCTGGATGCTGTATCGCAGCTGAGACCTGATAAAAATGATGTTGCCAAGTCCCCAGGATCGTCTACTTTGCGACAATGCTATGTTCGCATTGAGCCTGGTTTGTCATTCGAGAAAGTTCTGCGTTCTATACCCACCGCATACGGTATTGTTGAATTCTTTGAACTTGAAATTTGGGACATTGAGGCGTGCAGAGATGCTGAGCGTCGAAACCATGTCTGCATTCTACCTCTGGAACCGCATGAAACAGTCCCAGAAAACGCGTCTCGTCCGAGGAATCATGTGCGCCATAACGAGGCTCCTGGAGCCTCTTGTATGAATCCGGCGGAAAACAACAAGGACCCAAACAAAAATACCAATGGTATTGGAGCAGGGAGCACTACCAACGTTGCCACGTTGGCAAATACCACAGTATCGTGTACAGCCACTTCAGACCCGCCCTCGTCGATCACCACTCTCGTCGCATACTCTTCAGACAGTGAGACGGAGCCGTAACATACCCTTTAACTTCTACGGACTCACACAGGATAGAGAATAAGACATAAGTGTACAAGTTATTCGCGCATCTTGCTGCGCTTGCCTGTCTGTGCCTGGAAACCTGTCTTGATGGCACTGACGGACCGCTGAGAACCACATGCTTCACAAGTCATGAAGTAGATTCGGTTCTCTTTTGTGAGAAGCGTGTTGGGTGAGCGGCACGTCTTGCATGTGACATATTCAACAATATACCGCCGAAGAACGTTCTCAATCTGTTTCGGCTGGAAGCGGCCACGGATTACGAGGCGCTGACTACCGTCCACGGAACCAGTTGTACCCAGCTCTGTGAACAAGTATTGGATGACATGATCCGGTTGGCGATGCATACGCTTGCAAATTTCGATAACGTTCGCAAACATAGTCTTTTTCGATCCATCCCGCTGCACTACAGGTGGAACCATAGTATATTTCTTTTTCTCACCGGAGAGCGCCGGATTTTGTTGACGCAATGTGCGGAAAATGCGATGAAGCAATTCTTGATACGTGTAGTCACGGTCAGAATCGTGCCAGGTCTCTGCATCCTGGGACATCTGTGACTCAGGTGCCTCCTCTTTAACGTCAATTGGTTTGTCTCCATCAGCACCTGAAGCGGTACCATCCACGTTGTCGGCATCGCGGCTCTCGCCAAGCTCTTTCTCAAATTCCTCGAGATCGAAGGCAGCCTTCTTCTTCTTCTTTTTCTTCTTCAAGTCACCAAACTGACCATCGGTTAGTGGGACGCGGTCATTTTTGCTGCGACGCATTAACACGTACGTCTAATGGTGCATCATCAGCTAGAGCATCTGTGCCCTTTTCTTCTGGAGCTTCGCTTTGATTCTCGCTCTCAGGCTTCTCGCTCTTTGTCTGCTCGTTAGCGTCTGATGCACCCCACCTCCCAAAGTCTCGCCCGTAGTGGACGCCCACACGACACGTACCTCGCCAAGATCAATATCAGCCGGCGTCTTTTTCTTTTTACTCTTTTTCTTCAGTCCACCAAACAGATCAGCGGCATCCTGAGCAGCCTCAGGCTGGACAGGGGGGGCCTCTTTCGCAGCGGCTTCCTCAGTCGGTGCCGCAGACATCAGTGAGCGTATTACACCCAAAGTGAAAACGAGACGTGCATATGAGCCTGTCTCTTACCGCAGCCACATGGCATATCACGTGACTCATGGTCAACAGAAGTGCACCCGGCGTGTCCCGGGCGGGCTCGGCCGGCCGGTTTGTGCGCACGCTGGCGGTGGACCTGCCCCGTCCGTGGTGGGCGGAGTGGACTGGTGAAACCATTTCGATCCTCGACTACGACGATCGGTATTGGTGATGAACTTCCGTGCAGCTACCAGGCCTGCCCTTGCGACGGCGCTCAGTGTGCGCGGTGCCGTCGCTCCCGTGGCCGGTTTCCACGCTAGTGCCGCTCCCCAGGCGTCGCTCCGTGAACTGGAGGCTCGTCTGAAGAGTGTTAAGAACATCGAAAAGATCACGAAGGTATGTGTTGTTACGAAAGAGTAGGGGCATATCCTTCTCCTTGGTTTGCATGAAGGACAAGGTTTGCTGACATTTGCTCTAGTCCATGAAAATGATTGCCGCGACGCGTCTTGGTCGCGCTCAACGCGCTATGGATTCGGCTGTGGCCTTCGGCAACGCGAGCGAGGAACTGTTCAAGCAGTCGGAAGTCGAGGCGCCGAAAGAGGGCGGTCGCGATCTCTTTGTGGTTGTGTCGTCCGACAGGGGTCTTTGCGGTGGTATTCACTCGTCTGTGTCGAAGAAGACACGCGCTGCGGTCGCCAAGCTTACCAAGGCCGGTGGTGAAGAGCCAAGCGTTGTCGTGCTCGGCGACAAGGCCAAGGCTCAGCTGAGCCGGGCTTTGCCCAAGAATTTGGTACTGTCATTCAACCAGATCGGCAAGGGTGTGCCAACATACGAGGATGCTCTGGCTATTACATCAACGATCCTTAAGGCCGACATTCCCTTCGACAAGATCAACATTGTGTACAACAAGTATGTGTCATCGCTCTCGTTTGAGTCGGTGATCTCAACAGTGTACTCCGAAAAGTCGCTTTTGGAGGCGCCTAAGTTTGGTGCCTATGAGATGGATGAGAGCCTTTCGAAGGACCTCGCTGAATTCTCGCTGACCAACTCGATTTTCTACACTCTCGTTGAGGGCCATGCCTCGGAGATTAACAGCAGGCGCAATGCCATGGACAATGCATCAAAGAACGCTGGCGATATGATCACGAACCTGAACCTGCTGTACAACCGTGGTCGTCAGGCCAAGATTACCAACGAGCTTATCGACATTATTACGGGTGCTTCGTCACTGTAAGGGTGTGTGCATGTACGATTGGGACATTTCCTTGACTTGCCATGCTTACTCTTCTTTTATCCGTGCCATAGCGTCCTTTGCGTAGGCTGTGAATATGGTACCGAGTCTGACATGAAAAAATCAAGACCACCGCTGGACTGGCCCAGACTTGAATGATCAATGTTACTTGTATTATAGCCAGTCGTGTGTGCGCACGCATGTATGGATCAAGGGGCGTTGAAAGCAACGCAAATTGTAATCCAGCAGTAGAGGTCCTGCGAAACAAATATGAGACAGATACTCTGCATCTTGGAGTTAACCTAATAGGTACATTAACATCGACAAACTAACACGGATCACGAATGAGCCACGAACACGGCGAGTCATACACGTGTAATTCTTCGAAAATCCCATTCCAAGAGGAATCTTTTTCTCTCTGACGACAATGGCGAACCCGGACGCGGTGTTCCCGGAGCACGATACATCTAGCGCATTCCACTTCGCGAAGCAAGAGGAAGAGGTGCTTGCGTATTGGAAGGCCATTGACGCCTTCAAGACGTCGCTGGAGCAATCCAAGGGTCGCAAGCCTTTTTCGTTCTACGATGGACCACCGTTCGCCACAGGCTTGCCTCACTACGGACATTTGCTGGCAGGCACAGTGAAAGATGTCGTTACTCGATTCGCTCACTCGACAGGTCACTATGTAGACCGTCGTTTCGGCTGGGATTGCCATGGATTGCCTGTCGAACACGAGATCGACAAGAAGTTGGGGGTCAAAGGCAAGGAAGATATTCTGGCGATGGGTATTCCCAAGTACAATGCCGAGTGTCGGGCCATTGTCATGCGTTACCAGGCAGAATGGCGCTCGACGGTCGAGCGCATGGGTCGCTGGATCGACTTTGATCATGGCTACAAGACTATGGACACCAAGTTCATGGAGACCGAGTGGTGGGTGTTCAAGACCCTGTTTGACAAAGGGCACGTGTACCGCGGACTGCGTGTGATGCCTTACTCAAATGCATGCACGACACCACTCTCGAACTTTGAGGCTGGTAGTAACTACAAAGACACGCAGGACCCAGCGATTACAGTGGGACTTCCGCTGCGCAAGGATCCAAACACGTGGCTTGTTGCATGGACTACGACGCCATGGACCTTGCCATCGAACTTGGCTCTCTGTGTACATCCGGAGCTTGAGTACGTCAAGATCTATGATGAGGAGCGCCAATGTCACTTCATCCTCTCGCCGAACTTGCTCACAACCTTATACAAGGACCCTAAGAAGGCCAAGATCAAGACGGTCGAGAAGTATGTCGGCAAAGACCTCGTTGGCTTGGAATATGAGCCGCTTTTCCCGTACTTTTACGAAAAGTACAAAGATCGGGCTTTCCGTGTCTTGTCTGACACGTATGTGACTGCAGACGCTGGTACGGGTGTTGTGCACCAAGCACCAGCGTTCGGTGAGGACGACTACCGTGTGTGTCTGGCGCATGGCATCTTTTCGAGGGAGGCACAACCGCCTTGCCCACTTGATGAGTCCGGCCGTTTCATCGAACCTGTGAATGATTACGTTGGCAAGGGTGTGAAGGAAGCCGACAAGTTCATTATCAAGGACCTTAAAGCTCAAGGCAAGGTGATTGTGCAGAGTGTGCTTACACACTCGTATCCGTTTTGCTGGCGTTCAGGTGAGCCGCTTATCTATCGTACAGTGCCTTCGTGGTTTGTACGCGTCGAACCAATTGTTGATCAGCTCTTGGCCGCGAACAAAAAGACGCGCTGGGTGCCCCAAACCATTGGTGAGAACCGATTCGGCAACTGGCTCTCGAATGCGCGTGACTGGAACGTGAGCCGCAACCGCTACTGGGGCACACCTATCCCACTTTGGGTCAGTGAAGACTTGAGCGAAATTGTGTGCATCGGCTCTGTGGCCGAGCTGGAAGAGCGTTCGGGTGTGACCGGTATCACGGACTTACATCGCGACAACATTGATCACATCACTATTCCATCGGCGCAGGGCAAGGGCACGCTGCGCCGCATCGAAGAAGTGTTTGACTGCTGGTTCGAATCAGGTAGCATGCCCTATGCACAGGCACACTATCCGTTTGAAAACACCGACACGTTCAAGCAAAGCTTCCCGGCTGACTTTATTTCTGAGGGTCTTGACCAGACGCGTGGTTGGTTCTACACGTTGCTGATTCTTGGCACACACTTGTTTGGCGAGGCCCCATGGAAAAATCTGATTGTTTCTGGATTGGTGCTGGCCGCTGATGGGAAGAAGATGAGCAAGTCGCTGCGCAATTTCCCCGACCCGACACTTGTAATCAACAAGTATGGTGCGGATGCTGTGCGTTTGTACATGATCAATTCACCGATCGTGCGTGCAGAGAATCTGCGATTCCGTGAGGAGGGTGTCAAGGACATCATCGCGAGTGTGTTCTTGCCGTGGCTGAATAGTTTCCGCTTCCTGCTTGCTCAAGTGACGTTACTTAAAAAGGACACTGGCATTGACTTCGTCTACAATCCTCATGCTAAAGTGTCCGGCAACGTCATGGACCGCTGGATTCTTGCCCGATGCCAGAGCTTGATTGAGTGTGTGCGAGAAGAGCTCGGCAACTATCGATTGTACACGGTCGTGCCGCGCTTGCTCACGATGATCAATGAACTCACAAATTGGTACATTCGATTCAATCGCAGGCGCTTGAAGGGCGAGAATGGCCCAGAAGACACCATCTCTGCTTTGAACTCGCTTTTCGAAACACTGTACACGCTGTGCTTGACGATGTCTTCGTTCACGCCATTCATTACGGAAAACTTGTACCAGGGTCTGCGCAAGTTTATGCCGCCCTCGTCGTCCGCAGATCCCAATACCGAGGATCGTCGTTCTGTTCACTTTCTGCTGTTCCCCTCTGTCAAGGAGGAGTACCTGGACCCGGTCATTCAGCGCCGCTTCAGTGCACTACAGAGCGTCATTGAGCTTGGCCGTGCCTTGCGTGAAAAGAACAACCTTCCTCTGCGTGTCCCGCTACGCGAACTTACCGTGTTCCACAGCAATGCTCAGTATTTGGACGACGTGCGCTCGCTCTCATCCTACATTGAAGAAGAGCTAAATGTGCGCGATCTTGTGCTGTCAAGTGACGAGGTGAAGTGTGGCGTGTGCTTTAAACTCTTGGCAGACTGGCCAACTCTTGGTCGCAAGCTTCGTAAGGACATGGGCAAGGTCAAAAAGGGACTCGATCAAGTCACATCAGCGCAGGCGAAGGAGTACATGATGACGAATCAGATCACCATCGAGGGCATTCCTCTCGGCGAAGGGGATCTGCGTGCGATGCGCTACGTCGACGAGAAGGCACTGCCACCACATACATTAAGCGACTCGGATGGCTCGGTGGTGGTGCTGCTGGATGGCCAGGTACGCCCGGAACTCCAAGCTGAAGGTATGGCCCGCGACGTCATCAATCGGATCCAACGTCTCAGGAAGAAGGCAGGTCTTCAGCCGACAGATGAAATTGACTCGTACTACCGGTTTACTGGCGAGATGAACGCGGCTCTGGACGAGGTTATGAAGACCCAGACTGATGTATTCACGCGAAACATCCGTCGCGTGCCGCGCCCATCGAGTGATATGCCGTCAGAGGCTGCTGTCGTGTGCGAAGAAGAACAAGAGGTAAATGATATCAAATTCATGCTGACGCTTGTGCGTGCGGCGTGAGGTGAATCATTGGATCTAAGGCAAGCTTACGACGTGCATAGGAGAGGGGGAAGGATTCCTCCTTGCTTATTTTTAGTCGGGTATATACAAAGGGTGCTAGCGCTTGGGCCCAAAACTGCCGAATCCCATGGCCGCCATGACATCAGCGTCTTCTAGCGCCACAGGACTATCATCATTGTCATTCGCATGGGTATCACTTGCACTCGCGCTTGCGTTCATGCGACGCTTCTTGCGCAGACGTTCCTCACGATGCTCACGACGGCGTGCTTGCCGCTCACGCCGCTGCTCCGCTGCAATCTCCCGTAATCGCGCATCAAAATCATACCGTTGCGCAGGCGTGGCACCGAGCTGGCGCTCGGAACGAATAAAAGCAATTCGATTGCGAACATCTTGTAGTGTCGCACGCGAAGCCTGCGTCGTCTGGCCCAGACGTCGCAAATGCATACGCCCATTAATATGATCCAAATAGCCCACACTGTCCTTGCACATCCTTTTGCACACTTCACAGTAGAAACCGGGACCGCGTCCGTTTCCTTCTTCATTGTCAACAAGGCGCGTTGTTCCGCTGTCCTTGTCCAAGTCTAGATCTGTGTGTGCCTGCATAGCCTTGGTAGGCTTCGGCAGCTCTTTTCGCCGCCGGCCAGAGCTCTGAGCAACATTCCAATTTGATCGGGCAGAAGTATTTCCTGCATCTACCATAGCCAAGCAGTAGGCACAGCCGTCGCACTAATCTTCAGGAATGTGACTTGAAATAATCGCCCTAAGAGCGTTATCCTTTAGTCGATGAGAAGTGGCGATGAGGCGGGGGGAGGGATGGGGGAGGATTCTGACACCTTGTGCACCTATCTTTCGTTATATATTCGCCTCCACACCCAAAATCAATACCAACCGATCAATACCATCTGTAGCTGTTTGAGATCCATCTTTCCTTGCTAGATGTCGGTGAACCCGTATGTGGTCGATCCGCGCATGAAATACTTACATTGCGCGTATCAGTGTTCTTGCACTTGTAAGCCATGCTGATGGTCTTGCGAATGGTTAGTACTCTCCATTGTCGCCTCACACCAGACTTCCGCAAGGCTTATGAACAGACTCTGCCGGCTATCGATGCCCTTGAATACGTTCTGCCAGACGGTGCAAATGCCGAAGCACATATCGAAGCGTGCATGCAAGTACTTCGAAATGGCCTCACATCCATGGAGCAATGTACGACCAACATGATGAATATGTTGTACGAAGTGGACGTATACATGGCTCCATCCACTGTACAAAATGCGGCTGGGTTCAACCCGCAAGAGGCTCTGTCACATGTGTCAGATCTATTCCACGTACGTGTATACACTTGCACTTACAGCGTGCATAGAGCTATCAGTCCGAGTTGCTATCAAAGCGAGAGGCACTTGCTGACTATACTTGCGAGGACATAACTCTAAAAGAGTTCACATCTCAATGGCGTACCCTTGATTCAGTTCAGCAGGGGCGACAGCAAGGCATAGACGAGCTAGCAGATCTTTTGGCCAAGTTTGGGTAGAAATAGTCATGGGACTCCACACATGCATCCTACGTACATATGCAAACGAGTGGCTGGCGCTCATGACGCTAGCCTACCGACCACGCAGTGCCTTGTACCGAACCACTTGTTCAACATAGTCATCAAACAAAGGATTCGTATCTTCTGGGCCACCAGCATGCTCTGGATGGAACTGCACGCCCCAAACGGGCGCATGCTTGTCCAGTCCACCGGTCCGCACAATGCCTTCAATACTCCAGTCATTCGCATTCACGAACCAAGGCTGCCAGTCTTCAGGCCACGCATCCGGGCCAGTCTCATTGTATGCCAAAGCATAGCCATGGTTTTGTGACGTGATGTATACACGACCAGGGTCCACGCGCATGTTGCCGCTAGCCAGGGCCAGAACTGGCTGGTTATGACCCCGATTGCCAAACTTCATACGGTATGCACGCAGACCAAGCGCGAGCCCAATGATTTGGTGCCCCATGCAAATCCCGAAAATCGGGCGGTCCCACTCATCAATCGTACGTCGCACACCAGGAATTACTGACTGGATCGATTCCGGGCTGCCCGGACCATTGCTTAGAAAGAGGCCGTCAAATTGATCACGCATCGAATAGAAGTCCGCATTCCAAGGAAGCACCGTCACACTAAGACCGCAGCGCAAGAGCCAACGAACAATGTTCGCCTTCATGCCAAAGTCGAGCATAGCGACATGAGCACGCGCTGAAGCAGCTCCGTCCCGTGGATGGATCGTGTATGGTGCTTTGGTTGAAACTTGTGCAATCAGATTCTGCGCCATAGGATCGATAAACTCAGCCTGGTCAGGCACGCGAGTGTGATCGTCGCCAACGAGAATTGCGCCAAGCGTTGACCCTTGATTCCGGAGAACGGTAGTTAGCGCACGGGTATCCACGCCTTGGATCCCTGGCACATTGTGACGTGCACACCAGCTCGCAAGTGATTCATACGCTTGAAAATGTGAGAATCGCTCACAAAGTTCGCTCACAATCACCCCCGATGCCTGTACGCCCTTGGATTCAAGAAAGCAGCCAACGTCCACGTCGGCGGGATGCTCACGCGCCGAACCTGGCACGCTGTTGTCTGGCACCCCATAGTTTCCCATCAATGGTTGTGTGAATGCAAGGAGCTGTCCAGTGTAAGAGGGATCCGTCAGCGACTCAGGGTACGACGTAATCGATGTGGTAAAGACAGTCTCTCCAAACACGCTCCTTTGCGCTCCAAACGAGCGGCCATGAAACGACTCACCCGTCTTGAGCTTGAGTGTGGCTGGCTGCGAGGCTGGCGCTGCAGACCATGTAGTGACCCCACGCACGAAACGCAAGCAAAGCCGTTGTGGTGAAATGCGATACATGTACTGTCAGATTAACAATCGTTTTCTCAAAAAATGGAATTTAAAAGGCAATACACTTGAACACGGACACCACGATATAGTCGTCCCGCGTTTCGCAGTTGTACATGAAGATCGAAAGCAAAAACTTTTATCAGCAGGCTTCGGATGTTCATATGGGGGCACTTTGAGGTTATTCCCGCTTAGTCAGCAAGAATCACCCGCCCATATGCGCACGAAATTTTCTGCGTCGCTCGGTTTGTGGCCGTTGGGCAGGCGCTCATTTGGCGCCAGCTGGTGCAGGGAACCCCACCCCCCTGCCCGAGGGCCAAAGTGGGAAATAGCGATAGGAGATAAGGTAATTAGATCGTCCGAAGGCCGTAGCCGCGATCGTTGTCCGGAAGACGCGCCCGGCCCATGCCAGATGCAAATGCCTTGTCGATCCTGGAGGCATGGAAGAATGTGAAACTAGAAGGATTCTTAAACGACTTGCAAGCACAAACAGGCACCATTGCAGATGCACAAAAGGAAGCTCTGCTTGCGCGCAAGAATTTAGCTGACCGAACGCGCGAGTTCAAGCGACAGGCTCCTGAAACACAACTGGAAGGTATCCGTGGTCTTCTAAAGTCATATCAATCACAAATTGATGCTCTCACAACTCGTGCTAAGCAAGCTGAGACAATTGTTCTTGACGCGCATGCTCGTCTTGGTCAAGTTCGCGATCCATCGCCTCTGTTGGATATTCTGCGCGAACAAATCTCTGAGGCACAAGATGGGGCTGAGCTCCGAAAAAAGTATGCACATCTCTGGACCGAGCGTAATGAACTTGAGCAGCGGTATACAGAGTCCGAAGCACGCGCAGTTACTCTAAGCGAGCAGGCAGTGCAGGCGTCCACACATGCTGAACAGATGATTGCTGATGCTGTAGCGGCAGCAACGCGTCGTGCCGCCGAGAAACAAGAGAGTCTCGAGCGCGAGCTTGTTGCTACCCAAAACCATTTAACCGAATTGCGTGCGAGTCACGAACAGCTTACGCAGCAGCTCCTTGCCCCACGCGCTTCTAACCAGGACTCGCAGCACATGGAAAGCGTCTTGATCGATTTGCAGCGTGCAAATGAGCGAGCTATTCAGGCTGAGCAACGTATGGCTTTTTTGCGTGACGAGACAGAAAAGGCCCAGGCGAGTGCTACTGACTCATTTTCTCGGCGTGTTGCGGCGCTTGAACAGCGTATGCAGCAACAAGTTCAAGCGCACAGTCAGCAGGTGAAAGCCTTGGAACTTGCTCGCCAAGCGGCGCAAGAGGAGGCGGCAAAGCAAAACGATGCGCAACTGCAGCGCCTCAACGCAACACTCGATGAATGTGCTCAAATCCGAAAAGCTTTGGAGCAGCGATCAGATTATGATGAGATTAAACGCGAATTGGATGTGCTACGAGCCGTGGAATTTGCAGGTGATGAAGCTATGTCGGATGCTGTCGAAGACAATGCATCCTCGCTAGAAGCCCACTTGGTAAGGCGAAATCACAAACTGCAGGATGAAGTTGCGACACTTCGGGCTACATTAGCCGATACAAAGCGCTCAGCGGACTCGTTGCGAGAAGACTTGTCTGGACAATTGCAGCGTGTTTCTGAGCTATCAGCGGCAAATGCAAAACTCGAGAAGGATTTATTAGACTTCTCGCCTAATGGGCCAGTGCAATCTGACATGAAAGACTTGCTTCCTATTGTCACAGGCCAGCGTGACCGGTTCCGTTCGAGAAATGCGCAACTGGAAGAGAGTATGCGACAACAGAACCAGGTCATTAGCGAATTGCGCACAGAAGTCAAACGGTTGCAGACGGACAATGTGAGTATGTACGAAAAAGTACGGTACTTGCAAGGCTACAGCCAGCATCAGCGCACAGATTCTGCGTACCCTCCTTACAAACCCGTGGAGGCTGAAGAGGCTTATCGTGTAACGTACGAAGCATCTATTCATCCATTTGAGGCTTTTCGAGGTCGGGTACGTGAGCCTGTATTTTTTATTTTCGCCCTCTTTTTTTCTAACTATTAGGAACAATCGCGTGCCATTGAATCACTTGGTCCCGTGGACCGACTTGTACATATGTTAGCCAGTGGCATTCTAGCCAATGCCTACCTACGTTGGATGTATGTGGGGTATATGATCTTACTTCACCTGATGGTCTTTTTCATGCTCCTCGATGCCGGTCACAGGTATGTAATAACTTTAATTACTCTCACATCTTCAGAGTCGCACAAGTATAAGGATTATGTACGACAGCCGCAGTTCTGCTCGTCCCATTCCTCGACGTGTCCCAGCCTCTATTTTTTTCGTGGACTTCATAGCACCGCACAAGAAATAAGTTGGTCCAAATCCCAGTGTCCTTGTGGTAATTACATAATATTAGGAGGTAGGCCGCGTCAGCGGTCGAAGGAAAGTTGGGAAGTGCGAAGGCGCAGCATCGAGGAGTGAGGACGACGACGACGACGACAATGAAGCTTTTGGTCAAGTCGCTCGCAGGTGGTAACTTCCACATCGATGTTGAACCGTCTGATTCTGTGGGTTCTGTGAAGCAAAAAATTCAAGCATCGCAGGGACACCCCGCCGAAAACCAGAAGCTCATCTATTCCGGCAAGATTTTGGCCGATGAGAAGAATATGGGTGAATACGAAATCAAAGAAAAGGACTTTCTTGTCGTGATGGTGTCGAAGCCTAAAGCGAAAAAGGTCGAGAGTGATAAGCCAGTGAGTGCTGATTCTTCGGCGCAAGCGGCCCCTGCACCTGCTAGCGCTGCGGCGACTGGCGAATCAGCCTTGTCGGCAACGCCTGCAAAGCCCAAGGCGGAGTCTCCCGCCACACCTGCAGCGTCTACCCCGGCTGAAGCAGCTGGTGCATCTTCTTCCAACCTGCCGTCAACACCTGCGCCTTCGAATGGTCCAACAAATGCGTCTGGTTCGACGGGCTCTTTGCAGACAGGATCGTTCCTTTCTGGTGCTGAGCTCGAAACAGCCGTGAGCAGCATCATCGAGATGGGTTTCTCAAAAGAGGATGTTCAACGTGCAATGCGTATGAGCTTTAATAATCCAGACCGCGCGGTTGAATACCTTATGAATGGATTGCCAGATGAAACGGCGGCTGCACCATCGAGGACGACAGGTGTTCCCGCCACACCAGCGACACCGTCGCCAGCGCCAGTCACAAGTATGCAGGAAACTCCGACTGGTGCAGGTGCTGGACGTGCGCCAAATGCGGGGCAGTCCGGCAACCTATTCGAACAGGCAGCTGCGATGCAGAGTGGGACGAATCGCGCGAGCGAAGGATTGCTTGGCGAGGAAGATGCACAGGGCCGGCAAATTCTGGATCTTGGAAATCCCCAGGTCTTGTCTCAGCTGCGAACCTTGTTGGAGCAGAACCCTGCAGCATTGCAACCGCTTGTGCAAGCACTTGTGCAAAGTAACCCACAGCTTGCTGAGGCAATGAGCGCAGACCCCGAAGGTGTGCTGCGCATGCTGGCTGGTGAAGGGCTCGAAGGAGAAGACTCGTTTGAAGTTCCTTCGCTTCAACAGCTTGCGGATGAAGACCGCACACAAGTCGAACAAATTGTGGCGATGGGAATCCCCGAACGTAAGGCAATTGAAAGCTATTTCATGTGCGGCCGCAATTTGGAGATGGCTGTTCAATACTACTTTGAGGTACGTTTGACGATGTCTTGATTATGTATGAAATACTTACAAACAGAATCCGCAAGATTTTGAAGACTAGATCAAAGTACATAGATATCGACACTAAGATGATGACGATGATAAAACATAGGAGGAAATCGGTCGGGAGCCGCGATATTGCTACAACTTAGTGCATGCATCCTGTGACGTATCATCCGCTGGCGATGGGATCGACTGCCAGTCATGATTGCTGTTAGCAAACGATGTAATACAAGCACGCAAGAACGAGCGCCAAGGTGCACTGCAGGAAGTGAGGGGCGGTGTGAGTGAGTGCATATGCAAATGGAGTGGCATGATTGGCAACACGTACGAGGTTGGAAGATAGTGTTCCCCTGGATGTCGAACGACGCGAATATTGGCACACCGCTCAGCCAGAGTCTGAGAGCGCTCGGATGTGACGATACTGTCATTCGCACCCACAATGAGCATAACGGGTGTTTGAATCTGGTCGCGGAACAAAGAGTCGTATTTGGGATCAGCCGGTCGGAAGCCAGATACAGAGATGACAAAGCGGAAGGGCTTGTTCTGAATGGGTTCCGACGTTTCAGGCGTGCGCTCTGGATGCTCCAGTGATGCTGCCAAGATGGCTGCAAGGGAAGCACCTTGTGAAAATCCTAGAACACCATCAAATGGCCCTTGCTCACGACACAGCGTCTTCAAATACGTCACAGACGCATCCCAACCTTCATACACATTGTTGCGTGCCATGAACCAGGCTCTTGCCTGCTTGTCTTCCGGGTCATTTGGATTCGGTGGCGCTGGATCTGGATTGGTCTCACTTGGGAGAGCCTGAATATGATGAGGTCCATTTGCAAACACAAACTCAGCTATATCTAGTTGTTAGAGAGAGACACTGACTTATCACGCGCACGAACCTTTACATCCTTTTTGAAGAGCAGAGAGCCGGCGGCGAAAAGAAATGTGGTTCATGGCGTAGCCATGCAGGAGTAATATGCGCATCTTTGGTGCTGCAGTAGGCGCCATTGCCATCGTGAGAGCAAAGAAACTAGAGTGATGTACTTCTGTACGAATGTGTTCTTTCGATGATTGCGTCCGAAATCTGGTATCGGTGTGTGGAGGTATATGATCCTTCGTATCGCAAGAACGAGGAATTCAATACCTCTGAGACATGCAGCAGAAAACCAGTCCAGGATTTACCGCGCGATTAGACACAGAATCCCCTAAAGGGACGGGGAAAGGAAATCATTTTCATTTTACGGACAAAATGTGTCGAGAAAGACACGAAGCGTGTGTATTATCGATACTATTGAGAAACGACCAGTGTCTGACCCGTGTTCCGCTGAGCCGCAAGCCATTGAGCTGCTTCGCGCTCGGCTATTGTTGGTGCTAGGCCATGAGCTGGCGCGGCTTTGGTCGCTGCTGCGGTCTGCAACGGCACTTTTTCTCTAGGAGAACCCGAGCCAGCAGCAACGTTGGGCGACAAGGGAGCTCGACGCGAGGCCTTCGATGTGTAGCGATCTAATACATCCGAGACACTCTGTTGCGCCTCATGCGTGTGAATACTCCGGCTATGATGACGCCGGTGCATAGGCGTGCTGGGAATTGGCGATGATTTTTCATTCATGAGTGATGCAGGAATGGTCCCTGCATTGGAGGAGTGATTCATCAGAGCCATCCGAAGCTTACGCACATCCATCGAGTTTTCACGCGTCAGGGGGGAAGCCGAACGAAAAGCCTTTGTAAAAGTAGATGAGCGAGTGATTGTAGGCTGAGCGGCAGTACGAGCATCAGCTGCGGTTGCGGGCACAGACCACGGTCGCGAGAACCATGCACGTAGCGAAGGCGCATCGGCGTGCGTAGATGTTTGCAGTTCAACCTGCAAAGACAGGTGTTCAATAATGAGCGGAAGGTCCCACTCGTTCTCAGAAGCGGCTGCAAAGGCTGCGTGCTTGAACGGAGGCATATCGTTCAAAGGATGGTACTTGTCAGGGAGGGTAGGAGCTTCGGGCACGGCGCGGCCAATGGATGGCAGCTGATACACACGAACATAGTCAAGGATCGGCTGGATTTGCCACACGAGGCTTATTTGGGCCAGTGTCGCGCCGACAAGCCAACGAATCGCTAGTGTCTGGTTCACAACAACAGGTTCCAAGGCACCCGGAGAGTTCGACACCTGCGCCATCGAGAGCCAGGGTGGGACGAAGGCGAGCAACGATGCTGCTGGCGCTACGATTAAGAGCGTGTCGAGCATATCATGCATCATGGCATAGTCGGCAGGCGTCGCGGAGAAAGAGGGAGTAACATCACTCGTGGGTGTAGCGGCATCATCCACAAGACCCAGCGTCGCGAGAGTGTACATTCGCGCAGCGAGAGCATGAAGGAAACCAATGCATTCGTTTACTGGCTCATAGGTAGTATGACCCTGCTCCAACAGCGCTTGTTCAATGCGCAAATGAACAAGGAGTGTGTGCAAGTACGCCACGCGCACCGTCGAGTTTCGCGAGGCAAGAATCGCCTCCGTCGAAGCCCACGTGCGCAGCGGCACATGTGCATTCGGATGTGAGCGGAAAAGAGCTTCTAAACACGACAACAAAGCACAGATGCTGAATTTCTTCGACTCGTCCGCTAATTGTGTGTCGTACAGCACATTCAAAATGTGGGGCGCGATTTGCTGAACGAAGTCGTCCAGCTGGTCCGAGTATACAGTGTAATTGGCCAGGTGACAGATAGCATCGATTGTCGCCTGCACGGTTGTGGCGTCGTAAGGATCATTCTGCACACGCGACAGGAGGAAGAACACATGGCCATCCAGCAGCTCCGTCATATTTAGTCCAACAATGTCAGTCTTACTTTCGAGAATCACATGCAGTGCCTGCAGCAACCGCGTCTCGCGGATATTCGACATTTTCTTCGGCGTTGTAAGAGCATTTACGAGACAATGTGGCACAACGTAGCGCGAGGACGGAAGCGACCACTGGATCAGTACGGCAAGAATCCACAAAGGCCATTCATTGTCTTCCCACGTTGATGGGCGGTGGCACTCCCCATCCAGGTATGCGAGTGTCTGCGTGAGAAGCGCGCGAAGTTGAGTGGCGTCGCAGCGGTGCAAGATGCTCCAGAGCATTTTGAGTGCCGCACGCGTCGACTGCTCCGCCGACGAATGGCTCATTGAATTCAAGCTCTGGGCCGGGTCATTGTCAATTTCTTGCGAAAGTGTCGCTGTTTGCGATAGAGGAATGTGAGCAGGTGACAGGGTGTCGAGGACGATCGGCAGGATCAGCGGCAGGAACCGCGGGAACAACGGCGTCATCAGCACAGGCGAACGAATCAAACCATTGATGCCTGCAATCCAAATCATGCGCGACTGGTCGCTTGCATGGCCCTTCCCAAGACGCTGGAGATCCGAAAGCCCCTGGAACACGGCACTCGAAACGGCATCGTCTGTATCGACTTCGCCAGCTGGGATGCTTTGCACATACATGGCAAAGATCGAAGATGCACGCGCACATATATCCATGTCCCATGACGTCATCGCCGAGCCTGTGGGCGCCGCCACATTCACTGCATCAGTCAACATACTACGGACCGCCGGCGCCAAGTACGCATGGCCTTCTTGACAAGAGCTAACCAAGTCCCTAAGCACACCGAGCGTGATCATGACGAGAGCCTTGTTTTTCTCCGTATTCGCTGTCATGAATGCACGACTTTCCGAACTGGCACGCGTCATGAGCAAGCGGCCGACCTTTGATAACTTGGCTGGTTTGCACTGAGCATAGTAAACAAGACGACCCAGCTCATTTGCATTGGGTCTATATTCGGGAGCCGCGTTCACTAAAGCCTTTGATGTTGGGTAGCAATCATCCACAAGTCTTTTATGGTTGGCCTTGGGAATACACAACATGTCCCGGCGAATGGCGGCCCAACGTGCAAACGAAACGGCTCTCCCCACACACTGGGAGCGTGAAGACACAGCGCACATGCTCCATGCCAACCGTAGTCACGTGCAACGATGTGGTGCACGTGCCCATGCGATGTCGCCTCCCACAAGCCCTTTATGCCATGTGGGCTGGCTGACCGAACTGGAGGCAACATGGTGCTGTCGGACTTAGACAGGAGCGATTGACAATAGAAAATACAGGTGCACACGAATGTCAGCATGTATGTACATAGAAATCGCGCTATATAGATCAATACCTGGATGCCATCAAGTAGAAAATATGGTATCAGGAAGCGACACAAACCAGCGGTGGACACCAGAAAGGATCGCCGACAATAAAAACATAATATCAAAGATGCGCCCAAAAGTGCGCTGGAAGTCAGGGAGCGACGCGAGCAGGCGGCTCGGATGTCCCGTCGCTCCAAGATTCATTCCCGCATGTAGCTGGATCAGGGCTGCGAGTACGTAGATACACAGCACTTGCGCCGTAAACAAGACGAGTAATTGCGTGCTTATGCCCGTCGACACCGACTGAATCATTGACGAGAGAGAGCCAAGGATCACGCGCATCCGCATTACGATCAGACCACCAAGCAACAAAACACTAATGGTTGGCGACCACGCGTCTACATCCACGTGCAAACCGAGCATGCGCATTAGTTGTGCCACGCTCGTCGACATCAAGTCCCGCGTAGAGATGGATTCATAGCCAAAGATGACCAGGTTCAGTACGCATTGGATAAAACGCATCACACAGTACAGAGAAAACATATAGTTACACAGGAGCCATGCACAGCCTGGCCAGGTATGTGCATACCGGAGGCGCCGTTCCCGCTCTTCCTGGTTCTCGAGTTCCTTTCGTAACGCATTTGCCATAGAAACAAGGCCCGAGATCTCTGCGTGCATTGATGCAAGTTGTTTATCCTTTCTTGAAAAATTGAAGAAGCGCGACCAATCAAACGATCGTGTGTGCCCAATATCCAGCTCATTCTCAAGATCTGTCACAGCAGAGCGTCGCGCTTGCAGGTCTGCATACGTGTGCTCAAACGCAGCACGAATCGATGCCGAATCACGTTCAAGATCATAACTTGTGAGAGCGGTGGTCCCCCGCCGCGTTACGAACATTTCATACGAGTCGTAGATCGCGCCTGCAGCGACACTCCCTGACAAGACGGCAATCAAAGAAACGCCTATCACAGCCGTGCGCGAAAGTACGGCACGAAAAAACCCTACCGTTGCAGTTGACTCTGCCGCAGGCAAAGGTACGCGTAAGAAGCAGAAGCACCATGCAACAAACAATGACACGCTTGCCATCGCGCGTACAGTGGATCGTTGTTTCTGGACACTACCAAAACACAAAAGGTAGCATGCGCATATTGGTAGCCCTAACACAATCAGCAACATCATCATAACAAGCGAAATGTGCCAGTGAAGCAATAGCCATGACTCGTCCACATGCATGCGTTCTAGTAAAGCAAGTGCAAATATACAAACGCTCTCTTCTGCCGAGACACAAAACAGCAAAGACGACCATGACAATGCTTTGGGTAGAAAGCTTTCAATCACTCGTTTTATGTGGGAGAGCTTCGACATAGCTCGAATCCGTGCGTGAGCCACTCTGGGTAAGGACATCGCGTCAAATGTACCCGCATTTTCAGGCTCCAAGGATACATGTCGTGCCTCACCTATCAGCCATGGCAACGCCGCGTATGCACCTAGGAACAGCAAAGCACGTATGCAAAGAATGGTAACCAACGTTCCACCACCAGTCATCGTCTGCGCGTCCTATGCCGATCGAGCGTGCAATATTTGCACGAAGTTGTTTCAACTGCTGCGCAGTTGTACGGAAACCCATAAGCTCATGCCACGGATTAGGGGCCCCCTACCGATCACCTCACGCGCTCATTCCCCACCAGCTTGTCATATCCTGCAAGCGGTTCAGCCGCCTGCCGAACCTTTCACGTGACATGCTGTGCGTCATTGGTGCCCTTCAATGATAACGCGTCGAGGGCACATAAACGCGCTGGGGAAAGGAGGCGTACGTTACCCAGCCAGCGAGCGCCGGAAAAGAACCATTAAACAGGCCCGTGCAGTTACATGCTGGCATGGATGAATCGACACCAACAGCGCCGCGCATACTGGCTGATGACTCGACTATGGATGTGAGTTTAGGCGACACGACATCGAACTTGTCGACTCTTCAGAAAGGCGACGACTCAATTTTGGGGCATGTGCTTCTGGGAGGAGAGAGCGTGCCTGAATCGCTGCGTTCGTTGACGGCATCGATTCCACGTGGGTCCGAAGAGGAAGAGACAACAGAACAAGTTAATTTACAACTTCAACAGCTCCGCCAACTCAATCAAGTCTTTGAGACCTACGAAGATACACTCACAAGCAGTATGGACGAAATCCAGGTACGTACAGTTGAGGGATGCCCTCTTGCATGATTAATTTTTTTTTTTTTCAAATTAATGACACAAAACTTAGATCTTCTCCCAAAAAATCAAAGAGACAGATGCTTTGCTTGACGTTTATTTACATTTGTTGACTCAAGCTCAGCGTCGCCGTGCACTCCTGGGAGACCCGTCCTGGTCCGGCGCGTCGCAGGAAGCATTGCGTGAGCAAATAGCGAAGCAAGAAGCCAAGACCCGAGCAGCTTTAGCTTCGGAGATGGCCGCGCAGTCTGCCTCATCTAGCACGGTCCCAAACTCATACCGCGGTGCATCGCGTTCTGGGCGTGGACATCCTCCAGCGCGGCCTGCCCACCGAGGCAATGGCATTCGTGGTGGCCGTGGTAGTGGCGGCAGTAACAGTGTTTCGCGAGCTTCCACATCGCGTCCTCCATCAGATCGTGCTACTCATTCCACCGCTACACGTGGACACCACCCTTTGTCCTCTTCGTTCTCCCATTCAAGCACAAGTACGTTCGAACGTTTTTTCTATGCAGCATTGCTTACTTGACTCAGACACACGCGCAACCACACCTTCATCGACATCAGCCAATGCACGTACCAGGGCTGGCTCGTCAATACCTGTGAGGGGGCAAGCTTCACGATAATGGCAAGCTCCTTGTGCTTTCTCACGTTCTCTGTAGTCTACGTCCGTACCTTTTCCACACTCCCCCGCACATCTTTGATTCCATGTTTTCCTTCCCTTTCAAAATTTCCCCACACCATCAAACGTTCCGTCCAAGCCGCGGTCTCTCCACTGACGTGCCTCTACCCTTCGCCCTAAGGATCAAGGAAACAGCGAGTGGTTGCGCGCGACAAAATTTGATCACGTGAGAATTGAACTCCGAACCTACCCAGCGCACGGAACTCTCAGACAGTTCATTACCCGCATCATGTCAGTGGGAAGCAACGAAGCAGCGGTGCCACCACATGGTGCAACAAACAGCCCACAAACAGGGGCATCGCCTTTATCTACATTGCATTTACTTGATGCATTTCGGCGCAGTGATGAGCGAGCCGTGCAGTCCATTGTGAGTCAGATGGACACGAGCAGGCCGCTCCCGCAGTCAGACTCACCCCTTCATTTGGCCGTGTTATGTGCACAGCCAGCTTTGGTCGAGTTTGCTCTGTTCCAGTTACAACTGAGTCCCAGCATGCCTGCTTCTGATACGGGTAATACGCCTCTTCACCTGGCTATCGCGGCGAATCGTTTGGAAGTTGCAGCTCTGCTCGTGTCGCAACCCACAGTGGATTGTGCCTTTCTCAACAAGGAAGGCAGGTCGCCTGTCCAGCTTGTCAAGTCCATGGAAATGGCTAACATGCTGCAGCATCAGCGCAATGAACTGCGCATGCATATCTTGCGTCTTCTCGACGCATATGACGCCAAGGCGGCGAGGGGCGAGACAGGCAGTCAGGAAGAGCAGACTTTGATCAACACAGTGTCGATGCCACGAACTACCGCAATTGAGCTGGAGTCGGTGGAGCCGCGTACAAGTTTGACTCCTTTGCAGATGGCCGTCAAGTACAAGTCGACGGAGCTCATTAAAGCGTGTGTAGCCAAGGGCTGTGACCCATACGTCAAGGGTGCGAACGGCTGCAGCGCTAATGACATGACGAATGACAAGATGATACAGGCCCTGCTTCGACAGCTTGTGCATGCAGAAGCCTCCACGGCCGACAATGTGCATCACACAACATCCTACCGCGGATTCCTTGGAAAGTGGACGAACTACATGCACGGCTTCAAAACGCGTTGGTTTGTTCTCAGTGATGGAGTCCTTTCTTATTACCGCACACCAGATGATGAGGGTAGGCAAATGCGTGGTGCCCTCAATTTGCGCAATCTCAAAATTGTACCGGATCGCCGCGAACGGAACCGCTTTGAAATCGTCAGCGACACATCCAAGGGCTCAACACGCTGGTTTCTTCGCAGTGATGACCCGTCAGAATGTGTGCGTTGGATCCAGATCCTGGAAAAGGCTCAGCGCAATTTGACCCAAGATGCCTCGGCGTCCACGAATGCTGGCACCGATACCGATGCCGCCTCGTCAGACACGACTGGTGCAACGCTGATGCCAGCCGCTGTCGGCAGCAATGTTCCAGGTCAAGGACGTCGTTCAAGTGCAGTTAACGCTGAGATCGTCGAGCCATCATCCGTGGCAATGCAAGACATCACACCAGACAGTCTCGAAGATGCAGAAAGTGACGCTGGTAGCGTGGATGGGGCTGTTGCAGGCACCAACTACATGCCTCACAGTAAAGACTTTACTATGGTGAACAACCTTATGTCTCTGCATTTTGATGTGGCTTTGCGCTTGATTGATCAGATCGAAGGCGAGTCTGGCTCTGGTGCGCAGCCGGCATCTGCAGTTTCGACTGTTGCTCCCACCATCTCCGGAGCTGCTTTAAGTGGGACGGACCAGCAGGTTGTCATCCCTCCCGTCGAGCGAGGTGCACCCGCGCAACCCATCGTCGGCGCCGGGCTCGCGGGAGCCCCAACAGTGCAGTCAGGCGTTCCCGCTACACCCTCGTCTCCCAAATTGACTGCGATATCGACACTCCGTCAGTCGCTGCAAGAACGCTCCCAACTTTGGAAACAGTACAGCAGGATGGTCCAAGAGCGTGAGGCATATCTCCAGGAAGAGATTGAGCGGCTCGATCGGACGCGTCACTTGTGGGAAGAGCAAGTCACTGTCTTGGCAGCACAGCACAATGAGCTGGAATCAAACTTGCACGAAGCCGTGTCTGAAAACACGCAAATGCTCAAGGGCCTTCGCCAAGTATCACAAAAAGGTGCTCTTAGCGAAGAACCCGGCTCAATCGGCGACAATGAACCGACATCCTCGTCGGGTATTAGCGGTGCACTAGGCTCCGTCGTCAGCACCGTGGGAGCAACGGCCGGTGCTTCTGCTGGTGCCGCAACTCATTGGATTTCACAGTTGCTCCCTCAGAAGAAGCAAGAGCAGCCGTCGTCGTCAAGCATTGACGACTACGACGATGAGTTCTTCGACACGATTGATTCGGATCAAATCCCGAACTTGCGTGTGGAACCAGCTCTAGAATCTGCTGCTAAGGAGAATGAAGCCAGGGCTAGTGGTGCGGAACGCCTCCAGGAAGGCCGCAAAGACGGTGCCAGTGCCGCCACTGGCGCTGGCGCTGCTGCTGGTGCCGCTGGTGCATCCGACAGCAAAACGGACAGCGAGGAGGAAACAAATAAACCTAAAGATGACGGAAAGGCCAGCGAAGACCAAGGCGGCCAAGTTGCGCATAGATCAGGGTCAGAAGCCATGTTTGGACGTGAATTTGAGCCGTACAACCACCTTCGTGACAGGCTTCCGGTGCGTAACGATGAACGTCCGTCCATGTCGCTATGGTCGATTTTGAAAAACAATATCGGCAAGGATCTAACTAAGATTTCATTCCCCGTGGCCTTCAATGAGCCAACGTCTATGCTTCAGCGCATGTCGGAAGATTTGGAATTCTCTGAATGTTTGGATGCAGCAGCTTTACAGTCCGAGTCGACCCGAAGGATCTTGTATGTCGCTGCATTTGCCATGTCCAACTACAGCTCGACGATAAACCGCATCGCTAAACCGTTTAACCCGCTGTTGGGTGAGACGTTCGAGTATGTTCGTCCCGACCGTCAGTACCGCTACATTAGCGAACAAGTCAGCCATCATCCTCCCATCTCAGCCTGCTTCTGCGAGTCACCATCTTGGGAGTACATGGGCTGCGTAGATGCCAAGTCCAAGTTCCTGGGCCGTTCCTTTGAGATTCGACCTACGGGTGTGGCGCACGCCAAGATCAAGGTCAAGTCTGACGTGGTCCCTAGCTCGATGCGGGGTAAACTGCAGCAGTCGCCCGATGATGAGTCTCTTTTGATGGAGCACTACACTTGGAACAAAGTGATCACCAGTGTGAGTGGATTCATCACAGGCTCGCCGACAATTGATCACTATGGCGACATGGTTGTTGTGAATCACGTCACAGGCGATAAGTGCAAGTTGACGTTCAAACCACGGGGCTGGCGTAGCAATAACTCGTATGAGATCAATGGCGAAGTAATCGATGGACAAGGCAAGAAGGTTTGGATCATTGCTGGTCGATGGAACTCGCAGCTGATTGCTACTCGCTGCCACAGTGAAGACTGTGGTGTCCTGAGTCCTGACAAGAAGCACGACAGCTCGAACCCCGTCGACAGCAGCAAGGCTGATCACGAATACCTACTTTTGTGGCGCAACAGCAAGAAGGTTCCGACTCCATTTAATCTGACACCATTCGCCATTACTCTCAACTCGCGCCCTGACGGCTTACTTAAGTGGCTTCCCCCCACTGACTGCCGCTTGCGACCTGACTTGACGGCCTTCGAGAATGGCAAATTTGACCAGGCTGATCAGCTCAAGGTTCAGCTCGAGAATCTACAGCGAGAAAAGCGCCGCCAGCGCGAGGAGGGTCGGCTTCCTCCGCACAAGCCGCGTTGGTTCAAGAGAACTGTGGACCCAGATTCGAACGAGTCGTTCTGGCAGCCACTCATGTCCAGTGACAGCCATGGCCGCGAGACTATGAGCTACTGGATCGAACGTTCGGAGGTCGGTACCAAGCGTGAACACAATCAGCCAGCTGAATGGAATACAGACCACATCTTTGGCGATTTGGAAGCCAAAGGTGTTTGAACCAAGCAACAGCAAGTTGCTGGGAAACGTGTGCTTCATTTTCTTTCAATGTCTCATTTTTTTTCATCGCACATTCATAGTTATGCTCCTTAAATCTTCAATTCTATCATTTTATTTGTACTGCAAATATCTAGATAGTGCATTGGTGGTAGTGAGACGTATGATATCTAGCCGGTTGAGCGTGGCGGACGGGCTGGACATGATGCATGAATTCATCTCCCGATGCAGGACTGCTCATGACCCGATCACCCGCGGCCGGGATCGCCTCTCACATGATTGACTAATCAACGGAGTCTCAATGCTTGAAAAGTGTACTCACCGTCACTACCGTCAAACTCATCAAGATGTCCGTTTTTCGAGCTACGCGCACGTTGCTGAACAAGGTGCCCGAGTCACCGGACGCATACCATGTACCGAGAGGCCGTACGCCATTTTGGCACAAAGTGCACCAAATGCTCTCGACGAACCCGTATGTACTTCGGTGCACCAGCGAATCGATTGACGCAACAGGGAAATTTCAACGGGTTCGCCCCTGCCCTTGGTGGTATGTGGCTCGCTTATATTTTTAGGCAGCATGCTAATGAATACAGAACAGGTTTCCGCAACCAGCGTCTCGGCCTGAAAAGCCTGCGGTAATGCCATCGAAGGGTAAGTTCTTTTTTTTTTTTTGTTTTGGGGAACATACTTCTTTGCTCACGCTTGCGATACTGTTTTCACGCTATTGTGCATTACTGAATAAATAGCTTCCGGTATGTTGAATACCCGCTTGTCACTGACGATTGCAAGACATTGCCGACAATCTGTACTACAATCGCGATTTCCGTCGCAAGTACCCCCAGACCGACGTGGTGACGCAGCAGCACTTGACGGAGCTGCTCCTTGCTGCGCCTAATGAGGACGGCACAAAGAGTCTGCCGACGCCTGAGTCGCAACAGACGACTGCGCTGACACGTCCTGACGACCTCGCCTCACCCACGGCCTTCACTCAAGTGCTGGAGCAGGTGCATATGGAATCTCAACACAAGTATTCGCCTTCTAATATGCCACCCAAGTTCCCTTCCACGCCGCCGCAACACATCCTCAAGCTCCAAAAGGGTGCTCTGCCGCACGACAAGTATGACTACTTCCCTGCGTATGTGTGATTGTGATGCGATAACTGACGCTTTCAAGCGAGAACTATGCGTAAATGACTATCTTTGGACCATGTCCAGTGCGCGTGTGGACGATGTAGGTAGCAAACTGGCTATGTAGCAAACTGGCTGGACTATCCAGGCTCGGCAGCGATGGAGTTTAGTGAGAGAAAACTGAGGCTAGGCAGATTGCGCTACAGGTACGAGGCAGACTCCACGTGGCATCGGATCACGGATGGGCCATCGATTGGGGATGAATGTATTGTGATCATCAACAATCATGTTCAAGTGCGTTTGGCTCTCTGCATAGAATTGACCAGTCCCCAGTATTTTGCAACGACTTAATTTAGTGTCAGCTTTCGCTTTGAGTACGGTGAGCGTGCTTTTGGCTGTAGTCGCTTTGACCGGACTACAAATTGGCGAACCAACAGGAACGATCCACGTGAAGAAGGCCGACGTGTACGTGATGTTCGTCACAGTAACTGACATCTAGGGTATATGGACGCGCGAGACGGCATGCTGATCGGCGCATGCAGCACTTTGTCGAGACAAGACTAAATTTGGACTTTGATACCCAACCCCTGTTCAATTGGAACACGAAGCAGGTTTTCTTGAGTTTGACAGCGTCTTATGACTCGCCGCGTTATGGCACGCAAGACGTCGTGGTATGGGACAAGATTGTGCGCAACGATGATGAGAAAAGGATCCGTATATCTTACTTGCGTAACAAATATGGATTGCGCGAATACTCCAAGTCGTTCGAAAACGTTACATCTCTCGACTTCCGAATTGAGTGGAACGTCATGCCTTTTGTGGGTCTTATGCAGCGCGGCGTGACACCCCGTTCTGATCCATACGCATTGCATCAAGACCCACAACTTCGCAAGCAATCGCCTGCTCTTCTACCATATTAGTTCATCCATTGATAGCAGGTATCACAGTTGTCTACACTACATGAAATAAGTCCTAGTACTATTCACTAAGTGCCGAAAAAAATGTGCGCTTACGCTTGGCACTGGAAGCGTTGTCTTCTGAAGCAGTTACATTAGCACCAGCCATCTTGGAGGCAGGAAGTGTCGGGCGCGATGCGGCATCATCATCAGAGTCGGAGCTCGAGTCCGACGTGCTCGTGTCGGATTCCGTGTCAGATCCAGACTCACTAGCAGGGTTAGAGTTCCAAGGTTGTTCGGGTGTTTGTGTGCCTGCCGTGATGTCTGCAGAGGATGCACCATTGGCCCCATCACTCGTTTTCGAAGATGACGCTCGAGCACTTCTGTTAGACGCTTGATCCATGAGGTTCGTAGCTTCTGGCCGAGACACCGTGCGACGTAGTGCCGAAGGACGCAGCTCAGACAGCTTCGCGAAAGGCCCCGAGGTACTTCGTTGTGTCTGAGCCGAAGCATCAGAAGAAAGAGGACGCTCGAGTGCATCAACAAAGACAGATGAGGACGTACGGCGGGGCGTGCTTTCCATGGGCTCAGATGGCTTTGGTGCAGGGCCATGAACCTGTGTCGGAGAAGCCGGTGTATGTGACTCGGGCTGTGAAAAGAAGGGTTGACTATCGTCCGCATTTGATATAGCAGATTCGTCTTGACCACCGCCTTCTTCCGCCTCGCGAGTTGCTTCCGTCATACGTGACGAGGAAGAAACATCATTTGTTGCAGCATGGGATGTACGATCTAAAACCCTTTACGTAAAACAAGGGTTCATGTCAGTCATAATTTACCCAGACGCGCAAACTACTCACGTAAAGAGGTATCCACTCCGGGCGATGCCTGCTGTTCCTTGCCAATTAATTCCATCAATAGCTTCTGTTCTTCGCGTTCTGTTGCATTTTTCCGTTGTTTCTTTGCCTTTAGCTCATTTAGGCGCTGCTGAATTGCAGCAGGGTCTTGGCTCTTCAGCGATTGTACGGATGCGGCAGCACTAGTGCCGTGTTCATCATGATGAGGCTCGTGAATCACAGTAGTCTCGTCACCTACCAGTGCCGTGGTGTCGACGGTTGTATCTGGCTCGTCAGGCCGATTCGACTTGGACATTGATTTTCCCTGCTCCTTCTCCTGCTTTTTCGCGGCCTGCTCCGCACGGAACGCCTCCATCTCTGCTTTTGTTCGGCGGTGTCGGCGCGGCTTATCTGGCGATGGTGCTTCCTGTGAAGAGGGAGGATTCGTTTGCGATGACGGTGGCACCGTCTGAGAAGAGCTCAAAGATTGCTGAGAAAGAGGCACATCTTCGTCATCATCGCGGCTTTCGTCGTTGTCTGCAGAACTAGCAGCAACATGCGTACCGCGTTGTTCATGCTCATTACTGTGAGATGTTGGGGGGATAGCCGGCTGTGCTGCTGAGCCAGGCTCTGCTACAGGTGTTGATGACTGCGCTGGCGCTTCTATTGTTTCAGAGGTAGATCCTGGCGCTGGTTCAGACTCAATGGGCTTGGATTTACGCTTTCGATTAGCCGATTTGGGCGTCTCCTGCACCTCGTTTGCTTGATGTAGACCAGCAGACACTTCCGCCATAGACGAATCACCCGCATCTTCATGCGCAGATGGTAGTGTAGCAGATGCTTGTGATGGTGGCGGTGGTAACATGGAGTCGTGTGCCGATGATGCATCATTTTCGGGCACTTGGGCGTTGGACGACGATGTCTTGGAACGGCCGCGACGACCTCGTGACTTGGATGGTGTGGCGCCTGGTGTCTCTGTGGCAGCAGATGGCGCAGATGACATCGAAGGTGCGGACAAAGAGCCCATTTTTGACTGATCAAAGTCAGCCTTTATAGTGACAATTGGCTCTCGCGAGGCATAAACCCGGAAAGCACGGACATCTTCGCTGTCTTCTAAATCAATGCTCATTCCATCGGTTGCCTGGTACGATAAATCAACAGGTGTACTTGATTCCAAGCGGTACTTTTGACGGACAATCTGTCGTGCATACTCTAAGTTGAAGGTAGCTGTATGCGTGTGTGAGTCGCGAACAATAATAGATACGCCAGGTACAAACCATCAAGAACACGTTGGAATCCTTTTCCGAAAGATGTACGGAAAGCAATAATTGTCTGCCAGGACGGATCCAATGCCAATTGCGATGACTGATCAATACCACCAGAAATTGGTGTGTAGTGAGCTCTTCGTCGCTTTGGCGCAGGCGAGTCATGCCTACTGTTGCTGTCGTTTCTCTCGGCAGGCATTCCCGTCATAGACATAGCGGAGAAAGGCACAGATTTTCCCTTGGACTTTTTCTTTTTCTTGGAAGATGCGGGTGCGCCTTGGACCCGCTTCTCAGTGTTCGGCGTCGTCAAAGCACTTGGATCGGCTTGGACAATGGAGGTCATCGCGCGGCGGCGCTCAATATCCAAGTTGTGTGCCTACTGCAGAAAAAAATACACGCGCACACTCGCAACGCGTGCCGATCGGGCCATGAAAATCACGTGCACGCTATCCCCTTTCGTGTGAACGGTGGGCAGATAGCGCCTGATGAGTGAGTGCAATCGATGGCAGATTGGCGCAACCTCCTAGGGAGGACTAGAAACAACTCATATATACGTCTATATAATCAATTCCTGTCGAAAGGGACACACATCCGATAAAAGCTGGTTGGTGATAACATTTACGCACGCATCCTACCCTACATGCCTTGAGGTTAGATTCAATCACCAGAATATCCGAGTCCACTAGAAATCTACAGTGCGGCCGCCGAATGACCATTCTGATTTCCACTTAAGAGGATCCGTCTTTGGCCCGCCCACCTCGCCTGTTTGAGGGTTTGTGGAACCCTCAAACTCGACTGCTGGTGCGCTGCGTGCATCTGGATGTAGGTTTTGCACTTCGCCATCTTTTGTTTCTGAGGTGAATGGTAGTTGGTCTTGGGAGTCAGTTCCAATGCACATGGAAACGCACTTTGCTTTTCTCGAACAAGGCGCTCGAATTCATGCTGATCTTCCTTCGGAAGTGGCATAGGGCCGGCCCGTTGGAACGGAGCATCTGATGATTGGCGCCCACTTGTTGCAAATGTGCGGAGTGGCTTGGTCAAATGCAGCACACGGTGCATGCGTGGAGTGATCATGGTACAAGAATGATGGAAGGAGCACGTAGTTGTCCGTTGGTCAGTGTGTGCGCGTGCAAACAGTAATAAGACCCATGTGGACTTCGCGCTGCAGTAAGCCAAGCAGACCATTTATGCATACAATAAAAGCGGTGGAGAAGGCTCCACTAAAGGATGCAGTTGGGCATCAGGAAACATGGAACTAATACATAACAGATACACTACTAGCAAACCACCGTGAGCGTCATAACAACAAACAGGAAAGAAAAAGCACTGCGAGTGTAGAAGAGTGTGATGGTACATTGATGCACAACAGGAGATGGGGGGAAGCGGCTGACATGTCCACGCACTATTACCGTGCCCGTTGAGCTGCGGAAAATGGGCGCAACGATCGGGCTGAGGGGCTGTGCGGAATTCCTGAAGGGCGTGAACGCAGAGCTTCAACTCGAGACGTGTTATTCGAGTAAATGGGACGTGCTTCAGATGGCCGAAGCAATGATGAGCGTCGACGGCGGTGGTCCGCAAGGACTCGTGCTCGGGGACTCGACAAATTTTCTTGATCGGCATGAGCATCTTGGGTCCGGATGGGGCCCGATCGAGGCTTAGCAGGACCTGGGACCAGCCGCATACCTGCATTTGTGTCGTCAGCCAGACCGTCTGATCTTAGGTTTTCAAGAGGAATACGATTTACACGCTTTAGGAAGGGAGAGGGCCGCTCATCCTCTTCCATCAGGTGCCACTGAGGCTCCTGAGGGAGATTGTTCAAATTCATGGGCATTGTACGCGACGTCGGCAAGCTTGGTGCATCTGAACCTTCCAATACGGTCTCAGGGAGTGATGTTCGCTTCGCCTTGGCAGGTGTGGCTTCGGCTCGTCCACGGAATGGAAGTGCTTCGCGCCACATACACGACGCATCTTTCATCGAACAGTCTGAAAGATCAGCTTCAGCACGACGAGAGCGTCCAATAAGAGGTGGAGCTCTTGTTGTTGTTCCTGTTGCGGTTGCCGTTGCTGCGCGGTGTAGTGGCTCATCTTCATCGTCCACCCATTCATCGTCAGCCACATGACACTGACGGCCGGCTCTTGGTGGCGACTGCAGTGAAAGAGCTCCTTCGGCTATTCGCGAGCGCAAAAATTCTTCGCCTTTCGGGGTTGACATGACCGTTGACTTGCGAGGCCGGGGACGCGTGTAGGAGGATGCTGCGTCAGACATAGAAGCCTGTGAAAGTGCCGTCTTTGTCTCATCAAGTTGTTGCTGCAGCAACTTGATTTTCTCTTGCATAAGGGCTCTTTGATGCTCCCATTCCTCAAGAGCGGTTTGGTGGTGCGAAGCGCACGCCTCTTCTCGACGACAGAGCTCCAGCTCGCGTTGATTCAGTGCAAGTGCGCGGTCTTCCAGCGCCTTCGAGAGTGTTGACGAGCCCGCCGATGAGCGATGCCATGCACCCTCGTCTTGCAGAAGTTTTTGCTCTCGCTCACTGAGACTTGCCTCACGCTCATCAAGGGCCAGCTTTTGGACTTGCAAGCGCTCTTTCTCAAGCAAAACCTTTTTATGAAGCACGGCAATGTCATGTGTTCGGCAAGCCATCTTGATCTGGCGGATCTGGAGTAGCTGGCGTGTCGTAGGGCGACGACGATGGTCCAGCTGTAACATCGCATGGACAGCATCCTGAAGATCACGAGAGTACGTGCGTGGAAGAGCAGGTACGGTACCCTGTTTGATTTTGCGTGTTAGTTCCGTCTGATTCTCAGCATCAAACGGCGGCGACAGTGCGCATAGTTCGTAAACAATACAGCCAAGCGCCCACACGTCCGACTTCATGTCGTATGGTTGGCCTGTAGCCAGCTCGGGACTCATGTAATAGGGCGTACCGACATACGTATTAGCAAAACTCTGAGCAGCCATTTGTTTGCTCAAACCAAAGTCGCCCAGCTTCACATTCTGGTCAGCATCCAAAAACACATTCTCTGGCTTGAGATCGCGATGCAAGATCGCCTGTACGGCACGCGCACCCACATTAGTGGCACTGGAAGGCACTTTCCGGTAATGACAAGCTTCAAGAGCTGCCGTCATTTGCGCAAAATAGGCCCATACCGTCTCCTCGGGCAGATGTGTCTTGGTTCGCCTGCATCGCTTGATGACAGAGCCAAGGTCACCGCCCTCGCACAGCTCCATGACAATATACAAAATGCCATTTTCCGTGTCGACATACCGCTCCTCGTAGCGCACGACATTCTCGTGTTGTAGGGTACGAAGAATGTTGACCTCAGACACAATGTGTTTGCGGTCGCGCTCGCTCATGCGCTCGAAATTTAGTTCTTTCCGCGCAAAGAGCATGCCATCTGCTTTCCGGCGGACCTTTCGAATGAGTCCAAAGGTACCGTTTCCAATCACATCGAGTGCTTCGTCTAGGAATGGCGGTGGTGGTTAGTAACTAGAGCGACGTGGAAAGTGGGGCAAAGGTACGTACATCCTTCGAGCACATAAGCCGCACTCTGGTGATGACTTGAAGATGTGCGCGCCATAGAGGTGGCAGTGGCAGCAGGGGCAGCCGCACGCATGCTGCGTACTAAAAGAGCCAGCAAGAGAAAGAAAGATGGTACGTGAGTGTACCTTTGTTATCGACCACTCTTCCTCCTTTTGGCCCCTCACCCGGCTTCACTCATATGCATGTCCCTGTCTCATAGACAGACACCAACACTAGCGTAGGTGTTACTTACACACGTGGTCATCACGTGAGATGTGTGGCACTGGGCTTTCGAATGCAACGTTGAACGGCTGGCGCGCGCCGCACGCACTCAGGGACGCCTGCCTGCAATTTATTGTTGCTGTTGGCAACGCACGCCAACGCTCACCCCATGGATGAGTATTCACGGCGCGAATGGTCGCGCTTTGCTGTTGAGCATCGTGGCATTGGAACATGTGTGGCATCTGCCACGCGGGATGCAGCAGGAGATGATCAACGACTCGCGTTTCGAAAAGGTGAGCTGGTGACCGTTCTGTGTTGTTTCACAGAGCCTGGCGAAACCACGCGTCCTGACCATTGGTTTCTGGGCTCTTGTGGATACTCGATTGGATTTTTCCAGCGAAAAGATATGGACGCAATTCCCAAACTCCGATCCGTAGGCACGGTTGATGCGCGTCTCCCTCCTCAAGAACGCCTGCTTGCGCCGGCTGCCAAACTGATGGGCTTTCTAGTGCCGCCGGACCGTGTGCTTGTACCTCTAGAGAATGAAGATAATGTCCAGCACCCTCCAAGTGTGAACATGAATCAAGCTATGGATGGTGGTCAGGACAACAAAGCGGCAGTCAAACCCGAAACGCCTGAGCTTGTGCCTGACGCGTTGCTGTTCGCCTCTGCGTCAAAGAGTTCTGCTGATGCGCGGAGTGCTGACGGTGATGTGTTTGATGAATATTCAAAAGAGGACTACGAGACTCTCAACTCAATCTATGATGCCTACTTCCGCCCCACCACATTCATTGAAAGCGACATGCAGTCGACGCCCACCAAAAACGTGCTACCCACTTCACCCGTGTCAACGTCATCTTTAGGTGATGAATCCATGACACAGCCGCGGCAGATCGACCAAGTCTTGGATGCAATGTCAGACGAAATGCCCAACCGACTACTAGGTAAAGACGACCAGGTCCAGAACAGCCCGTCTCGTTCGTCGATGGATAGCCACGGAACAAAAGGCTCGCCAGCAAGAAGTGCGACACATCCACCAGTCGATTTGATGCAGCCTTTGCCCATGACTCCAACACGTTCGCGACACACCGTCACCAATAACAATGGCTCGCCAAATCGTATGCCGCGTGGCCTAAGCCAGCAGCCAACCACATCGTCACCATTGCTACGGAGTGCCGTGTCAATGAGTCCTTCCCAATCATCTGTCAGGATAACGCCCTGCGTGTCGTCACCTTCGTCACTCACGAGTGCACGTCCCTCTACGTCTTCTGACGCACCCCTGCCACGACCCGCTCCGAATGTGTATGGCTCGCCTCGATCCAAGCCAGCGTTGGATCTGTCGGAACATGCACTTCCTGGTAGAGCCCAGCTATTCCAACAATGGACCACAATACTTACAGATCGATCTACCATGTCATCCAAAGCGCACAAAAAAGCTCTCCAACTCGTGCATGTGGGTGTGCCGAATCCTTTACGAGGTCGTGTGTGGCTCATGCTTGCGGAGCGGCATGTACATCCGAAGCCAGGTGTATTTGAGCGCTTGTGTCGCTCGAGTATGGAGTCACAACAACATCCTGACAGGTACTCATTCTCGACACTGATTGAGCAGGATCTGAATCAGTGCTTCCCCCTGACCCAGCCGTTTGAGGGGCTGAATGGATCAACTCGCGATACGATCCGCTCTATCTTACATGCATATGCTTACTACAATCCGAGCGTCGGCTACACAGAGGGCATGTGCCTTCTTGTTGGCCTTCTTCTCACACACTTGCACATGGAAGATGCGTTCTGGCTCCTGGATGGCATTGTACAAGGATACGGCTTGGACCGCATCTATTCCGGCGACATGCGTCGTCTGCGCGTTGACAATCTGGTTATTGACGAGCTCGTCCGCCTGGTCGATCCGTCACTGCATCAGCGTTTCCGCGAGTTGCACATTGAGCCGATCATGTTCTTGCCAGGGTGGATTTTGCCGATCTTTGTACGCACATTGCCATGGGCAACGCTTCTACGCGTTTGGGATTTGTTCTTGTGTTATGGATATGTGTTTCTTTTGCGCACAACGGTAGCCATTATCTGCCCTGAGCCGAGACAGTATCATGCATGTACCAAGCGGTGGCGATAGCCGCAGTGCGGTGATACGCAATTTGGTATTTGTGCATCCTGGACCACTGACAGAGGAAGATGTGTTGACGCGCGCATTGGAACTGCCCGTCACCGACAAGGAAATCGTTCGGATGGAATCTGCTGCAGAAAGTCTCGTGGGAGATGCTTCCCGACCTTCTACGGCGCTCGACAAGGGCGACAGCAATCTGCGCGGACAGTTACAAGGAAAGCCAGTTACGAAAAAGACCATGTGGTTGTTGTTAGGGCGTAGAAATTGACTCTAATTGTGTGTAGGTTAGGCGAAGTGAAATGGACACTTAGACCAACGTGCAGGGGTGCAAAAGACCGTTGCATATAGTTTCGTGCTTGAATGGGAGCAAACTAGTTGACACGTCTTTGTGAGATGAATGTCGCTACTACTCGATAACCTTTATGCTCTTGTGTCCAGCAAGAAGATTCAATTTCATTCAGTAGTTGGACATAAAAGTGAACTTGTAATGAGACTTACACCGTCGATGACAAAATTCGTACAGTTCGATCAAAGCCGCAACTCACAACGCGATCGTCGGGCAGCACAGCCACATCCTTAACAATGGTGTTGCCACCATATCGCCACTCAGCCGCAGCCATAGTCGCATTCGAAGTAGACTCAGCAGCTACGCCGTGAGTGCGTACATGAGCATTAACATGGCCATCCAAGCCGATGAGACGTAAAACACCATCGTCTCCTGTGACCCAGGCACCATCGCCTGATGGACGCCATGCGTGTCGTGGACTCGTAAAGGCGGATGATGGTGCACCCGTCCAAAGAGTCGTGTGGCGATGCTCCGAAAACAGTGGTAAAAGAAGAATGCGCGAGAGCGAATGATCATAACACGGGCTTAGTGTATGAGCTGCACCGTGATCGCCCGTCTGGGCCGAGATGTATCTGCCAGAGGGATGTAAGGCCAGGTCAAGCAGCGAGTAGCTTGCGTGATGATCCGCCGGATCTGGGTTCGTATTGAATGTTAATATGGACCAGTTTGGTGTAGCAGCTTCAGGCTCGGAACCTTCAGCTCCTTCATGAGGCAGCGCAACATAGTGTAATTCCACACGATCGCGCACGGTGTATACGAGCCAAGAACGAACGCGTTCTTGTGAAGCATTCGCATGGGTATCGGGTGTCATAGGGCCCTGCACAAAAAGCAGTGCCTCTGGGTTCGTCTGTGTTTCAATCGTATGAATCCGAACAAAGTAAGGCTGCTCACTCCCTTGCTCATTCTGGTTCGCGTAGATATGAACCGCTTTGTCGTAGCCAGCACTGCTCATAAACATGCCATCTTCACTAAACGCGACGCGCACCGCATAGCGCTTATGATCGTCTAGTGTCTGGACTGGCTCATCTCGTCTCGTATCCCATACTACGACTAAACCATCCATCCCAGCTGTAGCCATGTACTGTGGTGCAGTCGAATGCTGGCAAACAGCGAGCACGGCAGCTCGATGACCATGTGCACCACATGCAGATTGGCTTGTCGGCTCCAACAAGCCGACCAACTCACCTGACGCGACATGTGTAATTACAATGCGCTTGTCCGCTCCTGTAGTGGCAATACATGTTCCCTCAGCGCCAGGATACGTCACTGGCACAACACTAAGGATGTTTGACATATGCAAGTGGTCCAGCGTCCGTTCTATCGCATACGACGTATGCGTATTCTTTGACAGCGACGCTAGAGCAGCTTTTATATCTTCTGGCTCATTTGATTTCGTGACCGCTGCCGCCTGTGCACTTGCACTTGATGCTGCATGTTCGACCAGCGTACGTAGATCACACGGTACGTTTTGGTATGTGGTGGAGGACGTGGTGTCAGTTGTGGGCTGGCTCTCTTCTTCCAGAGCAGCAAGGGTCTTGAATAAGCCATGGCAACGTAAGTATGCTGCTACAATGTTGTGGCATTTCTGCGATAAGGAGGACGGTGCAGTTTCCATTGTGCTCTTGTAAAATAAACCTGACCGTCTGACGCACCGCGGTGCGTGTCTGATCGATGTGTAGATTCACATGCATCAAAATGGGGCCTATTTTCTGTGCGTCTCTCTCCACACAATCTCATGCGTCGTCGTCCCAGTCTCTCTGGCTCCGACCTATCCTTCTGACTGTCATGCCACCCAGACCCACAGTGTCAGAAGCACAGCATGTATTAATAGACAAACTACGCAAACCTGTTCATCACCCATCATATGCCGAGAATAAGGTCAATGCACCGGGACCACAAGATCCATTTGAAGGCGCTCTGGAGCCGACACTTTTTGTGGATGGCTTCGAAGGGCAGGAACTTCCTCGCAAGCGCATTCTCACTCAGCGTCACTTAGATCACTTTAAACACTCGAAAGTATATGCTGAAATTGTGGGTATGATTCAGATTTGTAACGAGTCTGTCAAGTCTCATAAATTGGACGAGCCCATGGTCGAAAGCCCATCGATCCGAACGATTCTGCAGGTCATTGCTCATGTGAACAAGCTTGTAGACGAGACACCTCGAGATACCGACTCTGCACAGATGTCCCGATTCGGAAACCCTGCATTTCGGGAATTGTACCAAAAAATCGTCGACAAGACGGATGCTTTGATGCAGATACTCCCAGGCCTTGAACGTGCAGAGCACGAACGGTCGCGAAAAGAGGTGGCCGTCTACTTTTATGAAGCATGGGGTAATGCAAAACGCATTGACTACGGAAGTGGAATGGAACTGAACTTCTTGTGCTGGCTCCTATGCCTTGTAAAGCTTGGTGTACTGGACCTGCATCGCGACGCCAAATGCATCGTTCTCCGAGTGTTTTGGGCATACATCGAGACGATGCGTGTCATCCAGGCCACATATTGGCTCGAGCCGGCTGGAAGTCATGGTGTTTGGGGTCTCGACGACTACCATTTCTTGCCATTTTTGTGGGGTGCTGGTCAGCTGGCAGACCACCCGTACCTTAGACCGAAATCAATCCATGACGTTGAAATTGTCGACGAGTGTGCGCGCTCCTACATGTATTTTGCATGTATCCAAGCCATAAATACGGTCAAGACTGAGTCGCTTCGCTGGCACTCGCCTATGCTGGACGACATCTCTGGCGTCCGGTCGTGGAGCAAGGTCAACCACGGCATGGTGAAGATGTATCGTGCTGAGGTGCTGCAGAAGCTGCCGATTGCCCAACATATTTTCTTTGGCGAGCTTCTAAGTTTCGGCCATGTAGACGAAGATGACTATATCGTGGATGTCGAAGAGGATGACCATGGCCATCGATTTGCTACCAACGAGCTGTTATCACACTCTATCCACGCTCATGGTCATGCCCCACACGGCGAGGGACAAGCTGCTGGATGGGGCGACTGCTGTGGTATTCCCATCCCCAGTGTGTTTGCTGCAGCCGAGCAACAAGCTAAAGAGAGCGGTCAACATCCACCCGGAAAACACATGCCTGTAAGGCGTATTCCATTCGACTGATCTACAGCTATATATCCTATCTTACTTGTTCATAACCATTCGTTCTATCTTTGAGCTTGTACGCATGAGGGAGCGCTCTGCCCGTGCGTCGCGATTGTGCAGCAATTCTCCATACCTTTTCCGCTTACTCTTGAGAGTTCTTCGTTCAGCAGGCGCATGTTCATCGCTAACCGTGCAAGCTATAGCCATTGAATTTCATAAACCTATTCAATCAACATCAGAGACTCGTCAAACAACCGCTGGATGATTCCTAGCCCAATGATATACAAGAATATACTCAAGTATAGAGGAATAACGTCTTTAGTGAAACGCAAAACAGTCTAACCCAACGACAATCATGGCACTATCGTGCGTTGCAGAGACGCACTTAGTTGAGCGACAGTTTCTTTGACTCGCCGCTTGGAGACACAGTCACGAACTTGTCATCCTGACCAACAACGTAGAACTTGCCTGGTGCGACGCGACCGGCAAACTGGATGCCCTTCGTCTCCTCGTTGTACTCAAATATCTGGGTGAGTTGGGAGCTGTCATCCGTAAGCGAGCAGTCTTGGACTTGCAGGTGCTGATCAGGCTTGGCGAGGAAGGCAGGACGGATGCACTGCTTCTTTTCCTGACCCTTGGGCGACAGAAGACCATAATGCAGCTTACCATGGGACTCGAGACCCATCACTGAGGAGTTGCACTCAAGGAATGTCAATGGCACAGCTTGTCCGCCGACAACTAGCTGAGCATCGTTCACTGATACAGGCTTGCCGTCCATGTTCAAGCCGCCGCCAGCAGTGAAGTCCGTACACTTGAGGTTCGCTACAAACTTGCCAGCTGGCTTGGGCAGACCAGCATCTGGAGTAACTGGGGGGGCTGCGTCAGAGGATGGAGCCGCAGCAGCCTCATCAGCTGGAGCTGGCGAAGCGGGAGGAGGCACTGGGGCTGGGTCAGAGGATGGGGCCGCAGCAGCCTCTCGGACTGGGGCAGGCGAAGCGGGAGGAGGCACAGATGCTGGCGCAGAGGGTGGAGCTTCAGCAGCCTCATCAACTGGGGTCGGCGAGGCCGGAGGAGGCACGGGCGCTGCGTCCCGCTTGTAAAGGGTCACTGATGGGACGACCGAGCCCGTTGCATTTCGCCTCACAGGCTCTGTGTACGAAGGCGGCGTGAACACAGGCGCCGTGGCTGGTACGGCCCAAGTTAGAGATCCTGAGGAGAAGTAAATCGCGGGCGCCTCCGAAGGGGTGGACTTGTCACGCCTGTACAGGGTCACAGACGGACCAATTGAGCCCGTGGCATTCTTCCTCACAGGCTCTGTGTACGAAAGCGGTGTAGCCACAGGTGCTGTGCCTGGAACCGCCCATGTCAAAGATCCCGAAGACGAAACCTGTGCGGGCGCTGCCGAGGCAGCGGCGGCCACGGCAGCGATTAAACCTGCAATGTGAAAAGCGAACATCGTGGGATCGTAATTCTTAGGGAAGTTGTAACTCACTGTATATATATATGAAGTTGATGAAGGTCTGCTAGTGGCTGTCTCAATTTTTTTTGTCCGCAATCAATGTTTCAACGTCCATCAGAACACGAAGAAATCATTGGACAAATTTCATTTAATCGTGCATCAAACGATGTCCCCAGAACTAAAAAGGAAAATTTTACACATTGTTTAGTACAACTAACCAATTCACAGCCCAGCCCCTCTTTTTTGAGGGGTTGATCGGTTGAGGCTGTGTTGGGCAGGGATACGCAAGTTAGCACCCTAAACATGCCTGTCGGAGAGGTCGTGCAGCCGTCGATCACAGAGCATGACTTTGTCGAGAGTGCATTGAGAACGACAGCTCTTCGGCCTGATGGGCGCAGGTTCTTCCAGTCTCGGCCAGTACAGGTGAATTTTAGCGAACGCCTAGGATGGTGTCAAGTTCAATTGGGCGACACAATGTAAGTATCGCTGTCGCATGATTGCTTTGTAGCAAGCGAGCTAATGCTCAGTGCTGTGGCCTCAGTTGAAGCAGCCCTTTCTGAGCCACGAAGAGACCGTCCGTACGAAGGCCTTGTCCAAATTCATGCTGATATTTCCCCCATGGCTGGCGTGGAGTACGACAGCGGAGGGATGTTCGGTGCGTCCGAATCACGTGAGCGCGCTGCCCTGTTCGAGCGTCTGCTAGAGCGTGCAGTGCGCAACACAGAGGCCGTAGACCGCGAGGCTCTCTGTGTGATTGCAGGCAAAGTTGTATGGTGCGTGAGCTTGACGGTGCATCTTCTCGCCGACCAAGGCGCAAGTGTGGATGCGGCTGTTCTGGCTAGTATGCTGGCTTTGCGTCAATACCGGCGGCCAGAGGTCACTGTTGAAAATGGCGTTGTAACGGTACATTCATCCGATGAACGGGTTCCCGTGCCACTCGCGTGTCATCATGTTCCATTGTGTGTTTCGTATGCTGTGTTCTTATTGGAACCAAAGACGGAACAGGAGCACGCTTTGCTTCAAGCTCAGTCACTTGCAGTTACCGCACGTCAGCAGCAACAGCTGGCAATGCAGGTCGACGATGCGCCTGCTAATGCCATTGCCGTCCCTGTTACTCTTCTTGACCCTTCACTTCTTGAAAAAACACTTGCGCATTCCACCATTACGTTCGTCATGAATGCGCAGCGCGAGATCTGTGTCTTAGACAAGGCGGGAGGTGCATCTCTCCCTTTTCAGACCATCTTGGCCCTTCTAGACAGCGCGGCTGCGCGCGTTCAGGAACTATCTACGCTCCTTGAATCAAAACTAGCAGAGGATGCAAGCCAGCGCGTTGTCTCTGTGTCTTAGAGTCTCCCCTGTTTATATAAATATGTGCGCTTATTTTCGTGTACTTGTAACTTTATAATGAATGTACATGCAACTTGAATGCTCGTGCATCAATGTCCACAGCCCATCCTTTTTCGCGTAAGATTCTGGTCAATCTCCACAAGCGTCCATCCCCAGCCCTTGCCATGCCAAGCGACGAAACAGGCGTAGAACATGCTTGGAAGCTTGGGACTGAGCCAGAACCTCTGAGTGAACGGCTGAACGCTCCATTGGATGCGCATCCTCCTTCGTTCGGACCGCGCCCTGCGTTTCTCGAATCGAGCCAGGCTCGTCATTGGATGTTTCGCCCGTCGACACTAACGTCCATGCGTTCTGACACCCATACCCGCGCGTGTAACGCCATATCATCGTATTCATCTTCTGCGGGGGACGCATCAAGACCGACTATTTTGTCAATGGAAGATGAAGTCGCCATTGTCCAGTTTTATCTTTTACGGATCGGGAAAATTGTCAAAGCCCTTGGTCTTCCGTCTCTGGTAGAGGCCACAGCCATGACGATGATGAAGCGGTTTTATCTGAGGAACTCATGCATGCAATTTCATCCGAAACTTATCATGTGAGTATAATGTATACATGGGATTAACCCTAGGCTCACGAGTATATATCTGTCGTCCAAAGCAGAAAACTACCCATTGCCTCTCACATACTTCTGTACGCATGTGAATAAGGGCATTGGCGCTTCTACTCAGCAGCAGCAGCAGAAGACCAGTTCAGCACCTTCAGCTGCACGAGGCGATGTAACAGAGTCTATTATAAGCGATTTGGAATTTGGAATGGTCCAGAGTCTGGACTTTGAGCTGGGCGTTCATGGTGCACATCGCGCATTATATGGGCTTATCTTGGATATACAGACAGTCATGCCACAGTTGACGCAAGAGGATCTTCTTCTTCTGGCCGGAAAAGCGCAAACATATCTGCATCTTTCGCGACTCACTGACGCAGAGTTTTTGTACACGCCGTCACATATCGCTTTAGCTTCCTGTTGGATGTGTCACATCTCGACTTCGTCATCTGATCCAGAACCCCTCCTGGGAAAAGATATCGTAAAGAAATGGCTTGAATCTAAAGAAGAACGGAGCGCGCAACTATTTAAGCAAAAACGATCTGAACGAACAGCATGGCAACGAAAAAAGCAGACGCTCCAGCATGAGACCTTTTCTCCAGATTCGACTTTGTCACAGGATTCGTCTTCACACGAATATCCCAAGTCCAGTCATGTATACGACTTTGGTCTTTCTGTGAGTCGAGTCGAGTCGATATTAAACTCTATTTCTCAGTTGATTGAATCAGTCATTAGTTCTCCTATCAGCGCAAGTGCACCTAAGCCTGCTATTGATTTGGATCGTGTCAAACAAATTGATCTTAATTTGCGCGGCTGTCTGAGTGTTTTTGATGCTATGCAACAAAAACACTCGCGGAAACGCCCAGCGGATCAAGATACGAACGCATCAAAACGCGCGAGATTCCCAAACGAAGATTCTGATTCTGAAGATTCCTAAGTACCTATTAGAATCACTAGTTTTAATATGACTTCATACTACCTGCATCATATACGTTTTTCACCACACTTGGTGCACACATGGTTTGAGCACACATGCATCACACATATCTGTAAGCATTTCGTCAACTTACGTTTCGGTCCTGTAAAAAACCTCACATCAATTTTCATTTCCATTGCAACTCGCATTACTGGTGTCTACTTCGAATTTCCTACTTTGATCGACTTCAAACAAGCAAAGCACATAGTCGATTGAATTCACTCCTCGAAATTTTCATACATTCCCGATCACATCATTCCACTTTAGTACAAAGTGTACGTGAACTGGCTGGCGTCCGTGTACATCGTCCAGCCATTCGAGTCGGTACTTGGCTTCTGCGTGGCAGGAGTGCCACGAACCGTCAAGTCGTCAAAGATGCTGGCATCGGTGTAGATGGTCCAGCCATTCGAGTCGGTGCTTGGCTTCTGCGTAGCAGGAGCGTCACGAACCGTCAAGTCGTCAAAGATGCTGGCATCGGTGTACATCGTCCAGCCGTTCGAGTCAGTGCTTGGCTTCTGCGTAGCAGGAGCGTCACGAACCGTCAAGTCGTCAAAGATGCTGGCATCGGTGTACATCGTCCAGCCGTTCGAGTCAGTGCTTGGCTTCTGCGTGGCAGGAGCGTCACGAACCGTCAAGTCGTCAAAGATGCTGGCATCAGTGTAAATGGTCCAGCCGTTCGAGTCAGTAGAGGGACTGGATCGCTTCTCAGGAGGTGGAAGGAAAGCCGAAGCGAATTGAGCCGAAGTGCGGTGTGTCGATGGCGACATTGTCGATTCTGACTGCGACGAACTGCTCTTCCAGTTCAGCACGCCAGCAACATCCTGAGTGTTCCCGGCAGGGGCAGCGTTCGAAACAGCTGCTGTAGCGGCGATGAGGAGAGCAGCGCAAGAGAAGTACATGATAACTTTGTTACGGGTGACGATACGAACAGTTGAAGCCTTGGACTTTATATACACGTCTAATGCTCGGACACGCTGGCTCAAATTTTCATCAAGAATTTTCTGCACAAATTCAAGTCAGTAGCCCGGTAAGAGATTCCTGTCTATTATTGGTTCTTTTTAAAGGAACATTTCAGGATTTGAATTCCCCATCAAAAATGACTCAATCACAATCACCCATCGGGCATCTTTCCATTAATTCACTGTCGCTATTTTTGGCCAACAGTGCGTCAGAATAGCTCAGATGCAATAAATCCTGTCGTTTGCATAGTTTCTGACATATTATAATTCGACTAGACGTTAGTTAATAATCGTTTCATTGTTGGGACTAATCACCTACTTTGTTATGTGTGTGTGTGTGTTTTTTTTTTTTTGTTCACGCCAGGGGAAAAACGTGCGCATGGGCCTAGCACTTTCTGATGCGCAAGAAGGATAGTTCAGATCGCGGCTCGCGCGATGCACCTCCACCTGCAGCCGTAGTTCAGAGAAGTACGGCCATGGAAGGCTCAGGCGATGGCGATAACGAAGCAGCAGTGTTTGAAACCCGACCGATTGAGCGGCTAGAGGAAGAAGTCGTAAACCGAATTGCTGCTGGTGAGGTGAGTTATCCTTTCTTAATATGCGTGCATGCGCTTGAACGAGCGTAGTTCTAACGCCTCCGTGTAGATCATTCATCGACCTTCCAATGCTGTGAAAGAATTACTTGAAAATAGTTTGGATGCCGCTGCCACACATATAAAAATTACACTCAAAGAAGGCGGAATCAAATCTCTCCATATACAAGACAACGGTCATGGTATACGGAAAAATGACTTGCCACTATTGTGTGAGCGATTTGCCACGTCTAAACTTCGCAAGTTTGAAGATCTAACGAACATGACAACTTTTGGATTCCGTGGCGAAGCTCTTGCTAGTATTAGCTATGTTTCAGCTTCGGTGCACGTGGTATCCAAAAGGGCTGATGATATTTGCGCATATCGTGCCGATTTTTGTGCCGGCACACTGTCCTCTGAACCCAGGGCGTGTGCCGGCACAAATGGAACGTCTATTACGGCCCAGGACTTATTTTTTAATACGTCTCAGCGTAAGCGTGCTTTGCGTTCTGCGTCAGAAGAGTACAATCGTTCGCTTGATGTCGTAACAAAGTATGCGCTACATTATGGTCCTCTGGGAGTTAGCTTCTCATGCAAGAGAGCAGAACATGCGAGTATGGATTTACAAACTTTGGCTGATGCTCGTACTACCATCCCTGACATGATTCGTACAATCTATGGCTCTCACCTTGCGCGAGATCTTCTTCATTTAAGCACTTTTTCTGATGCAAAGCTTGGTTTCAAGGCAGAGGGATGGTTTAGTAACGCCAATTGGTCTTCCAGGAGAATAACGTTTATTTGCTTTATCAACCATCGTCTCGTTGAGTGTCCATCACTAAAGCGTGCACTGGAGTCCGTGTATGCACAAGTGCTGCTTAAAGGACAGTATCCTTGGATCTATGTGGCTCTCGAGATCGAGCCAAATCGTATCGATGTTAATGTTCATCCAACAAAGCAAGAAGTGCATTTTCTAGATGAGGAAGATATCATTGAATTGATTACGGCCCGGGTGCAGGACATTTTGGCCGATCAAAGCTCGTGTCGTGTTTACTCAACGCGTAACGTGCCGTTAGGCCAAGTCGTATCTGAAAACCAAGTGCAAGTGCTTCGTTCTCGTGGACATGACCCCCGACATCTTGTTCGGGTCGACAACAGTGATCAGAGGTTGGATGGAATGGTGCAAATCCCCAGCACTATTTCACGCACACCATCCTCTGATAAGATCTTGCAGAACGAGTGTAAACTCACGAGCGTCCGTGAACTTCGTCAAGAATGCCTAGCATCACACCATGTAAGACTTACAAATATCTTGCAAAATCATTCGTTCGTTGGCATCGTCGACTTGCAGAAGGGCCTCAGCTTGATTCAACATAACACACAGCTGTATCTTGTACAGCACGGCCTGCTTATCGAAGATTTTGGGTATCAGCTGGCACTCAGGCAGTTTGGGTCGCTTGCTACAGTGCGCTTGGATCCGGCACCATCGCTTTCTGAACTGATCGGTCTTGGTTATGACAGGGAGCCGGCTGATCAGCAGAAAGCTGCCTTAGGTCTCTCTAGAAAGCAAGTAATTGAGCGTGTAGCTCGAAAGGTTCGGAGTCATGCTGAAATGCTAAGGGACTATTTTGGACTGTGCATTGACTTGCAAAACAACACTGTGTGTGAAATTCCTACTTTGCTTCCTCAACACGGGTCTTTCGGACTTTCGCTCGAGCGCTTGCCGTCATTGTTTTTTCGTCTTGGTCCCCAAGTCGATTGGGATAATGAAAAAGGATGCTTTTACACAATGTGCAGAGAGCTGGCACTTGCTCATGTACCGCCAAGCTGGGGCACTTGCACGAATGATTCACGACCAGACATGGATGAGAAGGAAGCTTGGATTGTACAGCATGTGTGGTTTGCACAAATGCACGGGTCTCGCGGACGCTGTGTCGTTACCTCATCATTGCCTGAAGATGTTATAACACAGGTTGCAAGCCTGCCAGATTTATGTAAGTATATCAACCCGCTGTGTGACACTGACTCGAAATCAAGACCGCGTATTTGAGCGCTGCTAAATTGACATACTGGATAGGGTATACACTATGTATAAATAAGACGGATTTATGTGCGCGCATCGATATTAAGAATAAAGTTGCCAGCTCCGTCGTTGCGAAGAATGTATCGTCACTTGGATGCGCCAACATCAAAGACACTCAACAAAGCAAAACATGCATAAAAGAGGCCGACTGGATAAGCCACAAGGACGCGTTGATTCTGCATATTGAGAATGGAGACGAAAATGCCCGAGGCAGACGTGCAGCACCACAGAATAAAGAGGGGTGACACAATGAAGCCCACAAGCCCGTCTAGCTTTATGAACACATTAATCGCGCTGAGCAAGCAGAGTGGAAGCAAACAATACCCCAAGACACTTGTGACGCGAGATGCATCAATGCCGCCTTTTGACATAAGATTAAGCAAAAAATAAATAGATATGACGCCCAAGAGGCCGACACCATATACATATCCAAACTGGGACTTTCCCGAAAGAAGTAGCAGCATGCCAAAAACAAAACAAAACAAAAGAGGCCCTGCTAGGTCTGTGTCATCCATCATATGTGCATCTTTTGGATGCTCTGGCGAGAACTTGTGGAATGGGTTCAAGACAGCGAGAGACTTGTCTAATACATGCGGAAGGTTAATATCGAGCTCTTCCATCAGGCCTGGTTCACCTGGAAGACCGCCGGTCCCAAATGCAGACAACCATTCGGATGCCATACTGCCCATACCGCGTATATGGCAATGTGAAGGAACTAGGTCGGTACCATTGTCCATTGTTGCTCCTAGGCCGGGGGAATGAAGTGTATAACATGACTAAACATGCATGGGACTTAGCCACTTGATCTCAATTTTTTTTTTTTTTGGCATCACCTACCTGTATACCATTGTGTTTGAGTGGGCATGCCTCAAAATGACTACATTGAGGAGCACATCAAGCGCCATGGACGGCGTCTCGATCATGAGGAGCGTATGAGAAAGAGAGAGGCAAGGAGTGCCCACCGTGCAGCCGCACAGGCTCGAAATACGATTGGTCTCAAGGCTAAGATGCTGAACAAGAAACGTCGGGCGGAGAAGGTGCAGATGAAGAAGACCATCAAGCAGCACGAAGAACGCGATGTGAAGAAGGCTGCTCCACCAAGTAACCCAGACACTGCACTTCCAGCATACCTGCTTGACCGCGAAGGCCAGCGGGATGCCAAGGCCTTGTCTAGTGCCGTCAAGGAGCGCCGCAAGGATAAGGCTGCTCGATATTCCGTGCCGCTGCCACAAGTCCGCGGGATTGCAGAAGATGAAGCATTCCGCGTTGTTAAAACGGGTAAGCGCAAGCAAAATGGATGGAAACGTATGGTTACAAAGGCCACATTTGTAGGTGACAACTTCACGCGCAAGCCGCCAAAACTGGAGCGCTTTATTCGACCTACCGGCTTGCGATTCAAAAAGGCTCACATCACGCACCCTGATCTGAAAGCCACATTCCAATTACCGATTATTGGCGTGAAAAAGAATCCACAATCTCCCATGTACACTCAACTGGGTGTTCTAACCAAAGGCACTATCATTGAGGTGAATGTGTCTGATTTGGGAATGGTGACGACTAGTGGCAAGGTCGTCTGGGGCAAATATGCCCAGATCACGAATAATCCAGAGAATGATGGTTGTGTGAATGGCGTTTTGCTCTTGTCTTCCTAGTAATGGAAATTGTATTTTAGCAAGTGAACTTTCTCTATATACATATACGCGACGAACATACACACAAGAACGGCTATTCCATGCTTAGCTGCATAGCGATACGGAGCTGTTCTTCCTCTGGAAGTGACTCGAAGTTTTCAGGTAGAGAATCTAGGCCACTGGGCCGCGCAGCGTTCGAAGGGGTTTCGGTCTCAAATGCTTTTGAATGTTCGGAGAGAGGCACAGGCGCATCAGTATCAGAATATGACCGCGGCGCGTCCGTGCGAAAAGGTTGCCGAAAGGCGCGCGTTAGGTTGCGTGCCTTTGTGTCACCCATGCCTGGAAGCATGAACAGATTTTCTGACGATTCATGAACAATATCACGGAAGGTCTGCAAGTAAGACGCGACTCTTTTTTTTGGCAACTTACATGATAACGGGTTGAAAGGGTCAGGACATCAGTTTTGTTGATGCCACGCACATTTGTCAAGACAGACTGAAGTACGCTCAGACTATCATCACCAACTTTCGCGCGAATCATATCAGGTGGTTTTTGCTCGAAGGCTTTGTAGATCTCCAAGTAATGGGCAGCTTCCTCAGCGCTGTCTTGTAAGCAAGATTACCAAAGAAATAGTCAAGGTTCACAGCAGAGTGAATCAAGCACTCATGTTGAAACATACCTCCAAGCCACGATCATCACGATCTGGTTTACAAGCGCAACTTTAGTTAGTTCGCGGATCGCTGGTTGATGGTCATTCTGGGGTCAGCGGCGGGATTACTTATATGGAACATACCACATCACACACTACGAGTAGTATGCGGAGCGTGTACATGTGCGCTAATCGCTGGATGCGCATGTGAATGTACTCTGGGTGCAGGCGATGATACCTTAGACTCAGGAACAGCACCCCATTGGAGATGCCGACTTGGTAGTCAGGTACAATGTCTGCATATTCCCAGGCGACGCCCTTGATATGCTGTAGAACCGGATTGCCTCTCTTATCAAAGTAAACAAGAAAGTAAGTTTGCGCGTACCTGGCAGCTATTCACAAGAATGGAAGAGGAGGACTGTGCACCGCGGATCAAGCGATGCGGTTGTGGCCGAACAGGCCGCTCATCTGTCGGTCTGTGCGCTGTCATAGGATATGTATCAGTGAATCGATTTGGAAATTTCTTGTGGATGTCTGTCTTTATATTCTATATTCGTCAGAAACGTATGCTTCCCAACAGGAACCTGGTCCAAAGATGGTAGTGAGTCTTGGAGGCCTCCACATTCTTGATTTGTCAAGGCAGCGTACCAAGATCGCGTGGTTTCGTGTCCGGGTTTGCTAGGTGTCAAAAAGGCGTAAGCGACGCGTGGCTGCACGTCATTCCTTTGGAACAATCTTTTTATTTTCCTCTCCCATTATCTTACGTGCCATTCTTTCGAGATGGCTGGGATTACCCTTTGGCTGGTGGCTGGTCTGGTCGGTCTGATTACCGTCTTCATTCTTCGGAATACACTGTTCAAGTCCCAGGAAGTGGCTGAGCCTATCGAAGAGGATGATGGTGACGGGTCTAACTTTGTTGAACGGCTTGAGCTTCAAAAGAAGAGGATCGTTATCTTCTTCGGATCGCAGACAGGCACTGCTGAAGAATACGCTATCCGTATTGCGAGAGAGGTCAAATCGCGCTACGGTACATCGCCCTTGGTTGTGGACCCTGAACCGGAAGAATTTGACAAACTTGACCTACTGCCCGAAAACTGTGTTGCTGTGTTTGTAATGGCCACCTACGGCGAAGGCGAACCAACAGACAATGCCGTGGCTATGATGGATTTCCTGAAGTCGCCCGATGTTGCGTTTACCAACGGATCAACGCTTGAGAATCTTCACTATGTTGCGTTTGGTCTTGGTAACCGCACGTACGAGTACTTTAATGAAGCAATTCGACAGCTCGATGCGCGTCTGTTGGAGCTTGGTGCTCACCGCATTGGTGAGCGTGGTGAAGGCGACGACGAAAAAGGTCTGGAAGAAGACTACCTCGCGTGGAAAGACCCTATGTTCGAGGAGCTTGCTGCGTACCTGGAATTGGAAGAAGGCGCTACCGGCGACGTGTCTGACTTTGCAGTCACGGAATGTGACAGCGAGATGCCGTCGGTTTTCCGCGGCGAATACCATTCACGTGGTCTCATGGGTCTGAGCGGCAATCATGATGCTCGGAATCCATGCCCAGCACCCGTGGCTCACACTCGTGAGTTGTTTGTTGAAGGTGCGGCATCCCGCTCATGCGTGCATGTGGAATTTGATATCAGCGGCAGTGGTATCACTTATCAGCACGGCGACCATTTGGCGGTTTGGCCCAGCAATCCTGAGCCACAGGTTGAGCGATTCCTTGCGGTGCTGGGGTTGTGGGAGAAACGTCATACTGTGATCAACGTTAAGTCGCTGGATCCGCAGCTGGCAAAAGTACCATTCCCCGTGCCGACGACATACGAGGCTGTTGCCCGCTACTACCTAGACATCGACGCACATGCTAGTCGCCAGGCATTGGCCTCTTTCGCTCAGTTTGCACCGAATGAAGTGGCGCGGGATGAACTCGTGCGATTGGGTAAAGATCGCGATTACTTCCGCGAGCGCGTGTCCGATCACTGTTACAAGATTGGCCAAGTGCTACAGCTTGTGGCAGGTGATTCACTTGCTGACGATGACATTCTCAAGTCTACACCGTGGCCAATTCCTTTTGATCGTGTAATTTCCGCGATTCCCCGTCTATCGCCTCGCTTCTACTCAATTTCAAGCAGCCCGAAACTGTCACCAGACCGCATTCATATCACCGTTGTGGGTCTACGGTACACACCGCCGCAGGCATCCTTCGATACGTTTGGTCTCGCCTCGAACTTCTTGAGCGCCGTCAAAATGGCCGTGCATGATGAGACGCCTGCTCTAGGCGATCCCCGTTACGGCGCTCCCTTATACCATTTGGGTGGGCCCCAGGGTAAATACATGTCAACAGATGAAAGTGGTCGGAAGAACATCAAGGTACCTGTACATGTGCGGCGTTCAAATTTCCGTCTTCCAACCTCGACAAAGGTGCCGATCATTATGGTAGGTCCAGGAACTGGCGTTGCACCGTTCCGTTCGTTTGTGCAAGAGCGCGTGGCGACGGCGCGCAAGGCTAAAGACAAATTGGGCTCAGAGGCGCTGAATGACTGGGCTGATCTGCACTTGTACTACGGGTGCCGTCGAAGTGATGAGGACTTCTTATACTGTGACGAATGGGGCCAGTATGCGAAAGAGCTCAACGATAAGCTCAAGCTGCGGCTATCGTTTTCCCGAGAGGTGTTTAAACCAGATGGCTCTAAACTTTACGTGCAAGACCTCATTTGGGAAGACCGCGAATACCTGGCCGATGCTATCTTGAACAAGCGTGCTTATATCTACATTTGTGGTGAGGGTAAGAGTATGTGCCATGATGTAGAAAGCACTTTGGCTCGCATTCTTGGCGAAGCCAAGGGCGTAGACGAAGAAGCTGGTCGAGCAGAGCTCAAACAACTCAAGGAGCGCAACCGCATGATGCTGGATGTATGGTCGTAAAGACAGCCAAAACAGTCGGCAACGCACTGATAAAGCGCAAAAAGTTTTTGTGTATCGTGCGAGAGTCTCATGGTGTAATTTCACTTGTTCTAATTGTTTCTTTTTCCTTTTCATCTTCACGCACATTTCCCTGACCCTCTAAATGATGACACAGAAAAACCAATAGTTGCTTGCTTCTAATTCCGCTTCCCTTGCCTTGGTCAGTACCAGGTACATAAGCTGAAGTGCGTCGTTCGTGTGGTTATGTTCCAGATGCCGCTCCTTCGTTAGCAAGCTTGTCTGCCATGACGTTTCCATAATGCCCTGCATGTCCACGTACGTAGGTTAGAACAGGTCGGTAACGACAAGCATTGATGGCATCTTGAATAGCCTCGAACAAGTCGCGGTTTTCCACGTCTTTCTTCGTACTAGTCTTCCAGTTGTTCGCGCGCCACTGGACAATCCATTTGTTGATCGCTTGAATCGCATATCGACTATCAGTATAGATGTGCAATGGTCGAGATGGATCGGGGAGCGTGCGAATCGCTATAAGTATAGCTGTGAGTTCTGCGCGGTTGTTCGTCTGCACTGGCCCCGGTAACCTTGCTGCCACATTCTGGCGGTGATACAAGGGATCAGCCCAATACACGCCGTAGCCGGCGATGGAACCGCGCTTGCCATTACCATGGGACGAACCGTCTGTGTACACAATAATTTCGTCCGGCGACTTGATTTTTTCAGACAAGGCTTTCAGATTGTCGGATTGGTCTCCTTCCAACGCATCGTTTCCATGTAATACAACGGACATGTTTGTCAGTGTGTCAGTGCGTCGTTGCTTCGTTCGCCCATCAGCTGCAAGAGCCGTTCGATCGGAGTCTTCCGAAACATCAGCAACACGCTTCCGTCGCGGCTCTGCCCATGGCAGCTTGGCTGCAGCATTGGTAGCCGTCTCTATGAATATGGATGTCGGTGACGATGCAGAAGTGGGTCTAGCATCACTTGAAGTGGTGTCAATATCATGCAGGTAGTGCCGGGCTTCTTCGACCGTTCGAAATCCCTTGAACTGCGCAGACGGGTAGCGGTGCACTTGTTTGGCACAATCATCCCAAGAATGATACAGACCAGGCTTACGACCCTTTCGCACCGCATATACTAGAGCTTTTTGTGTCTTTGGCATGTGGACAGCGATGGTCCGCCTGAATTCTTGGAAAGGTGAAATGCGAATGACAGGTAATAATGGGGAATGCGCTGATGGTCAAGCTAATGCGGGAGTTTATCGGCCTATGCTCAAGTGCGACCATTCAGATCCATGCCCTGGATCAAGCGGCGTGTAAAAGGTGCGTGGATGTATGCTTGCGATTGACCCAAGAGGTGGAGAGAAGGAACCGAGTCCAAAGGTTCTACAAATGTCGTTGTAACTTCGTATGCCGGCAGAGCAAGAACGACTACGAGATGTGAGTGGAGCGTATAGAGTTTAGAACGCACACCTCCATAACGACGCGCGTCGCGCGCGCAGAGACGTGCAACGTGAGAAAGGGTGGGTCAGTGGGTTCTTTGAACGCCACGACGGACGAAACGAGGGGCTGGCAGTAACGCACATCATGACGCTGGGCTCGAACCGGCAGTCAGATAGGTTACCGCTTCGTGAAAAAAATGTATACGCACATGATGGAAACAGCGCGAGTGTGCATTCTATGCGCGGGGCGTCACCAAAGCCAGAAGCTAGTATCATCGCCACGCCACCACGCAAGCGCGCCGTGCCACTTGACGGCATACATGCACGCAATGTGCCTGAATACAGCCGGGAAAAGCGCGTGAAAACGCCTCGTACCAATGTATTACAGGGAAGCGCGCACGGATCGAACGATGCGTACGCGAATACTGGCTCACTCCCGCACACGCGATCAACAACGACTCGCATTGATCGCTCTGCCCGTGTGAGCCATGAAGAGCGCTACCAGCGCGAAAGACAAAAAGTGCAGTCTCAGAGACAGTGGAAGGTAGCTTTCGGGCGCGCCTTTCCCAAGTTTGTATTTTATTTGGATGGAATGGATGAAGCACAGAGACGGACATGTTCTTCGCAGATTGTGCAACTTGGTGCGACTGTAGAAGATTTTTTCTCCCGGAGTGTTACACATGTCGTGACGACGCGCCCGATACCCGTTGCGCGCGATACTGTGAAAGAAATCTCGCAGGATCATTCATCGTGCAACCACAAACAGACCGGCAGCAGCGAACGTGGTCAAGGCAATGAAGACACTTATGGCAACGGTGGGGACAAAAGTGCTCACGATGTGGGCGGTGCTTGTACTCACTCTGGGCGTCCAGGTATTTCGCCACCGCGCATTCTTATGCCTGTACCCTTGGTGGGCGTGCCCTTGCATTCCGATCGGAATCCTTTGGACGAGAGCACACCATCGCTTCCAGCCAGTGATCTCCTGTCGAAGGCCCAACATTTTGGGATGAAAATTTGGCGGTCGGAAAAGCTCGATAATATTTTGTCTCTGCTTCTCGCAGACGACGCGCCTCCTGGTGCAGGAAATGCAGCTGGGCGACAGAACCTATCCGACATGTTACTACAAGAAAAGCTGCATGGAACAACAGAGCGTGACCCGCTCGCTATCCGCAGCGACGTGCACTACTTTGGTAAAAACTCGTACCATGTTCTCGTGACAGATGCAACGGGTGAGCATCGTCCGATTCTCATGCAAGAGTACGACCGCCATGCTCACGAAGCCGCCGGCAAACATGCGCCATGGCCAGAACTCCATGGTGATGTCGAGGGCCGAGGCTTGTTTGTGTATGTGGATCCAAAGGAGCGCAAACGATTGGCTCAGCATGCGCCTATGCCCAATCCTTCATCACGCTCACTTCGACGCGCAGCTTCGCTTCATTTGGCTCATGTCCGGAATTCACCTGCAGGTCCCGGCACACCAAATCTTATGGCTTCTGATAACAGCATGGCCCTCGCATCAACTGTGGCATCCACGACATCCATGTCCCTTACGTCGCAACAGACAACGATGCAGTCCGCTCCAACGAGTGCTGACAAGCGTGTCTTGGAGTTGCATCGCCGTCTTCATACACCCGCTGAGCGTTCAAATGAGTCACATGGTGTTATTATCCAGCGAATGCTTCAAGGTATGCTAGATGGGCGCGCCAGTACACAAAACGGTCAAGGTGGGCAGATCGGCCATTGCAGTGGCTTTGGCGAAGCCATCTCTTTAGGTGACACATCGACAGGCGCGCCAATGGCGACGTTGCACCGGTCGCGCAGTCTTGGCAGTATGACTCGCAAGTGTGTGTCACCTTCTCCGCGACGACGTGAAAAGAAGCCGGGGCATTGTGAGAATTGTCGATGCCGCTTCGATGATTTTTATGAGCACACACGCAGTCGGCGTCACCGGAACTTTGCACTGGATGAAAGCAACTTTGTCAATATTGATGAGCTGTTGCAGCGTGTGCAGCGGGAGCCTCTACCTATGACCTCAAGCTGGGCCGACTATGCTGGGACGCCACCGTCAGCTACCGTATATCATGATGAAGAATGTGGTGGAATAGTAACAGCCGAGACTCCTTCCTCATACCCTTCGTTTGTTTGCAATGAATAACTGTCAATCACGTCATCCACCTTATCATAACGACGAGTTAGTCATTGAAAAAAATGTTGTATAACGTCGCCACATTGCATTCCCTCGTTTTTCCCCCTCCGTTCCGAGCCACTCCCTAATGTGACCTTGCGCCAAATACATTGCCAGCAACGAGCCACACATAGTCATGTCACTGATTTTTTTCCATCTTCTCACTCAGGAGTAACACGCCTGCGTTGCGTTACGTCCTACCTATCTCTATGTTATTTGCCTGCACATCTTCTTACACTTTTTGGCTTAGAGCTTGCGCTTGAAGCTGAACGCGAGGTCCACCGCGACTGCGACCACCCTTTCGACGTCCATCACGCCTGCCAAGGCCGGCATCATGGTCACCGGTAGCATCGCCAGCATGCTGCCTATCACCACCGTGGCCCGAATGGATAGAGCGATGGTCATCGAGCTTCGAGTCGAGCAGCCATTCATTCTGTTCAAGCATTGCATTTGCACGATCAGCGAGGGCTAGCGAGAGTTGTTGCACACGGTTCAGTTCCATGCGACGGAACACAATCACACCATGCATTGGGTCCAGTGAGGCAGCCAGCTCGTCGTGCCAGATCATGCGGCTGATGATCGAGCGCACTGTTGTCTCTGGCAGATTGAATGTTGTGGCCAGATGTTCTAGCGAGATCGCATCATAGTGAGATGCAAAGTTGAACAGGTATGTTCGCAGACCGTTTTCCTGAATGTGACGTGCGAGGCGCTCAAGGATGACATCCTTTTGCGGCAACAGCTTCCAAATCTTGATCGACTGAATTAGTTCGACGCACGTCTTCCATTCTCCGTTCTGCAAAGCTTTGCTCGCCTGCATAATATGATCGCGTGTATTTTCAGGAGGTCCGGTGAACACAAGTCGATCAGTATAGTCCAGCATTCTTCTAAACGGCCGAGAGATGACCTTTTTCCTTAGCTCCATGTCCGTACCGGCGTACGCCATGTTTGGCACCTCCAGCAGCATACTTGCCACCAGATACACACATTCGAGCAGCTCAAGATTAATATGCATATGGAACGGCAGCTGGCGCTGGCGGTCAAACTTTTCCTGCTCTGTCGACACAGCGTTGTACATATTGCCTTTCGAAACACCCTGCGCCAGTAACTCCTTCACTCGTCCCGTTGCAAATATCTCTTGCAGTGCCGTGTGGCACTCACGGATCAGTCCCACCCGGAATGCACACAAACCCAGTTGCACAAGCACGCGATTGTACAGTATCTGTGTTTCAGCATCAGCCAGATGAATCGACTCTTGCAAGTGGCTCATCAAGAACCGATCACGTGCGACATAATAGTCTGCATGCAGTGCGTGATGATAGACATGGCAAAGAATAGCGCGCGTGCGTTGGCGCTCGCTTGTGTCATCGATCCGCTGATAAAGATACACGCAAAGGGCATGCACGAGATGCATGGGCCCATCCTCGCGGGCGCGAACTTCCTCAAATGAAGGCGTGATACGCGATGATGGCGCATCTGGCTGTGCCTCGTGGTTTGCCGTCTCTAGAGCTAGAATGATCACATCCTGCTTCGAGTAGATGTGCTCGAGACGGCGCATAACACAGCGGCGAAGAGGTTCAGAAACCATCAGCGCCATCTTTTCTGGTAGCTGCTGCGCAAGCACGGTCTCAAAGTAGCCCTGACCCAGTACTATTGTTTGGTAAAGCAGCTTCTCATCACACAGACGCTCCACATATTCAGTCGCATGGGGGTCTGTGTTTTGCAGGCTCTTGGTGAACTCGTCTTCAAGTCGATCGATGAATGACACGACACTACCACGCACCGGGACAAATTCTCCCTCTCCATTCTCATTGGGCTTCCGCTCTACCTGGTCATCGTAATCGTCGGTTTCTTCCAGCACCACGTAAGACAGGTTCTCGAGCAAAAGCTTGATCAACGTCGTCAGCTCATCGCGCGCTTGCTTCCACATGTCGATGGGCATATGAGTACTAGCCAATGTACTGTAGTCGAAGCGGGCAGCAACCAGTGTCAACAGCACACGAATACGTTGGTATGGTGTCTGTGCTCCTTCATACAGCTTCATCAATGTGCTAATCTGCTCGCCTCGATCCGTACTCTTTCGTCCACGAGCCTCTAGAACAGCCGCCAAGCCTTTGAACAGAGCGTCCGCCGTCATGACCACCTTGCCGCCTGGGCCAACAGTCTGGAAGTCGTCGCCAGCACCGCCAGCAGCTTCGCCGCTTGGCGCGACCACAGGTGCTGCAGAGGTCACTGTGTCTGTCTTTTTGGGCTTCAGCGAGGGCATTTCAGGCACAGCCGGCGTACTTTGGGCGGCTTGAACCTTAGCATCGTAACCCTCTGGATCTTCGCGGTATTGCTGAATCGCCGCCTCATTGTCCTTCACGACCTTCTTCAGCTTCGACTTCATGCCGTTCATGGACTTGGCATTGGGCGCCTTCATCTTTTTCGTCGCTTCCTTGTTCGCAAGTGTTTCGGCAAGGAACGTCTCAAGCGACGCAAGACACTTTACGAACGATGAGGGAATCGATTCATTCAAGGTGCGCTGCCGGTCACACAAACGCAAGAGTGTGTCAAATTCCTTCGAAATGGTCATCCAGTCATCAATGCGCTGAGCATTCTCTATCGAATGCACCGAGTTCTGGAACTCATCCAGTCGCTTGTCCTTAGCACTCTTGATTACCTTTGGCGCTTCCTCTTCACTCTCACTTTCACTCTCGTCTACATCGCGCATGAATCGCGACATTGGCTTGCGGGCCTGCTGAGGTGCTTCTTCCTCCTCGTCTTCCTCGTCCTCATCTTCCTCACTTTCGTCTTCCTCACTATCGTCCTCTTCGCTATCATCGTCATCACTGCCACGACCAGCCTTGCTCTTCGTGCTGGGCTTTACCTCTTTTTGTTCATTATCAGACAGGAGTTCTTCCTCCTCCGAAGACTCGGATTCCGAGTCAGAAATTGCGCGGAAGAATCGGCTCGACATTCTGGCAAGTCGTGGCGCCTACCAGTATCGCTTCTGCTCTGTCACCAGGCGTTTTTCTCTTCAATCCCTCCTCCAGCCATCGTCTTGATCACATGATAAATGTCACGTGAATACCACCCGGGCAGGGCCGGGGCGCGCTGGCCATGCACAGGGGCCGTGTCGAAACTAGGCATCAGCGGCCCCGGGCATCCACTTTTCTGTACTTACATCCCTGATGATGGCGTCTCGTTTCGTGCCTCGCGTGTTGAACCAGGTATGTATGCTTCGTGCGCATATATCTCTGACAGTCAAAAGACTCGTGGCTATGCTTCACAGGCCGCGATTCGTCCGCCGATCCAGATCGAAGGCCTCGCTGGTATGTTGATACTCTCGTCTATCCCCCCATCCTTGCCTAGTTTTTGGCTGCGGTTGGTCTCGTTCGAATATCATATACTCACACTTCTCTCCAGGAAAGTACGCCACGGCTGCCTACGTGTCAGCCCTCACAAAGAGTGAGAAGGACCTATCTAAGGTGGAGTCGGACCTGAAGTACTTCCACGACGTCCTGAAGTCAGACTCGCCGGATGCTGTCAAATTGCGCTCATTCCTGACGAACCCGACCGTGCCAGCCCAGACTAGGACGTCGACGATTAGCGAGCTTCTTTCCAAGCAGAAGGGCGGTGCTGATGAGCTCACTACGTATGTACTGGCCAGTCGTGCATCTCTGATGTCCGCTTGTGACTAACACACTACAGCAACCTTTTCAACACACTCTCGCAAAATGGCCGCCTCGGCCTCTCCGAAAAAGTTATTGAGGGCTTCCTGCAGTTGACGAGCGCTCACCGTGGTGAAGTCATCATCACGATTACAAGCGCCAAGCCACTCGAGAAGTCAATTTCGTCTCGTCTCGAATCTGCGCTTAAGACGTCGCAGTTCGCTACGACTGGCGGTGCTAAGAGCGTCAAATTCGACTACAAAGTCAACTCTTCGTTGCAGGGCGGTGTGACTGTAGACCTGGGCGACCGCTCCGTCGACCTTTCGGTCGCTAACCGGGTTAACAAGTTGAATGCGCTCCTTCGTGGTACGTATTCTTCGCCTTTGCTTCAGGGTGAAATTCTTATCGCATCCTTTCAGATGGCTAACTATGACAGACTCCATCTAAGTGGGCCCTTTGTAGTGCAGGTGGCGTATTGTACGTAGAAGTATGATGAGCGTACGCATGCATTTTGTCTCGAAATTTCCGCGGCATTATGTCGCGCGTGAATCTTGGTCACGAATTCAGTGCTTGTATGGCTACATATCCTATGGATTCATTTCAAACCAGTCAAACAAGCCATATGTGCGACGAGAAGGGGATTCAATTTTGGAGTCTGAGCAGCTGGTTGGCCGTATGCGCTTAAATACGTGTCAGGAATTTCCCTAGCGTTTGTCTTTCTTGCCCCTCATGTCATGGTCCGAGGCATGGTCTTCTTACAAGCGAGACAAAGAAGAATGGATCATGGGACAATCTGGCTCCTCCATCGCTTATATTAATCTTTTGAGCTTAACTCCCCTTGCTTCGTATGCGTTATGGCTCTGTGTGAACGGAAGGCGAAAGCATAATCTTTTGCACTCGTATGTTGCCGACTTTGTTATGTTGGTCGTGCCTCTTATGCTTGCCTGTACCACTTCAAGCCATGACATAGTCGCTTTACTCTCGTGCTTATCGCTCCCAACGGTTGTACTGATGTTGCATGAATACCGCACTCGCACGAAGATCGGGACTCACCGTGTCCAAGCCTCGGAAGACGGTAGGCTGCCGCTCAAACATGCAAATAACCGCGTCACGCATACTCAACTTCACGCGGATGAATCAAATGATGCATCGTTTCGTGAGAGTTTCTGCGTACATGCAGACGGTTCATCCACACAAGAGAAAAAGGACTTGGACTCGGATACTTCCATTAAGAGAGAAACGCTTCTCAGTCGGAATGGATCCCAAAGCCGTTCGTCTAGTCTTCATCAAGCGGACTTACAAGGAAAGCATCTCTCATGCATGTCACTGTCACCACTATGTTTTGAGACATGCTCCCAAAACTCGATGTCTACCCCTATAACCAATGATCTAGCTCAATCTGACAAGTTTCCCAGCCAGAAATGGTCATATGTTACTATATATCGAGCGTATTTGATGATGCTTACGACGTTTTGTATTCTCGCCGTCGATTTTCCTGTTTTCCCGCGGTTTTTGGCCAAATGTGAGACGTGGGGTACAAGCCTAATGGACTTGGGAGTAGGCTCTTTTGCCTTTTCTCATGGCCTGGTGTCCCTACGCTCGAAACGAAGCTCATTCTCGCGCCTTCTAAGACGTACGCTTCCTTTAGTGCTTCTTGGAGCGGTACGTGTCTTGACGGTCAAGCGGACCGAGTATCCTGAGCATGTGTCTGAATACGGTGTACATTGGAACTTTTTCTTCACCATGGGCCTTGTGCTTCCCTTTATTGATGTCTCACAGCAAATTTGGCGGCCAGGTTTTGCTCCCTTTGGCCTGTACTCCCTGGGCATCGCACTGGTGCACGAATCCGTGCTGGCATGGACGCCACTCGGTACGTTTGCTATATCAGATGCACGAAATCCATTAAGCTGGGTATCATTGAACAAAGAAGGTCTTGTTAGTCTTCCGGGCTATGTGGTCATTGCCCTAGCTGGCCTCGACATTGCTCACATTATGGCCGATACGCGACGACGAGACAAATTAGAGCGTGACTTGTGTATTCGTTCGTTTTGTCTATGGCTTGGCGTTTGGATCGTCAGGTGTTTGGGTTTCCAGATAAGCCGACGATTGGTATGTATAACTCACTTACCCTGTCGCCTATCTATTGCTAACAGTCTAGGCCAACTTTCCTTACACTTTATGGTGTGCTGCATTTAATGTTTCGCTTCTTCTTGGATTCAAAGTCTTGGAGCGAGTATTTTACGATGATTCTTTTCCTCCGGTACCCCGTTTGTTTGATCTCATTAACCGACATTCGCTAATTTTGTTCCTCATTTCCAACGTCCTGACCGGTCTAATCAATTTACTTGTGCCAACTATGTACACCAGCGTGCCCGTGTCTATGATCCTCTTGTTTCTCTACATGGCAATTGTTTGCGCTGTTGCTCCTGTTTGGGTATACATCGCTGGAGACCGATGAAGACTTGAACGCGTCTGTAAACAAATTTCGCAACCTACTTCCCAAGTCCTTGATTGATTACGGGTGACATTTGTGTGTAGCTGGCACATCTCTCGCTGTTTAGTCATACATAGACATTTAAGACGCTTGTAGACGACGAGGATGATGCTTGAGGGCGTTGGAACGGCTGACTGCTCGTTGTAGTTTCTTATTCTCGCAAATGTTTTCGCTTCGAACTGTGCGAACAAGGAACATAGTGGTGCCGCTTCGGTGTACATATCGCTGCGTGCATGTGTCTCTCGTGCAAAGGAATATACCCAAAGCTGAAGAGCTGCTGGATCAGTTCGCGCAAGGCAATGACAAAGGTGCCAGTGTCACGGCCAAGCGCCAAGCTTATCTCAACAAGTACAACGACAAACTGCGAGAAAAAATCGCGAAAGAAGGTTTCAAGAGCGTTGATGACATGGCCGCATCGAAGCGCGCGGCTGAAGCCAAGGTACGCGAGACTCAGCGTGAGTCGGAATCACATCCAGGCACATCTGTCGAGGCGCGAGACGAGGCGTTGCGAGAAAAGTTGAGTGAAAAAAGGCGTGCTACGGAGAACTCGAAGTTGATGGACGATTCAGGCTCGCCGAGTCCTGTTCAACCACTCTCCTCGTTCATGAAGCTTGAAAAAGTTGTTCATGAGACGCCCGACAACATTGGCAAATTGTGGGCAGGATTTCACATCATGAAAAACAAGGTGTCAGCCGTTGTACCTGCAGCTACATATGTTCAAATGATTGTGACTGCGAAAAAGTTCCCCCAATTTGTGTTACCTTTGCCTCGCGCGGTTAAGAATGAGGCGGGTAACGCTGAGAATGGCTATGAGATTTATTATCTGCAGTGGGTCTCATTGCCAAAACCTAAAGAAGCGTCATCCAATGCACCACCTCCTATGGCTGTTCTGTTTACACCGCTTGCTGAATACAAACTGCGTCAAGAGTACGCTCAACCAACGCTTGTGTTGACGCACTACACTGAACTTCTTGAGTCAAAAGGTATTGCACTTATGCGGGGTGATATTACGGAGAGTGAGAATGGTAAAGTACATGTCCAGCAGCAAGATGCTCAGCTCTTGGCTCTTGGACTGCAACGCTTTTATAACCTCGACTGGGCGCTTGAAGGGCTGGACAATGACGAAGAAGCAGAAAAAAGACGAGCTTTGCTACGCTCATTCTATGAACGGCCCGAGGCATTCAAGCTCGAGGACCTTATTGAGCTAGCATGGTCAGTATAAGATGAAGAATTGGGTATATAGGGTGGTGAACCCATGCAAACAGTATGGCAATCTACCAAGGCCATGGCTGGTGCATGCAAATTGCCGTCATCAATGGCAATGCACGACGACTGGACACATGGCCTTGTTAACGATTTCGGCACAGAACTGTCGTGTATACATGATGGATCAATGCAACCTTTGCCGTCCGTGTCAGATCGACGAGGCCTGGGTACAGGTACAACGCTGTCATGAACAGGTCGGTGCCATGTGGAAGATAGACTTGAGCGCATTGAGAATGGACCATGTGGATCCCGCTGGAATGATAGGCTGCGTCCAAATGACGTTGTTTGTCCAGAAGATAAAGAATGAGGACTGTCAGGTTCTTCTTCGACACTCCGATCATCATTGTCGCTATCAAGTGCACCAGCGTCCGCGGTAGTAGGATGCTCGAAGCTATCATCCTCTTGGTGCAATACAAGACGCTCAGCAACGATAGCAAGTTCTTCAGCCTTGTCTTGGCAAGCCGAGCTTCCAGACACACTATCCTGACGCCAGAAGGGCGAACGTACGCCATGGCGGGAGGATACTGAATGTCTCGAGGCAGGTGCTGTTGAAATGAAAAGGTTCAATTCTTGTCCATGAACATTATCTGCTTCATGTACATCTAGCCCTTGCTCAACCCATGTGGAACAAGGGTCACTTCCATCATGTTCCAATGAAGTGGCAGACCATGGCGATCGCCCAACCGAGCCAGTACGTAACGAGACAGGAGCAGAATACGTTTCTCGAGACGAGACTTTCGACCTTGGCAAGTTGGTCTTTAAAGGTGGAGGACTGTGCGCAATCGGTGCAGGTGACAAGACTCGGGTAACAGAGCTTGCTTTAGACACGCCGTCACCTTTGGATGATTTGCACTTCTGAGCTTCACGAGCTCCGTCATTCAACACAAAAGAACAACGTTGACGCCGTTTAGATGGATTTTGAATATCTGGCTGACAAGGTGGATTTTGCATTTCTCCGTTCCCCAGAATACTTGAGACATTCGCATTTCTAGAACATTGTAGTCGAACAGGAACAACGGGTGTCTTTTCAGGACTATTAAAACCTTTTCCCATCACAGTGTTGACTCTTACATTGAGCGAATCTTTTTCCTTTGTGGCATCACTTGTGCCGGCCTTATTCTCTGGTTTTTCGTCATCCGTATATTCCTCTTCGCCTTCTTCGTCCTCGCTTTCACTCTCATCTTCTCCACTTTCATCCGTCCCCTCGTCTTCTTTGTCCTCGATGTCATCGTCGTCATCATTTATTTCGTCATCTGACGTTTCCGACTTATCGTTACAGTTAGACAAATCAACATATGGAGAAAGCCGAGTTTGACGAACACTTGGCGCACAACAGTTGTCACCCGAGCGTTGAGTCTTGTCGACTTCTGGACGTGAAGAGATCGTCGCACAACCCGATAAAGCCGAGGGCAGTTTACTAGAATGCTTTGCTTCTAGAACGCAAGCTTCAGGTTGATCCTTGCAAGAAGCCAGCCTTACCTCTTCTGAGTTGGATGGTTTCGGGAAACCCTGATCATTGAGCGTGGTTTTCCGTCCAGATTTCTGTGGCTCAATAAATTGCGGCTTACGCGTGGGGCCAGGTCGTATCCTCTGACTAAGTTTTCCGTCATTGAGCTTCAAAGAACTTTGCGAGTTACAAAGGATACTTGATGCATGGATTATGGTTTGAGGTCGCTTTGGACCGTCTGTCATAGCTGGTGACGATCGCATTTTACACGTTAACAACGATGGTCGTTTGTGACATTTGAACTCTGAATGCACATCATATACCGGCGCATCTTTGTTTAGCACGTGTTTGTTAGAAATAGTTACACGATCACCAACAGCGGGAACACAAGATGGAGTGCACGACGCATACTCGCAAGGTGGCGACATATTGATCCGACGAGGCGACGATACGATCATCGCATCGCGCGGCGTGGCACGTCAAAAACCAGTCACTTGCTCAGCGATTCGGGGAGCTGTTCCACTCTAATTCAGCGGGACTCAGACTGCGGTGGTGATTCGTTGACACACTTGTCTTCCACTGTGGTACTATCCTGTCTAGATGTTATGTCGGCACAACGTGCGCCACAATTTTGGGCCACGATCTTGAACACGAACGTGTTCGCACGTGATAATTTAGGACACATTCAAAAGCCTTCACGGCCAAGTAAGAATAATGTAAGAAAACAACACCGCCGCGCTCAGACCTCCAACACTTACATAGATATGTACATACGTTAGTAAGCACTCGAAAATTGGCTTTACATCTACTAGGTCCGAGTCTTGGCAAATCGTACAATCATCACGGATGTGTTATCTGTACTAAAGTTTTTTAAAGCGTGTTGTAAGAGGTTTTCTGCGGCTTCTTGTGCATCACTGTATTTTGAGACAAAATTCACAGCATCTTGATCGCTCACGACATCCCAGAGCTGCAGTGTGTCAGATCACGAGTCCAAGAAAACACGAGGAAGAATCAGTAGAGATTACGTACGCCATCACATGCAACAATAAGAAATTGGTCTTCATCGCACATATCAATGCTAGTAGTAAAGGGAGTACCCACGACGAACTCTTTGATGGAGAAATCACCCAAGGATCGCGTGACAGCCAACACGCCTGAAAGATTCATTAGTTTAAACGCATAATTTGCACGCACCGTTAACGCGGTTGTTCAAAAGAAATCCCCCTTTTTCAGTAATTCTTTTGGATTCAAACTCGTCAGATCCTTTGTGATCATAGGTTAAACGAATGGCTTTACCGCCACGACTGGCATTCATGGTAAGCAATTGCAATCTGCAGACCGATGTGTCAACGTACCAAAGGACAGAGCGAGCATCGCCCACATTTGCTGTATACAAAACACGCCTTCTTGATTTATTTTGGTCTGAGTCATCTGATTCCAGCCTGATAAGACTGGTGACAGCTGTGCACCCACTTCGAACACCGGCAGATCGGGACTCTGCCTCAAGCTGTTCATCCGCCTTGAGGAAGGCATTTCTCATGACTTCGCGTACGTCCATGTGAGGGCATACGTTTAATTCCTCCGAAAGAATGCGATTCATATTGTCTCTGCACCACTCGGCAGCGAATTTGCCAGCATGTCCATCAAAGACCGCAAAATAGCCTTGCCCCGGCACGTTGTTGAAGTCCTGTAGGTAAAGGTGTGCATCCTCCATAGTTCGTCGCCACCTTCCATTCTTTTCAGTAGCAATGCCGACATGACACGTCCATTCAGGCAAGGATTCATCTGAGTACGTTGTTGAATCAACTTTATTTAACGCCGGCTGAGCACCACGCGGCTCTTCTTGGCTTGATATTTCCGACGTCGGATTTATCCTAAGATGTCAGAAAATACTGTTTAAAAAGAAATTCGAGATATCATGGCGACAAATTTCTGTCACCACACATACCCTGCTTCAGTGCTCATGACGCGAATTCAGACGTTAGTGTCTGGGAATGTTCAAGTAGGGGCACACTTGACAGACTGTCAGTTGAGTTTGTCAATTTACATCACGTGCACCAAGTGCTCTCTACAAAGGTTGCTAAAGAGTCGAGATCAAGATCTCCACTCCTAGGGGCCTCTCGAATACCAACGATCGGGATCGATGTGATGCAATGATTTAGATGTTATCTGTGCGTTAGTAAAGCACGAAGGAATAGGTCAGTTTCAAGCCATGTTAATAGAGCATACGAACCATAGACAAGTACGTGCGAGCCACGTGGACTGACCATTGGACGACCGGAAGCGCAAGATTCAGTGAGTCGTGCGTTTCGGCGGCCGTAGGACTCGAGTGCTCTGTTTCTGACTCGGACGACATTACGGGCGGCGTTGCATCTCGTGTATCTCCAATGCCTTGTGGCAGGGAAGGGCCCTCTGAAGCTTCTCGAATTGCATTTAGATGCGATGGGTCATCTTCATCTGATTCGTCAGATTGGAAATGCTGATCAGAGTCGAGGCCGAAGTAGTCGCTCATAGGCAATGTCGTTCTCATTTCCGTGTTCGATGCAAATACATTTGACGCAGTATTATCAGTCCCTACCTCTTCTTCTTGAGAAATGATATCCTGGGTAGATAAGCCTTGCACGCTTGGGTTTTCCGACGCGTCATCCTGAAAAACCCATCCATATTGACGCATTTTTTTACATAGGCGCTGATGATGCTGCTTGGCTTGTTGCCGTAGACGGTTGAGTCGAATGTTTTGCTGCCTTAATCGATGCTTGCATATCGCTGTTTGCTTTGCCATGTAGCGAGGAGCCACTTTGATAGCATTCTCGAAGTGCAGTCTCGCAGATCGCTGCACATAATGCGGAACCTGTTTGGCTAGCCGCATAGGAACGTGAGGTATAGAACTGCTGGAATCGCTGTCACTGCACTCAGCCTCGTCAACGTTGCCCAGGTACAACGTAAGCAGACCAAGATATGTGTGTAGCTGGGGCTGGTGTCGATATGGATATGCACCAATAATGCTCGTAAGTTCCTCATGCGCTCGCTGATATTGACCAGCAAGAATCAACTCGCGAATCAAGAAGACTATCGTGTATGGACGCAAAGTCGTGCGGGTGCGAGAAACTCGTAAGAGATATCGAAGCGCGGTGTCTCGCTCCTGACCCATGCAAGCAACTTGAAGTCCTAATTTCCATAGTTCCTGCGGACGCCAATCCTGTGACCTCAAAAGAAGCGAGAAGCAGCGTTCTGCTAATTGCCGGTTCTGCCGAAGAAGCATGAGCTGCATTAAGTCGTATAGGCGTCGCATATGTTGACGATGTTGATCAGTTAGGGCCAAATGTGATACCGCGTTTTCATCCAACGGGTTCGTGTGAGGCACACAGTGCGTGAGCGGGGCAATGCCATGCATATAGGTAATATCGTATTCATCTTTGTATGGCGGTGGTGGCTGAAATAGAGCCGTCGTCTCCACCATTCTCACACTTCATGCAAGGTGCACGAACGTGAACATAAATGGGAATTTGACGGAGACAACAGTGAATACGAGAGAATGGCGCGCGAAGGCGAAAATAAAATTAATAATTAAGACGCGCAAGAAATGCAGCTCAAAATTTCTCGTGTCGGGCACAACACGTGTGCATAAATGTGCACAACGTTTAAGCTCAGCCTCCGCGACAGGCGCATAGCATGTCGAAGCAGAGCGGGGGTGCTGATGAGTCGACATCGCTTCTCGAGTCAGTAGCCACTGGTACAGACTCATGTGAGCAGGAGTTTGTGCTTCGACATGATTTTGCGTCGCATCAATACGCACAGCGATTTGCTCCCACACGCTTTTTAGTGAGTGTATTTGATCCGGAGAAAGAAGGGCCGAGCCCTTACAGAGGGCCCCACTTTCGTGTATGTATATCTTATTGGAGTGACGATCAGTCTAACAGATGTAGCCAGATGATGCTAGTTTCTACGAGATGGTCTCCGATGTACGTGATGCGATGTCATCGGGTCTGAACCCCCGCATGATTTCGACCGGCACAAGCGGCTCTTATTTTGTGTATGACCGCCACAAAAATTCTGCTCGTATACGCGGTGTATTCAAGCCAATGGACGAAGAACCATACGGAAATTTGAAGTACGTAATTGGGTCCAGTATTCGCACACTTGCAACATGTCTGACAGCAGTCCAAAGCGTGTCTTTTTGCGAAAATACTTTTGGTGGGCCATGGGCCGTCCATGGTGCGTGAAAAACAAACAGACGAACGTGTACTAACATATTGACAGCCTGATCCCTAACTTTTCATATCTTTCAGAGGTGGGTGCTTCTTTTCTGGACGATCGACTGGCGCTTGGTTTGGTACCCAAGACACGACTAGTGGGATTTGTGAGTCCTTCGTTCCATTATCTCTACAAGGACCGCAAACGTTGGGAACAGGGGCTGCAGCCACTACCCATTAAGATTGGATCCTTGCAGCAGTTTTTGGATGGTTATGAGAACGCGAGCCAATTTTTCCATCGATACACATTGCCAGGGCGGCCTAAAGATATCATGGAAAGGGATTTGCGCGAAGAACACAAGGCTCACTGGCTTAGTCGGCGCAAGCAAGGTGCGCGGTTGCGCATGATATTTATTGCCATCAAGCGCCTCTTGCTTTGCAGATATGGACCCGGGCCGTACGGGAGCTCCAACGCCAATGAAGAGGCTACAGGTTCGGTACGGCACACGTGCGAGGCCACAGCGTATCCTGCAGCGCATATGTCATCCACAAAATCGTTTGACTGGTCTGAGGAAACACTCACTGACTTGCGGCTGGAGCTTGAGAAGCTTGTGGTGCTTGATTTTTTGATGCGCAATACTGATCGAGGCTTGGATAATTTCATGATCAGGTACAATCCTCAGCCAGCCCCTGGGGAACGTCGCATAACTATTGGAGCTATTGATAATTCGCTGTCGTTCCCTCATCAGCATCCGCAAGGTCTGCGTGATTATCCGTACGGATGGCTGTTTCTCCCTGCGGGACTGATTGGTCAACCGTTTTCCGACGAGACACGCCGCCTGTTTCTTCCTAAACTCTGTGACCCTGTCTGGTGGGCAGGTACCATTGAGGGACTCCGTCGCATCTTTAGCCAAGATGCACATTTCCACGAGCGCACATTCCAACATCAAGTGTCACTTCTGCTAGGGCAAGGATGGCTTATTGTACAATGCCTGCGAGAACGCAATGAAGGCCCCATCGAACTGTGCGCGCGGCCCAAGTGCTTGATTCACAGTAGTGTACAGATGATGACTCGCAAGGAGCTTGATGCACATACGGTGACTGACTTGGTGCAGGGCAGCATTGCATTCCCATCAGATAAGTTGCACGAGCACGAAGATACCGATGAGAGGCCCACCAGCACGCGCGCGATTGAATTCAATCCCCGCAAGCACGACTCAAAACCTAGTCGTTTAGTGCAGTCGCTGCCGACGACAATGATGTCGTCGTCGAATCCTTTGCTCTCCGGCACGTCACATGATTCGAGAGCCATTGATATTGTTGAGCGCATGGCCAAGACACAGAAACGTGGACTGCATTCACCAAAACCTTATGAAAGTCCGCGAGAACTTCCCAGTGCCAAGGCGTCTCATCGCATGCGTCCCCTGGACCTGGATATTAGCGCGAGCGTAAGTACGTATCCCGTGCCAGTCCTTGTCGAGACACTCGAGCCCTTTACGCGGAAAGCTTGGCCATCCTTGAATTAGGTCATTTCCAGCGCGCGCAATCGATGGCCTGGCTCGTAGTTGGCCTCTTGCATCTCATGCAACAGTGCGCGCCAGCGCTCATCCTTGCGCTTCCAGCAAGTCCATATCATAGCCGCATACATACGACGAGTAGGGACGAGTGCTCTTTGTTTGGCTTCTTCCAATAAAGCAAAGGCCTCTTCGTACCGTGGCTGTACTAGGTGCATTCGAGTCATGCGCTCGAAACAGGCGGCCGAAGGTACAATGCCGCGAGTCTGCATCATAGCCCATGCATTCCGAGCTGATGCCATGTCATTCGCGGCCAAGCATCCATCGAGCCACGCTTGGAACGTCTCAGACGTCGGCTCAGGTGTCGCGTGCACGAGTGATTCTGCCGTTGGGAGCTGCCGGCGTTCTGATGCTGCATAGACAAGCGCATTCCATGCACATGTTGGGGGTGGCCATGTCGACTGTTGGAACACGGCCTGGATCGCAACGTCCAAAGCACGTGCGCTTGAAGAGGCTTTCGCTGATAACGAGGCAACCAGTGGTGCATGAAGCTCAATGCCCGACGCGTGCATCCAGCCAAGCACATTCATGGCCTTATCAAAATGCTCCGCGTTGCAAAATGCTTCAAAGGCAGGGATAAGGTGTGCTTCCGTTGGCTCCGAAATCCATGCGAGCGCGTGTGACACAAGCGGACTCAGTCCAGCCCGCGACGCCGCAGTGATAATAGCGACGAGCAAACCATCGTCAGGCACTATTGGTCGACTGTGCTTCCACGCAAGCTCAAGTCCAGGTGCATAGTGCTGTGTAGCGCACACGCGTAGTGTATGCATCCAAACCCGAGCAGAGACGCCGTGTAGAGCATGGGCTTCCTGGACTATCTCGAACGCGATTCGCGGCTCTTGGGCATCTGTTGCGCATTGTACAATAAAGGTGAGTGCATCTTCTTCAAGCTTGACTTTGTAGTCTTTCGCTGTGCACACAAGAAGCAGCATGTATTCAACATTCGTCGTGCGAGCGCAGTGGTGAAGTAGGTGGGTATATGTGGTCGGAGTCCAGCTCGCGACGCACGAAGAGCACAAAATAGTGAAAGGGAAAACTCCGTCATTCGGACGGTATGTTGGCGGGTAGAAAGCATATCGTGAAAGAATTTGCCTAATACGCGGAATGTGATCTGCGACCACAGCCGCTTCCAACGCCAAGTCAAGCATTGAAACAGAGGGTGAGGCCTTGCACGCATGCATGTCGTCCAACAATGCCATTGATTCTGCGATCATGCCGTCTTTCGCGAACACACGCATAAGATCTGACCAAGTTTGTTGGCGTCGGCGCTGAAAGGACTTGATATCAGGATGGCTGTATTGTTTCACGCGCGTCGCCTCAGTGACCGCGCGCGCCACCTCACCATTAGATGCCGTCGACAGTAAACGTCTGGAGAAGCATGTACCTATTCTTCGGTATGCTTGAATGGCGAGTGTCATAACCTGTCATGTACGAACCCCAGGGCCCAAATATAGGGATTAGTGTCGTATGTGGGTCAGATCTTGTCCTGCATTTTTCATGATGCGTGCGTAATTACAAAGCGAACGCGTGGACGCAAGATTTTGTCCTCCACACATCGTCCTTCATTTGCGTGTGCGCGCCCAACGATTGGGGTGTGGAGAAGTCTAGATAATGAAAATGTCCCATAGAGAGGATTACGCCACGATAAGAGGCATTTCATGCGTCCGAGCGGTTAGGCAGTTATGATTCTCCAACTTCTGATCGAAGCCAAATCTTATCTATATACTACATATCGCGAGTATATGACAGGAAGTTCGGTGTCAAGCAATATCAGGAGTTATATTGCAGCAAATGCATGAAATGATATCAGTGCTTTCATTTCCAACATGGGTCGATGCAGCACCCCTCTTCTTCATGGCTTCCGATGCCGGTGCAACAGAAAAACTACGTAGGAACACGAGCGTGTCAGGAGACACGCTGAGAAGCCTCTTGCACGGCATGCTAAAGATGCTCATAAAGATCTGTAAGTGAAGAAAAATAAGTAACGTCAGCTCTACAACGCAAGTGCATGATGTAGCAACAAGATGCCTGCGCTTACTCACAGCGTTGCATTCATGCTCGTGTTGAAAATGGTTCAGCTTTTATGGAGCGTAGTATGAGCACGAGTATATTCTCTATGCGAATCACAGACTCTGATTTTGATGAACTGAATGAACTGACAATCCGGTATAGTATAATATGTTTTCGCCAATAGACTTGTAGAAAGACTGTTTCTTTTGCTTGCCGATTATTTTAGTTCTTAGTTGATGTATTAAGCATTTTTATGGATAATAAGCTAAGGAATATCACTTTTGCTGCGTCGATAGCTTCTCGAAAAAATCCATCCCGTTTGATATGAACTGTAGACTCTCCAGTATAGGCTTGTAGATGGCTATGGTTACCTCGTATGCAGTAATGTTGCTAGGTCTGGCGTGTCATCTTGAATTCCTTATAAGAAATCTTGTATTTCCCTTATTTTATTTATTTATTTTTGGTTCGTTGTGCTTACAAGCGTCCATGTGGGAGTGGCATTGTCGGTGTTGGCTCGCCACAACTGTCGTGGCGCTGAGGCTAGTGGCCGTGAATGATCTTTTGTCACATGCTGTTTGTTTGAAAGTATATTATTGCCTCGCAAGAAATCGGCAAGGCAGCACTGGGTCATGTGCTTTTCGCTTCATGTTGGCATCTTTCTTGGTATAGCTCAATTATTAATTTTGGCACTAACATGGAGCCAGAGATGTAATATTGGGTGTGGAACGACACGTGTGGACGTTCTTCTTATTCTAGGGCTTGACATCTCATAAGTTCAGGAGTTCAGGAAACTGTATACATCGAAACCGTTTCGCCCCTGACACATGGGCAAGACCAGAATTCACGTCTGTATTATTGACGCTTATGTTCGAATAGTACTCATCAGATGTGCTTTGCTAGTATAGTCCTGGATTTCTCACGGAGCTTCGCCATGTCTTGGGATCGAACGTATCAAGTGAGGCATCGCTCGGGGCGGCGTGTGGATCTCTTGGCACGTTAGATCTGACATTGATTTTAATTTGCTCCTTCGTGCACCTGTCCAGTCATTTTTATGTATCTTGACCCTCACTTTCATGTTCCGTGAGGTTCGGTTTCATGCCTGGGGAGCCAACATAATGGGTAATGGCCTTTCCTGCATTTGCAAAAAAAGTGTTTTAGCCCTGACCCTGGCTTTACAGAATCCAGCGCCGCTGTGTCAAATATACTGCTTCCATCAAAAAAGTTTAACGGCGACAATCTGATCAAGAACGTAGTAGTTTCCAGTCAAGGTCTGATCATGTGTATATACGACATTGTAGAGTAGTACGACAACAAGCACAACTCAGACAATGTTCATGTAAGCATGCTAGCTAATCTGTGGCCGGGCATTGGTCTTGCAAAACTCTTGTGCCTAGTAGTCGGTTTGTTTCTCCGTGATCGCCGTCTCAAACTTGATAACATACCTCCAAGTGAAAGTTCGAATTCGCACAACAGTGATTGTAGAGTGAACCCTGTGGCCTCGCCCGTTATTTCGCAAACAAAGGCATAACTGTCCATGTCCCGTTGTCTTCCGACGATGGAGGATTTGGACCCCATGCGTGTGACACGTCCGTTCCCGTTGCCATTTGAAAGCACACGGCGCAGCAGGGCATAACCAATTGCGGCATACCTGACAACTTTCGTTTCCCGTTCTTGTTACACACGACAGCATCTCCTCCCAGTACTAGGGCAACAGCATCTCGTGTTCCATCACATATGTCACAAGGCACACTCAAACGTTCGTTCCGACCGACGAGTTTTTTCGGTGCCAAGTACTGACGAACTAGCGACGAGAGCATCCATCGCTGAATATACGTGGTCCGAGGATAAATTTCAGCATTTTCATTCGATCCAAGCAGCCTGTCATGGACGATGACGTGTGAGTTTAGACACGCTTCCTTCACGTACCGGATACCATCAATGCACCATATGTGCTCGCAGTCGCCCACATGTAAGAGCCAGTTTGGCTGATGCAGAGTGAGTGACCGGAGTTGAGTCAGGCGCGTAGAGCTAAGTGTCTTGCCACTGTAAACGGCCTTGGCGAGAGGCGATGTGCTAGGATGTGTATGTTCTAGAATGGCGTGCACGTAGCTCTGGGATGGATCTAGTGACGGATCAAGGCGACCGTACAGTTTGTCATCCATCATGACACACACATCCGTCGGTAGCGGCGATGCATGATATTTGGGGTATTTAGGCTGCACTGATGGGCCTGCGTCATTAGCACTTGTCCAATGAGTAGGACAATCGCTGCTATCGTGGCACGCATAAGGAAGTTCGCCGTTCCGGCAAACTATTTCATGAACCAGATCATCCAATGTGTGTTCAGATAAGCACTCGAGTTGTTGTGTAAGAACCAGCTCACCATCCATGTTGCTCAGCATAGGTGAGTCAAACATCATATCAGGCATCCAACCGTCCAATCCCCGTGTGCGACGCGTAAGTGGCACATGTCGTCGAGAATAGACAGACACCTGCAGCACGAAGACTATGCTCCCATCCGCAGGTAGCGCCAACTTGTGTGGATGCTTTGTCATTTGCAAAGGCTAAAGATGTAAGTCATGACCGAACCAAATCATGACAGCAGCCAAGATCGTGTTCACCGCACGTACCTTGGTGTCGGCAGCATTAGTGTCGCGCATGGGAATCGACTGCGCATACAATCCCACGTTATCGTAGCTGAGAATGAGAAACAAAATGTTGCACGTACGTATCGAAGGAAAATGACGCAGGGGTGCGTGATGTAGCTTGTTTTTTTAAATCGAGTCCCTGGCTCATTCGACGGCATTTCCACGCATGATCAGCTTCTTCCATAGTAATAGCTTGATTTTGATGATCAGATGCACTCATCACACATGCACAACGCTTTTTCACAGCTTGATAGGCATCAGGATGTATAGATAGCGAGTACGAAGGTCTTGTCGGAAGATCGCGGCATTCCCGGGCGAGTTGATCCAAATCGACCGAGTAAGGCAACTGAGTTGTTTGGAATCTCGCCTCTGCCATGTGCGCAACTCTCAGCAACAATGGCGATGAAGATAAAATGGTTCGTTCGAACGTCGATGATTGAACTACACAAGAACAAACACAAACAGACGCCACGATGACGGCCAAGACATGACCCTTGGAAGAAAAACTTCCGAGGCTGCTATGTGTCCATGCATTCAACGACCTCCACAAGATTTCACCGGGACAACCAGGATAGTGATCCTCCGAGTCACAATGATACGCACGGATCGCTCCATGCCTCGCTCTCACCTCTCCAGTGCTGCAAGAACACGTATATGCCTACACTTCTACATAAGTGAAACAGCATATGGTATGGGTAAGAACTATATCTGTCGCTCGGAAGAGTATAGCATACAGCGTAGAGTGGGAAAGCAATGTCTTTCGTCAGCCTAATCATTTGCATCATAAATATACGCCTACAGCATTAAACAAAGTCACTATGCCAATGCCTGCTAAAAGGCTACTCAGAATACTCAGCGAAGGAGCCTTGTACGAAAAACTTTTGCGCGATACGCTGTTTCGTAAGGTATGATAGTAGTTTTCCACGTACGTTGTAGAAGCGAACGCTAAGAGAAATGCAGCTGAGAGAGAGACAGTCGCGATGTAAGGCATAGACTCGACAGAGATGAGAGGTGACTGAACAGGCCATGTCATGAATTCGGCCTATGTGTAAGTCGCTGTATCCGACGAACCTGTGCATTCATGTACTCCTGCGACATGATGTGAAATGCGACGACTTCCGAGAATTTTTGGACTACACAAGAATCCGAAGATACACCTATTCGCCCGTGGCGTTGCCCTGCGTCGGAGTGTTGCTGATTAAACCTATGCAGCCCTGTTGAATGCCCAAGCAGCCACTCCACTCGCTTTTGGTTGTGTTTTCCCTAGACAAACCCCGTGTGCCTCGGCCGAAACCACCATTTGGCAATCGTCGCCTACGAGATAGTCCCTAGGGCACAAAAAAGTTCACAACAGTCCTGTCTGTGTGCACCCAGCATGAAGGCGCTCGCGAATGTCGTCAATCGTTCGTTTCGTCGCTTCGAGAGGGCTGGTGAGGCAGTGATGGGTCGCGTAGGCCCGATATTTGTGGGGATCTATGTCGTTCTTGTTGGTACAGGCATGTGGATCTTCTGTACGTGTTCTGTGTGTTCTGTATAAACCCAGTCCGGAAACTAACGCCTTTAGTCGTTTGTATTTTCCCAACCTATATACCCCTACCAAATGCCTTAATTGACATCGCAAAAATGCCTTCCCTTTTCCATATGGTTCTCGGTATTCCTTATGCTGCTTGGGAAAGCGTAAAATATGAATTTCGAGCCACGTTCATATGCGTCGCAGTGACATTGACGTGTTTATATATTGTCATGATGATGATTTGGACGTACTACATGGCATGTACGGTACTACCTGGCTCGGTTGCTCATGGGTTATCTGATAATTCAGCTGAGCGTCGTCTCGGACCTGGTAGTACGCTTTGGTGGCGAGACCGGCGGCAACGGGTGGCTTCAGCTGCATACATGCGACTCGCCATGGATGAAAAGCTACCCGTTCATTATGATTCGGTCACACCCAAAATAAGACGTGCGCATGTTGACACACTTGATGACCGCTCCCCTGGAGATGCGGAACATGACCTTCGGTGTTCTTTTCGCTTTTGCAAGAAGTGCCCACCAGTCCCTCTGGCCACAGCTCTTTCGCGTCTTCCACCTGAATTGCGCTTGGAAGAAAAGCTGAACCGACGCAAAGAAGCGTTGAGCAGAAAGCAAATGGCTGCAACAAGTGCACCCGAGGCTATGCATTATGACCACGAGCAGCTTGAGCCGCCACCGGAGCTGTTCCAGGATCAAGACGACGAGGGTGAGCATGATATTCGTTTGTGGCTTGGACAGAAGCAAGCTGATATGATTGTGTTTCCTCCAAAACCTGAGCGTGCGCACCATTGTCGTACGTGCGGTACATGTATTTTGAAATTTGATCACCACTGTCCGTGGATCAATCAATGTGTGGGACTCGGGAATGAGCGTTATTTCATTCTATTCATGCTGTGGTTTTCTTTCGGTACATTGATATTTTCTGTCGCTGGATGGCGCATTGCTTGGGAGGGCTTCACGCGACCGAAAGAGTGGTCCTCGTTTCTTGTACATCGACTACTGTACCTCGCTATATACGCCAAGGCTGCGGTCATGGGTATGGTAGTATTTATTCTTGCCATATGGCATCTCTATTTGGCTGCTCGGAATGAAACTTCGTTGGAGAATCAAGACAATACACATTACGCCAAAATGGCCAAGGAGCGAAAAGCTGTCTTTTGCAATGTGTATGACTTGGGATGGGTGCGCAACTTACAGTTGTTTTTCAATGTTGGCCCCGGTTTGGCACATGATTATTGTTCGCTTTTCTTGCCCATCCACATCGAACCATACTCGGATGGCTGGCATTGGGCCAAGCGAGCTGGCCTTGAAGGCCGTCATGGGGGTATCATGAATGAAGAAGAATTCACGGATGACGAAGGTGACACTTGAGATGATTGGCATGTGGAAGGATTTTCAGTATGAGACAAATGCCGCTGGCTCTCAAAAGTGAAATGAGGTTGGATTCGAAAACGTTCGCAATGAAAGTATAGCGAGAATCAGCTGTGATGAAATAACGCAATAGACTTAAGACAATACTTTATCGGCTAAAAATTAGACAGCATACGTAAGATGTAAATCTAGGGTTACAGTGACAATAAATTTACAATTCCTTACTTGTTGCTGCGCTTTTAAACTCTTCGTCCGTGAAAACATCTTTTCTTCGACTAGTGTTAGTTCCTGATGCTCAAATACTTTTAGGTTTTCAAAGCCATTCAGTGTCACGATCCTGTTTTTAAGCATAGACAAACAGGCTGTTATCGAAACCGGTCACTGTGTCTTGTCTGAGACGTAAAGCGATCGCCTATGCCTCGGTCCGGACTTGAATCACAAATTCAACTGCCACGACGATTTCGTGTAGCCCGGGAACATTCCATTCACAACAGCGCAGTCACCATCATGATTATACAATTTTGTTGAGTAAAGGGCCATGTTGTTGCTGTCATGAATAAGCTTTATCTTTGCGCAAGTGTAACCTGCGATGCTTCCATCTTACGAAACCAAAGCAGAAAATGATGTGTCTATAAGAAAACTAATTAGGTTGGGAAGAATAATGTGCAGACACGGTTCCTCATATATATGGACTTATATCTTACTCGTCAAATTACTTTAATAGTATCACCATCGAACGAAGCGGGTAAAATTCATGCAGTCTTTACAACCTTGCGAGCATGACAAGTATTGGCCCTGATCCACCCTTCCGAAAGCCACTTTCTTGCGAAGCGTTCTTACTAACAACTTCAGCTCTCATTATGCTGAAAATTTCAGCGATGTCGAAAAGTTGCACTTTGTTCTTGTTCGATCCAGTTTCCCTTAACCTTTTCTACATCAATCTTGTAATCAATGACAAAAGGAAACACGGGACTTGCACGAGAAGATCTTCGAAATTTAAGCCAGTAGCGCCTCAACCTACGATGGAATTGGCGTAAAGTCATTAATAGAAAACCTCCTTACATTATATAGCTTAATACAAGCTTTAGCAAATCCTCTTAGAAATAGCTTCCTCGAAGCACCTTGAAAAGAAAAATCACAAAGAAGTATGCCCCTATTTCTAGACCCAAGAACTTCTTTTTCCATGTATCACAGTCATTGCCGTTACTTGATTCGTGGACCTTGGTCAAGATTCCTCTTTCAATCAAACACAATCACAATTCGTATCTTATCCAAATGCCAGGAATATGTTAACTTAAGAAACCAATAACAAATGAGCCATATTAATACTGAAGTACCCACTCTGCTGATTGTTGCCAAGGAATAAAAGAAAAAAAAGAACAAGTGAAAAGTGTGAAATTAGAACCGTCAACCTGACGGATTGGTTTACATTTTTTTCCTGTGTTTGTAGAACGCCACTTTGAGACTCGAGATGTATATCGATATCCTTGCATAATAAATTAGAGTGTCTATTTTCATTGAAGAGCTTATACAAGGTGCGAGTTAGCTTGACGATAATGAACATGAGCATGAATTATGGGATTTCAGCCCTGCCGTTACGAGACGCAACTGGTTCATCACTAATTTGTTAGAAATATAGCATATTCAAAAGCTTCAGAAATTCAAGTTTAAGGGTGAAAAAAACTTGCATATACGGGATTACCCAAGGAGTTTGGTCTTACGGTCCATTGTTTGTTCAACTATGCGCCCCGTAAGCCAACTGGTTCACTTTATTCGTTCACTTATCATTCTGGTCTTTGCTGTTGCAAATAATATACAAATACCCTTGAAATTAATGGGAAAATAGAGGACTTAAGAAAACCCCAGTTTCGCCGCTCATCCAGAGTGAATGGAAGCTCAAGAGCAAAGAGCTACAGATTTGAAATGCTTGAAGCTGTGACTTGCAGCTTTTGGCCCCGCCTTTTAGATTGCGGGGCACCACACTGCATGTGGATAAGATATGTCTTGCCAGATTGAGCCAATAAGGTTTACACTAGAATTTATCTCGAATACAAATGCAGTACATAATTTCATGCCAAGAAACCTGGCAAAAACACCTCGGCTTACGTACATTTACATGTGCCGCTGTCTCCTCGTCAGCGATAGCGCATCCCACTTGGAAGCCTTTCAGGTGGCTACACGTAAGCTAATGTTGGTCATGATGTATACACTATAATCCTACCAGGATGGATTGTGAATGGGCGGTGAGTTGCAAAATATTAGCAGCAAATACCGAACGAATCGACTTTTCAAGTCCCGGCGGTTTCGAACTCGTAATTTATTGCGTTCTTTCAGGTTCATAAATGGCTTCTCCACTTCCGCGTGTGCAATCTACCTTTACGGCACGAATAGACGTTATCGCCACTCAATGCCGACAACTTCTGGCTTAGCGTGGGATTACATACTTAAGTTCATAATTATTGGTGATGCTTCCGTGGGAAAATCATCCATTCTCGTTCGCTTTACGGAGGACAAGTTTCTGGTGGATTCAGATACGACGATTGGGATTGAGTTTGGCTCTCACATTGTGACGTTGGAATCAGGCGAACGACTTAAACTGCAAATCTGGGACACTGCTGGAAGCGAACAATTTCGAAGCGTGCGTTCTTATAAATTGATCCTAATGAAAGATTACTCGTTCTTATTACAAAGGGGCTGCAGGATGTCTTTTGGTGTACGACGTGACGGAGCACGATACTTTCGAGCACTTGCCAAGCTGGCTCGATGATGTACGAAGTCAGGCGGAAGAGAATGCCACAATTGCACTCGTTGGAAATATGTCTGATCGTCCTGATACGCAAAGAACCGTTTCGAAAGAAGAAGGCCAAGCTTTTGCTGAAAAACACAAGTATGTAAATTGATGGACTTACACGAATCAGTTTGCTGTTCTTCGAGACGAGTGCCAAGACTGGGCAGGTAAGTACAGTCTGGAGGCATTCAATCTTCTAATGCATTAGAATATTTCTGAAGTATTCACAACGGTGGCAAGGGACATTTTTGAGAGATACAAGTCAAATCCTTCAAGTGCAAGACGCTCGATAAACCCAACAGACAGCGTTGACATTGCTTCAACAACATCTTCTGCTGCTTCATGCTGCATGTAGTGAAACCGGACCTGACAAAAAAATAAGATACACGTAGAGCTTATTACACATGGGCATCAAATAGAGCATAGGCAAGACATTCTACATGGATCGGTTGGTATCTATGAGTGCACACTCGAAGCTGAATTTGCAGCATCGCTGATTTGTGGCTCCGCGCGCCAGTCACCGCCGCTCGAGCCTTTGCGCCAATCATGTGCGTTAGCTGATGGCAAATCATTTCCATACATCTCGGCTGCTTCCGCCCGCTCTCTTGCAAGACGCTCCTTCCAACCGAGCCGCAGAAAATCATGCTTTGCGTGTGCTTCACGGCGACGTTCACGATTTTCTACAGCAAGTTGCTGGTATAGCTCACGCACCAGCTCAGGTGATGCGTATCGAAGATGCATAAAATTGCATTGACCACCGCGGTTACATTCATTCGTCTCATTTTGACGACAGCACGCTTCACGAAAGTCACTTACTGGCGAAAGCTCAGCGAACAAGGGACGTTGATGATACCAGCGTGTATTGAGCCCGTCGACTGCACGTTGTGCGTCGTCCTCGGTTTCATAACGCGCATACACATTGCCAATTAGATGATCTCCCACATTATCGCAAACGTGCATCTCAATTAGGGTGCCATAATCACTGAGCCCTTTGAAAAAGTCGGAAAAAAACGCATCAAATTGCTGCTGTAGCTCTGCATCAGATGCACGACAGTCTGGATCGAGGTATTTAGGATTTTGATATACATTTGATAGGAGAATTGTATGAGAGCGCTCAGGTCGGATGTGGCGTCGAGAGCATCGATCGCCATGTCGACATGCACCAATTTTGAAGTAGAATGAGCAGTTTACTTTATCTTGCTCGGTTCCGTAGTCGCGGGATGTAGGGAGCATATTGGGTTTCCGAGGATCAAATCACAGCAGTTGAGGACCCTCCAAGGTAACCAACCTCACCAAAGCGACAGTCGAGGGACGATTAAGCGATCGAGCGAACCATCGATACATGTGACACGTGGATCCACGTGATGTCCGACGCCCTCCGCTGTTGTGCTTCGTCACCAAGAACACCGTTCTCGAAACTTTCCACGACGGTGTGATTGCGTGCGTGTGGGTGACGGTGGTGACAGGGGCATGACTGTAAGCCACCGCAAGCCGCGTCCAGCCCAGACAAGCCAAGATCGATCCAGTACGTAAGGAAGAGAAATGGGACTATAGGCCCGTGCAACAGCTTATTCTGACTGACGATTCACGTGTAGCTGCCGAGCCGGGTGTGCGATATCATTGTGATGTGTGTGGCGCTGATATCACACTGACTGTGCGCATCCGTTGTGCAGGCGGATGTGAAGACTTTGACTTGTGTGGGACGTGCTTTTGTACGGGATCGGAAATTGGGCAGCACAAGGCATGGCATGACTACAGGGTTATTGAGCAGCACGCGACACCTGTCTTTTGTCCAGACTGGGGTGTGGACGAAGAGCTGTTGCTCATTGATGGATGTCAATTGTATGGAGTTGGGAACTGGATGGATATTGCAGATCATATTGGAAATCGAACGAAAGAAGAAGTCGAAAAGCACTTCGTTGACGTGTACATCAAAGGAAAAAATGGCCTGCCATCTGGCGACAGGCGTGCAGAAAAAGCGGTAGCTGATTGGCGCGAGAGTCATCCACCTGATCCATCCTTTCATGGAGAAGAGCGCCTGCCTATTGTGGGGCCGGATGCAAACTTTACGACGGATGTCACGATGGATGAATTCCAGCGCGCTCGTCGCGAGCGTATTGAGAAGCTGCGCGCCTCTCAGCTTCCCATTGTGCCACCCAAGGGAGGCAAGCCTCTTGTTTCGGCGCCTACAACTCACAGTGAGTTATCGGGCTTCATGCCAGGGCGGTTGGAGTTCGAACAGGAGTTTGAGCAGGATGCTGAGCATGCTGTTAAAGACATGGAGTTCGGCCTTGTATACTCATTTGGTGGTGATACATTACCCACAGAGTCTGAGGCACTTAATGGTAAAACTGCGACACAGGGGAAGCCCCGTATGGAATCGAGTGGGCGTGGTGGGCCAGTTCATGTGTCGACCAAAGTACAAGACGAGCCGGAGGAAGAGACGTTTGCTGATGCACTGGACAGCCAGGCAGAACCTATGAGCATAGATGGAAAGAACGAAGAACCGTTGCCAGCCGCAAACCAGAGCCAGAGTCAGAGCCAGATGCAGCATGTGCGCGACAGCAGTCACACGGCAGCAGAGCCTGTCAAGCTAGAGGACGAGACTCGAGCAGACACGAAAGCCGCTGCGCCGGCGCCTCAGGCAGAGCCAGCATCAAAATCTGATGAAATGCATGAAGATGCCTCGCCCGACTGGGAAGAAGATCCTATGGACCTGGAGCTGAAGCTTGCTATACTCGACATCTACAGTGAACAGCTAAATCGACGATCACGCAAAAAACAGTTCTTATTTGAGCGCAATCTGGTCGATTACCGGCGGAACACCGCCGCGGAGCGGAGACGTCCGAAAGAAGAGCGTGATTTGCTCGCACGGATCAAGCACTTTGCAACGCTCCAGACTGCCACCGACTTTGAAGAGCTGTACCAAGATCTCTGTTACGAAGAGGCACTCAAGAAAACTGTGCGTCAGCTGCAGCATTACAGAAGTTTGGGCATTACCACGCTGGCTGAAGCAGCGCGCTACGACCGCGAACATGCAGAAAGAACGAAGCGGCAGTTGGAAGCGGCTGAAGGAACATTGCCCTCTCAGGCTGGTCGCGCGCGACATCGAGAACGGAGTCAGTCTGTGTTGGACAAGAAAGACACAGACGAGTTCTCGTTCGCAACAGCACCGTCGATCCAATTGCTCACGCGAGAAGAGCAGCAGTTGTGTTCTTTGTTACACATTTTGCCGCAGCCATTTTTGATTTTAAAGACGGTGCTTTTGACATACTGCTTCGCACATCATCGGGACTTGACCATTCGTCATTGTGAAAGACTCTGTTCTATTGATCCACGCAAACTCGCTTATATCTACGACTTTTTCCGCGAGAAAGGATATTTTCATGCTGTGGCACAGGCGAGAACATGGGAAGAGTCGCAGGCGCCAAATGCATCAATGACAACCCCATCACACGCTGTACACGAAGCTGTAAAGCCTTAGCAAAAAAAAAAAAAATGTGTGGATGTGAGGGATAGTCTCTTCGAAAGACGTGGGATCATTGCTCCCATCAACCTTGAATTGCTGTTGGTACATGTCTGAAAAAATGGCCGCGACCAGACGCGGCTAGCCTAGTTTCCTGCCGCTGTTCTCATGCTCATTCGCGACATGCAGTCCTATCGTTGTCACGCCGGCTCAGGCCGAGCCAGGCCTCCATACCCATCCTTCGTCTGACCTTCCTCTGTATAGACTGTATTCTACGTACATAAAGCTATTACGACTTATCCAACAAAGGCACGTGCATTTTCAAACATGCGGAACCATGGACTGTATCCCATCCATTCGTTCGATGGGTGGTCTGGGGCCCATGAAAGCGATTGCTTCGCAACGGCGCGTTCTGGGTGTGGCATCATAATCAGGACACGACCGTCCGCAGCTGTGGCACCGGCGATGTTCGCGGCTGATCCGTTCGGGTTGTGGGGATAGCGAGAGTCCGTGTACTGGAGCGCGATGCCGTTCTGCTGCTGCAGATCCGCCAGCCTCGACGAGTCGCGGAACACCGCGCGTCCTTCGCCATGAGCCACAGGCACAGGCATTATACTCGAGTCCATGTCTCTAAAGAAGATGCAAGGCGTGGAGGGCTGGATCTTGACGTTTGTCAAACGCGCCTCAAAGCGACCACTTTCATTCGGACCGAACAATGGCCAATTTTCAGCGCCGGGAATCAGGCCGGCGTGGCCCAGTGTGCTGAGCATTTGGCATCCGTTGCAAATACCCAAAGCGAAGGTGTCTTTCCGTGCGAAGAACCGTGCAAACTCTTCATTCACTCGCGACGAATGCAGAATCGACTGGGCCCAACCACGGCCTGAGCCTAGCACATCACCGTACGAGAAGCCACCACACGCAGCCAGACCCACAAATGGCTCTAGTGATTGATGCCCATTCAGCAAATCAGTCATGTGCACATCGTAGGTCGAGAAGCCAGCACTGGCAAATGCCCAGGCCATTTCGATGTGGCCATTGACGCCCTGTTCACGCAAGATCGCTACGCGAGGTTGCGATGCAAGTGGCCGTTCAATGGAAGCTGGATTGCTCCATTGGAGTGTCTTGGCAGGATGGAAGGTCAGCTCATACTTGAGGGACGCGGATTCGGCCGGCTCATCGATAAACGCCAACTCTTGCTTGGCACACTCCGGGTTGTCCCGCAGCGACTGCATCCGGAACGATGTATCGGCCCAGGCCTTCTGCAGCGCAGCACGTGTGGACGACAACAGTGTTTCGCCGCGGCACTTGATGTTGATTTGTTCATCTCCACGCACACTCGCCACGGTGTGGATGATGTTGGACGGGACGCCCATGCTCGTGAGTACAGACGTGACCGCTGACACATCCTTCACACAGACCTGCAACACAGCACCCAGTTCTTCATTGAACAGGGCAGCCATCGGCGTATCGCGCAAAATGCCTGTGATGTCCATGTCGAGACCCAGGCGGCCGGCAAACGACATTTCCAGCACCGTCGCAAGCAGGCCACCATCAGACCTGTCGTGATACGCATGCACCAATGGTGCGCTGTGCGGCATGCCAGCGTGCATCTGCTTCATTATGTTCATTGCGCTGAAGAAGGCACGCAGCACTTCAGGCTCCTCGACATCAGGCGCCTCTGTGCCGACTTCGCGGAATACCTGGGCAAGCGCAGAGCCACCCAAACGCTGCCTACCATGGCCCAAATCAACCAAAAGGAGGCATGAGTCATCAAGCATCCGAAGCGTCGGAGTCCACGTCTGCGACACATTTGCGACAGGAGCAAAACCAGACACGATCGGACTCACTGGCGCTGTAACGGTACGGGTTTCATGCTCGGGCTCATTCTCATTCCTGTCAGAGCGCCACGACATGCCCATGGACATAGAGTCTTTGCCGACGGGAATTGAAACGCCTAGCCTTGGGCAAAAGTCCATGCCAACCGCTTGGACAGCATCATACAATACAGCGCCATCGTGCTGGAAGCCGGCTGAACACATCCAGTTCGCACTCAGTTTAATCTTCCGAATGTCGTCAATGTATGCCGCTGCCATGTTGGTCAGTGTCTCACCCACAGCCATACGAGCCGCTGCTGCGCCACTGAAGAGCGAAAGAGGCGTCCGTTCGCCGCTTGCCATTGCCTCACCGGCCGCATTGTCGTCGAATGAATGGGACGTTCGGGTCACAGCCACATCGGCCACAGGCACTTGGAACGGTCCGACCATCTGATCCCGTGCCACAAGACCCGTAATGCTACGATCACCAATCGTGATCAGGAATGATTTGCTGCCGACTGACGGTAGATGAAGCACACGGTCTACAGCCGCAGCAAACCGCGCGTTTTCGTCCAGGCCTGGTAGATAAGTCGCAAGCGACGAGTCAAATGCACGCAGCTGGCGCTTCACGTGCTCTGACGAGCGGTCCATTTTCGGCGGCTTTCCGAAGAGTGTCGACATTGGCAGGTCAATGCATGTTTCTTCGCGCAGGCGGTCCGTCAGCACGAAGCGCTGCTCAGACGTGGCGTGGCCGACAGCTGCCACAGGGCACCGCTCGCGCTCCGCAATGGCTTTGAACCGGGCCAGATCATGAGCACGCACAGCCAGTACGTAGCGCTCCTGGCTCTCATTGCACCAAATGGCGAGCGGGCTCAGCGACGAATTGCCCAAGGGGATGTTGCGCAGCTCGCACACAGCACCGAGACCAGCATCGTGAACAAGCTCTGGCAGCGCATTGCTCAGCCCACCAGCACCAACATCATGAATACTGACAATAGGATTCGTTTCGCTCGAGCAACAAGCATCGATCACTTCCTGACACCGACGTTGCATCTCAGGGTTCTCACGCGATACACTCACAAAGTCGAGCTTCGAGCGCTCGGAACCACCACCGGCCAGGGACGAGCTCGTTCCGCCACCCAGACCAATGAGGTAACCAGGGCCACCCATAACAATAAGCACGTCGTTGGGTTGGATCTTCCCCTTGAGCATGTTGGAGCGACGCACGTTGCCCACACCGCCGGCCAGCATGATCGGCTTGTGGTAGCCACGCCACTCAAATCCATTTTCCGTCGGCACACGTTCACACAGCGTGCGCCAAAATCCAGTGATGGCAGGACGGCCAAACTCGTTGTTGAAGGCAGAGGCACCGATCGGCGCATCGCGCATGATCTCAAATGCGCTGGCTACATGCATCGGGTAGCCAATGTCCTCCTCCCACGGCTGCCGGCCGTCACCAGGTAGGAGTAGATTAGATGTCATGAATCCTGTCAAACCGGCTTTGGGCTTAGAGCCACAGCCAACAGCACCCTCATCACGGATTTCACCGCCTGAGCCTGTCGCTGCACCTGGGTAGGGCGAAATGGCTGTTGGGTGGTTATGTGTCTCGACTTTGGCAAGGATTGGCATAGACTCCCGCTGTCCGACGTACAAGTGAGACACACGGTCGTTGTTTTCAAGAACTCGAACGTCAGGCGATGGCATGTATCGCACGCCCTCGGAGCCTTCAAGCACAGCAGCATTGTCCGAGTAGGCACTGAGCGTGTGAGCGGGGGTCTTCTCTTCCGTGTTGCGGATCATTGCGAAAAGGGAGAGAGGCTGTTTCTTGCCATCGATCGTCCACGCTGCATTGAAGATCTTGTGACGGCAGTGCTCGGAGTTAATTTGTGCAAACATGAACAGTTCCACATCGGTGGGGTTCCGCCGGAGTGGAGCAACGTCACCTTGTCCGCGCACGAAGGCATCGACCAGATAGTTGATTTCATCGGGAGCAAGAGCCAAGGCGTATTTCGTGTTGGATTCAGCCAGGCGATCATGGGCCGCGTCCCAATTCGTATCGGATGCTGACGACAGTAGTTCGACCACACGCAACGGGCTTGGCTCTGATGAGCCGAACAATTCATTCGCAAGAAAGACTGGAGGATCACGCGTTACAATCTGTGTCATACGGTCATGCAAATGTGACTGAGCATGGTGGAATTCGTCGGCATTAAGTGGCTCTGACACATCAAGCACAAATGCCATACCACGTTCGAGACGCTCGATCGTGTCATCCATCTCGCAGATATGCGAAATATCTGTCGCCTTCGATGCCCAAGGTGTCGTGTTTCCAGGTCGGGGTAGGACAAAGAGAACATCTTTCCCTGGCGTGCTTTGGCCTTCGAGTGCCTTTTGAACGACACCACGCGTGTCCTCGAAAGCAATGTCATCACCATACCTGAGCAAGTCATCTAGACGTACTCGCTTTGCACTTGATGCATTTTGAAGATCTTTATATGCCTCCTGCGTTGGCACCAGAACCATGTGCAGGAAAACGCCATCCACTCGCCTCACATGTGGTGCCACATTCTGAACCTGCTCTAGAAGCTGCTGGCGTTTCGCCTCCAGCATTGTCGAGGGTCCCAGCAGCGTGAGGCAAAGCAGCTGCTTACTTGGATTCATCTGAGAGCCCATATGCGTGAGTTAATCTTGTGCAACCCACACCAATCTCGCACGGGCGGAGTGAATGTGAATGGCACAGGACTGAAATTTGACAAAAAAAAAAGTGAGTTCGGTAGACCCATATCATTCTCGCCTCTCCCATCCGGCCCACAACCTATCCCTCGTTCTCACTCCACCTCTGATGAAATTTGATCAAATCAAATCCTTTACAGGCAAAGACGATGCAAGTCATGATGAGTCAGCTTCATGTTAAAAGCAGGTACGCGTGGCCTTTTCACCCCACTCATTGTGGAGATAGATAGACTACGGCGCTGACGACGACGATAACGACAACAGGTACGGTGGCAAACGCACAAGTGTCTGTATTCCTACTGATAGTACCGCGACTAAAAGCTGCCTGCTTATCTACCATGAGCGGAAATGATACTGTCGTTTTTAAGAAACGATCACGAGCTGGTGCACATCGTGATGTACGGAAACGTGATGTTGATGACGATGCCAGCAACACAGCGTCTAGTGTGGTAACCAAAAAGTCGCGTGCAGAACAACCCACGACGAACAAAATAGCCCCGATACCCGACCGCTTTGGTGAAACAACTGTGCACGCGACAGAGCGAGCCAACGCTTCAGCTAGGAACGCAAATACGAATCAGGAGACGCGACCCGGGGAGCTGACTGGGACGTAGGCCGATGAAATGGCTCGGTTCGAAGAAACGACATCCAAAGAGGCGCCAAAGACGGTAACGAATGATGATGGCACATATTGAGGTTTGGCACAATATTCAAAATATACACAAGAGCGTGATGATGGCTCCTCCGCAAAAATCAAGGCGAAGGGACCCATCAAGGCACCCACCAATGTGCGCACCATCACCGTCGTCGATTACCAACCAGATGTATGCAAAGACTATAAGGAAACAGGGTATTGCGGTTTTGGAGACACATGCAAATTCTTGCATGATCGAAGCGACTACCTGGCAGGTTGGCAGATGAACAGTGTAGGAGAGGCAGCAGATGCGCGTGCAGGTTCGTTTGGGGTGGATCTAGACGCTGAGGAAGAGGATGATGACGATAATATCCCATTTGCTTGCTTGTTGTGTCGCGAGCCATTCACAAACCCAATCGTGACGCTGTGTGGCCACTATTTCTGCGCCAAGTGTGCCATTGCGCGCTTTGCCAAGACGCCGAAGTGTTTTGCGTGTGGTGCCAAGACCAATGGTCTATTCAATTCGGCAACAAGGATCATTGAGCGCATGAACAAGCGTCAGGCGACGAAGCAAGAAGCACGTGCAGAGCGTCGGAGGATGCACGGCCTTGATGACGGCGAACACCATACTGACGAGCTCTCGCAGGATGGGATCATCATTGATTCGAACGAGACGCCGTCCGGTGCTTGAATTGGGCTGGGGTCTCGAGTTTCGAACCTAAGCTCCACATACCCAACCGACACCGCTTCGCATGTTCCTCGGCTCGTTCGAGCGCAGCGCGCCCTGTCTTGGCGCGTAGGAAAATGTGTGTGAGCCACGAAGGCGGGCCGTACGTGGCATTGGCACTACGATACACGGGCGCAAGCCCTTTGCGGACGAGCGCCAGCGATACATTTGTTGGCCATAGGTACGGCCATCTGTACACGTAGGGCGTGGCGACCAGCCGCTGATACTGGTCAATCAGCGCCATGTCAAGCCAAACGGTACGCCCTTCCACAAGCTTGCGCAGTTCTTTCTGAGCAACATCGGCGTATGGCTGAGCCTCGCGGCCAAAGTGCGCTGTTTCAGGTGCATCTACACCAGCTAGACGCACAGAAATGGTCTGCTGCCGGAGCTCCGATGCTTTGGTCGGTGGTCGGTGAAGCCAGTGCCGAAGGATGGGCAGGCCTGGCGTGTGGTAAAGCCGGAATCCATCAGCGTCGCCAACACTGTGAACGTATGCGAATGCGTGTCAGTATGCGGGCGTGTGGGGTGCTCACAATGAGCGAGACGTACCTAGTGACTCGACCGACGATCCGCCGTCGTGCGCGGAGAGTGGCTGGCGTGATATACGATGCATTCGGAATCCGACGGAAAAAACGCCACCAAATGAACAAGCCGCCTGCCAGAGCAGTGGCACTAGTGAGCGCTGCGCCAACCGGTGTCGACACTGTCTCGATAAAGAGGCGCACAGCCCAAGGGAATGCTAGAATAGGCGCATCATTGTCGTCGGTGCGTGCGGTGATGCGCTCACTCTTCTCCATAGGTGCGTGGACGCGGAAAGGGTCACCACTACCATTGGCTGCAACCACACGGAGCCAGTCGTCACCCATGTTGTCGCGGAGCTTTTCCATTTGCTGTTTATACGAGTCGACGGAATGGGATGATGTCTTGGTGGGAGACGCCCGCGTCTTTTTCTTGCGCGCTTCACTCGTGCCTTTGCTTACTGCCTGTGACGACGACGATGTTGTGATGCGACGGACTTGCGGCGAGAGACGTGCCTCGATCGACGAACTAGCACGGCGTGGCTGCGTCGCCATGCGGCGTGCGAGCAATCCAGAGACACGCCGCCGCTCGAAAAAGCTGCACGGTATGTCGTCGAGGCAAATGTCCTTATGCTCGAGAGCAAAGGTATAGAAGCAAGCGACGCGCGCGTCTGGTACTTGATGACACAAAGGATTGGATGCGATCCATGCGTGTGAGATATGTGGGAGTGTAGCCAGACGGCCGACCTCACCAGGATCACTGACCCAGTTCTGACGCAGATCGACCTGCCGCAGTGTGTGCAGACGCTCTAGCCCACACAAGCTTTCGAGACGGTTTCCACTAAGATTCAGCGCTTGGATATGTGGCAAGGACTTGTAGATTCCCAGTACACTGTCGATCATGTTGTGCGATAGATTGAGCGATAGCAAGTGCGATTCACACTCAAGGGCCGGGGGGATCGCATTTAGCAGGTTGTGAGATAAGTCGATGTGCACGAGAGAGGGAAGAACGTCTAGCGCGGACGCGGGCACGAATGTCAGCTCGTCGTGGGGGAGATGCAAAAAGCGCAGCGAATGCCATGCTGCCGCAGGTACATCTGTGGCCTCTGTTGGTTGGTCTCGTTGCACAAGACCAACAAATATGTCTGTGACATCAGTAAGGCTCACGTGTGAGCAAGATAAAGAGGTGAGTTGGATGCAAAGGCGATGCCAACCCACGATCGATGTCGGATCCACACCATCTAAAGCCAGGTGTGTGATCTCTTTGCAGACAAGGAGAGGCGTTGCATGGGAGCCAGGAAAGTCTGCGAATTCTGCCTCGTCGATCGACGAGGGGGGCGGCGTTACACACAGCGAAGAGACGCGACTCAGTATTGAGTATAGATATGCGTACATCTTGTCAGGGTCAGCTTCATCTTCCTTCCCACTACTGGCTCTTCCCCACCACGTAGAAACAGACTGAATTGTATGCTGCAGCGACAGGACGCTGTACGTGTCGCTGGTGTGTGTCGCCGTCTTGGTGGGCGAAGCATTGATGCCCTTTTCTGCCGCTGCATGCTTTGCACGGCACGACACATCCAATGGTCCTACATTGTATCCCAAGCCTTCACAGCGCAAAAGTAGATAGTACAGGTGATGCAGGTCAATTGTGAGTGTAGTCGGGGACTTTTCGCGGAGTAGTGAGGACTCATGCCGTCGGATCCACGCAGTCCACGAGGTAAACCACGCATCCATGCTAGGTTTTTTTCTTGAACTAGATCTGTAATGCTGAGAACCACCTGTTTGGTAGAAATAAGAAAAGAAGAAAGTACGTAGGACTGGCGCGCGTGTTTGTCTTTGTTGCCGTGCGGAGACAGGTGGGTGATCGAATAGAGGTATGCGTGTGTATCTGTGTATGTGTGGAGGAACAGGCGAGCGATCGGTATCGAGATTCGTACGCGAGAGACCCCAGTGGCAACTTGGGCAAGACCGCCGAAAATAAATTTATCTTCCTTGTGACGCGGCGGAGCGAGCCACCGACGACTCTCACGCGCACATATCGTGTCGCGTGGCAATTGACTTGGAAATTCTAGTTTCTCGTATGAATATTTCTGATTGACTCAGTTTGTCCACTCGTTGCATTTTGCCCATTGTGCATGCCCAAGTGGTGGGGGTTCGTCCATCTTCTTCGATTTAGGAGGCCTGGGTGGGTGACGACTAGATTTTCCTCTCCCTCAACACTACAACGAATCGCATTCACACAGCCGCGCTTGATTTCATCTACAAGAATGACTGACGCAGAAGGCGGTGCTATGAATCTACTGTCGGATCCAGTGACCGGCGAAATGATCAGCAAGAGCGAGCTGAAGCGCCGGCAGAAGCAGCGGCAGAAGGACGCCGAAAAGGCCGAGAAGGCCGCCAAGGCGCAGTCTGAAGGCGGCGCCGGTGGCGCAGGTGGTGCACCGAAGGCAGGCGCTAACATGGCGGCCGAAGAAGCACTGACGCCGAACCAGTACTATGAGATGCGCAGCCGAGCGATTCAGAAGGCTGCGCGAAACAAGGAACCCGGATCCGTATCCGCACAAATTCCACGTAACACTGAGCTTGACAGACTTTATTGCGCGTTTCCAAGACAAGGTCGAACCAGGCACACAGCTCGCAGATGTAGTGTGCGTGGCAGGCCGCTTGCACAACATGCGTGCATCTGGGCAAAAGCTGCGTTTCTACGACCTGCACGCTGAGGGCGTCAAGATCCAAATCATGGCACAAATGCAGGATCACAGGGAGGGCGACTTCTTCGAGGCGCACGACCTGCTGCGCCGTGGTGACGTCGTCGGTGTCAAGGGTGTGCCGGCCAAGACGAAGAAGGGCGAGTTGTCGATTGTGCCACATGCCATCCAGCTGCTCGCGCCGAACCTCAAGATGCTGCCAAAGGCATCTGGCGGTGGCTTTACGGACCAGGAGCAGCGATACCGCAAGCGGTACTTGGACCTGATCATGAATCAGCATGTGCGCGACATTTTCGTGACGCGCGCGCGTACGATCCAATACGTGCGTCGGTACCTTGACTCGCTGGGCTTCCTCGAGGTTGAGACGCCTATGATGAACCAAATCGCCGGTGGCGCGAGTGCCAAGCCGTTCATCACGCACCACAATGACCTGAAGATGGACCTTTTCATGCGTATTGCGCCTGAGCTGTACCTAAAGGAGCTTGTGGTGGGCGGTCTAGACCGTGTGTACGAGGTGGGCCGTGTCTTCCGCAACGAGTCGATCGACCAGACGCACAACCCAGAGTTCACCACTTGTGAGTTCTATATGGCGTATGCCGACATGTACGACCTCATGGACATCACAGAGAGCATGGTGTCGGGCCTTGTCAAGGCCGTCACAGGTGGCTACAAGGTGACGTACCACCCCGATGGCAAGGAGGACCCGAACGGACGTGTGTACGAAATTGACTTCTCCACACCCTGGAAGCGATTTGAGATGATCCCTGAGCTTGAGAAGCAGCTGCAGGTCAAGTTCCCGCCGGCCGATCAGCTGCACACCGAGGAGGCACGTCAGTGGCTCAGTGACCTGTGTGCAAAGAACAACGTCGACTGCAGCGAGCCACGCACCGCGAACCGTCTGATTGACAAGCTCGTTGGCGAGTACATCGAGTCGCAGTGTGTGAACCCGTCGTTCATCATCGGACATCCCCAAATCATGTCGCCCCTCGCGAAGCGCCATCGCGACATCCCTGGTTTGTGTGAGCGTTTCGAGGCCTTCGTTGCTACGAAGGAAATCGCCAATGCATACACGGAGCTGAATGACCCATGGGTCCAGCGCGAAAACTTTGAGGAGCAGGCACGGCAAAAGGATGCTGGTGATGACGAGGCGCAGGCCGTCGACCATGTCTTCCTTGATGCCTTGGAGCATGGTCTGCCGCCCACAGGTGGTTGGGGTATGGGTATTGACCGTCTTGTCATGTTCCTTACGGACTCGAACACGATCAAGGAGGTGCTGGCCTTCCCAGCCAACAAGCCGGAGCAGTCGTAAAGCTGGAGCTCAACGCCCGCACATCTGTAGGTTCGTGCTGTCCTAGATCCTGAACGTAGCCTGATGTAACAATGCACGCACACATCTCTCTCTCTCTCTCTCTCTCTCCCGTGCCCCTCTACGCTGCTGATTCCCACTACTCCTGGTGTCTGGATGCACCTGCTTGGCACAAATCGAGCCACGCAAGATAGTCTTGCACGCCGGCCAGATGCATGTGCAATGTTTCATCGGTGCGCCGCCGCCGCCCCAAATACGCAAGTATCGCGGCCACTTGGTCTGCGGACGTCGTCGCATACCATCTGTCGCTGTTGGCTGCTTCACGCACAAGAAGCACATGCGACCAGTGACCCGAAAATGGCGCATGAACTCCTCGCTCAGCACCTGGTGCTTCCATGTCGCTTGGATCACATGCAGGCAATACGTGCCAATATTCGCGGCCCTCGTCATCGCGTCCTAGCGGCCCCGACCGCCCACATGCACGCCTCTGAGCGAAGTAGTGTCGTGTGCGTGCCTCGAACCTCGCACAGTCGTGCGTGTGCGTCAATTGATGCATGCGCGCTTTCCACACACCATACTGTGTCGATGCCATCGAAGGAGCCTGTTTCTTGTGCGCACGCATTTCTGCATCGCATTGGTCATTGATGTCCTGTACGTGCTGTTTCGCCGCACGCTCATCCTCCGATGCTTGTTCTACGACAGGCTGGACCAGACGATGCAGAGGGCTCTCATGAGGTGCTCGCGACATGCTCAATGCATCACACAGCTCCACAAGACATGCGACTTTGGCTTCGAGCGACATTCGCGGCGCATCATCCACCAATGGCTTGACAGGCGAAGGAGGACCGAGGATTCGCTGGGCACGCTCAACGACAGCTGTGCGCTGCTTCTTGGCTGCCATTGCTTCTGCACGCTTGGATCGTCGTCGCCGTCGTCTCCCTACGAGGCTGTCGTCCTCCTCGCCATCGTCTTCCTCCCCTTCACTTTCGTCTTCGTCATCGACCGGGGTATCAAGGGCTTCAATCGCAGCTTGAAGACGCGCCGCACTACGTGTGCGACGAGGGGGTAATGGTTCCATATCTACGCGCCGCGTTGGCATAGTTTTGGTTTGCCATGCCGACGTGTCGACAGGTATGTCTTCAAGCTCACAAGACGCCACACCACTTTGCTGAGCAAACGTACGTGCACATGTCCAGGGCGTATTGGCATCAGCTGGAAATGTGCGCAGCGCACGTACACATTCTTGTGTGCGACTGGTCGGCTGGCCATGCTCCAACGTGGTGAGGTGGGCATGCGGCAAAATCAGCCGCTGAAGGAGCGCGTGGGCCATAGCATCGTTCCAACTATGTAGCACGTCTAGTCGCGATGCCGGGCAGGCAAGTGCTTTTACATTATCCAGCTGAACCATGTACGAATATAAATATAGACGTGCCAAGATATTGTTGCACCGCAAGGGCCCATCATACATGACTTGAAGCGCTGGAAACTCTGCTCGTTTCAGTCGGATCCTTTGGCCACGAGACGAGCTGGGCTGCCAAGATACTGCGTGACATTAATGTTTTTCTACATACACACACGTACATTGTGTTTGCTGCATGGAACGTGAGCTGCGAAGCTCCATGACTGCTTAGAGTCTCGCACGACGCGTTCAACGTCGTGTCACGACGCAGGATATGCCCGCAGCTTTCGCGAAGGCGACGCGTCCATTGTGCTTGTGTGGAGAAAAACGTCACGAAAAATGTGCCCTAAATTCATGATCTTTCTCCGCACAAGCTCGAGCTATAACACGGCACACGTATCTCACGCCCGACTATCCCTCCTCGCTAATCCCTCCTCAAGATCACGCCGTTGTGCGTGCGAACCTAGCTTCTCGAGAAATAAATCTCCTTTTCCTGCCCTCCCCTTCCCTCCGACCCCCCTTTTTATAACTGTGTGCTCTCTCGGACATGGGTCGCTCAAGACGCGGTCGGGGTAGCGCTGCATCCAATGGCCTAGACCAACTGCGTGCCTCGTTCCCGTATCCGGTGCATGATGATACGCCAGGCCCGCCCTTCCCCAGCACAGGCGATCAACATGCACATGCAGATACTCCGCTACTATCTGTAGGCCCTTCTGAAACTGGCATGCTTGGCACATATGCGTCCGTCTCTCTTTGGATGTCTCGGATAGCGAGAGGCCGCGGCGCCATTGTCTGCACGGACGGCATCTTGTCGGATCTCAGTGAGATGCGCGGAAGTGTGTCGACGCCATCTTTCCGATGTGTCTTGGACAGTGCTGAACACATATCCATTCCCCTCACGTTCCATGGTCCCCATGCTGCTGCGTTGCATCAGATCCTTCGAAATCATGCACCGGGCGTCCGCGTCTTTGTATCTGGCTATGGAGCAGAGGTTGTGCGTGCGACACAGTCGCCGCCGCGGGCTGGTCTCATTTTTGCTGAGCGAATGGCTCTCAAAGCTTTGTTGGAGAGACATGACGGCAACACACTGACGCTGTGGTTCGAGGGCGATCGCGGGCGCCCAGCCACTTTGGTAATGCAGCCTGTAAGCATGACCAATTCCGTTGCACATGGCATGCGAGATGCGCCCATCGAAGACGTTGCAAGAGACAACAGGAGTCGCGTCCGCTCAGACATACCGCCATCATCTCTTTCACACGAAATCGCCTCAAGTGTCAACGACCGGGCGTCGCCATTGTCATCCGATCCCGCTCCAGTCCTTGTGCAGACCAAAGTAATGGATCTTGCCCGTCCAGGAACATTGGACGGTGTTGTCTACACGCCGTTATCAGACGTCCAAATCGGGACAACCGCCAATGTGATAGGTGTGGTCATCGATAAGCCAATCGTGCACCAGCCAAAGGGACGCGTAGATGGGACTATGTCCGATGCTATGCTACGTGTGGCGATGCAGCCACCCAAGTCCTGGGATACCGGCACAACACTTTTGGCCGCCAATCTGTTCGCCCGCACTGTGGACCAGCTGCCGACCCATCTCTTGCGGGGTGACGCTTTTCTGCTTCGAAATCTGCAAATCCAAATGTATCACGGCAAGGCACACGGTGTCGGCCCGGCTTTCGTGCCCTATTCATGGGCAAGTTGCCGCTCGCCCCAAGAGTGGAACCTGTCGCCGGGTGCACACCTTGGCGTCGAGGAACGCACAGCGCTGGCACAGATCGTGCACCACGCGACGCCGACAAGCACCAAAAGCTCACACCCCTTAGTGTCGCTCGATGCGCTCCAGTCCAATTCGTACGTCGACATGGTGGTCGAAATCGTCCGTGTGAGTATCAAAGGCAGGGTCCCTGACTTGTACGTGACTGATTACTTGCCCAACCGGCAATTTTATGGCCACGACACTTTGCTCGCGCATCACCACAAGCTGCCGAAGGCTACGTATGGACATCTGGTTTTCCAGATCGGGCTTTGGGGTGAAAAAGCGTCCTCGCTATCATTTCGTTTGCGACCCGGCCAATTGGTTCGCATCAACAACGTCCGCGTCAAAACCAATTCCTTGGGTACGCTCCATGGGTCGCTGGGAAACTCTTTGGATGACAAGGCCCATGTCGAAGAGTTGGACCATCGTGATCCTCTTGCTCAATGTATTTTACAGCGACGCTCTGCTTGGCTGCAGCAACAGCAGCCACGTAACCACACCTACTACCCTCAAGAGATCGTGTCGGCGGATGCCAAACCTTGGACATCATCGCCCGCTGCATCATCGTCTTCATCATCACCTGCTCCTGTTTCCAAAAAGAAGCGTTTGTCGTCTGTCTCATCGTCCCCCACATCAAGCTTACCACCTGCGTCTTTGTTGCCAGCTTCACCGCCTGAGCCCGTGAGTGCGCCTCGCTTTGACCTGGATTCCGACGATAGTGAGTCGTGCCTTAGCCTATAACTGTGCAGCTCCTCTAATCCGCTCGATTCTCGATGGATTCTCCCCGCCCCATGCTCATGTGGAATGCTGCGTACTTCGTGTCTCGCCCGAGCATCATTGGCAGCGCTCTCTGTGCACCACCTGCCGAAAGATGTATGTGTTACGAAAGCATCTATGTGAAGCTAACAAGTATCCACGTGTATGCAGCTTGCCCTTGTCTTTTGCATTTTGTACCTCATGTGCAGACGAAGATGGCAAGTGTCTAGATACAGTGCTGCATCTAATCTTGCACGTTTGTGACGTGTGCGACGCTTCTACCACTCGACGCAGTGCACGCCATGTTGACACGCTTCCGATCGTCGCTACCGGCCAAGCCGCCGAGCGCTATGTTGGATGTTCCATTCAGCAATATGCATCAGACGAAAGCGCCAGGCAAACAGCACATCAACGCGTGCTCCGACACACTACCAATCCCATTTCACATGTCCTTTCATTGCGCATCGAACTCCAGCACGATCTTTACGTGCTTGTTCATAGTGGAGGGTGTCATTAGCAAAACGACATGCGAGAAAGCAAATTTGCGTCCAGTGCAAGAAGACACGCAGCCAAAGCCCGACAGACTGGAGGGCGGGAGATGCGGAGGCGATGCACGGGCCGGTTGAAAGAGCCCCCGCCGCCGCCCCCTCAAGCCGTCCACACTCTTGGATGCTTACTATCAGCCCATTGCTGCTCGCACGCCAAACCATTTTTCGCCTCCCGATAGTTTGCACAAGCCGAACCTTTTCTGCAATGCCTCCGACCAAGCTTCCAGAATCCTCGCCCAACTTTGCGAGCGAAGATGGTCGCTATCATCGGCAAACGTCCGACTTCTTACACCATGTTGCTAAGGGCACAAAGTTTGAGCCGGAAGTAGGTCGCTACAAGCTTATCGTTTCCCTCGCCTGCCCATGGGCGCATCGTGCTTTGATTGTACGCCACCTGAAGCGCATGCATGAGGTAGAGAACTTGCTCCCACTCACTATCGTTGACACATTTCTTGGGCGAGAGGGCTGGAGCGTCGCGCATCTAAACGTCGATCGACCTAATGTGCATGGAACGGGCAACAACATTCCTGGGCATGAATCGAAGCGATTCCTCCGTGAATTTTACCTCGAGGCGGATCCATCGTACGCGAAGCGGCCGACAGTGCCCGTTTTGTGGGACAACAAGCTCAATACAATTGTCAATAACGAGTCCTCGGAATTGATTCGCTGCCTGAATACGGCGTTCGATGACTTTCTCCCGGAGGAGGTGCGCGGCGTCACGTATTATCCGGAAGATCTACGCAAGGATATCGATGCATTTCATGAGTGGGTTCTTCCAAATATCAACAATGGGGTCTACCGCAGTGGATTTGCCTCCAGTATGGACGCATACCAAGAGGCGGTAATCCCACTCTTCGAAAGTCTCGAACGTGTCGACAAGGAAATTGGAAATAAAAAGTTTGTGATGGGCGACCGCCTGACGGAAGCGGACATTCGCCTGTTTACGACGATTGTCCGTTTCGATCCGGTGTACCATGGCCATTTCAAATGCAATATCCAGCAAATTCGCGGTGGCGGACTACCGAATCTGCACCGCTGGCTTCGTGAGATGTACTGGACAATCCCCGCCTTCAAGGAAACTACTTGCTTCGAAAGTATCAAAGTGCATTACTATAGCAGCCATGTGAACATCAACCCAACCAGCATCGTGCCTGTTGGTCCGATCCCGCCCATCATGCCACTTGACGCTTAACCTACATAGTATGAATACTGCAAAATCATAGCAATGATCGAACCAGCTGCAAAGTCAATCGACCTTATCCACGTACAAGCGACAAAAATGGGACTAATGGAGCCTGGCACCATGGCAAGTGTGTTGAAGAAGAGCATTTCACTCACAAAGTGCAGGCATGCAATGACAAATGTACCCAGACACATGAGATAGGCACCACGCTCGCTCATGTGGTATGCAGCGTATACGCGCAACATAGCCGACGTCAAGTTCCAAATTCCAAACAGACGCGCAGCCAGCGGGGTCGCTTGACGAATGCCCTCGGTCGATGCATACACCTTTCTACTGAATGCAGGCTTGAAAACATTCTGGATCCCATTCATGGCTGCTACCATGCCGACCATGAGAAGCCATTTGGGCAAAATATGAGGGGGTACTGCGTCAGACTGTTGAGCTGCTACCTACCGAGTGCTTCCATAATACCAGGGCAGACAAGTGGTGACAAGCTGTGGGGTTGCGACGTGCGCCGCCAATTTCGAATCGTTTCTCCAGTTACGAAAAATTGGCCACCAATTCGTCCACACATCGAAATCCATCCACACCTTCCCCACTCTGGCTCTGGCTCTGGCTCATCAACACCATTTCATGTCATCATCGCTACATGCAACGTCAGCCAACACGGCCCCTACGCCTTCCACAACATCAGAAACTTACATTCCGGCACCGATCCGAGCTCCACGGGATCTCGAGCCCTTTCATCTAAATGGCACACAAGACATGCTAACCCTCTTTGAGCTTATGCCGCTATACGATCGTGCTGTGCGTCCGTACCTGCGGCCGGTGCTTGGACCTCACGCATCGGAGGCGGAAAAAACTGCCGCTAATGCGAAACGAAATGTTATGCCCAAGACATTCATGCATTATGTGCCGGACGTGCAAGGTAGAGTGCGTGTGCCGAAGCGCACGAATTCCTCGAACTGTCATAACGAATTGACCCATATTTTAATGAAGCCGGAGTACACGTACACACCTATTCTCCCACTCGATTCCGAAACACTACACACTGCCTTTCACATTGAGCCAACTACACACCCGATACCTGGCATTGACATGTCTCTTTTGGATGCTGACGAACAAGAGATGTTGACGGGCCGAAAGACCAAGAGCCAGTCCGGCGATAGGCCTGACGCTCCCAAGAAACGAGTTGTCCTCATCAGCAAGAAGAAACGTGTATAGAAACATACGGAGCATGTACAGTAGCACTATGAAAAAACGTTAGCACGACTCAGCTCGCTCTCTTCTCCCTTATACTTGTCACGCTTCATGCGCAAATTCTCTGCTTGCAACACCCTGGTCTTGTACTCCTCGCCTTTACCACGACGCATCGCATGCCGCACAGCATTAGGCGAGATAAACTCGGGATTGTCAAAGAGCGTTGGTCCACCGAAGCTGCCTTCAAAGATGCGGATCGGCGTCATGACCATGCGCGGGCCAATTTCCACAAGTGTAGGCTCTGTCTGCGCCTTTTTAGGGTCTGTTCCTTGTGCCTCAGCCGCTGCGATTGCACCTGGGTCTTTTTCGATAATCTGGTAGTTGCGGAACCATATTTTGTTATCTAGGATACTGAACGACAAAATATGGTCGACAAACGGCTTCGCCCGCCGTGCTGTTCGTGGTACGCCGAAGATCTGCGTAAGCATCTCGCGCATTAATGTCCAGTGAGGCTCGGCATCAAAGCCCTTGTCAAAGCTCAGGATATGGCGCGAGCCTTTCAAGCAGTTGCCTGTCATTTTCAGTTCATCCATAGTATGCACATTTTGCACTAGGAGTTTTGCAGAAGGGCCATTGGGGGTCTTTGAGAGCCATAAATACAAATCCTCGTGTCTTCGAGCCTCGAAGTACATGCAGTTCTGCCGGGTTGTAAGCAAATAAGCTCAACCTTTATGCATCCTATCTTTTTTTCCCCCTTACGTACATTGCAGTTGTTCAAGTCGGCAAGTTCGTTCAAGACCGATAGATCAGACTTGGAGTCGAGTTTTGAGTCTAATTAAAAATGTATGAGTCTCTTTCCATATATATGTGCGTACCTTTTTTCGCATGTGGTAGTAGCGCTTCAAGATCATTGATCAAATGACGCATACGTGCTGTAATGCCACGCGATGGCAGCATCAGGACCCGTTGCTTGTTGCGCCTAAGCTGAACATCGTTTTGTTCCTCAGATTCGCGCTTCTTCCCCGCCGCTGCTTCTCTCTTTAACGCTGTATTGTACACCGTCGACATGCTCAAGCAGTTGAAATGCACGAACGTAGCGATTAGCTGTGCGTCGAGGAGAAAAAAGTTGAACGCACGTGACAGTGAGCTGAACCCTGCGTGGCTTTCTCATGTGTTGACGGATACGCAAAGTTCCATCCGTCAGATCAGTGTGCAAAACGACATTGAACACTGAGCGTATGTGTGCATGGACGAAGCATAGCCATTCCATGTACGAAGATAGATTGAATAGCATCTAAGATGGTTCAATAGCTCGCCAACTATGCGCCATTGAAAAAAATTAATATCAATTATTTTGGCAGTTGGTGTGCTGGAATGTCAGCGAAAAGATTCGAGTTACCTCCATCCTAATTGTACATATATTATGGCTGGTGGACCGGCAAACTGGGCACGAGCCATTACGGGAGGCTCGGTTGTGATTGGATTCGGATACTTACTCTTGAAGAGTACGCGCGTATGAAATGTGCTGACAGTAGCGGCTACGCCAAATGAACAACAGCTATATGATGTACGTTTGAACGACGCATTCGTCCTAATTCATGACAGAGTCTGTCGCCAGACCTCAAAAGGCGTGTCGATGCACAACGGTCATCCCAGGCCGATTCTGAAAGAAGTGCAAAAGTGAAGGAGGAACAATCAAAGGTACGTCTTCTGCCGAAGCTAAAACATAGCTTGCCGCTCATCAAGATACGGCCAAGGCCAACTGGCTCAAGTGAGTCCGAGAGTCAGCACCAAGGCGCTTTGCCGACTCCTCCGAACTATATAGAGACTCCTCCTGCTGGTTCGGAATGTTCAATACTCCTAACTACATTCTGAACTCGCAGACAAACTTTTGACAGGCTTATAGGCAAGAGATACATAAATTTTATTTTTTTGGTAGAGACTCGTATAGACTCTTGAGGGCATCATATATGCTGGGAAATACAGACCAAGAGTGTTGGGCAATGCCCAAGATAGAAAAAAAACACTCATGCGAAGGTGGAAATACTCTTGCTGCGATTCCAAGTCCAGCTGGCGAAATATACTGCACGAATTTACGAACGGGGCTTCTCCTTCTTCTCCCTGAAGAGGGCAGCAAGACCACAGCCAGAGACCTTGACGACCTTGAAACGCACACCGGGAATATCACCCTTCGCCTTACCCTTACGACCGAAACCTTCGATCAGGACTTCGTCGTTCTCGTCAACAAAGTTAAGACAACCGTCGAACGGCACGAAGGCAGAAACCTTCTTACCGTTCTTGATCAGCTGCACACGGACACACTTTCGAATGGCCGAGTTAGGCTGCTTGGCCTCGACACCGATCTTCTCAAGCACAATACCCTTAGCTTGAGAAGAGCCACCAGTGGGCGAGGTCTTGTAGAAGTTGCCGAGGGTGCGCTTTTTGAAGTGAGCGTCACTCCAGCGGTTGTCACGACGGTCCGCGACCTGCTTGCGAGCTGTATAGAGACCCCTAGGCTTGGCCATACTGTGTGGTGCCTAGATCGTGTTAGCTTGCCGATGCACTCACAACGTGGAATGCTATGACACGTACCTTGTGCTTGGTTGAGAAGAGTCGATGTGTGGCGCCCCTGCGACATTTTTTGGTGCTGAGGCTCGCCCAGCCGGACAGCCGACCTTGTTTCACGTGATAAACTACACGTTCATAAACACGTGACCTCACTCCGAACGGTGTGCGTCCTGCGACCGTCAGGCAGCGTGAGTAAGTCCACTCGAAAGACTCGACCTTTCTCTCTGCGCTTCGTCAAGTTAGCACGTCACCATGCCGAAGATCTACAAGCCCGGGAAGGTTGCGTATGTGTCGACAAGTGAAATGCGCTGTGCCGTGTACTAACGAATGCCTACAGTGTTGTGCTCCAAGGCCGCCACGCTGGTAAGAAGGTGTGTGAAGCAAAGAATGGCGACTTCCAGTTGCGAAGTGGTGATCATGACGTCGGCGGTTTCGACGTTGCATAATCGCTGCATACGCACAGCTAGAAGTCTTTATGGAACAATCCAGCAATGCTAACATGAGATAGGTCGTCGTTATCAAGCAGCAGGACGAGGGAACCAAGGAGCACGGCTTCCCTTATGTGGTTGCCGCTGGTATTGAGCGCTACCCACTCAAGGTGACGAAGTCGATGAGCTCGAAGAAGATCGCTCGCCGCAGCAAGATCAAGCCTTTCATCAAGGTATGTATATCGTAGCGAAACTCAAAGCATAATATACTTACAACAGGTCATCAACTACAACCACTTGTTCCCTACGCGCTACGCGCTTGACCTTGAGGGCCTGAAGAGCACAGTCTCGAACGACACATTCAAGGAGGTGTCGCAACGTGAAGAGGCTAAGAAGGCGATTAAGAAGCTGTTTGAAGAGCGCTACCAGAGCGGCAAGAACCGGTGGTTCTTCACCCCTCTTCGTTTCTAAGTGCATTGTACTTTTTGGTCTTTTCTCCTAGCTTGGATGGAGTTGCATGACGTAGCTCAGCTCGCACTGATGATGTACAGCATCAGTCGTAGCTCAAAAATAGCAGCATACCGATGATGCGTGTGACAAGATGAGGCATGAGCAAAAAGGAATGTTTGTGAAAGGTGGGGGGGGGCGGGGTTGGGAAATGTGCTTGCTAGTCTTGATGAGGTAGTCTTGGTGGCGTTGGGGATCTATGGAATGTGACTTCTGGGTCGACCGCATGGCCACGTGTGTCCATTGGCGATCCATACGCGTTTCCCCTTCATCTCCTACAGCAGCCACAATGAGCGTGTATCAGGCTACTTGTACGGCGCCTGTGAACATAGCTGTGATCAAGTATTGGGGAAAGCGGGACACGAAGCTCGTACTACCAACAAATGACAGTTTGAGTGTGACGTTGGATCAGGACCACTTGCGCACAGTGACAACTGCACGTGCTGATGCATCTTTTGGCACAGACGAGGCTGGCACTCGTCAGGACAAGCTCTGGCTGAACGGGGCGGAGGAGAGCATCAAGCCTGGCGGACGTCTGGATGCGTGCCTGTGTGAGATGCGCAAATTACGCGCCGAGCTCGAAGCTAAGGATCGCTCCCTGCCTCCGCTGTCCAAGTGGGGACTACGGCTTTGTTCTGAGAACAACTTCCCTACTGCTGCAGGACTAGCATCGTCCGCCTCAGGATTTGCCGCGCTCGCTGTGTCTGTTGCTGAACTTTATGGGCTGCGCGCTGTGATGACAAGCTCACAGCTCTCGATCATCGCACGTCGCGGCAGTGGCTCGGCGTGCCGTTCCGTGTTGGGTGGTTTTGTTGCTTGGCAGATGGGCACTGCTGATGACGGTTCTGACTCATTCGCTATACCTATCGCTGAGCGCGAGCATTGGCCGGATCTCCATGTATTGATCTGTGTCGTGAATGATGCAAAGAAAGGCACTTCATCAACGGTCGGAATGCAAAACACAGTCGAGACTTCGCCGCTTCTTCAGCATCGAATCAAGCATGTGGTTCCTGAACGCATGCAGCAGATGAATGAGGCGATCCAAAAGCGGGACTTTGCTGCTTTCACTCAGCTCACGACCGCGGACTCTAATAATTTCCACGCCTGCTGCCTGGATACGACGCCGCCCATCTTCTACATGAATGATACGTCTCGAGCTATTGTGCATGTTGTGGAAGAACTGAATCGTGCGCGTGCAGAAGCGGGCGAAGACCCAATTGCCGCGTACACATTCGATGCAGGGCCGAACGCCGTACTGTACGTGCGTGAAAAGGACATGTCATGTGTTAGGCAAGTCGTGCAGCACTATTTCCCGGGGGCCACAATGGATGACCGTTTGCAGGGGGCTGCTAATGATGCATCAGAGGCCCCAGCATCATCCCTTTCATCATCCTCATTATCACTGCCGCTGCCGTCCTCGTTGCCCGCGACCTTCCGCCCTGACGTTGTGCCAGTGCACCCCGCCGGCAGTGTGCGACGCTTGATTCACACTCGTGTTGGTGACGGCCCGCGCGTACTGGAACATGGTCAGGGACCTGAGTCGCTTTTGTCTGCGGATGGCATGCCTGTGCACACAAAGTAGATGCACTATAATGTAGGGAGGAGTTTGTACTGCGCCAATACTAGCGATATGGTCAGTTTTGTCCTAAAGACGGCGAGGAGGAAGTAAAGGGTGCAGTACGTACAACGCTCAATGCTCTTACGGAGAGCATCATTATCAATACCGCGCTTGCGCTGGATGTGACTGGATGTGCTGGAACTGGACGGCGTCTGCACGCCAAATGCGTCCCGTTCCGTGGCACCGACGAGAGGATGATGTGCGCCAAATTGGACCCACGGTCCGCGCCACAGCTCGCGTAAGACGCCGCGTAGATTCATGCCATTTGTGCCAGGGATTGTAGTCGTACCTGGCGTACCGAAGAATGCGCTTTTGTCCGACACACGCGGTGGTGGATCAGTGATCAGCACAAATGTATACATGCTGGGCGTCTGCATATGAGTGAGGGAATAGGTAGTGGTCGATATATTGTGAAATGTCTCCTGGGATCCACCCAGTTTTCGAGCAAGATTTCGCAGTGAATATACGAGACCGTAAATCAGCTTTGCTTCCTCATCGAATGGTAAGAGACGTGGATCGATAGCAGCATCGTCGTTTGCCGCGTTAACGGACCGCGTCACTCCATCCATCGTTTCGCCACGTGCGCGTTTGGGTGCGGTATGAGGACCGGACTTGTCCGCCTCACTGCTACCACCACCGACAAGTTGCAGGGTCGAGGAAAGTGACGAGGTTAATGATGAGGCGCTTGACGCTGTGGCATTGAGTCGCTGGTGAAGATGAGACCAATCCTGGTGGTAAATCACATCGCAATGCCGATCAAAGATCCATAGCGAGTAAGCGTGCAATGCCATCGTGCTAAATTTCGTACACGATGACGAATATGTCTATCAAAACCACGCGCTTCGAGGTAAGCAGGATGACGTTGCGCTACTGAACTGATTGATGTCTCTCGTTGACGCGCACGATTCCATCATCCCCACTGTTCTTTAGCTTGGCCTTTTTTCTCCACAGGCAGATGGACCGCGAGTCCAATGCCAATGCCGGTGCCAGTGCCACTGCCACTGCTTTTGTTGCCTCCACACTTATCGCCAGACGTGCATGTGTGGCCCCGGCGCGCATCCACATGAACACGTCACGTGCCTCAAAGATGCACCTTGCCACCTTTCCCTGTGGAATGGGGTCAGTTAAGGGTGCAAAGGTGTGTGCCTCAGCCATTTTTTTGCTTGCGAATTCGTATGGCCATGCCCAGGCGCTCTGGCGGGGAGTGTGGAGCTAAATAGCAACAGGGCATTCGTGTCTGGTCACGCGTCACGAGAGAGGCAGAGAGAGTAGATAGAGCGTCTCGATACACCAGATTCATCTGGCGCATCGTGGCAATTGATGCGATTGCTGCTGTGTGCGTGTGCATGTGCCCTGTCGCTTGCATGGGGCGTGAATGCATGGTACCTACCTGGTAGCGCGCCAAGATCATATGCCAATGGACAATCAGTGCCTGTGCATGTGAACGCGCTGCAGCCCATGGCCGGAGCAACGCCTGTGCATGGGCTTGTGAGCTACGACTATTATGATGAGCGCCTTGGGTTCTGTCGACCATCATCGGGCATAAAGGCAGAGCGTGGCAGTCTCGGAAGCATCCTGTTCGGCGACCGAATCTACAACAGTCCCTTGGCTGTCGACATGCTGCAAGCCAAATCGTGTGTTCCGATCTGCAAGACACAAGCAACACCGGAGCAGGCCGACTTTATCAACAAGCGGATATTTGAGCGTTATGCCGTCAATTGGATGGTCGATGGCCTCCCGGCTGCTGATATTGATCTTGCAACCAATGCAGAACAATCGCTCCGAGCTAATTCTGTTGGGTTCGTGCTCGGCACGATCCTGGATGCTCAGGGTCACCGACTCAAGACGCCCGCACTCTACAATCACTACCAGCTGAATATTTCGTATCACGAGCGCTCTCCGAATGAGTATCGAGTAGTGGGTGTGAACGTGCGTCCCATGTCTCTTTCGTCGTTGCCTGCAGGGAACGCGGGTGCCGAGCCACGCTGTGATGTGAACGAGCCTATGTTCCTCAATCCCAACGCCACAACACCCGTCGTTTACACATACAGTGTTGTGTGGACACGGAGCAACACGCCATGGGCAACGCGATGGGACGCGTATCTGCATGTAGTGGATCCGCGCATCCATTGGTACTCGCTGCTGAATTCCACGGCCATTGTCGCACTGCTCTGTGTGATTGTAACAATCATCATGGCACGCTCTATGCGCCGAGATATCTATCGGTACAATGCTATTGATCTGGCTGAAGATATTCAAGAAGACTTTGGATGGAAACTCGTGCATGGCGAAGTGTTCCGCCCACCGGCTTCGTCGATGATGCTGAGTGTCATGGCAGGCTCGGGTGCTCAGCTCGGTGCCATGGCCTCTGTAACGCTGTTGTTTGCGCTGCTCGGGTTCCTGAATCCATCGAATCGTGGCTCTCTTGGTACCATCATGATTGTCACTTACACCCTTTTCGGCTGTTTGGGCGGCTACGTCAGTGCACGTGTGTATGCAAGCTTCGATGGCGCTCTTTGGCGTCGCAACATGTTCCTATCAGCCGTGCTTCTGCCGACGGCCGTCTTTGCACTGATGAACCTGCTCAACTTTGTGCTTGTGCTGAACCACTCTTCGGGCGCTGTGCCGTTCGGCACGCTGCTTGCTCTTGTTGCGCTATGGTTCCTGATTCATGTGCCCTTATCTCTCATCGGTTCGTACTTTGGTCTGAAGGCCGGGGGTTTCGAGCACCCATTGCGTGTGAACCAGATTCCTCGGCAGATTCCGCCCGCACCATGGTACTTGCGCCTCTGGCCGTCTGCAATGCTTAGCGGTCTTCTTCCGTTTGGTGCTGCCTGGCTGGAACTCTTCTTCATCATTAATTCGCTCTTTGGCAACCGAGTATACTACGCATTTGGTTTTCTGTCTCTCACATTCGTGGTCACGGTTCTGACGACGGCCACCGTAAGTATTCTTAACCTGTACTGTCATCTTTGTGCAGAAGACTATCGATGGCAGTGGCGCTCGTTTATCACGGGTGGTGCCAGTGCTTTCTGGTTGTTTATGTATGGTTTGTTCTTTTGCATTACGCGGCTCAATCTGCCAGACTTGTCGAGCAAGTTCCTATTTATTGGCTATTTGCTGATGATTTCTACGCTGGACTTTTTGCTCTTTGGCTTTGTGGGCTTTATCACATGCTACATTTGTGTGCAGCGCATGTACCGTCATATTCGTGTAGACTAAAAGATCGTGGATACAACTGAAGAGACGTTGTAGAGCACAGCTCTGTGGAAAACAGGACGATGGTCGGAATGCGAGCCCAATCTGAAAGCCTACTTTCTTTCTCTGCCTAGGTTTTTGGCTCAAAAAATGAAAAAACAGCATACTTTGAAGCCAAAAGGCTTGTAATAAAGTCCCTATACTCCGTGCAAGAGTGTTGAACGGCACCAATATGTCGGTGATTGGGACCCCTTCCGGAGCCGCTTCGTTGCCACGTGACTCGTGGCTTCAGCCTCAGCCACAAAGAGAGTGTGTGCCTGATGTACGTGTGAGAACCTCATCTCTAGTGAGAAAGAGAGAGAGAGAGCGAGACACTTTCGAATTGATCGATTAGCCCACGTCTTTTGTCATGGCGCCGAAGCTGGACACCAATGATCCGCAAGTGGCGCGGCTCATCGAACTGTTTGCTACTATATCGTTGACGGGCCAGCGTGCGGCTGATACCATCAAGAACCCCAAATATGCACGCGCTCTTGAGCACACCATTACGGCCTTGCAGCTCGATAGGCAAGGGCTGGATGCCAAAACAGGATCAGCTGTGGTAGTGGCTGCATCAAGTGGCGCTGAGCTGCCGGAGGCCAAACTTGACTACATCGTCCAGCGCGTCTTGAAAAAGGATCTTGTGTCGACAGACCAGATTCAAACTGCGTGCAAATACGCAGCGTCTGTCGACGCGATCGATGACGCCACATTCGACTCGCAATGTGGCGTTGGTGTTGTAATCACACCTGATATGTGCCACAATGTGGTGCGAAACTACATGCAATCGCACCACGCGGATATAGCGGAGGCGGCCGGCTGGCCGAAGATGTCGTCGATCATGGCGGCCGTGCGTGCAGAGCCCACGTTGCGCTGGGCGAATGCAGCTGATATCAAGAATGCCGTGGAACAGGAACTCACAGCGCAGTTTGGCCCGCGCTCGGCTGCGGCTGCGTCGAAAAAGAAGGGCGGTGGTGCCGCGTCCGCAGCGACGAAATCGACCAATGCGACGCCGTCGTCCACGTCGAAGGGCGAGAGAAAGTCCAAAAAGGAAGAGACAGTGCGTCCTGATGCCATGTTTGAGGAGGGCTTTCTCGCATCGCTGCACAAGCCAGGCGAAAATCCACAAAAGCTTCCACGTCTGCGTGACGAGCACTTGAAGGCGACCAACGGCTCAGTGATGACGCGATTCCCGCCCGAGCCCAATGGATACCTGCATATTGGGCATTCAAAAGCCATTGCGGTCAACTTTGGTTTTGCTCGCTTCCACAAGGGTCTGTGCTACTTGCGGTTCGACGACACGAATCCCGCTGCAGAGGAGGAAAAGTACTTTGTGAGTATCCTTGAGACCGTCCGCTGGCTTGGCTTTGAGCCATTCAAAGTGACATATTCATCAGACTACTTTGACCGACTATATGAACTGGCTGTCGATCTGATTCGCCGCGGGCTTGCGTATGTGGACCACTCAACGCCGGAGGAGATCCGTGAAGGACGTGGCGGGCCTGACAAGGGAGAGCGGAAAGAGAGTCGCTGGCGTCATCGTCCCATCGAAGAGTCGCTCCAGGCGTTCGACGACATGAAGAACGGCAAGTACAAGCCTGGCGAAGCCACGTTGCGCATGAAGCAGGACATTCTTGGCAGTGGAAACCCGCAGATGTGGGACCTAATTGCATACCGTGTGTTGGATGCACCCCACCACCGCACAGGCTCAAAGTGGTGCATGTATCCTACGTACGACTTTACTCACTGTCTTGTCGACAGTTTCGAGAATATATCACACTCGCTCTGTACGACAGAGTTTATCCTGTCGCGCGAGTCGTACGAGTGGCTGTGTGACGCGCTTGAGGTATACAAGCCACGCCAGTACGAATATGGTCGTTTATCGATGGAGGGCACCGTCATGTCGAAGCGCAAGATGCTGAAGCTTGTGAATGAGGGCTTCGTCGATGGTTGGGACGATCCACGTATGTACACGCTGATTGGTCTGCGCCGACGTGGTGTACCGCCTGGGGCCATTCTGTCGTTTGTGAGTCAGCTGGGCGTTACGACGAACAACTCGACGATCCAGATCAACCGCTTCGACCAGACGGTGCGGCAGTACCTGGAAATGAATACACCTCGTCTCATGATGGTGATTGAGCCACTCAAGGTCGTGATTGAGAACTTGCCAGACGATTTTGTTCTTCATGTCACAAAGCCACTGCATCCCAAGGTGCCCGACATGGGCCAAGTGTCTGCGCCGTTCACGAAAACCGTGTACATTGACGCATCTGATTTTCGCATGCAGGATGCGCCTGATTACTTCCGCCTTGCACCGGGCAAGAGTGTGGGTCTGTACCAAGTGCCGCATCCGATCACATGCACGTCGGTCCGCACGAATGAGGCTGGCCATGTCGTCGAGCTTGTGTGTCGCTACGAGCAGGGCCCAACGCCTGTCGTGCCGAAAACGTACATCCACTGGGTCGCAGAGCACGCACCATCAAAGAGCCCCGTACATGTACGGGAAGCGCGGCTGTTCAACTCGCTCTTCACCTGTGAAAACCCCGCGGCGCACGACAACTTTGTCGACTTTATCAATCCACGCAGCCGCGAAATCTTGCATGGCGCCATGATCGAGGTAGGCTTCTACCAAGTTGCGCGTATGTCTCTCGAAACGGCTAAGCGCGAGGCCGAAGAACGTGTCAAGCAAGCTGTGAAGCAGACCGAAGAGGCCCTCGGCAAGGACCGCGCACACGAAGCAAGGGATACCAATGCGATCCAGTCGACCGAGTCGCACACCTATGGCAAAGAATGCATCCGATTCCAAGCTATGCGTGTGGGCTACTTTGCTGTCGACAGCGACAGCTCCATGTCCCTGTTTGGCGATCGCGAAGACGAGTCCCCAGACGATCTTGTGCTGAACCGTATCGTCTCGCTCAAGGAAGACGTAGGCAAGTCAAAGTCATAGTAGTGAAGCACCCGGCCTCAGCAATGGGCCCTCAAGTCACATTCGTGGTACTGTGCAAGCCGTTGTCATTCCCCCGGGCCCATGTGTGGGCGAGCGAGCTCTGTGCCACGTACGCGCGCATGTGGCGCAACGCACAGCAGACTCACGCACACACACACAAATCACCTTCTTGCTGCCAGTCTCTCTCATCCACGCTCAGAGGGTGTACGTCACGTGATGCAATGCACCCTCAGAAGTACACGTCCACATCACCCCCTCAGAGGGGAGGGGCCGATAACTTGGAACGTGGGCTTGGATCGTTGCAGGCAGAGCGACGACGAACTACATCTGAGGCTACGACTCTGTCGTGCCGTTCTATTCGCGGGCATGCCGCCTCCTTCCTTCACGAGTCAGTCTGCGTATCAGATCAATGCACCGCGTGCGACCATCTCACTCCTGAAAGAAGCGACGCAGCAGGTGTATGCGCTTGTTGAGAAGGGTGCGATTGATGGTGCGGCGCCTGCCATGCCAGCGATCCATGCGCTGCTGACCGAGCTCCGCCTACACGATGAGGGCCTAGATGTTGACGTGAGCGTAGATGCGCCGAGTCGGTCGACGGCTTGTGAAGCGGTAGCAGATCGATTCCAGTCTGATCTGATGGAACTTTGGGCGAACATCACCGACAAGTCTGTGGCCTTACATGCGCTCATGCTGCAGACACTCGAAGCATCGGCACTTCTCTTGGGCCCAGCACGTCTTATGGCGTACTGGCCAGACGCACTCTTGTGGCCAGCGCTGGCGCTAGAGCTCCTGAGTGCGGCGGACGCTGCACGGGTGAACCGGCTGTGTGTGTTTGTGATGCGCAGTGTTCCCATGTCTATGTATGAGGAAGTCCTCACAAACGCACATGCTAGTATGCATGCTAAAGTTAGCCATGCGACGCCGGGCACAAAACTTCATGCAGCCACCGGCGCACATGGCAATCCAGAGGCCGGTCTTGACAAGACTAGCGGTGCAAGTGTCTCTGTGTCCAGTGAGAAACCAGCGTCTCTCGCCGCGATTGCGTCGTCATCAAAGCCCATACTTTCGAGCGCGTCCGCTGCATTCACGGCGGCCACTGCGTCCTTGTCATCCGCAGCTTCTACGGCCGCCACAACGTCCACCACACCCACGCCGTCCACAACAGCACCGACGGCCTCCGTGGCTGTGTCGCACCAGGCTGCAGAGGCTATGAAATTCACTCAACTTGTCTTTGACTTGTTTGCTGATCGACCCGCGCACCAAGGGGCGACCATAGCGCCGGCCTTGCATCACTTGGATGCTATCCTGTCGCTGTACAGTGAGTCACGGCCCATGCCGTTCCTGCACCATGTTGCCACGACCCTTTCGCCCACACGCGTGGGCATCTTGAATGCACTGATCCGTTTTGTCCAGCACCATTCTATGCACATCTACCACATCACATCGACGCACCTGATGGACAAGCTCTTCACAACACTTATGGAACTGGATTCTCCAGCGTGTCTGCACCTCGGCATCAAGTGCCTTGTGATGATTTTACCTCACATACCCGCATGGCTTGCACGGAACGGCGCCGGTGGCCTTGCTCACTTGCTGCGTGTGTATGCGCATGTGATCATGTGTCTGTCATCTGCATCTACAGCCTGCAGCGATACGTCACGTCATGTGCGTTTGCTCTTCACCATGATCTATGGGCTCTTTCCATGTCAATTTCTGTTCTTCCTCCGCTCGCCAGCCTCCTGTCTCGCGCAGCTCGGTGATCCAGAGGCGTGGGACGACGCGGCGCTGACGTCCAAAGTGCAGTCGCACAGCTTGGCCTTGCTGCAGTGTCATTTCGTGCATCCCAGCCTCGCGATGTACGACGCGTCGAGCGAACAGCGGTCTCGCACGTGGCAGAGTCAGGATGTGTCCGATCTCACTGCTCGATGCCTTCGGCTGTATGCGCCGCCGCCTACACAGCACGACAACGAGCGTGAGCCACCGCTGCCGATCACAGCGGAGTTGCCATCTACTCCCTATGACGTCCTGCTCGTTCAAAACGAGCTCCGCTTCGAACTGTACATGAAGGAGCAGCTGCTCATGCACATCGGGCACCTGCACCGTGATCGCATCACCGATACCGCCAGCGAGGCGGAGCACCAGCATCTGCAACACACTATCCGCACGCTTCGTGCGCAATTGCAAGGTATCAATGCGCGCTTTGATCGGCAGCGTGCCGAGATGCAAGCAGCCAATGCGCGTCACATGCAGTGGGAGCGCGAGCTGAACGCGAAGCTGAATTCGTACCGAGATGAACGCCGCGCATGGACAGTGCGTGTGCAGAATTTGGAGCGCGAGCTCGAGCAGGCGCGCAGAATGACCAAGTCGCAAGCGGACGTCATTTCCAGTATGGGCGCACGGCTCTTTACTGCGCAATCTGACCTTGCGATGGCTGCGCCGAAACTCGCTCGTTTGCAACGATATGACGCGTCTGTCCATCGTCTGGAAGGGAGCTTGAGTGAATGGGAAGACAAGCTGACGATCCTGGACCAACAGCGGGAGGAAATGAACAAGCTACTTCTTCGTTTCCGCGGGATGGAACTGGCTGTCGTGAACAGTGAGCGCAGCGCTCGGCAGCACAGTCAGCTTGCCGAATCCCTTTCGTTTGAAAACGAGCAGCTACAGCGCGATTTGCATGCTCTTCGAACTAAGCTCTTGCAGCAACATGAGCGTGTCCAAGCGCTCGAGGAACAGAGGCTGCGCGCTCTGTCGACGCCTCAGGTGTCGATGGATGACGTGCGTGCACTGCGGTCGAAGAACGAGCAGCTCGAGCTGGAGTTGCTTGATTGCCGTGCGCAGCTTGAGCTCCGGGCACTCGAGCAAAAGCAGTGCGAGCCCCGAGGCCTCATGACTCCCTACGCTCACGAGACGACGCTCTTTTCTCCCAATACATTGCGCACACCGCAAGACGCGTCTCGAGAAGAAGACCATGTGCCGCCGCTTTCGCTCGGGCCGCCTGCTCAATAGCTGCGTTACGGCAGTCTCATGCTTGTGTCGCGGATAGGCTTTGTGATGCCCAAGCCAGGGTCGGGGCAAGCCAGATCATATCACACCGTCGCACTTTATTCTCTACAACCCATATGCCCCTGGATCCTCATTCATTCTCATCATTGCACCGCCTCTGTTAGACCGTTGTTGTTTCTTTTTCACAATTGGTCTTTGGTGGGTTTCTATTTTCATTTTTGTAGACTAGGACATTTTCGATCACATACACACACATACGCACATATACAAAGGAGCGACTCAACGGCATCCAATGGTCCACCTATCAGCATGAGCGGTACTTGACTGCTAATGCTGCTTATCCTCTTCCGTCTGTGCATCTAGCAAAGCGCTCCACTTCTTCATAAGCTCGCCGGCGCGCTCACGGAAGTGGAATTCGTCATCGCGAGGGATGTCGGCTAGTTGCTGAATACGCTTCATGACCTTGCCAATCTTGGTGCTTTTGAGTTGATCCACCGTCATGTCTGTGTAAGCTTCCACTGTTTTGAATGTCGCGTCCTGCGCGTCCATATCCCTAGCTACAATGACCCCACCCTTGTTGAGAAAGGCACGTTGTAGTCTGTGCCGCCATTCACGGACCTTGCGTGTTGCAGGATCAAGTTCCTCTGATGCATCATGCTCCTTTCCAGAATGCGCGTCCTTGTCTGCATCTGCATCTGCATCGGCGTCTGCATCTGCTCCTGCATCCGTGGTAGCCGTTGCCTTTTCTTTGTTTCCGGTCTTTGAAGCATCAGAAGCTGATCCAGCTTTGTGCCTATCCTCTAGACCATCTACTAGCTCATCTGCTTCTTTTGCGTCATCCGATTCATGCTCACTCGCACGCGCACGTTTGGTACTGGATGCACGGCGTGAAGTCTTTGCACTCGCCGTGCGCTTCTTGGAACCTGCTTTTGTAGAACGCTTAGCCCCATATTTCTTTCCTTGCTTGTCACTGTCGTTATCATCATCGTCATTGTCCTCCTCAGCACTCTCATTGTCCTCTTCCTCCTCTTCCTCTTCCTCCTCCTCTTCCTCCTCCTCATCGCCATGCTCTTCAAGCCAATCGTTTGCCTCCTTCACAATGCGGTTCTGCTCAGCATTCCATTTGTGCGGATCTTTGGCTAGCTTGTATGCTTTGAGCAGGTCGCCTGATTTCCGTGTCGAGCCCTCGAGGAAAGTATCAATATCCTCATTGGTAAGCAGTTTCAAGTCGCGCGCTGATGCCCAATGATAATCGGCTGCAGGAAAGAACCGGATCGTATGCAAAGAGCTCTTGCCGCTCGGTCGCTCCTCCAGCACGGCACGAGGGACATTCTCGTCGTCCATAATGATGCCAGGCCATGAAGGGAAGCCCTTGATCTTTGCAAGGACCACATCACCAATCTTGAATTCATGGGGCGCAGACATGATACGACGCGCTTCTACGACGAGGCTAAGTTCTCAGCTCCCCTCCCACTCGTCGGGCGTGTTCGTTACACACTAAGAATGTGCAGTGCCGTCAGTCACACTGTCGTTACAGCGACGCGCGCAGCGCGCCACCGCTCTCTGCCTGGATCACGTGATCTCACAATCCACGCATACGCGTTTGGCAGGCAGTGGGATAGGGGCGGGGGAAGGGGATTTCTTCGGCTGGAGGCGGCCAACGTCTGAGCGAGCGCATGTGTATTCGTTGATTCGCGGACGACTGTGACGACGACTGACCTGGTGGCTTGCAGAGCAAGTCGTTGCCTGTAAAATAGTTTGGCGATTTCGACGCTGAACAGGTGAAGAGTTCTCCGGTAATACGGAGCAGGCTGGTGTCCTGATTAGAGCAGGTCTTGTGAGCGAGCGAGTCCTTGTGAGAGTGAGTGGGTGCTCGCACGCATTGAGCATGAGCAACCGTGTTGTATCAGTGACGTTTCGACATATTATCGATGATGTAATTGCAAATGTCCGGCAAGATTTTGAGGATATGGGTATCGAGAAGGAAGTACTGGAAGAACTGCAGCGTTCTTGGGAGGCAAAGCTGGTGGCAACACAGGTAACAGAGTTTGATGGCGCGGCCAACCACCAAGCGCCACGATCAAGTCCCTATCCCGCCACGCCTGGCACACAACTCATAAGAACAGCTGCTCAGTCGGGCTCGTCTGAGAATGCGGATGGTGCATTAGAGTCGGCTGACGCTGTGTATTCGAAAGTCGACGCGGAGCGCCATGAATCCGCTGCGCCTGAGGTGAGTGCCGTGAGCCACAAACGCAAGCGCGAGTCCGATGATGAAGGAAAGCGTGACGATACCGGCGACAAGAACGATGCGTCCAAGGATGAGATTGGTAGCGATCTTGACGATTCGGACGACGAAGATGCTGATGGGTCTGAAGACATGATTCTTTGCCTCTATGACAAGGTCCAGCGTGTGAAGAACAAGTGGAAATGCGTTCTACGAGACGGTGTTGCTTCCATCGGCGGTCGTGACTACTTGTTTTCCAAGTGCAATGGGTATGTATCCTATGTTTGCATCCTTAAGCGGGTGTGTTGGTGGGAGTAAAAAAAAATAAAAAAAAAACTAGTGATCGACTAACAAAGTGCAGTGAATTTGAGTGGTAGTTTGCTGCCATGATATGTGGCTAGCTACCGTACACGAACGTCGAAGCAACTTTGGTAGACAACTGGCGCGGGATGTATTGTCCATCATGCTTCTTGCGTTTCAACCATTCTGATTATGTTCCATTTTGGGCGCTGTTCCTCTGCGTCTCTCATCTATCTCTCGTATATATAGGAAGGAATAGTATGACCTTTGTTGAAACACGTCATACCCTGGTGCGCCGCGTTTGTGGTTGCATTTCACGGCTTGCAAGGGTTGTGCGATAGTGTAAGGTGGAACGTTTGAGCGCACTTTGGCGCACACGTAAGCCCAAAGCCTTCCCCCTGCCCCACGGGTGGTGGAGCAAGGAGGGCTGAACTGTTCGATTCGTCCGTGGCCATTGAGGGGGGAAAGTGACCAGCGCAAACCGACGGGGCAAGAGGGTGGGTTGGGGCAGGTGTGCAGGGGAGGAATTTTTGCGCTGTGGGTGATTCGTAGTGTGTGTGGTCCAAGCATAGAGAATCATCCTTATCTTATACGGTCAAGCTGTGTCGACGTTGTGGCCAACGGGATCGTCCGGGATTTGTGACCTCCGTTGTTCATGAAGTCAGCCGTTGAATCTACTTCCTTGCGCAGCAGCGGCGGTCTTGCGCGTATCGTGCAGCAAGTATGCACGCTGGATAACCGTACGTAGAAGGGCCCGGAGAGACAAGCAACCTCCGTCACAGCACGTCTTGAGCGGTCTTGCGCTAACGCTGTTTGTTTCAGTCCGTACACTTGCGCTCGTGGCTGTGATTCTACACTATGGGTCGCAATGGGCTCGCACTTTGCGCGCCGAGGGCGTGCTGCGCGTTGTGAACCAGTGCAAGCAAGCACTCCTTCGTGTACGTGCTGACGAGTATGTATGAGCTGACGAGATGCAGCGCGTGTTTCACCTCATGATGCTTGTGCCATCGAATCGCCGGCGAGTCGAGCGCGAAATGTCGACGGCGATGAATGACATTGCCAAGTCACTTATGCCGCCGTCGGCTGTGCCGACGATCTGGGAGCTCCCAGCGCATGGGCGCGATTCTACGTGGGTCCAAGCTCAGTTGGAGGCCCTTCAGCGCCTTGGTGCACATGGCGAAGCGGATGGTCGAGACGTGTACCTAGACGGCCAAGTGTCTGGCACCGTGTACCATGGCGGTGAGCAGCTGAATCAGCTGCTCGCAGCGTCGATTGAGCGCTTCCTCTTGACGAACCCGCTGCACCCAGAAGTGTTTCCAGGTCTGCGAAAGATGGAGGCAGAAGTCGTGTCAATGGTGCTGCAGATGTACCATGCGCCTGTGGGTGCTGCCGGCACCACAACGTCAGGTGGCACCGAATCGATCTTGATGGCTGTCCTGGCCATGCGAGAGTGGGGTCGTGCGGAGCGTGGGATCACACGGCCAGAGATTGTCGTGCCGTCAAGCGCCCATGTAGCATTCGACAAGGCTGGGGCCATTACTTTGGCGTGATTGTGCGTCGTGTGCCGGTGGACCGGCTTACACGCAAAGTGCAAATTCGTGCGATGGAGCGTGCGATCAACGCCAACACAGTGCTGTTGGTCGGCAGTGCGCCAAACTTTCCCGACGGCATGATTGATGACATTGTGTCGATTGGTGCATTGGCCAAGCGGCACAAGATTGGATGTCATGTTGACTGCTGCCTCGGTTCGTTCCTCATGCCGTTCCTTGAGCCAGCGGGCTTTGTGAGTGAACCATTTGATTTCCGCGTTGATGGCGTGACGTCGATTTCTTGTGACACACACAAGTATGGCTTTGCGCCCAAAGGCTCCTCGATCGTCATGTACCACACGGAAGCACTTCGTCGGTACCAGTACTATGTGTCGACCGACTGGGTCGGTGGCGTGTATGCGTCGCCCACGCTCGCTGGCTCGCGTGCCGGTGCTCTCATAGCAGGCGCCTGGGCTGCGATGACGTCGCTTGGTCGCGATGGTTACATCCAGAGCTGCCGCGAGATCGTCGGTGCTGCGAAGGAGATCGAGAAGCGTGTGCGTGCTGAGATTCCTGAACTGGTGATTTTGGGCAAACCGCTCGTGAGTGTGTTGGCCTTTGCGAGTGCCGGTAACGTCAACATCTACGATGTAGGTGACCAGATGAGCCGTCGTGGTTGGCACTTGAATGCGCTCAGTGGCGACATGCCTGCATTCCACATTGCTTGCACACGTCTTACAGTGCCTGTGGTCGATCGATTCGTGCATGATCTGAAGGAGAGTGTTGCTGCTTCTCGCTCTCGACCGTCCAAGTCGGGTGCCATGGCTACAGTGTATGGACTGCACACGACGACGCCCGTTGCTCCTATGCTGCTGAAGGAAATGGCCGCTCGTTACATAGATACGATGTACAAGCTTGACAAATCCGAGTAGTTTGTATGAGAACTAGGACCATGACGTTTGCAGGCAGCGAGGATTCAATTGTGATGGCTCTGTGTGGTTGATCGGAGCGACCAGGCATATGCAGAAAACAGCCAAACATACAGCTAGGAGGCTGTTGTGCCGATCAGCGTGGGAAGGTATAGATGACAGATCCCTCATCAGAGCCGAAGCCTGAGGGGTAATGGGGACGGGGATCAGGTTTATCTTGGGCGCAGTGGCAATGTTGTCAGTCAGGCCATGTAACCAGGTACGGCTAGATCCACCAGGGTCCAACCTATACGTGATTCTATGATGTATTGCAAGTCGTGTCCTGCTCCCTTTTGTCTTTCCCAAGTACAATGACAGGGGGAATGGACATGCCAAGTGCAGGAATCAGCATTGGGGTTTGAGCTATGCATTGCGTGGATTTCTTTGTCCGTGATGCAGAAATGAAGAGCAGATCGGAGTAGAGGGGGTGCATGGAACTAGAGAAACAGACAAAGAGAGAGAGAGAGAGAGAGAGAGAGAGAGAGAGAGAGAGAGAGAGAAAGGGAGAGAGAGTAAGGGAGAATCTATGATGGCAATCCACAGCACCTAGATTTGCTGTAGGACTGCTCCATTTGTGAAGGCCAATAGGGATGCGTATCGCTAACAGACGCACTGTTACAGAGACCACATACACAGAAGTCCATCAAATGCACAAACTCATTGCACTTCCTCGTCAGTCTCACATCATACGTACAGTAGAGTACTTGGACATCGCTGGTGGCAAATGCCAAGCCACAGTGCGGACACTTGCGCTGCCGGGTCTGGATGCGCGCATTGACACACGCCTCGCAGAATGTGTGCATGCAACGCAGAATGATCCGATCCCGATACCGCTCTTTGCAAGCTGAGCAGCGCAAGAGAGAATTCAGATACTCGAGGTTGGTGTCCTGGTCATTTCCATGTCGCCGCGCGACTGTTGACTCAGCAACACGTCGCCGTAGACGCCCCGCCTCGCGGTCCAACAAGCTAGCTCGCTCCATCGCTTCCTGTCGTCCAGTTGCTTCACGAGTCGCTCGTTCGAGATGCTGTGCCACACTCGTCTCTGCGGCATGCCTTGCTCGCTCCGCCTCGGCCAATCGTCGACGCAACGTGCTCGCATCGCGCTCAGTCTCATTCAGCCGACTCGCCTGCATTTGCACGCTCTTCCGCAGTGCACTCACTTCCTTCTCAGCCAGCTGGATCTGAGCCTGCATCGCTCGCTCCGTCTCCGTGTACCGCTCGATCACTTTGGCCTGTCGCTCAGCACTGCGCGTAAGTGCGCGTTTTTCTGCATCCAATGCATCTCGCGCACGCATCGCAGCAAAGTATTTGTTGTCCGCCTTGGCCTTCTCCGTCGTCAGACGTAGGATCTTGTCTTCCAAACGCGCAGCATTCGACACGCGCGCATCCGCCTGTTTGACAAGCTCATCGTACGCGGCACTGAGCCGATCGACTTCATCACTCAGCATCGCACTGGATGTGTGCGCAGCCTGCAGCTGCCTCTGAAGCTGGGCAGGCGCTTGCGAGTGGCCAGATGCCGTCGCTTCTGCACTGTCGCTGGCTTGCCCGTGTTCATGGCCATCGTCTTGGCCATGGCTGCCTGCTGCATCGGCTCGGAGAGCCTCAAGCTCGGCTTGCAGGCGCGCCACCTGTGCGTGCAAAGCGGCCATGCGCTCTTCCTTCGACGCAAGGAATGCCTTGGCCTCGTCGATCTGCGCAAACCGCACACCTTCTCTCGAGCGCCGCTCCAGAAGCTCGGCATTCAGCTCATCACGCTGTGTGCGCAAACGAGCCATATCGGCATCGCGCGCATTCAACTGCTTTTGCAGTTCATCGTTGTGTGTTTTGGCCTGTGTCGTTGTCTGGTGCACAAAGTCCGCGCGGAACTCGCGCAGGCTCGCATTCTCAGATTCTGACGAAGCCAATGCGTCTCGTACGTGATCAAGTTCTTGCTGCATGTAAGCAACGTCCGCATGGAGCGCCTGGTATATGGGATGCGCCCGCACACGATCATCTGGCACATGCTGCAGCTGCAGCTGGCACGAGGCACATGCTTGCTGCGCTTCGAGCAGCTCGGAACGAACAGCATCGAGCGCTTGCTGCCGCGCATGGGCGAGATCACGCACATTGTCAAGCTCCTCTTGCATGGCATGCGCAGGCGAAGAGAAGGCGGGTCCACGCACCATGTCAGACGTGCCAGCACGTCCCACAGCCACGTGCGCGGTCTTCTCTGCAGTCAACGCTTCCGATGCCGGCGCGTCACGCGTAGCAGACGACGATCCGTCCGTCTTCGAGCTGAAGGGCGCGCCAGCATCGTCGTTCGTCGCGGACGCCGATTGTGATGCGTTCTGCGCGCGCATGCGCTCATATCCTTGGGGATCTTCCACGGCTCGAACTGACTCACACATCAAACGATCCAGTCGCTTTTCTGCGTGACGCAGTAGCTCCGTCACATGCTCCGTATGCTCCTGTGACTCTACGAGGCGAAGACGCGTCGTTTCAAATGCCTGTCGCACTGCACTCAGCTCAGCCGTGAGTGTTATACACTGCTGTTTGTCATCATATACATTCGCGCTGGACGATTCCAAAGACGGTGCGGCGGCCAAGGCGGCGGCTGTCGTTTGTGATAAGAGTGCCTCGAGCATGGAGCGGCGCTCCGCGAGAGCAGCCGCTTGCTCCTCTGTTGTATGTGTCAAAGATATTGGAGCTAAATCTTTCCCGTCGGAAAGCTGTGCACGTTGCGTCGGACGTATGAGCGCATCCAGTGCATCCCAAAACTGGTTCACGAGAAGCACACTATGGCGCGTCCGCGCAAGCGCTTCATGCAAACTTGCTTCCTGCTCGCGGGCACGCGCGGCATCACGTTTTGCCTCGCGCATACGTCGGTACATAGCATCTTTCCGATACCGCTCCAGCAGCCGGTAATTGGGATCCGCCGATTCCGGGTCTTCCGTCTCGTCATGGTCCAGATGCAGACGTTTATTCATGCCATTGGTATCTTCGCGTGCGCTAGTGTGTGTGTATGCCATTTGATCGGCGCCGGCACCGGCACCTGCATAGGTATCGGTATCGGCAATGTCGCCATGTTCGCGTTTTCGCTCCATTCACGGTCGTTCCAGCCGTGTTCGTGCTAGGATGTGCTGCTGTGTCAAGTAAAGGTCGAAGAGTCAACCGTGTGCCGTGTCACTTTGCGACAAACGCGTCAACAGGTTTGCTCGCAGGATTCGTCGGCGATCACAACAACAATGACGACGGCCCACGGACGACGCGGTCGCGTTCGAAGAATTGCGGCGCATCCGTCCCATTAAGGAAGAGAGAAGGGACGTAAGGAATCATGAGCACATCACGTGAACCGCTTCTTTCAATCCACCCACGCCCCCTTTCCTTTTTTCTGCTTCTTGTGTCAACCTGGCGAAGCCTGCCGTGCCCAGAAGGACTGGACTGATTTGCGCCAGGTACTCGGTTCAGGGCTTGGTGGAAACCGGTCAAATTGCTTATTAAGTAAAAGCCTTGGCCCAGCTGGACTAGGGTCGTCTTGGCCAGACTGCTGTGCGCGTGTGTGTGCATGTGTCACAACTATTGGCGGTGGGTGAGGGCGCTCACAGTCAGTTCCATCACACACTCATCATCATCATCGTCTCGCGGCGCACACACTATCGTCGTCCCTTGAGTGTTAGTGTTTGAGCATGCCGACTCGAACTCTGGGGTCGTGTGTGCGTCCAGCTCGCACACATGGTCTGCTACGAACGCGGCCGAGACCCGCGATCACATACACCACAGCGCGCCTGTCGGCATCAACATCGACATCGTCGAAATCGTCGTCATCATCCATGCGCCACCTTGTGCAGGCAATCGAGCTCTTGCGCACTCTGTTTCAACCTGCCTCGCCTTGGATCACACGCCTTGATCAAGCTTTTGAAAGCGCCTCCAACTCTGTAGCAGGTATGGCCATGCTTCCATCAACAACGGGCGCAGGCTCTGTTAACACGGCGGCTGATGCTGCAGCTGTCTCAGCATCCGATAAGCAGCGTCGACGCATTGCCATTGTTGGCGCGCCGTCTCATTTCATGGACACACTTCTAGCCGAGCCTCTAGATTCCACCATCACGTGTGCTCTCGAGACGTATCCACGACATGCTCACACACATATTCAGTATGGTCCTGGCGGATGGACTGCTGATGGTGCTTGGACACTTCCTTTGTCGTGGCTACATGGTATTGAACTCTTCGAGTGCAGGGACAGAGTCGATGATCCAGATACGTACACGGAGCTGCTTGCTTGCGACGCGGTCTTCCTCGTGGTCCGTGCCTCCGCATTAACCTCTAAAAATGCATCTGCTCAAAAGATCCTAGATCTCGCTCATATCCTCGCATTCAAGCCACACACCACGCTGTTGGTAGACTGCGATGTCGATCATGCTTATGGCCAACAAGCTTCTTTGCAGTGGTCTCTTGGCGCTCAGGCTGTGTGTGAGGCCGTACCTCCCCGGCTTTTGGAGCGGCTCGCTGCACAGCAGGCAGACGTCTGGCACCCAGCTCCTGAACATGGTGCGCGAGGCATTTTGAGTGTGCAAGGTGTGCACTTTGTATCTTCTACGCTTGCGCATCATGCACGCAGCATCCTGCCGGACCAAGGCCTTCCTGAATTTGCCCGCATCTTTCGTGCATCGCGCTTTGCTGCACTGTACCCGCTTTTTGCAAAAGCATATGCACCCCAAACACGCATCGAGTATGTTGCACAGCTCGCTCTTCATGCTGCCACTGAGGCAGACGTTGCCGAAAAGGAACGACTGGATGCTGGTGCTGGCTGGGCTAGCATTCTCCAAGCGAATGCTGAACATGACATTCGCATTACGAAAGCACGTCTCGACTTGGCAAGTGACGTGTCCCAACCTGTGTCCCGGCAGTCGTCAGTACGCGAAAGACGCGGTGACCAAAGCGCCAAGACTCGCAGCCGCCAGGCGGATGCCCGTGCGCTTGTGGCCACTACGCTCCAGATGCAATTTCCCTGGTGGCGTCTACTTTGGCGTATGGATGAAATGCGCCTCGCCCTAACATACGCTGTTGGCCGCAGTTTTGGTGTGCAAGAAGAAACGCGCCTAGCCTATGAGGCAGGGCGCCTGCGCGGCGATTCGTCGCGGCAGACGCACACGGCGCATGTTGCCCTGGATGATCTGCGTGCTCGCAACACGAGTGTGCGAGAACGCCTGGCATGTGCGGACCAGCCTTCACTTGACACCGCTATGCTCCGCAATGCTCTCGCTTCGTACGATGAGCGGCACATGGGTGCTCTGCTCCATGCACAATGCCTCTCTGAGCCTTTGCTTCGTCGACGCGAACAGCTTCTTGCACGGAATGGTCCAGTCGACCGCCTCGTTTCGCAGTCGCAAAAGACCGTCGGCACAACGTACATCGGCCTCGGCGCGAGCTACACCACTAGCGCTTTGGGCGCTCTAGCTCATGCTTCACCCACTTTGTGGATGGACGAGTTTGCCACGCCCATGTCGGAAGCACTTGCTACATCGTCGTGGATACCTTCCATCGACATACCTTCATGGTCAAGCCTCATTGCCATGACACCTACGACCGCCGGCGGCGTCGCACTGCTGGCCAGCGCAGCCGCTGCATACTACCTACAGGGTCGATGGACAAAATTGAAACGAAGATTTTGGCATGATTGGGATCGGGCAGTCGAGGCCGCGGAACGTGAGCAGACCGAATGCATCGACACTGTCCTACGAACACAAGTATACGGAGCGCCATTGCACGCGGCGAAGGCCCTACGCGAGCAAGTCGATGCGCGTCGCAGCCAGCTGGATGTACGCATTCAGACTTTGCGCGAGATCCGTGGTCTTATGGACAATGTGCCTCGTTCTCAGACATAGGGTGACGTAGACAAGCAAGCGAACCAACACTTGCACGCACATACCCACACATACACGTATCCAAAAATATTCATGCGCAGTAGCATGGAGAAAGTGGCATTGTTGTACATTTTGTTTCGGGTCTGTACTCTACACAGATGGAGGCGAGGGGAAGCGAAAATGGGCATGATAGAAACAAAGCGGTGCCACGTCTGGTGAAACAGAAAGTCGAATAGGCCCCGCAGCCAGAAAGGAGACATCTGCATCGCAGGAAACCGTATTGACACAAAGTGCGACACCTTGCCACATCTCTTCTGTTTATGCGAATGGCTTGGATTTACGCTCATGAACTGCTTGTGAGCTTGTGTCGAGTACGTACTATTGTAGTGAAGCAGACGCTCGATGAGATCGACATGCGTCAGCACCATACGCCGGCAGCAGTAGCGATGAAGCTGCAGCTCAGTCAGGGCCTCGCCTTCAGTACGGCCCTCAATCAACAAGGCAAGATACGCGTCCCATTTGTCGCCAATGACTTTGCCGCAACTAAAGCAGCGCACTGGAATGATCTGTGGTCAGCCCAAGGAATGCACGCACCATCGTGACACCGACAAAACAGAGTCAGCAACACGAGAATAAGAGAAAATGCCAAATAGGACGTGAAACGTATCAGTCGTTGACACGGCAAACACGCCTTCGCTTTCACGGGCGCCCAATTTCAGCGGCGGTAAGGTGCAATTGAATAAAAAAATTCGCATCGATAGTCTGATATAGGCACTGGGATTCCTCGGCATATCGAGGATATACACAGTTTATGCTTACTTCCCAGATCTCATATGGATTCGTTCGGTTTGCAAGCTGGCACATAGCTTCGTCGTCGTCGTCTTCCACCGTGGCCCACGACAATGAGTGGATGTACGTATAGACACGTCCTACGCATGTGCTAACCACATCTCTTCTTTTTTTTTCCCTCTCTCTCTTTCTTCTTCTTCTTTGTTTTTCTGTCCGTATGCAGTCCGTGTGTTGTCGCTTGTGCGGCCTTTCATGTCCGTATTGCCGGAGGTTTCGGCGCCTGAGCGCCGAGTACCATTCCAGCAGCGGGTGATGTGGACGGCCATTGTGCTAGCCATCTACCTGGTGTCCTCGCAAATTCCTCTCTATGGCATCATGTCAAGCGACAGCTCAGACCCATTGTTCTGGATGCGTGTGATTCTCGCGTCCAACCGTGGTACATTGATGGAATTAGGTATCTCGCCCATCGTCACGTCCGGCATGATCATTCAGCTTCTTGCAAGTGCGAACCTTTTGCAAGTCGATTTCAGTCTGCGTGAAGACCGTGCCCTGTATAGTGGTGCACAGAAACTGTTCGCCCTGATCTTGTCTCTTGGTCAAGCAACGGTGTATGTGTTGACGGGTCTGTACGGTCCACCAAGTGAGCTGGGTGCTGGCGTTTGTTTGTTGCTGATTCTTCAGCTAGTTGTTGCTGGTCTTATCGTCATTTTGCTTGACGAGCTCCTTCAGAAAGGATATGGTCTCGGATCAGGTATCTCGCTCTTCATCGCCACGAACGTGTGTGAAACGATTGTGTGGAAGGCTTTCTCACCCACGACGGTCAACACTGGTCGTGGTCCCGAGTTTGAGGGTGCCATCGTTGCGCTGTTCCACCTTTTGTTCACGTGGAACAACAAGTCCCGTGCGCTTAAAGAGGCTTTCTACCGCGAGCGCTTGCCCAACGTGTCGAATCTCGTCGCGACGCTGGCTGTGTTCCTGATTGTCATTTACTTGCAGGGCTTCCGTATCGAAATCCCTATCAAGTCGACCAAGTTCCGTGGTCAGCAGGGCTCGTTCCCCGTCAAGCTCTTCTACACAAGTAACATGCCCATCATGCTCGTGAGTGCGCTGACGTCCAACTACTTTATTATCAGCCAAATGCTTGCTACGCGCTTCCCATCGAACATCTTTATCAATTTGTTAGGTGTGTGGGATCGCTTGGACGATAACCCACAGCTCCACGCCGTGGGCGGCATTGCTTACTATCTCTCGCCACCCACGAGCATGGGTGCTGTGTTCCGTGACCCGATCCACGCTTTGATTTACATCGCATTCACCCTTACATTCTGCGGTGTCTTTTCCAAGGTGTGGATCGAGGTGTCCGGCAGTGGCCCCCGTGAGATTGCTAAGCAACTCAAGGACAACCAAATGGTCATCGCTGGCCACCGCGACGCTAGTATGTACAAGGAGCTCAAGCGTGTCATTCCCACGGCTGCTGCATTCGGTGGTGCCCTCATCGGTGCCCTTTCAGTTGTAGCTGACCTGTCTGGTGCGCTCGGCTCTGGCACAGGTATCTTGCTCGCGGTCACCATCATCTACTCGTACTTTGAGATGGGCATGAAGGAGGCGTCGGGTATCAGCGCAAGTCCTCTTGCCGACCTGGTGGGATAATGATGGCATAAAGTAGGCAAATCGGTAATCCAACGTCGCATGCCCTCCTTTCTACCATATTCGCTAGTTGGCTATATACGATTTTGTAGAAGTCGATGGCTACTACAACATTGCGCCTCAAAAGTGAGGAACTTGATCTGCGTCGACTAAAAGCACTCGACATCCTCCTTATGCATTCAGTAGATTTGGGTTTGCGTTCATAGTCTGTCGACGCCTCCTCCTCCTCGGTACGCCCTCGCTAAAATTCTGATTCGGCTCGATCAAGGGCTGCTTGGAGCGCCAGAGGCGCGGTGTCAGCACAAATGGCAACACAAATGCGAGCGCAAAGAAGAACGCGAAAAATTAGGTGCATATTACATCATCATCTACACGTGAGTGAAACACGGTGTCGATGGCGCCATCGTCTACAGCAAGCATGACATGTGCGGCGAACCAGAAAATTATTTCCACACTTACTGAGCCAAGCTAGTCCTCACATATCCATCATACCTAGGACGGACCTGCGACTCATTTTGTTCCATTGCGACTGTGTATATGAATCCACCTTTGCATCCTAGCTTACATCCACCATCCAAGTATGTAACCCTGATGTTTCACTGACCAAATTAGCTCATCATTGTATGGTGAGTCGTCGCGTCGAACTCCACACCGCGCCGGCCATGCGTGGCCGGTGCAATCCACCGCCTTGGGCTCCGTGGTTCGGTGGTGGACCTGACGTGACATCAAGCGAAATGCCTGGGTCCAGCTCTGGTCCAGGTCGGCGTGCGCCTGTGAGAGAGGCAGCGCCGCTTCTTCGTCGGAGTAGAACGACGGAATCTTTCGTGCATCCGATGAGCTCCCTGTTGCCACCGTCCCCACCGCCATCCCCACCACCTATGTATCGTTTCAATCCCATTCATGTGCACCATGGCGCTGTCTCCCGTGGAGTTGATTCAGTACAGGATACCAATGATGACGACCATGTTCAATACGACATGGGTCGTGGTAGTGACGACTATGTCCTTGACGAGGGCGGTGAACGTCATTCTGAAAGGCATTGCAGTCGCTGTCGAGATCATCATTCGTCCATGACTTCAAACGCGGCTTTGGCCCCTCTAATATCCCCAACAGCATTTATTCGTACATCGCTCCAGCTCGCTTCGCGGTTTGATGTGCCTGGGACGCCAGATATGAGCCCTGCAAACATGGATGTGCGGCATCAACCCACGGCAATGGCAGAGGCATTTCTCCGACGTATATTTGTGAATTGGAATGCGTCAGGTGCGTATAAAGCAGAAGATGCGGGCATTGAGCTACTATGTCCCGGCTGGACCGGCGCGGTAGTCCAAAAAAACACCTGCACCACGCGCTCAGCTCAGCTCCGGTCACTATATGTCCACATGCCTCGTTCATTCGATCGATCCACGCTTCGCGATCACATGCTACGTATTCTAGACGCCGCGTCAGACAGTGTGTGCGCGTCACGCGTGGTCTTTTGTCTTGAGCGTGATATCCCTGATCTGTCATCGCTCCTCCATGGCTTGTGTTATGTTGGCGGGCAGCTCAGTTCACTTCAGGGCCAACGGGATGAATGGATGCAAGCTACACCGCTTGCATCATTAGTACTTGTGGCCGTGACATTATAATGGAACCTGCTTTAAGCCTTCATCACAGAGCCTGCAATGGGGTGTTGTCGCTCCAGAGTGTCGAGCCGGCAATGAGCCAGCCCTTTTGTCCTCACCCCACCAAGTCGCCTGATCATACTTTTTGTAAGCATTATATACATATCTAAGTTCACGCACCTATAGAAGAGGCACATGTCATTGGGTGAACCGGTTATGCGAGCTGTCGGGCGTCGCTTGTGCGGAGTGCCGTAACTTGGAGCGAACCCCAACCCACTGCACCTGGGAGGTATACTTCGATCGGTATCTACCTGCCGCAACAAGTCTCTCCGCCTTTGTGTTCCCATCCACGCGCTTTTGACACTTACTCGACCGATTTCTTGGCTACCGTAACAAAAGACTTAATCGTCGATTAAACGACCGACTATTTGGCCTACCTACTCTCCCCCTCACCTCTCTCACTTGGAGTAGCATGGCGGCACAGTCGCGCCTCCGCACGACCCTCGACTCTGCCAAATTGGAGAGTATAAATCGCCTTCTCGCGTTTACATCACTTTATGGAAGAAACTATGCTTCAATCCAACGCGTCTTGCGCGTTGTGTACTTGATCGGCGTGGCATGTGGTGTGATCCTTATGTTCGCGCCCAAGAGTCAGAACAAGAAAAGCAGTAAAAAAAGTACCGCTAATGAAAGTCGAAAAGAGAGTAATCGTCCTGATGCGGCGCTTATTTCGCCGCCAAATGCACAGAAGAAGCGAGTCGCTATTGATCGCGTATTTTATGCGCGTTTGTTTCGTCTGTTGCGCATTACCTTTCCGACATGGCGATCCGCGTCGTTCGGTCATCTCATCGGCTTATCCTTCACGCTTCTCTTGCGCACTCTCATTTCCTTGTACGTCGCCGAGCTAGATGGCCGCATCGTGTCGTCGCTTGTCCGAGGCGACAAAGCGCTGTTTTTACGCAGGGTCGTTGCATGGATGTGCATCGCCGTACCTGCCGTATTGACAAACAGTATGATTTCGTTTTTCGTTAACTCATTGTCTCTATCGATTCGCTCGCGTCTCACAAACGTGATCCAAAATGTGTACCTGAAAAACCTGACATTCTACAAACTCACGAACTTGGATGACCGGATTCGCAACGCGGATCAACTGTTGACCGTGGACGTGCAGAAGTTCAGTCGCGCTATATCGCTGTTGTATGGCAACATTTTTATGCCGATGATCGATTCCATCGTGTACAATTTGCGCCTAAGTCAAACCGTTGGTGTGGAAATGTTGATTATGACGACAACAGTGATCCGACTTACAGCTATGTTGGTCAAGATTTTGACGCCACCATTTGGCCAATATGCGGCAACGGAGCAGCAACTTGAGGGCGAGTACCGATTTAGCCATGCCCGTCTTTTGGAGAATGCTGAGGAAATTGGTTTCTATCGGGGCCAGGAATTGGAGAAAAAACTGATTGACCGCTCTTACTTTTCCTTGCTCAAGCATATGAACCGTATTTTCCATATCCGCATATATTATGGCATGATGGAAGAAAGCATTGTTAAGTGGCTTTGGGGCGCCATTGGGCTAGTTATTTGCTCTGCCCCTGTGTTCTTCAAGATTCCTGGATTCGTCACGCGTGGCATAAAGTCCGATGCAGGTTCGCGCACAGAAACGTTCGTGACAAACCGACGTCTCCTTTTATCAACATCCGATGCATTCGGTCGTGTAATGCTCAGCTATAAGGAAATGTCCGAGCTGGCCGGCTACACGTCGCGATTGACAGAACTGATGGAGGTGATGGATGAAATCAACTCAGGTCGCGCTAAGAAGCGCCTCGTCACTTCTGTTGGCCAAGAAGCAATTGATCAGAAGAATGAGATCTTTTCGCGTCGTGGTGAAATAATTGAGGGCACCGATGAAGTGGTGTTTGAAGATGTGCCCATTGTGAGTCCGAACGGGGATGTCCTCCTGGAAAAGCTTAGCTTCCGTATTGAACCAGGAAATAACCTGCTTATTATTGGACCCAATGGATGTGGCAAAAGCAGCATGTTCCGTATCCTTGGTGGCTTGTGGCCTGTCTATGGTGGACGTGTGTACAAGCCAGCGAACCACGACTTTACATATATTCCGCAACGCCCGTACTTATCGCTCGGTTCGTTGCGTGATCAAATCATTTACCCAGACACGGTCGATGAGATGCATGCCAAGGGCATCAAGGATGAAGACTTGGTCGATATTCTCAAGCTCCTTCAGATCGATAATATCGTCGAACGAGAAGGTGGCTGGGATGCGGAGCGTGAATGGCGTGATGCGCTGAGTGGCGGCGACAAGCAACGAATCGCTATGGCGCGTCTGTTCTACCACAAACCCAAGTACGCGATTCTTGACGAATGCACAAGTGCCGTAACACTCGAAATTGAACGAATTATGTATGAGCACGCAACAGACCTTGGGATCACCATGCTCACTGTATCACATCGCCCATCGCTCTGGAAGTATCATTCCCACGTTCTCCAATACGACGGACAAGGTGGTTATGTGTTTACTGAGCTTGATGCTGACAAGCGCCTTAAATTGCAAGACGAGAAACAACAGCTTGAACAGAATTTGTTGTTGTTACCAAAATGGCAAGAACGTCTGCGTGATCTTCAAGGTATCAAAACTGCCCATGAAAGGCTTATCAAGAGCTCAGGACATGGTAATCAACAGAAGGAATCAACGTCCCAGCCACCCAAGCAGGGCGAATCTGCTAAGCAGGACCAGACCTTGAGGCAAGAATCGCAGAAAGATGGGTCGAAGCCTGAGCCATCCCAACAGGATCAGACCTCGAAGCAAGAATCGAAGAAAGACGAATCAAAGCCTGAACCATCCCAGCAGGACCAGACCTCGGAAAAAGAGTCCAGGATTGAAGATTCCAAACTTGAAAAACCCAAACAGGAATCCAAACAAAGGTCGAAAGATGAAGATTCGAGACAAGAGCCACCGAAAATCCAAAATGAGATCCCTGCCGCCGGTGCTAAAGTGTCACAACCACCAAAACTAAAGAAAAAAGCGTCGAAGAAGTCACAAAACTTGAAGTCCCCGTCTGATCCTGCAGGAGAGGTTCCGTCAAAGTCGCCTGAAAATGGCGATGATAAAGTTGGCAAACCAGCGCCTGCCATTGATTTTGCCTCCATTCATCAACATCCGAAGAAGTGATAGATGATATTGCTAGAATGCGAATGACTTTCAACCCCTTCCCATGACGTCATTACCACGTTCTCGCTCTCGGCTGCAGGTGACAGCGCTGCCGTAAGATGTATCGGACAGGGACCAATGCTGTTCTTAACCATGCTGGCCATGCTCCCCAAGTGCATCACACTTCGATACGCACTTCGGCACGACGTCAACAGTATCACACAAGCTTGCTCATTTGGTATAGAGCGCACTACATAGCCCTGTCCTACCAACATCCACTAGACTGCTATTTGCTTGCTTACTGCTGCGAGAGAGCGGCTTGAATCGCAGAGAAGACTTCGACTTCAATCTCAGCAGCTGCCTTCTCCTCGGGCGAGCCATTGCCAGAGGCGACACGCTGCGCTTCGGCCAGACCTTGGCGCACAGACTGCAAGTGTGTGTAAGTACCATGTAAGGCGACATTTCAAGCATCAACATACCTCTTGTGAGAACTTGTCCAGCGTGTATGCCTCAATTGTGTTCACAGTCAAGTGGTTGTCCGGGTGAATCGTAGCGAAGCCGCTCGAAACTACCGTGTAAGTAAGTTAGTATAAAGAACGCGTGTGGTTCAGCACATGCCATTGATGTGCAATTTGTGCAAACGTACCGAAGAACTTCTTGCTCGTGCCCGACGACTCGATAACTTCCAACACGCCAGGGCGGATCTGCTCAACTGTCGGAACGTGAGCCGACAGGATACCAAGGTCACCCGAAATTGCTGGCACGTTTACTTGTGTGACCTCCTGGGCATTGTACAAAGCCTGTTGAACAAACACATGATGTTAGTCATGACAATCGAGATCATGACCCAACTAGGGTCTACATACCGAGTGTGGCAGCACGAAGCTTAGCTTCAGCTTATCACTCACAGCCTCAGCATATCCACGACGCGCACCAGCCAGTTGGGAAAGGGCTGGGCGGTAGCTTGAAGAGCGGAGTGTGCGCGAAGCCAATGCAAACACCATCGTCGTTGTAAAGTCAGTCGGTCAGCGAGTGAATTCACACGCGCTGTCCTCCGAATCAGCTGCCATCCGCCCAAGTGTCCACCCAAATCTGCCCGGTCCGAGGGCCAGCAAACGCCGTACATCGGCCGAGTCCGGGATGCAGCCTGCAGGTGGCTTTACCACGTGGTTGAATTATCATAGCGCTCCTAGACCCCGAGGTGTTTCACCAACGCCGTCCACAAAGATACCTCCACACGATCACGTCCATGAGCGGCCGCTACACATGAGCCGCTGTCCGTTTACTTGCACGAGTTGCTCGCAGCTCATCTTTCTTGATCAAAGCATCGAGTCAGCAGACAATGACGCTTGGAAAAATCTGCTTGATAATAAATATTGCCCTCTGGGTCCCACAGGGATTCCGCCAGCGGAAGAGGCTGTAAAATCGCTGAACCTGCCGCCCTCTGTTCAAGACACATTCCTACGCCGTGCTGCGCATGATTCTCCTGGTGATGCTCATGAAGGACAAGGTGCTGACATGTATGTAATGCAATTTTCACTATTAGATGCTGCCACATGTGATGGAAAGTCAGATGTTCGATATCCATTGTGTCAAGCATGTGCACGAGCGGCCCTTCAATCGATGGAAGAACGTCGGCTGCGTTTGGAACAGGATCATAAAACGTTGTCCATGTTGGAACGCGAGCTTCAAAGATTAGCTATCATAAAAGGAGATCTCGACATGTCCGACGATGACATGGCACGATGGAGACGCGAGCACGACCGCCTCGAGCATGACGTCGACGCCGTGCACAATGCATGCAAGGAGACATGTGCGGAAATTCGCAAGACAGACATTGAAGTCGAACAGGTCCGGTATGCGCTTGAAACACTGAGCTATATGGAGGCAAAAATGGCGAAGGAAGAGCAGGAGTTATGGTATGTCTATCATGATAAGGCGATGGAACTTGAACGTTGTGCCTCGAGTAAGGCTTGTCTCAACGCTGAATTCGTGCATATGCAAAAACAACTTGCATCCCTGGAGCAGTCGTGTGCATACAGGGACGTATTTTGCATTGAGCAAGATGCTTATGGAATAGGCACTATTAATGGCCTTCGTCTCGGCAGACACACTGGAACTCGCGCCAGACCAAATGAACAAGTGCCATGGTCGGAGATCAATGCTGCGTGGGGTCAAACAGCACTTCTGCTTACGGTATTACAACGCAAGCTTAACTATGCAAGTCGCGTATACAAAGTGGTGGCACGTGGCTCGTTCAGCGTTGTTGAACGACTGGAGCCTGACCACGCAGTCTTTGAGCTGTATGCTACCAGCGAGTGGCAGCTCGGACGATTATTTCACGCACGCCGATTCGACTGTGCCATGCTGGGCTTCCTAACATGCGTGCAAGAAATCTACATGCATGCTAAATCTCTTTATAATGATCTTGAGATACCCTACCCGTAAGTGTCATTATCGAGTACGAAAACAGAGAGAACTAACGCTGCCTTTGGAAAACAAATAAAACACAACACTTGGTTTCATACTCTAGTATTCATTCTGATTGTATTGGTGGAATCAGCATCCGGCTTCAGTTCCATGAGCCAGCAGCATGGAATCGTGCAACTCGATACCTCCTTGAAACGTATGTTACGCTCGCTTGGCTACGCGCTAGTTTGCCGATCTCGTCTAACTCCAGTCTCGATTGCCTCCTGTCCTGGACACTCACCTGTTTGAAGTGAGACGTATTGTCACGTGATCTATAGTCGCCCTCGCATCGCGGCGCTTCGTTTGCCACCGCCGATCGCTGTAGCAAGTCTTTTCTTATTCCCAGGTAGGTTCCGACGGTCGTGCACTTCCTGCTTGCATAGGAGCGAATATGCCTATTACACAAACAGGACACCCCGGGCAGGACCACTCGCGTGACCCTTGTCCATGGGTCATCCTCAATGATTTTGGTGGTGCATTTGCCATGGGTTGTATCGGTGGCACGATCTGGCATGGTATCAAAGGAGCTCGCAACTCGCCCCGTGGTGAACGCATGCTCAGTTCGGTGTCTGCTATCAAGGCTCGTGCACCAGTTCTTGGTGGTAACTTTGGTGTATGGGGTGGTTTGTTCACGACCTTCGACTGCTCTGTCAAGTCGGTTCGTCAGAAAGAAGATCCTTGGAACGCAATCATCGCTGGTTTCTGCACTGGCTCTACCTTAGCTCTGCGCGGTGGTCCAAAGACTGCGTTTGGTGCTGGTGTCATGTGTGGTATTCTTCTTGGTGTCTTCGAAGGTGTCGGTGTGCTGATGCAGCGTCTCCTAGCCGAAAACAACAAGCCTATTGCGCCTATTATCCCTGACTCGCCGCTGGCTCCAGCTGGAGGCAATGCCTCTGTACCCAAGTAAATCTGGACATGTGGTGTGAAAATATATACATGTGTGTGTTCTTGCGAGCAGGATTAACAAGGTCAAGATATCCTTTTCCACTCTCTATTTCTTACCGTCCTCTTATATACATTTCGACCTGAGTTTCCGCTAGCAGCTCACTAGCATGAAAAAGGTCCATTGTGAAGCACCTATATTCAGGACGTTATTCATCTTGGTATCCATCTTTACGCGTCGGGTTTTTGTAGTCGATGAGAGACCAATGCCTTTTTCTCCATTGATCCACACAGATTCATCAGCTAAGACGAAGACGCTTGCATCTGCTGCACACGCAATAGCCTTTACGTTTGCATAGTCATGCTGATTATCTCCCAGATCCACAGGCGCAGGGGGTGAATAACCCCAAGGCGCATACCAGCCCCATACATATGCATCGCCCTCTGTGCTCAGAGCGATCGTGTGTCGATCGCCGCAGGCCACATGCTGGACCCCGGCGGGAAATCCTTGGTCTTTAGAAAAGTATGACACGCAGTGCAAAGTTGTATTGTCATTGCGGATGCGCACAGATCCGAGTTGACCAAAGCGATTGTCCCCCACCGCATATAAGGGAGAGGCCTCCGCGCATGCTCGCAGAATAAAATGCGAGCCACCGCCATACACCAGATCAAACTTTGGCGCTTTAGTGTCAGGTGATTGAAGGAGCAGGCCATACTTGGTCCCACGCATCATGGCCTCAAGTGATGTATATAAATATGCAGTTCCGTGATCTGGTAGACGAATAAGCTTACTTTTCACACATACACAGACATACCAGAAACGGCAACAATGCGTCCTGTTTTATCCATGGCCGCATGACGCCATCTATCCGAGCCGTGACGAGCCGTTGTAAAACCAATACACAAATATCCATCATTATCAATGCAGCCTTTGATCTCATCCTGCCCAAGAATTGCACGCGGCTCGCGCCAAGGAATGTGGTACTTTCTCGGTATGCTTGTATTCTCATGTTGAGGCATATATCCAAACAAGTACAAAAGGCCTTGCCTTGAGTAAAGAACTTGCGACCCTGTCACCCACACTAGACTGTCGGCGCAATCTATCTCCGTCGGCTCTGCTATATGCAACTTGCACAAATTCTGTCCAAGCTGTCCATGTAAGTTAGATCCCCAGCCCAGTAACTGCGCTCTGCATGGTCTTTCCCTCATCCCCACGAACAGCTTTTGGGATGCCATGAATGAATGTGCGCGTGTGCGCATGGCCTGAGCGAAACGCCCGATTTCGACCCGATCATTCACACCACAGGAACCGTCATATTTTCGACAAGATGTGGTCGACAGATTTTACCCACACCTTATTCACGTACAGACACTTTTAGACAAGCTCAACTTAGCGCGCTCAGTTGCCTATGTTGCACAGATGTTGGTATAGTTCACGCATACATCACAAATACATGCAAGCGTGTCGACGTCCAATTACTACATTCCGATCGGTCGTTGATGTGCTTGAATCACGCGGCATGGTGCAGGCGACTACATCGCGAGCACTCAAAGAACACCTAGCTATGCCAGGCGAGGCTTCTTCCACACCTCACCAACATATAAAACGCACAATCTACTCTGGCGTAGATCCTAGCGCACCAAGCTTGCATGTGGGCAATTTGTTGCCCTTAGTCGCGCTCCTGCATTGTGCTATCTATGGCCACAAAGCGCTTGTCTTAATTGGTGGTGCTACGGGAGCTATCGGAGATCCCTCTGGACGTTCATCTGAGCGATCTGCACTCGGTACAGATCAGCTCACATCTAACGTGACTACAATTCGTGCACAGATTTTCCAGTTTTTCCACAACGCCGCTGCATATTTGTCACGAAGGAATATACTGCACGCTGAACCGGTACTCTTTGGTTCCTGCAACCAGCAATCCTGGGAAAATGAGTGTTTATTTCAAACTGCTTTGGATATCCAGCTTGTCAATAATCTTGACTGGTTCCGCGATATCAAGATGCTCGACTTCTTATCTAGTGTCGGTCGCTATGTCCGTGTCAATGATATGATGGCTCGAGACAGGTGCGTTCATGATACAGCTACTAATGTACTTATGCAGTGTTAAATCACGCCTTTTTCCTTCGGAAGGTGGCCCTGCAACAACAGGACTCTCCTTCACAGAGTTTTCATATCAGCTCATGCAAGCGTATGACTACTGCTATTTGCATGAACGAATGGGTTGTTCGGTCCAGCTGGGCGGCTCTGACCAAATGGGCAATATTATGGCTGGCATTGACTTGATACGCCGACAACGCGCGGCTCATGTACAAAACGACAAGATGAGTGATCTGAGCATGCGTGCAGACCCCGCATACGGACTCACACTGCCACTTCTCATGACATCTTCTGGTGTTAAGTTTGGTAAATCAGCTGGCAACGCTGTATGGATTTCACCCGCCTTACTTTCGGACCTTGACTTTTATCAGTATTTCGTGCGAAGTGCCGATGCAGATGTCGAACGATACCTCACTTCTTTGACATTCATGCCTTTGGAAGAAATTAAACAAGTCATGATACTTCATTCGCAAGACCGATCGAAACGCGTGGCACAAATTTGTTTGGCTAATGAAATGACGGAACTCGTAAGAGGTCCCGACGCACTTCGACGCGCTCAATTAGCGACCAAAGTACTTTTTGACACAGATGTGAATGCTCTTACCTTAGAGCAGATATTGTACGCCTTCGAAGGGGACCCACGCCTTGTGCGACTGACAGAGACTCAAACTATGGACTTATTACGCTTGGCTGCCGAAATTGGTTTGGTTTCTTCTCGAAGTACGTACTCTGCTTGATTTTGGTCGAAAGGCTAATTATAATTTAGGTGAAGCACGCCGTCTTGTTCAGCAGGGTAGCAGTGGTCTTTACGTTAACAATGTTCCAGTGAAGGATGTACAGGCCAAACTGGAGCCAGAACACCTGCTTAATGGGCAATTTTTTGTGATGCGGGCTGGTAAATCGAATCATAAAATTGTGGTGCTTGAACCAAAGTAATGATACAGTCATTGTACGAAACTTAATTACCTTCGTGATTCGTTTAAAAGATAATAAAACTACAGAGTTCTCCGAGCTCGACTGCGGAGTCTCATTTCGCATTGAATGTGCTTGCGTGACGTATCATGGCCTTTGTGGAAGCACCTATTCTTTAGCGTGCTTTGATTCGCTGCTTTCAAATCCGTTTTCGTTCGTCTATTCCACCGAACTGACGAGTAAAGTTCATCATGTTGCAAATACGTGTACAAAAGTATCTTAGTCTCCGATTCGAGCCCTCCAGTCACAGATCCATTAACACATGCTTTATCTTTGATATCCTCCTTCTAATGCTTTTTATTATGGCAATTCTTTTGTGGATACTCCCAGGAATAGAGATAGTGACTATGGTAATATGGTTTAAAAATCGACAGAAACTACTCCTACTCGGCATACGTGCTGCACAAGCAAGAATGTGTCAGCACCAAAGGACTGAAAGTATATATTGGTCTCAAACTGCGACATCGGTGATATAAGCGGCAATCGTCTAGAGGTTTAGGATCTCACCTTCCCATGTGCCAACGTTGGCACGCGGATACGCGTGGAATCAGGTGAGGACGGGGGTTCGAACCCCCCTTGTCGCAAGTTTTTAATTTTGTCGGGTCAACATGTGAACCTACAATTTTGGATGCTGTAGACATGATATCATTAGCCGCTGAAGCTCTTTCCCCTCATCGTCGTCTAGTTCGTCACGACGTCCAATGGAATTCAGCCTGGATGGTCTATCCCATTTAGCGAGGATGGAGTTGGAGCGGGTCTCCAAAGGAGCAGGAACAACGTGAAAATGAACCTGTAGGTAGGCTAGTTAGAGGATATGCGCATCCAGCAACGTACGTGGTCTATGGTTTGAGCATACACCTGATTTGCAACAACTTGCAAGCCGATGATCCCGAATGCTGAGTGAGTCTTTTCTGTAAGGTGGCATACCTTCTTCCATAGCCCGTGCCACTGCAGTCACGCCTTGCATCACGGCGGAAGCTTGCGCTGGACACATACTAGAAAGTCTAGATACATGCGACTTGGGAATAACAACTGTATGGCCTGCAGAATTAGATATTGGAAAAGATCGTAACTTGCCTGTGCGTATAGGAAGGATATCAAGAAATGCCACGTAAGAGCTGGATTCTGCAACAATGTATGCGCTTTGTCTGTGCGCGGCAATATCACAGAAGACACAATCGTCCACGTACTTTCGATCGCGTTCGCCCACACGATTTATGATATGTGACGTCATCGCCTACTGCGTAGAACAAGACAAGGGTCAGAACGCGAAGGGTCGTGACCACATTGACAGTGTTCTTCTCCACAGCGGGCATTAGCCCCCACTCAACAGACCCGCTTCCATGTCATCAGACAATGTGAAAGACGCGTCTTATTACCGCCACAGTAATCCTACGAGCGAAGCATATGGCTTTGCTTTGTATATATTTGCATCAGTGGTGTGGGTGACATGGATCTTTTGGGCAGCGAGTCCCGAGTGGCTGCTTATCATGATGGGCATAGAATGGTTCCCACACCGGTACGCTAAACCAAAGGTTTGTTCCTAACGAAAATTAAGCGATTGGGCATACTTGCTACCTGCATGGAGTATTATGCTTGTCTTCTTTATCTATCTGGGATTTGTGTCTTGGAATGTTTTCCAGACACCGCCTTTAGATTCGGCAAGTCTAGTAACTGGTACGTACGTTGTGAGGGGTTCTATATCAAATGACCTGCCAGCCAACCAGCAGATGAGCGCGCGGTGCTCTATATGCACTCTGCATCCAAAGTAACCGAGCATCCACTTCGACATGTGCGGCCGCATGAGGCACAACAAGTTCTTCAAGAAACTCTAGCGGACGATATGTATGATTTGTCGCCAGGTTGGGTATCAAGAACCAAGTATCTAGATTCAGACCTATGAGATGCATCCAGTCAAGATGGCAGAGTCAGATGAGCGACGCTGATGCATAGACGACTGCCGATATGTAGAGATATGCTTATCGATCTGCCGCGCATGTCGCTCGAGTCCATGGCGTCGAGCCTCAAGTTCATTCTGTTCCTGCCTCAATAAATCGATGCGCATATCCAGGCTGACCCATGCCGTGTGTGTATTTGATATTGCGTTAGGATCTCGAGATTCTTCAAGACTCAGCCTCTCTTTCGACTGCATCTCAAGCAGGGACTTAAGAAGTTGCGTCTGTTCTGTGCGTGCATTGTATGCGTCTTTGTACCAAGTGACAAGATCAAGTTGCTGCGACAAATGTGCATTCTCAGCCTCAAGTTTTTCTTCGCGCTTTTTGACCGAGTCCAGCTCGGCCTGCAAAGACGGGGTCTGTTCGGCCTTGCGCGCCGACTTTTCTGTAAATAAAGCACTGAGCACCTTACTGTGCATGGTTTGCGTGTGGGCCAAAGCCTTCTCTAACCAAGCACATCGAGCTTCGGACGAATCATGTTTGAATGCATACCAAACAGCATCGGATTCAGAGATACGCATCTTCCATGCATATGTGTGAGCTAGTTCAGACTGGATCTCCGCGCCGCCTTCTTCAGTAAACTCATCAGCGACTGAGATGTCTCGCTGCTCCAGCTGCACAATGCGTTGATGCGCTTCTTGTAACGAGCACATGAGTGTATCACGCTCAGCATAAAGTTCGTGGATGTGCTCTTGCAAATCATGTTGCGTCTGCTCAATAGTATTAATCATCAAGTCCTTCGATGTTGACGCGTACTGCAAAGCGTCAATGCGTTTCCGAGCATCTCTTAGAGTCTCGCTTAGGGTATACTTTTCGCGTGCCCACTGCATAGCGACATTCGCTACGGAATGCATATACTGCCGGCTTTGTTCGCGGATGTGAGTAGCAATTTCATTCTGGGTATAGTGTGTCAGTCGTGCCACTTCGTGTGCAGAGGCGCATTGCATACCTGATCAAGTTTAAGTTCATCGAGTTCGCCAGTAAGCTCAATGCATTGCAAAGCATATTGTGTCGCTTCATCCTGTGCACGTTGAAGCTGAGCAATGACCGCATCCTGCTCACGAACCAAAAGGCCACGTTGGGCCTCGATACGATTGTATGTTGTGGCGCGTTCTTTGTATCTCGAATTCAAAGCCTCGAGTTTATCGACCTGCGCCTTAAGCTTGAGTTCACGCTGCCTTCCAAGCTCTTTTTTTTTCTGGTCAGTAGTGTGTTCATTGAGAGGCACGAGAGCAGAAAAAGCCCTTGAACGTGGTACGTACGGATTTCGGTCTTTAAATTCTCCCTCTCATTAACAAGCATAAACTTTTCGTGACGCAGCTCATCCAAGCGCGCCTCTGCTGCTTTTGCTACATGATCCACAGACCTGTTTCGTGGAAGTACGGGTAAGAGGTTTTCGCGCTGTGATTCACCAAGCACGCGAGTAACACTGTGCCGAGGTGTCACAGAGACGGAGCCAGACTTGCGCACTGGCAAGCGAGAGCTTGGAGTCTCTGGAATACGACTCGGCACACTCATCGGCATAACTGGCAGACTCTTCCGCGCCCGTGCAGGTGTTTCAGGCACATAGCCGGACATGCTAGCGTCAAGGTCGCTTGACCGATGAACGGGAATGCTACTGGCTGCCGAGTCTCCCCCTGCTTGTGCCAACAAAGGCACGTCGAGCTGGAGCGCCAAAAAATATGCCTTTACGCGCGTCGCGTGTATGTATCACGTGAGTCGAAGGAGCGTGAAAAAAACGACCTAGTGGGTATGGAAAAGGGGTATCATCTATACCACAAGCCTATCACGACGACGACTCACACGGCACGCATAGCAGAGGGAGTGTCGTCTCTATTATCGACAACAGCGTTAGGATCTATAGTTGCATCATGAAATAAGCGAGTTAGGGGAAGCGTGCTTCGCGGCGTAGAATATGTTGCTTCAGCACAGATGGAGCAGATGGGGTGGCTTGCCACGCGCGGTGTGCAAGAGGGTCGCTATGCGGGCGTTTGGCTTGTCTTGTGCGGCGACGATCTAACTGACCCCGCCCGCCACGCACATCATGCCATTGTGGCTCGTGACTGTACTCTTCAAGAAGTTGGGCGCGCTTCTCCTGTACTGCGCGTGGCAAGGCCGCTTCATCGACTTTGCCAGACTTGAATAACACACGGACATCACCATCATCGTCAGACCCCGGCGTCGCTCCTGCTCCCGCTGCCGGCTTGAGCTCACTGCTTCGAGACTTGAGCCTGATAGGCATGTTGTGCTGGGTATGATCTAGCTTGTCGATCGCTTCATCATCTCGCATTGGACGTGTCCTCATCTCGTTATTAATGACCTGTTCGCGATCTTTCGCACGTTGGGCCAGGAGCTGAATACGCACGTCATGTGCAGTGACACGCTCTTCATCGGAGCTCACATCGCCTGCATCAAGGAAGTCGTACTTGGCATGATCATCACCCGCCGTGTGCGTTTCGGCATACGTTTTCACAAAGGCTTGAGCATCATCACGAACAGCAAGGGCATCCATGCCATCCCCCTCAATGCATCGACGCTTTCTCTTGGAGAAACGTGGCGCCTGTAAGCGACGACGAAGTTCGTCCTCATCTGCATCTTCGTCCAGTAAATCCGCGAGTCGATCATCATCGTTCCGACCTCGCCGTCGATGCCGGAACAAGCCCTTTGTTGCACGCTCATGCATCGCCTGGAGCGCCGCGTCGTCATTCTGTCGATCTTGCAAGTACTTCTGGTGCACGGCATCGTCTTTCATATCAACATCCTGGTCACTCTCGTCATCCAGCAAACTAGACAAATCTGCATCGGCGTCAGAGTCGTCATCCCCGTCGTCATCATTTCCGCCACGTTTGGTGCCGTCACGCCCATTGCTCAGCGATTCTTCATCACTGAATATACCAGCGAGACCGCCATGCTCGCCTCGAGCCTCATCTTCGTCTTCATCCGATTCTTCTGCCTCGCCAAACACGAACGCAGACTGAGGCCGTCGTCTATGTTGAGACAAAGGAGACTTTGCAGGCTTGCGCACAAGGTCTTTGTCATTGTCCTCGTGATTGTCGCTCTCTGATCCACCGGAATGGTCGTGCACAAATAAGGACGGCGTTTCGTCTGTTGGTTTGGTCTGAGTAAAAAAACCGTCTTCGTTCAGGTACAATACTTCGTTGTGACGTGCTTTTTGAGCTCGTTGAGCCTCGCGCCATACTTCCTCGCCATGCTCAGCAAGAGATGGATCGAGAGAAGGAAACATGTCGGGTGACTGGGGAGCAGCGGCAGCTGCTCGTTCAGCCCGACGTAGTGCGTCAAAGGCGTCTGCATCTGCGCCGCTATATGTGCGAGATGGCGGCGGCATTGCTTCTTGACTGCGTGACATGCTAGAGCCGGCAGGTGTCGCTTCGAAGAATTGTGTCATGCCTCCTACAGGTCCAGAGCGCCGATCATTTGCAAAAATGTCCAATGATCCACTTTGCTGTGGTTCCTGCGTGCCTCGCTCGAAGAACTGTGCGAGTACGGAACTATTCGACTCCGTGCGTGGAATTGAGCCTTGTGCGGGAACTTGCGTCGGTACGAAATAGTCGCCCAAATCTGAGACAGGCAGCTCAGTTAGAGGAGCATGTTGAGACAGGGTCCTTGATTGTGAAGAAGGCTTGCGCATGGCAGGTGGTGGGACATTCTCCTTTTCTGAGTTGTCGTCGCTTTGAACCGATGCCCGGCTCTCTGGACGAGCAAGAGGTGGCGATGGCGGCAAATGTGGCGGAGAAGGTGACGGCGAGGGAAATAGCGACCTGTCATCTAGTGCCGCGGCGGGCGGTGAAACAGGTGGCGTCGGCGTTGGTGACAAAGTTGACTGCACCTGTGCTTGGGCTGGTGCTGGAGTCTGCAACGATGCAGGAACCGTACCTTGTTCATCTGACTTGAGATGCGGATCTTTCTTCGCCGTTAGTTCAGCATTCTGCGCATAAACCTTTTGGAGTACGGTAGCATTCAATTCATCAAGACCCAATCCGGAAGGAAATGGACGTGACTGATGGGGATGAGAATGGTGTAGCGTTGCAGCGGTATGAGCGGGCAATGTGCCTGCTTGTTGGTTCGCAGCAAATCCGAATGTGTGGGCCATAGCGTCTAACTGACGATCGGGAACAGGACTGGTATGTGGTTCACCTGCATTCGGTGAGCGATACTCGTTCGTGGAGATGCGCTGCCGGCGCGGTGTACGTGGATACACGGCAAGATGTGCAAGTGCGTGATCAGCCGCATCTCGTTGCCGATCACGCGGTGACGACATAGAAAAAGGGACGGGACGCGGAGGGTGTGGGCCTAGTGCGATGACTTCAAGATCGCTATCGCTGCCGCTAGCATCCTCACGTGTGCCATCATTAACAGATCCCTTTTTCTGTCGCTGAATCCACTCCCACTTCTTCTTTGTACGAGCGTGTGCATCGGACGGCGACGTGGATGGCTGCGGCGGGACGAGCGCATGCCGTGCATCTGGCGTTGAAGAAGACTCGACCGGGTCAGAGCTGTTCATCGCATGAATACTAGTTGGTGATGCTGTATGCTCGATAGTACTGAGAAGCTCGGAAAGCTGATACCGCTTGGGCTCTGGCCGCACGAGTCGCGTGCGGTTTTCACGCCGTAACTTGGCTGACATGCTGTGCATTTCACGCTGATCTTTACGCGAGAGCCCGCGGGGACCTTTTGATGGCGCCGGCACTCGAATTTCTTCATCTAGTTCGTCATCGGATACATCGCTGTGGATTCCTGCATCGAGTGGCATAGAAGGGTTTTCGGTATACAGCCGCTGATGGGAGAGCACCGTCGGAGGTCGTGACGGCCTGTTTGATGGGGAATTAGTCGCGTTCGACGTGGATGCCTGCATATGTACATGTTCTGGAGGCTCTTGCTCTGAAAGTTGAGCATGATGGGCTGCACGCTGTTGCGCAAGGCCACGAAGTTTTCCCATTCGAGCCGTGCGGGCTTCTGCACGAGGCGATACGGGCAGCGGCATCAGCTTACCCTGCATCCCGTTAGGCTGTATTGTCGTTGATCGAGAAGCGGCCTCGTACTGGGGCTCATCGTCGGATAAGAACAATGCGTCAGTATTGGAGGGCGTTTTCTTCTTTTGCATGCGCGCGACGAAGGACGGCCATACAGGCTCTTCCATGTCTGATTCGACGTCCGTTTCAAGCTGATCTTGAATTGCGCCTTTTGGCGGCGGCACTGACGCTACGCTTGTGTCGTAGCTGGAGTCGCCCCCACCGCCAGTGTCTTTACCGAGCTGCGCAAATGGCGGTGACACAATTTGGAACGACGGTGACGAGCTATGTTCGGACGAGAGTTCTGCATCAGCTTCGAGTCTCCGCCGTCCGTACACGATCGGCTCAGGAGCCATACTTTGGGCACGCCTTTTGGCCAAGCAGCACGGTGGCACAGTGAAGAGAAGCGTCACACAGAGCAGGACGCGACACGCGACTGACGCGACGCGCCTCTCACCGCATACACGAAAATGTGATATTATATAAGCAAAACAAGGTCTTCAGACCAAGCGGCTTGTGATGGGCTCTTATGATCGTGGTGACATGAACCTGTGTGTGGAGTCGATGACTATAGGTGGTGTCCTACGTTTTTTGTTGCCATATGATCTCACGCAGGAGCCCCACGAGAAGCTGAACCTTCGCGTGTGCCATCCGCATCTTCATACCGCTGAGCAAAGCCGGCCATACCCTCCTCAAGTACAGCTGCATGTGGTGTACCTTCTTTCAAATCCAGACCATGCCATGTTCGTTGCGTGCGGTGGGCAAGTGCCGCACTATCCAATACCTTGACCACTTGACCCGACTTGGGATCGCGCACAGCTACTTCCTGTGGCTGAACAGAGAGACGTTCCAGGGCTTGGGTAAAACCTTCACTGTTGCCCGATCTTGATAAGACATGGTCAGATGTACCGTATTTCGTCCGAGAGACATACGTGCCCGTAGCAAAAGAGTAGTGCGGGCGTTCATCGTCATCATTGCCATCGTCGCTCACATCTCCAGCAGCATTCAAGTCCATGCACGACGCATCACGCATGACTCGTTCTAGATCAAGTACATAAGCACCTGACCAAGCCACTTCCTTGCCGCCATGAGCTTGAACAGCAAGCATCATTTCCCAAGGCGTTACGACGGGACGAAGAAACTCTCGCGTATCTAACAGAGAGTTTTCTGGGCATGCGACAAGCACAAACACATCGATTTCGAGAAAGTTCGCGAGTTTCGTCGGATTCAACTTGCCCACACTGATAGTATAGACTTTGCGCCGCGAAGCGGGTGATGTGAGAATGCGCCGAAGCTCGTTCAGAAGCGGCAAGTAAGCATGGATCCCAAGTGTACCAATAACGAGGCCAACGACCGAGGCATCACGAGCTTTCTGAATAGCTGCATAGCGCCGCATAAGCAGACGGTTCGTGCGACCTGTCTCTGAGCGGATGGTATGTGTTTTAGGGTCGTATGAGACCATCGGGTATTGAGGCCCAAGTGTAAGAAGCAGGTGCGTCAGGGCACGCGATTCGCCACCCACATACAGGGCGGCAGTGTTAAGGAGAGACGAACCTGCGGGCAAGGACATTTGACGCATGCCTAAGAGCGAGGATGTCGGCTCAATGTGCATTTTTTGAGCATTATGCGTTTGAGGCATGCAACTCACGCACGATCCGCATGCTTGACACGATCGCGGCGAGTCAGATGGTTCGCTTCCAGGGTCGGAGCGAGAACGAGCCGCGCACTGCGCATGGAATCGCTGATTTACTTCGATGCGAGATAAGACGAGAGGTATACTGTGAGGCCAGCGTGGAAGTAGTTTCTCATAAACTTGCTCCATAAGATGGGTATAGGCGACATCATACGTGAGAACTACAGCTGCTCGATCACTTGGGACTAGTTCGTTGGATGCACGCAGCAGGCCATCAACGACATCATCGATAGCAACAGGATGTTTCGGAAATACATACAAAGAAGGCAGGCTCGCCGTCGCACTTAGGCATGTGTGGCCATAATGCACAAGAGCATCAGCTTGGACATGAGAAGCAGCGACTTGATCCACACAGCAGCTCCCATAGCTAGTGTCAGCCAGAATGTAAAGTCGCGGTGGCGTATCTGTCAACGATTTGAGCGCCTTATTCAATGCATGATAAACAGGCACAGAGTCAATCAGGGCCTCGTCAGGAAACTGGAGTGCCACACGCTGGAGGGGTGGCGTCATCTTCTTTGCGGAGTTCCGTTCATACACAAGCTGCCGCGCTGTACTTTCGATATCATACAGTTCTTCGACAGCGCGACCTGATGCTGAAGCTGTAGCCTGGACGGCATCGGGATCCAGCTCGACTCTATGTTCAATGATCGCTGCGTCTGCGGAGCTGAACGCTGTCGCCATAAGGAAACTCGAGAAGTTCCAAAGGCGTATGGAGTGAGAAAATCTTAATTTGGGCAAAATTTCGCTATGGGCAAAAGCCGTCGATTCAAATATTAGCAAACCAGGGCACAGAGATATGGAGGTGTACAACGGTTCAAAAGCATTGTAACGTGAACAATAGCGCCAACTACAAAGAGGTTACGTACTTCGCGAGTGACATGAAGTATTGCTCAGCGATAGAGGAGAAGTAAAATTCGTGCTCTGAATTGTGTGCGAGCACAAGGTTATGGGCTAGTTCATGCGCCATACTAAAGTAGACGGAAATGAGGGGATTTACAAGGTGTCCCAACTGGACATCTGCATCGTGCCATGCGAGGTAGTAGCGGAAGTTGAGATAAATAGATCCGCCACGATTAAAGGCAATGGATGGGCCCTTAGTATCACAAAATACGTGCATGCTCTTTGGATTAACACCAAAGATGGCGCCGACGGGCCGATACACATCCTCAATGAGACGTTCAAGAGCCGCTTGATTGTTGATCAGAGTCGAATTTGCGTCAAGATCCGTGCTCACATAAACGTTCATCCCAGCGACGGAACCTGCCAGGCGAAGATCCACATCAATGCCTGATACGTCACAGAACGATGTGGCTGCCTCTCGTACGTCACGGGTCTGTGATTTGGACTGGATAATCGTCGATGCATCGGGGCGCGATGCTTGAATAGCATTTTGGACGTGACGCTGGATGTCGGATGACGAGGAGGTCGATGTCGTCGTTGTAGGCGGCTGCACATGTAGGTCAGCAGCAGGATTCCCTGGCGCTAGAGGTGGCGTCTGCGCTGGACCCGCTGATGGACGAATCGACGACGTGCCGCTTGCAAGGGAAGATGGACGCGAACTGAATTTTGATTTCCATGACTTCAGGAACGAGCCACGCACATCAGGCAAATGGATGGGGGGCATTGGCGAGGCTTGGTGGCCTTCTTTACTTTTTTTGGGTGTGTCGGGAACCAGCGCGCTTTCACTGTTGCCGCTTTTTGAGGGCTCAGGTTGGCTAGTCTTGTCAGCGGGACGAGGCTCTTGGCAGGATGGCTTTTCGTTCTGCCGCTGCTGTCCCGATGCCTCGCTAGCAAGAGAGACTCGCGGGTAGTTGCCTTGCAGTAATACTTCACTCGCCTGCTGCATATGGTGGTCTTTATATGAGCGGAGAAGCTGCTCAACATAGTCAGGTTGTGCCTCTGGGAACATTTGAAGGAGTTGGGCCTTGAAACTCTCCCAGGCGGGCTCTGGCGCTTTAACAAGTGGCGCTGGCATCGCCTGTTGCGCTAAGATCTTGTCGACGTGGAAGCCCTTGCGTTTAAGGCTTCGCAGCGACGAAGAGAGCACGGTCATAAGCAGGAGGACATCCTGCAAATGCTGGCGCTTCAAAAGTGCCTTGCAAAGAGACGTGGCTACCTCGAACCAATCCAATTCCATATCGCCAGCAACATGTAGTTGCCATGCGCGCTGAGAAGTACGTGCCATCGCCGAGCATCTCTGCACGTCTTTCCACTTGTGCCCTTGGTAATTCAGCACACGTGTCTGCTGGATACCAGGTGCTGTCACTTGTAGCACAACCAGCGACTGCTCAAGCCAAGTTATATCACGATGGATCTCTTTGCTCGCCATCGCACGTTTTTCGAAGAGAAAAAGCGGCGTTCGCTCTAGCACAATGCGGCGTACCTCTTGTGTATGGGGAGTATCGGACAGGACCTGACCCGCGATCTCAAATGATTCCGACACAAGCGAGCTGAGGAGTGGTGCACCTAGAGATGCATACATGGGCTCTAAAACGTCATCATGTGGTGCGACAAACAGGTGGTCACAGAACAGCATATGTGCATTTGCATCGTCGACCAACACGATATCGGGTGCAGTTCGAAGTGCATATGCGCTTGCGGAAGCCGCGGAATTGTCGTCACCACGCGACTGCTGCAAACTGAGTAGAAACGGCGTGCGGCTCATAGCCCTGCGCATGTGCGACGGAATCTCGTCCATGTGATCGGCAATCCGGCGAAGAACTTGCAGGTACGTCTCCGGTGTACGACAGAGCTCATAAAAATGTGGTGCATTGTCCATCAACACTTGCACGAGTTCAGCAGTGCTGGGTTCGTCAGACACACCGCACGCACGCAAGAAGACAGTTGCCGCTGGCCCAAAGTCCACGTACGCAAATACGGCACGGTACTCGGGCGGTGCATTTTGAGCAGATGCGAAGTAGCAGGACGCCGGCTCGACAAGGCCACGGCCTTCTACAGGGACAATAGGCGCATGTCGGAGTGTATCGAGGTCACGCGAAGAAAATGTACGCACCGAAGACAAGAATGTAAACACACGGCATGCGTCAGCAACTGTCTGTGGTGGAGACGCACACAGTCGCTGCACAAGGTCTGCACCACTTGGATGGGTCGGAAGCTGAAGCTTTGTAGCGTCAACAGCCGATACATTCGCGACGGGCCAGTTCATACAAGCGACAGTGGCATCCGTATACACAAGATGAGGCGCATACAGCTTGCCATCACAAGCAGGCACGAACGCATAGGAGGCTGCATCAATCAGGCTGTACGAGTCTGCGTAGACGGCGAACTTGTTAAGCAAGTACGTCCTAGCCTTGTCACGAAGCTGTGGATCATCACACGATGCACGACTCAGCAGGTCCGGCAGTGGAATGTGGCGGCGCAGACCAAGGGCGAAAAGGAACTTGGCCTCATCCGATGATGCACGCCATGTGCGTCCAGACCAGTCCAGTATGGGTACCTGAAGTGAACGGAGTGCCTCGGAAGGCTCGTACAGCTGCGAGGCCTTGGCGCGGTGCGAGCCGCTTTCCGCAGGGAAGATCGGTGTCTGCATGAGGCGCTGCATTTCAGTCGGCGTGAGATGCGTGGATTGCTTACCCAGATATGTTATGAGATCGATATGCGACCAGTCGCCGGCCGCGAGAAGGCGGTCGAAAATAAGCTGGATCTCGACATGACGGCGGACACCCAGTGCCTCGAGCATTTTTTCGGCATGTCCGCGAATAACGAGACTCGGAAATTCGATTACAGGCAAGTCAGAGAACAGGGAGACGGTGGAAAAATATGCCTGATTCGGCCGCTTCATTCCCGCTCGTGTGGGTATACACGCGATGGGCTGCAAAAGTGCAATCACAGCCGACATCTGGGCGTTGGGCAAATGGCCCCAAGTCCACGCAAGGACACTCAGGATTGCTTCAGCATTTTGCGGCGACTTTGTAAGGCCGTGAGTCTTCGCGACGTCAGGGGCCGGTGACTGGTCCAATGAGATCATGTACTCGAGCCATGAACTCACACTAAGGTCGTGCCAGTCAAAGACTGAGTTGAGTTCAGTGGTCCTGAAATGCCGCGATACTGCGTACGTCAAGCAGGTCGGCGGGAGCACGACTGTTGGTGGAAGCTTTCCAGGGTGTAAGACCGTTGTGACGTCACTAAGAGCTTGCACACCATGCTCCGTGAGAACAACCGCGGACTGGATCAGGCGACGACGCAGCGATGGCTCGAATGATGGATGTGCTGTGACCTGACACCACCATTTGAGGCAAGCGACCATCTCATCTACAGACAAGGGGCGCCGCGACAGTTCCGTAAACACGTCTTCCATCGTAATATCATGAACCAGCCTGCGCACACGGAGCTGCATAACAAAGACGTCTGCAGCCTCGATGTGAGCGGCGGGTAAAACCGGTATATCGCGGCAAAAGTCAGCGAGCATCGCACTGGGAAATCGCACCGCCTCCGACGAGCGCAATCCATTCGTCGACATGAGAGAGATGCATGGACGTGTACAACAAGCGAAGAACGACTCTTCTAACGTAACCGACACACGCGACGATGGAGATGATCGATGAAATGAAAAGAAGCGCATCGTGTGCAGCGCCGCGTCTAGCACGTGTTCACGTTTTGAGGGATCGGCCCACTCAGCACCGATCCGCTGCATCTCATGCTCATAGACGGCACGCGCCACGAAACCGCCAATCGCCAAAAGCTCCGTGTTCCAACGCGCACAGTAGCGATCGACAAAGTCAAGCGATTCTCGCTCGACAGTCGGGATGAACCGAGCAGCCAAATGACCGGCAAACGAAGTCGTTTGATGCGTGCGGAACCCGATGAACACGCGACCCTGTGTGTCCAGGCGGGGCATCAGCCCATCAAACAAAACTCGTACATGCGCATCGATGTCGGAAGGAGTCGGCTCAGGTGCGTTCGTAGCGTCGAGTTCGTGCTGGCCCATGTACACGATGTGGAGAGGCATGCTCTTCGGCAAGCCCTTCTTTGTGCTTCGTTCAATCTCCCGCGCGAATGAAGCAGGTACATTCACGCCAATGTTTGCTGAGACGATCCGAAGATGCAACGCCGAATGCACGGTTTCAAGCTGAGCAGCTGAATCAAGGCGCATGTCTTGTGCAAGTGTTTCGCTCGTAGGTGCAGGGCGTGTTCCAAATGCTCCGGAAAGCATCGAGGCTATGCCGGCTCCTGCGGTCTTGGAAAACGCAGACATAAGCGTTTGCCGCAGGCTAGGCTTCTCGCGCGCAGCAGCAGCAGCAGCTTCAAGAAGAATGAAGCGTGCGACATGTACTTGCACTTGCAGCGACGATGCGCATAATGACTGTGCACAAAGCAACTTTTCCGGCGACGTCGGCTTCAAATGTCGCGAAGGCTTCAATATCTGCGGCAACCCCACATGCTTTTCTAGCCTGCATAAGAGCTGCTCATCCATAAAAAAACGGATAGAGCGCACTTTGCTTGTGAATGTGAGGGAAGTCGCAAGAAATTGACACAGAGTCAACGGTGACTCAGGGAACGGCGTGGGCTCGCGGAGCGCCATCAGGAATGTCGTCCATGGCATGCCATTTTCTGACGTCTCCTTCGCAGGTGCAGGTGCACGGCGTGTAAAGAGAGAGTCTCCTTTCCAAAAAAATCCCATCAGCTCATCGCCGCTTTGAACAATGGGCTCTTCGCAGATGCTGAAAAGCGAGTAGAAACCAACGCCAAAAGCACCTATCCGCTCGGGATCCGGGTTTCCTTCAGCAATGCGCCGTAGTCTATTCCAATCGGCACCACTGAACGGTGTGCCATTGTTTCGAAACGTCCACTGCGTTAATAAAGCATTCGTATCCGGCACGCTGGGTTTCGTCGACAGCGGAAGCTGTGCATGTGGGACCGTAGCACTTGTAGCGAACCGGAGCTCGCATTCAGTTGCCCCAGCATCATCTGCATTCTGCAAAAGCTCACGAAATACTGTGACTAAACTGGGTCAGTATGCTTCGAATAAGACGCAAAGACGCACATTCTGCCGAGTACCTCGCCAAGATCTAGTAGGAAATGCATCATTAGCACAGCTGGGGCTTTGTCTCGCACTCAGAACGTACCTTGTCAATCAAAGCACGCTGATTTACAGTTATTGCTTCATCAGGTTGCGCCGATTCGGACAATGCACGCTGTGCCAGCACACGCATGTCCATGGTGGCTGACATGGTGGCGGTGGCAACGAACGGTTCATGCAACAATGTGGAGAACCTAACAGCTTTCTCTTGTTCGATTTTTGTGAGACGCTCAGAGCCGCTCTCTAATATGAGTCCTATGGCTGTGCGTCTCCGCAGGTGATCGGCGGGTGACACATCGTTTTGGTATCACGTGGTTCGTGCCAGTACGCTATGAGGTGCCTACGATTTGATCGAGATGGATTTGGTTGATGTCACGCGTCATGCAAAGTCTGGCCAGGTCGGGACGCCGCATTCTAGAGTGAGTGTGTGAGTGGGTGTTTCATATGATGTCAAAGGGACGTACAGGTCAAGAGAGACACGCAAAATCTCCCAGAGACTATTGTTTTGAACACCAGGCATGTCGTCATCTTCGGACGCCTGCTGGAGTGTAAGAGCTGTGTACGCATGTTCAGCCGCTTCCGTGTACATCTGTGGGTGTGTCGAGGGGAAAAGCGTGTGTAGAAGAGGGAGAGCAGGGACGGAGAGAGAACACGCGTTAGTACTTTGTGCGTGGAAACGACCAATAGGCCAATGTAAGAGCGTACCTTGAGGTTTAAACAGGAAATGCTAAGATTGAAGTGGCAGCGAGCAAAGTCGGGACGCAACGTCAATGCCTGCTGGTAGTATTGAAGACTTTCTTCTGAGCGACCAGAATTGCTCAGTGTCGCACCAATACGGTTGTACAGGATCCAGTCGTCAGGGCGCACGTGTAGAGCTGTTGTGAAGCAATCAACAGCCTTGCTGTACTCGCCCGACGCATTGAACAAGACACCCATGGCCACCTGAACGTCGGCATCCACTGGCTCGGATATGTCCTGCGCACGCGAGCGGGCCATGGCCAAAAGCATATTCGCTAGTTGACGGTGTCGATCCTGACCTTGCCGACCACGTGCTTGTTGATACGATTGTACGACCGCTTGGTACTTGTCATTGACCTTGATCCAGCGGTCCAATGCCTCCAACGCCTCGTCACGGTCATTTTCATTTGTATAGCTGACGGCTAAAGCAAGCCAGGCCTCTTTCATGGCGGGATCGATCTTTAGAGCTTCGTGCAACGCAGCAATAGCTTGGGTCTCGCGCTCATTCTCTTGCTGTCGAAGGCCCAAATTATACCACTTACTCGCATCCTTGGGATCTTCTTGCACCGCTGCTTCGTGCTCCAACACCGTGTCCAACATCCCCGGTGGCGAGTGCGCTGCATGATTCCGAGTCATGTTCGCCATGTACGGATTTGCATCATGGAACCGATACGCAGGCGTCTCGTAAGGGAATGGATCGTGCGTGCGATTGTGTGACTTGATACCGTCAGGTGTCGCAACAAACTCATCCCAGTCACTCTGCAGCTTCGCCCATTCAGCATTTTGAGCACCTGGTAAGCCATGACCCTTTTTGCCGAGCCATGCGCGGCCAACAAAGTCTTGGTCATGCTCGTCAGAATCAAAAGCCTCCTGCCACTCAGAACTCGCACCCGGCACGTTTGTTCCCAACGAGGTCCACTTGTTGTATTCCTGTGCAATCAGATCGTCGCCATTCATACCACGATCCTGCTGGTTGTGTTGTTGTCGCGAAAAAGCGTCGTCCTCAAGCATACGCGCTGCGACGTCACCACCATCGCCAAGGAATGTATTGGGATGAGACGAAGCGCGCTCTTTGGCCAAGTCTTCTTCGCGCCAAAACTCGTCCAAGTCCGCGAGGGCATCAGGAATAAGCGTCTGCGCATGGCCATGGTGCTGGTTCTCCTGCTGCGTCTCACGCTGCGACCCGTACGGTGTGGCATGCTGCAGCATTGTATCGAGATCTGCTTGCGACGGCGGTCCATGTGCCTTCGCTTTACCTTTGGCATCACGATCGACGATTTGGTCGCCGCGGACTTCGGCTACACGATCACGAAGCTTACGCATGAGTTGCAGAAACTCGCTCTGCTGGAACTTTTCACTTGAGTCATGCTGAACAGCATTCAGCAGACGCTCTGCTGTCTGTGCTAATTGATCGGCATTCATGGTATCAAGCTGTGTCTCAGATGGGATCGCAGCTGACTCGTTTGGCTGCTGTGTTTGTGCATCAATCGCAGTGAAGGCAGAGTCCCATGTTGATTCTGTCAAAAAGGTAAATGCATGTCAATAGAACCAAAATACGTACGGCTCACATATGCGAGATCATCGTTGTGCGCGCGGCTTACGAGCGAATCCTGCAGATGCTGTCCCATCACGGGTACCGCGTGTAACGGGCGATGGAACTGGCTTGCAAGCGGCGGCATGCCACGCGGCACAGTGGCAGCAGCGGCACCAGCAGGAACTGGGTGTATATTTGATGCAGGCTGCACAGCGGTATGTTTTGTCGAAGTGCGTGTCGCATGTAAAAAGTCTTGAGCCCATGCCGGCGTGGCACTTGTCGAGGACACAGGTACAGGGGTGTGCTGCTGACGGTGGAATGATGTTTCCATCACAGCTTGTGACGGCGCCCATTGCTCATGTGGCACAACTTGTGGAAGAGACTCGCGCAGCTGGTCTACATGGAAAGGTGCGACAGGCCCAGATGCAAAGAAGGCTGGATCAGCTGGACCGGCAGCCGACACTTGGGAGCGAAAGGCGGTAGGCCGCCCAGGGGCAGCGTCAGGTCCATGCTGGAACTTATCGAACTGTGCACCACGATCTTGTCCGAACCGTTTTCCTAGCTGCTGCAGTGGGTTCACAGGACCGCACTCCGCGCCACCACCCAGCAAGCCCGGTAATGACATTGGAGTTTCAAATGCAGCAGGCGTCGAAATACGAAGTGGGGTTCTTGGGCCCAGACCCTGTTGCACGCGCGATTGTGGAGACATTCTGTCTTCCAGTTCGCGCTAAGCACGGCCGTCGCTTCTGTCGGCCGACGCCACACACCTCGCTTTCAATGTAGCTCGCTTTCTTGACTATGATGTGGTTGGACGTGGGGTACATAGAGACCAACCTCCCCCCCAAAGCCGGAGTGAGCAGAAAAATGTCATTTGATGTTATACTGCGTATTTGGCCAGACAATGCTACACATCTATGCGGATGATGGCAGTGGTGTCCAAGTATACTGTGGTCAGTATAATCATAAAGTACGTACCTCGCGCACGGCGCCATCGGCGCCTGCCGAGACGATGGTGCGTTCGTCAATCCATAGAGCGGCATTGGTGCCACCGGCATGTGCATTTTTGAAGACGGCCTTTTGCATAGGTTGCGCAACAGACCATACATAGATATGTGTGTCAAGAGAGGCACTCACCACATGGGCGCCATCATGTGACCAATGAAGAGAATGGATCCTTGCCGAGTGGAAAACCCACTGTGATAGTTTCAGCGCTTGAGCTTCGATATCGTACACAAGAATCTTTCCGCTGCTTTCACCGACGGCCAATAGTGATGCATCAGGCGAGAATGCAAGAGCCGTAATACTGCTACGTCCGCTCGCGAGCTCGCCGAGGAAGTGGAAAGAAGCCTTCTCATAGCGGAATAAGCGAACACGCGCGTCCTCAGAGCCAATGGCTACGAGAGCCGCAGTAGCATCTGATGTAATACATGTGGCTTGCGGCACGAGAACCTGTGACGATGTACCTGAGCTGGCCTTGTCATCCTGGTCACCGATGGTGACAACATCGATGCCCTTGTCCGTGACAACAAAGACTTGGTTCTTGCAGACATGCATATGGCGTGGATGTCCCGACACGGCCAGAGACACGATCTCGTCGTCGGCATTGCTGGCAGATGACACAAGACGCAGTGTATTGTCCAAAGCTGCGACGACAAAGGCTCGTTGCGCACAGCCAATGCGCAGGAGACTCGGCCATGCATGCTCTTTTGGCACTCGGTCAGCACCTTGCTTGCCGTAAAGGTAAACACGACCATCGATACTGGCCGCCGCTATAATCTGGTTGCCATCTGCAGCAAGATCTACCACACTCATAGTCGGTCCACGCAGCATCCCACGCAACTGCATTGATGTGTCGGGCTCTAGCACCACGAGCACACCACTAAAACTCAGTGAAATAAGAGCCTCACGTGTCCATATAAGACCGACTTGCTGAGCATGTACACGATCTTGTTCATCAGAGCGCCATTCTGACAACAGCGCGCGCTTGGCAATATCCCAAATCCGCACGGCACCATCTGCGCCAGCCGTCGCCATGAGTGCCGAGTCAGGCGAATACGACACGGCAAACACAGTGCCAGCATGCGCCGTCGATGCGACAGAAAGCTCAGCTTGCATATTGCCCGTTTGTCCGTCATACAAAAACACACGTCCGTCAGCCCCAGCTGATGCGAATGTCGTGCCATTCGGTGCGTATGCAACATCCTGAACGAACCGTGTATGATGTGAGAGCGTACGCGCATATCTGAACGGCACGCCTGTGTAAAACATAACGGAACAGTCATCTGCCCCTGTCACAGCACGAAATGGACGCTGTGAGCGCACCGCTACACTGTTCACAGCTTTGCTATGCCCATTCAACTCCCCAACACTAGAACCTGTATCGAAGAGAAAAGCGTGCGCATATTTTTCACGGCCATCACCCACGACAAGTATCCGTTTGCTCTCACCATCCCAAACGAGATCATGCACACGTCCAGCGAGCGCCTGAACCTCAAGTTTGAGCATTTGCTCGCTACCCGCGATGTCCCAGACCCGCACCTTGCCCGTGATGTCGGCACTTGCGACGTAAAAGCCACTAGGACTCATTCGCGCAACCGTCACAGGTTGTGCGTGTTGTGCATACAGAGTCGTAGCGCGTTCGTCGCGAATGTGGCGGATCACGACGGTACGACCCTGTGCATACAAAATGCGGTCGCCCTGGGGGCTAGCGCCCAGCTTTGTGCTGCGTGCACGCACATTCGTGGGATTGGGGGCGTACGTGCCGACTAACTGTAACGACATGAAAGAAGTGTTTGTCGTGCTAAAGCGAAAATTAGCGAGCCCAGCGAGCGAAGGTCTAGAATGTCGCAAGCTAGACAAGGCTGGACGAGACTAGTAGAAAGGTACTTTGGTGGCCCCGCAAAGCTGTTGATTTGTGGACAGTGCGCAATACACCACGTGGTGTCAGGTGAGGCGGAGTCCAATGAGGCCATGCGTGTGTCCTATGGAAAAGGATTTAGTGTGGCATGTCTGAGCTACACCACCATGACAGGACTCACGTTCGCTTCGTGGTGGGACGCTGCCAATGCCTGCCACAATGACGACCCGTGGTCAGATCCAGAGTTGTATGCATTTGTGTGTGATGGAACGCAAATAGGATTTTTGCCTGCGAAAGTATGGAACGTAGTTTGTCGATACGTGGAAGAGGCGCAGATCCCACTACAACTGGATGCTACGACGCGAGTCATGACATTTTCGTGTTCTTGCAATTCTTTCGATGCACGCACGATGGCCATCAATAGGCTTGCGCAGCTATTGCGAGAGAATGGCGAATTCCCTGATCCACTAAACGGTGCGTGAGTAAAAGGTGAGGAATAGTCGTGCTAACCGTGTGTAACCTAGGATGGAGAGGCGAGCAGTATGCCGTATACGGTCCTGGGAAGCCGCCGCACGCTCATATGGCATTTACACTTGAGCGCTCAGCATGTGCTTTATTTGGACTGGCGACATTTGGGGTGCATCTGACAGTATGTTGGAAGCGTAGGCACTCTTAGGAAAACTGACACGCATATAGGCATTCACGCCTGACGGCCGGATTTGGGTGCCCAAGCGCTCAGAGACCAAGGCAACGTATGTTCAACGAGTTTGCATGTGACGGGGGGTGCAAGGAATGGAGAATGAGAAGCTGAGGATATTTGACTGACACTTAAAAAGATGGCCAGGTCGCTATGACAATACAGTTGGAGGCGGTATATCGGCAGGAGATACGCCATACGATACAATTGTGCGCGAATGCGGAGAAGAGGCAAGTCTGGAGTCGGAATTTGTCAAGAAACATCTGCGCTCTGTCGGAGTGATCACATACTTTTACAAGACGGAACTAGGGTTTCGCCAACCAGAAATGCAGTACGTACAACTACATGGTGGCTATTGCTGTTGTGGTGATCACTGCGGACACACATGCCACCGCCGATATATCGTTGATACGTGTCGTTAACCAAGTGCATTTGCTCACATGTCTGTAAGATTCTTGTACGATTTGCCATTACCAACAAATGACGTGGTACTAGCACCGAACGATGATGAAGCACAGTCTTTCGAGCTCATGGACAAAGACACTGTACTACACCATATCTATGCCAACGAGTTTAAGCCCAACTGCACACTTGGTACGCCATGAGACATCGATCCACATCGCACGCGCATGTACTTACGCTTTTCCAGTTCTGCTCGACTTTTTCATCCGACATGGATGGCTTACACCTGACAACGAGCCTAACTACACCAAGCTGGCTGCTTTGCTTCATACACCACTTCGTCTGCCGACGCCATAGCTGATGAGAGAAGTACAGCACTGCCCGCAGTCACTGGAAATAGCGTAAACATATAAACTACGCAAATATATCACACACAAGCTTGTACACACGCGGTCAGAAAGACTTGTTAGTGTAAAACACTTATGATTCCATTTTTGGGTAAGAACGAGAAATGCAGTGCTGCAGTTGCACTGCAGCAAGTGCGGATTCTCAGTATCGACTCATATCATCCTAAAGGCTTGGGCACAAGCGCCCGGGAGAATGTATAGGCACAGTGAGCGAAAAAAAATGTGAGAAATCTAGGTCGCACAAGCAAGACAACAAGAAACGTCTCTGCACTCAACTTAGAGAGAGAGCTTCGTGCGGCGCCAGTGACGGCGGTTCTTGTTGTACTGGATCTTGTTGTCCGTCTTCATACGGAACCAGTTAGGGATCGAGCTGCATGCGATGTCAGCAATGTCCGGAGCAACTCTAGCGTGACGTGTCGTTGGTTAAAACATACCGGTTCTGGCGGGCGGCCTTGGCGAGCTTGACCTTGGTGCGGAACGTCTTATGCGATGGCTACCAAATGTTAGCAAAAACAATGTTCAATGTTGTGCATGACCGCGACAGTGCAGCTCACTACGTACCATGAGTGCAACGAAACCAACGTTAGGTAGAAGAGACGAAACACTGGCAGTGCGCCTGTACCATTTCCACCGACGATGGGCGTGAGGGGCGGTCTGAGTGAATCACGTGTAAAACTAGAGGTCACATGATGAACATATTAGTGGCACGCTATTATGGAAGTGGAGATAGTATGCCTCCGACCAAATTTAGTCGACAGTCCGTTTATCTTGGCGTCGGATTTCGTGCCCTACTTCGGCGCTGACACGGCCAGCGCGTATTTATGTAATGCCGTGCATACATGTGGCCGATGTGCCAGACTTAGCGATCAAGGTGGGGAAGTGGCCGGCGGGTAATCAAAATACAATTGCCTGCATGGGCCAATTTGAGAGGATTGTCCTGATTGGAAGACGAGCCCTATCTGTGGCCTCACCAACCGATAACCTGTCCTAATCATCTTTCACAGCCGACATACCGGACAAGTACTCCTCCTTAAACTATCAAGATGGCTTCTTCATTTTCGCACAAAGCCGTGCCTGCTCTCGATGTATTTAAGCCAGACTTATTTCACGGCAAGGTCGTGCTCGTGACCGGTGGGGGGTCAGGCATCTGCTATCACATTACAGAAACGCTCATGCGTCTGGGGTGCAAAGCGGCCATTGTGGGGCGGAAAGCGGATCGTTTGCGTGAAGCGGCTGAACAGCTTGCGCGTGACACAGGTTCTGAAGCCATAGCGACGCCAGGTGATGTGCGAAAGTTCGAAGCAATGGAGCAAGTCGTCAAGCAGACGATTGACAAGTTTGGCAAGATCGATTTCGTCATCTGCGGCGCAGCAGGCAACTTTATGGCTCCCCTCGAAGGCCTGTCATCCAATGCGTTCCGCACAGTGCTGGAAATTGATTTGGTAGGCACGTACAATACTGTGCGTGCAACGATGGCTGAAGTGAAGCGCACGCACGGCACATATTTACATATTTCGGCCACGCTGCACTACTCAGGCCTGCCATGGCAAGCCGCCCCGTCGGCGGCGAAGGCAGGTGTTGACGCCTTGTCAAATGTCATTTGCGTTGAGCTTGGTCCATTTGGCGTGCGGAGTAACTGTATTGCACCGGGTTTCATTGCTGGTACAGAAGGCGCGAGTCGGCTTGTACCTAAAGGTTCAGATGACATGGTGAAAGCGTTTATACCGGCTCAGCGCATTGGCGAACGGACAGATATCGCGAATGCAGCCGTCTTCCTCTTTAGCGAAGCGGCAAATTGGATTACTGGGCAGGTTATTGCTGTCGATGGCGGTCAAATGCACTTCCGGAGTGCTTGGCTTCCATACCCACAGAGCTCTCTTGACCCACGCTCGTTCAAAAACCTGTTTCCTGATTTACGCCTTTAGTGCATAGACAGGTAGGTCGATAGTGTGGATATGACGTCTGCTTTACGTCCGTATTTTGGTAGGCCGTACAGATCGCATGCCTGCTTCAGATTCACCAGCGTCATTCGACCCAGTGTGCCCTCTCGATGCATCTGCCGGAGCATGTCGTCTTGAACGCCCGCTTGCACGTCATGCCGTGAGCTACTTATGCGTGTGTCCGCTTGAATCGATGCATTCCACGCTTGAATAACGTCGCGCGAACGCCGTTCGATCAAGTCATAATCGGGCATGATGGTATCGCGATATATGGGCGCTGGACGATGGAATGCCTGAGCCATTAGCACTTCGTAATGGAACTGAAGTGCCGGATTCGCAAAAACGTCTGGATTGAATGGATCTCGACGCTGAAAGCTTTCGATGATCTTGCTTGCAGCACCTACTTCATCCGAGTTTGCAGAAAGAGCATGCAATGATGGAGGCTCGCGGATGTCATCGATAAAGGGCATCACAATGAGGTGCATGCCGGGAGGTTGGTACTGATGGCCGCTAGCATCGAGTTCCTCCGCTTGAGGCAGAAGCACAGCAAAGGCCGGTACAGCATTCTCACGCGGCATAAATAGCGTGAGAGCGACCTTGTTTTTCGACAACATCGAGTGAAGCAAAGCGGCAAATGCACACTTACTGCCGGGATGCTCGAGGTCCGAAGGATACAAGAAGTATGAATGTTTGGTGTTTTCGTAAAAATGCAGCGTAGAGCGGTCTTTGAAGCCGAGAAGAAGCAATCCTGGAATGCATCCAAATTGGCGGATCTGCTTCAGCTCAGCGTCAGAAAAGGAGACACACGAACGCGCAGAGTCACTGTCACATAACGGGAAAACGGACTCCGTGTCCTCAGGCCTGACGGGCTCGCCTGTCACAGCCTCACATGGCTTGCCCACATTCACAATCTCATACACGTCAAAAGGATCCTCTTGGCCGTAAGATGTAACTTTGACCGGTAGGTCGCGCGTCGCCTCGGAAATGACATTGTACCCCTTGACATGAATACGCCAGCGCGATGCTTGAGGCGTTTTGGCATGTAAATCGTCGACAGGCGAGTTTGCTATAGTCTTAGACAAAGGCCCAAGATCCAACAGCACATCAAACACGACGCGCTTTGGCACCTCACGGCTGCTGATTTGTTCTTCGAGCTCTGCGAATTTTGATGCAGAGTCCCATGCAGCGCTTTTCGACACATTTTGGTCTTGCCATTGACGAAGACGCCACGGGCGTAGCGTGTCTGTTAGGAGGCCATCATCATACACGCCCAGTATGTCTGCATAGAATGTGTTTATTTGGAATGGAGTACCAGGTGCACTGATAAAGAACGGCTCCAAATCAATACCTCGACGATAGTAATCGCGAATACGATCAATGCATGCTTTTTGAATCTGTTGCTTCCCGGGCCCAGTATGTGGGTTGTCTTGATTTGTGATAAAAAAGACTCGTCGCGTCCCTGCCTTGGCAGACGCTGTGATCATGTTCATGGCATTTGTGAAGACATGTTCCATATGTACTTGTGTATCAGAAGGACCAAATCGACGAATTCCCACAGAAGAATCAGCTTGGATGGCTACAAAATTCGCGTAAGAAGAAGAAGAATCAGAGGAGTAAAGAACGCGTTAGCAACTGATGTGGCAGATGTGTGACACGCCCGGCCATGGCACGAGAGCAGACGTACCAGAAATAAGTTGTTGAAGCTCATATGTCACAGGCACATTCACCTGTCTGACACTTGCGTACTCGATTGTATGGGGATAAAAGTGACTCTTGGTCTGCGTCGACATACGTGATACAGTCTGAAAGCAAGTCTTGTGAGCCGCTTGATCTTGAACATTCACATACCGTATTCCACAGTAGAATACCGACATGATCTTTCGGAGAACTGACTAGCTTAATTTCCATGAGGCGTGCTGCAGCACGGAGTGCCATGACCAACGGTGATTCGACCTGCCCATCGGTCTTGACGTGCATACTCGGACCGCAATCAATAGCCAACAAAACAGCATCGCGATGAAGGTAGCTCTATAGGGTCATGAGACTCTTTCTCAAACTTGAGAATGTCACGTACCTCCCAAGGGACAGAATCTCGCACCCCGTGATCTTCTTCACCATTCTCGTGCCCATCCATCGCGCTAGGATGCAAGATAGAGTGCCACTTCCACATCGAGAGCAACAAACGCACTCGATGTGGAGAATTATATTACCTGGGCGACGCGCATTAGCCAAGACAAGCCTATGATGGAGGGTTTTTTTCGAGTGTGGACGCGAGGACGGCCCGATCTCTTTTAACGCGTTGCCACGCCTCACCGCCGATTCCTGTGGAGCGCGTTGTCGGTGGGAGCGACGTGGTAGACAACGCCAGACAATCATGAGCGATAATATGAATTCCCATGCCGAGACACAGAAAACAGTCGAATCGACAGAACGGACTATCGCAGAGACAAATGTAACCGCGCCAGATTTGAAATCAGGAGGAACGCGGCGCGGATCTCGACCTGTTGCGCCACCGCAAAAGGGAACGACTGTGTTTCCCATGGCTCGGATCAGTAAGATCATCAAGGTATGTTTGTGTACGAAGCTCATGACTCGCAACAGGCCGATACTTCAGTGGATATCTGCAGCAAGGAAGCAACATTTCTTATTAGTGCAGCGACGGTACGTGTGCATAGACGGATTGACCACGAGCCTGTAGGAGCTCTTTGTTAAGAAGCTGGTCGAAGAGGGTTGCACAAATGCACGTTTAGACAAACGACGAATGATCCGCTACGATGATATGGGTATGTTTTGTCTTTTGAAAAAAAAAAAAAACTGGTTTTCTGACTTTTCTGCAGCTAAAGCTGTTGCACAGAACGAATACATGGACTTTTTAAGGGATATTGTGCCTAACACAATACCTCTTTCTATGGCTATGAAGATGCGTGAAGAGAGAAATCATACAGAGTCTGATCAGGCTCAAAACGAAGCTGGAAAGGCACGAGATGAGGACGCAGGGACCGAGATGGAGGCGAACACGAGAAATGCTATGAACGGAGGCGACGCTACCGCTGAGACGGACGCTCATGTCGATACTCAAGGTGATGATGATGATGCTGATGTGGATATTGAAGCTGAGGGAGATGGCTTTGGCGATCAGTCTATGCCTGACGAAAACACCAACGGGTAGGCGCTCGTTGGAAAAAGTATGGAGACATACCACACCATTGTGATATTATATAGTAGGGCACATGTCGACTTGTACTTGAGAAGAAATAGGTACTAGATAGGACATGTTCGTTAGGAGACAAGCATTTTAAAATGTATGGATGAATCAAAGCCAAAGGCATCCCTCATGGATCGTTAGGAAGCTAAATGATTCCACCAACTCGAATTAATAGATGAGCGGGGTGGAGTTGAGGTGGTAGTAAAAAAGCGACAACTACAGGGTTCGAACCTGTGCGGGCGAAGCCCATGAGATGACATGAACTGAATTCAAGTCTCACCCATTAACCACTCTGGCAAGTTGCCTCCTGCCTTACCAGGCAGGAGGAAAGCCAAATAAGTTCCTTTAAGTTCCAGCAGAATAAGAAATTTTTTTTAAATAAGGGATTATCTGCACCGACCTATTTGACTACGTTATCCGGCCTCTTAAGCCTGAGCTGCGAACTCAAATGAGGCCATTCGCTTCCAGAAGGAGCACGATAGAGTGTGTAATCTCAGCCACACTCTGCTGCGACAAGTCGACGACCAAGTCCGCGTCCTTGGGGGCCTCGTAGACGTCATCGACACCGGTGAAGCCCTTGACTTCACCACGGCGGGCCTTGGCATAGTTGCCGCGGCGGTCATGCTTCTCACAGTACTCCAGGGGCGTTGCAACGTGGATCAGGAAAAAGTTGTTCGAGCCACCGCCCTTAAGAATCGTGTCGCGGGCCATTTGACGCGAGTGCTCGTATGGCGCAATAGGTGAAGCAATGACTGCAGCACCAGCACGTGTGAGTTCGCTAGCGACGAAAGCAATTCGCTGGAGGTTCTTGTGGCGGTCCTCAGGCGAGAAGCCGAGCTCAGAGGAGAGCTCGTGACGCACCGTGTCACCAAGCAGGAGTGAGACGCTGCGGCCACCCTGTTCATGAAGTTTGACCTGTAATGCACTGGCAATCTGGTCCTTGCCGGAGTTCAGCAAGCCCGAGAGCAGGATGGTGAAACCTTGGCTTGTCTTGGGCGGGTAGCTCTCGCGCAACGTCTTGACAACGCTGTCATAGCTAAACCAGTCGGGGATCGGCGCGCCTGAACGCAAGCGCTTGCGAAGCTCAGTGCCGCTAATGTTGAGTGTCTTGGCGCCCTCGGGCACGGCATCGACTGGGTGGTATTCGTCCAAGTCTGGCAGGTATGTCATCATCTGGAACGGCACCATCTCGATGCCCAGCTCATCGGTGTGCTTCTTGACAAGATCCTGTGCATCGTACGGGCCATAGAAGTCCTCACCCTGGCTGTTCTTGCCGGGGCCAGCATGGTCACGACCGACGATAAAGTGCGTCACACCAAAGTTTTTACGAATAATGGCATGCCACAGTGCCTCGCGAGGACCAGCCATACGCATGGCAAGCGGCAACAGAGCCAAGTGCGCCATGCCCTTCGGGTAGCGGGGCATGAGGCTTTGATAGACACGCACACGTGTGTAGTGGTCGACATCACCGGGCTTAGTGAGACCGACGACGGGGTGGATCAGCACATTGGCCTGAAGCTGGCGCGCTGCACGCACGGTCAGCTCACGGTGGGCACGGTGCATCGGGTTACTAGTCTGTGAAGGCCACTGACCTTGCGGCCAGGCAAGCTTGCTGAAGTGGTGGCGCAACTCAGCAGGCGTGTAGCGGAGCTCGACGTAGTCGAAGTACTGCGGCTTGGCCACAGCCTGAACGTTGCCGCCCACATAGTAGTCCTTGGCGTTCTGGTAGAGGAATGCGACGGCTGGGTGCGCCTTGTCGTCAGCCCCCATGACAAGCTCGGCCTCGCGAGACACATTCACGTCGTACAGGTCCGAGACGGTCAGAATGGCAATGATAGTGTCATCGCGCGCGTCGCGCAACGCGACGCGCGCACCTTCTTTCAGGCCAAGAGTCTCGACCTGCTCCTTCGACACATCCAGTGTCACAGGAATAGGGAAGAGTGCACCGCTGGCCAGACGCATGTTGGTCAAGCAGCCTTCATAGTCGGCCTTGTTCATGAATCCCTCCAGAGGAGAGAAGCCGCCAGTGATGATGAGCTCCAAATCACACAATTGGCGCTAACATAGAGAAAGATAGAGAGTTAGTCATGCGAGGTGAGAGGAGGCATGCGCTGTATGGCGCGGAGACTTTGTACGTACACCATTGAGCATGATCTCGGGTAGAGACTCTGCTTCTTCACGAAGCTTTTCTGCCATGGGGGCATCACGCGCAAGAAGATCCTTGAGAACACCACCGTGCGGAGGATTGACCATGTTGGGAAAGGGGGGGATCGGAGTTGGACGAGGAGAGATCTCGATTTCATCAAGTCCTATCTATATCCCACTTTCCACTCCCCCGTGGATGGCGTGCGTGCGTTTCATGCACATGCATAAAACCCGTGCGGGCGATACCTCAAGATTGCGCCATCGAGACCGCGGCCGCAGCAGGGAAAACAGGCATATCCTCCACCATAACCACGTGATGCCTGCACGGCCGTCGAGATGTGTTCGTGTCCGCGTATGCGTGCACTTGTGGACGGTGTGCGAACGCCGAGACGCGGCATGGGCCAGCCAGCCAGCCAGCCCACGGTCCTGAGCGCGGTAGGCAACACAGATGAGCTGTGCTGTGGATGGCCAGAACCAACACCACAGACAACAGAAGAATGCGTCACTGACACGTTTGAGCGCAGCGGGCCACGTTCCCACTAGGTCGATATGGGTCAGCACGTACGCTTGTTGTATGCCTATCCACTACAGACCAGACACTACTTATGCCTTGGCGATCTCGACAGAGTTCGTGGCGCCAAGAGCCGTCTTGATCTGGCCGTAGATACCGAACTGGAGGGCGGTCATCGTACCGACCATGACGAGACGGGTCGTCAGGCCCGTGAAGAGACCGACAGGGCCGAGGTCCTTGGCGATCTTGATGAGACGGCCCGTGGTCGTCTCGCCAGGGAGAGCCTTGGTCTTGTTCACCTTGGAAAGGAGCGTGTCGGCGGGCTGCGAGATGGTCGCAGCGGCGAAACCGGCGATCAGACCAGAGCCAAGGTTGAACGCCGTAGCCTCCGAGTGCGAGAGCTGTGCCTTGGTCTTGCCATACATGTGGAGCGCGTTCTCGAGGACAATCTCCATCGTGGCGAACTTGGCCATGTTGTAGGGCACTTGCTTGAACAGGATGGGGCCGAAACCGGCGTAGAAGCCGCCAATGCCCTCCTCGCGGGCAATGCGGGCGAAGCCACCAACAAGACCGTTAGCGAAGGTCGGCTGCGAGACGAGACGGATACGTGTGGCTTCCAGAGGGCACAGAGCAATGTCAGCAAAGAACTCGGCAAGAGCCGAGGCAGCCAGGTACACGGACATGCGGTTCTCCTGCGACGTCTTCATGCCAAGCTGCTCGACGATCATCTTCTTGAACAGTTCGTAACCGCCGAACTTGAAACCACCTGGAGGAAGTAGCCCATAGCCGTCGGGCCGAGACCGGTCAGAAGAGCACCGGCACCTTCCGTAGCGACAATCTGGCGGAAGCTGCCGAACATACCCTTGTTGTACACGGTAGGCTCGAGCTGAATACGCGTCTTGACGACGTCAATCGGGGTCATGGCACCGTGCGTAATACCACAGCAGAGCGAGCCAGCGAGGGCGAAACGCGCGTACAGGTCGACGCCGGTTGGGCCTGCGGGCTTTACTGGTGACTGCACGTTGACGGCGCCCTTGACATCCTTGACGGTGTCCTTGACCGTATCCTTGACCGACTCAACAGTCGAGTGGATAGGGTACGAGACACCCGTGAAGTTTTGAATGTACGACATAATGATTTAGAGAAACACAAGTAAAGTGGTGTGGAAGTGTGTGGATGTGGAAAAGAGGTGAGTGTGTGCGTGTGTGAACGTGTGTGGTACGGAAAGGAGAGAGGGAGGAAAGGGGAGGGGGGTAAAAAAAAAAAAGATTGGCCCAATCAACCCGCCCAACCTCCGAAGCGTTCGATCCAAGCCAAGAGGGTCCGGCGTTGCCTGCCCGCGCCCGCACGAACTTGCACAAACGCACGCACGCACGCACGCGTAATTACACACAGCGAGACACACACACACACACACACACATACATACGCACACCCAAGCACACGGACAAGCCCGAGCCGAGCGCGCGCATGCTTTGGCCAAGATGGCACGTGCCTCGCAACGAGTGGATGTGATAGGGCCGTTACCCGAAGGATGGAACCTATGAAACAAATCATCTACATGACTCCTTGGCGAATTTGTCAGCAAGAAGAGTGGCGTGGCGGCCGGCCTGCCAAGGAAACGAGTACGCAACGATTTTCGCGGATGAAAGAGAGAGAGACGCCATGGCACGTGATTTACGCACCGCGCTGACGGCTTACTCGTCCAAGGCGTCAAATAGGATCGACAGAGCCTGCTGAGCCTGTGGCGTGTGCATGCTATTGCGCGCAAAGTCCAGAGCAATGGTGTGGATGCTGTTGCGGATACGGGTAATAAGCTGGCGCAAAATAGGGAAAAGTTCCGCGTCCGTAGCGTCTTCGCGCGAAGCCACAATGAGCATGTCAGGCGTTTGAGCAATGCAGGACTCGACGAGGGCGTTGCGGTGGGAGCTTGGCACAGGCTGTGTCGGCTTGCGACGACCCTCGTAGACGGCATTGGACCAAGGGTCGTTGGGATCGATGCCAGGGAAGCAGCGCTGATTCGAGAGCGACTCGAGACGCAAGCAAAGATAGCCCAGCTGCTTCACCTGCGCGAGTGCAAGGAGTTCCTGCGTCGGCTCGTACATTTGGAAAAGCCCACTACTGCGACGCGCGCCGGAGAGATGCGTGTAGCGGGCAGCGAGCATTTTGGGGTATACGAGAGAGAGATGCTCGGGTGCTTCGATGCCCTTGAGGCGCCGCTCGCCGACAGAGATGATGCCCAAACCCAGTCGGCGCAGAAAGACGACGTCGCGCGGCGTGCAGGACTGCGGCGCTGCCTCGCTGCCGGCCGTGTGGGGCAGGTGTTCATGTTCCTTGTACATGTCAAAGACGCGCTCGAGCTCCTGGATCACATCGCGGCTCACGAGGATCTGACCGCCGTCCGCTGCGGCACTGATGCGCGCCGCACGGTTGACCATGGGGCCGAAGTAGTCCATGCGGTTGTTGACGGGATCGACCTCACACACGGGACAGCCCCAGTGCACGCCCATGCGAACGCTCAGGCCTCGGTACAGGAGCGTGCCGTCGTCCGAGTACACGGTCTGGGTGGTGGGTGAGTCGAGGATTTCTTGGGGCCAGTCGATGCTAAGGAGGCGCATCTGCACGCTGAAGCACCAGAGCAAAGCGGCGCTGACGGACTGGAACGACACCATGAACGCGTCGCCTTCGGTCTTGACTTCGTAGCCGCCGATACTGCGCATCTGCCGGCGGAGAAGCAGGTTGTGCAGGCGGATGGCCGACTGCATGCTGGGGTTGGTCTCCCAGAGCAGGGTGGAGTTCTTGATGTCGGTGAACACCAGAGCAATTTGGCCGATCGGAGGAAGCACCTCGCGCTCGAGCCGAGCAAGCGTGCTGTCCAGGTCGTTGCGGCCACGGCGCAGCATCTTTTTCGTGCTGTCCATGCCCCGCTGCGACGCATGCGCATTTTGCACATGCGCATTGAGCCGCTCATGAAAGAGCCCTGCGACGGTGACGACCATGACAGAGATATGGTCCTTCGCGCCGTACGCAATCGCGAGGTCGCGCAGCTTCTGGGCCGCGAGGCGTGGGTTCTCGCGGTCCATGCGCGCGATGTCGACGGCCATCTGGTACGAGAGGAACTTCCACAGCTCCGTGTTCGCGATGATGACGAATTCGTCCGCATCGATGAGCTCAATGCTCAGCACGGACGGACAGGCGGTGATGACAGGCGTCAGTTGGAAGAGGCCGAAGGCGCGCGCGACGTCCGTCTTGTCGTTTACGTAGTTGCGCAGCGAGACCCAGCCCTCGGCCGCGCGGATGCGCTGCGTCTCGTCGCGATTCAAGGGATCGTGCCGCTTGCCGAGCACACGGACAAAGCCGCCTGCTCGCGAGAGCACAGCGACAGCGTTGCCGATGTTGGCAATGTACAGCGTGCGATGTCGCTGGTACGCAAGGAGCGCCGTCGCACTGGACTGCCATAGATGCATGTCGCGCGACGAGCCTGAGCCCCAGCCCCAGAACACCTCCTGCGACGAGTGCGTGTGGGCAGAGGCGTCGCCAGTAGCGCCAGCAGCGCCGGCGTTAGAGCCATGAAAGTGACTGTGGCTGCTGCCATGGCTGCTGCTACGCACGGCCGACCCGGTCGCATGCTCGGCATGCACACGAAGAATGTACTCCGCATACAGCTGGTTCAGACGAAGAAACGCACGGCGAATGGCGATCGGAACCAGGTCGTTCGGCGCGTTTGTCGACGACGGAAGGCGCACGAGCTCGTCCTCCAGCACACGCGCACAGTGATCTGTCATGAAGCGGGCGATGCGCGTGCCGGCGAGCGACGAGTGGGCGCGGCCCTCGATGAGGCCAAACAGGGACTCGTTCTCGTCGCGGCGGAAACTCGGCACGACAAGGTCAAACACTTGGAGCGCATCATGCGAGCCGATGGAATCGGCAATGCCGTACGGCATCGCATTCACATGCGCGAGCGTCGTGCGGATGCGGCGGTGGTCCGTCTCGTCAGGCAGCGGCTGGTGCGTCATGGTGACCTCCATGAGGCCGAGCAGGCGCAGATGGTGCAGGCGGTTGAAGTCGGCGAGGTTCTTCTCGCGGCCATTCACATCGGCGATCTTGGGCTTGATCTCGAAGCGCTGGTTGCCCGACAGGTTGAGGTACCGCAGCTCGGGATTCGCATTCCAGTTCCAGTCATAGTGCCAGTTGGCGATGTTGTACTTGAGTGCATTGTTCCCGGCGTCGATTGCCCGCAGCTGCTTCAGCCGGCCGAGCTCCGCCGGCAGCGACAGCAGCTTGTTTCCATTCAGGAAGAGCACGTGCAGGTGCTGCAGCGCCTCGAGGTCCTCGGCGGGGAGCGCACCCAGGCTATTCGACGAGAGGAACAGCTGCCGGAGCGCACGCAGCGCGAGCAGCGCACCAGACGGCACCTCGTAGATCTCATTCATCGACAGGTTGAGCAGCTCGAGGCGCGGCAGGTGCATCAGCACGGCAAACACATCGTCCGACAGCCGGTTGTCCGCCACGCTCAGGTGCACGAGCGACGCAGCGAGGGGCATCGTGTCGAGCGCGCCGCCGTCGGGCATCGGGAGCGAGCTGAGGATGTTCGAGCTCGCATTCAGCACACGCAGACTTTGGCACCGCCACACACTCGCAGGCAGCGAGCGCAGGTTGTTGTCACGCACATCGAGGCGCTGCAGCGCGCGCAACGAGCCGATCGAGTCGGGCAGCTGCGTGAGCGCATTTGTCGCACAGCTCAGGCACTCGAGCTTCCCGAGCGAGCCGAGCGGCGGGAGCGACGCAAATTGGTTGTGGTCCAGCACGAGCTGCCGCAGCTCCGGCACCGAGCGGAAGAGGCTCTCGTTGATCGTGACGAGATTCGCATGCGACAGGTCGAGGCGTGTGAGCGACGACGGCACAGGCGCCGACAGCTGGGCACGTGTGAGCGGATTGTGCGCAAAGTCAAGCGTCTTGAGCGCCTCGCCGACGTCGCCCTCGATGCTGGTGACGTAGTTGTGCGACGCGAGCACATACTCGAGTCGCGGGAGCGCCATCACATCGCCCAGCATGTGCAGGTTCGTGTGCCGCACATCCAGCACCCGCAGCGACACGAGCGACTGCATCTCGGCCGGCAGGCGGCTGATGCTGTTGCCCACGAGGATGAGGCGCTCGAGCTTCGTGAGCCGGTGCACGTCGGACGGGACAATGCTGATCGCGTTGAACGACAGATCGAGATCCCGCAGGTTCGGAATCGCACACACCCGCGCAGGAAACGTGTCGAGCCGGTTGTTCGACAGGTTCAGGTACTGCAGCGCGCCCATGCTCGGCACGTACGACGGCGCCGACGAGAGGCGGTTGTTCGTCGCGCGGATGACCCGCAGCTGCGCCAGCTGGTGCAGCGGGATATGCTCCAGGTCCACGAGTCGGTTCGAGCTGACGTCGATCTGCGTGAGCTGCGGAATCGACACCACGCCCTCCGGCACACGCTTGAGCGAGAGCGACGACAGCCGCAGCATCCGCAGCGACGTGCACAGCTGCACAAAGTCGATCGGCAGGTCCGTCAGCGGATTCATCGACAGGTCCAGACTCACGATCCACTGTGCACACCGGTACACAGGTACGGGTATCATCGTGAGGTGCATGCCTTGCAGGTTCATGTGCTTGTACGTGTGGTCCTGGTCCTTGAGCATCCCTATGCTCAAAGTCGGCGCTCGGTCCGCTCGATACACGAACCTCAGCAGGAAACTCAGATCCTGGCGCCCCAGCTCATCAAGGCCATCTGCATCCGTATAGCCAGCCTGGATCAGCCGCCGCCGGAAGATCCGCACCGGCCTTTCACTCGGTGCGAGCGGGCGATCCGTCCCGCGCTCATACAGAAACAGACGATGGCCTTTCGTGTCGGCGACGCTCGTTGCGTGGCGTCCCAGCGCATACGCAATTTCCGACGCCGTCGTCTCGACCGCACACGATATAATCACGTACGTGTCGTTCTGCTGGTACACCCGCATGAACGTCTTGCCCGTGGGCGCCACAGGATCCACATCCGTGGAGCGAAACACCAGTGGCGCGGGTGGATTCCGTGCGGCCAACGGCAACGGCGCATCCCCGTGCATCGTCACATACCGAGCGACCGCATCAGGACCGGCTCCAGCTCCGGCTCCGGCTCCGGCCCCGGGCCCGGGACTGAGACTCGGACTCGGACCAGCGTGTCCGCCGCCCATGCCACCGCTTCCCACGCCCCGACGTGAACGCAAAAATGGCAAGTGCGGCGTACGATGCCGCCGTCCAAACGCTGCGTTCCCCACAGACATGAGCGCCATTTTCGTGCTTGAATAGGGCGTCGTCGTCGTCGTCGTCGTCGTCGGCGTGCACGCTGACGACGCATCGCCCGCCCCCTCGGCACTGCTTGTCCCTGCCCCTGACGGCAGCTGCATACCCGTCCCACCTGCTGTCGACGTGGGCGATGGCGACCACGACGACGACGAGGCCGGGCCAGCGCCGTGAACAGGTGTGATGCCTTGCCCCAGTCCCGGCACATGTGCTGGCGGCGGCGTTCGCGACATGGCACGACGGAAGAACCGCGGCCTCTTGGACTCTGTGCCCGGCTCGTCAAATGGATTCGTCCGCATGGACGTTTGCAACGGCGGTGTCGATAGGTCCATGGCCGGCTCGTAGATCACAACCTGTGATAGTACTGAGCCATCATGATCAGACCCAGCACTCGACGTGTGCGGCGGCACAGGCTCTTCATCCTCTGCATATTCACCCACGACATTCTTCATGTCTTGCTCTCCCGATGGCGACACGACGGCCCAGCTTTCCGGCGCCCGCCACGACGAGAGCGCCACATCGGCCCTGCTGCTGCTGCTGCCACTCGGCGGCGCCACCTCGGATGACGGCGTTCCCGTCGGCGTTGTCGACGAGAGCGTCATGACGAACGGCGCAATGCTCATCGCTGGATTCGTACTGGGCGGATACTGTGCTTGTTCTTGCGCCGGTGGCAGCGGCATACGTGCGGCTGGTTGGGCGGCTGCTTCAGCCTGTAGCTCCGACAGCAGCTGCGGCCGCGGCGCGGACGGCGAGTGCGCTTGTGTGGGCCGCACGTCAGAGGGCGTCGGCGTCTGTGGCGGCTTCGGCGACTGCATCGCGTCTCGCATGTCTTGCGCGCTCGGTCCTTCACCCATCGACGCACGGTGTCCAAGAGACTCGTCCATCGACACTTGTCTCGCACGCCGCGAGGAAAGATCAGCAGTGTGCAAGGAAGAGACGCTTGGCCGATGTGCAGACGATGACGTCGACGGCGGCGACGGCGACCACGACGACTTGGTCCGCGTCGCGGGCATCACTGGCACCGATGGAAACTGAAGAGCAGGCGCCAGTGCCTTGGGTGATACATTACTATCAGTCGCACAGCTTGCACATGGCTTGTCGCTTAGCAACGACGAGGAGCGCTCGTCATTCACATCACCACCATACGATAGACTCGACGAGCCAGGCGAGTCCCGTCGCACTCCTTCGGACAGTGTGGGCAGAATCGTTGCAGGTAAGCCCTGCGTCGACGACTTCGAACTTGGTGAGCTAGTGCCTGTAGGTGTCGTAGACCCGTTCCCCTCAGTGCAAGGAAACAATGGTGGCTCTTGGTTCAAGCAGCGACCAGAGCCCGTGTTGAGATGCGCGTCAGCACAGGGAACAGCGCCTATGCGCGATGGATCAATGATATCGCCAATCGTATCGAGGTTGGTGTCAAGCGTCACGCCGTGCTCATGTCCAGCATGCACAGGGTTCTCTAACGATATCGCTCGGTGGAATGGCTCAAAGAGAGCTGGTGTGTTTTTCTCCAGCTCCGCACTCACGCGACGCGACAAGCTTCCATGTCGCGGAATGCAAAGGCGCTTCGTACGCTCCAACTTGTCTTTGCGCATCGATCCCGACGGCGTCGACGTCGTCATCTGTCGCTTCTCGTCCTCACTATGGCTTCGTGCCCGCCATGATGACCCTGGACGAAACAAGGAGAATGGATTCAGCGTGCGCAAACCTAGGCCATGCTGACCATGCTGACCGTGCTGGCCGTGCTGGCCGTGCTGGCCGTGCTGACCGTGCTGGCTATATTCACGACTCGCACTGCCGCCCTCCGAAACACCTGTCTTGGCATGCGAGCCGTCACCGCCCTGTGACGATGAAAATGAGGGTGACGACACGGACGGTTGCATCGATGACATTGACGTGGATGCTGGTCCGAGCCTTGTACTTGGCCCCATCTCTTGTCTCAGCACAGTCAGGGGCACTGGCGCTGGCATAGATCCTGGCTCGGACGCAGACGCCGATGACGTTGACGTTGACGTTGACGATGATACCTGTGGCGCCACTGGCAGTGGCGGCGGCGGCGATGACGACGAGAACGACGATGACGACGACGACGACGACGATAATACTCGCGACATGAGCACAGAAGGCGCTGGGCCAGTCTTGCTCACCGACGACCTTAGCACACCTTCGCCTGTCGCCGTTGATGGAGTTCTCAAAGCATCTTCTTCACGAAGCCATGGTGAGATGGTATCGCACATCTGAGCCCCTTCTCGTTTCGTCTCCTCTACTTTCTGCTCAACAATCCCTCCGCGCGAAGGCGCATCACTCGCACCACCACCACTCGGCGTGCTCGCACTCGCATGCATAACACCGCCCAATGTGCGTGTAACGCTCGCGAGGTGGTATGGTACGTCGGTGGTCTGAGCAACGACTGACTGAGCGTCGTGTCAGTGTCACTCAACCTACTTTAAAATATGCCTAGAGGAGGGGGGGAGAAAAATAATGAAGACGACGAACGCGGCTCGCACGGGGTAAAAAGCTGCTGAGCAGTGGAAATGAGGGAGGGTCACGTCAGACCTCCCCTCCACCCTCTCCCAACAACCTGCAATGATAGTGGAGGTCAGTGAACCCAGCGGTGGAGGCAAGACTCATCCTCGTCCGCTGGTGGGTGTAGTAGCCTGCCTAGTTGAATGGGACCGATCTAACCTATTGTTTTTCGCGGGGCCAAGTCATCCCACATCATGCCCATCCAGCCCAGCGGACGCGTGCGTCTAGCGTCTGCGCCAAACGAATTTCTTCGCCCACACGTATATACACACCCTCCGCTCAACGCTTTCCTCCTTCTGATTGGCCAGAGGCGGATTCAAATCCTTTCACCACACTCTCGCGAACACATCCATCCGTCCTTGCGTCGGAGAGAGGGGCTTCATTGTCACAGAAAAGCCCAACAAGGAAGCACCAACAAGCGTCTGAGGGGAAGAGAGTAAGGAACGAACGGAGAGGGTGCAAACAAACATACTCAGACCCACGTCCCGGACAGGAAGATATCACCCCCACCACAAGCCAACTTCCTGACCCGTTCGACGCTCGCTTCACCCAAGCCGGATGAGTCTGAGTGACCCAGAGTCGAATCCCCCTGGATTCAAATTCATTGGCTTGGGCCTCGGCGTAGGAAGCGGCCTGTTCATCGGCTCATCATTTGTGTTCAAAAAAAAAGGACTGATCGCAGCGCAACGTAAATATGAAACAACCGCTGGCGAGTCCCATGCATACCTAAAGAGCCCTATGTGGTGGACAGGCATGACCATCATGATCCTTGGCGAAGTCCTCAACTTTGTCGCGTACATGTTTGCCGATGCGGTTCTGGTAACACCCATGGGTGCCCTATCCGTTGTGGTGTGCGCGATTTTGTCTGCCATCTTCTTGCATGAACATCTGACCCTCTTTGGAAAAGTCGGCTGTTTCTTGTGTATCGTAGGCTCTGTGATCATTGCCATCAATGCGCCTGAACAAAAGATCGATGGAAATATCCATTCATACGAACACCTCTTTATCGCGCCCGGCTTCTTGACCTGGCTTGGCATCTGTGTGGTGTCGGCACTTGTACTCATGTTTATCGTGGCTCCCAAATACGGCAAAAAGAACATGCTTGTGTACATTACCGTCTGCAGCGTGATTGGCGGACTCAGTGTTAGTGTCACGTCAGGACTCGGCTCAGCTATCATTCTGTCGATCCGTGGTCACAACCAGTTCAAGTACTGGTTCACGTACTTCCTTCTAATCTTTGTCATCGTCACACTCCTTATTGAAATCAACTATCTAAACAAGGCCCTCGAACTCTTCAACACAGCCGCTGTCACTCCCACATACTATGTCATTTTCACGGCCGCAACCATCATCACATCCGTCATTCTCTCTCAAGGCATGCGTGCAGATGCTGTGACGATTGTTACTATTGTTTTCGGCTTTTTCACCATCTGTGCAGGCATTGTGCTCTTGCAGCTAAGCAAGATGGACCCCGACGAGCTCCGCCGCCAAAAGGGTCTTGACAGAAAGTCGTCCATGCTCATGAGTGTAATGGAAATGGGCCACGAGCTCGAAAAAGAGCATCCTATTTCGCACATCGAAGACCCTGGCGTCGACTCTATCCGCGGCGGCATGGGCATCGTTGGCAGTATCATGCGTGCAAAAAGCTCTCGCAAGGCATCACGACATCAACGGTCCGCTCAGGACACAAGTATGGAGCCACTCACGACACATTCCCGCTGCCATCCAAATGTCCCGCGGTACCAGTTGTATGATCGTCCCATGCCGCCCCCTACTGCAACGCTTACGAATCCGGGATCCTCCCCGTCGCACCCTGCCTCAGATCAGCATCAGCATGTCCATTTCCTTCCTGGCAGCGACGAATGCCATGGACATCATCATTCCTCCGAAGCAAGACAGTCCTCCGAGCTCGACAAACCGCACAATCTCGATCCACATGTCCTTGTGCCAATCCTCGAGAATCGCGCATCAGATCGCACGTCTCCCAACTCGATGCTATCTCTCCCGCCCCTAGACGTCGATGATACGGCCGATATGGGCAACCAAAGTGCCATCCATCTGCATGCAGCTCCATCGTATGAACTTGATGCATCATCGTTTCTCGAAAGGGACCTTGAGATCGAAGAGAAAGAGCCTGACGAGCAGGACGAGAAAGTCATCGACAATGATGATGATGATGACGATGACGACGACGACGATACCAATGGCGGCAATACTGTTCTTCTTGCATCCCCGACGGGCATTGTCGATCATTACTATGAACTCAATCCAACTGAGCTGAGCCCTTCTCGGAATGCATCTCTGAGACGTCGCGAACCAACTGATTCCCCCCATCCTGCCAAGACACGCTTCCTCGAGCACAAGGGCTTCGGCCTATTTAAGCCACGTATCCGATCGCAAGGATACGTTCATGACACTTCCGGATTTTATCCGCGACATTTCACTGTTCCCGGTCTAAGCTCTGCCCAGGAATCCGCAGCGCCCAGCGCAGAGCAAGAGGACCTTCTACCGAATCGGTCCCAATAGGGACTCGCCCACAATATGTAGCCTGACCCTTTCTAATCCTCTCGTCCCCTCCCTCCCTCATAGCCGCCTTCGTTTCTATGTAGGCATGTATATATATATATATATATATATATATAAATATATATATAAATGTGGGTGCGTGTCTGTGTGTGTGTGTCTGTGTGTCTGCATTTGTGTTTATATATGATGTGGTGTCTTGCACACATTATCATCCTCGTACTGTGACACGGATACCTTCGCATTAAGCACTCTTCTGTGGACCGGATACGGCCTGCTCACGTTGCCTAAACTGATACCGCTGGATTTGTGTTATCGCATTGTTCATGACACAAAACTTAATACGTACCAGCAGTCGGAGGACTTGAACTCCTTGTGCCGTTGCATTTGTCAAATGACAAGCAAAGAGTAGCATGTTGCGTGGTTGGACGCGCAACGCAAACCGCATAAACACACAACTGCCATTTCGTTAGTACATGATGCAGCCCAAGACAATCAGTGTTCTTTCTTTACATACGAGTACAGGCACAAGGTGGGCGTCATACTCCACGAAATCATACTTTCATCCTTCTTCAAATCAGCAATGGCTGCCAGCGGCAAGCCCCAATTCGCCACGGGACCCCAAAAATGCGTTGACTTCCTGCATCAGTACAACATTCGCTTTTAACCACAAGTCAGGGCGATGACGTACAAAGAAGTATTCGCGTGCTGCTGGCGAACGCAACCACGCCACAAATGCACTCGACATGGTCTATGCGGTCAACTAGCGGAGGCTGCCGCTGCGCTAACGTCACGCAAAGCCCCGCTGCATCAGGTCCAACCAGGTCAAGTGACTTGCAACGCCCAATCTCTCACACACGCCGAAGGCGATAACGCATAAATCCCCGCCCTGCATCTCGCGTCCCTCCACGTCGTCAGCGGCACTGGCAAAATACAACACGCAGACGTCACGCCGTGTGCCTCCAGTCTCGCGATCGTCATCGATACTTGCGCTACCAAAGTCCGTCACTTTCGCTCGCTTATCCATATTCCCTTTCAAAAACAGGCTTCCACGTCATGATAAAGGGCATGCTCATCATCACCATATCTATGATTGCTACTACAGTATAAAGACTGCCCTCGGAACAAACCCGAGCAGGCCGGCGGGACATCTGTCCCCCTCCCCGTCATACATTACTTCGTGAAGGACATTGTCGTACAGACATATGCTTAATGGGTCTTGTGAGGACCAGCATTGAGCACCTCGGGGTTCACTTCCTTCTCGTGCGTAACAAAGGCCTCAGCGAACATGCCAGCCAATTTCTTCAGCTCGGCTTCAAAGGCCGCCTTGTCAGGCCATGAGTTAGCCGGGTTAAGCACCTCTGACGGCACATTGTTGACTGCGCGTGGCACCCGCAGGTCAAACACACCTGGGGCAAACTGATCGTATTCCGCATTGGCGAGCGAGCCGTCGTGGATGGCATCGAGAATCGCACGCGTGTACTTGAGCGGACAGCGACGACCCACACGGTACTTTCCACCAATCCAGCCCGTGTTTACTAGCCAGGCGTTGCAATTGACATGGCTCATGCGTTCTGCCAGCATCGAGGCGTAACGCTGGGGTGGCAGCACAATGAATGGCTGACCATAGCAAGTCGAGAATGTGGGCGAAGGCTCCGTCACACCATCTTCCGTTCCAGGCGTCTTCGAAGTGTAGCCAGCAATGAAGTGGTATTGAGCCTGCTCTGACGTGAGCCTCGACACTGGCGGCAAGACACCGAAGGCATCGCATGTGAGCATGATCACATTTGATGGCTGTGTTGTTGTCATGCAAGGAATCAACGCGTTTGGAATGTACTCGATGGGGTAGGCGCAACGTGTGTTCTCAGTAATCTCTGAGTCATCGTAAAGAGGGTCACGCGTCGCTTCGTCAAACTTCACATTTTCAAGAATCGAGCCGAAACGGATGGCACCGTAGATTTCAGGCTCCTTTTCTGCACTAAGGTTGATGCACTTGGCATAACAGCCACCTTCAATGTTAAACACACCGTGGTCAGACCATACATGCTCATCATCGCCGATGAGCTTACGCGAAGGGTCCGCCGAGAGCGTTGTCTTGCCAGTACCCGACAGACCAAAGAAGATCGACACATCACCTTTGTCGCCCATGTTAGCGGATGAGTGCAAGGAGAGCTGGCCGAATTTCGCGGGCATCAGGTAGTGCATGACGGAGAAGATACCCTTCTTCATCTCACCGGCGTACTCGGTGCCAAGAATGACCATCTCGTGACGCTTGAAGTTGATCTCCACAGACGTCGAAGAGGTCATACCCGTCGTGAAACGGTTGGCAGGGAAGTGGCCAGCATTGTAAATCGTGAAGTCCGGTTCACCAAAGTTCTCGAGTTCCTCGCGCGTAGGACGGATCAACATGTTGTGCATGAAGAGCGCGTGGTATGCACGGGCACAGATCACACGCACCTTAATACGGTACTTGGGTTGCCAGCCCGCAAAGCCGTCAAAAACGTAGATGTCATCGCGCGTGTTCAAATAGTCAATAGCACGCTCGCGGTTGATTTCGAACGTGTGCTCGTCTAGCTTGATGTTTACGGGGCCCCACCAGATATCGTCCTTCGATGTCTCCTCGTACACAATACGCTTGTCCTTGGGGCTACGGCCTGTCTTCTTGCCAGACAGGTTGATGAGAGCACCGCTTGAGGCAATGACGGCACCCTCCTTGCGCACGGCCTCTTCGTACAGCTGAGCCACAGGAGCATTGCGCTTCAGAGACACATGGTCCATATCGAAACCAGCTTTGGAGAACATGCTAATGTCCATACCCAGGAGTGGGTAGGGTTCCGTGTGCGTGTTTTGTTCGTCGTGATGGTTGCCCTGAGAAGCCATATTGACTGAAGGATGGAGAAGGATCAAGTTGGTAAAGACGGGGACACTACAAGACTGCTCTCCCCGCACGTATATATAGATTTAAGCCCGTGCACACAAACCGGGACGAGGCACGCCATGCCGTCCAGCCGGCCAACCTATGCGAATAGAACGCATGCGAAAGGCCTGTGCACTTGCATATTCAATCGAAAGAAGCCATTTGATTTGTCAGTTTATTTTCATTTGCTCGGGTGGAGCCGGGTGTATCGAGAATTTGAAGAGCCCCACAACGCACTGACCTGCAAGCAACACTTGTCACCAGAAACTCAAACTTTCTAGTGGAATGTGGCCCTTTCCTCCCCGCGCGTGGAGCGCTACGCTACTTTTAGGGCCCCAGCTTTTTTTTTTTTGAACTTAGATTTGCATATTTATTTCGGCCCATGTCGCTGGAATCCGAAAGACTTCCTTGTGAAGCTGACTAAGAGTTGTGCACCCCACCGGTCGCCCCGTGCCTTGGCAGGGCACGGGGCCCTTATCTTAAAGTTTATTTTCACTCGCTGGCTTCCTGCAAGTTTCGGCGGGCGGCGGGCTGGTGCCTTTTTGGGGTGACAGCCAGCGTCCGTTGGTCCAGAGTGACTCGTCGATCTTACAGTAAACAAAAAAAAAATTGCCCCCCATCTCGGTGCCTTCAATGCGCTTGCTGACGCATAATCTACTCGCATGCCATGCGAAAGGTTGCGGCTCTTCATCGAACAATTTTCCTTTACAGCTGCGCAATGTTCAGCTGGAGTTGATTGACGCTGAGTATAATCCCGTCTTTCTCAAAGGCTTCTTGCCAAAACTTGCATGGCCCGCATTGGTCGCGACGGCCCGTCAGCTGGGCGATACGACCCTCCCGGAACAGGCTCCAGATTTTATAACATCGGAGCCTAGTGAGGAGTTTCTCCAATTGCTTCATCATGTCCTACTAGAAGTGCATGTGGCGGAAGGGGAAATGATCTGTCCAAATTGCTCACATATTTACCCGATTCGCAATGGCATTCCGAACATGCTGCTCGCCGAACACGAAATCCCCAAGTAATTGATCCTCGTGGGTCAACGCCGGGGTGGGGCGAGTAATTTCCTGCTTTTGATCGATAAACCATGACTCTTACCTTTCCACGTAAAGTCGAAGTCGTATGCCGACGATGCTATGATGACGAGATTGTCATTGTGGCGACACAATGGCTTTGAGACGCAGCTCGGGCGAAGAGGGATATACTGCTACATGTTGAAATGAACCGTAACTTGCAAAGATATTATGAAAGTACAGGTAAGAACTGTGCGCATTCCGTTAGCACCGTCGAGTCATTTGCCACTGGCAATAACGTACATTTCCCACAACAAACCCAGGTAAATCAAAAGGATCTCGCTTGATAGTAAAGCACCATGTACAAGGAATCGACTTGTTCGATGGAGAGAGAAGCACGCATTTTGTCATCACTGATTGAGTTGTATTTTCAAATGCATGACTCGCGAACATTTCCCAATAATTCAAGACAGACTCTTTGTCCATGAACTGATAGATATACTTGCCAAGCAAGTCCTCCTTGCTCCACTGCGTCAGCATACAGAACTCAGCTCCCACGAGGGCTATCTCACACGTGCGGCGCCACACGACGGTTGGCGTGCCAGAAAAAGAGATTAGCTTTTCAAATTCAAGTATGGTACGCTGAAATGCACGCTCGACAAAGATCTCGTCTTCTTCACTGAGTGGCATCTGCAGTGCAATAAGGGAAGGTCGATAGATGGCGAGTGCACGCACGATTCGCAAAACGTCTGCCTTTTCGTACTTTTGCGTCGCATATTTCAACAAGATGTGGTATCCCTCGGTATAAGGAAAGGGCCGCGTATTGTCTCGATATACCTTCGACACTCGCTGCTTCCACAGCTGTTCCACTTGCAGTTCACTCTCAGGTCGGTATGGCATGCCAGGCCGCGGCTGTGGAAGAGAAGATGACGTTGGGTTCATGGACTGGGAATCAGAAGACAGAGGTTGTTGTTGTTGTTGAGGCCGCGGTTGCTGATGGTGCTGGCCATGATGGCTGGTGTGGATATGATTGTGATTATTTGGCGTTGGTAGTGTGGTATGTGTGCCAAACGATGAAGATGCTGCGGCTGCCACTGGCGTTATGCCATCCTTGCCCAGCATGGGCGGATCGGACATATGTACGTTCGAAGGCGCATTCATGAACGTCAGCGGGCTAAATGTGCTTTGACCTGGGGTGCCAAACAGATTGGACTGAGGAGCGGGCACGGCATGATATGCACCTGCTAACGACGATTCACCAGGGGCATCATCCCCCGATGTCATGTTGCTGATATGGGTATAACTTTCCATTAGGTCCATAGCTGGAATTGACGGACCATCGGGCGAATCGGCCCTGGGCTTCGCGCTATCGAGATCGTGAATCATGGAAGTCAAGATGGAGCTTTCCAATGACGCAGGCTCGTTTCCCCATGACACATGGTTGCTGGTATCAGTGGGTAAATGGGATCCCGGATCCGATTGCACGTAATGGGAGGGCGCCATCGGTGTGTTCGGATTTGGACGTGTAGTGCGAAGCACGCCATTAGGTGGGATGTGCTCTAACAGAACAGGTCTGCATATCCTGTATTGAGACTAGACGACGCAGGGAGCTTGTCAGGTATGCTTGGGAGAAACATATTTTCGTTTGGATTCGGTGCCGGTTTCCCGTGTGCCATGATTGGTGGCACAGACGACGGTATTTCATCCTCCTCTAACAGATACTTGGCCTTTTTCCGGTACCCGTCCACACATTGGTCGGCAAGTCCTTTTCTCACACACCGTTGACATGGACGTGAATCATCACAAGTAAGGTGAGCTTTCTGGCAGTGATAACAGGCGCGACTTGCTTTTTTCCGTCGCGAGGGACGCGTCTGTGATTTGGCCATTCCCTGGTTTGTGGAAGACGCTTGAGTCTTGTCGTCGGCGGGAGGCGACGCTGCTTTACGATCCATCGAGGCATCAGACTCTACTCCGCCGTTGTCACCCATGCTTTTTGGACCGTACAGCTCACTGTTAATATACAATCTGTCTGGTCCGTGTCGTTGGGATGGATCGCCGCAGGGTTCTTCCACGGTGGAGTGCTTGGCTTAAAGTTTTCAGAGGCACTGTGGGTGGATGTAAAATTTGCCTTACGCTAGCTGCTAGATTCGATAATTGTGTCCAATTTTGTTCAAACAGAGCGCATCTATTTCACAGCAACAGCGTCAATAATTCGTGGGCGAACAATTTTGACCGCGTTCTTCGGACAGAGTGCTTTGTTGGCATACACTTCACCTAATAGGCCAGTTTAAGGGGTAGGCAGATCCATGGCGGATGTGGCCATACAAAAAGACACCTTTCATGAAGGCACTCCTACAAGATGAAGGAAGCCGATACGCTCTACAGGAAAAGGTATCGAAGCCATGTGCATTCGACAAGTCTAGTGTAATGCAGAAAATGGACATATCCAAGATCGAGCAGGCACCAGTGCACGGAGAACCCGTGAACATTGCTAGGGCCACACATGGACACAACGGGTGGTCTCGTCGGTGTACATTCAGCCCGTACCAAAGCACCTCTTCCAAAGAAAACCAGGGGACCGCAAAACTTGGTATGCCATGTAAACGCACAAAAACAAAAGGTCTAATGAGATGCATGTGCTACGGGCTTTGGCTTACTGTACTTTTCCCAAAAGCAGTATACAGCAAACGCCGTCACGCCCAGGCCCAGACCGGGGAACATGTGGCGCACATAGTACCTCATAGAGAAGATCGGGTGCTTGCGCCATGCTTCGCGTTTAGCCCAGGGGTCACGATACAGGTCGGTCATGGGGATACACGGGAAACGTCTGATTCTACGTTGTCAAAAAACATGCAAGTATGCGAGTTAGTTTTATCCACAAGATACAATCGCATAAGACGATTTTCTGAGTGCACATACCAGCTTTCAAAGACGAGCAGATGTACAATAGGCGTTGGTTCTGCGAGGCTCGTTTGTGGCACACGGAATGCTTACCGGCGTTGGTGCGACGTCAGATATGCCTACTCGTTGATTTAGCCACCGCTCGGCCATTGACCGAGAGGGGAAAGCGCTGAGCACAATCACGTGACGCAACACGCTCTCGCGGCTCGGGGGGTTGGCCTTGCTTCTCCCAAGTGACACAGGAGGAAACGCGGTCGCGAACAGTGTATGGCACCATGGCCGACGCCGAACGCGAGAGAGACGACCTCAAACGCGACCCCGTCAAGCAAGAGGATGATTCTGACGAAGATATGCCGCTGAGTGTAGTACAAAGTCAGGCCAGTGACTCTGACTCTGATGTGCCTATTTCGCAGCAAACTTCGGTAAGAGGGGACATCCATGAGGAACACGATGGCGATGAAGACCACGATGAAGGAGACGAAGAGGACGACAGCGATGACGAAGAAGACGAAGCCGAAGAAGAAGATGACGATGAAGAGGGCGATGCACCACTTGCAGGGAAGAAGCGGAAACGGTCGAACAGGAAGTCGTCCTCACAAAGGTCGAAATCGGACATCGAAGGTGGCGGCGAGCAGCGCTGGACCACACTGATCCATAAAGGGCCGAAGTTCCCTGAGCCATATACCCCACTTCCGAAAGATGTGATGCTCAAGTACGACGGTATGTATAAAGATCCATGCGCTCATGTCAGGACATCCTGTGCCACTCCCGCCTGAATCTGAGGAAGTAGCCATGTTTTACGCTGTCAAGCTCGAGTCTCAGCATGCGTCCAATCCTATTTTCAATCGCAACTTTTTCGAGGACTTTTGTGGCTACTTGAAACAGTATCCACCGAAAGACGGCACAAAAATACAAAAATTTGAGAAACTTGATTTTCGCGATATGTATAATTATTGGATGTCCCTCAAGGTGGCTGAGGCGGAGCGCAAGAAGAGCATGGCGCCCTCCATGCGGAAGGCTGAGCTTGCGGCACGAAGAGCCATCGACAACGAGTACAAGCTCTGCCTCGTTGATGGCATTGAGCAGAAGGCAGGCAATGTGACTGTCGAACCCCCAGGTCTCTTTTTGGGCCGCGGCGCACATCCCAAGGCTGGACGTGTCAAGACGCGCATTCAGCCGGAACAAATCACCATCAATCACAGTGCCGATCACCCACCGCCGAAGCCGCCTAAAGGGCATTCGTGGGGCGAAGTGGTGGAGCGCAAAGATGTCACATGGTTGGCACTTTGGCGAGAAAATATCAACGGTGGTTTCAAGTACGTGTTTCTTGACGCATCAAGCACATTTAAGACCGAGTCTGATCGGGAAAAATTTGAAAAGGCTCGGCGCCTGGACACTTGCGTCAAGCAGGTGCGGGCTGATGTGTTGAAGAATCTAAGATCCAAAGACCGACTGGACCAAATGATCGCTACGATCGTGTGGTTGATTGACAATTTTTCCTTGCGTGCTGGAAATGAGAAGGGCGAAGATGAAGCCGAGACGTACGGAGTATGCTCCTTGCGTTGTGGGCATGCCACGTTGATTCCACCCAACCAGCTGAATCTCTCTTTTCTGGGTAAAGATTCAATGAAGTTTGAAGAAACGCTCACTATAACGAATCCTCATGTGTACAAGAACATCACGTCGTTTTTGAAATCGGACGGCCACCAGAAGAAGGGGCCCGATGACCCTATCTTTGCTGCACCCAAAGCTCGTGGAGACAAAATGACCCCTTTACCGCCGGATGTGGTGAACCAATTCCTGGGCAGGTATATGAAAGGGTTGAGTGCCAAGGTATTCCGCACATATAATGCATCAGCCACATTCCAGGGTCTACTGGACGAAACGGAGGAATGGCTTGCATCCCGGCCAACACCACAGGAACGTGAAATTACACCCGCCAACCTTCGTATCGCTTACAATGAAGCAAATCGCCAAGTTGCTATTCTTTGCAACCACCAAAAGACTGTAAACCATGTCACGCTGAACAAGTCGCTGGACCGCACAAAAGATAAGGTACGCTACCTTGTATGCGTAATCCGTCGCTAACAGATTTTGCAGATATTTGCTATTAAATACGATATTTACAAAGAGCAGCAGAAACTGTTGACATTCAACAATGCATCTGAGCTGAAAAAAGAATACTTGCCAAAGGATCATGACTTTGCAAAGTCATGGAATCTGATCTTGAAAAGGCTGGACTTGGATGTGTCGCGCATCGAGGAGCATGAAGAGCATTTGATTGAGGCAAAGAAGTCCCGGATGACGACAGCGTTCGAGCGACAGGAGTCGGAACGTCGTTTTCAAGAAGAGCAGCGCAAAGCCGAGCGCTCAAGCAAGGTAAAAAAGGAAGAAAAGGATAACGAGGAGGTCAAGACATCCAAGGGCATCACGACAAAGGCTGAGCTGCAAGCAGAACTTAAAAAACTAGATGCACACCTGAAAATTTTGCAGCGAGAACGGAAAACGAACAAGAGTGAGGCCAATTCGTGCAATGTACCGTCTACGGCTCGGCGAATTCTGTCGAAGTATGAGGCGATCAAGAAGCAGGAGGCTGAGCTCTTGAACAAGAACAACACGAGTGATGTGTCGTTGGGAACATCGAAAATGAACTACATCGATCCACGCATCACTGTTGCTTGGCTTAAGAAATGGGATGCAAAATTGCAAACTATGACACCAAAAAAGCCTGCGAAAGCATCCGAGTCGAACAAGAAGTCTAGCAAGACCAAGACTGAGGAGCCCCCGCCGGATCCCGCGACAAGTGAGAAGATGGAGCTCAATTTGCAAGTTATGAACATTGGCCAATTCTTCCCCATGACCCTGCAGAAGAAGTTCAAGTGGGCTTCTTTTGATGAAAAAGGCAAGCCTCTTCCGTCGAACTGGAGTTTCGTCAAAGATGCACGTAAAAAGATGCGGACATTGGGTAGTGCTGAACGTAAATAATTGCATGTCTTGGTTTTGCTGTCAGATCAAGTTCAATGCGAAGGGGGTGGAACACTCGAGCTCTTAGATATGCTCTTTATATTGATATCTGTCCATCCCTTCCCACAGTTCGTGGGCAAGATGGCCGAGTGGTCTAAGGCGCAACGTTAAGGTTTCCTTAATTCACAAGCTACTAGCTTCCGTTGTCTTCGGGCGTGGGTTCGAATCCCACTCTTGTCAAAGTTTTTTTGGTTTAAATTTTGCATGATTCAAGATCATGCAATCCTCAAAGCAGCGGTGCCTGGACGAATTTCTAGCAAGGATCACGTACTTTAAATTTTGGAACGATATAGTTCTGTGTGCGTATTGTGCAATAAAACATGCACTCAACTCCGGCGCGTGCTTCCAGGAACGCATACAATGAACATATCCGACTTGGGTAAGCGCCAAAGTCAGCCGAAATGCAACTACATAACCTCGCTGTGTGCATCTGTACGAGAACACATGAATCTTGTTCGAGCATCGACAAAAGCATGGTCATGACCTAATTTGGTAGAGTCAAACTACGTGTGATTGCATCTATGAAATGTGTTTCTTGTTTGCGAAATAGCCTGGCTGGCCCGTCAGCTCAGATTGGATTCAAGCCATCCCAATTGAGGTGCTTGTGAATTGTCGTCCGCTATGCCAGAGTCCTTTATATTGGGTTCTTCCGCTTGTCCATCAGCAGCAGTGAAGGGGTCTGCGAAAATGACACCTTCGTCGAAATCAAGTGTATTGCACTGGTCGCATACAGATGACTGTGTAGAGTTGGGGGCGACGAAGGTTGTGCAGATCATGCTGCTGTGTGGCTCCAGCAACGGCTTAACTGCGCGGTATACATAGGGAACTTGTGTGGCGCTCGTATCAATTTGGTCTTCTTCTTCAGGCTCATGAGCCGATTCTTCATCACGGTTGCGATCATTCCGACGCTTCCGCTCTCGATCACGGCGTCGGCGATGCCGACGTCGATTTTCTTGTTGGTCGCTCTCTGAATCAGTAGACACATCCTCGTGCCGCCGGTGGCGACTGGCTGATTTGCTCCGTCGGCGAGCACGACTTTTTGCGCTTGGAGAGTCATCATCATCCTCGCTTGATTCAGTCGATTCTGACGCTTGAATGCGGACTTTTCGTGAGCTACGACGTTTCGGCTTGACGTCTTCGTCAGACTCCTTGTCATGGTCATCGCTTTCGTCATTGCCGCTTTCGTCATCGCTGGCCTTTGATTTCCGCCTGCGATGTTTCCGTTTTCGTGGAGGTGTGTCTGAGCCGCTGCTGTGCTCGCTATCATCATCTGAAGAGGAAGATGACGAGGGAGATGCTCTGCGCTTCGTCAATGATGCCTGCACGGGCAGGACGGGAATTTTTTCAATCTGCTGATCATATATGAGAAGTTCCAACAGCGCAGCCACATGCTCAGGCTCTAATTCGGTGTCGGTGAGACGCGCTTGCTTTAGATAGCGGTGGACGGTGTGTACATTGGGGAAAAGATGTGTGTGGGATGCCGGGAACAGCGCTGATGAGCGGCCATCTTTTGGCCAGGACTTGGACTGAATAAAGCGCAAGCACGCCATCGACAGCTCGTGAATAAATCCAGTATCGAGTTCGTTGTCTGTGTACCACGGGCCGCCGGACAATTCGATTGACGGCGTGAGATCATAGAGCATGTAGATCTTTCGTGTGGGAAACTTGACAGACTTGACAGACTTGACGAGCTGCTTCTGTTCTAGTGTGCGCAAGCAACGCGTCATAATTGTCTGGTGTAGATTCGTACGCGCTTTGATCAGCTTGGTCCAGATGCCTTCATTCCTTGCATCCTTTATATGGTTATAGATAATAAGTTCGTTAGAGTCCATGCTACCAAGAAGGCTAGCCTCGCCTTTCGACACGGCCACATACTGGATACCATCCGGCCCCTTTTGTGCATTAAACAGGTTCTTTTTTAAGAGTCCATTGATCGCCAGAAGTTGCTCTTCGATGGGCACTTGGGCAAAGCGTCTCGACAGCTCGTCACCTGTGAGTGTCTTGTTAGGTGCAGCAAGGGCTGCTCCATGGACTTGCTTTTCCAACGGACTGAGCCCTTGTGCATCCTGCGCGGATTTCGGCGGCATAGAGGGCGCGCACGTCTTTGTCTCTGTGTGGGGCGTGCACAGCGAACTAGAAAGGATGTACGTTCGCTCGCAGACACACACACACACACACACTTGCTCTTTCTCTTTCTCTTTCTCACGTGCGCGCCGCAGTGTCCTGTTTACCGGTTTGGTGCGACGACGACACAGACTAGAGGTGTCAGGATGGGTTGGAAACAGCGCCTGATTTTCACGTCGTGTGGACCAACGTCATGCGTGCACGAGTCAGCGTCCCTCCTCGTTAGGCCGCGTTTCTAACGGCAGCGAGACAGGCAAGAAAGAGTGGAGATACCAGATAGTCTTGGCCTCCGACCTCCACCTGTGCCAGTTTGCTGCCACGCGTGAGTCTCGAGAGTCATGTATCGATGGAGTGAGCCAACGTTGCAGATTGAGTGTTACTCGCTCTCTACCTTGTTGGTACCCATACGTAAAAGCGTCGCTATCGTTTCAGTGCATGGAAAGCGGCAGTACAAAAATGGCTCCATCTTGGGAGCCAGTGGCTCCATTGGTGTCTAGTACAGATCGACCACTTCCACCACTCCACGACGGCGCTGACTTTTTGCACCACACAGTGACATGCGAATCAGCCGCCTTGGCCCTCGCTGTCGACACTCAGCGAGCTCGCATGCTAGTCGGGATGCAGAGCGGCGAAATCTGCGCATGGGACTTGGATACGTTCCAACCTTGTGCGCGTCTCATCGGGCACCGAAGCAGCGTCCTCTCGCTCATCCTCGTCGATGACTACTTGTTTAGCGCCTCGTCAGACAGCACCGTCCGCATATGGGACGCGGCCACTCTGATGCCGCTTGCACTCGTGTTTCCAGCGAGCACCAACACTGGCGACATTTTCTGCCTTGCGTGGGACCATGAGAAGCACGTCCTGTACTTTGGTTGCCAGGACACGTCGATCCAGTGGTTGCCCGTAACACGTGCTCGCCTTCATGAGCCAACAGAGCCCTTGCCGACATTGTCTTCCTTTGACAAGTTTTTTGACTCACGCCCGCGAACACATCGCCAAGCTGCCCCTACCTCGAGTGCCACTGCTGCTACTGCTACCACTGCTGCTGCCACGGCCACACAGACGGTGCGGTCGGCGACGGCGACAGCGCTAGTCCAGCATACTTCTGTAGAGTGGCTTGGTGGAAGCGCCGATGGCAGCAGCGGCAGTAAAGGCGGTGAAAGTGCCGGCCATAACAACAGCAGCAGCGCCGGCGACCATGTCGATACCGCTAATGACACGGCAGTCAATGAACCTGTCTCTGCTGTTCGTATGGCTGTTCTTAGTGTGGATGCAGCACATGTCATGCCCTCTGCGCACAACAGTTATGTATATTGCTTGTCGTTTGCACATGTGAATGGGGAGACGATGCTTGCGAGTGGCGCCGGGGATGAGGCTGTGCGACTTTGGCGCCTTCACCCGCACACAGCATCTCCGATGTTATTTCGCACACTCGTTCTTCCGCACCCGTCGGGTGATGCCGTCCTGTCGCTTGCTGCATGGAAAGGCACACTACTTGCTGGCAAACAGGGAGGCGCTATCGATGTATGGGACATGGAGAGCTATACCCCGATCCGCGTGCTGCGGGCTCATACGAAGGATGTCCTGTGCTTACAAGTTCTTGCCGAAGGCAATGCGTATGTATTTTGGACTGGCGGGGCTGATGGTCTCGTGTGCCGCTTTGACCGCTACTTCCGTTGCTGTGGCCGCCTCGCTGCGCATGCCAATGCGGTCCAGAGCCTCGCGTTGGATCCAGGGCGCTCCAAGTCGTCGTACTCGTGGCTCTCGAGCACCCCGTTGCTGTTAACGGGTGCCTCTGATGCTCGCGTCCGTCTGTGGCACTACCAAAGTGGAGCTACGTCTATTCCACCGTCGATGGGATCGACGCTGCCAGGCAATACGCTCCTGGAGCATCTTTCTCAGTTTGTGCGATACAAGTCTGTGTCGCGAGGACCGACAATGCACGCTGTCGACGAGAACTTTGAAGACTCAAGGCAAGCGGCCCACTTCCTCCGATCAACACTGATGGAGCTAGGTGCTAGTGATGTGCAGCTCCTGCCAAGTGGACCCGGCACCAATCCCATCGTGTTGGGTACCTTCCATGCGCCGCATCCACGCAAACGGTGCTTGTTTTATGGGCACTATGACTGTGTTCCTGCAGGCGATGGCTGGGATTCAGACCCCTGGGACCTTTGCGGACGCGATGGCTATTTGTATGGCCGGGGCGTCAGCGACAACAAGGGCCCCATTCTTGCCGTCGCTTATGCTGCAAGTGAGCTCCTGTATGAGCGCAAGCTCGACATCGATGTGGTTATGCTCATCGAGGGTGAGCAAGAGTCTGGCTCGAAGCCATTGCAGGCTTGTCTGCAGAAGTACAAGCCTTTGCTTGGCCCCATCGATACCATTCTGGTGTGTAACTCATACTGGCTCGGCGAGCGGCAGCCATGTCTCACGATCGGTCTGCGCGGCGTGATCCAGGCCATCATCCGCATCAGCGGTCTACGTGCTGACCAACACTCGGGTGTCGATGGAGGAGCTGAACGGGAGCCCATGATGGACATGATCAAACTCCTTGCATCTCTCCTAGACGATCAGGGCCGCGTCACACTCCCACACTTTTACGATGACGTGCGTGCCATCACGTCTGATGATCGTGCGCATCTGACAGCTCTCGCGCAGGAAGCTTCTCGGATTACGCATGCAGAACGCCTCATTGCTTTGTGGCGCATGCCTTCTCTTACTGTGCACCAGGTTACAAATAGCAGCACGGCTCACTCGACTGTGATCCCCAAGGCCGTTGAGGCCTCCGTGAGTCTGCGTATCGTGCCGGATCAGAATCTCCAAGCCATTCAGACGCAGTTCCATCGTACCATTCACTCGCATTTCCAGCACATGCACACGCCGAACCGTGTAGATGTTGAAGTGTTCCACTGTGCTGACTGGTGGCTTGGATCCACTGTCGGTCCTGCTTGGGACGCCCTTGTTGCAGCTGTCGAGGCGGAATGGGGCTCCCAAGTTCGCATCATCCGAGAAGGTGGTTCCATCCCAGGCATGGCCTTGCTTGAGAAGGAGCTTAATGCAAAAGCTTTGCATTTGCCCATGGGTCAGGCCTCTGATCATGCGCATCTGCCAAACGAGCGGATTCGGCTTGTCAATCTCGAAAAGGGCCAAGCTGTCGTGCGTCGGTTTTTTGTTGCTCTTGGCACCGTGTAGCATCAAAGATCAACGCTGACGTGCCAAGAAGTCTAGGGTAATATCTTATTGTGACATCGACTGCTGCTTTGGGCTGCCGCGTGTACATCAGCTCTAGCTCTCGCTTGCTTGCATTTTTTTTTTTTGAATGTGCCCTCTTGACCCCACCCAAGTTTCGTGTCTATCTACGTTTTCCTGCTGTATGATACCTGTACCGCACGCAGGTCCATGTCCCTTCGAAGCGTATCATGAACTACCCTGCATGATTCTGAGTCCTACACGGGCTCATACCCATAGCGTCCTGTGGCCATATTGCCACCCACGGACGTGCTACCTTGCCATGTTCGCGAGACATGACGCCAAAAATCACTTGCAACGTATGGCAGTTCGCGCCACATATCACGATGGGGAAGCAGGTCCCAGCCTGTCGCTCCATATTGATGGTGGTTGTACCACATACCCACACCGAGGTACATCAAGGCAACAAAGATCATACTGTGTGTTTGTGAGCCAACCGAAAAAAAAAAGAGTCCAACTCGCTGCTATCCATACGTACAACCACCATAGCGAGAAGTAACCGGTACGACGTTGTTTCTGAGCTGGTTTACGTCGGGCGTTGAAACACGCTTGTGGTGTATTCCATTGCAGTTGAAGTTCGCCAGCGTCCGGATCATACGCTTTTATCTCCAACTGCGAATAAGCGCCACACAGCACCCGCAGGTACATCGTCTGCTCTCTCTCAGCCCATACGCGACCCTGGAATTGCAATTCAACGTCTGATATAAGCGATCATCTACGCACCGAGTGTCTCATCCGGATTCGATGCTGTGTCTAGTAGCCGAAGTCCCTCGCCTGTCCCTGCTACCGGCACCACTTGCACAATCTGGTCCTGCTTGCCTCGCCGACTCGTAACTGTCATGCATGCATTCGTCGGGTATGGGCACTGATCCTCTTTATCCAACTGTTTCAACTGAGGCAGTGGCTTGCACAAGTCCATTGTTACATTGGAAATTGTCGTCGACGGTGGCGTCGCTCGTGACCAGCCTGCAGTGATGGGGCCTTTCTCGAATTCAGGGCTCAGGTCCAAGACATGCGCGCCAGAATTCACCATGATCTTATCACATGCAAACTGCGACGCGTGCACTGGCCGCATCCATACCATGAGCCACCACGCCACAGCAACCACTGCCCACGACATGCTCACGATCTCGTGTTGCAGAGTGAATGTGTCGATCGGGAAATGGCAGCGGCGATCGATCGGGCCTTGATATGTGTTGCGTGTTTTCTCCAAATCAACAGGCGTCTCGTTCTATGTCTCAAATACACACTGAATAGAATATAGATGCTTAGAGAAAGTATGCATGCATGAACAAAGAGGCACCAGGGGCAAGAACATGTCGATGTGACGGCTACCAATGTAGTCCTTGCGCGCGGTCAATCTCTTGCTCTTGTCACGTCGCATTGGTCTGTTGCATCGGGAGGGGCGGGGTCTTCCTTGCCCACGTTCCTGGCGCATCAGTTCTCTGGAATGCGGAAAAATGTGATCTCTTGCTGCTTAAAGTAGCGACGGTTCTCTTCATCAATGAGTACGAGGTTTAGGTAGTAGCGTGCACTAAACTTTTTATTCACATCTCGAAATGTGGGCGTAAGGTCAAAGCCTCCAAGAAACAGGCGGATCGGAATTGTTTCTCCGCGCACAGGCGCACCGTCCATGATCTCAAACTTGGTAATAGTTTCCGACTCATTGTACTGGTTTTGTCCCGAGCCCGTCGTTTCGCGACGAATGATCGATAGCTCCATGTGCTTGATTTTGATACGCACCAGGAGGAAGTAGATCTTGCCCACAATCACGTCTTTCAGGTGGTATTTTGATTTGTTGTACTCAAACTCAATGTGCAGACAGTCTTCAATGCCAACCTCCATCTTGATCGCATTGTTCGAGTCAGATGGTGGTCGGAATGAGTGCACCCAGACGTCGCGTTCCCGCACGAGATCAGAGATGCGTCGGTGAATGGTCAAACGAAGGAAGTACCGCAGCTTCACGTTAATCCCTTGGTAGCTTTCGTATTGCTTTTCGACATTTTTGAACTCAAACGGCAGCATTTCCGTGTCACGTATGTCTCCTGGCGCCGCCAGCTCCTGCATGAGCGACAGAAATTCATAATGATTCCCCCGATCATAGAACAGCTCTGCCCAATGTTAGTCTCATCACATCCTGTATTTCAATCTTGCATACCTATACATCCAATTAACTCGATTTTGATCCCGTCATGCTGCAACCGTTTTGAATTCCGAGGTTGGATCACCACCTGTAGCATCAAGTTAGCCAATCCTGCCGAGTTTCTTTTCCTCTCTCCTCTTCTCTTAGACACGCACTGTTCCCTGTAGTGTTTCACCGTCATAGTACACTGGGTATGTCTCTTTGGAAGAAGTATTCGTCTTCACATCCACTGTTTTACGTTCGTGCTCATCATTCAGCCGGATATCGATGTCGATAGGTGACGCAAAGCTAAACAGCGACGTCATATCAGACGCGTGTCTCAGCCAGTCGTCTCTCTCACCGACGTTCTATCTGTTGCGGTTCAACTTGATCCAGCTGGGGACGAGACGCCGCCTAAGTGTTGAGACCCATCCCAAATCAATCCATGCACTTCCACACACACGCATAACGCCCCAATGCCACACACACACGACGCAACCACACCTTTCCATGCCACCAATCACTTAAAACCTCGACTAGGGCTTGTTTTTTCTGTTCTCCACAGACTCGAGTCCTGAATCCAAGGGAATATTGACCAAGAAATAATTCCAAGAACAAATAGCAGGGTCCATCATGCCAATAAAGTATCTGGGTCCGAAATCCTACATTTGTGCGCTCCAGCCCATTCTACTCAAAGTCTGCTTGTAATTTCAAGATAGATGCTGCACTATGCGTGGTCATGTGTCGCCTATTTGTTGTAGCCAAAGACTTTAACTGTTTGATCTTGATACGTTGCTTCTCACGATGTCCCCATATAAAAACGTAGGATGCATTAGGTCCATTCGCCCCAAAGCATACTTGGTTGTAGCACCAATCCTTCGTATCACATTTTCCATGCCATCGCACTGAGTGACAGTCTAACGAAGCCAACATGCAGTAGATAGATATTCATGGGCTAGCTATGGTACAGAATCCCACTGACTATCGAGAAGGTCGCATTCAGCCAGATCCGGGAGCAGGAAGAAAGGGGAAGAAGAATCAAAGGATCTTGAAACAGAATGTTTAGCGGCCACCGCGGAAACTGCCACGGCCCCGTGGTGCGCCGCGACCACGCGCACCACCAAAGCCACCACCCCCGCGACCACCGCGACCGCCGCCAAAGCCACCGCGACCACCACCACGACCGCCGAAGCCGCCGCCGCCACGACCGCCACGACCACCACCGCGGCCACCACCAGCAGCACCACCGCCACGTGCACCTCCGCGCTTCTTTGCCCCTTTCACGACCACCTTTGGCTTCGGCAAGAATCGCTCAATAGGCAGCTTGCGGTCATCTGAAATGTACACGATATCGTCGGCTTTGAATGATGTCGCTACTACACCAGGTTCCGTCTTGACAGTAAAGTAAACCTCATTGATGGGCCCTAAAATCTCATCGACTTTCCCAATTTGAGACTTGTTCTCAAGGAAAATGGGTGCATTAAAGTACGGTACATGCTTTTCATCTGTGCTCGAGCAGAACATTTCGCCCTCAACGGCATGCACAAATTTTCCAAAAGGAACAACACTTGCTGGCGGGCCTGTATTCATCATACCACCACGACCGCCACGACCACTAAAGCCGCCACCACGGCCACCGCCACGTCCGCCTCGATACATGTTATTGCTACTTGTTGCACAGGCGACAGACGTCCCAACGTGAAGTCTCGAAGCGCAAGAAAAAACGATCAGCTGCCGACTCGCCGACTCGCACCCGCCTAATGTGCTATCACGTGATACTTTCATGAAAGCAGTCGTCGACGCCAGTCATTCGTACGTACGTCAGACGCCACGATAGGTAGGACTCCGACGTCCTGCATTACGTTAAGGGTATAACCGTGAGACAGGGTCATTGCGACACAGCTGCATTTTCATGATAGAAAAAGAAGATCAAGAATGTCAAAGGGTAACCTATTTGGTAGGAGCACGGCTCTCTGCGAGGGTTTTGCGAAGTTCCTCACCCATGGCAATGTACTCATCAAGGACTTCTGGGTTCATCAGTGTCGACTTGTTGATAGTGCTAATGGGCGCGCCGTTGATAACTGCATGTGTTAGTCAAAGACGATTACAGAAAAAAATGAAGATAGGATAAACGTACGTTTCTTCACAGGCACTTCGACACGCTTTCCATTCAGAGTTTTTGGGCAGCCTTTTACGCGGCGCACAAATGTAGGGACGTGTCGAGCGCTGCGTTGCTTGCGAATCAAGCTTTTCGACCCGGCGGCAATTGACTCCCATTCAGCGTCCGATGTGTCTTCGGGCACAACGAGGAATAAGACTACGACTTCATCGTCCTTGGCAGGTGTCTTGAGAGCGACGACCAATGAGTCGCTGATCTTCGAGAGTGGTGACGTCGCAACTGTGGCTTCCGAGCTTTCCAACACTTCGTAAATGTCTGCACTACCAAAACGGATGCCACTGGGGTTCAGCACGCCATCTGAACGGCCCAACATGATCAGACCACCGTGCTTTGAGCGCATCACTAGGTCACCATGATACCATACGCCAGGGAACTGTGTGTAGTAGCTGTCCTTGTATCGCTCATTGGGTTGGTGCCAGAACCCAATTGGTTGCACGGGGAAAGGCTTCTTGCACACGAGATCGCCCTCGACCATGTCTGGTGCCGAGTGACCCGAGTCGTCAAACACGTCCACGTCCATGCCAAGGCCCAAACACTGCAGCTCACCTGCACGCACAGGTAAAGCCTCGTTGTGTGTGCCAAAGAGCGAGCAAATGTCCGTACCACCTGTAATGCTGCCCACTTGGACGGGATGGCCCACAAGCTTTTCAGCATAAGGATACAGTTCAGCACGGAGCGGCGAGCCAGTCGACAGAATCATGCGAACCTTGATACGGTCATAGAGTTCCGTAGGAACGAAGCCACGGCGCTCCATGATCGAAAGGTACGCGGCGGATGTGCCAAACACGGTGACGCCCTCTCTTGCTGCTAGCTCCCACAGCACCTCCGTTGGATGCACGGGCGAGCCGTCGTACAGAACCACTGGACAACCGCTCAAGAGAGCACCAACGAGCCAATTCCACATCATCCAGCCAGTCGACGAGTGCTGGAAGAATACGTCTTCGCGCTTCAGGCCACCATGCAAGAGGTGCTCTTTGCCGAACTGCAGCAGCATACCACCAGCACGGTGCGTGATGGCTTTGGGGCTTCCCGTCGTACCGGAAGAAAATAAGATCCAGAGCGGATGATTGAAGTCGAGCTGCTCGAACTCAAATTTTTCGTCGCTTGCACCATCGTTCAAAAAGTCGCTCCAAAGATGCCGCTTCAATCCCTGTGCATCAGACATGCCCTCTACGCCGTTCGGGCGCGCATCTGATTCAGGGTGGGTGCCCATGTAAGGTGCGATAATGACGTGTTCGAGCCTCGATGCCGTCGCCGCAACTTCGAGACGAGCGCGCTTCTTGGCCTGTGGCTCATCTGTCGCTTCCTGAGTGTCCTGGCCATCACTCGCTTTCTTCGCCTCGTGCGCCTGCATGTCCTTCTGTTCCTTCTCTTGTATCGCCAACAAGCCGTCAATAGTTGCGTTCAGCTTGCCAAGGTGGTCGTGGAGTTTGCCATTGTAGAGGACCTGGTTCGTGCTGAAGAGAACCCGCGGGCGCACCGTCGTGAGTCGCTCAAGTACACCAGAAGTACCAAAGTCTGGAGCGACACTTGTCCATACTGCTCCAACGGCACTGCACGCTAAGAAAGCCACCAGGTTCTCCAGTGTGTTGCCAGAATAGCTTGCGACGGTGTCGCCAGGAACGATGCCCAACTTGCGCAACGCACGCGCCGCTTGAGTGACCTGCTTGCGAAGCTCTGCATACGTGGTGCGGCACGTATCTTGCGCACGTTCTGTACACGCAATCACGGCAACATCATCGTCTTGGCCATGGTGCAGGATGTTTTCAGCAAAGTTCAGACGTGCACCAACAAACCATTCAGCAGGTGGGAACATCGGCGCCTGGTCCATGATGACTTGCGCAGCATCAGCACTTGCTATAACGTTTATCTCATCCCACACGGCACGCCAGAACTTGCCAACCTCCGAGACACTCCATTTATGCAGATCTTCGTACGTGCTCAACTGCACGTCATGCTCCCTGCAGATCCGTTCGCGAAACGCATCCATGCGCTTCTTCCCCTCAGGCGGCGTCCATACGACGCGTCCCTGCAAAGGCTCTGATTCCGCTGCTGCCATTCACACTCACAAACAACACCAATGTGGCCTGACTTGAGTCGGAAGGCACACAATTAGCCAGCTTCTCGTGCCTGCCACACAGCCAATACGACGCCGGACCCTTGTGTCGCCTGGGGAAACCACGTGATGTGTCTTCGAGCGCGGGGCAAATCGAAATCCCGTGTGGCAGGTGGCTCGGCGCAGCGCTGTTGGCAGAACGCGTAAGTTCTGGCAGCCTATCAAGTCAGATCTACGAAGGCAAAAAAAGGTTAGCAGGCAGTGTGAGTCAAATTGGCGCGCACACTGAGATACAAGTTTTAGCACATCGCATTCCACTGGCGGTTTAGCTGGTTACTACCACTGGTTGGAGGCAGCGATCAAACGTGTGGTGTTCGTGGCAAAAATTTTCTTCACTCCGACTTCAGCCCCTAGTGCTGTGCTGAATTGATCGAGTGAAGTGTCTGCTATTTATACGCATTGAGCGATCGAGACACGCTCCTTGGATCGGGGGCTTTACTGTACCATATGCCAAGTTCGAGGAATGACCTATTTTTTCGCGAGGGCATTAACCCTGTCCCTCCTATACCTAAGCCACCGCGTCTTGAGCGACCGAACGATTCACCACGGTCTTCCCTTAAGCCAGAGACATTACCAAAACCTGCTCGTGGACATGTGAAGAGGCCTTCATTCGGCCGCATGTCTCTCGAGGAGCGCAAGTCTGAGGAGCGCCTCATTCGCGCAGGCAAAGCCAAGATCGATATTCGACTGATTCTTGAAAAACCTTTCAAACTTGGCGAAGGCCGGAACTCGGAAGTGTACCTAGGCGCGTACCGCGACCTGTTACACGACTACGGGGAGCCAGCAATGTTGGTGCACTGCCCAGGACAGCCTCCAGGATTTGTGTCTTGGGAGCTGTGCGCTGTCAAACGCGTACAAGCTGACCGCGAGTCACAACTCGCCGGCTTGGAGGAAGCTTTTGCTCTTCGCCACTTGGGACACCATCCACACATAGTCCGACTTATCACTGTACTGGACGAAATGGGAATTCGGCAAGATCAGCCGTCTGACTTTCTGCGAATTCACAAAGATGATCCTCCACGTCTGCTCATTATTCTTGAGTATTTACCATTCTCCCTTGCGCAATATGTGCGTATGCACCCTTTTTCCGTCGACCTGCGCCAATGGCTCGAGTGGGCTACGCAGTTGACCAGCACTATCGACTGGCTGCATACTCGTGGCTGTGTACACGGTGATATTAAGAAGGAGAACGTGCTTTTATCTCACGACTTATCCGTGAAGTTATGTGACTTCTCGTCTGTTCTGTTCTCCAATGCGGCCGTGCCTGCGACGGACGTTTATTCAGTCGGTACACCTGCATTCCGTGCGCCTGAACTATTTTCTCTGTCGTCATGGTCCCCGTCAGAAGAGCATGGCTGTGCTCATCCGGCACTCTCTTTCACACTGGACATTTTCAGTCTTGGCGTGCTTCTGTATTCGCTCGCTTCCGGCGTCGATCCAAGTCATCGTGTGAAAAGTGTGATCGCTATGCGGCAGCGGCAAAACCATTTTTTCATCAGTGAAGAAGATGATCGCATGGAACGAATGTCTTTCCAAGAAAGTTTGCCTTCATCACGATCCACAGACATTCATCGGTCCCTTGCAAGTCCCTCCGGCAGGTCATCAGCAGCATCAGATGTCAGCTCATCTCATTTCATGATCAATGAATCGGTCCTCGATCGTCTCCTCGACCCATTGCCGCTTCCCCACGGCATTATATCACAGCCGTCTTCAGCGACTTCTTCGCTATCAGTCCCGATGATGACTCGCGCCATTTCGTACTCGGGTACGCCGAAGCAGGATTCTAGCTCATTGAATCGTTGCGTTTCGTTATCAGCAACATCTGGCGCAGATCGATCCTCCCGTCGCTCCGTCTCGTTGTCGAAACGCGCAGAAATAGCCGGTCGCCCTCGCCCCACGTCTCTTGGACATGGGCTTCCAGCTGATACATCCGCAACGTGTAACCCTTTAGATGCCACGGACATGAGAGGTACTCCGATGATGCCTTCGCCGCAAGTACATATTGACACTGGTAATGATGTTGATCATTCATGTGCGTCGGAGCCGATTGACACTCGTCCTTACTCTGACGGCGCTCCAGCCCTCATTTTACCAGGCGGAGACCGTTTTCCTGACAAGCTACGTGATCTAGTACGAGTGATGGTGTCTCCGAATCCTGAGGATCGTCCATCAGCATCTCAAGTCCTTGCAACACTTAACAATTATCACATGGTATGAGTGCCTTTCCCTCCTGGCCTCTATCTCACATCCCTTTGGCTCACGCCCTTTTTTAGGTCTACTCTTCCTCCCCCTTTACTAGCACCCTTGTAGTATAATCTCGCTTGTACGTTTTTCTTTTCCCATACAGGTCTTCAAAATCTTCTCGATGGAGAGCGTTGTAATTCCAGGGTAGATAAGCGTTGCTTCAGTGGCTATGACCATCTCAGGCGTTGGCCAGAATGAGTGCACGTGACCCATCGCTCCCTCATCGGCGACAAAGACGCAGGCGTCGTACGTGCGTGGACGTCGACGACTTCTTCGGACGCCTACAGGTCTGCGCGACATCGATCCATATCTCTGAGCTTGGTCTCTCTTTGTCGGCATGTACTTATTGGGAACGTACTTGCCAGACCACAAGCTTGTTCGCGTACGTAGTATGAAATGTGTCTGGGCATATCACTAACCATGGGCCAGATTGCGCTGACGAACTTTTATGGCATTTCCTATGACACAGCACGGCGGCTCTGTGCACGAATCCAAGTCCATGAACGTGCTACAGTCTCGTCTTTGACCGAATCGCAGATCACGGATCTGTCTGCGTACCTTTCATCGCCCGGCATGATACCTGCAGCTTCCCCTACGCCGACGCGTGCTAGTTTGCATGGCAGCACCCCCAAGCCTCCGATGCCTGAAAACCCAGCCGAACTCCCACCATCGCAGCGTCCCAAGGCATCAATGGATCCATTGCGATCTATTGTCTTAGAAAGCGACTTGCGTCGTGAAGTTCTTGCGAACATCGCACATCACCGCTCTATTGGCTCCTATGTCGGCAAGCGACATGCGGGCGGTTTCCCTGTGCGCGGTCAAAGAACACAGCGCAATGCGCTGACTGCTCGACGGCTGAATCGGTTAGAGCGACGGCAATATTCCACCACCTCACCCTCTGCCACACTTTTCGATATACTACATCCTCTAGCACGTGCACGCTTTTACTCGTAGAAGCCAATACATTGTGTAAGACGAGAAATAGGGAGAAAGAGAGGTTGGAGCTGAAACAAGATTTGACAATTTCAGCAAGTGCGAGCCGCAAATGCATAGAGTATTGATGTGTGTTTCGATAGATAGATACATATGCTACAAGTCCGTGTGGGGTTGATTTAAAACAAGTCCTGTACATGTGTGAGAATAAACGGTTTAATTCGCTGCCGTATACGTACACCTAACGTCAGCTGCTTTGCCACGTCCGTATTGTTAACCATGTCGAGGAACTCGTAAAAGTCAATTTTTCCATCGCCATTCTTATCCGCCTCCATAATCGTCTTATCGACGATTTGCTGCAGCTGTTGATCTTTCAAATTGCCACCCACCATCATCTTCAACACGATGAAAAGTTCGCCATTTGAAATGTACCCATCACGATCCATATCATACACTTTAAACACAACTGTATGTCAGATAATAGGTTATGTACGTACACTGAAGTTTCTCTTCTTGACTTCCTCTGCTTGTGAAAACGCTCAATGCATGCACGAACTCTTGGAAATCCACGGACCCGCCGCCATCTGCATCAAAAATCGCAATTAATCGTTGTGCGAGAGGGTTGTTCGCAATTGCGGGGATCTGCAGGAACTCTTCGCGGTCAATCGAGCCTGATCCATCGCGGTCCAACTTTAAAAACCTCTTTTTTAGGCGCTGGATCTCCTGTGATGAAAAATGGGTATTCCTCTCGATATCATCGAGCAACTGGGATCCTTGTTGCCCCATCGTGTGTCGTTTCGTAGCAGCAAGTCTAGAGTTATTTGTCAGCGCACTTGCTGTGCAGTTGGCTCTGCCAACTTCTGTACTTAGGTCGCCCATCCACAGCCTCGACTACGGCTGATCACGTGGCCGATCAGAGTGTGAGTGTGTGCGCTGACGACGCCGCCGATCGCTGACGAACGTCGCGCGTCTCGATTCCATTCGATTCCGAACGTGCTTCGATGATGGCGGCTATAGACGGAGTGGACATCGCACAATTGAAGAAGGGCGAGGTCGATCTTGGCGTACGTGACTCTAGCGCGCTTTCGATCGCGCTCACACTTACAGACATCAATTATGGCTGTGGCTTTCGACGGTGGTGTGGTAATTGGCGCAGATTCACGAACGACCATGGGGCCGTACATTGTGCGTAGCTACGGACATACATGATATACTCACATTCAACTACACTAGGCTAATCGTGTCACGGACAAGCTGACGCATCTATCTGACCGGATCTACTGCTGTCGATCTGGTTCAGCGGCTGATACACAAGCACTTGCTGATGTCGTAACATACCACTTGCAACTGTACAGCGTGATGCAAGAACAACAGCCACCGACCGCCGTTGCTGCGAATCTTTTTCAAGAGCTCATATACCAGAATAAGGACCGTCTTACTGCCGGCATCATAGTCGCTGGATGGGACAAATTCCATGGCGGTCGTGTGTTCAACGTGCCTCTTGGTGGTGGTGTCTTTGAGCAGCCCTGGGCTATTGGTGGTTCAGGCTCGGCATATATCTATGGATACTGCGACTCGACATGGCGCGAAGGTTGGAACCAAGAGCAAACCCTCGAGTTTGTAAGAAATGGTATGTACGAATGAGCCTATCCCAGTGCTAACACTTTTTCTTATCGTACACTTTCAGCTCTGAGTCTCGCGATGCGCCGCGATGGTTCCTCAGGTGGCACAATCCGCCTTGCTGTAATTACAGAGAATGGTGTCGAGCGCCACTTTGTGCCTGGCGACAAGCTGCCTATGCTCGCGAGTAGGGATGTATAGTGCTATGCATAAATTGAGCCTCTAAAAGTACGCATTAATGTCATACGCCTCACCCGGTTTCGGTACTGATTTTTTGGGTTTCGGCGCCGCCTTTGGCTTTGATGGCGGCTTAGACGATCGCTTCGAAATCGTTGTAGCCCTTGGCTTGTCAGACTTTTGCACCTTGGCCAAACGCTGCTTCGTTGGCGGACTTTGTGAAAGCTCGTCATCCTCTAGTCTAGTTTCGTCCTCGACTTCTTCCTCTTCCTCTTCCTCTTCTTCGTCATCGTCATCATCATCGTCATCGTCATCGTCATCGTCGTCATCATCTATATCCTCATCTTCTGCCACGTCTTTCATCATTTCGTCGTCGTAGTCATCACCATCACTGGCTTCATCTCCGTCTTCATCGTCTTCATACACAGGAACATCCTCGTTTTGATCACTTTCATCTTCGTCCTCAAGTATTGGACCAAAGACTAGCATGCTAGATCCGTACGGAGCACATGGCATAGGAAGGAGGCGTAACTCTCGAGACTTCCATGTTTTGCGCCATTCTTTTCGGGGAGCCACGATCTTCATTCGTTCAACCAGACCTGCAGCCGTATGCCATTGGTGCTTGGCGTCTTCAGAACCATGGGATAGCACACCTTTTGCTCGCTCTGCAGGCACTGCATAGTATCCTAAGGCAGCATGTGACCAGTCTCGAAGTACAATACGCGCGGCACTCAAGATATCTGGGATGCCATGCCGCTTCAAGCGGCCAACAGAACGTGCTACACCAATAAGGAATTCTTCTGTGTCAGCTAGGGCCTTCTCATTGCTTTGTCGCCGTTGCTCACGGACAACGTCCTCCAGCGGTGCATCGTCCGCAAGTGATGCATGTCCAGGGACAAACGAGCCGAATGCGGGCGTTCCATACACAAGCATAAGATCGAAAGGATGTGCCACTCGAGGAAGCAGTGTTTTAACGAGAGCGATAGGGTCTTTGAATCTCTGAACTTGGCCCTTGTTGCGCATTAGCATCCACATGTTCTTCGCTTCAGTGCGCTCGCATCGCTCCTGCTCAGTTGCCATTTGTTCACTTTCATCCTCGTCGTCGTCGTCGTCGTCATTCTCGTCGTCCTTATCAATGCCGCTGCGAGGCACCGAGTCAAGTGGTGACATGAGCATGGGCGAATCAAACACCTGTAGATCCTTATGCATTGCTTGGAATGCGCCTTGCAATGCAGTTGCAACTGAGGTCTTACCAACATTTTCGAAACCAGCCACAACGATGTCTCCCTTTTTCTGCTTCAGAGCAATGTGGGATGCGAACGCATCAACGCCTGGGTGGTCTTTCACAGCTTCAGGGAGGACACTCAGGGGAAAGGCAGCGTAGCCTCGCTGCATAAAGTGATAAACCCAACCTGTAAGCACTTCTGCAGGTACAAGATCCGACTTTGATAGAGCATATACCAAACGAAGTGAGCTTTTCTTTTCTTTAAGCACATTCTCCAACCATGTACTGCGAAAACTTGACGGATCGCGGGCATCAACAACACAGACAAGCGTTTTAACGGTTTCTGGATTTTCGATAAGGTCCTGGAGTGAACGACGGAACTGAGGTGCATATGGCAGCTCAATTGGCTCTTCATCCTGTGAGTTAGGCTCTGGTACGTCGCCTTCCATGTCATCGTTGTCACGTTCGACCATTTCTGTTTCGCTCAGATCATCGTCATCAATATCTTCTCCAGACGCAGCTTTCATACGTGCTTCTTTCGAGGCCAATTTCTGCTCCTCCTGAATACGCCTGTTTTGTTCAATTTCATTCATGAGCTCCTCTTTGTATGGGAATGAATTCGGGATGCCTGGATCCTGTTTTCTTCGCGATTTCCACTGCGGATTCCTTTTTGCATCTCTTCTTTGTCTTCTATGGTGTTCTCGCACTTTTTTGAGGATCTTTTCACGCTGCTTGACGGGCAGGCGCTTGGACGTACGCTTCTTGACACGCACCATGTTGTCGAGGCGCAAGTATGCAACAAAAAAAAGATTGGGATTTTCTTTTTTGTCGTTGGCCCCTTATGGCCGTGGAGGGCGGCCTACATATTATTCTTGACAGATCCACGTGGTTCATTTGTCTGTGCGCCCATGTATAGCCTTCATGGCCTCGTCAACGTAGTGGGGGCATCGTACGGGCGATATGTGGCGCTGTCTGTGTACTGGGCTGAAGAATGGCATGTATATGTAGCGTTTGATGCACCTGAGCATTCCGCCAATATTTGCTGGTGGGGCCGTCCCGTTTCATGGTCAGACGTGGAGAAACAGTGCGACTCGGCAAGTCCTAGGGATGTGTGTGAGGCGTGGGAGTCGCGAGCATTGCGTGTGGACCTCGTAGATTATGACACTCCTGATGAGCTGGAGGAAGAAGATGTCAGAAATCAAGAAATCGAGGCACCATGTCATGCTCACATGCCTTTTGAACCATGTGTATTGACAATATATGTTGGTCGATCCAGGCCTATTAGTTTGGAACTCCCGCCCTGTTCAGATGCGGCAGTCGTGCGTGGGTGTGTGAGTGCACTATCTGAGGTATGTAAGCATATGTCTCATTAATGTTGCAGCTATCCATACAATGCACAACGCTTCGAGACCAATTGGATACACAAAAGCAAGCCTCTGAGCAGGCCCTTGCTCAGTTGCAAGCAGAATTAGACAGAGAGCGCATCAAATATCGAGAGGTATGTATACAAGCTTGCATGGAATTATGCTTCTTTTGAAGGAAAAAAAAAAAAAAAAGAGAAAGATCACTGAGACATACAACAGCTTCTTGCAGCTGATCGGCCAACGTGTGCCGCGTATGCATCAAAATCACTTGTACATCCAGGACGAATCCGGAGGCAGACAGAGCTTGGTGGCTTTGAGGGAGATCCTCCTACTCTGTAGCGGACCGGTTTTGTGATCGCAACTGTTCTAGCTCTGTCTCAAGCTCGTCCTCACGGAAAATTCGCGACTCGACAAGAGACTCGAGTTCTGCCAAGTCCTTTGTGAAGCGCGAATGCTGCTCAGCCTTTTCATGCTCGAGTTGCGCGATTCGCGCTTCTAATGCCTGGATGACGTCAGAGTCCATCGTGTGGTCATTTGGATCGGTTGACAGCCGTGGTGTTACAGGAGTTTCACGCATCGACTCAAGCTCAGCGCGATCACGTTCCCAGGCAAGTCGGCATTCCTGTAGCGCAAGCTCCGCTTGGCTTGCACGCGTTTCTGCCTCCCGAACAGCTTCCTCAAATCTGGCAGCATGGTCTTTTGCTTCTTGGACAGTCTCTTCGAGCCTCTGCACAGCTGCAGCGTGTGCAGCTCTTTCGGTATCACGTAGTTGGTGAATAGCATGTGCCTCTTCCTCCAAAGTCACGACTCTTGTTTGCAGATGTGCGAGCTGCTCCTGCAAACTCGCCCGATCGATATCTGTGGCAGAGTCATCTTTGGATGGGGGTGATAAAGATGCTGAAGATGTGATGGCTGAGGTAGTCGATGTCGCCGCGGCAGCAGCAGCTTCAGCTACCGCAGATTCTCGTGCCTCGAGAGTACGAATTTGCAAGTGAAGATGCTCTTTTTCACGTGCAGACTCGGCAAGCTGCTGTTCAAACACAAGAATAGTTTCATTGCCAGCGCGCTGCAGCTCTGAAATTTTGTCTGTCAGGTCAGAGCGCTCGCGATTCCAGCCGGCCATCATAGTCTCGACTTTTGTGTGAAGAGAAGTGAGCTCGTGTTGCATTGTGACATCGGTGGAATCTGAGGCTTCTTTAGGAGGATGCTCCGCACGAAGCTGAATTGCGGCAAGCGCCGTCTCAAGGTCGACTATGCGGTCTGTGTGCTCCTGCGCCTTGCGTTCCAATGCATCGTGCGCGTCAGCAGCAGCCGTTGCCGTGTCAAGAGCCTCATTGAGCTGCCGCTGCAATTCTAGTGCTCGTGTCTCGAATACCTGTCGTCGACGGACCTCGTCTTCAAGCTCGAGCCGCCTTGTGGCCTCTAGCTCATTCTCTCGCTGCTTGGCTGCGAGCATAAGGCTAGCGCGCTCCTCTTCCCAAAGTGTACATGAGCGCCGGACCTCTGCCAGCTCGTCACACAGGCGCTCGTACTCGGCCATAGGCACAGCATGATCCGCCTCCATATCGGTGATAGCCTCGTTCGCTGAAGGAAGTGCCAGCTGTTCTAATAACGTTTCTCGCGTGTTTTTCGACGGAGCAGGTGATGGCTGTATAGGATCATCATCAAAGACAAAGCTATCGTCCTGCCTTGTTGTTGGGCGTGCGCGTATCGTTGCAGTTGAAGATGCTGGCCGGCGTGGTGCCGACAAGCTCCGTTGGGGTGTTGTAGTCGCAGCGCCATGGAGACGGTGTTGGGGTGTAGATCGAATAGGCGGTACGACACTTTTGCGTGGTCCAGCGCGTGGAACGGACGAGGGGACAGGCACACCACTCGTGCGTCGCTGCTGCTTTAGGTGATGCGATGTCGATGATGACGATATTGATAGAGGTCGTGATGGCGTGGGTAATGAAGGGAGATGGGCGGAATGGGGCGTCGAAGGCGGCGCTGTGTCTGAAGGGGCGTCCGCACGACTAGAACGCCCCGACATGGCCGAGAGTGGACGTGCCGTGGCACTAGTGGGCCGGGTCGTACTTAGAGAAATCAACCTACTGCTGGGTCCAAATACTCCATTCTTTGGCTCCGTGGCAAAGTATTGGCGACCATCAATGCTACCGTCGTTTTTGCCTCGCCCATACGACGAGCCAGTGAGCTCAAGTCCTGCATAGTGCCCATCGCGGCCATGCACGGGCCCCAAGTATCGTAGAACACCTACGAGACCTGACCCTTCAAGTTTCACAAGGTCGCCGATTTCATACGCACGCTCGCGTCGAGATGCTGGTGTTGTAGCACCTGCGCGGGATGGCGTTCGTGAGCTTGGTGGATGTGTTCTTGCGGGCGTGACGTAAGCGGACGCGTTATGACGCACCGGCGTAGACATTGTACGTTCCAGGGACATGGAATCCGTCGTGCACGCTGTACGCGACGCAGGATATCGGGTCGCGTCGTAATCAAGCGAATCGTGCGACGTAGCTTGCGGTCCAACAGCGACTTTGTCTGAGTACGGCACCTGCGGTGTTGGATCGACCGACGTCGACGAATCACGGACGTGTGTAGTGAATGGAGGCGTGCGAGTAGGGCCCAAATGGGCGACGATCGATCACGCCCCCTGGCTGGGCGTCTCCCACACGAGGCCGGTGGGGGGGGGGGGGAAGGGGCATACTTCACGTGACTGCGTGTTGTTGCACGCGTGGGAGGAACACGCACTCAACACGACCTTCACGGCGGAAGGGGGAGAGAAGTGGGACAGGGCGCTAGCAAAAAGCAGCGGAGGAGCGAAACGAGACTTGAGACCAGAACGATCCGGTAGCGGGTCAGTGTGCTACGGAACGTCGTCGCGCGTCATGGCGTCGGAGGCAAAAACATTTGGAAGTGCGGCCGAAGAGGCTCGGCACTGGAAAGCACAAGTCGACGAGATGCGCGCTGCGTTGCATGAGGCTGAAACCGGCCTACAGGAATTCATGGAAAGTAGTAAGGAACTCGAGGCGGAGATGGAAGCTGATATGGCCGCGACCAGTCAGCGCGCAGATGCACTGCAGACAGAAAATGAGCATTTGCGTGCTGACGTGGATGAGTGGCGGACCAAGTATCAGAAGTCGCTCGCCGAGCACAATGTGATGCTCTCGGAACTGCAGCGGGAACTGACAAAGCTGCGTGAGACGCATGACGTGTACAAAACGCGTCTTCGTGACATGGAGGTCGACAATGACACACTTGAAAATGCAGAGAGGTATGTGAGGGACGAGATCAAGAGAGCTGTGTTGCTTACCGGCAGAATGATCAACTCGTCGCTTCAGGACATGGAGATGCGATATCACCACGCCATGGAACGTACGGCGCTGCTTGAAACAGAGCTCGAAGAAAAATCACGTCTTGAGGTCGAAAATCAAAGACTCAAGGATGAGCTGCGGGAACTACGTGAAGAGCTGGCCGTCACACAGCAGACGTCACCGATGGCTCTTTCTCATGCAGCACATTCGCCCTCTATCACTTCCATTTCGTCCGCACCACGACCCGATCAAGGCGAACTCACACTCAGTGACCTTGTCGTCAAGCCCTCATCTAGATCAAGTGAGCACGATATCAGCTCATCGGGCACTGCGCCTCCCGACCGTACTGCACCAGCCAACACGCTGGAGCGGCTTCGTGAGCACATGTACCAACTGCAGCAGCGCTTGCAGCGTGCGCAAATATCTGCCACAAACACAGCTCTACAGCGTCACTGGCAACGTAGCTCGATACCCCGACCCCGGTCTAGTATGTCGGCCAGTGCTAGCGGAGCTGGCGGTGGCGGCCAACCGGCCTCTCCTGCTGCATGGCGGGCGCCGACGCCATCCTGGCATGAGAGGCCTGAGACACCGGGTGAATTACGTCGATCCATGCAATCCAGCTCGATTCCTGTGCCTGTGGGGGGCCTCTCTCGCTCGCAGTCCCGCTCGCGGCCGTCATCGCGCATGACGCACGACGTGCAGTCGCCCATTGGCCCCGTGCCGTTCCAGTTCATGGAACATGACCCAGCTGCCTCGCCTGTCTCGTCGCGGCATTCAGCATTATCGCGACGGAAAAGCATGGGTGCCATTAGTGGAATCCCACCGCCTGCCTCGCGCGCGCGTGCGCCGTCGAGTACCCGCTCACCGTCGAAAATGCCTCGGCCTGTGTCTCCTGCGCGCTCACCCACGAAGCGGACTACACCCATCCCATGGCGATAAGGAGCATCTTGCTATCTAAGTCGTTTCTTCACCGTGTGCGTGTGTGTGTGTTCCTCTATTCCCCATGTCGCCCATGTCCCAGCACTGGTCCATACTAACCTATGCATCGTGTTCCTTGCAGCACACTTCCAATCTAGTAAGATGCGCCACTCTGACTACGTCCACACGTACCATGTGTGCCAATAACTTGGCCTTGTGTAGGCTGTGCATCTCCCGAGGAACATCGCCTGAAGCCATTTCTTCCGTACCGAGCTGTCGTACCAGGTGGGTCTACGTGCTCACGAGGGAACTGCTTCCTACCCTTCTGGTTGTCATGTCGCACCATTATACATCCTATCTACTCTATGGCCTTTGGTTCATATACATGGGCAAGACATGCGAATCAACACGACGGTCATTGTACCGAGGCGTCTGAGCATATGGATCGCCCGTAGCATGCACAGCATCACTCGCGTCGTGCCGCGGCACGTATGGCATCCCGTACGGAGCCATCTGCGATGGGGATAGACTATGATGAGGCACTGACCCTAGCGAGGAGTCGGACATGGCGTACGGACCGTCGTTGCCATGAACGACGACGGCAAAGCTGCCCTGTGGCGGTTGGGTGGCCTGTGGTGGATGTGGTTGTGGCGGCGCTACGCCACCTGCATAGATGGCAGGTGCATAGTTCGCCGCGGCTGCTGCTGCTGCTGCTGCTGCTGCTGCCGCGGCAGCAGGATTCGTGGCGGCGGCTGAAGCTGATGATGGTGGCGGTGGCGGTGGCGCTGACTGTCCGTTGGGTGCATGTGGTGCATTGTGAACGGAAGCCAGAGGCGTCGCTGCAGGGCTCCAAGCCCATGCAGGGTCATGCTCGTTCGAATATGAATACATGTGCACCTGCGATGGAGCATGGTGATGATGATGATGGTGATGATGATGTGGATGGGTTGGATGGTACGCACTTGATGCTGCGCCGGCGCTCATATCATACATGTGTTGGGCTTCGACACCTGGTGATTGCACCGCGGTATGGTTCGCGGGCGCCGCGCTCGATGGCGACACATAGGCGCGAGGCGCATTCGATCGATTGAAGGGCTGCAACACAGCGTACGGGTCTTCAGGCGGCGGCGGCTCGGCATACGAATGGATGGCCGCCGATGCCTCTGACGGCAAATTGGAAGGAGCTCCTTGGGTAGCTGTCGCTGAAACGGAAGAAGCCCTTGCGGCGACAGCCGCCCCGGCAGCGGCCGCTGCCGCCGTCGTTGGCATCGGCGGACCGGTTGCAGGGCCGGTGGTGCCAGGAACGGGGGGGTGTGCGGGCGCATGTGTAAGCGCATGTGCGTGCACAGTCTCTGGAGCGGGAGGAGCTGCCGCAGCGGCCGCAGCGGCCGCGGCCGCTGTAGCAGCAATGGCTGACGCATCTGATGGCTGCCACGGCTGAGTGTAAGGCTCACCAGTAATAAATGGGTGCTGCTTGGCCTGCTGCGGCGTCCAGCGCTCGAGCGGATTCATATTCAGTAAGCCGGCGATAAAGTCGGTGAAAGCAGCGCGATTGGCCATCTCCTTATCAGTGTCGGCGGAGCGGCCACTGCGTCGCGAAATGGGCGTGAGACGAATCACCTCCGGCAGCGTTGTACCAGGGAAATATTGCTTGCTAGGCTGCTCCTGCACGCGATGCTCGCGGGAAAACTGCTCCATGGATTTGAGCTGGAATATGGCGCGACCAAATGGATCGGTATGTACGTTGAAAAATTCATGCGTTTGGCGTCCGCGTTCAAGCATGAACGCCGGTGGGAGACCCAGCATGCTAGTGATACGGCTCAGCTGGTTATACTCAGATGTGCCAGGAAAAATGGGGAGCCCAAGGAATAGCTCGGCGGCGATGCATCCCAACGACCACATGTCGATCGACGATGTGTATGGCAAACCCAGCAGGACCTCAGGCGAGCGGTAGAATCGGCTTTGGATGTATGTGTAGACAGTCTGCTCTTCATGACACGCGGAACCGAAATCCACGAGCTTGATCGACGGCGCTTGCAGCGTCCGTAGGAGTATATTCTCAGGCTTCAAGTCACAATGGATCAGCCGCGCTTCCTTCAGTACCACCAAAGCGTCGAGCAACTGCGATATAAAGACACGCACAAGGCTCGTACTGAGTCCGCGGAAAGAGTTTTGCTTGATCAGCTCGTACAGATTGGACGACAGCAGCTCAAATACCAAGCATAGGTGCTTGTGGTGAATAAACGTGTCGCGCAACCGCAAAATATTATGCTGGTCATCCGGGTCCCAGTGCTGGTTGAGGGTCTCGAGGATCGTCACTTCCATCATGCTCTGGTTGAAATAGGCTGGCTTGTTCTTGATTACTTTTACAGCCACGATCTCGTGATTCGACATGTTCTGGCACTTGACGACCTGCCCGAACGTGCCTTGGCCCAGCACATCTAGAATAAGGTAGCGATGCCCCTCTTCGTTGCCCAAGTAGTCATTCACATACAGGATATAGTCGCTCTCCTCATTGTCATAGCCATCATTGTACACTGGCTTGCTGGGCTTCGTCAGCACCCGCCGAGGGTTGAACGCTAGCTCATACACGAACGCTGGGTTCACGAGGTGATATGTATGATGCAAGTACGACGTGAGGGCTTTGAGGGGACTCACCGACCCACCAATCGGATCAGCCCGTCTTTGCTTCGCGCACAGCTGACTGCTGTCATGCATAGGCCGCAAGTCCTCGAGCGACTGCACTTGCCAGAACCCTTCAAATTGCGGCTGTCCCGGGCGCTTGGGCATCTGCGTCTGCCTTGCCGCTGGCGCTTGCGAAAGCGATGTGCCTATTGAAACGGCAGTCGTCGTGCTGGATGTCGCGTCGCGCGCAGGTCCCTCCTCCGACACGAGTGCCGTCTCGATCGACGAGCTCTCAGACGAATCTTGACTGGGTGACGGTGACACCACGGGTGATGACCGAGTCGACCGCTCGGACACTGGCGATGTCGTAGATGGCGTTTCTACGCCTTGCTCGCGCATCTTGCGCGCATAGTGACTGCTTGTGTCGTGGGACGACATCGACAGATCAGGCGCGAGCGTCTCTGACGCGACGGGCGCCGACGCCGACGAGTCGGATCTCTCGCCGCTATCATCAACAACTGGACGTTGTAATACAGCCGTCTCCGCACTCCCGTATCCATGTACATAGTCGTCCCCCTGCGCATCTGTCCACGTACCATTCTCCAGTGCTGCATCAGCACTATTGTGTGCAGACACAGGCATGGTCGTCAATGCTGGAAGGCGAGGCGTTGGACAATTGCCCAACCTGGGGATAGCTCAGATAGGGATGAGATCCTAATGAACGAAAAAGACGCAGAGAGAAATGTGCGCACCCGACCTGTCTTCCCGATCAGCCGCCTAGCTCCTAAGCTAGTCAGGAGACTGTGGCAAGCCAGCCGCTCTTCAAGACTATCTTGCTACCGCGTAAGCAGACTAGGTGGACAGGCCCCGAGATTATATAATCCTACGTGCCACTATCCACGACAAACCGAGCTGTTCCACGCAACACAGCGCGGCGCCACGGGGGGAGGTCAGTCACAGCCGAGATTCCGAGTGCAGACAAGTTTTGCGTCTCAGTCTACGGCAACACAATGTACTTGTGCAGGTGCGAAGGCACAGCGGAGAGAAGCGACTTGCTCTCAAGCCATTGGCGGCTGAAGAGTCGGGTCTGGTACCGAGCGGCACCATCGCAAATTATCGTCACAACCTTGCTTCCTTTACCGAGCTTCTCTGCCATGCGCGCCGCAGCCACAATATTCAAAGCCGAGGAAGCACCGATGTAGAGGCCTTCTTCGTCAAGCATGCGGAACACCATAGCAATACTTGCCTCATCTTCAATGTGCAGGCTGTTGTCGATAAGCGAGATATCTGGACTCATATTCGAGGTGAGACGGCCTTGACCAATGCCTTCGGTGATCGAGCCATTGCCTGTACGCTCCATACGTTCCCCCTTCGTTTGTACATACGAGTGCAGCACAGAGCCAGGCGGATCAGCGAGCCAACACTGCACTTGTCCACGAGAAACATCCTTCAAGTATCTTGTTGTACCAGCGAGCGTGCCACCGGTTCCTGTCGCACAGATGAAGCCATCCAAACCTGTCTCACGCGTCTGTGCCCAAATCTCAGGACCCGTAGTGAGAATGTGTGCCTCGCGGTTGGCGATATTGTCGAACTGATTCGTCCACACGGCGTTCTCGAGCTTCTCAGCGTGACGCGCTGCCTGGTGGTTGTAGTTTTGTGGGTCAGCGAATGGGACAGCGGGAACCGGGTACACCTCAGCTCCCAGCATACGAAGCAAGTTGATCTTTTCATCAGACTGCGTGTTCGGCATGTAAATCACACATTTGTAGCCTCGCGCGCGACACACATGAGCCAGACCAATGCCCGTGTTTCCAGCCGTGCCTTCAACGACTGTGCCACCTGGCTTGATCAAACCCTTTTTCTCTGCATCTAGCACAATGTATAGTGCAGCACGATCTTTTACACTTCCTCCTGGTGCCATGAACTCTGCCTTGCCGTAAATCTCACACCCCGTCTCATTGCTCAGTGAGTTGATACGGATGAGTGGCGTGTTTCCGACGGCACCACAGAATCCAGACACAGGGCCAACCGTGGCGCTCACTTTGGCTGCCGAAGAGAAGGCGCGTACAGTACGAGGCAGAACGCGGGGAACGGTAGCTCGGAGAACGGACGCCATCGTCAGTCAATCGATGTGGGAAGAGAGCCTTGAGGTGCGAAGCTTCGCTGGTATCACACGTGACACGTGCACACGCCCTTATCCATTTTCCGTTGCGACGCACGGGACATTAGTGTTGGAGCAACGATTTTCAAACGCCGCCGTTACTATGTGCGCGTCGATCTTCCATCTGTCAATTTGTGGAGGGTGCCATGTGCCTTTGGTCTCGAGGGTACTACATATTTGCCTTCTGGCAGCACTGTACCGTGCCAAGCTAAGCAGGAGAGCAGATCATAGTGCCGTGCTTTCTGTTTGATTCCATAGACACGAGATTGGCTGCACTTTCTCCTTTTTCGTGAGAAACGGCATGTTTTCCCAATCTTACGATCTGATTGCTACTCTAGCACCGCAAATTCACAGCCAGAGTGAGTGAGTTTCTCTAGCTACCATGACAACAGAATGTGTTGATGCAATTCAGCACGTACAAATTCATCATCGCAGCATATCGTTTGTTGCACTTGAGTTGATCTATGTGATACAGGGAGGGCCAGAGCGATCTCGAAAAAGAAAGTCTCGATGTTAGGCACGTGTCCAGAGGTCAGTAAACTCATGCACAGGCATCGATATCAGACGCTCGTGATCGGTCAGAAGGGAAAGAATCTGCTCCTTCTCTGCATCATTGAACATGCCAGTAAGATGTTTCTGCAGCTTGCTTGCAATAAGTGGCACAGCCTCATCACGCCGGCGAGCATGACCTACTGGGTAGTCAATAGCCACTTCATCGAGCTTGGTACCATCCTTCAGTTCAACGGACACAGCATTGCCAATCGAGCGCTTCTCGGGCTCTAAATACTCTTTCGAGTAGCGTGGCTCTTCCTCCACAGTCGTGATCTCACGCAGCGCATCAATGCGGGAATCAGCTGCGAATTCATCCGTGTAATCGCTAGGTTCCAAGCTGCCCTTGATCAGCGGGACAGCCACCATGTACTGAATGCAGTGATCACGGTCTGCGTAATTGTTCAGCGTGCCCTGCTTGCTGATAATACGGATCGCTGCCTCCTGCGTCCGGATCTTGATACTCCTAATGTCGTCACTGGTCTTGCCCATATCTCGTAGCTTGTGATGCAACTGAACTGCCGCCTCTACGGCCGTTTGCGCATGGAACTCTGCCGGCACAAGCTTGAACAGGACATTCTCCATCACATAAGAAGAGTAGGGTCGTTGGAATTGGAACTCACGGCCCTTGAACAGGACGTCGTAGAAGCCCCACGTCTTGGCTGTGAGTACCGAGTTGTAGCCACCCTCGCCACGCTGCACTAGAAGCGCAAGATGCACAGCTCGCGCACATGCATCACCAGCAGCCCAGGACTTGCGCGATCCCGCATTTGGGGCATGTCGGTATGTGCGAAGTGACTGACCATCCACAAAGGCCTGTGATATCGAGTCGATAGTCTGCTCGCGCGTGAGGCCGAGCAGCTTAGAGACGACAGCGGCACTTGCAACTTTGACGAGGACAACGTGGTCGAGTCCCACGCGGTTGAAGCTATTCTCGATCGCCATGTTACCTTGTATTTCATGGGCCTTGATGGCGGCTGTCAGCACATCTTTTACAGTCAGGGGTGCCTGCCCCTTAGCGACATTCGTGCGTGAGACCCAATCGGCTACCGCCAGAATGGCACCTAGGTTGTCGGATGGGTGGCCCCACTCAGCCGCAAGCCAAGTGTCATTGAAGTCGAGCCAGCGAATAAGTGCTCCGTTGTTGAAGGCGGCACGGATCGGGTCCAGCACGTAGTTTGTGCCAGGAACATGAGCTCCGTTCGGCACGATGGTGCCATCCACCACAGGTCCACACACAGAACGTACTGCAGGAAAGCGCAGTGCCTCTATCGCACAGCCTAAAGAATCCAAAAGGCACAGACGTGCTGTATTGTAGGCAGTGCTAGATTGAATATCGTAAGAATGCACGTAGTCGGCCATGTCTTGCATCACTTGGTCAGGCGGCGGGCGCACATTACTCTCGCCTTTGCCTATACCGGCAGCAACCGCCATTGCACGGATACCACTGATTCGCGCAGCACGGAACGAGCAACCTGCTCTGAGTGCACGGGCGGTCAACGTAAGAGGCATACTGTGCGGAAGATCGGTGTCTTGCCGGGAAATTCGGTGGGGCAGCCACGTGACATGACCGACTCTCTGCGTCAGCACCGCATCGGAAGGCGGATGTGGGTCTGAAGGGCTCGCGATAATGCAGAAACACCTGGCCCTCAATGGAGAAATTGTGTCTTTGGAGCACCTGACCAGTGAATAAAAAAAAGAGCAACGGTATGAAGCTCTAGTGTCTCTCGTTGAAGAGCGGCCGCACGTATAAGGAACGAGTGCCGGAAGCATAAATCGAAAGCATACAGGTATCTTTCAAGGACCAAGGAACACTTTCGGCCGGGGGTCGAGATGCAGGTTTGAAGCAGCGGGCGAGGTTATTCCGTTCACAGCATCTGGACTAAGAGGCGGTGAATCAGTCAGTTTGATTCGTTCGTACATGCGAATCGTCCTCCGGAAGAGAAGTGGATGTCGTAGATGGTGACTCAAATGTAAACCTGGCCTTTTTAGTCACATTAGGCGACACACGATGTGTGTGTGTGAGCGAAGGACCGTCCGAATCATCGTTTGATTTGTCTTCGTAATGATGGTAGCTTCTTTCGCGTGCATGCTGCTGAGCGCGCTTCTTTTTTTCACGCCGAGCACGATTCTTTGATGTTTTAGCATTATCTAATGCGGCCTGCTCATCACGTTTCTTATCAAATTCTGCTTGTGCCGTAGCCTAGAATTGTATTAGTGTGGGTTGAATATACGTACACGATCCGCCTCGTATTTCATAGCCTCGATGCGCTCTGACTCGTTGCGCCGGCTCATCTTGTACACGTGGAACTCACCACTTCCAACGCCCGCACTGCTACCTTGGACGTGATTCACCATGTCAGGGGGTGGGCGAACTTTAAACAAGGACGGTGGTGCTGCTGGCATACGCAACGCCTTTTTCGGGTCATCAAAGAGTTGCTCTATATTCTGAGCTTGCTTTTCCGAAGGTGTTAGATTGTGTCGACTTTTCGCACGTTTTGGTCGTGATGTCCATAGAGCATCTTCATCTCGATCAGTCATTGCAATATGCGGAACAATAATATGAAGTTTTGATGAACGTGCTTATCCTTGCACACCTACACACTGGCACGGACAACACTTTCAAGCGAGTTGTGCAAGTTGCAACACACCCGGTCAGCGGTGGCCGGTGTCACCTCCACCAGTCAACGATCCATCACTCACACGTACACACTTCCACGCGCACGCATCCACATCTTTCAAGTGCCAGAGACGTAACTCACGTGCAATTTTCGTTTCCATTCACGTCCACAAACCCAAGTTGATATACACGTCCAACATGGTACGGTGAATAGATGGGGTGTGTCTAACGGTGTCTTTAGCCTACTGCGCGAGATATTCGCGCGCGCAACGAACTATTTGCGAAGCGGGCGCGTGATACGCAGGATAAACGGAACTCGAAGGGCGAGAACAAGCGAGGTCTTGTTCACACGCACACAGAGCCGGAAGAAAAGAAGCCAGAGGCATCTCCTACAGTCAAATACCTAGCTATCTTCTTGATCTTTGTTCTACTTGGTGGATGTAAGTATATGACACTGAGGCGATGAGGGAAGACCCTTTTTACAGTCTCACACATTCCAGTCTTGATGGAGGCGCTAGACTTGTTCCTTCGCTCGATTCGTCGTGCATAAAATGTCTTGTGGTATGCTGTATCGACAGGAGCATGTATACATTTCTACATAGGGAGTGTAGGTCCATGGTGTTGCCGGGATCGCGCGGATGCAGTGCGCCATTCATCCACTGCCACTTGGAAAGCATCTTCTATACTAACGCGTCCGCTCATAAGATCCGACCACAAATGCTTGGATGTGCTTGGCTTGCGCGGAACTTCCTCGGGCAAGCTTTCATGAATAGGTCGCATCCAGTTTGCAGCTGCGCCTGAATTTGCGTGTGGGCCTCGAAGCAGGTCATTCAGACCATGTGAGGTGGGTTCCTCGGGTTGGTCAAGCGAAATAAGCAGGGCATCGTGATCATCATCTAAAGTGGACTTGGTATCCTTTACCCCTACCTGGCGCAGGAGCGGTCGTTTCTGACCCAGCGTGCGGTGGTTGGGCTGCCACGTCATGTCCGTTGTTGATGTAGAAAACGGAGCACTCGTTGAGGCAGCAGACTTCGGTGTCATGTTCGATCTTGTGCTACTCTTGGGAAGCTCGGGTTCAGGCGGTCTCATCGGCGAGCCACGTTCCCTACGCATTTGCTGGAGCTGAATCAAGTCATCTACGCCAGATGCACCCATGTCACCGCCTGCCGGTAGGCCACGCGTTGGCCGAGCCCGATCGCCTGGGAAGAAGCGCAGAGCTTCTGCATCGACCTTGGTTATAGTAACAGGGTTCGATTCGTCCGTGCGCGAGCTGCTTGGTGCTCGATGCAAGGAACCATCAGCGTTGCGTTCCACAGCTTGGATCCTCGCATCAGCGGGGCGGTGACGGCAGCTTTCGATCGGGATATAGAGCTGCTCGTGCATCTGGACAGGATCGCCGTACCACAAGCGATTACTGCGCCGTAATGTGTGAGAGTCTGTTCCATACCGCAAGGCAATGCGATCGATGGTATCCGAAGGAGCGACGGGATGAACCATAACATCCACCATGGTGCTCTTGGAAAGTGCCTTGAGCCCAGGACGCTTGGAACTGTGTGCCATGTCTGTGGAAGAGAGCCAGGGTGAATGATCCGGACCCGACGGCGCATGAGACTGGTCCGCTTGGTGATGATGCGGGGAATAATGGCGCGTCATGGATGGCCCTGGCTCACTTCTCAGACCGAGCCAATTTTCAAGCCGGTCAAGCGTGGTGGACAAGTATGGCTGCTTATGCCCTTTCGTGGCCCCGCCATCTAAGGCTTGAGCCGTGGGAAAAGCGGTATGGTTGTCGTCATGATCGTTGTCCAAAGACCAGACCTGCGAGCCTGGCTGAACAGGCGCAGGTGCATGCCTACGTGAGAGCGAGGCATGTGATCCAACAAGGCCTCGAGAGCGCCGAAAGTCCCAAGACATGGGGCGTGGAGCGATGCGATGCGTTGCAATGCGTGTTGCACTGAATCGAGATGCCAAGAGCTAAAGGTATTTTCCTCAGCCTATGTGGCGCAGCCTTGGGCCAATGTCTGACTGGCTCCCTCGCAGCGTGCCACTGAGCTTCAACGTGTTCTCGCCTGACTAACGGCCCAGGCGATTGGCGCCCGCCCTTCTGTCTGCCACACGTCAACGAGCTTGCCTGCGTTGGTTGGTTGACTAACACACTGTCTCGCGTGATCATCGCCATTGGCCCGATGCACACCCGATCATTCACATATATATGCATTCATCCACATTAGCTCGGATCTAGGGAGACGCGCACACCAAGCTGCATGTCATCGAATTCAACAATCAAATAGCACCATGACCTACGTATGATCTACCTATAAATGTTAAAAAAAAGGAGAGAAGAAAAAATATAACGTAACCTGTTGATTATCACGATGTGGACTATCATTAAGACTTCATGTAGACTGTGGGCTTGACAGCGCTGATCGCGACGAGCCGCTCAACAGCTGCTCATACAGTCCATTCGCAGACTCTTCGCTGCGCATGTGAAACATGTAGACGACACCAGTAAGACGGCCCATATCTGAAAGTTCAATAGCGAGACCCGTTTTACCGAATCGCTGGACAGCCATAGGCAAGACAATCGATGAAATCATGACTTTCTTTTCATTCTCGACCACGAGCTGATTTGTGTTGGACGGGCGTAGTCGGTAAAGGCGTAGGCGCGCCGATCCAAGTGCACGCCACTGTGCATAACTCTGTTTCAAGTAGACTTTGCAGCGCATCTGAGCGCAAATGTTGAATGACTGTGCTTCGTGGAATTTGGAGAATTGTAACGCATCCGCATCGGCCGCCTTGTCTTCTTCATCATGCTGATGTATCCATTCGCTTGAGCGCCGTTGTGGCTTTTCGCGAAGCATCTGTGATGGAAGTACGGCACTACCTGCCGCCTCGCGAAGACGTGATTGTGACACAGACCGACTAGGGCTACTGGGGCTTGAGATGGAAGGCGCGCTTGCATTTGAGGCTGTTGTTGGCAATGTCATGGAACGCATACCACGCAAGCTGGGAGTCGGTGCGTTTGATGGCCGTCGATCAGCGCTGAACAAAGACGTATCAGTTCGCTGAAAGCCACCTAAGGCATGTTCACTGGCACTGCCAAATGACATAGCAGGACCTTGCACCACGGGCGACCGCACACCAGGGCGTGTGTCTTCGAGTCGCTGGGAAACCAAAGGTTCCGGAGAATCAACCCGGCGCCCAATGCGCGGGAACGACTCATGAGAAGCAAGTGAATTGGCTCGCGTGGGTGGCTCAGGCGTTAGTGGCGGCGAGGACAAGCCAGAGTCTTCGTCAGCAAGCGGAACGGGTGACTGAACGTCTGTTGTTGATGTTTGTGGGAATATAAGCGGCGGCGGCGGCCCTCCTGGATGTAAGCGCTTACCGGCATGGCTTTGGCTAGCACCAGGTCCATTTAAGCCGGGTAAAAATGACGAGGCACTCGGTGATGAAAGTGCTAGGTTTGGCTCTGGTCCCAGACGCTTCGATAATCCGGACGGAGTCGGTGACTCAGTCATAGAGCTTAGTAGGACAGATCCTTTATTCGGCGACAGAGCATGATTCGGCTCGCACTCCAGGCGTGCGGGTCTTCGATGTACCAGGCATGATGGGTGGAGCAGGTGCTCCAGACGCAAACGGCGCATTCGGTCCTGAAGTAGTCGCTGCTGGATTCATGCCCCCAGGCCTTGGTGCATTTGTCCGTATAGAGGCAGCCCCTGACGGGGACATGATCGCATGACTTGTCCCTGGGGCAGGGGTAGAGGATGGTATCGGCCCCAGAGCAGGTGGTGCGAGCGGCGCTGGAGAGGATACAGGAGACATCGGTCGTGCAGCACCAGATCCAGGGACTGTGGTCCCAGACGAAAGACCTTTTCCTGTGCCGACGGGTGTACTTAACGGGCCCGCCAACGGCGCAGGCGGACGAGAGTAGATGCCCAACTGATTTGGCGCAAAAGGTGGTGGACGTCCACCACCAACCTCATTGGTGAGCGGAGACGGCGATGCGAACGGCGGGGCAGGCGCATTCGGTGTTCCAGCTGATGGTCTTACGAGCGCATTGGTCATGGGAGGTACAGGTGCGTTACCGGGTAACCTGGGCGCTTCGGATGCACTTTTGTCTGCGCCGAAAAGCTTGCATGCACGCAATTCATGAAGCCAGATCGCTTTGCGGTCAATCCGACCCAGGTGCATAATAAGGTTCACTCGGTTCATGATTGAAAGACGAATCGATGGATCTTGCGGACGCTTGTCGTCATGCGTATCGACAAAACGGCCAGACAATGGAGGGAATATCAACCGGATGTCTTGAGTACCGGATGGGAGTGTCTGAGAAGCTCTGTCTTCGGCGACGAGAATTAGGTCCGTTAGCAGGATGAGTCGTGCTCGTTCAATGATACGGACAGGACCATTAGCCGGTACAATTTCAAGCCGAAGTCCATCTGTGAGACGGAGCTTACGTTGAAATGTGAGCCCAGGCGGCGCCATTTGGAGTCGGCAGCTTTTAGGCTCCATAGAAAAAATGTCGATCGTGCATGTCGAGTCAATGCGCGATTGAATTTCCTCAAGAGACTGTGACTCTAGTGACGAAGTTATGCTCGGCGGGTACTTTGAGGCTGTCGCTGTGGGCGCTAGTGTATCGTTTGGAGGCACGAGCGCTTGCCCAAGAACTGGTAACGAGCCCGAGGATGTATTTGGCTCCATAGCCGTCGATTTCGCGACGGGTCCAGTCAATTCTCCCGGCGCTTCCCCCCGTGCAGTTACCACAGACGGTGTTGCAGTTGTGGTGGTCGCTGTAAGAGCGGGTTGTGCGATGGGCGCACTAGGAGGACTCCCTTGAGCACGCGACGAAGCGGGATGTGACACGGGGGGCGAAAGTACGCGTTCAACAGGTTCTGTTGACCTGGGTAATGCGAGAGGGGTTAGCACTGCACCAGGCCGCGAGATGCTTTGGCGCCGCACGGCCGTATCGATGAGCTCGTTCAGCGTTTGATTCGCACTCTGCAGCATGGTGTGATCGGAGCGGCCGGGCTGTGTGTTCCGTAACAAACGGCCATAAAGTTTCTTGTAAAATCGCAAACGCTCGATCGGTAGAGCGAAAAATGCGTCCAAGGTCCATGCAGAATCAGGTCCTGCAGAGCGAGGCAGTTCGCGGCTGACTTGTGCAAGAACGTGATGTAGATCCTTGTTACTTAGAATAGAAGGACTTGTATCCAAAAGAGGCATATATACGGCCAAGTAGTTGGCATAAGGGGCTTGAAGATTGTCGACCCAATGCATGAGGAGATTGCCCAAGCCTTTTGGTGATGCTGGATTCGGTCCGATCTCTTGGAGCGAACGTAGGAACTCACTGTTGGTCCGATACAAAACCTCGAGCGAACGAAACATGAGATCCAGTTCCTTGGGTGGCAGTCTATTTGGATTCCAGGCAGCTGCGATGCGGCGAATAGCAATACTCAGCTCCTGCACATACCGCGTCTCTGTGGCGATTAGTTCTCCCAGCGGGTTCGTGCGTCTGCGCTCGAGATTCGCGTTCGAGGGCGATCCTTGCGGCTGTGGCTGTGGCTGTGGCTGCTGTTGCTGTAGTGGTGTCCTCTGGGTAGATGGAGAGTCATGTACTCTGCCTCCCGAGTCGCCTACCATCATGACTTATACTTCGCCCCAACAGTAGTAGACGTGCTTAGAATAGAGAATAAAGACGCGTGTGGGTGTGTGAATGTATGTATGTACGTTTGTGGAATTAATCGGCCAGTCGTGCCAACGGGCACGTAATCTAGCGAATAAAAATACGGTTAGTCGTATGCGTGATGTGTGAGACGCGCGTGAAGTCAATGCAGCTACTTGCATCCAGCAAGAGCGTTGCTTGACAAACGCCTACATTCGTGATCATAGACGTCGTCAGATCATCGCCGATGGTTTGAGCTCCTGCGTTGTGCTCTATGTATGTACATATTCGACAGGCACCGGGTGAGCGATGCTACTTGTATTTCGTCTTTATGCACGAATACTGAGCAGCTTGAGAAGCTGCTCAGCTTCCCAAGCGCCACTCCAATAGCGAACAGTACATTGGACGCCACCTTCATCAAGAATGCGTTTGGCAAGACCGCGATTTCGACGTACGAAAGCCACGTCATTTGGACCCAGGCGTTGGATAGGACAGAAATCGTTTCCGCCATCACCTACATAGACAATCCGCTCATACTTGCGATCTGCATGCCGTTGTTGGAATGCATCAAGCTCGTCACCTGTTGGTACATCGTGTAAGTCACTGTGCCATGATTGCTCACATCCTTTGCCAACCTACCTTTGCACATGTTCGCACTGCACCCCACTCGGCACGAATGCTGTGGTCCATCCGGCGGGATGCGCCGGGTCAGACGCAGCAGTCCATTCGGCTCCCAGTGCGCAGGGTTGGTCACAATTTCTGTAAAAAGCGGCGGATCAGCAAGACCCTTGCTCTGTTGTATGTAAGTGAGATCATCGAAAGGATGTGCGTACCGGTAGAATCGTACGGATGTACACTTCATTCGAATTGGACAGGAGGAAAAAGTCCGTGCCTGGATGCACTGACTGCAGCGTGCGTACACCACGGATCATCGCAGGGTGCTAAGGATAAGTCGATCTCGTAAATTGAACACATCAATAACATACCATGGGCATCTTACGAAGGGCGTCTTCGAGTGCCTCTCGGGAGTGACCTTCCTCATGTAGCTTTTCCAGCAAAAGGGCACTGATTCCATAGTCAGCTCGATACATCGTTCACAATTACCGAAACACGTACCACATGTCCGTGAACTGCATAGTTGGCTTTAACTGCACAAATTCAATGCGCCGTTGAGGCGATAGGACTTCATGAACCCATCGATCAGTATCCTGATCAGCTAGTGACCAGTCAAAGTCAAAGACGACAAGCTGCGATGACACGGCCGGTAGCGGTTCAAAGTCCAGCGGGGGATCTTCGAGCACAATTGAATGCACTGCAAGCGATGCTTGGTCCACCATGCACGGAAACAGGAAAATCAGAAATTACAAGCCCTGTCCGGCTACACACACTCGAGACGTTTCACACAATTCGTTGGGGGAGGGGTACATCCTGCGGGCAACTTTGGTTCTCAGGGACATTTTTGATTTCCGTTTCTGGGCCTCCAATGAAACCCGTTGCCTGTCGCCTTTCGCGCATGCGCGTGCGACATGACGCGTCTCAGACACATGTACAGGCGCGAGTGCACTCGCGCCTTGTGGGTGCTCGCTTACTAAATACGCGACGGCGCATAAGGACTGATCGATAGTGGAAGCGAGTTGGACGTGGGGATCTTAGGCTAGACGGCTGGTCGAAGAACAGTCCGACTGACGGACCGACTTTTGGCTGCCTCTCTTGTCTGTCTTGTGCCGTGATGGCGCTCGACTTGGACGCATGCATAGAGAAGCTGCTTAACAAGCAATTGCTGGTTGATACAATTTTGAAAGAAATATGCGAGAGGACGAAGGAATTGTTGATGATGGAAAGCAATGTCGTGCACATTAGTGCGCCGGTGACTGTGGTGGGCGATATTCATGGGTGCGTTTTGTGCGCTCGTATGAGGGTGTAAAGGAAAGGCGGGTGTGCTAGCTAACGCTGTAGTCAATTTTACGATCTTTTGGAAATATTCCGAATCGGTGGCGATGCACCGAACACCAATTATCTGTTTCTGGGCGACTACGTTGATCGAGGTCTTTTTTCTGTTGAAACAATCTCACTTTTAACATGTTTAAAGCTGCGGTACCCACACCGTGTGCAGCTTGTGCGAGGGAATCATGAAAGCCGCGCTGTCACTCAGGTATGTAAGTTTTAACATGCCTGCCAATAGAGGATGTGGTCGGGTGTGATGAATTCTTGGCCCTTTCCGTGCTAACTCGCTCCATACAGACATACGGCTTTTACGCTGAATGCTCGCGCAAGTACCCGGACTCAAATGTGTGGCAATACTTTACCGACATGTTCGACTTTCTCACCTTGTCAGTTGTGATTGACGACGACATCTTCTGTGTCCATGGCGGTCTTTCGCCGTCCATCCATCACATTGATCAAATCAAGATCCTGGATCGGTTCCGCGAAATCCCTCATGAGGGGGCAATGGCAGATCTTGTTTGGTCTGATCCTGATCCTGATAAGGAAGAGTTTGCTATATCGCCGCGCGGTGCCGGTTATACGTTTGGCGCCTCCGTCGTCAAGCACTTTCTCGAATACAATCATATGTCTCACATCTTGCGAGCGCATCAACTGTGTATGGAGGGCTACAATGTCTTGTACGATGATCGGCTCAGTACGGTGTGGTCGGCACCCAACTATTGCTACAGATGTGGGAACCTTGCATCGATCTTGGAAGTGGGACCTAATGGGACACGCCACTTCAACACGTTCGAAGCGGCGCCTGAAAATGAGCATGACGGTCCGCTTCAGGCTGTACATACCCGCAGCGAGACTGTTGAATACTTTTTATAATAATATATACCCTCGTTGTCCGCGCCGGACATCAAAATCTCATTTCCCCACTGACTGCGATCAGAGCGTGCTTTGCGCACTCACATGAGTCGCTGGAGAGCATCCCACTCAATTTGGTGCATCGCATACCCAGCCGATGCACATTGTTCTTGGCATAGGGCCGCCCAGACCGGCGTCTCGATCTTTTCACTCCGTATGAGCTCATGCATTTGCTGTTCAATCACATGCTGTAAAGTGGTCCGCATAGCCTCGATCGTAGCGGTTGGTAACGACAAGTCGTGCGTGAAGAAATGTGTGTGCGAGAACCGCTGCCACAAAGCGAGATGCGTGTATGCGTTGGGCGTTATACCCCATTTTCGATAGAGACCGATCGTGTACCAGGCACCAGGAAAGTCGTTCACAAATAACATGGCTCGCAGCATGTCATTGAGTAGGTTCGATCCTTTCTTCGCTAACCACGATGCAGCTTGGCGCTTGGCGCTCGAAGGGCGCTTGGGACTTTCCACAAGTTCCATGCAGTGCGCAAGCACACCCCGCATGGTCGACACGTTCAAATGACTGCTGCTCATGGAGGGAGAAGGAAATGGTGTACAGGCTAATGGTTGCAAAGCTGTCGTCCTTATCGGTGCGGTCGTGATGCTGGGCATGTGCATCCTCGCCTTTTCAAGTGAGGCAACACGCTGGGCTTCTGCTGCATGCAATATACAGAGCACCGACACAGATGAAATGTGCAGGCGTGAGCCAAGCGTTGGGGCAGGCGGCCGCGAGTCTAACGTCTGTGGGTGTGTCCGCTTGAAGGCAAACGCGGGTCCACGTTCCAGCGAAAGAGCCTGCAGGACTAGCGATGCACCACGCTCAACACGTCCACATCCTGCCTCAAAGCTTGCAAGAAAGTTGAGGAGGGCGACACCAGGCACCACTCCGTCTTGTCGCACTGCATCCAAGACATCGTAAATAGCTGCCGTTTTGAACGGCGCATCGAGAGATGTTGCATGGCGTTCGAGACGCGCACGCTCAGCTCGAGATACATGTGCGAGCAAATGATGAATTCCTTGCGACGTCGACATACTGTGCATCAATGTCAAATACGGAGACGCACTCTTGATAGGGGGTAGGCATGAGTATGTAGTGCGCAAGATAGGAGCGAAAGACTCGGATGTCACTAGACGAAAGCGCTCTAGCCATATACGAGCGCCAACTATATCGCCTTTCATTACACGCGCACGAATCAGCGCATTCCATACGTCTGTGTGGCTGCTCCAAGCATCAAGAAGCGGTACATCCAAGGGTATGCGACGATCGTGCATCACGTAGTAATGCATCCAGTCCATATGATGCAATGCATGTTTTTCTGCAAGCGGTCGGAGCGTGTGCGTAGCGCCGTGACGCTTCGCATATGCGCGAAGAAACCTTTCACCCAGTCTTGGCGACATGGCACGTCCATACGCAGCTACAAAAGCCGTAAGCACACTTGATGTATGAGCAGTAGGAGTTCTCTCGAGAAAGTCGGCCGCTATGATATCAAGTAGTTGACGAAGCGTCGTGCCGTGCACGTGCTTGGCCAAAGTCGATATGAGTGTGCTGAGCGCCGTACAAGGCAGCTGGATGTGTGCATCGGAACATGCATCATAGAGTGTTGCCAAAGCAAGCGCAGGGTGTGTTGCTCGTTGGTACTGTGGCTCAAACAGAGTCGATGAAACATGTCGATGGCCAAGCGCATGGACCCCTCGACGTAATGCTGAATGCAACATGTCATCAGAAGCAGGGCACACGCCATACTGTGGTGCTTTTGTCAACTCAGAAAAGATATAGGATGCATGTCCCACGCGATTTTCAGCTAGGCATGCATTTGCAATTGATTCAAGCATCTGTACAGGATGTGGCGTTGTTGCATACAGGTGTGAAAAGTATGCGAGTTGAACAACCGTGTGCGCCCGCACGTGGTGTGCGTCGTGTGACGGAGTCACTGTGGACGCCATGTGCAAAGCATCAGGTCGTAAGAATCGCGAGACGCGCGCGGTCGTGCGGACGACTGGCGACGTCATCGCCTTCAGCGCTCAGGACAAGATCGTGGGCCTCACACAGGACACACTCGAAGGAAGCCACGAGAATCCGTTTGTGGAGTAAGCGGTGATTCTTTTTGACAGGGTTTCTTGCACAATCTCACAGAGTGCGCCACGTGATCGTAAGATGGAGTCAAAATGTGCAAGGTGCGAAACCAAATTATTGCGGTTGGCTCGTCGACGTACGATTGCCGCTGACATCACGCGCTGGGTGCGTCGACAGACAGAGACAGAGCCTGTGCCACCAACGCTAAGCGTGACGGATAGGAAATTCTTGGAAATCAAGTCTGTGGCATACGAGAAAAAAAAGGCGAGATTCTCGACTAGTTGCGTAGTGGTGGACCAAGCTTGCTATGGTCGCAGCAAAGGAAATTGATTTTCTTGCATTGGATGATCATGAAATTGAGCATGCTGCGCCGCCGCGACCTCTGCTGGACCAGCGGAATGGCGAAAAAGATGGCGATGACGATGACGCCGCCTTCATTGCAGCTGCTGCACAGAAGCACAATGTCAAAGCAGGAATGCAAGTAGCCAAGCAAGCGAGCAAGAAAAAAGCAAAGGTCGCTAGTGGTGTCGTCAGCGGTGGCGGTAGTTTCCAGAGCATGGGTCTGCATCCATCGCTGCTGCGCTCGCTTCTTTTGCGTGGTTTTACGACGCCCACACCCATTCAACGTCGTGCCATCCCAGCGATTCTTGCGCAGCCATCCCAAGATGTAGTCGGCATGGCACGCACGGGCTCAGGTAAGACCTTGTCGTATATTGTACCGCTATTGCAACGGCTCAATGGACGGCATTCAACCTCGTTTGGCATCAAATCGCTCATCCTTTGCCCATCGCGTGAACTTGCATTCCAAATTCTCAAAGTCGGGAAAGACCTCGCGCGTGGATGGCGCTCTGACGACAATGCACGAAACGAGGCTATCCGTTGGGCTGTAATTGTCGGTGGTGAAGGTCTTGATGAGCAGTTTGCTATGATGACAGCGAACCCTGATGTGGTGATCGCGACACCCGGTCGTCTATTGCACTTGGTTGTCGAGATGAATCTCGATCTAAAGTCGGTGGAGTACGTTGTGTTTGATGAGGCGGACCGGCTCTTCGAGATGGGATTCGCCGAGCAGCTAGAGGAGCTATTACGCCGCTTGCCAACGACGCGCCAGACACTCTTGTTCAGCGCGACGCTGCCCAAGACACTCGTGGAATTTGCACGTGCTGGCCTTGAGGCGAATCCGAAGCTAATCCGTCTGGATGCCGACAGCAAAATCAGTCCTGACTTGCGCATGGCTTTTTTCAGTATCAAACCACAAGAGAAGGATGCAGCTCTTTTGCAGCTGTTACGCGATGTAATCCAGGTGCCTGTCCATACTGCCCCCGATACCTCGGTGTCGTCATCGACATCATCAGCAGCCGCTGCTGACTCGAAGAAAAAGCGAAAGCGCGCGCATGCCGTCGATCAGCTCCAACCGTACCAGACCATCATCTTTTGTGCGACAAAGCATCATGTCGAATACCTCCTGCTGCTGCTGACGACCATGGGATATACATGCTCACATATCTACTCGTCACTGGATCAGGCAGCGCGTTCGATCCAAATGAACCTATTCCGCTCGGGCCAAACGTCCCTGCTCATTGTGACAGATTTGGCTGCTCGCGGTATTGATCTGCCTGTGCTAGAGCATGTGATCAACTACGATTTTCCGCCACAGCCACGTATTTTCGTGCATCGCGTTGGTCGTACAGCGCGTGCTGGTCGACGTGGATGGGCTTGGAGCCTGTGTACACATGCGGAACTCCCGTACTTGTGTGACCTGCAGCTCTTTCTGGCTCGACCACTCGTTTCTTCTCATACACTACCAAGGGACGACGTGCACGACTTGCACGGTACCATGGTGCTCGGCACGTTTCCTCGAGAAGTTCTCGATGACGAGTGTGAGTCAATTCGGCATGCAATGCATGTTGAGTCCGATACAGCGACGACGTTCGATAGCCTCACGGGTGTCGTGAAGCGTGCACATAATATGTACATGCGGTCGCAGCCGAAGGCCAGTGCCGAGAGCTACAGACGGACGAAAGACATGCTGAAGGATGCAGAGCGAAGTGCCGTCACAGGCGTCGAATCGCAGGGCTGGGCACTCGCTGGGCATCCACTCGAGGTGAAAGGCGTGCACGACGTTTTGCAACGCCCAGAAAAGTACCAGCTTCATGCACGTGAGGCGGTAAAGCGCTCACGGACGCACGACGATCCTCTTGCCGGCGCACGAGCAGCACTTCTTGCAAAAGTAAACGCATTCCGACCCGGCGAGACAGTGTTCGAAATGGGTGCACATGGTCAACGTGCACCACTCGCTCGACTCATGCAGGATCGGCGGCGCTTGCTTGATACGAAGCAACAGCGAGCGCGTGCAATTGAAGCAGCGAAACGTGGCGGTTCGTTACAGGCTGACCATGAGTCCGTGGATGATGGCAATGGTGATGGAGCTCATGACGCGCAGGACGACGGTGCTGTCTCGCGAGACACTGAGCCGAGCGCATTGGCAAATGAAGACGAAATTTCATCCGTGTTCGACACCGGCAAGGACTACCGCGATCCATCGACGTACCTAAACTATCAACAGACAGGCGCTGCCGAAGAGCGTGGTTACTCGTTCTTGGATCAAGCACGACGCATCACTGTTGACATGGCTGGCGATGACCTTGGCCCATCGGCTGTGACGCAGCGACCGAATCCACGGCGTTGGGACACTAAGAAGAAGAAGTTCATTATGGGAGATGGCACTGGCGCTGATAATCAGAAACTCATCCGCTCCGAGACTGGGCTCAAGCTCCCTGCAAGCTATCGGTCAGGCCGCTTCGACGAGTGGCAGAAGCAACAGCAGGTTTCACTTCCGCATGTGGGCGAAGACGAAAGCAACATGCCAGCGACGGCGCGACGAATGGCTTCGAGCGTCCAAGGTGGGCCTAGACCTGGTCGTCGCTTCCATACTCAGACAAAGGCTCCTAAGCCTCTTGATAAGCTCCAATTTGACTACAAGAAGAAACTCAAGGCGCGTGAGCGCAAGAACCGTGGTCCAGGTGCGGCTGCTGCAGCGAATGCTCGACATGCCAAGAATGAGCTCAAGAGTGCTGAGCAAATCTACCGCGATCGCGAGACAAAAGCGAAGCGCCAAGCGAAGAACGCTCGACCATCGAAACGTCGGCGCTAAGTTGTTCCTCCATTGGCGGGCTCGGGATGGGAATTTCATTATATCTATCTATCTATCTATCTATTTATTTACATGTATACCTTACTTTGCCATCCCAGTCCATCGACCTAGCGTGGTACTCAGGGCTGAACCGTTTGTACATAGGCAGCGAATTTGTCCAAAAGTGCTTTAGCTTTTTGCTCACTCAGCACGTGTGCGGGGCACCGCAGCGCGAAAGACAAATTGTCTTCGTCGTCAACATACGCATCGACGGCTATGCCGGCAGTTGGATAGTGTCCAGCCCCGGGCCAGGCGTCGAACGACGTACGCTCGCAGATGCGCGGCGGCGATCGAAGATGCTCCTCACAGATTGGGCTCTGCATGGGTTCGAGAAGAATCTCGCTACCGACATCGCCACCAGCGCCAGCCGACGCACTTGGTTGGATCAAGACATTCAACATCGTGTCAAAGTGAGGGAATGTTGTCGGACCTGGCGCGACCTTCTCTAGCGCACGGTGCACATCTTCAAGCGAAACTTGTTCAAATGGCACTCGTTCGACCAAGGCAGATGCCACGTAATGAGCCATACTAAGCAATGATGGATGCCAAGGCACGGCGATGGGCAGCATGTTGACGCATGGAATGGCGCTGCGTGACAGGTCCAGCGTTGCCAAAGACCGAGCCGCCTGGTATAGGCCCAACACAGGCACACTCGTATGCACAACGTCATGCAGAACAGAGGCCCATGCTGCCACCAGAACGGATGGTAACGAAATTTGATGCGAGGCGAGATGCATTCGCAGACGCTGCACACAATGAACGATATCTCTTTGATGTACGAAAGTAAAGCTTGCAGTAGTGGGAGCAGCCACGGTGGACGTCATGGCCTTAGTAGCAGACGGCTTGTCAATAGCTCCATCGATGTCACTTTGCTGTGCCGCGATGCAAGGTGGGGCTGATGCATACGAGGCCCAGTGATGCTGGATGGCAGATACATCCTTACTTTGTGAGGCTGCTGTCAGCAAGTTGGCCATGCTAGCGGGAGCAAGTTCTGTGGCCTGTGATGCAGGCGTTCCCTCACCTTGGTACAAAGACACGAGGTCATCGACCAAGACTGGCAGAGACCACGCGTCGTACATTGCATGGAAGAGAGAAAGCACTACAACATCGTTCTTGCTGTCTTCCCCATCGATACGGACAAGATCCGCAGATGCCCATGGCTCATCAGCAGGCCACGTTCGATGGTGCGCAAACACACAAGGCATGGCGTCGTCAGAACGAGAAACGCGATGCATGTGCATGCCTTGTGTACGCTTCAACACAACTTGCGCAGGTTCGCAGTCATGCACACATACGAAAATGGAACGAAGAACTTCATGCCGCTTCTGCAGCTCTTCCCAGGCATGTGCGAAGCGTTTGCTATCCAGTTGGCCTCGAGCGCGATATGCATGGAAAAACACGCCCTCTCGATGCTGGGAATGCACTAGTGATGCCATGTGCATCATTTGGCCTGCCGACAGTGGGCGCACAGCCACCACATCCTGCATGGGGCAGTGTGCTTCTGCGGCAGCAGCAGCAGCAGTTGCAGTTGCCACCTGTGCTTGTGTGCAAGGCGTATTGGATGCAAAAGACAATGGAATGGGCGATGATAACGGTGCCATTCTCGCTGAAGATGTTTCCGACTCATGCTTCATACGCTCACACCAGGCAGCCGCAATGCCACGAGGGGTGCCCGCAGCCAGGTCACCCATTTGCAACGACAGGTTGCGCACTCGCGCACGTGCGATGATCTGGATAGCAACGATGGAGTCGAGGCCCAAAAGAAGAAGTGGCGTGTCAGCCAATACGTCTGATAAAGGCACACAAGCCACATCAGCTGTGAGTTCCCGCACTTGTAGCAAGATATCAGGCGGGATGTCCTCGAGCGCAGTTGCTGCCGAGGCTGGAGATGGCGACAATGTGTTAGAGGGTTGGATTGTGGGCTGCTCCGAATCAAGTGATGCGACAGCCAGTGTACCTCTGGGGTTCGAGACGATCGTTTGCAAAATGTCGCTCATCCTTCGCAGCAAAGTCTGCAGATTGGATGAATGCCCACAAAATGACGTGCGTGCCGTAGCCACGAGCCGAATCGTTGTTGGCGTCTGGATAAACTCGACATTCAAAGCATATTGAACTTGATCTTCCATATCCAACGGAATTCTTCGGATATGGATCGGATGTTGATCATTCGCAGCATGCTGCTGCACATCCAGCAACGCCTCAACCAAAGGTGCCGTTGAATTGTGCGTGCGTTGGTGTTCCACTGCAATCGAACGCAGCGGTGCATGCCGATGTGGACGCGCTGCATCGACGGTTCGCTGTAGCGACTCGAGTTGGGCATCGAAAGACGAAGCCTGAAGCTTCACACGCGTAGGGATCGTATTGAGCATGGGGCCTAGGACATCGACGGCGTCATGCACATCACTTCGCAGACTGAAAACCTGACCGAAGCATACGTCAGTCGTTTGCATACACTCGGCAAGCAAGAACGCGAAGGCCAACGTAGCAAGTGTATGCACCGAAACACCACATTGACGACACGCATCCTCGACTATGCTCGATGCCAATTGTGTGTCAAAGGTGCTGGTCCGTGCTTCGCGCGACATAGACGCCGACGAAGATAACATTGCAGCAGAGCCCGGTATTGCCGCCGCCATATCTCTCCTGTACGGACTCAGGGTTCGAGGCACGTAGCCCCGTAATGTGCCAAGCCAGTAGGGCACATGTGGCGAACCAGCGCACAAATGTGGCACAACACTCTCGAACGGAAGCCTTTCCGGTGCTTGTTCCCCGCACAGCACAGCATCCACGTCGTCAAAAAGAACGTCAAGTGTGTGTGCATCGTACAAAGCATGGTGCATTGCCCACACGGCCAACATACTGTTCTCAGACGTTGGAACCATGTGCAGGACATGGGGCCGAGTGCTGGGATCGCACGCGGCTTGCGCTGCACGCAGTACGACATCCAGGGGTGTCGAGGGAGCGTGCTGCACAAGCGTGGGCGCAATAAGTGGCCAATCGTCATGAACTACCTGAACCCAAGGTACCTGCTGGCAGTCGTATGGTTCAAATGTCGTGCGGAGAATAGCGTTGTTCCTCACGATTCTAGCCCAAGCTGAAACAATAGCTTCGGCTGACACATCAAGACTGAACGCGTGTATATGTGTGTATAAACCACCAAAACTTGCCGCCGTTTGTGCAAGCATACCAGCTTGTAAAGGCGTGCATGGCAGGACATGGCGTGATGACAAGTTCGACGGTAGCGCTGCCTCTTGAAGGATGTCTTTGTATGCAGCAAAGTCTTCTTCATTTTTGGCTGGCATCTCGTCCAGTATAGCAGCGACGCGCGAGGGTGTGGCATGGGCAAGAAGCTCACTGACAGTCAACTTCATCCCACGCAAGCGCATGAGCTTCACAAGGCGGATTGCTGAGAGCGAGTCGATGCCAAGTGTGTAAAAGGAAGCATCACGGTCAATATCTGCCGGTGCCATATGAGTAAACTCAGTCAAGATTCGAAGCAGGGTCAATTCTGTCTGAGTGAGCGGGCGTGAAGACTTTGCGTCTCGCATGCGCTTCGGATCCATGTCCATGTACAGGTTCGCAAGACGCTTCACATCCACCTTATTGTTTGGGGTGAGTGGCAGTGGCGTTGTGAGCACGAGCGTATGCGCAGGCACCATGTACGGAGCAAGTCTTTTCTGCGCACCACGAAGGCACTGCTGTGACCTGGAAAGAGCCTCGGGATCCGTGCGCACATCGAGGGCAGCCGCTGTCGACTGGGATACAGAAGTCAGAGCTAAAAATGCGACAAGCTGCTTCGACGGATGCGAGGGATGCTGAAGGTATTGTACACAAGCATCCGAAATGCCAAACTCCGTGGCCAATTCGTGTGCAATTTCATCTAGCTCCACACGCTGGCCATTCACTTTCACTTGACCACGCTCCATGCGACCCAAACACTCGACAACACCGTTGTGCAACAAGCGACCACGATCGCCTGTGCGATATACACGCTGCGAACGTGTACCCAGAGTCAGAGTCGGGAACTTTTGCGCCGTGAGCTCAGGTGCACCTACGTAGCCATCAGCGACTTGAGGCCCGCCCACGACAATCTCCCCCACAGCGCCCGTGTAAGCCAGCTCGTTGCCACGGCAAATGTAGAGAGTCGTTGCCGGGTAAACTTTGCCAACGACGGAGCGACGTGTATTTGCATCGACATGCCCTAGTGTGTTGCCGATTGTACCTTCCGTTGGTCCGTATGCATTGATGAGCTTCTGTGGGGGCGTGCCCCATTCACGCACAACACGCTCGTCCACCATGTCGCCACCACTCATGAGCCATTCCATAGGCGGCAAGTGCTCTGGATGCACAAGAGCAGCCAGTGCGGCAGGCAAGTCCGCCATTGTGATACGCAAAGCACGAAACGCCGCTTCAAGGTCGGTCAATAAGATGTCCTTCGGTGCCGTAGCCATAGCAAAGCCAAGACTTAACGGCAAGCACAACTCGAATAATGAAACGTCGAACCCTGGCGAGGCGAGTTGGAGAAGACGTGATTGCTGCGTGTATGGCAACATGATCTTCCACGACTTGATCGCAGCAGCTAGTGCACGGTGTGAAATTTGCACACCTTTAGGCTTGCCTGTGGACCCGGAGGTGAATAAAATGTAGGCAGGTACTCGCAGGCTAGGTTCATAAGTGAATGGTCTTTCACTGCACGGTTCTTCAAGCTGGCGCAGAAGAAGTCGTGGCAAAGACACGTCAATCATATGCTCATACTCGTCAGTCGTAACAATTGTACCCGATCCAACGATCTGGATCATGTATCGCAGACGATCTAGAGGGAGTGTGGGATCCAAGGGTACATACACTTTTTGTGCTTTCCATGCAGCAAGAAGCACGAGATACAGGCTCAAGCTGCGTGGCAAGTGTACATATACAGCATCACCGGATGGTACCTGCTGCTGCACGAGATGCTGCGCGTACTGGCTTGACAAGACATCAACTTGATGGTACGTCAATGTCTTGGCGACAAGTGGTTGGACACTTGAAGCAAACGTTAGGGCCCTCAGCATCTGGCTGGGTCTTCACATGCTTCGCAAACCTAGCCAGGAATGCATCTGCTTCAGTCGGTTCGTAAGGCTCAGGATGAACACATGCCAAGAGGCAAGCACGATCGCTAGCATGACAACCGTTGTCCAAAGCGCGATCCTTGCCAATTCCGACTCCGTTGACAATGGTTCGTAAACGATCTTCAAGCTGCCTGAGAATCAAGCCTGCTTGCTCGGCTGGCACACGGTCTGGCGCATACGTCGATTCAAACACAATCGAGTTACTCCGCTCATTTGTCGTGACTTGCAGCGCATAAACAAAGTCTGTCGCCATGTACGATTCCCATGCACGCACACCATGCGGTAATGAGGTTGCAGTTGCATCAGAGGCAGGAAGAAATGAGAATAATACATCAAACAGCGTCGTGTCCATGCCAATTGCATGTGCGACATCTGTGAGATGCACAAACTGATGGTGAAGTGCCTCAGTCAGCTGTTGATGCACGCCTTGTGCATCGTGCGTCGCTTTCCAACGAAATGGTACAGTCGTTATGCAGGGTCCGTGTGCCGTAGCGTGCTTTGCGTCACCCATACGCCCGCTTAACACAATACCTAGCGTTGCTTCCTCTTCGCCAACATACTCGGCCACAAGTGATGCGAACGCATGCAAAATAAGTGATTGAACCGTGATGTGCAGCACCTGCGCGCATGACTGAAGCTCGATAAGAGTGAGTCGTGGCTTCCAAATCAAAAGGTGACTTGCCCCAGCTTCCTCGTACTTGCCAGTAAGATTTGGCATTGGCGTACGGGTCATGTCTTGCAAAAGTCGAGCGTAGTATTGAGCCATTTGCATCAACAGACTGCGCAGCATGACGAACGACATCGAAGAATGTGTCCGCCGACGTTTCGCGACTTACCGCTGCCACAAGGAGATCCAAAGATGCCGCATCATAAATGGCATGATGCATGCTCAAGCACAGTACGTCTGTGTACAGAACAAGACGCACGGGTGGCCATTCGTCCAACCGTGCGAGAATATCGTCGGCGACCCGATCACACGCGGCATTGGTACACGGCTCGTCGAGACAGGTATCTACAGCTGGCAAAGTATCCAGCACTTCCATGCTCATATGCGAGTCGACATGAAATACCGTACGATATATTTTGAATTGCGCCAGTGTATTGCGCCACTGGCGCATGATCTGCCTGCGCTCAATTGGATTTGTTGGTTCAAGATGAAGACGCACATGATGGATATACCAATGCTTAGACGGCTCCGCTAGAGACTGCGCGAGTGTGGCGCATTGAAGAGGCAAGGGCGGCGGCATTGACTGAGGAGTGTCATCCTCACGAGCCACCACTGCCGCATTCCTATCAGACGAGTGCGCTAGTATGCCAGCCAATGAGGGAGATGTCATTATAACGGCAATCGGAGCACGAATTCCGGCTTGCTCGAGTGCATATGCAAGACGTACAGTCTTTAGACTGTCGAGTCCGAGACTAAACAAGTCTGCATGCACGCCCACCTCATCCACACCCAACACATCTTGTATAACGCGCGCAGCTGTGCGTTCGGCGAGAGTTTGCGGCGGAGTATGATCAAAAAGTGACACACGCTTCAAGGTCGTGTATATATCTTCCAATGCGCGCCGGTCCAGCTTGCCACTTACGCGAGCCAATGGCAATGCAGATAAAGTCAGGATCACGCTTGGCACCATGTATGTAACAAGGGTGTGACGTAACGCATGCAAGAGATATGACGTGTCGGTTGTCGTGACGGTCGGTGGTTGAGAGTCAGTGCACATTTCGATACGATCCGACACGAATGCTACTAGGTGAGGCTCCTCAAATTCAGGGTGCGTGAGAAGTAATGTGACAGCATGTTTTGCGCCGGCCATTTGAAGCGCTGTATCGACCTCTGTTAGCTCAACACGAGCGCCTCGTACTTTGACCTGGTTGTGTCCGACCCGTCCTAGGTATTCGATGTGACCGTCAGGCATCATCCGGGCTAGGTCCCCAGTCTTGTAAGCACGCATGCCATCCATTTCGAAAAAAGCATCAGAGTCACGATGTATATATCCAAGTCCCACATGTGTACCGACAATACAAAGTTCACCAGTTTCGCCGCGAAGCGCCACTCGATCATTTGCACGAATAACGAAGGCATTGCCGGCAAATGCCGTGCCAATGTCGGACGCAAGTGAATCCACGTACACGGGTGTGCAAGAAATGCCAATGGTCGCTTCAGTTGGACCATATGCATTTAAAACAAGAACGCGCGAGGCATTGCCATGGCCTCTAGAGCTGCCCCAGTGTTCGACGATGTCATCAGCGATCTTCTCGCCACCCACGATGAGTGCACGAAGCGAAGGTAGATCTGACGGCACTATTCGCCGACCCTGGGTGAAAAAGAGCGATGGCACCACACACGCATGTGTGACGTTAGCATTAGCCATAGCTACGCCAAGATCAGCAAGCAGTAAGCTCCTCCTCATCGTAACGACAGTTGCGCCCATTTGCCACGCGAGAAGGCACTCTAAAAGATGCACATCGAAAGCTTCCGCTGATCGAGCTAGAAAGCGTGCATTGTGCCAAGAGACGGAGCCGAAAGCATGGCGGAAGTTGTCAATGGCATAAGCCAGGTTCGCATGCGACAAGACGCAGCCTTTAGGGTGGCCTGTCGAGCCTGACGTGTATAAAATATACGCTGGATCATTGGCGTCGATCGGTCGCATATCTGGACCGTGTTCACTGATCATGTCGGAAGGCCGAGCGCGATCACATGGCCATGGAGCTGCTGGATCGTGATCCTCCGCAGTGATGACAAGCACTGCACCACTATCACGCAATAGCTGGTCACATCGAACATGCGGCAATGACTCGTCTAGTGGAAGGTAAACGAGTCCAGCACGCAGAATACCAAGAAGACATATGTATGTAGATAACGAACGCGGCATAGCGACACCAACGACGGAGCGGGGCGCGAAGCGTAAAAGCCATGAAGCGATCTTGGCACTTTGCAGATGAAGTTCAGCAAAGGATAGTGTCGAGATATCGGTGCTTGAGAAAGAGTCACGATATTCGACGGCCGTGTTCGTGCATGCCGCGGAGCTTGCATAGTGCTGTACCCATGCAGCGACATTTGGGTATACAGGACGCGTTGGTGCCGGCATAAGTTGCCTAGCAAGAAGGGCCGCATCCAAGCGTGCAGGAAGATGTGAAACATCCAAGGAAGTGTCATGCACATAAGCAGCCAGAAGAGTATCCATTTGAGCTAGGATCAAGCGCGCATATTCATCAGAGACGCTTGAACAGATGGAATTCAGTACGAAGCTCACAGCGCCGTCGCGCGAGATCCTTAGCTCCAGTGCAAGAGTATGCTCAACGCTCAATCCGAGATCAGTGCAATGCTGCCAAGACAAAAGGCGCTCAGATACGTCAGGTTCACTGTCCATTTCCAACACAAAAAAGGCTCACAAACAATGGCTGATCAGGTGGGCAATTGACAAGATGACGAACGAATGACAATGGCACTGATGCGTGATCTTGAAGATGCGAATAGACCATGTGCATGTGTTGGACCTGCTCGGCCACTGTGCCTTTTGACAAATCTACACTGACAGGCAAAGTAGCGAGCAAAGGGCCGCCTGTTGATGTATATTCAGCGCGGCGGCCACGCAACGACATGACATCTCCAAGCAAAATGCGCGACGTGCCGAGGTATGCGCTCAAGACTCTTGCCCACGCGAGGTGAGCCAATGGACGCACAGATGTGCCGAGCTGAGCCGCTGTTTGTTCGAGAGCTTGCCACGATATTGATGCGACGCGTTTATGAATTTGCAGGGTATGCACGGGTCCAGTCCGCCTCGTCTGCAAAACAGGCCAAGATGTGTGCTCCATGGTGGTCAGATATTTGCTCCATGCATCAAGAGAGACCTGCTCTTGATCGGGTGATGGTACCAAGTCGCAGAGCGCCTGTGTCCAGGGCGTCGTGCGTTGGGCTTTGGCATTCGGATCAGCACACAGCTGATCGATCCGCGCAAGAACCAAGTCAAGTGTGGGTGCATCGTACAGCGCATGGTGAAGGATCAGGACAAATCTTTGTGTGTCGGAGTCGTACGCAGCAAACCAAGGCGGCTGACCGTTGGCAGCGTCTGGCACACGAGGCCGCAGTGACTCCAGTACATCGCCTACGAACGACAGGAGTGTAATGTGTGGCTCTTCGTGCACAACGGCGGCAAACAATGGCGCATACGGAGACGCCGAAGAGCCAGAAGATGTCTGGTTCGAGCCCAAAGGGAGAAATCCCATCCGCAAGCAGTCCATGTCCCGAGCAGTGCGTTCAAGTGCTGCATGCAGCCGGTCTACAGTCGATTGTGCGTGCATGACACGGGAGATCCAGTAACGTGTCGAATCAAGATGGGACTCGAGAAGCATGCCCTGCTGAAGCGATGTAGCTGGCTGCACATGAACATGCGGCACATTGAGCGTGCTCGCATACGCGTGCTTGCAGGCTGCGTACCAAGCATGTCGACACTCATGCGGGTCGACATGCGCACGTTCCGAGTATGCACGTATCAGCTTAGAGAGAGAGTCGTGTCGCACCAGATCGGCAGCACTCACATGAAAACCTGCTTCGGCAAGCTTAGCCGACAGCGCCATGGCACGCACCGAATTGATGCCGAGCATCGTAAAACGCACGCTAGGAGAGATTTGTTCACAAGGCACACAGCCAATTCGGGGCAAGAATGAACACAAGCGCACAGCGAGTGGGTGGGTCATGATATGCTGTGCATCGGCATCGTGCCCAGCGCCCTGTTCATCACCAACTCGGGCTTCCCATGCAGCCAGGTCCAGCGCTTCATAGGCGGCACGAACAGCGCGCCGATCAATCTTAGCACTCGACGTGCGCGGAAAAAAGGATAAAATGACAAAGTGGAACGGCACCATGTATGAGGGCAGCAGAGCCTGTGTCCCTGAGCGCAACGTACGCGCCACCGTAACGGCATCGTCATCTGTTCGAAGAAACGCAGGCGCCGACTCGCATCTGGCCAGTGACGAGCTGTGATCATGCGAGCTGACTTTGTCCACGTCTGGTGGTGGGGGGCACACGGCAAATGCAACGATTCGCGGCGGCTCATTTGGGTCCGGACCCGGCAGCGCGACTGTATCGGCATCACGCACGTGCTTTGACACGGACTTGACGGCCGCATTGATTTCCAGCAGCTCGATACGTACGCCATTGATCTTGACTTGGTCGTCGTTGCGTCCAAGGTACTCGAATTGGCCATCCCACAACTGCCTGGCGAGGTCGCCTGTGTGGTACAAACGACCAAACGTCGGGTGCATCACAAACTTTTCACGCGTCTTTTCGTCGTCACCGATATAGCCACGCGCTAGCTGCGGACCTCCAAGCATGAGCTCACCAATGCAACCACGCGGTACAATCTGCCCGTTGCCATCCATTAGCACACAAAGCGCATCGTCAAATGCCGTTCCGATATTGTGCGCCTTGACCTCATCATCAGGTACGACTTCCCGCATCGTCAAGGACAGAGTCGCCTCAGCAGGCCCATAGATGTTCACGACGCGACAGTCTTGTGACCAGTTATCAGCCACCGCTTGAGACAGTTTTTCACCGCCATTGATCATGACGCGCATCGTCGGTACAGCGTGCCGTGGCACCATCGCCGACACAGCGGGCGTAAATAGCGTGTGTGTGACTTCCAGTGCATTGGCGACGTCAACCAGGCGAGACAAAAGCATGTCGAGGGGCGCAAAGCACACGGTGCCGCCATAACCCCATGTATAAAATATATCAAAGATGGATAGGTCAAAAACGTATGCAGCAAACTGCAAGTACCGCAGTGAACCGGGTCGCACTGGGACGTCAAGCGCAGTTGGCACAGCCACTTGTAACGCACGCATGCCCTGAACGGCGGCGACGTGCTCAACACCCACAGCCTTCGGCAAGCCGGTGGTGCCGCTGGTCCAGATCTTATAGGCAAGGTGCGTCGCATGTGCACGTTCCGGTGTGCGTTCAAGCATACTTGCAGCATCCATTGGACGGTCAAGACGCGCCATTTGAATATGCTCGGGACACACGTCCTCAAGGATACGCGCATCGTCGTCGCCAGTTGTCAGGGCAAGTCTTGCACCAGACTTGATCAGGAGTGCAGCCTGCCGAGAAGGCGGCCATCCCGGATCAATTGGACACCAAGCAGCCCCAGCCTTCAGAGCGCCCAAAATCGAAGCATACATGTCCATGCACTTGGACATGCACAGTACGACCACTTGGTCCTCGTGTGCAGGCACAGACGACGTACTCGCAGCGTATCCAACGCCACGCGACCATACCAACTTGGCAATGTCATCGGAGCGCTTGTTCAACTCTTCATACGTCCAAGTTACAAATGATGGGGGCGACACAGATGTGCAACATGTAAGCGCTGGGATATGAGGGGTTTCTTGTGCGCGACGAAGAAACTGGTCTTCGAGGCGCTCGTATTCAATACCACCCGGCATATCGCTCGACATGAAAATAGGATGGGGGTTTACGAGACTCATAAGTTCGGTTGGGATGGACTTGGTTGGATCAAGCCGGTGCACGAGAGCATGCAACACATGCTCAACTTGCGCGAGTTGGGTCAAGGCTGAGCCATGAATGTGAACACTTGGTGATGCGAGAAGTGTGAGCGCCACAGGATGCGACGACGATGAGGATGTCGATGTCTGTGCCTGATGAGCAATGAAAACAAGAGATAGAGACGAGTTGGTGCGTGAGAGCGTGGATTCAGCCAGAGACAATGCATTCTGCGTATCCTGATCAGGTGCAGAGACGAAGAGGACAGGCCCATGTATCTGTACATGACGGTCGGAGAGCCACGCCTTCTCGCTAAGCTGCACCATTGATATCGGATCCTCCCATTGACATAGAGATGGTCCAAAGGATATGGCGACGCAAGTATCGGCATCGACGGCATCGAACGCTACATTATCACATTCATGCATAACGTACATGTAAAGCACATAGCCCCAGGCTGCTGAAATGATAGCTCTGGGAGACACGCCAAAATCCTGAGCAGCCTCGTGCAGGTCCTTCCATGTGATATTTGTCGCATTCATCGAGGCATGGCCTAGGGATGCCATGCCATTGCCAGCGAAACTCGTGCGTGAGGGAGCACGAAGACGCCGACCCGTCACGTCAGGAAACGGAACGCGTGACATCGAGAACACGCTAACAAAAAAAAAAAAGAGAAGGAGAAAGGGAAACCGGAGGTGGCTGCCTATGGAAGCGACAAGAGACGTCGTCCCCAGATCAACTGCGTGAGTTCCCTACCAGTTAGGAAGATGTTGTTCGCGTGCCGAGAATGAAAATGTAGCTGACGCAGGGGAAATTGACATGGAGGGTGCATAGTTGATCTGCACATCGAACCAATCAGGACACAGTGATAGAATAGATGGCATCTGATTATATCGCGCCCAATAGCAAGGGCGAACGCGTGGCTCCAGGACATACGTCGCTTGTTTCACGCCCAACTCTGGGAAACCAAAATAAAAAAGGCAGAGAAACAAACCTCTTAAGGCTTTCACGACGCGACACGACACATAGCTTGGCTTTGCTTTTGCTTCATCCACCTGTCGCCGCGACATACCATGTCCGACGGGCATGTGGATGAGAGCATAGATTCCAGACGCCAGTCATCATGGAAGCGGCGGCTCTCGAGTTTGACGCCGTCAATGAAGTATGTGGATCTCTTCAGAGGACTCCAGCCTGTGGAAGGCCTCCTCCTATTTGTTGGTACACTGGCTTCTATAGCTGCTGGGGTTCCATTGCCGATCATTGGTCTTTTGTTCGGCAAGATGGTCGATGGGTTCAATCGGCAGGCATGCGCGTCACGGAGTGGCATGCCGACTGATCCCGCCGAGCGCGACGACTTTCTTCACCAGGTATCGAATCATGTTGTTCAGATCATCATTGTTGCTGCCATTAATTTTGTGCTCATCTGGATCTACACCTGCAGCTGGTCTCTCTTGGGAGAACGCATCGTGCGTCGACTACGTGAACAGTATGTCCGTGCTGTCCTATCGCAAGACATGGCATTCTTCGACGTTCTGCCGCCTGGAGAAATCAGTACGCGTCTTAGCGAGAATCTCATTGCCGTGCAAAACGGAACGAGCGAAAAAGTCGGCATCTTTCTCTCGTCGGTCTCCTATTTTCTTACCAGCTACATCATTGCATTTGTATTGCTGCCTGCTTTGGCAGGTGAGCTCGTATCGCTAATCCCAGCTTTTCTCATCGTTTCATTAGTCGGTGCGCACTTTGTCTCGAAATTTTCTGCTCAAATGTCATCGCATCTTGGTAATGCCTCTGGCATTGCGACTGAATCGCTCAACAATGTACGTGCTGTCCAAGCCTTCGAGGCCCAGAAGCCTCTCTGCAAACTGTACAACTCGCACCTGCATCTCGTCCGAAGAAGTGGACTTTTTCGTGCTTTGTCTGCAGCTACGATGCTTGGGTGCCTGTTTTTTGTTGCATACTCGGCGAATGCGCTTGCTTTTCATTCAGGCAGCCGTATGGTGACGGACCGAATGCGCTCGAACCCAGATGATGCGTCAAGTACTGTCGGTTCTGTTTACACTGTGATTTTTCTTCTCCTTGATGCTTCGTTTGTTGTCGGACAAATAGCGCCGTACTTGCAGACGTTTTCTGCGGCCGGCGGAGCGGGCAGCCAACTGCTGTCGACGATCAGCCAAGAGTCGCCCATAAACGCGCTGAGTGACACGGGCACGATGCCGCCCCTCTCCAGTGAGGCTCTCGGCTTCCACCTACGGAATGTGACTCTCGCGTATCCAGCACGACCTGACGCCAAGGTGTTGGATAATGTCGACCTTGACATTGAGCCTGGGACACGCGTGGGGATTTGTGGATTTAGTGGGAGTGGAAAGAGCACCATTGTCGCTCTTTTGCATCGCTATTACATGCCATTAGAAGGGCAGATCACTTTGCATGACGATACCCCTATCGATGAGCTCAATGTGGGCTGGCTTCGATCACAGATGGGGCTGGTCGGCCAGGAGCCCGTGCTGTTTGACTGCACGGTACTCGAAAGCATCGCCCATGGCCTGCTTGGAAGCTCATCACATAACGACGTCCAGGATGCGATTCGCTGGCTCTCTCGCTATGCATTTGACCATGCAGTGATACCCAAGGACTGGAGCCAGCATTGCCCGTCTGACTTGCGGCCTGGACTCCGGCGCTTACAGGCGCTGTGTGAAGAGGCTGCGCAGCTTGCGCATGCCCACGAATTTATTCTGCAGCTGCCCCATGGATATCTTTCGCGTGTAGGTGACGCTGGTCGTTGCCTCTCGGGTGGCCAAAAACAGCGTATCGCACTCGCACGCGCGATTGTGAAAAAGCCACGGATTTTGATTCTTGATGAAGCGACGGCCGCACTCGACTCGCAGAGCGAAATGGCTGTTCAGACAGCTTTTGATCGAGTGTCGCAGAACCGCACGACTATCGCAATTGCTCATCGTCTCTCGACTATCAAGCATTATGACAAAATCGTCGTCATGGCGCATGGTAAGGTCATGGAGCAGGGTACTCATGCTGAGCTGCTGGCGCTCAATGCACATTATGCAAGTCTCGTACGTGCACAAAGCGATTACGGTGAGAATGACGTGGAGCAGGTCTCCACGACGGAATCGACAGGGGAACAAAAAGTTGCGGCTGTCGAAGACGAGTGTCAAGAAGATGATGACAAACAAGATGTGGTCGATTCAGCACCCTTGACAAGCATGGCGTTGCCATTGCCGACGCAGCCAGTCGTGCCTCCAGCGACAATGGGTGATGTCGAGGGCATTCACCCGCAGGAGCCGGAGCCAATGTCCGTGCTAAAGACAGAACCTGACCAAATGAAAAGCCGTCGACTGTCGTACTCACGGTCGCTCGTGCGGCTGATGCGCTGGGCGCTAATGAAGTGGCCATTTGCTGTAGCAGGCTTCCTTGCCTCGGCTGTGATTGGCGGCGCATTCTCTGGCGAGGCTGTTTTGTTTGGTCATGTTATTGAAGCGCTGAATCCATGCAAGCCGGCGAGAGAAGTGGAGCATCAGTCAGACCTCTTTGCACTGTACTTTTTTGTTCTGGCGATCATCGAGCTGTTTTGCTACTTTGTCAGTGGGGCGGCATTTGGTTTTGTGTCTGAATGGTTGCTTTTGCGGATCCGCAAACTCATGTTTCGTGCGCTAGTGACGCAGCCGCTCGCTTGGTACGAGAGAAAGGACTTGTCGCCGGCGACCATGATTGCCAACCTGAGCGCGGACACGAGCAATCTCGGTGGACTCACTGGGACGGTGGTCGGAACCATCTTTAGTATTCTGGTCAACTTTGTGGCTGGTATCACGCTGGCCCATATTGTGGCGTGGCGTATTGCCGTTGTGATTTTAGCGACAGTACCGATTCTTGTGACGGCCGGCTACATGCGTCTAAAGGTGATTGCCGATTTTCAGAAGCGGCATGAAACCGCATACGCCAGGTCGACAGCCATTGCTGTCGAGGCGGCATCGTGCATACGCACTGTAGCGGCTCTGGGACGGGAGCGGGATGTGATTCAGCTCTTTTCTTACAGTCTCGAGAGGCCGTACCGCGAGAGCATGCGACATATCTTGATGGGCAATGCGTGTCTTGCGATATCACTGAGCATTTCTTACTTTATTTATGGGTTTGCGTACTGGTGGGGCTCAAAAAACGTGGCGGAAGAGCGATTTTCGCAGGTTGCCTTTTTCACGGTCTTACCGGCGCTGTTGTTCTCCGCGCAGTCGTCTGGCCAGCTCTTGGCCTTTGCGCCTGATTTCACAAAAGCACAGGTGTCAGCATCCAATATTTTCTCCATGCTGGACCAAGCAAATCATCCCGTTGACATGCCTGGCTATCAATGGCCTGATCGACGCGAGCGCCGTCGCCTTAGGCAGCAGCGAAAGCACCAGCATTATCTAAAGGACTTGGAGTCCGAGAAATCCCTCGAACCTGTTGGTGCGCATGGCCCACTCGCGGTGTCGTTCGATCATGTATGGTTCACATACCCGGGACGAGATAAGCCTGCATTGCGTGATGTAGTCCTTGATATTCCAGCGGGCTCATTCGCAGCGTTCATTGGATGCAGTGGCTCCGGCAAGTCGACGGCAATGAGTCTGATCGAGTCCTTCTACGAGCCTACCTCAGGCACCGTTCGTGTCGGTGGATGCAGTACAACACATGTACCGACCAAGGCACTCCGAGAGCACATGGCATTGGTGCCGCAGGAAGCGATGCTTTTTCACGGAAGCATCGAATTCAACGTTGCCCTGGGGCTCGCGGACCCACTCTCTGTCGAGGCTGTCATAGAGGAAACGCATGCACACCGCCAAAGGCAACAGACACTATCGCACGCTTGTCACATGGGCTCACATCAGCATGCATCTACGAAGGCTCGTGTCACGAAACCAGATGAACGCATTCTAGCGGCTTGTCAGGCTGCCAAGATTCATGACGCCATTGCCGCTCTGCCCGATCAGTACCGCACGAATATCGGATCAGGAGGTAGTCAATTGAGTGGCGGGCAGAAGCAGCGTGTTTCTATCGCTCGTGCCCTTGTCCGTGCACCACGCCTACTCTTGCTGGATGAGTCGACATCTGCGATGGATGCAAGCAGCGAGAAGGCATTCCAAGAGACACTCAGTAAGCTACATTCGTCGCGCTCGTGCACCATTGTGGCCATTGCACATCGTATGCGTACGATTCGTACGGCTGACGTGATCTTTTTGTTTGACCAGGGCCGAATTGTCGCTCGTGGGACGCATGACGAGCTGATCAAGACGTGTTCGCGTTACCAAGCTATGATTTCACACCAGTCGCTGAGTGCGTAGCTGTGCATGGCGCCGAGGTATTCGCTACGTCTCTTATGCCAGCTTATGAGCAGGAATCAATTGGCGATCGACATATATGTGTATATATATATATATGTATGCCTCTGGATCAGATGGTTCTATATGAGACAGGGTCGCCTCACATTCTTTTGCAGCAAAGGTCCCTTTCCCATTCCGAATTATGTTCATGTCTGCATGTCCATCTATGTCTTCATGTTACGGGTTATTTGCTAGTAGGAATTGCATGTATATAGGATTTTGTGTTTCTTCGACGTACGCATAATTGAGTTCCTCCAAGAATTGATCGAATTTGGCGCCTGTTTCTGGAGGGACCTGGATGCCAGCCAACACTCGCGCCACGTCACCGCCTTCACAACGATAGTGAAACAGAGAAATATTCCAACCGGCATCAATGCCGGTCAGGAAGCGCTGCAGAGCGCCAGGTCGTTCTGGGAACTGGAAGCGGAAAAGACGTTCGTGTGGCACGATGGCACGACCACCAATCAAGTAACGGGAATGCGCTTTGACAAGCTCGTTATGACTCATGTCTTCAGCATGCATGCCGTCTTTTCTGAGTCCCTCAAGAATGCCCTGGATCTCGAGTTCGCGCAAGTTCGATACCGCCACTGGTGGCTTCGTACTGGACACAATCGGATTCTCTTCCGAAGCCGGCACGGTGCCTTTTAAGAGGAATGATGCAAAGATACGCGCTTGGGACGAGCCATTCGAGCGGTATGAAAACTCTGTAATGTCACGCGGATAAATGTGTTTGTTTAGCTGCAAGAAACTTCCAGGCACATCGGGAATCGTTACTGACATGATGGCCTCACGCTGCTCACCAAGTTCCGCACGCTCCGAGACGAAGCGCAAGCGGCTAAAGTTCATGTTCGCACCACTCACTACTGCGACAAAGCGACGACTCGTTGCATCCGCGCCCTGTAATGCAATATATCGTTTCATGCCTGCCACAGCCAAAGCACCTGCTGGCTCAGTGATAGCACGTGTGTCCTCGAATACGTCTTTGATGGCGGCGCAAATCTCATCATTCGATACACGCACCACAGCATCGACGAGCGAGTTGCATACGCGGAAAGTCTCATCGCCAACGAGCCGCACAGCCGTGCCGTCACTAAACAGGCCTGCATCCGCGAGTTCCACGCGCTCACCTTTCTCCATACTTTGTGCCATGGCGTCGGCATCATACGTCTCGACGCCGATCACCTTTACATGTGGCGGTGCAACTCGCTTGATGTAAGCAGCGACGCCACTCAACAGGCCACCGCCGCCAATCGCACAAAACACTGCATCGACTTTCTCCATGTCGGTCTGGCTGCAGATTTCGACGGCCACCGTGCCTTGACCAGCAATCACCTGTGGATGATCAAAGGGGGGGATCATCGTCAAGCCATAAGCCTCAGCAAGGCGCATGGACTCAGCCTTTGCCTCGTCAAAGTTGGCGCCATGAAATACGACCTTCGCACCCAGGCGCTGGACGTTCTCCCACTTGATGCTGGGTGTGCCTCGCGGCATGACAATTGTGCATGGGATCGAAAGATGTGCCCCAGCCATAGCCACACCCTGCGCATGATTTCCAGCACTGCATGCAATCACGCCCTTCCATTTTCGTGTATCTTCGAGCTGTCGCATCATGTTGTAGGCGCCACGTAGCTTGAAACTAAACACGGGCTGCAAGTCATCGCGCTTCAGCAGAATCTCACATCCCATGCGCTTCGAAAGTTGTGTCGCTGCGACAAGAGGCGTCTGTCGCGCCAGGTCGTACAGGTGTGCGCCGAGAATCATACGCAAGTAGTCGGGTGTGCCATCGTCAAGTCGGTGGTACTTTGGAAGAAGCTCGTATGTGTGCTTGGTGGTATCAGTGACCGTGTATGTTTTGGCTTCACGATGAATGTACAGCGCAGGAGCAGCTGGTGAGTTCATCTCTGTAAAGTGATCGAGAAGGCCTCTCGTATGAGCTCGTTGCAATCAAAGTATTGCAGGCCCCACTATGCAGCTGCTTCTCTAGTTGGGATCATTCCACCCATGATGTGATACGTGGGGGTGCGCTTTGTACCACGTGACTCATGAGGGCAATGGGTCTAGAGAGCTTCGAGATCGACACCCACGTCTGACTCATACATTTGGCCATGCTTGGCGCTTATTGTACGCCAAGAACGCAAGTGAAAACAAGTAGTTGTGTGTGTGTGTGATTTTTTTTTGTATTTTTCCTCTGATGCGAGCATCACTTCTCGTGCCGCACCGATGTTCATCTCCACATAGACGACCTTTTTTCATTTCACAATAACGTGAATGGGACGACGTTCGTCTGGTAGCAACAATCGTCGTTCTGCCGAGCAAGCTCGAAGACATGGTGGGAAAGGCGGAGGAAATAAAGGAAATGCACGAGTGGGTCAAGCGCACCTGGATTCCCATGGAGTTCGGATGCAGCAGCCTTTCAAGCGTGGTGGACGTTTGGCGTGCGCCAAGCAGACCAATGCCGATCTTCTTCAGCTTAACATGATGAATGATACCCACGAAGCGGAAGCCGTTGATATGGCAGTGGAAGCAAAGCAGGCAAGTCGAGATGCACGTGCGCGTCTCGCACAAATGACCGACAAGGATCACAGTATCAAGTCCTACATGAAGGAACTACGCAAAGTCCTGGAGCATGCTGATGTACTGCTGGAAGTGTTGGATGTCCGCGATCCTCTAGGATGTCGAGCGTATGCAGTTGAAGAAGAGGCACAGCGCCTCGGGAAGCGGATTGTACTGATTCTCAACAAGATTGATCTCGTGCCACGCTCGAATGCCCAGGCATGGCTCGAGTACTTGCGCCACGAATTTCCGACATTGCCATTCAAAGCATCAACTCAGCAACAACGTAGCAACTTGGCACAGAGTCAGAACATTTCATGGAAAAGCACGGGATCAGGCGACAAGGCAGAGGCACAATGGGCTGGCGGTGCCGAGTCCGCTGGCACACGAGCGATCCTGCAGTTGATCAAGAACTACTCGCGCAACCTGAATCTCAAGACAAGCATCACGGTAGGCACAATAGGTGCGCCAAACGTGGGAAAGAGTAGTCTGATCAATTCGCTGAAGCGCTCGCGTGTGTGTGGCGTGGCATCCACGCCCGGTCATACAAAGGTTGTTCAGGGCATTATGCTTGATCGCCATGTGCGACTGCTCGACAGCCCAGGTATTGTGTTTTCCGATGCAAATGCATCGCCTGGGGCAACGGCTGCCGAGATCACTGCGGCAGCTGAAGCCGCCATGCTACGGAACGTGCTCAAAGTCGAGTCTGTCGAAGACCCTGTAGAGCCTGTGCAGGCGATTCTGAATCGGATCGAACCAAAGTACCTTGCAGACGTGTACGATATTCCTCCTATTACGTCTCGGGATGCGCAAGACTTTCTTTTGCGAGTTGCATACCAAAAAGGCCGGCTTGGACGCGGCGCTCTGCCTGACTTGGACGCTACTGCCCGTTCCGTCTTGCATGACTGGAACACGGGCAAAATTAAATACCACACAGAGCCGCCAGCCAAGCATCCAGACCTGCTTCGCCGTCGTAGTAGCACACAAAGCACAAGACAACCAGGTGCTTTATCATCGTCAAGTGACGATGGAAGCGCTGCGATCCTCACGTCCTTCAGTGAACCATTTGATTTGGCCGGCCTACTAGGCGAGGCTGATGCTGATGTATTGGGCGGCGACGGGGCATACTCGCCACCAGCCTCGGAGTCACAGGTGCAGGAGCAACAGGAAACCCCCACACAAGCTATGCATGATGAGGTTGTTGCAGATGTAACGGATTCGACGCTTGGCAAGCGCGGGCGTCTTGACTCGGACGACGAGTCGGACGACGATAATGTGGACGATTCACGTGCACATCGAAAACCCAATGCGTGGTCGCTCCTCGATGTGCAGGGGAATGACGATGACGATGACGATGACGCCGACGACGACGACGACGACAATGGCATGGACTTGGGATTCCATGCGAACCAAGCCAAAACTTTGTCATCTGCCGAGACCAAGTCGAAGCAAGGCAAGGCATCGAACGATCGACCGATGTTTTCTGCGGCAGAAATCCAGGATATGGCGCCAGCACGAGGAAAGGAGCGACGCAAGGCACGCAAGCTCAAGAAGCGACGTGCCGGTGATGCACTCGTAGATCAAATCGACACGCTCATGGACTTTGGGGATGCGCATGATCAGTCGGCAGACGAGATCGAGGCAGACGGACACAGTGGGTCAGCGGACATGATTGATGTTCGCGGAGCTGAGCGTGTAATTTCTGAGCCATCCGTCGACGCTGCCAATGCACAAGACGTATCAGAAGAAGAGGAACTGTAACGCAGGAGCGAGTTCTTGTGAAGCAAGGAAGAAGGAAAAGGATTCATCTACCACGAACGTTGCTGGGTATGCATGATGTCTATGATATCTACGAGGCACGAGGCTTCTTGGATGCATCAGCGCCGGTTGGCTCGGCACTAGCCTTGCGTTTGGTATCTTCTTTCGTCGCATGACCTGTCAGCTTGGCATAGATAGCACGCAGCTTCTCAGGCTCAACCTTTTTGGGCCAAAAGAAGGACGAAAATGCCCACAGATGTTCATACCACTTCTGCTGCCGCGCTTTGGGCAGGTTGGCAAACTTGCTGGCAATGACGTGGTCGATGTGAGTGCCGATAGCCGACAGACACTGTTTAAGCGTGGCGATTTTTCGATCTCGGTCCAGGTGCTCGGTGTCGTCCTTGAGTGTCTTGAGCTGCTTCTTGCATGGCCGCATAAGCTCCTTGCACTCGAGTTCATCCATACTCGCATAGCCATCCTCGTCAGACTCGTCCGACGAATACTGCGCTGCGCTGCGCTTGCTTTTCTCTGCTCGACCAGAACCTGATGATGACCGGGACGATCGCTTGCGAGGCTTGCCGCCTTCATCGTCCCTTTTGCCGTGATGGTGATGCGAGTGGTGGCTTACCGACTCACGCAGGGTCTTGAGCAGGTAATCACCACGGCGGACAAGATGGATCGCATTCGGAATCGGACGCGACTTGCCAGCGCCTGTTTTGGACTTGGTCGTTTCGTCTTTTGCCGTCGAGACAGGTGCCGAGGCCGCTGACGTCGACGTGTCGTCCTCGTCTTTCGTGGTATCTGAATGGCGCTTGCCTTCCTCAAGGAAAAAGCGGCCTTGAAGGCCCAGATCGGGATCGACCTCCATCTGCTCCCAGGACCCAAAGCCGTACCGCCAAATACCTACAAGAAGCATGGAGTCTTCTTTATGGCCCCATTCGCAATGCCAGTTGAGTGTGCTCTTCAAATTGTCAACGGGAATCCGCCACTGCCGCACGTCATTCACACGCTCGAGCATGTCGGCTAGCAAGTGCAACTCGTAATGCCGGATCAGCAGTGTCTCGGCATTAATATTTGATATGCCTCGGTAATTGATGAGCACGGCACGCTGCCGGAGAGCTGATGTGATTTCCTCGCCTCGCTCCTGTTTGCCTTTGATGAAGGCCAAGTGCTCCGCAAGCTTCTCTTCTGCCAGAGCGACTAGCTCATTTCGAAGCCTGCATGAGTACAGAGCGGTTCTTGTCCATGAGCTTGCCTTCTGACACAATCTGATCGTATCGATATCGAATGTCACCCCAACGCTGGATGCCTCGCAGTAAGACACGCAAGTCACGTTCCTTCAGCTCGAGCGAGCGCTGGCCGGACGTCTTGCGGGTGACTTTGCCGCCACTGCTGCTATTCCCTGCATTGCCTTTGGACTTGGATGTCGTCGACGTGCCGGCATCGCCCGAGCCATCTTCAGTCGCAGTGACATGAGCCGTAGCCTCGCTGGACGCCACGGCTGCGCGACGGCGCGACGAGCTCGCGGCCATTGCGCTTTCCACCGCTCGTTGCCGCTCTTCCTCCTCGGCTTTGGCCCGATCCTCCGACGGAATGATATCGTCCCAGGACACGTCATCCGCCTTGAAGTCCTGGACCTGAGCGAATTGCTGCAAGAATGCCTGGCTACCAGACGACGCGGTATTACTATCGGCCTCTGTGTCGCGCGCTTCGGCATGCTGCAAGATATCGTCAAGATCCATTTCGTCCAGCTTCTTCTGCTGACCATCTTCGTCGCTCTTGAACATGCTCTGTGCCCCGAACTTGAGAATGGCACCGAGCTCCTCGCGACTAAAGTTCTGCGACGACTTCGACAGCGACTTGGGCGCAAAGTTCGTGCCGGACGTGTCCATCTGATTGATGATGGCATATTCCAAGCCCATCTTTTGCTTTGCCCGCTCAAGCACGTCTTCTTCAACAGTGCCCTTCGTCAGGAAGCGAAAGACGTTGATATGGAACTTGGAGTTGAGGCGGTGCGCACGCGACATGGCTTGAAGGTCGTTTTGTGGATTCCAGTCGCTGTCAAAGATGATCACCGTGTCGGCGGTCTCTAGATTGATGCCAAGTCCACCAGCACGTGTCGAGAGGAGGAAGCAAAAGTCCGGCGACTGTGGAGCATTGAAGTGATCGATGGCTCGCTTGCGTGTGTCCGAAGAGACCGTGCCATCAAGCCGCTGGTGCACGTAACCCCGAAGGCTCAGGTAGTCAGAGAGGATATCTAGCATGTGGACCATCTGACTGAAGATTAACACACGGTGGTTATCGGCTTTAAGTCGTGCAAGAAGCTTGTCAAGCAAGACCATTTTACCACTGTGCATGATCAGGCCGCGAAGCGTTTCCTCGCGGCTGTTGGTCGGCGTCTCGACGCCATCAAAGAGATAAGGATGGTTTGATGCCTTCTTCAACTCGACAGCAATGTTCAGCAAAGAGAATTGCGTGGAATGGCTTCCACTCAGCAAGGAGTAGTTGCGCGTCAAAATAGCCTTGTACATGCGCTGCTGCATTGCCGACATTTCCACACGCAGAATCTGCTCGGACTTCGTCGGCAGCTCCTTGGCAACATCACGCTTCAAACGACGTAACATGACATTTTCAAGGCGTTCGTGTAATTCCTGGATCTTGTTCTGATCGACATTCGAAATGTCAAAGTCCACTTCGAAATCAAACTGGTCCGGCCGCAGGAAATGAAGCAGCGCACTTAGCTCACGCACATTGTTCTGCAACGGCGTACCAGTGATCAGAAGCTTGCCTGCACAGTGGAACGAGCTCAAGCACTCATACAAAAGCGACTCGGCATTCTTCAAGCGGTGTGCCTCGTCGACTGCGAGGAACTGCCACTTGATCGGCATCAGCTCGGCCCGATCCTTCAAGATGAACTCATACGTTGTCAAAAGGACATTCAGCCGCATTTTGCGCGGCGGGCCAAATTCATACTCGCGAATCACTTCACGGCTCTGCGAGTTGCCTGTGTAAGCAACAACATTCATGTCCGGTGCCCACTGCTCAAACTGCGAGAGCCACGATGGGAGCGTCGATAGAGGCACGACCACAAGAAACGGTCCATACTGGTAACACGTGTGGAACAAGTAGGAAAAGAAGGCAACCGTTTGCACGGTCTTTCCCAGGCCCATTTCGTCAGCCAAGATCCCATTTTCCGCATGACTCCACAAGTACGCCAGCCAGTTAAGGCCTGTCATTTGGAAATCCTTGAGCGTGCCATGCTCGCCAATGTATTTGGGCTGCTCCGTCATACGCACGTACGGTGGACGACCACGGCTAAACGACTCGCTGCGCGATGGCACAGTCACAGACGTGGCTCGCGCCAGGTATGCGTCAATCTGAGCACGTGCAATGGGGGCGACATCGTCCTCAGACTCCCAAGAACATTGGTCGTAACCGAGCTCCTTCCATTTGCACAGGTACTGGGTGTGAGTGTATGGCACTTCTTTCGTAGGTGGATTATCGCGCTGAGCAATGACACGCTCAACGGTGCGAAAACTCTCCAGTAGCGCACGCTGCCGCTCACGCTGGATCTGAAGTGCCTCAAGATCCTCGCGCGTAGCATGCGGGTTCGTCGAGATGTCATGCATCGGCTGCCAAACAGCTTTGATATAATTGCTCACGCGTTTTGCTCCTGGGAAACGCTGCAAAAACTCGTACAACTCATGCGTGTTATGAAGATGAGAGTAGCCACGCCATTTGATCACGAAGCGCATATTTCTCGTTGGCTCGTCGTCCTCGTCGTCCTTGAATGCCTCATCACGCTCATGGCCAAACACTCCTTCGATTTGGTCCAGTTGCTCAGCTGGCTCAGCTGTCTCTTGCTCGTAAGAGTCGACTTCATCTTCAAACGGGTCATCCTCAGACATGCCATGGTAGTCGTCGGCGTAATTTGTCACTTTGGTGGAATGCCGACTGGACATGCGAACGGCTGTACTCCATCCATTCGTATGGCTACCGCCTCGGCGCGAGCGCCGCCGGCGCGTTTTGCGACCGCCAAATTCTCCGTCATCGTCATCATCATCATCATCATCGTCAAAATCATCCTCGACGTTCTGCTCCTCATCCTCATCGTCATCATGTTCATCCACTTCGGCATCTCCATCATCATCGCCATCATCTTCTGGCTCATCGTCGTCGCTTACGTCTTCCGTCACATACTGCATAATCCGTCAGTCTTCGCAATTCACATAACCACGCGCAACCTACTGATTTTCGCGGCGGTGCGCGGCCCTAAACGTTAGCTCTGTCTCAACATGCGCGTATGAACATACCGAGCGGCGCAGGCCATATAGGTCTGGATTCGCTTCAGCGTCGAGGATTTCCGGGCGAAATGCACGCGCGACTCCCCGCGGAGCATGCGACGCCGTCGCTGGTATGGGATCCGTTCGGGATGGTGGATCTGTCATGCTCGTCGCCAAGTCCACAACGTACCTGACATCAGAGGGGGCGAGGGTATGCGGTGCCTGGACGTAAGACTTACACGGCTGTCGGAGCGAACGTTCAGAGACGGACGATACTCAGACGAGAATCTGCCGTTCAAACCACGTGCTATCTCACAATCGTTTGCTCGCCATCGGAAGCGCTTTGTTTCGTTCGCTACCAGCCAACCAGCGAGGCAGCCACTCCACTCGCCCGATTCATCTCTTCACCGTTTGACAGCGGCAGCTATCCATCGTTCTCTATTCAGCAGTAAAGAGCAGAGTGATAGTAGGAAGTCGGCTATGTTTTTCTTTTTTTTTTTTCATTCAGCAATAGAGACTCTCTGAACTTGTGTACATAGGTGTATAACACTTTTCCTATCTGTGGTGAAAGTACGTTATGGAAATGTGGCCGTAATATGACGTAGACAGACAGCTACGAGCCTACTACTACTACTACTACCCTGCGTAAAAATGGAGTGACAGACTGTCGTCGCCGCCCACTCCCACTCCAACTCGCCAAAGTGCCATGTGGCATGGCCCCTGTGTGGGCATGTGGAGGATACTGCTCAGCTGAACTAGCCTACTAGGACGCTCTACCATGCGACAGCCGCACGCTCCGTGCGCTCAGGATCTCTTAGCGAATCCCCACTTGTTGGAGAGGGGTTGTTGATACATTTAGGCGCAGACAACGTGTGCCGCAGGACGCATTTCTCTCCCAACCACAGACCCTTTGGAGTAAAATGGTTCGTATTTTTCTGACATTATCGAAATGTAAACGGACGCTAACTGGAGTCGTATAGTCCAATACGCTGCGCCCATACCTAGAGTGTGTGCGCGCTTCGCTTACAGCTGCATTGACATTGCAAAACTTTGGCTCGCAGGTCGTTGAGCGGCATAATGCACCTGAGGTAGAAGCACAGCGCACGCCTGAAGCTGTGCTGATGCCATTGACTGTGAGCCGGAACGAGCATGAATATGTCTTGATTGAACCGTCTGTGAACAGTGTGCGATTGAGCATCAAGATCAAACAAGCTGATGAGATCGAGCAAATTCTTTGTCACAAATTCACACGCTTTTTGATGCAGCGTGCTGAAAACTTTGTCGTATTACGTCGCAAGCCTATTGCCGGCTTCGACATTTCCTTCCTGATCACAAACGTTCACACAGAGTCTATGTTAAAACACAAGCTTGTCGACTTTATTATCCAGTTCATGGAGGAGGTCGACAAGGAGATCAGTGAAATGAAACTGAGCCTCAATGCGCGCGCACGAATCGTGGCAGAATCATATTTGAGTGTGGTACGTTGACATGCTACTACTTATACAGTTTTAAATTTTTATGCGGGCGCGTTTGGCAGGCTGGTCTTTGTCGCTGTTGGCGGCAGGACTAGGTCGCCCCCCGGCATCAGGGTTGGCACTGGCAACGTAGCTAGGGTGAGCGGCTTGCTCCGGTGTCGGCGTCGTATGGTTGATACTGCCACCACTGCCGCCTCGGCTGCTGCTCCTCTTTGCCTTGGCCTTGAGGCCGCGCTCAGGAACTGGCACATTGGTCATGGGCTTGTAACGTGTCACAGCGTCATCGCCATCACCGTACGACGTTTCAGACACCAGTCGAGTGGGCGGTCCATCTGCGCAGATTGGCACTCGATCACGTGTTTTCTGAGCGTGGAATAGAGATAGAGGAACTGATGTGCCGTTGTGTAGATAATGTGACCACGGATCGGCAGGAACTGCGTCGGCTGGCGTTTCAGACACTTGGTCATGCCAATCCCACGGCGATGACACCAAGTCTGCCGGCAAACAGGTTCGGAGTCTTGTGATGTCACGGCTGTACCTGAGCAAGCTAGAGACTGATCCCGCATCTGTGTTCTCTACCTCTCCTTCGTTGGTAGACACCCTCGACCTTAGCCAAGTGTCCAGCACAGTAGGATCGATCCAGCATTGCACGTGCGCAGCAACAGTCGAAGCGAGAGGCGAGTCCCGGGCTTCATCACAAAGATTGGCAAGCACGACAAGCCATGCGTCAGAATGAACCCGTGCGGCGCACCGCAATACACTGAGGATTGCTGATGCTCGCAAGACGGGCGCCAGAGACGTCGGCAGTCGCGTGAGACACTGTACAGACTGTGTGGCCAAACTTGCATCGCATTTGATGGGAGATGCACACCGGTAGGCATACATGAGGTGGGCAAGACCAGATATGGCATTAGGAAGATGGTGTGGGGTATCAATGGCTTGTACAAATGTGTGAAGAGCATATTGTGCCAGAATAGACACGATGTGTGGCGACGCATCCCATTGTAGTACGAGATCAATAGGGGCTTGACTCGAGCGAGGAGCAAGAAGCATCCGGCCAACTTCTGCAGTTATTGCCTTGGCCTCTTCCAGTACGAGACGCCACTGCAATGCCGCGAGTGAGCCTTCATACAGGTCGTTGACATTCAGACTCGGTGCATGAAGAGACGATGTCATCGTGGCGGCACGTGGCTGAGGCAAGGTGCCACGAGGTTCTTGCTCCATCAACACATGTATGAGACGGCGCACACGTTGAAACCGGTCTTTGCCTCGCAGAGTAAGGGTGCCGCGCCAAATAGCATCAGGCCGAGCCATCCACAAGGCATGCAGCTTGGGCACTTGGTGCGAAAGCACGTTCCAGCACTGCCAACGATGAGGTGTTTCGCACAGGTCGAGTGCCGAGAGAAGGGGCACAAAACCATCAGTATAAGCAATATCAGCTCGCAGAAGATTCACATCATACCAGCCGGCCTCGCCCAGGATGTCGATGGAACATGGATGTTGCTCAGCCGTGTATGTAAACACAAGCGAGAACAACAGCGACATGCAGGCATCCCAGCCAGGGTGGGTCGCAGGAGCTTGCTCCATGAACGGTGCTATAACTCGCTGAAGAAGCTCGGGTGCATGAACGAAGCCATGTCGCACGAGACCTACCACCAGCACGATCCACATACTCGAAGTCGCATGCGCACTAGGCTGGCGCCAAGTGCGATGAATCCATGCGTGCACATTCTCGTCGAGACGCACGCCGACCGTGCCGGCGAGTGTCGCTAGTAGCGTCGAAAGGGCCGCAGGGGGATATGTAGGACTTTGTGCGAGTTTGTCTAATGCGTACACGAGCAAATGAGCAGCTGTTTCATCCAAAGTAGCATGTTGGGCAATTGGCACGCAAGCCTGTGTTGGCTGGGTATGACACAAGGAAACAAACAGCTGCTCGGCACAAGCATCGGGCTCTTTGACGAGAGGCGCTTGGGGCATGGGCGCATAGTTTGGCACGGACACATCTAGTTCCCCTAATGCATGGAGTGCGCGCCGTGCCATTGCTACAGTCATGCCACGGCCGGCGACAGAGATGACGCGTTCGATCTCGGAATTGATGACGGGCTCTGTAATGGCATATGGGACGATACGTCCGACCAAATCAGGAGCAATCTCGAGCGCGTCCCAAATGCGCGCATACATAACAACTGTATGACAGATGGAAATCACGCACGACAGGTTATGTCCATCGAGCAATGCGCACATCAAGCGACCCAAAGTCTGCATCGCATGAATCTTTGTCAGAACCGACGCTGTAAGTGCAAAACGGTCCGCATTCAATGCTGATAGATCGTGAAAAAGCATAGGCGAAAGAAATCGATTCACAATGCGTGCTTGCACGTAAGGTGAAGCATTCCATAGATGTGGTAGACGAGTGCGCAGCTGGAACGCCTCCAGAATGTCGGCTGTCGGATCTGAAGGCGTCGCCGGTGACGCAGGTTTCGGAGAAACGAGCTCGTTGGCTTCTAGAGTTGGTGAAATGACCGAGATACGCGGCACATATGGATTTGGCGAGGCTACTGTCGAGCGCGATAGATATGGGGTAGGCGATGCACACAACGAGTTGGCGGAATAAGCATCAGGCGAAGTGACAGTTGAGCGAGGAGGATCTTGGGTCGGCGAACGAGCCACATTTGGGACGTCGCTGTGCCAATGAAATACGTGGTGCAGCTCACGAATAGCACGACGCTCCACCGTCTCCTCATACGACTCAGAGGGGCGTGGACCGTAGATAGCCAAGCGACGTTGCTGCTGCTGCGCAGCAGTGAGTCTGTGTGTGGGTATACTCCGCAAAAGACGCATGAGATCATGCGAGTCCAAGCGATGATGGTGCAGACGTGGCTCGGTGCCCGAACGGACAAGGCCGCGCGTCGATAATCGCTGAAGAAACTGCATGTAGGAAAACATATTGATTTCTGCAAGCGAGCCTAACAGACGTGCAGCGGCGACAAGATTCAACTCTGACGCGGAGACAAGTTTGTCTGTCCATTGGAGGGTAACTTCTGGAATCGAGATGGGTTTCCATGGACAGGGTATCATGCGGCCATCAGATGACGCAAGTCGCTGTGATTGGCACTCGTCTAGTAAGCGAACTAGCGCTGTAGCGATAAATGCGCGGTGCATACCTGAATGCGAGCCACAGTGCTTGTGCACACAAGACCATTCATACAAAATATGCAGACGCTGCTTCACGAACGCCTCCGTAGTCGCCTCTCGTGGGAGAAAAAAGGCGATAAACGTAGATGAAACGCTTGTCTGTGAGTCAAGAGCTCGCACCGCAGCAACATCCCAAGCTTCGTAATGCGGCAAAAGAGGAAAGAGAGCAGTCGGCAAGAGCTCCGCTTTCTTACACACACGCTCCTGTGTCAAGTACTGCGACAAGACACGCGAATCGTTCAAAAACGAGCGTGCGTGTGCCAACGCATGTGGTTGTAGGCGCGCACAGTGGAATAGCATTGCGTGCGATTGCTGCCTAAGCCAAGGAAATGATGATTCAGCGACACGGGCAAGGGCGGTAACAAGCGCTGTTCCAAGTGCTGCATGTGTCAGTATATCCTCCATATGGATCATCGCTAATTGGGCGACACAGGCGCGTGGCGCACCGCGCACCACGTCCAGTTGCGTGACAATCCAACGATAAAATATATATGGCTCCAGAAGCTGCGCATGCATCAGGCTGTGAACAAGGGCGGTGGCGTAGTCCCAGCGATGCGCCCACACGTGGCGTTGGTCTTCGCTGGTAGGCAGTGAGTCCAGGGACTGCTGTAGCCATTGCAACACTGAATGATTCCACTCGTATATACATTGATCAGCATTGTCGCCGCGTTCCTGTGCTTCCTGGATATCAAGTGAGCACTCATGACGTATGAGCCATATAGCGCGCGGCAATGGAACACTGTAAGGTGATGAGCCCATGGGCGCACGCCATAAAAGATCTAGGATCTTCTCAGCACTAATGCGACGGGGAAGGCGACGGGCGACCGTAGCAAAAGGCACATCTCGGTTCGCCAAATCACGCGAGTACATATCAAGCATGGTCTCGCTTACGGCAGGCTGGGCAAGAGGCTTCCATTGCACACTCTTGTCATCAGCAATATGATTGCGAGATCGGCGATGCTGCCGCAGAGTATCGAGCATGCTGCTCAAGAAATCCACAGCGCCATATTTGGATAGTTGTTCATAGATCTTGTCATGCACGGAACCAGTGTCCTCAGGTACAGGTGGCTTGCAACTTGCGCCGAAGCGAAGATGGCGCGTAGGTACAACCGGGTTGTGCGACGGAAGCCTGACCCCTGCATACCCTAATTGTGGCTCGTTATGATGCAAGAGCGGACGCCAACGAGGTACGTCGATATCACTTGTTTCCACGGCCGTCACCTCGTTCGGAGCACGTGCCTTTGTCGCTTCTTTCATGAACGCGCGCGCTTACGTCCAGGAAGCGGACGCGCACTCTATGGGAGAGAGAGAGAGAGAGCCACGCCGTAGTCGTCCACGTTCTAAACGCGTTCCACACTCCAGGCCGATTGCTCATTTTAGGCTACGCCTGATCACGTTGGCCAGCTGAAATGGTGATGTGAGAGGTGCATGTGTGGAGTCGTCACGTGAAACGAGTCAAAGATACGGCGCTCCAGGTAAGAAAGGCCCCCTTCCCCTCCAGTCGCTTTTCAAAGATCGCGCGCGTGGCTTTTACATTTGGCAGCTAGATTTGAGAAAGAGGGGGGGCGTATGTGTGTGTGGATGTGTGTGGGAGGGAAAAACCCCCTTTTCATGTAGAAAGTGCGCCAAGTGCAATTTCCAGTGATTACGTCTTTTCTAGGAACAACGACGTTGCGTGTGTTCAGTGTGCGACACTGGAACCAACCAATACGGACTTTTCTGTGCAGGTGCCTATCCACGAAACCTGCACTGATGGCGACGAAACAGGCTACGCCTGCTGCCGGGCCTATCAAGCTTGAGAACACAGCGAAGCGTGATTCTCTGCGTGCACTTGAGCAAAAGTATCAAGATGCATGGGCTGCGACACGTGTGTTTGACGTGGATGCGCCTGTGAATGAGCCAGAGATGCGCGATATGACGCCGGAGGAAGTGCGTGCGAAGTATCCGAAGTTCTTCGCGACGATTCCGTATGCGTACATGAATGGCAGCTTGCATTTGGGACATGCATTTACCCTGTCCAAAGTCGAGTTCGCCACGGGATACGAGCGCATGTGCGGCAAGCGTGCGCTGTTTCCATGGGCTTTCCACTGCACAGGTATGCCGATCCGTGCGGCAGCGGACAAGCTGATCCGCGAAATCGAAATGTTCGGCGACGACTTTGCTGGCTTTGAAGCTGCCAAGGCTGCAGAAGAAGCGGACCTACAAAAGAAGGCCCAGGAGGAAGAGGCGAAGGCTGCCGAGGCTGGTCCACAGCGCGTGGATAAGGCAACCAAGGGCAAGCTCGCCGGTAAGTCGACCGGCCTCAAGTACCAGTTCCAAATCATGGAGAATAGTGGTGTGCCGCGCGATGAAATTAAGAAGTTTGCAGACCCGACATACTGGCTGCGCTACTTTCCGCCGATTGCGAAGCGCGACTGCGATGCGTTCGGTATGCGCATCGACTGGCGCCGTGCGTTCTTGACGACGGATGTGAACCCGTACTACGACTCGTTTGTTCGCTGGCAAATCAATAAGCTGCGGAAGATGGAGAAGATCAAGTTCGGTGAGCGCTACACGATTTACTCCATCACCGATGGCCAGCCATGCATGGACCACGACCGCTCGGACGGCGAGGGTCTAGGTCCCCAGGAGTACACGGGCCTCAAGATGGAGGTCGTCCAATGGTCCGCTGAGGCTGCGCCCTTGGTGGATGCAAAGCTTCAAGGCAAGCGGGTGTTTTTCATTGCCGCCACGCTGCGCCCCGAGACGATGTATGGCCAGACGAACTGCTTCGTCGGCCCGAAAATTGAGTACGGTGCGTACAAAGTGAATGACACGGACGTGTACATATGCACGGAACGTGCGGCTCGGAACTTTGCATACCAAGGCATCTTTGACGAACGCGGTCGTATTGAGTGTATCGTAAATGTGCCTGGTTCGGCCCTCGTTGGCTCGCAGCTAAAGGCGCCGCTTGGAGTGCATGAACAGGTGTATGTGGTGCCGATGGAAACGGTGCTGTCGACTAAGGGCACGGGTGTCGTGACTTGTGTGCCTAGCGACTCGCCAGACGACTACGCTACGCTGATGGAGCTGCGGAAAAAGGCCGAGTTTTACAAGATCGATCCACAATGGGTTGCTTTGGACCCAGTGCCTGTGGTGCAAGCTCCAGGCTACAGCGACATGATCGCTGCGGACCTCGTGAAGCAGCTCAAGATTCAGAGCCCGAAGGACAAGAATGCACTGACGGAGGCCAAGGAAATCGCGTACAAGCAAGGCTTCTACAACGGCCGTATGCTCCAGGGCAGCTTCAAGGGCGAGCCAGTGACGGAAGCAAAGAGCAAGGTCCAGAAGGAAATGATCAACCTTGGCCTCGCTTTCCCGTATGCGGAGCCAGAAGGCAAGATCATCAGTCGTAGTGGTGACGACTGTATTGTCGCGCTGTGCGACCAGTGGTACCTGGACTACGGCGAGCCGGCGTGGAAGGCTCAGGCCGAGAAGCTGCTGGCGCAGATGAACACGTTCCAGCCAGAGACGCGTAACTCGTTTGAGGGCGTGCTGAGCTGGCTGCACCAGTGGGCGTGCGCTCGTTCGTACGGCCTGGGCTCGAAGCTGCCTTGGGACCCGCAGTTCCTTGTGGAGAGTTTGAGTGACTCGACGATCTATATGGCCTACTACACTGTCGCGTACATGCTGCAGGGTGGTGTGGAAGACGGTAGTGTGGTTGGTCCCTTGGGCATCAAGGCGGACGACATGACCGACGAGGTTTGGGACTATGTGCTCGGCGGCGGCGAGTTCCCAACGAACTCGCCTGTGCCGCGGGAGAAGGCCGATTTGATGCGCCGCGAGTTCCTGTACTTCTACCCAATGGACCTGCGCTCGTCCGGCAAGGATCTGATTAACAACCACCTGACCTTCTGCATCTATAACCACGCAGCTCTGTTCCCCGAGGAGCTGTGGCCCCGCGGCATGCGAGCGAACGGCCATCTGATGCTGAATGGCGCCAAGATGTCGAAGAGCACGGGCAACTCGCTCTCGCTGCGTCAGGCCGTCGAGAAGTTTGGCGCTGATGCGACGCGTGTGAGCCTGGCTGATGCTGGCGATGGCATTGAGGATGCTAACTTTGAGGAGAAGACGGCCAATGCGAACATTCTGCGTCTCCACACGCTCATTGACTGGTGCACCGAGATGATGCAGCAGGTGCGTGAGAACAAGCTGCGGACTGGTGCACTTGACTCGTTCTGGGACAAGACGTTTGAAAATGAGATGAACGCTGCAATCGTCGCGACGCACGACGCGTACGAGCGCGCGGCGTACAAGGAGGCGTCGAAGCTGGGCTTCTATGAGTTCCAATCTGCGCGTGATCTGTACCGCGAAGCGACGTCCGATGTCGGCATGCATGCGGACCTGGTGAGGCGGTGGATCGAGACGCAGGCGCTGCTGATTGCGCCGATTGCGCCGCACTTTGCCGAGCATGTCTGGAGCACGATCCTCGGCCACGAGACGTCAGTGCACAAAGCGCTGTTCCCCCAACCCACGAAGCCCGAGGACGCGGCCATGACAGCTGCTGCCCAGTACGTGCGCGGCACGATCAAGACGATCCGCGATGCGGAAATTGCGGTGACGCGTCGTAAGGCCAAGGGCCCAGCAGCGCCGGCCAAGTACGAGGAGCGCAAGCCAAAGGAGGTGTCGATCTTTGTCGCCGACGCATTCCCGGAGTGGCAGGATGTGTGTGTGAATGCTGTGCAGAAGCACTACGACGGCGCTTCGGGCCGCGTGGACGATGTCAAGGTGCGTGAAGAGGTGGCAGCTGCGGGCCTGTTGAAGGACAAGAAGGCGATGCCGTTCGTGATGGCATTCAAGAAACGCATTGCTGAGTTTGGTCCTGAGATGGCATTCAACCGCCAGCTTCCGTTCGACGAGACGGAAACCCTCAAGGCGTCTAGTGGCTACCTAAAGAAGACGCTCAACTTCCGCGACGTGCACATCGAGAGTGCCAAGGATGCCTTGACACGCGCTGATGAGCTGCAGGGCAAGCATGGCTTTGACAAGCACGTTGTGGAGGGAGCGGAGCCTGGCTCGCCTTCCTTTGCCTTTTACAACGTAGAGTAAGCTAGGGACACAGCCCAATGAAAAGAAATTTGCGGGGCGCGAGACGCGAGACGCGAGGCGTGAGGCGCGTTGTTGCACATATGTTACGATGTGACGCCACGCGAGGGGCGCAGAAGATGTGCATTCGGTGCGCCTGCCGCCGTGCTCCACCACCACGTGGATGCAACCCAAACGTTTCATGACGATCCATCTGCAGTGGACGTGCATGCATGCCAGCAAAAAAAAAAATCTCCACATGCCATTGACACGACACGCTGCACATAATTGATGCATGTCGTTGATCGGATGAGGCTAGGCACCTTGGAAGGGGACAATTGAGTGCCGAACGAGAAAGAAAACGAGATCGCGACGCGACTATTATTCTACAACACCACATATCGAGGAAATAGGTCTGCTGCTGCCGCTCGTTGAGTTGTTGTTACAGTCGCTGTCGGTGTTGCTGTTGTTGTCGCTGCCGCTGCCGCTGCTGCTGCCGGGATAGGAGCCATGTCAGGAGCCGGGCGCTTACTAGCCTTTTTGGCATTCCTCCTTATAGGTGCATCGTTTGTTCTTCAGCTTATCAACTCGATCCAGGTGCCGTATATTAAAGAGCTTGGGTTTCTGGTCATGCACTTTGACACAATCGGACTGGAAAGCCCGAGGCTGCTGCGGCTTGGTCTGTGGGGTTATTATGCTATCACCCAGAGTGGGAACAAGAAGACCTCGAATGCAGCGTTGAACAATTACGGAGAGATCACGAAGCAGATTCGCGAACCATTTCAACAACACTCGCTCGCTTACAAGGAGCCTATCGTAAAGAACCTACCCTATGCACTGGTGCTGCAGCCCATAGCTGCTGGCTTCACGGGCCTGGCAGCTGGAGCGGCTCTCTTGGCCGTCTGCACAAACTCGTTCCTTTGGGTCCTGGCGGCATTCTGGGCTCTCGCACTAACAGCAGCTGCACTTATCATTGAGCTCATCCTGTTCATCATTGCACGCGATCGATTTCGAGACTTGTTTCAAGAGTACTACCATGATTCCACACAATATGACATCGATCTTGACAAGGGCATCTGGCTTCAAGTGGCTGCGCTGGCCTCTCTTGTTGTCGGTGCGTTCCTGCTGCTCTTTGCATACACGCAGAGCAAGGCCGATCAACGAGCTAGAGCGCGCCTGTTGGCGCCGGCCCCATCACCTGCGCCTATGAACAACAGAGATATGTACACGTATACAACGCCGACAGAAGCGTACGCGCCTTATGGACAGGAACCCGACTATACTATGGGCGGTGCAGTCCCGTATCCCATGCGGTCCGACGATGCGCGCAATGTGTATGAAGAGCCATACCCAGGTGCCGCGGGTATTGGCGCCTACGCGCCTGATCCGTACTCGAGACGATACTCGAATGTGTATGAAGAGAAGGAGCAGCCGCTTCCACCAGAGACACAGCTGCACATGCCCGAGGACCAAGAGACCAAGGATCATCACGAGCATCGGCGGCGGCACAAGCGGCGGCACAGTCGCGGATCAGGTCGCCGCCGCAGCGCAGACGCGAGTGCGCGCGATCGTGCCAAGAGCAGCTCAGATGTGCCTCTGCGCCGCAGCTTTGAGTACCAGTACGACTTTGACGCGTTCCCTGCGCGTCGCATGAGTTACCAGTATGGAGGACCAAAGCATACGCACCACCATCATACGACGTCGCTTGATCATCGACTCTCTGGCCCACGTGCCAACTCACGATCGTATCTGAGACACTCGCATCTATACCCTGATGACTCTGGTGAGATGGACTATGATATTATACCGCGTCGGACGGCGAACGACGAAGCTCGGTGGCGAGCCTTGAGCAAGAAATTGAACTATTAACATGCAGTTGAAAAACTACCTTGTACTAGATGCACTGAAGATACTTCCCTACTTGTACGCATAGTTCCAACAATCCACTCGTTTTACGCTTGTACCTCGTTCTGTCGTGTGGTGTGGCTGATAGTCGGACGGAATCGCCTCGTTGGCCACGGAAGGAGATGAAATACCAAGGTTCCTCCACCTGTGGTAGGCGTCTCCGCCGCCTTCACGTACAGAAGGTGCGTTGGTAGTCGTGGCCGTTGTATAGCTTGGTGTGTGTGACACTAGGGGGACAGGAAGCGGGCAAACATGTGGTCATCGTCGATCCGTCTTGTTCCACGTAGTGTACAGCGCACTTATACTACAGCCAGGCGCCACTGTGGACCGCACTTTACACTGTTCACGGGCACGCATTGTTCGCTGTGTGATGACATGAAAGAGATTTTGGACAAGGAAGCTACGCGCTCGTCGTTCACACTCTCGACGTACAATATTCGCGATGATACTATGCCACATGTGCAGTACTGGCGGCGCAAATATCAGTATGACATTCCCGTGCTGCATATCCGCTGGGATGCACCTAAACACGAGAACGACTATGGAGAGGGTACGTGCGATACGCGAGAAGCCATGGCGCCGTCTGGTTAGGACTGACGTAATGAACCACACTGGTCTATAGAGCTTGCTCGGCACCGACTCGACCCAGTTGTACTTGCGATTGCATGCCAGCGACGCGAGTAAGTCCAGCCGCGGCGACGCAATGGGAAGGGGCGCACACTTGTCGGAAGAGGGAGTGGGGAGACACTTAAGTGACAACACATAGATTATGGAACCAAGACTTGTCAAACATACTCATATCCACTAGCATCATTTACCCTGACATAATTCATACACGATATGGACGTTGAGGAGACAACACATCCTCACACACTTACTTATACTCGACATTAGAAACTCTGGACGGAGCCAAAGCCAGGTGGGCAGTGACGGCCCAGGTTGGACGAGGCGCTGCGCATGTAGCACAGCTTGGCCTTCTGACACTCTTCCGTGTCACAGGCGGGGGAACGTGGACTGTTGCGGCCCTGGTACAGCTGGTGCATCTCAATCAGTTCAGGACGTGCCTCCATTTCATCGGTGAGGGCTGCCCAGAATGATGCATTCAGCGGCGCACCCTTTGGCCACACACCGTCGTCAAGCTGGACAGGCGCCGCGTACGTGCCCTTGGCCTGGCTTGCAGAGAAGTTGGCATATGCATCCCGCGCCGTGTACAGCAAGTTCCACGACGGGCCAGTACCATTGAGCTTGTCAACGCCATACAATTGCGTGTAGTACTGTTCATAGTCCATGACCTCGTACGTCTCGGGATCAACCTCATACACACGGAGCGATGGGTTCACATTGGAAAGCGGCGTCACAGAAGGTGCGATGAAGGCCATGGCGCGCGCATCTTGCGTCTTGCGACTCACGGAGCTCGAGTTTCCGTTCGACATTTCGTACCAGATCTGGAACTCGTCCTCGTGCTTGTGGCCAAAGAATGCATGCGCGATGGTGTGGCTGTAACGCGACATGATGTGGTAAAGCAGGTTCGTTGGGTTGTCGATCGCATCGCCGCCATCCCAGCCGGTGAGGACGTGGCCAACGACCCATGCACGTTCATTCGCATCTTCAGCAGCTTGCAGTTCGTCGGTGAGCCAGCGGAGAATGTGGCTGGGGTCTGGATGGTTCATGTTCAGGTACACGAAGGGGTTGTTGTGGTACCACATGTCGGTGTTGATCGAAATGACGCGCAGGCCTTTGCGGGGCGAGATCGAGTAGCCACCGTAGTGAGAGCGGATCGTCTGTGCAGTAGAGTCATTGCCCCAGCCCTCCGACTTGATGAGCTTCGCCACATTGTCCCAATCCCAGCTAAGTTGGTCTGCACGACCATCAGGCAGGCTGTTTGGCACAGCGTTATCGGATGGAGCCGAGTCGTGGTTGCCGAGAGCAACCACCATAGTCGTGTTCGGCATGTGGTGATGGAACATGTCGAAGAGCGATTGCTCCGAATACTTCACGAGATCTCTAGAGATGTGCCAGTCCTCGTCGTGCGTGGTCAGGTCGCCTGTGTACAGAGCCAAGTCGAGTGGGCTGCCGCGCTGGAGTGCACTAAGGCCCTGCATAGCCGAGGCAATCAAAGACCAAGGCGAGTCGCACTTGAAGTAGCCCCAGTAGTCGGCGGGATGCGAGATGTTCCTCGTCGGAATGGAACCGGCATCGAATTCCGGCTTGTTCCACAGCGTCGAGTTGTAGCTATCGGCGCGACAGCACTGGCCATTGTCGCAGTTGCCCTCGGAGCCGACGAGGTAGCGCGGATCCACGTGGTAGTCAGAGCCGTGGAACACACGCAACGGCTTCTCACGCTTGTCGCCGACCTTCTTTGAGCGCTGGACGACGGACGAAGGCGCCTTGGTCGTGCCGTTGAACCACTTGTTCAGAAAGTCGCTCGACAGCGTCTTCATCTCAGGGAACGGACAGGACTTGCCTTGAATGTACGCCGCACACATATAGTCAGCCGACGACGAGTCCTCGGAGAAGTCTGCATAGCTCAGGACCTGCGTCAGGACGCCACCGACGTGTTGAGTGGCAAACTTGCGCTCGCAGCCAATGTCGACGGTCGGCTTCGTCGTGTACTTGAACGTCTTGCACAGCTCTACCATAATGTCGGGAACCACGGATGGATTCGCGCGTGCAAGTGTCTGACCAACGCGCAAAGCCTTGCGGCAGCGCTCGCACTTACTCGTTGAGTTGTCCTTGATGATCGAGTCAATTCTGATGGCATCGTGCTGAACGTTTGACGATGCAAGCGACTTGAGAGACGCCGATGGCTTCGCCAGCACACCCTCACTTGGAAGTGAGCGCCTGTCGGCAGCTTCGTAGGGTTGACGAGATCGTCGTCAAAGTCGCCGCCATCCACACGCGTGATGTGTGGGCGTGGCTCGGCTTCCTGGCTCTTGGGCATAAAGTCCATCTTGGGGAACTCGCCTGTGGGGAAAGCTGTTGGCACAGCGATCAACGTCGAGCCGGGCTTTGTCGTGGACACAGCATTCCGTGTTGACGAGGACGATGGGCTAGCGGCCTGTGCTGGCCAGCAGACACCAATCGCGTAGAAAGCGGCCACCACGAACACAGCTACCTTGACCATGTTAAATAGATGCTCGCGTGGTTGTGCACGTTCGCGGTCACTTGTTGATCCTGCTGCTGGTGCGCCCGGAGTGACAGGCTCGCCTGTGAGGGGTTCACGCTCGACGTCGAACGGATCGGTAGAGCGTGCTTTCATCAACGTCTCTATATATATATATATATATATGTATGTGTATGTATGTATGTATGTATGTATGTATTTATTTGCCGGGCGTAGTCGCGCCCTTTGAGAACGAGTCCTCACGCACATTGTATTGCATACATGTTGGATCCATACGAGGATCACTTCCAGTCGCACGAGTTCTGACGAGCCAATCGCGGCCTAGCATGTCTACACGTGCAATAAGCTTTTTTGGCACACGAGCGAATCTCGTGTGGGCAAAAACCTTTGCACTGCAGCATTGACGCCATGCCAAAGCTCCACACCTTTCGCACCAATCATCTGTGAACAAGTACTACATCGTTTCTGATGGCCTATAGCTAGGAAAGAGGGTGGGGAAAAGAACGAAAACTTGAAGAAAATAGAAGTAGAAAATGAAATACTCGAGACAAGCGGAAAAAAAAAATAACACTAACACAGGTAGCCAGCTAGCGAGCCAGCCCACTAGCTGGCTATCTCGAGCTGTAGATGTACACAGGACGCAGCATCACACATACATAATCCAGAATGTCATGGGTCGCGTACCACACTCCAAAACATAGTCATGAGACGAGCGTGTCAGCGAAAAGGGCACGCGTAACCGCTCCCATTTACATGGACATCTTAGCGACCAAAGGCGCTGTACATGCCGTCGCACTTCTCGCCGAGATTCGCGGAACCGGCACGCATATAGCAGACGTTGGCTTTCGCACATTTCTTGTCCTTGCAGCGCCTGGCGATGGGGCTCATACGAGTGCCCACCAAGGCAAAGGTCTCGACAAGCTCAGGGCGCTGCTCCATCTCGTCGGTAAGGGCGGCCCAGAACGTGCCGTTGAGCGGCGCATTCTTTGGCCACTTGGTGCCGTCGAGGTTGACACCAGCCGAGTACGAGTTGGCCTGCACACTTGCGTGAAAGTCGCCGTACGTGTCACGAGCCGAGTACAGCTTGCGCCAGACTGGGCCGTGGTCCGCCTTCGAGTCGACGAGATCATCAAACTCGGGCAATCTGCGTGTAGTACTGGTCAAAGTCCATGATTTCGTACGTCTCGGGGTGGACCGAGTACACACGGAACGTCGGGTTCAGCTTGATGTAGGGCGTGATCGACGGCGCCACGTACGCAATCGAGACGGCCTGGTCGGTCGACTGCCGCGCCGACTTGTCGTTACCATTGTCGTTGAAGTAGAACACCTGGAACTGGTCTTCGTGCGTGTGGCCGAAGTAGATCGCACCGAGCGTCTGTGGAGCGAATCGGCTGACAATTCTGGTAGAACAGGTTCGACGGGTTCGCAAGAGCCTGGGAGCCGTCCCAGCCGGACAGCACGTGGCCAATGATCCACACACGCTCGCGGTTCTTCTCTGCCTCAAGCAGCTCGTCCGTCAAGAAACGCAACATGCCACTAAAGTCTGGGTTCGAGCTGTGGATGTAGTTGTAGAAGTTCGCCACATACCAGAAGTCCGTGTTGAGGGACACGACACGCAGGTTCTTGCGGGGCTTCATGGAGAAGGCACCGTGGTGCACCTTGATATCCTTGACGGCGTTGTCGTTAACCCAGCCGCGGTTCTTCCACAGTTCCGCGACGTAGTTGAGGTCCCAGTCCCACTGGTACTGCAGGTTGTCTGGGTACCACTGCGAGGCAGCCATGCAGTTGAGCGGCGTCGTGTCGTGGTTACCGAGCGAGGGAACGAGCGGCGTGTTGCCCAGGTAGTGCTTCAGCATGTCGAACTGCGCCTGCTCGGAGTACTTGACAAAGTCGTGGCTGTACCGGTACGGGTCGTCGTGGGCGACCAGATCGCCGGTGAACAGCGCAATGTCGTAGCCATTGTCGCCCCCGACGTGCTTGAGCGCCTCCATGGAGCTCGCGAGCAGTGCCCACGGCGTGTCGCACTTCAAGCTTCCCCAGTAGTTGGCCTTGTGCATGATCTGGTCGTCTCTCAGTGTTCCGTCGACAAAGTGGTCCTGGAACTTGAGGAAGTTGACACTGTTCGAGCGGCAGCACTGCACAGTGGCGCCGTACGTGCAGTCGGCCTCACCACCGACAAAGTAGCGAGGATCCAAGTGCAGGTCCGAGACGTGCGCGACACGCAGGTTGTCCTTCGGGTTGTAGTTCTTGTACGCGTTCTCGCGCTTGTTGTGCCAGTCATCGATGACGTCTTTCGGTGCATGGCGTTGACCACGGAACCAGTCGTTCAGGAAGTCTTCCGATAGACTCACGTCCGGCCGGTCACAGAACCGAGCGAATGAGAACTGCGAGCATACTGTCAAAGCGTCAGGTGCGCCATCTGTGAAGTTCGCGTACGACAGCACCTGCGTGATGGCACCACCAAACACGTCCTTGGAGAGCGTGCGCTTGCACTCTTGGTGGAAGCCGGCCAAGCCGAAAATATTGAATGCCTCGCAAAGAGAACCGGCGAGGTCGGGGATCGTGTCTGGATCAGTGCGAGCGATCTTTTGAAGAGAATCAAGGACGTTGCGACACAGATTGCACGTCAGCGACGACGCCTTGTCGTGCTTGAAGAGCTTGCTGGCGACTTCCCACACGGACTTGATCAGCTGGTCAAGATCAGCCGTGCCGCGGTGCGGCTGTGCCTGCAGCGTCTCACTCTTGGGTGGCGCTGTCGGAAGGCTGCGTGGGTTGACGAGCGAGTCTGGGTAGCTACCCTTGCCGCCTTCCTTCGTGATGTGTGGGCGCGGCTCGCCCTCCATCCTCTTTGGCATGTAGTCCATCGATGGGAACAGGCTTGTCGGGAACGACTTGCTCGCCGTGTACACGGGTGTGCCGGACGTCGTGTCAATGGCCAACGCGCTGGACGCGAGTGTAACGGCCAGGGCTGCCGCTGCGGTCAACCACCTCATCGCAATCAAGAAACCACAAGAGTGTGGGGAGAGTGTGTGAATGAGGGTGAGTCGATAAGTTGGGTGCGCTGAGGATAGGTACGATGCACCCGTGCCGCGCGCGGTAGGATGTGTTGAGAGGGGCAAGTGTGGGTCATAACACTCACACGACCTATAAAAGGCTCGCGGCTTGGCATGGGCAAGATAGCGCAATCCGAATCGCTTGGCTTGATCAAGATGCCAATCGTCACACGTGTCCACCAAAAAAGACCCTGGATCGAGCGAGGGAAAATTACAAGTAGGCATGCATAAATCATTTGCATATCTTTGCTGCAGGGGTCGGTCTCGCAGCCAGCGCTGGCAAGTTACTGCGTAACTCCACCTTAGACTGGCCTGCCATGGTTTATTTTTGGTTCCACAATGAGCCCTACCCCCCCCCGTCACACACGGAGGAGAATCGCACACGTCTATGTGGAGACCAAGTTCATTCATTCTCTGCGGAGCACCATGAATCACACACACACGACCCAAAGAACGCGCCCGGATGACCGCTGGACGACAAGAACCGAACACAAAAAAAGGGTGTGTTTTCGACACTCATACTTCCATCATGTCTCCTAGTCGGACCATGCTGCCAAAGAGCGGCGTATCTACTGGAGGCGACCTAGATTCCATATCATTACCACGGCTCATCGGCATAGAGAGCGCATTGCATCACACGACGGAGCCGTGGCCAGCGGGACAATCACGGCCCTGCGTCGGCGTAGCACTGCGCATGTAGCATATATTGGCCTCACGGCATTGGGTGTCGGAGCAGTTACTCGCGGCTGAGCTGAGTCGGCTCTTGAGAAGAGCAAAGGTCGTGACGAGCTCAGGGCGCGCCTCCATTTCGTCGGTGAGCGCAGCCCAAAACGAGGCATTCAGCGGCGCCTGTCGCGGCCAGTGAGTGCCGTCGAGTGAGACGGGTGCATGGTACTTGTTCGCGTGCACACTCGCGCGCAAGTCGCCGTATGTGTCGCGCGCGCTGTACAGGAAGCGCCAGATGGGCGCCTGCGAAGGCCCGAGAGCGTCAAAGTCGTCGACGGATGTGTAATACTGGTCATAGTCGTACACGTCGAATGTGACAGGGTCCACCTTATACACCCGGAACGACGGGTTCACATTCGTGAGGGGCGTGATGGACGGGGCCACGTACGAGACCACCTGAGCATCGTGCGTGTGGCGCGACACGTCACGCGACTTGCCGGACTGCGCACGGTAAAAGACAGAGAAATGGTCCTGGTGCGTGTGGCCGAAGAAGATCGCCGCAATGGTATGGGGAGCGAACCGATGGACGATTTGATAGAACAGATTCGCTGGCTTATCAAGAGCCTCTGCACCGGTCCAGCCGGTGAGGACGTGGCCGAGAATCCACACACGCTCGCCGCGTTCCTCGGCCTTGAACAGTTCGTCAGTGAGGAAACGGAGCATGCCGCTAAAGTCCGGGTTGGTCGAGTGGATGTAGTTGAACACGTTGACATAGTACCAAAAGTCGGAGTTGAGCGAGATGACCCGCAGTCCCCGGCGGGGGCTCACAGAGAAACATGCGTAGTGTGAGCGAGCCTGTTTCTCGGCCTCCTCGTCGATCCAGCCTTTCTCGCGCCACAGCCGAGCCATAAAGCGCGAGTCCCAATTGAATTGGGCCGCTTGACCGTGTGGCATGGCATGCGGCGCATAGAAGTTTTCGGGCGACGAGTCGTGGTTTCCGAGCGTCGCCATCAGGGGCGCGTCGCCCAGCACCTTGGCAAGACTGTCGAACAGGCTACGTGCGCTGTACTCGACGAGGTCGTGCGAGTAGCGGAACAGATCGTCGTGCACGGTCAAGTCGCCGGTGAAAAGACCCAGGTCGTACGCGTGCTGTTCGCCCACATGCTGGATCGCTTCAAAGGCACTGCCGATCAGCGACCACGGCGCATCACACGTGTAGTGACCCCAATACTGGGCCGGCGCCGATATGTTGCGACGTGGTACGACCCCCTCCGTCAGGGGCTGGTGGAAATAGTTCTCGTTCGCACTGATGGAGTGACAGCAGTAGCGCGTCTCGCCAAACGTGCAGTTGCTCTCACTGCCGACCATGTAGCGGCCATCGACATGCAGATCCGACACGTGCAGCACACGGAGCATGTGGGACGCGTCGAACGATGCACGCGCATGCTCCTGCTGCTGGTGCCAGCGGTCTACGACATGCTGTGGTGCCTCGGTAGATCCATGGAACCAGTCATGCAAGAAGGACGCTGAGAGCTCCTCGGAGGGATACTCACAGAAGTGGAATGGCACCGCTGCACACACGAGCGTCGCGTCGGGCGCACGGCCGGAAAAGTTGCCGTAGCTCATCACCTGCGCAATAGGCCCGCCATACATGTCGCGCGAGAACGTCAGTGCGCACTGGTCGGCGACGTCCTTCTTGCCAAGGAGCTGGAATGTGCGGCAAAGCGCCGTCAACACAGCGGGCACGCCCTCCGGATCAAGGTGGGTGATGGTCTGCAACGTGCTGAGACCTGTGCGGCACAAGTCGCACAGGCCATGTGATGCATTCTGGGGGCGAAACAGCTGGTATGCGATGTTGAATAGGTCGTGTACCAGGGCACTGACCTTGTGCTTGCCATGCAGAGGTGGCGGCAGGACCCGTTCGGCGGGAGGCGCAGACTGAGGGAGTTTCGTTGGGTTGTTCAGATCGTCCGGGAACCAGGTGCCATCGAGACGACGCACGGCGGATCGTGGCTGAGCCGTGGGTTTCTTAGGCATGAAGTACATGGACTCAAACAAGCTCGTCGGGAACTTGGCATGGCCTGAAAACACAGGCCGACCAGACGCCTGGGACGACGCTGGTCCTGACGCTGCCGCTTCAGCTGCGTACTGGTGTGTAAGACAGCACATCAGGATCAGAATCACGACGGTGTGGACAAGCAACCGCGGCCACATAGCGCCAAGCCGCGTCCAAGGACTAGGTGGACGCACGTCAAGGGCATCTCTCGTTTTTCATGATGACGCTGCCCAGCCTCGAGATCGATCGGGAGCTGGCCACAGGGACTGCCCCTCCCCCGACGTGATGCATCGGGCCTACGGGGGGGGGACGCGCCGCGTCGGCCTGGCTAGGTGCTTACCCAGGCGGGGCTTGGCATAGGCGCTGATGTGGGTGCTGAGGGATGCAAACGCAGAGGCCCATGTCATGCAAGGGCGCACGCGACACAACATGACTGAGTTGGCACGTGGACGTACTCACGAGCATAAGCAAGCGCGCGGTGGAGGAACGACACACCGCGATCAACACACCTGTGTGGCATGAGATGCGCTGGCCTTGTCCGGCGACCACGTGGCGTGATGGGTGTATCTTGGCACGCGCCCGTACAGGTAGTTAGTTCCCCCCCTCCGCTCGTTGAAAGAGAGTCGTGGCGATTTGGAACGGACAATTTATGCCGGCCGTGCGCGTCTTGCCGTGGGTGTCAGTCCAGCCGAGCCTGTTCGACGTGATTCACGATGTGCGATACGGCGTGCTTGGCACGCATGGCAAGTACGAAGATGTGTGGGCGACGGTGAGTCTCGCGGCCCAAGGCACCCAGGCACCAGGTCCAACGAGAGAACATGGCACGTGGCGCGTGTCGCGAGACACGTCGCCAACACACGGTCGCGATGCGGACGTGTGCATATCGTCGCAGACACAGTCGATGCACATCGAGTCGTCGCATAGTGCAAGTCTCATACCACTTTCGTGCCACGGAGCCGTCGAGCTGGCACCAACATCCATTCATGTGGCGGCACACAGGGGGCATGTGGCTGTGCGAACGGAGGCCGGCACCGCTAGTTCATCAGCGCAGATCCTTCGTCTTTCCCCGCTCATGGACAATGTACAGCGGTACGCCATAGGTACAGCAGATGGCGTGGTCTATGCGGGTGTGTGGGAAGGCGCTGCATCGCTGTCGACAGCGACATCGCCAGAGGCATGCACGCAAGTCGCTTGTCGTGGCCATCAAGGCGACATTACAAGTGTGCGTTTCTTTCCCAGCGCCCAAGTGATACTGTCCACATCGCTGGACATGCGAGCACGGATCTTTTCTGCATTGGACGGCACGAACCCTCGCACACTCGAAGGACATACACGAGCCGTGACGAGCAGTGCGATCCTTGGGCGTGGACGCGAAGTAGCGACAGGCAGCTGGGATGAGACTGTGCGTCTTTGGGACGTCGGGCAGAATACGACCGTGTCAACGTGGCATGTCCACGATGGCGTGTGCGCCCTGGAAGTGCTAGATGCATACACATCAACGCCCGAGGCGCGTCATGGCGTGCTGTTGGCAGGGACCGACAGCGGGCGGCTGTGTGTGTGGGACGTGCGGGAACCGCCAAGAAAGACTGGCGTGGACGACGCGGCTGTGCCAGTTCCGCGCACACCTCTGTCACACACAGGTGCAGCAGCGAATGCGCCTGTCCATGCCATGGACGTGCATGCAACGTCGGTGCTTGTGGGCATGGCCGATGGCGTCTGTGCGATGTACGATATGCGGCAGTGGACAGAGCCTGTGTACGCGTGGTGCCGGAACACGGCAAGCGTCACGGACGTGCGGATCGATCCGTCTGGCACCGCAGTCATGTGTGCGACGAGTGATGGATTGCCCTACAGTTTGGATCTGTCGACATGGGCGCTGCCAAGAGTATACTGGCTGGGATACGGAGCGAACGACGGCCATCGAGCGCGATGCGTGGGGGCGCACGATCGTGCTGGGTCATGGCACATATGCATTGTACGATAAGTAGGTCTGGACAAGAGGCTCATTGGGTCGTATGGGTGGAGTATGGAAGTGGCGGTGGCAGTGGCAATGGCAGTGGCAATGGGTATGGGTATGGGTATGGGTATGGGTATGGGTATAGCATAGGAAGCAGAGGGACCCGGCCAGCGCACAGGTGAGGTGAGAAATGGTATACACATGCATCTATAAAAAGGCAAGGATGCAAAAGCGTCGATGGGTATCATGAGCGAGGCATGGCGCCAGGCGCATTCTCATCATTCGCAGCGTGCCACGGAGGCAGCGAGGAACGAATAGGAATCGTAGACTCTTGCAGGCAAGAGGGCGCAGGTGGCGCAGACGTAGCGCACGATGCAGGCAGCGCCGCATCCATAGCTCCTGCACCTGCTATCCGCACTGGCAAGCTTGAGGCTGGTGCAGCTGGCACCATGGGTGCAGGAGACGCTGGTGGGATCGGCTTGGGCTCGTGCAGATTCATATCGGGGATGAAGAATGAAAGTCCCAAAGCAGGGAGCTGGGTCACCACCGACAAGACACAGAGCCACTTCATCACATGGACCCAAGCGGCCGTGATCTCCGTGCGCATGGGCGTGCCGGGCGGATGAGACAGCACGGCCTCGAGGCTGCCCTGGATGTGCTCGAGCTCCGGCGCCGACAGCTCCGGCAGGCGCGAGGCTAGAGCCGGCGGTAGCACCGATTGGACGACGGCACTGGCCAGAGTCGAGCCAAGCGCAGCCCCCAAGTCGGTCGTAAGCAGCTCAAAGGCAATGACAGCTGCGATCTTCGACGGCTCGACAGCCACTTGCACGGCCACCTGCGTCGTTAGAGCGAGGGCGCCGCCGCCGATGCCTTGCAGGACTTGGCACGTCAGCAACGCCAGGGCCGAGTGGCCCACGGACCGGTAGTGGACCATGAGGAGGACGCCTAGCAGGCGGATGATGAAGCCAAAGAGCAGGTAGCGCTTGAGGCGCCGGGTGTAGGCCATGCAACTACCAACGACCATGCCAGCGATCGTCGACGTGACATTCTGCGTCGTCACAAAGTACGCAGTAAGGCCCTGGTCCCAGTTCTTGAGGATCTGAACGAACGGCGACAAGTACGTCCAGGAGAGATAAAACCCCGCAAAGTCGAGCGCGGCAATCAGACACGTCGCACTTACACAAACGTTCGTGAGCATGGAGCGTGGAAAGAGCGGGGACGTCGTCCAGGTCTCCCACACGCCGAAAGCGACGAGGAAAGCCGCACCCGTCGGCACATCCACTCGGTGGGCATGAGCCGCGTCAAAGATGGCTCGAGGTCCTTCGAGGGAGACCGGCAGGAGCAGGAGCGTCAAGCCACACGATAAAAGCAGCATGCCGAGTAGATCCATCTCACGCACGACGCGGCTCGCGGCTCGCTGCGGCAGCCAGCGGCGCGGGACACGCCGAGAGGCACGCCGGCTACCGAGGACCAAGAGACTTAACAGGGGCAGCGCCGCGATCGGCACGACCACGACCCACATAGCCAGGCCCAAGCGCCAGCCGCCGGTGCGTAGCGTCGTATCGACCAGCGGGCCGACCAAGGCAAAGTTGAGCACGTACGGCAGGTTCACAAGCCCAATAAGGAAGCCGCGCCACTGCGCAGATGACGTGTCGGCCATGATGATCGCGTGCAAAACACCGACACCCGTCGCACCCAGAGAGTGGATCATGGTGCCGAGAATGAACGCGCGGAGCGAGGATGCAGCGGCCATCACTGCACACCCGCCCGCATACATCGCGATGCATGACACTAGCGTCGATATGCGGCCGACAGCATCGGCCAGTCGAGCGAGCGGCGGCTTGGAGATCGCCCGCACAAGCTGCTGAGCAATCATAACAGTGCCGACGCTTGAGAGGGCCTGAAACTCGCTGCACGCATAGTTTAGGTACAGGTTGAAGGACATGGAGTCGAGGGACGCAGCGAGGGCGAGAAGAAAGATCGCCGAATACAGCAGCAGGAGCGTGTGTGTGTGTTTGCGCTCGCGTGTGTGGCTTGTGCGTAGCGAGATGAGGGGTGTCTCTTCCATGACCGTTTCGATGTGGGCGCTCCAGGACTGCATCGCATCATGGACCAAGTGCGTGTGGTCCAGGGCCGAGTCGCTTGCATACCGTTGAAAGGGAGAGCGCGACGAAGTCGCCGCATGTTTCGACGGTGTGACAAGACACGCTGGATGCATCGGTGATGCATGTGACATGGAGTGCGTCGACGTGGGTTGCCAGGATACAGCGTGCTACTGATCTGTGTGAACGTGGCCGTCTGTGTCCAGCAAGCGAGACAAGCCACCAATTCGACAGGAACGTGCCTGGATCGTCAGAGCGAAAAGGAAATGGTGTTCCACGGAGTTGACCGCCCCGTGTGCGGCAGCTACGTTAGTTCCCTACCCCTGTCCCTTGGTGGGCGTACTCCAACGGAACGACAGATAGAAGCTCAGCTCGCTGGCTCAGCTTCCTGGCTCGCTCGTTAGGGGTATTTCTGCTGAAAACTGAGAGGACGAGATGAAGTGACTAGCGCTTGTTGGAGATAAGAGCTGCTCGTGTCGTAATGAGAGCGTGATTTTACGCCCGTCCAGCTATTATTGCTAGCCTACGTGTCGAGTATCTAATCTGATACGCTCGTTCGCTCGCACGCCCGCACGCCCGAACGCCGCGTCGCCGCATCCTCCCAGCCGCCGCCTCAAGCACCGACAGTATGCTCACGTGATGTCATCGTCCTACTTGTGCCGCTACGTGGTGGGGGGAGGCGAGCAGCAAGGAGCTAGATGGTTGGTTCGTGCGGCGAGCTTTGCTACGGGACGTGCATGCGCGCGAGGAAAAGAAACACATTACAAGACACAAAGGGATGGGACCTACGAGTCGTCATCATCAATGCGTGCGTTCAGAGCAGCAGCAGTGGTGTTGGCGGTAGCTGCGGAGTCGGTGTTCGTGTTGGTGTTGTTGTGGGTGTGAGCGTGGGTGTGGGTGTGGGTGTGGGTGTGGGTGTTGGACGAGGTGGACGCCGGCGCCCTCGTGCGCTGGCGCCGGCTATGAGAGGAAGATGGGTTGGCTGCAACGATCGCAGCAATTTCATCCACGACCTTGCGCACGGCCTCTTCGGGGCCCAGCACTTTGATCACTGTCGCAGGCTCTGCGTTCTCCAGGTCCGCCGCGTTCACAGGTGCGCCAAGCTGCGCATACTCGCGCCAGGTCGGCATGATCAGCTGCACGCCCAGGTCCGTCTGCCATGGCGTGTACTTGCGACCGCCACGAGCCATCAGCTGGTTGTGCAAGCGTACAGGCGCTGGTGCGCCGTACACGACGCGGCTCGCAAGGAACTGCGCCTCAGACTCCAGGACCGCTGCGATCTTCGCCGCCAGGTCCTTCGGCGCACGCACGAGCACCTGGTCGCTGTTCGTGCGTGGGAAACGCACCATCTGCGTATGCGATTTGGGATCGGATGGGCCGCCTGCACGCTCGATGAGCTCGTGAAGGCGCTGGCCACCAGGGCCAATCATGTGCCGGTGGAACGCTGAGGGCACCGTCACGTGCAGCTCCGCCTCGCTCTCGACCTCCTCGACAATCGCCTGGATCATGGCCTCGGCCGCTGCGACAGCCTCGTTGGAGCCACGCAGCTGGAGCATGGTCGTGGGCTTCTTCGCGTCCGACTGTGGGTCCACGTCAATGTCCGCGCCAGACTCGAGGCGGATCTGGTTGATCGTCGCACCCGCGCGACCGAGCACCCGAGCAATAGCGCGCGTCGGCAGCACAAGGACCTTGGTATTGTTCCGCTCTTTCTCGTACTCAAGCAGCTCCAATAGCTCAGTGCGTGCCTCAGCGACGCCCTTGCGTCCGCCGCGGATGCTCACTTCGTCCGGCTTCAGCCGTGCATCGTGGCCGTGCGGGAAGTTGATGCGCACGTCGTACTTGTCCTGCAGACGCGTTACATACTTGCCGCCTTGTCCGATAAGCGCGCCATGCATGTCCTGGGGCACTTGGATCGTCTGTGTGACCTCGTCAGCGAGGCGCTCGACCTGTGCACTGAGGCGCGCCTTGGCCTCCGCGACACATTCCTTGCGCCCGACGATCTTGATCGGCACGGGCTTCGTCCGCGCCGCGCTGGAGCTCGCGCCCTCGTCCGGCTCGGCAATGTCAAGCTTCACGCCCAGGTCCTCGCGCAGCTTCGTGATGCCGGCGCCGCCACGCCCAATCAGGTGTGGCACAAACTTGCCCGGCACACTCAACTCATCGACAAACCCATTCACAATACTGTCCTCCTCGGCGTCCTTCGCAATGCGTTGGATCTGCGCAACAGCACGCGCGACAGCCTCACTCGCACCACGCACGACAATCGAGTCCTCGGTCAACGGTTCCGCTACCTGCTTCACGGGCATGCGGCCGCCCAGCGACACAAGGAGGCGGTCGTCGCCGATGATCGCGTTGAGCACCGTGCGATCATGGCCCAGGATCGCGCCGTGGTACTTGCTCGGTACACGCAAGTGCTCGGTGCGCAGGTCCGCCGCCTGCGCAGCTGTGGCAACAAGCTCTGCACACACACGATCCAGCTCAGCGACACGCTCCGACTCCGACACCGTCTGGCCTGGACGGAACACAAGCAGGACATCGTCGCGCCCAGACTTTTCAGGTGGCAGCATCACATCGACGCCACGGGCCTCATATGCTTTGATGTGCTGCCCCTTCTTGCCAATCACAAAGCCATGCGCGAGCGGATCAATCTCGAGCATGCGCACAGACGACGTGTCGAGTGAGCGCAGCTGATGCTCAATTGTCTGCGCGATCCGACGCGCCGCTGCAGCATCCTCGCTCACGACTTCTACGAGTGCAGCTGCATGGGCATTGTCAATTGCAGATGAGCGCGGCATGAACACCTGCACGTTCTCTTCGCGCGGCGCATACGTGATGAGCCACTGCACAAGCCGCTTCAGGTGGGCGGCGTCCGCATCAGGATGCATGCTGCGCATGTCCATGGTCTCGACAGCGACGGCATTCACACGGTCCATTGCAGCCGTCAGAGCATGTGGCAGCTGCGTCTGTGGACCCCGGATCATCACCGCCTCCGAGGAATCATGCACGGGCGGCAGCTCGACGCTGCACTGCGTCGAAGCAAGGATGTCCGCAGCACTGTCGCCCACAAGGAAGGCATGCTGCCGCTTGGATATGTTGAAGCTGAGCGTGCGGAACGAGCGGCGCATATCCTCAACCTGCGCCTCGATCGCTCGTACGACCTGCGGCACAAGCTCCCGCTCGCCACTTACGACAATGACGCCCTCGCGCTGCGGCGGCGGCACCTTGACCGACACCTCGCCGCGGCCCTCTTGGCTCATAAGCTGCGCAGCACGCACGCCACGTGGGCCATGGATGAAGGGGAACCAAGCAGGCTCGACGTGCGTGAGGCGCTGCGTGATTTTCGACGTGCGCTCAGCCACAATGTCCTGGATCCTGGCCTGCGCATCGTGTGCATTGAACGTGTCACCGTCGATGGTGATTTCAATCTGCTCGCCCAAGAGCGGATCGCCCAACGCATCCGCGTCAGCATCGGACGAGGACATGGCCGCTTCTTTGGCGGCACTCTCGTCCGTGGAGCGCGGTGGAATATGAATGCGAACACCCGTCTCGTCCGTGATCGCACGAATGTTCTTACCGCCAGCACCAATGACAAACGCACGCAGCGATGCAGGAACCAGCATCGTGAGCGTCACGCGTTCAGCCAGCTGCAGCGTCAGTTCCCGCTTCGCTTCGAGCACAGCTGCTTCCGTAGGCCCCTTGATGATGAACATGGTGTGGCCCGTTTTGCGCGTCGTGCTAGCCTCGATCTTCACAGATCGACACTTTTGCTGCACGCGCTGGAGGAGTGTGCTGAGCTTCAGCTGCTGCTCGTCAGAGAGGCGCAGGGACACGGACCGCTTGATGCGTCACTCGCTGGAACACCCGGCGTAACGCCCAAGCTGCCGCAATGCGAGGCAGATCTCAGCGCCGACCACGCGCCGCTGCTGCCAGCTGCAGCCTGGCCTGGCCGGCCCAGCCGCACGGCTTTGGGCATGCGATACGCCAAGCGAGGGAAACATGTCTTCGGACGTGCTTTAAAAAAAAAATAATAAATAAATAAACCGCTGTTAGTCACCCTTCTTCCTTGCCCAAACACATCACCCTTCATAGGTACGTACACATCAGGACGCTGCGTGAATGCCGATCTTTGGCCGCCATTGCCGCCGCTAGCCTTCGTCGGCACAGCCACACTCTCAGACTCACCCAGACTGGGGAAGGGATCGGCCATAGGCGTGCCGAAAAGAGGCGCAGCGGCCTCCGCAGCTTCTGGCTTAGGAGCACCTGCCATTTCTTGTTCCCACAAGTATGTTGGTATGGGAGACGTATGTGCTCTCGCTCGTGTCAAGAACGGACCTGTTGCTTGAGGACTCGCTGGCCTGCTTCGCCAACGTGCGGGTGCCAGCAGCACGGTTGGTTCGTGTTCACGTGGGTCCCAAGCTTATGCTGAGTCAGCTTGTGCCACACAGCGCATTTGTTCGGGGGCCCTCCGTTGCAGTGAGATGTGGAACTCGGCTGCGTGACGAGGGCGGCAGAACGTGGAGGGGCGGGCGTTCTTGCATGTAAGCAGCGCTGCGTGTACGTACGTGCGTGCGTGCAAGAGGCTTCTTCGAGCCCGGTTCGTGTGCATTTTGATGCATGTACATACACACCTCCATTCGAAGAAAAGGACGAAGAAGAAAAATAATTCCCATCATCCCCTTGCCATTTTCGCACTGCTGCCGCTCTTACGAAAAGCGGGTGGGGGGAGGGCACGGCCGACGGAAGAGAGAGCTATGTGGATGATTTTCGATCCTTGAAGGCGAGCGAATGGCTGAGGTTCCACTTTTCTCCACACAAAGAATCGAGTTGCTAGCTGGCTGGCTCGTCCGCTGGTTGGTTGACTGGCTGGTAGCTGGTGGCTGGTGGTCGAATATCTTGACCAAGTGACGACCAATTGTCGCAGATAGAGCCCTGAAACAAACGGCTTGTTACAGCTGTGAAGTGTGAGTGACGCCGGGGCGTGTCGCACCAACATCTCCCGAAACCAAACACATTCACGCCTTGCAAGACTGAGCGCAGCTCGCGCGTTCCTACCATACCATCGACGAGCGTGATGGTGGGTGTGGCAGCGGCAGTCTCATCGACATTATGCCCACAAGAAACGCCATCCACGCTATGTCGAGCAGCAGCAACAGCATCATCATCGTTATCTCCCACGCCTGCAAAAGCGAAAGCCATAGCGCAGAACCAATCGCACCACAAAGGATGGCGCTTGAGTTACGTCCGCCACACATACTCGCTCTTCTTCCTTATTCTAGCCTTCATGACGTTCATGCAGTACGCACCATGTGCGCATGCCGAGAATCAGAACAGTAATAGCGGCAGTATCAACACCAATGTACTTGCAAGGAACCGAACGTTGTACACATCCAGTGTCGCCTATTGCGGAGCGCCAACTACCGTTTTTTTAAAACGCTTGGATCTCCGATACAAGGGCGATGAGCAGCAGTTCGATTTTGATGTGCAAGTCTCATCGACGAGGGGCGATGAGGACTTTGATATCATTTTCGACCTGTATGTGTATGGCCGCAAGTACATCACCGTACATCAGGACCTGTGCAAGATCGGCAATGGAGAATTATGTCCTATTCCTAAGTACAATTTCACAGGATCGTCGCATATCAAGGTGCCAGACTCGTTCGCAGCCAAGGTTCCTAACATTGTCTTTGATGTACCAGACATTGAAGCGTTGGCTATGCTCAAGCTGTACGACCAGCCCACCCAAAACCTGTCAGGCTGCCTCCAGGTGCAGTTGTCCAATGCCAAGACCGTTGACCTGCCCGATATCACCTATGGCCTCGCGGCTTTCGTCGCAGCTGCCGCGTTGGCATCGCTCGTGACAACGGGATGGTCGCACTCGCTATCGTCACTTCAGTGGCGCATCGTTGACATTGTCACGACCATCCAGCTGACTCCGATGGTGTCGATGATCACCATGATTGTGCCACGGGTGATCCATGTTTTTTCTCTGCGCTTTTCGTGGATCATGGGCCTTATCCGAATCGAATCGATTTACGAGTCCATCCTCGACTCGCGCAAAAGCACCGGCAGCGACGACGTTCATCTGGTGTTTGGTCAGCTTATGGAGGCCGAGTATAGCCGGCTAGCGAACTATTACCCTGCGTCGGTGCTGAATGCGAATCAGAGTGCCGAGATCCTTGATGTAAATGGCATTTCGTCGCTGGATCTCCATACCCTGCAACCCCGCAAGCTATACGCGCCTAATACAGGCCCGGGTGGCGAGCTGGACCCGGGTGGTGCCGGAGACAATGTCGTGTGGGCTGTGTCGATGAATGACTTCGACCAGTCCGGCGTTTTTTACTACACAGAGTCGCTCAACATCTCGCCGTACAGTGCGTTTTTGATTGCGCTCGTGTCCTGGCTCCTTGTCGTGTGCATAGCATTGTGCATTGGCATCCTCGTCGCTGGCTTCGTGGGTTTCTTGTCCCAAGCGGGACCGGCTGCACAATCTGCATCGCTTGTACTTGCAGTTACTCAGGCCCACTCTTCTCCGTGTATACGAGTGCGCAACACCACCGCTTCTGACTCTGGCGTTGTTCCAGTTCGTCAATTCTACCTCATGGCTCTCTCACTTCATTGCCGCTCTCACGTGCTTCGCCTTGGCGTGCCTTTGGTCGATTATCTTCGCCCAGCAGTATGTACAGGCACACCGCGCAGGTGCCGAGTCTCTCTACTACATAAGGACTTGGCCGTGGAATATGACGTCAGCCGCTCTCCATATTGGCTCTATGTCGCATCCATGGAAGCCCCGGTACTGGTGGTTCTGGTTTCTCATGCTTGGATGCAGTTTCCTGCGCGCTTGCTTCGTGGGCATCCCTCAAAAGCACAACTATGGGCTGCGACAATCTGTCGGTCTCCTCACGGTCGACGTTTTACTTCTGATCGTTCTCTTGGTCTGTCGACCCGCACGTGATGTAAAGAACAACATTGTCCAGTGCATTTTGTGTATTTTCCGCGTCATTGCATGGGCGCTGTGCGTGTCGCTAACTACAACAGCAAATGTGTGGGGCATTCCTCGTGCAGTTCTTGGCTTTGTCCTCTTGGCTGTTCTCGCCCTTCCGATTGTGTTTTTGTTCTTTGTGTTTCTTTATGAGGTGGTGGAGGCACCTCTGGCCAAGAGCCAAATTTGGTCTCCCGACCACTTGGAACCAAGGTTCCAAGAGCAAGGCGAAGAAGACTGTGCTGTGACAACTCCTCTTGTCGCGAGCCAACAAAAATTCGAGTGATGATGATGATGATGATGATGATGATGATAACTGTAATACGTTGGGGTGGGTACATTCGTCTATGCGGTCTCCTATTCACGTTAAGAGAATGCGTTGGTTCATACGTCCTCTCTGCGCCTGACCTATTTCTGTCACTTTTCCTGTGCCCCCTTCCCGACCACCCTCACGGTGTGCGACTCGTCTAAGCCAGCTTCATAAACGCTACCTGGCTCTTCCTACCTCCACAAAGCTTGTAGTATAGCTAGGATATGTAGAGTTTCCAACTTGTACATACAGGTACGACAGCCACTTGGTACTGCTGCATGACCTTGTATGCATGCGCCGTCGATGACGCATCCACGCCACGGACGCAGTCCTCCAGAACAAGCGTCCGGAAGCCAAACTTGGCAGCGTCAACCGCTGTGTGGCAAACGCAATAATCTGTGGCCAAGCCACACACGACAACCGTGGATATCGGCTCGCGCGCTCGATGCAATATGGACGCCAATTCCGTGAACTGTACGTAATTCGCACATGCAAAGCCAGAGTAGCTATCAATGCGCTTGTCTGTGCCCTTATGCACGTAGTGAACAGGAACGCCAGAAGTACAGCGAGCATCTAGCGCTGCTTGAATTCGTGCATGCATCTGAGAGCCTCTTGTTCCTGCAACACAGTGGTCAGGCCACATCATTTGGTCGATTGATGTGCTGGGATCATAGGGATGTGGCACACGGTGGGTTTGGAAAGGTTCCCGCCCGTGCACGGACGCAAACGAGACATGGTCTGACGGATGCATGTCTTGTGTTGCTACGATGCAAGTCCAATCATACTCGTTGATGAGACTCTCGATTCGTGGCACTATAGCTGGCGCGTCGCGAACAGATACTGAATACGTTAGAAATGAGAGTCCTTTCGCACGTGGCACCGCGCAGCTAGTCTACTTACACGAGCCATCGATAAAGTCGTTTTGCACATCCACGATCAATAGTGCAATGCCGGACTTTGGTGGTGCAGACATCAAGTTGGTTCTTGCTGCGGGTATGGAAAGAGCCCGCGCTGGCAAAGCCCATACTTCACGATTGGCGCGTGCGCACTGGCACGGTGGAGGAGCCGAACAATTCAAAAAAAATTATAAATTTCAACGGAGAACCATTGAAAAAAGAAGCGACAAGAACAGGATTCGAACCTGTGCGGTCAGAGACCAAACGCTTATCACCAGTCGGTGTAGAACCAAGTTCTAGGCGTTCCCGTTAACCACTCCGGCACCTTGTCGTGCTGTTGGGAATCGGACGACAAATATAATATTTAGTTATTTCGAATGTCTGCCGATCATGCTTCAAGCCTACTACGCACGAAAAAAAATTTGTTCACATTTCGATACACATAATCTCCTTGCGTTTGGTTCATTCATATCCCTACAGTTCCCAGGCGTGGGTACGCAGGCGACACACTGTAACTGCTGGCACGAACAGGCGGCGGGTTATGGATGCTGAGGCATACTCATTGTATGAAGTTCTCGAACTCGGAATGGCGTCTGGCAACGACGGTACTGGACGGCCACAATCGAATCCGAGCGACGCAGCATGTTAGAGTAGTGGGCCGTGGACTGTGTGCATCCGCGCGGTGTACGGTCCCCATGGAGCATCAAGCGTCTCTGGCGGGGTCGAACCAGCAGATGTACAGTCGCGAACACTTTGGCACACAGACCAATACATATGTCTTCCACACAGGCGCGTATGGCATACCGAAACCTCGACCCCGACGCGAAGGAGCTAGAAGAACGATGCCAGCGCACCAGAGCAGGGGACTTTTGGCGCCCATAGCTGATTTCTTCTTGGGAACAAATGCGTCGACCACGTCCAGGGCCCAGGATGGCACTGCGAAGGAGGGCAACGACGACGATGACCATGACACACCGCATCCGCTACCGTCGTCACTTGCATACCTGCACGGCAAAGGATTGCAGTCGGCTATACGGAGCGACGGTCGCATCGTCAAGACACGACTGCAGAGCAAGGACGTTGGCGAAGATGCGTACTTTCTAAAAAACGATGCCATGGGCGTGGCCGACGGTGTGGGTGGATGGGCATCCAGAACACGCGCGGACGCATCGCTATTTTCGCGATTGCTCATGCACTTTTGCTATGCAGAGTTGTACAGACAGGATCAGGCTATGCAAGCGTCATGGGATGCGCAGGAAGTGGAAGACGCGCAGAGCGCGTGGTTCAACTGCCATCCCGTGGACATTATGCAGACGGCATGGGAGCGGTGCGTGCGAGCGTCGAAGCGCGAAGGGATCCTTGGTAGTGCGACGGCATTGATGGCCGTCCTACGTGGAGACGAGCTGCGGATCGCCAACATGGGGGACTGTGTGCTGGTGCTTATCCGTGATGGAGAGCTCCTGTTTCGCAGTGCTGAGCAGCAACACAGCTTCAACTTCCCATTGCAACTGGGCATGATGGACGCAACGATCGAGAGTGTGACACTATCGAGCGCGCTGTGCATGCACCGGAGCGGTATGATTCCCGACGGTGCGACAGACTATGAGCTGCCAGATGTAAATGAGAAAATGAGCGACTACATCCACTCGTATGATCATGTGGGGAGCCAGACTGAATTTGACACGCCTAAAAACGATGCAGGACGTTGGGCACTCAAGGTGCAGCCGGGCGACCTTGTGATCATGGCGAGCGATGGCTTGTTTGATAACCTGTTTGACGATGAAATCCTCGATGCTGTGCATGATGTGATGGCTCTGTATCCGCCGGACGATCTACAGGCCATGCAGATGCACCTCCCAGGCGTGCTGTCGGAGAAGCTGTGCCACATGGCACGCGGTGTGATGGATGATCCCCGCACGATTTCAAGCCCATTCCAACAGCATGCGAATGAAGAAGGTATCTACTATGTTGGTGGCAAGAACGACGACGTCACTGTGGTGATCGGTATCATTTCTGAGCAGAGCGACGGGCTTGGCTCGCACGCACTGTCGTCGTCCTCGCCCCCCGACGACGCGCGCCAAGGATGAGAGGATGACACAGTAGTCACGCTGGTGCGTTGTTGTCGCCGCCCACAACATGCTGACCTCATCCCACTAGGCCATACCCATTCACTCCATAATCTCGCTTGTACCTAATAGATTCTTTGTAACAACACCAACTCGTCGCTAATTTGTCTGTCGCACACTACACGAAGGGTGGATTTTCTCTCGCGAGCGTGAACACACACTAGGTTCAGAGAGCGTGAGTGTGGGCCGCGGAAATAGCGCCAAAGAGCGAGCGTGTTGCGCTTTGTGATTTGAAGCCACAGCATGTCCAGTGCATCAACAAGCCGCGTCACCCTCGACGAACTGCGCGACGAAAAGATTCAAGAATGTGAAGCACAACAGCGGTACGTGTGATTGTGTGGCGTGAGGGACCACGAGCTAACACGACATATAGTGCCACAGCAGCCTCGCACGGCACCTGCGTGCGGCAAATATTGTACCTACTCAACAAGGTAGAGTCGGACGATGATGCTACAGCGGCAGCAGGGAATGCGCCTGCTTCGGAGCCCATCCTTGATGAGTGTGATGCACAACTGCCTCACGACGGGTTGCCGAAAGAAACTGCCTATTTGTTGATGACACGGGTACTGCGTGTGTCACAATTTCTTCGTGAGCGCGCGTTGCATGTATTGAAAGATGCACAGCCAGTGTCTGAGGCCTCGGAAGCCAGTGTCGAAGCTGCACCAATGCCCACGACCGGTACGACTACGTCTGCGGTAAGCAAGCCGGTCGAAACGAAAACGCCAGCTTCCGCTGAAAGGTCTAATGTTGACATCGATGCAGTCCGTCGTGCACCATCGACTGCCGATTCGACCAGCAACACGGCCACGAGCTCAACATCCAGGCTGGATCTCCCCGCATCCCAGCCGTTAGGTGTGCAAGCCGTCAAGCCACCACTGCCGTATGCCGCCCAAGCACATGCTCGTGGGTCAGTCCGATTACCGCCATCGCCCATGCCTCGCCCGGTCGAATGTGAAGCGACACTGCCGGCCATGACGCCGCCTCCAACTCTGCAAGCGCTTGCGCCGAACCCGCTCTCAGTCACGTATGCATCGTCACTGCGGCCACTTCCACCCGATCCATCGCGACGTATCACCGGCATCGGGACAGGTGGCGGATCCGTGCACCACCGCACAAGGAGAAGTGCACAGCGACCAGGCAGCGTCGGTAGTGGCAGCGGCAGCTATGTAGCCGGCACACCGAGTGCGAAAGCCGTGCAGAAAGCGAGTTCCCTTGCCCCTGACACTGTGGCGAGANTGGGCAAGTACAGGATCCANNGGCCAGCTCAACGGCCAGCCTCGTCCGCAAAGCAAGCAAGTGTTTGTTGACAGGCGATTGGAAAGTAGCATTTGCAGAGCAAAAGTTCTTGCGTGCCATGATGCGGATCGAGGAACTGAAGCAGGAAGGCCACTGGAGTTTCCGTCAGCCAAAACGGATCAAAGGCCCTGTCGAGCGCAAGACGCATTGGGACTATTTGCTGGAAGAGATGCGCTGGATGCAAACGGACTATCGAGAAGAACGCAAATGGAAATTGGCTGTCGCTTACGAGCTTGCGCACCAAATTGCTCAATGGCACCGATCCACACCTGAAGAGCGTATTGCCATGTGTGCATCACGGCGGATGTACAAGGATTTGCAGGAGCCTATGGATGTGGATAAGAGCTGCTACCCGAGCATTCACAAAGAGGCATGCCCCGATGTCGATCGCCAAGCCTCCTCACACGGTGCGTATGAGAAACGCGAGAGAGAAGAATACGGTCCACAGTCGACTGGACATGCAGTCGAAACCAAGAGCCAAAGACATGCCGACGTGAATGTCGATGTTCGCGGGCCTGACGCTCATGCCGAAGGACCAAAAATGGCAACAATGCGTGAACAACCGAGCCAGGGCGAGCCTCACGGCGCGTTGAGTGCGCAGGAAACTCCAGCTGTGCATCATGCCGGCGCTCCCCAACACATCAACAAGCCGCCTAGTGCGAAAGGGAAGAACGCCGTTAGCGATGCCGATGCCGATGCCGATGCAGAAACAGATGCTGACGGCGAGGCTGACGGCGAGGCTGACGGCAAGGCTCATCGCGACAAAGACATGCATGCGCGTAGCATGCCCAGCATCACATACCCAGAGAGTGATATGCCACCAACGAGCGAGACGCCTGCTCTTCGTTCACAGGCAGACAAAGAAGTGACACTCGTCGACAAGCTTCCGCTAGCGCTGGTGACAGCGATCCGAGCGCCGATCTTCAGTCTCGACCGAACGACCACAAGTGTGTCCCCATGGTCGCTCCTAGAGACACTCGATCCCCAGACCAGTGCTGCGCTCACTCAGATGGAGCAAGCGCCGACATTGCGTGCTGAGGAGCTGGACTTTGCCAAGCTGTTTCCCGAGTTGCCCCAGTATTCACCGCCCCATGCGTCGGATGATCCTGCGTCGCAGAAACGCCGAGACGACTCCCATGCACCACCATCGCGCCTTGTACATGTGACGCGGCTCTTGGACTCTAGGCCTGTGCTTGTTAGCACACTAGATCCAGCCAACTACCACGAACATGGACTCTGGGTCAATGCAAGTGAGTGGGCGGAGCGTCTGCCGTCTGTGCCAGAAGGACTTGGTCCTGGAGCAGTGCCGCCACATTTCGGCATACAAGCGCCAGGCTCTTTGCTCTTCGCTCGACGGTCAGGCAAAGTGTCTCGTGAACACACCATGCTGGCTTTGCATGCTGGCGGACCACCTGCGCCGCCCGCACGGCCTGAGACTCGGATTGAGCAGCTTTCATGGTCAGCGGACGACGATGCATTTGTCCAGGCACTTGCGAAGCAGTATCGCGACCATTGGGCACTCGTGGCAGACGTCTTTAATTCCGCACGCCTCGTGCTGCCGACAGAGAAACGCACGGCGTGGGACTGCTATGAACGGTGCAAGTGGCTGGCAGATGAGCAACGCGCGCAGCGGCCACCGCCCAAAGACACGAAGAAGCAGCACCGACAGAACCTGCTGGATACCATGCGCAAGTGGGCCAAGCGACGTGAGCAGCTCCAGCGCCAGGCGGCTGCGACGGCGGCTGCCAATGCACAGACGAAACGTGCGTCCTTGGCGGCTCATGATACGCATACGCAAATCAAGATGTCTGCTACACCTACACCGCAGGCTCTCAGCATGCTCAAGACGGAGCGAGACCAAGCAGCGATTCGCCAGTTCTTTGAGCAGCAACGAGCGGCGCAATTCGCCCTGGCTCAGCAGCAACAACAACAGCGTATGCAAATCGTTCAGGCCCAGGCGCAAGCTCAAGCTCAAGCTCAAGCCCAAGCCCAGGCTCACGTCCAGGCTCATGCTCAAGTCCAAGCCCAAGCCCAGGTTCAGGCTCAGGCTCAGGCTCAGGTTCAGGCTCATACCCATACACAGACGTCGTCCAGCGATGATCAACAGCAGCGCCCGGCCACGTCAGTCTTGTCATCAGCCACCTCGCCGACACCACCAGCTGCACGCTCGCCTGTTCCAGCGACGCCCAGCACGGCGCATGCATCAGTGCCTCGGCCTTCAGTCACACAGATGCCGTCAACGCCCTCGCCTGTCCAGACGCAGCAATACCTGGCGGCACTGACCGCGAATCAAAATGCCGCGAAACAGCATCCTATCATGGTGGCTGGTCAATCGATGCCATTCGCTCGGACGGGTCAGCCAGTTTTTGGCATCGACACATCCTCGGCCTTTGGTAATAGCAGCAGCACATCGAGCATAAAGAACGCCACTTCCCAGGTCCAAGCGCCGTCAGCGGCACCTGGTACGAATGCGCCTCGCCCACCGCAGCCCATCGTGATTGCATCGTCATCGCCATCGTCTCAGACCGCTCGATTGAATCGCTCTTCTTCTGCCGCCATCGATGCACGTCCGCTAGGATTCCCTGGCTCTGCAACACCCACTGGCACTGCTAGTACATCGGCTCCTGGCTCGGTTCCTGGCTCAGTTCCTGCACATGATGCTTCCTCGGGTTCTGGCACTGGCGCTGCCTCCACACCTACCGGTATCACTGGGGCTACTGGGACCGCGGGACATGGAATGCCTGCTACTCCTTTGACGCCGAATAGGACAGCGATCGCGATGAATGGCGCTCATGTCCAAGGCCGGCCAACCACTTTCACAGCTTCGATGCCTTCTAGAGCCACACCATCTCCTGCTACTGGGATGTCACCCGTAGGCCCAGCGCCTGCACCGGCGACAGCACCGCCCAACTTGCATGCTCTCCAACAGCAATTGGCCATCACCCTCGCTGCATCGCATCTGAGTCAGGAGCAGATCAATGGACTTGCGATCCAGCTTTACAAGCAAGCTCAGCATCAACAGCAGCAGGCTCAGCAGCAGGCTCAGCAGCAGGCTCAGCAGCAGGCACAACAGCAAGCACAGCAGCAAGCACAGCAACAGGCTCATCCGCATCCTCAACAGACTCCACCGACGGCCCACCCCCACCCGTCGTACCAACCTCAAGTACTTGCCCAGCGACAGGGAGCCACGCAACAACAAGGCGCCCAACCACAACGCGCAGGATACGAGGCACAGGGAGCAGGCTCATTCGCTGGCACCAACACATCACGTTATGTGACAATGCCACAAGCGACAGCATCCATGGGGAGCCTGAATGTAACGCCTGCATCACCTATTGTGCCAAGCGGCCAAGGCGGCCAAGGCGCTCAAAGCAGTCAAAGCAGTCAAGGCGCTCAAGGCGGCCATGGGGCCAACAGTCATCAAGGAACACCGTCACCACATCCCTAGACCATTACGTTCACTACATAGCATACCACAAGACAGTTGTCCCTAGCACGATCAACGCGCATAGCCAGCTCGGATCAAGCGGCCGCCGTACCGACGACACCGTCGCCGATGACGCTGGGCCGGAAAATCCCTGAACACCAGCTTTTTGATTCACTGTCTGGAGGAACTCTGTACCACACAGCGAGCGAGCGTGATCATAGATTTCATGTTGCGACTTGAGCACGTCAGAATTTTCCAGGCCAAGCGCATACGGCGACGTCAGCTCAAACGCAATGTACGCGGCCAGCACGTTCTGAGAGCATTCCGTACAGAGAGACGACTTATCCGATGACCCAGAGAGAAAGAAAAATGCCTGCTGTGGCTTGACTTCTGGCAACTGAGTTGTATTTGTGCTCGAGTTGCTGGGTGTCTTGGCAAAAGACACATTGCGGCTGCGTGGAATACTCTCCAGCACACGTTCCCAATACTCGTCGCTGTACACGTCAGCAACGATATCGTCAGGAACACTGCGCCGATACATGCGCGAAAGCTGTGAGTCTTCCTGTTGTGCCATCGTCCTGACTATAGACGAGAGACAATACTGGCCTGTGTGGTCCTTTGAGCACACGGCATCGTGGAAGGGATTGAAAATGTACAGATAATTATACAACTTGAGTACCTGATCGTTCGGCTTTTCCAGCTCGTCCGAGCACTGGTCCCAGAACTGGCCGAGGAAATGCCTCACGAGCGAGCGGTCACACCCCGTGCCAGAGTCACACAGCTTTCTCAGCGACGATTGCAGCGCATCTGACGAGTTCACCGTCGTCGACTCGACAGCAAATGCATTCGTCGCATTGATAAGTGGCTCTGTACACTGCTGGAACAGGTTGTCCTCGTCCAGCTGCGTCAACAATGTCGAACAGTTCGACGAAATGTCATTGGGTATGTAGTCAATCGTCGGCATGTTGGACGAGCCAGCCAGTCCCTGCACGGCGAGAGGCACACTTCCTACGACGAGGCCTAGCCATTGTGCCCACATCGTTCTGCGTTCGCAAGTCGCAGCTGCACCAGCCCAGTGCTTGTGTGCGTATGTATTCAACGCATCTGGCGTTGTTCAACACTTGCGCTGTCTGCTGCTCATCATGCCGTACATGAATTGGCATGCATAGAATTACGCACTATCTCGTGCTACATAGCCAATCGCACGGTCTAATACCTCCACTAAGTGTAGCATCGACGCCTTCTCCTCCACAGCCAGTGTCTCGAACGACACCAGCCCGTACTCTTGAACAATGTCCCCCAACACTTCGTACATCCTCGCGACGCGCGGCTGGGTTTCGTGAAGATAGTCCGCCATGTAGTTCAAGTCCTGTGCATCGGTATAGTAGTCCAGAGAAAACGCTAGCGACATGAGTGAGCATGTGTCATTGTGTGCGTGCGTGCCTCATGCACGCGCGTGTGTATACGTACGAAGAGCTTCTTGCTGCTCAGCATCTAGTAAATCCATCTTGCTCAGCACATTCACGTGAGGCAACTCCCAACATCAACATCGCTCGCAACGACAGGACAAGGAGTGCAATGTAGCGTGAAGGATCCATGATGTTTGATGCATCTGCCAGATGAACGGCGACGAGCTGTTCCGGTTAGCCCTTGCACGCCTCGTGTTGAGCTGGGCACACAGCCACTCTATGTTCACGTACACGCCATTCATGCTTTCTTTGCAAGTGCTCGAGAATCCGCTGCAGGCTGGGATGATTCGTCGATAGCTCGACTTGCCCCGGCAGATCGAAAAGCACGTAGTCATGCTCCAATGCAGCCAATCGTGTCTCAAGCCAGTCGAGATTCTGCTCCAAATACTCCATGCAGTATAGCATAGCGCCATTTGGACCGAGATCCAGCTCAGCCATCACATCCGAAACACTGATGAGCTCCGACAGCGTTATGTCACATGGATACGGCACATGCTCGTTCGCTGGATCAAGATTCACGATATGCACGCCGCGTTCCAACGCAATAAGAAACTTGGTGAGACAATGTCAGTCCCGCTTCGCGTCCGACTTTGTTCATGCGCATACCTGGTACATGCCATGGCTTGTGCGTCAGAAACTGTGTTCGACATGCCTCACTTTCCCTAGCCCACCACCCGCCTTTGGACAACGTACCAGTATGTTGTTTTCCCGGATCCTGGTGGCCCAACCTGTATGCATGTGTCTGTGAGCGTCTGCTCTTCTTCTTAAGCCTTGCCACACACGTACAACTAGCTGCCCATACTTGACCATGTCGATGAGCGTGAGTGGAGGCGTGTGTCGACTTTGTAGCGCTCGGCGCCACTCGTTGGCATGAAGCGAACGAATGAATGAATGGACGAACGTCTTCCATGACCAAGAATAGGCAGGGCATCGGAACCCAGCGGGACAACACCTAGTGGTGGGAATCATTATGCTGCGTGCTACGTGAGACGCATCGCTCGTCGCGTATTCTGCGGCAAGTACGATGTATGCTCTAATGGATATGTACGTCACATGGTCACTCTATGCAAGGAACGTCCATCCATCACCCACAAGTCTCCAGCTCACACGTCTCCTACATATAGCTCGCCAGTTCGCACGCGCATGTCTGCCGCAAACTGCTTACTTGGTGTGGTGAATGCGCAACTTGCCGGGCGAGTACTTGAAATTGGCAGCGTAGCTCTTAGGAGGGATTCGTGCTTTGTGTGGCTCCTGCACAAAGTAGTGCCAGCCCTGCTTCTCGCAAAAGTGGATTGCATCCTCCCTTGTGTCGAATTTCATCACAAGCGCCTGCTGATGATCCGCACTGTCGATCGATCGTCGTTAATACGTCCTGCAGTATCGTATACGTACGTGCTGGCCCAGCCCATAAGTGGGCTTTCCCACCGGCCAGATCCCTGAAGAATATCAAAGTCAAGGCGCCAATCACGCGTACCAGCCTTGCCTGATTGTGTCGCTGGTTTCGACGGCTGGTAAATGCGCACGGTGCGCTGGTGCAAAGAGTCTAGTTGCACTGCTAGCTTGCATGGATTCGAGGATACATGTGCAAAAGCAGGAGAGATCCATGCGCACATGAACGAAACGTACTCGGTGCATCGCTTACGATTGCAGCAGGTGTTGGTTCACCAATGCGGTTCACCTGCTCTGCCACAAGATCTCGCTTCTCGCCTGCTGGCGGCGAAGCAGGCACTGGCTGCTTTTCTCTCATGATCCGCACGCTTGTGTGCATGGTGCGATGCAGCGATGGCCGCAGCGGCAAAATCTGTCGGCATGCAATCCTACTCATGGTTGTCGACGGCGTAGCCAAAAATCAATCACCCACACAAAAAGCGGATGGATCGCCCGTCGCTGCTGCTGCCGCCGCCGCCGCCGCTGCCCAGACAAAGCCTGTGTGTGTGGACAATTGGCTACGGACGAGCGAATCGGCATGCACACATTTGGATCGTCACGTGAAGACATGTCCGACCGCTATATGAAGGTTGCCCCCTCCTTATTACGATGGACAGGACGCGTGTACGAGACATTCCCTGGGGGACAAGACCTTCTTACCTGACACTGTCTGCGCTGGCCTTCATGGACTGCTCGGTACAGTCCGCTTTCATCCAGTCACTAGCGCGCTACATAAACTACATTGTACGCACACATACGTGTTAGTCGGTGCGCATTATCAATATGCTAGCGAACCTGTCTCGGGTTAGCTCGTGTTCAGCGTTGTCCATGATGAAGGATGAAGATGAAAAAAAAAATAGGGCATCAGTCTCGATAGATAGATAGATAGAAACATCAAAGTGAAGGGTCACTCGGATAATGTGGATAAGAAAAAGAGAATGGCATCCTTTGCCAACAAAATCATATACATACCATGGACGAGAGATGCATGTGTATCTGCGTGGAGGAGACGATGCGTAGGATCGTCGACACAGTATCTCGGTTTCTACATGCAGTAAGCGCCGACACGAATGGCAACAGCTCACATTGAAGACGAAGTATAAAAAAAAAAGACGGATGCCAGTCCAGTAGGCACAGGGAGGCACGTATGGAGGCGTGCGCCTTGGGTCACGATGTCATTCTCGTGCAGACGCCATGCCAGACATGGGGTGCACTCCACCTGTTTGACGAGAAATGGGCTCATTTTTATGAAGATGAGAAATTACACCCTCAAGTCACCCCATCTTCCTCATCCGACACGGCTTCATATAGGATGGTGGTAGTGCTCCCAGGCGACGTGATCGCCAATGCAGCGCATGCAAGCGATCAAATCAAACTAGGACCTGGTGTGCTTCCAACGCCTGATGTGCCAGATACACCAGCGTCGCTTACATCTATCCATACCGGTGCACTGGGACATGTGGTCACGAAGCAACGCCGGCGCGAATCGCGCCCAGCGACTATGCACGGGTGGTATGTCGAGTCGGCGCAGCGCAGATATGTGCCGAGTGTTGGTGATCGTGTCATTGCGCAGGTTACGAATCGTGGCATGGAGTCTTACACGCTGACGTTGTTCTCGGCGCATCCAAGCACGTTGCCTGTGCTGGCATTTGAAGGAGCAACGCGGCGGAATCGACCGAATCTACAGATTGGTGCGCTTGTATATGCGCGCGTGGTGAATGCAGAGCCATGGAGTGAGCCGGAGCTGAGCTGTATCGATCCTATTCACAACAAGGCAGATGGGATGGGCGAGCTGAAAGCGACGGAGCCGGATGTCGCAATGGTGTGGCAGGTAAGCCTGTCATTAGCACAAAGTATGCTTAGGCCGCAACACACGCTTCTCCTGAACGTATCGAAGCACTTTGCATTCGAAGCGGCGATCGGGAAGAATGGCCTTGTATGGGTGCGTACGGCACAAGCAGAACATGCCATAGCACTGGGCCGGGTCCTTGCTGCGGCCGACAAGTCGTGTCAGACACATGCGCTCGCCAGCAGTGGTCGTGGACAGGGCAACGGAGGCCATGCACGAGACACTGGGGAGCACAACGACGACATGGACGTGGACAACGACAATGACGACAGCGACAACGACAAAGCGAACGAGCACGACGAACGTGCTAAGGAAGAAGAGACGCCCAAGACGCTCCACCAACGAATCCGAGCGAGAGGTGAGCTGCGGAAGGAGGATATTGCCGAACTAGTACGGACGTGAGGCGAGACGCGAGCGAGAGGAACAATGCGGACGCAGGAAAGCAAGTCGCAGTGAGTGAGGGGGATTGGGGTTGGGGTGTGACGGCGATGTCGCATGGGATATAGAGAGCGAGATGGCGGGGGGAGGGGGAAACAAAAGCTATGCGGGTATGAAGACACTCTGGACGAGCTAGGGACGGCGCTGGCCCAGAGCAACGCCAAACATGCTACCGAACTTTTTCCAATCAGGCAACGAAAGAGCGGCAGCAGCCGTGCTCGACGACGACGACGGCGTTGTGGGCCGATGAACGAGGGATGCGTCGGGCAGATCGTCTTTCGTACGGTCGCCGAGCTCAGGCATCGCATACACGTCCGCATTTGGGTCGAGCTGGAGCGTCGACAGCGCGGATGTGGTGGGAAGTGCATCGGGAGCACGGTCGATGGCGGCAAGAAACTCCTCGACAAGAGGATTCTGATCCAGTCGGCGCAGGCCCTGGGACATGCGTGTTAGTACGGAGCGGGGTCTTTGTCGCACAGCTGCACAGTGGTGCCTGGCGTGCCGATATCGCATCACATAGACAGACATGCCCAGCATGTCGCAGGCAGACTGGCTAGCCAATGCATGTATACGTACCTTGAGATCCAAGAGTTTTTGAAAGTTGCCGAGCGACTGGTCGCCGACGCGCTGGCGGTAAGCCTCGACGAAGGCACGCGGGTCGTCGGGCGCTATCAGCATCGAGAGCACAGGCTCAATGCGAGCCATGGCCTTGTCAACAATGCGGCTGTAGGCCGTTTGCAGGGACTGTGGTTGAGGCGTGGCCCTGGAGCCTGTAGACGAGGCAGCGGCAAAGTGCGGCCATTCGAGTAGGAGGGTGTGCACATGGTGCACGTCGCGCTCGAGCTGCTCAGCCATACGACGGCGAATGGGACGCAGCCTCACGATCGACTGCACGATCCGTGTCACGGTGAGAGCAGCAGCCTTGTCGCACCAGGAGCGAACGTAGCGCTTGTTTTCCACATGATGACGCACGATGACCCCGATGCTTTCGAGGCCGCTGGCAAGCAGGTCGACCCAGGCGCTTTTGTCGTCGACTTGGTCGCGCTGAGCCCAGGGAATCTCCGGGCGCAGCAGCGCCTGGAACGCAGGATCAAGCGCCGTATGAAGAGTACGCACGAGGCTTTGGAGCGCCGAGGTGATGACGCCGAAAAAGACGTCGCGCTCCGACTCGAGAACCACAGCGGGCGCCGCCTTGTCGAGGGCACGCTGTTTCTCGGTGAGCCGCTCAGCTAGTTGGGTGCATGTCGTCGCACAGTAGTCGGCCGTATTGAGCACGGTGCACAGATGCAACGCATCTTTGGTGTGCAGGGCCGGGAGCAAGACATCGGCAGCGTACTTCTTGAGCCACTTGCTGTACACATTCGCAAGCTCACGAAGCGGTGCACGAGGGCCCAGCTGTGCGCAGCGCTCGAGTGTCTGGCGATAGAAAGTGACGAGGTCCGTCGACGACACCAGCACACGCACAGGCTCATCGCCTATGTTCGGCTCGGCTGCGGTCGTCGCAGACGCAGCAAACTGCGCCAGCATGTCAGCGAGCTTGCGGTCCTGCGCATCGACGTAGATGCCGAGGTATGGCGAGAAGGCTGATGAGATGGGCCTCGACTGGGAGAACGTGATGCCGTACTGCCGAGCGACTTGGCTCTCGAACTCGTTTGTGACGTGCAATGCATGCAGAAGGACATCCACCTGAAGCCGCGGCTGCTCGCGCACGAGCACGCTGCGCATGTCGTCGTGCGTGATGTTGGCAAAGAGCGTGAGCAAGCGGTGGTCGACGTTCCACTGTGGAAGAAAGGCCGGTGCATGTTCGTCCGCATAGATGCGTAGCAGACGGCGGATCCACGCATACCGACGGGGCACATTGTCGAGCTGACCAGCCTCATCGACAGCACGGAACACGCGGCGATACTCGCGGAGCTGGCGCGTGCAGTACCAATCAATAAGCTTCTCACACACGTCGGGGCCCAGAGCATCGACGACGAGCGCAGCGTCTGGCAGCACAGACTCGCGGGCAGGCAAGCGGTGCTTGGCAGTCTGGAACACTGACTCATACTCGTCCATGACCATGCGATGCAGCTTGTCGCGCAGCACTTGGATATGCGTCTGCAGCTGCACAATGCACGGCACAGCGCGGAATTGCTCAAAGTACGAGAGAAGCGCTTGCACAGCTTGCAATGCGGACGCTGCCTCGCGATATTGTTTGAGCTCACACAGCTGCTCCAGATGCATTGTGCTGCTGACGAGCATTTGCAACCGGCGCAGCGTGACGATCGACAGGCCGACGTTGCGTTTTGCCATGTCGAGCCAGCGGATCTCGGCTGTGATTTCACCGACGCTAGCCTCGGCACGACTCGCATGTTTTTCCAGATGTGCAAGAGACGTCAGCAATTCCTGTGCATTCTGATCATGGGCGTCCGGCACACTGTGCGACGCGGTGGCGAGGAGCGCATGTGTGTTTTGCCGATTGAGCGCGAGTTTCGCATGGATTTCGCTCTGTGCACGCTGAACGTGTGGTATGCTGAGTTCTTGGAATAGCGTGCCTGGGCCGGTCGGTGTGCTTGCTTGGTCGCTAGGGTCAGTGAGCTGGCTCTTGGCACTCGTGCTGCTCTGGACGCTGTCAAGCAGAAGTGCATCAACTTGCGCGGCAACGTCGTCTTGGCTCGCTGGTGTGTGAGGCTCACTCGTTACTGAGCGCACCGAGGCAGCTTTTGGGCCGGTCGTCGCTACAGCTGCCATCTGACGCGTGCGCCGGGAGCAAAGGATGAGAGGCACGCGAACTTCAACGACGGTGGAGGAAGAGTGGGGGTGAGAGGCAAGGCTCGTCGATAGGTGCCACAGATCGGCAGCCGTGCGACGTCAAGTTCAGTCGCGAGTCAAGTCGATGGGATCGGCTACGTTACGATACGCTACGATACATTGCGTCGCTTCGCGTCGCGTCGCGTCACGTCGCGATACGCTACGCCTCGCGGCGTAACGCCACACACGACACTGGTTCGACTACAGGCAGGCAACTCTGATCATGTTGGGGACACAGGGCCCCGCTTGGTGCGGTATGAGCATGTGGAGGGAGACTCGCGGGGCAGCTCAGAGGCGCCGGCAGGCATGGATGTCCTGTTGAGCGATCGAACCGACACGGATGGCCACGTGCGCACCGCGGGTCAGCCGTGCGTGGATGGACCGGCCAGCATAATTCCACAAATGCTCCACATGCTTTCTTTCCCCTTCGCCGCCGCCCCACGCGACGGTGCGCGGTCGGCCGTGGCCGGATTGGATTCAGGCGGGGAAGGGGCAGGGGGAAGAGAGAGAGAGAGAGAGAGAGAGAAAGGGAGAGAAAGGTCCGACCTTGTGTGGGCACACAAAGAGGGGAAAGAGGGTAAGGCCGGTCAATTGTGGACGGACCCAAACTATTTTTTTTCCCCGCCCCCGCCACTATGGATATTGGTAAGAAGCGCGACGCAGACTTGACGGCTCCAACGCCGCAGAACACGCCCCAGACGAATGCGCCCATTCAGCGCGAGCGGCTTACGCGACCGACGGTCAGTACAATCGGTGAAGAGGACGAAGGAGCGTCGGGTATGGCTGCAGCGGCGCTTCCGAACGCAGCACTGACGGGCATGATCCAGGATCGTCTGTCCAGCTTGGTCGGTCAGTCATCTGGATATATTGAGGCGTTGCCAGAAGAGGTGCGCCGCCGGGTGGAAGGACTGAAGGGTCTGAATGTGCAGCACCAGAAACTCGAGGCACAATTCCAGCGCGAGATCCTTGCGTTGGAAAAGCGGTTCGCCAAGCTTTATGCCCCCCTCTATGACCGACGCAAGCAAATTGTACTGGGTGAGGTGGAACCGACGGCGCACGAAGTAGAAGAAGGCGAGGCTACGGACAAGCTGGACGATGACGACGACGAGGATGACGACGAGGAAGGTGATGGCGATGACGGTGTCGACCAGAGCCGCAAGTCGCTCGCGAACATGTCGATTCGGACAGATGCACCGAAGGGCATTGCTGAGTTCTGGCTCACGGCGCTCAAGAACCATGTGGCACTCTCGGAGCTGATTACAGAGCGCGACGAGGGTGCACTGCGTCACTTGATCGATGTGCGTCTGCGGTACTTGGACAGCGCCAGTGAAGACGGCGCCGGTTCTTCTTCATCGGCTGCTGGTGTGCCCGCCCCTGGTCAAGTGCAGCAAGGTTTCCAGCTGGACTTCTCGTTTGATGCCGACAAGAACGAGTACTTCAAAAACCCCGTGCTTACCAAGACGTACTTCTACCAGGACCAAGTAGGCTTTACTGGGGACCTTGTGTACGACCATGCCGAAGGCACGTCTATTGATTGGACGTCGCCCGAGAACAATCTCACTCATCGCCTCGAGACGAAGAAGCAGCGCAACAAGAATACCAATGAGACGCGCACAGTGAAGCGGTTGGTACCAACGGATTCGTTCTTCAACTTCTTCTCGCCACCAAAGCCGCCGCGCGATGATGATGAGGACGAGGCCGACGAGGACGAGCTGGACTCATTGGAAGAGCGGCTTGAACTTGACTATCAGATTGGTGAGGACTTGAAGGACCGCATCATTCCTCATGCCATTGACTTTTTCACTGGCAAGGCATTGCAGTATGAGAACCCCGATGAATGGGACGATGACGATGCGTTCGACGACTATGATGATGATGACGATGAAGATGGCGATGACGACGATGTGCGTGCGCAAGCGGTTGGCGGCAACGCCTCCGCGGAACGTCAGAATCCGCAAGAATGCAAGCAGCAGTAATGCGCATACGCTCACACCCACACCGACACCCACACCGACACCCACACTCACACCGACACCCACTCTACCTCCTACGTCCACGTCCATGCCCACATCCCTATCCATATCGACATCCACAACCAGGTCCAGGTCCACATGTAGTACATGCGAGCAGCGAGGGTGAGGGCGAACTGTGGCCGTATTTGATTTGTAGCGTTGTCCTGACCTATAGCTTTATTGTGATTCGAGTTGTTGTCTAACTTGACGCATTGCTAGATGAAATGGCTGATTCTGTTCGTTCCAATTCTTTTGCGTATGATACATTTTCGTTAGGCCATCGTCCACCCGCTGTCATCTACGTTGTCGCCCACGCCAGAATGCGCAGCCACTCGATCGCTATGACCATCTTCTGCTTTGTGAGTTCTATGATTGTCATCATCATCACCCTCACCCTCACCACCCATGCTCATAGACAGGCGGTAATAGCTGGGCATGTTGTCGGCGACGTCAAAGAGTCGCGTCTCCGAACTTTCGATCCGTGCTTGAAGATCTATCAGATCACTTGCTTGTTCGCATACAAAGCCCAACAGCATGCTTGGGTCCATCTGCGAGATGGGCAGCAACGATGTATGGGGCGTGTGGAAACTGTCGAGCTCCTCTGCCGTATACGCCTCCTCAAACCAAGGGGACACAGTGCTGGCCAGGTCGGTCGATGCGCCGACGCTGGCCCTGGTCATCCTCGGCGGCGAGCGGAATGGCACACAGGGCCGAACATGGTGTGGGTCCAGGCACAGCAGATGTTCGCGCTGCACACCGACAAAGTACAGGGATGACCGCGGCCGACCGCCAACAACGCCAACAGACTGTGGCATCGTAAAAGACTGTTTGAGAGCAGGGCGATAGTGGGGCGGCACCTGATCCAATCCCAGTCGCTGGACAAGAAGGATCAGCACAGGCCGTGTCCATGGATCACTGCGTCCAGGGGCGAACGAGGCGGCGACGACCTGTTCCTTGTACAGCATGCCGTCGTTCGTCACAACGACGCCCAGGCCGCATGCGTCGTACGCTTGAATAAGCTTGCACAATGCAAATGCTGCGGTGCTGGGCCCGAACCAGTCGCCTGCCTGCACGCCAAGACGTTGGCCTTCATCAACGAGCCGGTGGATACTAAAGGGGCACTCGAGACTTGGGTCGTCCATGAACCAAGACAAAATTCGTGCGTATTGTGGATGTGTCTTTTGCTTCGCGCGTCGGCGCCAGTGACGCCCGAGATGCACACGAATCAACGCATTGGCCAACATGCTCTGAACAGAACGAAGCATGCAGCCCCAGCCCACGTCGCTTGTGAAACATGTCCGATGTGTCAATGAGAGAATGTGCTGAAAGACAGCATGCACACTGTGCCATACACCCGGAAATGCCGTGTGCGCTGTCGGCGAGGTATACGGCACACCATGCGACGCGAGGAGCTCCCAGCCACGCGCTTTGAGTTGGTGTGCGAGCCAGGTGACGGACGTCGGCAGGGTATCGGAGGAGCCGAGTACCGCCTCGACGAGCGACAGGAGCGTCGAGACAGGCTGATGATCCGATATGGGCTGCTGAGACGAGTGCATTTGTGATGGACATAAGGGCGTCTCTTTGGCACTTGGGTCGGACTGGTGACTCGAATCGACAGCCGTCGCGGTCGACGGGGTATCGGGGGAATAGGACGACGTCGAAAGCACTTCTGATGCTGCTGAAGCGGTATCTTCGCTGGGTATAGGTGCAAAGTTGCTGCGGTACGTACACCAGACGAGGCTTGCAATGCTGCAATCCAGGTCGGCTTGCACTTCGCGGCCCGTGGAATGAGACGTGTGCTCGCTCATGCTTGATGATGCATCACTAGCACTCGAGCGAGAGACGGAGCTGCTTGGCTCTGGTGTGCCGTAAAACTCGCCCATGAGCCAGACTTGTGGATCAGACGATGGCCATAGACGCCACAAACGATCGCAAGTCATCTGCCACAGAGCCGCTGGGACCTGGCCGCGGATCCGATTCGAGACCCGGTCCAGTAGACTCCATTCCGATAATGGCGCCAAAGACATGGGGCGCATCACACGGTTTCGGCGCGGCCGGTGTCGTGAGCGCTGGATTTGAGTGGCAGAGTGGCGGCGAAACATGGAATAAGGCGACGGCTCTTCGTCACTTCCTCGCGGCTTGGTTGGTGACGAGCCGTCGTGGGTATGGTGCTGCTGAGGGCTGTATGCAGACACGTTCCTTGCTGCCGTCGGCTCGGAAGCATGCATAGACCCTGGCAGGGAAACTGGTTCGTCTGCCTCCTTGACACGTGCAATCCACTGTCGAATACGTCGGTATCGTGCACGATCGACGGGTACCGGTGGCTGCTGCGCACCAACACTCTCAGGATCGCTAGTGCTGCTTAATATTGACCGCGACGGTAGCCTGCTTTCCGAGAACGACGGGCTGCGGTGCCCATGTCGTTGAGGAGAATGGGCAGAAAAGGACCCTGTGGACGTAGATGCGTCGTCTCGACTGGGACGGCGTCCGCGATGGCAGGGAGAACTGATAGTGCGATCATGACACTGCCGCGTTGGGGCGGTAGCCATATATGATGCGATTGTCTATGGGAACGCACTTGACCGGAGCTGCTTTGACGGCGCCCTCTCGCCTTCCTTCGCAGCCACACACGCACACTTGGCTTTCTCCCACAGTTTGTGTATGTGTCTGTGTGTGTGCCTGAGACTTGCGTGTTATCACCCCAACGACCTGAGCGATTGGCCAAGAAGGACGACACGTCCACGTGGGGATACTCAAAGTTTTTTTTTTGGGGCGGCAGAAGTGGAGATGATGAACGCGATCATGCATGTTACATATGGTTCGCGCAGACTCCAGCGAATAAGCCGACAGACATACACGCCCGATTTGACGCAAGCCTTCCTATATGAGATCGAAATTTGACTGGAGGCAGACACGGTGCGAAAAGGCCAACCAGCTAGCTAGAAGACTCGGGCTGTGGCGAGACGCGTCCCCAGTAACCACGACTGCCGCGTGTGGGACGTCGTTTCGTGCATCTATGCATGTCTGAGCATGTTCTTGGCACTGTGCCATCCACATTGACACCACCATGTCTTGGCGTCGCTGACGAACTGTCCGAGACGCCGATGCCGATGCCGACTGGGACATCCTGCCTCGAGACTGCGGCTGCGTGGGACGATGACGCAAGCTTTCACCGTCGCATGGGTGGCCCATCGGGCCACAAGGCGTGCGTTGAAGCAGATGCACAGACACAGAAAATGTATGGAGGGATACGTGTGTGTACGTTCTGTGCGCACACGGACATGCGTAGGGCACGAAGCTAACAAGATCCATGTAGCATCCACGATGTATCGAAAGGGTCCAAGTTCTATGAGAACCAGCGCCGACGGCACGAGGCAGTGACACGGCGCATAGAGCGCATGTTGCAGCGAAGAGATCGAGCGCTCCGGGAGCTCACCAGCGACGAAGCGCGCGCGCGTGCAGAGCAGCATGTGTCTCGACTCGTCGCCGAACTTGAGCTGGAACGCGACCTGTCGCGGACGATCCTGCACTGTGACATGGATATGTTTTATGCAGCTGTGGAGCTCCAGCGGCGGCCTGAACTTGCTGGCGCATGCTTTGCCGTTGGACATGGCGTTTTGTTGACGGCTAGCTATGAAGCACGCCAGTTCGGCGTGCGATCGGCCATGGCTGAATTCGTCGCTCGAGCCATCTGCCCTAATCTTATTGTTGTGCCAGCGCATATGGATGTGTACAAGCGAAGCAGTGAGGCCGTCATGGCTGTGCTTGCCAAGTACGACGCGCAGCTGTATCAGCGCAGCCTCGACGAGGCCTATTTGGACATCACGTCCTACTGTGCCGAACATGGGCATGCACATCCCCGCGACGTCGCGGCACAGCTGCGAGCTGATGTTCTTGCAGCGACCGGCTTGACTGTAAGTGTGGGCATTGCGCCTAACCGGTTGCTAGCGAAGATCGCGAGTGATCGATGCAAACCAAATGGCCTATGGTACGTGGCACCGACGCGTCAGGATGCCTTGGCTTTTATGCACGACCTGAGTGTGCGGAAAGTGCCGGGCATCGGTCAAGTGATGGAGCGCATGCTGCAAGCCATGTCGATCCACACATGCCATGATCTATGGGAGCGGCGTATTGAGCTCAGTCTGTGCATAGACTCGTACCGTATGCTCCTGGCATCGGCACTTGGCATTGGCGATGCACATGTGACACTCCCCGCTCGCACCGCGCGCCGCTCCGTGGGCCGCGAACTGACATTTGCACCGACATCGGACCCGACGCACCTGCATGCGAAGCTGCGTGCGACTTGCGAGCAGCTTGAGCGAGATCTTGCCACTCTCGAGTACCGTGGCCGCACCGTGTCGTTGGTTGGTAAGCATGACACCTTTGAGCGATTTACTCGCGCACGTGCATGTCCGCAGGGCGTGTCGTCTTTTGACGATCTGTACGGGGTCGTGCACGCGTTGCTCGAGCAAGAGCGAGCGTCGTTCCCCGTGCCGCTGTGCCTGCGTCTTATTGGTGTACGAGTGTCTTCACTCATTGACTTGCAAGTGGCTCGAAATGGCGTGCTGGCACAATGGCTCCGTATGCCCGCTGCAGCTCGGGAAGCGGCATCACTCGAACCAGCGGACGCTGCGTCATCGCCAACGCGCTCATCATCAACGTCTCTCCCTCTGGTCAAGGTGCCGACGTCTGCATCAACATCGACGCTGCCGCCGACGCCATGCATTCCCGCCATTGTTCGTTGTCCCGTCTGTGGATGCAAAGTCAATTTGCGCGGCCAGCCAAGGCACGCACGCATCAACGAGCACATTGATGCCTGTCTGCAGCAGGGACAGGCGCAGCAGCAACCATTGTCGCCCGTACAACCAAGCCCACAACCACGCCCACGCCCACGCCCACGCGCACGACAACCGTCACGACGTCGACGTCCCTCGCCAGCTTCAATGACGCTAGATGCGTACTTTGGCCGGACCTAGTAATAAGCGCCTGCACCTGCATATGCTTGCTGCGTCGGCCTGTGCTGGCGCTCTGCATGTTGAGCACCAAATGCTGGCTCTGGCTCGTATGCCTTGGCAAACAAAGCGGCGCGTCCTTCTGACATGTACAGCTGGACCTCTTGCGCGGACGGAATGCGCTCAAATGACACCTAGAAGTGAGTGGTCAGCACCATACTCTACTCACGCACACACCCACACCATCCCCCTGCCCGCCTCTCACCCTCGTTTGTACATACTGTATCATTCATTTTCTTGTAGGCGACGAACCAGCGACGTACGCTTGTGTACTCCATCACGAGCCGAGTCTCTTTGCGGCTTTTCTTCGATGCGATACGCCATGCTTCGCGTGCCTTTGACGGCATGAGCTCATCGAGGGCGACCGAGGCCATATCTAAGTAGGCAAGTGCCCAGCCAGGCTTGTGCGAATACTCGCCCGCATCGATGCCAAGCCACTTGTACGCAAGCACCTTGTGCACATGTGCCTCAAACGACGCATATTTGAGCAAGGCAGCGAGGCCATCGTGACTATCAGGTCGAAGTGACGAGAGTTTCGACACAAGCTTGTCCTTGGGCGACGACGCGTCAACACCTACACTATGCGAGGCGAGTGTATGCGCCTGGTGATACAGTGCCGATGTGTGAAGATGAAGCTTCGCGAGTAGCGACGGCGATGCATGACCTGCCGGCAACGGAGGCCCTGGCGTGATTTGGTCGGTTCCCACAGCTGATGCAAGCAGCTTTCGGATGGCCAATGCATGTGCGTCTGCCATAGCCAACTTGGAGCATGCAAGGATGCCGGTGTGCCTCAACTCAGGGGGCAGACTCGGCAAGGCACTGTCTGGTCTCGCAGTACCCGAAGGGAGGAGCTGCGTAGCAACATAGTCACACACACCGCTAGCGCGGCACAGCAAATCTGTCGCCATTTTCAGACGATCATTGCATCTCTTGCACTCGTCTGCACGGAGCGACACATTCTGTTCATATGCGCCGAGTGAGTCGACGATCGCTACGGCTTCATTACTGAGAGCAGTAGCATACAACATGTGCATTGCGCACATCTCATACAGCAGGCCATTGAGCTGGAACTTGGAGCCGCAAACCAGCATGGAACGCCACGTGAACTTGTGCTCATCGCTCAACAGGATCTTGTCTGACAATGTACAGTCATACAAGCCACATAGATATGGCAGATATTCACTCACGACCTAGTCCCGCCCGAGTTAGTGACCGGCGCAAGAACACGAGATATGGGGTGAGACGGACGTACCTGGACGACTTGGAGTGGCTCAGATGGTGCATCACGCTGAAGAAGCCGCTCGACCGATGCACGCAGCTGCACCGTGTGTGCGACATCGGCATAGAACTCGTCAGTACGTGCCTGCGACGCGAACGACGTGCTGCTCACCGAAGGCAGCGCGTACGTGTACATGGGCAGGATCCTTCCTCCACATTTCGGAGCGGCACTGGGTGGATCCGGTTTATATGTACCATCCAACGTATTGGCCAAGAGCGAACGTGAGGGGGAGGGGGGCTTGGCAGGGTCTGTTGGATGCGCGGTGCTGCATGCGTATGCGAAGATTGAGCTCACGCAAGTTCCATCTTGGGCCGTAGATGCACCCTTCATTCTCATAAGCGCCGTCGACGTCCAATGCACTTTCCCTTATGCTTGCTCATCCAAGAAGCCGTCTCTGCTCCCCGACGAACACCCCAGCCAGCTGCTGGTGCTACGACAGGTCCCACATCCCATATCCCATATCCCATACAGACGCTACTTTTGCACTCACATGCATGCTGACCCATGTCAACACAAAAATGCTACTATGACTGCCGTATTGCCACCACAGATTGGATCAAGATGATCCATGCCAGATCACGAAGCACCTCGTGCATCACCCATAGTGCATCCCTCCGTGACCTTGCACTCATACTCAGGTCCCGCTAGCTACTCACATGCAGCAAGGACCAAATGCCACCTGTCATGTTCGATCGATGCAACATCTTGGACCAAAAGACGTTGCATTCGTTGTCCTGACAAGCACCTGACATGACGTCACACTCGTATTGCCGCAACAGGCTAATCAATCCAATGCCTCAATCCTCACATAACTCTGACACGCCGGCAAGCCAAGATAGACTCCGCACATTCCATGTCTAGTCATCCGCTCGCACAGCCAACAAGTCTCTGTCATAGATCCTAACGCTCCCAAGATCCTGCCCCGCTTCAACAAGCACATGCTTCTCGTTGTCAGCTATGCACAGCATATGTAAGAATAAAGAAGCCCAGCACAAATACACTTAGTGGTGCGCATTCTTGTGGTGCTCTGTGTGCGATGTTAGTCAATCCGCGTGCGCATCGAGCCAACGTACTGAGGTGACCGTTGTATTCCAGCGTGTAGCCAAAGAGCATCAGACCACCAATCACCCACAAAAGTGGCTTGCCACTGGCGTTCTTTCCGTCAAAGTACTTGGCCTTGATGCCTGTAGCGCGCCTCTCGGGCTCGGAGCCCTTTGGCAAGGCCTTGTAGAAGTTGACCACAGCTTCTGTGTTGGCCGCGTTCTCACCCTGCACACTCTTTGGCGTGGCAATCTTGGGTGGGATCGGCAGGTTCGAGTTGAAGCGCACCCGCTGACCAGCCACGCGCATCATGCGGCCGGCCTTGTTCATCGGCGAGAAAGCACGGGCAATCATGATCGTCGTCTTCGTTGTCGTCCAAAGTAAGCAAAAGTGCCCCCAACCCGCCCACGGGTCAAGCCGGCACACACCCACCCACTCTGTCATCCACCCACTTGCGCGGACGAGTCACGTGAACACAATGGAGTCAGCGCGGTCCAGGCTGGCAAGGCACACGCGCATGTCTGTCTCTAAGGCCGAGGCTTATTGCCAGGGTAATACTGATATTTGATGGGCGCCTGGATCTGACTGACCAGAGAGTGCGCGTCAGCGTTTTCCGTCCATGATACGAGAGAAGAGAACAAGGTGGTATGAAGTAGTTGTCTTTAGAGAACTTTCCTTTCCAAACGAAAGCTAGGTTACTTCCGCCAGGTCTGCATTCTTAGAGGGTGTCGCGGCGCTGGGGAAAGGGGTGCAGTGACTGTGGCCACCAATCAGGCTCTATACATGACACGAGTTGGATGCGTGAGCGTCCATAGACAATTTCCCTCATTGAGCTGAGCCGATTCTTGTCTCCAGCGGACACAACATATCTCATTGATCTACAACAGACCTGCGCCGAACCTCTGCTTGGTTGGCATCAAGGAATATGCATTTTTTAAGCTAGACCCTAGCTACATGCGCACCGACATTTAATGAAGCTTCTTGCCAGCGCGAGCAAGGTGCGTGGCGTGCTCGACGTATGGCGTTGGAGGGACAGGCACCTCCTCCCAGAGGTTTGGCGTAAGGATCGCGTACGTCTTGGCGACGGCCTCGAACGTGGCCTTCAGGAAGTTGCCCATCGTAGCCGTCTGGCCCTTGGACTGTGTGTACACGTCATCAATACCAGCGAGCTGGAGCAGGCGCTTAGGCGCAGGTGCAGCCACAATACCAATACCACGAGGAGCTGGCACCAGACGGCACATGACCGAGGCAGACTTGCCCGACACCTTGGCCGGCACCGTGTGTGGCTTACCGAGCGCGCTACCCCAGTAGCCACGACGCACGGGAATGATCGAGATCTTGGCCATAATCATGGCGCCACGGATGGCAGAGGCCACTTCCTTGGCGCACTTGACACCCAGACCGAGATGGCCGTCCGAGTCACCAATGGCCACAAAGGCCTTGAAACGAGTGCGCTGACCGGCACGCGTCTGCTTCTGCACAGGTGTGATCTTCATCACCTCGTCGGTGAGCTTCGGCAGCAGGATATCCACCACCTGGTACTCCTTAATGGGGAGCGAGAACAGGTAGATCTCTTCCATCGACTTGATCTTGCCATCCTTCACGAGACGACCAAGCGACGTCACAGGCACTGCAACATTGTTAGCACATCTGACTCGTCGTTTGTCAAGGCTCAGTAACGGCTCAGCGACAGCAAGTAGTGCGACGCACCACCGCATGGCATAACATACTGCACTACTCGTGCGCGCGTACAAGAGACGCTGCGCGACGCTGCATCGTGCCGTCTTCACCTGTAGCATACATACCCCACTCTTCCTTCTCGTCCTTGCGAGCGCCGCGACGACCGCGGCCACCGCGTCCACGGTCACGTCCGAAACCACCACGTCCACGCTCAGCCATCTTGCTGCTGCCATGATGTGTTAGTCTGGAGGTCCACGTCTGCATATCCAGCTCGCGACATACCTTGTTCGTTGAGGAAGTAGTTGAAAGCTACCAAGAGCCGCTCGCGCTGCGAAGCGAAAAGCAGGTCCCTCAGCGCAGGCCTTCGATGCATCGCACGCGGCGGGGTGAAGTCACGCGCATAGTTGCAGAAGCACGTGATGAATTACATTTCGATCGGCCGAGATACAGCGAAATCCTCCCAGGCTTTGGACCTAATGCGTGCGCGCGCCGCCACCGCTGCTAAAGTACAGCTGCATATTGGCTGGTCTGGGTCCAGAGGCAGGCGACGGTCGGCCGCAGCGCTCGAGTTTTTCAAGTCAGCACCTCGTGTGGAAAGAGCATCTTTCTTTACACGCAATAAAATCTCTGGAGCTAGTAAGTAGGAGACGCCATTGCGACAACAACGTTGCAAGCATTTGGAGATTGTACGTTGCTAACGTGATTACAGTTGTACCATGGCCTCGAAGCAACCCGCTATCTTGAACCCAACGCCGGAGGACATCAGCCTGCTCCTCGCTGCTCAAACACACATCGGCACGAAGAACTGTGAGAAGGCCATGCTTCCTTACGTGCACAAGCGCCGTGCGGACGGTATCCACTTGATCAACATCGGCAAGACGTGGGAGAAGCTCGTGTTCGCTGCACGTGTGCTCGCTGCCGTCGAGAACCCTGCCGACATCTGTGTGATTTCAAGCCGCACCTACGGCCACCGTGCTGTGCACAAGTTCGCTGCGAACACGGGCGCAACGGCGATTGCTGGCCGCTTCACGCCTGGTTCGTTCACAAACTATATCACGCGCTCGTTCAAGGAGCCGCGTGTGATTGTCGTGACGGACCCACGTGTGGACCACCAGGCCATCCGTGAGTCGGCCTACGTCAACATTCCTGTGATTGCTCTGTGTGACACGGATGCTCCTCTGCGTCATGTCGACATTGCCATCCCTGGTAACAACAAGGGTCGCCACTCGATTGGTCTGCTGTGGTGGCTGCTCTGCCGTGAGTTCCTCCGTCTCCGTGGCATTGTGCCCCGCACGCCGAACGGCTGGAACGTCATGGTCGACATGTTCTTCTACCGCGACCCTGAGGAGATCGAGCGCGAGCAGGCTGAGGCTGCTCTGGCCAAGCAGGCTGCGGCTGCCAACGCTATGCAGGAGTCGACCATTGAGCAGGTCGACTTTGCCATTGAGGGTGCTGGCGCGGGTGGTGTGAACCCATCGGTCGCTGCCAACCTGCCTGCTGGCGGCGAGCAGGTCGACTGGAGTGCCGACGCTGCGCAGGACTGGGCTGCTGACACTGGCGCTGCGCCAGCTGCGTCGAGCTGGGACTAAATGTGCCTCGTCTCGGCATGAGTCATCTCAACAGGCCTTTTCGTTCAGAACGTGCCCCTTTTATGTAGGTGTGGGTTCGAGACATGTTTGATCTCGAAGCCTTGAAGTGCATGTCTCCAAAAAAATACGCGTTGTCTGGCCTCTTGCGTTCGGCTCCCTATGGAGAATCTCTCACTGGCGGGGGATGCGTAAGAGCCCATATTCCGAGAGCCTTTCTAGCGTCATAGTCGTGTAGAAATGACTGCCAGTGCAACTTTCAAAGCACCGTGTGCTTTACGTGAATGGTCTGTTGCGACAAGTTCACTGTCGGCAGAGTATGGTCTCGAGGCTGTTAGCGGGGAGGATTTGCGGCAGTGGAGTCGTGAATTTGTGGAGCGATTTTTCGAATTGGGGCTTTATGCGTGGGTAAGAAGCACGCGCCGTCATCCATTGTAGATCGAGTCTCGATTCGTGTTGCAGTGCTGGATGCATGGCGACAAAGGGGCATGATGCGGCGCGTAAGGATGCTGTAAGAATGCGTGTGCGCGCATTTGATGATGCAGATGATGAGGATGCTGAAGCAAGTGCGCCTAGGATGGCACCTGCGCGCAAGCGCAAACCACCACGCCAGGGGGCCATGTCATCGTTTCTGCGTGAACTACAGGAGGCGCAAGCGAAGCGGGCCGAGTCGCTATCTATACCGAAAGCAAAGGAAACGTACAGAGAGCATGTTTCAGGGTCTGAAGTACAGCTGGATTCGACTAACATATGTGTACAGCCGCTCCCAGCATCTGCCATGTCAGAGCATAGACTTGGCACGTTTTTTGCACAGTGGGGTGATGTTGCCTGCGTGAGCCTGTCGAAAAAAGAACCCAGTGTTACTGCCTCTGCATATGCGCACGTCGCGTACACGAGTCGCCGAGATGCTGAGTTAGCGCTCCAAGAGACAAATGGCCTCGTGTGGAATGATGTCACACTCTCATCAAGTTGGGCACCGCCTATCTCGTTACCCGACGGAGAACCAGCGTATTCAGCACGCCGATCGCGCAAGCGAAGAGCCAGGGAGCAAGGTCACTACGCTCATGCGCAGGGGGGGCGTGAGTGTTCCCCAGTACCTGTGCGACATAGGCACACACATCGGTCGACGTCGCCGGTACATATTTCAGCGGAATTTCAGGATGCCGGGTACGCATCCATGTACTCGACAGACTCAGAAGAGGTGTCTGAGTCCGATCTGCATCGCGGGAATGGTGAGCTCCCGATGTTGGCCGCCCGTCGACTTCAAGCCATGCTCAAAGGCCTCACTCCCCGTCGCGAACGCATTGCGCGATGCATGAAACTAGCGCTGGATCATGCGGACGCAGCACCATCCGTGGCCGACATGATCGCTCGGTCTCTGCTGGTGCCGACGACGCCACTGCCGCGTAAACTCGCGCGCCTCTACGCCATGTCAGATATTTTGTACAATACCGCGGCGCCAGTGGCATGTGCATGGAAGTACCGCGAGGCATTTCAGCCATGGCTCGAGGCCATCTTTTTGCACTGGGGAGCGACGATTCGAGCATGTCCTTTGTGCCAGACGACGGAAGAGACGAAGCAGCAGGTTCTGGCCGTGCTAACGTGCTGGGACACGTGGCTCATATGGCCACCGACGCTACTTAAACACCTGAGAGACGCAGTGGAGGGACCAGAGACATTGGATCATAACAAGACAGATGCATGAATATGGTACAAAAGAGCTATGCAACACAGGGTGGAGAAAGGTTTTCACCAGCCGAAGCGGAGTTGGTCTCGAGTAAAGACGGGTGGTTTCCAATGCAAGTGTTCAGGATGGATGCGCCGGCGCTTCTTTTTCATTTGGCGTTCGTGTTTTTCTATAATGGCATCCGACAGGACCAGATAGTGTTTGCCCTGGTATTGCTTGAGCATGTTAAGGGCTTGGCAAGTCTGGAGGACATCTGCATGCACGATCGATGTCTTGTTGGCAATGTCGTCAATACTGACTTCCTCGTTCGTATGGAGAAGAAGCTCGACGATCGTCTCAGACCAATAGGCACGATACCCAAGTAAGCCCAAGTCGGATAAGGGCTTTTCCGGACTACCAAGCTTGTTTTCGCGCTTGGAAAGCTCGTACGAAAACTCAATCAGCAAGCGCCCGAATCCACTGCGCTGATGCTGTGGAAGTGTAAGAATACAAGCGACATTGTAGCCTTCGGCACTCTCCTTTTCCTTGGAGAAGTAGCCGATCATATGACAGCCTGTGTTGTCGCGTTGGCACATCACGTAGTAAAGAAAGGGGTCGACGTCATAGTACAAAGTCTTGTGGTCGAGGAAGCACTTGCTCAGTAAGCACAGGTTCCTGCACCAAGTCTTTTGCCGACGGCCGTCGATTTCGAAAAAGCTGATATCTTCACAACGGTAGATCTCGTTGCCGGGTGGATGAAGCAGAGTACACTTTTGCCGGTGTCGCTTCATCAGAAACTCGGACGGAAAGTATGACAGGCACATTTCACATAGGTACAGGCAATCAATGTATGCATACTCTGAGGGGTAAGGACTGAAGTACCAAGCCTCAATCTGATGCTTGCCCTTTGGATCATGTTCAGATTTTTGACACGCGAGATTTCGCTGGCACATTGGGTCATGGAACCTGACGTACGCAGTTTCTCAACTTCTTTTTCTTTGCTGAAAGACTCGTCCACTTCGCTTTTGACCACGACATCTTGGCCATTACCACCACCACTACTACCGGCCCCCGGACCGCCTGACTCGCCGGAGGGCAGGCGTTGTTGCGCGAGTAGGAGTACCTTGAACAGAGCGCACACCCTGCACGACTTTACGTTTCGTGTTCTTGTTGGATGAGCTTGATTCTGGCGGCCTGGGCCATTCCATCTCTCGCGACAACACTAGCTTTGCCGATGGCACCCACTCGTCCAATCGCTTGTTGAATTCACAGTAATGAACGTAGAAATCGAGTTCTGGCTCCTTTTCCTTAACGGCATGTTCACCCTTTTCCTGGATTTCTTGTAGGAGATGAAGTCTATTTTGTCGCTTTTCGCGGATCGAGAGCACTTCCGCCAAACGTTGCTCCCATTCACCGGTATCTGAATTGATCTTTTCCACATACAGCTTGGCACCAACGACAACATCTTTTAGCTCATACTCACCGCCCTCGTATTTTGGCGGAGGCTCCTCTTGATCAGCCTTGACATTCTTGCTGGCAGTTCGAGGTGGCATGTTGTTCTCGAGCGCCTAGCTTTCGTTTTTCTTTTTTCTAACCTGTTCCCCACTCTTTTCACACACACACGCACGCACCACGCTTTTTTACCTTCTCTCAATTCCTCGGTGGCGTTGGGCTGCTGAGGAGCACGCAAAAGAAGCAACCAGATACCTATCACGTGATCCATTCGTGCGCAGGGGTGGAGTCATTGAGCAGCGACGCGCGATGCATGAAGGGAGCAGGAGCAGGTGGAAGTGTCATTCGTGTGACACCCAGCCAAACTCCACACCGATTGTCCCCAAGCCGAGGAAGTGGACGACAGAGTTTGCGTACGTGTGGCAAACGAGCAAGACTAGCGACACTCGTACGTTTGAGACGCGCAAAAAGCGTGGGGGACTCGTAGGCCCTCTACCGTTGTTTGTTGTGCCGTGCCAACCATACCATGTCGAACGAGGAGCTGGATGACATTCAGCGACTCCGGGCATCACGTCCATCAGCACTAAGAAGTGGGATTGGACTTGCAAGTAACAAGGAAGACAAAGACATTTATGGATCAGGGTCATCGCGCTCCAACTACGTCGAGTCTATTCCCGTACGTCGTGGCGATGTGGATAACGATGCTTCGGACGACGATGAGCAGCCAAGGCGTGCAAACCCACTGGATGCATTCACTGCGCCACAGCACCTATTGAATGAGTTTGCTGACGACTCGTTCGATCCGTTGGCGGAGCGTGTAGCACAGCGCCAGTTGGCGACGCGTCAGTCAGACTACCATAACCGTCGATTCCAACGCGATGCGGGACCTGATTCACAACGTGATCCATTCGCACAGCCGAGCGAAGAGGGCGATGCGCCTGCGGAGGAGGGATATCGAGATGCCATGCGTCGTGCACAGGTAGAGCGTGAAGAGCACAGAGTGCGTCGGATCATTGAGGAAAAAGAACGGTCTATGGACTATCAGTCTCCTGCGGCTGAGCCGTCCGAAACCATGGGACAGGGGGCCTTGCCGCAGCGGAAGCGCCGGTGGGACGTAGCTCCCGATGACGTGCGTCCCGCGGCGCACGAAGGAGCCACGCTGCCGGCCTCTTCTGCCACAGATACAGAGACAGATACATCCTCGACCAAGCGGCGCCGCTCACGCTGGGATGAAATTCCCGCGGAAGACACGGGTGTCGACACGTCCAAACGATCGCGATGGGATCAGACGCCGGCAGGTGAGTTTTCATCTGCATCTACATCCTCGTCGACGAGCACGACTGCACCTCCTGCAACTGCTTCTGACTCTGTGGCAACAAAGGTGCCATTCAAGCCAGCGCGTGTGCGGTACATGTCCGACAGCGAGCTGGACGCGCTCCTCCCGAGTGAAGGATACACGATTGTTGAGCCGCCACCAGGGTATGCGCCTGTGCGCACAGGCGCGCACAAGCTGACCGAGGCGCCGGAGGGAGAGAGCGGTTTCACAATGCACGAGTCATCGACGCTGGGGGGGATGGCCGATGACATTGTCGCTGACCTGCCGACGGATGTGCCAGGTGTGGGCCAGCTGGCCTTTATGAAGCCCGAGGACCAAAAATACTTTGGCAAAGTGTTGCAAGAGGAGGATGAGAACGAACGACTGACACGTGCGGAGGCCAAGGAACGAGAAATCATGCGTCTGCTCCTCAAGATCAAAAACGGCACACCGCCACTTCGGAAGCAGGCACTGCGGCAGATTGCCGATCAAGCCCGGGAGTTTGGGCCTGGCCCGCTCTTTGACAAGATCCTGCCGCTTTTGATGGAGCGGACGCTCGAGGACCAGGAGCGTCATCTGCTGGTCAAGGTGATTGACCGTGTGCTGTACAAGTTGGATGAGCTCGTGCGGCCGTACGTGCACCGGATTCTCGTTGTGATTGAGCCGTTGCTGATTGACGAGGACTACTATGTGCGTATTGAGGGGCGCGAGATCATCAGCAACCTAGCGAAGGCGGCTGGCCTGGCACACATGATTAGCACCATGCGGCCGGACATTGACCATGCGGATGAATATGTGCGGAACACAACGGCACGAGCGCTCGCTGTCGTGGCGTCAGCGCTGGGTATTCCAGCGATCCTGCCGTTCCTGCGTGCTGTATGCCGGTCGAAAAAGAGCTGGCAGGCACGCCACACGGCCGTGCGTGTTGTGCAGCAGATGGCCATCATGATGGGCTGTGCAGTGCTTCCGCACCTACGCAATTTGGTCGACTGCATCGAGAAGGGCCTAGAGGACGAGCAGCAAAAGGTCAAGACGATGACAGCGCTTGCTCTGTCGGCACTAGCGGAGGCGTCGGCGCCCTATGGCATAGAGAGTTTCGAGAATGTGCTCAAGCCGCTGTGGCTTGGCATTCGGCATCATCGTGGGCGCGGCCTAGCGGCATTCCTCAAGGCGATTGGGTTCATCATTCCGCTGATGGACTCGGACAGCACGCTGTACTTTGTGAAGGAGATCACTCCCACGCTGATCCGCGAGTTCCAAAGCGCCGATGACGAGATGCGGCGCATTGTGCTGAAAGTTGTGCGGCAATGTGCTGTGACGGACGGCGTCACGGGCACGTTCCTGCGTGCGGAGCTCGTGCCGGACTATTTCAAGGCATTCTGGGTGCGCCGCATGGCACTGGACCGGCGGAACTTCCGCGAAGTCGTCGAGACGACACGCGCTCTTGCAGACAAGGTCGGCGTGAGCGACGTCGTCGGCCGTCTCGTACACTTTCTGAAGGACGATAGCGAGCCATTCCGCAAGATGGCGATGGACGCGATCCAGCATGTCGTCGCATCGCTTGGCACAGCCGATGTAGACGAGCGGTTGGAGGTTCAGCTTGTCGATGGCATGATCTATGCGTTCCAGGAACAGTCTGTTGAAGATCGTGTCATGCTGAATGGCGTCGGCACCATTGCCAATGCGCTCGGGATGCGGATCAACCCGTACCTGATGCAGATCGTGTCGACGATCCTGTGGCGCCTCAACAACAAGAATGCGAGCACGCGGCAGCAGGCGGCCGACTTGACGACGAAGCTGGCCGTCGTCATCAAGCAGTGCGGCGAGGACGCCTTGCTGTCGAACCTGGGTGTGTGTGCTCTTTGAGCAGCTGGGCGAAGAGTTTCCCGAGACGCTGGCAAGCATGATCGCAGCCGAGGGCGCTATTGCGAATGTGGTCGGCATGACCCAGATGAATCCGCCCGTCAAGGACCTGCTTCCGCGCATGACGCCCATTCTGCGCAACCGGCACGAGCGCGTGCAGGAGGCCAGTATCAACCTGATCGGGCGCATCGCCGACCGGGGCGCCGAGTTCGTTAGTGCACGTGAGTGGATGCGCATCTGCTTTGAGCTGCTCGACCTACTCAAGGCACACAAGAAGGCCGTACGGCGCGCGGCCATCAACAGTTTTGGCTACATTGCCAAGGCCATTGGACCACAGGACGTGCTGCAGGTGCTGCTGACGAACCTGCGCGTCCAGGAACGCCAGAGCCGTGTGTGCTCGACGGTCGCGATCGCCATTGTCGCAGAGACGTGTGGGCCGTTCACGTGTCCGCCGGCGATCTTGAACGAGTACCGGACGCTTGAGTTCAACGTCAAGCACGGCTGCCTGAAAGCACTCAGCTGGGTGTTTGAGTACATTGGCGAAATGAGCAAAGATTACGTGTACAGCGTCATGACCCTGCTCGACGACGCCTTCACGGACCGCGATGTCGTGCATCGGCAGACGGCCGCCAGCATTGTCAAGCATCTCGCGCTCGGCACCGCAGGCCTCGGCAGGGAAGACGCCATGCAGCACTTGCTCAATCTCGTGTGGCCGAACCTGTTTGAAACGAGTCCTCACGTGATCAATGCCGTCATGGAGGCCATCGAGGCACTGCGTGTCTCACTGGGGCCAGGCGTCATTCTGTACCATACGCTGCAGGGGCTCTTCCATCCCGCGCGCAAAGTGCGCGAGGCTTATGTGCGCACGTACAACACCAACTATGTCGGTGCACAGGACGCACTGGTTGCGTACTACCCGTCGCTCGATGACCAGCCTGAGGAACATCGTGACTATGCACGCCATGATCTAGCTATGGTTCTGTAGGGGAGACCGGCTCACTGTCTGTCGTTGCCGGTAAAAAGAATCCTATGTGTTTTTACACGTGTGACTCGTCCATCGCAGCATCGTCGCTGTCGCTGTCGCTGTCGTTCGCGTCGTCATCCATCCGTGCCGTATCAGTCAGCACTCGGCTGCTTGGCTCCTCCATGTCCCCCTCATCGTCCATGGCCTCTTCTCCGTGCACACCTAATACGGAATCCATGGCCTGCAGCGTGTAGTCGAGCATCGCACTTTCCACGAGCATGCGGTCCACACGCGCATAGTGCCGCTCTGTGTATGGCATGAGTCCGTCGAGCATGGACAAGGCCGACATCCCGTGGGCGTGGCCTGTGTGCGAGTCCTTTTGCTTGCGGGCTTCTTCAAATGCATCGAGGATCGCCTCTGCATCCCACTGCCGCACGATAGCATGCAGCAGCAGTTGTGCTATGGGCGATGTGCGCGAGGATGTGTTCCAGTCGCGGATGTAGGATAAGAGCTGCACCAGCTGTGAGCGAGGCAACGTTTGCAAAATCCCATCAACAGCAGCCAGGCCGGTTATACTGCCACGCCGTGTATCCTCGTCCTCATCCTCATCATGAGCAGCCCCACGAACGTGCCGAGTGCCCAATGCATCAGCAAGCAAGCGGTCCATCGACGCCATCGCATCATAGTCTGGTCTTGATGTAGCGACCTGTGAGAAGAGCTGCAACAAACGGCGTGGCTGGTCCAGCTGGAACGCCAACGCAATTGCATTCCGGTAGTCTTTCAGCAGTACCAGATTCGTAAACTGCTGCTCCCGTTCGACAGCTTCTTTCGCCACGGCCATCTTCTCTGCCTCGACAGCTGCAGTCGTATCGCTCCATAACGTGATGGTGCTGTCTGCTGCACCACTGATGATCTGAAGTGGCGTCGATGCCGTCTCCTCACGCACAGCGAGCGTCCAGATCTTGTCCTCGTGTGCGTCCACGGTCACTGCACACTCTTCATCCCGCACATTCCATACCTTGACCAGGCCGTCGTTTCCTGACGACACAATCTGGGCTCCACTTGGCAGGTACTGCAGCCGAAGCACACTGCCTGTATGTCCTTCAAACACACGCACACAGGCAAAGTCCTGCAGACTCCACATCCGGACCGTCTGATCACTGGACGCGGAGGCAAATGCCTGTTCGGCTGGCGAGAACTGGACGGACCAAACACCGCGCTTATGGCCGCGGCACGTCGCCAGTGTATCGAGCGTAGCGGATGGCTTCGTGTGTTTGCCAGGCGCCGTATAGTTCAGCCGGAAGACCTTGACCGTGCGGTCCTGGGAGCCCGAGACAAGAAGGCCATTGTTGGGCGCAATGTCAATGGCGTTGATGTCCTTCTCGTGGATCTTGAGTGTGATGAGCGATGAGAGCTTGGTAAAGCGGTTGTCGTCCGTGAGCTGTGAGAGATCCCATAGCTTCAATGTCCGATCCTGGCTCGCTGTGACGACGAACGGCGTCATTTCCAGGCTCTTGCGCGCAAACTTGACGCACCCCACACTCTCTGCATGGCCCTCACAAATGCCGAGACATGTCCAGCTATCGCGTCCATCGTCGACACGCGCCCAGATGCGTGCTGTCTGGTCTTTGGAGCCAGACACAAGCCACTTGCTATCAGGGCTTGCATCGAGACTTAGCACCATGTCTGCATGCCCGTCGACGAGCGATACATCATGGTCATGGGTATCAAGCTTGTATATGCGCAGCTGGCTGTTGTTCGATGCGACAGCGAGAAACTTCTGCTGCTCTAGCAGCGTCACGTCGACAATTTCGTCATTGTACCCGACAAGCTGGTGCGTCTGGACAAGTTGGGGCTCCGTGTCGGACGATGCATGGAGCGCAAAGAACGCCAAGTCTTGCGTCGCTGACACCGTCACGATGGCGTGCGATTCTGACGACACAAGTGCATCCATCAGTCCGCGAAGTTCATCATCATCATCATCATCATCATCATCGACGTCGTCCTTGCCGCCGCCGCCGTGCTCGTGGCCATCGCCATGCGCATTGTCGCCGCGGTGTGTAGCCGAGACCCATCCAGCACCTGAATCCGTCTCTCGTGTCGACTCCTGCCGGGTCACTTCGCTCCCCGAGGACACATCCCACACGCGCAAGATGCCCTTGGACCCAGCGGTCGCGAACCACGGCGTTCCTGGCAAGAACTTGAGCGCTTCAATGCGCTCATGAATCAACTGGATATCACGTCGGGTCCAACGCCCTTCTTTCCAGTCCCAAAACACCAGGGTCTGATCGCGAGCTCCTGACACGATGGTATTGCCATCGGACGAAATGCCGATCCCACGGACGACACCCGCATGAGCATGCAGGACGGCCGTTGGTTTCGAAGCCGCCTTGGCACCACCCCGCAAATCCCAGACACGTACCTTCCCATCGACGCATCCGGTTATGAGCTGCACACCCCGTGCAGAGGAGCCAGCTCGCCGTGACTCGACATGCCAGCAAAGAGCACTCACGACGCCGCCATGTCCGCGAAATACATGTGTGCAGTAGCCGCCACGCAAGTCCCAGACCTTGACGGATCCATCAGCACTGCCTGTAGCCAGCAGGCTCGACGTCGGGTCAACAGCCATCAGAGCAACGGGTGCCTCATGTGCCTTGGATATGGTGCGTACACGCTCCATGTCTGCTAATGCATACACATGCAAGGACAACGAGCGTGACGCTGTAATCATAAAGGTATCATTTGGTGTTAATGCGAGGCTGTTAATGTCCTCGCCATCACCGGTGATTTTATGCAAGATCCGTGACGTTGCTGATTCTACGATGTGGACGTCAGTGCCGAACGATGTGGCGAGCCAACCAGCATCAGCTGTCACAGCTACAGCGCCTCCTGAATAGAATGGATCAAGTGATTCACTCTTTGCAAACGATGTACGTAGACGAGGCTTACTTGAGCCCGCATCGCTTGCTGCTGGCATCGTCGTCGCACAGTACAAATCCACTCGGTCTGTGCTCGTACGCGACGAAAAAAAAATTCAAGCCGCTTGTGTGTGGCTCACGTAACACGAGACCGCCCAGCTTGATCTCAGGGCTCGTTCTCACGAATCGTGGATTTATGCCTCTGAAAAGCGCCGTTGCTCCTGAGGCGAAGATATCAGTCCCATCCGTTCATGTGCCGCTTGCTATGGCTAGCCTGAACGGGGTGGCCTTGGAGACCGCACATGCCGTGTTCCATAGCGTACGTTGTATATAGTCAAGTGTCTGTATGTGCACACATAGCATGGCCGATACATCATTCGAAGGGGGAGAAGGGGAGAGAGCGTGAGCCCAGTCCAAGTGCGTCCAATCTAGTTAGCGACCCCATGGGCTTGCAAGCAAGTGGCATGCATCAAGGCCAACTAAAGCCATCATTTTTTTTTTTTTTTTTTTTCGCCGTGAGAACCTTGTGCGAAGCTACCTATTCTATACGCGCTCCCTGTTGAACTGCATATCCGACGTATCAACCATGGAACCAGTCTGGATACCACGCTGCGGGTACTGGTCAAATGCACTACATATGTGTGTCAGTATAAGGACGCAAAGACGCGCGGCGATACGTACGGAAGGAACCTGATGCGATGCGCAGCGGGCTTCTGAGCATCTTGGATCATAAGCTGCGACTCTGCCTTCTTGATCGACAAGTCCAGGTGCTCCTGGTTCGACTCGCGAGTCTGTTCAGAAGGAGTAGACCAAGCTTCAAGTAGTTCCGTCAGGTATGGCTTGCCACTGTTGTCGCCGCTGCTTGTACCAGCCTGGTTCTCCTTCAACGAGAGACGATGAGCAACGAGACCTCCAACAAGGCCAAAGAGAGCCAGCAGCCATAGGCGTGAGTTGAAGCCTGTATCCATAGTTAGTTTCGTCTTCTTGGCTCTCACGTCGACACCAACATACCTTCGCGTGGGTACTCGGCTGTTTGTGCAGCCGACGTCGGCTGCTGCGCACCACGAGCGATCCTTGTCATATGAAGAGCACGAGACGCTTCAGCCGAGCGGAACGCAGTCGCTGCGGGAGCACGCGCAGCTCGGATGGATCGTGCCCAAGAAACCACCATATTTGTCGACAGCGAAGCGACGCATCTCTTCATGTCGGGGACGGCCGACTTGGCCTCGCGCGCCCCTCTGGAGGCGGCGTACCATCACGTGACACGTTCGCCTTGCATCCCACCGTCAAGTCACAGGCTATAGACACATCTCAAGGGCTCCCTGCTCATCGTGCTGCACCATGATGGTGGATCCCTTGACTGCTTTCTGATAACGCGCCGCTTGCGCAACAACTAGCATCATGCTATGAAAGATTATTTTGCTCAACAAGTGATGGCATGTGTATTAATTTTCTTTTTCTCCCAGTCTGGAATCGCACGTCGCGAGAAGTAGGCGAAACGTGCTAGCGAACTCCACGTTGTTCGTGTGTCTTGTCTATGTTGCATTTGTGCGACCGCCTCATCCTGTCACGGGCTCATCATGGCGTATGGAATTATGTCATTTGTGCGATACGCTGCCGGTGGGTTGTCCATGCACTGATGGCCAAGCGACCGATCTTGCCTCGTGCACGTGCATACTGTGGTGCTTGCATGTAGTTCGCGAAAGCAGACGCCAGAGCCGAGTGGACTTGCCAGCGTTGCAAGACGCGAGCAAATGCAAAGAACCCGAGCCATTCGATACAGTCGCGTCGCAGCTGAACGTCGGACACGGTCGAGAAAGAGACCTGTGCCTCGCGAAGACTTGCGCGGACCATGGGATAGATCGACCGCACTGCGCGAACGACTGAGCGCTGTACATGCAATACATGCACATGTGTCATACTGCGTAGATACACATGCAGTTTTGCTGCAGCTACGACGAATCCTTCCAGCAGGTTAGTGTAAGCACCATCTGTCGTGTTCAAGTGCGTGTCCGTAAACATGAATCTGGTGCGTGCATGCATCGCATGGAGCAACATGGGTGCAAGGCCCGTGATTCGGCGGATAGTGAGCGTGTCGCCCAGGTGGTGAGGATCTCGGTCAGGGTCTGGCAGCAGTGCCAGAGTTGTGGGATCGATGCACACACCACACCAAGGGAACGGAACGTGAGGTGCGACCCGTCGCACAACATAGCCATCAGGCAAATATGCATCAAAGTTGACAAGACTCTTCTCCCGTGCAACTTGACAACCGTGCAAAGGAAAACCTGCATGCAGAGCCACGCACATACGCTGTGCGCGCTCAAGCGAGGGCGTCAGGTACAAGAAGTCATCAGTAAAGCGAAGCAGGCAGTCGTCCGCATCAGACACGGGCTGTTCCTTGGCGCCGGGTCTGCTCTCGGTGTATAGGTACGTTCGTTCTGCATCAGCAAGGACCAAGTTACACAGGAGTGTGGACAGGATGGAGCCCTGCGGAATACCTGTCGTTTGCCGGTACAAGGCGTCTCCGAAGCGCACAAATGTTTGTTTCACGTGCGCCTCGACCTGCTTCATCACATCTGTGGCGCTGACTGTTGTGTATGTAATGCCATCGACCAGCACTGCGTGTCGAGATGGCTGCTCCGCTGCATGTTTCATGAACGCCGGGCTCGTCTCAGCAGGGTACGCACGTCGCGTGTGGCAGCGCCGAATGAGACCAATGCCCGGCCGCACTTGTGCGTATCGCTGGATTACGTATGTTGCATGACGTGGAAGCAGCATTCGAACAAGTTCTAGTAGCCGTGTATGGTGCAGCGAATCAAAGGCCGCTCGAATATCGGCGCGCACCAAGTACAGCCGGCGCGAACCATGTGAGAAGACGTGGTCCTTATACATCTTGAGCTTTGCATACATCGCCTTCACACTGGATATTGCCGCTCCACACATATGCGACTGTTGTGTGGACTCATACGTCAAGACAGCCAACGCGTTTTGCAGCTGCGCATTGATCGAGCGGCCAAAGCCCTGTGGACGCCGACCCAAGTTGATAATGGGGCGCACGGCTGTTTCTTTCGGCAGCAGGCGCACCGTTGCATACGGCACACGACCATCCCGCGGCACTGCTGATACTCGTGAGAATCGTTGCGTACACAGGTCGCGAATCAGAGGCGTCGTGACCCGCACCCAGACGTCCTGTCGAAAGTACAAGACGCGCCGCCGAAAGACTGCCGTCTCCGTCGCATAAAATGAAGTACGCAACAAAGGCAAAACCAATGCATCCATGAGCCACCACATCCACGAGCACAGACGCATTTGCGTTTGTGTAGGATCACGGTGCGCAAGCCATGCACCACAATCGCGTGACTTGAACCCTTGGAGTGTATCATGCAAAGTCACGCGCTCAAAGCGTCGCGCATGTACGAATTGATGGACCGCCCGTCGAATTATGGCCCAGTTGTGCTGACTTCCGACCATGGCGGAGGGCAACAACTTTCGCAGCACCACACAGACGAACCAGACGACCCGACCTGGCGGCGTCGCGTAGTGCAAGAACGGCGGCATTCCATGAGGCACGTACGGCGCCGAGAGTGCACTGGCACATGTCGATCCCGGCGTAGTGCTTGTGCTTGCGGATGCCGCCTGGGGATCCAATCCAGCAAACTGTGAAACGACCTCCATTCGTCGCGCACGCAACACCCGTCCGCGGGGTAATACAGTAGGGCAGCATGCATCCAGAATCATGTCGTATCTGCACTTGTCATGCCGCCGCAGCATACAAGCTACAAACCGAGATAGGCACCCAAGTCCCTTGGGCCATCGACGTCGTCGTGGGCTGTGCGTTGGATGGGCACGTTCCCAGCCAAACGGATACCCAAAGTCATGCGGCATCATATCGCGCAATATACGCGCTGTATGCATCCGTCGCTCCATATGGGACATCTGGGACCATCGCATTGGTAAGTGGAATGCATGTGTTGGAGGCAGACCAAGAGCAATACCATAACGGTACACGTGTGTAGCGCGTGCATGAAATAGACGCGATCGTCGGAGATAAATTTGCGCAGCGTGGACTGAGCGAGAAGGCGTCATCTTTTCCACAGACGTGCTTGGAGGAGGTAGTTCCGTCAGTGGTATGCCCCACATCTGGACGTAACAGTCGTGGTCGGGTGCTGCAGGAAAGAAGTACGCCGTGGAACACAGCAAGCGCATAAATGCTGTAGAGCCCATTCTCTGGAGCAAGAGGTGCCAAGCGGGATTTTCTAAGAATGTTTGGACGATAGAGTTCCAGTGAGTTCGCACAAGTCGCCCTGCCGAGTAATGGAAGCCAAGGAGTAGTATATCTCGTCGTCGCTGCGTATATATGGCATACTGGGCTTGTTCGAGCACGTTGTGCAGTACAGCTGCATGATTGTCGACGTGATTCAACGAATCTAGACCGTAGCCTCCTTCTCTGCTGCTTGGCGCATCAATCCCATTTGGCATGGCAACGAGGCCATCGAGGATCAGCTGCCATGCTGCGGAGTCGGTTGCCGCGTCATGAAAAGATTCGTTGCAAGGCACGAGGGATGACGGACTCACCTCTGAAAGATACGTTCGCAAGGGCACAACTTTAGCATAATACGTTGGAAGCAGATGTCGTGCTACGAGGCCAGGTGTGACTGGGTTCATCTCGCCATGGTGGAGTAGCGAAGCATCTCACTGACACACACGTGCTACAGAACGATGGATTGTGAATATGCCGGGCCATGAATATATGCAAACGTTATGGAGATAGGCTCACGTTGATAGGGCTGGCCAACAAAATAGAAATCATGCTCATAATACTGGCAGCGAGCGAACACAGCCATGAACCAGCCAGTAAGTCAATCGGTCAGGAGCAACGGCGCAATGGGCACGGATGAAAATTAGACAGACTCAACGCCAGCATATTCGCTCGACACAGGTGGCTCGATGAACGCAGCATGTCCTAGGATCAACAATGCGCTACTACCAACGAGCCAGAAAATAAGGGCGAATGGCTGAGCGAACCATAGAAGCACGAAGACAACGACGAACAGGATCGCGTACAGGCTCTTCTGCGTAACGACATGGTTACCGACCTGCATGGGCTCAGGGGCTGCATGGTCAGCGTGAGTGGTATTCGTGCGTACCAAAGCGATTGATAGCCGTAAAACCGCCGACTAGGATCACCAGCGCAATTAGGAGCAAGAGATCCGAGAGACTAAAGCGTGAGTGGACACACCAACACATCACGTACAGACTGTAAATAGCAAGTAGTGCGATAACTATCGAATAGTTGCCCAAAAAGTGGCGTGTATTGTACGTAACACGCTGGCGTGAGCGAAAGCAGGTAGAAAGCGTACCTGGATGGCCTCATTCGTATCGCGAGGCACACTGATTCGATGGTAATCAAAAAACTCCCGAACGGGGCGCACCGTCGAGAGCTTGGTTTCGCGAAAGTTCTTCAGATACTCGGACGCTGCATATCAGCCACTTGTGCACATGCATAGACATACCTTGCGTCGCATACTCCATCACTTGGCTCGCCATGATGTACAACGTACGGGGCTAATGCAGTCTCTGAGTTCGTGACCACGTCGATCCGTGGTCAAGTAACGTAATCACGTGATAAAAGAGCGGATGGCAGGCGGGGTGGTGGAGAATGATGCGTGCGAGGGTGGCTTGGGGCAACATTGGGAGTTAAGCTTTAATTAGTTGTTGCATGGGTGAGTGGGCTCGAGAGAGTCGAGGGCATACGAACCGCTCTACCTTGCACTATATTCTATCTTTGTGTGAGCAGAACTCGCGTCACACATAGCTCAAGTGGCGCTCGAGAGCAATGCAGGAAATCGACTTTAACCCTGGATGGGCATTCTGGCTCATTATAGTCCCGATCATTGTTCTCATTGAAATTGTTTTTTTTGTCGGCGTTACCGTACCATTCATCAATGTGCTGACACGTCTACGAGCAAATTACCTGCCTCGAGCCGTCTCGCTCGACCATGTCATGGAGGCTGGTCGCGAGGAAGAGCCGAGGCAAAAGTCTTGGATCAAAAGCATCTTTGCATGGCGCTATTATGAAAACCCTAAGATTGGTCCGAACGTGCGCACGTTCCTCCCTATGGCAAAAAGAGTATACCAAATTGAGGGTGTGCGTGGACTGTACAAGGGCACATTTTTGAGCATTTTGCAGCTTCTTGTGATGTTTGTACTGATATTTTTGTTTCTCGAGCCGTCAAAAGCTGATCCTAGCGAGTTCAAGATCGTCTCAGTTGATCGCCCACTTAGCAGCCTATGCAAACTCACGATCTCTGTGCTTGTTCTCTTGCCAACTGAAGTGTTAATCCGTCGTACAATGGTGCATCATTCGATGGTGTCTTGGCGGAACCCGCGCATCGCTTTGAGGCAAGTTCTCTCTCCCACAGAGCTGCTGCAGCCCTGGCGTCTTTATACAGTGCCAGGCCTTCTGCCTCTTCAGCTTTTTCGTCAATTCACAGCATCATACGTAACACACTTTGTTCGATATTGGACGCTTCCTGTTATGGAGGTGTCTGTGCCCTTAACTGGTGCCAAGCCAAATCAAGACGAGTTCCACGCACCTACGTCTGACACATACCGGATCACATTCTTTGGCTCGATTTTCTTCTTGGCGTGGTCTTTAGGTGCAGCTCTAGTTCTTGTGCCAATCGACTGTATTCTTGTACGCTTGATGACGCAGTATGATCGCACATCGACGCTAGATATTCCATCTCACCAGGGCCAAGCTGCATATGAACAAGACCTCGAGGACGAAATAATCACCACGGCAAATGAACCAGTTACATCTTTGCGTCCATGCTATGGCCACGATCAGCCTACTTCGACCGAATTCGGTGCGTCTCAAGTTGAGCCATACAAAAGTGCGTCCGACTGCTTCTACAAGATGTACGAGGAAGAGGGCAGCGAAAGTCTCATGCGTGGCGCGTTCTACACCATATCTGGTTACATGCTCCTTGCATTCTCATGAAACTCAAAAATTCTATTCCCCACTGTGCTATTTTTTCAATATCTTATTTCGCTGAGGTCTTTTGTGTACCTCGTAACGAACGATACAAAATCTCTCACACTATCCCTGTCACGATCTCTTCGTATGTACATATGTGGGTTTTGAGTGGCTGTGTTCATTTTCCGCTGTATTTAAGTGGTCTGATTGTACCCTATACCGGGATCTATCCGGAGCGATTGTAAATGCGATAGACTCGACTATCGATAAAACACCGTCATACATGTAGAGACCTCTCCCCATCTGCGTTTCCGTTTCAAGAATGTCATTTGAGGGCCAGGAAACCGTCGCTATGCTTGTGAAATATATGATCGGTATGGCAGTTGTGATACTTGCATTCATTCGCTTGTTGCGAATTCGGCGCAAAAGGTTTGCCGAAGCGTCCAAACTCATGTCACTATCGATCCGACCTGAAGATCGTCATCTGGAGAGCAACGACATTGACATAGAATTTCTGGCGCCTGCGCTCGTGTCATGTATGCGATCCAATGCGTCGATCGGCACGGAAACATTCCCTCCAAATGACTCCAGTGTAGATCAAATATTCCCAATGATCGTCGAAGGTGATATCGAAGCTACATGGAAAGTTACGTACGAAGAAGAAACGGGCACATGTTAGCTCAAGAAACACATGGATATACACGCTATAAATCTATGACCAATGCTGCAAATCGTGAATGCGTCAGGTTTATATAAAATGCCAAAAACAAGCTACACAACATATAGATGTCCCAGTACCGTATACATGAAACCACGTGTCAGACTGCGATTGCCTTCTTCATTTTGCATCTTCCGAACCATGTCCATGATGCTTGTGTAAGGCTCCACATGCGAGGCACCAAAAAACGTCCATGCGGGATCATTGTTTCCGAGACATGGTCTTAGGGATACGATTGGCTCTTCGCTCTGCTCACTTTCACTTGCACTCAAATGATGTTGTTCAACAGTCGCTTGACTATCGCCCGTAGTTGTGCTGTTTGAGCGACTGCTTTGCACTGCTGCACATGACGGACCAACACGCTGAGTAGTTGCCCTTACGTATATGTTATCGAGGAGCAACAGCGCGACAAGCACAAAGAAAGCCCATATAATATATAAAAGAATAGTAAACCAGTTCCAATGCATCGAAATGGCATCGGAATTACTTCTTTTCTTGACCAAAGAGACAAATATTCCCGAGAGAATCGATGGTGCAAGCGCCAGCCTCCCCATTGGAGCGAGGAAGTTGACGATAAAAATTTGCAGCAGTTTTGTTGATACAACACAAGGTAATAGATACAAACGCCAAGGTTGATTGTACTCCTCCGCGGTAAGAACTTCTTTGAGACTCTCAACTGGGCGAGTCCAGCAAAGACGCTTCGGGTGAACCATAGTACGACGCTTCAAGACATCTACAGGCAGCACCAATACAAATGAAATGAGCTCGAGTAAAATTGCGACGCCAAATGGTATCGGAGAGGGATTCTGCAGCGTGTGTTCATTGAAGGGATACATCGCATATAAAGCAAACATGCTGGGAATTAATAGGACTAGTCCCTGAATCAAGACAAGCCAAGTTCCTCGGTACAGGCCACGCCATCCCTCTATCGCATGGATTCGCTTGCAGGTTGAAAACAGTCCTTGCAACGGAGCGCCTAGTTTATGGACCGAATCTCTGAAAAATATGCTTTTCACGAATGGCAAATCCGCATTCGTGTTCCCCGTACTTTCATTGTTTTCGTCATTCGTGAGTGCAACAGCTTTCGGAGTGTAATTGGCACGATAACAAGTAAGAGAAACAAACAAAGGTACAAAAACTCCAATTGCCACTGTGAAATAGACGACAGCAGTCACCGAGAAGACAACGACGAACAAGATGACCGTCTCTGTTTTGTTGAGCTCAATATCATGCATGTTACTGATCGGTGCAAAGCAGCGTATGGCCCTTGCGGTCCGGTCAAAGTTTGAATTACTGACTGTTGCTTATGAAACTAGTGACATCTCATGAAGATAGGCTAGACCGCCACAAAATCACTTGGAGAAATATTTTCGACGCACAAGCCAACTAAGCGTCATCATTTGCCCGTCTTCGATTACCATGCGCATCTCCATACCGTCGCTTCCACTAAATAAGCACTTGGGACCTACGGTAGTTGAGTTAAATAATGCAGCTGAGAAACTTAGGAGCCATCTTGAAGGAAATAGACGCGTCCTTGCAATAACAGGTGCGGGTGTTTCTGTCGACAGCGGGATTTCATCGTATCGCGGTGAAAATGGACTGTACAGTACGTATATTATCGTAACCAAGAAAATAAGGGGTATCGACCAATCTATTTTCAGGAGTTTGTTCAAAAAGGTAAGGCAGGTGAAGAGAAGCGTCGCAGGTACTGGGCAAGATCTTATCTGGGATACCCACCTTTACGAATAGCCCAGCCAAATGCAACGCACCTGATACTTGCAAAGCTACAGAAAGCCGGGTTTATAGACAAACTTATCACACAAAATGTGGATCGGCTACATCATGTTGCTGGTATGACTGTTATGGATTACGTCAATTCGATATATGAATTACACGGTATGTCCTTGCTCTACTAATTTAGGTTCATTGAGTGAAGTCCGATGTGTATCAAGAGGCGACTCAAAGCAATCGAAAAATGAAAAGCAGTGGTGGAATCAAACTGCGACCACTTCTTTTGGACGCATTGATCGATATTATCCCGAACAGATGGCAAAGACAGACGCGCATCAAGGATGTGGCTTTCTATTGTCACGCGATGTTCTACAAGACAAGTTAACTGAGCTTAATCCCGATTGGTACGCATGGGCACAGCGCCTCAAACGAGAACCGCACCTATCATTTCGTCGAAATCCTGATGGCGATGTCCAACTTGAAGGTGTGTCGTACGATACTTTCAAGTATCCAGCGTGTCCAAATTGTGGCGGAATTCTTAAACCCGATGTCGTCTTCTTCGGTGAGAATATCCGCGCCTCTGTGCGACAGATGTCTGAACGTCTAGTTGAACAAGCCGATGCTTTATTGTTAATTGGGACCACAGTCGCCACACACTCGGCCTACCGACTTGTACGTGATGCGGCATTATCCAAAAAACCCATCATCCTGATTAATCGTGGGCCGACACGCGCTGATTCAATCATCGATACAAGAATCGGAATTGACTCCTCTGCAGTCCTTAAACAATTGGAGCAAGACATATTTGACATTTAAGGCTTTGACTGGGACTTAAGTTGGGTGATTCGCTGCAATTATTAGTAGAAACCTTATACTTACGGCCCTGCGTTCTTCACGAAGCTTGTTTAGCTGTGCCATTTTCTCTTCTTTCGAGAGTGATTTTGAAGCGGGTATTGTCGAATAAATATTGGGTGCTGGCTTTGATGCAGCTGCACTAGTTGGCTTTGTAGAAGACTTAAAGTCATGTGAAGGTGGTGCAGCGGCTGAAATTGGCTTGGGCGGGACCTGACATAGATCTTGTACATCCGTTACTTCTCGTGAGGCTGAAGTATCCATCACAGGTGGTCGTGTGAGTGGCGAAGCCTCACGCGGTTGTGCAGAACTTTGGTGTAGTTTGGGAATGATTGGCTTTGTTGAGGTCCGCGCTGGCTGCATTATTTCTTGAGTAATTTTTTCAACTTTAGAAACAGATGGCGAGAGTGACATGCCTTTATTAGAGTGAAAGGGCACAGCAGGCGGTGTTGAAATTTCTGGTGTGCTTTGCGCCGAAAATGACTTTGCTTTAGATGTTTCATCGAGGCTTCGCGTCATTTGAGATGCAAGCTGATCATCTTCTTCGATCTGAGAGATGGCCCATTCGCTCAAAGCCGTTGCAGCACTGCCAGCTGTGGCCGACAAGAAAGAAGTGAATGTTGATCGAGATCCCTCTTTTTCAGACATCCGCTCACCCGATAAGAGAGTTTGAGGGTCCATATCGCCAGGTATCGATTGCGGCATCTCGACATTAACAGACGACATACTCTGTGTATATTGTGTTATCTTTTCGAGATAAAAGTGCAAGGTTTCCGACGCAGCTTCTCTGACTTTGAGATTCGCGTCCACAAGACACGGAGAAAGAGCAGGGATTAACTGACATGCTGAAGTTGAGGCATCAAAATTGTCCGAGTTCTCACGGAAAGCTGTGATACCTGCCAGCCGAGTTTCATCGTATGCATCCTTCAGACTGCATGCAAATGCAGGGATGAGAACATCTGCTTTGGTTCTTGCGTTTAAACGAGGCGACAGTTCAGATAAAAGCTTCGTGGCCTGCAATCGATGAGCAGGACGCACATCCTTTTGCATTTTTGCGAGTTCGCGAAGTAGCTCGTTATTGAGAATGCGCTCACTGAACTTAGGAATCAGCAGTCGAATACTCTCCAATGCAGCTTGACGTTGAGTATCCAAGGCTGACTGGAACGACTTCCACACCAAAGGCCATAACTGATGAGACACAGCCCTCGTGTCTAGTTGGTGTGCGTAGTAACAAACGTCTGTGATCAAAACCATGCGTATTGGCTGAAACGAAGACCCCATGGCCCCTAAGATTGGCTCACCAAGCACATGATTCCATGAAACTGAATCCATCTTTTCGCCGATGCGCAGCATTAATGGAAGCAAGGCCGACGCAGAAAATTCCAAGTCAACTTCCCTAGACCCATTTTTATATCGAAACGTCTCAACCAGCGCAGGCAGAACCTTGAATTGAGAAAAAGAAGGCGCTAGCTGCTCTTGAAAACATAACAATTGCGATAAAATACCGCCTTTTTCCACAGCATGCGCGACACGAAAATCCTCGAGAATTTGGTTTGCTTGTACCAGCACATTCGTGCTAAGAAATCCATTCGGCTGTGAGCCAAGATGAAGCATGTCTGCAGGCGATAGGCGTAACTCTGGACGCGGATTCGCCATGCGCCTTAAAAGTGTATAAAGTGATGCTGGAATACGTCCTGCAGGAAAATTTGACATGTTGGAAGGGAGTGAACCATTGTATGCCTCTATTGCCAATAGACACAAGCCGTAGCTGTCAACCGCATGGATTGAGCTCTGAGAAATAGTACCCCAGCCCGCACGAGCAAGTTCAGGCGGTGTATATTTGTTAGCATGGGGTGGAAGACCACCATAGCGCATAATGATGGATCCTGGCTCGATAGGACTGCCAAGAGTTTCCATGCCCCCCAGAAGCCATTCGCCAGAAGGAGCCACAAAAACAGAGCCCGGATGTACATTACCATGAATAGCTTGCATATTTTGGTGAAAAAACGCCAAAGTACTCGCAATATGACTTAGTCCCCATGCGATCCAGGCAGAACTAGATGCATCACGACCTTTACCCTGTGCCCACAATGTAAGCGTATTGCTTAGAGGCTCAACTGGTTCAACAACAAGATACAGAGTACCTTGATGCTCAGTTGTATCAAGAAATTTGAGAATATTAGGGTATCTGATGGTGCGAAGCCGTTTGATCGCATTCTTTGCCATTTCGCTATACTCTCGCGAGGCGGTTGTTTGATCAAAACAGAAAATGCTCACGGGGCTACAGTCTGACTACATCATTAGCAAGCTGAACGTACTTGTTTTGTTCCCTTGTGTAATCTCCAAATGCTCTGACCACGATATACATCGACTTCCTCACCGACATTGTAGTTTGATAAGGGCCCATTAACCTTGCCCAAGGCCGACGACAACGACCGGATATATTCCATCGTGACAGGAGACAAAGTGTAAAATGTTTATGTGGAGGCATCCAATGTTGGCTGTTGTCATCATGGACCATACCACTGAGAGTGGTTTTAGCGATGTCCCGTTGGAGCAACTACTAAAAGAGCTACCGGTAGAAGACAGTGACTTGGTTCCTTTGACTGTTCTTGTCGAGCGTATCACAAATAATGCATATCAGACGATTCAGAGTCTGAGTGATACACTTCCATCGTTACCCAGTGGTGCAAAACGTGTCAAGATTTTTAGGACAGCACTAGAATTACGCAGGTTGTTCATCAAACTGCTTGTTATTGTCCGATGGTCAAAGGATGTCGATTTGTTCAACAGGGTCCGGAACGTAGTTGCTTTACTTGTTGAGCAGCAATGGGCTCATGAAGATGTGTTCTCTGGCCTCACACAGGTGCGAAAAATCATGCCGAACGCACGCATTAGCGACGCTGATTTTGTCACAGCTATTGATGTACTGCGTACTGGGACTTATAGGCGCCTACCTTCTTGCATTAAGGACAGTGCAGTGTCCCCGAAACCCATTGACAACGAAGAAGCTTTGCACACGCTGGCTAACCTTGACAATGTCTTGCAGATTCGTTTCACCTGTTCAGATTACGTTCCGATGGGTCTCCGTTTGCAATGTATTCAAGACGGAAAGGCATATTTAGAAGCACCTGATTTATACAAAATGTGCTTGACAGTAAGTGGTCCGGAGGAACATGACCGCTGGTGGCTCTTGGACTTCGAATTTCTGGACAAGCTTGGTCAGCAAGAGAGCCTTGTGCCTAATCTTACGGAGCCTTTTCTCGAACATGTACTCGAGTCAGCAGAGTTGATACTCTCCTCAGAGTATAACAAGGAGGAACAGTCTACTCTGATGCGGCTGCATGATATGCTTGAGCAAGAGGCACTCCAACGACAGTTGCATATCTTGCACCATCAAACACAGAGGATGGCCCAGTTTAGTTGGGGGAAAAACATCCGATATTCACTCGACCCAATGGCTCACATTCTGGAAGTTTATTACTGGGTTAGCCACAGTGAAGGCATGAAGGACAAAAGCAAGCTTCAAGGTAGACTTGGTCTCCAGATTGTATCTCAACCTTTAAAGGGGCAAGGTAGGATCTTGTCTGATATTCTTTCTGGAAACCAATCACCCATACATCAGAACAATATCCAAGTCCAATGGCATATTGATCCCAGCTTACAAATTTATCTGTCGTCGAAGGAAAAAGAGTGCAAGTTGGAATGTCTCGATATGGAAACGCTACTTCTAAAATGCATTAGCATGCATACTCTAGCTCTTATGAAGCACCTCGAGTCAGATGTTCAAAGTCATGAAGGTTTAGGCGCTGGAAATCCGAGTCTATGTCGCCTATGCACACACAATGATAGCGGCTACGGGCCAAGGTATTCACTAGAGCTACGGCTTTCGGACACTGTACATGTCATGATGTATATTCCGACAATCTCTGGTAAAATTGGATTGAGGCTCCTCGACCGGAATGAAAATCGGAACAATATGATTCTCTCACTAAGTCAAAGTCAGAACGCAACCTTGCAGCGTATGGCAGATCAGATTCAGGCCGATCTATCAAGCTTTGCAGACACTCTATTCACGTTCCGTCTCCAGTGCCTCACGCGAAGTCTCCAGCTTCAAATCTCCTGGCTTGGATTGCCTTGTTCTACTTCTATTGCTCTTAGGTCTGAAGAGCTTAAAAAGTTAAGCTTACAAAACGGTCGTCCGCTATTATACGTGCCGCTGGGAATAGTACCTGGATACTACTTGATGTTGTATTTTGCCCCTGATCAACAGTTGGGTATGGCGATGGTACTGATTGCGTCAGTTATTGAAAATGGCAAGGCTCTGCAAGTGATTAATTCTGTCAAATGGCTTGAGAAAACATACTTGTCTCTCTTCATCGTATCTGGTGCCTCTCTGATCAACAGGTCAATACCTCCAGAAGGTGATTCCACGGCTAAAGATCGGATACGTACTGAAGAGTTAGAATTGGCGCTTAATTACTGTTTGGCAATTGTTGTTTATTCTCACTTGGAGGAACAGTTAAGACTGAAACTCGTACCATTTACCCTTGTGGGTGGTACGACTAGCTCCCCTTCATCACCGACTAGTGGCCACGATCCATTGCTTCCAAGTCTGTGTGTTCAATCTAAAAAATTGCTTCCATCGTTCGAGGATTTGGTAAGTCCCAACATGTCTTTACAGCTTTGTGATTGGTGGCTTCCGTCAAAACGCAGAGTTGTTATCAGCTTGAAAGTGAGGTTAAATGGTGAATTTAATATGGAAGAGGTGCAACTTTACGATGGAATGGTCTTAAATCTCCAAACTGGTATTCTCACTTTTTCATGCTATGACTTGACAGCGGCTTTAATTAAATTTCAACAAAGTTGGGACCAAATTGCTCGTATGTGCACTTTGATAAACGCTAGCACTATATGGAACCAGCCCGATTTTCATGTTTCGCTGGAGTCTTTGGCTCTGCAACAAGTCAAGTTTGTATATGGGCCGGAGGGATACGGAAAAGATCATAAACGCTACACTATTCAAGTAACGTTCGAAAAAATGGACCGAGCTAATCTGGCTCGCTATACACTGGACTTTGGTTTACAAACTAATGATAAAAATCACAATGAGCGGAAGGCCCTCAATCCTCATCAGCATATTTTGAAGATCTTGGAGCGTAACTTGAATTCACTCGATAAAAATACAGACATTGTCTGGCAACTCATGTTTCAGGTGCGTACCTCTAAGATATTCTAATAACGCGAAAGACTCTCCATTCAACGTTACCAATTTTGACCCTCTTGGACGCATACATTCAAGAAGCGGTCATGGCACCAGAAAATCCGGACATACAAATTTTGGATATAAACTGGTATCGTATATTGTTTTATGAAAGGTAGGTCAAGAAAACCGCTAACATAAGCTCGGCTCTTGATATCACTTTACTTTCACATGATCGTTTACTTTTCTCGGACGCAAGCGATTCACTAATCCCAAAAATTACAAGACCATTACCCAGCCTACAGAACCTTTGGAACGATCTCATCAAACTCAAGAGTCAGCACTTCACAGAAGGGATGACAAAAACGCAAAACAATCAACCGAGACGAAATGTGTTGCTGACAAATGCATCAAGTAATCAAGCAACAATTGCTGAATTCATAGAATCATTGAGAAACTTAAAATAAAATAAATTCGGTGCTAGTCAATTTTGAATACATCAATATTTAAATAAATAAAATTATTATCTAAATATATTAATGTTCAAATATATTCAATGATTCTCGCAGGATTTCCCGCAGCGACGCAATTTGAAGAAATAAATTATGTTACCACACTTCTAGCGCTGTTTATGTAAATTTATTATTTTTAAAATCACAATTGTTGTATTTTCACCAATTTCGACTCCCGGTCTTTAAATAAAAAATTAATTTTAAAAAAAAGAACTTACAAAATGGTTGTGTTACCACCACTTTTGTTAATCAAAAATAATACTTTATTTTCGCTTACATCCAGCAATTTTTTCCAATTTTTACTGGGAGAGCCCGCTCGAGTGTGCATTGTCTCGGCCGAGTTCACTGAGTGCGTCGCCGCGTAAACGTGCACGCTTCTAGGGGAGACCCATGATCATCTGGTAATTAGCGTGCTTGCCAATCACGCGTCTGCTATTATTAGACTTGCACACCTTTTCTTTTTCGGAGAGTGTGTGTAAAATTTCAGCATACTTCTCATCAATCACTTTATAAATTGCGTCAGACATCTTTTCTGCCTAACTGTGACTTGTCTCGCTCTGAACCTGTGAGGGTGCGCACAATCGAGTCTAGGTTTACCTAGATAATATAGCTAATGTATCGGACGTTCCGCAAAATTGTGTCGCGAGTCGCGTTAATTACAGCGACACGTGGCTTTAAACTACTTATACTACCGATCGTAAAACTGCTTGATACGGACGAATAACATCTTTTAGTGCCTCCTTTTGTGCAACGGACATTTGGTCAACAAAATTTGTGCCAGATTCGAAGATACCCTTTAGACCAACAAAGTCAAAGTCAGTGCTAACGCTTAAAGAACTGCCGTTTTCCATAATTTCGATGAGGAAATCACAAATTGCTTTGAGGGTGTCACTTTCTTTACTTCCAAGCACATCATGAATTTCCTGAGTAAGCCAATGTCAGAACCCACCTTGTCCTGCAACACAAGTTCGAGTACACGCAAGCCCTGAGAGGTAAATATATAATGAAAAATTACATACTTTGATGCCAGTCCATGAAGCATGAAGGACTTCGAAAAGAGAGGATGCTTGCTTCACTTCACGATAAATAGCTTGAAAGTTAGATCAGAAGGAAAACTCACATTCGAAGAAAGAGACAGAACATTCGCTGCTGTAATGGCCACGTAAAGCCCGAGCGAACTTAAGGAGGTCATATTCGGAGCAAGTGAGCTGAGAATGTTAGTTGAACTTTTACTTTACCTCATCAGTAGAAGCTGACAACTCAGGTGTTGGCATTTTAAGTGCTACTGAAAGCACCTCCAACATAGCAATTACCCAATTTTTCTAATGTTAGAGGTTATAACGAACCTTGCGCATGGGTCCATAAGACAGCATAGATTTAAGGTCGCACTTATGAGTATCAGCGAAAAATGGGAGCAAAGTTGTATCGCGTTGGTCGCTCAGTCGATTTGCTGAACGGTTAGTTAGGCAATGTGCGTACCTTCAATTTTTCGCTTGAAGTCATGAACCAATTCGACAGCAAAGGCTCGCTCATTTTCGGCAAGGTTTTCAGTAACCAGTTTGCCTTGGATAATGTCAAGCAAGAGGATAATGCGGGCATACGATCCCTCAATACAGTCGTGGAATTCGCATAAATCAGATACTTGCGAAAATTTTCCATTCAAAAAAGCACGTCCAACAGCCTCAGGAACTTCAAACGAGCTTAGATCATAGAAGCCTTTGATATTTGATTCCCACTCGTTAGTCACATCAGCAGCATGGGAGCCTCCGAATGAAGCGTTACGATCAAGTGCAACGTGGGTAACAGTGTCTAGTTGTACAGCCTTCAGCTTTAGAGTATGTAAATGATTCATGGCCATCCTGGGACAACCAAGGCGGAGAAGCACTCGAATCAAAAATATTCGAAGTTTATAAGCGTGCTCACTTTTTTGGCATGCGGAAGAAGCGATGGACGCGGCTTGAACAAGACCCTTGGTGTCAGGTGAGGACAAAAGCGCCTTGTAAGCAGCCATTAGAGCAAGATCATCACCGGGCTGCATCTCAGTGGAAGGAAGGCGTACGTGCTGGAGAGATTCTTCATGTGCTTTCAAAAGTTCCTCAACTGAGAAACTACAGCCGATTGTGTCGAAAAGAAGAGACACTTTACCTGCATTGATTCTTTGATAGACTAGTGGTTCTGATGTGAGAATTTCGCGCGTCGAAAAGCATTCAAGCAACATGTCGCGGTGAGAAGCATTTAATGAACCAAAGTAAGGTCGCAAGTCATCAAAGCATGTGAGTTTGGAGGCATACTGTCTAGCATAATCGAGCACTAGTTGCGGATAATCAAGTCCAGCAGGCGTTGCAAGATCAAGTTCAGCAGAAAGACGACACAGCTCAAGAACGCCCAGGAATGAACCCCGATCCTTCCAGCCGTCTTGTTTCGCAGCATCCAAAATAACCTGAACATCTGAAGCATCCATAGATCCATGAGCTAATTCAGCCATAGTTGCGGTGAAAAGAGAGATGACGGCCCAGTTTCGGTCGCCCTTCATAATGCGCGTTCGACAGTCACTGAGAATGCTTTGCTTATCATCTAAAATCTTCCAGCACTCGCGGACCTGGAACTGTATTCCGAGATCTTTGTTCACAAGTTCTTGAATGGGGGCCAGTTTAAGCATTTCTAACGCTTGAGCTAGCCGAGATTCGCCCAATAAAATGAAGAAATTCAGGTACAGGGAAAAGGTTTCCGCTGTAAAACTCTGTGCAGTCAGCTGTTGCTCGTTCAAAAGACGTAGGGCGATGTCCAACGTAAGCTTAGAACCTGGCGGCTTGACCCGCTGTGAATAAAGTATGGCGACTTGAATGTAGCGCCAAAAATCCTGTGCATTTTTGCTTGAACGGAACCTCTTTAAGAGCATTTGCGACGCACGTTGGAACATTTCGGCCTTCACAAGAACGACCAATGCACCGTCAGCTAACTGGTCGTCTTTTGGGTGAGCATTACTTGCAGCCATGTACAAATCTGCTAGCTGATGTGTCTTTCCAATACGTGGAAGCACATATTCGAGAGGAGACAATACGTTTAGATCGACACTTCCTTGCAATAGTTTCGTGGCCTCACGATCTGCTTCCTCGCGATGACCTAGTCGGAATAATGCCAAGGTTTTGAGGGCACTTGCCAATGGAAGTGGTCCAGCTGATAGTAATTCATTTGCTTTATAAACGGCTTCTGCAAACTGTCCATCATCCAAAGCATTGTACACCTCAATGCATTTGTATTGATCAAATATGTTGCCTTTAGCAGATGTCATCGTGGTCGAAGTGAGGGCCTCCACAAGATGTGCTTGTTTGCACAATTCCATTTCCTCTTTATGGAACAGAGTGACGCATCGTTGGTGACTCTGTCCAGTCCATACGCAGTAGAGCATGTGAACAATAACGATGCACAAATATCGAGCCCTTCATTTCCTGAAATCCAAACTTCACCGACCCTGCTGGTGCATGTGGCTCGAACCTGCCCTGCACATGAAGAACGTCAGCGTGTCCGATCTTTCCGACCAGATTCTCTCTTTCTTGAAAGCCCGTCTCCTTCACCGTCAAGAACACAGGCTACAAATCCAAGAGTTCAGAATGGTCAAGAACAAAAAGCTCAACTTGATACTCGTTTTCGCTCCTCTATCGAGCGCCAACGATGGCGCGAAGCTAATCGGAAACGTCGATCACGCTCAGATACCATGCGTGACTTGATTGTATATCTGGATCCAACACCTGTTGATCCGCAAACAGGTGTGCTGGGCAGATTCTACCAGCAGTTAAAAACACGTATTTTGGGTGATGGTGCTTGTTGTTTAACTTGCACGGCATCTCCTTTAGACCACATTGGTGACAAGATTATCGGTCGCGTGATGTTTGAACGCAAAGCTCGCTCCAAATACGACCCTGTCCTACAACATTGGGAACCTCTGGAGGAAGAGCAAGTTGTACGGGAACCGACTGTTGTATTTGTAATGACAGCTGAACAGGTTTGGGATAGTATGACAAATGAGTCACTCATGACGTCTCTTAAAGCGAATGAACCACGATCTACATTAGGACCCTTACAACGATTTGTGCTTATAATTGGCTTAGATGCATTATTCCGACGAATTCGTGCAAAAAAGAATCGCACGTATGCTGAAATGATCCGTCAACGCATCGAAGGCAATATGACAGCACAGGTGCAAATGCCAGATGATCAAACACGAGAACACATGGAGCAGCGTCTATTACAGTTGCAGCTTCGACACCAATGTCATGTAGTGCGAGTGACTCAAGCCGAAGAAGCTGTTGAGTGGGTATATTCCATCGCATGCGACATCTCGATTCGTCCGTACAAACAGCTTGAAAGTGAATCGGTATACCATAAAGTTAACAAGGCGGCGTCAAGCAATAGCTTCAGCGCATATCGAGCGATGCTGGAAGAAATACCCCGTTGCACATCCAATGCTTCTGCAGCCATTACTGCCAAATATCCTACTCTTGCTTCGTTAATGCAAGCATATAAACAGGCATCATCAACAGAGCAAGCAGCGGACTTATTGACTAATTTGATATGCGACGGTCGACATCGGCGCCTTGGATCACAGCTTTCACGACGAATCCATTTGGCATTCACAACTTATGACGCAAAAGCTTCGGTTGAGTAGTAGTGCTCGAGCACGACAATATCGCCACGCCGGTGTTCATCAGGATGAAAAAAGGAATTCCAGAATCGCACTTTAGGTCGGTACCCCAATGCTGACAGCCTTTCCCCTACTGACACGTTGTTTTGTGATGTGTCCAGAAGAGAGGAGAAAAGGACCAGATGTGAAGGCCAGGGGTGACGCCATCCCAAATCGTACTCGGTGTGCTGGGCGATTTGACCCACACGATCATCAGGCAGCGTAAAAGAGGCCACAGACATAGCAGGGAAGGCTGGGTCAACCACAGGTGGGAACCGTGTGTTTATGTACTGTAGCGGGTCATGGAAAAAAAAGTCCGTCTGATCCCAATAGGTACTTTGAGTGCGTTGCGGTGGGGGACAAGCAAGAAACCACGCGAGGCCGGTATCACCAGTGTCGCCGGAGGCTTCAAGATAAGTTAAATGCATGTGGCTTTGCCACGGCGTTGAATGACACGGCATGAGGAAACCGATACTTTTGGGTGGCGAAGCACTGCGACCAAGCATGTGTATATACGACATGACATGAATTTGAGCGCGTGCATGAAAAGCACACACGTACGCAACGATTGGCACTTGAACAAATAGGAGAGCACGAATCCACCGAGGGACTGCTGACCACGCAGCTCGCACGGATGTGGTTGATTGCAATGGCTCCATACCTATAGCTGCAGCTAGATGCAGCCAAGGAACAAGGGGCTGGAGAAAACGGGTCTCTTTGTGGTGCAGACATGAACACACCAAAAGCGTCCAGACACAAGCCTGAAATAGAGTGAGGACGGATGCTGGGTCCCGAACACCGCGTCGATGCCACCAGCCGATCGCAACATAGGGCAAATGAATGGTCACAATGGATGGCATTCCGACCGAAAAATACCAGTGCCACGAGTTCATGCCATAGAATGATGAGACGCTATTCCAAAGATTCTCTCGGACAAAATTGAGAGAGGTCCATGACCAACTGTCATAATACATCGAGTCGATGTAAAACCCGGCGCCAAGTACAAGTGAGCTTGAATAATGTGAGCCTTTCCTCAAAATAAACACATACCCAATCCATAACGGTTCGCGAATAACACGCCAGAAACATTTGCAATGTAGAGCATCGTTCACGAGGCGCATGCCCAAGAAAGACCAAAGGACGAGACTCGTAGGACGAATCAAGACGGCTAACCATGCAGCGAATAGTGCCATGCGATAGGCACAACTGGATTTTGGCACACGCAGATGATTGACAGCTGCACGCGACAGAGGCCAATAATACAAGGCTATGCTGCAAACGGCTGCCTCGAAAGTATTGGAGAATGTACGTGAGGCCGTGTAAAGCCAGTACAAGGAAGTAAGATGCACAATGATCTTGCATTAAAATGTGGTTTCGAAGAAAAAAAAATAGAGTGCTAAAACGTACCCAAACTAGCGCCAGGCGGTGTCCAGCGATGCGAGTAACCAGATGGAAGGCAAACCAATCGCCAACGGCAGTAATCAAAGCCTGCTGAATCGCAGGTGCTGAAGTCTAGGTTGGAAAGTGGATTCAGAGACGTACAAAAACGAATGGGTTATCGATGTGCATTGCTTGCATAGCTTTGTACAAAGGCACAAACATCGCAGGATATACAACACTACGGATGGGCTTGCTTGTCATCCATTCCCACGTTTGGTATCCATATCCGAAAACGATGCGGTGCGCGATTTCAAGAGATTGCCAGTATTCGTCTGGCTGGAAAAATGTGCGGCTTGTAGCCAGTGCAGCGATCAAATGCACGGCCACAAGCAAACGAAGGACCATGGGTCACCAGTAGTCGAAACGCCTCACACCTACTTGCGCACGCTGATTCTCCCAAATCGAGTGCAAACGCCGTGAACTGCCATGGGGCGGCATTGGTGCTGTGGAGAAAATTATGTTGAAATATGCGCATAAGCATGACTAAGCTTGTCCAAGTGCCAGACATGTCCGACCCGTCAGGAAAAGCAGGTATGGACTTCTGGCCACCCCCTCCCTCTGTCTACATTCGGATGCCATGAACAACGAGCAACCCGCGTCCAACCAAGAATCACAGCGAGAACAGATAAAGCCCTCACTGCCTACGATCAATTTTCCAGAAGCTGAACACCCGAGAGTGAGTGTACCAAAGGGCGTAGCGGGTGGGTTTGCAGGCATCAACGCGCGAACGCGAGAGAAAGCAGCGGCTAAATTGCCGCCGAGTCTGCGCGCGAAACTAGAGGAGAATGCACGCCTCTCGTCATTAGGATCACCGACAGGTACATCAGGCTCGGCCACGGTCATGGGTCACGCGGAGAAAATTGATCCTTCCTTACTAATGCCCAAGGGTCCTGTGCCAAGACCTGTGATGCCACCAGCACGACCGCGGCCCAATTTGCGGCTCAGCGATATGGGCGCTCTGCAAGCGCGCGCTGGTGCTGAGGGAGCTAAGAACCTGAACCGCGCTGGACCGTCGAATCGACCGAACTTGTCGCTCGGAATGCTGCCTGAAGCAGCGAAGCCCGATACGCCATTTGGCAGTTTCAGCAAAATCGTGGATCCATCCGGCCGCCTTGTATTCGATGGGAAGGCCGTGTTGCATGCATCAGGGGTCGAATTCAAAAACGGCACGACCTTCAACATCAATATGGACGAGCTGGAGTTGCTGGAGCAGCTGGGTCATGGGAACTATGGCACCGTGACACGCGTGCGTCACACACGCACAGGCGTGGAGATGGCCATGAAGGAGATTCGTTTGGAGCTCGATGAGGCGAAGCTGAATGCGATCATCATGGAGCTGGATATCCTTCATCGGGCCATTGCACCGCAGATCGTCGAATTTTACGGCGCTTTCTTCGTCGAGTCATGTGTGTACTACTGCATGGAGTTTATGGATATCGGGAGTCTCGAAAAGCTCACTACTGGACGCCATTGCGTCGTACCTGAAGATGTGCTGGCCCACATTACTCTAAACACGGTCAAGGGTCTGAGCTTCCTGAAAGACGAGTTGCAGATTATTCATCGCGATGTGAAGCCGACGAACATTCTGATCAACTCGCGGGGAGAGGTAAAGCTTTGTGACTTTGGGGTATCTGGGCAGCTGGAAAAAAGTCTGGCAAAGACCAATATTGGTTGCCAGAGCTACATGGCACCAGAGCGGATCAAAGGGGATCCACGCAGCATGATGAATACATATACGGTTGCATCAGACATTTGGTCGCTGGGCGTTTCTCTTGTGGAAATCACCATGGGTACATACCCATACCCACCTGAGACATTTACGAATGTATTCGCACAGCTTCAGGCCATAGTTGAGGGTGCGCCACCGCGGCTGCCCACACCGTCTTCTGAGCCCATCACCGTCACGATGCCGAACGGCACGACTGTGGACCTCGAGCTGGGCACATGTGAATACTCAGCCCGGGCGTGTGACTTTGTTGCGCAATGCCTTTGCAAGATACCCGAGCAGCGACCAACATATGCCCAACTTCTCGAGCACCCATTCCTCACCCACGTTCCAGATGTCGATATGGCCGCTTGGGCCGCGCATGCACATGCCACGCGCCGAGTGCCTGCTAAGGACGAGCATGCCGCACCGCCTGTACCACCATCGTAAGCTTGGAGATAGTTTAATGTACCATGCATCATAATCATCATCACATTGCACAAAGACCTATCTACAAATATGCTCTGGATCATCCAAGGGAGAGATCAAGTCGCCCTGCTGTCTCGTCAGACTCTTTCTGGGTGTCTGACATGGAGTTCGTGGGTGTCGTTGGTATGCCCGCTGCACTATGCTTGCTGTGCGTCCCAAACACTTCGTCGAGTGTTTGCAGCCGAAGTGAGCGGGTCATCTTCGTCAGTATATCATCATACGAGCCGGTTGCTGTCTTGGTTTGCGACTGTGGCCGTGCTTCGTCTTTGCCGACATGCCAGGTTGCTTGCTCCGGCTCGGTGCTATGCCGTGCAAGCTCAAGCGCTGGCTCCGTAACCCTTGCATCAATCATCGCGACCAGGTCCAGAGCATCGCCTGCAGGCCCCGACATACTAGAGGCGCTATCGGATCGTGTGTGAGGACGCCTGGGTAATGCAAATGCCGGTGTCGGCGACGGACCCATAAAGACCCGCGAATGGCTCGGACTCGTCGCACCTACAGATCCCGACTCAGGCGGCAACATGGCCCTGTCCAGCAGCCGCCGTTGCTCCCTCCTGGTGCTCCAGCTCCGAGCTGCTCCTGCTGTCTGGTCGTCACGAGATGGCGACGTCCGCCGTTGCCTGTACGATGGCTGCCGAGCATATCGGGGGATCCGCTCAGGCTTGCCGCGACGAGTCACAGACGAGGCCTCTATGGGTGAGCCATCGGCTTTGTATGAGCCGTGCCGCTGTGACATGGCCGTATCGAAGCTGCCGGCTGCACAAAGAGGAGGTGTAAGCGTAAGTGAACTGGGAGATAGTGTGGTCGAACGAGCTGAAGTGGAAAACAAAGTCCGCAAAGCACCTGGTTCGCAAAATTGTGTCGAGACAAGAGATGTCCCTGGCCCTCGATGCCGCCGCCGATGCGAAGCCATAGATGAAACGGGTATGGCCCAGGGCGAGAGACGCGATGGCGATGTCGCGAGAGATGGACTCGCAGACAGACCTAGAGACGCGCGGGGCGTGCGATTTCCAGGATCGAGGGGCCGGCGCGCATGAGCATCTTGGGTCAGCATAGCCTGAACAAGAGGTGAAGTCGGACGCATCTTGATCGATATGGGAGACTTGTCCTTGTGCTCCATCAGCAACTCCGTCACTTCACACGAGTCAATGCGGCACTCAAGCGAGCCCATGGGCGTAGCGATGGGCGCAAGGGACCATGACTTTGCTTTCAAAGGCATGGGCGTCGCCGGTGCAGGCCCTTCAGATATGTGCACTTCGATAGCCAAGTTCTGTGCCATGCGCTGATCGGTGCGGATCTGCTGGCAGACCGACGAGATCGGCAACGCATGTGCCATGGCATAGAGTGTGCGGAAGTGCACAATACCTTGCTTGTAGACAGCTGGCAAGCGCTCCGCCTTCAGTGCGTCATCGGACCGGGCACGTAGATCGAGTTGCCATCGCTCCAGTACAATGCTGTGAGTCTTGGCACTGCTGAGTCGTTTCGATCCGTGCGGTGTCGCTGCATATACATCGCAAGTCTCGTCCATACCCAACACACGCAGACTCACACTCACAAGGAGTGAAGGCACAATTTGTGGGGCAGATGAAAGAGCGCTCCACGTCCGCAAGGCTGGCCGGTACGTCTCGTATTCATCGAGCTCGAGCGAAAACTGTTCGTTAGTACATAGCGACGCGCACGTACCCATTTGTTCCGACGACCATCTGCGACACTGTTGTTCATGCTTCCATGGCTATTTCTCGAGCCAGCGCTGCCAGCGGTAGAGCCTCCTCTTACGCTATGGGGCTCTCCAGGTTTGGAACGACTTGTGCCGCGGCTTTCGCACACAACAGCCACAGTCTTGGCATAGAACTGGTACAGTACAGCATCCATTCGAGACATTCCCCGCTCCGCGGCCTCTCGTGCCGCGGGCATGGTATACGTTTGTCACTGATGCCGTCAATGCCAGCTAGCTGCACGACTTCAGTGACGCAACTCGCTTCCTTTTCAGCGTGCACAGACCGACGCCACTGCCCGGACACCCTTTGGGTCCTTTCAATGGCCGCTACGTACGCATCGCATGCACGTCTCCACTCGGCGTCACCCCATCCCACCCCACTCTTCTTTTCTCACGTGATTGTCTGTGGAGGAGGGTGCTTGGTCATTCAGATGGCGAGTGAGAATGCGTGCGGGTGGGGAGGGTGGTGTGTGTGTGTGTGTGTAGGTGCATCGCCCGCAGGCAGTGTGAAGGCTCGTGGAGCGCACCGCTTTCTCAGCTCAAGTTTGTTGTGCCACTCGCTGCACGCGCAGACATTGTTGGGGGGAAAGCTCTTGGCACTGCCGCTGCACCCACTTGTCAGACCGTTGCCTGACACACAGACTAAGCACCTGAATCCACGTGCGCCGCAGTCGTTGTTGCGGTAGCTTTTTGCTCCAGAGTTCCATGCATTCACGCGGCCGCCAGTGGAATGCCTACGAGACGTTTCTCCTGCAGAATGCATCGCAGATCACATCCCTAGAATCGTCTCTTCGAAGCATCACCTACTTTTTGCCAGGACGCTTCAAAGATGCTGAACTAGCTGGCGAGGCCATCTATGCACTCGTGCACCTGCTTAGCCTGTACCATGACTCGGTCCTATTCCGGATCGTGTACTCACATGGCACACGCGATGCAAAAGTCGCCAACGTGCTTGCAGGAGCAAATATCCCCAAGCTGTCCCTTCATGCACGATACACGTCGTATTGGTGCACGGTGAGCAAGCGCTACGGCTATGCAGCAAGGGCGCTTATGCTCATTGAGGCGACGCAGCTGCTCGCCGAAATGGTCGCACGTCGTAAACTCAACAAGCAGCGTGCATGGGATGTCGTGATTGCCATCGAGGTCGTCAAGGCTTTCTTGCGCTTCACACTCGTCCGCACCACTCAAGATCGTCCCGTCATATCGCCACCACTACCCCAGCGTGAATTTGACCCTGCGCAGCTCGAGCGAAACCCCGCGGCTTTGCCAATGACCTGGCGTGGCGAGCGAACAGGCTGTATCAGGCGCTCATTGGCATCGATGGCCGGTCGCGATGCGTACGAGCAGCTCCTGTCGTTCACGCTCACTGAACAGGATGTGTCTGCACCGCCGCTGCTAGTGCGCGCGTTCCAGAACAACATGGCGCGCTTTGCTGAATCAGTTTGGATCCTACGCCCATGCATCTACGTGATCCTGCTCCGAATCTATGGCGCACGCGATCCGCGGCCCTTTACCACGTCGTTCGTGGTAGAACTGCTGGCACGCACACTGAGAACCAATGCGCTAGTGCCACGCGGCAAGAGCGCTTCCAACTTGCCGCCGCCACCCACGACATCCATCTCCCTGTGGCTCTCAGTCCTGGGCATCGAAAACTCGTTCCTCGACTGGCTCGCTAGCTCTTTGTCAGTCCAACCCCGCCACCCCTCCCTCAAGCCCGTGAGTGCCGTCGAGGGTGAGGAGTGGACTGCTCGTAAGCGCTCTCTTTGGTGGTACCTGCTCCGCGGCCCCGTCTGGTACCGTTGGACACGGCCAAAAATTGCCCACTTCGTCACACGCACCGAACACCGCCGCATCATTGGTTTCTTTGGCTCCATCGCCAAGGAATACCTGCCTCTGATTGACGAATACTATTACTACGCGGCGGTCTAACCGCCGCCGTGACCGCCACCGCCACGTCGCCACACCACCACAACTCTTTCCCGGCCGGCAGAATCATGCCATACGTCGCACTGTGTCACATAATGATCGCCACCATGTGCCTGCTGGACTCGGGCTGTCTCAAAGTTCGCCCTCACTGTCGGGGCCTGCCCTGCACCGACCTCCATCACCATGCAAGGTAAGTCTGACGTGCCTAATGCCCCTGGTGATGCTGGAAGCGTCGACTCATTCAAAGATATTAGCCCCTGTTCGTATAGCCAACACAGTCGTCTGTAATAGCCCAGCCCGTCCAATTCAGGGGCACTTCCAACAAGCGCACCGTGTGATTCATAGTCGCGTACACTCGCGTCAAGATCCTGCCAGGCATCGGCAGCAATGTAGGGCGGATTACACACCACGAGATCAAATGAGCCTAGGAGCGCCATACTGTGGTCATCGAGCATGTCTGCATATCGAATAGATACAAGTGCATCATCGCTGTCGTCGTCACCATCAAGCGCATGGGCCTTGGCATTCTCACGTGCGAGTTCCAGCGCTGCTGCATCGCAGTCGACGGCCGTGATATGAACGTCTTTATGCATTCGCAAGCCATGAGCCAGTGTAAGAGCAATGCATCCGGTGCCTGTGCATAGATCAAGTATTCGCAGGGGCCGTGGTCGTGCGTCCAGGCTAGCCTGTACTAGTGCCAGCAGATCGAGAGTCCATGCCTCGGTCTCGGGACGCGGTATGAGGACAGGTGCGCGGGTTCGTATTTCCAGTGGCCCAAATGGCTGGTGTCCTGCATAGGGATGAATATTCGATTCAACTCCAAATGAGGGAGCGATGCGCTCGTCCCAACACTGAGCCGAGCGATTGTGTCACGTACCAATCACGTAGCTAAGTGGCTCATTTCGTGCTGCGCGCCGAGCGATTTCCATCAGTTCATGCATAGCTTGTGCATTCCATGCAGATGTAGAGGCCAAACGGTGCCGTGCACGCACCTCGTCCGCTAGCCACCGCGCTTCCTGTCTGCACAGATCTGCATCACGCCGTTGCTCAAGCAAAATCCGGAGCGCCACCGAGTAGGGCGATGCAGTTCTTCTTTCGCGAACAGAGCATCTAGTACTTGCCAGGAATGCAGCGCTGCGCCCTAATTGCATTGTTGCTACTATCGCACACCCAGGCCGTGTTCCAAGACACGAGTGTAATGTGTGTGTGCGAACGTGTGGAGAAATGCACTATCCAGGTCGATTAGAGTTCGTAATTGTCGTCTCAGACATGTGTCTCTATGTTGCTCGAAGCGGTGAATCCATACGCAGCCAATCTCACTTCGCCCCTTGTTCATCGATCGTCATCTCCCTACTGCGCTTAACTGATAGCCCAATTCGCTAGATGTGCAGCTGACGTGCTGCTTTTCCGAGCGCCCAAATGGTGAAGGAGAACTTGTAATTCGGGTAAGAAATCGCACAGTTGCTGAACTCGTTAGTCTCTGTCACAACGACTTGAAGCTTCTCTCTCTCTCTTTCTCTTTTTTACTTACTGGTTAAAGATGCCCTCAATTTGCTCCTGTGCCCACGATCCATCGGGAAGCTGGCGCTGCATGATCAAAGTAACGGCTCGTTGGATCGGCTTTGCCTCGGGATATCCTGCATGCAAGAGCCCAATGATCGCCCAGGACGTCTGTACGACTTGTGAGTCAGATTGCACGTATTCGTGCGTTTCACAAGACTTGTAACTCTCGCCCCAGCCACCATCCTCACGCTGCTTGCTCAGCAAAAATGTGCATGCTCGGCGTACAGGCTCACTGTTCTCATACGTATAGCCAGCGTGCTTTAGGCTTTCAAGAGCAAACATCGCAGCATACGTGAAACATATAGCCCACGAGCCGTACCAGGATCCATCTGGTCGTTGCGCGCCTAGAATATACTTGACAGCCCTTTCGACAGCGGCATCAATCTCAGCTGAGCGGTAGTCGTCATACTGCTGGAACATGCGCAATCCTGACACCACTGACGTCGTACACTCCGGGTATGCATATTCGACCATGATATTCCCAAACACTTCGGCTGGATTGAGCCACTCCGTGAAGCTGGGCCCGTTGATCGTTTCGTACGATGCATAACCGCCACCTGGATTCTGCATCGACAGCAGCAGATCCACAGTATCTCGTAGCCGACGCTGAGACACCGGTCTGCCCAGCGATGCGCCACTCGCTTCCTGAAGCATCAAAACACCTTTCAGACCCTCGGCCGTGCAGTCGCTAACCGTGTAGCCCTGCTCACGCGTGCTGAAAGGCCAGGCTCCCTTGGTCGCGAACCGATACGCTGTGCGATGAAAACGAGGATTCTCACGGATCTGGCACATATCAAGCCATGATAAGATGCGTCTACAAATCTCGTGATTCGCTGGTTTCGCAGAGAGTCCCGACTCACACATAGCCTGGGCGATAAATGACGTATCCCACAGCTGACTTCCATTCGTCCCAGTCATCATAAGTCCTTCTGCACCCATCCACGCAAAGTCTTTGAGTTTCTCGCGGTGACGTTCCATGGCCTCACTGTTCGGACCATCGACAATCCAGCGTACAATGTAGTTCAGCATCTTGTTCACAGGACCAAGACACTGGAAACTTGTGTTGCTATCCTCCTTCACAATCAGTTCGTACGCTCGCTTCATTCCTGCCTCACGGAGTGATGGAATGTGAATGTGCTCGTATTTGCCGAGCACGTAGAACAAGGCATTCACCACACGAGTATGCGGTGCATACAAATCAACACTCGCGACATGGTTCCGCTGCGCAGGCCAGTCAATATCCTTGTACGCGGTCGGGTACAGCTCTGCCCGTAGCGACTCGATAAGCGGAGTGACAGGCGCCGTAAACCGCTTCCCATACAGGAAGCCCATCGGCAAGTATACCATGCGTGTGTGAACCCACCAGCGCCATGGGTGAATCGGAACGAAGTCAGGCAGGACCCACAGCTCTGGCGGAATGGGATTCAGACCTTCCCAGTCGTACACGTTCAACACGGCAAGCCACAGCTTACCCCAGCTGGGAATACCTGCAGCGCCCCCCAGCTTCCACAGTGTGCCTCGCGCCTGCACCATCATAGGATGCTCAGCAGGGACACCCACAAGACGTAGCACCACATAGTTCAGTGCTGTGCCAAACACGGTGGAATGACCCTCGATGTGAATGCCCCAGCCGCCATCCTCGGGATGCCGCCGGTGCCACAGGTAGCGAGCAATTTCAATCCGCCATGGCTCAGGAATCGGCGTCTCTGTTACATACATGCCGATCACGAGTCCAGGCAAGAGAAACATGGGTCCGCCATATTCACCGGCAAAATGGCCATCACTCGACTGCAAGTGGCGATAGAACGCCAGTCCATTCTCTGCTGCCTCCATCGCACTTTTGGCAGGTGGATACGTCGGAAGACTCTGCGAATAAGTCTTCATCTTGCAACCATGCACGTACCGTCGGGAGGCCGAGCCAGTATTTGTCCTCTGGCGTCTGCGGCCACGATTCAGCTTCCTGTTCCGTGTCCAAGTAGTGCCATACATGCCGGCCTCCATCAGAGACACGCAGTCTCCATCTGGACAGATCCGTCTTTCCCAACGGCGGTGAATCTATCATAATGCTCATAGTAGCGATAGTGTTCGCTCCCAAAGCGCTTCCACTGTGTGTAGTCGTCTCTCGCTTGTTTCGCTCGTCCTAAGCTCACTCAAATCCACCTGGCCCATTCACCACCGCCACTCCACACACACACCCATCGATCGCCGCATGTTAGTGGGGTGCCTCCACAGAATCAACCAGTGTCTCCACACTCAACGAAGCTAATTCGCGCAGTGGGCTGGGCAGCAGGACCAGGCGTTGCCAGTACAAAATAAAATGATTGGAAATGTCTGCACTCTTTCTCGCCCCTCCCCACCCTCGGCCATTCGCTAGGAAGAGTGTGCGTGTGTGTCTGTTGCTCGTCAACCACCTTGTGATCATCACGTGCAATAGTGCTCTGTGTTGGTGACCACTTCATATTGCGTGCCTGCTTGTCTTGCTGCCTGGCTCAGACTTCCTCACCATGGTACGTGTGCTACACAGTATGCATTGCTCACATTCTAGTCCGCGCTATTCAATTTCCAATCGCTTCTTCTCGTTGTCCTTCTTGTCATCTGCACATGTACATACCTTCGCGCGGCTGCTCCTGCGCTTGTCGACCGAAACAAGAAAGGGTACGTTGCTTCGATACGAACTGGAGAGCCATAAGGCTAACGCACTTGACTTTTTAGCGTGATGGGCATCTTTTTCAAAGCGGCACGAATCGGTACGTTGTCGTGCACAACTGACACCCAGGTGAACGGTTATCGCCCTATTGTTGCATAGCTTGTATTGCAATGGCTATCTATATTGTGACATAGATATACGATCACGGAATCGGTTTGGGCATTCTTCTTCTTCTTCTTCTTCTTCTTCTCGTAAGACGGAAACTACAACGGCACTATATCATGATCACTCGAACCACCATTTCTAACCGAGAACTAGTGTTAAAGTGCGTGTCTGTGTGCCTGCTGTGATCTCCGTGCCATGTGGAGGCATACGCGGCCCCTTTCCAGACTCAACCTTGTGGCAGACAAAGACGAGACACACACGTAGCGCAACGCATCACTCTGTGTGTGTGTGTGTGTGTGTGTGTGTGTGATATGGTTTACCAGCAGCCTGCGTTGCACCGAGCTTGCTTGGATGGTACGTTGTTCGTTCGACAAACTGAGTTCAGGACACACGGCCCTTGTGCGCGACTTGCTGGAGACGTCCGAAGATGCACGTGCAGTGTTGGATCAGCCTGATGCGGACGGTCGGACACCATTGCACTGGGCTGCTTCCAGTGATGCCAAGTTGGATATCGTTGAAGTGCTATTTTCTGCCAGGATCCATCGATGTAAATGCACGCGACCACAGTGGCTGGACATCTCTCATGATCGCATCCTCGGCAGGGGCCTCGAGTATCGTCCGCTGGCTCTTACGACATGGCGCTGATGTACATGCCAGCAATACCAAACGCATCACAGCTCTGCATTATGCAAGCAGCAAGAACCATGTAGATATTGTCCGTGAGCTTCTTGAAGCGGGTGCCGACGTCAACGCGCTCGACGGCGCGAACCAGCGTCCTATGTACGTGATCAAGAGCGGGCATCCTTGCTCGCTATTGCGACCCGCTTTTTCCCGCACCCATCTAGTTTACTGACACGATTTTCTTCTCCCCCTGCAGACACCGAGCGGCTTCTGCTGGACACGACCATGTAATCCGTGTGCTATTGTCGCCACCGCCTCGCTCAGATGGCTCGCCACATCCAAAGACACGCGTGAACCCTGCCGACCGCCTCGGCAACACGCCACTACACCTAGCCATCGACTCCGCACATGCACAGACAGCCGCACTGCTGATTGATGTTGGTGGCGCGGACCGCCTGCGTGTCAATACGGACGGCATCGTGCCTGAGCAGATGGAAGGTGTCGGTGGTCTGGAACAGAAGCGCGTAAGAGACTTTTTGGCTCAGTCATTCGGGCCTATAGGTATCTAGAACAAGCGGCGGCGCCGGCCCAGTCCTGGCGCACCACTTGACATGCCGGGCGGATACCGGCCTGGTCGTTCATTCGCATTCTTGTAGCGACGATATGCTTCGTACAGGTGCACTGGCATAATAGGACCGCTTTCGTGTCGCTCTCGTTGCACGGGCAACGTGCGAGTTCCACCATTTCACCCACGAACACCTTGCCGACACCACTGACGGCCATGACAATGTGCTGGTTTACAGACTGCGACAATACATGGTTGACAAGCTGTACGATGTGTCAGCAGAGATTAGTTGTGAGAAAGTGGGTGTGAGTGTTGGTAGGAATTTCTTTCAAGAGCATTGCACAAACAGCGACATACATACCTTTCGAACGCCCCCCTTGTTAAGCGTGCCGCGTCGAGAAGCCATGTGTCTTTCGAGCTGGTCGTCGTCCATCAAGTGCGACAAAAGACTGTATAGAGAGGTACGTAATGATACATGTGCATGTGTATGTGTGTGTTGTAAAGCGTGTAAGTCAATATGCATGCGACAGAGCCGACGCCCTATGTATACGTACCCCATACTCCGCTGCTGGGCAGCATAAATCGCCTGCTGCCGTGAAAACTCGTCATCAGCGAGTGCATCGCCATCCGCCATATCAGAGTCGTCGTCACCATCATCTTCGTCGCGGTCATCGTCCGTCGCTTCATCTTTGCGCGCGTCTGTTTCTGTATCGGCGCTATCCGGTACTCGTGACGCGCTGCGCCGCGTTGTGTCTACACTGGTTGCACGCGTGCTGGATGATCGCTCGCGTGTTCGATTCGGTTCACTCTTGCGCCTTTTATTGCCTTTCTTGGACGTGGAAGATGGCCATGCGACAAGCTCATCATCGACTTCTTCTGCCATATCGACAGGCGTCGTTGCATCTGCACGACGTCCGCGCTTTTTGCTTGTCGTGGGCGTGTCGTCCATCGGTATCGTCAGTGAAGACTTTCCTAGAACGACAGCGTGCCTTTAATGCGTGTGTGTGTGTGTCTGTGTGTAAATATGTTGTCAGGGCTGCAGGGACAACCGTATAGTGACTCTAAGAGGTGAGGTCCTGCCACAGGCGTGTATGTATGGCGCCTGCTGTAGGCTACACCTCGATGCTGCTGCTGCTGCTCGCTTTAGTGTCTATCCTCCACCTGTTGCCTATTAGGGCATATGACGACAGCAGAGATGCAGGCGTGTGCGCATGGAATGGCAGTGACGGCACGTGAGGCACCCGTCGTCGCAATTGATCCACTCCACTGATAGAGTGAATGGCGGCACTTGGCAAGTTGCGGGCCCGTTTGGCGTGCACTTGGATGGCGAGAAGGGAAAATGCGGCACAATTTTTTTTTTTTCCCAGCGAGCTCGAGATCTTGCGTCTAATCTGACGCCGGCCTCCAAGGCGCGCCGTGCGAGACTCATTTGCCTGGGGAGAAATGGAATTTCACCCCTATTTTCCAACTGGGCCCAACCCTCCATCGGACAACGACTATGTCGAACGGCAACGTGGTTCTGACGCACCCCAATATCCACGATGGCTGGTTCCATGAAGAGAACCCGCAGTGGCCTGGACAGGCCATGAGCCTGCGCGTGCGCCGCATCCTTCACCACGAAAAGAGCCAGTACCAGGATGTCCTCGTGTTCGAGTCAGAGACGTATGGCAACGTGCTTGTCCTGGACGGTGCGATCCAGTGCACCGAGCGCGACGAGTTTGCATACCAGGAAATGATTGCACACCTCCCGATCAACTCGCACCCGAACCCACGCCGCGTGCTTGTGATTGGCGGTGGTGACGGTGGTGTGCTGCGTGAGATTGTCAAGCACGAGTCGGTTGAAGAGGCTATTCTGTGTGACATTGACGAGGCCGTGCCGCGCGTGTCGGCCAAGTACCTGCCCAAGATGGCCGAGGGACTCAACCATCCCAAGTCGACGGTGATCATTGGCGATGGCTTCGCCTTCCTCAATGACCCAAAGAACAAGGCGTCATTCGATGTCATCATCACCGACTCATCGGACCCTGAAGGACCTGCTGAAGTGCTGTTCCAAAAACCGTACTTTGAGCTGCTCAAGCAGGCTCTCCGCCCAGGCGGCCACATTTCCACGCAGGGTGAGAGCATGTGGCTGCATCTGCAGCTGATCCGATCGCTCACGCAGGCCACGAAGGAACTGTTCCCTGTGGCCGACTATGCGTACACACTGATCCCTACGTACCCAAGCGGCCAGATCGGGTTCGTCGTCTGCTCGCTGGATGCGAATCGCAATGTGCGGGAGCCTCTGCGGACGGTGCCGAACTGCTCGTACTACAACAACGATATCCACCGTGCCTCGTTTATCCTGCCGCAGTTCGCGCACCGCGTTGTCGTCGATGGCCAGCCGGCGCCTGGCCCTGTCATTGCTACGGGCTATGGCGAGAGCCGCGATGCACACACGCCGCCAAAGAAGGTACTGGTCCTGGGCTCTGGCTACGTGGCAGGCCCGGTCATCCAGTACCTCCTTCGGTTCCCGCAGTTCTCCGTGACGATTGGCTCCGCACGCCATGCCGCGAAGCTCGGCAAGCAGTTCCCACGCGCGCAGACGATGCAGGTCGATGTCAAGGAGGCTGCGTCGCTCAGTGCGGCCATCCAGCAGCACGACTTGGTCATTTCGCTGATCCCGTACATCTACCATGCGGATGTCATCAAGGCTGCATGCCAACACAAGGTCGACGTCGTCACGACTTCGTACGTGTCTGACGCGATCCGTGCGCTCGAGCCAGAGATCAAGGCAGCTGGCATCACCGTGTTCAACGAAATCGGCCTGGACCCTGGTCTTGACCATCTGTATGCCGTCAAGGCCATCAAGGACATCCACGATGCAGGTGGCCAGGTCAAGTCGTTCCTCTCGTACTGCGGCGGGCTCCCTGCGCCAGAGGCTGCGACGAACCCACTCGGCTACAAGTTCTCGTGGTCGTCGCGCGGCGTCCTGCTGGCTCTGCGGAACACGGCCAAGTTCATCCAGGGCAACCAGGCACACACCGTCAGTGGTCTCGACCTGATGGCGACAGCTAGGCCATACTATATCATGCCTGCGTTTGCCTTCGTCGCATACCCGAACCGCGATTCGACGCCATTCCGCGAGTGGTACGGCATCCCTGAGGCTGAAGAGTGCATTCGCGGCACGCTTCGGTACCAGGGCTTCCCAGAGTTGGTGCTCGCGCTGGTGCGTCTGGGCTTTCTTGATGAAAGTGCGCAAGACTGGCTCGCCTCCAAAGACCTGACGTGGTCGCAGCTCACTGCACGTCTCGTCGGCTCGAGCGCCACGGACGAGGCATCCCTGGTTCGTGCTGTGCGTGAACGCTGTGCGTTCCAGAACGACGAAGATGCGCAGCTCGTCCTGCGCGGCATGCGCTGGCTCGGCCTGTTCTCGAACGAGCCTGTCAAGGTCGGTGGCCTGCCTGAGCAACTCGCCAGTGGCACGGGCAACTTGCTCGACACGCTGTGCGTGAATCTGGAGGGCAAGTGCGCCTACGAACCTGGTGAGCGCGACATGGTCATGCTCCAGCACCGCTTCAGTGTGCTCACCAAGGACGGCGAGCACAAGACACTCACCTCGACGCTCCTTGACTATGGTGTGCCGAACGGCACGTCGTCCATGGCCAAACTGGTCGGTGTGCCATGCGGTATTGCAGCGCGCTTTGTGCTGGAGGGCCATCCGGCCATCAAGAAGCCAGGCATTCTTGCTCCCTACTCGTTCGACGTGGCGGAACCCATCCGCCTTGAGCTTGTGAAGGAGGGCATTGCACTTGAGGAGGCATGGGTGTAAGTACCTAGGAGCACGACGCGCGCGATCATAGGGCCATATGGCGGACAGCAGCGATGACGCTTCGCGCGCGCTCTTTTTTTTTTTTTTTATTCCTCCTTATCCCCTCCTTATCCCCTTCGTGCACTCTCACACCCACTCTCTACCTGTGGCACCCTCTGTAGACAACCATAGAGACACCGTGCAGAGTGCGTACAACCAATCCACACATAGTGCCATGTGCCCAGATGCGGGCGTGTTCTATGTCGCGCGCTACACACTAGCGAGGAGCGTCCGATTGATCGTTGCGTCCTGCCCAGCTCATACGGCCTTGCCGTGATCCACGTGACAAACGCGTGCGTGGCGATCAACGCGCGTCTGTCGACACGGTGGAGGTGTGTATTTGCCGGGCTCGCGCGGAACGCGCACAGCGTTGGCACACTGGTGGTGGCATGCGTGTGCGAAAAAATCCCAGCCGCATTGCTCGACTTGCCACCGACCGTTTCGTCTCGTCCAACACAACATGCGTGAGATTGTACACTTGCAGACCGGCCAGTGTGGTAACCAGGTCGGAACCAAGTTCTGGGAGGTGCTGTCTGATGAACATAGCATCGACGGCACCGGCAACTATGTAGGCACATCGCCCCTCCAGCTGGAGCGCATTAACGTGTACTACAACGAGGCGGCGGACAACAAGTACGTGCCACGCGCCGTGTTGGTCGATCTCGAGCCTGGCACGATGGACTCGATCCGTTCGAGCGCGCTGGGCCATCTGTTCCGCCCGGACAACTTTGTCTTTGGCCAGAGCGGTGCCGGCAACAACTGGGCCAAGGGCCACTACACCGAGGGCGCCGAGCTCGTGGACTCGGTCATGGACGTCGTCCGCAAAGAGGCCGAAAACTGTGACATGCTGCAGGGATTCCAGATCACCCACTCTCTCGGCGGTGGTACCGGCGCTGGTATGGGTACGCTGCTCATCTCCAAGATCCGTGAAGAGTACCCCGACCGCATGATGGCGACCTTCTCTGTGATGCCATCGCCAAAAGTGTCCGACACAGTTGTCGAGCCGTACAATGCAACGCTCTCCGTGCACCAGCTTGTCGAGAACTCCGACGAGACCTTCTGCATTGACAACGAGGCCCTCTATGACATCTGCTTCCGCACGCTCAAACTCAAGACGCCCACTTACGACGACCTCAACCAGCTCGTCTCCCTCGTCATGTCCGGCATCACGACCTGCTTGCGTTTCCCAGGCCAGCTGAATTCTGATCTCCGCAAGCTCGCCGTGAACATGGTGCCGTTCCCTCGTCTGCACTTCTTCATGGTCGGATTCGCGCCTCTCACCGCCCAGGGCAGCCAGCAGTACCGTGCTGCCACGGTGTCGGAGCTTACGTCGCAGATGTTCGACGCCAAGAACATGATGGCCGCCTCAGATCCACGCATGGGCCGCTACCTCACAGTTGCCGCGTACTTCCGGGGCAAGCTCTCGATGAAAGAAGTCGAGGACCAGATGCAGGCTGTGCAGATGAAGAACTCCTCGTACTTTGTCGAATGGATCCCCAACAATGTACAAACGGCCCACTGTGACATTGCACCCAGGAACCTGAAAATGTCCGTCACATTCATCGGCAACAACACCGCGATCCAGGAACTCTTCAAACGTGTGTCTACCCAGTTCCAGGCCATGTTCCGGCGGAAGGCCTTCTTGCACTGGTACACGGGCGAAGGTATGGACGAAATGGAATTCACCGAGGCCGAGTCCAACTTGGCCGATCTCATCAGCGAATACCAGCAGTACCAAGAGGCCACCGCCGATGACGACCTCGAAGAGTACGACGGCTACGAGGGTGAGGAAGTCTATGAGGACGAAATGTAGACACCCACTCGTGTCTACCCAGCAGATGGAGCCTGCGGAGCTCATCAAGCCTTGGATGCCAGAGTCCAGCCGGCAAGCACGTGTGCTGAGCAACTATGTGTGTCTGTCAGCATTTGACGCGTCCACATGCCTCATATGCGCCGCCACTGCTCTCTGGTGCTTGTTCCTAAGCTCCCGCCATGCCTGTCTCTGCCTCTCTGCCTTCGCCAGCGCTCCTCTAGTTGCGGGCCGACTTTGTAGTGTGCGTCTCACGCTCGTTCGTGCCTCCTTCCTCTTTTCTCTCTTCCCACGCCTTACACCCTGTCCCCATCCACCTTGCCTTGGCTCCTGTAGTTACGCCAATTCATGTAGACGTGGCTTCCTCCACGTGGTCCTTCGCGCGTTTTGCCTTTTTGGCTGTTTTTGACCTGCATAATACCTGCCGCCAGCCAGTCAAGACTTGGGAAGTGTCGCTCCCCCTCCTAGCGTCGAAGGCGCGTGCGTGACGAAAGAGAGGCTTGGGTATTTTGGCAATTTTATTCGGCCCCACACACATTCTCGACGTGCCAAGTTGGACCACATCGCTCACACAGAGCGTTCGCTACGGCCATGTTCAAGGTGAACAGGGGACCGCACTATGCGCGTGAGCTAGAGCAAGCTCGTCTGCGCGGCGTCTCGTTTGGTCCGCCGCATTCCCATGCACACAATGCGAACGCTCTGGTTGATGTGATCCGCAAGTTCACCAAGCACAACCCGTCCTTGACTGTCACGAGCCAGCTCGCATCGTTGGAGTTCGAGCTGCACAAGCACATAGCCGCCTTCTTCGATGCTGTGGGATATTCTGATGCATCTCACTCCAATGATAAACCTGGCGCAGTTTTGCTCCCGCCCGTCATGGAGCCTGGTCTGAGTGTTACGGCCGATGTCCAGCGCATTGTCAAGGAGCTTGAGCTTCTCGCTCCCGCCACGTCCGATTCCCGTCCGAATGCGACTACGTGCGTGGCTCTTTGTGAACTTGGTCAGTTTCTGCTTGGCCGTAATAGTACTGTGGTCGAACTCGTTCAGCATACACAACTGCTCGAGACCGATCCGTTTTCCTCGCCGCTGAATGAACATCATATTGCTGTAACCATTATGGGGATCTGTGTCCATGGTATGTATTATCGACTCGCTTGTACCTTCCTATGTATACTTTTCACCTCCCCCATTCCCCTCTTTTCCACCAATGTCATTCTAATGCCCACTTTCGTTGCCGTTGCTATCGATCCTGCACGCGATTCTCTCGCCCGACTCCCCCAATCTTCGCACACTTCGCGCCTTGACCCTTCCCATTCCCCCCCTCTTGCCTGATTCTCTCGCTAACGCACAGGTATGGCGAATGAGCGCCTTGGCTTCTTGGAAGAGGCCCTCACTTCGTACTCGCGCGCGATCTCCTTTTATGAGCGTGCACGCGGCTCTGCCACGTCGAAGGCTGCGCGCACGACGCCGTTCATCGACGAGATGGAGCGCTGGGCCGAGTGTGCTTTGTATCGTCATGCCCTGCTTACCGTCTATGCACAGCCGGCACAGGCTGCTTCGGCTTTGCGTGCGTACGAAGTGCACGAGTCACGCTGGCCTGGCACGTTCCGTCAGCCGCAACGCAATGTGATCCGCGCTCTCTTTGCGCGCCTTACGCAGCCGAACGAGCCTTCTCGCGCAGCACCACAGGTGCTGAAGCCTGTCTCTGCACGCACGACTGCGACACGTCGTCCCCGTCCGGCACCTACAACCGCGCATCCGTTTTCGACTGTGAAATCGACCGTCGTGAGACTTCTGCAACAAGACCCCGGCTTTCCACGCGCGAACGAGTCCAATGCTCATCCCGAGACCCTCGCTGAGCAACTTGTTGAAAGCTGGCGCTCGCAGTGCGGCGCTAATAGTGCGATGGAGGCTGATGATGTCGTGACGCTCCTGTACGGGCTCGCCGGCATTACCTTTCGCTCACAGACGATCCAGCGTCTGTTGGTGCACATGCTCTTTGCCGCCGAAGCTTACGCCGAGGCATATGCGATCGTGCCTAAGTACATGGCGCTTGTCGATACGACATGGAAGGCACATGGCGTGCCAGCACAGCGCTCGACGGCTGAGCTGCGTGCGATTGACGGCCCACGCGAGTATGTTGACACTGTCCTGCTTGGCGCACACATTGCGCTGCGGTATATGAACGATCCGCGCCAGGCGCAGGAATGGGTGGACGAGCTTCTTCTTGTTGGTACGAGTGACAAGAGCTCTCGGCACCGCTTTACGATGGAGCCGGCGCTTCTGGCCCGCACGCTGCGTAGTGCCGGTGAAGTTCGCGTTGCGCAGGTGCGCTTAGTTGCGCCTGCCGAGCGCACAGGTCTGATGGATGACGCGCGCGTGTTTTTGCAAGACTCGCTGTCCCTTGATAATGATGCGTCAGAGACGTGCTACATACTTGCGTGTATCTTGGCGCTTGAGCGCCAGTTCGACGACGCTCTCAAGCACGCGCGTCGCGCGCTGGAGCTTGAGCCTGCCTTCGTCGATGCCTGGCACCTCATTGTGTTGCTGCTGAGTGCACGAAAAGACTTTCTCGGCGCACGCAACCTTGCCTCTGAAGCGCTCGCTCAGGTCGAGGCGGACGATGACGCATCAGATGCCCAGATCGCTGCTGGATCACGTGCAGACCCACGCACCCAGCTCCTGTCGTTTGATTACCCACCGACAGCCTTCCAGCGCGCTGGCTCGTACATCCGCCTCTTGGTCACGCACAATGTCCTGCTCGAGCTAACGATGGGTGCTGCATCTGCGCTGGATGCGCAGCGCGATCTGTTTGCCGCGTACCACGTGCGTGTGGCACCGTTGTGCGCGTCGCCGGCACCTGCGTCAAACGAGCCTGATGCTGTGTTTATGCGTGCGCCGTCCATGATGCTCAAGCCCAAAGCTGAGCTGGCCGAAACACCGACGCACGCTCGCAATATGTTTCGCGCTCGTGTAGGCACACAGCTACTTCAGCGCCTGTGGCTCCTGAGTGCGGCGTCTTTCCGACGCATCGGCGATTTAGAGCAATCTCGGTGTGCTATTGCTGAGGCTGAGCAGCTGGATGCTCGCTTCGCTGAGGTATGGGTCCAACTTGCGCAGTGGTGCTTGGTATCGGGTCCCTCGAAGGCTGGCGCGGCCGTGACATGTTTGTACAAGGCACTCTCGTGCGACACAAACCATGTGGCCGCAAGTGTTCACCTGGCACGAGTGTTGCTGCGTCCCTCTGAGCAGCTGAACATGCGCGCGTCGCATGCCGAGTCGATCGCTGCTGTGGCATCTGCGGCAAGTAGTGAACAGATGCCGCTCTCGGACTTTGCACTTGCCGATGACCCAGGTATCGCATCTGCAGGCGATGCTGAGAACCACGCACGAGCTACGCCCAGTCGTGGACTGGGTGGGTCGTCACCCACAGCGACGAACCCGAAGACGTCGCCTGATCAAGAGGGCAATGGCGCTTTGGGCGACGTTGCCTTGCCGTTCCGTTGGCAGCATGATGTCCCCCCTGTCGGACGAACAGCATGGCCCAGGCTCTCCTGCGCACCGTCCACGCTTTTCCACGGCTGGGATGTGTCAGAAGCCTGGCACACTCTTGGCCAGCTTGCACAACAGACGAAGCGCTCTGTTGATGTGCAACGCCGTGCCTTCCTGGAAGCGTTGCGCCTCGAGTCAACACGACCGATCCGTCCATGGAATGCGGCACTGGACATGCCCCTCTAGTAGTACTGCTGCTTTCTTTTTTATGACTTCTATGGAGCGATAGCATATGGGAGAAAAATGTCACAGAAAAAAGGGGGATATGGCCGAGATACGTTCGCAACGTGCGAGACTAAGGAACGAGAGGGGGGGAGGAAAGGGGGAAAGTAGATCACGTGATCAATCGTCGTCACCCGTGTGAGAGTTAAAGGGCTGAAGAGTAAGGGAGAGAGAGAGTGAGGGGGGAGAAATGAAGAGCAGGCCTCGTCAGCCGAATCCAAGTCAAGTGGATTCGGCTCGCTACCAGAGCCACTCCATTCGCTGTGGGTTCTCTACACCCACGTCCGTTGACGGCCCCACCCCAGCCCTCCCTGTCCTTGGGACCGTCATGACCGCCGACTTGCTGAGCCATAGCAGCGGTAGCGGTAGTGGTAACGAATGGGGTAGCGGTGCACGTGGACAAGATCATGATAATAAAGCCAGCGCTGGCGCTGGCAAAGACACCGCTGTCTACATGAACCTTTTTCCGGATCATGTTCCGAGTGCTAGCACTAGCGGTGCGCGCATCGAATCCAGTGCTAGGGCTATGCATGCTCGGGCCACGCACGAAAGGCGTGTCGCTCGACGCGATCACAGGCACCATCATCACCATCATCACCATCATCATCACCACCACCATCACCATGGAGCACATCGCCTCAGTAAAGAACCCAAGATGATCGGCTTGTACGTGCTGCATCAAACGCTGGGAACGGGCACATTTGGCAAAGTCAAGCTCGCTACTCATGCACTCACAGGCCATCGGGTCGCTGTCAAGATCATCAACAAGCGAAAGATCTCTTCGATGGACATTGGCGGGCGCATCAAGCGAGAAATCCAGTTTCTTCGCCTTCTTCGGCATCCGCACATTATCAAGCTATACGAGGTGATTGCAACGCCGTCTGACATCATAATGGTGCTGGAGTATGCAGGCGGTGAGCTGTTCCAGTATATCGTGGATCATGGGCGGCTTTCTGAAAGCGAAGCACGGCGTCTTTTCCAGCAAATTATCAGTGCGACGCATTACTGCCACAAGCACAAGGTTGCACACCGCGACTTGAAGCCTGAAAATTTGCTACTGGATGAATTCTTCAACATCAAGGTCGGCGATTTTGGCCTCTCGAATTTCATGGTGGACGGCGACTTCCTCAAGACCAGCTGCGGCAGTCCCAACTATGCAGCGCCAGAGGTCATCTCGGGCCGGCTGTACTCTGGTCCCGAAGTTGATGTATGGAGCTGTGGCGTGATCCTGTATGTGATGCTCTGTGGTCGACTGCCATTTGACGACGACTACGTCCCCTCCTTGTTCGTCAAGATCAACAAAGGCATCTACACGCTCCCTTCGCATCTTTCCATCGAGGCGAAGCAACTCTTGTCTAGCATGCTGGTCGTCGATCCTGTCAAGCGCATTACGATTCCCGACATCATGCAGCTCCCGTGGTTCAACGTCGATCTCCCAGCCTACCTGCGACCGTTCCCAGCTACACCTTCCGTGGAAGAGAAGCAGTGTGCCCTGTACCGCGCCCCTGTCATGGACGACACACTAGGCACCGAGCACATCGATGATCCATCCGCTGTGCAGCCAAAGGAAGCCGGGCCTCTGCCTGATCCGTCAATGGTGTCGCCCGACCTTGGCATTATCGACCCGCTGATCCTCGAAGAGCTTCTCGGCAAGGTTGAGGGCCTGTCTCGCAGCAATGTGCTCGAGATGCTTCGCGCACCCAATACCAACCAAATCAAGGTCGCGTACCATCTCTGCCGAGACTATCACCGCACACTCGATACCATGAGCAACATGCTGCGAGAGATGGAGCTCGGCCACGAGGATGGCCACGCGTCGTCTTCCTCTTTCTCAACATCACCATCCACGAGCGTCGAGGGCGGCGTCGGTTCCGAGTCGCTCTCTCGCTCGTCGTCGCTCCGCGCGCGCCAACGGCGTTCATCAATCAGGCCTATGCTTGCGCCTGGTACCTCGCCGATGCACTACAATGTGCTCATTAAGCGCTCGGGTGCCACGACCGATCTCACACACGCCGACAAGAACGACGAAGCTCGTCCTCGATCGCGTCGGCCGTCAGCCGCATCATCGCGACGCGGCGTCGGCGTTGACGAGGACATGAAGGCGCGTGTAAATGAGCTTATGGCCGCTGTGGAGGACGAGGCCATCGAGGGCTCTGATATCGAATACCAGATGCTCGACGATGAAAGCGACGACTCCGATGACTCGAGCGATGCCTCTTCACACATGTTCGATTTTGATGAGGAGTATGTCAGCTTCGATATAGTCGATGACCTGTGCATGGATGAGGCGACCGAGCGCGAACCGCTCCAAGAGTCGTACATGCGTCTCACAAACAACTTGGCTGTGCTCGAGACCAGTCTGCCGCCGTCGCAGCGCTCTATATACCATGACACCTCGTCCAAGGCACATCGCAGCCAGTCTAGCGCACACCAAGGCACAGGCTCAGCCGCGCCGGCTAGCGCGCCATCAGCCTCCGCTTCTACCAGCACCATCGCGCCCTCATCCGCGTCGCGCTCGGGATCTGCCTCGCCCACGCCATCATCCACATCGGCCAAGTCGGCTGCATCCTCGGCATCGTCGACGCGCCGGACGCGCTCACCTTGGCATTTCGGTATACGAAGCCGCAGTAATCCCATGGAAATTATGCTTGTCCTTTACAGGACCATGGAGTCTCTTGGCATGGAGTGGTGTCCCAAGACGCCACTGCCGTCCGTCTCGCGTGGTTTGCACAACATGAGCGCCGAGGAGCGGAACCAAGTCCTCGATGCACTTAACGAAGACATTTTCTACGCACAGACCCAGTGCATCCTTTACGGTCGCAAGGTGCGCATGGATCTTCAGTTGTACCGTGTGGATGATCAGTCGTACCTGGTAGATTTCCGCAATGTCGGCTATCTCATGTCGCAGCCGGAAGCGCCCGCTTCAGCAGCTGCTGCGTCCGCTGCTTTCGATTCATCTGTGGAAACCACCATGGCTCCTGCTGCTTCACTTGCATCTGTGCCGCCCGCAACACCGTCATTGCCTCCATCGTCCGTCACGCTCCGTCGCGACACCCAAAGTCCGTTTCTTTTCTTCGATGCGGTGTTTCGTCTCATTGTGGAGTTAGCTGGCGGCTAACGTCGACCTGATCGTGTCCACGTGTGTGTGTCAAGACCATTTTTTTTTTGTGCATCCATACGGCCTGGCCGACCTACCGATCGGACGTCATTCGGCCGGCACCCAGGCGCCAGACGGGGGAAGGTAGGAGGAGGATTTTTGATTTTATTTTTCTCCCTATGTGCACGGTCGGGGAACAAGAACTTGTCAGCAGCAGCAGCAGCGCAACCCCCTTGTGTAGCCGGTTTGAGCCAACCAGCGAGCGCCACTAATCGGCATCTCCCGATATCTAATTTTCGCTCGTCCTCAGCCTCATCCTCGTCCATATTGTTCATCATGGGTACGTAGTTGGTCGCGACGGACGGGATCCTAACGATCGTTCCTCTTTGCAATGATGTTTCATGTTCTCTTTGTATGCAGCCTCTGAGTCACAGCCATTGCTCAATCAGTCCATAAGCCAGCAAGCTAGGCAAAAGAGTCTGCTCAAGTCGTTCCATTGGCTTCTCGGCTCGTCGCGTGCGAATCTGCTACTAGCGTTTGTGCCACTTGGTATGGCCGCGCAGTGGTGCGGCTGGGGCTCGCTCTCCGTGTTCGTGCTCAACTTCTTGGCCATTGTGCCTCTTGCCAAGCTTCTCGGCGACGCCACTGAACAGGTAAGCATGCTGCGTGGCCCTACACTCGGTGGTCTCTTGAATGCCACTTTCGGCAATGCCCGTCGAGCTGATCGTCGGTGTGGTTGCCTTGCTGCAAGGTCAACTTCGGATTGTCCAGATGTCACTTGTCGGCTCGATCCTGTCGAACCTGCTCCTTGTGCTCGGTCTCAGCTTTTTCGTTGGTGGCATCTACAAGCCGGAAAACCAATTCGCTCAGACAGCCGCCCAGGCATCCGGCTCTATCATGACACTTGGCTGCTTCACCATGGTTCTGCCTGCTGCGTACTGGGGTTCCGTCAAGGGCGGCAGCGGCGACAACTCTGTCCTCAGCGCTCTCTTTACCCGGTCGAAGGAGCAGCCTGTGCCTGCTCCAAACGTCGGTTTCGATGCTATGGACGGCATCCTCTTTATCTCTCGCGGTACGGCTGTGATTTTGCTCGGAATCTACATTGGCTACTTGGTCTTCCAGCTCCGCACGCACGCATTCTTGTATGAAGCTCCTGAACATGAGCAGATCGAAGAACAGCAGGAGGAAGTCGAGATGTCGCCCAAGGCCTCGATCATTGCTTTGCTCGTTGTTACGATCATCACCTCGTTCAATGCTGACTATCTTGTGTCGGCCATTGATGACGTTGCGAATGAGTACAGCATTTCCAAGGTGTTCATCAGTACCATCCTCCTCCCCATTGTCGGCAATGCCGCTGAGCATGTCACGTCTGTGTGGATGGCGTCCAAAGACAAGATGGAAATCGCCCTTAGTGTGTCTGTTGGCAGCTCGGTCCAGATTTGTCTGGGTCTTGTGCCCCTGCTTGTGCTTGTTGGATGGTTCGTGGGCCAGCCACTGACGCTGTATTTCCACGACTTTGAAACCATCAACCTCGTTGTGTCTGTGCTGCTGGTCAACTCGCTCATCCAGGATGGCAAAAGCAATTACCTGGAAGGTGCCCTTCTCGTGGCTTTGTATCTTGTGATTGCTTTGTCGTTCTGGGTCCAACCATACTGATTGCACACCATGTCACATTTCATCTACATACAAGCTATAAGGACACACAGTATTGAATATAATCCATAGGATCAGAACATACAAAGAAGTCTCCATTCCCTTTACGGGCGCCAACCTCACTTGCATCTTCGTTGAGAGTGATCAGGAAAGCTCAGCCACGTTGGCTTTCTTCATAGCGCTGTCGCATGCTCTCACATGCATGCATCGTCAAGGATGCCAGTAACCCATGATAGGACTGGGCCCATACCAGTCACGCGTTCCCTCGTGCACCTTGTGACACTCACTTTGTAAAGGGATTGGATGTCGATCTGGTTCCGCCTGCCATCGCTGGCGCCTGCCCCGTTCGTTGCTGTTGGATCATCTGATGCCACATCGCTGCATTGGGACCTAATCTCATGTCACCCGTGTTGCCAAATGTATCTATACCATCGCCTGAGGCCAAGAGACGGTCCAACTCGGGGTGCATGTTGCTTACCTTAACACGCGGTGGGCCTGCTGGTGTCGGCTTCGGCTTCGTCGATGGCTCGGGATCCTCGGGACCTTCGTCGTCGTCGTCGTCGTCGTTATCGTCAGGTCCATCGAGATTGATCAGGGGTATCGGTTGGTTGGCTGGATGCATTTGTCGACGGCGGAGCTGATGGCGTCGGCACCGAGGAGGCCGCCATCGACGACTGCGAAAGCCATGGGTTGTTGGACCCGAAGCTCGTCGGCTGTGGCATCATAGCCTGTTGTTGCTGCTGTGCCATCAAGTATTGGTATTGCTGGGCAGCCTGCTGCAGAGCAAGTTGGCGCTGGTATTCTTGCTGTTGCATGTACTGCTGCTGCATCATTTCCTGTTGCTGCATTTGGGCCTGAAAGAAGGGATTGAAGCCAGTTGGCTGGAATGGAATAAACGAGGTGTATTGGGGCTGCAGCGTGGACGGCGTCTCGTCCTTGTCAAGATCAATAAGTGTCTCGCTTTCTTTTCGCTTGCGCTCTTCTTCGCGCGACTCTTCCAGCGCGCGTTGCAGGTCGGAATCGTCCTGTGCTGCGCGGCGACGTCGTGCTTCTTCCTCTTCAGCCATCCGCCGCGACTCGGCAATCGCTTGTTCCAACTCGCGGTCTTCAGCCGTCATGCGGTCGCGTTGTTGCTGACGCCGGCGTCGTCCAGCTTCGTCAGAAAAGTCGTGTGGATCACGGTTCCGCGTCTCATTCTCCATGCGCATCCTGCGCCGGTTCCGTGCGCGTGTCTCATCCATTAAGATCGCTGTAATTTCCTTGGCTTTCTGGCGCACATTGATCCCCTGATCAATGTTTGCATCATCCACATACTGAAACTCTTTCAGTGTCTTGACAATGTATATGTTGTCGTGGAAGTAGTTCCATACATTCTCACTACCCTCTTGTAGCAGATAATCCAGCACTGACAATGCTTTGAACACATGCCGCCAGTTTTTGCCCTTATCATTCAGCCGCTTGTCAAGGATCTCCATCATCTCAATAAAGTCCGTCGCATTGTGGCTCAGCTGTGAGAGCTCGTTCATCTGTGTTCCGCTTGGACCCCATGGATCATTCGACGTCGCTTCCCGCACTTTGATCTGTGTATCTGTGTAGCCTTTGATGTAGTTCTTACCGATCCGCACGGCAGATTTCGATATGTTCTGAAACGACATCCTTGTCAGGCACTATCGCCACACTTCGGCTCCGTTTTGTTCGTCTCGTTTAGATCTATGAAGACAAAGGATTTCGTCGTCGAGCGTGGAGTGTATGTTACGACACACCGACTCAGCTGGCTGGCTCGGAGAAAGTAGCCCTTATATTATTAGTACCAGCTCGGTTGGCCGCGCACGCGTATGCGGTATTTATTTTTGGGTTTCAATCTCCAGAAAACTGCTAGCCAGACAGCTAGCTAGTTTTGCAATGCCTTTTTGGTCCCAAGTCTTGTCTGTCTTTGCCAAGACACACTCGCACTTGCTTCAACTCTGTCTGTCCCCTCCGCCCGATAGGGCCCTACGCCTGTCGTTCGGGGGAATAGGGAGAGGGTCAGAGGGACACGAATCTCACGTGACGACACCATCCGCCCCACTTCATGGCGTGGTGTCCCAGTCATGTGTCAGGATCATAGGAGGGATGTGCCCAGGTGCAGTCGTCTCCGGAGCGCAAGCTAAACGAGCGCGCCATGCAGGCATGTCCATAGGAAATCATGTCATTGTATGCTATTTATCTGTACATGAACTTGAAAAATGAGGGAATGCTATTTTTAGGACCCATTCTTGCAACTGCCGCCTTTGAAGCGACCATTATTCCATGTTATTTGAATCGAGTAAAGGGACAGCGTCAATCCATGTCACACGCTTTATTCAAGTACATAGGGGGATCCATGTACATTGACTGCAGGATTCATGTTGGTGCCGACCACGTTGCTCTTTTCAGGTAAGCTGTCAGCATGTCTTACAGCCTCATCGCCCACACACTTTGATTGCTGTATGAGGTGACCAAAGTGTGGGATAGAAAAAGCCTCCTCGCCAACTTGCGCAATATCCAAGCCGATGATCTCGTCATCTTCACTGCACCGGAATGAGCAGCCCGGGATGTGATCGATGAGAAACAACAGAATCATCGTCAACACGAACGACCAGCCGAATCCAGCGCAAGAATCGGCCAACTGATAACCAAGCTGCACATAGTGGTGATTGATCCATCCCATATTCTCCGTTGCATCTGTGCCATCGAAGGTGGAAATGCGCCCGTCAGCGAACAGGGCAGTTAGCAGGTTGCCAGCAATGCCACCAATGCCATGTGCCGCAAAGATATCTAGCGCATCATCGTACCCAAGCAGGTTCTTCAGCCCCGTCGCAAAGTTGCATACTGTAGCACCAATGACACCAAATGCAAGAGACGAAGGTGTGCCAACGAAGCCAGACGCCGGCGTGATGGCCACAAAGCCGGAAATAGCACCTGAACAGAACGCTACAGCGGACCACTTGCGCTCCAGCCGGTAGTCTAGCAGCATCCATGTTACTCCTCCAACACACGAAGAGATGTGTGAAGCCATCATCGCTTGGACCGCGCGAAGGTTCGCACCGATCCCCGAGCCACCATTGAAGCCAAACCAGCCGACCCAAATCAGCACTGTGCCAAGCACCACGTGCGTGACGTTATTTGGACGGTAAGCAAGCGCAGGTGTGCCGTATCCATGCCGCCGCCCCAGGTACAGTGATATCGCCAGCGCCGCGGTGCCTGAACTGATGTGGACGGGCGTGCCACCCGCATAGTCGAGACCGCCCATGGTATAGCTCCAGCCCTTGTTGTTCCATGTCCAGCATGCCAGAGGATTATACACAATCGTGCACCAGCAGAACGTGAAGAGTAATATAGGTCCGATGCGTGCGCGATCCGCAAATGCGCCACACGCAATCACAGGCGTCAGGGCCGCAAACATGAGCTGGTACATGCAATAGACCAGCGACGGCACTTTCGTGCTGCCTGACAATGGGGCCATGTCTACGTGCATGAGGCCGAAGTGTCGCAAGTCGCCAAGAAAAGGCGTCGCCGTCTCGCTGAACGTAAGCGAATAGCCCCAGAAGAACCACTCCAACGAGGCGACCGCCATGACCATCATCGATAAGGCCAGCACCATGAGTGCATTCTTTCGACGCAGCAGGCCTGAGTAGAAAAAGGCCACGCCAGGAATCATGAGAAACACCAGGCATGTACATGTGAGAACCCAAGCGATATCGCCCAGGTTGTATACAAGTGGTTCGCCATCGCTGATGATGCGGATGTTCTCGTCCGCCGTGGTGTTGAACGTAACCATGGTCCAAAGACGACACACTCAGACGTCAGGACTCGGCATCCCTCGTTTCATGTCCTTTCTCATCTGTTTGTCTGCAGTTGGCCCTGCCTGCCACGCATATCTCTCTCTCTCTCTATTACTGTGCCCATCCGTCGCTTCATTTGGCCTTCACGCAATCTTTTGCATGCATGTCAATTGATAAGAAACGAGGTTGATAAACGTGCATGATAATGGCCACGTGCATGTGTCTCCCATTGTCCACCACGTGGGACACGCTCGGCGCCTCCGCTACTGTGACATGTGAGTGGGTATGCGTCGTCGACAACAAATTTTTTGGGTGCGACTTGGGCTTGTCGACGCGCAGGAAGTAAGGCTTGGGTGTTGCTTGTCCGTCCGTCATGCAACCACCAGACAGCGCGTCGCAGTCTACCTGCACAGCTAGTGATGTAGGCGATGTGCGTCCACAAAAGCGTATGCGACAAAGCGAGCCGAGGCGCCTGTGCGAGCACGATGTTGGATTGCTGACGTATGTGCACCCGGACTGGCGACCGGTGCACGCGATCATCAAGCAGCGATATGCCGACTTTCTCGTGCGCGAGATAGCGCCTGATGGCCAGGTCGTGCGCATTACTTCGTTGGATCCCCCGGGCGACTCCGGTTTCCGGTCACAGGCACCTTCCAAGGACTCGGCCTCGTGGAACGACCTGCTCCCCTACTTTGGCGAAGAACAGCTCGCTCAGCTGCGCTCTCTCTGCGAGCACGGACCTGTTGACTCGCGTGTTTTAGCCGACAAAACAGAGCGCACGCAAATCCACCGCCTCGTCCGTGCCCTGGCTGGTGACTCGCTTGTTTCAGATACCGTCGTTGTCGAAAGCGGTGCGTATGCGGGCCATAGCACCGATGCCGCCCCAGCTTCAGTTGTGCGTGTCCAAAAACAGTCGGGGGGGCCAACCTCTTACCCATCGTCGTCGTCGTCGTCGTCGTCGTCGTCAGCGCCAGTGCAATCAAGCTCAAGCTCACGCTCACACTCACGCCCCCGCTCCCGAGCGAATGCCGACCCCGACTCTGAAGCCATGGCGGCTCCGCCGTACATTCATTTCACCCTCCAAAAGACCAACAGGGATAGTCAAGAGGCTCTTCAATGGCTTGCGCGTTTCCTCAAACTGGATCATCGCGGTCGCTCCTCTTCAGCCAATATGCTGAGTGTTGCCGGGACCAAGGACAAACGGGCCGTGACGGTGCAGCGCGTCGCTCTACAGCGCGGGCGTCGCACATTGCATGATGTATGGAACATGGTCAATCACATCGGACAGCCTGTGTCAAGTGCACCTGGCGACACGCGACGTCGCTCCGTTGCGTGCGCGACAACTACACGTGCCGAGCGTGGCTTGCGCATTGCCCATCTGTCGTACGCCGATGCGCCTCTGCAGCTGGGCATGCTCAATGGTAACGAGTTTACCATAACCCTGCGGGACGTGCGCTGGGCGGACACGACCGAGCTCGGCAGTGACGCAGCGGAGCTGCGTGCATTCCTTGCTACTCGAGTTCAAGAGATTCAGGCGCACGGCTTTATCAATTACTTTGGCATGCAGCGCTTTGGCACAGGGTTTGTCTCGACACACCGAATCGGTATCGCTGTGCTTCGTGGCGATTATCACGAGGCACTGCATCTGATCTTGGACGCTGGTGCTATGGAGGACGGCAGCAACCGCAGTCATGGTTCAGGCCACGACAGCCACAACGACAAACATGTCCCGACCCAACCCCGCCATGATGCCGAGAACGACGACGACGACGACGACGGCGCGCCGCCAGCCGTATTGGCCTCGCGCCAGGCACAAGCGGCTGTGCGAGATCAGCGGTATCATGATGCTTACCGCTTGATGCCCAAGAAATGTGTGGCAGAACGTGCCGTGTTGGAAAAAATGAAGGCCCCTTACTGGTCACCAACCGATCCGCTTGGTGCTTTTCAAAACATCCCGCGCTCGCTTCGGCTGATGTATGTGCATGCGTACCAGTCGTACGTGTGGAACAGGCTCGTATCTGAGCGTGTCAGGCGATTCGGTGCCTTGAAGCCTGTGGTGGGAGATCTTGTTCTTGTGAACAATATGGCCGTAGAGCTTGACGAACAGAGCGTCTCTCGCTATACGATGCAAGACGTCGTCATGCCCATGCCAGGCGCTGATGTGCACCTTCCGCCCGATGGTTGGCTTGCTTCTATGTACGAAGACATACTTCGTGGAGATGGACTCACACCATCATCCCTGTCGTCCTCAGCTCAACCTGAGTATCGGCTGAAGGGCGCGTACCGCCGCATGCTGCAAATGCCGCAACACCTGCGGCATACGCTGCTGGCATACAACGATGCGAATGCAACCCTGTGTGCAACAGATGAAGAAGTACTTCTTCCAGACCACGGAACACAAGGTCCGGGTGCCGTCGACGTCGTCGACAAGGACCAGCAAGCGCCGTTCCTCGCTCTGCAGCTCACCTTTGAGCTACCGCCATCATCGTACGCCACCGTCATGCTCCGTGAGCTTCTTCGCACAGACACAAGTGCTCATCTGCACAAGGAACTTACGAAACAGTCCATCGATGCATCTTCGTAGCTAAGGAGGCCCGCATGTGGGCGCAGTACAACGAAGCAGGCCCGTTGAGCATGACCATCATTTTGTGCGTAATTTGCCTGTCTCTCTTTTATCCGCCCATTCTCTCTCATGTCTTCTCCCCTCCTTCAGCAACCACAGCGTTGCTGCACTGCGTCCCAGCTGTTATTCATAGAATCCGTGACGCTAGATAACGAAATTGTACCACCCGCGTCAGGTGCGCCTCCTGGAATCCGATCACCCGGCCGTCGCACACCCGGTGCTACATGCAGCCACAGCGCCGGTGTTGAGACGACTTTGCGAACGAGCTCGTCAAATGCATGATCAACACCTTGTCCTGCTTTCGCACTGCACTCGACAAAGAGCATGCCATTCTCCTGTGCATATGCTTGGCCCTGCTCCGTCGATACTTGACGCTCCTCCGCGATATCCACCTTGTTTCCAGCCAGTAAACATACTGGAGGCACATCGCCTTCGAATGTGCGGAGTTCGTGCACCCACTGTGGCACATCTTCATAGGAACGCAGATCCGTCACGTCGTACAGAATAACCACTCCCTGTGCGCCCCGATAATAACTACTTGTAAGCGTGCGATAACGCTCTTGCCCTGCTGTGTCCCAGATACTAAGCTTAAACCATTTGCCATCCACACACAAGCTCTTGATCTTGTAGTCTACGCCGATGGTCGCAGCAGCATCCTCTTCCACAAACACATCGTCCGTATATCTGCGCACCAAGGCCGACTTTCCCACACCTGACGACCCAATCAGGAGAAGCTTGAGGGTTGGAAGTTCGGCCGTCGTCGCTGGTTCTCCCATCTCGTGACGTCCGGCCGCTCTTTGTACAGGCTAAAGTGTTGTTAGGAAGGCACGTACGTGGGAGGGAGAAATGTAGGATTGCATGTGGATGGGTCTTTTGCAAGTGGAGGTACGTGCGTGCACGCGGATTTTGAGTATCAAAGCCCAGGCTCAGGCCAAGGGCCCCAGGCAGCCGCGAGCCTCCTGAGTCAGCCACGTTCGTCGGCAGACAAGGGGAACCTGACCAAAAATACCAAAAGCCTGTTCGCCGATTACGTGTGCGTCGCACACACTTCAGAAAAGCATATCCCCACCTCGTCTGTGATTATCATGTCCAAGAGCGCGTCACAGAGCGTCGACGTTTCGCCGCTTGCGTACCGCAAGATCGTGTACCATTCGGCAAAGTACTTGTCATCGACTGTGGTTGGTGTGCTTGTGGGCACCAAAAGCCAGTCGAACAAGCCCAACACAACAGTCACCGACATAATTCCCCTAGTTCATCATTGGCACACACTCAGTCCCATGACTGAGGCAGGCATGGCACTGGTACGTTCAATATATCGCATCCATCGTCCTAATCGTCTCTTTAGGTCGAGGCACACCTTGGCAAGACTGGCGGGACGCTCTTGGGTCTGTATGAAGTTCCCGAGCGTCTTGATCAAAAAATCCCCTCTCCCACAACGACAGCCCTAGCAGAAACTTTGGAAAAGAAAACAGGCACTGCGCCACTCGTACTCCATGTATGTACATTTCATACGCATGCTTGTATGGGTCTATCGTGCTTACCTCTCAGATGAACGGCGCAAAACTCTTGGAAGTTGACGGAGCCATTCATGCCACAGTAAGTGGCCAGTCTGTTCAGGCACAGGTCGCCCGGCCAGAAGCGCTTTCCCTCGCCTTGTCACAGGAACTCGACCAGGGCGCATGGAAATTCTTGTACGACTGGGACGACCACTTGGAAAACACGCAACTCGATTGGCTCACAAATCCTGACTTTGCATAGATGCCCGGCCCTTATCCGACCATGCATTCCATAGTTGCTAATGCTATTCCATCATGATCTCATCAATGTTTGTATCCCCGCGCACATGCGTCAGTGCTTTCTGCGCCCGTCCGCCTACCCAAAAGCTCGTACCGTGTCGTACGTTTTCCATTTCCTCCACAACATCCAGCCAAGCCACGCCACGACACATACGTGACGACATCACCGAATCACCCGCTTCCATCTCGCTCAAAGTGTTCCTGCGATTACCTTCCTTTTCCGTGAGCGCCTTATCGTCCCATGTTAGCTTCTCCGACGCTGCGTGTGGCCGCGTCGCTCGTAGCCAATGCACCTCCGATGCGTGTCGCCATTGTGGGCTCAGGACCTTCAGGCTTTTATGCTGCTGCGCGTCTACTCCAAAGCTTCGACGCTAAGCATGGAACGGGTACAGATGGCACAGAAATTCATATGTATGAACGATTGCCTACTCCATTCGGCCTCGTTCGGTATGGCGTTGCGCCAGATCATCCAGAAGTCCGCAATGTTGAGAGCAAATTCGATCAGGTCGCTCGAGACCCACGTTTCTCTTTCTTTGGTAATGTCCGCGTCACTGCAGATGATGCACCGCCCCCCCAATCAGCATCTACGGCCCAAATCTCGCTTTCATCCTTGGCTCCCTTCTACACACACGTTCTATTCGCCTACGGAGCGTCAGATGCTCGTCACTTGCACGTGCCAGGCAGTAGTCCTGGTGAGCTTGAACATGTACATACAGCGCTCGACTTTGTTCAGTGGTACAATGGACATCCTGACGCACACTTGCCAGATGCCCCATTCTCTAAAATGTCTGGCTCTGATATAAGGCACGTCTCTGTCATCGGTGCTGGAAATGTCGCTATTGATGTAGCGCGAATCCTTCTTCGTCAGTGTAAATCGACTCCTCTTGATGCTTCACTGCAACGTACAGATGCACCAGAGTCTGTTCTTGAGCAGTTGCGGTCGTGGGACGTGGAAACTGTACATCTCTATGCGCGTCGCAGCGCTGCTCAGCTTGCTTTCACCAACAAGGAGCTGCGTGAGATGCTCAACTTGCCTCATGTTGCATTCGAGCCCATGAACCATGAGACTTTGGACGAAGCCCTAGCTGATGTATCTCGCAGCTCCCATACCGCCTACAAGCGTGCGATGACGCGCCTTCTCAAGCAGTTACAGAAAGGAAGCGTGTTGCCTTTTGATGCACGTCACAAGCCACAATGGGGCATTAAGCTTATGCACTCTCCGAAAGAATTTACTGGCTCCCATGGCTCTAAGCGCGTGACCCACGCCACTTGGGATCTGACAGAGGTTCGTGATGGTCGTGCTGTGTCTACTGGCCGGACGGAAACAACGTCAACAGACTTGGTGCTAGCCAGTGTTGGCTACCGCTCACAGCCTTTGGCAGGTTCTCATGGCTCGTTCTCTGTGCCATTTGATTCAAAACAACATATTATTCCAAATGAGCGTCGTCGCGTCGTGCGCGAGGATGGCTCGCGCATCCCCGGCATGTATGTGTCTGGCTGGCTTGCTACAGGTCCAGTGGGCGTGATTGTATCGACCATGTTGGATGCATTTGGTGTTGCGGACGACATGCTGGCCGATTGGCGCCAACCTGACTCTCTCAAGCATACGCTGTGTGCATCTGTGGGCGTGAATGAAGCTCAGCTCAGCGTGCCGACCGCTTTGCACAAACAGGGAAAACGTATCGTCTCGTACAGCGACTGGCTGAGGATCGATGCTGCCGAACGGGAGCGTGGACTGGCTCTGGGAAAGCCACGTGAAAAGTTCCTGCGTGTGGACGAGATGCTGAAGGTCCTGTAACACAAACACGAATTGCTTCACTAGTTGACCCATGCCTGGATACGTCTTCGTTTGTTTCAGTGTGACGGGATGGCATTCGTGTTATCAGTTGCATCAACCCGTTCATCCTCTTGCTGGCACAGATCTTGGCATGAAGTCGAAGCACTCTCTTTACCCACCGTCCCCTCCTGTCCCTGCGCCGGCGTCTTTACGCCAGCTTTCCTTTCCCCCCCTCACTCCTTGTTCAATATTCTGCTTTTCTCTATCAACTAATGTACATTCTACAAGGGCCGAAACAGAACCTGGATGGTATAGGTCTTTTGGAATGGATCCCAATGACTCCACGTACATGGCTCATCTCGTTGCTCAGGCACAGGCACACCCGGCAGGGTGAGCGTGTGTGATCGATCGATCTCTCGACTCTGCAGCTTGAATGCGATCGTTTCGTATGGCTCAGCAGCCACGAGGAGATACTGCCACGCTCTATTCGGCGCTTCTTTGCGCTGTTCAAAGCTGCTCATGAATCGATGCAGCGGTATCACGTCTTCTTTGATTTCTGGTAGGCTTACCTCAAAAACAAGACCCACACGCCCACTTGTTGCTCGTGCATGCTGCTGAGCCACAGCGTCAATATTCTTGTGACTGTCACTCTTGTCATCGCTAGTGCCAGCAGCAGTAGAAGCCGCGGTGTTGGGGACTGCACCATCAACGTCGCTGCCATCCATGTCAACGGGCAAGATGGGCTCGCGAATCTTGGTTATTCTATAGCCAGGCCGCCCAATCTTGACGAAGGTCTTTTTTGGCATCTCAGGTGCTGGTGCGAGAAGTGCACTAGCTGCTCTGTTCTGCGCATCATTTGTCCGCGCTCCAAGAGCAGCACGACGCTGGAGGTTTGTTTGATGTTTCTTTCCCTGGGTATGTGCGAGGTAGGATCCTTCATTTGCATGCATTGTGAGGCACAGACGGCATTCCAGTCCGCCCAAATGATTCCGAAGAATGTACGGATCCTGTCGATGTATGTAAGTATCATGTAGGAGGGGGCGTGTGCACCAGGCACGATGTCGGGACCATGGTCGTCCAATTCCATAACCAAAAAAGAAGAAAAAAAAAGCAGAAGGAATGCATCCTCGATGCTCGATCCTACCCCACGACTCCAGGTGCTAGGTGCATACAGACGACGTACCTTGGAAATGTCGATCGTTTCCATGGCCAAGCGCCGCAAACGCTCACGCCGATCTATTGCTGCATCGCTGGCATTTGCTATACCAGCGCCCTTGTTTCCCGCTCGGTTCTGATAGTCTACGCAGAGTATGAATACGGATATGAACCAATACGCAAGAACCACGTACCCATCTGTCAGCTAGATCCGATGTTGGTGGCGTCCGCGACTAAATCTCGAGGTGTCGTCACTCAGTCGACGTTACGTTGCATTGCTTGTTCATGCGTCGACGACCGCCAATCACGTGGAGGGACTCGAACAGCCCCTCCTCTCTCACCAGCGCCCTCGCCTACCGTCAATAGACGTACGTCCACATCGTTTACGCTCGCCAGGCGCAAATACAACGCGGGGTGGCACGCAAAATAAAACCACCGCGAAGCCTGAGCGCATCCATTCGGCCGAGTCTATCTTGACGACGGAATTCTATGCCCTGCCCTTTAGGCTTGAATACACGCGTGCCGCGCTAGTCAACGGCCGACGACGGGCAAAGCGGCTGCTAGGCAAACTCCTTGGAACATTCACCAGCGCTGTTTATCTCCACCATCGACTGACCAACGAAACCCTCAGCCATGGCAGCCGTAGACGGATTGTCTACAATGACGACAACAACTACCGAGCCTATTGGTACGTAACGAGAAATATGCGATTGTGAGCGTGAAGCTAATACCATGAAGGCATTTCCAATCTGCCGAATCAGGTTTGTTCATAACGCTTCTTGCATCTGACCATGTAGCGACACAGGATTGCCTCTCGATCGGCTGCCAACTTTACCTTGATGGTTGTTGGCGAGAGTGGAACTGGCAAGACGACACGTATGTTGGAACATTTTCCCACACGCATGATGCTGACGCGCTAACTTGGCAGTGATCAATACACTGTTCCGCACAGAGCTTGCTCCGGGTACGAACTACGCACAACGTCATTCGACACAGCTCGACAAGGCTGTGGAAGTTGACGTGATCCGTGCTGAGCTTGAGGAAAAGCAGTTCCGCGTGAACCTGACGGTTATCGACACGCCAGGGTTTGGTGACTATGTAAACAACCGCGACTGTTGGGCACCACTCGTGGACTTTATTGACGATCAATACGAGTCGTATATGAGACAGGAGCAGCAGCCAGAGCGGAAACAATTGCATGACCAGCGCGTGCATGCATGCTTGTACTTCATTGCCCCCACTGGCCACACACTCAAGCCTCTTGACATTGAGGTCATGAAGCGCCTGTCGCAGCGAGTCAACTTGATTCCAGTCGTGGCCAAGGCTGACACGCTTACACCACGGGACTTGGCCCTTTTCAAGGAACGTATTCGCGATGTGATTCGGACGCATGGCATTACTGTATTTGCGCCACCTGTCGACTCGATCGACGAGGCTAGCGCCGAGCATGCGCGTGCGCTCATGTCATCGATGCCTTTCAGCATCATCGGCAGCACAAAAGATGTTCGCACGTACGACGGCCGAATGGTGCGTGGTCGTGAGTACCTGTGGGGTGTGGCCGAGGTGGAAAATGAACACCACTGTGACTTTAAGAAGCTACGTTCGCTCCTGATTCGCACGCATATGCTCGACTTGATTATGAACACGGAAGACTACCATTATGAAAATTACCGTCAGACACAAATGGAGACTCGCAAGTATGGCGAGCCAAAGGTGAAGAAGTTTGACAACCCGCGGTTCAAGGAAGAAGAGGAAGCCTTGCGCCGCAAGTTTACTGACCAGGTCAAGCTTGAGGAGGGCCGGTTCCGTCAATGGGAGCAGCACCTGATTGCTGAGCGTGACCGTCTGAACAAGGACCTCGAGACAGCTCATGGTGCGATCAAGCAACTTGAATCAGAGATTGAGAGCTTGCAAATGGCTTCGCGCACGCAGAGGAGGTAAGATGGCGTGGTGGGAACATGAGAGAGAGAGAGAGAGAGAGAGAGAGAGAGAAAATGTTGGTGTGTTGGTGCTGAGCAGTTGACTGGTGTGACTCTTTCTCTCTTCTGTCCTCCTACTTACTCTTTTATCTGTCTTGCACTGCGTGAACACTTTTGCCCTACCAGCGCCCAATGTCTCTATCTTTCCTTATTCATCTTTTTCCCTGTGATGCTTCGTCTTCATCTAGCTGTAGCTGCTACCATCTAGTTACAGTATTTGCCGTCTACCAGATGGTCATCTCCGTCCAACTCCCGCGCTAGCTGAGATTGTCTTAATAAGAGGTCTTCTTCCAGTTCCAGTTCCAGAGCCATCGTCGCCGCTTCTGCATCATTGTCATTTTGCCATAGGTCATCGTCGTCTGCGCAGCTCTCGTCAATTTTGATGGATGGGTGTGACGCGACGGAAGTCTGTGGTATAGTGCTGTGGCGTTGTTCGTCTGTCACAGATGGATGAGCTTGTTGACGCTGCTGGCCCTGACGAGGTGGCGGTGCAGCGTGCATGGCAGACGCTTGTCGCGCATGTGGCGTCGATCGGCATGCGTTCACGTCCTCACCTTTTCGCGCTGTTGTGGGTATGCTGGATGCTGTCGTAGATGGCGCTTGTTTCGAGGGGCTTCTTGACGACGAGGCTGGTGTGTGCCGGTACAAGTTGGCTGGGTCAAGTGGGACACGCGCTGGTGTCGGCATCCGCAGGACGTCCTGTGCATAATGACTATCATACAAGCAGTTTCTGTCGTAAGAATCTGGGTATACCAGCGCCAAATGCCACATCGCGTCACGTACCCCAGTACTCTGCCAAACGTTTTGAGTCCTCGCTTGATAGAGTCGGTAATGGCCTCTTTTTTGCACTAGGATTTGTATGAGCCTCTGTTCGACGAACACGCATACGTACCTTTTCAAGTGCTGCATGTTTTCCTCGCACGCCTTCCGCGTGACCGTAGCCCACGTCCTCATGGAACGTGCCATCCCGCAGCGTGATGCGCACAATCGCACTCACGCCACAATTGCACTTGCCTGACTCGGGATGGACATCAAGCAATACATTAGACACACCGGCTCGTACGTACATAGTCGACATCCAAACTTCTTACACTCGTTGACCAGCCATTAAATCCAAAGATTTCATTCGCGAGATCCACGACTCTCCATCCCTCGATATATGTGAGCTTTCGCACGCCACCGGGACCAGGCCGTTGACTGAGAAATTCAGGGCCTAATCTCTGGTTCAGTTTGACTTGGATGGCAGCCATACGTGTGGCGCTCCACAGCGGCAGTCCTGTTTCTGGATCCATCTCCGGCACGAGTGCGTCGTTGTCGTCGTCTTCGGCCTTTCCACGACTTCGTTTCCTATGCGATGAGTCGAATCCCGTGCGCATTTCATCTTCCGGTTCCATTACGTCGTACTGCCGTAGCTACAACCTGCTCAGCACGAGCGTACCTGCGTGTGTATATGGCTGTCGGACCCTTGTTCTAAGGACTGTGCTGTGCAGGTAATATGAACTCGACGCGTGTGCAGCGTGTGCTTCACGCGTACCGCAAGTGTTATTCACGTGATCCGGCCTTGCTACCATGAATACAACATCGTAACCATCAACGACCATGGCTTCCCATGCTAATAGCAACGACATGAGGAAGGAAAAGAAATAAGAACTAGAAAGACGACTATCCGAACTTGATATACAGGATAAATAGGAACAAAAGAGCAATGGCGCCGATACTGTACGAGATAGGGGGGTTGTGTGAGAACGACCGCAAGAAAACTGCCATGCATACGTACGGGGCATATTTGCGAATCATGGCATCAACATTGATTTTGCGCGCGGCACGGCGGTACTTGAGTGACTCGTCACGCAAAGATGAAGACAGAGACGACATATCTGCATATACGTAAGCGACCACGAGCACTTGGAACGTCGAGCAACACGTACGATCCAAACTATCGCCTCGCCAAAGCAGATCTTCCATGTTCTTCGTCATGATCTTTTGGACATCCTGCAGATCTTCATTCAGCTTGTCCAAGTGTGATCCGGCTGTTGTCTCGGCTGTGCGGCTGTCAGCGTAGAGTCGCTTCGTTCGCTGCATGAATGTATCAAAAGCCACAAACGCATAGGGACGCAGGTTCCGCTGTTGCACCTGACGCCCATAGCTCATTTCAAATTCACGCGCAAGCTCATCGAGGTATGAAAATGCAAGTTTCCTTGGGTACGACCGATCGGAAATCGTCAGGTACACCACGGAGGCTGGATCACCTGGTGGCGGTTGCACCAAGTAGCTGCATGCTCAGTCAGCCCACATTCCGGTTGCCAAGAAAAAGAAAACACATTTCGGGCACATGCTTGCACCAACCATGTCAGGATACCTACTGCAATGCCATAGGGCCACTGTCGATGCTGCAGCGTGTCTCGGATGACGGCGTCAGCTTGCGAAAGATCAACTTTGCCTGTTGCTTGTACTGTGTCAAGTCTGGTCCCTGCGGATCATCTACGCTCTGTGCGAGTGGAAGAGAGTCAGAAACTCGCGCAATCTGTGTGGATCGGACCATCTTATGGAGTGCTCTTGTTAGGCAGGCCCGCAATGCACACACACACAAGCAATCCTTTCTCTTCGGTCGTAGTCTCACCTGCCCTGCTTTTCATCTTGCCTGTCCACTTCTTCCTCCACTAGTCTCGTTGCCTAATCACATGGCGTTTGGAAGCGACACGGCGCGCGGCGCGGCGCGGCGCGGCGAGCCCCCTTCTTCCCCCAAACTCCACGTGCCGCGAGGCGCACCAACCTGTCGTGACACACTGCCCGCTTCGCGCTCCAACACAGGCATACAGTCCTACCATCAGTTCGACCTATTGCGCTAAGCCCTACAGATAGCGATAACATCGACGTCGACATCATGGCGGATGAGTATGAGTCAGCTGGTGATGGGCTAGCTACATTTTCGCGGCTCTACCTGGATCTCCGTGGCGTGTGTTTCGTGATTGATCGCGAGACGCTTATGAGCTTACCTGAGTCCATCTTGTTGTGTCTCTTCCCGAACGGTCTTTTGCTGCCGGATCCCAATGACGATATAAGCGAGGAGAAACAGGTATACTTTGTTGACTCTGATCCACAGTGTCTTCAGTTTGTGCTCTCGTTCTTCCGACGTGCACAGGAATACTTCTATGGCACTGACGTCGCTGCCGGCGTGTATCGAGGTGCAGGACTGAGCCCGAGCTATCTCGATCTCGTAGACCCGGTAAATGGTGATATGATGAATGGGTTCGGCCATCCATTGCACTTGCCGCTTTTTCACAAGCAGGCCGTCATCCTCCTGCGTGAAGAACTCGAGTTTTTCACAATCCCGCCCCGGTCGATGGCCAAGTCCGCTGCCATGCCTGACGTCCCCCCCAATATGCCGCCAAACGCAACTCCCGCATTTACACAGCTCAAAGATGCATGCGGAAATGCGCTTCTCATGCGGCGACAGATCTTTACTGCTCTTCAGCGCAATGTCAATAAAGAAAACAACATGGCTGAACAGCACCTCATTGACATGTTATGTATGAGTGGATTTGAGCCGAACGACCAGTGGGGATATCGTGCGCGAGAACCCGCGCGGTGCGCGATTACAAGCACAGCGCTTGTTCTGCTCAAAACTGGCGTTACACAACCCGGTGAATTGCTTGATGGCCGTGCCCCCAATGCACCACCTCTCCAGCGTCCTATTGGTGTACATCGTGCAGGTGTGAACATGGATACCGGCATCCCTGTGAATCTGACGCCATCCCCTGACGAGCTGGGCGAGTGGGTTGATGATGGTCAGGGCGGCTCGCTGTGTGTCAATCAGCAACAACTCTCTACGACGCAAAAACTACTTCTCTTCTGGCGGAAGCCTGCGGTATGTATTTACGAGTGCGTCGGCATTCTTAAATGCCAAATGCTCGAGCACACATGTACTGACGCGATCTTTCTTTCATCTCAGCGCAAGTGCTGGTGGGATGGTATTGACATTGTGGTGCCCCAGCGCACCATGCATTCTGAGCCCCCCACGCCTTTACCGCCGCATGTCTTGGGCACTTTATCGCCGCAAGAGCGTAGCTGGCTCGATCAAGGCATTGGGCAGTGCGTTCGTGTTTGGGTTCGTCGTGTATGGACATTAGAAGTGAGCTTGGTAAGTAATATGATGGGGTCTGCATCTCCAGGGAATCTTTGCTCGCATTCTCAGGCCGAGTCTCCTCGCTCACCTTGTGGTGTGCGGTTGCTTGCGGCTCACGCTGTATGACTGTGCATTCCGAACAACTAACACAGCAGATCTAAATGCATCTACGAGTAAACCCTAAGATACCCAAGTCTGCTCTCAGGTGGCCGTTCGTTTGGTCCCTCCCATGGTTCTCTCCACTTCGTGGCATCCCCCTCCTCCCATTTATTTTCGCTCCTTACAATGCATCACAAGATATGATCACCATAGAGAGTATGTGTTTCGTTCCACGTAGAAACAGTTGGTGATTCGAGATTGTCACTATCAAATCACATGCTCGACACTGCGGTCGGCGCACATCAAATCCAAGCGCAGTTGTTTTTTCTTTATTTTGGTTTCTCTATGGTATCGATGCATGTGGCATTACGTATGGACACCATGTGGGAAGTATGCGTTACGCAAACAATGCGTCGGCCGGGCTAGGAAGCCAAGTAATTGGAATAGATTTATTGTAACAAGCAAGTACTGATTTGGTTCCGCTGCGCCAAAGCAACGCGTGGGGTCATGAGTCTATTTTATTTGCTCGTGAAATCTCCACATGCTGTGGGACATGGTGCACAGCCGCTGGCCGTTTGGGGAATAATTCCAATCATCGCCACATTTCCATGAGACACAGATTCTTCATTACGAACGGTTACACACGTAATACCCAACTGTGGTGATTCTTCCACCCTTATAGCGCTAGAGATTCCTTCACCCTCCTCCCCCCTGGTGTTTGGTTTGGTTCGATGAGAGTGAGTGACGGGCCTGGTGCTCAATCTCATACTCGCCGGACTAATACGCCGCTAACAAAAATGTCTTGTTGGCCACAGGAACCAGTGCCTCTGTCTCCGACGTGCGCGGGTTATGAAGGTACGATGCGTCTTGACGAAAAGGCATATCCGTGCCCCAAACAAACCAAGTCTTTACACGGGGGGAGTAATGAGGGTGATGAAACTTCCTTTTCCCCCAACTCTTTTCTTTTGCACACGCACTCGCCTGCACAAGTAGCTACGAGTCCTTTGATGGGCTCGCCGATGGAGCGCAGCTATTCTTTACCTGTTGCAACGCAAAAGGAATTCGATGATCATATCTGTATTGCGAGACAGTCCGGTCATGAGTGCCAGGGAGCTTCTCGATCTCAAGATTATCATTTTAGGACTCGCGCCTGTTCTTGTCAAGCTCGTCTGCTCGGCATGGATGAGAATGATAAGTGTCTTGATACGGCTATCCAAATCCAATGCTGCTGGGCTCAGCCTTGGCCTGGTTCTTATTGTAGCACCACGTCTTTTGAGACGGATCTCGATCAGCCTTGCGGCGACCCCTCGGTTAAAGATATCGAGGACGTTGATATTGATATTGAGGAAGAATTATTGGATCAAAAGTCATCGGCACAGACCCGGAAGCATCTTTCTTGGATTCCACCGGCTGGATCCGACCGTGTTTCTCTAGGTCGAGTTTGCACGACGCCGCCGCCGATGCTTTCGAAACACTACCAAGATCTTGGCGAATGGCCGTCTCATCGGTCTAAGTATGTTCACCCGAGCGTGAACGAGAGTCGATTGTTAGATCACCACTTGCATGTGTCAACGTCTCAGGACGGATTATACCCATCATCCAAGGCTGCTTCGTCTCACGCACGTACACTCTTCGAGGCGACGCAGAAGGCATATATCCCTCGAATTGTCTCTGGTTTGTCAGGCAGTCGCCCTGTGCCGGTCAGTACTAAGTGCCAGTCTTTCTTCATTCATCCAAAACATGTTGAATAAGAACTTCTTTGTAGTTTTTCCTATCTTGCATGTTCATGTGTATTTCTTCCTATGATTCATCGAGTGACTTGATGCCTGTTTTTTGTTTTTTATTCTTTCAATTTTTGCTATCTCGGCTCGTCATACGAACTATGATGCCGTAGGTATCGGAAACATGAGTTGGCATCCTTTTCTATTCTGATGCATGCATGCGTAGAATGTCTTCCGCCATAGCACGAACTGCCTCAGCAGACGTATCGACCTCCGCAACGGCGGCTGTCTGCATGTGCTGTCCAATTCCCAGCGGGTATCGACGAAAGAGCTGAGCTTTCGATGCTACGCCTGGCATTTCGTGGGCACGCAGGAAATGCAGCCATCGGTCAACTGTGATGTCGCTTGCATCGTACACCTTGATACTCCGTCGATGCACACGACGCCAAAAGTTTTCCTGTGACTTTTTATGAACGAACGGTCCTCGTGGTACCGTCCACAACGTAGTCCGAATCGGGAGCATGGCTATTCCGCCAGTGGGGATTTGAAGTGCGTGTGCCGCACGCATTGCAAAATCAGCAAAGAAATCCAACTCAAATGTCTTAGCATTGTTCGAAGTCAGCTGAAGCGTGGCGACATGGACGCCATGTGTCAAAGGCGGCGATGCAAGTGCTGGCACATAGGCAGCAACATGATCCGCACCGCTTTGCTGCGCTATTTGAGTCGCACGTTTCCCTTGTGCTTTGTATGCACGCGCAGATGTAGAGAATGCGCGTGCGAGTACGTTGCTAGACGGGCTCATGAGCCGACTCGGTCCCCACGCCATGTGATGAACCAGCGCTTTGCGACAAGTCCTTCCCAAGAAATCGCTTGAGGTCGACGAACGGATGGCTCACTCTTTACAGTCATATGTATGATTATATAATATCATCTTGCACCCCTTCCCATCTCGCGAGTGTTGCGACCGCAGACCGCAACAGCCTGCGAATGTGGGTCAGAGTCAAGCGTCGGAAAGGCGCGCATCGTCAGGCTTCTCAGTTCGAGAAGAGCGACGTTTCTATGATTTGCAGCACGGACAGCCGAAAAAAGAAGTTGATAAATAGGGTATCTAGACAATCTACGAAACTAGGTAGTTGTGAGAGATATGGGTGGCGCAAGCATTGACAAAGGGTCAGAGGCGGGTGGCGAAGGCGCCGCCGCGTGCCCTTGTGCCGGAGATCCCAGCGATGGAGTCGAGTTCAAAGGACGCGTGGTCGCAGTGGGAATGATCGGCGGAGCCACTTTAGTTGTTGCATTCGCATCAGGCGTCGTGGGAGCGGGTGTATTCAGACTGCTCTCATGGCGGAGTGGCAGCCCCTCGCATCGGTCCTGCGCTTGGTCCATGGGCTCCGGTGACGCACGCATTTCATGAGAATACTGAGGCCTATACATGGAGCGCAATTGTGCTTCGCGCGTCAGACGAGCTTTTTTCTTATTCTCGTATGCCTCACGCACGGCGTCGCGAATCACGCCCACTGCATAACTGTTTTCTTCGACGTTGGCCATGGCTGTGCGAAGTAGCGCACGCACTTGGTCGGCTGTCCAGATCAGGTTGTATGACGTGCTGTAATGAGCCGTCGTGGGATCAAAGCCCGGCTGGACAGCATTCGGTAAGAGTGGACAGTATACAAAATGCACGTCAGGCGCGCGATCTGTTGACCTGTTCTTTTTCATGCGCCATCCATCGAAGCGCTGAGCAGATAACGGTTCATATTCTTCTCGGATCTTGTCTGCCTCATCCTTGTAATGGCGTTCGAGCTCTGACGGGGATACGGATCCGTTCGCTACACGACCAGGCCTGTTCTCGCCAGACGTTGTCTCGTTTCCGTCAGTCCGTGGCCTCTCGTAATTCAGCTCGCGTTTTTTGATTTCTATGCCGCACTCCTTGCCAAATTCGTGGATCCGTGCCACCGCGGCACCGGTCTTGACATCTGACGATGCATCGAACGAAATAATGACATCTGCTTGCCTCTCGTCACGTGCCAGGACATGATTCGGTAGGTTGTTCGAGAGACCACTGTCCATCAGTCGCAGGCGTCGTGTGTGCTCCCAGCGCCACTGCTTTGAGCGAGGCTGGCTTGGTTGGTCAGCTGCTGGCTGCCCCTTGCCGTTTTCATCGAAAGTAGGTGTCACATCTTCGAGATCTTCAATAGGAGCCATGAACGTTTCTGGGTCGTGTTCATACAATGATGTGGACGCAGACGCACCACTATCGCGGCGCGGCCGCAAGGTATGCTCCATAGCTAGCTCAGGGAGGCGTGGGAGGTTGGCAAGAAAGGCATTGATTTGCTCTCCGGTATGCCACATTTCCCATGGCAATGTGTGAGCCGGCTCAGGTCGCTTGATCGACGGCGACGCTTGTTCATTCGATTCACGCTCATAAGGCATGTCTTGTTGCGACGGTGTGTGCGGCAAGTTCGGCTCCGTTGGAGCGGACGCCTGCGCAGACTCAGACGGTTGATGCAACTTAGAAGTAGGTCGAGATATGCGCGGCTGCTGTGCTTCTGCCGGTCCTGGAGATAAAGCTCGGGGCGAATGTGTAACAGCCGACGCGGGTGGCTCGACTTTCTCTAGGGTCGGGCCCATATCAACAATGACATCGTCCTGGCCTCGCCCGTAAAATGGATTTGGCTCATCTGCAGCACGGATAGGATTCCCCCAACGCTTTTCCCATTGCTTCATCATGACAAAATTATTCACCCATTTGAGGAGCGTCGACATGACGGTGCCCTGAGGTATAGAGGCTAGCAATGTCGATATGTAAGCAGTGAGAGGACCGGCCGGCGCTCCTGTGCACTGGCCAACGATAGAGGCCAGCATTTCTTCCGGGCCGCGATGCTTCGACTGGCCATTTTCAAACGCTCGGCCATAAGCCCAGGTAGGAATCCATGCACCGATATTCCGGCACCCGAGCTCTAAAGGCGAAATCTCATACCAATCGTAGCCACTGCCGACAAGTGGCGTTTTCTCATGTCCGGGCACATTATCGGCCACAGTCACTTCCGCCTTGCTATATGGCCGCCACACACGTCGAACACCTGTGAGAATCGGGATCGGTTGAAGCCCTTCGTTGAGTTTCGCTCGTGTCCATACCTTCGACCACTGGAATGACTTGCGGCTCAAACCTTCGCTGGGCTCGTACTTGGCCCACATCGCTTGTTCCTGCAGACTTGGCTCACGTCGTGAGTCAGGGCCGTTGTACGAGTAATCCGTGCCGAAAAGCGAGAGGGGGCGAGGCAGGAACTGGTATGAAAGAACGAGGGTAGCATAAAAGTCCATAATTCGGCAATGCAGTGTTTTGTTCCGCGATTTGCGAAGTAACGGGCCCAGCAAATAGTAGATGCCACGCGATGAGCGAGCGACGCGGTCCATGGCATGCAGACTCATGGGATGGGCTTCTTCATGCGCCATCGCTAACAGATGCGCAATCATGACATCTGTTGAGCACTGGGCAATAGTGTAGTAGACGGCCAATGTCCAGCAGGAGCCACTAACAGCAGATGACCACATCGTGCACTGGAGGAGACCAGTATTTTCAGCCTCTTTCAAGAATCCTGCATAGCCAAACATAGCACGATAGCCACCGCCTGAGCCGCCAATGGCTATCAGTGGTACATCATCGGGGTGCACATATTCACTGGAAGGCAACTGCAGGAATTGGGCCAGAGCATTTGTGCCTTCCGACGACATGAGAAGGCGCCGCTTACGCATCGCACTCTTTTCGTCCGCGTGCAGATCTGATGAGCAGCGCACCTGTGCATCCCACTCCAGCTCAGGGAACGTCTCAACATCCTTGTCGTCGTGAGCCACAAGTCGGCGTAGATGCGACATGTCGTGCCAACGGAGGCGCCATCGCTCAAAGAGTGGAATGCGTGGAAGACGTACAGGCGGCGGCAAGCTTAGTGGAATCTGTGGTGGCGGAAACAAGAAGGGAAACCGTCGTTCCTGCCACCAGAATCCCCCAACGTTCGTGTCGCCGCTAGCCGCTGACGACTCAGCACCTGCGCCCGTAGCCGAGGCAGTCCGATCCACGCTTGAAGACATCGATGCGCGCCCTTCGCGACGCGTCGCACTTGCTAATAGAGCCTGCATGCGCCCCCAGGACGACATCCCATGTCCACCCTCCGTAGACTCGTACCAGGTCCACGGGCCATTCGCATTTAGCCTCGACGACAAGGGGCGGGCTGCGAACAGCGTAACGAGCGTGCATATCAAATAGCATTTAATAAATAAATAGCTGGGCGACGACCGGATGCTGTGTAACAGCGACATAGGTCGTCTCGCCCTTGGTCCACTGTCTGCCACTACACGAGAAAAGAGCAAGATGAAATGGAATGACAGCTGAGAGTCTCGCTCCAATAGATCGCGCCAGTCAATTTTTATTCGCGGCGCCGCCTCTTCCACTTTCTCCTTCTCACCCCCCCACCAATCCCACCGATCCAACCCACTGCATCCCTATCGCATAGGCTTGCATAATCGCAGCAGCATTTTGGCCTCACGCGGCTCTTGCCCCTCTCTCCCTTTCACACACGTCCCGCCGCTTTTGGGTGACAGCTTCGACCGCATGCTGCGCATCACGTGAAATCACGTGTCACGTCCACGACGAAGACTCGTCGCCAAACACATTGGCTTAGAAGCCCAGCGCCAGTGAGTGCCATGGCAGATCTTCGTCATCTTGGTCCGTGCGAAGTTCATGGTCAGTCGCCGTGGTCTTGGCATGAAGTCTCGCAATCGTCGCACCATACAGCTCGGGTGTGGCGCTCATGACGGATACAGCCGTCATGGTAGAAGCAAGCGATACACTGGACATCGTGCGGGTATCTGAGACACTCCCTTTCGATACCTGGCTCTTGACCTCACCGTCGCTGTCGCTCCCCAGCTCAGCAGCAGTGTCAACGTCATCCGCGTCCTTAATCTCATTCCCATCGTCATCCTCAGCATCGAGCGTACGAGGCGGTGCTATTGCTTTCACAGAATCGTTTGTTTTGGGCAATTCGTCCATAAGGTGCGCAAGTGCGAGCTGAGCTGCCGACGGATCCAACTCCAATATATAGGCCCGAGCCTTACGGATACGCCACATGGCAGCGCGAATACTTTCATCAAGCTCGGTCAAAAATGACTTGAGCGCTCTTTCTCTCATCAGGCAAAAACGAGCTTCCGACTGCGCATAGTTGCACACGTGCTGGCACTGTGTGTATGAAGTTTCGATCGACTTTTGCATATCATCGCGAGTGAAAGGATTGTTTTTCTTACCTGGCAGGCGCGTCAGGTCGGCCAAGTCCATCACAGGTGCCCGCAAGACCAGCGGCTGTCGCATGCGTGCACGCGACACGCGTGTATAGAATTCGCCCAGACACACCTTAGCGCGCAAGAAGAGTGGCATGCTTCGCTTCGTCAGGGTAGAGGGCTGTCCAGGAAACAGGCGATCGCGATTGTCGTTTGCCATGCCCAAATTGATCGACATTTGTAGCACGTCACGCATGATTTTTAGACATGCGCGCCCGCTTTTTTCCGCCGACAACAAGGCTTCTCGAGCGCGCTTCTCGCGCATAATTTCACTCGGCACAAGCTTGGTCAAGAGCAGCAACACATCCACCTCAAAGAACAGGGCATCGAGTTCAGTGCCGCAGCATCCTCGAGGGCACAGTCGCCTGCCAAGATCGTCCAGACGCTCTTCCATGATGCGTATTTCAACGCTTTGCCGCGCAAGAGATTCCAGCTCTTGTTCCAGCTGGGCTTGTTCAGCCTGTGCCCGATCCAAGAGAGGCGCAAGGTCGCTCATACGCTGCTGTGCATTCGTCATGGCTGTTGCTGTCGACCGCGCTCGCATGCCTCGCGCGGACGATTTCGGTGCAAAGCGTGTCAGGATAGACCGCTGCATTCGCTCGTATGCAGCACGCGACGTTTCCCTGGGCTATGTTAGTATAGGTCATACACCAGATACATACGCTGTCTTTTCATGACGGGCAAGGGTGTTCTTGCGAGACTCAACGACACCGCGCACCTTCCACATTTTCTCTCGAACGCGATCTTGTCTAGTGGAAACGTTGCCCAATGCCTCGAGACGATCTGAGTCGTTAGTACCTGAACGACTAGAAGCGAGCATTTGGCATGGCGAGGCTACAGGATGCCAGAGGAAGCTGGATATCGCTCGTCTATCAAACGAAGCGCTATATCACGTTGCCCTCGAGCCTCAGATCTGGCTCCGCTGCCATTCGTCTAACCACACTCTCTTACTTTCTCCCACGTACGGAACAATTTTGTATACTCGTGAGCATCCTGTATTGGTGCACTGGATGCACGCATCGTCATAGAAGAGGCAACAGACGCATTGTCTGACAAGTCTGTAAGCTCAGGTAGCTCGGCCATTGTTTGTATGTGTGCGTGCTGGGCGACTTTGGCATAGGCTTATGGGCGCTCGCACCTGCCAATTATGGACTGGACTCAAATTTCATTTCCCCACCAATCCGAGTAGGTAGGTAGGTTATTTTCAATTCGCGTATGAATTTTTGTTTTGGGTATGTTTTTAGCTGAAGCCACATGGGCAGGGCGGGGTCTGCCGACCCAATTTTGACGGACCTCTCTCCTACCAGAGGGGAGGCTATCGTAGGATTTATGCCTGCTTTTTGCAGCCTGACATAACAAAGGCAAGTATGTGCAGCAGAGCGTCGTTGCATAGAGTGGAGTGCCTTGCGCTCACGGACGCCGATCCTGTGGAGAGATATCGGCTACAGTCTGTGTTCTCCTGCGTTGTGTGCCGTAGCTTCTTGGACATCTTCTGCGCTAAGGTGGCAGCACCCCACGATATCTCTGGTTTTGCACCAGTCCATGAACGACGACACGCCGCGCCATGATGGCGCCGAATCAAACAACGTTTATCGATACCAACAAGAAATTGCACAAATGGTTCGTTCATTTTCAAAATTTGGCTCTGCTGTGCACCGAATAAACTAACTGTACCACAGATGTTCGTGTCAACGGAGATTGAAAACCCCGATCCCAGAGTGACACGGCTCATCGAGGACATTGTGAGGAATCAAGTGATCGAAATGGTATGTTGGACAGCCTGGAAAATGTGCTTCTCACGCATGCGCGCAGATCATTCAGTCGCGTCGGCTCTCACAGCGGCGTATGTCCAAATACCTCGCCCCTGAAGACTTAATCTTCTTGATCCGATATGACCGCGCGAAAGTGAACCGGCTACGCACGTACCTGAGTTGGAAAGACGTGCGAAAGAATGCCAAGGAAAGTGGCGGCGACTCAGCCGGTACAGGCGGCGGTGGCGCCGGTGCGGGTGACGGGGGCGATGGCATTGACGAGGCCGGCGAAGACACACCGCTTCGAGTAAACAAGCGCAAGATGCGTTTGCCATGGGATCTCGGCTCCATCTTCTCTGAGTTCCCACGCGTATCAGGCCAAGCGGTCGAGGATGCAGAAGATGATGACGACGACGCGAATGAGACGAACGAAGACTCGATTCGCCGGCTGAAGGCAGCCGATGAAACGACGCGGCGCATGACACGTGAAGAATACGTCTACTATTCCGAGTGTCGACAGGCATCATTTACATTCCGCAAAGCGAAGCGATTCCGCGAATTCATCCATGCAAATCTGTATTTGGACGTAAAGCCCAGCGATGATACCATTGATATTCTTGGCTTCTTAGCATTCGAAGTTGTGCATGAGCTATGTACACGAGCGATGCGCATTAAGCGCGATTGGGAACAGCGCGCAAAAACGCTCCGTACTCGACGGAATGCCAAAGCGACAGATCCATCGTTTTCATCATCACCGCTGTCGTCAGAAGATCATGAACACCAGGAGGCTTGTACGCTTTTCCGCTTACCAGCTGACTCCGAACCGCCTTTGGAGGCTTGGCACATTCACGAGGCCTTCACGGAGCTCCAGTCCAAACATTCCTTTGTAGATACAGGACGAGGCGCCGCCGGTCCAGCCGGCGGACTCCGTCGTACGCAGGTATTTGTTATTTAGTGAATCATGAGAAAGACGAAGACGAAGATGGCTTGAACGCAGACGCCTTCTTCCACTGATGCCGGGCAGACGCATGACCTTGGCCTGAGTAGGAGCCAAACGTCTCGGCATCAACAAGTCCAGTACTGCCAAGTCCAGCTCGGCCTTGTACGACACGCGGTACAACAGGTGCCTGTTGTAAGAGCGGCGCGTCCGCAGCGTCTCTGGCCATCTGGCTAAACATTCGATAGCCCACATGCTCATTCTGTGCTGCCGACGCGCCATCTTCATTGGCAGATGTGGCTGGAGCTGTGGACTCAGGGCGTGGTTCGGTCGGATATAAGCTGCGTCTCAAAGCAGCTCGGTCCCGGTATGTTTTGGACAACTGTTCCTGCTGCTCTTGCTGTTGTGAATCGATCACGTCGGGGCGCGGTAAGAACATGTGTTTCAGTGCCTTTAGTCGTTTTCGACTGTCACGCTCGCCCACATCTTGCTCCGCTTCACGTTGTACGCGCTTAGCACCAGCAAGCGGAGCTAAGCTAATTTCGTTCGCACCGTCGGTCTGGACCGCACACTTCTCGCAAACATCCCAGGCATGTGGATGTAAATGCACTTCAAAGACGGTACTTTGAACGCCAATGCGCAAAAGATCATAGTGTTCTAGGGTATATGGCTGGCTTGCGTGCTTAGCGGGTGAGAGGCGCTCGAACGATGTCGAAGGTATGGCCGCTAGTGAATCTGCGGATGTAGGACAGCCACGTCGACACACATAGGTGCCATGCATAGACCCGGTATCAGCAACAGAGAAGCGGATAGGCGAGCGTGAAGTGGAAAACAAATTAGCGTGATGCTTACTGACTTCCATTGAGGGTAGTCGCAAACGTGACGTGAAGGATTTATCGCGACCTATACTGACGCCGCCGTGCCGACCATCTACGATGGCAACAGTTTTGCGCGTGGGAAGTACATCAGATGACAGTTTCACGAGACGCAAGAACGCGTAATCATCATGCGTCTCTCCAGTCTCACAAGCATCTGTGCTGCCGCAGTGCTCCCCGGACATGGATGTCTCGGTCTTTATTTCATGTCTTGCCAAAGGAAAAAAGTATGGCCAGACAAGAAGCGATGTGAGCTTCACACTTCTACATGCATTGGTAATGAGAAAGTCTATCCTTCAGCGGATTGCAGGTTGTCTGACAAGGTGCCGGAGTGGTTAACGGGTTCGCCTCGAACTTATTCGACGCTGAAGTCAGCGGTAAGCGAATGGGCTCTGCCCGCACAGGTTCGAATCCTGTTCTTGTCGATTCTTTTGTCAATACTTCAGAAGATGACTTGAGTTGAAGGAAGAAAATCTCCAGCCTGAAGGTTAGTTTCAGGACAAGGTGCCGGAGTGGTTAACGGGTTCGCCTCGAACTTATTCGACGCTGAAGCCAGCGGTAAGCGAATGGGCTCTGCCCGCACAGGTTCGAATCCTGTTCTTGTCGCTTCCTTTTTCCTTGCAGCAACTGTATGCTGAAAGACTTAGCCGGACTAGGCGTCATTATGAGAGAGTTTATTGATTATAATTTTTTTCTTACTCTCGATCGCATAATTTCATTGCCAAGTGCTAGGTTGGTGCTTTGTCACCCGCGAAATTTCACGCCAGTCAACTTGGGAAGGTTGCGTCATTTTTAGTAGATTCCCTACATACACAACACTTCCACGACTCTCCTTCGGTCGACAGGTAGAAGTGGGTGTTCTTCAAAGCCATGCAACGAGGTATTGGTGTGATCCGAAGGGGATGGGCTCTGCGTGATGGCCCGGCAAGGCATGCGTCAGCAGTAACAATGACAGGCTCATGCCCAAGTACTACAGCCCCGGCGCGTGGACCTGCCATCCTACGGCGAGATGTACCTGCATGGAAGAGTCCAGCGCGGAGTGCGACCATGAATCGCATCGCGTCGTACCTTCGCACATATGCGACAGAAGCGGAACGGCCCATGGCGACCGACGTGCAGCCGAGCGAGTCCGATGTCGAGCGTCTGTTACGCCAGCGAAATGTCGGTATTAGTGCACACATCGATAGTGGCAAGACAACGCTCACCGAGCGTGTGCTGTACTACACAGGACGAATCAAAGACATTCACGAAGTGCGTGGACGTGATGAAGTCGGTGCGAAGATGGACAGTATGGAGCTCGAGAGAGAAAAGGGGATTACCATCCAGTCAGCCGCGACGTACTGCAACTGGAAAGCGACGCCGCCGACGGAGCGAAGTAACATGACAGGTGATGCAGCTGATGAGTCCACCGTCACAACACAAAAAAAGCACGACTACCACATCAACATCATCGATACGCCTGGCCACGTTGACTTTACTATTGAAGTGGAGCGTGCGTTGCGTGTGCTGGATGGAGCTGTGCTTGTACTCTGTGCGGTATCGGGTGTGCAATCGCAGACAATGACGGTTGATCGCCAGATGCGCCGCTACTCGGTGCCGCGACTCTCGTTCATCAACAAGATGGACCGTGCTGGTGCGAATCCGTGGCGAGTTGTTGAGCAGATTCGCACGAAGCTCCGTATGCCTGCGGCAGCGATGCAAGTCCCTATAGGAGCCGAGGACAACTTCCAAGGTCTTGTGGACCTTGTGCGTTGGAAGGCCGTGTACAACGAGGGCACCAAGGGCAATGTGGTTCGTGAATCCGATGACATTCCAGCGGACGTGCTTGAGCTGGCAAGGGAGAAGCGGCAGGAGCTCATTGAGCAGCTGTCGGACGTGGATGATGAAATGGCGGAGATCTTCATTGAAGAGCGCGAACCCACCATCGAAGAGCTCGTTGCTGCGCTGCGCCGCGCGACGGTTGCGTGCCGCTTTTCACCCGTGTTCCTAGGCACGGCGATCAAGAACAAGGGCGTACAGGCGCTCCTGGACGGCATGTGTGCGTACCTGCCGAACCCGATGGAGGTGCGTGCCATTGCGAACGACACGGCCGTCGCGAAGAAGATTGCAGCGCAGGCCAACGAAGAGGGCCATGACGTGGCGGCCATGCAGTCGTCCGCCCAGCATGGATCCGAAGTGCAGCTTGTGCCGGCGACGGAGGCGCCGCTTGTGGGTCTTGCCTTCAAGCTGGAGGAAAGTCGGTTCGGTCAGCTGACGTACATGCGTGTGTACCAAGGCATCCTGCGCCGGGGCGGCATCATCTTCAACTCACGCACTGGCAAGAAGGTCAAGGTGCCGCGTCTCGTTCGCATGCATGCGGATGACATGGAGGATGTGCAAGAGATTGGGCCTGGGGAGATCTGCGCTATGTTCGGTGTGGAGTGTTCGTCAGGCGATACGTTCACCGATGGCAGCACGACGCTGTCGATGTCCGCGATGTTTGTGCCGGAGCCGGTGATCTCGCTTTCGCTCACACCCGAGGGCAAGGACACTAGTGTGAACTTTTCGCGTGCGTTGAACCGCTTCCAGAAGGAGGACCCTACGTTCCGTGTGCACGTCGACAGCGAGTCCAGTGAGACCATCATTTCAGGGATGGGTGAGCTGCATCTGGACATTTACGTCGAACGCATGCGCCGCGAGTACAATGTGCCTTGCACGACTGGCAAGCCACGTGTGGCTTTCCGCGAGACGATCTCGCAGCCTGCGAAGTTCAACTACACACACAAAAAGCAGACGGGTGGTGCCGGTCAGTTTGGTCGTGTGATTGGTTACATTGAGCCGATGACTGTCGACGAGGACACTGGCAAGGACACGGCCTTCGTGAACAGTGTGATGGGTGGCAACATTCCACCCAGCTACATCCCTGCGTGTGAGAAGGGATTCGCAGATGGACTGGAGAAAGGCGCACTGGCGGGCTACCCGGTGTGTGGTGTGCGGATGGTGCTCGAGGACGGTGCGGCGCACAGTGTGGATTCGAGCGAGCTGGCGTTCCGTATCGCAGCGCACGCTGCATTCCGCGAGGCATTCCGTGCGGCGAACCCCACGATTCTTGAGCCAAAAATGTCCGTCGAAGTCATTGCGCCTGTTGAATTCCAGGGCACGGTCATCGGCGCACTTAACCAGCGCAAGGGCACCATCGAGGACACGGAAGTGCGTGAGGACGACTTTACCATTACGGCCGAAGTGAGTCTCAACGACATGTTTGGCTTCTCGAGCCAGCTTCGTGGCTTGACGCAGGGTAAGGGCGAGTTCTCCATGGAGTACAAGAAGCACGAGCCAGTGATGCCGAACGTCCAAGCTGATATGGAGGCAGCATACAAGAAGAGCTTGGAGAAGAAATAGGCGTACGCATGATAGCGTGAAATGACCACTATACGAAGAGCATGTCGTGTTCGGCGCTGTCGGGCACAGTTGGTCCGTAGAATTCGCACAGCGTGCTCCGCCGTCGTGACCTAGATAGCCCTGTCTGCCTGTGCCTGCTTCGTGCAGCAGCCGAGTCGCAATGATGGCCTGTCTATGTGTTTGGTCCAGGCACTCGTACGCCGATTCCTGCCTCCCATCGCCATGACACGTGTCTCATCCTGTCATAGGTTCCCAGTCCACTCGATTCAGCCCCGACGTATCCGGTTCTTTCCTGTCTATCAACCAAGCTCGGCATGCGTCGTGTTTGCTCGCCCGTCTACACACAAAACACCTACTTGCTCTTATGTCGCAATTGCTGCAATGCTACGAGCCTTTGTGATGGCGTTGGCCTTGCATAGTAGTAGGCACTGTACAAAGCATCATCATGCGCCGAGGCAAACAAGAGACTGTGTAAAAAAAAAAAAAAAAAGTCAGCACACGTTCATTCGCCCGCCTCCCATTGTATACATACTTCTGAATCTCCAAAGTCACAATGGCACGAGCAAGTAAGGGCGCATAGGCTTCACTGGTCTTAGGCGCTGGCCACGCACACAGCTTTGTCGCCCAGTCGCGAGACGTCTCGTCTAGCTTGGCGACATCCTCTTGCTTCCGCAGAGCTTCGCGAGCGCCTTCCTCCGCCCGCGTTGCACTTGGGCGCTGCATCATCGCTGCATATCGGTCGGCGGCAAGTTCCATGTGGTGTACGTATAGATTCAATCCAAATTGTACAAGTGCACAAATCGGTTTGCGAAGCAGGCTACACAAATGCCAGCCGACAAGAAGTGGCATGTAAGGCACAGACACCACAGCGTGAGCGGCCGGACGCACAGCCGCCTCAGCGACGACGTCGAAGCCAAAGTCCCGAAATAGCGATGCATTTTGAATCAACAGTGCTACTAGCAGCACCTTGAGCATGTGGTCCACGAATGAAACGGCCGTCAGCACACGTGTGTGCCGCAAAGCCCAGTGTCCAAGCTCGCGCACAAGTAACGCTTCCATTTCATCCTCTGCCGCAAGTTTGTCGCGTAGGACAATACATTTGGTCTTTGTGCCGAGACCCACCAAGTACACGCAACTTTGGTGAAGCTGCGAACTATTCTCGACGAAAAAGACATGCTCCAAGGGGAATTGCACTTTCTGCGCGACGGCATGAACTCGATCATACAGCGTGCCACTCGTAAGCACATATGGCTGATCGACAAGGGGACGAATAAGCTGTGGCCACATGAATTGGGATATGGTCGAGCCGACCCATCCCACTATCAGAATACACAGCGGAAGCGCATCCCCAACGAGCCGCGCCAGGCTCACGCACACACTCGTGAGCAGAATCCCTAGTAGCAACGCAAATGGCACCATGCTCATGTAAGTTGTGAGGTACGAGCGCCATTGTGGCATGCCTGGCGTGTCGTGCCGCTTGATCGTGTACTTTTCGTACGCTTCCATCACAGGTTCCAGTGGGAAGAGCATGAGGGCCAGCACAACGGCATACATGAGCGACACTTTCAGCTCTGTATGTGACCAATGGAGCCTGTCCAGCAGCGCATCGCCCCATTTCCATGCATACGCGTACACGAAGAATGCCACTCGCACAACGTCTAATGCATACCTGGCTGTCTTGTGTACCATTTGCATGCGCACTTGCGCCTGACTAGTCCGCTGCCGCGCAGAAAAGTCGGCTGCATTCAAAAACGGTGCCAACGCAGTGGGTATCGACGTGTTCCTGTACATCTGTGCCTGTCGCCACACCACATACATTTCGACCACATACTGCAACGTCAACGCCCCCAGCACAATCGTGCGCCACGGAATGCCAGGCGCATCAGCCACGCTGACGATATCGCGCAATGTATCGACAACAAACTCCATGCAGGGCTTGCGTGCGCAGCCAGCTGCGAAAAATAGAGCCAAAGCGATGTACGATGAACGCAGAGAATGCGAGCCTGGTCGCCAGTGGTCTTCTACGAAGCTACCGCACGGCTGTAAGACGATCGCGTGTGGACGTGGATGCGAGGCCCTAACGCACGGGCGCGGAGAGGAAGACCGATCACGCCACGTGGCACGTACACGCATCGACCTCTTCTCAGGCACGGCCTGGCTACCGAGATGACATGTGTGACCCCTCCTACTAGGCAATCCGAGAAAGGTCACTGCATCTTGGCTTTGCTGTGCGGTGCAGAAGCAGAGGCAGCAGCGCGGTCGATCGCAACGATGCGCTCCGTCAATGTCGGATGACTGTGGTGGTACGCGCTGAACAATGGATCATGGTGCATAGTGGACAGGCTGTAACACACATTCGTTAGCATGCGGAAGGGAGAAACAGATGGGCAACATACTTGTGGATCTGAAGCTTGATCAGCGCCTTTTTCAAAAGGTCGGGGTACGGTTCGTCGTCTTCTGGTAGAGCATCACCAGGCACGGTCGACGGCATGCGGTGTGCGGGCACATTCGACATATGGCTGATCCAATCCATGACGGTCGCATTCGGCTCCGTCTTGGGCACGACACCCTCGCCTTGTGCATGCAAGAGGGACTGTGCCTCCAGTTCTGCCGAAGTCTTGCCGGGGCGGTGTAGCAGCGCAGCAAATCTGACGTAGGGGAGAGAAAGAGAGAGAGAGAGAGATCCTGTTAGCATTCACGGGCGTTCCCGGAAGAGTTCAAGGAAGAACTTAACCTTGTTCGGGCCACGACAAAATTCCCATTCTTGGAACGGAAGTTAAACGGGGCATTGGTCATTGGCCCGGAACGTTGGAAACAAGGTTGCCATTCCAACTGGGGGGTTGGCANGGAACGAAGAATTGGAACCAGGCTTCCAAAGGCCCACCGGACCGACGGGCAGAATTACGTGAAGGTAAGGGCATTGGGGCTGAGGAAATCTTGTTCCGGAAAACCAAGAAGCAGGGGAACAGTGAAGCATTTAATGGATAAAAAGCGGTTAAAAGAATGAGTGGTAAAGTAATTGTTGGAGAGAGAAATGATCAAGAGCTTCGAGGGATGTGCGTAGACCCAATGGCCGAGCTCATGGGCGAGCACAGCCTCGATTTCCGCCGTCGTCGACTGTTCAATAAGAGTGTCGAAGATGACAATGTGCTTGCTACCGCCGGGAATGACGCCATAGAAGTAGGCATTTGAATGGCTGCTCCGCTTGCTGCCATCGATCACGTACAGGTGCTTGAGCGGGAACTTGAGCGAGGATGCCAGCGCTGTGACGCGATCACGAAGCATGCCCTCCTTCAGTGGCGTTAGCTTGTTGAACAGGGGCTGGATCAGAGTCGGGTAGATGATCGTGCCGAACAGGATGAGCGCCGTGAAAAGAAGCACCGTGTACACGACAAAGGCATCGCCAGCCCAACGTATAACCGAGACGATCAGCGCCATGATCGGCACACCCAGTATCACACTTAGTAGACATTGCTTCACATGGTCCATGCAGTACATGCTCCATGTCTGCTTGTTGAAGCCATGCCGCTCTTCGATGACAAAGTTCCGGTAGGCACCCAAGATAAACCCTACGGGCATCTGGAGCATCAGGCCCAGAACCAGGTTTGCGCCTGAGAGCGCCTTCTCTGAATGTGCCACCTTCATCCAGTCCAGGACGTATCCACTCCAAACCCAAACGTGTGCACTAAGATTGTATGTAACACTGGCCAAATTCACCATGTGCGCGACGGCATCCGACACGAACGCGAAACGTGCCTTGTCGCGACCATATCGTTGGCTCTTCACAAAGTCTTCGTGGCTCACATGAGCCATCAGGGCTTTGGGTGGCGTCGTCAGACTATACAGCCGGTACTGACGCCACGACACGTATGTCTCGAACAGGTACACGATCCATAGCAATGATGTAATAAGTGACTTCCAGGGGATCTCTGGCGTGTCTAGGAACTTTTCGGCCGCCTGAATGTGCGTTGTGACGTGCTCCCACATGCCTACTGATCAGACGCCAGATCTGTTGTGGGTGAAAGCGATGTATGCGTGCGTGCGTTGGAGAAAATGCGCCAGGATTTGTCTCCACTCAGATTCATGCCAGGACGCGAACGTCAACGTCGCGCAGTCATAAACAAATCGCCTCATTCGCACTGCGACGTTGCCGGCAACCAACGTCCAGCATCACTCATGACTCATCAGGACTTTGGGGGTGCACATTGGGCACACCTGTCATATAGATTCGCATGCCCCAACAAGTATAGCATCAATCTGGGTATGACTATGTCATCGTCTGTGACGACGCTCTCTATTGGGTCTAGCGATCACACCAGGCCACACAAAAAGATCGCCGTAGCACGATGATTCGAGGCCATAGTAGCCTTACGGGCAGCTACCAGAATTCGTCCTCATCATCCTTGCCACGCGCACTTTGCGTGGCCATGGCCTGTGCCCGATACATGCTTGCGACTTGTTCGGGTGTCGTCGACATGTCAGGGCTTTTGTCGTCACGGATGCCTGGCTGCGTCAGAGGATACGTCCAGAGCAAGGTAGAATGTGTACGCACGAATGAAGCGAGGGAACCGCAACGAAATTCCTCGCGCATCAATAGCACCACGCGCTGCTGTGTATACAGGGCTGAGCGAAAGATCAGCCGCTAGCACTTCCCAAACGATTCGCGGCTCAAAAAAGACCTGTCGAGTTAGTCATTATCGCGAACATAGCCATCCATCCTCTACCTACATCTGGTTTGGCTTCGCCCAGATCGTAGTAGCCCTTCTTGCGTGGGATTTCCAGCTCCTTCAGCGTCGAATAGTGAGCGTCTAGATCCGCTTCCGAAAAGCCTGTACCGATCTTGCAGATACTCTGATACGTTTCAGAGTCCTCGTCGTAGCATGCGAGAAGAAACGCGCCATACACATTCGTCCGTTTGCCGCGGCCGTAGTATGCGCCGATCACAGTCAGATCCAGACTGTCTCCCGTGCCAGACAAGTAGTCCTTCTTGAGCTTGAGCCAGTTGATCGAGCGCCGGCTTGGCTCGTACGTAGCGTCACTTCCGCACAACATCTTGACCATGAGACCCTCACATCCGTGAACGATGCTGTCATCGAGGAATGTCTGGATTTCTTCGGTCGTCGAGCAATCGCGATGCGTCGCATAGTCAACTCGTCTGGCACTGGCACAAAGTGTGAATAAAGAAGCGCTCGGCGCCGCTGCAGTTCTTCATGGAGCAGAGGCACCCCATTCAGGTACAGGAGATCCAACCCGAACAGCTTGACAGCCACACTTACGTCCGTTGCTTGCACGTCTTTACGCTTTCGCCGACTCAACTCCTGGAACGGAAGGAGCCGGCCTTCCGTGTGGCTTGCCTCATCCCGCGGCTGCCATGCCACAGCCTCGGCATCCAGCACAAAGCTCTGAACATTTTCTCCGCCACCACGCAGACAATGAGGAATTTGCACGACCAGATCCGGGTACTTGACGCTCATGTCTTCCGAGTTCCGGCTGAACACACGCACCTGCAGTTGCCCATCACTGCCGCGAAAACCGTGCACCTGTGCACGCTCACCATCGTATTTGTACTCGCACGTAAAAGCATGTGCTTCGAACCGGTCAAGCACCTCGCCGATGGCCTTTGTCGGCTTCGCCAGCATCGGTTTGAGTGGTATACCTGGCGAAAGCTTCAAATGCTCCTGGACATGCTCGACGCCGTGCTCCAGGAGCGCGGGAATCAGCAAATCGTACGAAGGCACCTCACTGAACACTGCCTTGACCGTGTGTGTGCCTTGCTCAAGTCGCTCCGTCAGTTTCGCTGCGTCATTCGCATCGCCAGCATCGCGAGCTTGCTTGGGTTCGTGTGGCTTGCCATCATGCGTCGCGAGCATCACAGCCTGCGCAACCGCGACCAGCACAGTCTTCTCTGCTAGACCGATGCGCAGCTTGCCCTCTAGACTGCGTATGAGATACTTGGACTCTTCTCCCGAACATGTTGCGAGAAGCCGCTTGATGATCCCAAGCTTCTTGTCCTGCGACTTGGCGCCCGAAGCCGCTGCAATCTGTTTTAGCTGTTGAAACACAGAGCGCACCGTCAGTGCCTGCGCTCGGAACATGGTTGGCTGGTTCTTTTTCGACGTATGTGCCACAAGACCCAAATCGCCCAAGCGCTCAAAATCCCGTTTGATCCGCACGATCTCGCGGCCCGTGCTCTGTGCAATGGCCTTGACCAAGAGTCCCTCGCCGATGCCTAGTTCAAGGCCTTCATAGTCTGGACACAGTCGGTTGATGCACAAGTAGACTGTGTACAGCAAGTTCTCGCTCGCTGCTTTTAGCGGCTTGTCGTCGCCACCACGACTTGAATAGATCACTTGGAGGAAGAGTTGCGTCACTAGTTCGAGGATCTCGAGGCGCTTGCTCGTCGCCTCGACTTTGGAAAATGTGTCCACGAGTGTTGCATACGGTATAGGCGCACCAGCTGTGTCTGTCGGACAAGTCGCGTCACGCTGGCCCGTGGACGTGCGTCCTTGCATCGCGTCCATCGGGGTTCTCGTGGCCGACTCAGTTTTCACGCTCGACTCGACATGTCCCATATGTACAGCTTTGTCCGAGGATGATATGGCGTTACTATCGGTGCCGTCTCTGGACTCTGAGGCTGTGTCTTCCTCGACCTTTGTATTGAGAGTCGTCTCTGCCTCCGCCGACTCGGTACTAGGCGGATGGACATGCTCACCCTCGTGGACATCTCTTTCTACACGAGCACGCTTTGGCACAGGCTGCTCTTTGCTAAATAGGGATCTAGTCTTAGTGTTACGTCCACGTACTCCAAGGTCGCCTGCTTCTTGGGCGGCATGTCGCGACTTGGAACCTTTTCGCCTCGACACACGAGTCGCGCGTCCGGACACACTTAGATGGCTGGCAACGCGACGCCAACTTGGTGGCTGACACTCGGCGTGTGTGTGTCACGTGCACTCATCACCGTATTCCACGGGGCGCGAATGTATGAAAGTGTGTGTTGGATAGCATAACTGAGACGTGTGTGACGCGTCGTCCTTAGCTCGCCTACAGAGAGCTCACAGGGAACCTCTCACCCTCTCCAAAGAGTAACAGGCGCGTGCGCGCGCGCAAGCGTGTGTGTGTGTGTGTGTGTGTTTGTTCGTGTTGGTGTCACTAGCATGCGAATCGAAGAACTCATCATCGATGGGTTCAAGAGGTATGTATATACAGACGTCTAATTCACGCGCCGCAGTTATCCCGTTCGCACACATGTCCGTGGCTTTGACCCCAGCTTCAATGCCATCACTGGCCTAAATGGAAGTGGAAAAAGCAACATCCTCGACGCTATTTGTTTCGTGCTGGGTCTCACGAACCTAAGCTCTGTGCGTGCCTCCAATATGCAGGATCTCATCTACAAACGAGGCCAAGCCGGCGTCACAAAGGCATCCGTCACCATCGTGTTCGATAACAGCGATAAGGATCGCTCTCCCGTCGCATTCGAAAACTACGCGACCATCACGGTGACGCGCCAAATTGTCATGGGTGGGGCATCGAAATATCTCATCAATGGTCACAAGGCAACGCAGCAGGCCGTCCAGAACCTATTTCAGAGTGTCCAGCTGAACATCAACAATCCAAACTTCCTTATCATGCAAGGACGTATTACCAAGGTGCTCAACATGAAGCCGGCAGAAATTTTATCGATGATCGAAGAGGCCACAGGCACGCGCATGTTCGAGGAGCGCAAGGAGCGCGCATTTCGTACGATGACAAAAAAAGACCAGAAAGTCCGTGAGATCACGACGCTGCTCGATGAAGAAATCAGGCCGAAACTTGATCGGCTGCGCGAGGAGAAACGGGCGTTCCCTAGAATACCAGAAGGCAGCATCGGAGCTCGAGCGTCTCGAACGCCTTGCGAAAGCGTACGAATGGCATACGGTGAACCGCCGACTTGAAGACCACTCCGTCTCGGGTCTTGCATCTGTTCGACAGCGGATCTATGACAAGGAGTCTGACATCCAGTCCTGGAAGCACCACGTCGAGAGTCTGCACGCCGAGCTCCGGGCTCTTGAGAAGCGCCGCGCTGCGCAGGTCGGAGCGGGTGCTGCGTCGCTCATGGAGCAGTCCAAGACGCTGAATCATCAGCTGGTGGAAGCATCTGCTCAGCTCGAGTTTCGGCAAGCAGCTCGAGACGAGGAAGCCCGTCGTGTCGACACCGAGTCGGCTGCACTGGAGGCTGCGTCTGCAGCACTCTCGGCCCAAGAAGAGCAGCATGCGTCGCTAGAGTCGTCGTTTGCTGACTTCAAGACCGCGTATGACGCACAGAGCACCGCCGTAAGCGAGCAAGAGTCGCTTCTACAGAGTCTGCTCACAGGCATGGCATCGGGCCAGCATGAAACACAGGGCGGCTTCCAGGGACAGCTCGCGAAAGCGCGTGAGAAGGCGACCGCCGCCAAGTCAGAGGTGCAGCAGGCACAGGTCCAGATCGACCACATCGAGCGGGAGCTGCGTGTGAAGGAGCCCCAAGCGAAGCACGAAGCACAAGAAAGCCGTGCTCTGTACAAGAAGCTCGCGAACGTCCAACAGGCTGCACAGGAGGCAGAGCAAGCGTTGCATGCATACGCCTTCGATGAAAAGCGGTATGAACAGCTGCGTGCGGAGCGCCTAAGTCTCGAGCAAGACATGCAGCGCCTCGCGTCCGAGCGCGAAGCTATGCAGGACCGTCTACCGTCTGCTTTGCAGTTCACTTACGTGGACCCGACGCCGGACTTTGATCGCCGCCGCGTCAAGGGCCTCGTTGCAAGTCTCGTTCATCTGGATCCATCAAACACCAAGTATGCGACGGCGCTAGAAACGTGCGCTGGCGGCCGCTTGTACAGTGTGGTCGTTGAAAATGAGCATGTGGGTGCTCAGCTTTTGGCTCATGGCCAGCTCAAGAAGCGCGTGACGTTGATTCCACTCACCAAGATCCAGGCCCACGTAGCCCCCTCCGCACAAGGTGTCGGCACGCACAGCGCCTCGCGCCTGGCCAGGTGGATCTGGCACTCTCGCTCGTCGGCTATGAGTCGCACGTGGCCACAAGCACTGCAGTATGTGTTTGGCTCGACGCTCATTTGCCGCGATGCCGCCACCGCCAAAAAAGTCACGTTCGATGCCGCCGTACGCATGAAAAGCGTCACGATCGATGGCGATGTCTACGATCCAGCAGGCACGTTATCGGGCGGCAGCACGTCGTCTTCCAGCTCGAGCATCTTGCTGCGGATGCAGCAGATGGCCGCTCTGTCAGCCCAGTGGAACGCCAAACACGCCGCCCATGAGGCCACGAACAACGAGTGGTGCGCACTCCAAGCTGCGAGCGCGATGCATGCGAAGCTCTCGTCGGCCGTCGAGCTGAAGCAGCACGAAGCGACGCTGGTGCAGCAGCAGGTGGATGGCGGGCGTGCAGCGTCTCTGCAGGCGGACATCCGTGCATGCTATGCGACTTTGGAGGAGCTCCGTGCGCGCATGGAAGCTGCTCGTCAGAAGCAAGCTGACGCAGCCCGGCAGATGGCCGACATTGAGCGAGACATCGCTGAGCTTGGCGTCGACAAAGATGCCAAGGTCGCAAAGGTTCGTGACACATGCAAAAACATGAAGTCGGCCTTTGCGCAGCAGGCTGCCGAGCTCAAGCAGCGGCAGGCCGCATTGCGTGCGTCAGAGCTCGACCGCAGTCAGCACCGCATGGATGCCGACGCTGCGCGCGAGCGATTACATGAAGCACGCGCGCTGCTCGCACAGGCTGAGCAGGATGTCAAGGACAGTGCTGAGAGCGTAGAGGCACTGCGGATGCGTGTGTCTGAAAGCGAAGAGGCCATTACGAAAGAACAGGCAGCCTTGTCAGCATTCAGTGACGAGCACCATGAGCTACAGACGGCTCTTACGGCAAAGAAGGCTGCCGTAGAAGATGCTGAACTCACACTCAAGCAGTGGCGTCGTGAGCTCGATCAGCAAGAGCACGAACATGCAAGAATGCAGCAGACCAAGGATGCGTTGGAGTCGGCCTTTCCTTGGATTGTGGAAGAATGCCACTTGTTCGGCCGGGTGGGCTCTGCCTACGAGTTTGCCAAGCACAATATGGACGATGTGCGCAAGCTGTGTAAGCAGCTGGATGAACAGCAGAGTGGGCTCAAACGTCGAGTGAATCCGCGCGTGATGAACATGATCGACAATGTCGAGTAAGAAAGATGCGAGTTTGCAGCACATGCTGTCGACGGTGCTACGCGACAAGAGCAAAATTGAACAAACGATCGAGGAACTCGATCGGTACAAGAAAGACGCACTGCAGACAACATTCAAGCAGGTAAACCAGGACTTTGGCATGATCTTTGGCGAGCTACTGCCCGGGAACTACGCCATGCTCCAGCCGCCCGAGGGACAAGAGCTTACCCAGGGACTCGAAGTGCGTGTCCGGTTGGGTGCAACGTGGAAGCAGAGTCTCACGGAGCTGAGTGGTGGACAGCGCTCTCTCATCGCGCTCAGTCTCATCATGTCGCTTTTGCAATTCAACCCGGCGCCTATGTATATACTGGACGAGATCGATGCTGCTCTTGACCTGTCACATACACAGCACATCGGCCATCTCTTTCGCACTCGCTTCAAGGGCTCGCAGTTCATTGTTGTCTCGCTAAAAGAAGGTCTATTTTCGAATGCCAACGTGCTTTTCCGTGCTCGTTTCCGCGATGGAACCAGTGTCGTGGAGCGGATCGCCCAGAAATCCTCCGACGTGCCCGACAAGGACTCTCGTGCCACCGCCTCGCGTCCTCTTTCGGCTCCTGCGAGACGCACAGCTAGCGGGACTAGAGGCACTGGTAGCACTGGCAGCGGTCGTTCACGTGGCACCACACCAAGTGGGACACCCGCCTGAGCCCTGGTCCTGCGGTGCACGAGCCCATCTCGCTTGTCGATTCACGCGGTGCGTGGACGGACGCCTGCGATCGTGTCGGTCTGTTGGCCTCGCGTCCACGTGGACTCCACATAGCAGCACAGGGTATATTTGCAATTATGTAGTCGTCGCTCCAACGAAGATGACCAGTATAGCTGAAGCCAAGCCCTTCGCCGCCATCGATCAGAATGGTATTCTCACCTCTCTTTTGCGACACCATGCCACTTGTCTCAGCTCCCTCTGAGGCATCAAAAGGAAGATCAAGGCTGGACTATCACGTACGTCCCCGCACAATGGATTCAGCTGTGCTTATTTGTCCCAGATATACACGTTCCCTCACGCATCACCGGCGCTGATGCAAGCACTCGGGCAAATTGAGACAGAGTCGCAGCGTGAGAACGCCAAGCTGCGGTACGCAAAGTCCGATGCACCGAGTGGAAACCTCATGCGGCATTCCGTCTCGATTGAGGATGCAGGCGTCGAGCCTGCGCCTGCTGTCATGAGCAGATCAGCGCCAGAGCCAGCGAAAAAAGCATCAGCGCTGCATTCAACCCTCCAAAATACTGGCCAGTCCATATACAACTTTGTCTTGGGCGGTGTGGCTGGTGCTGTGGGTGCTGCCTTTGTCTATCCCATCGACCTTGTGAAAACACGCATGCAGAACCAACGCTCAAATATCGTGGGCGAAGCTCTTATGTACCGCAACAGTTTGGACTGTGCGAAAAAGGTGATGCGGAATGAAGGCTTTTTGGGCTTTTACTCAGGCCTGCTTCCGCAGTTGCTCGGCGTCGCGCCTGAAAAAGCGATCAAGCTCGCGATGAATGATCTTGTCCGTACACTCTCAAAGGACAAAGATGGCCATGTGCCCATTTCGGCAGAGATCCTCGCCGGTGGTGTGGCAGGCGGCTCGCAGGTCGTATTCACGAACCCGCTCGAGATCGTCAAGATCCGTCTGCAAGTGCAGGGCGAGGCACCAGACCCAACCAAGGCTAAGGCTAGTGCCCTTCATATTATTCGCCGCCTCGGCTTGTTCGGTCTGTACAAGGGTGCTGGTGCATGCCTTCTTCGCGACATTCCTTTCAGTGCGATCTACTTCCCTGCGTATGCACATCTTAAAAAGGACTTGTATGGTGAGCGGCCCGACAACAAGTTGACGTTTGGCCAGCTCATGGCCGCTGCCTCCATTGCTGGTGTGCCTGCCGCCTTCTTTACGACACCAGCAGATGTCATCAAAACGCGTTTGCAAGTCGAGGCGCGCAAGGGCCAGGCTACGTACACGGGCATGCGCGACTGTTTTGTAAAGATTCTTCAAAATGAGTCGCCAACGGCCTTCTTCAAGGGCTCGCTGGCTCGTGTACTTCGTTCTAGCCCTCAGTTTGGCGCAACTCTGGTCACGTATGAGTATCTCAAGAAGTTTATCCCTTCGCCTTTCGAAACGAAAGAAAAAATAGTGCCGGCTGTTGTTAATCATGAAGATTACCATGGCACTCAAAATGCGATTTCTTTGATCGCTCGTGTGCACGAACTCTCGCGCTTCTCGTAATCCTCACGAAAGAATAGAATGAATGTGTAGATGTCCATCTTTAGCTCGTTTTATGCATCGAAAGACCCGATTTCCTATCCTTTCTGAGAAGAGCAACGTTTTGCACCTGGTGTCGTCGTGCTTCTTGGACTCAAGTGTAGTGCCAACGCATGTGCAGGCTAGGGGCCTTCCCCTAGGTACTCGTATGAGTCCTTCGGCGTGAGGATGTTCATATAAGTATTATGGGGAACAGCAAGGTGCGCACACGTTGGAAATGCGCATCATGTATCATACCCGGCGTCCTCGCTCCGTTAGCAAGGATATGCGGCCCATTTGATGATACATTCCATGTTGCTTTCATGCACGCGTAGCACGTACTCTTTCCAGACGTTTCTGTATCTATTTCCCTAAATAACGGTATATGGATAACGTTTCGTACAGACATGATCATGAGTGACGTAGCTTAGAAGCCCATGCCACCCATGCCACCCATGCCGCCCATGCCCATACCAGGAGCGGCCATAGGCTTCTCTTCAGGTGCTTCAACGATGCAGCACTCTGATGTCGTCAGCAACGATGCCACACCCGCAGCGTCCTGAAGAGCTGTGCGCACCACCTTCAGTGGATCCAGCACACCAGCAGCAATCAGGTCTTTGTATTCACCAACACTCGCGTCGTAGCCGTAGCCAAACTCGCCTGGGTTCTCGAGCAACTTGCCCACAACGACCGAGCCCTCTTCACCGGCGTTCTCGACAATCTGGCGTGCCGGACGCGTCAGCGCATTGCGAATGATCGACACACCCAACTGCTGGTCAAAGTTAGCAGTGGCAATGGAGTCGAGGGCCTTCGTGCCCTTCAGTAGCGCCACGCCGCCGCCTGGCACAATACCCTCTTCCACAGCTGCACGCGTTGCACACAGAGCATCATCGTAACGGTCCTTCTTCTCGCCCACCTCGACCTCGGACGAGCCACCCACACGAATTACAGCCACACCACCACTCAGCTTCGCAAGACGCTCTTGCAGCTTCGTCCGGTCGTACTCTGACGTCGATGGGTCGCTCATAGCCGAGCGAATCTGCTCGCAGCGAGCCGTGATGGCATCCTTGTTGCCCTCACCGTTCATGAAGATCGTGTCTTCCTTCGTGATCGTAACACTGCCCGTCGTGCCGAGCATGTCTGGCGTGGCACGTTCGAGTTTCACATCAAGCTCGTCCGAGAACACCTGGCCACCCGTGAGGATAGCCAAGTCGCCAAGGATGCTCTTGCGGTTGTCACCAAAGCCAGGTGCCTTCACAGCGCACACCTGGAGCTGACCGCGCAGCTTGTTCAGAATGCAAGCAGCAAGCGCTTCGCCGTCAATGTCTTCGGCAATAATCAGCAGCGGACGGCGCATCGTCACAGCCGCCTCCAGCGTCGGCAGGATGTCCTGCAGCGCCGAGATCTTCTTCTCACTGAGAAGCACAAGTGGCTTTTCAAACTCAGTCCGCTGCGTCTTGACGTCCGTGATAAAGTAAGGCGAGATGTAGCCACGGTCAAAGCGCATACCCTCCGTAATCTCAATCTCGTCTTCGAGCGTCCTGCCCTCTTTCACAGTAATGACACCCTCTTTGCCGACCTTCTCCATAGCAGTGGCAATGAGCGTGCCGACGTGCTTGTCACCATTCGCCGAAATCGTCGCGACCTGCGCGATTTCCTCCGACGTCGTCACCTCACGCTTGTTTTCCTCGAGGAACTTGATGACGGCATCCACAGCAGCCTGGCTTCCGCGACGCAGGTCCATCGGGTTGCAGCCAGCGGCCACATTCTTCACACCCTCCGAGTAGATGGCACGCGCAAGCACAGTGGCTGTCGTCGTACCATCACCAGCAACCTCGTTCGTCTTGCTTGCCACATCCTGTACCAGGCGAGCACCAAGGTTTTCGTACTTGTCCTTAATGTCAATGGCCTTGGCCACTGTGACACCATCCTTGGTAATCTTTGGCCCACCGAAAGGCTGTTCAATAATTACATTGCGGCCCTTCGGACCGAGGGTCACGCTCACAGCGTTGGCTAGCAGATTCACACCCTTGAGAATCGCAGCACGGCCCTCATTCGAGAACTTGACCTCCTTGTGTGCCAGCGCAGCTGCCGAAGTCGACAGGGCGCGCGAGTTCAGCATACGCGGCATCCGCGATGCCGCCGCCGTAGAACGCATAATGGCCATGGTTGTCTGTCAAGCGACTGGACGCAGTGGATGCAGAAATGTGTCGAATAAGTAGTAGAATCAGCGTAGCCTTTCTGTTCCTAATACGTCCGCGCGCAGGAATTCGGAAGAAGCTACTGGAACAAAATTGCCACCCAGCGCCCTAATGGCCGAGTGTTGAGCCACTCACCGTGCGTCTCCACGCCATGGACTCAGCAACGTGGAAGCAAACCGAACCACATCGAAGTAGATCTACTCGGCCGATGCATGACGTCCACAGTCTCGAACACCAAGTACAAGACTGACGCGTCAGTCGGCATCTAAGCATGGTGGGCGCACTTTGAACACACAAGTTTCATCCTCACTCACTTTCTCCATACGCCATGGTACGTTCTGCATACTCCCACTGACGTGTCTTTTGCAGTCCGCAGCCTCTACGATTCGCAACATCAAGTCAGTGGTTCCTCTTCTGGACCGTGTGCTAGTGCAGCGCTTTAAGCCTGAGTCGAAGACGGCCTCGGGTCTGTTCCTGCCGTCATCGTCTAGCTCAACTCCGATGCCAGAGGCTTCTGTAATTGCCGCTGGTCCAGGCGCACCGAATAAGGACGGCCATGTCGTACCAACGAGTGTGAAGCCCGGTGACAAGGTCTTGCTACCATCATGGGGTGGTAACTCGATTAAAGTTGGCGAGGAGGTACGTACTATGCTTCTGCGTGTCCGCGACCATGTGCGCGAGCATGCCAGCCCAGTGAAATACAGGTCCTAACTGTCCTCTAGGAATACCTACTTATCCGTGACTCGGAGATTCTCGCCAAGATCCAGGAATAATTTGGCATGTCAATAGTAGCATATCCATTTTCTACGGGGGTATATCCTGTGCATATTGATGATCAATATGGAGGCAATTGCAGACCTTATCTCTAACATAAGGTCGGACCTCAGTATTTCTTATAGATCATCTATTGCCTCATACTGAAATGGGCTTGATTTTAAAATGCAAAGAAATTAAACTGAAAATGAGACACTGAGGCATCATCATGTCAGTTCTGTCTCGCCTCCGAAAGACCGTGCGGCGTACCTTCAGATCCTGGACTAGATAGTACATCACACGCAAACCTTCTGGATCTTCACTGTCCTGCACTTCAAGGAGCGAACCGAGCTTAGCTGTCTAACAACATTGTGTTAGTCTCGGTCACGGTGCTGCAAACTTGGGAGGTGGGATAGGGAGCTATGCAGCGAACCCTGCGCAACATACCTCGAAAGAAATATGGTCTTTGCCTAGACGGATTTCCAGCTCTTGCCGCCCAACTATATTTCGCTTCGGCCATTTGGCATCGTCTTCTCTTGCACATAGTCAGCTCAAGATCATGATCAACACGTACTTTAGGATCTCGCTGCTCTCCACAATGTTTCGGAGCTCTTGCGCCATCAAAGGACTGATCCACACTTTCCCGTCAATACGTTGCACTAGCCAACACACGTATGTGCATCCGAATATAGATACATACTTTCTTTGCGAATGAGCGAGTCATTACGGTAGTTGCTGTTGTTTGCATATCGGAGACGTCCACGGTCATACTCGAATTCAAGAAACTCGTGGCCGTGCCGACCCTGATGTCCGGTGCTTTTTGTACGCTTGTTAGGTATTCCGCATTCCACGTCCCACACATGCCAAAAGTACGTACTAGTATCGTACATAGAATTCCGACATGTCGAGAGCCAGCGGTGTCAAGCCACCGTTGATCACACGCTCAGAAACGAGCATCACCCGCCAGGGGCTGTATCTCCTCGCTCGAGTTCGACCACGTGCCGTGCCGATCCCTGACTAATACACATGGACGCTCAGGGAAACAGATGCCAGCATCCAGCTGTGATACTGGTTTCACGTTCCTGTGCAGTCGACAAGGTTTGTTTATAGCCGCCGGGGTTATGGAAGGAGCAAGGCACAGGTCCCGGCGACGAGACCCCAATGACAATTCAGGATCATATGAAAATGTGAAAGAGGCTAGTTCCTGCAACACGTCGTCGAGTGCGTCATATGCCGACCGCGTGCCATGTGAGACACATACCCCCACCATCCGAGCTTCTCAACGTCTTCATGTGCCTCGACAAGATCACTATACCCGATCAGATGGAATTGTACCAATATCGTACCAAGAAATCAGCTCAATGAATGCTAGCATGTTGGATTTTCCTCCGCCCTACGCGATTGTAGCGCAGGAATCCAATCCACAGACGTCCTCTCGACCTTCCTCTGTCACGCATTCTTCGCCGGAAGCAACGATGCAATCCCTTGAGACCGATGCTACATCTGTATCTTCATTAGATTTGATTCCTTCTGATGATGATGAACAGACACTCTCCGACTTTGTTCATATCAAGCGATTCCGCTCAACACCACAACTCTCGTCCTCGACCACATCGTCTGCGATGCCAATCGATCACCGAACACTTCATCGACGTAGGCATGGAAACTTTTCGAATTACCAGCGGTTTTTTTCTATGGTCCCGTCACTCCTTGTCAACGAGTCCTTTTCCCCTGTCACGAAAGAGACGACAGAAGAAGTCGAGCCGCTCGAACCTTTACCAATGGCGTTCGAGGTATTACTTCACACACTGCGCCTTTTTGCCGTGGTTCCAGGTCTTATCGGCACCGTGTACATGCTTCACGCATCGTATGTACAAGCTCGGCAGAACCGCTGGTTGCGTGACACGTACCTACCTCTTACACCCAGTGCAATTGAATATGTGGCCTGTTCTCTTTGGAGTATCTGTACGGCGTTTCATGCCCTCTCGCTCATGACCATGCTACTACGCCGCTGGCTTATTTACTATACGCTTGTACCATCACTGATCCGTCTCATCACATTCCAGGCGATTTGCTGGTCACTCGTGCGTGCTGTCCTTCTGCTTTTCGGTCCAGCCCAGCCTGTTGCAAGCTGGATCATTGTATCTACATTTACCTCATTTTTTGAAATCTTTGCTCGCTGGATCACGAGCAATATCACGGATGTTGACGACACGCAATCAACTGATGGTCTGCTTTCTGATATGAATGAAACAGGCGCGTCTGATGCTGAGGGTATGCTACACTCTGAGCAAGAAATTATGTATGATTCCTATCAACCACGCGCAAGGCACGCAGCCCGCTCCCATCGATACCAAAAGTATCGCAATCAGAGTTTGAGAGTCATTCGCGCTCTCACGGGTGCACCGACGGAGGTTACGCCTTCTGACTCTGATTCCGATACCTTCAGTAAGCCTGAATCAGGCTTCTCTTCCTCTGTACAAGAGGACATGAATGCACTGTCTCCTGTGGTGGACATGGATCACTGGCACCGGCGTCTTATTGCCAGACGCAACAGAAAACGACAGCACCGCTCTCGACACAAGCGAAGCAAGCAAAAGTCTCGCATGTCAGCCTTTTTTCAAAACTATCGCGCTGCACGGATCCATTCGCGCCGTGTTTTCCACTGGAACGTTGCAATTTGGCGCAACGTTGTGCCTATCGGCATATTAGGATACTTGACGCTTTGGGTTCTGCTGGCCGAATTCACCATTACTCGGTTTCAGGCCAGTGCATAAATATGTATTTTTTTATTTGCTCCATTTGTTACGTCTCAAGTTTGTTTCTTGTTCAGATACGACAATAATGCTAGCAATCGCACCGAAAAAAAAACGACCAACTGTCATGATCAGATCATGTAATGAAGACTGACTGATGAGACACAGGCGTGAAACGAGGGCTCCGTCTTCGAATCTGTTTCTATCAGGCACTCACAAGTGCTCGAAGCTTGTTTGCATATACCCGTCTCAAGTTGTCATATCTTTCACAGGCTCTCACTTAATATACTTTTGTGATACTCTGTTCTCTTCTGTTGCCTTGGCCCGTTCTGACTGTCTAAGCCTTCTAGCTTGTTTTCTTTCCTTCCTCACTCTGACTCACACGTTCAAAACAAAAACCATCTCCATAGTCACATTTTTTTACACATGTCCTAAGTACGTCGTAACTCAAAACCCTTTTTGCTTGGGCCATGGACCATTGTCGCTTGTCTCGCACGAAGGACGAGATTCTTTTGCTCCACATGTACACTTGCCACCCAAATGTTTAGGCCAATTCTCCATGTTGACCAAAGCACTGATGGTCGGCATATAATCACTTCCACTAATGTCAATTTTCTCGGCTGTCTGTGTGGGTAGCCATCCTTTGATGCAACTCCAGACCGTACTAAAAAGCAGTGGTGCATTGATGATTTGCACACGTCCAGATAGTTCAGGGAAGTTGTTATCAAGAATTGACAACAACTCTTGTAGCTTGTTTTTCATGGTCCAAAATGTACTGAGTCCTAGACCTTGCACGTTTAAAACCATCAAGTTATCATCGACGGTCTCACCTTTCACATTTGTACAAGCCAAATAACGGTGCCGCACAGCATGTTCGAGTGTCACAGCAAAGTTCTGTACAATACGTTCGGCTGTCGTCACTGAAAATACCTTTTCTGTATCTAAGCCTGACAAGTCCTGAATAAAGATCGGACGACCTTGTAAGTCAGTTTTGTGGAAATACATGCGCCAGCCATATTCCGACACGGCCGCGCGTTCCGTGAACTCGAATTCTTCATACAGACGGTCAAGATCGACACTCTTCTTCCAGTCTTCTGCACGCAGATACATTTCCTTGGATGCCTTCAAGTCAAAGTTGCGGGCGCGCAAGAAGCGCAAGAGCTGCGTTGTCTGATACGGCGGCGCATTCTCGATGGATATAACCTTCGCTGCCACGAGCTCGTTCGTGAAAGAGTCAAGGATCTTTTTTTGTTCGTCTGACAGATTGCCTTCGTGGCCAAGAGGAATTGACGATGCAGCAGGTGATGGATTGTTTGGGGGCTCTGACGTCCGTCGTGAAGGTGACTGTGCTTTGCGTGCATCCGCGCTGCTACGTCCGAACGCGCCGCCAAAAATGTTCGGCAAACTCCGACGCGGCTGGCTTGATGCCGGTGTCGACTGAATAGGATCTGTAGCTGTATTTATGTTCACCTCTTCTGCATCGGTCGAATCTGCGGGTGTGCGAGTGACAGAAGGCACAGGGGGCATGTCTGTGGTAGGTGTACGCTTAGATCGGACGTGTTCCATGCGCTCTATTCGATCGGCTGTACGACTTACTAACTCAGCCGCCAACGTATGCACGTACCTACTAACATAATCTTTCCTGAGATTCCGATGCAACGCCGTCACGTGGAGCTGTGATGTCAGCGCTTGAATGTGGAGAGATGCACATTGTCCTTGCCAGTATGAATGGCTCCTCGGATATGCGGTATGTAGACTATTGTACTAGTTTGGGCTCGCTCAGCTGCCGAGCTCAGCTGCTGAGCTTGCCCGTCCTCTCCCTCAGGTATGCGGCAAGCAGATCGGCGCCGCGCTTCGGGAATTCCTACGCTTCCGCCTGAAATTATACATCGCATCGTTTGGGCATTGCATATACCTGCTTCTGAGGGCGATGCATCGTGTGTCCAAACACTCGTACGTCTGAGTGTAGTGTGTGTCATCGTTCGCCATTGGGCCCTCCAAGCATTATATGATATTCTATTTCTACCACGACATGTGCGTGATTTCCGCAGATGGCATGCGCGCATGCGAGAAGCCAAGCCGCCATTCCCTTGCATGGGATACGTGCGTGCTTTATTTGTTGGGATCGATGATGTACGTGAACCGTGTGCACGAATCGCTCACACGTTCTGCAGGTCACACGATTAACACAAACTTCTGCTGGCTGGGAATCAGAGCTGCTACGTGTGTTGCACTATTGCGGCTCTACGATCGAGTACTTGTCATTGTGGCAGACAGAGTCTCGCGCATTGCTTCGTGACTCGGCTCAGGTCAGCGGCCGACATGCACAAGCCGCATGGGCTGTAGGTGAACACCTTTTTGATGAAGATCATCCACCATCTCAAGATACCCAAATGTCTGATGATGACATTCCGCGCTGGCTCCGTGATGAATTGGCCCAAGCACCGGCGGAACATGTTGCTAGGCAGCACATGGCGCATTTTCCTTTTGTGCCGCGCGCTGAACCAAAGCCTCGCGCTTGGTCCTTGCGACCAAAACCACGTCTCTGCACACCGCGTTTTCTCAGCTTGGTGTTGTACTACCCCTTTTATGAGAACGAGCGCCCTGACTTGTTTGCCCGGATGGTGATCTGGTCACGCGTGGAAGAGCTCGACGTGTACATTGCCATGGAGCCAAGAAAGTCGCTTCATTTATTGGCATGTCTCTCTCATACACCGACCTGGCGCCTGCGCGTGTCAAGTGCGCACGCAACATTGGCTATCGAGTCAACCAATCCTTTATGTCCCAATGCATGTGGCATTCTTGCGGCTTTGGTAGCGCATCGTGACTTGGAAGAAGCTTTGCTCCTTGAGATGCGTGGATCCAGTGTATCTGACGTCGAGGTGCTTGAGCTAGCATGTTTACGACATATGGCCAGCAAGCTTGGACCACAACTTTTACTCCAAGACCGCTCGACTGTGGCAGGGTCAGCCCCTCCAACAACAAGCACGGGAACCATGGGGTCTATTTGTGCTCAGGACGCGAATGATATCCATTTACTTTGGTCATTGTCTGCTGCAGAATTGCAACGGCAACTGAAGTTACGAATTTGTGTCACGCAGAAAAATCAGGCCGTCTGGGGGAAGCTTCGACACCGAGCATGGGATTTTCGTGAACGTGCACAATTCGGTCGTCCAGGAGCATGGTCAGAATTGCTTAGATAGAGAGAAAGAGGGAGAGAGGGAAAGAGAGGGAAAGCATGACATCATCATTCCAGACAAAAACTCAAAAAAAAAAAACCTACTTACATGAGCGAGCTGGCAATCTGGCTCAAAGCCGCGCCCTGCTCAGGATAGTCACGGATGAATTGCAATTGCGCACGCGAGGCATACTCGTACGTGATGGCATTCACGAGTTCTGGCTCAGTGCGTGCGATGTCCGCAGAGCGGCGGAAGTACTCAATCGCCTCGGGAATCTTGCTCTGCTGCAGACTGAGCTGTGCAAGAGTTGCGATCGCCACATCACAGTCGGGGTCAATCTCTAGAGCATCGCGGCATAGAGCCTCAGCACCTGCCAAGTCGTGCTTCCACTGGAACAACACAAGAGCCTTATTGATCATTGGAAGAACATTCGTACCCTTTGACTTTTTGCGCTCTAGTTCAATACTCTTGTTGAAATTGGCGACCGCGTCTTCATGGCGCTGCTGGTCGAGCATAAGCTCGCCAAAGTAGTTGTAGGACTCTGACGAGTTCTCAAACTTTTTGAGGATCCGGCAGAAGGCAGCAGTGCTACGAGCGATGTTGCCCAGCTTGTAGCTTGCTACAGCATGCTGCACCTGTGAGAAGATGAATGTGTCATCGAGCGAAGTGGACTTTTCATAGTCGCTCAGTGCCGCATCAAACTCACCAAGGATAAAGTGCACTTGACCTCGATGATAGTAGATGTCCGGGTCGTCTGCGTTGATTGCCATGGCTCGGTCAAAGTCCGCAAATGCTGCGTCCTTGTCTCCTAATTCCACATGCACGCTGGCTTTCTTGACCCAGCTTTGCAGGTAGTCCGGGCACAAGTCCGTGCTGTGGTCTAGATCTTCGAGCGCACGTTTCGCCAAACCAATAACGAACATGAAAGTAGCACGCATGTTGTATGCGTTTGCTTCAAGTTCCTTGGACGACAAGCCCTGCTTAATTGCTTCTTCAAACAGCGTCAGAGCGTGTGCGTAATCTTGAGCCTGGAGAGCTTCGTATGCACGTTGGAGAGTCTTGTCTCCCTGCGGCGCGCCGTCAGCGATAGACGGTGGGTCTTTTGGACGGAACGCATCCAGGTATGCCTTGACGAAGGTTGGGCTAGGCAAGCGCGGCTCGCGGTGGCTTAGGATGAGCTTCGCCTTGCTAGATGCAAGCTTTTTCAATACACGCTCTACACTCGTTGTAGCACTTGTGTCGCGGAACTGACCGAGGATCGCGACGGCCGTAAAGTCGGAAAGACTCTGTTCGAGACGACGACGGGCCTTCTCACCCTCAGCATTGTCAGCCTCAGCCTTCTCGCCCAGCTGTTCAGCAGCGACAGCGCGGCGGTTAAGAGCCTTAATGTAGGTTGGTTCAAGCTTCAGAGCTTCATTGCAGTCACTGATGACATTCTCTGGCTTGCCGACATTGGCATAGCAAGCCGCGCGGTTGCTGTAGAACACGGCGGAGGGAACGATGGACAGAGCCTTGGTATAATGCTGAATAGCCTCTTCATGTTTCTTATTCGAATAGGCCTTGTTTCCCAAACCTTTCAGGTATTGCGCAACAGAATCCTTGCGTTCTTGAGGCAGACGTTGCAGTTCAGACTCGCTCAGCTCGGCAAGACTCTCGTCGGATGCATCGTCAAGGATGGGTCCGTCAGCTGCCGACTTGCTCGTTGACTTTTTTGACGACTTCTTAGCACGCTTCTTCTTGGATGCTGTGGATGATGTTCCTGAAGCCGCCGCCGATGACGACGAGGACTTGGGCTGCGTCGGTGCACGAGGCACGGTCGATGAGCTTGCGAGGAAATAAAGGCCAGCCGCACTGGCAACGGTGGCAGTAGCAGCAAGAGCCACAACTGCCACGCGGTTATCCTGGATCCACCGCGCGACACGGTTTGCAGTCGCGTTTGACGCCATGCTTGGAGTGTGTCGTCTGTCTGTGGTCTGTGGTGTAAATAAGTGTTGAGGAGCGAGGCCTTCCGAAGAACCCTGCGTGGCAAAGTGCATCACGTGAGAGAGCTCGGCACTCTCAACTTCGTGCTAGTGTCTGTCAGCCTATCCCACCAGTCCTTTTCCCTTGCCCCGCCCTAGCAGGCGTACTCAGACGGTCCTAGTAAGGCCAGCCTGGCCCCGCTATAACACACCTCTTAGGTGCATCGGTCCATGGTCTAAAGGGGGTTGGGATGTGCGACTGTGTTGGTCTTAGAAGATCATTCATCCAACGATGGAAGAGACAGTGCCAAAGCCAGAAGTGTCGCCAGAACAGCTGAATATCAAGGTCAAGGATGCCGAAGGCAACGAGGTGTTCTTCAAGGTGAAGCGGACGACGAAGCTTGCTAAGCTGAAGCGCGCCTACGCTGAGCGTATGGGCAAGCCTGAGAACAGTGTCCGGTTCATTTTTGATGGTCAGCGTGTTGGCGACGACGATACCGCTGAGTCTGTACGTACCAGTTTTCTTTGCAACGGGCTACGCGGACAAGTGAGAACTAACATGGGACAGCTTGATATGAATGACCAAGACGAAATCGATGCGATGATTGAGCAGCTGGGGGGCGTTGCTACTGTGATAGTGTAGTCTCGATGCATATTAACTACAAGACGCCACCCGCGATATCTTTATTTTGAGTTGGTGTCTATCTAGAATATCTGTGATAAAACACGCTCCATGTCCTGTCCAGCAGGTGCACTGGTTCTGCTATGATTTTGCACGCGTTGATCACGAACATCTCTGTACACGGGTGTTCGCTGCTGAAACTTGCGCTTGGGTGCGGGGGCCTCATCCTCGTTTGTGGGCGGCTCTGCACGCTCTGCCTGCTTCTTCCGCTGGATACGGGACCTTTCAACCTTCCGGAGATAGTCGCGTTGCTCATGCGCCGACTGAGAAAGTTCCATACGCAGACGTGCCGCATGCGTTGCTCGTTCATGCGACAATTGTTCCATGAGCATGGGCCACCGGAAACCCTTCAAGTACTTCATAGTCCAAACGTCATCTTTCCATCGATTAATAGCGCCTGCACCTGATTGTGAGCGCCGGGAAGAATGCGATGCACCGCCCAGGGCTCCGATTGGCTGCGCATTCAGCATTTCAGCTGTGGTTCGTGCCACGCGCTTCGACACAAACTCGATCCAGCCCTCGGAAAAGTGTGAGGGACGATTCTTTTTTTTGCTAGAAGAAGAAGAAGAATTCTGCTTGTCTTTTGGTTGCAAGTAGATGCGACCAACCTCGCCGAACTGAGAAAATATATGTCGCACTTTGGCTGGTGTCATGCCCGGTGGAAGGCGGCTCAGATAGATAACACCACGCTTTTGTTGCTTCTTTTTGTATTCTTCAAGCTCTTCCCTGCTAAGAACAGGAAGCACGCTTTCCGATCCATGCGGTTCGTATGACTCGTGTGCCTCATGATTATGCATGTCGTTGTCGTTGTCGTCAGCGTCACTGTCTGGTGAGCCGTTGTCGGTTTTGTTTCCTAGCACGTCATCATCCGTATCCTCGAGCTTGCGCTTCTTCTCTGTATGTGACGCTGGTTCCCAAGATGACAAGTCGAAGCGCTCATCTGAGATGGCCGCACCATGCTGTTGCTGCTGCTGCTCCTTTTGCTCTCGCCGGCTCTTGGCCATGCTCCTTTCTGAGACCGATGGTGTAGTGGAGCGACACGTGATGAGTGGCAACCAATATTCTGGGTCAAAATTTTCATCTTTGTTCCATCGCGTGGGCGATAGGAAGCTTAAATTCCAGTTACGTGTTAGCACTCCCAGTGGGTCTTCTACGACCGTCACATCTACGTATTCAAGTATGCCGTTATCATACTACGACGAGATTGAGCTAGAGGATATGGACTATGACGAATCTAAGCAGGTGTTTCATTACCCGTGCCCGTGTGGCGATCGCTTCGAGATTTCTCTGCTGCAGCTCCGAGCAGAAGAAGATGTCGCTCGATGTCCGAGCTGCACGTTGATTATCCGGGTCATTTACGATCCGCTGGATCTCGAGGATGATCAAGGGACTCTGCCCTGCATGGATACAGGTGCCGCGCAAGTGTCGGCTGCGGCATAATCATGTCGAGGGCATGGAATGTGATGGCATCTATTGCTTGTGAATACTATGCAGCTGCTATTACTCTTACTCTTATGACACAGGGAATTCGCCAGGAATACTTGTGTCAGCCTCGTGCGTCTCGTCGCTGAAGGTGTGCCAGTCTAGTCTCGGGGGCTCGACAGACGGATCAACACGTCGAATAGTGCTGGTGCTCACGACTATGGGCTGGCGTGCGTGCTGCGACGAAGCCCAGTCTGAATCGCTCGATGTGTCGGCCTGGTCGGCTTGGGGCCATGCAGAGGACGTGGGTGTGTCCGTAGTCGGTGTTGGACTTGTGGGCAACGCTTTCTTGGATGTGGAGGCATTATCAGGCTTCGGCGAGCTGGCCGAGCTCTGGTGGCTTTGTCTAGAATGACTCTTTTGCATCAAGTTGTCAAATGAGAAACTCGGGCGAGTGAATCCTGCAAGCTTGGTCATGGATGACCTCGATCTGGGAAAGGAATTCTCAACGACCTGTTGATCTTGTCTGGTATCCGCTGGCGCAGTCGGTGTCAATGCAGGCGCACTGTCAGCAGTCGAGCTTGCTTGACTTGGTCCAGCGCCTTGGGCAAAATTTGGTCGTACTGGAGATGTCGCATCTGTGTTTTCATTCGCAAGCGACTCAGTCGTCGAGGCGTTGAGTTCAGAAATTGCGATGTCATTGGTACTGGTGACGGACGGAGCCATATTCATGTGGCGCACTAATGTCGCGGGCACCTGAGCCTGAGCCTGAGCCTGGGCCTGGGCCTGAGCTTGGACTTGAGCCTGCACCGATGATGTCGACACTTCGGGAGCGATTTCAGCTGCAGCTGCTGGCAGCTCTGATGTTGATAGGACTCGTACTTTGGAAGCAGTTGCGGGAGCAGACGACGCTGTGGGTGTGGAGACAGGCTCTGTGAGAAGTGGCATCGTAGAGTTCATTGGCGTCTCAGAAGGTTCTTCCGTGGACAAATGCATGCTTTTCGGCGACGGAATGCCAAGACTTGGCACTTCGTCTATTTGCGCATGCGACGTCTTAAGCAAGTCCCTGTCGTTGTCCTGTGGCGCCTTCTTCATCCACACAGAGGGCGGCTGAGAGTCTGCCGGCGCGATATCACGTGATGTGAATGTCCGACTCGTCATGGACGCATCCATGGGAGCGTGAGTGCCGGGCGTATCGTAGTCGTTGGCACTCGCGACGGCGACAGAAGTCATGCTGTTGTCAGCTGGCGCCTCGGCATCGGGCACGGACTCCAGTGTCGTGGGCTGGGGCACACGTCTGAAGCTCGACTTGTGCGGCATGGTAGTAGACGAAGACTCTGCAACTGCGTGCGGAGGAGAAGCTTCCTTTGTAGGCAAAGGCAGCCTAGTGTCTTTCTGCCCCTCGGCAGGAGAGTCTGTCGCATTGAGAGAGTCTCTGAGATATGGTACATAGGCGCCAGCCAGCTCTGCCGGATGTGTGGGTGGTTGGGTATTTTTGTTCATCCACTCAAGCTCGAGCCATGGCGCAAAAGGCTCGCTTCGTGGCTCAGTGCCTTGGGGGAGAAGGAACGGGTTCCGTGTAGGGCCAGCTGGTTCGCCAGCTAGTGTGTCTGCACGCTCAACTGCGGTGTGGTCAGGCTGCTGGGCATGGAGCGTAGTGTTTCCATCCGTCATGCGCTGCAACTCGGGGTCACTACCCACCATTTCTTCAGCATCCGTATCTGGGAGTATTGCATATGGCACGCTCTGAGGCAAGTCGGTCTTGCGATCAATAGGCTGTCTAGGCTCGGTCGGAGCATGAACAAAGGCGTTTTCATCCGGTGCATCCAAGACATCCAAAGCATCCATATACAGACCACTCCAACGAGCGCGGCGCTTGGCGTCATGCTCTTGCTCCGAATCCGCGACGGAGCTGGTCGCAGAGTAGGTTTGACCGAGAGCCGACGAGACACTGCTGCCATGCTCCATGGATAGTGTGTCGGTCGGCGCGGTGGGGGAAGCATCTGGCATTGCAGCTGGTATCTCGGCGTCGCTCGCGTGATTCTGGAGCTCATGAGTGTGGTGGACATTGTTGATGTGACGGGCCTCGGGGATTCGGTCGAAGCCGGCGCTCTCGTGTTCACCCAGGCCATGCGTGTCGCGGCCGCCATACACGTGACGATCTTCCTGCACATCAGGGCTTTCATGGACATGACGATCCCGGTGCACATTCGGATGCTCGTGGCGTGTGAGTTCATCTGCACCATCAACTTGGTGTGTTGGTTGCGTTGGACCGTGGTGAAGAGTGCCATATGTGTCGGTCTGGTAAGGGCGCCCGTGATTCTCTTTGGCCACTTCTTCGACAGGAGCGCGCGTCGTCGGCCCGTCAGATTCCACGAGCGTCTGTATACTGGCATCACGCAAGGCCATTTCCATGGGCTGAGATGTGGCCGAGAAGCGGTGTGAAGAGCGCGTTGCATCGTCTTCGCTGACCTCGGTGATGCAGCTCAGTCGGTAGTCATGTGGCTTGGCTGCTGGCGGCACTGCTTGCGGCAAGGCCGGAGCGACCCCAGGCAGGGTCGGACCGCTCATGAGCGGACTCTGTATAGATGGTGCGCCGAATTCGCTACTTGCATCAGCAAAAGCATCGGGACTCTCGGGCGTCGGCGGTGACAAGTACGCAGCCGCCGAGCTGTTGAACACGTAGGGAGGAAGCGTTGTCCATGACATGGGTGGCGCGACGGGGCTGTGATTGTCGGGGGACGACGTGGACGGCGGCGACCTCTGTAAAAGCGTAGGCACTGCGAGCGGCGTGGCAGACGGCGCATCTTGCGACGCGGGCGACTGTATCCCTTGGCCCATGGCATCTGTGTGCGACTCGACAGAAGGGGGGATGGTAGCCGGTAGTGTGGATGCTGTCGACGCCATCGGCGGCCATGCCGAAGGGGCCGTCGTCGCGGCTGCCCGGGAAGGCGGCTCGTGAGCAACAGGTGTGATGTGGGATACGGTGACAAGTTGCTGAGTGTCATACGCACGCGGCGATGATACGGCGCCGACAATGGGCGGTGACAACTTCGTAGACTCGTGCATCGCTCGTGGCTCCGCGTTGGCCGAAGAGGAAGAAAGTGGCGGCGGCGCCGGTCGTGGCGTGCTTGTCAATTCGACGTCCGTTGGGATTGCAGGATCATGGGGGGGCACAGTCATCGTAGCGGCCGTGGTTTCTGCTGGTCGCATGAACGGCGAGTGGTCATGACGAGGCTCTTCATCGGCTCGTTTGATCGGTCGAGATGCGTCGGCCGTCGCAGCTGCGCTATCTATCCCGGACTGCAGAGTGTGCCTGTCAGCTATGACAGGCACATTGCCGTCTGGCTGCTGCCGGGGCGATGGCATTGACAGCTTGGAGGACGCGGCGGCACGCGCCGCATTCTTTTCTGCAGAAACGTCGTGCGGCAGGTCCGGCGCGGCAGGCGCATGTTCACCTGACGGTATGCGTGACGCCGTGGAATGTGTCGGTTTGTCTTGGTCGGCGTGAGGCACCAATGGCGATGACGATGTGGGACGCGACTCTTGTGCCACCGGCTGTGGCATCATGGGCGATGCACTGTCACGTCTTGGAACCATGGGCGGTGTTTCACGGGGTAAAGACGTGCCCGAGATGGCCGCTACCTGCTCGGGAGACAAGATCGGTGTCTGCTTGCGCGGGATCATCATCGAGACGGGGCGTGAAGCGGGTGATCCGTGCGGCTTGGCGCCTGCATCTCGCCACAGGCCCTGGGGGTCCACACGTGGTGATGCGTTTGTACCAACCACGGGCGTGCTGTGTCGTGAAGACGCCCCACCAGTAAGCGGAGAGAACTTGTCCCAATCGACGATGGACGATGGCGACTGCGTCGGCGGTGACGCTCCCGTGTCGGGTGACAAATGATGCATTTGGATCGTTGCGACACCGGATCTGAGTTCCGCCTGGTCCTCGGACTTGACCGACGGTGGATGTGGTTGCCCATGCGGCGCGTCCTGCTCGTTCATCTCTGGCGCACGGGGCAGCATTCGATCCATGGCGGGATATGCATCTGCGCGTGTGGGCGCATCGGACGTAGGCGCCCCGCCGTCCGACGGAATGCGGTCGCCATGCATCGCTCCTGTAGGTCCGACATGCTCTCGAATCGGCGCTCTGTCTTCTTGGTTTGAATGCGCACGAACAGACCGAAGACTCTGCTTACTTTTGAGGATCCATTGTGATGACCGCTTCCGGATATTGCCCAGAAGCCCAGCCGCCGTCTTGCCTGATGAGTGTGCAGCACTGCCAAGACCACCATGACCGTCAGTGGTGGCAGCGGCATCAGCCATGGGTACAGCTGGCCCATGGTCCTGCACGCTACTTTCCAGCTGTGGTGAGCGCGCAAACGGACTCCATGGCATGCGTGGGCTCTCATGCATGCGGCGAGGCGACCCAATGGACGAGAGAATCTTGCGGATCGAGCGCTTTCCACGCGCAGGCTCGCCATCGGGGACGGGGCTTGGATGTGTCGTAGCTGCAGTCGTACCAGAGGCGGTGGCTACTTCTGGCGACGTTGAAGTCTTGGCCGAGGGGCGCTGGAAGTTGTCGTGCGGGCGCTTGTCGTGTTGGCGCTTGTCGTGCTGATTCTTATCATGCTGATGCTGCTGGTGCTGTTCGGCACGATGATCTACTGCGTGTGCGTCGGTCGTGGGAGCAGCAGCTCCTTCCCGACGCCACGGCTTGGGTGGCGCGGGTGGTGGCATGTCAGCTTGATCATCCATGGGGATCCCTGGCTGGTCTGGCAACGGATCAGGCGGCGCTGATGCGCGAGGGAACGCAGGTTCGGTGAATGGCGTGTTTGTAGCGGTAGTCGGCGCAGACGTGCGAGCGGCCGTGCTCGATGGATCTTGGGGTCTCTCGCTGGGTGTGGAACCCAACGAGCCGTGCGGCACGCTCGTCTTGTTCGCTTCGAATGCCGCAGGCACACCGGGATCAGCGCTCACGCCTGCTGATCCGTCCGCGCCCAATCGATACACAACCGAGACCGTAGACTCAGGGGCAAGACCAGCTCGCACCATGCGGAACTGGTTCAGCTTGCGAAGCATCGGCATAGAGTGGCGCCGCGTGCGGCCCAGTTGGTCAAGCGTGTCGCGGTACGCAGCAGGGACGACCTCCTCTAGCACGTACCATTTGGTGGACAAAGACAGCGGCGGCGGCGAGGCGGCGTCAGCCGGACGACCGCTGCTAGGCCGAGTGTCTGTCTGGAGCTGCAGCACGACGAACGACGCATCCCGATGCACACGCTCATCACGTTGACTCCATCCATTCCCGATCAGATAGTCTGCCCAGACCTGCGGGAATAGCTCGTCCATGACCGTCTCGGCCGTGTGTGGCACTGTGTCGCAGGGGAAATCAACCTGCTCGCCCTGGAACACGTGCGACTCACTGCGCGGCACGCCTTCGTGCACAAGCACTGGCATCTGTTCCGATGGCTCGTCGAGGCGCATGACCCAGTCCCAGCGCGAGTTGTCGTCGGCATTCTGGTGGAAGCCACGCTCCTCAAACTGGTACCATTGCATGCTTTCAGGCCGCTTCATCCGCTGCCGTCGATCGCTTTCCCGAAGGTCAAAATTGAGGAACGACGTGTCGAGGTCATTGAACCCTTCGAACGAGAACTCATTCCATCGCTGCATCAGCGTCGACACGTATCCATCCGCGAGCTCTGTCGGCGAGTCGTGTCTGTACTGCGACGAGCGCGGGCGCAGCGAGCGGTACGGCACTACATTGAGCATCTTGCACGTCTCCTGCGCAAAGTCCCAGCCCTGCAGCTCCGACGGCCAGGACGCCCGGTCAATGAGGTCGTGTGCATACTCACGAACGTGTCGCGCCACATACGTCGCTGGCACAGTCTGCACGGCACTGGACGATGCGTCCAGGTCGGGCGACAGCATCCTTGGGTAGTCGTCGATCAGACGAAGAAGGCGCCGTGGTAGATACGTCGATGCCTTGGCCATCGACACGTGGTACCGCATAAAGGCGAGCAGAATGTGCTCCGCCGCATTCGATGCTCGCACATACGCGCCATACGTCTCGGCAAAGCTTGCATCTTCCGGCAGACCAAACAAGAGTGCGCCAAAGTGGCGGCCGACCTTGCTGGGCGTCATGTGGTTCTGCGCACTATGCGTGGCGACAAGCGCAAGAAAGTCCATCACCGTGTCGAGGAGCCGTGCGACGCGCTTTTCCAGCCGCCTCGCGAGCACCACATAGGACAGTGTCGAGAAGCCATCGGCGCTTTCCTGCGCACGCCAGCTCGTGTACGTCATCCATGGGACAAAGCCACGCTCCTGCTTCAGCACAAGTGTCTGGTTCTCAGTCCGCTCCGCCACCACACAGCCTACGCGGGCAAGGATCCACTTCAACAGCGCCACGAGACTGTGCACACTCGCAAACTTGAGCTCCTCATGGAATGCGCGGTCCGCCTGCGTGCTGGGCGAGCGCAGCGTATCGATGACGGTTCGGATCAGCCGCGTGGTATCGGCTGCCGAGAGGTCCATTGCCATCGAGCTTAGAATCAGCGGCATGTCGACGCCAAACGTGCGGATACGCTCCACGATCCGAATCACGTACGCCGTGGCCATCTCCATGTCGATCAGCTGATCCCATGCCTCGCCCGTATAGCCATACACTGTCGCTGGCACGCTGCGTGCGTGTGCGCTGCAACATGCTTTGGGTGCTAGACTCGCGCGTCCCAAGGGAGGGTCGAGTCACGTATGGCGCCCCTGTCATGACGTGGCTGTGTCTTGGACGGCAGTGCTGGCCCAGCCACTGGCCTAGGCGAATGCGCGGCTGCTGTGCCATCGGGCGAGGTCGTCAGTGCTGGCGCTGCGGCCTTCTCGGTCGACTGTGTCACGTCGCGCGCACGTTCGCCGTCAGTAGCGTTGGCTTCAGCTCCGTCCTGCTGGTAGTGGGCATCAGACGAATACAGCACAGCGTCCGGACGATGCAATGTCTCCACACGATCATGCGTCGACACTCGCACCGGGTCTTGCGCCGCCGGCGCATGGACAACCGAATCTTGGTACAGTGACCGGTGTGCTTCTGTGGCAGGTGACGCTGCACTTGCGCGTGGCGTTGGCTGTTCCGCACGTTGTGATGACGGCTGTAATTCCACATGTGATGGCGCGTGCGTATGAGGCCCGGCCGGTTGGTTAGACTCTCTCTCAGCCTGCGGCGGTGTGCGCGCCATGTCCGATATCAACGTTGCCCTGGGCGTTGACACAGAGTGGACCACAGCCTTGTGCATTGAGCCTGGCTCCAACGAACCGCGCGTGTTCGGCATGGGCATGGGCTCATGATCATGCGCAGTGGGAAGGGTGAACCCCATGGCACTGGCCGCGCCCTCGCTAGCCCTCTTATTCCCGTGTGCATTCACTCGCGCCTTCGCATTCATAGACAGCTCACTCGTACCAACAGAGTGTGGATGTGGATCGTGATGACGAGCTGTCTCAGTGCGTTTATTGTCAGCAAACAAGTCACGATTCTCGGTATCACTTTCATGGTGCATCAAGTCGAGCGGCGTCGTCGTATCAAGAAGCTGGCCTCGCTGAGCGCCGCTCAATTCCTTGACTGGCTTTGCGGGTGGATCAGGGACAGGGTCATGCTCAGTCTCACTGACTTGTTCTAACGCCGGCTCATCATCCAAATACAGACCTAATGCAGACCCAGGCGTGTTGGAGCGAGACGGCGGGCGTCTGGACTCAAACTCCATTGACTTTCGTACGGAAGGCGCAATATGTGTCGTTGGCTTAGATGCCGGCACCGCGGACCGAGACGCAGGCGGTACGCCAGACGCATTCGTTGGTCCCGGAGCGGTGTGAGCACCGGAGGATTCGACCGCAGCGGCGTCTGTGATGTCTGTCTTCTCCGGTACGGTATCAGCTGTCGCAGCTGTGGGTGTCGCATTGACTGCCTGAGCCGCTGCTGAGACGTCTGGTGTGTCAGCCGTGACTGCGGCACGTGTTGTCGGCTTGGACGCGTGCGGAAGATGCAACGGTTCAGTGCGACGCGACGCCGGCGGCCGCCGCGTCGGCAAAGATGTGAATGCAGGCGTGATTACAGGAGGCGCTTTCATAGGGGGCAGTGGCATAGCATCGTCATCATCATCAGGCACCGGGTCCACCAGTCGCGGGGCTTTTTGTGATGCAGTTGATATGATACGCACACGTGCCTGAGACTCACTTGGAAGCAACTGCGAAGAAGACGACGTAGTGACTGGCTTCGTCATCACATTCACACGCGATGTGACTGTAGATGGGGCAGGCGGTCGTTGTGAAAGAGTATGGCGACTCTGCGAAATAGATGAAGACGACGTTGAAGTGGCTGGTGGCACGGGAGAAACGTGCCAGTGCATGACGTCATTCAGCACTGCACTGACATTCGGCTCATCCATCCCACCACCAGACATGTTGTCTAAAGGCAGGGCTGTATCGTTTCCTGATTCATGGGCTACGCCGTCAAAGGATAGGACATCTTTGCCTGCGTGGGAGGATGCAGAAGTTGGCGGCTGCTCTGGAGGTATATACAAGCCAAGGCCCAGAGACGATATGGTAGGCGCAGTCATCGTGGATGAATGCGCATTCGCATCGGAAGCCATTGAAGAAACAAGATGATGCGTCTCAGGTATAGCGTGATCATGACTTCGAGATTTGGACGATCCCCGAGACACTTGAGCAATGGCTGGTGTTCGGGCATTCGCACCGCTCGGCGACGAGGCCGACGGCACAGACGCCGGGCTCGTCGTCGTTGACACAGAGCCTGTACGGCCATGTGCACTGATCCACGCCAGCGCTGGTGAGCCAGTGGTGAACAGGTCCTTACTGTGCCGCTTCGGGCTCGCTGAGCCGTCTAGGCTGTCATGCATTTGGCTGAGGATCAAGACGCGTGGTGTGTGTATGCGGCGAGTCCAACCCTAAGAATTTGAATCTGGCCAATTAGCGCTGTTTATTCGGCTCGTGCAACACAACAGTCACATGGCTTTCACAGCCTCGATCCACGCGACGCGCCTGCCAGGCACAGTCCGGCGCTCCCTTGCGGCCGAGACCCACAGCAGCGGCAGGCAGCCAGGCAACTGGGCGGCGCCCCTTGCCCTTGAGGGCATTTTAGGCACGTTGCGTCAATATTCGCATGTCTTGTGATGGCACTCAGGTGCACTTCACTCAAAGAAGCGTCTACTAGCACGGCGTTCGAAACAGATAAGGAGGATATCAGGGCACGATTCAGGTGCTATGGATAGAGAGAAGAAGAGGAAGGAGGCGAAGGGGCGGACAGGTTTCGGGGCCAAAGACATAGACTACAGTGGTATGATCGTAGAGGAAGAAAAGGCAAGTAGATGCACCTCTACGTATATCAACAGGCCTCTAAAACAGAGCAAGGCGGCAAGCAGGCTGCGGCATCTTTCGCTGCATGGCGGCGCGCACGTGTTTGTCACTCAGAAGGTGTAACATGGCACCGCGCGTTTCCGGCGTGTCAAATACCGTGCGCTGCTTCGCATCTGTCCACGAAAAGTCAATGATCAGAGCTGCGAGGTGGTCCAGTCGACATGAGCCCTGCTGAATGAGTGTGTGAACGCGGTGAGGCGTTCCTACGCCGAGGGGCGCCGGCTGGGCTCGAAGCCAGGCATCCTGCTCCTCCACCTTGAAATGTCGAGCGAATAGCTTGGCAACGACGGGTGCTGGCGCCGCGGCCTTCTCGTCTTTCGAGGTCGACGCCGCGCTTACGTCGTCTCTTTTACCCTTGCGAGGTCGCTTGACTCGCTCTGCCGAGCTACCAGGCATAAAGGTGCGGAGTGTACGTGCGATATCAGCTGCGCGCTGTGCATTACCTGCTAACACAAGCACGTACGGCATGCCATGCTCAGCTCGGCATGGATGCTGTGCACTTTGTAGCGGATTCATGTCCACGTCTGTGTAAGTCAACTTCGTGCATACGTACATGTTTGGACGAACGAGGGCAAATGCTCGAGTGTGCGGGCAGGTTGGAACATGTATGTCTCCATGATACTGGTCACTGGCACACTAGATTCTTGTAGCTCCATATCACTGAGTTTGGGAAACGCTTTGCGTTGGAGTGAGCGCAAATAGTCTGCTTGGAGATCAGACGGCTGTTGAGCCACCGACACCGCTGCTGCTGTCTGCTCGTGGAATGCGGCCGATTTCTAAAAGGGCGTGAGCAAGACGCGGACATACACAGAACAGGCACGGCGAGGGATCTGCCAAACACACGTGCACTAGTCGTCTCAAAGCCGCTCCTGACGTACCTTTTTGCGTTGCACCTTCGCTCGCTCACGGCGCTTGCGTTTCTTCTGTGATGCTGTGTCCTCCTCGTCCACGTGCGAAGTAGGCGCACGCTCCGAACTGCCCTGTCGGAATGTCTCAACATCTGAGGTGCCATCATCAGAATATGCCACAATGTCATCCTCGACCAAGAGTCCGTCGTCCAGTTCGTCACCCATACTCTCTAGTGGGCCGCAATATCAGCAAGGATGAGCGCTTGGGCCCAGACATTGGGCCAATCTGATCGTCTTAATTCCTGTGCACATTCATGCAGCGCACTCCAACTACTGATGTCTTTTTTTTTTTTATTTTCAGGTGGCGGGCTTCCACTGCCTGTCTGCATGAGCAAAAATGAAAATTACGTCAGATGCCTCCTCGCGCGCGTCGTCGCGGACCGTGATAAGGAGACACTTCCATCGCGATCAGCATCCAAAGCACTATTTTTTTCTCACTTCACAGCCTCAAGACGACATTGCACCATGGCCAAACGTAGTGCGGCCAGCAAGTTTCCCATCGCACGCATCAAACGCATTATGCAGGCTGACGAAGATGTCGGCAAAGTCGCTCAGGCGACACCCGTTGTGATCTGTACGTTTGTATAAACACGCGCGCACGCGCGCGCGGTGGTGGTCTGTGATTGACCGTACAGCGAAAGCGCTCGAGCTCTTTATGCAAGATATTGTGGAAAGTGCAGCGGAGCAGACGCGAAAGACTGGTGGAAAACGCGTCGCTCCTTACCACTTGTACGTACGTTTGCGCGCTCACAGTAGAAAACGCGCTGCCCTCACGACAGAAACGTTTGACTTTTTGAAGGACATTGTAGAGAAGGTGCCTGATCCTCTGGAAGCGGGTCATTCACGTGGCACGAAGCGGCGCAAAGTCGCGAAATCGCCGTCTGATGAAGATGACGCTGCTGCCACTGAGGCAGACCATGACGATGGTACCGCGGATCCATCTGGTGCAGAAGCCAATGGTGAAGATGCGGATAGAGACGAAAATGGTGCAGAAGATGAGCATGACGCAAAACCTGAGCGCGTATAGGAAGATAACGCTACATCCTCTATTGTCAAGAGTGATGCCAATGTACAAGAAACGCCAGAAACATGCACTGCTAATGAGGAGGCCGAAAAATAGGCTGGTGGGCCTGCATCCACGACAAATCGCAGTTATACGTCTATTTTTCTTTTTTTTTTTTTTGTTTCAACGATGCATACACTTTCCGCTGTTAACCTACCCTTTCTATCCATTTCTCATCTTCCGCAAGTAGCGCGCTATCTTGTACGATACATGTGTAGAATGTGTGCGCCCTTGAAGCTGTGCGACCAGTGACGACATCTATGCACAGCGCGACATGGCAGATTTGTGTGTGCTTGGCCATGCGTCGCACGAGAAAGTCTCGCAACAGCTCCGCACCGCGTGCTGCATTGATTGAGTCAGGCTGATTGGCTTGTGCACACGAGAAAAGGCTGGTGGAGGATTGTCGTGCTGACGAAAGCTGACCCAATTTCGTCCGCCTGTGCGCCTCCGGCGCATTGAATTTTTCCACATGTCTTTTTTTACCCGTGCATCAGTCTACGACAGGGAGAAAATTTTTTTTCTGCTCGTTCTTTAGCCAAGTTCAAGCTCTCTACGCTCCACCACTGTCCTGGCAGTTGGCGAACGTCTGGGTTGTCACGTCTCTCAAAGACGCTTGCGGCGACCGTGGTGGACGATTCATATTGACCAAGTAAGAGTCAATCCATACACGTTGCATGTCTGCTGAAAATTCGTTGGTATCTGGCCAACGACAGGCCGTGCCTGCAGCCATTTCGCCATCGTTACACAGTTCGCTGGTCGACCAAATGCCCTCTCGGGCACCGTCGCCAGCGCCTCCTGCTACCTTGGCGCCGGTTTCCGTGCCAAGTGCACCGAAGATGATGCTTGAACTTGCTGATAAGACGGAGTTCCAGGGCATAAGCTTTGGCGCAGAGGGCAAGAGTGTGTCTGGCGAATGCGTCTTCCAAACAGGTACGTACGGACGAAGAAAAGTGCAATGGCGCTATGCACGAGCGTGTGTGTGTGGTGTCATTGTGCTGCTTTGGAACTCAATGTTCTTACACGCTAGGCATGGTCGGCTACGTCGAGTCTCTCACGGATCCATCGTACGAGGGCCAGATCCTTGTGCTAACGTACCCAATGGTTGGCAACTACGGCGTGCCAGCACGCCCGACTGACGCCGCGGCCATGACACAGGTGCCGCCAAAGCTGCAAGCGCCCTTCGAGTCGACGCGCATCCACGTGGCGGGTCTGGTCGTTGCATACTATAGCCATGACTTTAGCCACTACCTGGCCGCTTCGGGCTTGAGCGACTGGCTGAAGGAAAATGGTGTGCCAGCCGTATATGGTATCGACACGCGTGCGCTCACAAAACGGATCCGGACGAAGGGTAGCATGCTGGCGCGTCTTCTCGCCGCCAGGCCTGGCGCTTCTCTGGGAGGCGATTGGCGCGAGCAAGTGCTGGACGTGCCGTGGCACAATCCTAATGGTGAAAACCTTGTGGCTAAAGTGTCGTGCAAGATGCCGATGCTGTATACGCCACAGGACACTGCCCCTGCTGGCCTTCGGATGGCGAATGAGCCGACGCTCATGCACACGAGTGGCCGTCCCATCCGTGTGCTGGCACTCGATGTCGGCATGAAGCAAAACCAGATCCGGTGTTTCACATCACGAGGTGTCGAGCTTAAGGTCGTGCCGTTCGACCATGATATCCTGACTGAGCCTGAGCCATACGACGGCTTGTTCATCTCGAACGGGCCGGGCGATCCCATGCAGTGCACGCAGACGATCCAGCGTCTGCGCGCGCTCCTGGCGCGCACGTCGGATGTGATCCCGATCTTTGGTATCTGTCTTGGCCACCAGCTGCTAGCCCTCGCTGCTGGCGCTCAGACGACCAAAATGAAGTATGGTAACCGCGGACAGAACATCCCTTGCACAAGCCAGCTCTCGGGTCGTTGCTACATCACTTCGCAGAACCATGGATATGCTGTTGATGCGCAATCCCTTCCTGACGGCTGGGCCGAGCTGTTTGTCAATGCGAACGACCACAGCAACGAAGGCATTTACTGCACGCATGCGCCGTTTTTCAGTGTGCAATTCCACCCAGAAAGCACGCCTGGACCACGTGACACTGAATTCCTATTTGATGTGTTTGTGCGCTCGGTAGTGGACAACGCGGCTGTGCGCCACTCGGCACACAGCGGCGGCAACGCGTTGACACTGGCACCCGTCGCTTTCCCTGGGGGCCGCCGCGCCGACCACGAAGCAGCGTTCCCGCGCCTGCACCCGAAGAAGGTGCTGGTGCTGGGCAGTGGCGGTCTCAGCATTGGCCAGGCTGGTGAGTTTGACTACAGTGGCTCGCAGGCGATCAAGGCGCTGAAGGAAGAGGGGATCTACACGGTGCTGATCAATCCCAACATTGCAACGATCCAGACCTCAGCGGGTCTAGCCGACAAGGTGTACTTCTTGCCAGTGACGCCGGAGTTTGTGCTGAAGGTCTTGCGTCACGAGCGCCCTGACGGCATCTACTGCACGTTTGGTGGCCAGACAGCTCTGAATGTGGGCATCCACCTGAAGGACGAGTTTGAGAAGCTGGGCGTGCTGAACCTCGGCACACCTATCGATACCATCATCAAGACCGAAGACCGCGACTTGTTTGCGCGTGCGATGGAAGAGATCGGCGAACGGTGTGCACCGTCAGCCAGTGCGAACACGTGGGACGAGGCGCTTCAGGCGGCGCACAACATTGGCTTCCCTGTGATCGTGCGAGCGGCCTTTGCGCTGGGCGGTCTGGGCTCTGGCTTTGCGAAGAACGAGGACGAGCTGCGGCGCCTGTGCCACACAGCGTTTGCGAACAGTCCACAGGTGCTTGTGGAAAAGAGTATGCGTGGCTGGAAAGAAGTCGAGTACGAAGTGGTGCGTGACTGTCGGGACAACTGCATTACTGTGTGCAACATGGAGAACTTTGATCCACTCGGTGTGCACACGGGTGATTCGATCGTCGTCGCGCCCAGTCAGACACTGTCCGACGAGGACTACAACATGCTGCGCACGACGGCCGTGAATGTGATTCGGCATCTCGGCGTCGTGGGTGAGTGCAACATCCAGTATGCGCTGAATCCCCACTCGCGCGAGTACTGTATCATTGAGGTGAACGCGCGTCTGTCTCGGTCATCGGCTCTGGCATCGAAGGCGACGGGCTATCCCCTAGCGTTCGTCGCCGCCAAGCTGGGTCTCAACATTCCACTGAACGAGCTGCGCAACTCGGTGACGCGCGAGACGTGTGCATGCTTCGAGCCCAGTCTCGACTACGTGGTGACTAAGATCCCCCGTTGGGACCTGCGCAAGTTCATGCGCGTGAGCTCGAAGCTGGGCAGCAGCATGAAGAGTGTGGGCGAGGTGATGGCCATTGGTCGCACATTCGAGGAAAGTGTGCAGAAAGCCATCCGGTCGGTCGATCCGTCGTTTGCTGGTTTCAGCGAGAATGATATGGTCGATGATGCCGAGATCGACGAAGAGCTCGAGTTCCCGACGGACCGACGCATCTTTGCTGTGGCCAATGCGCTCGCACGTGGTCGGTCTGTCGAGCACATCCACAAGCTGAGCAACATTGACCGCTGGTTCCTGCGCAAGCTCGAGGGCATCATTGCTGCCGCCAAGGCCATGGAGCACAGCGGCGCAGCGCAGATTCCAGCGGACTTGCTTCGTCGTGCGAAGCAGCTGGGCTTCTCGGACCACCAGATCGCCAAGTACTCCGCCAGCACGGAGCTCGCCGTGCGACGCAGACGGCAGGAGCTGGGCATCACGCCGTTCGTGAAGCAGATCGACACAGTCGCAGCCGAGTTCCCTGCGCAGACGAACTACTTGTACACAACGTACCACGCCGTGGAGCATGATCTGAACTTTGAGGACCACGGCGTCATGGTACTGGGCTCTGGTGTGTACCGGATTGGCTCCGTCTGTTGAGTTCGATTGGTGTGCGGTGCGTGCGATCCGCACACTGCGTGCGAAGGGCTTCAAGACGGTCATGGTGAACTACAACCCCGAGACCGTGTCGACCGACTACGATGAGGCGGACCGACTGTACTTTGAGAACATCTCGCTCGAGACCGTGATGGACATTTATGAGATGGAGCAGTCGACGGGCGTGGTGATTTCGATGGGTGGCCAAACGCCGAACAACATTGCGTTGCCGCTGCACCGCCAAGGTGTCAAGATCCTCGGAACGTCGCCGGAGATGATCGACAATGCAGAGAACCGATACAAGTTTTCCCGCATGCTCGACCGATTGGGCGTGGACCAGCCCATGTGGAAGGAGCTCTCATCGTTCGAAGACGCACACAATGCATGTGCTCGCTTCGGCTATCCGGTCCTCGTGCGTCCATCATACGTGCTGAGCGGTGCTGCGATGAACGTCGTGTACTCAGCCGAGGACCTGAGCAGCTATCTGTCGCAGGCGACGGCCGTGAATCGCGAGCACCCCGTCGTTATCACCAAGTATCTCGAGGGTGCCAAAGAGATTGAAATGGACGCAGTCGCCAAAGACGGCAAACTCATCATGCACTACGTCTCGGAGCATGTGGAGAATGCTGGCGTGCACTCCGGTGACGCGACGCTCATCCTGCCGCCGCAGGACCTCGAGATCGAGACTGTGCGCCGCATCGAGCATGCGACAAGCATGATTGTCGAGGCGCTGAATGTCACAGGGCCGTGCAACATCCAGTTCATCGCCAAGAACAACGAAATCAAGGTCATCGAGTGCAACGTGCGTGCAGCGCGCTCGTTCCCCTTCGTGTCGAAGGTGACGAATGTGGATGCGATTGAAATGGCCACGTGTGCGATGATGGGTCTCCCTGTCGAGCCGTACCCACAGGTCGACTTGCCGAAGGACTATGTCGGCGTCAAAGTGCCGCAGTTCTCGTTCTCGCGTCTGAGTGGCGCCGATCCCATTCTGGGCGTCGAGATGGCATCGACCGGTGAGGTGGCGTGCTTCGGCCGCAATAAGTACGAGGCGTACTTGCGTGCGCTGCTTGCGTCGGGCATCCGCATGCCGACGAACAATGTGCTGCTGAGTGTTGGTCCGTTCAGCGAGAAGCAGGAACTCCTGCCGTCTGTGCGCACACTGCACCAGCTTGGCTTTACGCTGTACGGCTCGTCTGGCACGGCCGACTTTTACTCGGAGAACGGCATCCCCGTCATCCACCTCGAGGCACTGCCCGAAGACGAGGACTGGCGCGGCGACGAGAGCAGCAAGGCATCGTACTCGCTGCTGACGCACCTGACACAGGGCCGTAGCTCGCTGTTTATCTCGCTTCCCAGCAAGAACAAGTACCGCCGTCCGTCGTCGTTCACATCGATGGGCTACCGCGCGCGTCGTCTGGCCATTGACCGCTCGATTCCGCTCGTCACGAACGTCAAGAACGCCAAGCTCTTTGTTGAGGCGCTCGCCGTTCATCGCCGCCTGGGCAACTCGTTCGATATTCTGCCAGTCGATGCAAAGACGTCGCACAAGACGTGCACGTTCCCAGGCTTTGTCGAGCTGCAGGCGTTTGTCCCATCGATGGGCGCTGCGCTTACCAAGCAGCATGTGGCTGAGTACACGCGTGCGGCTGCACGGGGCGGCTTTACGTCGATCGTCTGCTCGCCAGTCGGCAGCGTCGGCAGCGACAGCAGCACCATGTCTGCCATTGTCGATGAGGAATCGCTGAGTGCCGCGGAAGCTGCCCTCGATGGCCAGTGCTGCGTCGATGTGTCGCTCACGCTCCTTGCGACGCCCGAGCATGTCGGAGAGCTGCCGCACCTGTCGTCGCGTGTGCGTGCGCTGTTCGTTTCATACTCGGGCTCGGCCCGCGAACACAGCTTGCGGCCCGCGAACGTGGCGAACTACTTCGCCCACTGGCCGGAAGACAAGCTCATCCTCACGGATGCTTGTGGCGCAGATCTTGCGTCGGTGCTCCTGCTGGCCAGCTTGCACAACCGCCCGCTCCATGTGACGAATGTGCGTTGCTCCGACGACGTGCAGCTCATCGCGCTTTCGAAGGCCAAGGGGCTGCGTGTCACGTGCGATGTGCCTGTGCACGCGCTCTTCTTCTCGAATGACATGTATCCCATGGCGTCGTGCCTGCCGTCGGCACAGGACCAGGCCGCGCTTTGGGACCACATCGAGGACATTGATGCCTTCTCGATGGGCCCCGTGCCGTGGGAGCTTGCGACCCAGGTGGGCCACGAGCCCTTGCCGACGATCGGCACGGACGACGCCGTGCGCATGTTGCTGAATGCGGTGAACGAGGGCCGTTTGACCATCGACCATATCACGTCCCGGCTGGGCACAAACCCACGCATGATTTTCCAGCTGCCGGAGCAGCCAGAGACGCACGTGTTCGCTGAAATTGACCGCATTGAGCACCACCACCAGCACCACGACCAAGATGGGCGCCCTGCATGGTCGCCACTCGATACGGCCTCACTCCGTGGCACGATCAACCGTGTCGAGCTGCGTGGCAAGACCCTCATGCTGGACGGCAAGCTGCGTGCGAACGTGCCTCTCGGCTCAAACGTTAGTGCGCTTGAGCAGCCACGCATCTCTACGGGCGCAGCACCCGCTGCGTCGTCGACCGTGGGCGGCGCGGCCGCTTCCACCATGGCTGGCGGTGCTGCTTCCTCGGGTGTGGCTGGTACCGGCCTAAGCGGCCTGGACGTGCCTGTGTCGCCATCCATTGCGTTGCGCTCGCCACGCCGCCGTCCGCTCGTGGCAGGTGCCACGAGGCAGCCGTCCCAGATCGACGAGCTGCGTCTCGAGCCAGTGGCTGGTCCTGCGCCAGTGACGCGTCTCTCGCTGTACCATGGGTCGTTCTCGCGCCGCCACATTCTCTCGGTGCGGCAGTTCACGCGCGACGATCTCCATGCCCTCTTTGCCGTTGCGCAGGAGATGCGTTTCCTTGTGCAGCGCAACGGCACACTAGATGTGCTGCGTGGCCACATCCTTTGCACGCTGTTCTACGAGGAGTCGACACGCACTTCGGCATCGTTTGAGGCGGCTATGCTCCGCTGTGGTGGCCAGGTCGTGTCGATCAACACGTCGCGCTCGTCTGTCGCCAAGGGCGAGACACTCGCCGACACAGTACGCACGCTGGGCTGCTACGGCGATGCCGTGGTGCTTCGGCACCCGGCTGTTGGCTCGTCGCAGGAGGCCGCGAAATTCTCGCCCGTGCCCGTCATCAATGCCGGTGACGGCGTTGGCGAGCACCCGACGCAGGCACTGCTCGATGTGTTCACCATTCGCGAAGAACTCGGCACAGTGAACGGTCTCACTGTGACTCTGCTTGGTGACTTGAAGAACGGCCGCACCACACACTCACTCGTGCGTCTTCTGTCGCACTACGGTGTTCGCGTGAACTTTGTGAGCCCGCCATCGCTTGCAATGCCACGCGAAGTCATCCGCGAGGTCGTGAAGCATGGCATGGCCGTGTACGAGACGTCGAATCTCGACGAAGTCATTGGCACAACAGATGTGCTGTATGTAACGCGGATCCAGCGCGAGCGCTTTGCGTCCCAGGACGAGTACGAGGCCGTCAAAGGCTGCTACGTCGTGAACAACGATGTCCTTGCTCGCGCAAAGCCTGACTTGGCCGTGCTGCATCCCCTGCCGCGTGTGGATGAAATTGATCCCGAGGTCGACTTTGACATCAAGCGTGCGGCGTACTTCCGCCAGATGCGCTGTGGCCTGTACATCCGCATGGCGCTCTTAGCCATGGTGATGCAATCCAGCGACCGGTCGTAAGTCGCGCTGAGTATGTTTGTGCTCGTCGGTGTATGTCGTGCGAGTCTCTTGCACGCTGTGTGTCCCATGGATGTCTCTCGCACCTCTTTCAGATCATGTTCCCTCTCCTCCGTAGCTTTCGTGCATATATTGATGGAGAAATCAAGGTTTGCTCTTCTACAACACACCGCTTTCTTGCGTCACCCGTGTGCCGGATGTGCGATGATGCGCATGCTTGTCTCTATGTGTTACTGCTGTGTCGATGAAACGCCAAGACATAGTGCCCTCAGTCTCGCCTCTGACGCGTACGCGACAAACCTTGCTGCTGGCACACCGCACATTCGTTGGGACTTGGTTCATCCAGTTGCCTATATATCCCAACCGCTGGTCCTCTTACGAGCTCCGGACCCATGTGGAGAAGGAAATGTGCCCTTGACATTTAGTCAACACCACACATATGCGCCGTCTCAGGTGCGCGGCGCTTACGACATGCGAGAAAAGTTGGGCGCAAGACGTGTGAGTGAGTAATTGTGGGTGTGGTCAACTGTTGTCGGCATCGAACTTTGCAAGGCACGTCCCACGGCCATGCCGTACTGGGACGCTGACTTGCAATTGCAGTGGCCTCCGAATTACACTGCATTAATCCACGTATATGCATACCTTTTTAGCGCCGTCACCCTAGCGCTGTTGTTTTGCTCTGTAACGCGAAAGCCCAATCACCACTTCACGCACGCAGCTGGCATATCGGCACTATGCAGTGCGGCAATGATCATTCGGGCCGTGCGATATGAGTGGTTCATTGCTGCGCGCATCCTTGACATATGGTCTGCAGAAGCTTGCCTGGGAATGTGTATGCAGCTTTTGTATAACTACATTATGATCTTGGAGTGTGCTTCGAGGCGGACATGGCGCTTTCGGTCACGACTCGTGCGCTACATGCGATGGAGTTACCTTGCATGGACTGCATCTGCACTCACTGCATTTCACCGCCCTTCCTACACAATCATGTACCTAGTCTTATGCTTGCAATGGGGCGTGTATGCGCTGTGCCTGAATATGCTCCAAATGCACGCACAAGCTATGCTGTACCCAAAGCATGGATCTCTTACACTACCCAAACGCGTACAACCACGCATGCCATTGGTCTCTATTTGGCTGGATATGTCTAGTTTCTTTTCTTGGCCCAGCTCTCTTTCAGTGACTCGCAAGACGGTACGGCAGCTGTATGATGTGTTGTGTGTGATCATGCTGATGTGTGTTCAGCTCATGTTTCTCGTTATATACAGCTATGCCGAAGAGCTCCGCGATTTTCACGCATGGATCATTCACACCACGCGTCTCTTTTCCGTTGTCTTCCTTCTTCTTCTTATGACGCCTGGCTTTCTGCCTCGTTTCCAGGCATCAAGATATACGTCCTCTCTTCTTAACGCTTAACGTGTTGACGACTATTGACGAGCTACCGTTTCCTTTGAAAATGTACTTTCTTTAATACACACACACACACACACACACTCTCTCTCTCTCTCTCTCTCTCTTTCTCTATGCGTCGCTTATACATCATTTTGTGACTCGATTTGCCTGGCCCCGGTGTTCCAAACCGGTTCCCTCGTCGTTTTGTTTGTCCATGTGTCACTTACCACTGCACTCTTCCCGTCAACCCAGTATCTTACACGAATTGCTCCCACGTCCGACTTAGATCATGTATGTACCTACATAACCAAAACTTCCTTGTTGCACGGCTCGCCAGGCGTAACTGCCGGTAACGTGCGAGAGAAATCAGCAGCTCACTACTCGCGCGACTCGCGGAACTCGGACTCGACACTGGTAACGACAGCAGTCATCTCCTGACTCAATTGCTCCAGCGTTCCTGCAGCCGAGCGATGATACTCAAGCTGCGCTTGCACAAGACTAGCAAGGCTCTTAACGGGCTCAGGATTATCCAACACCGTCTTCATCAAACTGATAGCCTCCTCTGTTGCACTCACAAGCTTGTCTTCTGCCTGCTCGACCTCATGTCGATACGAGTCTAGCTTGCTGCTGCTTGTGTTCGATTGTTCCGCAGACTTGAGATGTCCGCGCCAGCCATCCAAATGCAGACGTGCGTCCCGCACCTGCTGCCGAGCCTTGACAGCTAATTGAATCTGAGCACCAAACGCGTTCCATACCACAATAAATGAATGCACAATCGAGTGGTCCTGTGTGAGACGTGCATGTCCCACCGCATCTTCAGCCACAGCAAACTTACGCAGCAACTCGCCTAGTTTGCTCTCAGTTGTCGGGACAAGTTCGCCGCCTGTATATGCTGGTACTTTGGGTGGACACTTGCTCAGATCAATGGCTGCAGCCGTTGCGCTCCGTGCAATCGCATGACTCAGCGTGCGTGGATGCGACTCAGGTGCTGACGTCGCATGTACTTGAGGGAGGTTGGTATTCTTTGTTGCCTGCGAAGCCCACATCGACAGTGTGTGGCCGAGATTCTGGGCGCCATGCGATACGGATTCCTGCAGGGCGTGCTAGACATGAGCGCTCGTGCTCTGATGCGCCAAGGCTCTGCATGAAGCCCATACGTACCGGGTAATCGTACATTTCATTCTCATACGTCTTGATACTCCTGTTCCAATGTTAGTGATGCTCATGGAAACCACCACCACTGCATCATTGAGCAGCGGCGTCTGACTAGACGTCGTGCCCCATGACTAGGCACGGGATATCCTACACATACCGCATCATGCTTTGGTGTGCATTCTTCAGCGCATCGACACGCTGCTCCAGTTGCTTATATTCTTCCGGCAATTCCGTCAGATCATCTGCGTGACCAAAGTGCTCACGCGCCTGCTGATTCTGTTTCACACGCGTAAGTCTGGGATGAACTCTCTCCATAACAACGTCACATACCAAGGCGCCAAAGCGCTCAGAGAGCCGTTGACCAATAGGGCTCACGCTTGCAGTGAAATTCTTCCAATGCTCCATCAAGGCACTTAGTGGGAGAAAGCGGGTGAGCTAGTAGGAAGGTGTGAATGAGCAGAAATGTACACTTGTCGCTCGTCTCGGATCACGCTTTGAAAGATTGGCTGCCTGCTTGCCTGCCGTCCGAGTTTTATTCCTTAGACCCCCCCCCCTTTCTGCCCCCAACCAAGCCCCGCATTCCACGCGCGTCTCACGTTGCACTGCCGGTGCTGTCGAGTTGCGGCGCTGTTTGGCACGAGCCACTAGATTTTCTCGCATTTGCTGTCGCGACATTGCACTCTACTGGCCTTGTTGGTCCTCACGATGTCAGTATGAACCACTTCCAGCCAATCCAGTCACCTCTAATTCTACTGCATTGAAGCTACGACCGATGAGCACGTGGACTTGTGGAGAACGCGTCATGTCGACATCATTCCCCTGTCTCGACACCATTTATTCATAGGAGGAGGGTGGGCGGCTGATTGTCGTAGGCACGACGACGTCGCAGTCGATGCAGTATCAGCAAGATGAAAAGGTACTTTGTTTTCATGGGCCTCTGATCTACCAGGCCAAGGTGCGTATCAAACGACCCTACAACACCGCTTTCTTCTTTCCTTCTTCCCTCTGCTCCCCTCACCCCCATCGCCTTATTCCTGTCCACCTTGTCACATGCGCGTATGACATGTACTCATGCAGTTAGATTTTGATGGCCGAAGATTGGAAAGGCTCCGAAAATCAAAACGGTGCTGTAGGGCCCCATTACTTTGTTCATTACCAGGGCTGGAAAAAGACTTGGGATGAATGGGTGCCGGAAGAACGGCTTTTAAAAACACACGGAAGAAAATGTCGCTCGCCAGAAAGCTCTAGTCGATGCACAGAAAGCCGAGGCGGCGGCCGCAGCCGCTGTAGCTGCAGCTCATGCCGCTGAACAAACGAATGCCCGTTCAAAAAGGGAGGAATCACGCAAAGCTGCTGCTGCTACAGCGACAAGCGCAAGTGGATCAGCGACCGGCAGTAGTACAAACAGCTCGGGTGCGACTTCTGGAGCAACAAGTGGTAGTGGTCGTGGCTCGAAGCGAAGCCGCGATGCTTCAGACGCCGACGAACATGAGCGCAGGCCCGAGATTCATCTGACTATACCCGAGTCGCTCAAGGCACAGCTCGTTGACGATTGGGAAAATGTCACACGAAAAGAGCAGCTCGTTCCACTTCCTCGCAAGCCCAACGTCAAAAGTGTCTTGAGAGAATATGCCGACCATTATCAGAAAACACATGCTCAACATACTCGCACTCTGACTGTGTTGAATGAAGTACTCGCAGGCCTCAAGCTGTACTTTGACAAAAGTCTAGCACACAACCTCTTGTACCGCTTTGAGCGCGAGCAATATGTGCAGATGCGAAAGCAGCACGGTCCCAAGATGGGTGATGGCGATGTACAGACGGACATTGCCGCTGTGAAGCCGACGACTCGCCGTGGCCGCGCATCGTCTTCATTCTCGACGGCGACGCCCTCGACGCCTTCGACTGCTGCTAGTGCGACTCACTCGGAACAGGCCACTGAATCACGCGCAAACGATTCTTCCCCTAGTCTAGGCTCGCACTCAGAGTTGGAAGCGAGTGAAATTTATGGTGCCGAGCACCTGCTGCGTCTATTTGGTATGTGATGCAACTGTGATGGATGTTTCGTTATTTTTTTCTGACGCCTATTCTAGTGAATCTGCCATGTATTGTAGCACATACGACAATGGATGCCGAATCTGTGGCGATCCTGCGCGAGCACCTGAATGAGTTTCTTGCGTTTCTTGCAAAGGAACAAAAGCGGTTCTTTGTACATGACTATGAAGATCCTAGTCCCGCATACCACCGTTTGAATGCTACGTAGTATGTAATTGATGCGGATTTGTTGCAGCAATGACTCGCACAGCGCGCAATGCTCACCTATAGCACGAGCCATGGCTGCGGTGGCGGCAGCGCCATGCACATAGGAGAGGACGACGCGGCCCCTGCTTCGGCCGAAGTGTAGATCAACAACACGCGTCCGCCCCATGCGAAAGCAAGCAGCAGCTGCGGGGCGGGCCACGTTCATAGAATAAATAGAAATCTCTTCACCCAAAAGTCGAGTGTTGTAGCTGTGTTGTTGTTATCCTGGTTGGGCTAAAGTCTGCTGCTGCTGCTGCCTTTGTCACACAACATGAACGTACAGCTGGACAGGAACCAGCCTCGTACGCCAGCGACAGATAGCCGTGCGCTACAGAACCTCATCAAAGCCGAAAAGACATACGTCGACGAACTGTTAAGCGCGACGTCGGCAGCGTTTGGCGCTGCGTCGTCATTGCATGCGTGGGGCATCTCAGAAACGCCCGATTTGGACCATGCATCCGATATAGTGGCGCAGTATCTCGAGAAGGCTGCAAACGCACAAAAGACATACGCTCAGTCGCTCGATCAGTACCGCGAGTCGCTAAAGGACATGCTGAACCGTGAGCAAAGCATTCGCAGTATCGTGCGAGATCGCGACATTCTCATGAGCCGCGTCATTAAGCTAACTCAGCGAAAACCCACGAAACGCGAACTGATGAAGGGTGAGGAAGAGCATCAGATGCGCATGCTCGATGCGCAGCGCGAGCTCCAGGCATGTGAGCAGACGCTTGCGAATGAAACAGCAGCCCTCATCGGTGTGAAGCGCCGCACATTCAAAGAAGCCCTCACGATGCGTGCCAAGGTCCTGGGCGACACGGGTGCAATTATGATGGACAATGCGCGTGAGATTCTTGTGTTTCTCGATACGTTCGATGCGGACATTCCCGTGGCTCCGATGCCTGTGGACCCGATGGATCGCTCCGAGCATCTCTACGGCGCAGCACCTGTGCAGAAGCGCTCTTCCGCTGATCAGAATATCTTCCTCTCTGACGCTGACACGCTCTATCAAATCATGCCTGAAACGCGCCCGCAGCAGCAACAGGTAGAGTCGGTCCAACAGGCAGGCCAGTTGGAACATGCAGATTATGGTGTTCCGTCGGACGAAGCCGCTCTCATGATGTCTCCAGGGCTGGAGGGCGAGCCTGTGTACGATGTGGATCCGTCTCCGTATGACGGTGTCGTGCCTGACGATTCGCTCCAGCCACAGCTGGCGCAGCAGCCTGAGTCGTTCGGTACGCGTCTTTCGCCTTTGCCGTCGAAGTCATCTGCAAGGAGGCCGCAGCGTTCCGGCAGCATGGCCTCTAGCGTGCGGTCGCGCGACAGGCCTTCGCGCGCATCCCGCACAGGACACAGGCGTGCATCGTCCAGCTTGTCCAGTCAACTGCCCTCGATGTCGCTACCATCTGTTCCTGGAGGCGTGCCCAGTGCACCGCGCATGAATCTTGAGCATGCGCGCGATGGTTTTGTTGCTCCGATTGTGCCTGGCGGAGTGCCATCTGCGCCGCGTCTTTTTGCTCACCATGATGACGATATGGCCGCAAGCACCGTCGACTCATCCGTCGTGCAGCGACCAACGCGACGTCGCCAAGCAGATTCGGACGACGAGGACCAGGGATTCTTGCGTCGCGGAAGCACAAAGCACCATTATGGTGGCGGCGGCGGTGGCGGCGGCTTCTTCTCACGCGTTTCGAACTTGTTCCGCACCGACATCCGAGCATCCCCGCCACGCTCGCACCGCCGCTCAGGCTCCGAATCTCTGTTGGCTCCACTGAGTGGCTCGAGCCGAGCTCCCACGCGCTCATCATCACGAGTGTTCCGTGACCGTGGTGGCGACAGTAGTGACGAAGAGCCTGCGGGTGTCATGTACCAGCACTTCAACGAGCGTCCAGCGCTCCAGCTGTATTCGACACAGTCAGGCCCACGTTCGCCGGAAGAACAGGCGCTTGACGAGGCGATCCGGCAAAGTGTGATGGGAGCTGGCCTTGGCTCTTCGACACGCAGCCGGCCCGCATCGCGACAGTCGGACGTCGTGGGTGGAATCAAGACAGGTGCGCCGTCCAAGGCGGCAACGAGACCGCGCAAGCCTCGCAGCAATTCGGTCGACCTTGGCAATGGCGCTACGGTCCAACGCGTTGAATCCACGAGTTCATCGACTCGGAAGGTGAAGAAGCGCAGCAGTGTTGACCGCGTGGGAGCCACCGGCACGACTGCCAGCACAACCACCACCTCGCCGCCAGGCACAGCAACAAAGGGCAAGAAGAAGCGGGATGCGACGGCCTTCCCCCCTCCTGCCCCGTCAAGCTTCTACAACCCTGGCAAGTACGCCACAGACTCGTGGGTACCGCGTGCCGACCAACTGCCGGCACGACCCGCGAGCGCACAGGGTCTCACGAGTACGCGTGCGTCGACGCCGCTCAAATCTGCAATGAAGTCGAAGGAATCGCCGTCCGTGAGAGGCAGGCGCATCTCCATTGCCGAAGCCGATTCCAATGCCTCGCAGGTGGCGTCTAGCCGCTCAGAACTTCCGCCTGCTTTGTCCTACATGAATATAGCTGCAGCAACGACGCCAACACCGACGGCAACGGCGGCAACGACTACGACGGCGTTGGGTGATGCCGATGCACGATCCCTGCCGTATACAAGTCTGTCGCCAACGACTACGTTCACGCCCATGTCACTGGACCTGGGTCGGCCTGTGGACGGAACAGGATCGCTCGGCATGAATCTCACCGACTCAGACTCACCGACAAAGCGGTCGTCTATGCCGGCTGGTTTGGCACCTGCCATGTCCTACCTGTCGGTCAAATCGTCGTCGCAGCCGCCAACACTGCCAAGAATCACGATGGATGACAACATGGGCTCAGATGCGACCGACCTGTACCGCGCATGGATGGCGTCTTCGGAAGCCCAGCCGACGTCCTCTAGCACAACCGCATCCGAACCTGCTGTGGCACCAGCTGATGCTGTGCCATCCATGTCCTCGAAAGTTGAGCCTGCCATGACATGGGCCTCGCCGACTCCTTCGTCTGTGCACACGCCGTCATACATGGTCAAGTCGCCCACTATGAACACATCCTCTGCCCTCCCGTACGGCACCCAGGCTTCCAGCCCCGCATTGGGACGAAATGCAAGTCATATTGTCACCAAATCCACTAGCAGTGGAAATGGCCATGGTGGAGCTGTGAGTCGCTTGAGCCAGCCAATGAACATTCACAACGCTGGTCAGCACGTACCTTACGGCAGTCAAGATGATGAGGAGGACAGCGGACCACTGAGAAGGCGCACGTCTGACTGGAACACTCGCATTGGACGTCGTGATGACTCAAGTGACGAAGAAGACAGTGCCGCCGGTCTAGGTGGCGCCAACGATTATTACTCGGCGCGCATGGCCTTCGGTAAGTCGACGCGACATCTTGGCCTAGCCACAGGCACGATCCAGCCGAAGCCTCCGGGCGAGAAGCGCAAGAAGGCTGCTGCCTAGCTTTTCGTTTCTCCTACCTCTGTCTTCGCCTTTCCCTTCCCCCGCCCATCGTGGCAGGCGTTGGAGACGTCTCCTTTTTCGACAGACGAATGCGGGACTCTCTTATACATTCATCTGCTTGCGACGAAGAACTCGTATGTCCCACAGCCATTCACAATCGTAGGATCATCACGGCCTTTTAACACATATATGAAACTATGTAGTGAGTAATTTCCATTGGGTGGTTTCTTCTATGCGCTTGGACTTGACTTCTTTGCGCCATCCTCGAGACAAACACGACCTAGAAGACATGCGCGATGGAGCGTTCGTGGTGTCTTTCCCAGGTACGTTAGGCATCGGTCGTGAGGGCGCCAGAGGCACGCTCCGCTGCCACGCGGCGGACGTACGTGGCACTCACGATGTTAAATGCCTCAAAGTAGCGCTCGAGGCATCGCTCGACACACGTTTGTTCCTTGCCACTGAGCGACTGGCCTGGCCATGTCACACATTTGCAATAGCACTTGTCCGTAGCCTTGCTGATCAGTTGTTGCGCGTTGGCCATGGCAATCTCAGTAGACACGCGCTGTTTCAGTGCATCTTTCTGCTCAGAAGACGAGGCACCCTTCTTGCCGGTGATTGAAGAAAAGTCCATAGTTGAGTGCTGGTATGTTTGTGCCTTGGGAGTGTTGTCGTTGCGGTGGACAAATTCGATGACAAATTCCTGCCGCCCGGCCACAACCTACATGGACCCCAGGCCAAGCGCATGTGGCGGCGCTATTGTCCTCTCCACCCGTGTTGCACTCCCCCGCCGAGGGATGGGGAGGGGCCTCTGGCTACATGGGTGAGACTGGGCGCGATTAGCCGTAGGAACTCACGTGATTAGCAACTCCACATGCGCCCCAACACCACCGCCAGTATGGTGTTGAGAGGAATCGGCAGAGCGTCCGGGTGTTGGTTCGGGGAGCTGGAGCGGGTGCTGTAGCGCGCTGAAAATCTGTGCGCCGCTGTACGAGACGCCTGAAGATTGCATTGCATTGAAATTCTAGCGTGACTTACTGTCGTACGCTAGATCACGGATTGCCTGCTACGATTGAGCTCACACGCGTTGGACCGGCTATCACGGAACTTGGAGAGACGCTGCAGAATATCGAGCGTCACTGAGATGCCGCATCTCTCCCTCTTACCTATAATCCCTTCTGTTGCTGCACTATCGCGGGCCTTCCTTACATGGGGGTGCAAGAGTGTGCGTGTTCTTGGCACAGATCAATTCTTGCATATTTTGACAGATCCAAAGCGTGCAGAGGAAGGTCGTGGAATTGTGACGTATGCGAATCATATTTCCGTGCTGGATGAGCCGATCATGTGGGGTGCATTGCCGAGCTCGTACTTTTGGGACCGTCGCACAGTGCGTTGGAGCTTAGGCGCAAGTGATATTATTTTTAAGAACGAGCTGTATCGCTGGTTCTTTCGGCAAGGACAGACGTTGGAAGTGTTCCGTGACCGAGGTATTTACCAAGATGCCATCAACCAAGCCATCCAGCATATAGGACGTGGTGCCTGGATCCATATTTTCCCAGAAGGTAAAGTGAATCTCACGCGCTCGACATACATGCGGCGCTTCAAATGGGGCATTTCGCGCCTCATTCTTGAGGCGCCGATCTGTCCGTATGTCGTGCCTGTCTGGCTCATGGGTTTTGATCAGATCATGCCGCATCCCCGTGCACCACCTCGCTGGGTCCCTCGCACTGGTGCGGATATCTGTGTGGTATTTGGTGATCCTATTGATGTCGATGCATACAGACAAACATATTTCGAATGGGCGTCGATGCACCATGCCTCGGGACTCACGATACAGAGGAGTTCTTCTTCTTCTCCCGCTCTGGGCGAGTCGGTGCTTGACACACTATTGGCATTGAGGCTGCCACGCGTCGATATTCATACACCGCCACATCATATCTACACATACGATACGTGGCGCTCCGTGCAACTGGCGCCAGAGGACCATCCTGCGTATGCAATGATCCGCAGCCACCTCGCAGCCTACTTGCGCACGAACCTCGCTCATGTCGGTCTACAGACGCGCCTCACACTTGGGTATGGGCCCGGTGAAGGTTTGCTTGCACACCGCCCCAATGACGTTCACGTCTAGGCGAGCAGAACGTGCGGATAGTGACCGCTCATGACGCTGTTGTCGACGACGTTGCTGATGTCATCACGCCCGTGCCGCTTGGCTTGTTTAGGATTGTCTCGAGGACCTTGTCTAGCGCTGGCACGTTTTCATGCTCCTTCGCAGCTCCTGCTTGGGCATCCCACAGTGCCGCGGCCAAAGATCCGTCACTGTCGTCAAGGAGGTCCATCAAATTGCCAGAGCGTTCAGAACACTGTTCTAGAGAATGCGCCGTGTCTTGTAAAATACGCAAAAGCCCGCCTGTCAGTGGCTCCACGACATGGGACTGTACATGCTGAAGAAGCTCGACATTCCATCGCTGTCGCTGTCGCTTTCGTGCCGGCAGAGAAGCCGGATTTTTGGCAGTAAAAAGATCCTGTTTCTCTTCCTCCTTCTCCTCCTCCTCCTGCTCTTCCTTTTCACAGCAGCTCTCCATTTCAGCCGCCCCAGTCACAAATTCCGCAAGACTGCGTGCATAAGCCAAACCGTCGACGCTGCCATAGACGGTTTCAATCAGGCGTTCTGTCTCCTGTGCGCCTTGCATGGAGAGCTGTAAGGCTGGCGGCAATTGGTGCAAAGAAGAGCGCGGCACATACTGCGCCGTACGTGGAAGACTCATTGCTCGGTATGGCATGGAACGCAAGTGCTCTCGCAAGGCCTGCATAAGACGTTCATTCGTCACAGATGCATAAGGCTGCAGCGGCTGGTCGTCTGCGACACAGGCAGCCCAAGCTGGCATGCTTGCATACAAGCCAACATCCTCGAGTGCCAGTATGCGGCGCATGTGCGGGCGAAAGAATGTCCAGTTGTGCTCGTCGCGTTCTTGCTCGAGCTCACGCTCACGTCGGTTAAGACGCAGGCCTGATTCCTGGATGGCCGGTGGCGGACGTGCTGGCCATACAGGACGGATGGGCCGCGTCCCATGCGAGCCAAGGCCAGGCGGACCAGGCGTCGACGCAATGGCATATGGCATTGCCCGCTGCATGTCGGGCACTTGAGTGCCATCGAACGTGTGGCTCATGTTCACGCTCGGAGCCTCAGGATTTCTCCGCGTTGCTGCATGCAAGGCATCTGGACGCCCGAGCTGTGCGGGGGGAAACACCAGGCTTAGCTCAGTAGGTGCGTTGCCAGATGACGACGACGGCACTGCAGCAAGCATCATCGGTAAGTGTTGCAAAGACTCGAGCTCAGGCGCGAGCAGCATGCGCTGCGCAAGAAATTCTCGCACGTCAGAGATTTCAGACGCATCCAGTGCGCCGTCGTCATGGAACACAAACGTCGACCCATCATTCTCATCGGGGTGCCTGTCAGTCACGGGTGCCGTCGTGGCAGACGCCACCTGAGTGCTGCCATTACTTGTCTTTGTCGATGTCGATGCAGGCACCGTCGTAGGACCCGACGTTGTGTTTGATGAGGATGATGCTGTTGGCACATCCAGCAGATCGGACAACGGCGTCCCCAAGCGCCGCTTCGGCTTCGCATGTACACGTGCGCAGCATGCACTCTTGCCGGTGAGTTGGTGTTGCCCGACACCTGCATACGCAAGTGTGCGCCGAAACAAGAGCTCAGCCGGGTCAGACGTCTCGACGCCCTGGAGTGACCATGTTGTAGAACGCGCGCTGCCGACGCGCATCATGCGACGACTAAGCTGGGCAGCATGTGGCTCAGCCTCAATAGAATGGCCTTCCCCCATAGCACGCTCATGCGCTGTGCGTTTCCGGCGGCCGCGAGGTTGTGGTGTATCTTCCTGCATAGACGAGCCTGGTGACGTCGGCGCGGGAAGTTGGTCTTCATTCACGACGCTCTGGCTCTCCCGAGCGATGGCGCGCAGTCCCCACCCTTCCAGACGACGTGCAGCCGAATGATAAATCGAGCTGGGCGGATTAAACCGCTGCGCATTTTGAGTCACAAGCATAAAGTCGTGCTGGAACATATCCATATTTGTATAGTAGCCTTCGTGAATGCGCTTCTCCATTGTGCCGAGATCCATCGGATGTGTGATAACCTCGCGATAGCCAGGCACTTCATCTGCATTCACAGGTTCGTGGAAAAACAAGTACGAGTCACGTTTCTTGAGATTCAGTATGAGCGAGTCAAGCGCCGCACGCAACGGCTTCATCCGCAATTGCTTCAGCGGTCGTGCACGTATCTTGCTGTCAGCTGGCAGCATGCTATTACGGCCCGTAGAAGATGAGTGCGGCGAGTTCCTACCTGTCGTTGATACTGCGCCTTGTTCCCGCAGAGGAAACGGAGTCATGATCATTTGGGGTCGGCTCAGGCCTCGGTGGGCGGTGCCGTTTCAGCTTGATACGTACAGGCGCACTTGGTGGTGCCACACGCCCGTCATCACTCGACGATGCATCTTCGCCCCATGACTCACTGGATCGTTCCTCGTCAGAGTATGGACTCCCAATTGATCGCGGCGTTGATCCAGCGTAGCCGCCCTGTGCCATGGCCGCGATGAATAGATTCACTGCTGAGTCAGCTTGTGGGTCGATCTGTAGACGACAGTCACTTGGTACAGATGGAGAGAGACTTACCGATGAGCGGATGGGAATTATGAAATCAATGGTGGAGTTCGCCTGGCTGCCCCGCCCCCCCCCCCCCTTTCTTTCAAGGCGTTCAGCCACTGAGCGTAAGGTCGTGTAGAGAGCGTGCGGTTTATGTCCGGCCGAAAGACGCAATCGCACTGGACTCTCTCACCTTTGGCGCTGGGTCTGCCCTTTGTGGGCAAGAAGCCATAAATCCTCCTCGGCTGTAAAGAGAGTGAGGTGAGGTGTGTGGTTTCGGATTTTTCACGTCTTGTGTTCGAAGCTTTTGTGTCTGTGGGGAAAAAGGACGACACTCTGACCGCCACGAAGGGGAGCTTACGTGTTCATTCATCTCACCGTGACGTGCTGGACCCGCAGAATCGTTCGCATCGCAATCCACGTTTTGTCGCTGTCAGCACGCTTCTCTCGCATCGCATGCGTGCGTCCCTACATGAGCTACATCGACAAACCACGTTTCCACAAACCCACACATCCGGCACGCATCAAGCCAGCACCTGCTGAGCCACATCTCGAGCCGCAAGCCACTCGCTTACCGCTCTTGCGTTCTGAGAATGTGCCGGCGAATGCACCCCCACTCCAGGCCCATGCTCAGGCTGGCTTAGACATGCAGCGACAAGCCATGGCCGATCAAAAGGAACTCCAGCGGCAGCAAGCTGCACAAATACAGATCCTCGCTGACGCAAAAGAACAACTTCGGAAAGAACTTCCGCTTCGTGGAATTCGATGCGCAGCCACTGATTGCAGTGCGTTGGCGAAACACGACGATGTTCAAGCGCATGTATTTCGTTCGAGGCGATCCAAGCATATTTGTCCCGATCCTCGAGGGGATCCTTCTATGCGTGTTCTTCAGCTGGGCATCGAACAGACGCAAGAGGTACCTGCTGCTGTGCTACGCGCTATGGAGCAGTATGGTGGCGAGCTACTTATGCATCCCGTTGTCTTCGACTGGGACTACTGGAGTGTAGATCAGATTTTGCGTGCCTTGCTTCCCGACGAACTCGAAGAAGGTGCGCCATCGGCTTTTTCTATGGTGGGCCACATAGCGCACGTCAATCTGCGAGAAGAGTACTTGGCGTACCGCTACTTGATTGGACAGGTCATCCTGGACAAGACGCCGCGCGTCGAGACAGTCGTGAACAAGCTTGATACCATCGACACCGAGTTCCGGGTATTTGCCATGGAACTGCTGGCTGGCATACCCAAGTACACGGCTGATGTGTCGGAGTCGGGTTGTCTTTTCACACTCGATTTCCGTCATGTATACTGGAACAGCCGGCTGCATACAGAACATGGTCGGATCATCGACTTGTTCGAGCCGTTCCAGGTCGTCGCAGATGTCATGGCGGGTGTTGGCCCATTTGCAGTGCCTGCAGCGAAGAAGGGCTGCTGGGTCCTTGCCAATGACCTCAACCCTGCCTGTTATGAAAGTCTGATGCACAACATACGCCAAAACAAGGTTGTGTCTCACTGCTTACCGAGCTGTGACGACGGTCGCAAGTTTATACGGCACAGCATCCGCCAAGCGTGGGAGGCTGCTTTTCCTGCGAACGATCCATCACTTATGAGCGGCCGACAAAAACGCCGCGAGCGTCGCATCGCCGCGAATGGTGGCGGCCCAACGGCCAATGCCGTCGAAGAACATGCTGGTTCTAAACCACCTGTGAGCTCACCAGGCCTTGCTGCACTGGATTCACGACCACGTCGCCTGATCGACCACTTTGTCATGAATCTGCCAGCTTCAGCCCTTGAATTTCTAGATGCATTCCGCGGTGCTTATGCAGAGCTTGCGCAGGCCGTGGGAGCAGATGCACTCGACGCAGAAATTGCCGCCCGACAGGCTGCGCCTCAGCTTCATGCATGGCCTATGGTTCATGTTCATTGCTTTACAAAAGATGTCGAGCATGCGGGAGAGGATATTTGTGCACGAGCTAGTGCAGCCCTAGGTCTCGAAGGAAATGCATGCTTACAGCCGCCTGGTTCGCCGCATGCGACACCTGACCTATCGCTTCATCTTGTGCGCTCCGTCGCACCGAACAAAGACATGTACTGCTTGAGTTTCCGTCTCACACCAGACGTGCTATACAAAACTACGACGTGCTAATGCGAATCAATCTTTGTAGGAGGAAGTAGGGGCAGCGGAGGGACAGGATGCAAGTAGCATGCAACAAAGAACGAAATAGAGCGCTTGTCATGATAGGAAACATGCGACCGACACGAGCAGGATCAAAAGTGATCTCAAGTCAACCCAGCATCTTGGTCAAGAATACTGCTAGACCAGTCCAGCACTCCCTCGCGCGACAGAAGGATCTCACGCACTTCATTGGGCGGGTCGTTGCCGATATCTTTTGCACGTTCCCAGCGTTCCAGACGTGTGAGCCCCATACAAGGACCAAATCTGTCGTCGTTAGTACTATGCACTTGGACACACAGCTGACGGTGACATACGCTGGATCCAAGTCAAATACGCGCAAAATGTGCTCAATGCGGCTTAGATCTTCAGAATGAACTATTCATTCCACGAGTTAGTTTCTTCTCATCGTCTCCCAAGATATATACGTACTGGGCTGCATCCCCATCGTCTTGCGTGTCCTTTGCCAAATGCCATCAAAGCGTGGGTCATCTATGTGAATAGATGGAAGGCCCTCAGCCTTTTTTAGTTGTTCTCTCGTATATTTCGGCTGCGCAGATTCGGCTGCATGTTCAGCTGCATGCACCGCTTCCACAGCTTGTGCAGCAGCGCTAAGTTTCGCTGCTCTCTTTCCACTCGCACGCACAGACGCAGCGCGCGACTTGGTACTTGTAAGACCCAGTGCATTACCGGCTCCGCTTGTCCTGCTAGGTGCCATACTTGTACGCGCACGTCAAGAGGATCTCGACACTCGCGAGATAATAGGTAGATAGACAGTTCGCACACAGAGGCTATTAAGGCCTGATCGATTTGTTCGTTGTTGGTTGAGCAATAACTCCACCTGCCAATGGCGTTGAGCCCAAAGCGACACTAGAAGGCCGACTCGCGCACTTGATTTTTTTTTCCCCATGAGACAAGGACGAAGGGTAGATGAGGCACTGGCGCTCGTTCGAACTCCACATCTCCTAGAAACAAAAATAAAGCGTATGGAACACGCACGTGATTCGCTCAGCGCCGTCGCTCACCCAGACAAGTGTTTGTGTGGACGCGCAGGGCGCGCCCTGCACAAAACAAGAGACGTGCAAGTGTTGATGTGATCTTTCGCGGGAATTAAGCATGTCACCACTACTGGACTCATTTTCACCCACGCATTGCTTATGCAAGCAAGTCATGCAGGGGGTGGGGATGGTGGACAAAGGGCAATTGACGCGCGCGCTGCGGGTGCATGTACATGCTTGTCTGCTGAACTGCAGTTCCTTTCGGTCAGTACCAATATGACATGGCCAACTCCAGGGCGTCAATCAGCCGCTCTGGATACAGGCTCGGCATCCGCCGCGGAGCCAAGTGATACATTCAAATTGGCGTCACCACAGCATGCTGTCCCGGCCTTAGTGTTCCAGAAGCGCATGCCAGCGTCGTTGTCACCACCGAAACAGCAAGTCTCCCCATTTAAAAACAACGCGCCTTCACGAGTCGCATCCGTAAGTGGCTCATCACCAGACAAGAACCATGCACGCCCACTTGTGCCAGAAACCAGCGACGCAGCAAAGCGTGAGCATTCGCGCCGGTTCTCGCATATTCATAGCCGCAACCTCTCGGCATTTTTTCCGCGCCCTGGCACGGATGCTGCGGGTGAATACGATGCGTATCGTGCGAGCCAGCCGCTCTCTCCCGTACAGGTTGCATCTGCGGCCACAAGCTCACCAAATACCTCGTTCGACTCTAGTACTGAGCCGTCCAATTCGCCAACGAAGCGGCGTGACCGGCGCACGGAACGCCGTGCAAGCTATATTCTGTCCAATTTGGCCAATGGAAGCGACATGACTCTTCGTTTGCCATCACAAATGGCCGCTGCGAAAAGTGCTTCCTCTGACCCGACACAGCTTATTTCACCAGACCCTACTGCGCCTCGTGCGAACTCGGCTGCTTGGTCGACGCTCCCGTCCCGTGTCGTGTCAGACATGCAAGTATCGCCGACCATGGATATGCCGCACGAAACGCTAAGACCACTTCCTTGCGGTGCTTCGACATTATGTGTATACAGCCTCGTGCATATTTCGCTAGGCGCCGTGCTGTGGGTGCTAGGCCAAATACGTGATTCGCTTGGCCTCGTTGGCATAGGATTCTTGTTGGTATTTGACACTATGGGTCTTGGGATTGCTCTCTGGAGGTACAGATCCATTAAGATGCAGCTCGAAAATACCACGGACTCATTCCGCTTGCCATTTGGTCCGCATCGCTTTGAAACACTCTTGGATTTCTCTCTCGTACTTTACCTATTTTTCTCTGGCATTTACATGTGCATGGAAAATGCAGAACACGCCCTACTTGCATCCAGCGCACCACATGAGGAGGATCGAGCTGGTCTGATTCTTCCTCGTACTGTGCTAGCTGTGGCTGTGCTCTTATGTGTTGGCACGAATGTAGTGCTTCGGAACCATGACCGGCTCGCTGCTGCTTGTGGCATGAGCCTGGATGCCGGTGATAGCCTTGACGGCCGTCCGCGGCGTTCGCATGCGCGCCATGTGTCAGTGCTCGCTCGTCCCATGCTTGCTGTTCAGCCAGTTTACGACGCACTTTCGAATCCCTTCGCCGTCATGATTTTGTTCTTTGTCACCGTGCTCTTCTTGTCCGCGATGCTACTACCGCCTGCACAGGCAGCATCATTTGACAAGCTTGTTGCCGGCTTGCAGGGTGCCAGTATGATTTGTGTGAGTGTGACAGCACTGCGTCCATTATGCAAGACACTGCTGCAGGCAGCGCCGTCTGCTAAAGATACGCAGGCATTGAAGTTGCACAAGGCACTGAGCGTTGTCGAGACGCATCCTGCTGTGGTAGGTGTGCCACAAATACAAATGTGGCAGCTCGCTTTGCCATCTCTTGGATATACAGAAGTAGGCGTCGGCACAGATGGCAAGCGAGGACTGGCCAACGTGCTATCCATGCGTCGACATGCAAAGATGGCGCCGTTGGTCGTGGCCGTTCACATCAAGCTTCAACGGGATGCTTCAGTCCAAGATTGTGAAGACGTAACCAGCCTCGCATGGCATCATGGCTCCATTGCGCTGAACATTTTGCCCCATACGCAGGTCGGTGACATGGTGCATAATGGTAAAACGGTCGGCGACCTAACTGTCCAGGTGACTCGGCTGGGACAAGACGCAGATGTGCGGGTTACGAAACATGGTGCGCACACACACTGTCATGGGCACGAGCATGGACGTGGTCACTGCGATGGTCAAGATCATGAACATGATCACGACCATAGCCATGAGAATGACCATGATACCTGCCGTGGTCATCATCACAATCACGGTCATGCCCATGATTATGACCATGACCATGCCCATGACCATGACCACAGCATTCACGACGCCGAACTTGTACACAATCACGCGCAAGCAACTGAAATGGAGGCGCCATAATACCCATTACATAGGAAGGAAAAAGAGATATCTACGATTTAATCCATTCGGCACTTGAGCGTCCGCTCAATGACCTTGTCGGGTGTAATGATTCGAACAATGACGCCCATACCAGACAGTGCGTCACGCTCGATACCACCAAGCATGGTCTGTGAGATGGTTTCAAAGAGATCCTCTGGTTCCAAGTCGGGTTCCCACAGCCCCTCAGCCATACCGAAAAGTCGATCACTCGCCGTGCCACTAACGACAAAATCCTTTGCGAAATTCAAGCATCCAATGAGATCAGATGCTGCAATAAACGGCTCATTGTTTGAGTTCATGCCAGCCACCACAGGCTCAATGAAATATGGACCAAACCGACGCTCGTACAACGTCGAGCTCATGAGCTTCGCAAAGGTTTCTGGCTCAATGTCACGGTCCTCCTTCATCCGGTACATATTTAGGCGGTAGCGGAACTTTTCTCTCAGTGTAGCTACATCTGTTGCAAGCCCAGGAAGTCCGACATAGGTGCGGTCTGTCATCCGAAACACCTTGTCGAACTGAGTGGACAATAGCAGCGCCTGGTTGCCAAGACGCAAGTCGGATGCGATCGCCACACAGTTCTTGCCTGTCATGGCAATCACACTCCCACCATTGTATTCCATAATACTCACTGCACACATTCGTTAGTACCCCTTCGGAGAACCATCGCGCCGCATCACACGTACTTGTGCCAACGATGGAACAATGAGCCAGCAACAGGGAAGAGTAGTGACAGCGGTCGACGCGCGTACGTCCGCCGCAATACAGAGCTGGCCTCGTGGAGGCCCCATACATCAATCATTCACGTGACACCGACCCATTGGCCCACACCCTTCATGATATTCACATCCCCAGCTTTGCCGCACGGATTGCAGTCCCAGTGAGCAGCTAAGTGGTGTCCTTCGCGTGGTGTGGGCATCCGACTGGGTAGCTGAGTTGCTTGTCTACGACCCGCATTCACGTATCGCGTGACTTCTTTATATCTTTTTTCTTCTTCCTGGCCCTGCCATGAGCTCGCAGGTGCGCAAGATGCTGAGCGACTGTAAGTACTCACTCGCATGCTCACTAGAAAAGTGCTCGTCGCCAGCGCCATGACAGCATTGTCCTATTATACATTCAAGGTATGTCTCGCATCTTTGTCTGAACTCGGAACACAGTATGCCCTTGAGCGTATGGACCCGAATCGGCAGAAAAAGATCGATGCGAAAAAGACGTCTGAAACCAAGCTCGGCAAGCTCGGCGTGGACCGTCGTGAGCTCAAGCTGAATGAGTATGAAGGTACGTCATTACCTCTTGCGCACGCGCACCTCTTGCTTACACTTACTTGTAGAGCAAATTGCTGTGGAATTGATCTTGCCTGAAGATATCCCGATCACGTTTGAAGATATCGGCGGGTTAGATGGTATTTTTCTAGCCTACAGGAAAGCATCATTGCGCCTCTATGCTTCCCAGACCTATTTAGTGGTACAAGTGGATTGCTTGGCGCACCGAAGGGTGTGCTTCTGTATGGACCGCCTGGCACAGGTAAAACTATGCTGGCCAAGGCGCTGGCGAAGGAAAGTGGCGCTACCTTCATCAACATGCATGTGTCGACACTCACGAACAAATGGTTCGGCGAGTCGAACAAGCTTGTTTCAGCACTATTTGGCCTCGCTCGCAAGCTGCAGCCGACGATTGTGTTTATTGATGAGATCGACAGCTTCTTGCGCGAACGAGCATCAAGCGACCACGAGGCTATGGCCATGATGAAGGCAGAATTCATGACACTCTGGGATGGCCTCACGTCATCGACAGATCGCATCCTTGTGTTGGGCGCGACGAATCGCCCAGCTGATATCGACGCGGCGATCCTTCGTCGCATGCCCAAACGCTACGCAGTGAGCTTGCCTGACAGTGCGCAGCGGAAAAAGATCCTGTCTATAATGTTGGCGAATGTGCCATGTGCACCGAACTTTGACCTGGGTGACATTGTCCGCAAGACCGAGGGGTACAGTGGAAGCGATCTAAAAGAACTGTGCCGCGCCGCAGCTATGGTGCCCGTCCGTGAAGTGCTGCGTAGTCACGCTGGTAGGAAGACGGTGGAACGTGCGCGCGAAAACTCCAAGGCTGGCCTGCCTAATGACACGAACATTGGCATGTCGGTACGGGCGCTGAAAAACTCCGACTTTTTCCAGGTTGATGCTACTTTGCCTGAGTCAAATACTGAGCAGGAATCATTAGATTAGGTGTCGTTAAACCATGATCCCTGGATTTGTAGCATGTCGTGTGTGGTGGTGGCGTTTCGCATGTTGACTCTCCAATTGATGGGCAAGCTGGCAAGCTAGCAAGCAGATAAGCTGGTAAACAGCCAGACCTCGGCTCTGTCTGCTTATTGCTTAAAATGGATTTCTTTCCTTGTAGGGCTCCATTCCTACCAACCCATGCTCATATACTACACACGGCAGTTGTCGATGCTCAAGATCAAGATATCACATGCACCAACCGACTCCAATTGGTCCATGATCTTGGCCACATCACTGCGTGACACCATGCTGGAAACAGCATACCAGTCGGACTCCCGCAAAGGACTCACAGTCGCTGCACGACGACCAGGCGTGATGCTGAGAGCCTGCGCAAGGTTGTCCTTCTGGATATTGTACTGGCACAGAACATACTTCGACGCGGCAATGACACCACGAATGCGTGCCGTAATAAGCTGGATCAGGTTCGCATCCGTGCGCTCATGAGGCCTCGTCGAACGAATCAGGACAGCCTCTGACGACAACAAAGTGGCAATGGGCTTCAACCCACAGGCACGCATGGTTTCCCCTGACTCGACGAGATCCACAATACCATCCGCGAGACCCAAAGCACATGCAGCCTCAACACTGCCGCTTAGATACTGCACAGATGTGTGGAGCCGACCATCGTTCAGCTTAGGCACGCCTTTCTTCTCTTCAAGCTCACGGAAGAACTGGCTTGATAGCAAATCGAAGCTCGTAGCAATCTTCTTGCCGACAAGGTCTTCGACACTCTTGATGGATTCAATCGCTTCAGGCACCTGTACCTGCAGCTTGCACTTGCCAAAACCGAGGGGTAACACCTCCGTAATGCCCTCCGACACTGCCGGGCCTGCCTCCTGCACCATGTCCTGGCCCGTGATCGCAAGATCGACATTACCATCGGTGATGAATAGCGGTATGTCGGCGGCTGGCAAAAAGACCAGCGCTATGGGAAAATTCGTCACGAGGGCGACATCCAAGCGGTGAGCACGCTTGAACTGAATATCTGCGCCGCTTAACAGTGAGAGACACGTCTCATACAGACGGCCTGTTGGCATTAGTACCCGTACTCGTGGAGCACAAGTTTATCTGCGGAACCAAACGTACCTTTTTTAGGGATCGCAAATAGCAAACGGTCCTGAAGATTTTCCGGGCGAAGCAGCTGGGACATGATCTAGATGGGAGTGATCACATTGATCGTCACCCTGCTTCGCCTGTGCACAACACATGGCTGGCTTTCCACGTGCACTTCATGCGGTAAGAATGATTATGTCATCTAAGACTGGAGGCACCTTCCCCTTACAACAACTAGCCACAGTCAGGCACGGATGACCTGCAATCTCTCAGCCTCCGTCGCTCTCGCACCAGCCGTGAGGTGGACACATCCACCCTTTGGTCGCCACCTCCATAAACTGGAATTGGGCAAGTAAAATTTAAACCCACACTGGTGGAGCACCGCCGCCACCTTACTCAGTGAGAGTGCGAGCAAAAGTGAGCAATCAACTCCAGTTTCCCTGCCTCATACATTTTTCCCAAGCACGAATCGTGGTTGACTTCCCCTAACTGCCAGAGCACTGTGGGGACCGCCGCCACTGAAAATGCGGTGCACAAACTGTGGCTCACTTGCTATTGACTTTGCCGACTCACAAGCAGTATGCAGTGCATGCGGTGTGGTGCTGGAAGAGTCGCAAATCGTCAGCGATATTACTTTTGCCGAAAATACAGCTGGTGGGGCCGTCGTGCAGGGCAGCTATCTAGGCGCAGACCAGGTTCGGGCACGTACATCGGCTCCAGGCTTTCGTGGCAGCTCCGCAGGCGAGTCGCGGGAGTGTACCATTGCCAACGCGCGTTGGAATATCAACCGCATGGCTACAGCGCGTGGTGTTCCGGCACACGTAGCAGAACGAGCGCTTCGATTCTTCCAGCTAGCTTTGGATGGTGGCACAGCGACAGCGACAGGGTCACAGCCGAGGAACTTTGTTCTGGGACGCAAGTCGGACTACACGGTAGCATCATGTCTCTACGTGGCATGCCGCATGGCGAAAACGACGCATATGCTCATTGACTTTGCGGATGTAATCCAAGTCAATGTGTTCGTACTGGGACGAAGCTACCTGCGCCTTTTGCGCGTCCTCAACTTGCAAATTCCCTTGATTGACCCATCGTTTTACATTAGTCGGTTCGCCGCGCTTCTTGAGTTTGGTGATGAGACACAGCGTGTCGTGACGGATGCCACACGTCTCGTGACGCGCTTCAAGATGGACTGGATGGTCGAAGGCCGTCGTCCTGCGGGTATCTGTGGTGCATGCTTGTTGCTGGCAGCACGTATGAACCACTTCCGCCGCTCCATTACCGAAATTGTTCAAGTCGTCAAAATTGCCGATGTCACACTGCGCAAACGTCTGGAAGAGTTCAAGGCTACGCCGAGTGGCCAACTTACTATTGAAGACTTCCGGAGCGTTTGGCTTGAAGAAGAAAGCAATCCGCCTGCTTTTGCTCGTGCTCGAATGCCCAAGAAACACAAGGATCCGCGCGTCAATCTTGTTGATTCTACGAGCATGGACGCGAGACACGCCAAAAGTACTGATTCTCGCCCTAATCGCCACGATTTGAATGAAAACAGCCATGCTGATGGCAATAGCAATGGTGACAGTGGCATCGATAGCGGTGATGACGATCAAGTGTCGCCTGATAAGGAAGACCATGGCTCTCTGCAAGCTCAGCCTATTCGCTCCGATATCGACCAGCTTGCTGACCAGGCAACCGAGCAGGAAATTACCTCGTTTCTGCAACAGGCTGAAGTTCAGGAGCTTAGTAACGACTTATCCAAACAAGAACGCGAGCGTACGGAAAGAGCTAAGGCCGGACGCGTTCATAACGTATCAGGAGCATTAGCAGAGCCACCTATAAAGCTTTCCGATTCACAGAAAGAGGCGGCGCATGCAGCTGATGCGAATCTGGCACCCCCATCGTCAGCTGAATCGAAACCGAACGCCGCCGCCAACGACGGCTTAGACGACTTGGATGAAGAAGAGCTCGATAGCTTCCTTTTGACTGATGAAGAAGTCAAAGTGAAGGAACGCGTCTGGATGGAATTTAACAAAGATTACCTAGAAGCAGCTCTTGCTCGTCAGCTCAAGCTCGAGGCAGATCAAAAGGCGGGCATTGCCCCAGCACCTCGGAGTCGGAAGCGACACAAGCCTCGTGATGGTACAACAGCTCCGACGAGCTCCGCGGCTGAGTCCGCAAAGCAAATGATGCAACAGAAAAGATGGTCTCGTCGTATTAATTATGACGTTCTTAATAGCTTGTTTCCCAGTGCGAAGGGCAAAGAGGATACGGGCTCTGCCAGCGGGGCGAGAAAAGCCCATGGAAGTACCAACGAAGACGATGGCATTGACGAGGATGATGACGAGGATGACGACGTGGACGAAGAAGTTGATGAAGACGATACTGTAGGTCCTTCGTCTTCGACTAAGCGTGCACGCCTTGATGAAGATTGGATGGCGCTCGGCGGTCTTACGCGGCAAGACTATGGTGATGAAGCCGACTATGGCGACGATTACAATGACGCATGGTAGTTGATTTGCTATGTTTCTATAGAATATGATACCCTGCTGCTGTTTCCTACCTACGTAAATGAATTGATGCACGAGACCAAGCAAGCTTTTTGTCCTAAGCTAACAACTTGCTGGTCGGACGATCGGGCAAGTACGTTGGAGAGCAGAACGTGGGTGGTGGAGTTTTGCGCCGCCCAAGAAAGAAAAACACCGCGCACTGTGGAGATGCAAGTTGTGTGTTTTGTCGTTTCAAGGGAAAAATCCAAGCGATTGAGTACCTGCAGGGTTATTCGACAATCCATGCTACTGTCACGGTCGGTCACCGTAGCCAACGAAATCCCTTGTTTGTCTACGTATGCGAGTACCTGTACGACGCACGTCGGCCGCTTGGCGGCTCTGGCACTTGCATAGGCAGTTGCGCTTCGACGGCTTTCAAAGAGCAAAGGCATTCGTCCAAATCCAGCGAGAGGCATGCAAATCAACCCCAGGCTTGGGCGAAGAAGCAACGCATATAAAGGCACATCCACAAACTAGCGTGGCACACGAAATCGGCTCCATGGCACCTATGGCGACGGAGCAGGCTCATACACTATGCACGCCTCGCTCGCCTGGGCCAATAAACCAGCGTATGGATATGATCCACTTTAGTTCTTTCGACGTGACGGACCAAGTGTTTTTCTGCTCGAATGATGTGGCCGCGATCGTCAACTTGAAACCCGTGGTTCCTGGACATGTCCTTGTGATTCCACGCATACCATACAAGCGTCTGGCTGACATGCCGCCTCATGCGGTTGGCGCGCTCTTCGAGACAGTCCAAAAAGTCGGACGCGTCGTGGAATATGCATTCAGCGGTGACTCCCTCTCAATCGCTGTTCAGGATGGCGCATCTGCAGGACAGACCGTTTCCCATGTGCATGTTCATGTCCTGCCACGTCGCCCACGAGACATTGAGCCTAATGATCTTGTGTACGACATGCTCGACAAATTTGGACTTGAACTCCGCGATATACACACAGGCAAACAAATGGACAGCGAACGTAAGCCACGTACAAAGACGCAAATGCGTGAAGAGGCCAGTTGGCTAAAGATGCAGTGTGATCATGTGCTGGGGTCTGAAGGTGATGAGAATGACAGTCACGGAAAATCGACGCTCCCTGTGACGCTGTTGAGTGGGTTTCTTGGATCGGGGAAAACGACTCTGTTGCGACACATCCTTACGAGTCCAGAACATGGATTGCGTATCGCTGTCATCATAAATGATATGGGCGAGCTCAACATCGATGCACAGCTCATCGCTAATGGCCAGCTGATTCGCGGGAAGGACCACTTAGTGGAACTTTCAAATGGATGTATATGCTGCACGCTCCGTGCGGACTTGCTGGAACATGTGGCCCTACTCGCGCGTGATAAGCGCATTGACTACTTACTGATAGAGTCCAGCGGCATCTCTGAGCCGATGCAAGTCGCGGAAACATTTAGCGCAGAATTTGCCGCGACGGCGGTCGAAGACGAGCGACTCGCAGCTATTTTTCAACGCGGTGGACTGCCTGCCATTGCTCACCTCGACACTTGCTGCACAGTGGTCGATGCTGCGAGTATGCTTCATGATTTTGACACATCCGACTTTCTTGTTGACCGGCATGGACCAACAGTGCCAGAGGGCGACGACCGCAATATCAGCGATCTTATGGTGGACCAGCTGGAGTTTGCCAACTGTGTCATTGTAAACAAGTGTGATCTTGTGTCGCCGGATGCACTGGAGACAGTAATGGCTCTCGTCAAAATGCTCAACCCATCCGCACGCGTAATCCCTGCATCATACGGCCGCGTTGATGTAAACGCCATCTTGTCAACGAAAAGCTTCAGCTTGGAAAAAGCAGCCCTAAGCGCTGGATGGTTGCGGAGTCTCGTGGAAGATGTTAAGCCGGAGACCATCGAGTATGGCATCAACAGTTTTGTGTACCGTGCACGCCGACCATTCCATCCGGCGCGACTATGGGAGACGATCCGTTCCTGCTTTGTTGTGATCCAAGAAGAGACCATGGATGATGGCGTCGAGCAAAATCGTGACGACACAGAAATGAGCTCTAACGATGACATGAATGAAGATGCACAGCCTGCATTATGCCCACAACAGCGCCTTGCGTGCAAACGAGCCTCACCATTGTGGAACCCTGTGCTTCGTTCAAAGGGATTCTTGTGGCTTGCTACACGTCCCGTCATGTTCGGTAATTGGTCACAGGCGGGCGTCATGCTGACGCTGACTGGCGGCGCGCGTTGGAGGTGCGAAGTACCTGAAAACGAGTGGCCTGATGACCCAGAAGTCCATGCAGCTATTCGGCGCGATTTTGATCCATTGACTCCATGGGGTGATCGACGTCAAGAGCTAGTCTTCATTGGCCAAGATGTCGATATCTCAAAGATTACAAAAGCGATGGATAGCTGCTTGCTTCGAGATGATGAATGGAGACAATGGGAAAAAATTATGCGCAACAAGGCCATGTCAATGGATGAAAAACACGACGCACTTGCTGATCTTTTTGAAGATGGCTTTGAAGACTGGGTCGATGAAGAGATGGTCGTCGAGGAACACGATCAAGACCACGACCATGACCACGACACACCAAAAAGATTGTAATGCAAGCGAGTTCTAGGCAGTTGCAATGCCGTATGTCTATTTACAAGATACCTGCAGCCACAGAGACCATTACGCCTAGAGCAGCAAACAATAGTGCTCCTGTGATACACGCCAACACGAACACTTGACTTGTAAGCGCCCGGTATTCGTGAACGTACCCTCCACTCGGCTAGGAATAAACTTTCCGCCGATCATGACCTCCTGCGTATGAAAGAAACGCAGCGCCCCACATAGCAACACGAAAATACCGACACCAACGAACGAGATACCGATCGGAGTGCCACTATGACGTTAGTATGAGTGTCTCGTAACTTACAGCCGCTGAAGTGAGCGCATTTTGACGTTGCTTCCTGCAACAGTAACAGAATGGCTAAACTCAAGAAGGCGCTTCGATGTCCCTTGATTATCATCAACAATTAGCTCCGGCAAGCGGAAAAGCTGTGCTATAGCACTAGATATTAGCTGTCCTTTTCCACATACATCCCGATAGATACAAGTGTGAGAGAGGTGCGCATCCATGCGAGAAATGTACGCTCCAACGCAAGATGGTCACGAGCCACCGAGCCCTTGTTCTCTAGTGTGTGCCACAATTCCATAGCGAAAATGAACGAGGTGCAAGTGAAATATGGTATTCGGTTATGGGGGAGAAGTCGTCAGTGGCTTCATCCAAGACCTAAGCCGCGCCCCTAACCGCCCTCTTGTCATGTGCATGACATGCATGACAGTATCGGGCTTCCATCGGGCCCCCCCCCCCACTTTCCCCCGCGACTCTCCGTTGGCCGCACGGATCGCCCAGCTCCAACGCACCCACCATCTTGCAACGGCCATGTCGTTTCCTATTTACGTCAAGTCAATAGTAAAGTACAAGAGCCCACATCCACAAGACTTGTCCTTCCCCAAAGGTCACACGCTTCGTGTATGGGGCTATGCGAATCGCGAGACCCCAACGACGGAGCCAGCCGCCACTGAGGAAAGCGATGAGGACGATGAAGACGACCATTGGTATATGGGGGAGTGGCTCGATGGATCACGCAAGGGTCAGTTTCCTGCTAGCCTTGTGATACGTGTCGAAGCGCCTGAGTCTGAAGCACATCGGGCTGTGTCAATCTCATCTGACACCACGCCTCTGGAACCAAAGGCTCCTGTCGCTTCCGTACTTCCCTCCGCATCCACAAATTCAAGCGCAAATCTAGAACTTGAGAATCCCACCACATATTCCGATCCCATCTCCATCTCTAGATCATCTAATTTGGCACGGCCTCATGGTTGCGGTGAGTCGGATACGTCTGCCTCTGTGGCTCAACATGTGACTGGATCTATACCAAACGCCGACCTAACAAGCTCGACAATGCTTGCACCAACATGCCTTCCATCTAGTACTAACAATCATGCATCTATGCCTACCTCGGAAACTTTATGCACACATTCAAGTCCCGAACCAGCAACAGCAGTACCTGGGCCTGTGTCAGTGTCAGACCCTCATCCGGTACCGGAGCCGATGGAATTGGCTCAAGGTTCATTACCTTCTCCTGAATCACCAAAAGCTACTTGCACCAGACCAGTAACTTCAGAAATGAATGCGGGACGTGAAGACTCGCCATCACAAAAAACTGAGCCAGTCACGGAACATGTTTCAGTGCCGCTTACACACACAGCACCTGCATCTGCTGGTTTGATGCCCGAAGAAGGTTTACCTGAGCATGAAGCTAAAAACATACCCTCTGCTGAGGCTATTCTGGTGCCACCGTCTGAAACTGAACTTAGTCGGCCTCAACCGATATCCAAAGCTACACACGAGTCTACCTCGGCACATTCCGAACATTCGACGTCGGAGTCGATCCGAAAATCACCCGTCGAGTTAGATGAGTCGCAGAAAAATTCCAGTATCGTTCTTCCTTCTACAGAGGACTCACCCACTAAAAACAAAGCTGACGTCTCGACTTCCAGCCCATCGCCTGCCAAAGACCCCAGCAGCATGTCTCTTCGTGACCGTATCGCAGCCTTCAATAAACCAGCTGTAAAGACGCCACCACCCATCCCCCGCGCAAAACCGGGAGCATGGAAACGTCCACCACCAGCAGAAGGTGAGCCCAAGCCATTGCTGCCACCACAGATGCCAATCGCTTCGGCTAAGACGCCATCACCTGTATCATCCGAGTCAATCCGCAACTCTGGTGACACGCACTCTACACCTGAAAAGATTGATGCTAAATCAACTGAAGGTTCGGCCAATGGCTTTAGTGCTTCGGATGCTAAAAGTAGTATCAAAATGAGCTTGAAGGAACGCATGGCAGCTTTGCAGCGAAACGAAAGTGTTGTAAACAATCAGGTTTCATCGACCGAACGGAAGCCACCCGTATCAAAGCTTGTGAATCCACTTGCGACAGAAGGGCCGCCTCCCGCTGAGAACGAAGATGAAGTAGCACGACGAGCTGCAATTGCTCGGCGGATGGCTGCACTGGGTGGTCGCCGTGTTGAAACGGGCTTATTTGGTCATGCTCCTACTCAAAAAGACAATTCTGCTCAAGTCCCTCAACATGATTTAGAGGCAGCAGCAGTCGATGCATCGCATGAGCCTAAGCCTTTACCTGCTACCAACCCAGATTTAGATGTGCCACCACCAGCTGCTGCAGGCTCGGACTCTGGGCCACAAACGCTGGTAATACCTCGACGTACCCCTGCCCCTCGCACGCGACGCACCAAGCCAGCCGAGGCGAAAGACGAGCCAAAAGATGCACTCGGTAACGCAGCAAGCTGCGCTTCTAGAAACGTTCCATCGGATTTGATAATGGGTACGCCTGGGGAAAGTAAAATTGAGGAACCATTCCATCCGCCGACAAATGTACAGACAGGGGCATCGAGTGATAGCCCAGTAAATCCTTTGAACTCGCCAGTCCCAACTCTGCCGCTCAAGACTCCGGCAGATGCGACCAAAAACGTTTCACTGAATGACCCGGCCAATGCTCGCAACGAAATGACAAGCCATGAGCCAGAAAACGTCCAAGACGAAATGGTGCACCAGTCAGGGGGCATGCACATCGATAAGCAATCTCCCGCAACTGCAAGTGCTCAGCCCGTGACTCTTGATTCGCGAAATGAGGGACAAGAAAGAATGCATGCAACACACACAGATAATGAGTCTGATAAGGGCGGGCATCTGCGTTACAATCCGCCCACAACCTTTCATCACGTATCGCAGGCATCGCCAGATCAGAACGACCCTGCACCTGAGTCTGAAGGGCATCACATGCCCTCGTCGGACGTTATTTCGACAGTAGAACCCGTTGAATTGGTCCCAGCTTTTCATGACACTCAAGCCGTTCAACATGACGACAGATTACCCAATGATTCTGCGGAAGAGTTGATGAAATCTTATTCAAAGCCAGTTCTCGCTCCTTATCAAAAACACGATGTCACTTTACCAAGATCACAATCCTTCGGGTCTGTCCATCCCGTGCATGAGCCAGAGCGAAAGTCTTCAGCACGAAGCTACTATGCCGCTGAGTATGACTCTGCCAACAGAGATCTAGTACACAATGTCATGTCAATGGACATTCTTCTAAGTTGCAGAATTGTGAAAACTCCCCTCCCCATGTGAGAGGTAAGACTACTTCTGGCCAACAGGAAACGCCAAAAGCAACTGACACTGTTGACCAAATAGGTACGGCCATTTCTACTATGGGCGTTGATGACGGACGTGCTGTGGATGATGCCGACTTTTCAGACCAGCAAGCTCTTCTAGAGCATCTTCTTCAAAATCCCTCATCAAATGAGACCCCTACCATGACAGCTGGAATTTTGCCTCCTGACTCAGCGACTACTCCTACCTCAGAGCCGGCACCTCCGCCTTCACACATTCATGCGTTGGTTCCTCCTCCCACTCACATTCCTCCTCATTCACAAAGTCCGGCACCCATTCGCACATCAACCCATGTTGTGTCTCCTAACTCCAACTCCTTACAATATGGCGACGCCGATCTCTCTCCCACACATGAACCAGAACTCTTGACATCCATGGACGTTGAGACCTCGCGCCGTGGTTCAATCGTTTCTCGTTTGGCACGAATGGGCAGTAGACCTGCTGTTGGTATGGAACAACCATTCGTCATGGGGATGCCAATGCCTATGCGCCGAAAGTCTAAAGATACTTCCCCTTTATCGCCTAGATCGCCAAGGATAGAAACTGATGATCAGGCTAAAAAAGCGGCTACATCTATCGAGACACAAGCACCCGAAACATACGTTTCAACAAATGAAACATCATTTTTGTCCCCAGAAACGCAACGAGCCTCTGCGCTTCGACCAGAGGAGGCTGTAACTTCTGGTATCATCACCGATGCTGACGCGGACTCTGGCTCGGACCAAGCCATTCACCCGCTGAGTCCACCTACTCGAATGGCGCCATTACCACCCACTTCCAATCGAATCGCAGAATCGGATCCTTTAACACCGGTGGAAACTGCGGATTTGACTTCCATACCCCACAAGCCGACACGAGCGCCTCCCCGCGCCCCCCCACGTCCGCCCAATGCCTTATAGTATCGCTCATAGGGAATATCGGTTGAGAGTTGATAAAAATTTGACGGGATTTCTCCACACAAACCTTGGGACTTGGTCGCAATTGCTACACGTCTACGAACTTGAGGTCCTGTACTATTCATGGTCAGATTCAAGAATCGCTGGCTCCTTTTGACTTTAGCCGCAGAACCACCAGCAATTCCTGATGATTATGATCATTATATACCATTTTCTCATCGTGCACCTAATGTGAACGCTTATTCCATTACCAAAGCAATACGTGCTTCTCTCCGAGACAACTTTGGCGATGTATCCGCGGGCGCGTATGCAGGTCCCTTGACATGCAAATATTATTCACCCAAGTCCGGGATTGGGATACTAAGAAGTTCGAGAGATGGCGTACGCCAAGTTTGGGCTGCAACTACGCTGCTTAATACTATCGATGGCCATCGTGTGCGCATCTGCGTGAGGTCCTGTGGCGGAACCATTCGGAAAGTGCAACGAAAAGCTATATCAATCGATAAGACATGCATACTACGTCTCGAACAAGCAAGACAGAAAAATAAAGATGCTGTACGCACAGCGAGTAGCGAATATCATGCACGCAGTGGTCAAGAAAGCATGAATGCGTCTAATGCACAGGGTGACGCAGACGACCTAGGCGTTAGTATCGAAGAGGATGATGACATGGGCGTATCTATTGACGAAGGTGGTAGCGATTCATTTGAAGACACGTCTTCGAACGGTGCGGATGATCTCGAAGGATCTTTCCCAGTATCTGACGAATGCAAGCGTGAAATTGCAGAAAGTCGATCTGTGATAATGTCAATAACAAGATCATGACAAAGTCCGAAATTTTAAAAAAACGAAAGAAAAAATTCTCTTTTGTTTATATATTTCACTCCCAGTTGAGACCTATGTGGTCAGTCTCGTTGGTGTAGTAGGTTATCACGTCGGTCTCATACGTGATCGCGCTTGGCGCGAAGCTGTGATATCTGGAGGTCGCCAGTTCGATCCTGGTACGGGACAAATGCTTTTTGTTAAACAAATCTATGTCAATCTTTTTTAAAGTTTGTACACAATCAACTCAGTCACATAAAAGAATTTGAACAGCCAAAAGTATGTCACTGAAACACCTGAAGGTTTTGAACGTGTTTATAAACCGCAACTAGAATAAGTACATAAACCTGCATTGCGTGACACTGCAAATCGTCTCGTTGGTGTAGTAGGTTATCACGTCGGTCTCATACGTGATCGCGCTTGGCGCGAAGCTGTGATATCTGGAGGTCGCCAGTTCGATCCTGGTACGGGACATTTTTTGATCTTCGAATATTTTTTATGTCATCAGCCGGCTCAAATGCAAAGAACAACATGAAATAAACCAGCTGTGATAGCCTCTGGCTTTATTTCTTGTTAGAACATAAACCCGAACACATTATTCGGCAGACTGAAAGTGATAGAGGGCATGGTATTATGAAAGTGCAATACAAGTGTGGTCTGGTTGTATCACTCGAACCAGGTACTCTTTATAGGCTCAGTTTGATACTTACGCTGTCATGCTAGAGTGAGTTGTATGTACTGTACTGGTTGCAGGATCATGAAAACGACGACGCATTCATCACTGCTTAAAATCAAATTAGATCTTGCAATTGGACTCGAAGCAAATTCTGCTGCACTGGAGACATAGTATGGTCTATAATAAGAAACCTGGAGTCTGTGAGACTCACTTGAAAAGAATCAAGCAGGGTTTGATTCAACTGCCAACGAGGAAAGATGGCCAGGGTGTGTCCATCTGACCGCGTTTCTCGCATGCTTTTGCACACCAGAGTACTGATATTGTCAAAAAGCTTGAGTGTTGAAGCACAAGATGTCGTCTCGGATAAACTCTTTTATGTCGGATTTTATGACTTAAAGCATGAAATACTATCATTTCTAATGCCGATGCTTTGCAATTTCATCACCTACGAGTCAAAAGGCCGATCTGAATGAGTCCAGGGGGCTCTTAGCTGACCCACTGTGTTGATGTGTTAGCAATAGCATGATCTTGAGAATAAATAGTATTCTTGATCCAATAAAACTAGACACAACTATCGCACACTCTGCCACACTTTACCAGAATGCACAATATTTTCTGTTCGAGAAGTAAGGTGACAATACTGTTGTAGTTGCATCATGGTTAAATCGGAAATAAAGAGTAAGTGAAATTACCGTCAAATAATATCAAACCAACAAAAGGCGACTACCTAAGACGATAGCTCGAGTATGATAGTCTTGCGCATTTAAAGAGACCAAGACACTGATTTCCGTGATTTTCATGAAAATGCCTTGTTCAAGAAAGAGCGGGAACGGAGAATCTTCTCAACGGCCCATTTGGTGAAAATTTAGTCAAACTGATCAGTAGCAGAAGACCTCGATTTGAACTCGGCGCCCAGAATGGACACTCGATCACAAAGTCTCGATAGTACTTATCCTTAGAGAGTCCTAAAGAAATTGTTGAGCGTATATTGATATATCATACACATGTCATAAAGTACTCTTGAGTCGATTACAGCATTGAATATCAGGTTTGTGAAGAATACCTGTCTGACTGTCCTTAGGTCATTAACACCCTCTTCCTTGGTGTCAAAAATTTTCCCAGACAAATATGAGCCTTCCTTTTTAGGCTTAGCATTTTTCGTAGCATACCACATGCATCATAAATATGAAAAAGATATGTCCCATTCATGGTAATTCCTCCAAAAGTAGAGCAGCCGCTGCAAAGTAGTGATTACAGGATTCACCATTGCCTTTAGCTTACTTTTAATGGGTGGGTAATTCCTTTGCCATAAATCAGAAGTAGATGTATTCGTTTCATTCGTCCATAGAATAATTTGATATTGAACGATGATATACAATAATGACTCGATTTTTGTCATTTCCGCCTTGATTACATTCATGTCCTCTGGCTTGGTATGGTTTAGAATGCATTTCTCACCCTTGTTTGCCACAGATATAGACGCTTTGTTACAAATACCAGTAAGACTTTCTACATGGTAGATATCATGAATGCCACAACGCAATGACACCAAATCTTTCTTTCACGAAGCGGGGCGCAGCTGAGTGGCAGCCAATCCCGACGCCGAATGTCTCAAGAATTCGGTTTCATCCAAGACAAGTTTTGTGCATCGTTGTCTCTCTGGTCCAAACTCCTCCATATCATTACGGTTCATGTCTGCCATGCACGCACATAATTCGCGATGTCAGCGCAGCAAGGCGTTCTTGCTATAATGACTAAGCGTCTATTTCACTCCGCAATTTTGCCACGCCTAGCTGTGCTATGAGGCCGGCTGACTGTCAAGTCGTGTGCTAGAGTGTGCGAAGGCTGCGGATTCGAGAGCATTACGCCTTACCGAATGCTGGAGGCGCTACAGGTAGGTGGGTTTGAATATGATATGTTGACATACAGAATTCGCGTTTGAAAGATGTGGTACCCATGAGTGTAGAGGAAGCCTTGGCCATGCCAGAGTTTGGTGTCCAGCAATATATTGCGGCGCAAGTGCAGTATTCACCCAAGGCTGTGGAAAGGTTGGTACGGATTCCCGAACAGGACGGTAATCCTGTGTTCGATAGGAATGAGTGGATCTATGAACACTTGAAGTAAGTATCGTGTCTTTGTTGACGTAGGCGCATACTTCGCGACATAAACGTACCATGGCTGCTGAATGTACAGCGCGAGTGCACGAACGTCGACTCATGCGAGGTCTTACGTGTTGGCAATGACGCATATATGTGCCGTGCCCATGACGATGGACGTATATGTACTGCACGCGGCTACATCTTCCATGCTATCGACATGGCGTCAGACCAGTTGCAATCACCACGGCATTTTCCTCCAAACCAGACCAAGTCTCTACATCGCTCGCATGTGGTATTTGCAATATGTCGGCAACTTGCGCGCATTTTTTCCCATCTATATCTGCACCATCGCAGCCTGTTCGAACGGTGCGAACAAGATACGGCTTTATATGCTCGATTCAAAAAACTCACGGAAGAATTTCAGCTTTTGCAGGCTGATTTTCTGCCCATCTAAGGCACGGCACTTGCGACTCCTGTCGTTGACACAGCTTCTGTCCGGCCTGTCCGGGTTAGTCAATATTACATCGCACAAAAAACAAGACTCATACGTACATAGGGGACACGAATTCGAGCTGTGCTCGAGCCATTGGTCCACACATGATGCGTGGAAAACGTGCTTGCATGAGAGAATACGGCATTCATCTTCATCCTGCCAGTCATCCAAACATACCAGACATTTGTCCGATGTATTTTCCGTAATGCGGCCAGCAGCACGAAAATGAACCAGCTCGGAAGCCCGAACCTTGGCTAAGCCACTGCGTTCAATATCAGCGGCACTAGCTGTTGGCCTCTTATTGCTCATAGCCGCTATGGTGCCGAGCAATTCCATAATGAACATCAAGTCGCGTCCAGCATCACGAGGACGGGCTGACAGAAGCGGATGATTCTCATGATAGCGTCCACCACTCACAAACAAGACGAATCGTGCTACACCAGAGCGGCTGTCTGCTCCGTCTCGTGGGAGCGCTTGTTCACCGCCCATGAGTCGTTCTTCTGCTCGCAGACTTCGTACACCGACCATGACGCAAGGGACCAACGCCGATTCAGCATTGCGCTCAAAACGGAACATTCGGAAAAATGCCAACTGACCAGACAAAACGTCCGATTCACGACGTTCGCGCGTTTCTTCATCTACATGTGCCGAGTTCGAAGGGTCTTGCTCTGTTGATGCCGTTGTTGTTCCTGAAGCGCTCAGTTGATGTATGGCCACATTCAGATCATCCAACAAGTCGCGCAAAAAGCGATCGAATGAGCCGGGCTCACCATCAGGCAGCGGTTGGTTCTGCCGAGCTCGCTCGAGTGTGGATAATACAGAGGCCATTGTTGTTTGATCTGACTCAGCGCTTGATGATGAAGACGGTGCTGAGCGCTGAGGCAACGATGCTCGCAAGGCATCACGCAGAAGACGGGAGATTGATGATGCGGCCTCTGAATCATTGCGTTGCAGAGATGATTGACGAGGGGCACCACCACGAGTTGAAATGAGACGATTCAACAGTTCGCGAGCGAAGCCCGCTTCTTGCGGAGCACCTGATGACGACGTGGACTGATTATCATGCGCCACTTCAGAATCAGGAGCTCGAGAAGTCTCGGGTGAACGACCTTCGGCGGAGTTCGACTCTGACGAGGGTCCCAATCCGGTCCCGGCCGTACGACTAGGCTCAGAAGCAATTGAAGGGTCGTTAGCAGGAGGCTGCGCATCAGAGCCTGAGGATGGCTGCTGCATTGCAGAAGAGGCAAAAGCTGTAGCAGAAGCCGCAACTGATGGGTTGAGGGGGGTTTGGTTTACAACAGAGGCTGCTGTGGCTGCTGCGGCAATACGCAGAATCCGGCCCAGCATTTCGCCCTGCTCTTCAAGTGTAGCAACATGGGGTATATTGGACTCATTTTGAGAACCGCTCTGTGACTGAGAGCTGGAGGCATCCGCAGTGGGCTGTGTCGGGGTAGGTTCATTGGCTGAAGTCGATGTCGATGATGGCAAAGGTCCAGGCGATTCTGCGTGTTCTGCCGACAAGGGCGTGGGTGCTGATCTAGTCGATGAGGATGAGGATGTGCGCGGCAGATTGTGTTCGCCTGAATCTTGCTGTGAAGCAGTGCGCGCAATTAACGCTCCTTGCACAATGACGGATGTGCCGGACAAGGGTGCCGTCATGGGCATAGGGGCTCCTTCTCGAGGCGCACTCAAAAGTTCAGCCAAAACTGAGGTTAAAGCAGACGAGGGTCGATCAGCATTTGGGCCAAGGTTGGTGGATCTGGCGTTTCTTTGACCAAATGTGCCAGGCAGCGAAGATGGATCGATTCTTGGGTGTGGCTGAGCGTGAGCGTGAGGTTGGGCCCGACTTTGTGATGGAGCTGAGGATGTGGGTAAAGATCCGAAAGCACGTTCTAACATGCGGAAAGTACTCGCACGCTCCGCCTCCCAAGGATTTGAGGGCGTTGTCGTGTTGGAGTCTGGTGTGTTCATATCATTGTAAGGCATGCGACTCAGCCTAGAACTCGATGATTCGGAGGAAAGCGAAGAGTTGCGCCGACCAAATGGGTTTGAAGTATTAGAAGCGACCGATGGAGCAGAGCCAGTCCCAGCTTCATACTCGGGGGAGGTGGCCGCTGCCATGGGTCCTGGTGATACAGAGGATTGAGAGCGTCGGGACAAAGAGCTCAAGGGCGTCCTATTCCAACCAGCCTGGATCCTGCGCGAGAGGTTTTCTGTGCGTGAAGCAGGTGCTCCATCCACTGCCATGTCCTCTTCCTGATCCAAGTGGCGAGAACGAAGTCCTAGAGATAAGCGGCGGCGGCGAAGACGCCTGTCTGAGTGTTCCGACGAGACATGTTCTCCGGCATCTTCACGATCGCGTCGCGCAGGTATGCTGACTGATGGTATACGATTGTCCTGATCTTGTGCGCGTTCGTCACGACCACGCACACCGCGTGAATGAGCTGAGCCCATGTCGTTGAGGGACAGGCCTGCTAATCGCAATGAGATCGCTTCACAAAGGCTCGATCGCACGCGCACATGCATGTGTCACATTCACACGTGACTTGCCTGCTCGTCTGTCCCTATTGGCACCGGTGCAATCACCGCCACTTATCTAGCCCAAATGACAGGTGAGCACATGCAAGAAGCTAGTAAGTCAGTGTGGGGGTGTGTACCGATTGCCGTTTACATAAGGTAGGAAACGAAGGAACTGCTAGTCCGATGAACAGGCGTATAGTGTACGCATCGAAGTAAGCAACGCGACGCGCGCTCAGATGCAGTCGCCACTGCTAGCGCTGCCGACAAAAGAGACGCGCGATGTCGATCTGGTCAAGCCCATGTCGCACTTGATTGTCAAAAACTATGAGCAAGATCCTGCGACGTTTGCCGATGAACTGCACGGAATTGCACAAGTCAGACAGGATGCGACCGGTCGCGCAAGTACTGAGACCACGGGTCGAGATCTCCTGTTTCGTTACTTTCACATTATCGAGATGTTGGAGCTCCGGTTTCCTGAACTAGAAGTTCCATTTACGTGGCTCGACTCATTCTCACATGACCAGGTCGAACAAACAGCACTGGCATATGAAAAAGCATGTGTTTTATTTAACACGGCCGCACGCATCACGCATGTATCTGCACAGTTCAATCGAAGTGATGCGAACACAGACGGACTCAAGCGTGCGTACACTGGATTTCGACAAGCTGCTGGTCTGCTTCAGTATGTCAAAGACAGCTTTTTGTATGCACCCAGTGATGATATGAAGGGCCCATCCTTGGAGTCTTTGGTCAAGCTGATGCTTGCTCAAGCCTCGGAAATCTTTCTGGAAAAGACGATTCACGACAAGAAGGGCGACGGTCTTGTATCAAAGCTGGCCTGTCACACAGCTACATCCTATGCGTCATTGTTAACAGAATGGAATGACGAAGCATGCACGGTTCGCGTACCATATATGTGGCATCAACTTGTGGAGTGTAAGTCGAACCACTTTACCTCTGTTGCACATATGTATCGAGCGAAAGCGGATCGAGCTGCTGGAAAGCATGGTGACGCCCTTGCTCGTTATCGCTATGCTGAAGTGAAAGCGCGTCTTGCTGTTAGTCAAGCAACACTCGATACTTGGTCATTGGCGACGTACCTTCGACCGACGCTACCTGTTGACGCGACTGCTGCTCTGAAACATTTGGCGCAAGTGCAATTGACCAACGCTGGCGAAGCCTGCCGAGAAGCTGAGCGCGACAATGACGTCGTGTATCATGAGCGAGCACCCGATGTCGATACGCTGCCACCTTTGGACCAGACATCCGTTGCTACAGCGATCCCCATTCGGGAAATATTTTCACAGTCTGAAGTACAGAAAGTGCTTGGTGCTGATGTGCTACCCAGCCTCGTGCCTCTTAGTGTGCTACAAAACACATCCGTGTACACCGAAGAACAGGCCAAACTTGTTCGTGCTGAAAGCGCACGCATCGATGCTGCGAATGAGCGCATCCCTGAAGCTTTTTCAGCGCTCAACCTGCCGGATTCGCTTGAGCGCTTTGCGTCCTTGGATGGTGCGCCACTACGGCCCTGCATCCCATCATCGCAAGTTCTTGACATGTCGGACGAACTTGTCGCATGCCAAGCATGTACACGCGTGGATCGAGTCCTCGAATCGCTGCCAAAGCGCTCTGCGCCGGTCGTGTCGACACTCGATGATGCTCTCGCAGACTTGGACACAGATGCCCGCGAATGCGAACGGGGGCGTGTTCAACATGCAGCTACCTGGACACAGGCACCAACAGCGAGTGTTGCCCGAGCACTTCGGCGGGATATCCACGCAGCTCGTGATGCTCTTGCTACAGCAAAAGAGAATGATGTGGGCATGTCTCGGCTATGGGATGAAGTTCGTGAGGACGTCGCCCTTCTTGAGCGTGGAAGGAGCGCGGTGTCTGCTGCGTACGAAGAACGTGCACACGTGTCGCCCTCGATGGACCTGATTGATGCAGATCTATCAGATCCTGAACCGGCTCGGCGACTTTATGTTGAGCTAAAGGCACACCTGAATGCACTTGAGCGCATGCCGTTGGAGCGCCAAGCTATGTTGCAGGAATTGAAGCAGCGGGTACGCCATGACGATATCTCACGTACCCTGCTTCTGCATCGGCGTGTCCAAAACGTGGAACAAACGCTATTTGCACAGGAGCTGGGGAAATATGCGCCTTTGCAGAAGCAAATCCGTCATCACATCACGCTCCAGTCGCAGCGAATCGATGTCATTCGCGATGCCTTAGAGCGGCTTGCTACGCACCCGGGCGCGGCCGATGTGCGTCGGCACTGGGATGCATCTGAAGGCGCAGCTCGCGACATGAATGAACGACTCAGCCGCGCCTACAATGCATACACGGACGTCCAACGAGCGGTGGCTCAAGCCCAGGTTTTTTATGACGACATGTCATATTCGGCCAACCAACTCGCTGCAGCAACGGAGCGTCTTGTTGCGCAGCGCCGTGCAGAGCGTGCCACCTTCTTGTCCTCGGCAGGCCATGTTTCAAATGAAGCATGTGCAACTTCGTCGGCCGCTACCCCCCCAACCACACTAGCCCAGGATCTCGAGGCGTTGCGTATGAATGAATCCCATGCCAAACATCGAGGCGGTGCACCACCGCCCCCACCGCCTCCAAGATTGTCATCGTCATCGTCATTTACTTCTTCCTTAGCTCAGAGTTTCGGCCGCGCCACTGACCAGGCTCCAACTGGACACACGATGTCATCTGACTATGCAGACAAGAAGCCCGTACCACCGCCTCGACCACCGCGCGTTTAATTGGTCACCTACAGAGCCAACTCGTCCTCGTCGTCGTTAGCTGATGGTGTTGGTTCGAGTTTGCTTACGGTGCTCTCGTGTTCACGCGCGACCTCAGACTCTGTATCCTCATCTTCTTCGTCATCATCGTCATCTATATCTTCAGGTGTGTCGTCTTGATCACTCTCGTCGGACGCATGCGATATCGGTGTACGCCCCTTGCGTCTAGAATTGGGTGGACGTGCAGCCGCCGACTTGGTTGCTGCTGCTGCTGGTAGCATTTGAAGAAAAGGTGCTAAAGCGTGCATGGCATTTTCGTCTGACATCGCCTGCCGGTCGCAATGTTTGGAGAGGGCCGCCTCAAATCTTGTCAAGGCTTGTCGCATAGACGCATCATCAGCGCGCAAGCGTAGCTCATTCATCAGCACATATAATTTTGTGCCGCGTGTTGCATCTAAAGCTGCAGGCCAAGCGAGTTTGCCCAGGATGTGCACGATTGCCTTTCGTTCTTCTTTGCTTGTGGATGTCAGTGCATGCTGTAGGGCGTCGATGCCCAGGTCCATATGTATCATATCATCAGGTTGCGTCAACCTGGTATGTGTGAGTAGAGATGGTGTAGTAAAAGCATACGTACATGAGATGCGCCGGATGGCACCAATCGAGGAGCTGCGTCGCCACTTGAGATGGCGAGATCATTTTTGGCGGAGCTTGCACATCGTCATAAACGCTCACAAGCACACTTAGCACGTCACAAAACACATGCTGGATCATACGCTGATGCCGCACGTGTGAACTGCAAAAGAGCGGGAGAAAGTAGCTCAGGCATTGGCGCAATGCTGCATTGTCGACCAGATACGGGCTCATGTACGTCAGGATCAAGCTCTTGAGCACGTCGTCTTCCACCAAGACGCCTGTAAGCATCAGTTTCGCCATTCCTTCAGCGGCAATAGTCTGAACATGAGAATCATCATGCTCGAGCAGACTTAAAAGGAAGCCGATCATTTGCTGACGAGCAAATCGCATGCCTTGTTCGCGATCCCCATCAAACTCATTCTGTGCAGCTACATCTGCGCTTTGAGCGCAAAGGGAGTCAATGCCCTGCACAATCGTTAGATCAAAAAGACATTCGACACAGCGCGCAAGGATTGATCCGGATGCACGCTGGATTTGATTGAGTAAGAGCGGGAATGTTACCAGAGCCGTTTTTGCATCGAGTAAGGAACACAGACCAAGACAAACGAGACCCTGCTCGCGAAGAGCAGCATCGCGGCTTTGGACTGTAGGAACAATGAGCTCCTGGATCAAACCTTCCAGCGACGCATCGTCCTGCAACGAACATGCGATGCGCTCGAGCATAGATCGCACAATTAAAAGACGACGTGCATCCAAAGCTGCCTTATTAGCCGCTTGTTCCGGCGAGAGCGTCATTGCTTGCGACTGGTTGCCGTCCGCAGCAACCCGTTGATGCCATGACAAAGCTTGGCGGACAGACGTATCGGCATCGTCGCCGAATTCATCCATCTCAGCATCGAGAGCTTGAACAAGTTCTACGACCATTTGGAGAAAATCCCGTTGCCCGCTCGAGAGTCGCAACAGTACATCAAGACATCGCGGCACGAGCTCTGCTGGCAGCCACGCATTGCCGAGCATTTCCCGCACGAGCATGTACATTTTCTGCCGACCCATTTCATCCGCATAGTCACAATGCATGGCAATTGCAAGCATCTCGCTTACGATGAAAATTCGCGACAAGGCGCTATCGTCCTGAACGGCAGGCATGTCTTCTTCCATCTCCTCAGCCGCCTGTTGCTCAAGGATTCGGTTCAATGCATCATATTCGGATTGAATTCGGAAGGCAAGAGCAGTCACGACAGGAAGGCAAGCTTCAAGCTCTCGTTCTTGTCCGTTTGTCGAGCAGTATAGCACAAAGCATCTGGCCAGCAGCGCTTTGGCGGGTGTGACAGTCTGCCAGTAGGTATCTTGCTCGGTAAGCCAAGCGGCGACTTGATTTCGAACATCCGCCATATCCTCCAGTAGAGCTAATACAGCGGGCTCCCCATTCGCACTGCGGCTTACGTGCAAGTGATCCAGCAGCGTCAGTATATCGTTGCCCACAGCCTCAAACCAAAATGCTACCAGCTTACGAGCAGCCTTCTTCACACTGAGATCACGCTCATGCAACCCAATGCGGATGACTTCTGAGAGCGACACTTCACCAAGACCCAGCGTCTCTCGCACCGTATGCCCGTCTTGCCGCTCAACAAGCGGCTGTGTGTCGAGCAGCATTTTTAGCGAACCAAGGTAGACGCATCGCCGGTTCGTTGCATCAACATCTTGCAAGCGCTCAAGCAGGAATGGGAGTGTTGCGGGCGTTGGTGCAATGTTAAAAAGGGCAGCACGTCGTACATCGGCGCTCATGTCGTGCCGTAAGAGGTGCAAGAGTAGGCGCAGTGTATGCTCATCGGTGCCATCCTCGTCCGTCTGGAGACGTGCAAGTGCAATAACTGCCTGTACACGTACACTTGATTCTCGGTCCGTCAATCGCTCCATGAGCATTGTGACAAGCGTCTCATACAAGTCATCACTGCGTCAGTATCGACATAGTGCCCACATACTCTATACTATCGATCACATTGATAAGAAGAGAAACGCAAGTCGCACAGCGAAGCCGCACATGTTTATTCTTGGCACGAAATCCTCTCAACAGGTGCTTTAAGAAAATACTGACGAACCGTGTCGCTGGCGTGTCTGTGTCGTCCTGAGACGTCGTGAATTGCTCGATCGCATACGCCGCATATGTGGCGACAAACTTACAAATGCGATCAGCGTTCTTCATTCCCTTCTTCAAGCCAAGAATGCGATGCAAGCATCCGAAAAAACACTCATTAAACAACTTCTCTCCAACAAGACGCACGCCTCGCTCTGTTTGTTCGGTTACTTGTGCACAGCGAACATGCAACCGAAATAACGACACGCAGTTCTTTCTGTGGCTCGCAATTGAGTATTGAGCATCCTGAAAATGCGGCGGAAGCTGTGCCTGCACTATGTCGGTCACAGCGTCTGGCATGAAACAGACTGGGTGGACGCGATAGCGCCTCACTAAGCGTGTGATAAAAGACGAGCTACGACGACGGCGACGACGACGCGACGCAGTGTGTCTCACGTGATATGCGTGTTGTGGCCTTAACGCACACACCAAGCAACACAACTAAATTGTCGCGACAAGTGAGCTTGATACCCCATACTTACTCTAGGCTCGAGAGGACTCTGCTGCGAGAGTAGAATAGACGCAAGGGTCATGACAGCACGTCTCCGCGTAAATTTGCGACACATGCAAACTGCTGCAGCAGGTGGTGCGCTTGTTCTAGGAACAAAGCGATCTATGTGCACGCGACCATGCGTGTACGTGTCGCATTCGCGCGATGTGCTGTTCAATTTGGCATGGGAAGATTTTGTCTTTCGAACCATGCCGATCGATACGCCAGCATGCTTTTTGTATGTGAACGAACCATGCATTGTTGTTGGAAGAAATCAGAACCTTTGGAATGAGGTGGATCCACATGCTATGCGAGCGAATCATGTTCCTGTAGTGCGACGACTCAGTGGCGGCGGCGCTGTATACCATGACTCAGGGAATATGAACTTTTCTTTCCATACGTCGAAAACAAACTTTGTGCGCGCCACACATACAGATCTAATTACGCGGGCGCTGAGCGCACCGCCCATTGCTCTTCCCAGTCGATTTGGGCGGGCGCCTGTTTTCCGGACAGAGCGAAATGACTTGGCTGTATTGGATGTGGGTGCGACAGATGCATCTGATGCATATGTACGGAAGGTGTCCGGCAGCGCATATAAGCTCGCTAATCGACGTGCATATCACCATGGAACCTTGTTGCTCGCTGCAGATTTGCAACGCATGTCCATGTTGAAGCAACGGCGCACGCATATTGAGTCGAAGGCTGTCGCGTCCGTGCCGTCACCTGTTGCCAATCTCGTGGACACTTTTCCTGCACATGCGCAGCGGCTAACGTGGCCAAACTTGGTGGATGCGATTCATGCTGAGTTTGAGCGAACATATGGGAGCAGCAAGCGGATCGATGTGGATAATTCATTCCTCGACGCGCAAGCATCAGACGGTCGTCGCGACGTGTGTGTCCGCACTAGGTACGAGGAAATGCGTGGCTGGGATTGGCTCTATGGCTCTTCACCTCCTTTTACTGTGAGAGTGTCGACACAAGATGTACCCTTCAGCGATGTGGATGATGTCCACGTGGCAGTGAGCCTGCATCTTTCGTGCGTGCACGGCATTATAGAGCATGTCGATGTCTGCTCGTCAGATACCCGAGTCGCTGAGGCTGCACATGCGCTTGCGGGTGCGCCTTACGATACTGTGGCTTGTGCGCCGCCATCGTGTGTGCTACCAAGGAATTGGAATATAGACAACAGACTACGTGAATGGCTAGCTCGTGCATTGTAAAAAAAAAAAAATTGAATCATGAAAAAGAATCGCAATTACGTATGACCGGAGAGCATGTCATCGATCATCCGATTAATGAGGGCCTTTTTCGACTGAATATCGGCATTGGGCATGGATGTGGCCACAGCGTCGCGAACATTGCGTTTTGTGACCTGCATCAGACTTGGCTGAGTGGCGAGGTACGTGCGAATTTGTGCACGAATCTGCTCATCAGTCGGGTTTTCGGAGTAGTCCATCGGCAGGGATGACGCTGATAAGTGCTGCTCTGACACGCTGCCACCAGGAATTCCAGTGCTCATCATGGACGTACGCCAATCAGAGGGCGGTGCTGGAAACATGGGGGGTGGCATGCCGCTACCATACATAGGGCCGAGGGGCGTCATACTGTACATAGGAAGAGAGGGTGCAAACATGCTGTGGAGCATCGAAGAAGATTCGTGGCCGTAGCTGGGCGTTGGCATCCACATGGCGGATCCTAACGACTGACGATTCGACTGCCTTTTGCGTTTCGCATCCAGTAGATTTGTATGCTGGAAGTAATCGTCAGCGTACATGTCCAGCTCGGTATTCGGGGTAAAAGAGGAGTGGGCCATGCTCTTGGACGGTGGCATCATATCATACAAGAGCATTTCATTCGTCAGAGGTTGTTCGTTTGCATAGAGTTCCTGCTGGTACTCAGTAACGGTCTTGCGGGGAATCATCGAGTCATGGTAGGGCTCATCGTCTGTACCAGCAACGACTTTCTTGTTTCCCTTTTCGCCCACGACAATACGCGTATTGCCCCAAGAAAAGTCGTCCATGTGCCAGAATGAGTAGATTGGAAGAAGGAAGGCATAGATGGGGAATGCAATCAGGTAGATGATCATCCACCCAATATACTGCCATTGGCGCTTGAGCAAAAATATGATGGCTTGCAGGCCATACACAGCCCCGATCATCGCGATAGCTATGATTGGAATAGGGCCATTCCCTGTAGCCACTGTAACAATGAGATATACCATATACACAGCAGTCGCTGGCAATATGATCGTGCCAACCAAGTCGATAAACACAATAAAACGCATGGAGAACAGACAGAACCCACAAAGGCCTTTCATGCGCACGAGCTCAACAAGATTATGGACGGTTGAATTGATCCATCGGCGCCGCTGAGACAGCAGTACAGAGAATGAGTCAGGTGCAGATGTAAGTGCTTGTGCATCGCTTCGGAACTTCGTGCAGTACAAAGGGAAATGCTTGAGCAAAAGTGTTGTCAGGTATCTGTCTTCACCGAGGGCAAACAGGTTCATCTTGTGCAAGGTGTCAATTTTAGTCTCGCTGTAGTCATCGATAATCTTGTCCGAGATAAACAACGGACGGCCCTTGTCTGACGATCGTAAGCGGTACATCGAGAAGCAACCCGGCAAACAAGTCACACTGCCGAAAAGCGACTCGAATGCTTTCGCGAGATTGTGCGAGATATAATATTCGTACACCTGGATCATTGTCCAGAATGTTGTGCCCTCATTGTCCAGCAGCGTCTCGCCACACACGGCAATCGTGCGCGGGTCATCGACAGCCGCCGCGACCAGCCGATTTAAACCATCTGGTTCAATGGACGTGTCCGCATCGACCATAAGAATGAACTCGTACATAAAAGGGTCGATGCCAATCACATGCTTCATGTGGTGATAGAGTTCAAGCTCCAATGGGAACATAGGTGTGTCAAAGTGAACACGATTGAGGTACCGCATGAGCATAATTTGTGTGTCACGCTTGCCGCGATTACCGGGGCGCGAGCGCTCACTTGGACGGCCGACTTTCACGACGACAATAAAAGGGACCACATGACCCTCGCACTCGAAAAGACCCGAGTACACTTTGCCGTAGTTCAACTGCTTGGATCCATTCGCGACAGACTTGAATGGCAACGGTTCTGGATCTACCTGCCGATCGACACCCAGAATGTCAAGTACGATGCGCGGCGTTGGCTGCTCATTTCCACCACCGACAATCATGCCGTCACACACGATGAACAAGAGCTTGCGCTTGTCATCGTACTCTTGTGTTGTGATCGATTCAATGGTTTTGCGGAGTGACTCCTCGCCCTCCGTATAGCATGGTAATATGGCAAATAACGAAACGATCCTGCTGCTCCGGCGATGGTCGATGCGCCAAATTGGAGAGCAACTAATAAAACTTTTGCCCAAGAATCGAGCAAAGAATAAAGAAATGGAGAAAGACAGTAGCAAGTAGTTCTGCACGACACATTGCGGCTCTGTCCGAAAATCCTTTTGGCCCACACGGAACACTTGATCGAGGCAGTGCTGCGTTTGCTGCCGTGTGTTACCATTGAGCTTGTCCATGGCGCGACGAAAGTCATTGGTAATGTCACTGCCCGCCTGGGCTTCGAAGAGATCGACAATATCGCTCGGCAAAAACGAGTACGCATCAACGCCTGGATTCCTTTGCTGCGTATTCAGATAGTTCGTTAGGTCGTACACAGTCTCGTCCACGACGGCCCAATTGCGCCAGGAGCCGTCTTCCTCGAGCGCCTTTGTGTCGTAAACATAGGCGCCCTTGTGGTACGACTTCATGCGCGGCAAAAATGTATGATAGTACCAGTTCTGATTATTGAGCTTTGTATTGTTGTTCGTTTGCGCAGAGCCAGACTTGTGAATGGCCTGCGGAATTTGAGCTGTTAAGTTCTCGTTCGGCGTGAGCTCTAACGATGCATCTGACACAAGGCCACGGCAGCCAAGATTCAAGGGCACAGGGAAGTATGGCGTTAAGTCTTTGCCGGCAAGCTCCATCATCACATCATTTGTCACTGGACGGCTCGGGATATCGGAATGGTCCAGCTTGTAGAACTTAGGCTTATCATACACTTCGCCCGCGATAGCCACGTAAAATGATTTTCCACCGTCATGCTCGCTCAGCTGACCCTCATTCCATGCGCGATCAAAATTCGGACACAAGATACGTCCCAATCCAATAATGTAAAAGAGGATGAGAGCACAAAACAAGAAGATCAGCGTACAGATCGTGACTTTTTCGCGCCATGCCATGCGCACGTCCGGACGTTTTTTCTTCAGGACATGACTTAGCACAGAATCAGGCATCCACCATGTGATAGCCCAGGTGAGGCGCACCCACCATTTGCGCATCGGTGTGACAGGCTCTTCTTCGAGCTCTATTGGATCCATGCCACTCATCTGCATCTCGTTTCGCAGACCTGCTTCATCTTGCCACGATGAGGTCGCTGGACGTGCCGTCGTTGCACCTAAGAGCGGTACATCACCATTGGACTCGCGCGGCTCGTCCATGAACGACTCATCCTTTTTGAGAAGCGATGTCTCAGAGTCAAGAGCAGCAGAAGTCGACATCAGAGGCATCATTCCCTGTCTATCTTGCATGCTGTCGCGATAAGCGTACTGCTCAGTCGGCTCCGACTGTTGAGCTTCTGCTGGTGATACGTGCACGGTCGGCACGGGCGCGTGCTCAGCATGAATTGGACCTACATGCCCATCAAGCGAAAACCAGACGTTGTACGACACATACACATTGGAGGTGCCAACCGCATAATCCGCGGGGCAAGCCCAACTGTACATACCGGCCACATGCTCGACTTCTCCGAAACGTTCTTGGAATTCGTCGAGGGGTATGCGAATGTAACCATGCTGTTTTGCGCGAACTAGACGTGGAAGACCCAATGCATGCACCTGTGACGACACGCGCCGCTTGTCAAAAACTGAGAGCTTGACGAGATCCATCGATCGCAAGCAAAAAACATGCCAGCATGTGTCTGCCTGCTGCATTGTTTGAAACAACGCGAGCACGATCGCATCCATTTGCTGCATGACACCAGCGATGCGAGTCTCAGGCCAAGTAACACGCACACGGCCCAGCCTCGTCGCGCGACGAAGTGGGCATGAGGACACTTGCGCACGAAGCACAATTTGCTGGTCGGTCAAACGCGACTCGACAGCGAGACCGGGCCCTGCAAAAAGACGAGCAATGAAGGCGGCGCGGGATGCACGTAGTGTCTGCAGCTGCTGCGTGGGAAGAAGATCGAGCTCCGAGCGCTGATGCGATACAACTGAGTATGAGCAAGCACCAAGAGCATGGTTGATATCGAACGAGTATGTACCATTGGGTAAGCGAGATGCAATAAATGCACGGTGCTCATTGTGCGCTTCTAGGTCACGGAACAACGCAGCATCGTCCTCTTCGGTGCGCTCGCCGTCGAGCACGGCGTGGAAGGCATGTGCATAATCGCTCAGAATGCCTTGATCTGGATGCTCTGGTACCGGTACGATGTCGTCGCCAAAGCAGAGAGGCACAGGCCCGCCACGAAGAAGCCACATGCAATCCGATGGGACGTGTGTCTCAGGCACACGAAGCCCGTCCCTGCGAGAGCGCGTGCACTTCCCCCTCAGTCGGATCCAACACAGCCCGCACATGTAGATGGCGCAAGAGATCTGCCATGTAATTCTTCACGAGATCGTCGAAGTGAGACGGACGCTCTTGCCCATCTAGAAGTTGTCCACGAGAGAGAAAACCAGGTGGATCGAATTGCACAACATGCAATGGTGATGGCGATCGCGGAACGAGTTTCTGGTTCATCAGCTCGACGAGGAACGAGAACAGAACTGCATACATGTTCTGGATCAGTGTGTCGCGCTGGCGACGTGCACCGTCAACGTCCATGATGCGCGTCAAGCGCTCATTCTTGATATACTGTGTATCCATGACAAGACTCTGTTGCAAGTCCGACGCACTGACTTGCAGGATGTCCGCGGAGCGTGTGAGCACCTCGGGTGTGGTCACGGTGACCTGGTTATTCCATATGCCGAACTCGATACCCTGCAGATGAAGGATCGCCGAAAGTACACGCAGTACTCCCTGCACATGCTTCTCTTTGAGTCCAAGCGTTGCAAATGCACGGCGTGTCCACTCAAACGAGCGCGCATCTTCTCGTGTCGGCACAGCGGAGCCCAATGCGACGTCATCCAGTCGGTACTCCGTTCGCTCTTTCCGCGAGGCGCCTGCGAGAAGCTGGTAAAAAATCGCATAGGAACGCTCGTTCACATCGAGATCATGCAGGCGGTGCTTATCAAGGCCCCAAACAAGCACTTTTCCGCCTGCAAGTCGGCCATGAGTAGAGAAGTGTAGTTCCCAATATGTGGCATGCCGCGATGCTTGGTGGTTGATCGCTGTCTTGGCCTGTCCAAAAGCTTGAAGAATGTGCTGCGCACATTGAATCTGATCTGCTATGCTTGATTCGCGCTGAGAGTGCGATGCAGAAAGCGCGAGGAGGTGCTCAGTCACACGTTGCATTGTGTGAGTCTTCCCTGCATCAGTTATGCCATGGTACTGGATCGCTTGAGACCGCTTCGTGCGGAGCATTTTGTGATAGACACGTGCCGCCAATGAGTATGGATGTGGCTGAAGCGATGGCACATGGGCATGGACAGATGCTGCTTCTGCTGCCTCTTGATCCATCTGAGATGTATCAAAGTATGGATTCGTGGCAACAAGCATCGTGGGCGAGGCCCATGTATAGGGAGCTGATACATCCAAGCGGTCACAAAGGACTTGGGTGATCTCCGCATCTCGCACCTTTCCCTCATCGTGTGCGAAGAGCGCTGCAAGGTCAGGCGTTGAAGTGGTAGCCATGCGGAGAGGACGGCCAAGTCACTGAGGAGAGGGGAGCGATGAATGGCAACAATGGTGACGACTAGTAATGACAATTCAAATCCTCTCTCTCTCTCTCTCTCTCTCTTTCTCTCAACACGCTTTGTAGATATATTCCAACGCCACACGCCAAACCCGTCAGAAACGGATCAGTTTTATAGAAGGCACGGTCGGCTGACGGAGGTCCGCGTCATGAATGTGTTGTTCTCACAGCTTGTCAACCTTTAAGCACAGGACGCGTGTTTCGGCCGAAAAAGTACCAACACACTCCACCCGCGCTGCCTGCCTATGAACGTGAACAGCGATGTAGGACGTCCAACAGTGTCTGCGGCGCATCAGCCGTTGAAAACATGTGGTCTGCGTCAATACTGTGGAGGCTCACGGCCGGCCATAAGGAACGCATGCGCTCGGCCCATGCATCGTATGTGGGTGTCGACGTAAACTGATCGCGTGTGCAATACAGAACGTCTAGCGACACATGCTCCGATGTACGAGCTAGGTTGACGAGCTCATCGAGACACTTAACAAAGAAATGTGTCTGCAGACAAGTGAGCGCCCATCGGACACCCAGTGGATATGATAGTATCAGGTATGAAACATGAGCACCGGTCCATGCACCCTCAAGCTTCGGCCGCACAGCGGATGCATGCATCGAACCTGCACTGTAACCCGCAATATACACATGGGGTACCCATGCATGCACTTGTGCCTCGTTAGCTCTATCATACATTTTTTCACTCCCAAGCTGCATCGCGTAGTCTACTGCTGCCTGCATATCGTCACACTCCGCGCGCATCGTCCAAGAGACACGCCCTCCTGATGGGTGCACTCCACGAGCATTATACGTAAGCACGCAGCATGCCTTGTTCAGGTAAAAGCGCACGAGAAGCTGCACGATAGGATTGTCCTGCGAGCCCCCGTAGTAGCCGTATGCTAGACGAGTGTGAGGGAACTGAATTATGATACGCACGATGAGAAATTACAGCCACGCCTTGCACTGGCTGCTTCGTGAGGTGCCACCTGCCCACTAGCTTGATATCATCTCGTGCGTAAAATGAAACGTCCATGATAAGGTACAATGCGGAGAACAGAACGGCGACCAGAAATGGACACTGCTCTTGTCACAAAATGTTGAATCTCTCGTTGATTTGAACTTTCACCTGCCGCTAACCCAAGTTTCTCGGCAGGTGAACCTGGCTGGCTGGGCTGGCCACGGATGTCCTGTCACCTCAGTACGATGTGGAGGAAAGAGTCACTCGACGGATTGACAAGAAAATCAAGCCAGTCACTTAAAACTGCTTCTGCGACACACTTGATGAGAGGAACGAAAAGGGTATAAATGAGATCATCATAAACATCTACATTGCTACTCGGATGCAAGTGTGAGCGTATTAGAAGTAATAACCCGATCCACGACGCTGTCGTTTGCAGCACCATGATCCAAGAAGGTACTGTGAATAGAGCTGTCACTCAGACCACGCGCTCTGGTTCGTAGCGTTGGTTCTTTCCATGGCATGACCATATTGGGTGACGGATTTGGTGCACCAGATGATGCTGCAGCGGCTTCTATAAGGGCAGGTTGCGAGGCCTTAGTCTTGAGGACACCTGACTTTGTATTCGCATACGCGCCATGTGCATGTACGGCCACAGAGGAAGATAATGCTGAAGCTCGAGACCGCGGCATCATACGGGTGGGTGGTGCTGCACTAGGCCGAGAAGAGCCGCTGCGTGGTACGGCCATAGGTGCAGCTTCGTTTCCAACGAAGCGCACAAATGCTGAATCCTGCACCGTCGTCGATGTGACGGGCGCTTTGGACGTATCGGGCGTTGCGGACGAAGGTGTCGACATGGCGGCAGCTGGTGCAGCAGAAGAAGCAGCAGTAGAAGAAGCGGAGCTACTAGACTCGGTGGACAGGACGCCCGTCAGCATGCGAGAGATCCAGCTCCGATTTGCTGGTAGCGTGTTGGCACCGAGGTGCTCATGGAGGAGTTTGGCTGCGGCGCCAGGATTGAGATGCACTTCATTGATGCATCGACGTAGGCGAGCGATCTCTAGGAGAATATCACGCTGCAGCTTGAGAAGAGTGAAAAAGTCACGGCGCGAGACGAGACTCGAGTCAGTCGGTACGCCGCGCCGCGCTTCTTTGTCAAGGGCTTTGCGGAAATGCTCACGCCAACCTTCGAGATCGCGCACATTGGCTTGAACTGTTGTGCGCGACAAGTGGCCTACGTCGCCCGCGAGTTTCTGGCGCTGAAGGCGAGTGGTCAAGGAGTCAATATCGGCCTTTTGCAGCTTCGAGTACGTGCTGCTCGCTGCCTCAAGAAATGTGCTGAGCAAGGCCGTTCGCTGCTCCATAGGAGTGTCAAAGTCACGCTCAGATCCATATGCAACGATGGAGCCAGTGTCGTACGACAGGACATCGTCGTCCATGTGAGCACGCGACGATGTAGACGGCGTCGTGATGGCCGTCCCTTCAGACAAGCCATCACTGCGCCGTGTCATGTCTTCTGAGGGCGCCTCACTACGTGAAGAGTCCGATACCACCCGACGCTCGCGTTCGCGCGGCTCCGACGCATGCAATGGCATCGGTGATGAGTCGATGTCGGCCTCAAGCGACACGCCAACCAACGGGCCTGGACCTTCGGACATTTCCCGTAGCTCAGCCATTTCGTCGTTCATTGAGCGAAGAAGTGTCTGGAGGTGCTCATTTTCGTGCCGCAGCGCCTCATGTTCATTCATAATTTCCCGCAAAGCATCGTCCGAGAATGGATCTGGATCTGCTTCGTCCTCTTCACTTGCCCCGGCGGCAGACTCGGATGCCCCCTGCTTGGCGGCAAGCCGCGCACGGACAGCATCCCAAATGTTGGCTTTAGCCTGGGAAGCTGCTTGCTGCGCCTGTGCCATGCGAGAACGCTCACCGTTCCATCGTGCGCGAAGCTCCTCACAACGACGCGCCACAACTTGCTTTTGCTTCGCCTCTGCCGAAGCAAAGCGGCGCCGCTCATTAGCGAGCTCGACACGCGTGTCTTCAAGCTCGGTCTGCACTCGCTCGAGCTTCGCTTCTAAGCTGGACGCCTTGATCCGATGCATCTTTGTCTGCTTCAGCTGATGCCGGACTTCATCTAGTTCCGAAAGCAAGGCATGGTGGCTCTGATCAGCTGCTTCTAGATTAAAGGTTGCTTGCGAGAGCTGGCGCTGTAAGACCTGCGTCTCCTTGATAGTCTGCGTAAGTCTTGCGAGAAGTTGATCACGTTGGTGCGCATGTTCTTCGGCTTCCTGCTGCGAGCGATGCACAATAGCATCCTGGCGCTGGAGAAGGGCCTGCCCAATTTCGGCGCTCAGTTGTAGATCAGATTCCATGTCATGGATCTGTTGCAGTACGCGACGAGACACGTCACACTCTGGCTGGCCACAACAGCAAGGAGGTATGTTTACAGCACTCAATGTTGATACATCTCCATCGAAACTGCTGATGCGACTGTGTCCACTGCGTCCATCGTCGCTGCTCGCAAAGCTCTGATGACTCCGGCGATTTCGCACGTCTGCGTTCATGCGTCGGTGTGTGCTAATTTCATTCACAATCCGTGAGAACTCATCCGACGATGGCTTTCGATGGAGGCCCGCGATCGAATCTTCTAGTTCGGCCATTTCATCTAGTGAAACGACGCTTGAGCATGATCCAATCGTCGAAACTTCCAGGTGCGCACTAGGCCGTTTTCGTATACGAGGCGACATTGTTAACGCACCTTTGAGTGGCGACGACGATGACGAATGCATGGCTCACGCACTCACGCACGAATCCAAGATGAGTCTCCAAAATTCCGTCAAGAGTCGTTAACACGTCAAAAGCTTCAATGAGTGTTGGTCGCAGGGGTTGGCGTCAGCGAGCAGTGTTTCTCGCCTGCTAAAAAAAATACGTGCCGTGTTGGAGTAAAGCGTATTGGAACGCAAAATGGACGTGCATGATGACTAATCTCGTCACATCCTTACTATGATATATAACCTACGTTTGATGGGGGCCAGGGAATGGATGGAATAGGAGTATGTAGAGGGCAGTCGGTACATTTGTCAGAAGATCCAGGAAGAGCAGAAGACGCAAACGATGTCATTGTTGATCCTTATGTGGCAGGACGTAACGCTCGGAGCCTTTGCGCTAGCGCCTCGTCTTGGTCAGCGGATGGCGCATTGCGTCGTGCCGAGCTCATTTCCGTAGGGAGCTCAGATACTTTGCCAGCTAGACCAGCCTTGCCCAATTGTTGATGAAGTTCCATGCCATTCTCGTCAGCCACTTGCTGCAAAAGCAAGTCGACTTGGTCTTGCGGCATGCCAGATGCCGTAGTTGTACTCATAGTGTTCTCCATGTACGATGTTTGTACATCGACATCCTCTAACTGATTTTCAAATTTGTCCATGACGACAGATATCTTGGGACGTGTTAGGATACATAATTTTGGCCAAAAAAAAAAAAAAAAAAAAATCAAGAGTGTGTTCACGTACCCTTTCAAGATCCATAGTTTGCATAGCACGATCAAGACCGCGCACGACTGACGTCATGTTGCCCGTGACCTGGATGTGTAAGAAGGTTCCCAAAGGTGCATGCGTATATGCACTAGTACACACACGCATGCACCAAGTTGCGTGAATGATACATACCTGGCGCATAGATACAGCTGTTTCCACCCGACTCGCTACAGCATCGATGCGACTGCTGAGACGCAAGAGATTGAGTGCTTCGTTCTTTTTCCGGATCGAATTTGTTGCATATATGCGTGCACCGTCCGTGTTTCCTTGTGACAAGGCCTCGTTCCATTAGTCCCCGCGTTGCTAGAGATATACTCACTTTCTTAAGCTTCGCCTTCTCGATAGTCTCATCACGATTCGCCTTGTTCGCCTGGCGTTGCAAAGACTTGACAGTGAACTACTCTGTAAGTGTGATGGAATCACCGCTCCATACCTTGAGCTGGAATAATGAATCTTGTACGATAATTAGCCTTTACTGCTTATCATACGTACTTTCAAGTCCACTACTGCTCATGACTCGTAAAAAGGATGGGCCTCAAAGCCACGCAGATAGTTGTTTTGGGGAAAATTCCCTAGTGAAACACACAACTTTTCAGACGTGGAGAAACAAACAATCATTTTAGAATAGGAAAAGGATTCGAGGTCTGTGTTCGCTGTGGAGATGGGCCCAAGTTGACAAGGACCCTTGCCCTTGCCCTTGCGTGGACAGGTCCTTTCGCCTCCTTTGGACCCATTTCACAAGCTCTAGACCTTGATTACTTTGTGACAGATGCCTGACTCGATGACAACTCCTATGCTAAAGCACATCAATCCGTTTCTTGCGGATATGAGGAAGCATGCGAGCGATTCACGTCCAGCATACGCGATGTCAGCCTTGTGTACGTAGAGACACACAAGCTCACGCATCATAGGTGCCATGTCGATGCCATTTGGATTTGGATATGCGATCAAGACAGCGGGGAATGAAGCTGCGAAGAAAGCCCCACGCCTCATTCCGCCTTTCTGGCAGCTTCTTGGATTCAGCGTATTCTTTGGTACGGGCGCGTACATGATTGATCATGGTGATGTGCTTAATGGAAGTGGCGTCATTTCTGGTACGTTGACAGCGACGCTATGAACGGCCCTTAGCTAACAAAACCTAGCCTGGTCACTTACCTATGTAACATTCCACACACTACGAACTGCTAGGTGGCTCTTGCGCTCGCCACTCGCCCTGCTTCTCAGTTCAACAGTGACCGGAATTGGTCTGGGTGTGTATGCGAATTATTACTTCGACAAGTCGAGCTGGCGTGGTGCAGTGCCCGGCCTCTTGCCCAAACCCAGAGAGTCTAGGCTTGTGTGAGAAAGACGAAACATATATATATATAACCATGAAAGAATCGACAAAAGAGCCGCATTACTTGAGGGAGCGGTACAATATGCAGGTAGGTGCATGGCGTGAAAAACGAAGAAAAGGGTATCTGGATCGTGGATTCCAATGCGTTACGTGGCAGGCACTTCAGGTGGCGTCACTCTGGCTAATATGTCACGCCAATGACGCGCCAGTCGCAATAGTCCTTGAGACAAAATGTGCAGCGACCACAGACTTACGTTGCGCACACGTTGGTGATTCGCTTGCTGAGATGCCACATGATTCGCAAGAGCTTCCCAGATCTTCTCAGAGACAAGAGGCGGCAAACCCGTCTGTGAGAGGTCCAGCGAACCATCGAATTCACTTAGGTCCATAATGATACGACAATCCACAGGGATAAGTGTCTTGTTTGCATTCATAAATGCCACAATAGGACGTGCCAGTGCATACGTCGAGTAACTCAACTCTCGCGTGAAGATCGGCATGGATGCCTTGATGTCCTTGAATCGTACATCCAACTCAATCACGACCGACGGACGGATATCTGATGTTTCGTCATCAGCATCGGCATCAGAAACAGAAGTCGTTGGAACAGAAGAGGGAGAGGCTGCTTCCGCAGCCGCTTCATCCAGAGATGTGGATGACTTCCCGACTTGATCTTGATCGGCTCGTGGTAGCCCATTGGGAAGAAGCTTCGTTCTTCGCAGCTCACGCCGCTTTTCCTCCAACTTAACTGCATCATGGACAGCCCGCTGCTGTCGAGCACGCTCAGCAGCTGGACCGACAGCTGTCACAGGCGCGAGAATGGCAGGGCCGCTTAGCTCAGGCTGACCAGGAATCAACACATCATCACTGCTGGCGGAGCTTACGCGCTCGCCCGAGAAAGTAGCATTCAAATTGTCGCGGATTTCGGAGATGATGGTATTGATGTCCACATCTTCACCGTATTGCTTGGGGAACTTGATATCAGCAACAAGATCGAAACGCCCAGAGTAGATCCACATGAGCGGTCCAGACAGGCCAGCCATTTTCTGCACATGATCGATATTTACACCGTCCACACGTAAACGCGACCAGTTCTGAATGTAGGGTGCACTGTGGCTGCCCATTTTGCTGTAGATACTCCTAGTCGTATGGTGCACGCTTTGAGGCTTGTGCAGGCTAAACAAACAGCCATCGACTTGGCCTGTCATCGAGTCGGCATTGAGCAAATCATAGAAAAGCCATTGCGCACGGAGCCGCGGGATGCGCGCATCGAAAATGCTCACATTGAAAGGCCGGAAATCGCCCGGCTGGTACAGCGTGACAAGGAAGTCTTCAACGGTAAACGATTCAAGATCAATGTCGTTTGGCTTGGCCTTACGACGTGCTTCGCGTGGATTGTACGGCCGATTGGCATCCCAAAACACATGACGCCGATCAATAACGCCTCGAATGCCACGCACGTCCATCTTGTGCAGAAATCCACGGCCATCGAGCCAGCGAGACAGACTCAGTTGCACATCGATCGAGTCGATATGCAGTTCGAACATGGAGAAGTTCTTGTGAGGATCCTGTTTTGGCTCAGATGACGGCGATTCTTGTTGATGGAGCGGTGAGACAATGTGATCACTTGTATCATACGCTGGAATCGACGGCGCATCACCAAGCTGCATTGCAGGAGTAGATGACGTGCCCTTCATCAAGTGGCCATCTTCAGCCTTGTGCTCCTTGTGCAGAGTCTCGGGATCTGTTGGCTCTGCACGACGCGTTATAACGACGTCTTTAAAACTAATACGTCCTTCTTTCCACTTCGGTACAATAGCACTGCCAAACACGATCGTAAAGCCCAGCTGTTTCGAAAGAATCTTAGCAAGTTGCAAGGCGATCCATTCTTGCATGTTCAACAAACTGAGTGCCGCAAATATGACCGAAACAAATGTAGTCGTTCCAACAATGACCCAGATGGCTGTTCCCAGACCGCCAAGTGTGAAAAAGGCACTGAAATCGTCGATGTTAAACCGACGAAAGCCTCGGATCGTAATCCACTTGAAATGAATCCGCATGCGCGTCCAAAAACTCTTGGCCATGCTAAGCAGCTCATCACGGGTTGGTCGCCCATGCAAATGTCCCTTATGTTCCGCGTCCTCCGCACCGTCGGTAGCCTTGCTCCGTGCGAAGCGTCGCGCACGAAGCGCCAAGTCACGAAGTGTCCGAGGGTAGTTGCGAAAGAGATGTCGATCTACCAGCTCTCGCGCTGAGGAAGATGCGACTTGAAGATAATTTTGTTTTCTGGATGATGATGAGGGCGACTCCGATGATTTGCCACTGCCCTTTGAATCCTCCTCCTGCCACATTCTGCTACTCGAATGAAATGCATGCCGCTTTGGTGCGTGCAACACGCCAGGGTGTAAACGCAGCTGTCTCACTATGAGACTTTTGTGCGTTATAGACCTGTTTGAAGCCATTATGCCAGGGATGCGAGCCACCCCTAGCACTTGGCATAGCGACATCCCAAGGCAATCAACGTCACAATAACCTCCAATGGAAAGAGAGAGTGCGTTTACTTTCCATCCCTTGTTCCTATCCCGCACGGTCACCTCCACTTCATACCAAAATATGCCGGGGATGAACAAAAATGGAGAGTGATGGCACTACAGATGTCGCCTGTGTCAAACGAGCTGTCCGTTGTCATCATCGCTGCTGACCTATCTGCGCGGAGGCAACCGGAGCACTCAAGAGCGGCTCTCATCCCACGCGCACCTAAGCACTAGATGACGGAGCAATCACTACTAAAGGTGCGTGTGGCTCGCTCGTACCTACCTCCAACAGAACTCAATACTCATAGCAGGAACGCGCTCGATTGGACAATGCGATCTTGGAGGTGCAAAGAAGTACGTGGACCTGACGCAACTCATCCCAAGACCTAGCAGCACCGCCTGACTCCATCCGCGCATCGTATGACGTCACAGAACTGACAGATACGCTGTCGCGATGCGTGCAACAGCACCGTGCGCTATTAACGGAGCTAGAGAAAGAGCTCGCATTTGAAAAGTGCTTGAACGCCAACTTCCAAGAACTATTAGCAGATGTACAAGCGGCACGAAGTGCGCTGAAAGAAAGTGCAAATGTACCAACATCAACACATACAGAAACCGAGCTCTTGCATGCGCTCGTCCGCATCACAGAGCAGGCATTTACGGATCCTGCACTGTGCATACAGCTTCGCGACGTACTCGAGGTATGTTTAATGAGGTCAGCGGAAGATGCGGCTCTAGCCTCGGCTTTACACTAACATATTTGCGCAGCTCTTCTTAAATGCACTTTGGGAAAGTCCCGAAGATCCGTATGTGAATGTGTGTGGAATCAATGCACATGTGCTGGATTTTTTGCAACAAGCTGGGCTTGTTGAGTCACATCCCGATACCCCAGATGCTTTAAGACTCGTTGCTTTTCACGAACCTATGCCAGACCCGAACGCATCACGTCCCACGTTGTATTAAAGCAACTGATGCTCATCCTCTGATGGTTCTTCGAACACACTTGCTCAATTTCACTCATTTCCTCAACCCGAACTATACCCAAACTTATCGTACATATACAGCGACAAGAAAAGAATCGTAATTGCATGGGAGAGCGAAAAGTAAGAATAGCGAACCAAGAACATAAATCGTTTTTCTACGCAGTGGCTTTGGTATTGGACAAAAGCAGCAATTGGCGCGTCCACATCTCAAAGTAGTCACGGAAGTAGAACAAGAGAGCTTGAGACAAGACTGCCTTGGTGATTTGAGCATTCATACCCTGGTACCAGCCGATAGGACCCTTCTGCTTGTAAATATGTGAGAGCACGTCGAAGGCCGTGCTGTGAGGTGTGCTCATCGTCTGCAGACGAGTCTTGCTGAGAATATAGGGGAATGTAACGACAGTTGCAAGCGACTTGGACAAGGCACCAATAACAAACGACTTGCCGGGTGTCATCTGGCCACCAGAAGCAGCAAGAATTACATTCTTCACACGCTCATACAAGCCATACGTGATGGCAGGGTTCACCGTCAGCACGAGACTTGGACGCAGGCCGCGCCAGAAACCTGTGATGCCGTCTTTGCGGAAAATATCCTTGATAAGGCCGATGAATGAATCATCACCCCCTTCATGTTGAGCAGGGCCAACCTGCTGACGTGTAGCAATCACGCCAACAGGCGTGGTAAAGAGTTGAGCAAGAGCCGCGGAGAGTGCACCCAGTACAAGTTCCGTCGCTGTACTAAGTACGGGTGTCGCTGACTTGGCACGAATCACGCGGGCAATGTACACGCTGCGAACGAGGGAATACCAGTAAAAGTAGGCAAATTCTGTCGAGCCGTAGTTAGCTTCCCAAAACTCAAACGGTGCTACTTTGTGCACCAGAACGTACGTTGAATGAACGTATTCGCCATGTTGGCAAGGAATCCACGGTACAAAGACCGAATGCCCTTGGTACGTGCAATCATCAGGAGTGTCTGAACGATACCGAGCTGCTTCTTGGCCTTGTCCGACGACGATTTTTCTTCTGCTTGGATCACAGTCTTGACGCTGCACGTACAGGAAAGAGTATTGTGTCAGTCAAAAGTCGAGTATCACAGCACAACTCGGTATACGTACGTATCAAGCGGGTATATCACCGCATTGGAAAAGACACCTGTGGCACAGGGGTGTCAGAGAACGAATTTGACGCCGAAGAAAGAAAGCCTGTACTACGTACCACCGAGGGCGCCAGCAAGCGCATTCTCAAACGGCGTTAGTGGTTGTTGATTCGCCATGGCACAATTGTGGGAAATACGTGGGTAGTACAATGCCTAAACACAAGTCGGGCAGTGAAATAAATACGCCGTGGTTCACTGGAGCCCGAGGGAAACCCAAAAGTAACCGGCAAATAGGTGTCACCAAAATAACGCTGCGTTGGTCCTGTGCCCTCCCACTCCGGATGGGTAAGCCTTGGATATCTGGGGCCGGGGGGCAGGCAATAATACATCTGGCCCTTTCTCTTCCAGACACGCGCGTATGCACGGACACTCCGGCCGAAAGACCAAGCATAGGACATCTGCACCGATGAAACCCGCGAGACTCGAGCATGGCCAATGCGCACGTATTTCCATCCTTCCCCAAGGCACTGACTAGTCAGAATAGACGAACCAATAAGCTGAATGGATAATACGTCCCCCTCGAATAAAACATCTACCTATCGTAACTCCGATGACCCGGAAAACACTGGGACGATCTATCTGCACGGCGATAGAAACACGCAATAAACCTAAGAAGAGAATGGGAAGAAAGTGATGTATAGACAAGCAGTCGATGCCATGAGCAAGCTCACGCAGACACTGAGTTAGATGTAAGTAGGACCGTCAACGAGAATCCAGCTCCTCCATCGACACAACATGCAGAGACGAAAATCTCATGGCGAGGATGCCATTGTCTAGTGGTCAATGATAGCCAGGTTGCCAGTCACAAGCTTGTTCTCCAGAACGGCACCATCAGGAATTTCAATCCGGTTGCCTTCATTGGCAACGATAATCACAGTGCCCTTAAGCACCACATTGCGGCCGAACGACACATCGCCCATGACTGTTAGGTGGTCAAGCTCCATCATTTTTGGAATGCTCTTGAAGCGCTTCTGGTAGTTCGCGACCTTCTTGAAGTTATCGCCCAGCTTAACTACAGGCGTTTGGTTGAACTGGCGCTGCGGGTTCATGACTAGCTTGCCGTGCTCAAGACCGTACAAGTCACTCGTAATAAGGAGCAGGTCCGAGCAGCTCTTGACAGGCAGGAAGCGCGAACGCGGCACATTCACACCCTTCGCGCCACGGAAATGCTTGATAGCCGCACCGACAGCCGTTTCAAGCTGGATGACTGGCTCACCGCTCTCAAGAGACTTATGGTTCGTGATGATTTCAAGCGTCCAGTTCATCGTTCTCAACGACACGCTTCACAGCCCGCAGGTTGAGCCACAGATTGTTCGTGTTGAAAATCTTGAACTTCTTGATCGATTTGAAGTCCTCCACATGTTCTGGCGGCACTTGCGCAATTTCGAGCAGACGGACGGTGCCCTCGTAGTCAATCAGCGTGCCACCTTTGACGTCTGCCTTCGTCTTGTCGGTCACCTCTGAAATGAACTCAGCCTGTGTCTCAATCATGTGCTGGTAGATGTTGAGGTCAACCACAGCTCCCAGGTTGTCAACGTTCGAGACAAACACATACTCCTTGCCCATGGCAAGAAGGCTGTCAAGCAGACCGGAGTTGTTCATGGCATCGAAGAGGTCACCGTGGCCTGGTGGGTACCACAGATTCTTGTTGGACGTCGCGCTGCGGGGGCAGGGAAGAAGACTGTCCCGGTTGATACGCGGGTAGCGCGATTGGTTGAACGTCATAATCTCCACGTTGTGGTTCGCGTACTTCTGAATGACACGCGCCGTATCGTCGTCCGTGTTGAACGAGTTCATCAGGATGAATGGTACGTTCACATTATACGTGCCATTCAAGTGCTCAATCTGACGCACGGACATATCGAGGAAAGTCATACCCTCACGTACTTCAATCACACTCTTTGGGCCCGTGCAGCCCATTGTCGTGCCAAGACCGCCATTAAGCTTCAGCACAGCCAGCTTGTCCAGGACGGATGGGTCCGTCGCTTGCGGCAACGACGCGTAAGACGTCACTTGTTCTGGTGCAGGAGGCTGGATCTTGTCCCAGTCACTGAGCGAAACAGGTGTGTGAGCATATGCATCGTTAAACGTACAGTCTTTCGCCCTTCGCTTTCTCAGCGAGGAAGCGATTGAAAAGGTGGTAGAAAGAAGCCATTTCTGCTTCAAATGCCTGTACGACGCGCGTGTCAGCACCTACTTCACAGATACCATACGCGGACACTTACATGCCTAGCAGCTGGATCTTCAATACCTTCGATCAGTGCATTCAGTTCATTCCGCATAGCCTTGCTCGCCACGGCTGAGGTAGCTGACTTGAAGTCCTGTGTGGCAGTGTCAGTACGCGCTGCGCGTCCAGACAAGTATCACGTACAATGTGTGATCCAACACGTTGACGAGCAGTGCGGAGCGACTTGTCATCCAGAGACGAGGAGAGCTTTTCGACCATGGTGCAAAGGGCAAAGAGGAAGCTACTACAGTCTGCAACTGCCGTTGATTTAGGGAAATGAACGTGCACTATGGAATGGATCCGCAGACGTTTGGAATCCAACACCAGAACGGCCGCCAACAGCTGCGTGCCTCAGCTGGTTGGCTCATCAGTGTGTTACATAATCTCAGGTCCGTGCCGCGTCATGATCGACCTGCCACAAGACAGCATCGCGGCTTGTATGCGCGCCTTAACGCGCGAATCCCACCCGCATCGGTTCATGCATCCACGTGCCAGAACCCGAGACATGCATACGTGACAAAGCAGGAGAAATGTGCCCTGCATTTCCATTCCTTCATACAATGGGTTTCAAATTTTACTAACGCTCCCAGCCTCCACGGAGTTCTTCCTGCACCTGCCGTGCGAGGCGCATTGCCTCGAGGTCTTCAATACTCCGAAGCTGATCCATTATGTCGCGTGTTTTACCAAAGTAGATCTCTTGCAGCTGGTTTCGGATTTTGTTCTCCATTTCCTCAATCAGGCGTCCGATATTCATAATGTGACTGTTTGCGTCCGTCACACTCTGTGTATCTTCGCCCTCGCGTGTGAGGTGTCCACTCATGTCGACGAGTCCCAGAGTTGTTGGTTCTTGTCGCTTCAGCGTCAGCATAATAGTACTTGATACTTTGTAATGGGCGGTCGTTGAGGGTGCCATTGCTGCGCCACCAGATCCTTGGCCTGTCACCTCAAAGACATGAATAGAGTCCCAAGAGCCACACGTCCTGTTGCGTCCGAGGCAAGCGGTCCTTCGAGGTCTTATTTCTTAGTCTGCTGTCATACCGTGACACTAAAATGCGTACCTTTTTTAAAGAGAACGACGCCTGCAAAGCTTCGCGGCAGAACGCTGGCATCCGCTTCAGCATCTAAGTCCCAAAGATATGTGCTAGTATACCCCGAGTCATAATATCTGTAGCTTGGTTAGAGAAGTCGACGGGCTAAGCTGACGCATGCGTCTACGTACAGCTTTCGGTATGTCTCGAAGGAGTCATTAGCTTGAAGCTCCAGCTCGCGAAGAGCTCCACGAGGTACTATCGGCTCACTTTCTGCGCCATCCGAACCAGGCCCCAAAGGCGGGTGGAATGAATTGCTATACCAGCTTCTCCAACTTGATCCATCTCGATTGTATTCACAGCAAACAAATTCCCGCCCCGCACCCTGCTTCGAGTCATCGATCTGCAGAGTCAGAGGCTGATCCACACTTGACGCCAAGTCGTCGGCCTCGTTCGGCAACGCCTTTTCAACAGCCCCCAAATTAGATGTAACTTGGCGCGGAGGCAATCTCCGCATTAGATCGAGTGCAAGTGACAATGCATCATCTTGAGAGTCAATCATGATGCAAGTGAGCCAAGCAAGCAGTAGTCGACGTGAATGCGTGGCCCATCCACTCGTTGAGCCAGGATGTGTGGAGACAGAATCGATACGCAAAACTGACACCTTGAGCGGCACGTGCACGAAACGCCACATACGCATGAGCCCAACGATGGTCGTTGATCTCTGTTGTTCGTTAAACCCGGAACTATTAGCCAATGAGTCGTGACGAGGGCACAGCAAAGGCCAAAAGAGTGCAAGTCGTGGGTGCGCCGCCACCAGTGCACGTAGGAATACGAGCGCCAGACACAGACTCAGAGCACGAGCATGAAGAGGCGCACGATGGTCACTTGATTGACGCCGAGTCAGGCGTGAACACTAATCCAACGGATGACGAGAACGAGAGTATGCGCGAGCTCATGAGTATGTTTCCAGACGACGAGACAGATCTGGATCTCACGCACCTGCGAATCAAGTCAACAAAGCCACTAAATCTCGGGCGCTTCCATAATACCCTGATCCGACTAGGACTGCGCCAAAACGAGATCCGTTCCATGCACGGTAAAGACCTGGGAGCTGTGCCGCATTTGAAGGAGTTGGATCTATATGACAATGCAATTGAGCAGATAAGTGGTCTAGAAAATAATTTGGAGCTCGAAGTGCTTGATCTTTCGTTCAACAATATCCGCCATGTCTCACGAATCGCGCACTTGCCAAAATGCCACACACTTTTCTTGGTGCAAAACAAAATCGCCCATATTCGACCTACGGACCTGCAGCCACCCATATCTTTGAGCCTGCGGAGTCTCGAGTTGGGAGGAAACCGCCTTAGGTCGCTGGAGAACTTGTCTCAGCTGACCAACTTGGAAGAGCTATGGGTAGGGAAAAACAAAATCACATCTCTGGATGGTATTGCGTCATTGAAGAAACTGAAGATTCTATCGATACAGTCAAATCGATTGACCAAGTTGGAAGGCCTAGACAGCCTTGAGGCGCTGGAAGAGCTGTATTTGTCTCACAATGGACTGACAAAACTCGAGAATCTCGAACACAATGTGCGTTTGACGACGCTGGATTTTGGTGCAAACCAAATTGAAGTTATTGAGAATGTCAAGCATCTCAAAAACCTGTCACAGTTTTGGGTACGTTTACATTTGATTATGCATGTGCTATTCGTTCCAGAGCATGATAGCTTACATTAGGCAAATGATAATCGCATTACCGACTTGAATCACTTGGACGAGCATCTAGGACCAAAGTTCATGCCAAGTCTTGACACCGTTTACCTAGAAGGCAATCCAGCGCAACGGTCAGAAGGAGCCAGCTATCGACGTAAAGTGCAGCTAGCTCTTCCACAGATTGCACAACTCGATGCCACGTACGTGTCTCTTTCTCTCGCACTTAACCTTTCAGAATAGTCTAACATGCAGGTTGGTCCGTCGATAGAGTTTGGTATCAAAATTGCGCTATAGTTGGACGGAATTCCATGTTTAATTGCGTGTAGGCTTCGATAGAAGCGCTCGGTCGACCAAGCGTGAGTAGTATGTAGCGTTCATACCGCCAGCAGGCATCTTGGGTGCACCGGGCTGACCAGGAAGTGGACGCTCAGTGCCCCCTTCTGAGGTAGAACCCAAGTACACATACGGTTTGAGCTGCAGTCGTCGTCAGATCATCAACACTTGCTAAATCACGTACCTGAGTGTCTGCAAGACCCGGCGGCACTACGTAGGACACCATACGCATTTCATCAAGTCTGTGAGTGCGCAAGTTCCATGTCCTAGGACGTCCCTGTTCATCAAATAACTGATTGCCTTTCGGATCGGACAGTGCGATACGCTTGCGCATCAGCACATTTGCAGCACGAGTGCCTGTCACAGAGTCAGCCAACATAATGCAAATTGAAATGACAACTTTCTACGTACCTTTGTAGAAATCCTTGTTGGCTTTTTTGGAGTTCAGCGGGAGGCGACTCGCCTTTGAAAGCGTCGTCTGTGTCGCACGAAACATGTACGTAGGTGGGGACTAGCGACAGCACTCCCTCCGTGTTACCCAAGACGTGGTGACTTGTATGTGCGAGAGCGTAGCACAACGTATTACATCATGTGACGTGTGTGGATGAGTCAGCAATAAAAGAGATGTCGCTGAGTAGGGAGAAAAAAAAAAGACTCCTCAAGGAGACCTGAGGCGCTTTGAAACTAAGTTGCACCGAACTATCACGCCCGGTTCAAGTGCGTGAGTAGAAGGGGGAAAAACATGCCACCTGTATCAGCATCGAAGGCGAAGCGTCAAGCGTACGTGTTAAATTTTCAGTTTTCAGTGAAAGAGTAGCTAACACAAAGCAGAGAAAAGGCGGCCAAGGCTGCAGCTAAGGGAGAGAAAGTTGGCTCGTCAAAAGACTCCGTGGCCACAAGCGAGTCAGGAGCGTCGGCATCGACGAAGGCCACGAGCGTAGATGAGAATGGGGGTCCTATCACCGACATGAAGAAGCTAGCCATTGCGACAGAGCGCAATGCTGCTGGTGTGATTGTGAGTGACAAACAGAGCCGTGATTTGCACATCGAAAGCTTCTCGATGTCGTTCCACGGCCGTCTGCTAATTGACAATGCGACGGTCGCATTGAACTACGGTCAGCGGTACGGTCTTTTGGGTGAGAATGGCTCTGGAAAGACGACGTTCCTCGAGGCCCTTGCGAACCGAGATGTGGAAATTCCCGAACACATCGACATTTATCTCGTGCGTGGTGAGGCGGATCCATCGGATGAGAACGCTCTCGACTACATCATCAAGTCAGCGCGTGAAAAGGTCGCACGTCTCGAAAAGGAGATTGAAGACATGTCTGTCGCAGACGAAGTTGATGACGTGGGACTTGAGCTGAAAATGGAAGAACTTGACGAGTTGGACCCCAACACGTTCGAGGCAAGGGCTGGAGCGATCTTGTATGGTCTTGGATTCTCACAGGCTATGATGAACAAGCCCACCCGCGACCTGTCGGGTGGTTGGCGTATGCGTGTGTCATTGGCTCGTGCCCTTTTCATCAAGCCACACATGTTACTGATGGATGAGCCTACGAACCACTTGGACTTGGAAGCCGTCGTATGGCTGGAGGCGTACCTGTCGACCTACAACCATATTCTCGTGCTTACATCGCACAGTGCAGACTTTATGGACAACGTTTGCACAAACATTATTGACCTGACGATCCAAAAGAAGTTCATAACGTATGGTGGTAACTACTCTACGTATGTGCGAACAAAGACGGAGAACGAAGTGAACCAGATGAAAGCATACTACAAGCAGCAGGAAGAAATTGCCCACATCAAGAAGTTCATTGCAAGTGCTGGTACTTATGCTAACCTGGTTAAGCAAGCCAAGTCGAAGCAGAAGATTATCGACAAGATGGAGGCCGCTGGTCTTGTGGAGCCAGTTGTACAGCCAAAGCAGCTTCGTTTCAACTTCGAGGACGTGCGCAAGCTGCCACCGCCGATTATTGCATTCAACGATGTTGGCTTCAGCTATAGCGGCAAGGAAGAAGACTTTTTGTACAAGGACCTGAGCTTCGGTATTGATATGGATAGCCGTGTGGCGATTGTTGGCCAGAACGGTACGGGTAAGTCGACGCTGCTCAACCTTATTACTGGTGTGCTGCAGCCCGTCGCCGGTAGTGTGCAGCGTCACTCAGGTCTGAAGCTCGGCAAGTACTCGCAGCACTCGGCAGACCAGCTGCCATACGACAAGAGTCCGCTTGAGTACATTGAGTCCAAGTATAAGGAGAAGTTCCCTGATAAAGACGTGCAGTTCTGGCGTGCTCAGCTGGGTCGCTTTGGTCTCTCTGGTCAGCACCAGACTTCGCCGATCCGGACGTTGTCTGATGGCTTGCGCAACCGTGTGGTGTTCTCGCAGCTCGCGATGGAGAACCCGCACATCTTGCTGCTAGATGAGCCGACAAATCATCTTGACATGGGTTCGATTGACGCACTTGCTAATGCCATTAAGGAGTTTGAGGGTGGTGTCGTGATTGTCTCACACGACTTCCGTCTCATCTCTCAGGTGGCTGATGAGCTGTGGGAGGTGAAGGATCGCAAGATCGTTAACTTGACGAAGCAGGACATCAGTATCCAGGACTACAAGAAGATTCTGATGAAACAAAGTGCGGACGCTATTGAACGTGCCAAGATTACGGCCAAGACGTCCTAATGATGCATTTTATTCGTGTAGGGTGACTGAAACGAAAATGAAGAGATTGGATAGACCAGATGTTCATGCGATCTGTGTGTGTAGTAGCGTATGGGCAAGATCATTTGGGTATAGCGCTCCGACGAGCATCGTCTCACGCAATGATGACATCGTCGTGATTCGGATTGAGAAAAGCAATGACAATTTAATCCAACGTCAGCACGTGGGCTTATGCAAGACATGCAGAAGAGACGCTCTGTGGCTGGCCACAAACGGGACTGGAAGAAACCGTCTTCCTCGATTGGCTAGCTGCGTAGGACTAAGTTCACGCCCACCGCCGACTTTCTCCCCTCTGAACGACGCGTCGTGGACAAGAGACAGGCGAATTCGTGAACGCGTGCGTGTGCGTGTGTTATATTGTGAACGACATTGCAGTCCTAAAACGATGGCGAGCACAGACAATGGTGTCCTTTCCTCTGCACCGACAGCAGGCATGCCTTCTTCTCAGGGAGAGGATGTGGGTGTAAGCGATGTGACTTCGCTCAAAGGCACCGAAACAGCTACAGCACCGAATATGGTGCCTGGATTTGGGATTGGCTCAGCAACAAGTGAAAGTCCCGACGCAAGCAAGTCGAATCCAGACACAAGTGGACGCTCGTGGCCTCCATCGTTACCGCCATTGCCACCGCACTTGATGGGGGCTGACCTGCCAATAGCAAATATATCGCGCATTATGAAGCGCGCGTTGCCGGACAATGGTAAGATCGCAAAGAACGCAAAGGAGTGCATGCAAGAGTGTGTAAGTGAGCTAATTAGCTTTGTGACGTCGGAAGCTAGTGATCGATGTGGAAGTGAGAAGCGCAAGACCATTAACGGTGATGATATTTTATATTCGCTTCGCGTGTTAGGTTTTGACAATTATGAGCAAGTGCTGAAAGTGTACTTGAGCCGCTACCGACAGGCTCAAGAGGAGAACCCACGCCAGCGCCGTCGGCGGGCGATGAAAAGGCGCTCTTCGCCGGCATCACTGCACGAGTCACTCGTAGGCGAAGGTGAATTTCCCGCGCCGCATGATGAAGATGCGCAGGAAGACGACGATGAAGATGCCGTGAGTGAAGATGCTGGTGAGGATGAATAGACCAGGCATGGGCGCATAGATGGCACCGCTGCATTGTACCTATAGACCAACGAAAGCCACCAACCCATACCGACATGGTTGCAACAGATTCCTTCTATCCCGGCTTCACTCAACCTCTGTTCTTGCATTTGTCTGTGCACCCAACTGCTCTTCACCTTTCACATCTTTGCACAAATACGCCCAGAGCGTGCACGTAAAAAGCACTTGGACTGCATATCGACTGTGCGCTTGAGTAACGCATGATATATACAAGCGAATCATCCACTCATCCATGCCTACGGGACTCGTATTATTCTTCTGGGAAGTTAGTACGTGAGTTTGCGTATGTTTTTTCTGTGCTGTGCGTAGACGCATGCACTACATACCAGCGACGAGTGCCATGATCATGCTGTCAAGATGCATCAGTTATGCGCTCATGCTGAGTTTTGTTTATGTATACGTACCGGTACAAGTAGAAGAAGAAAGTCAGGAGATAAAACCCTAATTTGAGGAAGCTTTCTTTTTTGTGGGTCATCAGGGTACGGAAGATCTCAGTTGCATCCAGCAGATATGTCTTGTTCATGAATCTGCGTGAGTCAGTATCAAAGAACTTGGAGTGTACAAGCGCGCGAATGAAGGCTCACTCGCCCGCTTGCTGACATTAATGATACATACTTGTGTACATTGTATGCTAACAGAGGCAAATTGATAGCCAGCGCAATCCATTGCCCATTGAGAAGAAACAACACCGTCAAGAATCCGTGTGCACACATTTCGGGGAGCGTGAACTGATTGAGCTTTGTGCAAAGATCAATGGGATTGATATAGTCAGACTCGAGATCCGAGTACATGATGACCTAGATGTAAGAGATACGCGCACTTTTGCACAAACGGTCGTTCTGCCACATACATAAAACACCATCACGAACAACAGCACGGCCGTTAGTAAGATAGAAAATAGGAAGAGCCAGCCTGCTACGTCAGAACTTTTTACACAGGGACAACGTACCTTCTCCATTCATTATGACCTAGGTACAAGAGGGAATTGTCTGTCCTTGTGGGAATGGTTCGTCGTCCGTCCCTTGTTCACAAAAGAGCGGTGGTGCGTTCGTTTGATTAGGAAACTACAAAAAAATAATCAAAAAAAACAACACTATATTTCCGTCACAACACACGCACTAATTTTCTCCTGTCGGAGAGGGAGAATTTTCCTCGCGACCTTTTTGACTCCCGAATCAACTCCACTTCACCCATCCCCTCCCCACTATATTACATAATAATTCGCGCAATGTTAAACCATGGGTAGTGCAACTCCTGTCGAAGTGCAGGAGAATTCTCCATAGGCCGTGATCTCTCTCTCTTTGTCTCCCTCGGTTCACTATGAGATCCGCGTGCGCTTCCGTTTCTTCTGAGCAATTTCCATCACTAAAGAGAGTGTATGTGTGTGAGTAGGATTTCAGACAACGTACATGAAAGTCGTTCCGGAAGCCATTCGCCATTGTTGATGATGAGCACTTTCATGAGCTCATGATACAAGAGTCCAGGTAATAGTTTTGGCGTGATGAGAAAATACTGTCCTGCCTGTGGTTGGCAAGTCATAGCAACCATTTGATCATGCACGGCGCGCTCCGCGCGTGGGTCCATTCCCTGATTGATCTCATCGACAAGCGAGAACGGTGTGCGAGACAATTCGGTCAGACTTAGTAGATATAGAATCGTAGACAACGAGCGCTCGCCGCCCGATTGTCGCTGGTTCGTCAACAATTGAAGCCGTTCTGTATCGCGGAACTTGACCAAGATATCAATGCCCCATTTCTCGTAGTTATCATCGCGCGCCAAGTGCACTTCGCCCGCACATCCCAGGCGTGCGAAGGCTGCTGAGAAACGTTCATTGACAGCGCGGATCAATGCCTCAAGCTCAGGAAGCCACATGCCTTCCACTTGCTCAATAAGAGCTACGAGACGATTTTGCTCGCTTCGTGCCTGCTCAATAGTCCGCTTTAGCTCGGCCATCTGCGTTGGTCAGAGACGGCTGTGCCCGCTAAACGTACCTTGTCTTTGCGTGCGCGGAACGTCTCCATCACACCAGGACCCACACCCCATGGCACGTCCAGCTGCGCCCTGGCGCGGTCGAGAAGCGTATGGAGATGCTCAACAGATTCGTGCCTGCCGTCTTCAAGCGAAGTCTGGACTAGCGACTGGACGTCAGGACCAGCCTCTTGGAGCTTCTGTTCCGCACATCGCTTCAGCTCAAGCGTCCGTGTCTTGATTGTCGTGAATTCAGCCACTGCGGCCCGAACAGCCTGCTCACTTTCCTCGATACGAGTCTGCTGTTCACGAAGCGATGCACGACAGGTTTGGACGTCGGTACATGCATGCAGTGAAGCTAACAGAGTCTCGTCGCTCGCGGCATTGGAGCGTACGATTGCTTCAAAACACCGGAACGAGCGTTCAGCGAGCTTCGAAAGCTCGACTGCATATTTCTGTCGAGTTGCATGGATCTCGCGCCGCTGAACGGCGAGTGACGGCTGTGCTTCTTCGTGCGCAAGTCGATCGCGCTGGGACTGCAGCTTCAGTTCTAGGCGCTGCGACTCCTTGTGGGCATCAGCTACTAGCTGATATGCACTAGCAGCCTCTGAACGCTGCTGCGACAGGGAGTCGACACGGGCTGCATGCTGCTCACGCATTGATTTGGCGTGTTGTATGGACGCTTGACAGGCAGTATGCTGCTCCTCCAGGTGACGGAGTACAGCAGCAGCATTTTGTCGTTCCTGCTGATCGCTGGTATGTGCGAAGCTGCGCAGTGGCTTCAGCACACGAGACATGGTCTGGGGCAACCGGCGGCCATAGCTCGACGTGGTCGTTGTGAAGATGGTATCGGCGACAATGTAGCGGCGAACGGCCTGTCGAGACTCCATGTCCTGTGGTCGCACGCGGCCACGGAGATCCAACGGAATCGCATGCAAGCTTGCGGCACTGCAAAGGTATTTGAGCACCTCTTCAGGTGCATCAATGCAATCGAGTGCATATGCATCGAAACCCAAGCTAAGAAGATCGGCTTTGGGAATCGGAGGCGTATATGAAGCAAGGGAACGAGCTGCTTCCAATTCGACAACATTCAAGCGCCATTTGCGCTTGTCAATGAGCTCATGCGTAAAAAGATCGTAGTCCGCGCGCGTCTGGCACACGAAAGTGCGCTGGATCGGCCAACTTAGACATGTCTCAATGGCACGAGCTGCTTCCGGCCGGTTGATGTGCACGGCTATCAGGACTGGTTCATACACGGTGCGTTCAAACATGTCTTGGTGATGCTGTAGCCACTGCACAGCCTCAAATGTATCGCGATCCGCTCGTGCTAGGAGCTGTAGCCGCTGGTGCCGTTCCGTATGCAGCCTTTCAAGCCTGAAAATGTGTTAGTATGCATAAGACGAGATGAAAAGGGAGAGGGCAAGGAGGCGGAGGAAAAGAAAAAAACCAAGTCGGATTGAGGCGCTCATAAACTCGATACGTACGAAACACGTGCCTCGGCCATTTGCGACGCTAGTCGCTGCTGCTGGGTATACAAATCTGCGCTTTGTGAGTCCATATCACGTAGGTCCTCCGAAGCCATTCGGTGCTCCGCTTTGACGGCACGAAGCCGCTGCTCGTACGGAGCTAGGGGTTCTGGTGTTGCTCTTGCCTCGATAGCGCGTTCCAAGTCAGCGATGCGGCTGCGCATCTGTTGCATGAGCTCGCGTCTCTCGGCCGCCTGAGCCTCCAGACGCTTTTCTTGCTCGCTCAAAGCGGCCATCTCGGCGTCAAGCCGCTCACGAGCCGTTGAGTAACGGCGCAGGGCGGAACTAGCATCATCAGCCTCGCGACGATGCGAGGAGGAAACGAGCTCCATTTTGTCGAGCTTCTCCTGCGCGCGTTCCAGCTCCTGCTCCAAAGGCTCAATAGACTGGAAGATCCGTTCAAGCGCCCGCTTCGCTTCTTCCCGTTTCGCATGTGCAGCGTGGTAGCGAGACTTTGAGTCATGAAATTCTGCGAATGCAATGCGCACCTCCAAAGCACAAACACGTTTCTCTAGCGCGATGCGCTCTTCATAGCGGCGAACGTCGCGTTCGAGCACAGTGTTCCGTTCTTCCAAGTAGTCGTGTTCACGCTGCTCTTGTTCAAGCCGAGATTGTAGTTCCGACTTTTGGCGGCCACATTCTATGAGCTGCATGTGCCAATCAGACAGCTGTGCATGCCCTGCTGCATGCTCGGTATCTTGCAAAAGACGCTGTGGCGTCATAGCCGCAAAGTCTGCGACACGATCTTGTGGGAGAAATGCACATAAATTGCCTACTTCGATGTTGAACTGCGATACTGCTTGGTGTACTTCGCGCGCAGAAGCAGCAACTCCATCTAGGATCCAGTCACTTGTATTCGACTCGCGGAAGAGAATGCGCTTGATCGTCACGTTTCGCTGTGGTGGCGGATATCCTTGAAGTTCAATCTCCACCCAACCTTGTGTGTGCCCGAGCTTGACATACGAGGCGACATCCTTGGCGCGTCCAAGCACGCTGGGTTTCCACCCGAGTCCTAATGCAATCGCACATACGACGGTGCTTTTGCCTGTGCCATTGGGCCCAATGATCATGTTCAGGTATGGCCCTGGGCGGAACTCGACGGCATCGTACGTGACAAAGTGCTCACAAGCCACACGGACTATGGAGCCTGGCCGGAAGCCATGCTCGTTTCGCGGCGCACGCGCACCTAGCGCATGGCTCGTGCATTGCGAGCTCATCGCCACACACGCGCGGCGTTGAGGGCCCAAAAGACGCGCGTGACGCCTGGAAATCGATACACGACCAACCAACTGGAGACGCACTCAGTGGAGAGATGTCGTCAATTTAGCCACACATAGGTCATTCACGGCAAGGCATCTAGTCCACGCCCGAGTGCACGTAGTGGAGGCGGTGTGTCTCGTCGACCCGTTGTCAGCACCTGCTGCTTCATGCCAGGTTCGTTACTGCACGTGACTCGGACGCCTGCCCCTCCGTCACCCCGCACCTTTTCAGTTGATGGCACACGCGCGCTTGGGGGTCGATGGTGAGACTGGGACACAGCGTGGTATCGCATCGTATGAAACGATACCATCTCCCCAAGTCACATCCCCAGCGGTTTTGTCATGGCTGAAGGAAATGCAAGCGTACGAGCGCGCACCAAAGGCGTGGGATGTGTTTGCTCGGTACTTTGAGCAGATGCCACTGGATCTCTTGCGCCTGGTTGGCGAGCAACTGACGCCTGTGCAGCGAGGGAAACTCTCCCGCGTGCGTGAGAGACGAAGATGCTTTGCCAAGAGCACAGCTCCTCGCAAACTTTCTGCTGAGGTGCAAAGGCTCGCACAACCGCAGCTGTGGCACAACCTTGTAGCCCGAGCCGAAGGAGAGCAGGACGAGGAAGACGGTGATACAATGGAAGTGGAGCGAGAATGCGAGAGTGACGATCATGATCGAGGTGACTCCATTCGTGAAGGCAATGATCATATGGTTGATGCTAACAAGGGCCAGACTAAGAACGACATGCAAGGCCAAGAACGCAATGCGAAAAAAGAACAAGACGGCGACATGAACACAGCTAAACGGACGACTGAACCCATGGATTTCCTACATACAGGCGGCCCCTTGGGCGCATTGCACGCCAAGTACTTGGCAGCCATGGAGCAAGACGTACCACCGATTGATGCAGCCACACCACGCGAGCTTGTTGAGTCGTTCCAAGACGTCATTCTTGCGCAATTTGTGATGGGTCGTGTACGTACAAGTCGCAGCACGAGCGCTAACCTGACGACAGCTAGACGATGCATTGTCTCTGTATGCATGCGATTTTGAGGAAACATGGGATGATTCCGAGGCACGACGGCAAGATGCTTTGGAAGATGCATGGTTCGATGAGGATGATGACGACAGCCAGGTCGGCGGCGATAATACTGATGACGAGAATCCCAGCATCAAGTGAACATAGCACATGCACACACACACACAAACGAAGCTGGGTATCTCAGGCGCGATAGCGCTTCACAATGTTTGCCTCGTAAGGATGCACGTCGTTGGGAAAGATCTTCAGACGCTCAAGCCGACGCTCACGCAGCTTGTTTTTGGGGAGCATGCCCGAAACGGCGCGCCGAAGAATTTGTTCAGGTTTGGTCTGCATCATGGTTTTGAAGGGGATCTCCTTGAGACCACCAGGGTACATAGTGTGATGACGGTACAGCTTTTTTTCAGCCTTTTGCCCCGTCACAGTGATGTGCTCGGCATTCGTCACGACCACATAGTCACCCACATCTCGTGACTGGTCATACACAGGCTTGTGCTTGCCCATGAGTGTCACGGCAATCGAGCGCGCAAGACCACCTAGCACACGTTCTCGTGCATCCACATGGTGCCAAAGCCGAGAAAAGGCGAGGGATGTCTGTAGAAGAGGTGTAAGTAAGTATGCAGAACTGGCATCTATATGTACGCACATTTCCGACACGTTGAGACATTCCACAAATACAGACACACACAGATCAATGCCACGCCAGTGCCGCGGCTTTTCTGACTATGTGCGAGGAGAAAGTGTCGAAGCCACACACAAAAGCCACTACACGCACTCCGACGACCGATCTCAGCGCCAGGCCCAGTCTAGCCGGTTTCCAGCACTTGTTGCGAACAAGAAGTTGGTACTCCTGGTAGGCACCTGTCACTTTATATCTACCAGGCCGCTACGACATTTGGTCTTTCGGCCGAGCAGCGGCGTATGCGTGTGTGTGTATGTAAGTGGTGCGCGTGCGCGTACCTCTAAGGCGGAGGGGGACAGGGGAGGGGAGGGGAGAGAGAGAAGCGCGCGTGTCTGGCCAGCTGAGGCGAACGAGCGAGTGAGTCTCGCACCAAGGCAGTGGCGCGGCCAGGACGGACAGACGCCAACGTAGCATCCACTCCACGTTTCGACGACACAGCGACTCCAACCAACGAAGATGTCGTTTGATATGGACGCAAACCACCAGACTACGGATCCTACATCGGACTTTTTGCAGCGGGAGAAGGAAGCAGCAGGCACTCTGCTGGGCGGTGATGAAGCCCTGTTTGGGACAGATGCTGCTGCCGCACAAGCATCAGGTGTGCAAGGTACCGACGACTTTGAGCGACGTGCGCAAGAGTTTCCAGCGATAGATGACGACGCTCCATTCACAGATGTCATGTCCAACAGGGAGAGCGCATCAGTCGCGCCACGGAGAGAGAAGCAGCCTGCATCGGAAGAGGACAGGTTCCGTGCATCATACCCGGAGCTCGATGTGGGTCACGACGATTTCCATGACGACGCACAACAAGCATGGGAATCATCAGCACCACGGCGCATGGAGAGTGATTTCATGGAAGGACTTGGATCAGCCACAGAGCCAGCGCGCGAGCCAGCGTCGGAAGCCGTGCCAGAGCGTGAGTCGGAGCTTGAGCAAGACATGCAAACGCCGACGCACCAAGAAGCTAAATCGCTCTTCGAGCCAGAGCGCGCGTCTGGCCCAACGCCTTTTGCCTACGAAGACATTGACGAGGAGACTGAGGCTCTGCGCACTTGGCGCGAGCAGCAAGCCGATGATATCGCACGTCGTGAGGCACAGGCGGAGCGGCACCGAGCTGAGGCCGTATCGAAGGCCGAGCAGGACATTGACCAATTCTATGCGAACTACAATGCGCAGAAAGAAAAGAATATCAAGAAGAACAAGGAGGCAGAGGCACGCTTCCTCGAGCAAAAGCAGATGGAGCTTGCAGAGGGCACGACGTGGACGCGGATCACCAAGCTGCTGGACTTGCACAACAGCCAGTCAAAAACGATCGCAAAGGGCGGGCCTGGCTCGAGTGACCTAACGCGCATGAAGGAACTGTACTTGCGCTTGCGCCGTGAAGGCGATAAGGCGCCAGGTGCCGCTGGATACTAGGGTTTGTGTGTGTGTGTGTGTGCCTGTGTGTTATATAGTGTAGGAGACAAATGTGTGTAGCATGCCATCAGCACGTCAAAATATCGCGTTCTATGGCGGAGAAGGAGGCGCTGGTGGCGGTGCTGGCGGCGGTGGCGTTGGAGCTTGACCGGAAGGACCCAACGGCGCCGACGGCGTGGATGCGACAAGATGCGGCACAGTCCCCGAGGCATCGTCAAGCGTAGACGCCGGCGACTGCACATCTTTTCGCACATTCGCAAGCGCATTGGCAGTCGAATTGGAATTGGACGCCGGTCGACGGCCCGATGCGAGCATCTTGTACTCCTCGGGCGATGGGACGTGCCGACTTAGCAGATCTAGCAGCTCGGCGAATGAGCCATGAAAGTCAGGTGGCACACGCTTACGGAGCATGACGATCCAATGCTTCTTGATCACATACATCGGCCACTGCCAGTCAGGTGTCACGAGCTGATCAAAGTCGATATCCGCAGCACTGGGCTTGCCTTGCGCGCGAATCCGCTGCAGCAGGATGTGGTCGTCATGTGGTGCATACCACCGAGCATTCTGATCGTCGGAGCTGCGCCGCTCAGCGCTGAGCATACCCCGCCACTTGCGGCTCAGGACACTAATGCGCCGCGGCGATGGGCCGAGCCGTTCGTGAATAAGCGTCCATGGCAGGTTGGGCCCGTCGGGCGAGCACCCCGACCTGTTGACAGCACGAAAGAACAGCCTGCCTTAACGCCTCTTCCTCTTCAGGACGGAATGCACCTTGAGGCACGGGTCCCGCCTGCCGACTCTGCATCTGCTCACGCCAAAAGTGCTTGCATACGTTGCCAGAGCGACCAAGACGCTCGCCAATTTTTTCCCAGCGATGACCCAGCTCAGAGACAGCCGATGAAAGCGCAGCTACGTCGGCGGGCGTCCAGTGTCCGCCACGCACTACATCCTTTCGTAGGCTCTTGATGTGCATGCGTACAGCATAATTCGGCCGCGTGCCCACAGCCAGGGCAATATGCTTCCATAGCTCTTCGTGCATTTGCTTCTGCTCAGGTCGGCGGTGCCAGATCAGTTCGTCCAGTGCGCCTTGGGTGAGTTTGTAGTGCTGTACGTGTCAGCTTGATCAGCTTCTCATCTCCTGGCTTCGACCTGCCCATCCCCCATTCGCGCAGATGTCTCCATCTCTTCTCCCTTTCACTGTGCACGCACAGATCGCGCACCATAGGTACATACCTTGCAAAACTTGTCGAGGGCAGCTGTAGCGCGGTCCTCTTCGTCCTGGCTCCAGCGGCCTGTGCGCCATGTCAGATTGTACGCTTCCTTGAGCCAAAAGAGACGATCACTCGAGTATGCATGCTCAAGCACCATTTGCTCGTACGACTGGCCTGCATGCGCTGCGACAAACGCAGCGCGTGCCTTTTCCTGCTTGGGCTTCATCCTGCGCGTCGAGGCAGCATGTGTCGGCAGTGTGCCAGTGGCCATGGGTATACCTGTTGGTGTGGCAGAGGCGGCAGCCGCTGCTGCTGCTGCTGCTGCCGCTGCCGCGGCGGCTTCTGCTGTTTCTTGCGTCGCGTGTGGATTCGTGAGTACGAAAGGCAACGATGCGTCCAGCACAATCGGTGTCTCGTGACGGAACTGAGGATGCAAATGAGGAATCGCTTCATCGACAACTGACGCCGGGGCACTCCCCGCTGATGTTGGCTGCTCGTGCTCTGCACTAGACAAATCGGATCGAAAGCGCTTCACTGCGCTGGTTGACTCCATCTCGTCTTGCTCAGCAGGGGGTCCTGGTCGCTTCGTGCTGGACGACGACGACGGCGACATAGCCAACTCTGTAGAGGCGCTATCTACGCCTGGTCCTTGCTTCCCTTGTGTCTGTAGCATGGTATTCGCTTCTTCTGCATTAGACTCAAATGTGGCACCTGCGCGAGCTCCCAGAGACGTCGATGAATCCGCGGTGTCTTGCGACAAAGACACGTTGTCTCGTGCTCCGTGTGTGCCTACTGGACCGACAGTCAGTACATGCCTTTCAGCTTCAGGTGCTCCATTTGTCCCCATGTTTTGTGGTGTTCGTGCAAGCATCTCTTCTGCCACTCGCTCAGATGGCTTCGGCACTGGTGATGCGGATGCTGACGGCGATGGTCCTGCTTCTGGCTCTGGTCCTGGCGTTTCTGTCGATGGCCAGCGCGACGAACGCGTCGAAGCAGGCCCCGATCCATTCCATGTCGCACGATTCCATGTAGATGTTGCGAATTCTGGAGCTAAGGATGCAGTTTCTGACCCGCTGCTACTTGACAGCATAGCATTCCGTGCACGCTGTGCACGCTGCTCCATACCTTTGTGTGTGTGGCTTGGCAGCCGTGGTGGAGTGATGAAAAATCTGGCCGGCTAAGAAATTCTCCACAGAACAAAGGTGGAGTCATGGAACAAGGTGAGAGGGTCTCCTAATACAATACACTAGGGACAAGAGCAGTGAAAAGAGTTCGTGGGCGGACGTAGTGACGAATAGGCACAACCGCATCCATCACGAAGAAGAGGAACATCCAGGCAGTTTCAGAATGTAAAGAAAACGTAACATGCATTTTATGCAAAGAGGTCGGAAAGAAAACCACATCTGCTTGCACCGGCACACGGTCAGACCACCTTAATGCGAGCGACCCCTGCATGACCTTGACCCTCTAGCCACCGGATAGCGTCTCACCCCACCCTTATCGGGAAAAAAAAAAGAACGCATTTTCTACATATCTCACAGACTATGTGGCGGCGTCTATGGCTTGCGCACCGTCCGCTCACTAGCCTCACGGATGGCCCACGTGAGTGCATACGTCTTGGCAGCATCCTCGTACGAGCTTAGGATCGGCGACGTGCCCTCGCCATGCTCAATGCAGTCGATCAAATTCGACACCTCAGAGAAGAAGGGATCATCATCATTGTACCGCAGTACCTCCTCATGGTCATCGCCAGGACGGCGGATGTACAGCATAGGCGCATTGTAAGGATCAATGAGACGCAGTGAGTATCCATCCGCGAACACGTCAATCTCTGTTGAATAGTTCGTGCCCTGGAGTGCGACGGCGTGTGTCAAAGAGCCAACGGCGCCTGACTGGAACTTCCACGTCGCGCAGGTGATGCGTGGGATCCGGTTCTCGGGCTCAATCAGCGACTCATCCACAGGGATTTTGCTCAGTTGGCCCGCTGGCTCAAAGTACTCGAGCGAGTGCGCCATGACAGTGCTGAGGTCCACCTCACCACCAAAATAGCGTGCCAAGTCGCAGAAGTGCGTCGCCTGCTCGACGATAGGCCCCGGGTTCTTAGACTTGTCCCACCAGTCAAGCTTAGCCGTGTGTTCGTATGCCATGATGTAGCGCGCATTGATGGCCATCACCTTCAAGTTGTTCTCGGTGAGAATTTGCTTCATCTTTTGCACGACCTTCAAGTATCGCAGCATGTATCCCACACTGACGAGACTGCCATTCTGCTTCAGCATCTCGGACACCTGGAATGCTTGGTCCACAGGTCCCGTCGACACGGGCTTTTCAATGAACAATGGCACACGCGGTAGTCCGTCTGTCAACAGCATCTCCAAGTTGCGTCCAGGCTCCGTGCCTCCGCGGTACGCTGGCGGGGAGCCCACCCATACCGCATGGGGATACGTCTCAGGCGTCACCGAGTTCATGTAGTCCTTGAATGAAGGGTACACGATGGTGTCTTTATATGCACTGAGCACGAACGACTGGCACTTCATCCTTAGCACACGCTTTGCACGCTCCGCGCTTGGGTCAATGAGTGCCACCACTTTCAGACGCGGCCCGAGCTTGTGTTCAAGACGGAACGTGTGGTTCCATGGACCTTCGTCGGAACCGAAGTTGATATTGCCCGCTCCTACAATCACAACACGAAAGTCAGCTCCAGGTGCAGGTGGCTCTTGCTTGTCCATCGCTGTCTTGGCATGGGGATCAAACGCCAGCGTCGGCTGCGTAGCTGGCCGCATCACACGCGCCGACACGTGGAAGGACGATGCTCGCATCGCGCACGTCGCCACACAACCGCGACGAGTGACGGATGCGAGCATCGTTCGCATGGCTGTTTTTGTCAACATCATAGACCGTTTGTGACCGATCGTCGGTTGAGGCTGGGTACCGTCGGAAGGGTATGGTATCTCTGCCCAATGGAGGATGCACGACCGGATAACAAACCCCAGAAGGACCAGCCGCACGTGCCTTAGTCATGAACTCAGTCGCCTCATAGCGAGGAATTCTGCCTAGTCACCCTACCCACTGGCTCGTTTGGCAAACAGGGGCCCATTTAGGCCTGTGCATTTTCACGTACCAGATGTCATTTTCGGGAGTGGGGGTGGGGGTGGGGCAACGATAGATTCTGTGGACTGTCAATTTTTCTGCTCCCAAATTGTCTTGAGATCCTATGAGTAGGGAGGCGACTTGCTCGATATAACCACGCCCACCTCGCTCAACTATTTGTTCTTTCCAAGACGTCCACCACAAATGTCGTAGTATGCGCTGAAGATGAATCCTTTTTTTTCTTTGATGTTAGCGGCCCCATTCCTATTCCCTACGTAGTGTTCGAACTATGACTCTGTGGGCATCGTACGACCGGCTGGCTCTTGTCCGCACAGTATGGCTAGGAAGATGCGTGGCCACTTGCACGTATGGTAGATGTGGCTACATGTATATGGTGTGCAAAAAAATCATGGCATATCATGAAACATACCATGGACGTGATGTCGTGGCATGCGATGCGATGTAAATGATTTGACGCGGTGCGCTAGCCCGCTCGGTGCTTGTGATACCTGTCAGAGAAACTTGGCTCGCGCATACTTGTTAATGTTGTTGTTGCTGTTGTTGTTGTTGTTTTTCAGCTAGCGGCGTGCACCTAGTCGTTCATTGAGATACTCTGTAGTTATGTTGCCGTCTCTGATGTCAATCACTTTGCCGACATCTGCAAGTGTACAAAATGTCGGCAGCGCCGACGTATAGAGTGTAGATAGTTCCATGTTGGTCGATTCAGGTGCCCAGTACACAAGCACTAGTGGGTACGAAATCCGACCGTCTGCATGTTTCATCTCATATGAGAGAAGGACAAAGCGCGGTGAATGCTCGGGCAATTCTTCCGCGAGTTCTTCTGGTGTGATGGGATCGATAAGCTCTTCTTTTTCAAGAAGAAGCTTTGGCTTGTTGATTTTGACGACAAGTGCTGCGTTCTTTGATGTCGATTTCGACAGTCGGAATGATCGCAACTCACTCTGCAGCGATGGTTCGATGTCCACTGTTGATGCGGACATGGATTAAAGGGCCCAGCGATGTTGACTGGATGATGAGATTGGTCGATCGCGTTATTTCTGTGTGCGTGTGGAGCACTTGAACGACAGCACGAACGACTGTGACTTGACTCTAGTAAGCATCGATTTACGCGTCCGTCTACTTCTGCAACCTAGCGCTTGATTCCGTTGCGTCCAAGTGGAGGCAGGCCCACGACCGAATCCTTTCATGACAAATGCGCGCTGACTCCACTACGGTGACATGGACGAAATTTGGCCCAAATTCGAACTTTTCGAATCATATTACCACTGTCTCACAGCATGGGCGCAATGGCGGGGTGTGACATATTCCACGCCAATGCTACTATGCCAATCCTGATCACTTGATCCGTAGAAGTATACACTATACGAAGAAAATAGAGAAAGAGAGAATGTGAAGGAGAAAAAAAAAAAGACAAGGAATGTAGCAAGGATGATAACATGCATGGCAAGAACCTAATGATGCAAACGCATTCAAGCGCAAGTAACAGCTAACGGCGGCGCCTATCGACCTGCGTTTCACATGCACGTCGGATAGCCCAAGTAAATGCATATGTATGCGCTGCGTCGTCAAACGAGCATAGGATCTCATCCGATTTGGACGGGTCCTCGACAGCATCAATCATACTGGACACTTCGGAAAAGAATGGATCATCATCCGCATACTTGTACACTTCCTCATGATCGTCGCCTGGACGACGAACGTACAGAGTTGGAGCGTTGTACGCATCGACGAGTCGCAACGAGTAGCCGTCCGCAAACACGTCGATTTCAGTGAAAAAGTCGCGGCCATGCAGTGCAATGACATGCATCAATGAGCCGACCGCACCCGATGTATACTTCCACGTAGCACTTGAGACGCGAGGCACACGCTGTTCAGCGGGGATCGTTTCGTCCTCATTGAACGCCAACTTGCTCAGCTTGCTCGGCGCCTCAAAGTGCTCGAGAGAATGGGCGACGACAGAATCCAGCTCGACCTCACCACCGAAGTAGCGTGCCAAGTCGCAAAAGTGTGTCGCTTGCTCGATCACTGGGCCAAGACTTTGCTCCTTGTTCCACCACCACTGCTTCGTCAGGCGCTCGTAGGCTATGACGAAACGGCAATTTACAGCCATGACCTGGAGCTTATTTTCGGCAATAATCTGCTTTAGTTTCTGTGAGACTTTTAGGTAGCGCAGCATGTATCCAACAGAGAGTGGGCTCATCTTCCCTTCAATGTATCGGCTCACCTGCATGACGTCTTCGACGGAGCTTGTCGTGACAGGCTTTTCGAGAAATAGACCAATCCCCGGTAAAGAATCCGCCAGAACCCTTTCCACATCGCGTCCGGCATGCATACTTCCTCGGAAAGCTGGTGGTGAGCCGATCCAAACTACATGCGGGCGAGTTTCTGGCGTCACACTAGCGAGGTACGAAGGTACGTCTTTGAATATGGCTGTGTCCTTGTAAGCACTCAGAACAAACGACTCGCGCTTTTTCTTCAGCACATTCTCGGCATTCTCAGTCACAGGATCAATGAGCGCTATCACTTTCAGACGCGGCCCTAGCTTGTGCTCGAGACGAAATGAATGGTTCCATGGTCCTTCAGGCGATCCAAAATTAATCTGGCCCGCACCTACAAAGACGACTCTCACGTCTGGACCAGGGGCCGGCGGAGCCTGCTGATCCATGGCAGTTGGCTTGGTCGCTAGCTCACTGTCTGTTGTCATACTCAGGAGACAACAAGAGGTATGCAGCTATGAAATGAATAGCCGTGGGGATGCGAGTAATTGATTTGATCTTCCCTTGGCTGTACTGATGTCCTTGGCGGTCGAGTTGCATGTCACGTATTTCGGCAATGACTTCGTTCCTGCCTTCTAGGCCAGATCGGCGACAAGAATTCTGATGCGCGCCGCGCAGCTGACCTCAGTCATCGATTCTATGGATTCGAAAGCCGGATCGAGCGCGCCCACATCTGGGAACTCGCTATCAGGCGAGGCTGCCAGCCTCCCACCCGCGCATACGTATCACGTGACCCACATGGATTTCGCCCAGCACTGGACTTTCTAGTGGCAGAGCGGCCCCTCAGCCCTGTCGTTTGTCAGGCGGCAATTCTTTCGGGCTTGCCTCGGCTCGTGGTGTGTTATCCACTTTTCCAACACATACACCACCAAACAACGTCGTCTTTCCGCCGACATGCCTGTTCCTTTTGAGGCCATCATTCCTATGGGCATTGTCGTTGCCCTCTTCGGCGTGACCGGTACGGGATACAATGCCGTTGCGCATTTGGCAAACGAAGGCAAGCCGGTGCGACACAACCTTGACGAATGGGAACGCATGATGATGCGTCGTGATCAACGACTTACAGGGACAAGACGTGGGCAATCGGTACGTTTTTGATTTGCTAGGAAACAGTCTATTTGCATGAACGGCACGTCTAACGAGCAGCGAGAAGCTATCGCCCCCGAACAATTCGCCACCAATAGCGGATGGAGCGCAGAGCGGATCTAGTTGTGAAAGTAGCCATACAATGAAGGAAGAAAAAAGTAAACGAGATATGAACTACTATCAGTGCATCTACGACATGGATTGGCCCCTTCCCAACCCATGTCTGAATCCATCCCACGTTAGAGAAGAGAGAGCAGCAGCAGCAGCAGCAGCAGCAGCAGCGGCGGCGGCGGCAGTGGTGGCTGCCGAGTCTGTCAATCGATGCAAGTGGATACCACTACTGCGCGACTGCATTGGTGCGCTACGAATAACGAGAGAGTATTTAGCGACGTCGGCGACGGCGCTCATTCGGGTTCTTTCGCCCTATCCCAAGTGCAGGTAATTCGCCCTTCGACTGTGTATGTGCGCCAGTGAGAAGGTCTGGGATCCAGTCAGGGTCGGCATATCGAGCTGTGAGAGAGTCATGGCCTTTTTCCAATGCTCGCTGCAATGCACGCTCCTCGCGGTCTCTTTGCACCTTCTGCTGCGATACAGCGCGCTGCCATTCGAGCTGATCTTCACGCAAAATCGGCACGCCCGTCTTGGCATTCTGGCTCTGGCCACTAGGCCGGCCGCCTGAGGCACTCCCAGGTTTGGGCATCGGGAGCGAGTAGATAGTTCCACGGTTTCTGTACTGGAAGTTGGGTTTCAAGTGCACTTGCATTCCTGCATCAGAGCCACCACCTGTTGTGACAGATGTGCGTATGAGTGTTGCATTGCCGCAACTCGGACAGAACTTGCGCTCTGGGTCTTTGCAGATGCGATAACAAGCGTGGCATCGAAGAACCCAGCTTTTGACCCGCTCAATACGCGCGCCATCGACACTGACCAGGTAGAGTCCCATTTGCAACAAGACATTCTGCACGGCAAAGTCGCCGGTCATGCAAGCGACACTCATACGCGCAGGCGCTCCTCCTTTGCGTCCACGACGACGCCGACGACTCTTTGTGGCTGTCGATGAAGACGCTGCTGATAGAGTGTCGATGGAAGACTCTTCTGTAACAATGCCAAGTGCTTTGTTCTTGTGATGCAATATATTCTCCGGCGTAATCCATTCGCCGCCGTTGTTTTCGTCATTATCGTTATCATCATCATCATCATCATCATTATTGAGGTCGTCTTCATCGGAATCCTGCTCCTTGTGCGACCTGGACGTCACAGTTGTGAACCCATCATTGTGATGGTGCAGTGGCTTCTTGTCACTCTGCATGTCTGACCGCTGCGTCGCATGCGCCGGCGTCGATGTCGCCGAGCCATGCTGTTGATTCAACGGCTTTGATGAAGAGCCAGAGTCAGCCGACTCACTCACTGGCGTATCTGCTCCAGGAACAACAGGGCATTTGGTTGGTAATACAGGTTTGCCCGCCTCTGAAATGGTGCCTGGGTTTTCTACTGCGGCTGGTTTCTTCGTCGCTTTTTCTTGGAGGCGCTTCTCTTCATGCAGTTGTTGTCCAGTCTTACCGCCAACAGATTCACGGATGCGCCATGTGCCATGCGCCTCAATCTCGAGCGCATATGTTAATGCAAGCACATGCAAGTCAGGGTGCGATAGCACTGCATAGTCTCCTGTCTGCTTTGCGAAATCCATGACTCGTGCGTCAGTCTTACCTATTCACGTACTTTTCTTCATCGCCTGAGCACCAGGTTCGCGAACTTCCAGATCAATTTGGCCCGTCGTGTGTAGTGTGTGCAAGTAATCGCGCGCGCGTGCATCACGAAGCTCGGCCACGACGGATGGTGGAATGTAGTACTTGTCGGCAAGGCCGGTAATACGTGCCTGCACAAGAAGTGGCGCTGCATCTAACACGAGGGACTGGATCTTTCTCGGATTCTTTGCACTGCCACTATCATGGCCATTTTTGCTGGGGCCAGTCATTCAGACTGTGAGTCGTCCTCGTTCGAAGAACGATCTTTTTGTTCACCTGACCCTTTCGTTGGGCGACGATGTGTGTGGATCCAATGTCAAAAATTCTTCGTCGCTGCTGCCATAGGATCTCGGCCGAACTCCACACACCCTTTCTCAGCCACACTTTCAAGCGCATGGACGTGTGGTTGAGACAAGCAGGCACGGCGTGTCAAAGTGGGTGTAGAATAGCCAAAAAAAGTTAATTGCGCCGGGCCATTCGTCCAGATACAACGCCATTTGAAGGATCGCGCACATGAGCTTGTGGCGACCAGCAGCGCACTGGCACGATGCTGCCTTGCAAAACCATGCCGGGGCGAGCCTCATGATACGGCGAATCCGGATGCCGTATCGAATGTATGCAACGACAAGTACAGAGGCGGACTTTTATGCGATTTTAGAAGTGCCACGACATGCATCCAAAGCCCAAATTAAGAACCAGTTCTACCGACTCTCGAAGCAATACCACCCGGACGTGAGCAAGACGGAGGAAGGAAAGATTCAGTTCCAGCGCGTGAGTGAGGCGTATGCGACGCTGAGCAACGATGCACAGAGACGAGCATATGATCAAAAACTAGGGGTTGGGCGCTCTTCGACCATGTATTCATCATCACGCCGGTCACCACATGACCCGCCACCCATGTCGGCCGCATCGCGATTTGCGCATGCCCGTTCTGCATGGGAGTACCAACAACGGACTCACCAACGCACACATTCAGCATCGCCGCGGTATTCGGCAGGCGCACGAAGCAGGATGAACCATAACACGATGAGTGAAACTACGCATCACTACGCACGCATGGCGGAACGAGAGGCCAAACGAAGTGAAGCACGGCAGCGATATGGTCCGACGCCTGCACACGCACATGCGAATCCTAGCAGTTACCGGGCATGGAGTGAGAAGCGTTGGAACCATGAAGAACGGCAGGCGGAGATGGCTAGTCCTGTTGTCCGCTTTTTGCAAGTGGCATCTGTGATGGGCGGTGCCATTTGGCTCAGCCACAAGCTGCTTTCTTGACTGGGGACAAAAGGAGGCCTGATTGTGGTAATGATGCTGGCGTGAACTACGAACTAGCTCAAACATAACCAGTCCGCGGCCAGGGAGCTTGAGGGGCTATGCCCTGAAGCCTGCAAGGGCAAAAGGCACTATTGGATTCCTCGTTTGGGTTGGGTACAGGAACGTGAGGATTGCGTGAATATGGTCTTGGACATCTTGCGGGCACGTGTGACAGCCGTTTTGGCTTGTTGAAAGACTCACCATCATGTGTTTGGGTTCTAGGAGCCACTAGCGACGTGTACATACGATTCCTACGCACTCCAGCGTACTAGTCAAACAACAGAGAGGGGCCTCACAAAAAAAAGACACCAGACCCTGACAAGCGCAAACCCAAAGAAAGAAAGAAAGAAAGAGAGAGAATCAGACAAGAGTGGCTGACAGGAAAATTAGAAAGAGATGGAAGAACGGTCGAGATCGATGAAATGCAATGCACCACATGTAGCATTCCTCGATCCATTAATCCATCAAGTATGCGATGTTGGCGTATGTGTGCGTGCCCAAGTCTTAGTTGGCACCCTTGTCGAGTGACGTCAGCACCATGGCATCCTTGGACGTCAGCTGGCCCGGGTTGAAGCGGGCATTCTCCAGCTGCACACGCATGCGGCTGGTGGGACTTGGTGGACGCGGACGGAGGCGCTGTGCCTCTTCCAGTGTCATAGTCATGTTGCTGTAGGAAGAAATCACAGGTTGAGAGAGGTCGCGGCCGATGGTCGCCTTCATAATGGCCTTCATCCAGCCACGTAGAGCGACCTCGTCGTCGAGGCTGAAGTGGTGCGTCCGTTCCGTGTCATGCACAATCTTGAAACTGAAGCCGCTTCCAGCAGATTCGTCCGACACCACCTTGTAGCCATGCAAGGGAATCAGGTTCTTGACCTTGTCTGCACTAGGATCGCGCAGCACAATGAGGTCCATTCCATGCAGTACCAGATACCGGCTGTTCCACCTGTTGTAGCGGTCCCCGCGCTTCTTGATCCAGCCTTGCCGATCGATTTGACCAAGACGGTTCAGAACCGTTTGTCGCTCCGTTGGGCGACCACCTCCCGCCTCGCCAGCGCGATGGTTCTCTGTGCCTGTCAGCAAGCCTTGCGGTCGATGTCCGCCCTTCGTGTATGGTAGCATCGACAGCGCTGTTGTTGCTGCTGTGCCCATAGCCGGATTGCTTTGCAAGGCGGTGCGTGGTGGTCCGCTTGGCCCATAGCTGTTAATTGTGTTCATAAAGCCTGGCTTGCCGACGGGCGTGCCTGTTGGCGGCATAGTTCGGGGTGTGGCTAGCGTTGGAGTGCCCTGTTGCTGCATTGACATTGGGGGCACATTCGGGCCAGGACCACTTCGGCTAGGCGTACCCGGCCCTGAAGGCATTACCGCACTAGGCTGTGATCCCCACGGCGCACCCATGCTCGGCGGCTGGCCACCGGGGATGCCAGAGCCCGGGGTGATTGTCGGCAGCGGGCTTTGGCTTGGCATCGTACTGGGCATACCAGGCATTCCTGTTGCAGACACGGGTTCGGGGGCCATGTCTCTAGGCACACCCACGGGTGCCGCCGATGGCGCCGCCGGGGGCACGACTGGCGGCGTCGCTGGCATGGGCGTCACGACCTTGTTGGTCATTCCTGCTTGCTCTTGTGGGCCTCCTGGGACCATCGTAGGTGGCGCGTTCTCCATGCGCTGACGGTTTTGCTGCCATAAGAGATCCTGCTGCTCCATGGGAGCGGAGTTGGGTGCAACTGACGCGGATGGAATGGGCGACGGGCCACGCTGGTTCAGATTCATACCCTCGCCGGACCCGAAGGATGGCAGTGGGTTGCCATGGGATTGCATGTAGCCCATCGGACTGGACTGAGGTAGTGGCTGGCTTGGCACGTTATTCGTGCGTGTAGAAGCCGAGCGAGGCATACCAAAGCCAGGTGCAGAAGCACGCGCAGACTCGGGCACAGGCGCAGCGAATGCAGTAGCACCTGGCGATTGAGCGGATTGCGGCGCTGACATGTTCAAGGCCGGGCTTGCACTACGAGGGTTGGTCACTGCATTACCAGCGATCGATGGCGACAAACCCACGGGAGGCGCAGCTTGGTTCATAGAGCCATCGCCACTTTGTGCACCAGAGCTCGAGAAACCAGGAGTGGCCTCTTGGATCGGGGGGCCCAGCGACGAAGGTGCACGTTCTGTCGCAGGTGCCAACGCGTGCGGGTCTTGCAATTTGGGCGTTGACTGCGAATACGGCATTGGTTGCTGCTGCTGCTGCTGCTGCTGCAGTTGCGAAGGGCTCCTGATCCCCGGTGACACAGGCGCATGTTGATGGTCCCGGTGCACAGGGGAAAGAGGCAACTCTGTGCCACTGGGACGAGGCGACATAGGCGAAAGCGGTGCTGCTGTCGCGGACACGGAACGAGGCATCGTCGACGTGTTGTAGGGCATGCGCGAAGAAGCATCGCGAGGGGACGTGGCGGATGGCGACATTGGTGTTCCATGACGCAGCTCATCAATGCAATTAGCGACCCTGAAACGACGACCGTAAGCGATGATGTCAATTTCCCGCAACGTGTGAATGTCCAGGGACAAAAGCGTTACACCGTTTACCTCATGCTCGCGGAGCTTGTTCGTGATTTGATCGTCAAAGCCCTTTGATATGGCCCAGTCCACCACATCGTCGATGGACCACGAGAGTGGGTCGGACGTCGCCTCTGCAGCCGGTTCATCCGCCGGTTCCTGTGCAGCTGAGACGTCAGGCATGCGGTTTGGCACCTGTGGCTCAGAGACGGGAAGCACGGGATCGCGTGGTGGCACATATGAGGCCGACACAGACTGAGAGTATGTGTGCTTGGCGACATCGGTGCCTTGATTGGGCGGTTGCGAGGAGATAGCCTCCTGGTGCGACGACTGGACAGAGTGAGACGGCTGCGATGCGCTTGGACTGCGAATGCCACCACCAGCATATAATCCAGCAGGGGACTGTTGCTGCTGTTGCTGCTGCTGCTGCTGCTGTTGAGGCAGCGACAGAGAAGAAAGTGGTGGTGACGTGGGTGTCATGCCACGCTGTTGGTTTGCTGGCAATTGTGAATACAATGGGTTCATGCGATTGTCATTGGGATCAGCAGAGGGACCGACAGAGGCCACGTCCTCGTCGTCATCCAGCTCACTATCATCGCTCATCTCCAGCATGGCCAAAGGCACCACTCCCTGCTGCGACGACGATTGCATCTGCCTCGCATTGGAAATACTGCCTGGCTCACCGACGCCAGATGGCGTGTCCCACGGCGGCTCTTGAGACTGCAGGCTCTTCTGCGCATTCCTCGCAAGCTCGGCGCGCGCTGCAGCGCGCGCCTGGAAATCGCGCTCAATCGGATCATCCATATCAGACGGCAGCTGTTGCGAGGGCGATGAAATGTTGCGAAGGGAAGGCTGGTCCTGTGACTGTGGCTGCATTTGCTGGGGTGGTTGCGTAGTATGCAGCTCCGAGAGCGCGTTCTCGATGTCGTTCATTGTCGAGTGCATGACACCACGTTCATCAGGGACAGCATGCGAGTTAGTTGCCATGCCGGACGTAGCGGGGCCCGAGGCATGCGTGACGGGCGAAGCCGTCGATGACAATGGCTCTTGTTGCTCTGGTTGCTGCAACTGGGCCATTCCCATCGTTGGGGAGCCGATGTGCGGCGAGTGCTGATAACGGCGCGACATAGCCCCATTCAGCATAGTCATGGCGGCAGACTCGTCGTACGTCGTGTACGAGAACGGAAAAAGGCCGGTCTCGCCACGCTCATTCGTCCCTTGGAACCAACCATCACCATATGCGTCGTCCTTCTCAACTACCAGTACCCGCTCACCGACACGGAAACTCACTTCATCTGGATTCTCCGCATCAAAGTTGTAGAGCGCATACACGTACTCGACAGGCTGCGTCGACATCGTGCCCAGCCTGCGACGATCAAGCAAGCACGCGGTCAGTGGGGAATGTGACTGACTCGCAACGCGGACTGCGTGCCTTCGATCCCCGAGTCGCACGAATACACGGAACTATCACGTGACCAAACGTAAAACAGGGAATCCAATCTCTAGTCCTCATGAGCGTCTGAACGAGCGAGGAGAAAGGGGAGGAAGGAGTGTGAGCTGTGGGGCCTGTCAATGTGGGTCTGAGAAACACCGTTGTGCGAATCCGTAAGGACTTGAAAAAATCGTCTCGACTTTCCCTTTCCATCCGATTGTGAGTATGGAAAGCACCCGAAATAGACACGCGAGCTGGAAGTATAGCAGGGTGTGCAGCGGCTGCGCGTGCCCGCCCATAAAGAAAACTTGTGGCATTCGTTGTGTCCCTATACTTTTTCTATATGACAAAGAGAAGGTCCATATCGATCGGGTGTGAGGCACTGAGCTGCGGCTTCTGGGAGTACTTAGCAGCGAGGCAGTCACGCGTCGCGTTCAGAAGCTGCTTGTATGACAGTTGAGGCCATTGAGACAGGACAGTGATAAACGCCCAGCTCATAGCGCCGGTAGCCTTGCCCGCCTCGACGGCATCGGCACTTGTCTGACAGTCCTTGCAGCCCGACAACATGATCACATCGGCACCGGACGAGCGTGTTTCGCGCGTGTACTTTCCAGCACGCGTATTCAGCGTAGTTGATTTCACTGTGTTGAAGAGGCCACGCACCATACCGCCAACATCGCCGCGTGCGTAGTCCATGGCTGCATTCAACAGACCTTTGCCCACATTCATAGAAATGTTCGTTTCTTTGATTTTTCCTGACGTCGTGTATACATACGGCAGATCGAGCGCCGTGCCAGAATGGCACGAATCAAAGAGCGCCGTCAGTCGGCACCCGATAGGTAATGGACGCACCAATCGAGCGTGCATTTCGTCATCGGCCATTTGTCCAGTGAACTGGTAATCCAACGGAAGAATCGTCTCATTGTAGCCGTCTTCCTCATCCATCTCCACGGCACGCTCTTGTCCACCATGACCCGAGTAATGGAAGAACAGTGCGTCGCCAGGCTGTGCATCACGCACAAGCCAGTACATGGCATTACAAATGTTTTCACGCGTCGGCTTCGTCCGTGGGTTGTCCGATGCCTCGTCAGTCAGAATCACCATGTCATCTGGGTGGTAGCCAGCATGTTGACGAATGAAATTCGCCATGTTGTGCGCGTCATTCCAGCATCCATTCAGCTGTGCGCTCGTACCGACGTAGTTGATACCAATCAGCAGAGCTTTGCGCTTCCCCTGCATGTTCGAGTATTCGTAACGCATGTCTGTTGGTTAGCATGCGCGCTAGGAGACGCAACAGGAGTGTGTGTGCGCACACACACACACACACTCTCTCTCTCCTCTTTCAATGGATTCGTGACGTACTTCCGTTCATTACGCCGCCTTGCGGGTTCGTCTGCACATAGCCCTGGTACTGCGGCGGACCTACAGGTCCTGACGGCATCTGGTACGATGTCGGTGGTCCACTGCGGAAACCATATCCCTGCATCGGATAACCATACATCGTGGATTCTTGCCAGTGTGTTGGGAAGGTTGGGATGGCGTGTTCCGTGTGGCCAAGCAGCCCGTTAACAAATGGTGTGTGTTTCTGTTTTGTTCAGCTCGTCCAGGGGCCTGGTTCCTGTCCTCGTTTGCGCCTGGCAGGCCCATGCCACGCCGCCTCTTTGTCTCGTCCTCCACATCTTCTTCATACACAGACGCCAAGGCCGCGTCCATCCACGTGCAAGCTTATCCACACCGTCATCATGGATCGTGACGCATCTCGAGCACGAGCCTGGTATGCAACGTTTCCTCGACAGTTGGAGTGTATGTGTACCGACCACATATGTAGCCTGACGTAGTCAGATGTGCATGATGGCATCCAAAAAGGGGACAGAGAGCGTGCGTTACGTGCATTGCTAGATGCGCGCCACGAGCTGCAGGCGGCTGTGTCTTTTCTGCCACCGCATGATATCCAATCCTATGAAAATGCATGGGGTGAGCTGCATCGTGAACTCTCTCGTCCATCACGATCGTTCCGATTCCAGGGCCATCAAAAGCATGAGGAAACAAGCGATGCTAGCATCGCCGCCAAGGTGATGGAGCCCGCCAACGAGGCGATAATCACAGCCCATCCCTCGCCGGGTGTCTTGTCATCGTCAACCACTGTACGTTTGCGCACAAAGGAAGTGATCAACATGCCGCCGTCGACGGCTGCCGTGTATCTCGTGCATCTAGATACCTGCTTCATTCATATGGGCGACGAGCAAGTGCCTGGCAGTGTGTTTCTTGACGGATGCAAATGCTGTGTGGTGACGGGCTCAGCTGGACAGTGCCGTCTATCGAACTCGTCGAATATCGTTGTTTGTATTGATACGCACACCCCTATCACATTGGAAGGCTGCCGGAGCATTTGGATTGCGCGTCCAGGAACACTGCAGCGCCGCAACTCTCCTGCTGGCTCGGCATGTACATACTCAGATGTACGAGCACCGTCTGTCATGCCATCTGTTCAGGACTTTGATGATATCTTCCACGAACAACTGCACCACACCCCCTTGCCGGTAGGCATAGCTGCAGACCTCGTGCGACATTGGGACGAGCCATGCGCACTGCCTTCCATTCTCAATGCGCCAGACCTCACATAGTGTACATGTCTACTCATTTCCTATGTGCAGAGGACGCTTTTCGTCGCTTGCGCCGACGGATCTCTTTCTTGCTCATCACGGGCTGCGCACCGACAACATCATCGTCGGAGCCCGAATCGATACCACCACTATCGCGTGACGGACTCTCGGTGCTACCGTCATTATCAACGCCGTCCTCTGTCCCAGCGTCTAATGACTCACGCAGTCTTGCATATTCAGCCCGAGACACAGGCTCGCCCATCACTATATCAGCACTCACGCCAGGGCCATGGTCGTGGCCATCGTCGTCACGCTTGATCGACGCGGCCTTGCGCTTTTTCGGCGATGTCATCGTTGTCGGCTTGCTGGACTCTTCCATCGTGATGGGCTCACGCAGATAGAAAAGGAGGTAGGCTGACGGGTCGTCGAGTGGGCACTGCGGGAGCTTTGACACAAACGAGTCATCCATGCGAAGCCACTGGCCATCAGCAGAACGCACGCTTGCGACATAATGACCGACATTCGGCCCGCTGCCGTAGTGGTGCACTATCGCAAAGAGTCGATATTGCTGAGCGGCGCCCAGCGTGCCGAGGTCTGGCTCGTCTTCGACATCTGCGCCGAGTCCCTTATCTCGCTCGCTCATGTACCGGCCTAAATGCAAGCGGTCCGAGTAACTGATGGGCTTGTTGATCTTATTGCCAAAGATGCCGAACCGCTTCAGATGCACCGTGAGCACCATAGGCGCCTGGTCGATAGAAAAACGTTTTGTTGCCTCGACGCGCCGCTGGCAATGATCACATTGGTACTTGTCGGCCAGAGCCTCAGCCGCCGTAAATGCGTCGAGCGCTTGCTTCACAGTGTGGATGCCTTTCCGCACGTCTAGGCTCAGGTCGAGCATTGGGTCATATGTATCCGAATTGTGCCGACAGCTGTAGCACGTTACGCGACTACGCAGACGACCGCCAAAGATACGCTGGATCAGTGTCGTGCTGAGAATGGGGTCGTTTGGCTTGATGTCCTTTCCAGCAAAGCATGTGCATGCCTGCTGCAACGCCTCTAGAAGTAAGCGTAAATACTCGTGTGCATCTTCTTGGCGCCCAGGCCGTAATGGTCGTGCAAACTTGCGTAGGTTTGAGACGAATGCCGTTGGTGACACGGCAGATGCTCCGCTGTATGCATGCGCAAAAAAGTCCTTCATTTCCGTGAGCGCATTGAAGGAGTTGGCCGCCTTTACAGCCTGTTTTTGTGTACGCGGGACGCCATAGCGACCTAGCAACGTAGGTGCACTCTGTGTGAGCAAGGCTGTGGCAAGTGGCGGCGTGTGCAGGAGAGACTGCATCACACTGTTCATGTAGCACGTATTCCCACGATTGTGCAGACCGGCCGCACGCATGTGTGCACGAGGAAAACGGGGTATGATGCGTGGTGTGTACAGGGGCTGGGTAGGTGCGCTGACCGTTCGAAGAGATGTGCCTGCAGTAGAAGCAGAAGCATCCGCGTTGTCGTTGGTGCGCTTGGAAGAACGACTTGGCTGAGCGTCGACAGGCTCATTCACAATCTCCATGTTCGACGCACGCGCGGCATCCAAGCTCAATGACGCCTTGAGCTCGTCGCGTGAACTGCCGACGAACCGCACTGGCTCATCAAGCAAAGAACGAAGATGCGCACCAGGCTTGATGGCATCCTCTAGCACATGCTGTGCACGCGCGCCTGGCTTATGCACCTTGCCTAGCCGTGTACCTGGCACTGTTTGTGCCATGGTCGGACGGTTTGTCACTTCCGTTGGCTCGCTTTTTTTTTTTTTTTGGGCCCTCTGACAGTGGTCTTCAAGACAGGCCTAGAAAGAAGCCATAGGTTATCTCAGCATGATGTCATCTACTCTTGAGATGGATGAGCTCAGCTCGCGCATGGGCCACGCATCCAGCGCGACCTTAAAGGCCCAACCAACGTACAGCCGCGTCATACTCTCTTGTAACTAGCCCTTGAGTGGGTCAGCAGTGATAGACAACGACGACAGGACAAACTGGCTCGTCCGCCCCTATAAGGTTCAAACGAGGCAGAGCAAGGAATCCATGGGTACGCATGTGCATGGCGCGTGTATGAGTGTGTGGGTCCATACACACACTCGCGTACAGGTCCTTGACGCTAACACAGAAAACAGACCCGTCGTTGCAGAAATCCCTGTTCGATCGAACATATGAAAAGCGCAAGGCGGCAGCACTAGAGCTCGAGCGGTAGGTCCTGGGCATGCGAACTTGAGAGCGGAACAAAGGAGCTGACTAGCGCTGTTAGACAGGTCCGCGATACACTAGCGCGCGGTGATCGCGCTCGCATCGATCACATCATGCAACAGCTCTGCACCTTCCTCACGCAAAAGCCTGCGCCCAACGCCAACGCGCGCAACGGTAGCTTGATTGGGCTCGCAGGCATGGGGATTGCACTTGGTCAGGAAATTGCCACGTACTTGGACCAAATGATCGGTCCTGTGCTCGCATGCTTTAGTGATGCTGACCCCAAGACGCGCTACTTTGCATGCGAGAGCTTCTACAATCTTGCAAAAGTGTGCAAGGGTGAGATGCTTGTGTACTTTAACGAGATTTTTGTCGTTCTTGCACGCCTCGCGGCTGACTCGGAGGTATCGGTGAAGAATGGCGCCGAACTGCTGGATCGTCTCTTCAAGGACATTGTCTGTGAGGCTGCGCCCCATTACGTGTCCATGTACCAGGACGTGTCTCAGCTCCGCGCGCGGCAGGACCGCGATATCGGCGTAGAGGGCGGCGAAAATGAGCTGCAGGTCGCCCGTGAGAAGGCTGCGCATGAACGATATACGAAAGCGATGCATCTCGAGCATGACCGGCGGAGCACATCCATGAACAAGGCATTTTCACTCGCTCGCTTCGTCCCATTCCTCGCCGAACGCATGCAGGTCGTGAGTCCGCTCACACGCAACTATATCGTGAGCTGGATTGCCGTGCTCGATTCTGTGCCGGATCTCCAACTTGTCGCCTATCTCAGTACCTTCCTCCCGCATCTTTTTCAGTACCTGAGCGATCCCAATACAGACGTGCGTGTTGCAACGGCCGAGGTCCTGGCCAACTTTCTCCGCGAAATTCGTGAAGCCGCCCAGCACCAGGAGCCGCCTCTCTCCGGCTCCAGGGAGGCGAGTCGTCTCTCTCATGCTGCTATGGACAAGAACGCGCCTTCACATGTGTCCTCTGCAGCATTGTCCGCCCCCTCCGCCTCGCCTGGAAGTGCGCCATCACAGTCCAATGCGCCAGTGTTGGCTTCTGCATCCGACTCCGCGCCAGGCTCACCGTCTTCCACGACCTTCGGGCCTACGTCTGATCCTGGATCACATGCAGGCCCCGTCTCTGACTCAGGGCCAGCGCCCACACGCGACTTGGATGTTCACGCCAATGACGACGAGCTAGTGTGGGTGAACGGTGGCCGCGTGCGCGTCGAGTACGATGCCATCCTGGAGATCTTGCTTGAGCAAGTACAGAATCAGGACGAGGAAATCCAGGCGACGACTTTCGAATGGATCACCGAGTTCCTTCATGTTGTGCCATCGATGGTCGTGCCGTTTGCGCCGCGGCTCATATCCGCGGTCCTGCCGTGCTTGGCGCATCCAGCTCCTGCGATCCAGTCTGCTGCGATCAGGACGAACAAGCAGCTCTTCACGGCCGTGGAGCGGCTCTTGCCGAACGAGGATGCGCCTGCATCGAACGCTGCAGAAGGCATTAGCAACCCCAGTGCCGTTGGTGGTGGTATTGGCGGAGGACTGGACTATTTTGCGACGACCCATGCCCTCAAGCAACATCTGCTGGACCAGCACGACCAGGCGCGCCTGAATGCACTGGAGTGGCTCATCATGTTGCATGCCAAATGCCCAACGAAGCTCTTCTCCATCCACGATGGCAGTATCTCTGTGCTGCTTCGTGCCTTGTCCGATCCCAGTGAGGACGTGATTACTATGTGACATGCGGCTACTTGCGCAGATCTGCAGCCGTGCCGATGAGCACCACTTCCGCCAGTTTCTCACCGACTTGTTGCATCTGTTTGCCACGGATCGCAAGCTTCTTGAGTCTTGGGGCAGCCTAATCATCCGCCAGCTGTGCGTGAAGCTGCAGATGGAGCGCGTGTTTTTCGTGCTGGCCGAAATTCTCGAGTCGTACGAAGACTTGGAGTTTGCCTCTATTATGGTTCAGAACCTCAACATGCTTTTGGCTGCGTCGCAGGAACTCAAGCCTCTCCGCCGCCGCATCCGCGCTCTCGACACGCGTGAGGACCAGCAGCTTTTTATTCGTCTGTACCGCTGCTGGAGCCACAATGCCATTTCCGCTCTCTGCCTGTGCCTCTTGACACAGTCGTACGAGCATGCCTACAATATCCTTCGCATCTTTGCTGATCTGGACGTCTCGCTGTCCATGCTCCTTCAGATCGACAAGCTTGTACAGCTCATCGAGTCGCCAATTTTCACGTCTCTACGTCTCCAGCTCCTGGAGCCTCAGCAGAACCCGTTTCTTTTCAAGTGCTTGTACGGCATGCTGATGCTTCTTCCACAGAGCTCAGCTTTCGCGACGCTCCGCAACCGCTTGCATGCCGTCAATGGCCTGGGCCAAGTTGCTTTGCCGCCTGATCCATCTTCCCGACCTTACTCTGCGTACTTGTCAAATGCAAGCCAAACATCGAGCGGTTCCGCTGGCGCGCATGCAAATGCGAACATGCCGTCTTCTTCCGCCACCACCTCATCGCCGTCTTCTTCTTCTTCTTCTCCTGCACCATCTTCTACACCAGCATCACGCTACTCACGCTCGTCCGCCACATCGTCGGCTGCAGCTACCACGCACAATATCCCATGGAAAGAGCTGCTCGCGCATTTTCGCTCTGTGCAAATGCGGCATGAGCGTTTGCGTCTAGCATCGTCGTCGTCAACATCGACAGCGGCTGGCGTACCGGGCGTACCGGGCATACCAGGCTCTATCGCCGTCCATACACCGACGGGCTTCCCTGGCTCTGGATCAGCTGTTTTCCCCGACGGCGGTAGCCATAGAACACGCGAGTTGTTCTCATCATCCACAAACTCGTCGCGAGAACCCAGTATCTCCGTGTCACATCGTGATGATGTCGTTCCCCGCCGCCGCCGAGGTGAGGGCGCAGCTCCGTTCTCATCGTCGTCAGCACTGCGCACATCTGCACTGGGGCTTGGCAGTGTCACACCAGCGAACGTAGGTACTCGGTTAGCGCGTGAGTGATCTCGGCGATCGTCTCGCCACCGGCTCCTCGGAGCTCGTGCTCGTTGTCGTAATGCGTAAAGGACTCGTCCAGCTCATCAATGATCTGTGTCCATGTGTTTCCTAGTCGTCTTCGGATGTGCGCTTGTGCATCGTCATCCTCCATCATGAGCCATGCCAGTACATAGTTCGCTCGTTCCAGTACATGCCAATAGCCTGAATCGATCTTGTCCGCATATATCGCTTCCTGCACGTCTTCTTGGCGTGCCCCTGGCATCGCCGCATACTCTCGGCGTAGCCGCTCAAATTCAGGCGCCATCGCGGCTAACGGGCGACGCGCCGACTCACGTAACGCAAGCACCTGGTCGATTTTCCCGTACTCTTGCTCCATCAGCTTGCTGAGCAGCCGCACACGTGCTTCTGACTCGCTCGGCAAGTTGTACAGCATGGCCTCCAAAATACCGAGAATGGCTGCCAAGCTCCCATTGTCCAGCGATCCCATTCCAGAGGCATCAGAGGCGCTCTGCTGAATGGGTCGCATAAGCAGTGCTCCTAGTGCTTTGAGCCCACCAGCATCGACAAGTCGCTCACAAGCCGATGCACCTCCGCCGTTCTGCGTGACGGCCCACAACAACGTAAGTGCGCCTGTGCGCACGCGCCGCTTTCTTTTCAGTAGAAGTAGCATGAGTTCAACGCCTTCGCATTCGAGAAACGTCGCCCGGTTCACCACGTCCAGGAGCAAGAAGCCCATGGCGTCCACGAGGTTTTGGAAGTACTCGATCTCGTCCGCATCGTGCAACGGTCGATGCAAATACTTGGACATCGCACGCAGGAGTGCATCGACGCCACCATGCTTTGCAAGAACTTGCCTCTGTTTTTCGTCGTCAACCAAGCACAGGACAAGCAATTCAGCGGCATACGCCTGGTTCTGATCGACGCGCCCGGGACGGAGGATCCGCTTCAGCAGCCATGGAAACAACACTTCGGTGTTAATATGTCTTGTCTTAAGACTCTCCAGAATACTGAGGATGTAGTAGACGGCCTTTGCATCACTTTCGTAGTGCTCCATCTGTCGAAGATCTGCATTTTCCTGACTGGGCGGTGCATCGTTCAAGCGTATCAAGTTCGACAATAGCAGATCTGTTACGTGATGTTCAGCGAGCGCAAGCATCATGGCCTCTCTAGCGTTTCTTGCCTGTGCATGCATCTCGTCGGTACTGCCTTCCAGACTCACGACATCGTCGTCTACCAGCTCGGCTATCACTTCCATCGCTGCAGCCGCAATATCCACGTTCTCATGCGTTAGGAGACCCACCAGACTGGTTGCCATTCCGTGCTTCACAAACGCTGGGTACATCACAGCCACGTTCGTCGTCAGCACGACGAGTTCGCGGATAGCTGCATCCAGATCCACTTCTGAATCAATAAACCTGTGTGGATTATCAGCATGTTTCAACCGCATCTCCTCATTCTTATTGATAGCTTTCTCCAGCTGAACAAAAAGTCGACGGGCATGGGCGGCGTCATCTTCGGCATGTTGTGTATCATCTGCCACATTGTGCTCCGTGTCGCGATGTAGAATGTCTAAAATCTGTTGCTGTTCCGCATTCAGCCCACCCCCAAAGAATCTACCTCCCTCTTCATCTTCATCATCTGGCACATCTTGTACATCTTCCGTTGCGTACTCGCCGTCGTCGTTGTCGTTGTCGTCGTCGTCGCCGCCGCCGCCCTCGCGTTCGATCTCAAGGTCCTCGTCAACCGTTGTGACGCGCGCTCGTTTGGCGTGTTGCGTCGCAGGCGCCTCATGTTTATCATGGTCTATATCCACCACACTTCCCTGTGCATTTGGACCTGGCGGTGGTGCCGTCCATTTGCGCTTATTGATGGCTGACGCCGGTACAGACGGTAGCTTGAACAATTTGCTCACATCCATCGCTCCACGCGTAGTAACGACAAAGGACGAGTTCGTCCATGTTGGCTAGTCCTGCTTTTGTTGATGTGGAGATACCGCCTCATGTCACTTGCATTTCGTCTCTCGAGCCAGCGCCAGTGGCGACGCGTCATAAAGAGCTTGTAGCAATCTATTTTTATTTTATTATTTTTTCGTTGTGAGAAGGTTGTGCTACGCATTTGGATCAGCTTGTTTCTTCCTGAGTTTTGTGACCTAAGCCAGTATTCCGAGCTTACTTGCTCCTTTACCATGGACGCTGCTCAAGGAGATATTTATACACCGTTCTATTACTGGGACAACATTGCGAATAAGTGGGAGTTTGACTACGAAGGCTTTTACAAGACACATGGATACCCCGAGTCATCCACAGCTGCACGCCAACGCGCTGAGCCAACAAGCGCTGAGCTGTATCAACAGCAGCTTCAATCATCAGTATATGACTATGTGCCAACAAGAACAGGGCGTAGCACACAAGTTAAGGTCGCAGGAAACCTTAAGAAGGGTGAGACGCGTGAGACTGTGATTCGCCGTGCGGCTGGAAAACTATGGGAAGACCGCTCACTTTTAGAGTGGGATCCATCTCATAAACGTCTATTTGTGGGTGATTTGGGCAACGATGTGCACGATGAACACCTTGTTCGGGCTTTCCAAAAGTACCCATCATTCTCTCGTGCGCGTGTTGTGCGGAATAAGAGCGATGGAAAGACCAAGGGCTATGGGTTTGTCGCGTTTGCTGACCCAGAAGACTTTCTCAAGGCGTGGAAAGAGATGGATGGCAAGTACATTGGCTCTCGGCCTTGCCGACTAAAGAAGGCCGAAGACAATATCAAACCCGTGGAAATCGGTGCACGGAAGGATAAGTTCCTCGCGGCCAACGCCAAATACAATGACTACCTGAACAAAGCGCGCAGAGGTGGCACCGTTGGTCGACACCTCCCACGTACGAATGGCCTCCCGAAGCCTTACTCGAAGAAGTAGAGCATGTACTGGGCAAGTGAAAGAAAAAAAAGTAGTACTGACAAATAAGATAGTTGAAATAACATGCATGTACGTATTGCCCTCAAAGCATAGTAGCATCATTGGAAAGCAGGCGTAAACCCACCAAACATTGACTAGCACCTGAAGCTACAGAGCAAGGCCATTACAAGGAAGAGAGAACAAGGAAAAAAAAATGCACAATTGCACTTTAGATCTTCTCCTCCTTAAGACCGTCCTTCCAGAACACAAAGTATGGCGTCACACCATCCTCGCGGTAGTTCAGGAGGGCCACCATACCATCGGGGTTCATCGACTCACCCGTGTAGAACTCCCAATCGTTGAATTTGCCGACAACCTTCTTCGCAAATTCAGCTGCCTTCTTCTCAAACTCTGGCACACGCTCAGGTTTGGTCTCCTGCAGGTTTTGCTTGATCGTCTTCATGTAGCCCTTCAGGTACGTCAAGTAGCTCTTCTTGTCGAACGACGTCGCCTGCAGACGGAACGAGTGCACCAAGTTAATCACTTGCTGCGCACCATTGTCCAGTGCCTCCTGCTGCTCCTCAGCCGATGGGTTTCCACCAATGTCCACATCACCGTCCTGTACAGTGATCATGGCACCGTCAACCTCGTACACAATGTCGTCAACATCGACGACGCGGAAGCCGTCCGACACCATCTCATCGCCACTGACCTTGTCCACGTAGAGCTAGACACGGTCAATACTCCATCGCTTTCACATACCTTCATTGCCTGCAAATTCCTGAAGAGGGTAAGGAGAAGGAGCGCGCAGCTGAAAACGATCTGTTTCTGCCGTAAGCATCCCTCAACCTGCGAGACCCTCGGCCGGGGACACTAGCGGACAGTTCAGCACCCCGCCTCTGGTCTCCCCATCCACCCCTCTGTGCAGCAAAAAGGAAAATAAAAAAATTTTTATAAAAACGAAAAGCACGTCAAATAGAGGAGCGCGCTTTCCACGCACGTGGTATGGCATTGGCTACGCGCCTGTCTTGAGGGCCCAGCCCAACAGCAGCTGCGCCCAACTAAGCCAAACTTTGCCTTCGGAAACCGACGAATCATTGCATGCGTTGGTTGAGGGACACATTCATCGTAACTCGTTGGGGCCGCTTTGCATTATGTCGTCTCAGGTTCTAAAGTGTCTCTCTGCCGCGCGTTCAGAAGCGCTGCGTGATGCTTTCGAACACTTCACACACACTGCGAGCGAATCGTTGCGCATCGTGTACTCGACGCAGCCAAACTGGCCGTTGCGCTGTCACGCATCCAAGCTGTCATCGTTAGCAAATACAACGACAGCATCACCATTGTTGCGCATTGCTGTCCTCGATTCCTCTTTCAACCCACCCACACGTGCTCATGCTGCTCTTGCATCTTTGCCACGCGAACAAGACATACCCTTTGACGCGCACCTTTTAATCTTTTCTGTGCGCAATGCCGACAAAGGCCGCGGCCGTGCTGGTGACGCCAGTCCCCTCGAGCGACTAGAAATGATGGAGCTCTTAGCGTACGAACTGGAGACACACATGTTCAACGTCGCCGTTGCACTTGCTGACGAGCCTTTGGTATTCTCAAAATCGTCTCTCGTGCATGCAAACGTCAAAATCGATGTGCCTTATCAGTTGTGCTGGCTTGTTGGTAGCGATACCATTACACGTGTTTTTCATCCACGCTATTATGACTCAGAAATGCATTTCGCTGCCTGCTGTCGCCGGTTTTTCGGCGACGAACACTCTGCCATGTTGTGTGCTGAACGTTCCTCTGCTTCTGTCCAAGGCAAGGCGGGTTTACCCAATGCTTCTTTATCGTCATCCGCTCCCGCTTCCTCGAAAGAAGCACAATCACTGCTTGAATGCCCTGGTCCTGCTCGTGATTGGTATGAGTGCGGTGCTATCTCATTGCGCTCTCTTAATCCAGAAGATGCAAGGCATAGCTCGACAGCAGTGCGTCAATTTTTGCGATCGGCGCATGAGAGTCACATGCCCCGCGACCAACTCGCTGCTCAGCTTGGTACGATGGTGCCCGTTGCTCTGGCCGAATATCTATTGTCCCGTCACTTGTATATATAATGATATATGTGTTTTTCTACATGTACAAGTAGCTTAAGCCAACATACTATGTTGGGCTTTGCGTCATTTACGCAGACAAGTCTGAAATTGTCAGTTTGCTCGCGTGTACGTACATTCGTTCCGTAGGGCAGCCTTTTTCGCTTCTAGCAGGAACGTCTCGATATCTTGCCGGCCAGGCACAACTGGCATTTCTAGCTCCTCTGGCAACAATGCATTCATGTATCGCGTCATGGTATATTCTTGAGCGTCACTCGTCGGGGTATCAGACATTGTTGCTTCATTCACAGGCTTTCCAGTCCCATGCTCTCCTTGTGATACGGCGTCAAGATGCAGCGCAACTGGCTCATCACGTGGAATTGGTGGATAAGACTCATTCGGTATTTCTAATGCAGCGAAGATGCGTGAACATCCCTTTTCCCAACCGCGCTGTTCACTTTGCATCTCTTGCTCGAGTAAGATGCCATCCTTCTCGTCGTCATTTCCAAAGTACACACCAGGTTGGTTCTGGAATCGTTTGTACTTTTGCACCTTGCTAGACTCCTTGCCTTCTTCCTGCAGCGTTACAGGATTCAAGTGTTCCTTCACACCAGGTAGATCTTTTGCACGACCATAGTACCGATAGCCGCGCATACCAGGGATCTCTTCTCCATGATCATCCAAGATTCGTGGCACGCCTGTGCGGTAATTCGCTCCACCCAATGCGGCAATCTGGCGTTCCCATTGCCCCTTCTCGCGAAACAAGTGATTAATTTCGTCATTCAAATCCCTCACTTCGTAGTCCGTAAGTCCAAAGTCTTGAATCCGGGCCACTTTGCGCGTAATTTCACGCATCACTTCACCACGCCATTTATCACAGTCACGTACACTGTTGACAGTGGTTATGACTTTGGGCCGGCGCTCATTCTTCCGCATCGGAAGACCAAGCTCCTGAGCCTGTGCCTGTCTAAAACGATATAGCATCGACTGCGCTTTTTCCTGATTGCGCGACATCCTTAGATAGTTCTGTTCGGCACCACCGCCAGCGGAGGTGGTGATCCAAACGCATTTCATGCATGAGGCTGGACTTGGCCACGCGACGGAGGCCTCCAGTGTATATCACGTGATATTTTATGTAGCTGCGGCATGCCCTGTCTGCCGAGAACAGGAAGTTTGTACTTACGCGCACGCTCTGATAATTCTTTTTTGCTTTACCGCCTCAACTTCAAAATGTCCAAGATCCAGGTGTCAGGTGTGCGATCGTCCGTCCGTGATGTGCTGAAGGGCGCTGAAGAAAAGAAGCGCAACTTCAACGAGACCGTCGAGCTGCAGATTGGTCTGAAGAACTACGACCCGCAGCGTGACAAGCGTTTCAGTGGTACAGTGAGGCTCCCACACGTGCCTCGCCCCCGCATGTCGCTCTGCATTCTGGCTGATGCTGCGGACGTTGACCGTGCGAAGTTGATCTCGCTTGACTTCATGACCGTTGATGACTTGAAGAAGCTCAACAAGAACAAGAAGCTTGTGAAGAAGCTCGCCAAGAAGTACGACGCTTTCCTGTCTTCGGACGCTCTGATCAAGCAGATTCCACGTCTTTTGGGTCCTGGTCTCTCGAAGGCAGGAAAGTTCCCCTCGCCTGTCTCGCACGCCGAGGACCTCGAAAAGAAGGTGACTGACGTGAAGTCGACCATCAAGTTCCAACTGAAGAAGGTTCTGTGTCTTGGTGTGGCTATCGGTCATGTCCAGATGACCGAGGACCAGCTCACGGCTAACATCATGCTTGCCGTGAACTTCCTTATCTCGCTGCTGAAGAAGAACTGGCAGAACGTCAAGTCGCTTCATATCAAGTCGACAATGGGTAAGGCTCAGCGCCTTTTCTAAGGGTTTTTTCTGCTCTCTTATTTATGTATTGTGTGCGCAGTACACAACTCTCCAAAAATGCTTGATTTTCCATGTATCCCGAATAAACCATGGCAGATCGCACGCTTGTACCCAGCTTGTCTATAGTAGTATTTGTGGCTTATAGATTGAGTGAGGGGAGCTCAGGATCATAATGGAAAACTCGATTTGACTTAGGACTGTCCTCGCCAAGGGTTGCTAATCGGAGCTTACCAAGATGTAGCTTAGATACATATTTAACCACTATATTAGGCCCATTCGTGCGATACACTCTCATACATGTTCAGTCAAGGCATTTTTTTGATTCTGCTGCTGATCCGACTATGCACGGAATGGGTAATAGAGCGCCAAAGAATCAAGACACCGAGGACATCAAGCACCAACCTTTATGCAAAGAAAGGTGCAGTCGTGCCCATAGATCAGCGAACCAATTTTGGATCTATATTTGTCATCGTCAAGACAATGTGTACACGTTTAGAAACGGCTGAACATCTTCGCACGCTCAGTGCTCTTGTTCTTAATCACCTTGAGCGTGTTGAAACGAACCGTCTTCGAGAGGGGACGGCACTGGCCTGTTTCACGTTAATAAGGAAACGTTCTTTGGCACAAACAAATACGTACCAGCCACAATAATGTCACCCACCTCAACACGGAAAGCTGGCGAGACGTGAACAGCCAAGTTCTTGTGGCGCCGCTCGTAACGGTTGTACTTGGAAACATAGTGAAGGTACTCCCGGCGAATGATAACAGTGCGGGTCATCTTTGTCGAGATAACCTTGCCGCTCAGGAGACGTCCACGGATCGAAACCAGACCAGTCCATGGGCACTTCTTGTCTATAATACCGCGTTAGTATCATTGCCAAAATTCAAGTTGCTTCAATATCACATACCAATGTAGGTGCCCGAGACAGCCGCGCTGGGCGTCTTGAAGCCCAAACCAACGTCCTTGTACCACCGCTTGGCACGAGTGCTCTTGCGAGCAACCTTCGAGTTCAAGAACAGGGGCTGCTTCTGGAAGGCCCTTTCCGTCTGCACACCAAGCTCCACGTTAGACATAGCGACGACTGTTGAGGCGTTTAGAAACGAACGACGTGGGTGTGAGTCTCCGTCGAAGTCAGCGAGCGCGCCGCTGCCCTCCAGAACTGTATTCCCACGTGACGAAACATGGTTCAATACACGTGACCAGCACCACCCCTCCATCACCGTGGCTTCATGACACTGCGTTCGTAAACGGCGTTTCTCTTCTCTAGCCAAGAGCTGGTACGTATGTGTGCATGCACGCTGCCTACGAGTGTGCTAACGTAGTTGTAGAGTCGGCACTGCAGTTAGCAGTTCTTTCGAGGAAGCACTTGTTTTTTTCTTTGTTTTTACACTTACACCATCATGTCTGACGTTGAGGAGACCCCTGTCGATGTCCAAGTCGAAGAGACTGAGGCCGCCCCTGCCCCTCAGGGTGGCTCGATGAGCATCGAGGACGCCCTCCAGCAGGTGCTCAAGAAGGCTCTCGTGCACGACGGTCTTGCTCGTGGTCTGCGTGAGGCCACCAAGGCTCTCGACCGCCGTCAAGCTCACCTTTGTGTGCTGTGCGAGACCTGCAATGAAGCTGAGTACGTTAAGCTCATTGAGGCCCTCTGCAACAAGCACGACATCAACCTTCTCAAGGTCTCGGATCCCAAGACCCTTGGTACATGGGCCGGTTTGTGCAAGATCGACCGTGAGGGTAACCCACGTAAGGTCGTTGGCAGCTCGTGTGTAGTTGTGCGTGACTACGGTGAGGACTCAGAGGGTCTGAATGTGCTTCTTGAGTACTTCAAGAGCCAGCGCGCTTAAAGTGTGTTGCGCATGGTACGTATGACGAGCTTGAGGGAATATAAGTACGAAAGCCTATGTGCGCGTGTTCAAAGTGGTCTATATCAACGTGTGACCTTGAATTATTCACAATTCTCGGTGCATGTGAATGATGCGGCTCTGATTCGTGATTTGAACTATCAACGCCGGGATTGTTGGGTCATTGTCAATCTATTTTGATTTCGTGGCATGCGCGTCAGAGTGGCCACAGTTATCTTTGTCACTAATTCGCCAATGGCGTTACATATTCCCTCTGGATTGTTTGTAACGTGAGACTAACGATTCACAGACGTATCCTTGGTGCCCATGTGCTTTTAAAATGTGACGCCGCGTATATGTACATATACGATATAGGACTTTAGTCACTTCTGCCATTCAACAAAAATGAAGCATCTCTGCCGAAGCGCGTCAGTATTTGTAGGTCAACTAGCGGTGCTGTTTGAAGGAGCTGATTCATCGGCGATGCCGCGGTGGAGAGCGTTCGCGTAAAGAGTGCATGCCGGATCTATGCGACGCAGCATTGAGAGCGCATTCCAGCCACACAGTACCTGTCACGTCCAAATCTTGAAGAGTCTGTGTTGCCGCTATATCAGTGTGACTGTGTTGACGCCGTCGATCTGGCTTGTGCTCGCCCAATCTAATGGCAGATCGAGCGTCTGAGTCAGACTTTTGTGACGATGGCTCAAGCAATACATGAACAGAGTTCGGAGATATGCGCGTGATACCATACACAGGGATATCCGCTTCGAATCTTTCTGTCTCCGTATCAAAATACACAACGCGAAAGGCATGTCTTGTCGTAGGACGAGATAGTGCTGGGTCCGCAAGGTACAGCAAGTTGGCTACTTCTCGCAGTGTTGTAGAGGGCCTGTTTTGTTAAGAAGAGGTCGGTAACTATAAACATACCATGCGTAAATTTGAATTTCACCAGGTATATGTCGACTCCAAGAAAATTCTGACAATGAACTAGTTTTGTAAGACAGCCGGTCATCTTGTATATCTTACCGGAAATCTGCTCGTGATACTACACATCGCAACAGAAACGGAGCGAGCTACTGTGTGTGGGTCATGTGTGCAACCAATAACTTACATCTTCCTCTGTCTCCGGCTCATGAGTTGCCATCGCCAATTATGGCTACGACAACAATTCAGAACGTACTTAAGTTGGATGGTGCGCTCGTCCACAAACCGCCTCCGGATGGCGAGTGTATCACGTGAGCTACCACTCGAATGAAACAAGACACATCGCGTGCCTGGGCTCCATAGGTCCTCATGGACTGCATTGCGGCATTTCATGCCCGAGAAAGTTGTTCGAAGAATAGTAAATAACATATAAGATGACCAGGGAATAGATTAGGTGCATCTTGACTATGCCTAATATCAAGCACATCAGCTGCGTCAAGCCTGGACGCCCGAATAGGTCTGGATGGAACAGGCCTACCTATGAAGTAGTATTCGGACGTGGAGGCTCGCTTGTTCACATCCCATAACAGGCTCATCACGAAGGTTGTGACATGACACAAGCATGGATGGACGGCACATGCCAGCCTTAGCGTACTAATTGCACAAGATTGCATTACTGCAAAAGGGGAGTGAAAAGGCATATAAAGATCTAGTTTGCGTGCGTTAAGACGCTGGTTTTGTTATCCCCCACGCATCGTTCAATCCACACTCTGTGCCTTCCTCAGGGAGGATAGTCGCATACAGCAACGCACTAGAAAACAACTTATTTGTGAGACGGCAGAAATTTAGCATGAGAAGATCCCAGGCTCTGAACTGTGGCGATGTTTTCAAAGTTGATACACAGGAATCTGGACTCGTCTCTATGACGTCGATTGCCCCGTCCTTACCGCCGAATCATCGGGATACTTGCTTCTCCAACAGCCTTTCTTCGGATGAAAAAAACATTTGGGATTTGTGTGATTCGTCATTTTTTGACAATGCTTGTCGTTTCGAAGCCAGAGACCCATGGGCTTCCGCAGGTGCTTCGAAAATCGCAGTCGGATCGCTGCCTAAAGCGTTCGACACGTCATGGCTCTCCGATCTCATGTCCCAAGTGAAGCTTCCATCAGCACCACCAAGTACTGATGGCGAAGTTGGGCACGAAAGTGATTCTTCTTCGCCCATTCCGCAAGCACTCTGGCAACAGCTCGCTTCGCCATTTCAATCGCCAAAGGCAACTACGTCGAAAATAAACCCAGCAAAGGATTGGTTCGCGCGGGACGCGGTCAATATAACTAAAGCTCCAACATTTAGTCCTTACAACTATAATGGCGATGCACTTGGCATTTATCCGCGTCATCCCGCGTCGACAGGTATACTGAAGTCATCTTATTCGCCGCACGTTCTGTCAAGTGTGATTGTGAGGGGATTGGAAGTTCACGTCACCGAGGAAGATCTGGTCCTTCACTTCACACGCCCACCGTCCTGGCCTGACGACCATCCTATGAAGCGCATGCATACTCATGTCCAGAGTATGGCCGGGTCTACGGGACAACTCCCAACCCAACCCGCGCCATTCAAAGTCTATTCTGCACGAATTATTCATGAGTCACCGCATAGAATAGGGCGCGTTTTTGGTTTTGTTCGCCTTATCAGCAAAGAGGAATGCGACCGTGCACTGGTCGAACTGCAACATACGCATCTGATACCTAAGAGGCCACCACATTTCCCTTTGCGTTTGTGCCTTGGTTTGGCTGCCGCTCCGCCAGCCACAGAATACCAACGACGTGGTAATGCAAAGGCACAGAAACGCTGGCATGAGAGCATGTTTGCATATTCAGAGAGGAACCGTGCTCGCTCCGCATCAACGATGTCGTCCCCATCAAAACGACCAACAGACGTCTTTGGTTCGCGCAATCCCGCCCGCTTGGCATCGACGCCTGCACCAATTCGATCTGAGTCTGCATCGTCTCCATCGTCGCGATCAACAACGGCATCTACTTCTATATCTGCATCTACATCAACGTCAATGTCTTCGTCCTCGATGACTAGCTCTACGCCGAACCAAGCATTTTCCTCTGAGGGCGTGCCCACTGTCCTCACATTTGTGTCTGAGTTCACAAAGGAGAGCGACTCGAAGGAGCAGCCACATTTGGCTTCTGCTCTTACTAAGGCACATGCATCGAGTGCATTGGACCCTACCAATACAACTGTGTTTGTTGGCAGTCTATTTTCACTGGCGACGGAAAATACCTTGCGCACGCTGTTCGCTCCCTACGGGCCCATCCAGTCGATCAACATTCCTCGCGGACAAGATTGCGGTTTTGTCCAGTTTGCAAGTAAACAGGACGCGGCTCGTGCTATTGCCGAAATGCAAGGTTTTCAGATCGTTGGTGGCGGTGCACTGCGCTTGAGTTGGGGTCGAAGTGTAGGTGAGAAAGCTGCGGCTCGTGCAGCTATACGTGCAGGCCTACGCTGGGTTGAAGATTCTACAATCGTGCCTTGATGCACGTGAATATGTCCGTGCGTATGAAATGCCATTGCCCATACTCCATGAGTTGGTGGGATTTTTTTCGACTTGAGCTTGGGACCATGCTCAAGACACCGCCAAATTTTTGGCAGGGATTTATAAGTCTAATATCTCCGTAGCTCCATTGCTAGCCACTCCACTCATGCCGTCACCACCAGTGTTGGTGGACGGATTGCTACTGGTATTCGTACATGGGTTCGTAACATGCGACAAATCTGTTGGCAACTGACAGCGTTAGATTTAAGGGTAGTGCGGAAACAACCTTTGAAGGATACCCGGATAGGCTTCGACACCTGATCCTCGAAACATATCCTAAACTAGATGTGCATGCCCTCATATACCCAACGTACGAAACCCGAGGCTCTCTTCGAGAAGCCGTCGATGCCCTAGTCGGATGGCTCACGGTCAAGGTAGCAGAATATGAATCTGAATTGCAGCGAAAGTATTCAGTTGCGCTGTGTGGTCACTCGATGGGCGGCATTGTGTGCTTGGACTCAGCGTTGGCGATTCGGCGAAGTGCACCGGGAGGTAAGATGCCATGGCCATCAGTTTGCGGCGTCCTTGCCTATGACACACCATTTCTTGGTTTGCATCCACATGTATTCAAGCACCAGCTCTCGACGTATCATGGCTACTTGGATTCTGCGATGAAAGTTGGATCTGTTCTGGCTCCAGTGACTGGCGGCTTGGCCACGATGTGGAACGCACGTACGACAAATACTACATCATCCAACTCGTTTAGTCGACTATCGACTGCATCATGGATTGGGATTGGTACTGCTGCAGCTGCCGCGATTGGCGCAGCAACAACTGCAGCCATTACTCGATCTGATCCTTTTCAAGACTCATACCGCTGGGTGTCTGAACATATCACGTTTGTGAAGCACTTGTGGGATGGTGAGGCGCTCTCATCGCGCATGTCGGACTGCGATGTGCCATTCCACTGTTTCTACACGACTCTGGCTGGCGAAGACGCGCGCCCCTTCATCTTACTGCCGCCATCGAAGGCTTCCTATGCGAAACACTTCTCTCCCCTCGAGTTACATGCGAAAGATGAAGTAACGGCGCATATCTCTATGTTTTCACTCACAACGAATTCTTCGTACTTGACTATGGGTCTAGAGTCTGCCTCTCACTTGACTGAATGGATCCCGCATATGGGTGCACAGTGCGGGAAGTCTGATAGCAGAGTCCACGTTTCAGAGAGGCTTGAAGAATGAATTTATACACATACATGGTTTGTATATAAAGAAGCACTCAGTCCACAAGTACGATTAAATCGTAATCGGCCAATCCATACCAAGCCAGATCACGCATTGGATCGTCAAGAGGAAGAACAATAGGCTCAGGCGATGCTGCCATCACAGCATACATATTGGCTGATTGACACGCACGCAACAGAGCTACGAGACGGCGGTGTACTAGCCGGCAAGGCGCTGTCTTCAAGAACGCCTCGATGGAGGCTTTCTCTTGCAAATGTACCAGATCTGATGATGTAGGTACAGAGGAAGAATGTATATAGTACAGTTGGATAAGCTTATCTTGCAATGACGACGTCATCTTCGCTGATGATACTGCTGGTGTCAACGAGCATGTTGGTGGATGACCATGTTTTTCCACCAGGGCATCATAACGCGGATCGTTGGGTTTGGGTCGAGATATGTAATAGCGCTCAGCGTCGATACGTTCTTCTTGAGTAATTGGTGTGTGATTGAAAGAGACAAGTTTCGCAAGACGGCTAACAGCCTGGATACGAGCTTGACGCTCATCGACATCAGAGGGGTGGAAGACTAGTGACCAAGTGGGAGAGTCAAGGCACGACTCCAGTACTTGCAGATCGTCGAAAGTAAGAGCGCTGCCTGTGAGGTGCACATCGCTCAGCACAGGAAATTTTTGTGAAGAAAAATTGATGTGTGTGATAGGATTATCTGTGAGAATCAACTTTTGGAGTCGTGGCAGAGGCGAAAGAGCCTTGACGATGTCCTCCCAGGAGCTAAGCCGATTGCCCTCTAAATTGAGTATCTGTACGAAGGGCAGGTATGCCGCTGTATCTGCAGTCGCGAGGGTATCGATTTCATTGTGGGCGAGCTCAAGTGAGGTCAGCTTTGGCATCACACTTCCTAGGACCAGTATCTGGGCCCAGTCCGTGGCTGTATCGCCCAAAGAGAGGTGCGTTAATTGTTCAAATGCCAACGACACCTGCGCTAGCTCTGGCTTTTGAAGACGAACATGCTGCAGCGTGAGACGATTCAGAGGAAGTGTGCGCGTTATACGCGCCACTTGATCCCAGGAAGAGAGAAGCGAGCGAGACATGTCGAGCTCTTGTAGTGCCGGGCAAAGCATCACGCCCTCATCAGCATGCCCGGGAAATGCATGCGAAACATAGACACACGATGCATCATGCATTGTACGTGTTGAAGGACCCACTAAACTTGCCGTACGTAGTGTGTCGAGGCATTGGGACGAGCCGTACTTTTCTTCCAGAGCCTCGACAAACGATGTGCCCCAACAGATGCTGGAAGCACTACTCTGTAAAAATGTACCATGTCCAGGACGGCTAGCATCGTTAGTTTTCTTGCTCTTTTCAACGTCCCGATGATACGGACCAAGTAAAATATCTCGTTCCATCTGGCGCAGTGCCATCGTGTTTGCCATGAAGGATATCATCCCAGGCAATGCCATAGAACGTGCCTTGATATGGTGGCAATGGCCCTATATACATGAGTGTGCCTGTGTATCCATACCGTGCGAGACGACTTCCCACTTTGGGGGACACCGATTTCATACAATAGGAGGAGGCGTGTCCGAGAAGGCCTTTTCAAGGGCTGGCGTGAAACGACTAAGGTATGGACGGCCATACAACGCGCATCTTAAGTGATGGAGTGGAGGTCGAGTCAGGCTCAAGAACTCAAGGACAGATGAAGAAGAAACAAACGCCTTTTTGCTTCTATTGATTGACAAGGTCGTGCTATGTATGCAAAGGAAGGGATGACTGGATAGGGCTAAACATTGCGTCATACATTACGAGACACGGACAACAGTGATGCCCGCATCCATGGAATCATCAAATGCACGCGGTGCGTCATCAATCGGAATGATCGACTGGATGCGTGGGCTGATAACGCCGCGCTGCGCAGCAGTCTTGATTGATTCCAGCGCCGAGCGGCAGTCAGCACTGGCATCGAGGCCGATCCATTCGTATCCAATGGCCTTGCGATCTTTGCGGAAGAAGGAGCGTCGCAGGCTGCGTAGGTGCGATCGGTAGGTTGGGCTTGGGACTGAGTGTTCATCGCCAAAGCACGTAACGAACTGACCCTGACTCGCAAGGATGCGGCGGCAAGCATCGTAGATTTGACGGCCGCCAATGGTGTCAATGACAAGACTGAAACTTGATTCATGCAGAACATTAATGGTCCAAAGTGGCTCACCCGACACGACTTCGGCGGCGCCATTCGCACGGCAAATCGACACACCCTCCGACGTGTGTGGCGGCACCTGAGCGACAATCACCAGACCGAGACGCGATGCCTCTTGCATCGCAAGAAGTCCAATGTTGTCATGTGCATTCAAGATGAGTACCCGCGAGCCCTTAGGCAGGAGCATACAGTGATTCTGCACGATCTGATGCACCATAACACCCGTCGCCGGCAGAGCCGCGACCTGTTCAGCGCTTAGGCGACTTTCTGGTGCTGTGGCGACGAGGTCTTTGTCGATAGTCATGAACTCGGCAAGCGCACCGCATTTGCGCAGGTCCTGCAGACCAAACACAAGATCGCCTGGCCGCAGCTTCTTGACGTCGATTCCGCAATCCAAGATGCGACCGCAGAAGCTGCGGCCAGGAACAAACGGCGACGATGTTGGCTCGCCTTGTAGACGCTCGTGCACGAGAGCACGATCAACGCCGTCGATGGCCACGGCAATGATCTGTACAATCACATTGGTCGAGGATACTTTGCGTGGGGGTGCCATGTGTGAGCTGAGGACGATGGTGCCTTTCCCACCGCCGCGGGCCGGGCCAAAGTCTGATCCGTGCCAGTCGCCACTACTTGGCCGCGCACGGCCGCCGCCAGCCGTGCTCCCTACATTTAGTGAGGACCGACGCGATAGAGTGCCGGTTGTACTGCCAGGCCCGCTGCTGTTGCCACCGCCACCGGCCAACACATCAACGGTCAGCATGGTCGTGCGGTTCTCAAACGCTTCGCCAGCGGGGCGTATCCGACCGGCAGACGTCATAGGCATGCTAGCGGAGCTTTCCGGCGGCGATTCGCCGCTATCGTCACCAGCAGGTAGGTTGTTCATGTTCAAGTATTGGTTCGTGGATGCGCCAAGCGGAGCTTTTTTCATCGCTGATGCCGTGACGGGGTTCATCGCCGCCGCCGAGGGGGGAGGCAGCATTGGTTGCTGCATCTGTGATGCAGGATACTCACCCCCCACGCGCATGCTATTAGTAGGCGAGCCCGCGAAATGACGTGCTTGTTGCTTCGTACTGCTCGACTCAGAGCCGGCATTCCTTGCGCCGCCTACTGATGGATCCGGCGACATGAACGCACGTTGTGACTCTGACCAGACGGTCACAGGAAACGACTGCATGCGTGCGTCTGAGCCGGGATCAGACAGTGGGCCAGGGTGGGGCTGTGTGAGCTCGAAGGAGGGATGCATGGGCACCTGTGGCATCATGGAGCCCATGGCTTCTCGGTCTGTGGGCGACATGAGCATTTCAGCACGAGGCGGCGCATGCAAAGGTTTGTTTTTCAGCGCACCCGATGGCACGATGGCGCCCGGTCGAAGTTGGGCTAGCTGGGGCGAGACAGGATGTGGCATCTGCACAGACGAGTCAGGTTTCGACGATTGGAACAATGTTGGCGCTGCTGCGGGAGGCATGGAACTTGGATGTTGAGCCCTCATATCCGATGATGACGGCATCCATGATGCGTAAGGCGTTGTGGATGGTAAACCCGCCGTCATGCGATCTGTAGCAGCAGTGCCCATAGGAGACGCGGCGGGAGGACTCATCGCAGGACGCTGAGCTGACATGGGTGTAGGGGATGCTCCTCGGTGAGCAGGCGCATAGCCCATGGAAGCTGGTGCTGGTGAGCCCAAGTGCAAGGGTGTTGCCGATGGTGGTGGCTGTTGGTAAGGAGAAAATGACTGCGGGTGTGCTTGAGGTGCCTGATATGCTGGCTGATGCTGAGGCATTGGATGCGACGGCTGCGCGTGCTGAGAAGGCAGAGGGCGAGCATACCCAGGGCTCGTCATGGATGAAACAGGGCTAGACACAGAGCGAGGCATGCCAGTGGGTACTGGTCGTGATGGTGGTTGCATGGGGGAATAAGCAGCTCCATAGGGCGCTGCACGTGCATGAGACCCAGGTGCGTGTGGTGTAGCGGCATAGTTGGGCTGCGTCGTGGGCAGACGTGGCGAAGATGGCTGTGACGACGGTGGGGGCCAAGCTTGCGAGGAATGCACGGGAAGCACTGGAGCACGTGGCACTGGCGATAAGTATGGAGAAGAAGTGGGCGGCACAGGTGCTAGTGGTACGAGAGGCAATCTTGGGGAATGGGGTTGGTGATGCTGCTGTGGGTAGTGCCGTTGCCATGGAGTTGGGCCATAAGGCGACATGAGACCTTGCGCTTGTGGTGGTGGGCCTTGGCGCGCGTGCATCGGGGCTTGCGATGCTGGAGACACTTGCTGAGGAAGATAGCCTGGCCGGGAATACGCAGGCGTAGCACTTGAACGACTGTACGACCAAGTCTGCTGCATCGGCAAGGGACTGCGAGCCTGGTGTGAGGGCTGAGTGCCATCGAGTCGGGAATACATTGGGCCGTGCGACGCAGGCGCAGGACTCTGTGACGACATGGGAGCAGGCTGCACATAAGGTAGCTCTTGCTGCTGTGAATATGTGTTGGGTTTCGGTGGTGGCAACGCAGAATTTTGAGAGCTTCCTAAGCCAGTTGTGGGGCCTTGGTCTGAGGCATAAGACTGCCATGGTGCCATGGACCGACTCGGCAGATGTGACGCCGGTGGATACCCTTGCATGGGAAATGCAGGGTATTGGGCGGAGAGGGAATCCAGTCGTTGCGGCGCCTGGGACTGGGATTGGGGTTGAGGTTGTCCATACGGCGTGGCTGATGGAGATACAGGCACGTAAGGCGTGTGCTGCGATGTAGGTTGCGGCACTTGCGGAACCTGTGTTTGAGGCAAAGACGGTGTGTACATGTGTTTCGGAGGCGTCGGTTGCATGCCTGCATAAGCAGATGCATATGGTGACTTGTTCGGACGTTGTATGCCGTTCTTTGATGGCGTCAGTGGTGGCACTGGCTCTGTGGCTCTCTCAGCTGTTGGTGTTGACACAGACGTAACCTCTTGCACAAGCTCAGGGCGGCGTTCGTACTCACGGCCTGGGTGATCGCTATCATGAGCCGAAGTCGCGAACGGCGCTGTGACACCAGCTGATGGGGCAGTGGAGGTGGACGCCGAGGCCCAGCTTGGCTTTGACTCTGCTGTGAGAGGAGCGGCAGTGGCAGATACGTGTGCATAAGGCTCACTCACAGACATCTGATCGTAATGCGGCACATTAGCCGAATGCGAAGCCCTCACCCTCTGCTGCTCAGACACGAACGGAGCAGGTGTCAAGTCTGACTTGTACGGAGACGATTGCAAGTATCCGAGGGGCTCGAGCTTGGGAAGACTGGGCGCAGGCGTCAGCTCCAACGAGAGCTCGTCTTCGCGTTCCGACGGGTGTGAAAGGCGGCTGTTGCGAACAGGTGTTGTGCTGGATGACGGGTGCTTGCTGGGCGAATATGGTAGCAAGGAGCGGCCCAACTCTGTCACATAGGGCGACGACGACTAGGAATCCTTGGCCGCTGGCGACACCAAGGAGTCTGAGCCGAACAAATGACCATCGATCGACATCGTATTCATAAGAGTGTCAGCCAGTAAGTCATCTGCGTCGTTGTCCGAGTTGAAGGGAAGTGTCATAGACTCACGGGCTGAATCAGACACATGTCGTGAGTGACCATACCCTGCCGACGCACTTGGTGCGGTCGTCTCTGATTCGCGCGCGACCGGCGAAAGTGAAAACGTACGTGTCTCGGTACTGCCACTGGGCGGAGCCATTGCCTGGTCCTTGGGTCGTGTCTGCTCCGACACAGTGCGCTTAGGCGTTTGGCCGGGCGTCGGCGCGTGCAACTGACCCTGTGCAATACGGATGCCGCCCATCATTTGCGGACGGGGACCACGGTTGCGGGGACGATCCAGCATGCGCCGCGCAGGATGATGCGTTTCAGCATCAGACGGTGTTTGGGGCATCGATGGCATTTCCACCGTCGTTTGCTCATCATTTGCACGCTCGGAACTAAGTGTGCGAGAGCCTGGCTCTGTCGAGGCTGAAGCAGGCTCGTTAGCCGTGCCATGCAATTCGCTCCGGTCCATGTGGCCCACGTCGCTGGAGCCAGTCATCCAAGGCGCATCATCGGGGTTGAAGTCCTCCATAATAGAGTCAGTCAGTGAGATTGCCGAGAGGCGATGGTCGTCCAAAGGCCGCAAGAGCGAATGGCCCATGTGGGTCGGTTCATTCCTAGACTTGTCTTGATTCTTGTCAGTGAAGGGCAAAGAAGCCGTTAAGAAACGACTCGGTAAAGTATCCATAGGCTTTTGTGCAGAATTTGACGACGTTGATGGCGCCGTCAAGGTACGCAGCAAAGGCGCCGGCTCCAAGCCAACTGGCTTGAGGCCAGGGCGCGATAATAAGTCACCGGTCTTGCCAAAGCCCGTGCGGTCATGAGCTAGGGGCAAAGACGTCGGCAGCGTCTTGGCAGGACCAAATGATGCGAGCTGCGCGTAAGACTGCATGCGCGTAGAGGGTGAAACATCAGATGTCGAGGCGGATAGAGGGGCAGACGTTTTCACAATGTTGGCCGATGGCCCTGACTCCACGGGTGCTGTGCTTGCCGCTGTTAGTGGTGCTCCCGGTGGCGACGGGAAAAGAGGCGCCTTAGCTTGCGGCGTTAGGGTCTCAATTGGAGCACTGTCTGTCGGCGAAGAAAATAGCGCTGAGGCATCCCAAGACAGACGAATCAGTTCGTCATTATTCATACTGCCACGTTCAATGCGCGGTGGTGGTGTCGACTGGTTTGTTGGACCATGATACTCAACACTCGACTCTGGCTGCGAGGGAATGGTCGGTGTTGTGGACGAGGTAGACACATTTTGCGCATTGTGAGAGACGGACGCCGGAGGGTAACGCAGGTCCTGCATGTTATAAGCGTGCCGGGAATCTGGATCGCCATATGGATAATGTGTGTCTGGACGAGGATCCGCGCTGAATTGCGCTATCTTCTCTCGTGGGGGCGTAGATGTGTACTTGAACGATGTATTCGACTCGTCTTCCTCCGTGACGGACATGAGCGGGCCTTTGTTCGGGATGGATGATGCACCTTGCCAAAGAAGCGGCAGCTCGGATGCATCCTGAGTAAGTGCGATGCCCATCTCAGATGCATCTTGTATGGATTCATCCTTTGTCATGGGTACCCACAAGTACGACTGAGATGTGTTGGCGCCTGTCGGTGTGACAGAGCGGCGACTTGTGTCACGCGCATCGCGAGATTGGCGTTGGTCGTACAAGCGAGAATACGACACGTTCCGGTTCGACGGTGGCGAAGTCGCTGATCTTGGCTTGGATGACAATTTCCGTGCATGCTCGGGCAAAACAAGTGAAGGTGACTCCTGACCCAGACGCGAACTTGGTCGCTGTAGGGATTGCAAGGCTGAGGATGCGCGGTTGCTATGGCGGTCACGGTCACGGCGACGCGTACTTGCATAGTCGCCTACCTCGCTGGATGACTCGCGAGACGCAAGCTCCCGTCGCCATTGCTCGCTAAAGTGCCCCCCCGGTTCAGACGTCGCATCGGAGGCACGCGTCTTTTCCATCAGTTGGCGATTCTCCCACCAACGCGAGAACGGATTTACCGTGTTCATGTCGGGGACCAGCGCGTGCGCATCAGGTAGAGAATCGTCGCGTGAGTGCTCGCGATTTATACTGCGCGTGGATCGGAGCGGCCGCGCGTCACCTGACGCACTTTGTGATAAACCTCGTTTAGACGGGCTTGCAATAAGGTTGCGACGAATCGGCTGGGTCGGCAGGTCCGACGGCGCGTCCACAGATGATGCTGAAGAACGCCATGCTTCTGCACTCCGATCTCCGCCTGAGTACGTACTCATATTGGGTGCATATGTCTGCGATGGACGACCTAGGATAGAATCCAAAAAGGTCGTCTTGGACATCCGAGCAGACAAGAGGCGTTGCGAGACAGGAGAGTGTGTGTGAGAATGAGAAAGGAGTTGTGTGTGGGTACTTGTATGTGTCTTTGTGGTGACGAGCAGAACTAGCCTAGGTAGCTCGCTCGTCCAAATCGATCGAACGCGGGTTGGTCTACAACTGCCTAAGCAAGGAAAAACGAAAAATCTCCAAGGTGCAGCAGCACACGTCTCTGCCAGGTTTTCCCATCGCCCGATGACGCGTAATTTTCTTCGATTTGGCGGGCTCGCGGCATTGGCACGCGTGGACGTTCAGCCCGCATATGCCACGACACATGCCTCGTGACTTTCGATTTCTAGGCTTGCATTACGTCAGCGGGGCTGTCCTGACCACTCCACATCCCCTCTCGGTGAACGGGAACAATCCTTAATCCTCCCAGCCCTCGTTGAGTGTGGCTACACGCCTATATCAATCGGACTCGGTTTGGTCCTGTGCCATGTAGCCCTGTGTAGGTTTGTGCGTGCATTTGCGTTCTGCGCTGCTACGAGAAACATTGGACACACCTGAAGTGCATCAGCATGACAGCTTGATCACACGTTGAGAAAGCAAAAAAAAAAAAGTATGTATCTACATAGACTTGAGCGTGCGTTGCTTCTCAGCTGAAGCGACGATGCGCTTGTCCGTCTTGAGACCTTTGCGTTTGCGCACCATATCCATGTATCGCTTGGCAATGTTCTCACGGTCGCCCTTCTCGCCGAGATCTTCCAGCTCTTCTTCCGTGCGTGGCACCCATAGGGGGTCTTCGTCAAATAGCTGGAATCCAGCAAAGAACAGCTGCGGGTTTGCCGCACCGGACGTGCGCTTGCGGATCTCTTCTGCAAATCCGAACGATTCCACGACGGGAAGGAGCGCGCCAATCGTGAAGAACAACGTGCCTTCTTTGATTTCTTCCGACACAATTCGACCGCGCCGCCGCGAGAGCACCGCGTGCACTTTACCCTGTACCTCAGGAGCCGCCTGAATATCGCACGAGTACATAGCAAGCAACAGACGCGGTGACCAATCCAGCATGCCTTGACGACACGACTCTCGCACACTTGAAATCACCATAGAGGCCATCTGCGACGACTTCGCACGCGCATCTCCGAGGGCATCCTGATCAACCCGCACGTTCTGCACAAAAAACGCCACACCCTGCATCGATTCTGCACACAGTGGACCAGCTCCAGACGCAAGTTGGAATCCTGCTTCTATCGCATCGCACCATTCACGCTCGAGTCTTGGTGTGCTGTCCTCGGCGCCTGTACTGCTCAAAGATATGTGTTGCATCCCGGCGGCAAGCTGACTCTTGCTGTCCTGCGCCTGAATACGCTGCATGAGCGAGCGCCGCAGAATCTGTTGCGGGTCCAGCAGCAAATTTGGACCTACGTGTTTGGGCCCAAACGCACATATCTGTGCTGCTAGACCAGCCCACTCAGTGCCAGCTCGTTGCAGCACTTTCGCCAGCTCGTCCCAGAACAACCGAACCGAGACACGACGAACAAGGTCAGCATCCTCGTCGTGTTCGATGTGATCAACACTCTCCGACTGAGCTTGGGCATTCCGCATCCCATTCGCGTTAGGATCTTGGCCATCGTCATCATCATCATCGTCATCGTCATGATCTCCACTGCCACCAGTCTGATCATCATGCCGTCGCGAACGACGAAGCATCCGGCGTATGGTCGGTACATTCATAACCAAAAAGTCAGTGAGCAACGAGGGCATTGGCACTGCACGGATGGTAAAAACAACGGCACCTTGCAAAGCCGTGCCCTCGATCGTGCCCCGTGAGGGCACCCGGCGTTTTGGGTGGTGGCAAATTGGCGGCTTTCACACACGTCTCACGGAACGGCACAAGTGGCGGCGACGACTGGATAGCACAGCGAGCGAACCGCTCTCGAAGGTCCCGAAGACAACGTTCCAAGTGCAATTCGCCGGCCGTCAAGATCACATGCTCGCCATTTTCCTGAAAAAGGACTTCCACACACGGATCGGCCTGGTTCAACAGCTTCAGCCCCTCAGCAAGACGTGGCATGTCCGCGGCACTTCGAGGCTCGAGAGCAACGCGCACGATAGGCGTAGCATGACGTTTCATGCCCGCCAAATTCACCACCTCACGCAGCTGAGCACCGTGTGGCGCTCGCATCAGGGTACCGTTCCGGAGAACCACGCCGTCCAAGCCACGAATCGCGAAAACATTACCAGCTGGCACTCGCTGCACGGCAATCAGATCACGGCCCATCATCATGTACAGCGCTTGAATCTTGCATTCACGGATATAGGGCTGATTAACTGCGTCACTGGGCGCGCGTGAGGGGTCGTACTTGGGTAGTATGGCCGAGACTGTCTCGCCCACACTTACACTGCCACTGTACAAACGAGCGAATCCAAGAATAACTTCCTCTGATCCATCCTCTTTCTCCCTCGGCGTCTCGTCGGCATCCTCATGGGTATTAGGCGCAGAGGCGGCTGCCTCAGCTCCTGTCGATGCCATGGCTTCTCGCTGAAGCCGTCCGCGCTCACGCATTTCGTCGGCCGTCAGCTGGACACGCTTGCACTCAGGCATATCTTCTTTGGGCACGGCGAACATCTTGCTCACATACGCCACCGTGACAGCCTCAGGCCCAGAGCGCGATCCAAACAGATCACGCTCGAGATCGTTCGTCGGCGCAAGCTCCGAATCTGAGGCGAAAAAGCCAAGCTCGGGACGAATCATACGCGGAACTCGCTGCATTTGCGCCTCCGCGGGCGATGGCAAGCACCGCACGATGGCATTAAAAGTGCATGCTGACAAAGGTAGCCATTGGCTCATAATAGCCTGCATGAGCATCGCAGGTTCCTTGGCGCGCATGTCGCGTGGATGGATAGAAAGCTGTAACGTCGCGATGATCTTGTCAATCATGTCTTGGTCTCGCTCCATCACCGTGTGTTCGTATACGCTCCATATATTATCCAAAACAAACTGCACGAACATGGGCTTCATGACGCGCTTTTCACGATCGTGCTGCTTTTGCGACAAGACACGCTTCGTCTTCGGATCCAGATAATAATGACCCCAAAGAAACTGGCGAATCTTGTCTTCTTTGATCCCAAGCTTTTGTGCATACATATGAGAAAAGCGCTCAAGGCGGAATGCCCAATGGTCGACGGCGCTTGCAAAAATCACGTTGCCCCGCGCAGGATCGAAATACAGGTCGGCATCTTCATACTCTCCGTGTTCAGGCAAGTCTGTTTCATCGGCAGTGTGATCCTGCGGCAGGTCGCCGTGGTGCAGTTGTTCCTTCTCCTCACGCAGGCGCTCGCGCTCCTCGTACCAGCGCTGGTCCTGCTCCATGCGTTCTGCCGCATAGAATCCACCTATGACAGCATTTACTTGCTCCAGTAACTGTAGCAAACGATGGTGCGCTTCTGTGGGTGTCAGTTTCAATTCAGTTATGAGGCGGTCCATTTTGTTCACCACAAGCACTGTGCGAAGACCATCGAGCCATGCCTGTCGTAATACATTTACCGTCTGCGCACAAACACCCTCGACCACATCTACGATGACTAGAGCCCCGTCACACAGCCGCGCAGCCGTAGACACTTCAGACGAAAAGTCTACATGACCAGGGGTATCGATGAGATTCAGTGTATAGTCTTGGATGGCGTCTACAGATCCATCTTTCTGGATCGTGCGGAGCTTAAATGTGAGCGACACCGCGCTTGATTTCATGGTGATTCCCCGCTCCTGCTCGTCCTCACGGCTGTCCATGTACCGGACCTGCCCAGCTGAGCGAGACGAAATAATGCCGTTTGTGGCCAGGAGAGAGTCCGCGAAAGAAGACTTTCCGTGATCCACATGCCCTACGAGTGTACAGCACCGGATATTCTCTGACGAAAATGCTTTGACGGGCGGCATCACACCCTGTCTTCTGTCTTGACACAATGAACGTGTGAGACTGAATGGCGAGTGTGGCAACAGATGTGTATGTACGTGCGAGCTTACAAAAAACATACTGCTTCTGCACCCCCCTAGCAATGGCCAAAGGTGGAGGGATGCACAAATGCTTAGTCAGCGTGATCGCACCTTCACTCTCATAGATTTACTCGCAACAAGTCGTGGTCGCTCCAAGCTGTGACAACGCTTCGTAAGCGCCTCGAGCAAGCGATTGAGCGAGCAAGGCCATGGCGGACAAGCGAAAAGAGCATCCACTTCAGAGCGATGGGACGCTTGTGAAGCGGGTGAGACAGGGAGGAGAGGACGCTGCGAGTCGAGCACTAGTGTCTCGCACCGACAGGACAAGTAGTTTAGCGGCCGCCGTGATGGCGCTGACTGAGGCGCATTCAGTATGTATCTGACGCTAGAGGCGAAAGAGAAAGCATCCAATCTTACAATAGGCTGAAATTCTTGATGTGCGATTTTCTCCAGATGGCGAGCAAATTGCAGCGGCCTCGGCGGATCACACTGTTTGTACGTACATGGTGAGCTTGCGCTCATTCAGCAGCGATCTGGGAAACGTTTGGCGAGCATCGAAATGTCGGCCAACTTGCTGGACACAAGAATGCAGTGACGTGTATATCGTGGCTAAACCCTCATACGCGGCTACTTGTTTCTGGTTCTGCCGATGGCACACTGATCATGTGGAATACGCTCACGGGTGAACGTTATCGAAGATTACGTGGGCACCGCGGTATCATCAATGATATTGCGTGCACACGTGCTGGAAACGGGTGCTTTGCATCGGCATCGGATGACGGTCGCGTCCTGTTTTGGGATGCAGAGTCCCGATACCCGGTGGATTCACTCGAATTTGGATACCCCATTACATGTATCGAGTTCTCCAACGACGCCTCACTGCTGTTTGTGGGTGGCGTCGATAATGCCATTCACGCTATGGATTTAGCGACGAAAAATCGGCAGTACTCGCTTCTGGGCCATAAAGATACTGTGGCTTCGCTTGCGCTTTCTCACGCTGGCACACGGCTCGTGTCGTCAGGTTTAGACGACTCTGTGCGTGTGTGGGATGTGCAGCCATTTGCGGCCGCAGCTCCTGCTCAGCAGCCTGGCGCCCCGCAGAAAAGTGCTCGCTTGATCCGGACTTTGGATGGTATGGCGAGCGGGTTCGAGAGCTTGTTGATCAAGGCTCGTTGGAGCCCGGATGACGAGTTTGTCGCATGTGGAAGTGCAGATCACACGTCGAACGTATGGAAGTATGTTAACAAACACCCTAGTGGTTGTATTTTTCAGGCTGACTGTGTGAAGCGTTGATAAGGGAACGTTGAATCTCAAGCTACCTGGGCATCATGGCACTTGCACAGCCGTGAACTTCCACCCTCGTGAGCCGATACGTACGTATATGCTGCGCATTGCCCACTGTTTTCTTGCCCTCCCAAAAAAAAAGAAAATGTCGCAGGAACTGACCCATATAGTTGTGTCGTCTTCGACTGATCGAACTCTCCTGTTAGGGGAATTTGATTTGGACGTGTAGTTACCCTCGATGTAAGATTCGCCATACGTAGTTTCGCCCCGGACATGTAGGAAATACAAAAATGAGGCCCTTTTTTTGCGTCGACCGCAAGTAGATCTGATGATTTCTGGAGGGGCGAGCATATTTCTAGGACCTTTTTGATGATTGACAGAAATTGAATCAACGGGTGGCAATTCCAGTGCCATCCAACAAACGTGTGTCTCCACATCGTTGGTTCGCAAGCTTCATCGGACTGCAACGTGCCGACATGTCGTCATCGGCTACCGAGGCAGACTCGTCACCAGGAGTCCCTGAGCGGTCTTCGAGAAACGAGGGTCACATAAGAGAGAAGAACAAGCAGCGGATCCAGTGGTTCCTTCATTTTGAGCATATAGAAGTGTTGCGCACCTCCCACAACTTGGGCGTGCGATTCAACTGTTCGGTACGCGGTATACAAAGCTAACTCAATCCACAGACAAACATCCCGAGCTTTGAGCGTTCATCATACAAGGGAGTCGAGCGGTCGTATTCAGAGCTGGCGAAATACTTTCTCGTACTGTCGCTTGTGGGACCACATGTCATTGTGCCAGCCCTTCCTTTGCCGACGACATGGATGCTTCACATGCCGCATGTTGAACATCCACAGGAAGATATGTACGAGCTGCACGAATTACGTATACTGCTACAAAGATGGTTTTCGCGGATATCGGAAGAGTCGGCGCTCCGTATGCACCGCGAGACGATGCGATTCATCGAGGCAGACTACAGCTACGAGCCGCTACCGCCGGACGAACTAGCCCCATCGGGTCTCGTTAAGCAGTACAGAAAAATGGATTCACAGATTAAGTCACTCCAACACGTATTGGATGGCTCGCTGTTCTCACAGGACGAAGATGCGTCCACGCGAACACGCCGTTCGTGGCTTTTTCGACGTCCTGCAATTCCAGCGCATCGGGAATCCCCTGCAGCACTTGTTCCAACTATGCTCGCCGGCCCCTCTTCGATGACTGTGCTCGATCCAGACAAACGTCTTTCGATGGCTCGTGGCGAGGTGACGCGGCTCGAAAAGCAGCTGGGCGACGTTGTATCGGCGTGCACGAGCGTAGCCAAAGCCCGGCAGGACGTTGATCGAGCTATGGAGCATGTGGCGCGCAAGCTGCCTGCGTTGGCCATGCTTGAAGAGACGCGCCCCGCTTCGATGCAGGGTCGTCTCCCGCACACACTAAAGAGCGCACACTCCATGATGAATCATGTGGCCCAACTATCAGATCAAATGGTACGTTATACCCCGACAACGCGAACTCTCGTGAATGGGTAGAGCACATTGACTAACGAAAGATGCGTGCTGACCAAGTGACACTTGGCGATGCACTGGAGTATGAGGAGCTCAATTTGCGCATCGCTCGCCAGACACTGCAAGAGCGCATGGCCATCGTTGTTGAGCGCACTCTCGCAAAGCGAGTCGTTTCTAACAAGCAACACGATGCTGAGCATTACAAGTTCGCGCGCCATCAGCGGCCAGACCGGCTTGAATCTGCCAAAGAAGAAGTACAAGAAGCTCAGCAGCACATGGAACTTCTTGAGCGGTACCTTTCTCAAGTCAGCGAGTCACTGAACGAGAGTCTGCAGCGACACAGCATTCACACGCATCATGATCTACAATGCACGATGCAGCTGCATGCGCGCACGAGTCGTTCGTTAGAGAAGCGCATCGCCGACATGCTCGCACTCTTTGACTCCGAATGCAGTGCAACAGCAGCGGAAGCACAACGTATTGCATTGCAAGCTGCCAATGCGCCACGCAAAATCACAGCTGCTCAAGCTGCGGCCGCGCGTATAACAGGCCATGCCATTGATGAACCGGCAGATACTGACCGTCGCACTGCCATTGTGACACCTGTAGAAGAAGGGCCTCCAGTTGGATCCATGGCTTCTTCTTTCGAGAATTCTGCTACCACGACAGAATCCACCATGGCAGCTGGTGCTACGGACCAACCGAGAACAGATGACATGGTTGCTCCAGACTTAGCTGGCACTCCCAATGTGTGGATTTCTTCGTCACCTTCCTTAGAAGATCGACTTACATGTATTCGAGAGCCAGAGCCGGATTCAGAGCCAGAGACAAAGCCAGAGCCAGAACCAACAGTTGCACCAGACTCCTTCTTCCCTTCCATGTTGTCTCGGCGTGGCCGTGAGAATGGGCCGTGGACTCGACTTTCTGCATCAGAAGCAGCCAAGTCCCTGGGCGGTGCGTGGTAAATGTGCTTTTCCCTTATTTCCTTCTCCTATAACCCCAATCATAGGCCTGTATGTTCAAGTGCCAACCCAACATTGCCTCTTGTCACCCCATACGTGCGCTTTGGCCAGGAGCACGAGCCAAGGAAATGGCCGTGCGCACGCAGGCGTTCTCTCGGCCGATTCCTACGTGTCACGGTCTAGATCTCGCGCATGGTGTTGAAAGCCCATGCACATCAGCATACACTCCCTCTTTACGTCACCAGCTTCGACAGAGACCTTGCCAGAACAAACATGTGGCAAGGCGCATTCGAGCAGCTGGGTCAAGCACTTGCCTTGCCGACGGACTATGCCAAGGTAAGGTTGGCGTGTGCTAAGGATCAAATGGCTTACACGTAGCTTGCGACATGTTTGACTCTGTCGTATTTCATGAGTCCAATTCTTCCCATGCTGCCCAGTGCATGGATGCGGCATACGATGAACATTGGTGTTTCTGCATTCTTCCTGCTGGGTATTTTACAACTGTATAAGGGAGTCTTGCACCTTGTTGGTGCGTGTCTCTGTGTGTACGGTATAGCATACTTCCGCGTTGGTGGTCGCAAATACATGCCATGGATTGCATTCATCTCTTGCATGCTACATATGCTGTACACGTACGTAGAGGAAACAGTACATGTTCCACTTCTGACCCAACAGACATTGTGTTCGTGAGCTCAATGGTGTACCGGTCACCAAGGTGGAGATTTCGTCCATGCACATGGTTCTTGTGATGAACCTGACATCGTTTGCATGGAGTTGCTACGACGGACAGTTGCGCACAGAAGCTGAGTGCGATAAGGAACAACGGTATGAGCGCATTACGAAGATGCCTTCGTTCCTGGAGTTCTTTGGGTACTGTTTCTACTTCCCAGGCGTGCTGGTCGGCCCATCGACGCGTTTCCATGAATACCAGCTGTGGGCTTCGGGCAAGCTATATGGCCCTCGTATGGTCCCGCCGCCAGGCCGCATCGTCGAGTCACTGCGTGAGACGTTCACAGCTGTGCTGGCACTTGTTCTTATGATCTGGGGCTCCGGGACATACAGCTACATGCGTCTTACAGATTACTCAGATGCCGTGCACACATGGCCGCTATGGAAGCGGTGGGTCTTTATTCAAGTATGTGGTCTTGTGGCACGTTTCCAGTACTATGGCGTTTGGTCGCTCTCCAATGCTGGATGTATCCTGTCTGGCTTGGCATACAATGGCATCGACCCCGTCACCAGCAAGACCAAGTGGACACGGTGCAAGAACGTGTACGTGGCCAAACTGGAGTTCGCCCACAACTGGAAGGAGTTGCTGGATGCGTGGAATTCGAACACCAATATCTGGCTCCGCGAATGTGTGTATAAGCGCCTCGCAGGCAACAGCAAGCCCAAGTTCGGCAGCTTCATGGGCACATTCCTCGCCAGTGCTGCATGGCATGGCATTGCTCCTGGCTATTACATTGCTTTCGTGACAGCAGCATTGTGTCAATGGGTTGCAAGGTCGTTGCGCAAGTATGTTCGCCCCATCTTCTACGCTGATCCGCGCCGCCCAGATCCCACGTGGTTCACTATGGGCCAGTACACGTTAGCACAGAATGTCTATGCCACTTTGTCGAATTTTGTGACGATCACATCGGTCAATTACGCTGTGATTTCCTTTTTTACGCTCTCGCTACGAAACTCACTTGGCGCATATCGTGCGGTGTATTGGCATTACCATATATTGGTTCTCTTCGGAATCGCTGCGTTCCGACTAGGTTTGGGAAAGCCGCTTCGTGCTTGGCACGTGGCTCCAACGCCCCCAATGAAGAAGGCGCAGTAACGTGCGTAGCATCACCTAGTGGGCGATAGAGGCGCCGCATGCAAATCATCAGTCCAATGCAAATCAGTGCGTAGAGCGAAATGTTCATAAAGCCCTCGAGTATGTTCATGCTCGCCTCGTCAAAACGTGGATGGCCAACGTAGGTGTGAAATACAAGCGACTTGCATGGTGGCGAAAGTTGCATGTGTTGGCCCTCACACGTATGAAATGCAAGGCCGCCTCGTGCATCCAAATGCCGCAGCCCAATCCAGTCCTCTTTATACAGCCGGCTTGTCCGCAACGGTATTGTCATATTTACCGCATCGTCGCGGCGGTGCTCTGGGTCCTCGTACGCCGAAAACCATGCTGACTCTGACGGCACCACTGTCTCTTCTTCGCTGAACCGAACCATGACAAACTTTTCGAGCTGTTTTATGTTTGTCTTGTATAGCTCCTGTTTGCTTGGTCCTTCATTATTGATGTCATACAGGAACCGGTTCCTTTGTTCGTACTGCTGGTACTGGGACGCCAGCCGCGTGTCGCGGAAGTATTGGGCTACCACAAGACGCGTTTGTGCAAAATCCGAGTACATCCTGCCCTCGAAGCTTCGCATGACCAGATTGCACAACCGATCTCCTTCTGCACAACCTGGCAGCTGAGTGATGCCCATGTGCTGCGCACCAAACGTGACAAGGTTGCGCACACGCGGCGTGTTGAAGCGTTCCACGTATCCGCGGAGAAATTGGCCACCTTGCGAGAAGCCTATCGCATCAAAACCTGCCTGAAGTTCAGGCACCTTCGCTAGCTGGCGCTGAACTTGCTCAATTTGGTCATTCACGTTCCCCATGAACGTCGCTGATTTATCGCCAGACGGTGTCGAATCCAGTGAAATCAGATGGACATAGATACCTGGATACATGTCTTCAAGATCTTCTTTCAGCTTTATGAGCCATTCTGAGTATGCTGAGTCGCCCAAGCCATGCCAAATCACCATAGGAAGGGGCGCTCGGTATTGCTGAGGTAGTCGCAGGGGCCACCGACATACTTGGAGGTGCAAGCCCATGTTCTTAAAAATGCCGGTCTTCGATTCAAACAAGCAAACAACGAAGAGACCACATACTATACATGAAGCTTGGAAAAGAGTGCGTCCCAAATGCATGGGCAGGTTCGGTCAGCCAACGCTGATGAGGAAAGTCGGTGACAAATGGCTCATAGACGGAGGGCAGGGCCCAACGAGTCAAACTGAATTTAGTGGAGTGTTCTCCACACTATATGGATAGTTGTCATGAGGTGAGATGGAGAATGAAAGTGAAATCTGGCGTGGAAACTATCTGATACAAATGTGCTGGTCATTCGCAATACGCGTGCTGAAACTGTCCTACACGCTCTGGTATGGCACCTGCCCATCGTTAGCTGACAATGAAAAGAAGATAAAAAATATCCCTTTTGATACATACACATGCGGTCCTTTCGACCTCAGCCCGACAAAAGTGCTGGTATGTCCACACAGAGGGTGTATAGTACTTGAGTGCGCTCCAGCTAAAGATGGGGCTGACGTACTTTTTGTACGTAGCGTCGAAATCGGCTAGATGATCATTAGATTCTGAAAACAAAGGGTATCGCATCAACCTGTGACATGATACATCACGCCACGGGCATTGCATACGTACCTGTCATTTCATCGCGCAGCTTGTGCAGATCAGCTGTATAGTCTGTGAGGATAGCCTTAACGCCCCACTTAGTTGCTTGAATCATTTCGTCTTTGCGGTTCACAGTCCAGACCATCACATCCTTATTAGCTGCACGTGCTTCCCGAAGGAACCTTTGGCCTTCTGAACCGACGAGAGCTGCGAAACAAATCGAGAAGGCATCGCAGTCATTCCAGAAGAAGCGTCGCGCATCCGCCGGCGAGGCACCAATGTATGCGCGGCGTAGCGAAGGCACGTACTTTTTCGCTGGAGCAATAAACTTCGGGTGCCAAAGACCAAGAATGAGACGGGGTGCGAGCTCTTTCTCGTGCTCAGGGAACTTTCGTACCGTCTCACCCATGATGCGGAACAGGCGTTCGGCATCATTGTTTGGCTTGATGTCCACATTGAGTTTGACATGCCGATTCTCAGGCTTCATCAGCAGTGTACACAGTTCCTCGAACCTCGGGATTTGCTGTACAGGTTTCTCCAACGTGCGCACATGCTCCAGTCCATTCTCGCCAAAATACTTATGCTCAGAAATGAGGCCGTGGCCGTTGGTCGTACGGTCGAGCGTCATGTCATGAAACATTACAATGACGTCGTCCGCCGTGATATGTACATCTGGTCGTGTAAGTGGACGGCCTTGTTCTCATACACGCACGTACCACTCTCGATGCCTTCAGATCCGTCCTTGATGGCTTGTGCGAATGAGCGGAGAGTATTCTCAGGAAACTCAGCTGATGCCTGTCGATTTCACGCGAGAGTACGAGCGCCTGTCAGCCCCGATGTTCCTCGTATTTCAGTATACATACACCACGATGGCCCCTTGATAGTTAGTACCAGCACATATGCATAAGCGCCTTCCTCCCATTCTCTCCCACACACACACTCTCGATTGCCCCCCTTTATACATACCAGCACTCGGGCATTGGATACTTGACGGACGACATAGATGATCTAGCTTTGTAGCGGGAGGGTGGTGAGACGCTCGTGCAGCTATATGGACGACTGTATCGCCCCACAGGCCTCGTCGTTGGGTCCCGTCCATGGGTCTGTGCGCGCATATCGCACGAATGGATGCATGTATTATACATATGATGCGGCGCACGGACAGACCACGTGCGCACGTGGTTAGCGTCTTACCATGTTTTTATGTACACGTGCAACTGGAGCCAATCGTGGGTATACAAGTCATGCACTATATACAAACAAGCGGGCACGTACAGGAGGGATGACGGAGATGGGAGAGAAGGCGTGATGGTCTAAGCGTGAGGGGCATAAGTGGAAGGAGGAAAAGAAGGGCGTTAGACGACCGACACATTCGTCACATGAACATCATCAGGTTCTGTTTGTCGCGCAGGCTCATACAGGCCGGTCAACGGTGGAGCCGTGCTGCTCGGCTTGTACAGTAACATGGAGTCGACGATCCAGAACTGGAGCATGTTCATTGCCATAGGAAAGATAGCCATGACAAACACGACTTGCAGTGAACGGTGGGTGCCGAAAAGGCTAAGGAGCCAGCTCCCAAAAAGAATCAAGAATGGCAGCATGTTCATGAGAGCCAGCACGAATAGTTTCATCAGAACAAGGGCTATCACGTACACGGTCGTCTGTCGAAGCCAACACTCTAGCATGCTAGCCACACGACCATCGCGCATGGGTGCCGAATATTCGCCTGATACGAAGCCTGACCATCCAAACACATACTGACATGTGTGCAGCAATCCACGTAAAAGAACATAGAGTATGGCGATGCCTGTACTTTGTAAGCAGGGTGGGAATGGGCGTTTAGCCACGTACCTAGTGTTGTGTCTAGAAGAATATTCAAAAAGTATAACGAACAAGGATTGATGCCATCCTGTCCTGTGCCGACAGCACTAAACATGACATTGAGAATATGCACAAATAATTGACCAGTCAGCTGCTTGAATACATCAAGCATCCAAATCTGCCATGCACGCCGAGGCCGTTCTTGGTGTCGCTTGTACAGCAACGTCACAAGAACAACGACACCCATCAATAGCTGCGTCAGAATCGACACAAAACCAAACAGCTGACAGTTTCGCTCGTCGATGGGTGTCCCAGCAGCATTCTGCGCATGATCCCACGTCTTCGACATGTCGACACTGTACGTGCGTGGATCGCAGTCACGTTGTGTTGTCTGGAGAAGTCACGCGTGTTCCTATAAAATGGCAGGCTGACAGCCTGGCTAACCGGTTGTCTAACTGGTCGCTACAACACCACAATGTCCTGCCGACCCTCCACAAAACGGGCAAGAACCTTGTAACACAATCCGCAAGTCATTGACGATGCACGCACCTTACCGCAGAACGGGCATTGCACTGCCTTTGTTGCTTATGCACTCTATCCACCTAAGAAGGCCGTCTTGACTCGATCAACAAAGTCGAGACAGTCGCGTGCCTGAATGCGTGCGATTTCATCGGCATCCTCTTGTGCCATATACGATACGATCGGGACGAACGAACTGAGCGTGTCCACAGGCACAAGCAGCGGAGGCAGCACGGGCTTTGGGCGCCCTCCCAAGTCCGGCAGCATACCACCACCAGGAAGTCGTAGTGCAGTAAGTGGTGCATCCACGTGATCCACGTCACGTCTGCACGCTTCGTGGTACTCATCCAATTGCTGCACAGTCTTTTGGAGTAACCAAGTCAGAAGAAGCAAAGCAGAGCGGCGCAATGTTGGTCGATGAACATCAGTATCTATGCCGCTTGTTTCTTCTCGATGAGCCATAGACATTGTCGAAGATGTCCCGTCACGAGCGCCACCGTCGTCATCAGCGTCAAGTTCATCTTCGTCATCTGATCCGCCCAGACGACGCTCTGTCCGCTGGCCCAGTGCATCCGTGCCATGCACCATTGCTCGTACCCTTTCACGCCGCCGCATGGGACGCCGCTCCGTTGTGCCTTGCAGGAGCTCCGTGCACATACGAACCATCTCAATCGACACGCCATTCGCGGCAAGTGCTTGGGGGGCGGTCTCGACCAAGGTGCCGAGAATAGAGATGAAGGAACTGCGGAGAGATGCTGGAAAAACGGGGTTGCGTACGGCTGTCAAGAGCGGTGGGACAATGTGGGGCAACTCTGACACCGCTGCCTCACCGAGATGCTGGAGCACTTGCAGCATCGCCTCACCGATGCGCAGCCGTTGATCTGTTTCACGTTGAGACAACGTGTTTCCATAGGCCACAGTATGTGCTATTCCATCACTGGTCTTGTCCCCACCAACATAGATAGCCATCAGAGGACGAAGCACGGCTTCGCGCCAGCCCGTGGCCATTTGTGAAAGGCCTTGTACCGCATTCAAATAGAGAAAACTCTCGTCATCCTGGATCGCTCGAAGAAACAAGTCTAATATCGCTGGCACAAGCGCAGGGTCGAGCTCATGGCCATAACATGGTGCCGAATGCAGTCGTGTTTCTGTTGATACAAGCCGTGTAAGCAAGTGCAGCCCATGTGCACGAACGGGAAGAATGGGGTCTTGAAGTGACTGCAGTGCCTCTTCATACACGCACAGGTAGTCGGGTAAAGTCGCGGCCCTGTCATTCGGTGTCTTGGAGCAAGCCGCCTGATCAACTGCAGCAGGAGCACTAGATGCGAGGGAGACGTGCTTCATTCTCGCAGAGAGTGTTAGGGCGAGTTCCTGACTCAGCGCCCGTGTGTCGAGGTTCGGCGCATCGCGGAGGCGTTCAATCTTGTCGAAAATGACGCGCAGCAACGGCGTCGATGCTGGTGTCAGCGTAGTGTTCTGTTCCAGCAGAGCAAGGAGAAGCTCAAGCGCCGTGTTGCACAGCTCGGTGTCTAAGGCCGATTCATCCTGACATGCAAAGTCAACCAAGTGCAGAACACGCTCAATGTCGCCTTGCAGCAAGTCTTGGCCAAACGTTGAGAGCAGCTGGAAGATGAGTTGAAGGAAGTACACGGCGTGCCGCTCGAGCGTTATAGGATCATCGTGTGTAAGTCCTGAGATCCTCTTGCTACGCGTGCGCCGATGCTCCTCCATCGCATCGAGAACTAGAGCACTAGCCACGGATGTACGCTTCGCACGGTGCAAAATATCACAGACTCGGGCAGGGTCAATTGTCCATGCAAACGTGCGCGAGAGACCCTCGGGCATGTGTGGTTCATCGTCCAACGACTCCGGTCGGAGCACACGCTCTAATGATGCAGGCCGCTCGAGAAGTGATGCGACGTCCATCTCTGAGGCCGAAGACTGTACAAGGCTTACGCCCTGCGGAGTATCCTGCCAGTGCCACGACTCGTTCAGAGCCTGTCGCAGAGCGTCGTGCAACAGACGTATGATTCCCTCGTCGCTGTCGAGTCTGAGCCAGGTAGATAGACACTCATCCAGGCTCTTTGCATGACTCTCACGCACGGCGTCGACGATGCGCGGCGTGCTAGATGGCGCATGAAGGTGCGTGTCGAGTGCGAGGAACCGACTCAGCACTGGCCCACACAATGCGTGGATCCAGTGTGGTGCAGGTGGCGCTAATATCATGGCTGCGTACTGCTGCCGTAAGGCCGAGTCAACGGCAGACGCAGAGGACGGCGGCGACTCGCCAGGCGTCGGCAGAAGGACATTCCAGACGTGTGTTTGCATAGCCGCGCACATCGCATGTGAATCAGTCTCAAACATGCGCACGCAGGACAGAGCAGCAGCTCGACGATGTATTCCATGGACAGGGGTTGTCCCTGGTGGCGTGACGGGATCAAGCACAGATAGGATATGAGGTACCATGTCCATGTAGTAGGTGGTGCGGCGCATACCTTTCGGTGGCGTGCATAAGAGCTTAGCGACGCTATCGAGGCGCGCGAGAGAAGCGTCGCCGTCGTTCGACTCGAGGTCCATGTCACCACTAAGCATATCGTGCTCGTTTGCACCCAGCATGGCAATAAGCAACGAACGTGTGCCGGACGGGCGCAGAAGCTGCAACGACAGCAGGCGAGCACATTGCTCGCGAACGAAACGAGGTGGTGGCTGTAGCGGCCGCTTCGACTGCGATTCCTCGCCAGAAGTTGCCGATGCAGACGAAGCGAGCGCACTAGGCATCGGAACACTCCGAAGGGCCGTAAGCACGGACATTGTCGGCAGGGCTTCTAGGAGAGCATCAAGCAGAGCATGCGCGTGCGCAGAACTGCAGCCATAGGCCAGGCGAATCAGCACACGAAGTACATCCACAAAGTACATGCGCATCACCAGGATGGCCACGTCCGTATGTGCCATGGGCGAATCAGGTAAGGCCGTCAAGCTGCTGGATCGAGAGGTATTCTTGTGTAAAAGTGTACGAAAAGCCGAGACAAGCTCGTCAAGACACGGTGGTGATGGATATGCAGCATCGAAGGCCAATATTGCAGGGATGATGAGCCATGCGAATGATACGGTCACGAGTTTTTTTAGCATATTCAAGTCTCTCACACCAAGAATTGGGGCGGCTTCTTTTTGCGTGGGCGCTTCGTGAGACTCAGCTAACCGATGAATCTCGAGCGCACACGTCCATGCCCACACACCAGTTAGCCATTGGACTGACGCACGCATGCTGAGCAGATACTCAGGTGGTGAGAGAGAGGCGCCACTGTCAAGAAACAGCTCGAGTCGGCGCTGCAGCACATGATCTACACAAGCGGAGCCTTTGGCAAGTTTGCGAATGCCTAACTCAATGTCGCGGTCGCCCGTGAGGATCGATGCTGCTTGAAGCACATGGTGTTGTTCATGTAGCATCGACAATGATGCAATGCATGAGGGCAAAGAAAGAGAGTGAAAAAGAGGCTCCGGTAGGAAAGTGGATGGCTTAGGTGTCTCAAGAGTTTTGGCTCTTTCGCCACATTGTGTGACGCGCGTTATTTTCTCCAGTGGCGCACGAGAATTCGCCCTCTGGCTGAGAGCACAGACATAAAGACCTTGTCAGCTTCCTGACGCATCTATTTGGATGCAATGAGCGTCACACTTCATACTACGCTCGGTGACATCAAGGTATGTCGACATTCCCGTAAGAGAAACATCGCTCAAAAGTTAGATTGAAGTGTTTTGTGAAGCGGTGCCGCGCGCGGCCGAAAACTTTCTCGCCCACTGTGCGGCAGGGACCTATGACGATGTGAAATGGCACCGAAATATGGCAGGTATGTGGTTAGGGTTCTCTGTGAATTCTTACAAATGGAAGGGTTCATGATACAGGTACGCTTGTGTCTGAGTTGGCGCTCGGACTTACATGGGCAGACAGGTGACCCTTCTGGCACAGGCAAGGGTGGCCAGTCCATTTGGGGTGAGCCATTCCAGGATGAGATTCGAGCTACACTCAAGGTATGTCCTGTCAGGCAACACATCGAAAGCGCCAGAATCGGCGTGAGTGGGATGATGACGCTGACGAATAGTTTCACGCGCGTGGTGTGGTAGCGATGGCGAACAGTGCACCGAACACGAACAAGTCTCAGGTAAGCAAGCGGGGCGAGAACTTGAGCATTGACTCGATCCTTCCACAGTTTTTCATCACCTACAGCAAGCAACCTCATCTCGACGGCAAATACACTATCTTTGGCAAGGTGATTGATGGTGCAGAGCTCGGTGGAACACTTGAACTGATGGAGAAGGTGCCCGTGAATGCCAAGCACCGGCCCCTCCAGGACATACGGATGCAGGGAGTGACAATTCATGCGAACCCTATTGCTCAGAGGGCAGCTTTAGCTACAGGCACATCTACGGCAGCTGGTAGACTTGATCTTTAAGGACCGGCGTCATACGAAAGAACATCACGCGATCGATACCAATGAAACATGTGAGAAGAAAGGAAAGTTACTCGTTGAAGCGGAGCACAAAATTGACAATAATCGCGGTAAGAAGAAGCACGGACAGAATCGTCGGACCTGAAAGAAATGCATAAGTATACCATCCACAACGCTGGATCCATAGATACTATACGTACCAAGGCGGTCATCATATGGGCCACTTCCACGGTTCCGGATTGCCTGCGCGCGCCAGTGGTATGTGACAAGAGCATACAGCATAATAGCTACGGCCACAAGGCTGAACAGCGCCGCACTCAATCGGCCAACGCGGTCACCGAAGTTGAGCAGACCAGCGGCAAGGGCTGACAGCGTCACTGTGAAGCTGAGCCAAGAGAGGACTAAGTTAGGGCGTTAGTTTGCTTCGAGGGCGCCAGCCCATCCGATGTATCAGTACATACATGTACGCTCATTGGCGAAGAAGACCTTGGGCTCAACACGCACGGGAAGAGCAATACGCTTGCCGGCGGAGCGCTGCAGAAGAGGCTGGGTCGACATGGGAGCGGTAGGGAGCGGAACGATAAGTGACCTTGCTTTCGCTTTCCTCACCCATAAAACGCTAGTCTCTTAATTATTTGGTTGCTTGATGCGGCCGAGTCTTATTCAAGGGCCTGGCTGGCTCTTTGAGCGCACGTGTGCCTCCACACCACGTGGTTACGTGTGCCACTGTACGCGGTGATTCACACACTGTTCGTGCAGCATGCTTCGTACATGATGGCGTGTGCGCATTTCGCGATATTGTCGCACGAATGCTGAGTCCTGGGCAGTGAGTGAGCATTCGAGTTGCACATCACATACATCAATCGCTGAAAGACCCTCTACATAGGAGTTTGCCAGTTCTTCGCTCTCCTCGTGCAGCTGATTCGCAGCTAGCTGCAAGCGTGACTGCATCGCGAATGGTGTAAAGCGCTGTGTACATTGTTAGAATCTGGTAGATCATAGTCTTTGCATCCATTACCTTGTTGGCCTCGCGCAGTGCACGCTCAACTCCTGGCCATTGTGTCTCCAAGGTACGTGCGTATACAAAAGCGCGACGCGTCTCATCTCGTAGTGTCTCGAGCTCGCTTCGACGAGCCTCATTCCGTGCTGAGCGTGAGTAAGTATAAATGTGTGCGTACCTGCTGCATGCTCAACTTGTTCAAGGAGCGCGAGGTGCTCGTCGTCCTCCTCGCTTACATTAGGCAACGTACGGACTGTGGCTTCCAACAGAGCTTCGTTTGGTGCACTAGCATCTGCATCGGCCAGAGCCACGAGATCCTCACGTGGTAATGCGGCGAGTGTGGGATACTCAGCTGCGAGTTGCGTCGTGCTGACACTTTCCATGACCGAGGTTGTATTTTTTTCTTCAGACCGGCGTCTTGTGCGCTCACAAGTTGTCAAATGAGATGGAAGTGTGCGTATGATCGGGGATCTAAGCTCATGCGTGTATGTGTCATCGCTCAGATCAGCAATGTGTGAGTCCCTTCTCTCCACAAACCAACCATCGATATCTCCACCTCCACGCTTCGACATATGCCTGCCCACTGCCCTACCGCGAGTGGCCTCGAAACTCATCCTGCTTGTCTCCTTCTCCAACGCTGTGACTTGCAAGACCGTTGGCTCGTTGGTTCGTAGCAGTGCACATGCTGTCGATCCTCGATGTGTACACGTGCTTTGTCGGGATAGCGTGTGTTGCAGGCATCATAGCCTCCCTTGGTATGTTGGATTTGTGATGCATTCGCCAACTGCTAATTGTGTAAGCCCAAAGCCTCTTATTTGCGAGTGAGTGGGTCGAGGCGCATCCATCGCGTGCACGCCTTCTTGGATTGTATTATGGCTTTGTATGTCCGATTAAAGCAATAAGGGACAGCATGATGAACTCATACTCATGCCAGGTCCTACTCGGTCTTTTGCCTTTGCTGTTTGTATATGAGCACATCAACCTTTCAGTGTTGGTTTGGTGTGCGCTATCGACAGGATTCTCGTTAATATGTATAAGTCTTCCTTCTTGGCCCCACCAGCGTCCATGTGGCATGTTTCGTTTGATTGCTGGGTTCGTGCTCCCCACGCTTGCACACAGCTCTCTTCTCCAGTATCATGGCGGCTTGCGGCTCGGTTGGCTCGAGGAGATCCAGCGGGTTGGTGCGCTATCTGAACCGCCTGCTGCTTTCGCACATGCACATCAAGTTGTGGCTCTGATCGTCGGGATTGTGTGGGCACTGCCCGTCTATCAATTCGTGAGCGAAACGACGCAGGGATGGTCTCTTCCAAGTCATGGCTAGCTATGAAGTGCCTGTTCACGTGGATGCACTGTGAGAGATGACATTGTCGAAGGAGCATGCGCTTTCGGTGTGCGAAACAGGTGCGAGTGCACATCCAACGCGGGTGTCTCGTTGTCAGATGACGCACCACCGCTGCTCTTTTCATCGTGTGTATCGTTAGGCAGACCGTGCTCTGTCGTGTCGGAGGATGCGCGTGTTGCGGGGTGGTGATGCTGGTAGTTGTAAGCGGGATGTTGGGCATGAGGGTAATGGTGCAAGGTGGAACTGGAGCTGGAAGTCAGGTGAGGATGGCTGTCGCCGCCACTAATGCCGTTGGGGAGAGGGTGCGAGTGACTAGGAGGATGATTGGTAGAATTCGACTTGTTAGGCGAAGTGCTTCCATTTGCGGCAGCGGCTTCTTTTCGCCGCATCAAAAGATACCGTTGCCGACATTGGTGATATGAGCGTGTGCCGACGGCTCGTGCCACATGTTCCCAACGTTGACCATGTTCCTTGATGGCTCGGCGCAACTTGATATCCTCTTCCGAAGACCAGCGTACATAAGGCAGCCGCTTTTCAGGACTTTGTGCATGTGCAGGCTTTGGTTTCGCAGATGGGGTTTGACGCAACGGCAAGGCGCTGGATGTTGATGTGGTGGAAGTTGGTCCTGCGGATGTTGACGCTGAGGCTGTTGTAGCTGGTGTTGCTGTAGTAGGTACACTTGCAGCTGGGGCCGGCGCTGATGACGTGGTTCTTGGTGTCATCATGCGTGGATAGTACGAAGTCATGGAATGGCGGTATGTTGGGCTTGTCGGATGTTCGCTGACAGCCTGATTCGCTAGTACATCCAGCGCTGAGATAGGTGCGTCGTCCACATCCATGCTTAGGACGCGCCGGCGCTTCGGACTTCCAAAGACAGGTGCTGAAAACGGCAGAGGAGCATGAGTGGGTCGGTGCCATGGCGACCTTGTAGGACTTGAATCTTGGTAGTACGTAGCATTCGTTGGTGCAAGGGACTGCGCTGCGTGTAAAAGATCATCGATGCCGCTTGAGTACGTCGACGATGGCAAGCTGTGTGTGGACGGCGGTGCGTAGGGAGTGTGCAGATCTTCTGTGCGCTCGGTGCTTTTCGGGGTGCGGGGAGGATACGTATCGCGCGCACGGCGTGGTGTAGACGGCGTCGTATCGAGTTTGGATGGAGACGATGAAGAGGCATCTGTGCTGCTCGATGGTGGTGCTGCATGTCGAAGTGTGCGAAGCATGCGAGTAGCAAGAATTAAATGTTCTGATGTTGCATCGCCCATCACAGCCTCACGACGACGACTGTTGCTACCATTAGTGTGTAGAGGATCCATGTTCATGCCGCCGACACCGCTACTGCTGCTGCTGCTGTGGTGATGCCGATGCCGAGACCGGGGTGTACCGAATTCAGGGACATCTTCGTCAAGCGAGGCGCGAATCAGAAGGGGCTTCAGATCTTTGAGTTCCTTTTCAAGACGCGACACTTGCGCCTCGGTATCTTTGACGCGCTGTCGGAGGTATCGTTTGTCAGCGAGGAGTTTCGTCCGTTCCGTGTCCGTCGGCATACCGGCGCGGCGCGCTGCTTCATCATCGACTGGATGCACGCGATCTTCATATTGATGTAGCGATGCACGCGACACCATATCACTAAGCATTTTTGACTGGCTCTTAGAGCCGGACAATTCAACTTCCAGTCTCGCCTTGATATCCCGCTCAGCTTGGAGCATGTGTGTATACGAAATGCGAAGAGAAGAAAATAATGATAGTGAAGCCAATCGTGTAACACGAAGATGATGGCGTAGTCGCTCGCGTCCTTCCTCTTGTCTCTGCAAATGGCGTGCGAGTTGCCAAACAAGTTGCGCGAGTTGCGCCGTCGCATCTGCGTCGTCTGCACGCGGTACGCGTACGAATGGTGCGGACTCTGCCGAGGATGTCGAAGCAGCTGAGCTTGACGGGGTAGAGTATCCTAGGTCTTTCATTTGCGACAGAATATCAGCGACATCTGACATGCTGAATTCTGGCGTGTCATCGTCGCGATCAAGATTTTCGAGGTCCATCAACATGTTCATTTCTTGCTCCATCGTACCGAGGCCTATCCCTACTTGCGGAAATGTCAAGTGGCCTTGTCCTGAGTCCGCAGGCCCTGCCGTATCGTCATCTGAGGAGCGACGAATCCCATGGCCGCCTCCAAGAATCGGTGAGGGCGTGCGTGGAGATGCGGACGAGGGCGGCTCAGTACCAGTATCTGTATGTGACGAGCCAGTTGCGACAGATTCGGAAGACAACATGGTTGGATGTGTGGGTTGTGACAGCGAAGGGCTCTGTTGATGTTGCTGTAGGGAGTTTGGTGAGTGTGGATCGGGGTCTGCAACCATGGACCAGGGCTATCCCGTGTCGCAAACAGCTATCGCTAAACACGAAAAAAGCAGTCGATTGGGGGGAGATAAGGGGACAAGGGACGTGCTGGGTGGTTTACAGACTCGCACGCGCACAGACGCACACTAGGTCAACAAGCGAGGATAAGTGGCAAGGAGGGAAAAAATGACCGTGTCCATCACATTAGGCGTTGCACATGCAAACATAGAGTGTTCTCTACACGTCGCCTACGAGGCTGATGAAACATGTGTTCTTTTCGGCAGATGCATGACTGGTCTCAACACGTCGCGCAATAACTCACGTGACATGCCACGTGGAAGTGCGTGCGTACAGGCAGGTTCGAAAGGGTCGGTGCGTGTGGGAAGGAGTGACTAGCGGCGCTGGCTAAGGGGAAAGCTTCGGGTGACCAGCGGCTGGCTGGAGTGAATTGAGTGAGGGACGGGGGAAGCGCGTATAGGAAGTAAGTGCCACCCTACTTCGGTCGTCAGGACGATCTATCGATCCACTGGCGTGTGTGTTGTGAGAACACGATTCCATTGATTTCGTGCTCACACAGCGTGGCAACAAAATCAGGTGCTTAGTTGCCGGGCATCGTTGAAGTATGCTGCTGGACATTCAACGCAAGTTTTTCTCGCGGTCGGAGCGCGTCAAGTCGGTGGATTTTCATCCGACCGAGCCTTGGCTTCTCGCTGGTCTTTACGATGGTACAGTGTTCATTTGGAACTACGAGACGGGTGCTGTTGTAAAGACATTTGAAGTGGCAGACGTGCCTGTGCGATGTGTGCGCTTCATAGCACGCAAGAACTGGTTCCTTGCCGGATCCGATGATTTCTTCCTGCGCTGCTACAACTACAACACGCACGAGAAGGTTGCAGCCTTTGAGGGCCACCCCGACTATATTCGGAGTATCGCTGTGCATTCGACTGGACCGTACGTGCTAACTGGCAGTGATGACATGACGATCAAGCTCTGGGACTGGGAGCGAAACTGGCGTCTCGTGCAGACGTTTGAAGGACATACACACTTTGTAATGAGTCTGTGCTTCAACCCGAAAGACTCGAATTCATTTGCATCTGCGTCGCTGGACCGCACCGTCAAGGTGTGGACACTTGGTTCGCCGATGGCGAACTTTACGCTTATGGCACACGAAAAAGGCGTGAATTCTGTCGACTACTACCATGGTGGTGACAAGCCATACATCGTCACGACGAGTGATGACAAGACTGTGCGAATCTGGGACTACCTAAGCAAATCGTGTGTGCAGACGTTGACGGGACACATGTCGAATGTATCGTTCGCCGTTTTCCACTCGTCGCTGCCGCTCATCATCTCCGGCTCGGAGGACGGGTCTGTCAAGCTGTGGCACGCAAATACCTACCGCCTGGAATCGACGCTCGACTACGGTCTTGAGCGCGTGTGGTGCATAGCGCATCGGAAGTCGAGCCACGACATAGCCCTGGGCTACGATGAAGGCGCTGTTGTCGTCAAGCTTGGCAAAGAAGACCCGTGCATGAGCATGGACCAAAGTGGCAAGATCGTGTACGCACGCAACGCGGAGATTCTTGGTGCGAATCTTGCGACTACTTCAGAGTCGGAGCTGGTCGAAGGCGAGCGCGTGCGACTGTCCACGCGGGAGCTCGGTACGACCGAGGTGTTCCCACAACTGCTGGAACATTCACCGAACGGCCGCTTTGTCACCGTATGTGGCGATGGCGAATACACGATTTTCACGGCCCTTGCGTGGCGGAACAAAGCGTTTGGTTCGGCTCTTGGCTTTGCGTGGGCGTCCGACTCGAATACGTATGCCATCCGGGAGAACTCAACAACGCGCGTGCGTGTGTTCAAGAACTTCAAGGAACAAAGCGGGCTTGTGCTCGTAAACTATGTCGTGGAGGGAATTGCTGGCGGTGCGCTGCTAGCTGTGATTGGCGTTGGGTTCGTGTGCTTCTATGACTGGGTCTCAGGTACCCTGGTGCGCCGCATCAATGTTGATGCGCGCCAGATCTTCTGGTCGCAGACGAATGAACTCGTTGTCATTACGACGGTGGATTCGTTTTATGTCCTGCGGTTCCAGCGTGCCGCCTACGAGGCCTTTGTCGAGAGTGGTATGCCGTCTGACGGCGATGGCTTTGAGGATGCTTTTGATGTCATTGCCGAAGTCAATGAAACGTACGTATGAACGCTCATGCTGTGCTTGTTTTCGCAAGTCCATCTCTCTTCTTGCATCGTTGATACTAACGCTTGGGCAGTGTCCGCACAGGTCGATGGACGGGCGAGTGTTTCGTATACACGAATGCAGCCAACCGGCTCCAGTACTTCATTGGTGAACAGACGTACACGATCCGTCCCTGTGATACCGAACTGTACGTGCTGGGCTATCTGCCCCAGCTTAGTCGCATCTTTGCGGCCGACAAGGACATGAACCTGTACAGCTTCTCGCTCTCACTAGCCGTTGTCGAGTACCAGACGGCAATCCTGCAGGGCAACTTTGCCCTTGCGGAATCGCTTTTGCCGCAGGTGCCACATGGCCAACGCGGCAAAGTGGCCAAGTTCCTCGAGACGCAGGACATGCCCGATCTTGCTCTGCAAGTCGCGACTGATCCGGACCACCGCTTCGATTTGGCTGTGCAACTGGGCGACTTTGACATCGCTCTTGATATTGCGCACCACGGTCCTACGTCAGGTGCCGAGTCTCGTTGGCGAACCATTGGCGACCAAGCCTTGGCTCGCTGGAATGTGCCACTCGCGCAAGAATGCTTTGAGCATGCGAATGACGTGCATTCGCTCTTTCTCATTGCAACAGCAAAGCAGGACGATGCACTCCTGCGCACTGTGGCGGCGGCTGCGTCAGACAAAGGCGAGCTGAATCTCGCAGTCGCTGCACTATTGCAGGTGCAAGATACGCAGGGCGTCGTTCGTGTCCTACAACGTGCTGAGCGGCTGCCAGAAGCCGCGCTGTTCGCTCGCACATATGCACCTCATCTTGTGCCAGAGGCCGTACGTGCATGGAAAGCATCGTTGGCCTCGCAAAAGAGTCAGAAACAGCAGCAAATGAGTGAGCGGATCGGTGACCCGCTTTCGATACCGGAGCTTTTCCCAGAGGGTGGATATGCATAATGGCAGTGTGTCATATTGTTCTATTTGTCTATTCTTGTCATCGTATCGTAGAACGTACAGAGCGTGGGTCTAGGAAGGGGAATGGAGGCGCGAACGCGGTGTGAGACTGGGACGGGACCATGCATAGGTAGTCGGAGTCGGCACAGACGAGGGCGCGGCCGGTGCAGCGCGCACAGTGTCCGGGGCCTCCAGTGCCGCCTGTGCCGCTTGCTGCCGCGCCAGGCCAGCCTGAAAGACGCGGTTCCGGTCAGGATGCAGAGGCCCAAACTGCCGAGCGAGCGCTTCGTCTGCATAGACGTGCTGAAGAAACCGGCGGAGCTCATGCACACCGCGTCCACTGTACACGCAGAATGATTGACGCTGGTGCTGATTGAACTCTTTTGGGGGCGGACGACACATCGACTGGAGCTCAACACATCGGAAGGCCGGCACGCCTGTGAGACTGAGGTGCGACAGGCGCGGCAAACGCAGTGTGAGCCAGAAAATGGCTGGCACTTGAATGTGCTCGCAGTACGAGAGATGGACGCGCTCCAGATTCGTATAGTGCTCGACCAAGGCATAGATTGCCCGGTCCGTCAGCTGAGCTACACGAACAAGGCCAATCCGACGAAGTTTCGGCAGCTGCGACGCAAGGGCAAACACGCTCTCGTCGGTCAACTGCGTACAGCAAGCAAGGTCCAAGTACCGGATCCGCGTGCACTGATGAGCAAGACGGATGATCGCTCGGTCCGTCACATTCGACACATGCGCAAGGTGCAGGTGTTGTAGATGGCGGCCGAGCTCACTGAGTGCATATACGCCTTGGTCAGTGAGACGCACGCACTTGGCTAGCGATACATTCCGCAAGCGCGGCGCGTGCTCGACAATTGCGCGCACGGTCTCGTCGGTCAGGAGCGTGCAGCATGTCAAATCAATCATGCGCAGGTTCTCACACACGAGGAATGCACGCGGGATCGTCCATGTATCGCGCAACGCTGAAGTGGGAAAGGCATGATCCGTGAGCGTGTGGTTGTTCGCGAGCTTTAGCTCACGCAGCTGCGTGTTGCGCAGCCAGACTTCACGTACGCTTGCATCGTCCATCCGGGGGCACTGTACCAAGTCCGCCTCCAAAAGCAGGGGACACTTTTCGAGCATGTCAACAAGTGCGTCACCATGTACCTGCGTACATGCCCCTAGCTTGATACGTCGGAGCATCGGACAATGCTGCGCGATCGACCGGACGCCACGACTTGTGATTCGGTAGCACCCCGTCAAGTTGGCTCCTTGCAGACGAGAACAAGTTGTCGCCAGCACATTTAGCGTGTTGTCCGTCACATGCGTGACGCCACTCAGGTCTATAGCGACAAGCTGGGGCATATGGCTCAGAACATATGCCAATGATGGTTCTGTAAGTTCTGAGCAGCCTGATAACGTGAGGCGTTCTAGTCGGTGGCACGCAGCCATGCGCCTAAACAATTGGTCGTCGAGCTCGCCAGCGAGCATGCTAAAGTTGAGGCGTCGTATATAGCTTGCGTATGGAAAAGACGAATCAGGTCGGTCCATCACATCGATGAGCTGGAAAATCGCAGATCGTTTGTGACACGACGGTCGATACCACAACACTTGCACGGCACACGCACACCAGCGGCGGCACACGAAAAGGCAAGCCTGTAGATCCTGCTGCGATCCTAGTGCGAAACGAAACACGTGCAGAAGAATCTCATGGGGGAGATCAGCAAAGGACGTGCTCCGGGTGGGTGCCTCATTCATCGGCATCGAGATATCAGCGCCACCTATCCCTGAAGGCGCCATTTCGTCAAAGTCCGGCACGTCTGTGCCTGAGCTTGATGATGGCGACGCATCTCCTGTCGATGGCGGCGGTCCACGCATTTTCGGTGCGGGCGACAGGGCTAATGCACCTGACGCCACGTCCATTGATCCGCGCCTTTCCTCACAGCACAGTCGTTCAACGTGTTGTGCTTGGGTTCAAGGCGCATCAACCACTTTCCTAAGCGCACACGTAAGTGCAACTCGGCCACATTCACACTTGGTTGGCATAACTGACTAAACACTTATTTCCCACTTCGCGCGTTCAAGACGCGCATCTCAGCTCAACTTTGGTACGCATGTATGGTGATGAGATGCATGCCACCTGTGTCCTAGGCAGCCCAGCCGATTCTATGGTCTAGGTATGAAATGGCAGCTTTTGTGTTACTTGGTATTAAGCTGTTTGTTTTGTTTTCTTTTTGTATATATATATATATATATATTTGCAAATGCTTTCGAACAAAAAGCAAGGTGCAGTGCATGCTCTTATACCCACATGCGGCTGAGTATACGTGTGAGCGCAAGCGTGCGATCCTATCTCGAAGTAGTTAGCGCCCTCGCGTATCTCAATGAAAAGGCTGATGCGTTGGCCAGGGCGAGTATCGTGCCTACGGCTGCCGCTTCAGCTCGTCGACAAGGTCAGCGAGCTCTGACCATTCAGGCTCATCTCCAAAGCTATCGCGCGTACGTGACATAAAGGAGCGGACAAGCGTACGCGCACGGAATTGCCAGTCAGGCATGGCTTCATCATCGGAGCCTGGTTCTGCTGCTTGGGGACCAAGATTCGCAAGCGCATCACACAACTCTTGCAGCTCTTCTTTCGCTAGGCTCCAGGCAGCTTTGTCTGTCACGACGTCCAACGCGTCAGCACTCCCTAAGCCGCACTGGAAACTCTGGATCCGTGCCTGTAACGTCTTGCGGTAGTGGCCACTAGCAAACATAAGACGTGCATAGCTCAGCCAAATCAGCGCATGAGACGAGAAACGCGGCAGCAGTGTTTGGTCGAAGAGTCGAAGCACGGCAGGCCGGAGTCCCTCGCCAACATTTGCATCCTTCGGCTGCTGCTCGTCCTCGCCCACTCCATGCGGACGAACGACAGCGTCCACCAGCCTGTTGAGTACCGCCATATCCACGATGTCTTGCACGTTCATGGACGATGCACTGGCTGTGCTTCCGCTGAGCTCACGCGTACGAATCTCCACGATGCGTGCCAACGCCCGCGCTGCTTCGCTCAGCATGCCCACATCGACCGACACAATCATGTAGTTGGACCATACACGCCATGCATCAAACTGGAATTTGAGTGAGATACCAAGCGCTTTATGAGCCAACAAGCGCAGTTCGAACGCCGGTGCCTCATTCACAGAGGCCTCCTGCCTTGTCTCAGGCTCTGTATCGGACATAATAGACACCCCAGAGTCGCGCGCGGTACTTTCACTTGACGTCGAGGCCGCATCATCATCACCATCATTAGCGCCGCGATCTCCGGTACTGTGCTCATGATCGTCCTCGGTCAATACAGTATCAAGGCGCTGGACCTGCGTTAGATGCATGCGCATATAACAGCTTGCGAGATTGTTCCAACTCTCGCCGTCCTCCTCTTCCAGGGCTGTACACTTGCGGAACGCCGCAGCAGCCTCAAGCCAACGCTCCATCCGCATGTAGCTACATCCCAACATGAACCACGCACGTGTATTCAACGCATTGATGCGCACCGTGCGTCGCAGCCACACCGCCGCTTGTTCATGCGCGTGCAACGCAAAGTGATACCCACCCAACGAACGCGCTGCGCGTGCCGATGTTTGGTCGGACACATCCCAAGCATGCAAATAATGGGACTCGGCTTGCTCAGGTTCCAGGTCGCCAAGAAGGCACCACAACTTAGCCTCACGCGCCTTGGCAAAACGTGCAGGGGGAATCCGACTTGTCGACGTTGCGATTCGCTTCGTTTGCAGCTGAACATCCGCCTCTGTCTTGCGTCCTTCAAGAAGATCACGCACAATATCTCTTCCTTCCTGATGCTGCCCCAATAAACCAAGACACTGGACCACATGTTCCCACATCTCGATGCGCTCATATGTTTCCAGAGCGCTGCGCAGCATACCGATCGACACAAACCGATCGGCAAGCTCGCACTGCATAGACCATTTCGCGGGCAAGTCTAATGCATGGAAGAACCGAAGGCGCTCACGAATGCTCGAATCATTCGTTGGCATCTGGTCAATGAGTGCTTGCAGCTGCAGCGTGCTCCTTTCTACTGTTCGCGTGCGCGTCGACTCAAGTCGAGCGCGGAGTAACAGACTCATGGTGTGCACACTCCAGTTCTGTGGATGCGATACGACCCGCTCAACAAACGCAGACATTTGCTCGGATGTCAGGCCATGTGACGCCTGCGTGTTGTGAATATTCAGGCACAACGCCAGCAGGATACACTGATCTGTGACGGCCAAAGGTGGCTGTTGACCAGGGTCCAGATGCGAGAGACGCTGCTCCGTGTTGGGTGCTGTTTTTGTGAACTGCGTCTGTTCCAGCAGGGTATCATCGTTGAGGGAGTATGTCGCTGGCTGATGGTTCACCTGCTTGCTTGGATCAACAGTAGCTTGCCACCCATGTTGGTTCGGGGGCATAGCAGAGTCGATATTCTTTGATGTTGGATGAGTCGATGTCTCTTCCTCGGCACAGTCGGCCCCCGCTTCCCTTGACTCGGCTAACAAGACCAACTGTGTCTTGTCCTCTTTCTGCCACTTTGTTCGTTTGCCGAGAGCTCCGCTCAGCTCATACTCAAGTCCGTTCATCTTGGCTGCTTCCACTAACCCCTCTGACGCCAAACGATCCTGCCCAGCTCGCTGGTGCGCAAGCGCACATTCCAGTGTGATTCGCGCTTGTAAGTGACTCCATGCATGCTTGTCAGCCTCGCTGGAAGCTTTCGCACTGCACTCACCAAAAGCCGAAGCCATCTGGTAAGCGTTTGTTAGAAGCACTTCTTCACATGCCACAGGCTCGTCTAGCACACGGATATGCACAGATCGCGCGCGCAGTTGCCACCAGGGCAAAGACGCGAGCAACGTGCCGTTTTCTGCGGCACCCAAAGCATGGAAAAGTAGTAGCGAAAATACAAGGAAGAAGGGTGCTTGACACAAGTGATACGCAGGTTCGCCATGCAATGTTAGGTATTCGAGGCTGGATGCGTGCAGAACACGTGCGTAAGTCATGTCCTCATCACATTCCCTTTCATTTTCGTGCACTGATCGCAGGGAAAAGTGATGCGGCGCATGATATCGAAGTAGCTCCACTGGTGTGAGATTGAAATCAGGTCCTGTCCAATTCAACTGCACGAAAGCGTGTAAGGCAGCTATGGCGACGCATAGCACGTCCACGGGAGCTGCGGTCATTTCAGCTCGGACCTTGTCAAATGGGAGAAGGATCCGCACAGCCTCAGAGCTTGTATAGCCGGCCAATGAAGAGCGCAATATCTGTGCCACAGATTCGAGCATGGGTCGCGCAGCTGACGACTTGAGCAGATCTGCAAACTCGCCCTTCATCAGTTTTACGCATGATACATTCGACTCAGCTTCTGCGCATGGTACCATACCGCGCAACATGTACCACTCAGGGTGATCAGGCTGTGCCCATGCAGATGCCGTTACCCCGGCGTTGGTCATGGCCGCGACAAAAGGTGAGTGTGATTGCTCAAGAAGATTGGGTTGGGGATCCATGCAAGTGACGAAGGAAAAATTTGGGTGCCATTTAGTTTTGATGAGATAAGCCACCAACCGAGTTTGACTCCTCCATTGTCCCCCACCGTGCGACGCACGATCGATCGGTCATGTACGCCTTTTCGCGGCTGAGACCGCCAATGCTTTGTCAGAGCTCATGTCGGCGGAAGGTGGGCTCAAACGCAGTCAATTTTATTCTTACACACAAACCTATATCTGCCTTTTTAAGCGTCCATAGCCGCTGCGGGAGCCAAAGTAGCGGGGGGAAAGCGGCCATTGGACACTTTCGTCATGTTCCAGTGCTTCAAGTATGTAGGGAGTGGCGATGTGTTCTGGTTTGTAGGACTCGACATAGGGGACGGCCTTTCTATATCACTGTCCACATCCACAGGTACATCTGGAGCTAGAGGTCTCTCAGGTAAAGGCTCGGTAGGTGGTGGAGGACGCTCAGGCAAAGGCCCTAAGTATCTGCGCCAAGGCACAATCGGCGATGAATACGGGTGTCGATGTATGGTAGGACTGTCAGGCACGGGATCAGGCGTTTCGGGCGTTGGTGGTGATCTTCCTGGCGTGAACCAGAGCGAGGTGAGGCTGGGAGAATATGACATTGGCGGCGTAGTCTGAAGAACAGGGGTACTGGGTACAAGATGTCGTGCCCCCCTATCTAACTTGTTGACGGGAGAGCTGCCGAGGTATGCTAATCGACTTGACTTGAACAAAGAGGACGGTCTCGACTTCTTCATGTTTCGAGATGGGGAGCCACGCGCTGTACCTCCCAGCAAAGTTTGGACTTCATCAACCCACTCTTCCATAGCTCGTTTTGCATTTTCTTCTTCCTCATCGTCACTAAACGCACTTTTCGGTTCCTTGTCTGTCGCGCACTGAGGCTCCATTACAGTGCTACCCCATCGCGCAGTTCAAATATATTCTATTGATCGAAACAAAGAATACCTAGTCTAGCTCATCTGAACAACGAGTCGTTTGTGCTAGACTATCTCGGTAGCCACCATGAAAGAATGACAAACGCAACGCCGACTGGATGCGCGCATGTTCTCGCGTGGCAATCCTCAACCAATCACATGCATAGGGGTCGTCGCTCAAGACAGACAAGGCTCAAACTACCCACGGTCAAAATTCCCCGCACCAGTGTTTAGCGAATAAAGTTTCGACAGGGATCGAACAGAATTACGCCGGCTGTGCAATTCCGCACGTCATGTGCATGAGTGTCCGTGTTTGGATGGATGAATGGCCCGTCCGTGGTCCCCGCTACCCCTCTGGGCTGAAATTCTATAGTGTCCGGGAGGGAATTCCCCGTATAAATCTGGGCGTTCAAATTCTTATTCACCTTCCTACTTACCATAACTACTCATGGCGCAAGATCGTATCCAAGCATCTAATGTTACCCCTGGTAACGTCTCCACCCAAAGGGTGAAGCTTAGCTCAGGCTACGAAATCCCGCAGGTGGCCTTGGGTGTATACAAGGCGCCTAACGATGGCACAACGGAACAAGCCGTCAAGTGGGCCTTTGACTGTGGGTACCGTCACATCGATTCTGCAGCTCGATACCGTAACGAAGAAGCTGTGGGCCGTGCCCTCAAGGAATGGACCGCTGCCAATAATGTTCCGCGTGAGGAAATCTTTATCACCACCAAGCTCTGGGATGACGATCACAAGAATGCGCAAGAAGCCATTGAAGAATCGTTGAGAAAGCTGCAGCTCTCATACATCGATTTACACTTGATCCACTCGCCTGAGCCTGGTGAGCAGTCGTTTATCGACGCGTGGAAGCAGATGGAGGCAGCCGTTGATGCCGGTAAGATTCGCTCGATCGGTGTCTCTAACTTTGATGTGGACCACCTCGATGCTTTGCTCAAAGTTGCACGCATCAAGCCTGTTGTGAACCAGATTGAGTCGCACCCTTTCTTTGCGCATGAGAAACTGCGTGAGGAGACCCTCAAACGTGGCATCCACATTGAGGCGTACTCGCCTATGGCACAAGGAGCTGCTCTTGATCGTGAAGAGATCAAGGCTATTGCAACAAAGCACGGCAAGACGCCTGCGCAAGTGCTGCTGCGCTGGGGCATCCAAGTGGGCAACATTGTTTTGCCCAAGTCGCTCACCAAGCATCGTATTGAAGCAAATGCCCAGCTCTTTGACTTTGAACTTGACAGCAACGACATGGATGTGCTGAACAATATCGACGAGGGCATGAAGATGGGCAAGCTCGGCCCGCCTGGTACCTCGGCTCCTGCGTCGCCTGGTGCGACTCGCCCTGGCTCCCGTCGGACTTCGGGCAGCAGCGGCCTTGCTGGCAACCAGTTGCAAATGAGTAGCAGCTGAACACACAGTTCCACTAATCGATATTGATATACATATTTAGGACTTCGGATGTAGGGAAGGGAATAAAAAGATGAGCAACTTAGTCGGAGCGTACGTTATCTATCCCCTTAGCGAGCCCCGTCATGTCGCCAAGTATCAGGGGCTCCCCATGTTCCTGTTTTGTACGTCGAAAGGATTTATCAAGTACGAGTTATCCAAACCCACCGGACAACTCAGAGTTTGTCTCTATCAACGTAGGCAGCTCCCAGTGGTCTGGCGTGCGTGCCGTGCAGCCTCACTGGATCACTGCGGACGAGCTAATTGTGGCATCACGTGATACGACTGTGCTGATCGTCCATGCGGATGTAGGTCATTAGTACGTTGTTTTGTATAGCATCTTTACGACAACAAGGGCTGGACGGATGGCTGCTGGCACCGGCCCACAAGCTGCTGCTGCCGCCAAAAGCAGTGGTGGTGGTACAATGTCTCGAATGGAAACGGCCTCTGTCGTGGAATATCTGCGTTCACATGGATATGCGAAAGCATTGAGCGCCTTGCAAGCTGAACTGGAAGCAGCTAACAAAGGTGCCCCGCCAGCCAAGGCTGCGGAGGCGCGTGATTCACAGTTAGGTCAAACTAATGTGAGCATGGCGGAGCTTGCTAGCAAAAATGTACCGCGCGATCCACGGGACAAAGATGCGCCTGATGCCGGCCCCAGCTCAGCGTTAGAGCGAGCAGGGGCCCAGGCTCTATTGTTGGATCCGACGGACACAGCGCGAGGCTATGGAATGATCAAATCTTGGTGCACTGGCAGTCTAGACATTTACCAACCGGAATTGCTGCCGATCCTTTTGCCTCTCTTTGTACACAGTTACATGAATCTTGTTGACATGGGGCTAGGGTCTGCGGCGGCTGAGCTGTTCTCTGTTCACTCATCGTTCTTTCAGCCAACACACGCCCCATTGCTTGCGCATATTCGTTCGCTGTGCCTCCCGTCACAAATCGGATCGGATGAGCTTGCACAAAGGTTTAGGACGGAACGCTATGTGCTGAAAATGTCACTTAATGTATTTGGGCTACTGATCGGGTGGCTGACGGACGGAACGAGCCCCGTTGGCTTTTCGGGCATGGGCAATGCCGCCGCTGTTGACAACATGCTAGAGCCATCGCGTCGAGGACGAGAAGCCATGCTAAAAATCATAAATGAGCATTGCCGCATTCAAGTGCTACGCTCCGTCATGTTCCAGCTCGATCCGTTGGAACTGGAAGAGGGTACAGGTCTTACAGGCGCAGGGCCTTCGTTTTTCTCCAGCACTACCCAGTCTGTATCCGCGCATCACCCAGCGCTGCAAGCAGCTGCTGTGTCCGAGACGGACGCCATCTCCGACTTTAACGCACATGCGGGCGGCCCACAGCTCAAGTTGCATCCAGCCATCCCACTAGCCGAGGACCTAAAAGACGAAGTGAATCACGTTTTGCGAGAGAAGGGACTTCCGGAGCTCCGAACGAGGCGTCTGATAAGGACAAACCCGCATCTTCTGACGCACCTATGGACGAAGAGCCTCCTGATACCAACGCTGCTCCTACGTCGTCGCCGGCACCAGGTTCAAAAGTCAGCGGGCTGCTTCTGTGGTGCAGGAGGAGAACCAGATGTCGCAAGATGGTGCGTCGGACCTCCTAGGCCCATCGCTGGCAGATCTACCGCCACAGCCATCCATGTTCCGTACGGTCGACCTTTTGCGTGAAGTTGAGCGTGTGCGAGATGCACGCAAGTGTCTGCGCATTGATCCGAAACTGCCTCCCGAATCAGCCACGGCTGGCGATGCGAAGCCTCCTTCTGAATGGGAAGGCGTACCGCGAACAGTCGGCTTGCCGAGCGTGTGCATGTACACCTTTTACGACGCAGAAGACGGTCTTACAAGCAGCACATTTTCTCCGGATCTTACACTCATGGCGGCCGGCTTTGAAGAAAGCTACGTGCAACTATGGAGTCTCAAGGGTGAACCATTGCAGTCGTTAGAAAGCGACTTCAACTTGTCTGCGATCCGCGACCGCAAGTCGCTGAACAAACATCGTCTACCCTACAGTGGAACATCACGGAAATTGATTGGGCACACGGCGCCTGTGTATCAGGTTTCATTTGATCCTGTCGGTGGAAGTGGCTCAAGCCCTCGGCATCTGCTCAGCTGCAGCGCTGATGGCACAGCGCGTCTTTGGAGTCTCGATACGTACGCGGCACTTGTTGCATACCGTGGGCACCAATACCCTGTGTGGGATGTGTCGTGGGGCCCCATAGGCACGTATTTCGCCACTGCAAGTGCCGATCGGACTGCTCGACTTTGGAGTGCCGAGCGGATCCATCCCTTGCGGATTTATGCAGGCCATCTATCCGATGTGGACTGTGTGCGTTTCCATCCGAACTCATTGTATCTTGCCACTGGATCCTCTGACCGTTCATGCCGTTTATGGGATGTTCAACGCGGTGCATGCGTGCGTTTGTTTGTCGGTCACCAATCCCCCGTCTCTTGCGTCCGCATTAGTTCCGACGGCAGGTACCTGGCCTCAGCAAGCGGGGGTAGCACCATTGCTGGGTTGGGTCAGCCTCGCAGTGCGCGCGCAGATGCCTTTTCCATCAGTCTGTGGGATCTTGCCAGTGGACGCCGAATAAAAAAGATGTGGGGTCACTCCGCTCCCATCCATGAGATGGACTTTAGTGCCGATGGTGCGGTGCTTGTCAGTGGTTCGGAAGACGCTACCGTTCGTTGTTGGGACGTGCGCACTGCGCAGCAAGAGCCTAGTGCATCAGATGCCGACGCTAGCGCCGACTGCGTCGCGACGTATTTCACGAAAAACACCCCTGTCTATGACGTGCACTTTTCGCCCCGAAATCTGTGCTTGGCTGCCGGCGTGTATTCTGGGTCATCCTAGGCCACTTCTAGGATGCCTCTACTCGCGCTAGCATGCGCTGACCTGCTTCGACATACCGCATCGGATCGTGAGGCGTGGCTGCTCTGGAGCCCTCCTCGTCCCTTCTGCCCAAGACATATCAAGTGATTTTTCGCAGCGGTGGCAATTTTAGCATGGCTGCTTGTAGGACAGGAAAAGGGGAGGAGTAGGGCGTCGTTTATTTAAAATACCACTATTGTATTTTTTCTTCTTCTGCATTTATGTTCTATCCATCGAATTCCTGAACCAAGTCATGATCCAAGTACACTAACTATGCTCGCACGGACGATATCAGCTGCTTGTCTCATTTCAGCGGGGCTAAGTGCACTTGTAGCGATGATCCTTAGACTAGGACGTGCCCATGGTCCCTGATCAAGTTCAGCTCGGATACTGGGGATGTGTGGATTCCTAGAAATCCAGACACCTTGGTTGAGGGCAAGCCGCTCAATTTTCTTGAGAACCTCCTGTTGCGAAGCCATCCACGACGCATGTGCTTTTGGATCCGAGTACAAGACCGCAAGGTTCGTGTCATCTTCACTAGGTCTGAGTTGGACATGCTGAAGAGGACTCTCTGGTGAGCTTGTAATTGCAATTGCACTTATGGGATCGAGCGCATTGCGCAGGATCGACGTGTTTTCACGAAGTCGCTCGAACACGCCCAAGTCTCCATCAAGCAAGTCCATAGCAACAGTGGATCCATTCGCCATCATCACAGGCATGGCGGCAGAGAATACGAATGAGAGACCATTAATACGCTGGTGTTTCACAATTTCCTTTGTCGATGCACAGAATCCACCAGCCGTAGAGAAGGCAATCGCTAGATTGCCCACAATAATGTCGACGTCATCAGGATCGACATTTTGCAGTTCAGTCAGACCCCGGCCTGTGTTGCCAAGGATACCGGCGCTGTAGGATTCGTCCAAAACCATCCGGAATTTGTACTTCTTCTTTAGTTCCACAATCTGAGGCAAATGCGTGATGGTTCCATCCCTCTCAAATAGAGCTTCTGTAACAATGAAGCGACGCGTCAGGGGCCGTCGAGAGCTTTCCTGCTCTTCGTTCAAATGCATTAGGACAGATTCAAGTGATTTCATGTCGTTGTGTTTATACCAATGGATGTGACTGCGGGACAACTGCAGCCCTTTTTGGATTGAAAATGCCACGCCTTCATCAGCAACGATAACGTCGCCGCGTTTGCAGAATGCTGGAATCACACTGCTGGTTGTCGAGAATCCTTGACTGTACACGATGCACGAATCTTTGCGGAAAAAAGTGGCGACCCGCGACTCCAGCTTGATGTGCATGTCACTAGTTCCGTAAAAGCCTGGAGGAGAGCAACTTCCAACACCGTATTCACGAAGGATAGTTCTCGCCTGCGCCTCAATTTCTGGCGCCTCCAACATACCAGTAAAATTGAACGATGCAAGATTCAAAACGCGTCGTGGCAATGTGCCTGTCATCCACGGCGCTTTCACCAGGGGGCGCGCTGATGCATGACCGCACACCTCAGGGATGCCATCGAGTTCTTCTTGTTGTTCTGCTGTCAGCGGTGAACACAAGGGTTCTGGCTCAAATTCTTTGACCAAGTAGTCAATTTCCTATCAATAAGTTAGCTGTCGTCCATGCACGCACGAGCGCAAGCACGTACTTTCTTGGAGAAATCAATAAAATGCGAGTTTCCTCGCGCACGCGTTCGATTTTGCAAAATCGTGCGAAGAGCAAAGATGAACAAGATGAGTTCCAGAAGGGAACGGACTGGGTCGTGTTGATAGCTACTGGCGATGTACCGCACAACAATGTCTCGACCAGGAATGGAGTTCACTAGCCACACCATCCACTGGACGATCCCGCCATATGGATCTTGATGTATCGAATCCGAACCAGTCATATTGACCGTGCGATTCTGTCTGTACAGACGCGAATTCTTGCGTCGAGCAGCTCAATGGTTGCCGTAATCACCAGCAAGGAGGGAATTGGTCGTGTTGCCGCTTCTTCGCCAGCGGCGGAGAAATTTATCAGGTAAGCAGAACATGCGACAAACTTGGGGTTCATGCATCCCACAACCTCCATGTCGATGGCTCCAAACCTACGGACTTTGGCACTACACTGAAACTTTTAATTCCTTTATTTTTTTTTGTCTTTGTTTAGCAAAAAGGGGTAGTCATGGATAGCTAATGAGTGCAGCATACATGCGTGCCTGCGGATGTACTTTTGAATTACTCGTTCGTGTCGTGCGCGTCCTCTGTCTCATCGATCCAACTTTGCTCGACAGTGAGCTTGACTCGACGGACATATTCTTTCATATTTTCGCGATAAAGAGATGCGGCCTCAGCATTAGCAGGACTAGATGTTAAAATCGTGTTAGAACAGGGATTCAAAGGGACAATTAAAGTGTGACGCACCTATTCGGGTTTGGGTCATGCAGCAAGCTCTGAATACTCGTGAGTATGGCGGCCACATCATACGTTGGACTCCATCGATTTTGTAGAATATCAAGGCATAACTCTCCGTTTGCGTATACGTTGGGATGGAACATTTTGCTCAAAAATTTAACTGTGGGTGGTTTATTCGGGTATGACTCGTCAAACGTGAGCAAAAGCTTGAATGTGCCATCTTCAAATGGTGTGTCCGCTGGGAATGGCATCAGCAAAGCATTGTATGTACGTGCGTACCTGGCCCAAAAATTACTGCGTTCCATATCAAGAGATTATCTGCACAGGGTGCTCCAGAGATGCCACCTGGTGGATCAGACGACAATCGCTTAAAGTCGCGGATCAGCCTGCGCTTCGAGGGTGTCGACTAAGGCGAAAACACATCAGCCAGCCATTCTACGCACCATCACCAAAATTCGTGTACAACTAAGCTAGTTTACTTGTTCACAAGCGCTAAAAATCAACAATGTCTTCGCACAATAGCGTCCACGCAAAGGCCTATGCGATCTTACTATTATGCCCGCTTTTCCCTCTGGTTGGTGGCAAATCGTGCAGTTGATATGACAATCCCAGACGACCAAGTCGCTACTTGCTTATACTCATGTAATAAAAATTAGCCTAAGAGGCCTTCTCCCACTCGACCTATTTTCCAAGTCCCACATTACAAAGTGAGATGGGTTGACAGCGCGTTCGAGTGTCATGTAGTAATGCGGGTTTGCTGGGTCGTGCAGCGCGCTAGGAATCTCTCCCGAACAACATCCCACAGACATGTTGAACACTAGTGATGCCAGTCTATTTGTTTAGAATGATTGTGCGCTACTCAGAACAATTGGTGTCCACAGTCTATGTACGGATATGTGCACCTCACACGCATCAAGACATGGCACGTGCCCATTAACTTCAACATTTTGTGCAATGTGCCTCACAATTCTGTGAGCCCATCTGCACAAAAGTAGACTGTTCATGGTTTCACAACATGACCTGTAAATTTCATATGCACAAGTCGACAGTGTAATAAAACAACAACAACAAAGGACTCAGAAAGAACAATTCCATGTGCCATGCATAGAACACAAGGATCATCACATCTTTGGAGGCATTCCTCCAGCTGGCATGGGCTGATAGCCATCCCGAGGCATTTGCCACTGACAAATGCCACATAGCCAGATATGGCTAGATTTGAATGGAATCTTCAAAGTCAGAATAAATTGCTTCTTTTTTCCTCTGATAGTTTATATGTACATACCAAAGGAATCCAACATAACTCAAACCACATTCGACTCTTTGCTTCCACAACCTGCGCATTGTTGCATCGCGGACACACATATGGTGTGCCGTCACCTTCTTGTTTGATTTTGTTGGGACAACCAAACACGAGCGGAACAAAGAAACAAAAGTCCTTCAATGGTTAGTTCCCGCCTCGTTTCACAATACATAGAAGTTGGTGATCCAGGCGCATATCCACGCGTAAAAGATGTGACTGACAAGTCACGACACATCAAGTCTAGCACCAATACTGACGAAGGTTTACAAACGTACCATGATGTATTAGCGGACGTCTATAAGAAGCAGGCCTCAAGGCGTGTATGAGATTTTTTACAGAGCCTCAATTTGTGCACAGCCTCGATGGGCCTGGCCTATGGCATCGAAAGGGGGGACGGAAACCCGGTTCTGACTAAACATACTCGTCAAGAGCGATTGTTGGGTTGTTTCTCAAAGATGAGCGATAGCGCCTTGAGCCTCGGCCCCATCCACATTTCTTCCACATGCACGGTAAACCCATCTCCCACTTCTTTCACTGCCTCCGACACATCAGAGAGATCCATGTTTCTTGGCACAAACATAACGACTTTGTCAGTCACTAACCTTGACAACTCTAGCAGTTTCTTCCCACCCACTGGCTGCAATGCCATGAACGGATAAGCGTCATAATACTTCTTGTTCGTTGGCGTCACGCCTTTCAGCTTGCTTGGGTCTCGGTATTCAACACCCCCCCACGGTGGCGACTGATTTGTCAGTAGCTTTTCCTTAGTTACGCACCATGAAAACCCTGTTTATGGTTAGCATATATAGTTTCGAGCCTGTACACGTACGCATCAATCTTTCGACGATCCCAGCCACCCCACTTTCCTTCGTCTTGGAGCTCTTCGCCACGCAGCTTGGCTTGTCGCACTTTTTCAACGTCTTGCGCAAACTCGCAATAGTCTCCGCAAAGTAGAGTAATCTTGTGCTCAACACCATATATTTTTGCTGAACGTCAGAATACCACAGTTGAATGCTCACCGTTGCGACGAGCCATTTCTAGCTTCACAGGATCGATGTCAATGCCAAGCACTGCGCATAAGTGTGCGACGTTTTACGCACACGTACCGTGATTACACGTCATAGCAAACTGAATCACATTTCCACCAGCACCACAAAATCCGTCCATCACCACATCACCCTGGCACTCGACTGCTGTACGGTATGCAAGTGCTTCTGGAGTGACCGAAAACCACGACTCCTTATCTAGTAAGATGCCCTCGTTGAACCGAGTAAACAGCGAATGTCTGAACCGCCAATATTTCAACATATTATCAGGAAGCTCATCTTTGTGTCGGATCGCGTTTTGCTCAGCGAGTCTTTCAACTTCCTTAGTCCGCCATGCGGTGGCCGGCACTTTCATCGTGAGGAGCTCCTGTAGTTACAGTTCCCGGCTACTAGCGTAACGTTTCGTGCACAATGCGCCTGACAAATATCCAATTACAAGCGGACACACTACATTAAACGAACGAGATTCTGCTTACGTATGCTCATTATACAAAGATTGCGCGACCAAACCATGGTACTTGGTCGTCACCTGAGTAAGTGTGTTCGACACATGTTTGAGCGCGTTCATGCTATCCACGGAACCCTGCAGCACATAGCACGTTGTCATCCCCAGAGCCGGTAGGCCACATATCATGAGATGTGAATGCGAATCGGCATATTCACGATGTGTTGGATCCACAAGCCATAGCTGCTGTGCTTTGTTGGTTGATGGAAGCGTTGAAATGGCGGTCTGTGCGTCATAAGTATGCATGTGATACGTACTGCCGTAGCTCCTGTCACTAACCCGAGCATTTGGACTCCCGCTTCGGCTAAAGCTGCGCTTGCCGCAGTGGCGCCCATGGCTGCACACCCCAACATGGAAGTGTCAGAGTCCAGGACTGTTATATGCACATCAATAGATGACTTCGGAAGGAGATCCAATCGAATGGCAGGGAGAAGAGCTTGCTGAATCAAAGCTGCTGGAACTGGGGCTTCTGTATCTCTGCTCGACCGGCGCTCCTTTTCGCTAAATGGTGCCATTTCAAATTGAACGTTGACCTCCGCCTTACCTGCGTAATGGCGACCGCGAACCTGTCGAGGTCCATGCCTAAAACGTAAGTCAGTGGATCACACGTACACAGAGCAAACAATTTTTGTGTGTCCAGACTCAAGAAGTGTGCTTCCACTAGCACTTGGAATGATGCCTGTTTGAAGGTCTTTTCGCATTGTCAGTCATGTATTGCTCAAACATACATAGTGGACGCGGTTCTTCTGCCTTTCTTCCATCTGGCCTGACCACAGGGCTTTTCTGCGCAATGCATGGGACCGCCATACTGTCCTCACCCACGTTCATGGTGTGCAAAACAAGGTTGTCACTCGCATGTGACTTCGGACTTATCAAGAGATAGCGCTCATTTACATTCCATACTGGTTCGATTGAGTTTTTCTCTGATACACTAAGGTTGTACAGAGGTTGGAAAGTGCTTTCTGGTCCGTTTGCACGTCGCCTGTCAAAGGTGCCGGCCATTTCTCTTGATTGTGCCGTGAGTGAAGCCTTAGCCAACTCCACAATCCATGTGTGAGTCGGGTGCCCGTCGTGGATACGAATTCAATTCTATGGAATTTCTTACTGTAAAATAATCATAGCAGTTAGAACGAAAAGACTAATAAGGAGAGTCAAGTTTGGCAAATGAGCACCCGCGCTGCCAGACGGAGGCTTTCCGAGAGCGCAAGTGCCTTCCGAGCTTCGCTTCGTGTTGGATGTCGTAGAAGAGCTAGCGTTTTCATCCGGTGTGTATATAAACAAGGTTTTCACGTCCCAATAGGCATCTTCAAACTGTCAAAATTAATGTCAGCATCCATGCATAGAATGTACATACCGTATTGCCTAGCTTGCCCACTTGGTAACCGCAGCTCTTGTATTGCGAGGGGCATGTCGTGTCTGAATAAGTGTCCTCGGCCCAGTCACCGCACAGAGTAATGTCAAATATGATCATGTGGTTGTCGAATTGATCAGAGCACTGCGTGAGCCCAAAATCAGCGGCCGGTGTGCCCCAGCTATCCGGGTTGACGGAACTTCCGGGCTTCTTAAGCTCTTCCGGCTCATCGCAGTTTTCCCAAAACCACATGCGAACACCTTTGCCATCTCTGCTGAAGTCGCGTTGCATAGCCACTGTGCCTCCACCTTTGGCATTCAGCTTATGGCCCCAAGTTGCGTCACTTGTGCCATTCATAGCAATACGGCAGCCAGAATTCTCATTGGCATACGCCTCGCAATCATTGAAAATGGTAGTTCCTGTTTGCTTTGGATTTTCAATAAGGCATGTTCTATTCAGATGAACAGCAGCAAGGTTGTAAGGATATTGATCGTTGGCATTTTCCAGAATATCAATTTCGCCACCTTTAGGCCACTGTGTCGTGTTATCAGTGACTGTCCAAAATGCAGGCCAAACTGCACAACCGAGAGGAACATGTGCGACTTGCAGACTGTAGAGTCAGCAGCAATCTTCCACATACATAATGACAGAGTCACGGTAAGACTTCTTCGAATGCAACCTAACACTTGGTCGACCATTTGGCTGTTCCATGGTAGTATCAACACGCATTACAAAATTGTCGCCGTTCGCATAAGACAAGTTAAGACGCTTTGCATTAGGCATGTCGACATAGTTCACCATACCATGCGTCATGTTGTCCGCGCCATCAGGTCCGGCATAAAAGTTGAACTTGTTGAAGTAATCCTCGCCAGTGATGCTATCATCAAGCTTCCATCCTAAGCCCCACACTAAAGAGACACTGAGTAATTGAAGCAGTCCCCACACAGCGACTTTCATGTTCGTAGAGTCGACAACGACAATGCGCCACAGTAGCGCTGACAGGTTTCCCTAAGACTCGGTTGATTACATGTACCGGCACGTGATGCGCCTTTCGTGTGGCGTCGCACCTTTAAATGCATCACACGACGCGTCATATTCATGGAGGATCGTCCGTACCATGCGTCGAAGTGCCGTTGTGGCGGCTTTAAAAGAACTCCAAGACAACAGTTCGGACCACACAAGAGAGTCGCCGCGGCAACTTGCAACTGGGGGTGGATATGGAATTTTGCAAGAGCAGAAGCCCTTCAAGTCGCCTTTGCTGAAGAAGCGCGGTCCTGATGCGTCCTTGCGCAAAAGGGCTCGCGTTAATTACTCCGAATTAAGTGGCGACAGTGTAGATCAAAGTGGCATATATATCGATGAGATTGAAGGGCCGAGGAAAAAGAAGAGTCTAGAAGGCGTATACAAGGGTATCGATGCGTCGGGTGTTTCATTTAATGCCGACCGACGTAAGTGGCAAGTTTTTCATGCTGATCCTCGGGCTATAAAGCGCAAGTTCTCGATACCGAGCATCCGAAATGAACGTGGCGAAGTAATCGAGTCGCAACTCTCTCATGCTGCATTAGGTGTTAGAAGACCAGTAGAAGTGCCACCGCGTCCATTACATGATCCCATGAGTGAACATTCAATCGTGTTGTTCGATCCTACTATTGATGACAAGGATATCGAGTCAGAGAGAGAAAAATTACGCCTCGCATTCGAAGAGCAACAAAAGAAAGAAGAAAAGCGTGGCCCTCACAAAAATTTAGCGACAATTCTTGGTATTAACAAACCTCACATGCCGATTCGCGACAAAGTTCCAGTGGTCATCGATCCGCGTCTGGGTAAAATTCTTAGACCTCATCAGATTGAAGGTGTTAAGTTTTTGTTTCGCTGCACGACAGGTATGGTCTCAGAAAATGCGCACGGATGTATTATGGCAGATGAGATGGGACTGGGCAAGACGTTACAATGCATAACACTTTTATGGACCTTGCTAAAGCAATCACCAAATGCTGGTAAGAGCACAATTCAAAAAGCAATAGTTGTTTGTCCTTCAAGCTTGGTTCGAAACTGGGCGAACGAACTAGTCAAGTGGCTGGGTGCATCCGCGCCGGGTTCGTTGGCACTCGATGGACGGCTAAGTCGTGAGCAAATGTTTGAGTCAGTGCAGCGCTGGGCTGACTGCTCCGGACGCGCGATTGTTCATCCAGTCATGATTGTATCGTATGAAACACTCCGGAACTTGCAAGAACTTTTAGGTAATACGGAAATTGGTCTTCTGCTGTGTGACGAAGGGCACAGACTCAAAAATGCAGACTCCATGACCTTTCAGTCCCTGGCCATGCTCAAAGTGAAAAGGCGCGTTATTTTGTCGGGAACGCCTATCCAAAATGATCTCTCTGAATACTTTGCACTAATTAATTTTGCTATCCCTGACATGTTGGGGAACCGGAATGAGTTTCGCAAGCATTTTGAGCTCGATATTCTGCGCGGTCGCGATGCTGGCGCAACGGAAAAGGAAAAAGAAGTTGGTCGTGAGAAGCTCCAGCAACTTTCTGGCATGGTTAGCCCCTTTATCATTCGCCGCACCAATGACATCTTGTCGAAATATCTGCCTGTGAAATATGAGCATGTTGTCTTTTGTCGGCTGTCTCCGTTCCAAGTTGATTTGTACAATCTTTTTCTACGATCGCCTGTTATCGCCAGGCTTCTTCGTGGAATAGGCTCTCAGCCGCTGAAGGCGATTGGAATTTTGAAAAAGTTATGCAACCACCCTGATTTACTGAACCTGCCCGCTGATCTCGAGGGAAGTGAAGAACTATATCCTGAGGGATACAGACCTGGTGATCGCCGCAATGTGGCTGTGGGTCTATCTGGCAAGTTGGCAGTGCTGGAAAGATTTCTTACGTCAATGCGAGCAAAGACAGATGATAAAATTGTACTTATTAGCAATTACACACAAACGCTTGATCTCTTTGAACGACTGTGTCGAAGCCGTCGCTGGGGTTTCTTTCGACTAGACGGGACTATGAATATTAACAAACGTCAAAACCTTGTGGACCGATTCAACAATCCGGAAGGTTCTGAGTTTATTTTTCTTCTCAGCTCTAAAGCTGGTGGATGTGGCCTGAATCTAATCGGTGCAAATCGACTCGTCTTATTTGACCCGGACTGGAACCCTGCATCTGATCAGCAAGCTCTTGCGCGTGTCTGGCGCGATGGCCAGAAAAAATCATGTACGTATGCACTAGTCTTTTTTTTCGCTAACAAGGTGTAAGGTTTTGTATATCGATTTATTGCAACTGGCTCGATTGAGGAGAAAATATTACAGCGCCAGTCTCACAAACAGTCACTTTCTTCGTGTGTTGTTGATGATGACGTTGATGCCGAGCGGCACTTTTCCGGAGAGGATCTTCGTGCTTTGTTCCAGTACAAACCCGACACTGTGTCTGACACCCATGATACCTACAAATGCAAGCGGTGCGAAGACGGAAAACAGTTAACACCGTCACGAGCTATGCTCTATGGTGACACTAGTACATGGAACCATGTTTCGAAAGAAGAACTCGGACAACTTCATGATGATCTTCTTCGTGCGGAAATTATGCACGATGATGTTTCTTACGTGTTTCAGTACTGTAGTCATTAGTGTTCATAAATCCCGATTGACCCGATGCACTCGCGCAGCCCCCTCGCCTGCTTGGAGAGAGCTTCTCCAAACGAGAAATTCAGCAGTACTAGAAACTCGTTAGCAAGCACACACGCTTAGGCTGCAGAGATACATTGATGAACGTTGCTGAGTTGCCCATCGAGACATTTTTAAGGACACAGCCACGTTCTATCTTGATTCGATTATATGAGAAACCGGCGAGCTGTTTGGCCGTTTTTCGGTGCGTGGAAGTAACGCTGTGTCAGGATTCTCATAAGACAGACTATTGCCAATGGCAGCACGACAGATAATAATGGACATGATGTTTCTGGAGAAACCGCTCACTACAAACGAATGTTACCAACTTTTTCGTTCAAATTCTGACGAGTATGTGTGTCTATGTTTGATGGCTTACCAGCGCAGCCCCTATAAAGAAGCTCTTGAACGCATGCAAAGACTGTCGATTCTCATGATCCGCGATGATACATATTTATATATGAACGAAGTTTTTCGACGCGGTATCAAAGGTGCTTTGACAGGCAGGTACGTGGCGATTTATTAACATTGTAGTGGCGACTCCGAATCATTTGGGAAGCCGTGTGATCGCCTCACAGAAAGCACAGTAACGACGGAATTTCTAGACGAATATGCGCGTACGCAATGGGAAACAATTTTGTACTTTATGGTTGGAAGTGAACAGGCAGCGTCTCCTCGGAATACAGTGCTTTTTCTCCTGCAGCGAGCTGGACTCATGCAGCGAGATCACCAGACTAATGACAAACTGAACATTACGTCATTAGGCTTCCAGTTCCTTCTACAAGACGTTAATTCACAGCTTTGGGCACTTTTGCTGCACTACCTAAGTATGGCAGATGAGCGCAATATGGATCTTGTTGAGGTGCTTGCATTTTTCTTCACAGTGGGTGGTCTCGAGCTAGGTCGTGCGTATGAGTCGCGAGGCTTTTCACAGACACAACTCCAGACACTTGAAGAATTGAGTGATTATGGTCTTGTATATCGACCAAGCAAATCTGCAAAGTATTTCTTTCCTACGAGACTTGCATCAACACTCACGTCAACGGCATCGCCTCTCTTATCTAGACTAAATGACCAGGAGGAGCAAGGGTATCTTATTCTCGAGACGAACTATCGGGTCTACGCATACACAGCAAACCTTCTGCGCATTGCGATTTTAAATTTGTTTGTGACGCTAAAGAGCCGCCTGCCTAACCTGGTGATTGGACAGCTTACCAGACACAGTGTCAAATCAGCGCTGAACAAAGGCATTACAGCGGATCAAATCATCACATACTTGACCCACCACGCTCACCCTCAGATGTATAAAAACGTAAGTGTAAAGGTGACTCACTCGGCGTAGGAACCATTGCTTCCCATAACAGTATCTGACCAAATTAGACTGTGGGAACGTGAGAAAAACCGGGTTTCTTCTGTGGTCGGTGCGTATATCTGAGGCTGAAATGGATGATGCTTATGCCAGGAAATTTGTACACGGATTTCACGTCGACATTTGACTATGTCCAAGTGCGTGATTATGCCAGCAGTCTAGGCGTGCTTCAATGGGAAAATGAAGCAAAACGTATGCTCTTCGTCACAGTGGATGGCCACTCAAGTGTCCGAGAATTTATTCAAAGACGCCGCGTCTAGTAAAGCTCTAAGGCGTCTCGGCTTTTGTGCCGTAGCTTCTTGTTCTCACGTATATTTACCGAAATACCCCAGTTTAGATCCACTCGATTGAGAAACGTACACTTGCGCAAATTCATTTTCTAACGCGCCCCGCATTTCCTTGGAGTCATGTGCGCGTGATTCGGCTTGTATCCCCGGTCATACACAGGTGAGCGATTCACTAATGATTGGCTCATATAATTCGGCCGAAACAGTGGGACCTGGTCGTAGTCGTGGGAGCGTATCACCAGCCGGAGACGGCTTCTTTCTTACAATAACCATGTCTATGCGTTCGGTAGTCCGCACATCTAACACTCTGCGCCTTGCCTCGCGCAGCGCCTTTGCCGCACGCTCTGTTGCTTCAGCTCGACTTCCACAAGTAGCTCGCGCTTCTGTTGCACCCGCCGCTCGTGCGTTTTCGTCGTCGGTGAAGCGGGCCGAAGAGTTCGAGAACCCGTTCGGCGTCAACTCCCTGTACAAGTTGACGGAAGAAGAGCAGATGCTTCGTGAAGTTGTGCGCCGTTATGCAGAGACACAGGTAAAGCCTCTAGTGGCACAGATGGACGAGAACGAAAAGATGGACCCGTCGATCATTAAAGGCCTATTTGAGCAAGGTCTCATGGCCATCGAGACGTCGCCAGAGCTCGGTGGTGCAGGCAGCAGCTTTATGTCAGCCATTATTGTGATTGAAGAGCTTGCGAAGGTGGACCCATCAGTGTCAGTCTTGTGTGATGTGCACAACACGCTGGTGAACACAGTGCTACGTAAATACGCCAACGAGCATCTACAGAAGAAGTACATGCCAATTCTCTCGACGGAAAAACTCGGTTCATTCTGCCTGTCTGAGCCCAACTCTGGTTCCGATGCGTTTGCTATGAAGACGACTGTGAAGAAGTCCGACGATGGCAGCCACTACATTATCAACGGCTCGAAGATGTGGATTACGAACAGCGCTGAGGCTGAGTTCTTCATCGTATTCGCTCAGGGAGATGCTTCGAAGGGTTACAAGGGGATTTCGGCCTTTGCTGTTGAAAAGGACATGGGTGTGGAAATTGCCAAGAAGGAAAGCAAGCTTGGCATTCGTGCGTCCAGCACATGCACCGTGAACTTTGACGAAGTCAAGGTGCCAGCCGAAAACCTTATTGGCGAGGAAGGCAAGGGTTACAAGATTGCCATTGAAATCCTGAATGAAGGACGTGTGGGTATTGGTGCCCAGATGGTCGGTCTTGCTCAGGGCGCCTTTGACCGTGCTCTTGCTTACACGTTTGAGCGCCAGCAGTTCGGTAAGCCAATTGCCAAGTTCCAAGGCATGCAGTTCCAGATGGCTCAGATTGCCACGGAGATTGAGGCTGCTCGTCTCATGGTATACAACGCTGCTCGCTTGAAGGAAGAGGGCCGTCCATTCACTAAGCAGGCTGCCATGGCGAAGCTCTACTCAAGCCAGGCTGCTGAGCGTGCCGCTGGCCGTGCCATTGAGTGGTGTGGCGGTCAGGGTTTCACACGTGAGCAAGGTATTGAAAAGTACTGGCGTGACAGCAAGATCGGTGCCATTTACGAAGGCACTAGTAACATTCAGCTCAACACGATCTTCAACCTGACGGCTAAGGAGCAAGGCTTGTAAGCACGTAGTGCCCAGATTCTTATATATATATATATATAAATGTAGGACATGTATGCATTTACGTTTAAATAAAAGATTGCCCTCACATATCTGAACAATCCAGCCACGACGTTCCTTCTCAGCTCATAGATTGAACATGGTCTGTTGCAAAGGTGAAATTGATTTTTTTTCAATATGCCTATGGATCAGAAATCGATATATGGAAAGGGGGAATTTCGCGTACGTGCATACTTTCGGCAATTTGTGGACGACGATGATTGCGTGTCGAACTTATACAATCAGATGTTGCTTTACTTTGTTGATCAGACTGCAGGATCATAAGAGGCTGCTGCACCGGAGCGTGATGGGGTCTCCGAAACGGCAAGTCTTGGGACCGTATACTTTCTAAATTACTACATTTGTACTTAAGGAGGAATAACATGATTTGGGTTCGAAAGTCTTGACGACGTATGGAACTATAAACTAACGTATTTGGCGGAACATTGTCATGGAGTATACAGCATGTATATGTTCACGATAACTGTTTCGCTTAGGCCTTAGACGAGGAAAAGATGCGTACCCCGACTTGAACTCCACATAGCTCTGTCATGCAGGATGGCAAGGAAGATTGGGAGCAGGCATGGGCCAAGCAAATGTGGGATAATCAGCTTGTTTAGGTCTAGATCCTATTCTTATGCCTATCGGCGAGGCTAAAGCATGAAGAATGCATGAACCTTGCGCCCTGGCTCTTCAGAATATAGCGTCTGAGCAGCCAAAGCCTATACCTGCTATAACGTGTTTGAGCCGTTGCGCCGGAACCTATCAACTAGTGTAACGTGACACACAATAGTGTCTGATCACACATTTATGTATGTTCAAGAGCAACCACGTAAGGTGACTGGCAAAAATACGTGCGATATACATGCCCCAGAGACAGCGTTCCTAACATAAACGCAGATTCATTCTGCCAAAAAGAACTATTGACACATACAGTGAGCAGGATGCATTATGGATAGTACGTTTTTTGCGAACATGAACCCAGTAAATTGGACGACGCAGCCCAAGCGCAAGACGTGCGACGACATATGAGCGCGTATCAAGGGCATGCTCGGAAAGATCTGGGAGAGTAAGGTGCGTAACACCTTAGGTACATGTTCTGGATGAACGCGGCAAAACAAGATGGCGAAATGAAAAGGAGAAAGATACAGAAACAATCGGGCAAGAAGGCAATAGCTGATCTAGCCGGTTATAAGTATTACGTGCTATGGTGAAGTAAGTCAGCGGATTCTGAAGATTACCGTACATAATCCAAGAGTTGAGGCTTCGGGAGGTGAGTGGCCAAATTTCTTCAGGGCATGAGCGTTAACGAAAGATATGCTTTCCACACTAGTTGATGTGACGCGCACGGCAGGGCCTCGACTACACTGACCAACGAACTCGAACAAGGATACGCGCGCATGACACAATATGAACCCAGCCCGGATATTGGGAGCGAGCCCACAAGCTTATGACATCGCCAGGACGAGCGTCACGCACGATCGGATCATCATAGTCCAAAGTCACAGTATGATGCCGAAAGGCGCTCGAGGCATGCACGTTTCGACATAATTCTTTTCGATGAATTTCGGTATATGCCCAGGATGATGGAGAATCGACGTCGTCAACTTCGGAGTCGGAGCTACCTGTGCTGTCGGCGAAAGAAGACTGCACAGCATCCGCATGTGCATGATCACGAGCAAATAATCTAGAACGCTCTACTGGGCGATCTAATGTCAGGTCCCACCAGGTATGACTACCTTGGTACGTGCCAATCCAGTCCTGGTTGGGATCGGAGCTCCACCCTTGGTCGTGACTCACGGTATCGATTGTAACTTGCAGCACAAAGTTGCGCACATAGGCAGACTCCAGCTTAGGAGTACATAGGTAGCGCGTATTAGCATTATTTGTATATGTGGCATCGTAGCGCCGCTCGACAGCAAGTTCAAGACCTTCTCGTGCAAGGAACAAAATGTGTGATATCAACTCAGGTGGCAACCTTTTTTCTTGAAAGAAGCCGTTGTATTTGGTGCACATCGAAGTTCTTGCGCTCGTATACTAAAGATATCATCATTCGGTAAGTCATCCCAATGGGCAGTGATCCCAGCGTGCGGCGGATTACGAGCGACGGAGGCTGAATACACTGACGGAGGGTCAGACGGCACGAACGGACGAGACATTGCCGGCAGATTTATGGCCCCGGATGAAGACTCCCGCTCGTTATTTCGGCGTTGAAATGCATCTGGATCAACCAAAGAATAAAGCCACTGGAAGATGGACTGCATGTCGTCGATTCTTCGTCAAACGCATGCGCACGAGACAAACGTGAGGCGTGGAGAGAGAGCGGCCCATTCCATCATTATTGGGGTTAGAAATTGGCATCTCCATCTCGATAGCCCCGCATCAGATGCCACGTGCACATCAGTCTGACGTTGTAGCCCGAGTTACGCACACGTGGAGCTAGCACATACCTATCTACAAGCATGGACGAACACCCTAGGCAAGCTATGCTAATCGTATTAATAGGATCAACGCTGCGATGAATGATGTACAGGAGAAAAGAAAAAAAAAAAAAAAGAAAAAGAAATAAAGAAAGAAGAGAAAAGCGTCTCAAGTCGTCCATGCGGTCTGAGCACAAGGAACGTCCTGCAACTACTGATAAACTTGTCGTGATCCATTGTGCTCCATGGCGGTATAATAAGCCTCAGAGGAAGAAGGGATTGGTCCATGGACCGGAACAAACAGGGGAGGTGCCTGAGGCAAATGCCCCTGCTGCTCTTGTTGAAGCGAAGGGTAGCCGCCATACGGAAAGTCGGAGGGGGGCGGAGCTGAAAAGGCAGTATGAAATCGTGTGTGCTGCTCATCGCCCGACGATTCAGCAAAAATGACACCATCATCGAGGTAGGACTGGTGCTTCATACCATCAACGTCAGTGGCGTCATCGACATGCAATGGTTCCTTACGCTCGACAATATCGTCGTCACGCGTTTGACTCGAACGCACATAGGAAAAGTCGCTGTGTTTGCGCTTTCCATGTGGCTTGAAAATTTGTTTGAGGCGACGCATGACCTTTTTGGGCTTGGGCACCGGCTTGTCCGACGCAGAGAAGGAGTACCCACGGTACGGTCGGGCTTCGCCAGTGCTCATGTCGTGGTAAATACTGCTTGTGCGGCTCTGTGTGGGCATTAGCGGGTACGTATCGCCGACCGGAGCACGCGACGCATCTGCATCGACTTCAGACTCATAGGCTTGCGCCGCACGCAAGCCAGGCATTTGTGGGTCGTGGACGTAGTCGTGGTTTGGATCGCGAGCGTCGATGTAATGCAAAATGTCCACATCCGTGGGAAAGAAGTGAATGCGCAAATATTCATACAAGATGCGGGGCAGGATCGAAAGGAAAGCTGTGAGAATGCCACCTACCCAGAATTGGGCCGACCGATACAGATAATAATTGTTGCCCCATGAATGCGTCCAAATTAAAGTGGGTGGGAAGGCGGCATAGATGGGCTCGAAAACAAACAAAAGCAACGTCGGGATCCACACAACACCAAAGATCCACCATGTCCATGCCATGGATTCAATGCCCGCGTACAGATTGGCCGCAAGGACGGTGGATAATACCATGTTTGTCGTCGGCTCGTACAAATCAATATCGTAGCCGTCTATTCGGGTAGACGTTGTGTCGTAGAAGTACATCAACAGGAAAAACAGTACGACAGACTGAAAGACGCCATCGAGCATATAGCCCAAGAAGCGCCACATCCCGAAGTACTGCTGCTTACGTGACACGCCATAAAGCTCAGGTACCTGCATCAAGACGTGGTCTGACACGTTCCGGTCAAAGATGCCGATTCCAATCACCGCCGCCACGGTCCAAATGGCGTTGTACAACAGCAGATACACATAGTCGATTGCTTGTGACGTTGACCACGCACAGTAGATCTGGAACCAGAAAAGCGTACCGGTGTGTACCATTTGCTTGTAGAAGAACACATTCACCATGGTGCTGTTTCGATAATACGACCAGTGTCCGTGTACGAGAATCAGCCGCTTTAGAAAGTAAAACTGGCCAATTGCATAGTCCGCCGAATTGACTGCTTGCAATCCTTCTTCGCCAGCCACACCTACTCCAACATGTGCTGCCTGGATCATCGACACATCATTGGCACCATCGCCAATCGCAAGAGTAATGCCATTGAGGCCTTGTTTGACCAAGCGCACGATCAGGGCTTTTTGCAAGGGACTCACGCGGCAACAAATGACCGCACGACAGTTCTTCGAGACGCGAATCAACAGCTCGCGACTGTGTGGCTCATTTAATGCGAACGAAAGGGCATGTCCGTCAATCACGAGTGCGTAACCACCAGGGCGTGAGCCATTTTCCTCGCCAACAAGTGAGGTGTTAGTCATCACACTTTGACCATCGAACGTGTCGACCATAGAGGGTGGTGGCGGATGCTCCATTTCACTGGCGTCGATGCCGCCAAAGAAACGGTCCATGGCCATTTCCAGCTGGGTGTACGCGGAATGTTTAGAGCCATACTCACCGCCGCGCACAACAATCAAGTTCATATCAGGCGCAATAAGCATCGTGCTATATCCAATTGCAATGGCAGTCTCGAGCTTGTCACCAGTGGCGACCCAGATATTAATGCCTGCCCGCTTCAAGTCGGCAATCGTCTCGGGCACGCCGTCCTGCAGACGGTCCTCGATGGCCGTCGCACCAAGCAGGATGAAGTCGCGCTCAAGCTCATCGGCGAGTGCCTCCATGCACTCGTCACGGTTCTCCGGTTGTGACACTCGCGTGTTGGTACTCACGAGCCCATGCTTGGTACTGCTTCGGGTCGAGTTCCCTCATTGCCGCGCACAGCGTCCGTACACCACGGGTTTGCAAACTCTTCCAGCGACTTGTCCGTCGATGCACACATGTCATCTTGGACCGGTGCCAAACGAGAGTAGATCATGGAGTCAGCTCCTTTCGCATACATCAAGATCCGTTCGTCGCTGTGGCGCCGAAGGATCACACTCATGCGCTTGCGCGCAGACGAGAACTCGAGTACCTGAAGCACTTCGTACTTTTCCAGTGCATCAGAGTCGGGCACTTGCAAGGCGGCTTCATTGATATGACGGCCCGTGAACACGTAACCGTTCGCAGCGGGCTGTCTCGACGAGCGCCTGTTCGTCAGGAGACTCGGCTTGATATGTGATGCAGTTCTCCTCGGCGGTCTTCGTCACATGGACTGTATGACACAGCGAGAGGCAGCGCATGAACTCGTGCACTTGCTGGTGAGACCGAGACGACGGATTGCGCACGATATGTGATAGTTCGTCATCGTAGAAACGCGGCACATCCTCCATGACCGGCTTCACATGTACTTTCCCAAGTGGTTTCTCGGGAGCTCGGCCACCCCCATGGAACACTAAGCCAAAGACAGAGCAGCCGCGGAAAATCATGAGATTCTGCGTGAGTGTACCGGTCTTGTCGCTAATGATATACTGGATCTGACCGAGCTCGTCAGATAAGTTCCACGACTTGGCCGTCGTGCGCCTACTCATTTTTTCATGATACATGTCGTAGTCCTCAAAAATGAAAAGAGCTTGGATCGTGCGCACAACCTCGAACGAGATGTACAGCGCAATCGGCACAATGTTCTGGAATGTAATGAGCGAGTTGGCGAACGAGACCAAGCCATTTAAGCTTGGGTTATCATCATTGAACACAGCAAGATACTCCCAGTACGAACTGCGATCAAAGTAGTACTTTTCAATCTGGGCATCAGCAATCGCACAGATCACGGCCATGGCGCCGATGATGCCCAGGATTGACGTACACCATCTTGTTCATCTCATATTCCATAATACTACGCTTGCTGGGCGTGTCACCAGAGTTCAGCACGATTTTGGAGTCGGCACCGGTCATGACAACGACACCGATGACCCATTCCGTGTTACGCAACGCGCTTCCACGAAGAAGCACCTGATTCAAAGTGACAGGGCACGCCAACGGATTCCCCTCTTCATCAAACTCATCGTACAAATTCACGCACCCACTGAAGCGGTACATGTCGGTGTTTTGCGGCTCGACTTCCACGTCGAACTGACGGTCAAGGCATGCTTCGGGCGACCGCATGTCTGTGAGTTGCTGGACAGCATATCGACTTTTTAGATTGATCTCCCCATCGAGGTTCTTTGTCTCGACATAACAGCTGCCATCGTCCTCACTGGTCGCACAGATCACAATGTCAGCAGGAACAGGATCGTTGTTTCGTAGGCACACTATGTCGCCCACCTTGACGTCGTCCCAATGACGAGAGCGCCAGTACGCTGAGGCGCCGTGGCCACTCAATGACAAGCTATGCCTTGGCTCATCATGCGAGCTCTTGCCGATGGTACTGGGCCGGTCAAAGCTCATGGACGAAAAGCGGCCGTGAGCCGCGTCTGGCGATAGGGGCCGTGGAGAACCCGGAGGAGCATGAGCACCTAGATCATGCATGGAAACGGCTTGTTGTTTCCGCTTCTTGCTAAACTTCTCGACCAGCCAAGGGGGCATCACATAACGCCAGGCAAGCTGCCACATCAGCAACAGGCTGCGCGATTTGCCCTCTGTCTTGTTGTGATTCGTGTACCCATGACCGCTAAGCACACGTGTTTTTTGACGATTTACAGTCCTGTCTGACTGGTGCCGTTTGATGTCTTCATACCCGTCCTTCACCATAGTGATGAACAAGACAATCAATAGTGGAAGCATGGCAAGACCAGGACTAATGGTGGTGAATTGCGGAAAAAATTGAAGAATCACGAGTACCAAGAAAAATATGTTAGCCACACGACGGAACTGCTCTAAAAGATTCTTGAAAACAAAGTTGTATACCGTATACTTGGCCGTAATAACTTGGTTCGTAGCAAACATCCATTGTCGACGGACGCGTCCACGCTTGTCGTACGCTTCCTTCGGCAATTCTATATTGATCATAACGCGTCTCGATGATGGCGGTGGACGCTTGCGCTTGAATGCCGTTTCCGGGTTGAGATCGATCTGTTTTAGTTTCCGCCACACGTGCGATGCCAAAGCATGAAAGCCCCGCTTATCGCCGACGGTGTCACCAGAATCAGCCATCGTGCGGCGCACAGTTCGGTCCTTCCTGCACCTCCGTATATCTCAAAAAAATAAAGATCCTTTCCAGTTATAGACGGGGAGGGAAGGTATCAAGCACAAGATTTGCGAGAGAAGGGTGGATGGATGGACGGATCTGAGGACGAACCGAAACTAGTCCCAGTGGATTTGGCGAGCCAGCCGTAATTCAACGAAAACACTCGCCTGCTTTATTCTTTGGCCACCGTGCCAAACACTGTCCCCCTACCCATTAGGTCCCACACCCCAGCTCTACCTCAAGTAAAAGTTTTAGTACTTACACGCACGCGCGTTGGGAAACGCGGACGTCATCGGACCTAATAGCTTCCTAGCCCTATATAAAATGTCATTGGCTCGATTGAATGCAAGCCCTACAACCCGACTGAAATCCGCTTGCTCGGACACCACTGAGTCCGTTTATTCGTGGTGCGAAACGATGCGGAAAGGAGGGACATCGTTGAGCGCCGACGCCTCCGCACGACAGGGCAAGGCAGTACCCGTGGCGCCTGTCGATCCAGCTGTGCAGGTTGCTATGATGCATGCTGAATTCCTTCTAGGACAGACTCGCCGAAATGTAGAGCAGCTGGCTGCCACCCATGCACTTGATCCGCTCTTGTGCCGCCAACTGCAGACGCTCCTGGAATCCGCCAAAATTCGCCCACCGCCGGCGCCTCGGTCTGCACCTGAAACACAGGTGGCAAAGAAAGACACTAAAAAGGAAGTAACAGGCAAAAACAAGTGGGCACGCGAAGTCATGTCAGACACGTCGCTTTTGCCCACCCTGGTTGACACTGCGCTAAGTGTTACAGCTGGTCCCATCTTGTCGTCGACGCAGCGCGAAGCAATTGTGGATATCGTAGGCATTTCGCAAAGCCGCATTGCCAATGCACTCACAGATCCTGAGCGCCAGGCAGCTGCACAGCGCTGGACTCAAAACACTGCCAAGTCAGCGCACCAGGGTTTGAAAGGCGGTTTAATGGGTGCAAATGATAATTGGGACAAGTGGTATAAAAAGCAATTACTGGATTCCGACACTCGGAAGGAGCGGCGCAAAGAGGAACGCAGCTTGCAAGAAGAGCTCAGAAATGAACGTTCGCAGTTCCATGCGCCAGCATATGTTGGCGACACCCGTTCTCCATCTTCTGATGCGGCTGTCTCGATGACGGGCTTACCTGTCTCAAAATTTTCTGCCATCACAGACAATCCTGCAACTGCAAGTGTTGCATGTCTACCATCGCAACAAGTGGCCGATGATTCAAGTCTGAGTACTCTGACACGAGCAGGTGCCGTAACGACGACGTTTTCGCCTTGGCCTGGTCTTGTGCTTACCATGTCGACAGTGGCATCGAGCGGATCCGTCGATATGCCAAGCACTTCAGGTTTGGACGATCAAAGTGGTGGTAGGAGCTTACCCCCGCCACCTGTGCCTGGTCAGCCAACCCCTCCGAAACCATCGATCTCGAGCCAAGTAGCGCCACCACCGCCTCGACGAGGGCCAACAGGACCAACGGCAACGTCACTTCCGCCATTGTCACCTGTGCAACAACCCCCACCACCGCACCCCGCATCGGGAGTGGCTGCATCTCCACTTGCTTCGCAGCCACTTCCGCCTGTCCCACCGCCACAGTATACCACGGGGTCCTACGGTGGTGTGCCATCATCACTTCGACCAGGCTAAGCTACAAGCGTATAAGTGAGCACAGATATCGACTATGCATACATGACAGACATTCGAGTAGACAATAAAATCAGACATGAATTATTTTATTTTTTATTTTGCACAATGGTGAGATTGTAAGGCGCATACGAAAAGTAGTGGAAACATAGATGCTATTGATTGCTGTGGCTGTGCGCAAAAGGGTCTTCAAAAAATAATAATAATAAAGTGCCCTTATGTATAGAAGTCCATAAGTTCCGAGACACCTTCGTTGTAGCCACCAAGCATGTTGTGCATTTTGTGTTTCATAGCCATCTTCATGATAGTCTCACTGGCATGGTTCATGGCGTCGTGCTTGTCAGAGCCGCTAGCATGTTGACCAGCGATCGACATAGCCTTACCCACGAGAGCATTGATACCGCCCTGCTCTTTGTGTTCATTGTTGCCGAAGAATTGCTTGACAGCATTGACAGCCGAAGCTTGTCCCACCTCCTGCGACGATGCTTTCTGGCCCTGTTGCACCTTCTTGAATGTGCTCAGCAGCTGGTTGTGATCAAGATCATCCTTGATCTCGCCCTGTTGGTGCTTTCCGTGCAGCATGCTGGTAACCTGAGAGAAAATGCTCGTGTTCGAACCCGAAGCATCACCATTCTTGACGTCGTGACTCGAGGCGTGGCTGGCGGCATGATCAGGGTGGAAGCCAAAGTCTTGGACACCCTGAGCGCCTTGTTGTGATTGAGCGCCACCTTGTCCTTGCAGGAACTGCCTTCCCATGTTTACAAAGTTCTCCATGTTGGTCGTTAATGCTGATAAAGTAATGGGAATCGGACTTAAGGAGTGGCCAAGTCTCGTCGTTCTTATCACCTCACCCTTGCTAGCCTGTCCACTCAAGATCAATGCACGGACATCCCATATGTCACGAGTGTCCCCTGACACGTGGCCTATGCACAAAGGTATTGGACCGGACGCCAGCGCGAAGCGGAGGGAAAGGTATCTTGTCGACACGGAGTAGGTTTGTTGTATGGAGATTTCTTTGTTTATTAGCCGGGCAAATCAGGGTGGATCACACTTTGGAGCACGGGGGAAAAGAGGACGTGTCACGCGCTCTATGGAAGAAGGCTCCACCTCCGCCAATTAAGACTACGCGCCGCATTGGCCAGCGTGCACACCCCTACAAAGTCGATTCAAGCTGTACAAACGAATAGAGTCTGACACGCTGAAGTAAGAGAGTCACGGCAAGCCATGCTCCCTGAATACAACCTTGCTCCACATTTGGAACAGACGCATGGATCTGATGTGCAGCGAGACGCTACAGGGCTCGACAATTATGACATGCCGTCTTTCTTGAAAACGCGGAAGAAATTGAGCAAGTCCGTGACGCGGCACTTCTTGCCGTCTAATTTGAGTGTTCCCTTGCCGATGCGTTCTCGTGGCAGCCGAGCAATGTGGCGTCAAGCATACATAAATGTCACAGCATACGCGCTTTATGAGCCCGTGCTTTGTTCGTGGGCATCAACTTTCATCGCTTTCTTGCTAACACTACTTATAGTCTGGATGGTGGCGCATGTGCGGCAGGTCCAGGATCCCGACAAGGAACTTTTACCGTGGCGAGAAATGTGCGCCAAGCAGCCAGCGTTTGTCAACGCAGCGGTGGAGCAAGTCGAGCCAGTGGATCTGTTGGTTGGCGTGCTGACGACAGACGCCAAGTTCGAGAGGCGTAGTGTGATTCGCGACACGTACATGCGACATACAGTGCCAAAGCATGCGTCAAGTGGGCGCCCGCTCGGCAATGTACAAGTGAAGTTTATTCTCGGCCGGCCTCGGAGAGAGTATGCGGAAAGAGTAGCGATGGAAATGGAACTCTATAACGACATTGTCGTGCTTGATATAAAGGAGACTCAATGGAGCCGCAAGACGTATGAGTTCTTCCGCTGGGCCGCAGAGAATGCCACGGTGCCGGTTCTTGTGCCTGGCAAGCCAACAACACCTTCCAAAAACCTCGTTCGCATAGGTCAGCAAGCGTACGAGGTACGTTGGAAGCTCGTTGACTATGTGCTAAAGGCAGATGACGACGCCTTTATCGTGCTGAATGAGCTTGAGCGTCGCTTGCGCGCATTACCGCGACATTTATTACATTGGGGCTACAAAATTGCGGACTGGTTTATGGGTGGCGAATTGTATGCACTGTCTTATGACTTGGTGGAGTTCATCGCACGGTCTCAGGACATTGCACGGTGGCCGTCGCTGAAAGAAGACGAACAGGTCGCCCAGTGGCTGCGCTTGCATCCCCAAGCAAACAATGTGACATGGGCTTCAGAGCATTGCTGGATCTACGATCACCCCCGTGCCAAGACGCCGTATGCACATGGTTTCCTCTTCCCAAACCTTGTAAATGCCATCAAGCATGAATACATACAAGGCCTCTCAGAGGAGGAAATTGTGCATCGTGGTGGTGCAAAGCATGCGTGGTCGTATTCGACTACGACTAGGTGGGGCATGCCGTACCGATCACCGCAACGGGGTATGTCAATGGAAGAGTCTGTTGAGGCACTCGTAGAAGGTGGCGGTCGTTGGGACAGGCGATGGCATCGCACGACGCAAGATGTTGATGCACCGCCTACCATGCCACAGACTGAAGCGCTGTTAATGGCCAACACATCGCGACTCATATCTCCGTCTCATGACCCAGAGTTAGGACTAGCTGTGTACGCACAAGAGGTCCCGACACATACAAGACTGGAGGGGGTAGGAGCCGCACGGGAATCACATGTCTGGGGTCCGCCTATGTATGAGTACGCTGAGACGCTGCGAAGTGAGCGATATGTCAACGACACGCTGGGCGGCACAGTTGCCGTGCACTTTTTGAAAAAGGAAGCGTGGTTCTATGAGACGATGCTGGCGCTTGTAGGCACACGACATACATGGCCCCTAGGAAGTGCCGCGAATGCGTGGCGCATGTACAACAGTCCTTCCGTCCAGCCATTCAGTCAAACATACAGTTGGATTGCCGTCTCATAAGGAATGTTGTATGGGCTTGTCTACATACCCTCTCGAGGAGACCTGATTTCTCCCTGTAAGAAACAACACGAGTCTGACACAATGCTCATGAACCAGACATGGATGAAGTTGCGGTAGATGAACGAATACCCATGCGTTCGTTATATCTGTCGATTTCCCATTGGGCAAGCCCGTCGGGCCCGTTCCAATTCGCTGAGCTTGTTCGATGTCTCATGCGACGACGATCGCCTTTGCGAGGCGGCAGCATCGCATCCAATGGCACAGGACCAACCTGGCACCCAAAGATTTCGTCGGGATCGACCGTTGATTGCTGCAAGAGCAAATCTTCCAACTCACGACCACGTGTCCAAGACGGTTCCAATTTGCGTTTCCGCATACAGGCCTCATCGTCTGAGTCCGAATACTCGCTTGCAACGTCGGGAAGGTCTTCCGCATCCATGAGCTCGGCGGCCCCCACGACTGGCTGGGCTGCTGGCTTTTGCTGAAACACGTTGTTCGTGCTAATAGCACTGGATCTCGGCGGCTGTGCGGGTGCTCGAGATGGAGTGTTTCCACCAGCAGGCGTCCTCACACGTGCGGAAGCATTTGTTGGAGGTGGCCGTGGAGTGATCGACGCATTCGATGCACGCACAGTTTTGGTCAAGGGACGTGCTGGTTGCGCAGCTGAAGATGACAAGGAGAACTTGGACGCAGATGTAGTCAGTTTGTTCTTGAGTGCATCCTCTGACGACACTCGGTCATCCTGGTTCGTCGACTCAGACAGTGGATGCTGCGATAGCTTGCGGCGCTTGCCGTGTGCATCGTATGCGTAGGCAGGACGCGTGACACTGGAAATTCGCTGTGGCGGGCGGGCTTGAGAAGAGGCACTTGCGCTGCTTTGGACACTGTTTTTTCTGTTGCTGCTGATGCGACCACCACTACTGTTCATGCTAGCTGTGGTGCTTGATGCGAGACGTGTCGATGATTGGACAGAATTCGGTCGCATAGCATGCCCAGAAGAAGTGCTGGCAGATTGCCACGGCTTGAGTTTTATGGGAGTTGATGCCTTGGTCGTTCGCCCTGACCCATGAGAAGGTGGCACAACGGATGTTGATGCCGATAAATGTGGCTTTGGCACATCGCTTTGGAACGAGCCTGGAATTGGCTGACTGAGCTCCAGATCCACAGATGCAGCATGATGGGGTGTCATGGTCGAATTTTGCAACACACTTGCCGGACGTGATGAGGAAGTACTGAGTCCAAAAAGACCCTTAATCCGCGAGCCAAAGCCAGGCTGGACAGAGCGTGTATCAGCGACAGAAGCAGGACGCATCACAGACGCTGAGGCTGGACTTTGTAGGCCAGGCGATACACCGCGCCGATCAACCATTTGGACGGGTTTCCGGCCCGATGGACTAGGAATTTTTGATGTACCCAGTCTCGCTGGCGAGACAGGCAGCCGTGATCGAGATGGCGACCCATCTGCGATACGTGAACGGAAGGGCGAGAGAAGCTCCTCACGCAGCCGGCCAGGTGAGCGTCCTTTTGGAGTAGGGATGTGTGACGTTGCACTGTTTGTAGTTGATGTGATGGGCCGTTGAAAAACAGAAGGCTGCGAGTGAGTTTTCTCTGTATGGTCACGCTGAGGACTGGACATGGGGGAAGCAGGCAGCAACGCTGTGCTTGCGTGACTAGACGAGTCGGTCATTTGGTGATCTGCCAATGAGCGCGTAATTTGAATACTGCGATCTTCCTCGCGGACCACTGTTGGTGATCCACTTATTTCTGAGCGTGATGGAGGCTGATTATAGGCAAAGGCAGAACGATCAGAAGTCGAGCCTGCTGCCGCGTCTGCCATCAGGTCGGCCGGGGCAAGCTCGGGCCGAGAGCTAGGTATTGTGTTTACTTCAGCCGCTTCAGACCGATGATCATTCACCCTGTCGAATAGATCCTCTTGCTGGAAGTGGGATTCATTCTTAGTCTGAGCTGAAGACATGAGCTCTGACTTGGCTGCAGGCTGTGACTTTGGTGCCGGTTCAAGTGCAGTGTCGGATGGATGCCTTTGTGGAGGATGTTGCTGCATCTGAGGCAACATTTTCGATGCCGTTTCGAGTGCCAAGCCAGGCATCGTCTCAAATGCTGAGTCTCGCGCCATTTGGGAGTCTGCCTTGGCTGCAGACTCATGGGCTGATGCAGGGGTCGCATCAGAAGTCATTTCTTCGGCCGTTTCTACTGCAATCTGTTGCATTGCATCAGATTCCAGCTCCATAGCATGTCTTCTCAAAGTACGGTCTTGCTCGTCGTGTTTAGCAGGTCGAGTATCTGCATCTATCTCCGACATAGTCTTAACATGCACATCATTGCGTGCATCCCAAGATGACATAGCCGTAGATAGTTTGCTCGTCTCCGAAAAGTGGGTATCAAGAAAAGCAGACCGTGATAATGTGCTTCCACGACGCTCAGATGTAGACGCAATCGCGTTACCACCAAATGCACTGGTGCTCGGTGTCGTGCTCGCGCGACGCACGCTCTCCAATCGTGTGCGCAGTGCATCAAGTGATGGTCCAGATGAATGGGCAGTGTGGCTCGCACGAGCCCGCCTTGTCTCTTGCGATGCTACTGGCACCGACGGTTCAATTGGCTCATCGGTGCTTCTATGCGAATCGGCTGCATCGTGGAAAGGACTCGGCTCATTTAAAACAGCATCAAGGTCTGACACCGAAGAGTGTTTTTCTTCAATAGCATGGCGCAAGCTTTTATTTAGGAAACTTGAGCGGAATCGCGAGGGTGCTTTGGATGCTTTCGCTGAGTTCGGGATGGTAGGGATTGCGCCAACATCTGCATTTGTTCCGACTGTGGTTTCCGCAGATGTTGTTGCTGGTGCTGCGGCATCTGGTACTGCTGCAGGAACCTGAGAAGACGTAGAGACCGATGCACTGGCAGACAACTCTTTTGGTTCAGGCTTCTTGGTGTTGCGCAATGTAGTAGAGCCAAGTGTACGCTTCTGTTTTACGACCGTGCTGGGCGTTATAGCCGGAAGAGGTGTGCTTACTGTAGAGGAAGACGATGACGTGGCCATTGTCGCGTTGTTAAGGCGACTTGCTGGATCGGAGTCATCCGAGACCCCTTTGCTTGAGCCAGAGAGTCGATTCTGTGAGGTAGAAACAACACTTTTCCTTGAATCGAACGTTTCAGATTCATCATCATTGTACGATTTCGCGAGACTTCCGGGCGTCTTAGAATGTAATGCAGCGGTCGAGGCCGGATGGGACATCAGAGATGGTGTGGGACTAGGCCTTGCCGTCGGGGTAGGTGAGGCCGGCTCACCTGAGTTAGTTACCTCTGGACGCTTCTTTCGCGGAGATTTGACGACATCGGCTGCAATTCGTGGTACATCATCACGATTGGATCTAACGTCAGTGCGTTGTTCTTAACAACGTACCGCATTCGCGAGCAAAACTCAATGACGTTGTGTTTTGTCTGCTCCCAGAATTCTTGCATCTTCTCCTGCGCTTCATCTTCCCAGTCAGACAAATCAACATCATATTCCATTTGTTTTGCAAGCTGTAATAGCTGAGACTGTGCTACAATGTAAGCGTTGCGCATAATCTGATGATGGAGCGCTTGAGGCGACATCGGACCCGCAGTATGCAAATCTGTACGAGATGGCTGCGCTGATTTCCTCGTTAGCTCATTTTCATACATACGCCGCCTGGACCTGCCACCGCGAGTGGCTCCTCGTCTTGACAGCATCAAAGGCACACGGCCGTTGACGTCGACAGACCAACACACAGACACGCGCCTCACTCGCAAGTGTTGGTGTGTGTGTGTTTGGACAGCGCCCACACGAGCAGCGTGTGGCATGTCACGTGTTTCATCTGATGCAACCTTCCATTTCTCTTTTGTCATGATGTCGTTTTTGATTGACCGCTGGTGGGCTCGCCTGTACGCAGTCGCACAGTCATGTGCGAATCAAAGCCTAAACCTCTGGATGGCAAGATGAGGGGGGGGGGCTATGCAGGGCCGAAGCGGGTCCAAATCCTGGCCGGTGAAGAAGCCCAAGATTGGGCAAGAGAGTTAAACGGTAATTACGTATGAATAAGGCGATCAACTCAAGTGAAATTGGGGAAGATTGGTCGGCCAGGCCAGGCCAGGTCAGGTGCGTTGTGCAGAAAGTTACGAGAGGCCATGGCAGCTCAGAAGAACGAATTGGATTCGTGCGTACCAATCCAACAAATTGCTGTACCATTGTATGAGCGAAGAGAGAAACCTAACCCACATATCGTTTATGCGGTGCAAGTGACGCTGCCTGATCGTACGTGGACTATTCGCAGGCGGTACAACGACTTCTGTCTTTTGCATGAGCGACTTCCCTCGCCTGCACCACCAGCACCTCTCCCACCAAAACACCGTTTAAAACAGACATGGCGAATGCTCACGCAGATGGGTGGCATTCTGCCTACTTCAGATGCTCAGAAACTTGATGATGATAAGGATCTCGAGCTTCGCCGCGAGGCGTTGGAAAAATATCTCCGGGCTATTGTGGTATCGCCAGATGCACATTGGCGTGAATCACATGCATTCATCGAGTTTCTGGATGTTCAGGATCACATGCAGTTGCATGAACAATCCCAGGCTACATCGGCTTCTGCAGGAAAGCCTCGTATCATGAGCAGTGGAATGTGCTCTGCATCACTACGTCCATGGAATCAGCATTCGAAGTCGCATGAGAATGCAAAAGCTCGCGAAACAGACGCTACAAGACCTCTGACCGATGCTGAGCTCTTGCAATACCAAACTGACGACCTGATGAGAGCCCAAGACAAACAAGCGGATGCGCTGGCAATCGTCCTGCGACGCCAACGCGAGCTTGGCTTACGGATCCATGACGAATTAGGCATGCATCGCGAGATGCTGGATTCTTTGCATACTGACGTGCAAAGCACGCAAACACGCATGGATGCAGCGGAGGCGGAGATGAAGCGGCTGAATTCTTGATATCCTACAAATCCATCTTCAAACGAATGTAACTAATTGTCCACCATGTGCACAATTTTTAAGTGAGTGGCAAAACTGCCACTGACTTGGCTCTAATGACGAATTCACGACGACAACTCGCAGCCAATAGGCGCTATGGCTCGCCGGCGCCGGAGAGCTAGAAAGGGGCTGAATGCGTGATTTGCCTGCCTCCGATCTGAAGCCCACGCACGTGGGCGAGTGTGTTCCGACATGTGTGTAAATCGATACGCAAAGATCGAGGTGACAGCGTCTTGGCTCGCTAAGAAGGCGACTGCACAAGTGATCTACGTTGCTTGTTCATCAGAATCTCCTCGGACAATTTAGGAAACTGTAGCTGCCCACAGACCCAATCACGTAATAAAATAGCAGGAACAAGTACGGAATGCGGGGTACATCTCTTAACTTCGTCACATTGGGTGTTTCCCACGTGGATCCACGTGATGTTGAGTGTGATGCCAGGCCGCTGCTTGGGTATCTTCGTCGCCACTTTCTGGTAGGATCATTAGCCCGGGCTTGGCGAACGATGGCGTCGGTCGGCTCGCTCGGTTCCGTTCCTGCCGGTAATGGGACCACGTCCGCACGTGCTGGTTCCATCACCCCCTCTCAGCCGCTGTCACATCCGCAGCCCATCGCAGCCTCCTCTCCTCCGCCTGGCGTACATCCACTCAGCTCAGCTAGTATCGCCGGCCCCGCGTCTCAATCGTTGTGGTCGACGCGATTGATGGACTTATTGAATCTTGTGCGCCATGAATTTGATGTAATAGGGAATGATGCGGTTCATTTCAAGTCCCAGCGTGACGAGCTCGAGCATCGAAGTACGTTCCTCCTCTTACACTGACATGATGCAGTTGCCCAGCAGTTTAATGAAGTCAGCCTGATGCAAGAGCATATATATGAGCTGGAAAAGCGCCACTTTGAAATTGTTGGACATTATGAAGATGAAATTAAACGTTTGCGCGCGCTTCTCGATGGACGCACTTTATCTGGTATGCACGATATGGCGCCTCGGCGTCTTTCGCCTGTCGCCGTCCCTATGGATGCGCGCCCACTCCCCCCTTCTGTCTCAGGATCACAGTACGATCGTGATCCACGAGATTTGCGTGACTTGCGCGATCTTCGTGACTTGCGTGATCTTCGTGATCCTCGCGAGCGAATGCTGCCGGCCATGTCGTCGGTGTCTGGCGACTCGTCGTGGCCGCCAACAAAGCGGCCCAAGATCAGCGGCCCCCCCATGCCTGCGGAATCTATGCGACTAAAGCCAGAAGACCGCGAACACAAACGCGCGACGGGACCCGCGGAGCATGCTGATGAAGAGAGCGCGCCGTCTGCTGAGCCAGCTAATGAGTATCGCAAGACAGCCGCGTCTCACTCGGCGTCTTCTTCGGCTGTAGATGCTGCATCATCTGGCGGCGCACCTTCAGGAAATGCCTCTGCTTTAAACTCCGCGCCTGCCGCGACTTCGACAGCATCGCTAAAGGGAGCAGGCCCAACGTCTGCGCCGAATGCAGCATCAGAGTCTCACTCGCCAGCGACGAATGCGCCGATGGCTTCTTCTCGCACCGATTCGCACACATCGCCGAGCGCAGTACCGGGTGGCATGTCGGGAACAACGGCTGGTTCGGGCGTGTCCTCGATGGAAGAGACTGAGCACGCAGCGCCCCTCAAGAAAGAAGGCAGTGACTGGGCCATCATGTACAACCCAAACTCAAAACCGCAGCTGGATGTGAATCTCGTGCACACGCTTGTACATGATAGTGTGGTGTGCTGCGTACGATTCTCGCCTGATGGAAAATATGTGGCGACGGGATGCAATCGCAGTGCACAGATCTTTGAAGCAGCTACAGGAACCAAAACATGTGTGTTGCAAGACACATCTGCGCCGGTGCAGGGTGATCTGTATATTCGGAGTGTATGTTTCAGTCCGGATGGCAAGTATTTGGCGACAGGTGCGGAGGATCGGCAGATCCGAATTTGGGACATTGCTGAGAAAAAGATCAAGATGCTGCTGACAGGTCACAAGCAAGAGATCTACTCACTAGACTTTTCTCAGAATGGCCGCATTCTTGCAAGTGGCTCTGGTGACAAAACTGTGCGGCTGTGGAATGCAGAGAACGGCACGGAATTACACGTCCTGTACACGAGTCCAGGCCTAAACTATGGACCGGGCGTCACGACTGTGACGCTGAGTCCTGACGGGCGCCTTGTAGCGGCCGGTGCGCTGGACACATTCGTACGATTGTGGGACACGAAGACAGGCAAGCTGCGCTGCCGTCTAAAGGGGCATCGGGACAGTATCTACAGTGTGAGCTTTACGCCAGATGGCCAATCCCTTGTTAGTGGCAGTCTGGATAAGACGCTCAAGCTTTGGGATCTTACGAGTATTATAAAGGCCCTTGATTCGCTGGACGACGAAATATCCAACTCTACTCTATGCAAGGCAACATTTACGGGTCACAAGGTACGTATACAGTTGAGGAGGAGAAGGGGAGGAAGAAGGGCTGGGCTATACAAAGGCGATGCGGTATACTAACGTACCAAGGATTATGTTTTGTCGGTGTCATGCTCCCCAGAAAGCCGCTGGATCGCCTCAGGCTCCAAAGACCGCTGTGTGCAGTTTTGGGACATGAAGACGGCTCAGACGCAACTAGTACTGCAAGGGCACAAAAACTCAGTTATTGCCATACATCTGAGCCCTTCGAACAACTTGCTAGCCACGGGCAGCGGCGACTTCCATGCGCGCATTTGGTCCTACGAGGACAAGTAGCCATCTCTAGAGACGGGGTAGTGGTCCAAACTGGTTGCATAGGACATGTACACGCACGGAACAATCACTCCAACACAGGCGTTGTTGACGAGTCAATTATCGTAGGTCCCATTATTTCTCGTCCCCACCGCTTCATTGTGGATCATGTCCCGGCGAAGCAGAACGACTTCGGGCTGGCGGAGGACTGTACTCAGGGGACTCTTCCCGTCGCCGCGCACGACCAAAATCATCCCGCTCTTCAGCACAACGAGACTCAGAGTCACGCTCGGAGTGGCGACGCATTCGAGCTCGCGAGCCCCAGCCATGATCACGCTCGCGCAACGAAGGAGGCGCTGCTCGGTGCCGCCAGCTGGATGGACGCGACAACGACGACGACGATCGCTCCGCGTCACTGTTTCGACGTTCTATGGGTGAGCGCCCGCGATCCCAGCGCCGCTCGTGTGCCTGGAAACTTGAACCTGGTGATGCCGAGGGTGCTTGTCGTCGACGAAATTCTGACATGACCGATGACGTTTGTTCACGGGTAGCCTGCATTTCGCGTTTCTTTTGCTCAACAAATGCACGTGGAACACCACCAACTGACTCTTGCGCGCTGAGCAAAAGACGCCAGAGCTCGTTCATGAATGGAGCCGCCCGCTGTTCCAAAAATCCTGTGAGAGAAATCTGCATCTTGCGAGCATCCGGAAATTGATCCGCTTCCAAGAGACTTACGACGAGCTCCACGAGGATATCGTCATCAAAGCCCATCATTTGCTCAACACGCATGGCAATCCATGGACGCATCACAGACATGTTTATTTTTGACGCGTCCACACGCTCGCTAAGTATGGACGGAAACTTGGTAGTCTTGAGAAGAATGTCCTCCTTGTTTTTAAATCGAGAGTCTTGCTCCATCGACACACCGCGTGCAGGCATATTAAGATTTTTTTCGCACGCGAAGGTCGATAGTGTGCAGGGTGGCGAGGTGGCTGGCTGGCTGGCTGGCTAGGAAATGCACGATGTCACTCAACACTAGAGATCGAGTCGGATGGCTTGCGTCCTGTCGCGGATGAGTACAGTGTGGAGAGATTGGCAGTCAAACACCACTTTGGTATGCACGTGATACGAGGAGACGTGAGTGCCATGGAAAGGTGTCAAAAAAAAATTTTGTCGGCCAGTGCAGGCTGTGATGACCAAATTGCTGCTGGTTTGGCTGTGGATGTGGGTGTGCCTTGAACCAGCTTTTTTTTTTACCACACGGTCTCCTCGCTCAAGAGCTCTTGTGCAACGTGTGTGTGCGTGTGACTACGAGAGCTGAGTTGTTGAAGCTGTCGCTTCCTCTACTGCTACGAATTCACCCAACGAAGCTTGTGCACGGCAGCCCGGTATCACCCTGACTTCGCAAAATGATGAACTCCATCAAGATTCTCACAGGCAACAGCCACCCGGAGCTGGGTGCCATGGTCTCGGCACGGTACGCAACGTCATCTGAATACACTCAATAATAGCTAACAAAGAATAGCCTGGGTGTTCCACTGACAGAATGTGTGTGTCGCAAGTTTGCAGACCAGTCGATCGACGTGCGTATTGGATCGTCTGTGCGTGATCAAGACGTGTATGTGATCCAGTCGGGACACTCGTCCTTCATTGATCCGAACGATTCGCTGATGGAACTTTTGATCATTTTGTCTGCATGCAAGACGGCATCGGCAAGACGCATCACGGCTGTGATCCCGTCCTTCCCATACTCACGGCAGAACAAGAAAGACAAGAGCCGCGTTCCCATCACAGCCAAGATGATTGCGAACATGATCACCGTGGCCGGTGCCGAGCATGTGATCACGGTGGATCTGCATGCAAGTCAGATTCAGGGATTCTTTGATATCCCTGTGGACAACCTCACGTGTGAGCCAAGCATCGCGCGCTGGATCCGTCACAAGGTCGACGACTGGCGCGACGCCATCATTGTATCCCCAGATGCTGGTGGTGCAAAGCGCGCGACGTCTCTAGCCGACTCGCTCGGCATTGACTTTGCATTGATCAACTGCAGCCGGCACTTGCAGAAAAACCACCGCCAGCGCTCTAACACGAACGAGTCAGCCGATATGGCACTCATGGCCCACAGTCACTCATCGAGTGAAGTGGCGAATGGTGTGCACTCTCTAAGCGAGAGCGGCGAATGGTTCATAACCAGTGAAGGCGGCGGACGTGTGCGCAGTGGTGGCGCCCGAAAGCAGGTGAGTGCAGCTGAAGAAAGTGCAGATGAAGTCGACTCCATTATGGAGCTGCTCGTCGGCAATGTGACCGGGAAAACAGCCATTCTTGTCGATGACATGATCGATACTGGACGTACGCTTGCACTTGCGTCCAAGACACTTGAAGCGGCTGGCGCCAAGCGTGTGTTTGCGATTGTGACGCATGGTTTATTATCTGGCCGTGCTATGGATCTAATCACACGCATGCAGATTGTCAAGCTCGTGGTCACAAATACCATCAGCAATACAGAAAAGGCATTGCAGAGCAATGGCAAGGTCGAGGTCATTGATATGTCGGCTGTGATTGGAGAAACGATTCGTCGCTCGCACCATGGTGAGAGTATTTCAACCATGTTCCGTCAGGATGCTGAAATGATGTTTTAAATAGCTCTCGGGTATCCGTGTTGTGTCTTTTTTGTGCTCCTCTCTTTCTACGTTTCGCCCTCACTTTTCTTACATACTGTCAAAAAATGCCGCATCGAATGCTGTTTGTGTCATCGAACCTTTCTTGAGTTTCTTGGCGGCGCGTTCCTCCGCGCCCCAGTCGTCTTCTTTGTCCGCATCGACCGTGAGCATCTGTGCCGACTTGGCTTGCTCCTGCTGCGATTGAAGCCATTGTCGTTTGCGCTGTTTCTTCTCACGGCGCAGACTGCGCGTCTCTTTTTTGCGCTTCTGCTCACTCCAGGCCTCGGTCTTGCCTCGCGGAACTCGTGGCCCCTCCGGCGCTGGCGCTGATGCTCTTGCATGCTGTCGAGCTGCACGTTGCTTTTCCCGCTGCTTGTCTGCGTACGCAAACGTTTGTAGATCTGGCACATCATCTGTAAAGAGCGGCTTTGTCTGCATGTGCCATGACCGTAACTCAGGCATGCGCGGCAGATGAAGCAGGGCAAATTCACATGCCATTCCGTCGAGCGGCAAGTCAGTCAAGCGGAAAATGTACGCGACCTCGTGCTTCAAGTATGCCTTAGTCCAGCTAACAAATGCACGAAGACCCAGTTCATACAGTGCACGATCTTGATGCACTGTCGCACGAAGCTCCTTTTCCAGCGCATGCGCATGTCCATCACGCTGTCCCTCGGGTTCTTGGCCGTCCAAAAGAGTGCCCTTGGTATCGTCGACTACCAAGTAGGGATAGGGCTGAAGCAGGACTTGCTTGATTTGCAAGAACTCCACATACCCTTCTTCACGACCCGCATGCAGCATGACAATCGCCCGACCATGGCGTCCAGCACGCGCCGTACGTCCACTACGATGGTGGAATACTTTGGGATCACTTGGTGGATCGTACTGCACGACGACATCGACATCCGGCAAATCGAGGCCACGAGCGGCCACATCAGTGCATAATAGAACAGATATACTTGCATTGGTAGCACCGGCGTCATCGGTGTCTTGATGTGGTGCCTTTGGCGGTTTTTCATGATCAGTCTGTGCATGAGAAAAGGCAGAAAATGTTGCTGTGCGGCGCTTGGGCGTTTGCTTGCCGTGTAGAGAGAAGAAACGCAGTCCCTCGAGGGCGGCGGGATGGCTTTTCGCATAGCGTGCCAAGAGCGAGAATAAATAGTTGACCTGTGCGCACGTAGCAAAGTACACGATCGCTTTTCGGGCATGATAGGCTCCACGAGCCTCATGCTGCAGGATCCGCAAGAGTTGGGCAAACTTGTGTTCCGGGCGCGACACATGATACAAGTTCTCGAGAGTTGCAGGCATGCGGAGATCTTGCGTTGGACCATGGCCACGCTGTTTGTACTCTACCTTGACGACCACACGCACAGGATTCCGCAGTCCCACACGCACAAGCTCGGAAAGTGCTTCGGTCATCGTCGCGCTAAACAATCCGGTGCGCCGCTGCTTTGGTAAGTAACTAATCAGCGAGCGGATGACATTCGTGAATCCCAAGTCCAAGAGTCGATCTGCTTCATCCATTACAAGTACATCAAGTTCAGATGTCTTGACACCCGGCCGCTTTAAAAGTTCTTCCATGCGTCCTGGAGTGCCAATGAGAATATCTGGCCCATGCTCGCGGAAGTACTGCAAGTCATCGGCAGGAGAGACGCCCGTGCCACCCACGCATAGCTGCATGCCGTGCAACTTGGATGTCGCAGGCTTGGCATCCAAAAACCGCTGGACAACCCCTGCCGTCTGCTGGGCAAGTTCACGTGTCGGACACACGACCACGGCGCCTAGTTCATGCTTCTTTAGCGGCTCTTCCCGCCGCTGAAGGATCTCTAGAATGGGCAACACAAAAGCCAGAGTCTTTCCCGATCCTGTCACGGCTTCTGCAACGACATCTTTATGAGATAGAAATAATGGGATCGCGGACGACTGAACAGGAGTCATCTGCTCAAATCCTAGCGATGCAATCACATCAAGTCTTTTTTGCGCGTAAGTAGCCTTCGTAATACGTACATCCAAGGTGAGAGTGCAGGTCGCAGCTGCGTCCATGACCCAGCTGACATGGGCGTGCTGGACGCATCACGATCTGAGCACATCGCTTCAAAGAGCTGCCTCTCTCGCCGCCTTGTGTTTCTCTATTCGTCACTCCACCAATATGCCAAAGCGTGACGAGGCAGAAGGTTGTTCATTTTTTGTTTCAAATGTGTCATCGCTCGTTTGTCCATGAAACTCATCACATATCCCTCCACGTGCACTTGTGTCGGATGGATGACCCGAAACGGGTTAGACGCATCCTTCCACTTTGACACTGAGTTGAACGGAATGCGAAGGATTGTGGAGGAAGCCAAATGTTTGGGTCTCTTGACGGATTGGGTGAATTCACCAAAATGTTGTCTTGGATCTGACGTGACAGAACCAACGACCAAATATACGTGCCGTTGTCCTACCGGCCTAGCACCTTGCGAAGAGCTCAAGTGGTCGTTTTGAGTGAGACGCGAGTGTGCGTTTCTTTTCGAACACATACGCAGCAGCGCGCTGAAGTATGCCATCACATTTCTCAAAAATGAAACGCTCCGAAAGCACTTCAAAAAGTCAGTCAAATGGAGGTAAGAGCCGGATGAATCGACATGATATTGCAAATCAAGCACTAGGATACGACGATTCAGTTGCGCCACACCTGTTCCCCCAGGCATTCTCATCACACCACGGATCGGATTCGCGTCCCTTCTCGATGATGAGCCGACGCGGCAGTGACGTGGATACTTTCCGCAATATGGGATCGGGATCAACTTCTCGTGCTCCCAGTGAATTTGGACATTTGCCACACTCCACAGCCCAAGACATTTCCTCCTCCGCGTCGATACGCCCAACAGTGACTTCTACAACGCACGACTCGCTTGTTCGTCCATTGCTGACAATTGATACTTACAAGGATTCGCCAGCCAAGTCTGGGCAGGAGAACGATGGGCCTGAAATTCCACGCAAGGCTCGGACCTTGGCTTCACCACAAGACCAACTGCCTGGCATGTTTCTGTCGACCACACCAACCAGTCCCACAGCACCAACCTCGCCACGGATGGGTAACAATGAATCGACGGGCGCGTACCGGGACCTATCGAAAGGAGCCGTTGTCGAGACAAATCATGAGGGTAATCCAGCAGAGCCTACTAAACATCCGAAGATCGTGGCATCACCACGGCAATCTAGGCAGTTCTCTATATCGAGCTTGCCGCTCTCTTCGATTGAAATGCCGGGACTCACGGCTGCAGCGGAATTTTTGCCGCCAGATAGCCAGTCGGTTGGCAAGTCGCAGTTCTCTACGCCTTTATTGGTCCCAGACGGCAGTGGACCGCTCTCATGGAACAACGACATGGGCGATCAAGTTACTGGCTTTGCGGTGGCGAGCTCAAAGCGAAATGCCGACTTCCATGCTCTATTTCCCTCATTGCCGGAGGACGACTATCTCATTGAGACCTATTCTTGCGCGATCTCACGCGACTTGTTGATCCAAGGCCGAATGTATGTGTCAGAGGCGCACCTCTGTTTCCACTCGAATATTTTCGGTTGGATCACGTCCTTTACCGTTGCTTTTGCGGATGTGGTATCGATTGAGAAACGCAATACAGCCTATCTCATACCCAACGCTATTTGTATTCGTACACTGCAAAATCGCTACCTCTTCAGCTCGCTTGTGTCACGCGACCTCACGTACAGTATGCTTGTCAGTGTCTGGCGAATGTCCTCGCCAAGCGAGACCGCACAGGAGGTGGCTGCGTCAATGTCGGATGCGTCTGAGGAAAATGACCTATCTGACGACGATGACGATGATAAGAAATCTGCAGAGGCTGCAGCGCCAGGGTTCACTGCAGAAACGGCAACACCTTCAAACGCGGCGCCCTCTGTGACGTCACCGAACCCTAGGGACAGCACAGATGCGCCAAGGACGTCGCTTACGCCTGAACAAACAAATGAGGGAATTGCGATCGGCAAGAACGAATCAAATTCAACGCCGAATGCGAAAGGAAAGTCTGAAGGGATGACTAAGCGGGAAAAGCTTCGCAGGCACCTGTCGAAGGCGCGAAAAAATATCAAAAAGAAAGACCCAATGAGTGCAAACCCCGCAACCGCTGTTGCGGGCGACGACGACAATTCAGACGACTCGGACAGCAGCATGAGTGAAGGAGCTGACGGCAGCGAAGACCATCCCACGACAACATGTGATTGCGATAGCGAACAGGCACATCTGGCCAATGTCGTACTAGATGAAGTGTTCGATGCGACACCGCAACAAGTGTTTGATCTTATCTTCGTCAATGACTTTATGGAGAAGTTTTGGAGCGACAACCAGAAGCTGTTCGACATCGACATTGGAGAATGGAGTAGCGACAAGGTCACAATACCTGATGCTACAGCCGCACGTGCCGTTTCGTACACGAAACCGCTCAACGGTCCTATTGGGCCTAAACAAACGAAGTGTTTGATCACGGACGAGCAGCTACACATGGACTTTGATAAGTTTTGTACAGCCGTCACAACGACCCGTACGCCCGATGTGCCAAGCGGGAACAATTTTGCCGTGCGTACGCGTCAGTGCTTTACATGGGCAGAGTATGGCCGGTGTCGCTTGTACGTCACATGCGATGTCGAATGGACGGGACGAAGCATGATCAAGGGCGTGATTGACAAGGCGTCAGTTGAATGACAGAAAGAGTACTATCGCAGCCTATCTGATTCCATCCGTGAGTACATCATGGATCATCCCGATGTGTATGGCGGTAGAAAGGCCGTCACGTCCAAGACTCGCCAAGATGCTGCTGTAAGTGAGGCTAAGAGCTCTGCGGAGTCCGCTGGAAAAGGCGGAAAGCAGGTGAAGTCGGCCGTCTCAGCAGCCGCGTCTTCTATTGAACCTTTCACGCCCAGTCCCTCCGTGCTAATATTGACTGTACTGATTATTGTGCTACTAATATCGAACGTCTGGGTATATATGCGAGGCTCCCCTGGTTCTATGCGAGATCCAAACAATCCACACCGACTCTTGATACCAACACGCCCGAAGCAGCTGGACATGCGACAGGCAAACGTCGTCCTCCAGGACGAAGTACAGAATCTGCTCGATACTCTCGCGAATTCCCGACGTATCACGGAGGAAATCGAACTAGATTTGCGGGAGCTACAAAAGTTTATTCAAAAAGAGAGCAAGCATCGTCATTCTAGAACGGCATCCACTGAGTTGTAGTTGTACTTTAGGTTATCGTGGCTAATCAGACATTTGAGTGCGGAGACATGGTCGCAAGATGGGATTGAACGCAGACGCATGTGTGGTCGTGTCTTGTGAGTTTACCGTAGCACAGGCCTGGCTTTTCTCCTTTGTTTCATCCTCGGAGATAGTTTGGAAAGTGTTGCGCAAGCACTACTTGTGCTTTTGCCTTGCGCTGTGCTGCTTGCGCTAGTCGTTCCTGACCGACTGTTTGTGCCGGAGAAGCTTGACATGTATGTGATTGAGCAGAGCGGTGTTTCAAGCAAAAAAGACCATGACATCTTTCACAACGTGGCGCACGATGTTGAAAAGATGAACTGGATTGTACTTGAAGAGAGAATGCGCGACAACCTTGCATTTGGCAAGGAACACGTGCCGACGGCGGCGATTGAGCGGAATTGGCTCTTGCCGAAGGCTGAGCGTGGTTTCGTTCATGCGGACACATATGATGCTCTGGAGATGCGTGCTCTTCACAAAATATCGCGGAACATAGTGTACATTTAATCGGAAGAAACGAGAGCCGGCCGCATGTCACATATGCACAGTGCTCGCCATCCATAAGCGACATGCTCAATGAAGCCAATGTGTGGAGCGAAAAAAGGACTCATTTTGACAAAAACGTCAGCAACCAACTCATGGGATATTACGAACGTTGTCGTCCAAATTGTCGGATCCCTTCAAGCGACGAAAGTGTTGCAACATGCGCGCTCTGACGACGCCAATGATCGTCCGATTCACGATTTTATTGTTCGCGTATCTCGCTCTCTGCGTGCAGGGACAGTTTTTTCAAAACCTGTTCAATCATGGGAGCTTTTTCCATCATCAGACTCACGAGCAAGAGGCGCATAGCGCGGGCGATGCATCATGGTTCCAAGACCGTGTGCGAGCAGGTATGTCAAGTCAAGAAGAGACTAGGGGGTTGGTGGGGGGGAGAAAGAGAAAGAGAGGGAGAGATTGTGTGTGTAAGACTAACTTGAATCCAGCACATTGCGATCGTTTCCTGTGTAGCGACACACTCGCATGCGTAAATGAACCTAAAGAATGTCCGTGTCCGTTTGTCGAGCAAAAGCGATGCGAGCTTGGAGACACATATGTGTGTGTGCAGCAGTCAAATTGCCATGAAGCCGAGCGCATGTATTCATTGTAAAGTAAATGCAAAACGAACCATTATACATAAACAATCGATCTATACGATAGCGTCCATTTGCAGAAATACAGAGAGGACGGCCGCAATGACCTCATAGGCCGATTCGTGTGCACCCGTATCATATTCGTGTCGCATTGCCTTGGTTAAGTCCTCAATGCTCACACCCATTTTTTGCCTGCCTTTTTTGCTCACGGAACTGCGCGATGAATTTATCGGTCGCGCAAGCATGGCATCCATGGAGCCTTGCGGCGGGATCCCTCCGCCAGATGTCTGTGGCGCCATTGGCCATTGCGAAAATTCCTCGACTAAGTGCTCGACGTGCTGTGTAGCAATTTCCTGGGCCTGCAACGGTAAATGTTGGAGCGCGTTTTCTAGAACATCCGCACACAGTGCTGTCGTCACCATGCACATGGTACGTGTTACAGGCAAAGAAACACGGCCACCTGCACTATTTTCCTCTTTGTATAAAGACTCGGCATGGATAGACTGTGCCGATGTAATCGCATATACTCGTCGACGAACCGCATCCTTGACTGACATGTCAGCGATAGGATGTGTCGGCATGTCAAATAGCAGAAAATTGCGTTTTTCAGTGCGCAAGATACCCTTTTCCACCAAACCTTTGCACAAGCGCTCGCGTACTTGCTTAAGCTGCATGCTGAGTCTCATCATATTCCAAGTCTCACCACTCAGCAGATCCATCCATTCCGCCACGCTGGTCGGTGACGAAGACTGGATATGGCGAATCGTTTCATCAAGAAGTGGGTCGTTCGTTAGTTTTGCATTCATAAGTTCAATGGTGCGCTCGCCCACGTCCCTGCGTTTTTGCTCCGCGCCGCTCATGACACGGATACGGCCACGCAGCGCTAGCTCCATCAGGATGCACCCTCGAAGTGCAAAAGACAGCTTGTCATTCCAAAACGAGAGATATGCCTGTGTGTCTTTCAAACCGAGAAGTAATACTTCTTCCATGAGTGTGATGCGTGGGTATGTCTGCTCCTCATTCTCATCGGCTAAATCACGCGGATCATAAGCCAGCCGATGCCCTCTTTTTGAATCGTAGGTGGAAATGGAACCGGATCCCGAAACTTTCTCTATAGCCGATACTCTTTTCTCATGTACTCCACCTTCACCAGTGTCATCATCACCGCCCGTCGTGTGAACGCCCCGCCTTCGCTGGAGCCCTGACGACGACGACATAACGGTGACAGAGATGATACAGGGCAAGATCACGTGGCCCTTCTCGATTGTGGGTGTGTGAGGAGCGGTTAGGATTTTGGCGTATGTGGAGACGTATGCTCGGCCTGCCAGGTCAGCAGCTGGGGCCAAGCAGAAAGCAGGTGACTTGATCTTCGGATCGTTCTACGCGCTTACGGTCGTCGCTGCAGATGTGGATGAAAGGCGCGTGGAAATAGGTCTTGTTCATAGACCATGGGAAGCCATTGTCTCTCGTGCACTTTTGGTCTCTCCGAGGTTCGTGAGCGGGTCAAAGATGATCGCCTTAATTCACATTTGCTCCACCCGCTAGGACCGAAGACGAGACAAAGTGAACTCGGACGCAGCAAGCCCCGATCAGGGACAACGGCTGTGCGACAGTCGAACAATAGTCTCTAACAACCACTCGCTTCCTGTCGCTCACGAACATGTCGCACATGGATATCAACAGACTGTCCGCCTTCAATGTATTCTGGCTCTTGCACGTGTTTCTCGAGCTACCCGTAGCGATGCTTGCGTATATTCACCCATATGCGTTTCCGCTGGCAAATGTAACAGAGTCGACGGTCTTGATAATGAAGCTGTTGGCTACGTTTATCTTGACTTCATGCGTTGGATGTCTTCTGTGCTTTATGCTACCAGACTATTTACCAGGGAAGCGCGCATTAGCGTTGCAGTTGTTCCTGTTCCATGGCATCGTTGCGATCCTGTTCTGGCTGCTACCACCTGGGATTGTGCTATATAAACTACCTGTATTCGTACTAAATTTGTTCCCATTGCTTGAACAGGTGCCCAATACTGTATTCATCGGGAGCGCGCATGCTGTGGTCTCGTTCGTGGGCATTTGTTGGTGGCAAGCTACCATTCCAACTGTGCAGGCGTTCACCGCTCGTCTGAAGACGGAGTGAAACTGGAAAGATGGATGCTGGTTCAATGACGGACTGCATGAGACTTTGCACGTCTAACTCGATAAGCTTGTTGCACGTTGCGTTCTTCTTTTATTTTCTTAGGTCACCTCCTTATGCATACTTGTCACAAAGACTTGATAGATATCAGTACGGTTATGAGATAATCTCTCGTGCACGCGCCTGAGCCACAACCAATGCGCGGTGGAAATAACATCATTTTTTGTGCATTGGGGCATAGGATCGTTGGTTGGGTCTTCTCCACGTACGATGTCAGTTCCTGTTGACCATGTGCTGGGGCAAGTGTTGTTGCTTTCCGAGGCACATTCTCAAGAGTTTCGCACTCCTTTAGATGCAGTTGCATTGCTTTTTCACGCATTAGCCACCCATCACTATGGTCTTTCGTCTGAAAACGTCCCCTCCGGGTGGCGATCGAGTCCAGACATGCATGGATGGTCATATGAGCTACGAGCCGAGCCTTTACATACGATTCATATCGCAGTCGTGAGGCTAGGATCACATGCAGTTGTTCTTGCCTCGCATGCAAACGTAGTGCAAGAACATTGCTCCACGTCCGAGTGCCTGTTGGAGTCATTAGTTCACGCAGCAACGCCGTCTGAACTCATATGCACACGCGCCAGGGATGTTTATGTATCGAAAGAGAGGATCGAGTCAACTCTGCATGCGTGGACTAGGGATATTTTACATGCAGATGCAAACCACAATACGAGCGCGGACGTGCTTAGCCGAGGATATTTGACGAAGAAGGATCCAAACGGAACAGCCACCGACACGGACAAAGCTACTGAACATGACACATCATCCTTGTCGCACACACCCTCATTCCCTCCTGTATCCCGCATGCCTTACGATCCACGAAGATTGGGTGATGCTGATCGCGATCCACTTGCGGCGAGTCCTGCCGCATGTCCCTTTGGCACAGGGTCGTTTCAGCCACCAAGACTATTTCCACCTCAGGCACCCATGCATGGCGACGGCATGATCATGGGGCCGAACCACCCGCTTTTTCATACACCTCGACCTCCGCCTGGAGTGCCAAATCAGCCCGAGATAGGATTCCTGCCTCCCGGCTCTGTGCCGCCGCATGCGCGCTTTGACCCCGTGTCGCCCTTCGATTCACATGTGCGTGCCCGGAATGGCGAGCCAGACTTTGACGACTTCGCACCGCCACATTCCATGTTTTAAGCGCGCATAAAGAGAAGGAATAATCCGTCCATAAATAAAAGGAAGATAGTCCGGATGCCATATTCGCGTGTCTGCATGGAAGCTCACCACCACATACAGCTGCATCATATCTAGTACATCGCTATGTCTTGGTATCAATTCGCTCAACGATGCCCTGACCTAGACGCTGAATCTCTGCAAGAATGGCTGGTCGGTTCAGTACTACGCCCTTGGCATGGGGCCGAGACGTATAAGGCAATGACACTTTGAATGTGTGCGGCTTTGTATAAGCGGTATTCCAAAGACCGCCGATGACCGTGCCGCCAAACTCATCGTAAAAGAGGACGAACGCATCGCCATAGATGGTCTGCAGCATGGTGACAAATTCGTATACGGGATCGAAGCCCGGCCTGACTTCGCTGCCATACACAGACGGCCGCAAAGGCGTATCGTCGAGATTCGCATATACGCGTTTTTTGCGCGTAGCAAGCCAATGTGTCGAGTCAGGCGCAATGGATTCGGCGTAGCGTACATGAAGACTCGGCTGGACATGGACGACAAAGTCATACGCCTCCACTGCAGGTGTCATGAGCATGCGTACAAGCGGTGTACTTATGCTCGTGTCTTGCTTGAGCACATGCAAGGACCGTTTCGCTAGTTGCCTCACGCCATCAGCGACCATGGCTGTGGGCGCCGAATGTGTCCAAGCCTTGGAATCCAAGTCCATCTCTGTTGCAAGCACCCAGGTGGAGTGTCGAAAGGCTGGATCGCGTGCACGAATGGTGCGGAAGTGTTGCTCAACGTCTGCGCGCTGGGCAGCAGGGAATGCGGGAGCCGTCTCGTCTGGCAGTGCACTTCCCCCGTCAGACAGAGCAGCCTTGCGGTGATGTGCGAGGCGTGTTGCATTTTCCAGCGGAATTAGAAGCGGTGTCTCGCGCCAGTCCCAGCGGGCTAGCAGGTCCAGTGCACGCACAAACCCATGCATACCGGTCGTCGGCGGCCCATGAGCATTTGTCAGGAACACAGCCACACACAAGAGCTCGATGGCTTCGGCACGGAAATGAGTCGAGAGCAGCTGCGATGCGAACCAGCGGCGTACGAAGCGCACCGTAGGTCCCAAGGCCGGAAAATGATCTTGCAATGCTTGCAATGCTGCGTGGTGTGTCGGCGCATGTACGAAGCGCATGTCATATCGACGCAAAGCGGCCTGTGCACGTGCACGCGCATGCTTGTCGTTCAGCAAGCGATGCAGCAACACTTGTTCGCGGTCATGATGAACGCGCAAAGCAAACGCAAAGCCTGTTGGCATTAAGATTTGCAGACAAGTCTGATCGTAAATGGCATCGTGGGCCGTGGCATCTGAGTCGTACACAACCTGCATTTTGGTGCCTGGCATGCGGCGACTTAGTACATCAGCCATGCGCTCATACAGAGCTGTCTTCATTTCCTGGATAGCAGCCAAGTCATCGGGCCATTGGCCGGAGCTTTCCATGGTAATTATCACATCGTGTACAGGCACATACGTCATGACATCCGGCACGTCATGCCCCCATTCCGTTACGTCCCTTGGCCCTGGGACAAACACACTCATACTTCGGAGAGCGTCGGCAGCGGGCGTGACGCCAGTCACGGAGAGCGGCAGCTCGTCCATTGCACGCAGTTCGCGGGCCAATGTATCGTAGGCAGTTTGAAGTAGCTGGAAACCATGGACGCTCGGGTCCTTGGAATACACACGTTGTGCCAAGGATGTCGGCACGTCGAGCCAGCCAACAAATGCATCGCCGGAAAATCGGATCCGCTTCGCACATGCATGCTGTGTGAGCGCATATCGTACGATTTGGCGAGGAATGCTTTGCCGCTGAGCAAGAGTCGACACGGGCCATACAATGCTTTCTCGCACACGCCCATCTCGGAATCGACGCAGCTCAGCGACGCTGCCCCAAAAAGCACGGAAAGCCGCAGCGTCTGGCGAGTCAGGGGACGGGCCATGCTCGACTTGGTGCCATGCATGCTCTGCATTTAGCCACATACCAAGTTCGACGATTTTGGGACTAGCGCTGCCACCAGAGGCTTGCTGCTCCGTTGTGCATGTCTTTTGAGGGTTTGTACAGATAGCCACAACGCGCGCACGCCGTCCTAGCGCATGCCCACTCACATCCAAGACACGCCGGATGGCCCAAAGCGACGGTGAGCCGGCATCCAGACGGTGCACGAGCGAGCCACGTGCATGTAGGTTCAGATGCATCGACGCTGTCTCGTCGAAGCGCTGGAGCGGCGTACACTGGGGGACGAGGAACAAGTCGGCAAAGTGATCGCTGCCATCACTAAGCATACGCATTGACTGCGCAGCATCAAGTTGCAAAAGGTCAACAGATGCAGCTGGCCAATGCGCGAACAGATTTACACATCCACTTGGATCAACAAGGGTTCGCTCGAACACACCAGCGAACGATGCGGGAGAAATGTCTGTTGCAGGAGCAAGGCCGTAGCTTGGCTGTGCTTTCATCCAAACAGGTGTGGCAAATGAGTTTTTCGCGAGATACTCGAGCACACCGCGGAACAACTGCACACTTGACAGGCCTGGGGAAAGCTTCGTTCGCATCCGAACGCCAGGGTAGGATCCGGCTTCCATGTTAGTGTCAGTCACTTTCGGCTCGCCATGCAGGAGATGTGCAAGCACCATACACAAAACGAAGCGCGCATCATCTGTGCCTGCAACGACGCGGCGCGTAGCATGCTTGTCATCATGCTCGTGCAAGAGGTGTAGCGCACCGAATCCACGCTGTGTAGCCCAAATTTTTAGCAACTGGCATGCCTCTGCAAAGCCCTTGCACCATTCCGATGTGGCATGCAGGTACACGAGATGTGCAAGACGGAGTGACTCGGCTGCAATACACGCATTGTATATGGGTGTGGGAGGAAGTGATGCGGTGTCTTGGTCGGACGCGCCAATCGCCGAACCGCGCATATTGTTGCGGTTCGGCGCGAGTCGCGATGTAGGAAATGTCCCTGGCGCGTGAGCGGCGTGAATCCGCACGACTGTGTGTGTTTTGATCAGGTCGTGTGCTTCGGGCGTGGGCCTAAGCACAAGGCAGGAACGCCTTGGATCGCCTCCCACATACAGCCACTCGGCACGCACACCCAAGGCTGCGTGGTTCTGCTCCACGTATGCGAGTATGACGGCGAGATAAAATGCGCGCTTCGTAAAATAGCGAGCATTCAAGGTATCTTTTTCCTGGAACAGCTTGGACGGCATGACCACTTCCATATCGACGTCCATCTCACCTACACGCCGCGTTACGGTATGTAGCGGCCAGCTTCCGACAAGATTTAACGCCTCCGGCGGTTCAAAGGCAATCATGTACGCAGGATCTTCTCGCGGTACAGGTTCAACAAGCGGTATATGCACACTGTGTCCTACGCGGGACGTCAGTTCTTGGACGGCTTTGCTGAGCGGTTGCGGGTCGATCTTTGGCACACACATGATGCAAGCTTGCAGGCTCCGGAGCAAATGCTCTATTGCTTGTTTGTGGCCACCAGAAGGGTGAATGTACTTGAGCATTTCATCGAGCTGCAGCTTGAACATGTTGTTCATGTACAAATCACTGGTTTCCTGGAGACCATGAATTTCCTCGTTCGATGGAAGCGTGTAAAGAGAAGAGGTTCCATGTGATGATGCGCTTCCCCCTTCAGGAGCCATGCGCTCGTACGTATTCTTTGCAGCATCGTCGTCATCAATCTCATTCACCTCAGTTTTGCTGCCAGCGCGTATACTTTCATCATCTTCCACATCCTCAAATCCACCGTCGAGATCTTCATCGGACATCATCTCAACTTCTTGGTCCTTTTCTGCATCCGCACGTACAGTGCGCGCAGACTCGGCACGCGCTTTCGAGCGCTGGGCGCCAGAGAGCATCACAAAATCGTGGCCTTTAGAGAGCACGCGCACGAAGGGAAAAAAAAAATTGTGGACCAGATCCATCCGACATCGCTGACTAAATTTATCCACATACACACACCCACACTCATACACACATCCTTGTCCAACCATACTAGTCGGCACCAGTGCTAGCTGGCTTCTGAGAAGGGTGCTGTTGTTTCGTCATCGTTTCGCATCTTGTCGCAAAGATTGTAGTTTCGAATCATGGGAGACGAGCACCGCGTCAATACAAGTGAGTGGCACAGCGACAGTCGAAATCTTATGCAATATGCCAGGTAAAATCTTGTTCCACGCAGCACGGAGTGACAATCTTGAACTGCTAAACTCAGTGCTTCATGCACAACCTCCCATCGAATACGATATTAATGGTGTTGATGGTCTCGGAAATACCGTTTTACACTACGCATGTGAGGCCGTTGCAACGCATGTGCTGGATGCCGTTCTTGACGAAGCCATTGACGTAGACGCGACGAATCGCATTGAAGGCAACGCACCCCTTCATATTGCCTGCCAAATTGAAAATGAAGAGGCTAGGAACTGGGTTGTGCACCAGCTGCTTGATGCAGGCGCTAGCACTACGACACTGAATCATGCGGGACTGCGTCCCATGGATCTTGTCGTTGGTGCACGTGCCGAGACGCCGCTAGGCAAGGAATTGATTCAAATGATGACCATGTCACAAGCAGAAAATGCACTAGGTGCGGATGATATTGCCTATGGTGCGTATCTACAAAAAAAAAACAACTAACTAGGGACCAGACGACGACGACATTGCAGGCGAAACGAATACCTCTGATGTCGAGGCGTAGAAACACCAGGAAATGGTGGTTCGACAACCCAGGTACCTGTTCATCACGCTTTATTGTTTTCGCGTGTTTCTTTGCGGAACCGATACGAGCCAGGCTCAGCCTCCATGGCTTCATAGCCTTCCATCTCATCAGGCCGTTTGTACAGAATATCTAGCATGCGCTCCATCGTGCCCATATCCAATTCACCATCATCATCGAGCTGGACGGGCAAGTATTGCTCCTCCTGCGATCCTCCAGTCTGTACTGGTCCCGTATCATCGGTCTCTGTCTTGACGAGGTCGATGGCAGGAGCGCCGACACTCGCATGCCCGGCAACGCTGTTCATGTCAACCCCGGCTTTGCCTGCCGATGGTGGGGCTTCACGGGCATACAGCAAATCCGTTACTTTGTTGGATCCCATTATTTTCCATCTCATCAATTGTTGTGCAATAAGGGCGATGGTCGTGGCTGTGAGAATCCACAGAAGCATTCTTAAGCGGTGATTCTGTTCTGGAATGGGCCGAGGCGCCTGAGCTGGCACCTCCTGTTGTCCTGGCACAATGCGTTTGTGCCGCGACATGACTTGGATGTATTTGAACGAGTAGAGAGCGTCAGTAATAAAAGGGAGGGAAAGGGGGGCGGTGGAACGCAAAGCAGGGGTTGTCACAGGATTCCGACAGCTAAATGTCTCAGTGCCCACTTGCGTCCGCGTTTCACCATTTATAGTGTACGCGTCTTTGCCTTCCAACGTGGCGATATTGTGGAGGTGAGAGAATAAAATCGCATCATCCGATCCAATATAGATACGCCTGCTCAACCGATCTTGGGCTCTTTTCTTATCGACAATCCAGCATCGTCATTGCAGCTATTGTCCCCTTAGCCGGGCTGTGATACGATTTTGCATTACTTTCAATCGGCCTTGAGAAAGTTCCAAGCGCATATTAAACGAATACGTCGTGCTATGTCGTCTAAAGCTGAGGTCATTCAAGAATGGGCTGATCTCGATGCGAATGGTGCGTCATTCGAGCGTGGGCGCATGGAAGCAAATATACAATCAATTTGTTTTCTTGATCCAGCTGGCGTGCCAGAGGCTATGAAGGACCGGCACAAGGGCGTCAAAGTCAAGAGCGCTGATGTTCTGACTTTGGTACGTAATTACAACCGCCTTGTACTCGTTAGTACATGTGGCTAACTAATATCAGACAAGTGAACTCCTTGTGGAGCCTGAGGTTGCCGAGTATGCTCTAGTAGCTGCTGCTGGCGACGTCGAGCAAGCCTTCCATCTGCTCATGCGCCATGCGTCTGTTTAAAAAAGCCTCTGTCTTCCGAGGTGGCACATAATGACACATGTACTTTCTCGTTCCTGCTGACGTTCTTGTCCCCTGATGTTTAATGATGCAATCTGTTTCTTTGCTCGCAGGCAGCATCAAGCATCTTTCACATCTCACCCACCCATCCATCCAACCACCCACCCACCTGACCCCGCGGCGTTGCTGAGTCGTAGCTCTCCCCCCATAGTAAGGCCACGCACGTCAGTCATGATAAAATCACGTGATATCTCCGCATCTGAGTCATTGCGGCGTGAGAGGCGTTGTGCCAAGACGAGTGAGAGAGATAGGCATTGGAGCCGCGTGAGGGGAAGACCACCGGACGACCGTTTTCACCCATTCTCTTACCTAAACGCTGCTTCGATGGAGAGGATGCGGATGTATGCAAGCCGCATGGCGAACGCAATGCGTTCTGCCCTCCATGGGACCACGATGATGCAAAGATACATGCCACTGCCTGTGGCTGCCGTGCGTGCTCTGTCGACAACACCTTGTAGAGCGAAGAAGACCCGGCCCGAGCCAGCTCCTTCGTTCCAATCGGTGCGCAAGTCGCCGTCCCAGTTGCTGAGCTATGACCCAGCTGAACTTGATGATACGTTTGTCGGCATGTCTGGAGGACAGATATTCCATGAAATGATGCTGCGACACAAGGTGCACACTGTGTTTGGGTATCCGGGTGGCGCGATCTTGCCTGTGTTTGATGCGATTTACCAATCGAAGCATTTCAACTTTGTGCTACCACGTCGTGAGGATGGTGCAGGACACATGGCTGAGGGCTTTGCGCGTGCACGCGGTGTCCCGGGAGTCGTGCTGGTGACGTCAGGGCCTGGTGCGACGAATGTGGTGACGCCGATGCAGGACGCCATGAGCGATGGTGTGCCGCTCGTTGTATTTTGTGGACAGGTTGCCACATCGGCAATTGGATCAGATGCATTCCAGGAGGCCGACGTCGTGGGTATCAGCCGCAGCTGCACGAAATGGAATGTGATGGTAAAAGACGTTGCTGAGCTGCCGCGTCGCATCAATGAAGCGTTCAAAATTGCTATGAGTGGACGCCGTGGACCTGTGCTTGTCGACTTGCCCAAAGATGTGACGGCGTCGATTCTCAAGCACCCGATTCCCCATTCGTGGACGAGTCCCGAGCTATCGGAGATGCCTAGTCGCGAGACAGCCATGCAGCGCAAGTCACGCCTGGGTGGCCTGTTAACGCCGGCAGATGTTCTGCCTGAGCTTGAGCAGGCTGCGCGCCTTATTTCTATTGCACGCCGACCAATCATTTATGCGGGCCATGGTATTGTTGCCCACAGCGAGGGCCCACAGCTGCTTCGTGAACTAGCCATGTCGCAGGACATTCCTGTGACAACGACTTTGCATGCACTGGGTGCATTTGACGAGGAGCACCCCTTGAGTCTGCACATGCTTGGTATGCATGGCTCTGCGTATGCGAATTTAGCGATGCAAAGTGCTGATCTGATCATTGCGCTGGGTGCCCGCTTCGATGATCGTGTCACAGGCCGTGTTGACAAATTTGCGCCTGCTGCCGATGTCGCAGCGGCTGAGGGCCGGGGTGGAATTGTTCATTTTGACATCATGCCGAAGAACATCAATAAAGTCGTGCAGGCAACGTGTGCCGTGGAAGGCGACGTGACAGCGAACCTGAAGCGCATGATACCCCTCCTATCGACGTCGCCAGATCGGAGTGAGTGGCTCAAGCAGATTCAGGCATGGAAGCAGCGGTACCCATTCACGTACGAGCCGTCGAACCCTGAGCTCCTGGAGTTGATGAAGCCGCAAGAAGTAATTGAAGCACTTGATGCAGCTGTGCGCGACATGAAAGACAATGTGTTTGTGACGTCAGGCGTAGGTCAGCATCAGATGTGGGCTGCACAGCATTTCCGCTGGCGCTATCCCCGCACATGGGTGTCATCTGGTGGTCTAGGCACGATGGGCTTTGGTCTTCCATCAGCGATTGGTGTAAAGGTTGCAAAGCCGGAGGGTGTCGTTGTGGATATTGATGGCGATGCGAGTTTCAGTATGACTGCTATGGAATTGGCCACTGCTGCGCAATATGGCATTGGTGTGAAGGTTTTGCTGCTGAACAACGAGTTTCAGGGCATGGTTTTGCAATGGCAAGATTTGTTCTATGAGCGTCGTTACTCGCACACAGAAATGCACAATCCCGACTTTGTTAAGCTGGCCGAGGCGATGGGTGTCAAGGCGATCCGCTGTGACAAGCTTGACGAGCTTCCCGACAAAATGAAGGAATTCGTGGAGTACGACAACACGAAGCCGATCCTCTTTGAAGCACGCGTTGTAAAGAATGAACATGTGTACCCAATGGTTCCTGCGGGTAAGTCGCTAGAGGAGCAAGTGCTTCATCCCTCGTTCCGTGTTGCAGCTGCCTAGGCTAATTTGAATTCTGATCTTGTCTCTGGGCTACAACCTTGACTGTGTATCTCTTGCATTTCTCCATGCTTCATTTTTTTTTTCTTTTGGATTTTCTTGCTATGTGGTAGGGGCAAGTGCCAAGATCGAATCAAAGACAATTGGAAGATTTGCGTCGCTGCATTTGATTTTCATTTTTTCTCGTGTCGTTCCATTTTGATTTATGCTGGCGGATCGCAGTTCGCACGTCTTCATGCACATCTGGCTTGCCCCGTGTGCCTGCCTGCATGCTATGGACTCTTTCGACTCTACAGGTAGACATGGAGCGTCAGAACTGGTGAATGATATCTCAGTCGATAGGTAAAATGAAAATAGTAAAACATCTGTTCCATCATTGTTCCTCGACCTAGTCGTATTGTCATCGTATCTTTTTGGACATTCGGTGAGGGTAGCGGATGGAGGGCCTGAGGTAAAAGTTTGAGTTGGGAGATTGTGGAGTTTGTTAGGTTGGGGGTCTGTCTGAGCCAGGCTAGCGAGGCCTGGTCAAGCGAGCTTTGTGTCCGAGGTCGTCCGACAATCAGAAAGACTGACGGGCGACCCAAGTGGCATTGAACTCATCCGTTCATCCGTCGGTATCCGCACAAGCCTAAGCGACGTGCTGGATTACTGACGCCTCTTTCGTTTGTATACGCAAGTCACCATCCAAAAGCCATTACGCACGACGAGGCATGGCTGACGCGGTTTCAGCAGACGCAGCAGCCGCGACGCAGTGGCTCTTTACGCGCGAGGATCTGCAATTCACACCCAGTGTGACGGGCGTATATGACGCACTCCTGGATGCATCGTCATCGCCTAACAAACATTTAGCACAGACCATGACGTCAGAGCAGGAGCGTGTTCTCCGTGGTAAGGGGGTACACCTTATTTACAAGATGGGCGAATTTCTCCAAGTTGGTCAGCATGTCATGGTTGCAGCTGCGACGTATTTTCACCGCTTCTTTATGCGCCGACCACTGCAGGTCCATCGTGCTGGCAGCGGATGGTCTCATTACGAAATAGCAGCAGCATGTGTGTTTCTAGCATGCAAGTCGGAGGAATCGCTACGGAAGTTGCCATTTATCGTCGATGCTGTTATGGCATCGCTCGACAAGTCGCCAGAAGGTCAAATGCGTTGGGCTGACCGTTCTTTCCGCTCGCATCATGGCTCTCACGAGTTTGCGAAATGGCGAGACTGTATTCTGTTGCATGAGGAAGCGCTACTAACGACACTCTGCTTTGACCTGGTGGTGCCTCAGCCACATGAGGCGCTGGTGCGTGCGACGCGCGCGATGGAAGTTGAACCTGCTTTGGCTCGTCTTGCATGGACGATCCTAAATGACTGCATGCGTGATCCTGTGTGTCTATTCTTTGATGCGCCTGTGCTTGCCGCAGGTGCCTTCCTGAAGGCATGTTGTGAGCGGCATGTCGATCCAGCCATGTATTATGCGGCTCGTCCGCGTGATGCTCCACGCATTGATACGGCAGATGCATATTTTGACTGGCTCGATGCATTCGACGTGGACGAGGACGAGGCTCGAGAGGCCATGACTGCTATAGATGCGGATGTGTATGACTTTCATATGCCGCTACAACGGCCAACTGTCTCTAAGCCAGCACACACGGCGGGAGTGCGTGAATCACCAGCCGAGTCCGGGGCGCCACCCACTGAGCCTTTACCTTCAGCGACTCCATCCGACTCGGCGTCTGCCCCCGCCGCACCTTCCGTGTCAGAGTCTGATGTGCCTGAGCCTCCACCAACTAACGTCACATGAGCGTGTACGCTTGCGTAAGTCGATCCATTGTGCCAACCTACGTATTCCTCTTGTTCGCAAGCAAGGGTATACTAAATAATGCTGTGTATCATCCTCATCATGCCCGTGAAGCCCGATCCAATAATTCGCCCAGTGATACGGGCTCGTATGTCACTCGTCCCTCTGCCGCGCCCTGCTCGAGCGCGACAAAGATAACATCATCGTCCAGATAAAACGTTGTACCGAATTTTCCGTCGACGTGCCGTGCTACGCGTAGCAAAGCCAAACCGCTAGATGGCTCTAGCTTGTTGAGTGAGCGCACAAATAGGTCACGTTCACTCGCTCGTTCTTCGACAATGTGACGGAACGACACATCTTCGAGCGTCGGAGGCGGTGCATCTCCCTGTCGGGCATGTCCCGTGCTCGCCGAGCCTAAAGCGCTTTCAACGGGTGTTGTCGCTTCTGTGGCCGACGCAGTCGCAGCAGCCGTGGGTCCGGACACTCCGGGCCGAGGCGTCGTCACGCGGTCATGCCCACGGTCCAGCGCCGCGTTGATGTGCTGAAGTGCTTGTCGAAACATGCATGTTACGCCCTGCAGCGGGATAGTAGCTTTGGAAGCAAACCAGCTACGCCAAAATTCGTACCAAGCGGCGATTTCTGCCAGGTCTGCATCTGTCTGCGTAATCCATGCGTGCAAGATGTCGAGCCAACGAGGCGCTACTTCCGTCTCGAACAAGCGGTTCAGTACACTGTCGCGCAGAACGCCTTGCCAAGCCAACACGCCGTCAAGCACACGCATGTCTTGCTGACCTGGATCGACGTGGAATTGCGTTCGTAGTGCTTTTGTCATAGCGGGCACAATGCGCTCCAAGAGCAGTGCCTCCCACTCTTTAGGTGTAAAGACACTGCGCCATATGAGGAAGTGGGCGGGAATGCCCAACCTCACATGCCAGGATGCAAGGACACTTCGCCATTTACGACGTGCCTCGCCCAACACAGAGACAAGACGCGCCTCGCCTATAGGCAACCACGGCAGTACAAACACATGAAGTGGTACAGCTTGCGTTTGATTGGGCTGGTTGGGTGTCCAGCCTTGAACGGCACGCTCAAGTTTCGGTATAATAAGCTGGTCCAGCACATTGTCTAGCACAAAAGGTGGTAGAATGTCACGCCATGTCTCGACAAGAGCTACGGCCGGCGCCGCATCATGCACGTCCCAAGTATTCGTTAGCGCTGAGCGTATGACCGGCATCCATATGTTCCATAAAACGCTTTCCCAGGGCGTCATGGGCCGTTCGGCATGGGATGCTGCGGATGATGTGAAGGCGGGAGCAAGGAAACAAAGCCAGGACGCCAGTCGTTGGACTCCGCGATGCGGTTCAGCCAATGGATCCCAATCAGCGAAAGTATGTCGCAAAGCAGGGACCAGCGCTCCAGCGACAGCTTCATCCAATTGAAACTGCTCCATGAGTTCACGAGGGAGCCACGCCACTCGCTCCATCGCCGGTGCAAGGTCATCAAGAGATGTGCTGTTTTCGCCCGATTGACGTAAAGTAGTGATAACGTGCATCACAGACGTTAAGCGCTCATGTTCCTCAGTCGCTTTCTCTGCACGTACTCGCAATGCCTCTAGATCTCGCTGAAGCCAGCGTTGCCTTTCACGGATCCCTGCGCCGTGACGTGCGAGACGATCGAGTGCCTCTTTGCTTTGTCGGCAAAGAAGTGTAACGTTGTGCTGCAATTCGGGTATATGTTCATGAACATTTGTTAGTCCAGCCGGCTGGCTCTGTGCCAAAGCAGCGGCGACAGAGTCGACTTGACGGATTTCCGACCCTCTCGCGTCGAGGATGGTCGTCTCGAGCTCCCCAGCAGCTTCAGCAACCATTTCGTCATATGTTCGGTAGACGACTCGTACTCTATGCGCCTTGTCGCGCCGTTTCCATGCTGCTGCCGAAGTGACACGACCATGGTCGTCGCCGTCGTCGGCGTCAGCATCATCATCATCATCATCATCATCACCATGCCCATCGTCCTCGTCACTGTCGTCAAGCTTCTTCGACTGTCTTGAGCGCACATTCGCGCGGCGACGGCTCTCATTCCCGCTATGTTTGCCTTTACTGGCAGACTCATTCACAGCAGTCTCTCTCCGCCCATCGAACGCGACACCAGCTCGATTCGGCCGCATCTTGACTTCAATCGGGTTCACGATCCCTGTACCATGCTTACCGAGACCACCACCGGACCAGCCCATCTGGCGCATAAGTGCTGCCGGATCAAAGCTGCCGGTGCCTGACGTCCGTGAGAGTGCCGGGCCAGCTGACATCGGGGTTGGTGCCGATCCAAGTCCGGTACGAGCAGGCACTTCATCGTCATCTGTACGTTCGTGCATTTGCGGTGCATACTTCTTCTTCGTGCCCAGTCCTGCACCGAAGGAACGCCTCTCAATCACTGGATCTGGGTCGTCATCATCATTGCGCTCGGCACTCATCGTTGTCGTATTGGCGCTCGAGCTAACAAATGCAGGGAACGCTCGGCGCTTAGAAGGAACAAATGATGGTACTTTTCGTGATGGGCTTTGAGCGCCATCCGAAACGACAGAGTCATCGGAATCTGTGCCCTCATCCGCGTAGGCAGACTTGCGCCGAGCCATGATATATACTACCACACTCCGCTTTGTGGGGTCGCGTCAATGACAACCGCAGGTGATGGAGGAGGATGCTCATGTCGGCGGATGACTAAGAGTTGCACCACACTAAACACGTCCACCACTCTCGTGAGCTACTGCTGCCGGTATTTCCTTGCATACGGTTGCTGCTATATTTATGAGACATACATGGGTGTTCAAGATTATGTACCTGTACAGAAGGAGCGCAAAATGAACATGGGAGAAAGCAAGAAGAAAACGCGAAAGTCAAAAGTGTAGAAGTAGAAATGCAAGATGAGGTTAAACAAGCATAGCGTTGTGTTGGCAGGGGCGAAAAGCCTTGCAAAACAAAAAAAAAATCCACCATCTCAAGTCCTGCTTCCGTTATGCATAATATTTGTAGGCAGGAGGCAAATGAACCAACAACAACATGATCAGACCGCACCGTTAGTCCACATCCAGGTCAGCGTTACTGGCGACCTCCTTAGCTGTATGATCAGGCTTTTTCATTGGAGACACGGCCAAAGCTGGAGATGAAATCGCTGGCGAAGATATCGTCGTCATCAGCATGGACTTGGGTGAGCGATCCACCTGTGTGGGAGGAATAAGTCGAGCTGCAGCTGGGGCTTCTGCCGCTGCATCTTTTGGCTCGGCACTGTCAGTGGTGGGAGTAGTGGTGGCAACGTCCTCTGACACATTTTCTGGCTTCGCGTCATCAGCACCACGTGGCTCATCGTTGGATGGACAAGTGTCATGTGGGCTGTCTGACTTGACGTCTGCAGCACGCGGTTCTTCGCGTGGCATGCGCAGGTTATGTGCCTCTTGCTTGGACGTATCAGACACATTATCATGATCCTGCCTAGCGGGCACGGGTTTGTCAGCGGGCGGACTTGGAAGCCGTTCTTCCCTTTTGCAGTCCCAGGAGCCCGCCACACAGCCTCATCCTGTTGGAGGGGCTCCTGGCTAGCGGGTGTTTCGTGATGCCTCTCGGCAGTCACCGGTTCAGTGGCGTGCTTCGGCTGCTCCTGAGGTGGATGCTGTAGCAAAGCATCACTCATGGCGTCACTAAAGTCCTTCAATTTCGGTGTGCTCGCAACGCGTTTCTTGCCTTTGCGCATCGAAGCATCGTCTGTCCTGAAGAAGCCAAGATCTCGGTAGAGCTCTTGTCGGGGCGTAGCAGGCGCTGGCATTTGTGTTAGAGAACGAGACGCGGCACCGCGCTCAGCTGAGCCTGAAGGACCCGACTCGTCGCGTGGCGTTCCCTGGCGTTGCGATGCGCGACGCACCAGTGGCGTGCCGAAGGCAAACGAGCCACTAAGCTTGCGCTCATGCTTCTGAGTAAGCTGTGATCGTGTCGCGTCCTCTTGCAGCATGAAGCGGTGCACTTCAGGCTGTCGAGTATTCCATGACTGGGTGCGTGAGAGACGCGGCACGTCGGCGTGGAAAGGCCGCGCAGCAGAATCGGTGCGAGTATTGTCTTGCGAAGCCAGCTGCTTCTCCACCTCCTCGGGCGTACGCATATTGTCGAACGGATCAGGCTGTGCCGACGATGGTGCCGGCGGAACCTGCGATGGTATCGAAGCATGGGTCTGCAGCTCGTTTGACGGTGGTGGTGGTGGCGGCGCAAGCAAGGGCTGGAACTCCTGCGTTGGACGGATCTGGAAGGAGCGTTTCGTCGAGATGCGTGGCGGCAGCTGCAGACGCAAATCGCGCGTCGACGGCATGGACTTGAAGCCGGCGTACGTGCCAGACTCGAGCTGTGTGCCCCAGTACTGGCTCTGGCTGTGTTCGAGGCGGCGACCTTTCGCTGCAAGTGTGCCTTTGGAACGGCTGCCTGACAGTTTGGGTACGCGCTCCTGACCGAGCGACTCATTCGACGAGCGCTTGCCGACCGAAGTTTCTTCATTCAGCTTCCGGTATTGTGCAGGGCCCGTGCCGTTCAGTGTCGTTCGCTCAGCACGCTCGCGATCGCGCTCATGCGGAGGAAAGAAGGGCGTGTTACGGTTGATGCTGGCCGCGGCCCGTTCGCTGCCATTCATGGTATGATGCGCCTTGTTATCCAGGGCGTCAAATACACTCGTGACAGACGAGTCGGCCGGATCAGGCGGCGGATACAGCACATTGCCTTCTTCATACTGCTCGCGCAGCCATGCAGGCAAAACACCCCGCTCGCGACCAAAGTACGATGGCTTGGGCGCGATGGTCTGACCCTGTAGACTCTCGTTGATGGGACGGGCCGCTGCCGCTGATACATGTGGTGTATATGGCGACGTCAGATCTTGCGACGCAATTTGCGATGATAGTTTCGTTGCTGACGTCGTTCGGCGCTTCGTATCTGGAGACAGCAGGTGCGGCGATACCACCTCGCCATTCAACAGATGCGGCTTGTCAGGCTGGAACTGACCACTAGAGCTCGAAAGCACCGTGAACGTTTTTGGCCGTGACTGCCGCGAGGCCTTCTTGAACTCGCTGCGTGCATTGAGACTTGCCTGAATCAGCGGACTCACTTGTTGTGCCATGGGCATGGGTGCTGAGGGCCGCAGCAGCGTCGGTGCGGGCGGCAACTGCACGTCTGACACTGACGCCCCTGTTGCCTGCTTACTGTCATGGGCACGCGTTTGCGCCGATTGCTGCGCTTCGGCCTCGTCAAGAGAGACAATGTGAGGTGTGCCTTGAGCACCGGGCGGGCGTGCAACGACAGGCATTGGACGCACAAGGCGTGGCTCAGACGGACTAAAGACAACTTTGTGGTAGCCAAGCTCTGGCTCGTTGTACGTTGAGCTGGACGTATCGCGCCGGTTGACCGCATGATCATCGGGTACTGGGCGCGGTGGTGCCTTTGGCACCTCGAGCGGTGTCGGCATGGGCTGTGCGTGTGGTGGCAACGTTGGCTGCAAGTGTGACAGCGACAGCGACTGCGACCGCTGAAGCGAGCCAGTGCGCACAGGAGTCATGTCTCGGTCGACGACAGAAGCGGTGCTTGAGACTCGCGATCCAACGTGACCACGACGCCGCCGACTTTGTGCTGGCTCCGTCTGGACAAACATAAGCTCGCGGGACGCGGTGTGGCCACGCTGTGCCCAAGCAGCAAGGCGGAGCATCGCATAAAAGTGACCATGACGTATGCCAAGAGGCAGACGTTCAAACAACGAGAGAATCTGTGTCATGTTAGCAAGCTGGAATAGGGAGCAAAATACATACATTGATTTCGTCATCGACCGAGACGCCAAGCTCACTGCGCAAAAACTTGACGGCCGCATGTTCATCCAGTAAGCCGTGGCGACGCGAATGCGCCGGCTTGATGCGGCTGGCCCAGCGCGTATATACATCAAACTCATGGGGCGACAGGGCGGACTCGTCAAGGAAGCTTGGGCGCTCGTGTTTGAGACCGGTCGCCACAGAACCGGGCACATGCACCGAGACAGACGGAGAAGGCTTAGGTGAATCATGCGGATCCTGGGGCAGGTGTGTTACTGGAAGTGGTGGGCTCATTTGCGGCGACGTGACACTGGTTTTGGTAGACTCGGCTGTGAGCAAGGAGGCAAGCGAATTACTAGGCGTGTCCGATACTGCCGACACGCTCACTTGAGTGTCGATGGGTGATGTGAGCGTGGTGAGATGAAGCTGAGGAAGTTGATTCGAGAAACGGTCTGGAAGAACAGGAGTAGGCTTACACACACGAGGCATGAAAGCACGAGGGGAGGCCAAACGTCGTCGTCACCTTCTTGCTATGGACGCAAGCTCAATGTCGGTTCTTTGCGTTCACACGTGTTTTGTTCTTTTTTTTTTTGTGATTCGTGGTGATGGGAACAAGAGTCAACTGCTGCTGAGACGCCCGTGTATACACCAGCCTTGGGTTCTCCTAGATGAAAAGACACTTCTCACACCCCTGACTTTTTGTCGCGGCGTTACGTCGTCGCTTCGACGGCCCGGCCGTGCGTGTGGGACAGACAAGTACTTGGACGAGCTCCATCACTCACGTGACGAGTATTCCCGCATTTAGCAGGCGTTCCTGAAGCGCACGGCTGTACAAGACTCTAGATCAAGCTCGAACAAATCCGCACAGACTATATGCGGCTGTATATTGTCTTATTTATTTCCCTGATATATCCCACGAGGATCGACGCACATTATTAGTAATGTGTCCTTCATGTGTAGACGACCCCTGGCTGCGCTTGGCCTCATATGCCCCATCGCTAGGCGTTGCATCTGCTTGTGACGAGCACGGTGAGAGGCAAAATGTCGCAGAAATGTGCTTGTAGTGGCCATTCATGTTTGCTATATCTCGTAGAAAGCAACGGTAGCTTGGCGTCATGCGCCAAGCCTCGATACGCAGCGCATGACAGCGCAGCGAGTACATGTCGCGCGCTGTTTGTGAGGTCAATCTTAAATCAGGCAGCATATGGCACAAAGTCACACCATAAAATGCCTGCTCGTGCTGCATGGATAGCGCCACAAATTGCCGCACATACAGTTGGCACCAATGTCGAAGAAATGATTCACTCGCATGCTGCTTGACGGCCTCCATAAGTTGGTGCATGAATAAAACGTCCGGAGCATCTGCTCGCTCGTCGCCCAGCATCCACTCTGGCATTGAGCGCATCATCGACCGCAAAGTGCGCTTTGCGTGTCGGTTGTTTTGTGCATCAAAGGGTAGGAACGGCGGCGGGGCCGGCGTTGCTGCTGACACAATGATTTGTCCGGACTCACAATCACACAACACATCCCAGCACCCAAGCTCTTCGATCCGCGGGTGCGTCGTGCCGGCGATAAATCCACGCATCGATCTTAGCGTGTCCAAACTCGCTAGTGTCACATAAGGTATAGAACTTGCAACAAACCCACGCAGCACGGCGCCGCATCCACTGACTAACGCGCATGCTGCCAGCACATGCTCGACAACGACTGTGGCAGGTGAGTGATACGCGACAAACAAAACGCGCTTGTGTGTAATGAGCGCATTGAACAGAAGTGTGACGGGATGTGTGTAGACGCCATTGGAATGCAAGTGTGGATGCAACAATAGCAGCTGCTGGTGGTGATGATGCTGGAGCAAGGGCGAACGATGGTGCTGCTTGTGCTGCAGGCCATGGCTGCTTGAGGGCTTCACAAAGCCAAACGTAGAAAACAAACGCGATAGCGAGTATTCGCCGACTTCCTCGGGAAAAAGGTACAAAGGAATGCTGATAGGAATGCACACACGTCCAAACGAAATACTTGTGATGTAGTAGTGGCTCGGTCCACACATATGCTGCGGTTTAGAAATTAGATATCGAGAGCGCACGAAAGAGCGACGACTATGCATGGAGCTGGTTGACGCAGAAGAATGGCGCCGACTTTCGCGCATCGTTGGAAGCGTCACATCACTCGCAGAAAGTGCCGAATACAGCTGCATATGTGTGGCGACAGATGTGAGAGATGTGCATGGTGCATCTTGCTTGGAGAATGACAACGGCGACGCGACCATGCGCGTACTGTTGCCACTACTGTGGTACATGGCATGTAGGATGGGATCGCTCCGCATACGAACTTTTTCCGAGTAGCTGACACATGAGAGTGTTGATATAGGCAACGAGTTCAAAGATTCGTGCAGCTGAACGAGAATGGATGGGCTAGGGTTTGTGACGTACGCGTCGAGAGCCAGGACAAGCACAGGCTTTAGCAGGGAAACGTGTGGATGCATCGTACCTACAGCCAATGCAAAAAGCTTTGCACCGCGACGCGCATCGGCGGTATGAATGGTGCGCGCTGAGCTAAGAATGTAGATGCAGTCGCCTGCATCCGTAGCCTCAGTATGCGGCGACTTGGTCACAACATGGGCTGGTCGCTCAGGCACATGTGGAAGCGAAAGCTCCGAGACGCGGCGAATCAGTAATGTCCAGTCACCGTCTCTTTTGTGTAAGCCATCAGGGATCATTTGCTCGGCTAGCATGTGCTCGTCGAGGCCAGTGTGCACAGGTACACTATGCTCGAGCACAGGCCCTTGGTCTGCGTGAAACGTCGCCAGTACGCAAAATTGACAGAGACTTTCCGACGCAAAATAAGAGAGCGAAGTGCTCGATGTAGACTCCGACGTCATGTTAGCTGGCGCAAGTCAGGGATGGTCGTGGACGTCTATATCCTTCATCACGCAAAGGACGCCTGTCGCGCAAGACGTGCCATCACATGTAAACGTGATGAGACTATGTCACGAAGTGCCACAAGGAGCAGAATATCGCATCATGTGACGCCGCACCAGACCAAGCATTGTCATTACACCATGTCAAGCGTCGCATCCTCATCGAGCATGCGCATGTGGAACGATAGGGCTACGGTTGAGCCAGGGGCTCCATTCCTCCACCGCTGACGCCTGTGGCGGTCGCGACTGTTGCACGGACGGCAAGGCGGCACGTGATGTCATTCTCGTGGGTGAGCGTGACGCGTCCGTCGAAAAGTTCCCAACAGGTGTGTTGGGAACAGGATCACAAAACGTTGTGGACGAAGAAGTCGCTACTCACTCCCGTTAGGCGCGATGCCGCCGCCTCGAATCGCGCAGCGGAGTGGCTCCGTGCCTATGCGGCATGGAAAATTGCGTGCACTGGACGAAGTGCTCACTAGCCTATCCAATGCGGAGGCCATCCGCCGTGCCGACGTAGCGGCACTTATTACTCACATGAACGCTTCTTCTTTGGCTCATGCGTTGTCACTGTATACAAGCCGATCTACGGCGCCGACAAATGCAGGTGTTGGATGGCATGTGCATCATGAAGATCCCATTGACGCTGCGAGTGTGCGGACAGCAAAGCTCGTCGTGAATGCGGTGCTGAGCGCCCTGCAGGTGAAGCGGTCAGCCACGACGACGACGAAATTCTCGCCGCAAGACGTATTGCCGTGGCTTGATGCGTTTCGGATTTCTATGTGTGTGCTTGTTTCGTCGAATATGGATGTTCTGACACTCGCGCCTGTGGCACTCTCGGTGATTCGTCGGCTTGCCGACGTGCACATGGATGATTATGCACTGACCGAGCTTGTCGCATTGCGGACATGTATTGATCCATCATCGTTCACACTATCAGCTACACGCTCTGTGCACGAACCAGGCTCTGCAGCTGAGCGTTTACGTGCCTGTATGTCGTATGCATGTGAAGCACCTTCGTCTGCATACACGACGCTGGTTCTCGATGCTTACGCGTGCGCTCTGCAAGTCGCGCCAGCTGTAGCTTCTTTCTTACATACACTAGTGGATGTGTGGCCTTCTCTTGCAGAGTGGAATGAGTATGGACGAGCGCAAGGTCTTGACGCCGCATGTGATCGCACGGCGTATATGGCAGAGCGTGCGACATCAAAAATGTCGCAGACCCTGCAGCGAAAACCGGACAAACACCAAGACGATCCATCCTTGACAGTAGAAGCACTGACGCTTCGTATGGCTGCACTTGAGCTCATCATGCCTGCTGCATCGCTTGACCCAGATGCCGTTTGGGACCGCGCAGGTAGACTTGGTGCATTACATGGGCTGGAGGCATCGTACAACGCTCTCGTTCAAGTGTATGAATCTGCACAAGCTCACCAAATGGCATGTGGTACGTCGTTTGAGCGCGTGATTACGTGGTGGACACGCGCCGCCCATGCACTTGGCCGGTGTGATCTCGCGCCGCCTGCATCCTCTTCGATACCCCAGATAAGTGGTGGTGTGTCTGATGCTGAAACTTGGTCAGCTTGTCTGGCTGCCCTGGCATCACCGGCTGATGGGTCTACTTCTATCCCCGCTGAACTCATGACTCTGCCGTCTACACCCGTACCGCCCTCGTTTGTATCGTCATTGTCGTCGCAACTTCGCACTGCACTACGAAACGAAGGACCATCGCCGACATTTCTAATCCGGGCCTTGCATATCGTGCGGCATGTGCCAGCAACAGAGGGTCTCGCTATGGAGGCCGTGCATGCCGCATGCTTGCTCTTGAAGCTCGTATTCTCTGAACATGAGCCTGCTTCGTTTGATGCTTGTCTACAAGGGAGTGAGTCCGCGCATGCCGTCGCCACTCCCCCGCATCAGCATACACTTGCTGCACACCTGTTTCATTATGGCAGTCGACTGTATGCAGTGAAACAGTACGCGCACGCATCGCGCTTTGTCCAGCTAGCGTGTACATGTACAGAGGCGTCTCTTCCTGCTGATCCTGATGGCTCTTGGCGCATTGCTCTCGTTCGGCAATACCATGTGCTTGCTGGTGCTCTTCAGCACATGTCTCAATATCGGCCAGCATACACGGCGTACATGGCGGGTGTTCGTCATGCATTCCAAGCGCAGCAGAACTCAGCTGAAGCAACTGACTTGTTTGTCCGTGTCTTGCGAGGGGCGCATCATGTTTCGGTGTTTGCCCTGCTCGATCCACATGTGCTTGTGGCAGATGTGACAGCCATCCCTACAGCTACTGCTGAGCTGCGTGGTCGTGCGTTTGTGAGCCTGCTTGATGAGCTCATGCCCATGCTGCAGCGAGAAGAAGCACCATACGCATTCGACACGCTGTGCACCGCGGCTTTGGACACGTATGATGTCGGTACACACCCGGTGGAACGTCTGCGTGTGCTGCTTCGTCGTTCCGAGCTGCGCGTCCTTCGTCAAGAACATGTCGATTGGGATGACGTGCGTAGCACGGTTGACCGTGTGGCCGACAAGGCGCCAACACCCGTGCTTCTTGAACTCACTCTCACTTTTTACTTGTTAGCGACGTTAGACTGCGTACAAATGCACTCTTACAGTGACGCTCTTGCACATGTGCAGCAGGCACGGGCGTGGCACGATGCACATACGCCAGCCGCAAACAAGTCAAATGGGCAGTCAACTCGCGCTGCAGTGCCGCGACGCGCAGGAAGTCGACGAAATGCGAATGCAGCGGGAGCAGCAGCCATCGCGGCGAATGCGGCAGCGACAAAAACACCGTCACGTATGCCATCACGACCGCCGTCGCACCCACCATCGCGCACGCCGTCACGGTCATTGGCCAGCTTACCATCGACTCCGCAGCGTCGTGAAGTGCTGGATCCAAATGATACGTCCCATGAATGGACATCAAGCATGTCGTCTCTATTCCTCCTTGTGTGTGATGCTCTTGTGTATGCTGGTCTTCCTACAGCCGCTTTGGATATTTTGCGCCTTGCGCAAAGTGAATACGATGCACCGATCATTCATGTGCGTCATGCGGAAGTGTGCATCATGCTAGGAGCGCCTGACGCTGCTTGGGAGGCTTTGTGCCCGTTTGAGCAAACCTCGGCACGAGCTATGCTCGTCCATGCACAAATCAAGGCCATACTTGGTCATGTATCTGACGCACAGTCTTTGTACGATGCAGCGATTTCCGAGGTTGATGTGCCGCGATGCGGTGCATCCGCTGCATGGGAGCGGGGTTGGGACAAGGCGTCCTTGTGGGAGCTCCAGTCTTGTGCGGCCGAGACGTGCGCTGTCGTGTACACGGCCTCTGGCGATGCATCCGAAGCATTACATGCGTTGCTTCATGCTCTGCGCATTCGTCTGCGAACGGCTATGCTGCTTGCTCAGGCTGCGCCAGCGGCGGGGAACGTGGATATTCAGCGCGGCGAGGATGACGACGACGTATTTTCATCATCACCAACACGAACTCGGTCGCCGACGAGACCAGACCATCGCAGTGCCAGGCCAAGTTCTCGGCGGGTTGCCATCTCCTCTGGAATGCCCAGCGCCGACAAAGCGGGTGTTGCACGTGCTGCATCCGCATCAACCACCAAAGCACCCTCGACACGATTTTCAGGACGTGGAATGTCCAGCTTGCAATGGCGCACATCCTGTGGTATCCTCTCTTTGTATCGCAGTGTCTCGCAAATGTATGCGCGCCGTGGCGCTGTGCGTGATGCAGATGCATTCGCGCGTGAATGCGTCGACTTTGGCGACACTGTGTCCGTGCCGTGGATGCGTGCAAGTGCGCATGCATGGCTCGCCGAATGGACGTGCTCATGTGGTGACACGGCGAGTGCCGCGCAGCTTGCTGCTCAGGCGTATGAATCGAACACCCAAGTGTGTCCGAGTCTTGCACGTGTGCACGCCGCTTATGTGCTGGATGTCGTCGCAGACGATGGCGTATTTGAACGTTCAAAGCAATGCTTGCATGAAGTCGAAGAGGCCGCAAAGATGCGGGTCTGGCATGACATGCATAATCGCATCACTTGTGCCCAAGCGGTGCGCCTCGTCGACACGCGATCTGGGGCAGCTCGTGACCTTGTTTCGTCGCTTGATGGATGTGCCGCGCACCTCATTCGTGCGCGCACATATTTGGCCGAAGCTCGCGCTGCTATTCAAAGCGACGCCGTGTTCGGCATGCTGCCCGACATGGCGCGCTCCGTTCCAAGTGTGATGCCGTCCAGTCGTCGTGTCTCGCCAGCTATCCGCTCAGCGTATGAGCTTCTGGAGCAGGCGCGCGCTGCTGCCGAGCACGTACTCACAAACGCAGCTGTGCTGGACGTGTGTGATGTGCGTATGGCGCTTGTTTGTGCACGAGAGGCTGTGCTGACGTCGGCATCGCTCGGGCGCAGTTCTGTGGCTGATGAAGCGTCTTCTGGCACAGCCTCGGCCCTAAGCCCAGCACCATCCATGAGCTCAGCTGCCTGCGTGGTGGCAGCCATGACGAATGCCGTGTCGTCGATCTCTGTGCGCCGAGCGTGTGCCGACGCAAGGGTGAGACGCGCTATGCGCCCCAAAGCCGAGTGGCTACACCGTCTATCTGCTTCGTCGGTGGTGAAACCGTGGCGTGAATACGATGTCCAAGCTATGCCTACGTGGAGCGACGCAGGTGCAGCAGCAGCGGTCATATCCCTGTCATCCGATGCTCGCGAGCTGATCGTCGCCCGGTACGGTGATGCGTACGATCCGTGTGTGTTCGTGCTGCCATTGCATCGACAGAGTTATCGGGATGCGGAGGACGACGATGACGTTCTTCACGTCGAGACGGTGATGACGGAACTGCGACAAATCATCCATTCGTCAAATGTCGGCGTTCAAGGTGCTAAAGACGTCAAAGCCCTAGAGGCTCGCAAGGTTTGGTGGACACACCGGCGCGCGCTAGATGCACAGCTCGGCTCGCTTCTCCAGCTCGTGCAGGACGCATGGTTTAGTGGCTTGCATGGTCTCTTGGCTCCTTGGCCTTCGCCCAGTGCCATGTACTGCTTGCGAGATAAGGTCGAGTCTGTACTGGCATGTGCTTGCGGCTCACCTACACGAGTGCGTCTCACGCGTGCATTACCCGATGCATCACTAGCATGCCTTGCGGCTATGCAGACGTACCGCGATGAAGATCTCGAGGACTGGCTCCATTATGCATTAGATGCGTATCAATTGGGTGGCGTGCCAGTGGCTCAGGACGAGGTGGATCTCGACGAGTTGTGTGTGGATTTGCGCAGCGCCCTCGACGAGTTTCACGTCAAGTACGCAGGTTTTGATGCACAACAACATCACATGTACCTTGTACTAGATCGACACCTCTGCGAGTTGCCGTGGGAGTCACTCCCTGTGCTGCGTTCCCAGTCAGTCACACGACTCACATCGCTTGACCAATTGCCACACTGCGTGCAAAAGAATCCTTCTGAGCCGATCCCTCTACGCACATCGAATACCGCCTACCTGCTGAACCCCAGTGGCGATCTTACTCGCAGTGAAGAACGCTTTGCACCGTGCCTTCAAGCTCATTCGACATGGCATGGCACCATTGGTCGTGCCCCAGTCCTTGACGAAGTTGCGCAGGCCCTCGCCTCGCACGACACGTTCTTGTACTTTGGGCACTCTGGCGCAGAAATGTATGTACACCCAGCGCGCCTTCGTGAGCTTTCGCGATGTGCGGCAACAATGCTATGGGGATGCTCAAGTGGGGCATTGCAAGTGCAGGGTGTGCACGATCCTATGGGTACACCGTATCATTACGCCGTTGCGCAGTGTCCCGCGCTGCTTGCCGCGTTGTGGGATACAACCGATCGCGAACTGGATCTTGTGTGTGAGGCTGTGCTCCAGTGTGTCGGCCTCTTTGCAGACCGTGAAGCGACTTCGTCGTCTGAGCCAAAGCGCCTGTCGCTCTCACAGGCGCTTGTGGCAGCTCGTGAGCGATGCAAGCTCCCGTATCTGACGGGCGCTGCTTGCGTCGTGTACGGAGCGCCGGTGATCTGGGTGTGAGTGCGCCAAGCCAACCTTCATGCAGATGCAGTCCTGAGTGTCTCGTTGTCACGTAAGACCGCTGAGCGTACTCAGTCCATGAGACCAAGCATTCATAGTGACGCATACATATTTGCAAAGACATTTCAAAACTTGACAGTATTTCATTACGCGCCCCGTTGGCTAAGATGGCATTGACGTCAGCATTCGTCACGCCTGGCTGTTATTCGTCCAGTGTTCGAACACACGCTCAATTCCACTGATGATTATGAAGATGCAGCTTGCTCTTGCACAGACGCTTGTAAGGCCGCCACACTTTGTTCGAGACGCACGAGCGTGCGATGCGACAAGCGGCTCTGCGCTTGCAATTGGCGCACCTGCTCGTCCAGACTCTTGGCATCCGTCTCCATTTTGCGCCGCTCATTCAGGATCTCTTGAAGGCGCGCAAGATGCGCAGCATGCTGCTCCTCTTCACCCAGGGTTGCCAGCTGAGTGAGGTCATCAGGCGAGAGCACGTCATGGTCCAGACGCTCCACTTCCAGATGTGCATCGATCTGCGCCTTGAGCTCCTGATGCTCGAGTAGGAGCGCCTCGTACTCCAATGACGCCTTATCCAAGGCAAGTTGCGCGCTTTCAACATGCACACGTTCCGCAGCAAGGGCCTCGTACGCTGTGCGGTTCATGCTTTTGAGCTCACTTACGAGCGGCGTGGCGTCAGCAACCATCGCGAGGCACGCATCTCTCGACGCAGGATCATCTCGACCATCTTGGCTAATCACCCGCTCAATGCGCTGTACCAATGAAGTAGCAGCCATACTGTCTCGCGCACACGTCCGCAGCGTGTCGCTACGTTGACTGTAGTGGAAATGGGGCGTGGTCGATGAATACGTGGGTGCTATGTAAGCAAGCGTAGAAAGAAAAGGTTGTTTCGTCCAGGACGTCGAGCCAACAAGTCTGTGGGTGGACGCATCGATCGATCGGGCATCGGAACTAGTCAACTACACAAGCGAACCAGAAATTTCGCCTGCGGCAGCCTTTCTGCCGCCGCCCTGCCACCCATCCCCCTCTTCCTTCACGGCGGCGGCAGCAGGAGAGCCCTCCACACCTGATCCACTACATCAGCCGCCTCGTCGTCCAATACAGGCTCCAGCACGTCCGCTACGTCCTGCGCATTCGCGTGCTCACGGAGCTTATCGAGAACAGCCTCTTGCAGATCAGGCACTGACTCGCCGAAGCTCGCAGCGATGCCTGCATCGATGGTGGGTGCAATGTGTGCGAGATCAACTCGCGTCCATGCAGGTGTAATGCCCCACAGCTCGGTACGTGGGAGCGATTGAACAAGCCGAATGACATGCGCATGATCTGGTGCATCGCGCATTTTTTGCTCAAGATCCAGTCGTCGCTGCACACCTGGGAGCATCTCACCCTGGCGCACGTGGAGCTTGAGTGGGGGTGCACCACTAGATGGACGCCAGCTTGGTGCCGAAGACGGAGCGCCCGGCGCATGACCCGCTGCCATAGGAGCAAGTTCGGCAAGAAACGCATCAGCTTGGCGCTTGGCTTCAGCGTTCTCGGCCTTCTCAGCATCACGGTCTGCTCTGTCTGCTTCTTCTTCTCGTCTTCGGGCTTCAGCACGCCGTTGTATCCAACGACGTCGGTCTGTCCAGAAGCTCTCGCGAGCTAATTCAGTGTCCTCATCCAAATTCAGCCAAGCCTCCATGGATCGCGCAGATGCATTCTCTGTCAGCGTATGCTCCGCCCACGTAGCAAGTCGTGCCTGCTCGCGCTCTAGATACGCATGCTCCGCTTGGCGTGCGTCACGAGCACGGCGTGAGGCTTCCACACGCTGTCGATCCGCCTCATTACGCTCGTCTGTAACTTCAGGATCGTCGGCCGCTGTGCTCGTGTGGTCAGACGCGTCAGGCGTGTCTCGCATCTTGGACAGTGGCGTCGCTGATCCTGAATTCGACATGGGAGAAGAGTGGCGCATCGCTAAAGCGGCGGCTCTTTGTCGCTCTAGTTCTAGCTCACGCTTCCGGTCAGCAGCATCGCTAGCGACAGCACCCAAGCGAAATTTCTCAATCTCTGACAGAACGTGCTTCCGTCGATTCACAGGAATCTCACTCATGGACAAGTCTTTGAGATGGGAGGGTATTTCATAGCGCTCAGGCTCATCACCCGACTCGGCATTCGGGTTCGACATGGCCTGAATCACATAGTCGACACGCGCACGCGCAGCAGCATCTTGCAGCGAGTCTGCGTCGGTACGAACCATCGTTTTCTCAAACTCACCAAGAAATGCACTAGTTTTCTCATCAGCACGCACGATGAGCTTCTTGGTGGGTTTGCCGCGCTCCGAACCCATGCTCGGCAGCTCCAGATCGTGCAGGACGGCCAGCACACGCAACGCATCACGCAGTGTGGAAAAGTCCGCGAATCCAAATGCTTTACTGACTCGTTTAAATGAGCGATAGCCGCCACATGCCTGGAATAGCTGGACGAGCCACCGGTCGCTCACACCAGGTGATATGCTTCCGACGAACACAGTGGATGCAGCTTCGTTCTGGCTGCTGCCGCCACTCCCGTCACTCATGCTCACGTACTCGTACTCGTACTTCAGTCACACAATCAGACGTGCGCACGCACGCTCGTCTCGCGCTGGTCGTTTCCTGAAGAAACGCTCGCGCCAGAGTCCAAGTCGGCTTGATGTTGTAAGGCCACCGCCGCTACTCCTACTGCGCCTGGTGCCAATACCTTCCCCCTCCACGGATCGCCACTCACTTGTCGAACCACGGCAGCTTGGGTATGCAGTGGAGGCGTGTATTTTCGCCAGCACACGAAACGTGACACATCCCCGGTCGTTCCTGCCGTCCGTCTCTTGCCGCGAATATGTCATCGCAGCCCCGCCCCCCCCAGCTGCCGCCTGGCTGGGCTACACAGTGGTGCGTACGGACACTGAAAGTGTGCGCGGATGCATTCTAACCATACAGGGATGCTGCTGCTGGTCGCCAAGTGTATGTGGAAACGGCCACCGGCCGTACTAGCTGGAATCCACCCAATGTGTCGCCACTCAGGCAGCACGGTCCACGGACGCACCCTACGGCCGTGAAGCGCATGTCGATGCCGGTCAATTCTGTCGCGCGGCCATCTAGCGTGCCTGGGTCGCTTAGTGCGCGTCCTGTGCGGCCCGGCCTGGGCCATGGTCGTGCTCCCAGTATGCATGCGGCCGGCACCGCGGCTGCGCCTGGCGGTGGACATCGCTTCCCCTCGACTGGCGGACGTCCTCCGATTCGCTCTATATCAGGTGCGCATCAAGTTGCCTCTCCACCCTCGATGCGCTCGCCAATGATGCCGAGCTCGCCGACGGGAGCCATGCGCCCTGTCCATCCGACGGCGCGCCATATGCCAGGCACTCAGCCAATCCAGCCCAGGCACTGGCGCGTCAGTTGCACCTGACCGCTAATGCGCCTTTGCATGGGCAGATGCCTTCCCAACCTGTACATGCTGCTGCCCCAGCTCCCAACGTTTCAGCAGCTGTCAGTCCCAAAGCTGCAGCTCCAGCTGCAGCTCCAGCACCCTCACACCGTGCGCATCCGGCTGCTCGTCGTCGTGCTTATCCGACAGCGCACATTGCCGCGCACAGTATGAGCTATGCTAGCACGCCGGACTTGGCTGCTGCCGCCGCTTCCGATGCTGGCCAAGACAGTGGTGTGTTTACGCCTGCTGCCGTTGGCCATTCACCCACACGCAGTGTGTCGTCTAGTATGCAAACGCCTTCACGCACGATGCCGATGCGGTCCGTGACACAGCCTTCGTTGAGCAACATAGCGAATGCTGCTCCCGCAGCCAGTACACAGCAGCCAGGCATGGCAGGCGCTGTCGACACGGGATCATCGATTATCACACCTGGTTTGCAAGGGGTGCCTGGTGTCCCTGGCGTTCCTGGTGTTCCGGGCGTTGTTCCGACGACCGGTGCCCCTGATATTGTGCAGCCAATGCAAAATATGAGCTTGGGACCTGGTAATGCACGTGTCGGGAACCAATTGCTGAATGCTGTTGTTGGTGCGCAGCCGCCGATTATGACAGATCTGGAGGGGCCACCGCCACCTATTATGCTTCCTCCTAATGCAACTGTGACACCGTCTGTTCGTGCTAATGCAGACCCATCGTATCAGCGCTGCACGCTAAATGCCATCCCCACGACCAACTCGCTGCTGTCTAAATCAAAACTGCCATTCGCCGTTGTCTTGTCGCCCATGCGCACAGTGAGGCCAGAAGAAGGCGACGAGCCTGTGCCTGTGGTGACAGACTCTGTCATTGCTCGTTGTCGTCGTTGCCGGACGTACATCAATCCGTTTGTCACATTTGTCGATGGTGGCCAGCGCTGGAAGTGCTGCATGTGCTACATCACGAACGAAGTGCCCCAGCTTTTTGACTGGGACCAAGAAACGAACCAACCAGCCGATCGCTGGCAGCGCCCTGAACTTAATTCAGGTGTCGTTGAGTTTATCGCCCCACGCGAGTACATGGTTCGTCCGCCGCAGCCCCCGGTGTACGTGTTCTTGGTGGACGTCACGTATGCAGCGGTAGCGAGCGGCATGGTCAGCACAATGGCCAGTACGATTCTTGCCTCACTCGATGCCATTCCCAACAAGGACAACCGCACCAAGATCGCACTCATTGGCTTTGACTCACAGCTCCACTTCTTCCGCCTTATGCCCGGCAGCACCGAGCCCTCGCTCTTGGTCGTGAGTGATCTGGATGACGTCTTTCTCCCTCAACCGAGCGATCTCCTTGTCAACCTGTCGGAGAGCCGTGACTGTGTCGAGACGCTCCTCCGTAACTTCGGCAACATGCAATCCAACGCTGCTGTGACGCCATCTGCACTGGGCGCGGCTCTCCGTGCTGCACACAGGCTTGTATCAGCAACAGGCGGCAAGCTCGAAGTATTCACATCGTCACTTGCGACAACAGGGCCTGGTGCGCTCAAAATGCGCGACGACAAGAAGCTGTATGGAGGGCCACGCGAGAGCTCTCTGCTTAGTGCACAGTCGTCCTTTTACAAGTCTCTTTCAATTGAGTGCTCACGCAACCAGGTATCCGTCGACATGTGGCTCTTTGGTCCCAGTTACGTCGATGTCGCGACGCTGTCATGTCTACCGCGCTACACTGGTGGACAGACTTTCTTCTACCCTATCATGGATCCGAAGCACCCTGAGGTGTCGCATAAGTTTGCGCATGAGCTGAGCTCTGTGCTCACGAGCCCCATGAGTTTCGAAGCGGTTCTGCGCATGCGAGCGACGCGTGGCATTCGGCCCACGTCGTTCCATGGCAACTTTTTCGTTCGCTCGTCGGACCTGCTTGCACTGCCTAGTGTGCCGACCGATCAGAGCTACATGATTGAATGTGAGATTGACGAGCCTCTGCACACGACAGTTGCTGTTCTCCAGAGCGTCGTGCTTCACAGTACTGCCACTGGTGAGCGTCGGATTCGTGTGATCACGACGGCTGTTCCAACGACCACCAATCTGTCTGAGGTGTATGCAAGTGCCGACCAGTTGGCCATTGCGGCGTTCATGGCGAACAAGGCGGTAGAAAAGAGCCTGCATGCTCGTTTGGACGATGCACGTGCGATGATCCGCACCCGAATTGCCGATATCTTTACCGCTTACCGTACAACCATGACAAATACACGAGGTGGTAATGCAGCACACCTGACGATCGCCAGCAACCTGTCTCTGCTACCTCTTCTTGCTCTGGGCCTGTTGCGCAACCGCAGCATTAGGATCGGCACACAGATCCCCAGTGATGTGCGAGCATATCACCAGACGCTTCTCACGACGCTGCCGGTGCAACGGCTCATTCCATTCCTACTTCCCGTCTTTTATTCGTTGCACAATATGCCCCCTGATGCCGGCACAATCGACATGTCGACCCAATGCTTGATCATGCCGCCCCGCCTCAACTTGACAAGTGAGCGCTTCGAGCGGCATGGTCTGTACCTCATCGAAGATGGCATGTCCGTCTTCTTATGGCTCGGCCGTGCAGCTGTGCCTGCACTCACGATGGATGTGTTTGGTGCGCCTGACTACGCGTCACTGCAGTCGGGACCTATCGTCCTTCCTGAACTTGAGAACAGCATGTCTCAGCGTCTGCGTGCGATCCTTGACCGCATCGTTACGTTACGCCGTGGTCCTTACCTGTCCTTGCTCTACCTTGTGAAGGAGGACGGCGACCCAGGCATGCGTCTGCTTGCCCTCAGTCGACTCGTTGAAGATCGCTACGAACAGACTAGCGGCTACTTGCAATTCCTCGGCCAGATCCGCGACAAGGTGAATGGTTCCTAATATTATTCGCGTTCTTGCAATACCTGCTGTGCAGTCTGTGCCAGAAGCTGATGAGTGTGTGCCGTAGGATGGAAAATGTCCCAGTAGAAGTACGAATCCGGATCCGAGCACACATGGCGCGTAACGCCCTTTTGCTTTTCCACTTTGGTCGTACCGACAAGACATGCATCTTCTGTGTTCTTGATCCCATACTCTCCCGGATGCGCGAGGATCTCTCGGCCTCGCTCGTACAGATCCACTAGTACGATACGTGCCTTCTGATTGTTTTGGCTTTGCAGCTCCTGCACGGCATCCTGCAGCTTCGTATTGAAGTGTTTGATATATGCAGCTCCACCAACCTGATCAATTACATTGCTGTACTGTGTTGTCGATGGCACCTTGCTGCCATCCACAAGTGTCGGAATCATAATCGTTGTAGCGCCAAGATCGATCAAATACTGTGCCAACCGCTTCAGCGTTGCAGCGCACTGGTTGCCCAGCCTCCAGATGTTCAGCGTCTCTTTCGTACCATAATAGACATCGTTGGAGCCACCCGACAATATGTACAGCGCATTTCGATCGACTTTGCCGTGCACTGACTCCATGTATTCATGCAGCTGTGCTCGCACGTCCGGCACAGCAATCGACTCATTGTAGCCAGACATACCCTGAGCCACACTATTGTTGGTTGTGGCACCCCCGTAAGCAAAGTCATCAACGTGTGGGACTTGCATAAGACTCGCTAGCTGTTCTGGCCATGTTTCGCCATTGCTGAAGCGACCATTCATATACGCCGGGTCTGACGGCCACGTCTTGTTTGTGAACAAGTATGTGCCGTTGCCGTTGTCTACCAGCGAGTCACCAAAGACCACAATCCGCGAGAAACCTGCTGCGCCGCCATCGCGCAGTGCGAATGGAAACTGAAGCTGCGCGGCGGTCACACACAAGGCACTCAGGCTAGCTGCAAACCACACTGCAGTGCCAGTCTTCATTGGTGGCACGTTCCTTGTCGCTGACAGTCGAGAAAGAATTGCTCTATGCTAAGTGGAAGGGAGCCGTTGTTGTGCTAAAATCAAGTCCACATGATTTACATAATATTATGACGGCGATCAGCTGTATTGAGAGAAACAGGCATGATTGTCTCACCCGGCCCGGTTCGACTTACCATGCACAATAATGGCGTCAAGCTTCATTTCTCCTTCACGTGGAGACACGTAAGCCAGTGCATGCGTATGACTGTGTCCAGCCGCCCATGAAAAGAGTGCGTGGGGGATGCATGTAAGAATAATACAGATTCTGCAAGCACGAGCAAGAACATAGTCTAAGCGGTCATCAAGAAGTATCTTCGTCACAGGCAGAATCGTATATCGGTGCACATGATCGCGCACAACGAAATGAGAAAATGAAATGATAAAGTAGCAGGTATACTGCTCATACATGCGCCAAAACATTTACAGAGATTATACAGCGGAGCGCCGTGTGCCTGCTAGCTGGTCCATGACCTGACAGTGTAAGTACCTGACAGACATAGTTTGAAAAAAGTAACATACTTGGCCGATGACAGGAAGCGAGAACACATTGCCGATGATCGGCATTTGCCGCATAAAGCTGAGAATCACAGGGAAAAAGTCCCTTGAGCAGGTTAGTTGACAAAGACGCCAGACCAACACGCATACAGAAAAAGTCACGTACCCAAACAAATTTAAGAAGCCTACTGTTTCGACAATCACACCAACGATGGCCCAGCGCAAAAAAACGAGACCCATACCGGTAAAGAAGCAAACAGTACCGCGAATTTTTTGTTTCCGAGCGAAAAATAACAAAGTTTTTTGAGGTCCAATAAGTAGTGCAATACCGGACACAAACAGTACGTTGCCCATGGCTAGAAGCGTCGCATCAAAAAACATAATGACGCCCAGTGCCAAAAAGAAAACGCCGCCTGACACCAGGCCCACACCAATTTCTGCCATGTTAATCCGCATCAATCATCAAACCTGCGCGCATAGACGCACAAGCTACATACATACTTTGCTGATCCGTGAGCCACATTTTGTTGTTCACAAGCTCAGAACCACACGAGCTGTTGAGGAAGCACAAAATTCAGCACCGATCGACTCAGTTTCTGTTTATTCATCACCAACTTCCTTCTCAAAACGCATATTTCCCCACTAACACTCTTCACATGTCGCTGTACTATGGAATTTACACGCGTGGCTTCCGGGTTCGTGACGAGGTGGATGCTTGGGGCTGGGTATCATTCTGCACCACGCGAGCTGGCGGATAAGGCGACTTGATAGGAAACAGGCTAATTTTGTCAGTATACATAAAACAGCGCTTAAACTCACGTTCGCTTTGGCAATGGGTCCTCACGGAACCATGAATGCGAAAGCGCATCAGCCGCAGAGATCCGTTGTTCAGGATCGTACCGCAACAATCGCTCAAACAAATGAAACCCCTTCGAAGTACCGGCGCGTTCCACATACCACTGATACATTGTAGAGGGGATGCTGAAACATTAGAAAAAAAAAAACTCTTCCCACGACGTACGAATCGGTGCGGCGCAGAACTAGCCAATGGGTATAATCCGGCATGGAGACCATCTTGGGCCATTGTTCTGCAGTTGGCGTGCCAAGTACATCCATGATTTTGCTCAGTTGATTTCTGAAAAAATGATATACCTAGTTCAATCCTCTTCAAGTCCGAGATACGTACGTTTGCAGTGGAATGCTTGCCCCCTTGCTCCAGGAACGAACTTCTTCACCTTTAAACATAGGACGCAGAGCAAGCAGCTCGCCCCATATACAGCCAATGGCCCACATATCGATTCCATCCGTGTAGTGGCGAGCACCAAGCAAAAGTTCAGGTGCTCGATACCAGATGGTCACGACGACCATATCGGTCGAGTATAATGACACCATGGGATCAGAATAAATTCGAGCGAGACCAAGATCGCCAATTTTCACAACACCTTGAGACGTCATTAAAATATTTGCTGGCTTCAAATCCCGATGCATAATCCAATTCTCATGGAGATATTGGATGCCGCGCAATAGTTGCCAAATCAAAGACTTGATCATGACACCATCCAGAGGTTTCCGCAGAACCGATAAATGATAATGAATAATCTGCAACATATCATGTTCCACATACTCAAACACCAAAAAGATGGAATGGTGTTCCAGCATAACTTCACGGAGCCATACGATGTTTTCATGTCGTAGTTCGCGATTCAGGGCTATTTCTCGTATAGCACTTTGACTGATTCCACGATGCATGTGTGCATCACCACCCCTGTCCGTTTTGAATTTTTTGATAGCATACACACGTGTATTGGTATCATTGCTGGGTCCCACTTCCTTTGCTTTGTATACGCGTCCGTATGTACCTGAGCTAAGATAGCCTAGTACTTGATAGCGGGAAAGAATGGACTTGCGCTGCGCATTTCGTCGAGCACGATAGGCCTTCATAACACCTGCTGCAGATGCAGATGCTAATATTTTTTTCTCTGATTGATCAATGCGTTTGGACAACATCAGTGGCTTGGACCATATGCAGGTATGTATGAATGTACCGCGTTCGCACAACGCTTGTGCACAAGCTGGACGAGTCTGAGTGTTGTATCATGAATTTGCTCAAATTGCGAGGGGTGGAGGTGGAGGACCGTCGTGGCATGCGCAAAAGCCACGCTGAATTGTTGGGCTTGCTGACGGGCAGCAATGTCAGACCGTCGTCCGCTTCAGGCTGTAAAACGCTGGAGACAGACACCTCGAATTGATTGGCGTGAGCGAAACCGAGCGCCTTTTGTTGCTCGTGTTTGATTGTATCCTGCTAACCAACCCTACACTTTACAATGCCAGACTTCTCGATTATCGAGTCGTTTCATCATGCATTAGAAGAAGATAAAGACCGCCCCATGCCGATTGCAGCGATTTTTGCTTTATCTGACATGATTTTGCAATCCCGCGCAGGAACGACGTCAGAGCTGATGGAAAGTATAAAAATGGCTAGCGAAGAGCTTAAGGCAAGTCTTCCAAACCCTATTCCTGCAACAGCAGGTCTTGAACTGTACATGCGGTTCGTCACGACGAAAAACTGGGCTGGTGGTGATTTTGAAGCGCACAAGCGTAGCCTTATTCACACTGCTTTAGAATTCGCTCAGAACACTGTGCCAAATTGCCGTGAACGCATCACGCATCTCCTTTTGCCATTCGTCAAGGATGATTCGGTGATTTTGACGCATGGATATTCACGTGTTGTGATGCAGGCGCTACTCACAGCGGTCAAAACGCACAGGAAGCGAATCTGTGTGTATGTGACAGAAAGCCGACCCACGGGCCAAGGGCTACAAACGTACCATCGCTTGCGTGAGGAAAGTATTCCTTGCACAGTGGTTCTCGACACGGCAGTAGCGTATCTCATGCATCGTGTAGACATGTGTCTTCTTGGTGCAGAGGCTGTTGCAGAGTCGGGTGGTATATTCAACGCCGTGGGAAGCTACCAGATCGGAATAATCGCAAAGGCAGCAAAGAAGCCAGTATTTGCTGTGGCTGAGAGGTACGTATACTTTTGTGCAAGAATCCATTTTCACACCAGTTTCAAATTCATGCGCTTGTTTCCCTTATCACAATATGATGTGCCCATCTCGGCACGTCGTCTTCCTTTACCATCGCCAAATGATCCTTGTGACGAATCGCAGGGCAACCGTATGACACCTGCCATGGAGGCCCTCAACCCACTGATTGACTATACCCTGCCCGAACTACTTACGTTTATTGTGAGTGACGTAGGTATTTTGACACCTTCGGGCGTGTCGGATGCATTGCTGGCTGTGTATGGCGGAAGCTAATGCATACTTATGTTCGTGTAGCATCAAAAAGTGTTAGTGTGGGAATTGTTATTGTCGTTTTTTTTATTCTCTCCGCTGCCACTTCCGATAGATAGTATACATTTGCACGAGGCAACCCAGGCAACTATACGGTTTAGATAACAAACGCCAGATCGTGGCCACACCAGCAGCTCTATTTTCGGGATCCCATATCTGATCCAAAGGCACCACCCTTCTTGCTCGAATGAAGTGCCTTCGACATTTTGGCTTTCTTCGTATTCTTATTCGCTTTGTTTGTTTTGCTGGTCACACGCGCACCCAGACTCGATGGCCGTTGCAGACGCTTCGCTGCACGTACAGCTACGTCAATCTCACGTTGGTTCGTCTCCTTCGCATCTTCTTCACGCATAAGTTTATTGCGTTTCTTACGTCGTGAAAGTCCTGCGAAGCGATCGCGAGCCTTTGATACATCCACCTTGGCATTTTGCTGCTCGCGTGACACTTGTTTTGCGTCTGCTTTAGCCTTCTCGCTTTGGAACCAAGTGCGCGCAGGCCTCGCATAGATTTCGTCCTGATGGGCCATCATATTCTCGCCCTTTTGAACCTCCATTTCAGCCTGTCTCAATGCTCGCTCCTCTTTTTCCTCCTGCAGAATTTGCTCCACTTCTGGCTTGAGGGAAGCAATCGTGTCGGACAATTTCTGCACCATCTCGGACGGCATGAGACGATGCTTCACTTGCTCTGGCGGGGTGCGTTTTAGCACAGTCTTCAAAAGACGACGATCTGGTTCACCCACCAGCGTCACGGCACGACCTTGGCGCCCCGCACGAGCAGTACGTCCCACACGATGCAGATAGGGTTCAAGTTGTGCTGGCATGTCATAATTAATCACAGTCTGCACGCCCCGGATATCTATACCGCGACTCGCAAGGTCAGTCGCCAACAAAAAGTCGACTTTTCCATCGCGGAAAAGCGAAAGCGACTGAAGACGTTGCTCCTGCGACAAGTCACCATGCAGCTCAGCAGCCGACAGACCTAATAAGCCGAATAGAATTTTGAGCTGATGAGCAAGCTTCTTACTGCGCACAAAGATAATCACCTGGTCACGGAACGTACGCATGCACAAGGTAACTAAAATTGCAGCACGGTGCTGGTCTTCTGCCTGCTGGCGCGCATGACCTGTGAGTCGTGATTGCGCACGAACCCGAACAAATTCCTGCGTGAGCTTCGAGGCTGTGGACCGCTTTGGATCAACGAACAAGCGCACAGGTGTCCGAAGGCTCAGACGCACAAGCTGGTCTACGTCTTCTGTCATGGTTGCAGAGAAAAGCATCGTCTGGCGCTGCTTCGGACAAAGCCGCACGATCTCATTGAGCTCGTCCTCAAATCCATCTTCTAACATACGATCAGCTTCATCCATCACGAGAATTTCAACATCTTCCATGCCGAATGATGCGCTGTTTCGCACATGATCAATCAAACGGCCTGGAGTGGCGATAATGACGTCGGGCCGTGTCTTGAGTTCTGCTTCCTGGAGCTTCAGGCTCAGTCCACCAACACACAGGCAAAAGCGCACATTCATAAATTTCCCGAGTGCTTGGGCCACACTATGACATTGGATGGCCAGCTCACGTGTAGGACAGAGAACAACGACGCGCGACTTGGCATCATCAGCACTTCGCTGGCGATATGACAGACGCTCCATGATTGGAATTAAAAAAGCGGCTGTTTTACCACTGCCCGTAACAGCTCCAGCGACAATGTCTTTTCCAGCCAATGCAATCGGGATGGTACGTGCTTGAATAGGGGTGGGTCTGCTGAAATTCAATGCAGCCAAGCCCCGTAATAGCGCGCGATTCAATTGAAGTGCTGTGAAATCAGTAGGAATTGGTGATTCCTTTGGCTCTTCTTTTGCAAAGAATGCATTTCGTCGTTCACGAGTTGTCTCCGAGACGTCTGAAGCACTATCGTCGTCATCAACATCATTATCCTCGTCATGTTCGGCGTCATCTTCGTCATCGTGCCCATCCTCTTCTTCCTCATCACCCAGAGGGTCTTGATTGCCCTCCTCGCGAACAGCTTCATCCTCTTCGTCATCTTCATCTTCCATAGCTTTGCGCTTAGCCGTCCTCACGCCGCTTCCAAAGCCATCCTCATCGTCGCTTTCACTGGAGTTATCGGCAGATTCTTGTTGTGCAGCATGTAGATTATCTTCGTTTTCTTCTGCATCTTTCAAATCATCGGGCAACTGTACGCTAGCCTTGTGACGCTCAATAATTTCATCGACAGTCGATCGTGTGGCCTCTACACTGTTTTTCCCAGCAGCGCTATCAACATAAAAGTTCCAGCCTTGCTGTACATCACATTTGAGTTTCCAGGATCAAAATCAAACTCCATATCTGCGACTTCGAGTGCATAATCGTCCGCACCGCCACGGCGCGCCGGCGCGCTATGACCATCGTCAACGATTTTTTCTCGCTCGCCAATTCGCGCTTTGGCCTTTTTCTTCGTAGACGCAGCCGCTGATGTCTCCTCTTCTTTTTCACCAGTACTGATCTCTTCTACATCATCATCAGAATCGAGCGTCATAACAAAGTCATCGCGCGCCGGGCGCGCCTTCATGGACGTCTGGCGTGCCATGTATGTATATGGCGTCGTGCATTCGTGCCACTCTGAAGACATTTCAAAAAAAAATTTGTGTGAATGGCCTCCAGTATAGATCACGTGAATAACACAACGAGCCAGCGACGTAGTTGGGCCTTGCCAGGCTTCAAGACTGGAGATTGGATACACAACAGCATTTGTGATTGGCACGCCGTTCCAGTTTCTCCAGCAATGGATGCGCATTCGTTGGAGAGCCAGGTGAGGGAAAAGCTCCAACTCCGCCAGACTAAATTGATTAGCTATGGAGACTGACACCTCGGAAGGTATACCCGCCAACACTTCAAGCTCACAACCGGTTAATCCATTCAACCTGATGCCTCGAACACTGGGCAATGTATTTCGTCGGTACAGCTTTTCTAATACGAATGCCACACCGGCCGAGCCAAGCTCAATGCATGGTCAGGCGAGTCCTGCATCAAGCGGCAACCACTCAGCAACATACCAGCCACCGGCATCGCCCTCGGTGCATAGGACACCGCGTTCTTCTCATCGTTCAGCGACGTTTTCATTTCCGCCACGGGCTCAAAAACACGAGGACAGTTGCAACCCAGCGAATGATCGCATATCAGCGCCAGCATCAGAATCAAGATCCGGTTCCGACTCGCTCGACTTGGCATTAACAGAAGCTGCTAGTACTCGTCGAATGAAGAAAATTCGGCTTACGCCAATCATCGATTCGACCCGACCGCTCATGTTCTTTCCTGCAGAACTTGAGCTATTGGAGGGCGGCCCCGCGGTCCAGATCGGTCGTTACTCTGAAAAGTGCTTGGAGCTTGACGCCGACAACGCCTCAGAGCCGCCTTATAATGGTGCAGACTCGGTTTCATCGAAAGCGACCGCAGCTAAACAAGTTATGAAAAAGCCTGTTATTATTGGCCGGCATAAAACCTACATCGCATTCCAAAGTAAAGTCGTAAGTCGCCAGCATGCGGAATTGTGGTGTGATCTTTCGGGACGTTTGTTTCTTCGCGATACCAAGTCGAGCAGCGGTACATTTGTTAATCGCACCAGACTGTCGCCTCCGGGTGTTTTCAGCCGGCCATACGAGTTGAAAGAAGGGGATTGGATCCAGTTCGGAATTGACTTTCAAGGTGGCACTCAAGACTACTACCGAGCTATTAAAGTGCGCTTTGAATCGAACTATAAACTAGACGTACGGCCGACTGAGTATGGCAACAATGTGCTTCGAAAGCTTCAGCGCGAGAGTCCTCCAAAGACATCTTCGACATCAAAATCCGACGCACCTCAGCATAACAACCCTGGCCTAAGTGAGTGTTGTATTTGCCTGCTCAAGATACGAGTCAGCCAGGCGCTCTTTATTGCTCCTTGCTCACACATGTTCCATTTTAAATGTATTCGACCAATGATCATGCTTCATCACCCAGGCTTCTCTTGCCCTCTTTGCCGCTCATTTCATGATATGGATGCGGATCCCCAAGATGATACGGATGAGGAAAACCACCTCACACAACCTAACCCGAACTCGAAAATCGTTACGGGCAACTTCCCACGACCTTCCAAGCTTCTACCTCTCCCCCCTGATGTGCGCGTGTCTGAGGTTCGCGAGACGTTGGAAACGAATGCCGATGTAACGACAATCGAATTAAATGACATGGCCTCATTCATCTCAGACCAAAGCAACAATGTATTAGATGATACGCATGACAATGCATTCTCGACACCACTTCTTGAGCCTAGGACACTTGGCCAAAATGATTCAGCCGAAGGCTCATCAGTGTAAATATAACCTCTCACATTTTGTTTCACAAAACGCTTTGATGCAGCAAGTTTCTTTCTTGTTCTCTCAAAACCTCACCATGCTCAACAAAATTGATGCATAATTTACACGATGTATGATTTCTCCATCACTCCCAGGTTAAGCATAGAAAAATTAAATAGACGAGACAGATGGTTCGTAAAAATGTGTATACTCATGATAAACTTGTCCTACATCTACAAGCGTTTAGGTCTCATTCGTGTTTCCGCTTTTTCAATTTTTTCTCCTTCTTGTCGCGTTTATTGTCAGAAGAAATTTTACCGTCTTTCTCTGTCTTAGCTGGCGCTTCTTCATCGACCTTCTTGCGCTTTATTCTAGGCTCTTCTCCAGGTACAGGCTCTTCTGGTGCCATGAATTGTTTTTCACGTTCCTTTTCGCGCTTTACCGCATGCTCGGCTTGAGCTTGCAACTTTTTATCCATTTCACTCTTTTTCTTTTCGTGTGGTTTGAGGAAGTACTCACCACTCTCGAGTTGAAGATCCAGCTTGCTTGGCTGCTGCGGTGGTGGGAATGGAGTGTAAATCTTTTTCTTCGGTGGTTCCGCAGGCTTCTTCGACTTGACATTCTGTTTCTTGAACTTCGGCAAAAAGCGGTCCCATGACTCGTTAGCCAGCTTGGGATCTTTGGCCAACTCCCGCTTAATCATTAGCTCTTTTATATGGTAGATGGGATGAATATTTTTCATACAGTCAAGAATAATGCGACGAACTTCTTTAAGACCTTTGTATGACCCCATTGCACTCACAGTATTTCCTTGGACAAGGACATAGCAGCCAGTTAGTAGCTCAATAGCTTTGAGCGTATTACCATTAGGTCCAATAATTCGCTGCCGACGCTTGACAAAGCGCTCCTTATTGCGCACAATGTTGCCAATCTTGATAACGTCGCATGCCATGTCATCTTGTAAAATCTTGACGGCTTGAGTAAAAGGCACACTCCTACTAAGGAGCTTGATGAGATCTCGCGCGCGCAAGATGATGTAAGGGTCAAATGTTTTGCGCGTGGTGCGCACAGACATGGATCCTTCGACCAAATCAAGCGTGCAAGCAACTCCATGCTTCTCTAAGGCTGTTGTAACATGTCCCCACACTTCACGCAAATACTTCTCTCGATACTTGGGGAAAAGCGTCGCGAAGCTACTCTCTTCTAGAAAATGATGTGGATTGTCTTCCTGAGTAAACCTTTCAATTTTCCAATGATCAATGTCATCCGAGTCCCACGCTTTGGTCAGTACGGAGATACTTACGTTTATCTTTGCGAAAACGTTTGTTTTTATTCACAGGGACCTGCTCCCGTTCCTCAACAGACATAGATGGGATATGTGGTCAGTATGACGAATGCATGAGCACGAAAAAATTTGCTTAGGCAACGGACGTCTCTGATTACGTCAGATCAGGACACATGGCCAGCTTGGACCTCAATGCTGCATGACGCCGAATTATCATCTTCGTGGTCGGTGGCGCCCTGACCGGCCAAAGGCGATGTGGACCACATAGTATGGGACATGCGCAGCAGTGTAAAGCCTGTAGCTTGTGGATGGAAACGGACGCAATACCCATCGGAGTTGTCATTGTTCAGATTCGTGCCTCGTCACCATCGCAAGTTGAGCTGGGACCACCAAGCACGCAGCTGCTATGTCTAGACAATGAGGGCCTTAAAGTACTTGAAAAGCATGAGGAAAGTGATTTAATTCCATCATTACGTGCTCTTGTTGAAAAGAGCGCTGCCAAAGTGGCTGTGGAACAGGATGTGCTCGCACTTTGGGCTGCTGGCATGTATGAAGGAGCGTTGCACGTTCGTGTCATGGCTATACAAGCAGCCACTCTGGCACGCCCACTTCTGTACAACTCACCTCGTAAAGAGATTCGTTCATCTGATACTGCGCACCAATGGTCCCGGATACTGCCTTATATCTATACCGAACCAGCCATGTGGTATGCAATCAGTCGAGATTTGGACTCTGTCGCACAAGGACGGGCATTTTGGGAGACTGATCTACTTCATTGGTCTTTGGCAGAAATGTATCGAAAGTTACCAAGTCCGCCACCACTACCGCGTAATATGGATGTGGATCTTCTTAATCCTCCGCAGCTGCGTTGTACATTGTTTTCATACCAAAAGAAATCACTCGCCAAGATCCTGCAACGAGAGCTCTGGCCTCAGACTTATTGTGATCCGTATTTCATACAATGCATGTCCCCTTGCATGATTGATGGACATGTGCAGACTTATGCGATGGATCCTGAGCGACTTGAATTCTTCCCGATACACGCCGCATCACTATACCCGGACGTGCGTGGCGGTATTCTCTGTGATGAAATGGGTGTCGGAAAAACCATTATTTGCTTGGCACTTGTTCTCAGTACGATTGACCAAATGTCTCAGCCTGAGCAGGAGTCGATGGTAAGCAGTGTAACGAGCAACATGGCAATGGAATTTCCCGAGGATGAGTATCACGGCAAAGACCCTGCTGGATACATTTTCAGTCGTGTTGTTACAGCGCCCTTTGGTGCGCCTAGTCCTGGTGAACGGCTAGGTCGTAGACCCAAAACGCATGTGCCGCCGCCTCAAGTCCTATCGAAGAATGATGCAGCAACAACAACGCCGGTTCCAGGCTCTGTATCTTTGGTCAAAATAGCCGTGCACCGCCTTCGCACAACGCATGCATGTCGGCCAGATCTTTTAGATGAGCTCCCGGCTCAGTTGCAACACCTTCTAGGTAAGGCTTCGGCACCTTTCATCCTGCTATGGCCTCCTCCGCCCGTGCGCATGTCGCGGGTGAGTCATGAACGCACGCCAGTGCGTGTGTATCTCACACACGCAACGTTGGTCGTCGTGCCGCCGACACTTGTCATGCAATGGCTGGACGAAATCAATAAACACTGTATACCTGGAGCATTGCGTGTACTATGCATGGCCGACATGCACGCAAAGCTGCCTTCAGCTGAGCAGCTTGCTCAAGACTATGATCTTATTCTCATGTCACATGTTCGCTTTGGGAAAGAAGCTGGCGATGAGCAAAGGATGCGTCTGCACCTGGATACCTCACCTTTGATGCAAGTATATTGGAAGCGTTTGATTATTGACGAGGGCAACATGCTGGCAGGAGACTCACTTCTGGTGCGATTGTGCGCATGTTTGCGTGTGGAACGCCGATGGGTTGTAACCGGCACGCCCACACAGGCATTGGTAGGTGCGAGTGCTTTACAAGTGACTGGCACAAATGCGCGCGCTGCTATGACAAAGCCGCATCAGTCTCAATCGGGGAGCTGGACACTGTCCGAGCGGAAAAATCTCGACCGACTCAAGCAACTTTTGGTCCGTTTCTTGCGCTTGGCACCGATAGGTGGAGTACCTGCAAGTATGATCTCGGGGGCAAAGACGTCAGGTCCGCCGTCGGCGAAGGAACGCGACTGGAATACGCTGATAATGACAGGAATGAATCACGTGGGCGAATGGCCCGCCAAGCGTCGGCTTTACAATATCCTTTCGCGCATCATGGTCCGGAATCGCGTAGAAGATGTTGAGAAGGATTGCCCACTTCCTCCGCTGGAACGCCGTACTGTGCTGTTGGCTATGACAACAACAGAGTGCCTTACGTATAATGCGTTGCAATCCCTTATCATGTTGAATGCCGCCTTGTCGCAAAAACAGGACAGAGACTACTTTTTTCATGCTAGCAATAGAAAAGCTCTGGCATCTGTCATGGAGAACTTGGCACTTGCCTGCTTTCACTTCGCGGGTCAAGGCTTTTTGGCACAGGCGCAGCACGCACGAGATCATGTGCAAGAGCAGCTTGCAAAGCCAGACGGTATTGCTGAGTCGTTTCGACGTCAGGCAATAGAAGCAATGCACCAGCTAGACAAGGCGCTGCACAACGATGCATGGACCAAACACATTTGTCAAAACGACGTCTTGTACCACGCGGAGCATGCTACGTCCGATGCGCTGCTGCATTCGTGGAGCAAGTGTGGCTCACAATTTCTCACGTCCGAGGAACTATTGAGTCTGCGTGAAACATGTCGCAAAGAGGTCTCGCATGTACTTGACGCCGACGATTTGTGTGAAGAACTTGTGAAACGTGGTGTGCAATATTTACGCCGACAATCAGGGCGAACAACTCCTATGACAGCACACCATCGAGTGCCTAAGCCCAAGTCCGTACCGAAACGTGAAGATTCGCTTCGCGAAACATACTCACAGCCGCCGATCGTGTTGCCTGATGGATTCGATGACGTGCGTGTTCATACATCAACTTCCACCAAACTCAACATGATGCTGAGTGAAATCATTGATGCTGTTCAAGATGAGAAAGTGCTCGTTTTTTCGACGCTAGACAATGTTTTGTATGAGCTTGCCAATGCACTAGAGCTTCTCCGAATTCCTTTTCTTTTCTACGTCTCTGGTATGCCACAGCATCTGCGGAATGCGTACGCAAATATGTTTATGCACAAGTCCAACATCCGCTGCCTGCTTATGACAACATCGGTCGGTGGCCGTGGCTTGGACCTACATTGCGCGAGCAGAGTGATTTTTGCCGAACCGGTCTGGCACTGGGACTTGGAAAGCCAGGCGGTGAAACGTGCATGGCGAATGGGTCAGACGCGACGAGTATTGGTATCGACGTATGTCATGCGGCATACATTTGAGGAACGTATTACAGAACGCAAGCAGACTTGCTTTTTTGACAGTGATGGCAGTGCGTCTGAGCATATGCGGCCCTTGACAGATGATCCAGGCATGCGTGAATTTATTGCAAACCCGCAACTGGTACACGCATCCGAAGATCTACACCGATCATCTTGGACACTTCAGTTGTTTGGCACACCATCAAGCGATCATTTTTGCTTGACATCGCATCATAACTCTGTGCTGTTGTCAGACTTGCCTCTGTCAAAACGAGCGAGACATTTGTAGAAAAAGTCGCGGACTAAGGAATGGACATTACGTCGTCGTTCGATCCCCGATGGGTCCATACGTTTGCCTGGATCCACGATAATGTGGCTCGTGACACGTTCAGAGAAGCAGATACAGGCGCCAACGCAGGAAGTTTTTCAAGCTGTTCGTCCTTGTCTTCCAAATGCATCGCCAACGCCACATATGACAAGTATGAATGCAAGATGTCGGGCGTGTCACCTGGTATCTTGGCTATCCCACCCATGGGCGACTGAGCCGACAAAATCCAGCATACATCGGAGGGCTTGTCGATATATACGTGACAACCAAGGATCTTGGCCGTTGCTCCACACCAGAACGAGTAGCATGTATCTGCATCCTTTTCTGGTCGACCTTGGAATCCACTGCGAACACACTGCCGCGAAAGGACCCACTGCTCCAGCTCTTTGCGGCGTGGAATAAGATGCAGACTTTGTGCCAGAGAGAGAGCAGCGCAGACGCAGTATGTGGATCCACCTAGAGGTTAGAAGCATGTGACATGCAGTTACATACCATGAGACTCTAGATGAGGCTCCTGTGCGAAGGCAGCTTCATAATGCTGAAATGTTAGTTGGTAGTGTAAAAAGAAAGGGGTGGTGCAGAAATAATACTTGCCTGGCACTCGAGCATGTATTGAATTGCCCGATCCTGATCCATCAGGCTCCAGTCATCTAGTATGTATGCAATAGCAAAAGCACAGTAACTAAAGCGCACGTCTTTTTCAGGAGATCCCTGAGCACAAATGAAGCTAAAGTCAGTTTATACTGTGATGCATACCTCCCGTCTAATTGTTGCAGACCAGAAAGATGAACACCGATGGCTTGCCGATCCAGTCGCGCAAAATTGTCTCTTAATATGGCGAGTATCAAGAGGGCTGTATATGTCATTGTAATATGTCCCTAATTGTTTCATGAGTCCTTGCTACCACGTCGCGCGCTGTACGTACAGTGCTGGCTGCAGGCGAACCGCGAAACCCTCCGCCCTGATCCGCAGCTTCCGTTAGATACCGGGCTCTCCAAATAACTTACACATCTGCTGATCATATACCCAATCGATGTATTCGTTTCTCTCTTTTTCATCGACAACATCATGCACTTGTTGCAACAAGTCTAGTGCACTCAGACAAAAATAGGCAAATGTCATTCTTACATGAGAGACGCAGTCGCGTACCTTTGATCATCACCACGGACGTACGGCGATGGAAGCATTGCCAAGTGAAGCTTCCAAAATTTAAGATGGCGCGGCATTGAAAATGAGCAGGCTCTTATGTCTGCAGCAAATTCTATGGACGCCATGGTCGTTCGAGAATGGCCCTAGCTTCCTGTGTTGAGAGCTCAACGCACGCGTCATAGGCGCTTCATTCGTTGTGCACGTTCGAACGCCTCCACGTAACCATCACCCGTCGATTCAAGCCCAAAACCAGTCCGCTAAATCAGGGCACAGTCGTGTCTTGTGGCAAGGGAATAGAAAGAGGAATAATGTTTCATGCTACGTGAAAAGACTAATCCTCCAAGAAGAAGTATTGACCGCTAGACTTTTGCTCCTTGTCCTTAATACTGTTGTACTTGTTCACGCGAGGACGCATGTTCGTTGGATCGCGACGCATACTCACATCGAGCATGGCAAGGAAGGAATTCATACCCGTCAATAGCGACTCGGGTGAACGCGCATGAGCCTTGATGGAGGGAGTGCCTTCATACACGATGACACGATCAGCAAGATATGTGGCCATAATAATGTCATGCTCGATGATCATTGCCGTCTTCTTGGAGTGAAGAATGAAACGTTTGATGACCTTGGATGCTTGGATACGTTGTTCCGAATCAAGGTACGCACTAGGCTCGTCAATCAAGTAAATATCAGCAGGCTTTCCAAGAGCAAGAACCAACGCAACACGCTGGAGCTCACCACCCGAGAGGGTTTGCACATCCTGATCGATAATGTTGTCCAAACTCATGGGCTTCACAACATCTGTCTGGAACTGAGGGTGCATAAAGGCCGCCTTGATTTGCTTCAAAAGCAACATACGAACAGTGCCCTGGAACTTGGGTGTAATTGTCTGGGGCTTAAGTGAGACATTCAGTTGGGGCAGCTTGTCAGCACCCGTGTCCGGAGCAAGCTTGCCGGCGAGCATTTTCACGAAAGTCGTCTTTCCTGTACCATTCTCACCTAGGAAAACAATGATTTCAGAATTTGTGAAGCTGCCTGAGTCGATGGACAGCTCGAAAGACCCTAACTTCTTCGACATAGAAGGGTATGAGATGCTCGAAGACCGCTCAATTTCGGCGTCGTCCGCAGTTTCAGCAATCTTGAAAGTGAGCGAGTCTTCACGGAATCGCATATTTTCCGCCGGAATGTAACCATCAAGGAAGATATTGATACCATCACGAACAGGACTTGGCATAGTAACTACTCCATACACACTTGGCACGCCGTATAAGCAGCAAATGAAGTCACTCAAATAGTCCAAGACCGACAAGTCATGCTCCACAGCGATGACATACGTGTCAGGATCGAGGAGAGAACGAATGGTTCGGGCGGCATTAAGACGTTGCTTTACGTCCAAGTATGATGATGGCTCATCAAACATATACATATTCGCGTTTTGAATGCAACTCATCGCAATTGCAAAGCGTTGCAGCTCGCCACCAGACAAGTTGTGCACGTCACGGTCAAGCACAGCTTGCAGGTCGCATGTTGCCACAACTTCATCCTTGTTATTCCTTTGAAGTTTGCCATCCAACAACTCATTCACAGTCGCCCGAGACTTCACGGCTCGTGGGAGATTATCCACGTATTGAGGTTTAATCAGAGCCTTGATGTTATCCTCCAACACTTTCGTGAAGAAATTTTGAAGCTCGGAGCCACGGAAATACTTCAAAATCTCTGCCCAGTCAGGTGGGTCATCATATCGACCAAGGTTTGGCTTTTGCTTCCCCGCAAGAATCTTCAGAGCTGTGCTCTTACCAATACCGTTCGTGCCGACAAGACCCAAGACCTGCCCAACGCGTGGGGTCGGTAGACGGTGTAGCTTGAAACTATTCGCACTGTAGCGATGAGTCGTTTCTTTTTCTAGGTTGGTGGGCAATTTCACGATGTTGATAGCTTCGAATGGACATTTTTTCACACACTAAGTTTCGCAGTCAGTGAATTGGTCCTAACAAACGGACACGCTATCACGTACAATACCACATCCAATGCATAACGTCTCACTAATAAATGCGATCTTACTAGTGGGCGCGACTTCAATACAAAGACGTCCTGACGGAAGAGTTAGACCAACACTCCCCAGCTTTATCACATACCCATGCGCACCACGGGACAAGATCGTTTACATTCTTGACGACATTTAGCCGGTTTACATTTATCCGTATTGACTGGAAGTCAGAATATTTCCACCGAATATATACTTTGTATACACACTGATAGCAATGCGCTCCTCCTTAGAGGCCGAGGGGGCAGATGGAGCCATGGCGTTCGAGATCGTCCAGTCTTCGTCAGCCAGGAGGAAGCCTTTTTACGTACTTTCGAGTGCTTACAAAAGTGACCTCACAAATTGGACTGAGTGTCACGTGACCACATGTGCTGCCACATGGTTCAGCTAAAGGGCGGGTGACTAATTTTGTAAATAAGAGCAGAGCACTCTAGACGTGGCCAACACTTACAATCACGAAGAGATTTAGTCATCGGGATATGCATCGACGTGTGAGAGAGGTGATATTTAAGATGTCCAAAGCGTATTACCCCATGCAATTTAAATCGGGACCTATCGAAGGGCTAGTCACACTTGTTGGACTGTGCCAAAAAAATTTAAGGGTGATGGATGGACCGTGACTACAGCGCCCTTAAATTCAAAAGACTGCAGTTACACATAACGGTACATAATCCTGCCAACCTGAGTGAATCCAGTATTGCTCTCGTGTATTCAGACAAATACTCTTCTGTTCTTCCATGCATTATGCTTGCGCCGGCTCCTCGAGGGCGCATTCTGGCCATCGAGGTGCTTATTGTGACATCCTTTCCACAAACTACACAATTACTCATTGTGGTGAAAACAACACGCTTTGATGATGGACATGTCATGGCATGGTATATTGAGCAAGACGGACTCGACTATTGCTGGCCAACACGGACCCGTCTTGATCCGTCACTGCTTCACACAGATACGAAACACAATTCCTCTTTGGGAGTTATGTTCCGAAAATCACTCGTCATGGCAGCAAGGCACTTGTGCCTTGATGAGTTGGAAATGATATGCCTACGAGCACCTCTTCCCGATAGTGAGCTTGGAGAGGATCAGTACAGCTGGTGCTTTGACGTTTTATTAACGCTTGAACGTCTTCAATGTCTTGCATTTGGACAAACTCTAGCTCTCGAAGAGGATATTTGTAAATTACGACTTAGCTTGCTCAATCAAGAGCATCCTTCTGTTGCGGAAGTTATGGATACCAGCTTTCCAAAGCTTAAACAAGAAACTGATACATCAAAGCGCACGTCTGTGACGGTGTTTTGACTCTTTACGAACAACTATTATGATACGATTCGAATATTATCATCAAAACTCCCCTCTCCTCTCCTGAACTTGCACATGCAGGATCTCTGTTCAGACATGAGAAGTGTAGTCGCGTATGTCAAATAGAGTTATGAGAAAATTTTATTGGGCGCCAGAACGCGCTTGTGCACAAAAATTGCATCTACCCTAAAAATTGTAGCATGCGACAGATCGCCTGCGTGCCTTGACATCAGTCACGTGCACAAGCAAAGATCGACGACACGATTTCAATGGGGTTTCGGTATCACAAAAGACTTCACATAAACATACATATTTATGGCCCCTTAAGCCTCAGAAAACAGTGAGCAAGAATTCATCAACAATTGTAACCCAAAAAATTTCATACATGGTTGTGAAATATATCGAAACACTACATTATCTCAAACCAGTTCGATATATAGTGGCAAAGTGATTCAAAAGGTTTCGTAGTCGTGATAGTAAAAAAATGGAAGACGACCGATTTGAAGTGCAAGTGGGAATCACGAAATGACGCATTCTCGCTGAGGTTCATTTTCAGGATGATATCTTGTCCTGAAACGAGCCCATCGGTTCTTGCGACGAACTTGCTTTTCATGACGTTGCTCAACTGAACGGTCCGACTTGTTTTCCTTGATTTTCTCTTCCACCTCTCGAGGGAACCATTCTTGAAGATATTTCATCATATCACAGTCGAGGTTGTTCTCATCAGCATCGCGTACGGCATTAGGTGCTCGACAAAGAGGGCATTCATTCATCCCCTGCTTTTGAAGCTTAACAAGGCAACGGATACAAAAGAGATGTCCACAACACAGTCGGATAGGATGCCAAGCAATCGAAGTGCACACTGAGCAGCTGTAATCATCTACACTAGGAAGAACTGGCATAAGGGCTTTCGTCAAAAGGCAAGAAACAATTCGAGGAAGTGAGAGTTGGAAACTTGCCTGGAACTTGGAAGGAGCCAAAGCTGTCAAAGACTTCAAGACATCTCCCACGGAGGCATGGCTCCAGTCGAGTTCGGGTATAGGCGAATCAAAGGAAGCAGCACGCAGCAGTTGCTGGGCCTTTGAAGAGGAAGAAATACGATTAATGTTCTCTCTGATATGGAGAGAAGTTTTCTTAGCATGTTTTTTAAATAATTTGCGGATGGTTTCGATGTTAAGCCGCTCAAAGCGTTTAATAGTCACAAGTGCGACATTCAGACGCAAGAAATGCTCAAGCGTAGCAATGCTGCGCGGATCAGTCAAAGGATTAGTAGGTGAAAATGCTTGCAATGCCCAAGAGTCAAGTGTACCGGCTAACGTCTTTCCGCGCTGCTCAATAGATTGATGGGGAGTAAGGAGACCGCGTTTCTCGAGTGCTTCCAAATACTTGTGCAACCGTGACTCACTCGCCGCGACACTCATTTCACCACGGTCTTTCTCCCTAGTGCCTTCAAATATATCAAATTCGAGCCACAAAGAGAAGATTTCACGCCATACATACATGTCATTGTGAGAGTTGACTGGGCTGGCCACCTCAGCAATGGTCGAGCAAAGCGATTCCACATGCATCGTGAGGGTTCGTTGCTGAGAAACATGTAGCTGAAGAAGTCGACGAATAGCCAAGATGAGCAAATCGAAAAAACGCTCATCAGCTTTTAGCGGAATCACAATTCGACGATGATGGAAGCCAGGTGCCACTTCATTCATTTCCTCAGCTCCCTTGTAGTCGCGTGAGGCTATCGTCGGTATTTCCTGTGCAGGTTTCCCTAGATCAAGCTGCTGAATAGAGTGCCGCAAAGAGCGAGAAGCCATACTGTTCTTTCGAGGCGTACGTGTGAATGTACCAGGCGATGAAGAGGTGCTTGAAGACATGTGGTCAGATCCCGGTGTGTCGGGCGAGTCTACAGGTGTAAGAGCATTAGGCGACTCGACATGCAAAACAATTTGGGGATGTACACCAAAAGAGTCATCAAAAAGTTCATACTCTCCCCATGCTCTACGGCCCGACTTGGCTTCGATCCACTGCTTCTTGGCGCCTGAATGCGATGATTCCTCGGGGTCAATGGTATCTGTGTCAATAGTTTCGTCGTCAGGAAACAGTTCTGGCTGCTTTTCTTGCATCCACTTCAGTGTTTGATAATCATGAGAAGATTGTCGACTTCGGAGAGGGTCAGGACCATATTGGCCTGGCTCGTGCAACGCTCCCACGGGAAGAACTAGAGGCGGAAGATCCTGATTTAAACTGGTAACAAAATTATCCCTAGATCCACCAATGGAGTGACGGCGTGCGGGACTTCTCCGCTTGGGGGATGGTGATTCAACGAAGGAAACAGGCACGTTGATAGATGCCCAAAATGTGTCGGGCGATGTCTCCGAGCGATCAAGATGCAGACCTGCAGAGCCGAAGCTTGCTCTACGTTTCCGTTTAGGACCATTTCTCTTGACAGCGTAACGCTCATCCCTAGGAAGAGACGACAACCAACGAGCTGCAGAGGAGATGTGCGCGTGGCTCGTCTCGGCTGAATCCAATGAAGGACTGAGCTGTAGTATATTCCCCGGCGTCGAGCGCTTTTGCGTCCTATTAAGCGTCGGCTCTTCCGCATTTAAGAGCCCATCGACAACATCGGGTGTGAGACCATAATGAGTCAGCTCATCCACAACGTTATTAATTAAGGATTTAAGCTGAAGCGTCAATCACTACAAGTCGCAACAAAACCGGACATACTTTGTTGTATTCGATCGCACTATTTTTCCATTCTGGCAAAAACTGTGATGTCTCCAACAAATCGATATAGTTTTTTCCGAACTTCATGGTGTTGGACTGACTGGGTGGTGGTGGATCATGCGCACTTTAAGGCGTCAAACAAAAAATGAGGCAAAGATTTAGGTGGTTTTCTGCATGAGAGGGCGTATTTGTTTGCCCCACCACGAGGCAGTCGACGAATGAAAAAATGGAATGGAGAAAAAAATCCCTGGGTTGGCGTCATGGAGCGATCCCGTCCCTCGATTGCTAGATCTAATCCAGCTCGCTGCGGCCAAACTGAGACTGACTCCGAACGCAAATTTAAATTTAGTACACTGATCAAACGACACACATAATGCAAGGGGACATGCTATGCCATTTCTTGACCTATCAGAAAGGGACAATTTACGAGGATTTCTGTGCTGTAGCTAATGTCAGTCTAGAATTCATCTAGCGCTGTGCGATCAACGCGTACCCATAGATAGTTTGTCGCCAAGACTCAAAGCAATACCTTGCGTCTTGGATCGAATTCGGACGTGGCCTTGGATTGTGCCATTGTCCAACCGCTCAATGCTGACATTTGCAAGAGCATCTTCGCCGAAGAGACTTGTGGCAGACAAGTTTGCACTCAGGAATCCACATTCACCAGCGAGACTTGCTTCCGGAGTAAGACATGCCATGTTCGTGGCCTTCATGATGTGCTCAAGATACTGACGCACATCGGAGATATCCGTCTTTACATTGACTTTGTTCTCCCATTCGAAGCCCGTCCACATGCTGCGGAACTCGGTCTCTGAGACATACGATGGGGAAATATAGTCCATAATATCGATATGGATTTCGTTTAGCACCACGTAGGAGCTGTCCTTCGAGCTTCCCGAGCCCACGCTTGCTTTCTCATAGACGATATTGCCAAAGATCACACCTGTCTCAGTGGAAGACACCTTGATTGTGGCCTTGATGCTTTGGAAGCTGTAGGGAGCAATTGTGTACGAGGAGGGCCGCTCGACAAGCTTGAGGTCACCGAGCGTCGCCAGTTCAATACTAAGGTTTTGGAATGTCTCATCGGTCTGATTTACGACGAGAACATCTAGTAAGATGTCGAACTGGTGGACATCGACATATGCCTCTGCATACACAGGATCCGAGAAGCCCGTCAACTGGACCACACGTTGTAACTTGCTAATAAAGTCGTCCTTGGACACAGTGCCCATGCCGGTGGCACGGTTCAGATCTGTCTCGTAATCAATATCGTCATCCAGTGTTTCAGGGCCGCCAAGCTGACGGAACAACAATTGTTGATGTGGCTGCTGGATAGGAGCGCGATTTTGCGTTTCGTTCGATTTCGACACACGCTGGCGCTCATGCGTCAGCATACTGGCATAGGCGCGGCGGGACTCGTCGAGGAACACCTGCGCGGCGGCTTCTGCCTCTTCGAACGACTGCGTCGCGCTTCCCAAGATCTGGAGGCATGTGACGATCCGCTCTTTCGAATCTTCGTCAATTTGAGCAGTCACATACTTTGACTGAGCAACACGCAAAATCGACGTCATAATAAGCATCGCCTCAGCACGCAGCATATTTTTTGCGCCCTCGTCTGAGGAAACGTTCATGAAACGAAGTACTAGCTTGACAAGCGTTGCGGAAAGCACCGATGCAGTGTAATAATCACCAAAAAGAATCAGGCTTCGCAGCGGCGGCTTGCTCCGCGACAAACTTGACTTGTCAGTGGTTGTGTCAGTCGTGAAGGCCGACTCCGTTGCATAGGTGCCATCAGCACGAACACGCGTCATGGAGACGGGTTTTGGTGCGCTAGCCACATTGTCGTCTGTCATGGCTCCAGCCGTCTCACTCTGATCCATCTGCTGCTTTTCTGAAGCTAGAATAGGGATTTCACCAAGCACCTTGCGAATTTGCTGCATCGCATCATTCACATTAGAGATAGAGGTTGCATAGTCACCCACAATCCACATCGCTCCACGGTACACCTTGCCGTTGCGGAACTCGGGGAAAGACTGAATTAATTTACCGAGGATGTCGTCTCGCATGTCAGGGAAGCGTTCAACAACCTCCCGCACAAACGCAATTACATCCACAGCACTCGTGCTTCCTGAGTCGCTCAGGAAATTCATCAGCTCTAGCATAACATCGCCGGCAACTTCTGAGAAACGCACTGCGCAAGCATGAAGTGACTTGATGAGTAAATGACGATACGGCGTGCTGGCATCCTGTGCCTGCGTCGTCTTCGCGAGTTCCTTGCGCAGCACGAGCACAACCTCCTCAACTGTGCGCACAGAGAGCATATCAAGTGCCATTTCCAGTACCTTTTTGCGCACGTCTATGTCAGGACTCGACAAAACACGAAGGAGATCAATCACCAACGGGTCCAGCACATGCTCATGACGCAAGCGGAGCGCATCCAGACGATCCAATACAATCAGCTTTACGTTATTGTCGCTTTCTTGGACTGAAAGGTCAATGAGCGCACTTGCAATGGCCTTGACAGCAGGCACGTTGTGGGCGAGGCCAGCCAAAGTGATGGCAGCTTCAAACTTCACAGCATGGCTCGAAGTCGTCAGTAATTCGGACAGGATCTGAATGTAGTCCGTCATTCTTTCGCTACCTTTCTTGGCATCTGTGCGTATAAGCTCAATGACGGCCATTTGCATGAGCTCGTCCATTACTGGCACCTGGTTCATGACACTCGACACATATTCCACGGCGCGTGGTGTGTCAGTGTGAACAAGCATCGTGAGAGCATTGCGCTTGCACGTGGCATCAGATTCAGCGGCCAAAAAAGACTCGATGAGCTCGGGTGCATCGCTAATGAGATGCTCGTGACGTTCATATATCGTCCAAATGGCCATGACGGCATTCTTGCGCACGTAGCTGTGACGATGATCCAAGCACTGGCGTACCGAAGGGACGAGAGGCTCAAGAATCTCTTGCTCTTTAATCTTTTGCAAGAAGCGTAGTGTTGATCCACGGATGTATTCGTTCGGGTGCTGCAGGTCATTCCGAATCGCATTGCACACTAGAATCATCTCCTGTTTCAGTTTGCCTTCACCATCGAGCTTTGGACACACTTCCCAGTAAAAGTGAAGCATCTTTTTCAGTTGCTTATTCTTGCTTGGCAGTACGTATTGAATGATGGGCATCAGTAAAGACGCATGAGGCTCGCCATTGATGGTCGATACGATGATGGCACGGAGCGTCTCGATCTTAACTTCATCATTCTGACTCTGCAAATTCGTTCGCAGCTCTCGCGTAGACATATCGAGGCGATAGCCTGCATTAGGAGCTACCAGTGTGTACGCCGTAGGATCTGAGAGCATGATCACGACGCGGCACACAACACAATGACAAGCCGAGGCCAAAGACGACGGGTTCCGAAGCAGCCAGCACTCAAGTGGAAGTGGGAGTTGGGGCCGGCCGACCACATCGGTTGTTGGCACACCCTTGTAGGCCGGCTCTTCGAAATAGCCACGTGCAATTCTCTTTAGCTAGGGGAGTGGGTGGGCTTGGGGCAAGTTGGTGCCTGCAATTGACACAGTTTACTAGCCGGAAACGTCACTAACACAAGTGACACGCCTCGCGACAAAAAAATACATAGGGGGGATCAAAACGTCGCGATGGTTGTGAATGCGGTGCGGCGATGCATGTTGAGAGATGCTTTGCTTGCACGTATGTACTTTCGGCGGATGTCGACCACGATCAAGGCAAGTGATGTGGTGGAAAAGCTTGCCTCAGCGATGATGCAGGAACGTCAGCAACTGATGGAAAACGCACAAGCCTCTGTGGTCGCATCGCAAAGAATCAAAGATCTCGAAGCTGTACATAAGACATGGAGTGCGTGGAGAGAACAACTTCAATGTGTGCAGGACACACAACGGCTTTGTGAAACAGAAAAAGACAAGGACATGCTGGAGATGGCTGAGCAAGAGCTCAGTCAGATGCGTGATGAGGCAGACGCGCGGCACGAAGCACTTAAACAGCAGATTCTCTCAAACTCGCGCAGCATTCAGAGCAAAGGAGCGATTATGGAGCTGCGGCAGGGTGTGGGAGGACAGGAATCCTGCTTGTTCCTTGGGGAAATGCTACGTATGTACATCAAGTTTTGTGAGACGCGTGCACAAAAAGCACAAGATGAAGACGATCCATCGATGCTTGGTGCTGGTTGGTCCACGGACCTGTTGTCTGCAACCCCTGTGGATGTATCAGCAACTAGCGGTGCTGGTGACGCTTATCGAGAAGCCATTTTACAAATTCACGGCCCAAATGCATTTGAGGCACTCCGATTCGAAGCCGGTGTGCACCGTGTGCAAAGAATCCCGGCAACTCAGAACTTGGGAAAGTTGCAAACAAGCACAATGGCCATAATTGTGCTGCCAATGCAGGCAGAAAATGATGTATCGAAAGACATTGTCGATTCAAAAGACGTAAGAGTCGAGACGATGCGCGCTCGCGGCGCTGGCGGTCAACATGTGAATAGGACAGAATCGGCCGTGCGTCTCACGCACGATCCCTCCGGCATTACAGTATCCATGCAGGATTCGCGAAGCCAGCATCAGAACCGCGTCAAAGCGTGGGATGTGCTTCGTGCGCGTCTCTTAGACATCCATTTACAGAAAGAGGCGAGTGAGAATCGCGCTTTGCGTCGCTCACAGGTCGCAAGTGCCGAGCGAAGCGAACGCGTGAGGACGTACAACTTTCCGCAAGATCGAGTCACTGACCATCGCATTGGGATCTCACTTTCCGACATCCATCGGTTCATGGATGGCGATGACAGTAGTGGAACAGGTCTCTCATATCTGATTGAAGAGCTCATGGCTCGAGAAGATGAAATTCGGCTGCATGCCTTGCTTGAGTCTCAAGAAGCAAAGGCGTAAATAGTCTTTTTTTCTTTAGCCTTTTTTTTCGCATACCCAATACACACTCAGACGATGAACCACACAATGCAAGCATCGTTTAGGCAAGCTTATGCACACGCGCAGCAATCCATGCTATAGTAGTGCAAGTAGCGACAAATCCGAAAAAATATAGCCATGCCGCGCGCTCGAGATCCCGCTCCTGTAGCGGCGTGCGGGAGGATCGGAAGATGGATCTCAAGTTTGGAAGAGCCATTGAATAAAAAAATTGGGATGGAGGATGGAATTCATACTGCCCCGCCCCCACTCGGTCCTGAGCGCGCCTCAATCGTGGCGCCCGATTGTTTCAGGCGCTTTCGTGTGTGGGGAAGGTGGATGGACAAAAGTGAAATTTTCCCACTCCATCTCAATTGGCATGTCATGACGGGTCGCGTAAGAACGGATCGGGGCACAAGTGCGACGATGGAAGAAGTGCAAGTATGGCAGGTTGTGCGAGCACAACTTCGTGGATTGGATAGCGCTCGCTCATCATCTCTTTCCGGCTATGAAAAACTGTTAAAGGCCAGCTCAGATGCCAAAAACATGGATGCGTTGTACGCCATGGTGGAAAGATATGTCCAAGAAGAACACAGGTATGTCTTGCATGCTGACGATGCAGGTGTATTGTTGGTGCCTTAGAACAGATTCATGTACTTATTGCGCTTCGTAAGGCATCGTCAGGGATGGCAGGAACTGAGCTACGCCGTCGAAAACGCAGGACGGATGAACCGGCTGAACTTGAGGACATTGGTACAGAGCTCAAGACCAAGGGATCAGGATCTGATATGCGGAAAAACCGTGCGCCTCCAAAGGCAAATGACAATACCCATTGGATGCGCATCAAGCCGCAACTGCCGCTACAACGTGGACGAAAAGTGGCATTTTGCCAAACACCCGAAGGAAACAATGTTGGTGAGGAGGAATGGATTCTTGCTACCGTTATTGAGTGCATTCAAGGCGATAAGACACGCTATGTTGTCCAAGACGCCGAAGATGAGGGACCCAACGGACCGTACGTTCAGACACACTCAGGATGATGAGGATTAACACGTTGAATGCAGAAAATGGAACACGACGATCCATTCGATAGTTCCTCTACCTGTCAACATTGACTCTTTACCATCCGAGGATTACGCTGTCGGCACACGCGTGCTGGCGTTATACCCCGATACAAGCTGCTTCTACTGGGCTACAGTGCAGGGCGGCGGCCCCAACATACATGCCTCCGTTCCCAGAAACAAAGTACGTATGCATTTTATCAAGTATTGACCGTTGGTGCTTACACAAACACTCTTCCTGCAACGGCTAGCTCTTAAAACGAGAAAGCGAATTGCTTAACACCAAATACAGACTCATGTTTTATGATGACGGCGCCGACGTAAAACAGGTGCCTGCCTATCTCGTAGTGGAGCACCCGTAAAATAATTCTGACTCAGCATTCATTCCACGTGTCCGGTGCATTTGCCGCATTGGACAAACAGGTCTGGGATGACAACGCGGATGTCCAGCCACACCTTAGCGTAGTCCCATACTTCAATCGATGGCATTCTGGGTGCACGCAAATTATTATACGTCGTCTTCCCACAAGCACCTGCATTGACACGCCGCTCTTCATGACACTAATGCAACCTGTTATGCCCCATGTTTCTACGCCAACTCCGTTAACATGGCAACAAGAACTTCTGACCCAGACATGGAAGCCGAATCGCAAGAGCGAGAAGCCCAAGTCGGCTACCGGCAGCAACCCTGCGAGAGGCAAAAGAAAAGACAAACTCCCCTCAGCTTCAAGCAATGTAGCAGCACCGTCGTCCGCAATGACAGCATCAGGCACAACGCCTCCAACGCCATCATCCAGCGGCCTGACGTGGCAGCAAGAGCTGTTCCAACAGTCCAATCGTCGGGGCCCGACATATGATCGCGCAGAGACTGCTAAAGATATGGAAACATTTGGTACGCAGGGGAGCCAGCTTTCGAAGCCTACGAATACCAAAGTTTCGGCAGATCGGAACAAGAGTAAGAATGCGCCCAAAGGCAAGAACAAGAATTTAACGAAGGTGCGAGATTCTCAGACACCGATGACGCCTTCGAAGATTCCAATTTCTACAAAAGTATCATCTTCATCGTCTCCTTTGCCTGAACCGCTCGCATACGCTGGTCCAGAGTTCCATAATTCTCCCTCGGCTGCAAGCCTTCCAACACCTCGCTTCACACAGAGTCGGGGCGTCGCATCTGCAACTCAGTTGACTCCACAAACACCACCTCAGAGATCCGAGTCCAGGCGTGAAACGGTCGATCATCTGCTCTCACAGATCCTTGCATCGACTTCCTTACCCTCTACTCAAAAGTAGATTATGGTTACGTGTGTCTAACTCTGTATAACTATGTGTATGATTATGTGTATGGGTCCATACGGGGAATGGTTTGAGTTTGTATGTTTGTACATACAGGTAGTTCCCAATATGCAGGGCTTCATTAGCACGAAACCTTTCATAATTGTTCAGGGGCTATCTTAGCCCCGCCTACGTATTTGATGAGCTCGATGGCATTGGGCGCACACGTGTTACATTTGCCGACACAAACATATCACCGTTGCCCGCATGAGCCTCCACATGAACCTGTATGAGCTCCAAAACTCTACATCAAATTACACACGCGTCCTGCCTGGCAGACAAAGTAGCCAAGACATCTGACGCTAGTGCGCGAGGCAAAGTTAGTCGGCCAATACGAGCTCACTAGAAAACTTGGAAGATAGCGGCTCTGCGGAGCTTGTGCGCGCAGAGTCGCACACGTCTCGTGTCCAGTGGTATGTGCCGGGGCGACAGCAACGATCGAATGTTCGCATGCTGCGTCCGGCCAGCCAGGGCGTATGCCTCTTTCCGGATACAAGTCCGTACCCCATTCCAGATATCTACAGCCAATCCATCTACGATCGTACATTACAATCTATTCGATTCATGCAGAGATACCATCCAGGGATACAAATTCCATCGCGCTTGCTGGCCAAGACTATGCTGGACGACGAGCAGAAAAGTATTCAGCAAGCGCTTGCCGGTGATGAGCTTGTTGGAAGCACGATTTCAATTGTTGCAGATTATGGAGGTGATAGCCTGTTAATTTTGTGCGCTGGTGGCCAGGATCGTTGTGAATTGTGTATGTTTGAGCCCTTTCACCTACTTACATGCAGTTGCGACAGTCGTTCGCGCGTTTCCTAACCTCGGCGCCCTGGGAACAGGCACGCCTGCATTGCGCACGCGAGCCCCAATTGTACAAGTACAAGCATGGTTGACTGTGCACGGCCAGGTGCGCATTCTTGTTCGGACGCTCACGACGCTACTCTTGGGCACCTTGACATCGGACAACCAACACACACCACCACGAGACGAACCGCGATTTGTTTTGCACGTGCATGACACAATACGTACTGGCAAGCACGTCTGTACACGACTGATGGATGTACACGCAGCAGCAGAAGTGGCACGCAATGACCGTACGTACGCCGTTGACACGCATGGTACAGTGCGTCTATGGGATGCGGCTGCTAAGACGACGACGGTGCTAGCGTCTTTGGAAGCCGTGCAAGATGACAGATGGTGGAAATTAGCATCTTCTATGCCGCATATTCTCTACGCATCCTCATGCTATGATGTGCACGCAATCGATACGAGAGCGCCTGAGCCTAGCATGATCTTAAGCACGTCTTATTCGCCACAGGCCATGCGCCGAGCCAAAGTGACAAGCTTAGCAGTATCCCAGCTTCCAATGCCATCAACGTTACTGGCTGTTGCGACGACAGATGCCGTTCAGTACTATGACGTACGCTTCCCAACTGTTCCATGGAGCTCGTGGAATCATCAGCGTGGGTTCGACAGGACATTATCGCTGCATCGTGCAAATGTGGAGGGGGGCGAATATCTTGTCCTGTCTTCTCAGAAAAACCGTCTTCATACCGTGTACGGAGCGCAGGCAGATGACACGCACGCGCTCACATTCGACGCGCCTCACGTACTTCGAAGTGCTGTGCCGTACACACAAATAACAGCTGCATCTCCAACTCCCCCCGCGTTTGCGACTGGCCTCAACAGCTTTGGTGGATCAACTGATTCAAGTAAAACACTTTGGCAAGTGGAGCAAACGATGCGTGGGTCTCTTTGGATGCAGCTTGTCCAAGCATCGTCAGCCGCGTCTAACGACGAACCTATTCAAGTGGCTTGGGCGCATGGTTTATGCAAGCGAGCTGAAGATGCGAAGCAGACGTATGATCCTGGCCCGTTTGGGCGAATGGAAGTAACACAGATGGATTTCCGCGCAGTGTTCAAAGGTATGTATGGTAGATTGGGTATTCACATACCTCGCAAGTTGTTTTGCTGAGCTATCTAGGAATAAGTGAGCGCTCAATCGAGGAAGCCGAGACGCAACGCCAGCTCGCAGCTCTCGAGAGGGTGCCACGCGCATTGGTGGACAAGACACATACTTTGTACGTACTACACGAATGCTTATGCCAGACTCGATCGTTTATACCACACCTTTTCAGGCAAGCATGCGGCAGGCTCTTCACACATGCATATGGACTATATCCTACGTGCCAGACTGATAAGGGCTAACAAGGATCTGGCCGAACAACTGCAGCGTTTGTGGCAAGAACACCAGCTTAAGAATGCGTGCTTGGTTGGTATGCAGTTTGCACGAGAACCTTGTACAACCATGCCCCAGCTGGCTTCATGGTTGGGATCCAAATACTTGCACGTGCCAAGTGCGAATGACAACGAGCATGTGATAGAGGCTCAGGAGCAAGAAGCTTTAGATCTCTCTTTGTCGCTCGGCTATACAGCAGCCGCGCCAACACCTGACGCCGAGACAGCGCGTCATGGGAACGATGAGCACGCACGTCCAAAGAACGTAAACTGGTACTGGGATCAGCGGTCAGAACCACGGTGTCCAACGACATCACTGTCTGTGTATGACGCCAATAAATCGGTGTCTCTGACCGACGCAGCTCGTCTGCTTCTTAGTGAATGGCCGATTGGCACGTCCACTGACTCGTACACATACCGTCCCGCGTACCGTGGGCTAGACTTTGACGCAGGCGCTGCACTAAACTCAACCCCTGCCGGACGCTTTGTATCAGCATCGCAAATCGTGCGGCCTTCCATTGGTCGTTCAAATAAGCCCGGGAAACACACCAGGCAGAATGATGAGCCAACGAGCTCACCCATCTACTCATCAATGCAATCTTCGCAACCACCTTCTTCACAAGATGGTGTGGTTCAAACGCAGCTGGAGCCAGGGAGATATGCTCGGCGGCGTTCGATGGCAGCACAACCGCGCAAGAAAAGGCTTGGTGGATTCTAAGCACTCCGGCTATGGCTTGGAAGCCATGTTTTTCGTGATGCCATCGATGTACGTTTGTAGCATTTCATTCTCATTTTCGTAGTTTTTACAGTCACGCTGGACTGAGGCCAGACGTTCATGCAAGGCTGAAGCAAATGAATGTTAGTACCTGAAATGTATGTGTATGAGTGTGTGTGTGTGTGTGTAGCGAGGCTCGCCCAAACTGCAAACATACCTGTCATTCCACTTTGCAATGACAATACCTGACGCACGAGGCGCTCTTTTTCGGCCACAGTGCCTGCCGTAGGCTCGGCCGTTGATGTCCACGCAGCTTGATCACCCAAATCCTCTGTGGCAGCTGCTGGATTCGTCGAATCAAGGGACATGTTCATGGGAAAAAAGAGATGCGTGGAAAGAACCAGGACGTAGGTGGGAGAAGATGGCCTGCTTGATTCAATAGCGCTGGAGGGCTGTCAAGAACAATTCGCGCGTCAGATAATGATTACAATTTAAAAAAAAAAGAATCCACAATTCTAGCAGTCCTGGTGAGAAATGCGTCTTTCTCGGCAGGCGATGATGGCTGCGTCAGTAGCAAGAGCTTCGGGCGCGCCTACGAGCCGACCACTCGATCCGATGACCGATATCACTCGTTTGAACACGCGTACCGTGCGAATCCTAGGACAAAATCCGAGCACTTTCACGCTCAACGGTAAGTTGGTCATGTACAAAAGCATTTATTCGTGCTCATACCTTACGGACCAGGTACCAACACCTATTTGATTATGCCACCATGCGATTGGAACTTTGATGATCGAAATACGCTCCTACCTGCCATTTTGGTAGACACAGGTGATGCCAAAGAAGAGTATGCGCCCATATTGGAGTGCGTCCTGCGAGGCCACCTGTGCGTGAGTGACGAAGCATTGCCTGTACGCATAGCTATCACTGATATGTACGTTGTGACTGTCTTTCAATTTACATTTCTAGCGTTTTAACACACTGGCATCATGATCATGTGGGCGGGGTGCCGTTTGTTCTCCGAATGCTGCACAAGCTGCGGCGTGAAGCAGCGCCTGAAATCCATGTACCAGTTCCTCGAGTGCGCAAAGTCCCCGATCCCGTCACGGATACGAGCTTCTCGCAAAGAGCGTCACATGTACCACCAGATGCGTACGCACATGCACCAAGCGCGGATGGACTTCCGCAGCTCATGTGGCCTCTGGAGGATCAGGATCAGATCCGAGTATGTGACCCAGAAGACCCAGAACTTGCATCGACACTCCGCGTCGTGTACGCGCCAGGGCATGCCGCTGATCATGCCATGCTCTGGCTGGAGGAGGACCGAATACTGCTAACGGGTGACAATGTATTGGGTCGAGGCTCAACGGTATTTGAAGACCTCATTCAGTACATGTACAGCCTGCAGCGCGGACTTTCTCTCCTCGATGCCAGCAAGGCGACACCGCTCGGTGTGACCGGGACACCCATGTCGGGTATGTCTCAGGAGAATGTCTTGTTTCCCGGACACGGTCCCGTCATTCCCAAGGGTAAAGAAGCTCTACGCCGATATCTTCGGCACCGAGTAGAGCGTGAGGAGCAGCTCATTGCATTGTTCCTTTGCCAGCCTGGTGACAAGGGCCAAGTGACGAATGCTACCGCGTACCCGCTCCGCTTCATTAATCAAGCCTGTGCGACTGTGCGAACTAGGCAATACACATGGACACTACGTCAGTTCGTAAGCACGCTGTATGAAAATTACTCGCTGAGAGCATATCCTGCTATTGCGCGTGTACTACTATTGCACTTGCAAAAACTAAGCATGCGCGTCAGCGATCTGGACAAGCCGCCATATGCTTTGACTGAGCCTATAAACTCGACACCTCGAGCGATGCATGCCCCTCTTGTACAGTGCATGGTCCGCCCTTCATATCAATATACGGCACGTCCATGTCCTGACTTGCCGCGAAATGACCAAGAGTGGCGCGAAGCACTCGACTTGCCATGGCAGCTCGTCGCCTTATAGCATCGTCAAGAAACTCGTCGGACCCGCACGGTAGTTTGAAGCAGGACACGTGGAGAAGAGCAAATTCGTGGTGCCTAGGGTCCCAGCGCTCGTTGGTCCTGGCAGCCTAGCAATCAACACACGTACACGTCAAACCCGTGTGCGAGAGTGCGTTTGGATGAAGGGTTTTAATCACGTGATTTACAATGGGGCGGTTCTTGACCCCGCGGCCTAGCAGGACCCTTGTCGGGATGTGAATGCATTGAAAAGGTCGGGAAGCCGGCCCCATGGGGGTGGATCTCTCATACCAACACTGAAACGATCCAGCATGAGCATTCAGAAGATTGAGGGACGCATGATCATTGACTCGCGTGGTAACCCCACGGTCGAAGTCGACCTTGTGACGGACAAGGGTCTGTTCCGTGCATCTGTGCCGTCAGGTGCCTCGACGGGTATCCACGAGGCTGTCGAGCTGCGAGACAAGGACTCAAAGAGCTGGGTCGGCAAGGGTGTGAACCAGGCTGTGAAGAATGTGAACGATGTGATTGCCCCTGAGCTGATCAAGTCGGGCATCTCAGTGACGTCGCAGAAAGAAGTGGACGACTTCCTCATCAAGCTGGACGGCACTCCCAACAAGGGCAAGCTCGGTGCGAATGCCATCCTAGGTGTGTCGATCGCCGTTGCCAAGGCTGGCGCTGGTGAGAAGGGCATGCCCCTGTACAAGTACCTTTCGAGCCTGGCGAACACGGGCTCGCCACACATCNTGCCAGCCCCTGCTATGAACGTCATCAACGGTGGGCTCGCACGCAGGTAACCCGCTTGCCTTCCAGGAGTTCATGATTGTGCCAACGGGTGCGAAGACTTTCACAGAGTCGATGCAGATCGGCACAGAAGTCTACCACACGCTGAAGAAGGTTATCAAGTCGAAGTACGGCATTGACGCGACGAACGTTGGTGACGAGGGCGGTTTCGCACCGAACCTGCACTCGGCTGATGAGGCGCTGGACTTGTTGATGGATGCGATCAAGATGGCCGGCTACGAGGGCCGCGTCAACATTTCGCTTGATGTGGCCAGCTCGGAGTTCTACAAGGATGGCAAGTACGACCTTGACTTCAAGAACCCGAACTCGGACCCAAGCAAATGGATTTCTGGTGCCGAGCTCGCTAAGATCTACAAGGGTTACATTGAGAAGTACCCCATCACGTCGATTGAAGATCCCTTCGACCAAGACGACTGGGAGGCCTGGACGATCTTGCGCGAGTCGGCCGGCGTCACGATCATCGGTGATGACTTGACCGTTACGAACCCGCTGCGTATCAAGACGGCCATCGAGAAGAAGGCTTGCAACGGTCTTCTGCTCAAGATCAACCAGATCGGCACGATCACCGAATCGATCCAGGCTGCTCAGCTCGCTCAGTCGGACAACTGGGCTGTCATGGTGTCGCACCGCTCGGGTGAGACAGAAGACACGACCATTGCCGACCTTGCTGTCGCTCTCAACTCTGGTATCATCAAGACCGGTGCGCCTGCGCGCACGGAGCGTGTGTGCAAGTACAACGCACTCCTTCGCATTGAGCACATCGAGAAGGATGCTACGTACGCCGGTATCGACGGTTTTGTCCGCGGTAATGAGGCTCCAAAGGTTATCCGCAAGTAAAGTCATACCAATTTTCGCTATAGTACATAAATCGTACGGCTGGCAACCAAGCCAGGATTGCGGTCTCGCATTGGTGTGCATTCTATGTTGTAGTCTGAGCCGGACAATATTTTCTCTCGCTATGTAGTTTCCAGCTACATGTTCGCATGCACATCAACAGGTGCTGACGAACTGTACAAAGAATCATCCACTGGGTCATGGGGTTCTTGCTGATACACGTCCCATGGCAGCACGGGCTTTGCCTCTGCGCTTGGGGTGAGACTTTTCTTGAACGCATGTACATCTCGCACTTCTTCCGGTGTTAACACGTCTTGTGGTGCCGATGCCAGATCCGACGCAAGGTTGAGCGCTTGCTTAGGATGCGCCTTAGCTGATCGATCGATTTCTTCACACAGTGCCGATTCAGACAGGCTCGGCGGGAGTTCACCCGAGGCACAAGCCTCTTTGACGAACGCCTGAAGGCTTTCCACGCTTGTCATCTGCACGGCAAGGGCATCGCGTGCTTCCGGCGGAATGCTTACACCGTGAGAGTCAAGTACATGGAGGAATGCATCAAGAGCTTCCTTGCTCAAAGGTGTAGTAGATTGTGCTGTATTCGCTTCGTCACCTGGTAGCGCTTGAAGATGAGTGACGGTCTTGGCACGCCGAGGGCTACTAGGATGGATATAATGCTCCATGAGAGCAATAACGTCATTCTTAGTCAAATGCTCAAGCACTTGGGCATCCCGTTGCCGATTCATGAAGTCGTAGTAACCTGAGTGGATACTTTGCCAGTAGCGGTTCGTCTCCTCAGCCAAATTCTTCACAGATTCGAGCCGCTTGTGAATCAAGGAATTGCGATGAGCAAGGAACTCATCCGTGCTCATCTCATGCAACTGATGTAAGAGCTGGTCAAAAAAGGCGTCAATACGCGACTCCAAATAGTCTGAATCTCGCTCCGATTGCACGATTACTCGAAAACCCATCTGACCAATGGACGTGCGAACACCACTGAATACAAGATAGCCTAACTGCTCCTTCGTACGCAACTGATCGAAGCATGGCTCACTTGCAATCTGAGCGAGCAGAGCGAGCGTTGCACGTAGCCTCACCTCACTCGGGTCACCAACTTGGCAGTAGTACTCGAGCGAAGAGTTCACATTGCTCTTGTTCGCCACAGGCACTCGCCAAGACACGCGCGAGCCGGGCGAGAGCACAAGAGACCGTGGTGGAGTTGTGTGATGCGTATCGAGTGCTTCATATTGCAGGTGACGCTGGGCTGTTTCCAGCAGACGACGAGCATCGTCCCTTGTTAGATTTCCATGAACAAGCATCTCCACATGCATCTGCTGGAACAGCTCAGAAATGTACTTCTGAACGTCTTGCGCTGTAACGTCGTTCACAACCCGTAGCTTTTCATGCTGCGTCCACATTCGCTCCGTCACCAAGTAGGTTGAGTAGTATGCAGCATGCTGGAACGGCTCTTCCAAATCAAAGTTTTCGTAGTTCCGTCGCACTTGGTCATGAACGATTGCGAAGCGCTTCTCGTCAACCTGGAGTTTTGTTAAGGTGTTCAACACAGACTCCAAAAGGTGCGCAAGTTTGTCATTGTAGCCACCAACGACAATGTCGACGCCGTCCAGGTGACTGTCAACGTCGTAATGCAAGCCCGCGACGTCCGCATCGTACGAGTACTCACAAAGCGCATCCTTCGTTAGCTCAACAAGCAAACGCGAAAGGACGGCATGCCGTGGCGAAGCATTGACATATGGCGTACGCAAGAGCATCGCGACGTTGGCTTTGGGCAGAAAAAAGCGATCATCTTGTTTGTGCCAAAGTCTAGCCTTAGGCGTGTGCTCTAAGAGTTGAGGGCGGTTGGATGGTGGGATATCACCGTTCGGTTCTCTAAGCACTTCGAGATTATGAGGGATAAATTCATTCTCACGCGGCATTGAAAGACCCTGCAATGTCTCACAAGAATTGAGCATCTCTGGCACAAAAGGTTTAATCGTGTACTCAGTGCCATACCATGTCTCTGATTTGTCCAATGAAACACCAGCTGGTGGCTCACGACCTGCGAGCATCAAACGACAGCGGTCAGGGCGCAAGTATTCAAGCGTGGAGCTGATTAATGGTGCGTCAAACTCGCGCAGCACGTAGGGCCCCGAAAGCAGCCATTCGGGCGGCAAACTGTGTTGCATTTGAGACGCTAGTGTCGAGCTGTACATAGCAGGCGATGATTTTTCCTTGAAGATGAAACGAAGCTCACTCAGCCGCTGAACTTCCTCGTACAGCCATTGCTCAATCGGCTTGGCGCGGAGCATATCAATGTACTGAAAGACTGCGGCAACAACATCTCCATAATGCTCGTACCCTTCATGCGTAAGATCAATATTGATTTTGAACAACTCGAAGCCCTTAGCGTGAATCGCAGAGCCTGCACTGAGCAAGTTTGCCCATCCACGCTGCTTAAGACACGAAAAAAGCGAGCCATGGCCCTCGTGACCGATCAAGTGAGAGAGTAGTTGTCCTGGCTTGGAACGATATAGATCAGCTTGTTCGGGAAATGGGAATGTAATATCTAACAAACGGACATCCTTGATAGTGCGGAAAAGCACCTGAGTACCGAGCTCCCTGTCGCTCAGTGGCGAACCAGGAAATGAAGGCACATCGCACTGTTTGTTCGGCACGTTCGAGAACTTCTCGGCGACCCATTCAGTGAGTTTGGCCGTAGATTCCCGACCCAGTACAACGAGCTTCATCATATTTGCGCTGTAATACCTTTCATGAAACTTGAGGAGCTCATCACGAATGTCAAGTCCCATCTCGCGCGGCTTTTCCCACAACGTGGCGAGATTGCCTGTCCCAAACTTTGAGTAGGGGTGTGAAGGATTTGACAAAGTTTTGTCCAGCTGAAAAGAACGCCAAAGATCTGATTGCAAATTTTTTTTGTGTTCTGAATCGACAGCGCGGATTTCACGTTCTGAGCAACTAGGATCAAACAGTGGCTCTAAGAAAAACTGCGCGAAGCGATCAAGCGCGCCTTCGAAGTGTGCATAACCGACGTCGAAAAAGTAATTCGTATTCTCAAGTGACGTAAAAGCATTCGAACTGCCACTGTGGTTCGACAGATACTCGCTGTATTCATTTTCTCGAGGGTATTTTTTGGTGCCCATAAATAACAAGTGCTCGCAGAAATGCGCCATGCCATAAAGACCTTCTGGATCACTCAGGTGACCCACGCGCACATCCATCGCAGCGCTTGCTTTGTCTGCTTCTGGATCGTGGATTAAAAGTGCTTCAAGGCCATTTTCAAGACGAATCAGCTTATATTCGCGCTTGTCAATCAGAGGTTTCTCCATTGACCCCTCGAATGCTTCATATGTAATTTGCTTGCCCCCATCGAGTTTAATGTGGTGTTTCACAAATCCTGATGTGCCTGTGTTACTGCTGCGCGCCAACCCGGCACCTGGTGGCGATGAAGTCATAGTAGAAAACATGCGAATCTCACCGGCCATACAAAACAGCTTACGAGCTTGGGGCGATGGTGAGCGAGGGCAACGTGAAAGAACAGACGCACGTGTGCGAATCAGACCCTGACCTTTAGTTCTTGCTACTTGCACTGCTCTTGGCTGAACAAGCCTTCGGACCAGCATAGATCCTGGGAAGAAGTCGAGTTGCCACAATGCCTGGACGCTTCTTTGTCACATTGTTGTCGGTCGCGCGCACGAACATAAAGAACAGTGGAGAAGATCTTTAGTCAGCGATGGTGTCGTATTTGCGTTAACTCTCAATACTCAAGGCTGGGAGGGAAATCTAAAAAGGCTCGGACGTAAATTTAAGACGAGTGTCGAAGTGGACGCTTCACTCGGTATTGGTTGTGTGGCGTATAACTTGCTGCCTTCATTAAATCCGCGTCACAACATGCGGGTATGGTATATACTGTTAGCTGGTTATACTGATGCAAGTGACAGATAGCACTGGAATGATGCACGCACGGTGAACTGGATAGACTCTATGAGTGAAATTTTGACGAACGAGACCACTAACCTCGCAACGTGTGGATTTGGTATTGCTGTGTGGAGACGTTCAGGTGAGCCCTTCGTTGCTAGACTCTCTTGCTGCTAACAAACAGGCGATTCGGAATGAAGCAGATCTAGACAGCCTCTCGGTACCGAACAAATACAAGAAACTGGGCGATTTTCACAAGTACTATGCTGGCGAAAAGAAGGCTCCGATACTAACGCTCGTGATTGGTGGTAATCATGAAGCAAGCAACTTCATGTGGGAACTGTACGCGCGTATCTTCGCTGAACTAATGGACTAGCTATTATGGTGGATGGCTTGCACCGAATATTTACTACTTAGGGGCGGCTGGCTGTGTAGAAGTAGCAGGACTTACTATCGCGGCTTGCTCTGGCATATACAATGCGCGCCATTATAAATGTGGGCGGTTCGAACGACAGCCATACTCTCGAGATGATGTGCGCAGCGTATACCATGTGCGGCAGTTCGATGTGACAAAGCTTGGGCTTTTGAGACATCCTGATATTTTCTTGTCGCACGACTGGCCGAACGGAGTTGAGCAATATGGAGATGTGCCAAATTTATTACGAAGGAAACCGTTTTTTCGAGACGAGGTTCTATCATTTAGTTTGGGCTCACCACCGTTGCAGGCTTTGCTGCGTGACTTGAAACCAAGATTCTGGTTCTCAGCGCATTTACATGTGCGATTTGCAGCCACAGTGACGCATGGTGTTCCGCCATGTGGTTTGGTCAGTTTTCAGAACACAAATCCCGAAGCATTACCGCTCGATGACGATGATGATGAGTTCGGTGAGAACGATACGTCTGAGAATCCGCCGCATGGATGCACTACCGAGTTCCTGGCACTTGGTAAATGCGGTGTGAAGAACGAATACTTGCATGTATGTGAAAATGTAATGATAGCTCACGTGGCTGCAGTTCATCGACATTTCCGCACCAGAGGACCATATGCATCAAACAGAAAAAGACGGTGAGCGCCCAGAGATCTCGTTACGCTTTCACAGGGATTGGCTCTCCATCACACGCGCAACACACAAGTATTTCTCGTTACAGCGACATGATTCGTGTCTCCAGTCACTTCAACACGAGAAATTGCGCGCCAATGTCCAGAAAGAACGCGCTGAAGTGGACTACATGGTGCAGGCGAAAGGATCTGATTGTTTGGATGTTAGGAAAGTTCAGTCTTTTACGCGCACAGCGCCAACGCAAGGCGAGCTTCAAGTGTGGAGTGAAAACAGATGCCGTACGTATACCGTATCATGAATTCTATGGCGATAATAAAGTACTCACGCTTCTTCGACAGCCTATATATTCAACAATCCTCAGACTGAGGCTTTTTGCGAACTCGTGCAGATACCCAATCTCATTAATACTCAACACCTTAGCACCCAATCTCTACATCGCTCAAGAAATATATCGGCTCAGTCTCTAGAGCCAAATACATCAACGGCCACAAATGCGACAGATGTTGCAACAGAAATCGCCCAAATTCGAGCGGCTGCTCTCGACCGCAAACGTAAAAGAAAGCCTGCATCTGTTCATGCCATTCCTGGAACAGACACCCAGTAAGGCGCAGGCACAAGACACCGAGGTTTCTGGTATCATAGACGTTTTGTAAGCAAACACGTGGTTTGTTAGTCGCAGGAATTTGTGTGTGTGTGCGTGCAGAGCTCTGCATGTCTCCGAACACGTTGGCTGACACATCAAGAACGAAAATTCATTTGTCACGCTGAATCTCTTGCTGAGTCGTGGAACTGGCAGGACACGAAGTAGAACTAAGGAATTGACTCCCATACATGGTATCAGATTCAGTTGAAAAGCCCACTAGCGAGACAAGACCTCGCTATGCACCACGTAAGGCCAAGTCATACGATACCGATAAACTGCACCAGTACGTGGTGCCGGATCTGTCAATGCAGGACCTGTTATCTGCCATTCCCACGCAATGCTTCCGCCGCTCAACGCTGCACTCGTCTATGTATGTGATGATAGACTTTGCACAAGCTGCAGTGTTGTTCTATGCGGCATCTTGGATCGACCCTTTGACGCAAGACATGCACTGGTCCTTCCTATCCATGTCAGAAGAATCTACCCGCTCTGCACTGCGATTTATTCTCTGGGGGTTGTATTCATTTTGCCAAGGCCTTGTGTTCACGGGCATCTGGGTTTTGGCACACGAGTGCGGACACCAGGCATTCAGTCCCAGCAAGTTTATAAACAACACCGTGGGCTGGTTCCTTCACTCAGCCCTCCTAGTGCCCTACCACTCTTGGCGCATTTCGCATGCGCGTCACCATGCGGCGACGGGCCACATGACGCGCGACGAGGTATTTGTGCCGTCGACCCGGGAGGAACGTGGGTTGCTTCCTCTGCGTCCAGTTGATGACGACAGCCCTGTAGTGACGGACAAGACGACATGGAGTGAATGGCTCGCTGAACTACTTGAAGATGCGCCTTTGTTCAATTTGCTGGAACTAATTATCCAACAGCTGTTCGGTTGGCAATTGTATTTGCTGTTCAATGTATCTGGCCAAAAGCATTATCCTAGGTATACGAATCATTTTATGCCTAATTCGGTTATATTTGATAAACGCCACCGCAACCAAATCATCATGTCAAACGTGGGGATTCTGCTGACTCTGACGGTGTTGTGGACGTGGGCGCGGCACGCTTCCAACGGCTGGTTTGATGTGATGCGATACTATGGGATACCATACGTGTGGACAAATCACTGGCTTGTCATGATTACGTACCTGCAACACACAGATGTCAAGCTCCCTCACTACCATGCTTCTATGTGGACGTTCCCACGAGGAGCTCTTTGCACGATTGATCGTGAATGGCTCGGATTCGTCGGACCTTGGTTTTTCCATGGCATTGCTGAAACGCATGTGCTTCACCATGTTAGCAGCAGGATTCCTCACTACAATGCTTGGGAAGCTACTGAGGCACTGAAATCACGTATTGGCCCGCATTACATGAAGTCTACAGAAAATGTGTTCGTCTCGCTCTGGAAAACAATTCGCAGCTGTCGCTATGTGGAGAACGAGCCTGTTACCTTTTATCGTAATGCAGATGGTGTTCCTGGAAGTGTAGCAGTACTGTCGGCTGGTACCGATTCTGGTGTTGCTCTTTCTGATTGAAATGTCCCCATCTCGAGTAAAGGTCTTGTCATATAACCATTTAGTTCTTTTTTATTTTTCTTCGCATCTTTGTTTCAATCTTATGCATTGGTATGATATGCGCTCATGCCTTGGCTACCTACGGTTTCCTGGTTTTTGTCAAAGACGTCGGATGAGAGTTTTTAGACTTGGTCTGTTGTACCGTTAATATCAATAATTGGTCCTCCACATTCGACTTTGCGGATCCACCGCCATTATCATGGTAAGCGGAATGACGCCTTCAACGACACCGACGCAGTACGTGCGAAACAGCGTTTGCCACTTACTGACACAGTGACCAGACCACCAAGAGAAGACCCTTTTACTCCCGAAGAACTCTCAAAATACGATGGTACCGTTGACAGCAAGCCGGTGTATGTTGCGGTGAAAGGTTCGTGTGTTACACCGGACTCACAAATAGGCACAATCTTTGACGTTACCCCAAGGAAAGAGATGTATTGTATGTGCTTAGCTGCTCACAATAAAGCACCAGGTAAAGGCTATTCTATTTTTGCGGGAAAAGATGCCTCGCGCGCTCTTGGAATGTCAAGCTTAAAGCCCGAGCATGCCGTGTCCGACTACACGACTCTGACACCACAACAAATGAAAGTGCTTGATGACTGGGTACGTACAGCGAGTATGACTTACACCGCACCTGGCAGTTTGAATATTACAAAAAGGTACAAAGCTGGAAATGCGGGGAGTAGCAACTAACGAAGCAGCGATATAACATCGTCGGAAAGGTTGTAAGAAATTGAGTTCGTGCACGCATCACCCCGATCAATTTTCTGTGCTTTTCATTCATCGATCATGACGTCTCGAGGTGCCTGGTCCTGTTGTCGACTTTTACCGTGAGCTCGACAGAACGTACGTTAGTGCCCCAGGATATAGAAATGTAAACTTTCCGCCGCTTTTTAGGGGTGGCGGTGTGTGCTCATATCCAACGGGGAGATTACATCGTGTGCAGTGAAACACATACTGCCGCTCGACGCGTCCATCGGGCCTAGTGGTGTGTAAGAATGAGCGGAACAAATCATAAGGGCAATACTAACCGGAGTATGATTTGTCCTGGGCCTTGGGATGCATGAATTTTGTATATATGTGCGTGCTTCCGCCGTCCCTCTGTATCTTCAGGTGAGTCAAGGCATCGAAGAACGTATGCTTGATCCATAGGACGTCGAGGCACTTGATGCAAAGGAGTGTGACACACTAGCACGAACTCGCCACATATACAGTAGTATACATACATTGATGGCACATTCGTATCCTCTTGCGGTCTCCTTGTGGATCTTCGGTCTTGAAAAGACATGTCACCTTAACGTGCCTCTATTAGGGTCTTTGATATGGTTCATTTCTTACGCCGCCCAAAAAAACGGCGCATTTTCACGATCAGTTAACGAGGGCTTACACGAACGACCGGCTATATAACGTAATTTATGGCTCCCTTGACACCCAATTTTCACCTTCATTTTGCGTCTCCACCGCCTTTAAATGGGACTGGAGCATTCCAAACTTCGGCATTCAGGGTCGAGCTCAGCAGCTGAGCGTGAAGGCCACTCTACCACGAGTAACGAGCAACCTAATCAGCAAACGAACCACCAAAATGGAGTGACCGAAAATTCAGCTTCTACGAACAACCCACCTGATGATGGATTTAGAGCAGAGGAGCCAGCCGCATCCAAATCACTTCATGAACATCGAGAACTCGTTCAAAAATTACGCGCACAGTCCGGCTCAAATGCCACATCTGCAGCCGATAAAGTGCGCGAGGAAATGCAACAAGCTGGGATTCATGACCAGCGAATCGACCCAGTTGATGAAACACAAACATTAGCCGTCGATCGTGAACCTGTCACATCAGACAACGAAAGCACTGTGTCGAGCCCTACGGAGTCCGAGTCAGAGACAGAATCTTCATCTGAGCTTGATATATCTGTTCCTTCGAAGCGTGAGTACGCAGACGATGACGAAGATCTAGGTACCACAGGAGAGGCGCCGAAAACCAAAAACGAACTAGACGACGACTTTCCTGTCCCCAGTATTTCACATGTCAATCAGGATGATTTGCACAGATTAGAGCGTATTGGAACCATTCATTCTGTTGTTGACAACGTTGTGCTTATTGAACAGACATGGGAAGCTGAGTCGGAGCTGAAGCCCCGTGAGTACGATGTGCTCGATTCGGAAAGTCTTTTGTGTTTCGAAAATGGCCAAGTGTTGGGTCTTGTCTATGAGACATTCGGGTCCGTTCAAAAACCCATGTATACTGTTCGCTTTCGTTCGGCGGAGGATATCGATTCTACAACTATCCAGATTGGACGTGCCGTGTACTTTTTACCGTCGAGCAGCACCTTCGTTCTAGCTCGCTCCATACGCACAAAGGGTAGTGATGCTAGCAACATGTGGGACGAGGAAGTAGCAGAAGATGAAGTTGAATACAGTGACGATGAAGAAGAACTCTCAGCCAAGAGGCAAGCAAAGAAAGCCAAAACGTGTCGTATCCAGCAACAGCCAGCAGTCTCGAGCACTTACCATGATCTAGACCCTGCCACCGCATCTTTAGGTCCGCTTGGAAACCAATACGTATCATCTGGTGCACCTGTTGCACCCGGTGGACGTCGAAGACGAAGCTCTCGCGCACGCAATGACATAAATACGCATGTCTGGTCAGGCGCGCGTACACCGTTTCCTCATGGCGACTATTCGAACGAGCGAGGTGGAGTCTCTATACCACATATCAATCCTCGTTTTGCCGATCAATGGATACGACAAGGATCGACGCCGCCCATGCCATATCCTCCCATGCCCGTTCCACCTGTCTTCCCAATGTCAGTTACATATTCACCACACCATCCAAGTATGGTTCAAGACGTGCACAATTTCATCCACGAAGCGTACAATCCACATGCGCCAGGCACTGGTTATGAATCCCCTCATGGTCAATAGTTTGCTAATTCCTCCGCTACAAGAGTCCGATGTCTAATCATCTGGCCGATCAATTGCTCACCATAGACCGACTAGGTCCTTTGCTATACTGCCCACATACTATACGAAAATGTATTTGTCCAGATTGTCGGCACGAATCATCATTTGGCACACAAGTGTTCATGCTTCCAAAAACACATCTGACCCACATTTATGAGCGAGAAACTTTATAGGTGGAATCTATGCATGTACGTGATTAAATCCGCGATTGAGAGATCGAATTGTCGATATGGGCCATCAAGTCAGTGGTCAAGAACTCGCTTGGCTCCTTTGCACGCACCTGCTGAGACAGGTAACGGCGAGCAAGATCGACGGCATTCTTGTCCAACTTGGTCAGCTTCGCGGCCTCTGAGGCAATGATTTCATCGATAAACTGTGGCGTCACCGGCTTACCATCTACAGTGCTTGAACCGTGGAAGACCCATTGCCACAGCGAAATACGCGAGATCTCAGCTGTCGCGGCATCCTCCATGAGGTGATTGATCGGCACACAGCCATTGCCTTTGACCCAATTCGCGCAGTAGGCGAGCAGAGCGGACACGTTCGCACGCGCACCGCCCTCGGTAATCTTGCCATCCACGTTGGGATTGAGTAGGTCAAGTGCAGACACGCGCACTTCCTCCCGACGGACGTGGTATTGATTGGGGCCAAGCATGTGTTTGTTGAAAATTTCAAGTGCAATCTTCACCAGTGCAGGGTGGGCCACCCATGTTCCGTCATGGCCAGCTGTCACCTCACGCAGCTTGTCAGCACGGACCTTCTCCATAGCGGCTTCGTTGGCCTTTGCGTCGTCCTTGATAGGGATCTGGGCAGCCATACCACCGATAGCAGCCGCACCACGCTTATGGCACGTCTGAATCAACAGGTTAACGTAGGCCTGCATAAAGGGGCACGTCATGGTAACTGCGGAGCGGTCTGGAAGCACAGCTGACTTGTTGTAACGCTGGCGTTTGATGAATGAAAAGATGTAGTCCCAGCGACCACAATTAAGACCGGATGAATGTTCGCGCAGCTCGTACAGAATTTCCTCCATCTCAAAAGCGGCAGTAATTGTCTCAATCAACACAGTACCACGAATGGTGCCGCGAGGCATATTGACGTAGTCCTGAGCGAGGTTGAACACGTCATTCCACAAACGAGCCTCCAAGTGTGATTCCATCTTTGGCAAATAGAAGTAGGGTCCGAGACCGTTCTTCACAAGCTGGTGACCGTTGTGGAAGAAGAACAGACCGAAGTCGAACAGACCGCCAGACATGGGCTTGCCGTCAACATGGAAAGATTCTTCGTTCAGATGCCAGCCACGGGGGCGAACGATAAGTGTTGCCAACTCATTGGCGGGGCGTAGCTTGTACTCCTTGCCGTTCGATGCCTTGAAGTCAACACGACGGTTGATTGCATCGCGCAGATTAACCTGGCCGTCAAGGTTATTAGCCCAAGTTGGCGAGTTCGAGTCTTCAAAGTCAGCCATGTAAGTGTAGGCGCCCGAGTTCAGCGCATTAATCACCATTTTTCGGTCCACTGGGCCGGTGATTTCGACACGGCGGTCGCGCAGCCCTGGTGAGGGGATCGCACAACGCCATGATGGGTCCTCACGAATATGACGTGTCTGAGGAAGAAAGTCTAGCGTTTTGCCTCCATCAAGCTCGACTTGTCGTGCAGCACGAGCCTTCAAACGTTCTTGACGCACGCCCTCGAAGCTTCGGTGCAGTACAACAAGAAACTTGATAGCCTCAGGCGTGAGGATCGAGGCATGCTCGCCAAGCACGGGTGCAAGAATACGAACTCCTTCGACAGACATGGTCTCAAATGAATTATACTACGTCTCATTGCTCTGGCACTAGCACTATATATACCACTGCACCGGCTGAGACCCGGTACACATGCAAGTCATGCAAGCCCCACAGTCTGTGCGCGGCTATGTCATGGACCGAGAGCATCCGAACCAATCACCGGGAAAGTTGGTGAGTCCGGGGGTCAACCGGCTTATATAAACCGGCTTATCTACTCCGCTTATGCAGGACGAATAAGTGGAGGGTCCAATGGTGCTGCTGTAGATGACATCAGCGCTATTACGGCTGCATTAAAGTGCTACCCGCGTTATTTGATTGCTACAAATGTTGGTGTGCGTATGGTATGAACTCAGGCATTCATAGTGGACCTATAGCCGATCAAGGATGAAAAATGAGCTGAGGATTCAGAGGGCTTGGCTGGATCTGAATTTGACCTTGCCCCTTCCGAAGCGGAAAAATGAGTTTGTTTACATCTTGTAAGTTTCTTTTTGAATACGATGCTGCTGGTCTGTGTTCGATTACTTTTCGACAGAGCTGGTGTCTGTCTTTACATGCACATACTAACATTCGAGATGTTGTTCGCAGTTATCAATGCTATCTAGCCGATGGTGGGAGTCCCCTAGAACTAGAATGGACTAGTCATATCCTATGGCTCATGACTAATTTCTTAATAAAAAGCTCCTGATAGCACGTGTCAGCCCAATCGCTCTTGCGTGACAGCACATAGTTATCACACAGAAAAAAAGAACAACTAGCTGTGTGTGAACGAAGCGTGTTGAAATTGCAAGCATAGTAGTACTTACTACCTTTTGGCCATCAACTCTTGCCGCAGCCTCGAAGACGAGGTTTAGTTTCAAAGTAAGAAGAAGGTAGTACTGAGGGCTTGTTCATTGTCCAAAGTTCACGGGAAAAGAAGAACTTGTGGCTCTCCAAACCATGTTTGTATGTGTCTTTGTACAAAGAAGCATGCTGACGGCGCGCTCAGTGGAGATTTGGCATAGCGCCTGCTTCTACGATCAACAAAGTACTTGAGAAGCCAGATGTATCGCTAGAGGAAGTTCTTGACGATGCAGATTTGTTGCAAGAATGCAAGGCGAGCAATGAAAAACTCACCGAGTTTCTTCAGCGTACAGAGAATATTTCTCGTCTTCTGGATTATGTGGTAGGCAACATTGAGGTGATCGCCGGTTCTAGTCTCGAGAACCAAGAGAATGTTGGATTCAAGTATGTGTCGTTCAAGAATCGATGGTGAACTGACTTCACAGATATCCGTTCATGGCGTCAGAGGTTTTGAGCTCAGAAATCCCCGAAGTGACGAAAGTGCTTCTTGATAATGCAAACACATTACTAGGTCCATTTTGGGATTCGATACTTAGTGCGAATTCATATGGACGGACATGGCCAGTTCCTTTGCATGAGCACCCCTTGACCAAAGGTTCCTACACCGCGAAAAAGGACGAGGATGGCTCAACAGATGACGTTCCCATGGAAGTCCCCGAGCAGCAAGATCATGTCATTTCTGGGCGTACAGACGGTCCTGGTTTTGCAGTCTTGGCTGGCTATTGGGCCAAAGTGAACATGACTTTACTGGAGCGACATCCACAGGAGATGCTTGCATTCGTGAAGACAATCCCCTACCTTGTCGAGGGCCTCACATCTCACTTTGAAACACCCGCTATCGTTGAGTTATTATATCGAATTATTCAATGTGAGGACACCGTGCCAGACTCCGGCATCGTCGCGTGGCTCGCTGAGCAAGGCCTTATTCCTCGGGTAGTGTCTCTGCTGTCCCCCATGGTGTCTCCAGAACTGCACAAGGCTGCTTCTGAGTTCTTAAAAACCATTATATCGCTTTCCGCACCCTCTCCATCTTCCTTGAACCAGGTCACTGTGCAGGACTCATTTGGTGGTCCTGGCGAAATGTTACTGGGGGCTGGTGGTGTAAATAACTTGCTTGTGCGTGAGCTGGCCTCTGAAGATATGGTGAATCGTATTGTCAGCTTTATGCTGGATTTTAGTTCTAACTCACGACGAAGCAGCGCTACGCAGGAGACGTCGCGCAAGAATGATCTTATTTTGCACAAATTGCAAGAAGATTCTGCCGTTGAAGAAGAAGAAGAGGAAGAAGACGTATGGCAGTTCCGTCAGACCATGAAAGACCGCCAAAACCGGCATTTCTCGATTGGCCGACGTTTGTCTTCTGCAGGAACCGGTGTGCGTGACTCTACTGCCACGATTCGTCCGTCGCATGTGCATCGGCAGAGCTCAATCCGTCGTCCTATCAGCTCGCAATGTTTGTCGTCTTCGTTCGTGAACTGCGCAGGCGTATTCATTGAATTAATTCGAAAAAATAACAGCGACTATTTTGAGCAGCATCTTTTCCACACATTGCGAAACTATCTTGTGATTCGCCAGCAGGAGCTGTCTGGTCAACAAAACCAAGAGCGACTGTCGCAGAGAACGACGGATCCTAGTGTCGATGAGAAGCCCGAACTCACATTGGAGAATCTACCTCTTGAGGACGATGCTGATACCGAGGGCTTGGATGAAGCCTTGGACGAAGTGGCACAGAAGATGGGTATTGTCCACCTGGGCCCACTTCTCCGTGCGCTGGCAGAGAAGATACCCGAGCTGCAGGAGCGAGTGCGGTGTGGTCTAGACTCGTCAGGCCTCATCACGACGTCAATGGGACAGATTGAGCCCCTTACTCACACACGCTACTGTATTGTTGAGCTTTATGCGGAACTGTTGCACTGCTCAAACATGGCACTATTGAACCGTCCAGCCAATTCGGGCCCTACATATTCTCCATCGGGGTCTCTTCTTGGAGGGCTGGAAGGTTTGCATGCTCTGGCTCGTACGTTGCAGGGTGAAGATGACTTGGAGCAGGACCAGAGTAGCATGTCAGCGAGTGCCGAGTGGGAAGCTGATCGCGACGAAAATGAGCGTCACCTGTCGGAATCTAGTGCATCAAGTTTCAAAGAAAATGGTGGCTCTAGTAGTGCTGAAATCACAGATTCGTCGGGATCGGATCATGCTGAAGATGGAAGTGATGCTGAAAGTATCGCCTCAGCTTTATCGAGCATGTCTCTCGCTGACATGATCTCGCAGTTCACGCGACGTCGCCCTCCTGCACAAGAAAGTGACGTTCAGATTGTGGGCAATTACCTAAAGACACAATTCCTTTCTTTTCAGGTCATCCCTACACTTCTGGAGCTGTTGCTCGCTTTTCCATGGAACAACTTTCTGCACAATGTTGCATATGACATTCTCCAGCAACTTTTCAATGGCGACATGGACGTGGCGATTAATCGGAAACTTACTATTTCCGCATTCAAAGACGCGCATCTTATTGAAACCATCTTGGAGGGCGCCCGACGGAATCGGGCATCGTCCGAGGGTCCCCGTCGCATTCGACTTGGCTATATGGGTCACCTGAATTTGATTGCAGAAGAGATTGTGAAGCTTATGGAACGCTATCCTTTGGAGATTGGTAACTATGTGCAAGATCACTTCACCACTGAGTGGGAGAAATTCTTGAACGAAGACCTTTCCGATTACCGCGCTAAAGAATCTGCGCCTTTGGCTGGTGGACGTCCGTCAGGGAACCACTCGGGCGTACAAAATTGGTCGAATCTCGACTCGGACAACTGGTACTCGAGTAATGACAATAACGTCTCCTTTGGTCATTACTTGTCTTCACAAATGCGTTCAGGCGCTGGTGACGAGGAATCGGAGGGCAATGCTGTGACGTTCTTGAGCCAAACTGATTCCATGCTTGATCCCGCGACACAAGACGCAGTTGAGTGGGGTCCATTTGCAGATTCTCATTCCGCTTTTGAGTTCACTTCGACGGCATCAATTGATCCGCAGCAGCCGGGAAGGCAAGAAAACCTCACTCCTGCAGATTGGGCTGCTGAGTTCCGGCGTGGTACGATGGATGATATCCCGGCCGAGTCGGCCGTCGACAACGATTCTGATTCGGACGATATGGGCGACGCTCCAGACGCGTCTGGCTCAGGTACAGACTCGGACGATAACAATGACGACGATTCGCCGTTCGTCGATTTACACAAGCCAGGTGCTTTGCGAAAGTGCACGCAAAACATGGATGCTGCACACCCTGAGCGAGTTGCTGGTCACGGCGATTTAACTGGCGACCAACACTGGCCAGCTGCTCATGCTGCTCATCATGTTCGAACTTTCTCTGGTGGTGGTAGAGACAATGCTGCTGCCCTCGCTGCAGAGCAACTTCATGAGGCTGTGGAGCCTACCGAAGAGGGCCTACTGCGCCGTACGCTTTCTGATGGTACTACTGTAACTGCTCCCCTCGATGATGCCGAGTTGGCTCAGTCTTAACTCCATTTTGCTGACCCTCTGGAAAGTCTCGCAATTATAGACAGACATATCTACGTACAATCACAGTGTGCAATACCGATCCGTTTGTCAGCCGCACGTTCGTCTGCATTCACTAGTTTCATTCCTCTTTATCGTGCAAATCTTGCGTACGTTCACGTACATGCAAACAAACAAATCTGTTCAACATTATTGGTTGATTCGTTGGCTCCACCCGGAACATACCGGGGGTCTATGGGGGCATTTTACAACCGTGCGCCAAGACCCCGCACCGGGGGGGCAGGCCTAATTTCTTGGAAATACACTGCGTGCAGCGGCACTTAATCCGTTACCTTTTCACCTCTCTGTTACAATATGACGAACGCTTTTATCGTTGGCTCGAAGCGCACGGCATTTGGCTCTTTTGGCGGCAAGCTTAGTAACTTGACTGCAACGCAGCTTGGTGGCCATGCTGCTAAGGCGGCTTTGGCCCAGCTCCCATCTAACACACCGGTTTCGTCTACGGTGTTTGGCGTGGTGGCTCACTCGGACTCGACAGCCCCTTACACGGCTCGACATGTTGGTCATTATGCTGGCCTGCCGATTAGCGTGCCAGCTCTTACTATCAATCGTTTGTGTGGAAGCGGGTTTCAGGCTGTCATCAATGCTGTCCAGGAGATCAAAACCGGCGAATCGGACGTGGTACTTACTGGTGGCACGGAGAACATGAGTTTGTCGCCCTACACATTGCATGGTGTCCGCTTTGGCAATACACGATACGGTGTTGACCTGAAGCTGGTTGATAGCCTTGCGATCTCGCTCGTTGACCAAGTGCCGGTGCCGACCCCAATGGGCATCACTGCCGAAAACCTCGCTGAAAAGTATGGCATTACGCGTCAGCAATGTGATGAATTTGCGCTACAGTCACAGAAGCGCTGGCTCAAGGCACAAGAAAATGGCGCTTTTAAGGATGAAATTGCTCCTATGGAAGTCAAAGTGAAGAAGGCTACCGAGTCATTCGAGGTCGATGAATACCCTCGCCCCCATTCGACTATTGAGTCGCTCGCCAAGCTGCCTTCTGTCTTCAAGAAGGACGGTGTTGTTACCGCCGGTAACGCTTCAGGTATTTGCGATGGTGCTGCTGCGAACGTGGTTGCTAGTGAGGATGCCGTCAAAGAACACGGCCTTAAGCCTCTGTCTCGCATTGTTAGCTACGGTGTGACTGCCTGCGAGCCTTCTCTTATGGGTATTGGTCCCGTCGAGGCTGTCAAGCTTGCGATGAAGCGGGCAGGCTTAAGCATTGCTGACATGGATTTGATTGAAGTGAACGAGGCTTTTGCCGCTCAGTTTTTGGCCGTCCAAAAGGAGCTTGAGCTTCCCTCTGACAAGACAAACGTCTTTGGTGGCGCTATTGCACTTGGGCACCCTCTCGGTGCTAGTGGCGCTAGGATTCTTTCGAACCTTACCTACAACCTGCACCGTCTTAACAAGAAGTATGCTCTTGGTGCTGCTTGCATTGGTGGTGGACAGGGCATCGCTGTCATTATTGAACGTGTCTAAGTCCAAAGAATAGTATATATCTATGATTGCTCAAACTTGGAAGCACCGGGACGATTTCAGAATGTAATGATGTACATTGAGTCTGTTTTTTCATAGGAATGAACTCAGTCAAGAGCTAGATTATAAATGCTGAGTTTGGAGCAGAGATTAGGATAGCCGTGCCTAATAGCACGGCTTGCTGGGTCGCAGTCATAAATCGAACGAAGCTGAAGCGTACTATCATTTATGATAGCGTTATTGGTTGTATTGATTCTGACGTTCAGGCAAATCAGACCTTGACTCTATAACTCAGTTGGTTAGAGTACCACGTTAACATCTCAGTCCGTGGTTAATCCGTGGGTGTCCCCGGTTCGAGTCCGGGTAGAGTCAAAACTTTTAACGTTTCTGAAACTTTTAGGATGTTGCACTAATCAGTACTGCTCTCCTACCTTATGCTGATTTGAGCCTGTAACACTAAAATTTTCTTTCCATACGCGATTCTTGTAACTACTTTTTGTGCAAGGCAAAGAACGTATCCCAAACTTTCAGACAAGCGAAAACTTCTTTGTCCTTTTCATCGGCTGTATTTTCCAGAATTACACCATGTTTCGAAAGCCACTGGTGAATTTCTTGAAGCACGGTCGACTCGACACGGGGGGAAAGAAGCGACGTCTTGACTTGGCTCATGCTAATAGCCCAATCCACATATGCAGGCTTGCTCATACCACGAATATCACTCGGAAGTGGAAGTGTAGTCGATTTGGAAAGTAGATGCTGAACCAAAATGACGTCGGGTATATGCCACATTTCACGGATGTTAGAAGGATTTTTCCATGAACTCAATGGCTCGAATAACAACGTGCGGAAGCTCCTTACTGCGTGAAATGAGGCATCACAATCATGTAAAGAAAGAGGCCTATTGTTAGTTGAACGGCTCACGTCCGATAGGAACTGAGAAAGGCTAAGCTCCAGGGTCGTCATGTCTGTGACAAGTTGAAGTTTTTCAGCGTCACTCGGCAAGCGCAGAAGCGTCGCATGCAAAAGAAAAGTGCATAATGCAAAAGAAGCTAGCTCCGACGCCCAGTGTAGTTCGTCTTCTGGGACGACGTAAAATGGCAGAAGTTTTGTACGCAAGAAAGACATTCTTCCACAAAATTCCATCATATATGCACTTGTTTCTGCTCCCATCGCATCTGAATTCATGTTATGAGACTTGTCGAAACGAAAACGGTGGATACGAGTAAGGACTGTTGCCAGATTATAACGCGCAGATACCAGTAGCGGATCTAACAAATTTGTTCTTATGACATTCAGCACAGACTTCCTCCAGGCACTAGCCAGTTCTCGTATCTTGGGAAAATCTGTAGACTCGATATGCGACAGATGTGCATGAAGCTGCTTCAGCGTACGTCCAACGCTAATGTTGATTGTTTGACTGGACGTGGGTTGATGGACTGTCAAGAGGAAAGCATTTTCATCTTTACGTGTCATCGAAGGAATTTGGGATAGCAAGGTCTTAAACAGGTTTGTACCCATGCTGGCAATATCTGATGACAGAACACGGTCAAAGCCACACTCCTCTAAGTCTGTAAGAAGCATTTGAACAAAGCGCTGTACATCTGCGTTATAATGTTGAGGGTTTCTTGAGCCAAGGGTCATAGCCATTTGAACACGTTGACAACCCTCGTCCCAGCGCTCAGAAACTGATTGTAAATAAGTCTGTGAACGATTTTTCAAAAAGATGCGAATCGGCTCGGGAATCTCGCCGCGCGTTTCACTTGACTGGTCTGTAAGCATAGCCACTCGAGAAACCAGTTCATAGAATATATGTAGCAGCTTCGGAAATGACGACACAAACATAAATTTCCAAAATTCAGACTCTTGAATAGATTCGCTGCACAACGCGTCGAAGTTACTGCAGAACGCGGTCCAAAGTAAGTCTGTCGGCGAACATGTTAATTGTCTCGTAACAACGTCAAGAAACGTCAGATCAGTATCGTGCGCTTGCTTAAGGCGAAGAACACGTTCCATCATGTATACCTTGGCATGTATCGGGGCTAATTCATCAACGATTAATGCCCGTATCCGATGCCATACAGCTACAGTCCACCTTTGTAGTTGTTCCGAGGATTTATTAGCTGCTGGGCTCAAAAAGCGCGCTCTGTATGGCGGCAGTACAGAATGAAATGATACAATAGGCGGTTGTGTTTCACCTAATTCTTTTCCGATGGCAATGAGATCAAATGCAGAGCTCGTGCGCTCTACCAAGACATTCGTCAAATCTTCCAATAAGTTGCCCACAACGCTTGATAAGATATCCAGGTGGAACGCAGCCTGGAGTGCTGCGCCTAGTAAATTAGGAGACAGGTTGCGCAATCCACACAGAAGCAAATTTTCTATGTGCTCCCGAAGCGCGCTTTTCATAGGATTCGCCTGCGAAGCATACGGTTGAATAATCAATAGATGCATGACGTCTTTCATCAGTTCCTGCTGTTCGGCATCTGCGGCCATACTTGTTTCAGTTCCAGAGACGTCACGCGCGTCCAACATATAAAATAGCTCCTCAAGAAAGGCGGATGCCGACACGACTTGGGCTGCATGGTGATCTAGTGCTGCAGGATCTTGCATACACCCCATAACGTCGCATTCTGCCACAGCATCCATTTTCTCGACAAGCCTGTTGCTCACAGAGATAACTGTTTTAGAATGCACCAAAAGCTCTTGGATGTGATCCAACTGCTTCAGACGCGCTTGCTCCGACTGAATGGTGTCGAGCGGTCCACGAATCGCTTTGCGGGCACTGAGTGTGAGTTGTTCGCAAAAGCACGTACCATTGTGCGCGGTCATCAAGCATAGATAAATTGCGCTGTATAGTTTTCATTGTTCCATACAGGGAAGAAACATGCTTGATCGACAAAAGAAATTCCGTTCCATGCTGGGAAACTAATTCGTGGATTCTTTGGTCCACTTCGGTGATGCACAAGCTTAGTCGACTTAACGAGACGCGCAAGTGGCTGTTAATCGATTCGTTTCTTCGAGAAGAGTCTGAAGAAAACTCTTCGTCGTTCGAGTGCGCATCAGATATGCCAGACCCCAAGAATGTCTTCACGTAGTCCTGTGCATCAAAGTCGTCCTTGTACAGTGCGCTTACGTCTAGAAATGAGTATGAGAAGGCCTTATACGTACCAAAAAAACCATCGTCTTTCGTTATATTTGGATGAATCTTTTCATAGAGAGACATTGTAACTGCACTACGACCTAGGGTCGTTATGCGCTATCTCGTGAGAATGGGCACAGTTAGAGTATATGAAATTAGGTGTTCTCTGACATTGGTGTGGAGATAGTAGACGAGTTGCCACCTTCGCCTGTAGTACGGGCGTGTGGGGATATTCAATTTATCGTATGTTGCCGACGAACGGGGTGACACCAATTAAGCTTGGAAACAAGTGGATGTGTATCTACAATACATATCTTAAGCAACAGTCTACGAAGTGGTCGTACGAGTTCGAGATGCTATTTCAGAATTGATAAGTTCTTCTTGCCACTTCGTAATCTCTGTTTCGCTTGCAACGATGCCACGCTGTCCTAGTTCACGCATCGCGCGTGCACGAATCAGATTATCGTAACTGCGTTTTCCCTGCTCATACTTTTGCAGTTCACGCTCGGCTCCAAATACAATTCCTATACTTGTGCCTGTGTGTGAGTTAGTCGAAAAAATAACCTATCACGCTTACAAGATATAGTCAAAAGTCCTTTCAAAGCCAGTGTTTGTCGTCTGATGTCAGAGAAGACATATAAGACTCACTGAAATCCGGGAAAAAGGTGGTGTGCCGTGAACACTGACGCAAAACCTACCACTGTCCACACGAAAGCACCATGTATAGCCCCTTTCTGCTTGGTTAACTGTTCAGAAAGCTCATGCGTCGCGTACTTTTTGAATTTCGGATGCCAAGTGAGCGTGCTCGCTTTTCAGTTGCTTGCGTTCTTGGTACGAGATGACGCTCTCTTTTGACATGCTGAAAAATTAATCAAGGGCTTGAGCGAATTAGTGATCTGAAAATGATTCTGAAATGGACAAAATCGAAAAAGGGGTGGATATGTCTCAAATTTGTGGGTATCACGGGGGTGTGTATTCGATTGGTCTCGCCTATGTAGGCGAACAGGTGGATAAAACCATCGCAGCTCGGCTTGTGCGCATGTGGAGCAAAATTTCTCGAAAGAATTTTGGTACGTGATGGCTCTCTTTTTTCCCTTTAATCTTCAAGAACGACCTTCAATTTTTACCCACGCAGGTATGGCGAAGAACATAAATACCGAGGAAGCTGGCTCTACGGTCGCCTTGTCTCCTGGTATGTTGAAAGATTTACTTATTTCGACAGAAACAGTTCTATTCATCCACGCTTTTCTGCGTACTCATGCACCGAAACTGGCATCAAAGTTGGCATCAAAATTTCCGAACCTGAATTTGGACAACGAAACAATCCATGCAGAAGCACGTTCAAATGCTCTCGTTGCTACGATTCAGTCTGCAATGAAAGTTCAGGATTCATGCATTTCAAAGTCGCTCCATGGAGACGCTCCTTGCGCATTAGGAGAGTCGGATAAAAAAGTCAATGTATGTTGGTGCGGCCGTTCTGACTTGCAACTTCAGGGTGAGGATCTCGAGACTGAGAACGAGTCTACGAAGGCCAAAGAGAATACTTTGAAGGATACAGATCAGAGAAAGAAGAACAAAAAGCAAAAGAAAGAGAAGAAGAAAGAAGAGGGGCAGCGAGAAAAAAAGGCTGAGACGAAAGAAAACCTAGAGGAACAAGACGCAGAATCGACTCAAAAGGATGCTCAGTCAAAGAAGGAGGAAATGAAAGAAGAAATATCTGCAGACACATCCATGGCAGATGAAAGCATGAATGACACGCCTGTGCCAACCAAGAAACGAAAAGGCCCGTCGCAAGGTGAACGATTCCAAAGAGTCAAATCAGATCAAGTTCAGTTCCTCGATGACCGCTTGAAAGATATGAGCTATGAAGCCAAATCAGGCGCTGGTGATTGGGGTGCTCGAGCGAATGCAGATTTAATCAAGACTCGCGGCAAAGGCTTTACAAAAGAAAAGAACAAGAAGAAGCGTGGTAGCTATCGAGGTGGCACGATTGATCAGGGCTCTCATTCAATCAAGTTTACTTATGACGATGAGTGAAATTCATCTGGTACTGCATGATAGCCCACACTCAGAGCCTCATCCCACATGCCAATTTCGAATCGAGTTACCGCATCCCAAATTGTTTGCAGTCGCGACATCTGTGAGACTGATATCATTGCTCGCTGTGCATACTCTTCCATGAGATTTACGAATCCATGTACGGCGCGTTGATATGCGGGACCACTATACTCTTTTACCCACTCATTGTAAAGCTCGCCAGGGAACGTACCACTGGCACATTTCTGCGAAAGCCATAGGCCTACTTCTGCATAGCCGACGGCACAAGAACCAAGGGATACCAATAGTGGGAGTAGTCCTTCTTCGGCAGTATCGAGGACGAACCGTGTGTACGCAACAGTGGCGCGGCTCTCCATCGTCTGCTCGAGAACGTCGAGTGAAATGCCCATGCGTTCACACACACGTATATGGAGTTGCATTTCGTCAATCACCGATTTCGACATAGCAGAGAGCTCCTTCATCTCAGACCAAGTTGCGGACGGATGGGCCACTGCTTTCGACAGCGCACGAGCGTACTGAGTTAAATACTTGTAGTCCTGTTGCATGAACCAGCGCATAGACGACATCAGCAAAGTTCCATCTCCCAGGTTCTGTACGAATGGATGTCGTGTATACGATTTCCAAAGGCTCCAAGATTGTGACACCAGCATCGTGGTGAGCGGCGCAGGATTCGACAAAGCGCGCAGAGGAATGCCGCGCGTCATGATGGGGGAGCCGTGATCTAATGGCCCAGCACCATATCCGACTTGATTCAGTCCGGAGGCCAACACTTCCTGCATGTACTGCAGCGCATGTGCCACGGCTACTCGCAATGGATGTCCATGTGCAGAGAAGGCTGCAATAGCGGAGGACAATGTGCATCCGGTACCATGCGTAGCATCCGTATTTATGGTTGGCTTGATGAACAATGTCATACGCTCGCTTTGCGACTCATATAACACATCGGTCGTATAGGCGCTGCTAGGCCTCTGCAAGAATAGTAAGTCATCGGGACCCCGAACATAGCAAATATCGACGCCGTTGTATGTTCGATACAACGACGCGCCCAACACATGAGCGGCAGTGGTAAGCTCACTATCATGACTGTTGCCCCCGCGGCCTTTAAGACTCCTTTCATACTGAAGCAGTAGACTGGCATTGCTTTCGCGTTCGTACGCTTTTGATACTTGATCCAAATCATTAATGCTTAGTAGTTTTACCCCTAATCGGTAGAGCTGATCAATGAGCGAATCGTACGACATCGATGCATGCCCGCCTTTGACTAAGACGTTGGTGGCACCCAACTTGCTTAAACATTTGGCCATCTTCTGCAGCGACAAAATAGATGGACAGTTTGAATCAGGCACCTCGTGTGACGTGTCTTCCAGCAAACATATCGCCTCTGAAATATTAGGCGTCACAAGCGTGGCGAGAGGGAAAAGTTGGTCGCGCATTGTAGAGATAGCATCATCCTCTAACAGCAGAGAGCCAGATGTGGCTACCATGACAGGGTCTAGAATGACTGATGCATCTTGATTAGAAACGCGCCAAGTTTTGAGGCACTCAGCGACTTGAGACGTCACTGCCGTATCGGCTAACATGCCGATTTTTATCGCATCGACTCTAATGTCTTCGATGACGGCATCAAATTGTTGCATCACAAAGTCAGCCGGAGATACTTGTATGGCAGTGACGCCCTCTCGTGTTTTGCGCAGTTAGAGAAGTTATGACCGACATGCCATAGGTCCGAAGCGCAAGGAAGGTCTTGAGATCTGCCTGAATCCCCGCACCCCCGCCGGAGTCGGACCCAGCGATCGTGAGGACGTGTGGTGGTGTCGTTTTCACTTTGGATACGGGATACTGCGATGACATCATACCTACGCGTAAGGACCGTGCGGAGGTAAGTTCTGCTTAAACGGAATGTGACTCGGGCCAGCCTTTCTGGCTTGTTCGCACTGACTACTCTATTGTGCCGGAGGCGAACGGACGACCTAGTGGAGGCGGGGTTGTGTGCGTGCGTTAGGCACAGCACTAATTGGCCAATGGGATACATACCTCCATTGTATCAGCGGTAGCTGCAACAACAAGTACACTGGCGCTGACGACGGCGAAGGCAACAGGTCACGTTTAGATAGCCAAGGTTGCTTCGCCAGGGCGCTGGTGCTCATCATGCCTGTTAATGCTTTGGAATCCTCGTCTTATTTTCCCTCGATGTCTTCGCTTCCATCATTGTCGACGCTCAGTTCGTCGCGAGCGTGGGAATATTTTTCTGAGCGGGGTGAGGATGCACTCTATGCTGTCAAAGGAGTGCTGGGAGGCACAGGCTCTAGCAAGTATCTCGATATGCGTGAGGAAAATGTCGCAAAGATTCACTCTGAACTCGAAAGTATTCACGAAGCTGAGCGTCTTGAGGGTATGAAGAGCATTGTCGCGATGATATCGAAGGGTCGTGATGCATCCCCTTACCTCGCATCTGTTTTTAAGTTGTCGTCCTCAACATCCTTAGAAGTACGCAAGCTGGTATATCTAGTCGTATTAAGGTATGCAAAGTCGCATCCAGACTTGGCTCTCTTGTCCATCAACAGTTTTCAGCGTGACTTGGCAGACCCTAATCCTCTCATACGAGGGATGGCACTTCGCACATTGAGCGGAATTCATCTTAGAGAAGTGTCGGAGCTTGTCATGATGGCTGTGAACAAGGCCTCTCGTGATCCACATCCATATGTCCGCCGAATCGCAGCGTATGCGCTTCCGACCTGCTACAACCTGGATCATGGCAACTACGAGCGACTTGTCGAGTGTCTAAAGACGTTTTTCTGTGATCGCTCTCCATCCGTTTTAGGTGCAGCCACCAGCATTTTTCAGAACCTATGTCCGGATCGCTGGGATCTGCTACATCGTCACTTTCGCAAACTATGCTATGCTTTGGGTGATATGAGCGAGTGGGCCCAACCCACATGCATGTTAGTACTCACCCGGTATTCTCGAGCCAACATATCGAAACCCTCTAGCACTCATGTGGACCCTGATCTTCAGGTCCTACTCACTTCACTCAGTGCACAAACTGCCAGTATGAATCCGGCCGTTGTGGTGTCTGTTGTTCGAGCATTCAGCGCACTTTTTCCTGAACGCTTGTCTGCCGTGTTTCCGGCATTGATCCGCCTTCTGCGCAGTCCTCCCGACGTCTCGTACGTTGTAGTGCTCCATGCTATTGAGCTTCTTCGCTCAAGCTTTGTTGACATCTCTCCTTATCTCACTGCATTCTACGTACGCGCGTCCGACCCAGCCTATCTGGCACTTGCCAAGCTCTATGTCCTGGTCCATTCGGCTTCCGCCTCTCAAGCATCAGATTTGGCTCATGAACTGGCGACTTATACCCGGTCTTCTTGCATCACAGTCGCCTTGCGTAGTGTTACTGCTCTCGGACAACTTGCGTCTCGACATGAAGGCGTGGCTTTGCAAAGTCTCCAGCTGCTCGTGAATGTTACGCAAGTTCCAACTCTTTCCACACCTGTATTAAGTCGCGCTGTGCATGTGGTTCAGTCGCTCTTGCATACATGTTCCCCATCGACTGCGGCTGTGGTTGTGGTGCGGTTTGCTCTTCGACTCTTTGTGCCTTTGGCCAATCGAGTCAGAGACCCTGATGCGCCCAGGATCCGCATCTTGACGGATACTGTTTCTCGTGTGGCTGTGCTTTGGATGCTGGGACTGCATTTGAAGACGTGCTTAGCTGGCTCTAGCCTGTTGGAGCTGATTGTGCCAGACTTGCTTCGATGCTTAGTGGCTCATTGGTCTAAAGAGCAAGCCTCCGTTCAGTGTCAGGCTTTGACACTGTCTGCTAAAGCGTTCGTACACGGTATCACCCTCTCAAACTCTGCCTTACGCATGGCTCTGACTGTTCTACACTACGAAATTTTGGCACGCGCATCCATGAGTTCGGATGCAGATGTTCGCGATCGTGCTCGGTTCTACGGTGGCTTGACGCGTGGACTAGCTGACTCGGAGTCCGAGCTCGACACCGCGCCTAATGAGGATGTGCGCTCGTACTTGGCATCGCATCACAACCTAGATTTGCTTCGCCTACCGGGTGTTCGTTTACGTCTTGCACAGGTGCAACATGTGTTGGTTTCCCATGACGACGAATCAGTCGGTGACACCTGTTTGAGGGAACACAGATCAAAGACAGTGTCCGATCGTGCCCTATTTTTCGATTTGGACTTCGACGTCCTAAAAATGAATTTGCGTGGATCAAAGGATGCCCAACTTCCTAAGTGGTGTGACCCTGACGCTTTGCCTCCATCGATCGTGAGGTTACCTGATTCCCACTCGGTTCAGCCCAAAGACAATTGGGCGCAAGATCAGCGCTCTTTTAGCAACGACACTTTTTTTAACCATCCAAGTATGGCGTCAAAGGTGGTCCTCGAGCACCGTGATAGGCAGTCTTGGTCTTCGACGACGACTCAAGGCCAAGCTCGATTCACAGATTTAGATTCGTTTTTGGAAGCTCCTAGCGAGAGCGATGACGACGACTACGTTGAAAATGGCATGAAAAATTCCTCTACTAGTATCGATCGTCCTGCACCAGAAGATGACGAGTATGCCTACGATTCGTCCGATCTAGACTCCGATGAGGCGGTCGCCATGATTAAATAAATGTTCACGTCCCATGTTGCTGTGGTGGAGTCGCTGCGCTACGCAACATCCATTTGGGCGGGTCAGATGAGAAAAAATTATGCGTGCAAAATTTTCCTGCATCATGAAACCTACATCTTGATATATATGATTTATTTAGTATTATTTTTTTTTGCATCAGTAGCATTGCTTGTTTAGTCGAGCGACATCCACCTATACCAGCCATGCCCAAAGCACCATCGACTCAACGTCGAGGTGCCCGTATTGGTTCAGGTCATCGTCCGCTTGGGCAGGAAATTCGTGAAGACGAAATCTTATCACGATTTGGTCGTGTGCGCGCCACTAACGCCCGCCCCAAGAAGGGTCAAGAGAAGGAGGAGTTCGATGTTGCTGTGACTGGGAACCCGCTCAAAGTCACAGGCAGTCGTACAGGGACCTCGTTTGTGGATCCAAAGCTCAGCAGAAACATTTTGCGCTTGGCCCGCGAGCAGCAGGAGGAAATAGAGCGCGAAGAAGCAGAGTTAGAAGCAGAAGCAGAAACTAGATCCACTGATGAGACGCCTCGTCTTTCCACTGCGAAGTTTCGTGAAATGGATGATCTACACGACGACGAAAGTGATACGGATGAGAATGATGGTCATGCATCGATCGCAGGCAGTGACGAGGACGAAGATGATGTGCATGAATTCAATGATCCAGAATACGAACAGCTTGATATCTCACCGGAAGACCAGGCCTTGCTCGAGAAACATGACGAGGAAGAAGAGCAGGCGCTAGCAGATGAAGATGCGGGTCGTCCACGAACAAAAACACTCGCGGATCTTATTCTGGCCAAAATTGAGGCGTCTGAAGGTTCTGCAGCAATGCGAGACAGTGGGGAAGACGAGTCCCGTATGATGCCACCAGGTATCAACCCAAAAATTGTGGAAGTATACACTAAAGTGGGTGAACTTTTGTCACGATATAAATCTGGCCCTTTGCCGAAAGCATTCAAGATTGTTCCATCACTTCCAGCCTGGGAAGACGTATTGTACATCACTGCGCCTGAGACTTGGACACCACATGCCACTCTGGCGGCGACGCGCATCTTTGTCTCGAACTTCAAACCTGCACAGTGTGAGCGATACTATAAACTTGTGCTACTAGACAAGATTCGTGATGAGATTCGGGAAAATAAAAAAGTGAGTTACCACATGTATGAAGCTATCAAAAAGTCGCTCTACAAGCCCGCTGCCTTTTTTAAAGGTATACTGTTTCCTTTGTGCGATGGCGGCGGCGTCACGCTTAAAGAGGCTGCCATCATTGGATCTGTTCTGTCCAAAGTGTCTATTCCTGTACTCCATTCAGCTGCAGCTTTGCTTCGGCTTGCTGAAATGGAGTACACGGGTCCTACTTCGCTCTTTATCCGAATCTTACTCGACAAGAAATACGCTCTGCCATACAAAGTGATCGATGGACTTGTCTATCATTTTCTGCAATTTGCTGACAAGTCCAAGGGTGTTGAAGTGACGCATACTCGCCAGGGCATTGTTGGAGAGCGCCGAATGCCAGTTCTTTGGCATCAAAGTCTTTTGGTCTTTGCACAACGCTACAAACGTGATTTAACTCCTGACCAGAAACTAGCTCTTCTCGATCTAATTCGAGTGCAAAAACATCCTGGCATAGAACCTGACATCAGACGGGAACTTTCGTCCGGAGAATCGCGAGGCGAAATGCTTCCTGAGCCATACGATGATGATGACGACATGTCTATTTGATCACGGTGGCTGCATTTTAAAAGCTCGCTGAGTAACGCGCAGACATATGATGCTAATTATCCAGCTTGGTAGTTTGCTTGCTTAAAAACCGTGTTCTGACTACATTTATAGACGGTTTGGGTCTAGCGGAGGAAATTTAACACAAGGCAAATGGTAAAACGACTAGCGGTATCTACCTCTCATGAGCAATTAATCTTACATTCAATCAAGGTGGGGAAAGCAATTAGTCAATCGACTCCATGGCCGACTCGCCCGCCGGCTCATCACTCTTCGATTCCTCAACAGTCTCTGGCTGCGTGTCGGCATCGTCGATGGAGAGACCAAGACTAATAAGCTTGAACAAGCGGTTCGCGAAGTCCTGAGGCTGTTCAAGCGAGAAGCCAGAAGTCAGAAGCGAGCTCTCGTACAGGAGCATTGTCAGGTCGCGAACAGTAGGGTCATTCTTGTCATTCGCAACCTTGGCGGCGAGCTCTTTGATGATCGCATTGTGAGGGTTAATTTCCATCGTCTTCTTCGAAGCCATGTATTGCGACATCGAAGTGTCACGGAGAGCCTGAGCCTTCATGATTCGTTCCATGTTGGCTGACCATCCAAACTGACCAGTTACAAGAACACATGGGGAGCCGACAATACGGTTCGACACAGTTACCTTCTCAACCTTCTCGCCAAGAATATCCTTGATCGACTTCGTCAGCTCTTCAAACTTCTTCGCTTCTTCTTCACGCTGCTTCTTCTCTTCGTCCGATTCCTCAAGCTCAAGACCCTCCTTCGAGACGGACACAAGCTTCTTACCCTCAAACTCCTTGAGCTGTGTTACGGCGTACTCGTCGATCGGGTCTACCATCAAGAGAACCTCAAAGCCCTTCTTCTTTAGCACCTCCAGGAACGGAGAGTCTTTCACGGCAGCAAGGCTTTCGCCCGTGAGGAAGTAGATGTTCTTCTGGATCTCAGGCATACGAGTAATGTAATCGGCCAAGCTCGTCATCTCGTCACCACTCTTCGTCGAGTGGAACCGAAGGAACTCTGCAAGCTTGGCTCGGTTCGTCGCGTCTTCGTGGATACCGAGTTTGATATTCTTGCCGAAGGCCTCGTAGAACTTAGCGAAGTTCTCCTTGTCTTCAGCCAACTCAGAGATCATCTCGAGGGTCTTCTTGACAACATTCTTCCGAATGACCTTCAAAATCTTGTTCTGCTGAAGGGTCTCACGAGAAATGTTCAACGGCAAGTCTTCTGAATCAACGACACCCTTGACAAAGTTAAGGTATTCAGGGATCAGTTCCTCGCAGTCATCGGTGATAAAGACCCGGCGCACATACAGCTTGATATTGTTACGCTTCTTCTTCGACTCGAACATATCGAACGGAGCACGCTTTGGAACATAGAGAAGAGCCTTGAACTCAAGTTGACCTTCAACAGAGAAGTGCTTCACAGCCAGGTGATCTTCCCAGTCATTTGTAAGGCTCTTGTAGAACGAGGCGTACTCCTCATTCGAAATAGATTTGGGCTCGCGTGTCCAAATTGGCTTTGTTGTATTGAGCTCCTCGTTTTCTTTCACAGTCTCCTTGACCTTCTTTTTCTTCTTGTCAGCTGATTCATCGTCGACCTCCTCGATCTTAGGCTTCTTCTCCTCGTCAGCCGTCTCAGCTTCAGGCTCATCAACTTCCTTCTCGACTTCCTTCGTAACAACCAGTTGGATAGGGTACGAGATGAATTCAGAGTGCTTCTTCACAATCTCCTTGATGCGCTTTTCTTCGAGGTACTCAAGCTGGTCGTCCTTCATGAACAGACGAAGCTCAGTGCCGCGACCAATCGAGCGGCCGCTCGTGTCAGGCGTGATGGTGAACGTGCCACCGGCAGCACTCTCCCAGACATACTGTTCGTCATCATTGTTCTTTGTGATAATCTGCACGCGCTCGGCGACCAAGTAGGCCGAGTAGAAGCCCACACCAAATTGACCGATCATACTGATGTCGGCACCGGAACTCAGGGCCTCCATAAATGCCTTTGTACCAGACTTGGCGATGGTGCCGATGTTGTTTACAAGATCGGCCTTCGTCATACCAATACCAGTGTCACGGATAGACAGGACCTTGTTTTCCTTGTCTGGTGTGATGCGAATGTAGAGGTCCTTCTCATTGTCGAGGACGCTTGGGTCTGTCAGCGCCTGATAGCGGACCTTATCCAAAGCATCTGATGCATTGGAAATCAGCTCACGAAGGAAAATCTCCTTGTTGCTGTAGAATGTGTTGATAATCAAGTCCAGCAACTGACTGATATCAGCGGCAAAACCAAACGTCTCCTGCTTGTCAGCCATACTGTTTCCCTTGAGTTCAAGAGGTAGGGATAACGAAAGTGTTGGGCACACTGGGGGTTTTATAGGCACACCTCAGTTGCTATATTACATTCTACCAGATTCTTCGCGTTTCTCCAGCCTGTGCGAGCGCAATTCGATGACCTTCTATGAGAGCTCCACCTCCGAATGTGCTGGAACGCCTGCGCCACTCCATCGCACATGGCACAACCTGTCACGTTACTTAACTTCGGCCGATTGCCGCAGAATGAGCACGTGGCCATAAGGGCCCGAGGCTTCGGCGCGTGGCCAGTGTCAGGCGGTCATGGCCGCAGGCCCGCATGCGATAAGCCTATGAGGCGACTGGCCAGCGAAACGGCCTGATCTCCATCGGCCACGCTAGTCGAAGTGCTTCTTGCTTGGATTGCTGGAGGCAGAGGACAACTTTCTTCGACTTGATTCTTTGGTTTGAACCAGCCAGTTCTGCAAATTAGGCGATCAGCTTAATAGCACACATCTGAAGCACTCTCTCGAGGAGAGTATCATGCTTCCTGTGTTGCGAATCATCAGTCGACCAGTTCATTCATTTTGGGTTTCTTGCTTGCACATATAACAACATGTACTCACCTTCACCTCCAGCGGTTGCTGCGGCCTCAAATCCATATGTATACATTAATCATCAACAGCCAATGTCATCAGCAGGCCAATATGGAGCTCGCACACAGCCATCTGGCATGGGTGCGATGGGTCTAGGGCCAGCAACGTCTGGAAGCGGTGGACCTTTGCCATCATCGTCTTCAGGAGCTGGTGCATACGGACATAGTCCTGCTATCGCCACGCTTGGATCCACGCGGTTCGGAAGTAGTGCGAATTTGGGTTGGGTGTCCCGCCAGCAACAGCAATCACATTTCGTATCACACTTTGGAACGCCGCCGCTGTCCTCTATTCCTCCTTCCATGAGCCAGACATATGGTTCAAGCATGACTCCCTCTTCACCCTCTTTTACGAGTCTAGGGTCCCCACATACCATGTCAATGATGAAACAGACCGTTTCGCCTGTTGTACCTGCCCCACCAACCGTATCAAGTTCATCCACTACGAGTTCAGCGAATGCTTCTCCAGAGTGGCAGCAACAACTCGTTTGCGCAGAAATCTCACGTCAATCTTTCTCACCCCATCACCACGCTCGTGCTGCCGCTTTAGCTGCACGTAGCTCTGTCAGTAACGGGCAGGATCCTAAAAAGGGGATCACTCTACCTGCTGGAATCGTCGCGAATGGATTATCGCTTCCTTTGAATAAGAGCTCAGATGAAACTAGTCGCATACGTGATGAATCGTGCGGCATGTCCCCCACAAAATCATCTTTTAGGACGAAAGAGACGGAAGGGAAAGAGCCGGGAAAAAGTTGGTCCATCATAGATATGGGTGGACTAAAGCTGAAGAATATTGGCATCGAAGTCTTCCGCTATACCTTCTTAACTTCTTTGTTTATTAACCACAACAACCTCACCACCATATCTCCAGCTATTGTGCATCTGAGAAACTTGACAGTGCTGGATGCAAGTAGTAATAAACTACTCGCACTGCCCGCTGAAATTGGCATGTTAACCGCGCTTCGAGCTTTATTCCTGTTCGATAATCAGTTGACTATACTACCGCCTGAAATGGGCACTTTGTACCAGCTCGAAATGCTGGGCATTGAGGGTAATCCGCTGCAGTCCAACCTGTTCGATATAATCAAGCAAGATGGTACACAAGCACTTATCGCGTACCTGCGCGATTCATGCCCAGTCCCGGTGCCTCCGCCCGAGCGGGAATGGGTCTCGCTGGACGTTGAAGCGCCTAGTTCGGGCGAGGATGACTCAAATACATTCGCGGTTCTGTCTTACAACGTGCTATGCGAAAAGTATGCGACAGCTCAAATGTACGGCTATACACCAAGCTGGGCTCTTGCTTGGAACTACCGCAAGGAATTTATTCTGCAAGAAATTGTCAGTTACAATGCAGAAGTGTATTGTCTGCAAGAAGTGGAAATGGGTCAGTTTAATGACTATTTTGAGCCAAAGCTCAAGCAGCATGGGTATGAGGGCATATTTTGGCCGAAATCTCGTGCGCGTACAATGCGGGATGACGAACGCCAACATGTTGATGGATGCGCCACGTTTTATAAGTCGGATTCTTTCGAATTGGTTGACAAACAGCTTATTGAATTCAATCAGATTGCACTACAGCGCCCCGACTTCAAGAGGACAGAAGACATCTTCAATCGCGTGATGACGAAGGACAACGTTGCATTAATTGCTATGTTAGAAAATCGCACCTCTGGGTACAAATTAATTGTTGCCAACGCTCACATGCATTGGGACCCGGAATTCCGTGATGTCAAATTGGTCCAAGCAGCCATGCTCTTGGAGCAACTGGAGGTGACCGGCAATCGATTTGCAAAAATGTTGCCTCAAGTTAAGCTGACACAAGGACGTCAGCCTCCTAAGTACTCGTCAGGGATGCAGATCCCTACACTGGTATGTGGCGACTTTAATTCAACGCCTGATAGTGGCGTGTATGAATTTATGAGCAAAGGTTCAGCACCAGGCAACCACGAAGACTTTATGAACCACATCTATGGCACATATACCTCTGAGGGTCTTAAACACAATTATGCCATGCGCAGTGCGTATGGCAATGTAGGCGAGTTGCCATTCACGAATCTTACCCCAGGATTCCAAGGCGTCATTGATTACATTTGGTACACGTCCAATACTTTGGCTGCTTCTTGTTTGTTGGGTGAGGTTGATCGAACCTATTTGTCTCGTGTCGTTGGCTTCCCAAATGCGCACTTTCCATCAGACCATGTATGTATCTTAGCGGAATTCAAGGTCAAGCCGCTTGAGAACGAGACAACTCATGTCGAGTAAGTCTTCTTATACTCGGCCTCTCCATGTAGTTAGCATTTTTTTTTTTGGCTCATTTTTTCTGCTTGTGTTTTTTTTGTTGAGAACAAAAGCAAATGGAACGGTCTGGTGAATAGAAACAAAACAGACATGGGAATATACTAATGCTAATAGGTGAACGCGGTCGTGTTATGCCTAAATGTACATGCCACCCTCGCCCAAGGACTCAACAGATGGGCGAGTGGCTAGTGTGGCAAGCAATGCGTGCACCAAAAGAGAGGAAGATCCATCGCATGCTTCAGATCCTTTTCCCAGCATGGGACCCAGGGTCTTCAAGTGATGTTCTTCCAACGGTGGTATGAGCGTATTTAAGCGACGACGGGCTTCATCGGACGACAGTGATTGATGTCCGTGCGGTGCGACAAAGTGCATAAGACGTCGCTGATAGTTAGGATGCGGCGCAACCTGCGCGCTTGGTACACAGAATATCTGAACAGGCGTGTGTCTGTAAACGGCGTGCATGAAGAAAGCAGCGCCACAGCCAGACAAACTGTTGGGTGTTTCCCATGGCGCCACATCGCTGCTCGGTCTAGTAGGACTTGCATTCATAGGTACATTCGACAGGTAACGAAGCGGTTGAAATGATGAGTCTGTCTCACTCAATCCCATGCTATTGCAATACAATGCTTCCGTATATCCTTGCATAATTACCATAGAAACAGGCCGCATCTTCTCCATCACAAGCTTTGCTATCAATGATTGGATTACAACAGGTATAGTCTCAGCTTGTGGAACCGATAAGACACACGGCATTTGAGTGTCAAATGGAGCATGAACGCTTGCGATTCTTCCATGAGAATCGACATCTATACAGGCCACTTCAGGAAAAATGCGTTTCGAGGCGAGCATGACAGCCGTGCCCACATTTCCAAGAAGCACCACAAGCGATCGTTCTAACAGAGCAGGCATATCTCCTAGTAGCTGTAAGTTCGGATGAAAAACAACCTCGTTATCTGGTGCGATTTCTTCTTCGTCCGATTCTAAGTCATAGCGCGGCGGCGGCGTTGCTATAGAGGCGGCGTCCCAGTCCATAATCGTAAGTATCAAGACGCGTCCGAGCAAACGTGCTTGCACGTGGCATGTGCGACAATTGTACGAATATACATTCACTTTGTAATTGCATTGCGGCAAATGTGTGTATGACACACCTGCAATCAGCTGCATGATTATGCAATGTGGTCTAAATTAGATTTCGTTAAACATGCCGTGGATCGTGCGAAGTAGACGGTCCTAACGTACTCCTGAGCGTTTGGCTTGACTGCGACACACACAAGGCCGGTCGTAAGAATCTGTTCTCGAACAATTCCCGCTATTAGCTTGGGCTAGGAGCGTTCAGAGCTCTTGCTATATATATTCAGACTTTAGTGTTTGAAGGCAGTGTTCATCTGCAATACGTGGGCAGGGAGTAGAATCTTAGGGTAAGACTTGATGGGGAGCCGCGCACCCGTACATGCAGAGATGAGCATGTCTCCTACCAGTCCATCCCAATTATCTTCTGTCAGTAAAGAATTGCCACATACTTTTCAGAGGTCGGGATTGTCATCAAATGGTCCAGCACAACAAGCTCTCACCAGAGTTGGATCTTCGCAGTCGCCACCTGCCATCAAGCCAGTGTTGTCACCAACACAAGCTCCATCGTCTAACAGTTTACTTCCAACGACGACGCCTGGCTCTTTGAGTACGCTAGTTCGTCCAAACGATGGTGCTTCTGGGCCTAATGGTCAAGAGTCGTTCTCGAATGCGCGTCCGGTGTTGCAACCAACGAGTCCTACCTCGGTTGGTCCGTCAGTCCGGCCATCTCTTCATCAGCCTCTTCTGCCAGCTAGCTCATCCAGCGCTTCGGCTGCTCACTCAACCATGATCTCACCACTATCGCAAGCTTCTCCTTCAAACGGTAAAGCTCCTGAAGGAAAGACTCTTACTCATACGGACTTGGCGCCACTTAATTTAAAGGACCTGGATGATAAGAGTGTTTCGGGAACTCCCAATGGCAGTTCCTTGTCCCCAACCCCTCTTCCTTTCTTAGAGCGTCTCTCAACGATTCAGCCTCAAATTCCGAATCCGCTAGCCAACAAAGACACCGAAACGCGGAAGGTCCCGAATGGCACCTTCCAATCAGAAGGTTCTTCTGTGGATGAATCGCAACCTTTGGTAAATTCTCCAACGGGAGACGACGATCGTCTGCTTGATCATCGACATCTCCAGCCAGGTGAAACGGTTTCACTACTTAGTCACAAAAAAACATTGGACATGTATCGTGAAAATGCGAAGAAAACGAATGATCCACAACTCAATTACGAGCTTGCAATTTTCATGCTTGACGTAAGCCGCTCTCTTGAATTTTCTGAGCAGATACTGTCAAGGGGACAAGATCCGGCAGCTGAGCGAGAACATTTAGCCAAAGAGGCCGTTAACTTGCTTCGCCGGCTTGCTGACCGTGGTCACGTTGAAAGTCAGTATCTTGTTGGTGATTGCTTCATGAATGGTTACGGTTTATCCAAGGGGCGTCCAGATCTCGGCCTGGCTTATTCGTATTTTACTCAGGCAGGTAAACGCGGACACCCCGATGCTGCTTACCGTGCTGGTACATGTTATGAAAAAGGATGGGGATGCCGCCGTGATCAAGCAAAAGCTGTTCAATTTTACAAGATGGCCTCCAGTCGTAAACATCCAGGCGCTCAATATCGATTAGGCACTGCTGAGCTGAATGGCGAGCTGGGTTTAAAACGCAGCGCACGAGAGGGTGTTAAGTGGCTCAAACGCAGCGCAGAGAATGCTACACCAGAATTTCCACATGCTTTACATGAACTGGCGCTTCTGCATGAAAAAGGCATCTACAACGTACTGTTCGTCGACTACGAGTACAGTTGTGAGTTGCTTGCGCAAGCCGTTGAAATGGGCTATGCGCCCAGTGCTTATAAGCTGGGTGTCAACTACGAATATGGACGCATGGGATGTCCTCAGGATAGTGGTCTTAGCATCCACATGTACAACATTGCTGCGCAACAAAACCACAAAGAAGCATGTTTTGCACTAACGGCTTGGTATCTTGTGGGAGCCCCAGGAATTTTACCTCAGAGTGACACAGAAGCATATTTGTGGGCCAAACGTGCGGCGGAGCAGGGGCTTGCCAAGGCCGAGTATGCCTGTGGATATTTCTCAGAAAATGGTATTGGCACCGCCAGGGACTTATCTGAGGCCAAGGGATGGTATCAAAGGGCTGTTGAGCATGGTGATTCGCGAGCAAGCAGTCGACTCAACACACTATCCGGTTATACCGCAAAACAAGTGGGATCCGCGCCTGACGAATCAGCTACAAGAAACCAACCCAAGGCCATTCCTGTGCAACCACTCAGTGCACCATTTCCTAGTGCTGCTCCCATGAGTACCATGCGCACTCTGGGTGTATTGAACTATCCTACGCCGAAAGCTATGAGAGAAACCCAAGCGGTTCAGCGTGATTTGCATCAACAAGCCCTTGTTGCGGCCATAGAAGAGCGTGATCGGTCAAGATCAGACTTGTCCTCGCCGCAAGGGGGCTCGTTCTTTGGGCCAGGCTGGCAAGCAGGCCGTTTGCCGAACAAACCTTTCTCACCCTCACAGCCGCCGAAGGAAGGTGGTAAGCCAATGAATTTGATTGCAGCTGGTCCGCGTGCCGGTTTCCCGAAACCTCCGACGCCGCCTCCTCCGGAGCCAGAACCAGAGCCAGAGCCAGAACCAGATGCCGCCCAAGCTGGAGGAAAACATCGTCTCAAGGCTCGTGTGTTTCGCTTTGGTAGGAAAAATAAGTCTGATAAAGGCGCCGAACTCCCTGAACAGGCTGAAGGGGAGGTGCCGGCCTCATCTAGTGCGCCAAATGTCGGCATCGCTGCTGATGGACCGCTGTCTCCCACAACTACTCAGGAGGCGACACTGGTGCAATCAGATGGATCAAATCCTGTGTCACCTACATCCCCCCCTCCCCCGGGACAGCTTGCGATTACTTCAAAACCGGAGGGAGAGCTTGACAATGGCAATAAACCGAACGGACCCTCACAGGCCTTGTCGCTGCTTCCACGTCCTCCCGGTCAACGGCCGGGTGCCCCTCTACAGCCTGAAACTAAGCCGCAAGAAACATCTCAACAAGGGCAGGCCCAGAGCAAGAAGCCTAATGAAACGGAACCAAAAGACGTTGAGCCATTTATCGGCGAAAAGCCTAAGGAGGAATCATCTTCAAAGCCTGGTTTCTCATTGTTCGGTCTTGGGAAAAAGAATAAAAACAAGGGTTCCGAGAAATCGTCGGCGAGAGAAGACGATAGCAAGGCTAACAAAGAGTCGCGATTACCTCCATCTGATTCTAGTGCTGTAGCGTCCCCTGGTCTGAAAGGCCAGCAGGTTGGCTCCGACACTACTACAAGTCCAAAGCTAGAACCCCAGGATGCTTCGAAGACGTCTGCGCAGCAAAAATCCGTCAACCCTTCGCAGTCACCACAGGGTTTGCAACCATCAGGATCAACAGCTACTTGGACTCAATCCAATAGCAGCGGACCTCCGGTTTTGGCCGGATTTGCTCCAGGTCGCCCGCCGCTTAGACCCCAGCAAGGTATGCCTGGACATGCGAAGCCTGGAAGTCCCCTGGAAGGTCCTCGGCAAGCTATGCCTGGCAGTCTTGTTCCAGGTCATCCGTCCTCTGAGCACAAGCCAGTCGGACCTACTCCTATCAGCCCAGCACATCCACCTGATCAACTCGGTGGTCCTCAGCATGGAACTAGTCATGGGAACTTCTCTGGTCCGCTGCCGGCTGCTCATCAGCAAGGAGCCAATGCACATTCAACTTCTGGTCCGTCTCTAAATGGTCCCCAGCAAAGTGCAGGAAGTATCGTGGCGCTGCGTCCCCCAAATGTGCCGCCATCTTCTTCCCATGCTCCTAATCATACACCTTCTACTCGCTCGCTCGCAGAAACACAACCTGTTGTGCCTGTGAATGCAACGCCGGTTCGTCCTTCCTCGGGTCCTGTTGTAAGGGGCTCTTATGAAAGTACTGATGATTCTCGTTCTGTTGGGAACTTACAGCCTAACCCGATAGGCAGCACGGGACATCCACGACCTGCCTCCAATGGTCGGCCAGGTGTACCGGCAGGACTCGTGCCAGCGCGACCATCTATCGGAACTAGTTCTGGTATGCAAGGAACGCACAATGCAGGCCGCCTGACGTCTATGAACTCTCGATCAAGTATGCCAAATCCAACAATGTCTGGACAACCCACAGCTTCCTCAACACCTACAGATGTGTCGCACGAGCAGGCAAGGATGTCGATGCCGAATAACATGCTTCAACTGCGTCCTGTATCTCCCTCGCGTCCACCAGCGGCGTTGCAACCAAGCACGCAGACACCTCAAAGGCCTGGTAATCCTTCAGTTTTGACTGCGTCTGGTCAACCACATGTACTTCGGTCACCAGGTCCACAAAGTCCATCATCACCTACCCCCACACATCAGGAACCTGGCCACCGGCCGCTGATAAGACCACAACAGGCACGACCATCTCCTGGTAGTCCTCCGCCGAGTATGATGCCGGGTCGCCCGCCTGTCGGACCTGGCGGGCCTGTTTCCCCGCAAGCTGGACCGCGGCAACAGCAACCTCTTTCGCAAAACCAGGGTGTCATGCCTACGCGGCCGAATTTCCCGCCTCACCCAAATATGGCCGGCTTAAATGGTCAATCGTCACCTCGTGGTACACCGCAACCGCATTTGCATCCAGGTCGTATCCCGCCGTCTTCTTCGCACTCGTATGTGCGACCGCCAAGTGCTATGCCGCCGCCCTCCATGCAGCCAGGTAGCGCTTCACCGCCTGGAAGAATGCCAGCACAATTGCATTCTGGTCGCCCTATGAATGTGCAATCGCGAGGTCTGGGTGAAAATCAGCCAATTTCGATGCAAGCCCTAATGCCGGGTCAGTCATATTCCGGAGGCAATCCTTCTATTCCTCCAGGTATGTCGTCCCAACAAGCAGGACGTCCTTCTGCACAAATGGGTCGTCCTCCGACGGCAATCATGCCACCGAATCAGTTACCAGGGCGCCCCATTCCTCCTAACTCTGCACCTGGTATGAACCCTAGTTTCCCAAATCATCCTGGTACTTTAAACCCTACTCGCCCTAGTATGCCTTCAGCTGTCGCACCTGGTATGCAAAGTGGACATATGGTGCCTGGTCAGGTTCGCCCAGGTGTCCCTGGTTTACCACAATCTGGTGGCCCTCCTGCCTCTCACAATGCTCGTCCATGGGCTATGTCGTCTCCTGTGAGACCCGTGGAGAACAACACCATTCGACCAAGTGGACCAGGGTCACCACCTCATGGCACGGGTGCGGCGAGATCTATGCTTGGTTCACCTAATTCGGTGGGCACTGATATCGACAAGTTTGAAGATGCTCCATCAGCTGAAATTGCACAAGGACCCCCAGGTGCAGGAGGAGGTATGTCTTCCCCGATTAAACCAGATCCTAATATGGCTGGCGATAAAAATGCCCGCAGAAAATTCCTGGGTATTATCTGAAGTCACCCTTTTGCCACAGTAGGAATTTTTAGTGTCGTCGTACCAAATCACGCATTAGATTGATTTTCCAAGTACGTTCTCATTTTTGCATGCCCTTATAGGCTTTATGATCTAAACATGAACGTGTAGCTAGGAGAATGGGTCAGCTCTGAGCATAACTGCGCTGCCACCGTTCTCGAAAGACCTAAAGATGAGCTCCACCTGATAAATGGTATATTCACACGCGCCATCGATGCGAAAATCGCCTGCGCTCCACTCAAAGCGACCGAGGTAATTGTTGTTTATTGTCAATTATCCGACACGCGCGGACATATTTGCGCAAATATGACTTGGCGCCAACCCTACTTAGATTTGCATCTGTTAACACCGAGGTGAACTAGGGCTGCAATTTCATGCAATTAGCAATTTTTTTTATTGGCTGTAATAAACTGGGGCTTCAGAGGACCAGGTCTCCCCAAATTTCATAGACTAGTCCCGCATCAATTACCCACATGCAAGGAAACATCATTGAGCAAACCTGTGACATTGTGTGCATATAATCTGATGCGAAAAATCCATATTTGTTAATTTCTCCTCATTCTATCATGCAACTTCAATACGTTTTGACTCTGCTTTGGATTATCTTTGCTCAAAATGTGTTCTCACGCCCAACAATCTCGAAAGTTGCTCCTGAGAACATTGAGTTCTTTGGTCGCGTAACTTCGTATCAGAAGCCGGTCAAGGTTCCGGATCCGATTTCAATGTACCAGCAGTTTGCTGGCTTGGCACAACAATCCAACTGCTTTAAGACGAAGATAAACGCAACAATCGGCGATGCACAACTTCTCTTCAGCTGGGGTGATGATGACAAGAATCAGCGTATGCAAATCTTTCGCTCAAAGTCTCTGGGCATTGTGACATCTTGGTCCGGTATGAATGTGACAAGTCTTACATCTCTGCTGAGCGCTGCAGATCTTTTCTTAGTTGACGTGGACAGAAAATACTTTCCACGTGTCAAGAAAGGCAGTAAGCTGTACGATGGCTTTCAAAATGCTTTCAAGCGTGCAGCACCTGTACTTGTGAAGAAAATCCAATACTTTCAAGAATTATACGACGAAGACCGAGTGAGTTTGACTGGACTTTCATTTGGAGCTGCTTTAGCCGACATTGCCCTTCCTTACGTGAAAGAAAACTTGAAGCGTGGTCACATCCACCGTGTTGTTGTGTTTGGTCACCCACGCATCGGGAATCAAGAATGGGCCGACTCGTTAGATACATATGCCGAAGGGAAGTTTTTCTACGTCGTTAATGGAAACGATATTGTGCCGCATCTCCCGCCTCGCGAGTTCGGATACCAACAACCTTCAGGTCAAATTTGGATTAACCCATCTAATTCAAGTAATTGGAAGCTTTACCCTGGTCAAGAAAATGTGCATGGTGCTAATTCTATATTTGGTTTTAGTATTAAGGACCATACCGGTGTATATTTCCGAACTGAAATTGGTTCTTTTTGGGGTCACTGCCCGGCTACAATTGGCCAAGATTAGTATTATGCTTGGGTCCAATCTGGCTGAAATGTTTCGTGATGGTAACAGTGTCCTTGTATAGTTCATTTAGACAATTTTCCATTCTATTTGATTTTTCTGTCACAATACAACCTTGAATGATAGCGCGCAAGCTATTTAACGACAATGCAGTCGCCAACCCATTATCCGAGTGTGCTTCTGTGTTGACCTTTGGAATCACGAAACAACTAGATCTAGTAGGGTGTTGAAAGTCGTAGGGAAAAAAAAAACGACATTAGCAAATTACGTGCGGGCAATTTTCCTATGCGGATTAAATTTGCAGGATACCTCCACTAGTATGTAAACACGTCAAGATCTGGGCGTACATCCGCGGAGCTTTTAAGAAAAGATCGAAAGATACATATTGCCTGCAGGACTTGACCACTGCGTTTTAAATTTTGAGCAGAGGGTTCAACATGTATCCTGCCAGAATTGTTGATATAGACCGTAATTCAACGGTTATGGCGGATAGTAATGAGCGCTATAATGAAATTCAAGAGCGTCAAGACACTGTTCAGAATTACAACAATGGAGGGTATTCGGACGATCAGTTTTCGGTCTATCGTGATAAGGATGTTTCGGAAACCAGTTCGCACGAAAAGAAGCCACAACCGTTTTCTCATCATGTTTGGGATCCATTATTAAAACCTGTTCTAATCTCTTACCTGATACCAGTGGGTATGGCTACCTTCATTGTGATGATCATTGTCTGGTTGTTTTTCTCTATTTATTGGGGGTCGATGTATAAAGGAGATGAAAAAACACCAAATATCAAAGGTGTTATTGTAAATCGAGACAACGGTGTTATTGGAAACTCAATTGTTCAGGCTTTCCTGGATGTAAACAACTGTTTACCAGTTGGCGGAAGCTGCTCACCTCATTCAACATGGATTCTTCACGACCCCTCAGACTATCCAACTCACGAAAAGTTGCTTCAGGCTATTGAGCCTAAGGAGGAGTATTATATCGCCATCGAAATTGTTGAAGGGGCAACTGATAAATTTCTCCAGGCTCGAGATACTGGTGATGCATCTTTTTGCGGCGAAAAATCGGTTAACATTATATTCGCTTCGGCTCGAAATCCAACCAATGTTCCCAAATATGTGTTCCAGCCGGCACAATCTTTATTTGAGCGGACACAAGCTCAACTCACTCAAAACTTGACCTCCCATTTTATCTCTTCGAACTCAAATAATCCTGAGGCTATTCAGACGGCTAACAGGGCTCCTTGTACTCTCACGAATCCAATTTTGGCCAACTTCATGGACATTCGCCCTTGGACAACTGATGTTGCTATGGCTCCCACTTTTGTCGGTATGATTTATCTTGTTATCTTATCATTTCAAGTCGTAATGGCAGAGTATGGAGCTCGGTTCGCAATTCAACATTATTTGCATTTCGGTGCATTCGCCTTCTTGCGATTGACGACCCCATGTATCTCTTCATTATTCATTTCCCTGATGATTTCTCTCATCAATATTCCTTTTGATCTTCCTTTTGACGGCTCATTCTCCTATGGAGCTGGCTTCATGGTATATTGGATGTGCACCCAGTGTGGTATCGTCGTGTTTTTCCTGTGTCTTGAATCTGTTCTTACACTCGTCACGCCTAAATTTATTGGTATATTTCTTATCTTTTTCATTATCGCAAACGTCAGTGTGAGTAACACAGAGCTTTCGATTTCGCCGACATTTTACAAATACGGTTATGCTATGCCATTCTACAATCTGCGACACATATATCTCCACATCTTTTTTGGCGTGGGTGAGAGGAACATGATTCTAAAATATATTGGAATCATTTGGGCTTGGATGTTGGTTGTTGCATCTAGCTTCATGTTCGTCGTCTGGTTTGACTACAAAAAGCGATACAAGTCTCATATCAAGACAATTAAAAACGAGTCGTCACCTTGAATGGATACTCGTAAGTGTTCATTCAACCAACTTGTATTGTTTGTGCGCTCTAAATCCTTTTCGCAACGTGCATATAATATCTAAAGCGATATATTGTGTGTGCACGCATATTCGATGTTCAACTGTTGACTGCTAAAACTGCTTTGTGTAATCGCGTATACACGAAGGTGTGCTACCTGATCGATTCTTGGTACAGTTTATCCGAGAATTCCTTCAAGCATGTTTGATTTAGCATGAACGAAGTATATCATGCGCAAAAGTACATATTGTACATTAGAGATGAATTTTATTCGACGGCCTGTTTGTCCAGAGCCTTTTTCACAATCACAATTCTTGTGAACAAGCGAGTTAAGTATTTATATAATTTAGCATGACGTGTCAAATTCATGTGACGTCTTATCATCAGGAACTCATCATTACTGAGAAGAATCACCAACTGGGGTCTGGCACTAAAATAAAAATTTTTCAGCTGTATGTTTCTCCAAAGTCTTGAGCCAACCCAATATCAAAATGTCAAGATTAAAAATCCATCTTTATATTTACAAAGATCATATGTATATGGATTATGTGATAGTGATGTGAACTGTTGGTGAACGGAGTTGTAGCGATAAGGTTTACACCACCATCCATTACACAACATGACTACTTTCGGCTCTAAATTCTAGATTGTATTTGAAAATGACCTAACGCCGATTACATAAGTCTCCTTAATCGATGTCGCGTCATATCGCGCGCGTCGTGCTTGATGCATCTAGCTATAACGCCTGGTCTTTGTGCCATTTGGGCCAGGATCCATAGCAGTCGCAATGCCATTAAGACATCTAGAAGTTGAAAACTTCAAAAGTTATCGTGGGAAACGAATTATCGGCCCTTTCCGTTCATTTACTTCCGTGAGTGAGTATTACTGGTTATCCTTGGCCGGGCGCTAACGTCGTAGTCGGGCCGAACGGCAGCGGCAAAAGTAATTTGATGGATGCCATTTCATTTGTGTTGGGTATTCGTGGATCAAAGCTTCGTTCCGCTGATTTGAAAGACCTTATATACTCTGAGACTGCAATGCATGAGGATCGCGATAAAAACATCACAAAGGATAGCCCTTCGCGAGCCAGTGTCACTGCCGTAATTGAAGATGTGAAGCATTCGGAACACAGGTTCCAGCGAACAGTCACGGCTAACGGTTCCTCAGAATACCGGTATAATGGACGAATTACAACTCAAAATTCCTATATGGGAAAACTAGAACAACTCAACATTCTTGTAAAAACCCGAAATTTCCTAGTGTTTCAAGGCGACGTGGAATCCATTGCTGAGCAATGCTCCAAAGACCTTAGCGATCTTCTTGATCATGTAAGCGGGTCTCGTTCATTGAAACTAGAATACGATCGTGCTCACACAGCATACGACGAAGTGTCCGAACAGTCTGCGGGCCTTGTGTCAAAACGCAAACTTTTACAAGGTGAACTTCGACAAGTCCGGCAACATAAAGAGGCATCCGATCGATTTGGTGTACTGAAAGCAGATTTGCATTACCATACTATTCAAAAAATCTTATGGCGGTTATACCATATCCAGGAAATCATTGAAATTCACAGTGATTGGATTGAGGCACATGCTTCTAGAGGTGAACAGTCGCGTAAACGTCTTTTCGAGAAAGAGCAGCTATTAGCAGAAGCTCGCAAATTGCTGGGGAATGTTCAGCAAACCAAACTAAATTTGGAAAACGAAAGAAAACATGTTATTCGATCTTTAGACACAATAAGACCGGAAAAAGAAAGACTAGTTGAGCGTATCGACCACGCAAGTCGCAAACTAGAGCAAGCACAATTCTTATACAGTCAGGCCAACAAAGATCATGTTGCCCAAAAAGAAGCGCTTGTGCATCTCGAAGATGATACAAACCTAGTGCAAAAATGTTCAGAGCAGATCAAGCGCGATCAAGAAGCTGCGTTAGCGAATACATCAATTAAACTGAGTGAGGTCGATCTTCAAACATACCACGACCTGAAATTGAAGAGCCAAAGCACAGTTGAAGGAGAGAGATCTCGTGTTGAACGCCTGCAGCGCGAGTCTCGTGAGAGACAAAACGCTTTGGAAGCCGAACAAGATCGGATTCAGGAAGCGGATACAAGGATTGAAAGACTCAATCAACAATTGCAATCCCTGACTGAATCATTTACAGTTCTGGAGCGACGAGAGCCAGAAAGCGCTGAGAGCATTGAAAGATCTAAGACTGCTTTGGCTGAGCTACAAAGGGAAAAGGAACGTATTATTCTGCGTGAAAGGGAATTAAATGAGGTATTGGTAGGCTGCTACAATCGACTTTTACGAATGGGCCAAGACCAGCGTGTTCATGAGCGCGAGACACGCTTGCGAGAATCATTGCGCTCATTGCGGACGATTTTTTCCGGTGTGCATGGTCGGCTCATGGACCTTTGCAAGCCGACTCAGCGGAAGTATGAATTAGCTATTGCAACTGCTTTGGGGCGAAATGCCGAGGCTGTGGTAGTCAACCATGAAAAGACCGCAGTGGAATGTATTGAGGTGCGCACCCATTCTTTTGGACTAACCCGACAGTATTTGCGAAATCAGCGAGCAGGTCAAGCCACTTTTATCCCCCTCGATACAATTCAAACAAAACTAATCAATGATCGACTTCGAAGCTTATCGCCACAAGCCCGGCTTGCAATTGATGTGATTCAGTTTCCGCCTGCCGTGGAACGAGCTGTTCACTATGCATGCGGGAATACAATGGTCTGCGACACACTGGATGTCGCGCGCAACATTTGTTATGAACGTGGACAGCGAGTGAAAGCGGTGTCGCTCGACGGCACCATTATTCACAAAACAGGTATGATCACTGGTGGTCCCTCGATGCAAGAGACGATCAAAAAATGGGATGATCAAGAAATGCAGGGAGTCCAACGTGAGCGAGATCGATGTATGGCTGAACTAAAAGAACTTCAACATCAGAAATATAGCCTTGAGGAAGAAGACGATCTAGTTGCCGTTCTTTCTCGAGCACAAGCCTCTCTCCAATCGATCGAAGCTGAGAAGTCTGACTTGTTGCGACAGAAAAACGATTTGGTGACTGAATGTACAGAATTGGAGCTGCGAAAAAAGTCGGCACAAACTGTGGTTGAAAAAACCAATTCAGCTTTGACGGAACTATCGTCCCAAATCTCACACTTAGAGAAGGTCATTTATGCGGCCGATGACGAAGTGTTCAGAGAATTTTGCCTTCGAATTGGTGTCGAAAATGTTCGTGAGTACGAAGCAAATCAACTCCAATTTTCTCAGACTTTAAATGCTGCCACGCAGCAATACCAGCGTCAGTTGGCTCGGCTCGCACATCAGCGTACTTTCACTGAACAACAAGTGAAAAGTACTGCTGCACGGCTTGAGTTCATTCAAGCTACTATCGACAAAGAGATGTATCGCATCCCACACCTGAAAGAAGAGTTGCGCCGCTGTGAGGACCAGATGCATAGTCTACGCGAGTCTAAAGTACGTATTGATGAAGCCCTTCAGTCTGCAAGGCATGAGCACACAGAGAAGAGTGATGCGCTGAATGAAAAGCGGAAGATCGTATCAAATGCGATGCGTGACGTCGATGCTCACCGCAAAGAGGTGGCCGAGAGGAACGACGAAATTGCCCAACTAGATGCAGAGCGAGCTAACATGTACCGGCGATGCCGACTAGAGGCTTTGGACTTGCCCCTGATATCTGGCGACTTATCTAGTGTGCTTTTGGAAGAGAATGTTCAAGTACCTGGACCCGAGGCTGATGATGCGGTACAGCCGTGCCGTTCATACGATATCACCGTGGACTTTTCCAGTTTGTCTGACGCGGATCGTATGGATCGTGGTTCAAGCAGAGAGAGAGAACTTCAACGTCGGATTGATTCAGCACGTGAAGAAATGGAGAATCTGACACCCAGTACCAATACAGCTGAGCGACTCGATTCGCTAGAGAAAGAGCTCCAAGCCTGTGAGCGCGACATTGATGATTGCCGAGAACAAGTGCGAGACGCGCGTGAAGAATTTGAGCTTGTAAAGAAGAAGCGCACAGATTTGTTTATGAAGGCATACAATCACATTGCCGAACGTATTGACGGCGTTTATAAAGAGCTCACTAAAACTAAAGCCGCTCCCATGGGTGGTGTTGCCTACCTAACTCTGGAAGATTCGGATGTGCGTTCTATGGATATGCTGACGACAGGAACCTTTTCGGACAGGAATCCGCTTCCATGCGATGCCCCCTATGAAACGTTTCCGCGACATGGATCAACTTTCAGGCGGCGAAAAAACTATGGCAGCATTGGCTTTGCTATTCGCCATCCATACGTATCAGCCAGCGCCTTTCTTTGTGCTGGATGAAGTAGATGCTGCCCTTGATGCTCAAAATGTTGCAAACGTAAGTCACTATATAAGGCAGAACGCCAGTGATCGGTTTCAATTTATCGTCATATCTCTAAAGGTATGTTACACTGCAAGCTCAATGTGCTGATAACACTAGTCCTCTCTTTATGAACGCAGTCAAGGACTTGTCGGCGTGTACAGAAACAATGACGAGTACTCAAGCGCTATCGTAACGCTGGACTTGGAGCAGTATGCGTAGCATTCTTACAGGCTTGGCGCCATATGTCACAATCATGTAATGAATAGCTCTGTTCAGGCATGTCAAATACGCCTTGAGTAAGTGCGGAAGATGCCCATGGCACAAGAATGTTCATGAAGCATGGGTGTGCGTCTGGTGATAAGTTGGACAGGATCTGAGCAAATTTTTTACCCATAGCATCCACAGCAGGTCGCTGTATATGGAGTGGCGCAAAGTGTCGGAGCACGTTTAAAGCCATTACGACTTGCCGGCCGATCCCTACGCATACAGGATGCTCAGCAAGTGCTCGAGGTAAAGAACATTCCGTGTCTGTCTCAGGTGGAGTTACACGCACCTCTTCCAGATGAATGGAGCGCAGGGAAGCGGTCCATAGCGAAAGAGCGGCATGATCGAATGCACTAAGTTGTGACTCTGCAGCATGAGAATAAGGAATAAGCGACACATCCATATAGACGCCAACACTTGCAAGACTTTCAGAAACAAAACATAGTTTTGAGTAAAGGTTTTCAAGGCGTTGGGACATGGCCTCCCAGCTTTGTATGCTCCCTGATGGAGTATGGGTTTGGTGGAGCAAAGTCCGAGAAAGGAAAGCATACAGGCACTCGACAGCATGCGAACAAAACATTGAAATCAGCTGCTCAGAGCTAGTATCGACAGTGCAAATTTTAGCAATTTGATTGTCCACGAAAATAGAAAGTGCCATAGAGCAAGTATTTAGCACCACGTCCTTCCAGGTATCAACAATATTGAGTAAATCTGATCGTGATTTAAAGCAACCATGAATACGCATGAAACGGGAATGCAAGAAATGGAAGCAAATATCAGCTTTCCTCAGGTCTAGTTCTGTATCGCGATAATGTTCATGAGCAAGGCTGATAACACGGAAGAGATAAGAAGCCCAAGCTCGTGCTTGCGGCTGCTTCGCATACGGATCTCGAAGAGCTTGAAGTAAAAGAGTTTGAGCACGGTATAATGCAGAATACATATCATCTAATAAAGCTTTCGTTATATTTTCAGTGTTAGGACCTTCCGCTGGTAAAATTAGGAAAAAATGACGCGCTAACTGCAACGCCTCTTCGTAGTTGGCTTTTGACACTTGGATGTTCACGAGCTGGGGCATTCGAAAAAGTTGATGCACAGAAGTCTGCATCACATTCTTTACGGAAAATATAGCTTTCCTTGAGGCCAACGCCACATCAGCGCTGTGTTCAAACTGCTTGGTTGCTTCCTGAACGCGATATAACAGGTTATTCGATAAATTCGATATCTTTTCATCACAATTTGCTGTTAAAAGGGGAATTTGATTGAATGCAGATTGTGAAAGGACAAAAGTTGGTGTGTTCCGTGTACATAGTTCTGACAATTGATGCTGGAGCGATAATGCCGAGGTCTGTTGTTGAGCAGGTTGTTGCTCTATAGCATCCACAGAAGTTCGGGCCAAGTCTCGGAGGTACAGAGCTGCCTCTTTACTTGAACTTTTAAATTCTTCATTTAGAAGTTCAAGACGAACAAGCGCACTCAATGGCGAGTCTAGAGTAGACGGTGCCTCGGTCGCCATCCGGGAGGCAAATTGGAAAGTGTCTTAGCCTGCCAACATGGGGAACGCCTCCACTATTCAACCCAGGTAGCTTCGTCCTGTTTAAACTAAATGCCGCGCGTCACGCGAATCATTCTCTCCACTGGGACCATAAGCCGTTGCGTGTAATGTCGAAGAGGACCTCGTCTGGGATAGCTACTCGAAAACTTAAGGCTACTCGAACGTCAGTTGATCCAAGGGTACGCGAATAATAAGTCTCATTTTCAGATTCCGAAAGGGGCCGACATCACACGTAGTGTTTATTATGACCCTGTGTTCAATCCCTACGGGTCTCCACCACCCGGTCTGCCGTATAAAGAGCGGGGTACGTTTGCCAACAGAAGCCTTACATGTAGCACATTCTCCGAATGCTCGCGATGAAAAACCGCAAAGATCTCAGTTACCCCATGACTTACTTGAGCAGCCACCACAGCTAGATGAGGAGGGCTCAGACGATGACATTCTCATGCCGACAGGCCCCCCACCACCTCAAAGATCGAGATCAAAGATGATGTCTTCTTCCATGCCTTCCTCTACTGAAATGGCCTCTTCGCCAATAAAATATTCGCCTCCTTCATTGAAAGCTCATGAACAAGAAGAAACCCCGTTTGAAAACGAGGCTTTTAAGAATTTGAAATCGCAAGATACAGAAGGTGCTGAACCTGTTGCGATCATCGAATCGCAACCTCAAATGCGAGATTTCCGCAAAGAGAACACGGTCTTCGTTCCATCCACCGTCCTTCGACGTCAACGTCAGCAACATGCTAGTACAGTGCGCCAAAAGTTTTGATCACGTGATGTTGAACGCCGCTCGTGGCGCGTTTAGTTTGTTGTGTAGCTGTGTTGCTCGGTCCTCGACTCTAGGTGTAGTGGATCCCAGACAAAGGAGTTCAAGCATATTTGGCCGAATCTATTTGTTACCGTGACTTCAGGTTCACCAATGGATTTAAATGCACCATTAGGTCGTCCTGATATGGATATGTGTCAGGCTCCTTATTTGAGAACCCCACCACCCCAATCTAATCGGACTGGAAAGTTGAAAGAGATACGATGCACGCAGAGCGAGCGCCCAATTCGTATGGCTGGCAAGCATCAATCATTCTTCGAAAGTCTTCCGCCAGCGGCACCTGTATTTCAATCAAATATTGAATCCTCACGTATTTTTTTCGGCACACCCACGAGCGCTGAGCGCCGAGCTACGCATGACCTTAACAAGAATGGTTTTTGTGAACAAGACACTCCGAGTATTAACCACAATATAGATTCGCCAGGACTGGCACGCGCAAGCTCTCCTCTCGGAGAACTCTATGATCGTCGAAACTTGATGAGACATGTGCTTGGTGATGTTTCCAATGTGAGTCCAACAACAAATCTTGACGTCCTGAAGACTTCCTCGCCTCCTGTTCAAAAAGCTCGATCAACACCGCTTCGTGCTTCTACAAATCTTTCATCTATGCCTGTTCGGGCTAATTTGACACCAGTGCAGTCAGCTTTAAACGACTGGGCCACCGCTAGATTTGAGCGGTCAATTTCCAAACCCTCATCCCCTGTCAAAGCAGAATCGCATTCATCGCCTGGCAAATTTTCGAAATGTTCTTCCATTCTTTTTTCTTCTTCTGGGAACGATATCTTTTCTTCTCCTTCATATAAAGGGTCTAACCAAGCATGCAAGCCTTCTAACGTGACACCGTTTTACTTGGATCAGAATAAATCGCCAGCGCGCAGTCGTCTGTCTTCAGATAAACGTTATAACGAGCGCCATCTTGCTACCTCCCCACATCCACCGCCAAGGCGCGTACCTGGTTTTGTTCCAGCCTCAATTTCTCCAGCGAAACGTGTTAAGATAAATCCTCCTACCATACCTCTTGGCAGAGCTTCCATTGATCACATGCGCTCCTCGGAAAGCAGGCTAAATAATGGAAGTGGTTTGCGAGAAAAGCCCCCCGAAACTACGAAGCCCGATCTCAAAACGAGTCAGCAAAATTTGAGACCTTCCCCTAATCGACTTACACGGCTCATCCGCCCAGTCAACTACGTCAACCATGCACCGGCTACACGTGTGTGGGATAGCCCTGAAAAGAAGCATTCAGGCTTGCGTACCTCATGTGCCGAAACAGTGAAACCTCCAAATGCCGAAAATGTTGAAGCAGTTGCCCAAACATCCGTCCCAATACATCAACTTCCTAAGGGCAAGATACTGCGATCGACCAGCCGGCGAACTATGGCCGGCACAACCACAAAAGTGGATAACACCTGGGCAGCTTCCAATACCCAAAACCCTAGTCAAATCGAACACTCAAGCTTATCTCAGAGGCCAAGACGTGTACTGAAGCCAGTACACCCATCTCTATCGTCAATGGAATTAGCTAGATTGACGTCCAGGCATACCAAACAAAACGAATCTCATACTGTACAAATCGAAACACGTCCACTACGGATTCCAGGACAACGACCAGCCAGCCCGTCACAGCGGTTTGTGATAGGATGCGGACAACGAGCACGCGAGCAATTTCGCCCCAACATTCCTGAAACAAATGAGTATGGTCAACCGATATCACATGCGTTAGGAGCTGGTGATGATGGCGAATACTCAACTCCACCTGGCAAAAATGTCCGCTGGGACAAGCGGCTGATAGTTAGCCCAACTCTTGAAAAAGGTGCTGCGAACAAAAAGCCGATAGCGAGTTGCCTGACTCCGACGCCATTTGCATTAGATGCATTTGGAAATGTTGCATGCCCGCCTATGAAGAGGATGCCCAAACGGAGTGTCGTTGTTCAACAATTCATATACGATGATGACGATGATGATGAATCCAATGTAAATGTTTAAATAGCATAAACCCGCGAGATGAAGATATGTCTATTTATGTATTTGATGTTGCATCGCGAGAAGTTCCAACCATTCCCAAAAGAGAGTCAATCACGCCGTGAACGTCGCCAACATGCCAATCGGCTCTTGTCCGCTTTGAATTGGGGCCAACAGTGCAAGTGAAAATTTGGTCGCGCTTGAGTTTGAGGCTCAGTGAAGTGGCATTAACATATGAAGACCGACTCAGAGGTGCAGGAGGCATGATCATCATGGTGTTCATACCACCGGTAGGTGATGAAGGCTCTTTCTCGGAGGTGTCATTTGCAAGGTTGGACAGAAATCTGAACATGTCCTCATCCGTTTTGTCGTCACCCGCACAGAAAACAAAGTCTGTGTCAGGGTTTGAATACAAAATCCGGTGGACTATTTCGCCTTTGTTGATTGCGAGTGGACGGACTTCCACATTCTTCTTGCCAACCACAACTTCAACCTGCAAATCATTTTGAGAGAGTATATTGTCCAACAAAGACTGGCATTCTTTAGCTTGAAAAGAGCCGAAGTCTGGATCTGCATTTCGGTAGTGCCAAACGATGCTGCTTTTTTTCTCTTCGATATTACTGCCAAGAGTCCGATCAGTGAAGTAGCGGAACACATTTAAAACATCTCCCTTCCAAGACATGTCAAGCTCCGCTGACAGGTTCTGCCACGTGCTGCCAATACCGTGCTCTTTGAAATAGCTTCCATGCTCAGCGGACAAACCCAACGCTGGAAACTGACTGAAATGTTTAGACAAAAAGGCTTCGTCACGTCCAGAAATAATGTACACGATATTCCGGGTATCGTTTGTCAAAGCATGCATTGCATCTAACAGACGCTGTGACGGAACAGCGGCTGCAGGATCCTTGACAATAGGAGTCAACGTGCCATCATAATCCAGCAAGAACAAACGTTTTCGAGCACTTCTAAAATGTTGGACCAAGAGGTTTGTATCCAAAATGGGGGTCGAATGTGCCGAATAACGATGCCGTAATCGAATCAGCATCTGCTGAACGAGGGATAATGCCCATGTGCGTGATGTTTGCGAAACCACTTGATCATGACACTGGATGTTTCGTTCAAAGCGCTCCTGATCACTTATACATAAACTGTGATGAATGGCGGCAGCTACACCGCCAATATCCCAGGGATTGATGTGGATGGCGGCAGGAAGATGTCCTGCGGTGCCTGTAAACTCACTTAAAATCAGTGGACTGTGTCGGTGTTCTTTTTGGCAAACCACATACTCCATAGACATCGTATTCATACCATCACGGACCGATGTAACAAGCGCGAGATCAGCAACCGAAAGCAAAGCATAGTATTCCTCCCGCTCGATAACTTGGTGGTAATGTTGCACAGGTGTAAAACTGAGCGACCCAAAGTCACCATTGATTTGACTGACGAGCTCTGATACTTGACGCTCGAGTTTCAAGGAGCTATGCATCGCAGGAATTGTAATTTGGATTAACACCACATTCTCTCTCCATTGAGGGTAATGCAATAAAAGATCATAAAAAGCAAGCAACTTTTGAATTACCCCCCGTACCACGTCCAATTTGTCACAGCCCACGATGATACGTTTGTCTTTGTACAAATTTCTTAGTTGATGCATGCGTAGCCCAATTCCAGGTGCGGTGGCTTCATAGCGAACACGCTCAACATCAATGCCGATGATGTTGTGCGACACCTTTGTCACACGTCCATTAGATAACTCGACACAACGGCCCTGGACTTCCAGGCCACAAATCCTAACACAGCACGATAAGAAGTGTCGAGCGTAGGACTGATTCTGGAAACAGATCAAATCTGCACCCAACATACCCTCTAAAATATGATTACGCTGAGGCAGACATCGAAATAGTTCGCTGCTTGGGAAGGAAGAGTGCACAAAAAGCCCAATATGTGCATCTGGAACCATACGACGTACAAGCAAGGGTACAAGCAAAAGATGGTAATCATGCACCCAAATAATGTCACCGGGTTTGTGCTCTGCCACAACACGCTCAGCGAACATTTGATTTACTTTGACATACGAAAGCCAACTGTATTGATCCCACATACTTCGGTCTTCGTCGTCCCGCCACATCATGTAATGGAAGAGTGGCCATAAAGCTTATGTCAGTTAAATGAATATGAACTTACTCGCTTTGCAGTACGCCTCATAATGCGAGTGAGCCGCTCGGTGGTCCAACCAGATAGGAACATACTTGATACCTGCCTCGTGTTCGCTGATATCTTTCAAAGCAGATGGACGCATTTCTAGACCACCATCATGAAATTTCCAATTATTGCGATCTTCTAGTGATGCCAGCACTTGTTCGATCTCAGCGCGTTCAGTGGGTGTTGTCTCGTACATTTCTGTACGAGTGTCCATTTCATACTGGTACGTATCATGAAAATGTATCGGTGCACCGATATATGTTTGCTTGTAACTAGAACACAAGCTGTATATACCACTGTTGAGAGCTGAATGACCTCGAGTAAGCCCCAAAACCCAAGGAGGACGAGATGTCTGTTCTGGTTCCGGCTCCAGAGATGCAGGACTAGATTGTTCACTAATTCCTGTGCAGCGCGGTACCCAAATAGGCATATCTTGTTCGAAGCTAGACGAACTCGCACCACGATTCTGGGAACTTACGGAAGAAAAGCGGTCATCCTCCGACACATCGTCATCCACAAAGTCAGTGAGCATCCAAGCACGTCGGCCTGCAATTCTGCGCGATCTTTCCTGATTTTCCCATAGTTTAGTCTCCATATCAGCGTTGTCCAAGAAAGGATTCCGCATTGCTGCTAGACCAGGATTGCTTGATCGGCGCTGTCGATCAGAAACAAAGCTATTCGAGCGAGTTTTTCTTACCTGCTCGATTTGTTGTATTTGCAGAGAATTCTGCATTTCCATAGCTGCATTTTCCAATCGTTCCTGCTCTTCACGCTCAGCCCTTCGAGCTCTTGCCGCGGCTGCCAATTTTGCTACAAGATCTGTAGCAGCATCGGCCTCCGCTTTCCGCTTTAAATATTCGCGCTTTTGAACTGATGTAAAAGTGAATGGAAGCGAGTAAACTACCTGGATGATCCGACCACTCAACGGTTGCGTTGGTCGAGCGATCTCCAAGTCGTGCTGCAGACGAAGTACACTTTCTTGAAGATCACACAAAGAGGAAAATTGGAGTAAATCGTTAGCAGAGCTCATGGTAGGCTCAGCAGAAGCTTCCGTTCCATCTGGAATGTGCACGGAGTCGATGCTTGGGCGAGTATCATCACGAGACACAGCACCATCAAGCATGATTGTCGCCCCCCCACAATGCTGTAAATTTATTTTTTATATAGACGACTCAGCTTTGTCCACAACGGACCGGTAGCTAATTTGAACAGGCTGACTAAACTATACATTGGTTGAGAAAGAGGGTTCAAACACAGGTAGTGGGTGTGCCTCCGTGTTGAAGACCCAATCATGGAATGCAAGTTGGTTACGCCGGGCAAAAAGCAAATATAGGTACTTGAGAGTCTCGGAAAGCCAAAAGCTGAAGGTTGTGAGTAATGCCGAGTGGACACATACGTCTCCATGCGATCAATCTGTTTATGATCAACATTGTCAACATCATCGATCCCTGCATAACCCCCGTCACCATTGTCAACTTGACACCATCGTTGAAAGCTTTGAAAGATTTGCCAACCCCATTCGCGATATATACGGTCGCCGGTAAGTTGAAACGCAATATATAAAGACTCGACGGTCTCGGGCCGTAGAATATTACGCGAGTCAATCGTAGGAGCCATACCGGGATTGCGTTGTCTGTCAGTTTTCATACGTCAGTTTTCTGCTGGTAGCAGAGGTACAAGTATGTGTAATAACTCACCGCTTGATGTTCCACGGTCTTCCGCTCGCAGCAGTGGAATGATCCGCTTTGAAAAATACAATTTCAGCACCAAGTCCTGTTGCTGATTCAGTATACGTATTCATGCATGAACGGATGAGTTCATGGCCAACACGCCAGTCTTCATACGCAGCTTCCGTGGGACTGTATGACTCTTTCGGAGGATAGAGTGTACCGTTTTCGAATTCTGTTGCACTCAATAACATGGTACCGCCTAAGAAACAGACAAGATGGTCTTGCTTGGTGCGGGCGGCCCAACTTGGACTCATTCCTGATAATTTGTTTGGATAAATTTCTAACGTATGCACCAGGGGAGGAGATACCCCGGGGTTGCTCATAAGCATTTTTGATTTTATATCATCGAATGCAAACTCGTACATGTCTCGAAACACCTGTTCTGTACGATTTGTCAGAAGATACTGCTTCACCAAGTACTCGTAGTACGAATCGCCGCGTGATCCTAAGCGAAATTCCGACAAGTAAAACCTGCCACGGACTGGATCCAAGAAGATTGGCAAAATTCCGAGACCTGAAGCCTCTGTAGCCCTGCGGGCGACTCTCATCGGCCTTTCTGCAATCTCCCAATAAGTGTAATTGCGTGTCCGCTGAGCGAGGTACTTGAACTCAAGTTGAACGGTGGTAGCTTCGGCGAGGCTACTAGAATTACCATTATCAGTGTCGAAAAATGATTCACCAGTGAGTAAGTTGATTTCACGCTTGGGTATACCGGTTGGTGTATCAAAGGCGGGTAGAAGACGATCAGCGAGCTCTTTGGCACGACGGAGGAAGAGTTCTGAATCTTGCAAAGACGGAGAAAGCATGTTGCCTGGTGGATCCAAAATAAGTGATGAAGCAGAAAGTAAACCTCCCATAATACGGATTGTAGTTTCGAATACATTAAGTCGACCATCGATGTCCCAGCTAAGCACATCACGAATCCAGTTGCGTGCCTCAATGTACTGATCATTCAATCCCATAATAATTAACGAGTCGAGCGCATCGACGATTGTATATCCAATTGGGCTATCATCTCGCAAAAGAAGATTGGATCCAGACTTGGACAAGGGATGATATTCGTCTTTTCCCCATGCATTTCGTTGATAAGCTGACCACGATTTTTCGAAAGCTTCAGTAACAGCATTTAGCTTTTCGGAATCGGCTTCTTGGACAGGATGCGTTGGGAAATTCCGACTGGGCGGTAGTTCAAAAGGCACAGTGAGTAGACGATATCTGTGTGAAATAGGACTAGGTATATCAACAGGGACGTGCGGGTGCAGTAAAAGAAATGAAACCCATAATTCGCGAAGGAGGACAATCAAAAATCCTGCCACTACTACAGCAGAAGAAACAATGCAAAGCGACCAGCCCCTTGTTTGAGGTCGACGGGCCGGCAGTTGGGAGGTCGTCTTATGTTTTCGTCCCATGCAGACCAGTAGTCCAAAGAAAGCTGTATGGTGCTTGGGATGCAACAAGTGTGGTGGGCTTCATTAGTTGGCTTACTAAGGACTTCAAACGCCTTGATCGAGGCGCTAAGCCCGCAAACGTCATTAGACAAACGGATGCTTGGCATCTTACACTAGATAATTACATACACGCCCACGCGCGCCTGTCGATGCTTTCGGTACGTTGAAGATACTCACATTACCAGGCACTCTTTCTGGTCAATTCCAGTGGAAATGCGCTTATATCAAGACTATTCAGGGATGATTTGAGAGCAGGCGTGGTCGATTTATTTCGAGTGTATGTGGTCCAGAATCCTGAACTGCGCACGCCTATCATGACTATTGGTGGCACGACATTCCTCTGGGTGCGACATTTGGACTTGTGCATTGTGGCAGCCGTTATGTCTAATACAAATCCAACAATGGTCTATGAGTTTTTGTTTTGTTTCATCTCCGTGTGTAATTCTTACATTGGGGAATTGAATGAAGAGAATGTCAAGAAAAATTTTATTTTTATATATGAAGTTTTGGATGAAATGATGGATTTTGGTTTCCCCCAAAACAGTGACATAAATGCACTTAAGATGTACGTTGTGAGCGAGAGCTTGCATGGTATGGTGCCGACGCGTCAAAATGTCGGGCGACCCACCATGGATTTACCCTCGGAAATTGGTTGGCGCCAACCTGATATCAAATACCGGAAGAACCAGTGCTTTGTGGACGTACTAGAAATGATACATCTTACAATAAGTTCCCAAGGAACTGTTGTTAGAGCCGATGTTGACGGTGTTATCAAAATGCGTGCTCTTCTTTCGGGTATGCCTGAGTGTATTATGAGCCTGAACAGTAACGTGGCACCAAAAAGTAGTATACACAACATCCCATTGTCCGTGCAGCTCTCGGATTGTGTCTTCCATCCTTGTATTCAATTTGCAAGTTCGAATGGGGACCCATGCCTTCGTTTCATCCCACCGGATGGTGAGTTTGAGTTATTGCGCTACCGTGCCAAGAAAAATGTACGTTTACCCTTACGCATTTATGCGGTTTTTGAGAGAAAGAATGCAAGTACTGTGCAATACCAAGTCGTTCTTCGCACGAATTTGGACCAACAAATGAAGGTATCAACAGTCATTGTGCGCATTCCGACGCCTCATCATGCCACGAGCGTGACGTGCAATGTACGAATGGGCAAAGCCAAATGGGACTCGAATGAGCATTTAATAATATGGCGCATACCGAAGGTGCAAGGTATGACGGAGTCAGTGTTCTTGGCGGATGTATTTTGGAAGTTTCAAGCTGGAATGCAGTGGCAGAAACCGCCCATTCAAGTGGACTTTGAAGTGCCGTCATTAACGGCCTCTGGTTTGGCAGTGCGGTACTTACAAATCACTGAACGCAGTAACTACAGTGCAGTCAAATGGGTCCGCTATGAAACACAAGCTCGTAATTCTTTTCTCGTATATGTTTAAAGATTGTGGCTCGCGAGTGGCCATTCAAGAAATCGGGCTTCTCCAAAACGCAGCAAAGAGGTCGTGCCATGGTCGACGATTGCCACTACTACACTCCGGCGTCCAGCCTTGAGGGGTATGTAAACATTTGTCAGTTCACGTTGATGTCCTTGAATTGAAATACCCAATTTTTCTGCACAATTATGCAGTATGCCTTGGAACCACGCAAGACGCGCCAAGACAAACCGAAACTTGACAGAACTGTGCGGCTCTTTATTACGAACACGCGGAACTCGTTGCTTTCCGTAAGCTCGACGATTTTGTGCGCGAATTTGCTCGAGCTCCTTATCATCATGTATTAAATCTCCGTGGCACGAGAGTGGCACATGCGAGAAGAGAGTGTCGAAATCATGCACAGTCAGCATCGGATGCTTATGCGTTTCAAGCACACAGATGCGGAACTCCGGAGGTGGTGGATGTGTTCGTTTAAAATGTGTGGCTGGACGCCAGGCGTAATAGAAAGGCTTGAGTGACCCATTATCAAGAACGTTTTGGGGATTCAATGACGACGCACAGGAGTTGAACCCTGATGTACTCACGATCTGCAATTTTTCAAAGATCGTGCCTAGTACGTTAATCAATTCAACAAATACCGGATAAAACAACTCACCATACGAGTCATTCGCTGAGATACCCAACAAGCCTCGAGGCTTGCCACAAATCGAACGAAGACACCATCGGATAGCCTGAATAAGACACTTCGCAAAACTAGATAACGCCTTACGCCAACCGAACAAGATCTGCATTAAAATCCGTTTGTGTTCCAGGGAAGCTGATGTAGACGCACGAAGACGATCGACCTCCGATGCACGTTGTACAATGTATCCAAGGCGTTTGAGATAGGCATAGATCTTGGAGTGAGCCCCGTTTGAAACATACCTGATATCGCGCTAGGTTCGATGAATCTGTTCCTAACAAGTGAGAATACGCCTGTGAAACAGAGATGGGTATACAAGTAGAGAAAGAGTCGGGAGATGGGATGCAACCTGGTGTTTGAGTCCACCGACAGTCTAAAGCGCCACGCTCAATAAGGTATACAGCTTCCTCAGGAAAAAGCTCCAGAAATGTCATAGATTGACCGTTCTCAAGTTTTCTTCGCTCAGATAGACCGACATGGACACATGATTGACCTCGCTGTACATGTACGAAAGCACGCTGGAATTGGGGATCCCAGGTCGCAGCAGACAGTGTTTTGCTAGATGTTAGCAATATATGCTTACCTAGAGTGCGCTCTAGGGAGCGAAATCGTTGTGAAGAGTGCATTTCGGCTTTCGTCCAGAGCTTTAACTTGACCGCCAAATCCTGTGGGCTCGAAATCTTTCTCACCACGCTTAGGAATAGATGGTGCAGGTGCATCCACAGAAGCGCTTCCTGCAGATAAATGCTTCTTAGAAAGAGCTGAAAGAACACGATAATCTGGCATGTCTTCTTCTTCATCAGAATCGCCCGGCCGAGGCTCAGGCCTCGCTACTTTTTCGTCTTCGTCCATGGTCGTTTGCTGAGGATCCGATTTTCCACAAGCCAACGCAGATATTGCTCAATGCTGACTAACACGAATCGGTGCAAATTGTGGAACCTCTCTTGGGACGTTTAGACCAGCGATCCCGTGCCGTAGAATCCAGGAATGACGTTTTCGTATGCGCCATGGGACGTTCTCATGGATATGAATGAATCTCTTCCGGAAAGACCAGGTCCTCGCGGAAAGACTTTTGATGGTCCTTGGCTTCAACAACAGGTCGTTCTATCTTTCGCAATCGGTTTTGTCGCCATATTGGTCTTTGGGATTTGGAAACGACACTATCCCTCAGTGTATCTTGCTCGTCACCACATCCAAGGTTCAGCTTTGCCCTATGATCGTATGCGAAACAGCATGTTTGGCTGGATTTTACCAGTTCTATTATACTCAGATCACAGTGTTGCGCACACAATTGGGCTGGATGCTGTGACAGCTCTTCTCTTTTTGAAGATGGGCTTTACATACTTCACCCTTACCAGCCTCTGGGCGATTTTTGTGCTTATGCCAGTTCACTATTACTCGAACGGATGGATTGATGGGGTGAAACCTGGAGAATCACTTGGTGATACTGTTGACATATTGCGTCATCTGAGAAAGCCTAAAGAGCCATTACCCATATTGGCACCACCTACCATTGTCACCCGTGATACTCTGTACGAAAATACACAGTTGGTAAGCACATTTGTGTATTCTATAATCGCTATGCTGATATTGTGGCGTACTTATAAAGTTTTCATCTCATTCCGCCAAGGATACTATTCTTCATCACGGCGAACAGAGATGTCTCGTACTGTACAGGTTCACAAGCTTCCTGAGCATCTGTCTGACATGGAAGCTCTGATGTCGTATTTTTGCCACCTCCGGCTGGATGTTGAGCGTGTGACAGTCCTCAAATGTACTCAGGCACTTGACAAGTTGCTGGAAGAACGCGCCAAAAAATTGTTCCGACTCGAGCGATTGTGGTATAATTGGATTGGACATGATGTTTCTGTAAGAAACTTTGACCCGAAAACTATCGAGGAGCAGACCTTGGCAATGCTGGAACCGCCGAGTCCTGGAGACGCTCCTATTGTTGGATCGCATGTCCAAACAACTCTTCGTCGACCGAGAACTTTTGTTTCACAGCTCCAGTGTATGGGAAAATGCGTGGATGCAATCGACCAGGCCTCCTACGAGTTCGCTTCATTGGATATGGCAGTCCGTCACCTTAAAGAGTCGGACTTTCCTCATGGGCACACTGCTTTTGTGACGTTTCGGAACATCTGGAGTGCACAGATTGCGAGTCAAGTCGTATATCATCCCACGCCTGGATGTATGTTGACTGAACCTGCAATGGAGCCGCGTGATCTTATTTGGGAGCATCAAGAGACAGCTGTATGGGACCGAAGGATCAGACAGTGGATCATGAGAGTAATGATGGCTATCGTCCTTACATTCACGCTTTCACTGGACTTGATGCTAGCCACATTGGTAAACATGAATGGTATAAAGACATATCTTCCTTGGCTCGGAGATCTTCTTGATGAAAATGCTCGACTCCGTGCCTTTGTACAGAACTCTCTCCCAACATTGTTGCTAATTTCCATTAACGCACTTGTGCCAATCGCTATGGTATATTCATCATGGTTCCAACGGGCCCGCGCACACTCTCATATTGAGCACAATGTTCTAAACATGTACTATCTTTACTTGCTGTTTTCAGTTGTATTTGTCTTTCTTTTTACAAGTGCACGGGATATGCTTAAAGAATTGTCGGAAAGTCCTATGCATATGATTGATAAACTGGCTCAGTCTTTACCTGTCGCGCGCAACTTTTCGCTCTCATATGTTATATTTCAAGGACTTGCAATCCAGCCATTCCAGCTTGTTTTGCTGCCAAACATTTTCATTCGTCAAGTTCAGCGCTTATGTACTGTTTGTACACCTCGACGACGTGCAGCAATGCTTCAGGCACCAACAATCAATATTGGGACGTTGTATCCCCAAGCACTTTTGGTATTTACATTAAGCGTGCTTTATGGGATTGTGAGTCCGCTTATCACAATCTTTGGTGCATTGTATTTTGGTGTTGCTTACGTTGTTGTCAAATACCAGCTCTTAAATGTTGTGGACAAACCCTATGACTCGCATGGACATGCATGGCCTCTTGCAGTTAGGCGATGCATTTGGGCTCTTGTTCTCTTCCAGGCTTTCCAGCTCTCTCTCTTCTCTGTGCGCAAGCAAGTATTCAACAGTTTGGTGATTGTGCCACTTGTTTGTTATACAATATGGTTTGCGGGAAATGTTGGAAAAACGTTTCTCCCTCATACATCGTTTGTCAATCTCTATGATGTTTATTCTGCCGAGGATGAGCTGCAGGAGCAACGTCAAAGATATCGAAATCGGACATGTGACAATATACCCATTGCACAAGAGGAACAGTGGCCGACTGAATACCGTCAAGAGCTCCCTGAACTTCGTAGTGTAAGTCACGACGCGTATGAGCAACCTGCATTAGCCGGACCACTTCCAACGCTTTGGCTACCTCATTCGCGACCGAACGATCAAGTATTAGTGTAATTTAGATTTTGCAGCATAATTAGATGTGTATGAGTGACATTTAATGTAGACCCGGGCGCGCACTATTTATCCCAATCGTACAGCATTAGCACCGCTAGCATACTTGAATTTGCTCGAGGTAGATCGATCTGAGTTTTCAGCTGAGGTAGATGCGCGCTGGCCATCTTGCCCCTTTAGCTGTTTTTGTTTGTGTGCCTCCGCACCTGGTTTAACATATTTCTCAAACAGTTTGCGACGCTCTTTGTCAAGCCCTGCATTCTTTGCCTTGATTTTTTCTGTGCGGCGTTCGCTCTTGCCGCCACCACCGGCAGTGAGTTCGACATTGATTTGTCGACCTCGAAACATAGTATGATGGAATCGCAATGCTTTCTGTAATGAGTTGGCATTTGTAAACTCAACAAACGCACAACCTCTTGAAACAGGTGCCGATGGATCCCTGGCTTTCCCTTTCGCAATGGATTTTTTTTTCGAATTTGACAGCTTTTCATGCAAGGCAGGATCTGCTTTTTTGGTGAGCAAGCGGACTTTGGGTTTTTCGCCACAAGTTTCTTCCATATGTTTCGCTAATTCATCGGCTGCGACATCATATGACATGTTGCCCACAAATACGATGTACTTTAGATTCGAATCACTGGATTCTTGAGAGGAAAGTGGTGTGGTATGCGCAGCACCATGCTCGTCAAATGTTGTTTTGGTTGCAAATTGTTTCCTTTTCCTTTTCTTTGAGGAAGGCACAACAGATTGATTTGCCTCGGTGGTCTGAAGCTTATTGCATTCGTCGCTGAGGGATTCAGAAAACGCACTTGGTTGTTCCTCACGCTCAGGAAATACGGTATCAACCATATTCTGTCTTTGATCCTGCTTCACTTACTATTAAAACAACGTCAGGGTCTGACAGTTACTGGTTCTTTCTATGGCCTTACCAACTGTGTTGAGAGTCAGGCAAAATTTATAGGAATTGTAGAAAAATTCAGATGGATTGTGGAGATTGATAGTTCACCTGCATGACGACTCTTGTGTTATGATAAGCCTAAAAGCATTGTCATAACACTCGTCTCACCAGACTCGGCATTGTTGCAGCATGAGCCTTACTTGATTCAACCGATTTCGTTCAGAATCGAAATTAAGCTCTTCATTTGCGGGAGTGATCCGATCTAAGGCTAATGCGAAGACCATGGACCTCATATCATTTGGAGACGCCGTGTTCGATTCGCGCACATCCATACTAACTCCAAGCGCTAAGTGCTTCGCGTAAAGTGCATAAAGATCCTCCATGCCCACAGGAGGAGCTCCAAATAATGGAACTAATTCGACGTTTGCCTCGCAAGGTTCCTCGCTAAGTGGTTCTTCGTCAACATTGACGGGACAATCTGCAGATTTCAAATGAGAAAGAACATTGGCTTGTACCTGTACGTCAGTCAGATAGCACATACCAAGTACCCAATTTTCCCCTTCTGAGACACACTAATAAAAATTCGGTCTACGAATTGTTGACAGAAAACAATCAGATTCTCGCCATCTTGAGTCGGAGCTGAGCAAGATTTCGTTGGTATAATGGGACTCTCTACTTTCTTGGGCTTCATTGCAATTTCGTAGGGGATTTGAAGTATGTCGTATAAACTGTGCAACAAAGTCGCAGCATTAGAATTGCTGAGATATACCAATTTTACGTATCATATTTGCTATCTTCAAGCAGACAATCAACGATTGGGTAGGATGGCCGAGTGGTCTAAGGCGGTAGATTCAAGTTACTTTGAATTTCTTCAGCGGTGATCGCTGGTGATCCCTACTTATCCTGGGTTCGAATCCCAGTTCTACCAAAATTTTTTATATCTTAAATATAGAAATCTTAGATCATTTTTTTTATTAAATCAAATCCCACGCGAGAAGCCTTTGTGCACGTGGTTGTGGTATTTGTACCAAGTAACGGTGACTCGCTCTGCTCTACTTCATCTATCTGTTGGCACTATGGCTGAAGCTGAACGTCACATTGTTATCGTCGGAGGTGGTATCATCGGTATAAGCATTGCTTATTATACGAGCCTGCGATCAGACTGTCCGAAGGTGACAGTCTTGGAGTCAAGCAAGGACCTGGCTCCAGGAGCGTCCGGAAAAGCTGGTGGTTTCTTGGCCCTTGACTGGCATGGCACATCAACAGCCAGCCTAGCCTCTTTGAGCTATGAGCTCCATCACGAGTTGGCGAAGAAAGAGAACGGTGCCGAACTTTGGGGCTACCGAGAGGTCGAGACGCATCAATTGAGTCTGGACACTTCTCGCAAAGCACGTTCGCGTCCCAAAATCGACTGGCTCAATCAGCAAGTTTTCATCTCATCTAGTCCTATCGGTGGGGGCGGATCGACGGCGCAAGTGACCCCGGGAGAGTTAACTCAGTTCCTTGCAAACAAAGCCAAAGAAGCTGGTGTGGAGATCCGCCTGCAGACCAAGGCTATTGGGTTGGATTTGAATGAGAGCAGTAGGGTTAAAGGCGTGAAGATCCAGGTAAACGGTGAGGAACAAGTGCTCCCAGCCACCGATGTTGTTGTAGCTGCTGGTCCCTGGACTGGTAAGCTTTTGCAAACGTGGTTTACGCCATCTACCATGCCTGCGTACTTGCGTTCAGCATCGATGATTGAGGGCAGTCGTGCGCACAGCATCAAGATTCAAGCTGCGAAAGGACACCAACTTTCTCCTGATTGTTTCTTCTCTGAAATGCGCTATGGTAACTCTGCGGGAGCGCCTGAGTTCTACATCCGTCCTAAAGGCGTTGCTTACGTGTCTGGTGGTTCAGACGATGTCCCGATCCCTGAACTTGCTGATGACGTGACATTTGATCCCAAACGTACAGCCGAACTCCAGATTCAAGCTGGTGTTTTGAGTCCAGAGTATTTGGACGTGAAAAATGATGCCGAACTCCTTGCTGAGCAGGCATGTTACCTGCCCATTTCTCCTCGCACTGCCGCCCCCATTTTGGGCGGTTCTGCCGAGAACGGCATTTATGTTGCTGCTGGTCACGCGGTATGGGGTATCAGCAATAGCCTTGGTACCGGCAAGGTGATGTCTGAGCTGTTGCTTGATGGTAAGAGCATTTCAGCTGATATCCACCATCTACAACCCTAAGTCAAAGGTTGGGGAATACTACGAAGTGTAGGCCAAACGACGCGCAAACTCTACAAGTGCTCGAACGGGGCGACCAGTTAGACCTTTCGCTTGATAGTCATTCAGTGTGTTCGAAGCGGCTTCCATAGAACCGGCAATGTCGATGTGCGCATATTGCACGCATTGCTCTTCTCCTTTGGTTCGATCTTCCAGGCCATGAACGAATTGCTTCAAGAAGATGGCTGCAGTACATGCTCCTGCGGGACGCCCGCCCGTATTGACTAAATCTGCATTCAATTTGGAAATTTGTGGCAGGTACATATCAGTGAGTGGCATGCGCCAACACAAATCATGTTCAGCCTCAGAAGCGGTTTTGAGCTGATGCCATAACGAATCGCTCTCCGTAAATACGCCAGAGTACACATCGCCCAAAGCCATGACACAGGCTCCAGTCAAAGTAGCCACGTCAATAACGGTGTGGGGCGAGAACGTTTCAGATACATACGAAAGCGCATCTGCCAAGACAAGTCGACCTTCAGCATCCGTGTTGTCGACCTGAACCGTAAGGCCATTTCGTGCTTGGAAAATATCACCAGGCTTAGTAGCACGCCCACTTGGCATGTTTTCAGTTAAAGGAGCCACTGTGACAACATTAATAGGAAGACCCAGTTGGGCTATAGCTAGCGTTGAGGCAACCACAGCAGCTGCACCACCCATATCGGCACGCATAAGGTCCATGCCAGCACTAGGCTTCAAACTGATCCCGCCTGTGTCAAACGTAATACCTTTGCCAACAAGAGCAAGCGGGGCGGAGTGATGCTCAGGTGCACCGTGATAATGGATTTCAACAAACTTACAGGGCTGCTCCGATCCTTGAGCCACAGACAGGAACAAGTTCATGTTTTGCTCACGCGCCCATTTCGCATCCCTGATCACGACCTGAGTGTGTGGAACATTCTTGAAAGCATTTACGACGCGCTCAGAGAAAATAGTTGGAGACATGAGATTGGCCGGTACCTCTTGAAGTTCTCGGGACCAGTTTTGAGCATGAGCATACACTTCACCTGTGTACCAGCTTAATGGGGTCCCGGTGCTGCAAAGATCATCGTCTTCGTCGCGCAAAGATTTTTTCTCGTCTTGAGAGGCAAGGCCATTCATCGGAGCAACACTGATATGCCGACCGCCTTGTTTATCGAGTGGCAAATCCCAGCCAGGCATTGGACCCCGTGTTTTGAAGTGGTTTACATTCCAGAGTCCCAGAATGGCTCCAACCGCGGCGGCGTGTGAGCTTGAGAAAGAGTCCACTTCGATTACTTGCTTCTCACCGTTTATCTTTCCCAACTCGCGCAGGGCACGCACACCCTTCGCTGCAGCCAGTCGAGTCCATTCTAGGCGTTCATTTCGAAGAAAAACGTTCTTAGGAGGCAACGAGTCAGGGCCTGTTTGTGGAGCTCGTGGTTGTTCTCCCGACGCCACTCCTGCAATGGGATGAGATTGCGCGGGAAACAGCAAGCGGCATTCTCCTGGTTTGACAGTAGATGCCCTACTAGTTTTCCATTGCGAAGCGACCTGAGATGCAACTTCTGGTAATGAGGCTAGGGATGGGGCAGCGCCCTCGGAATCAATTCTAACAACTTTACCGAGTAAACCGGACATGCTTCAATGTAATGTGACTCGTGAAATACACACAAGGGCGGTACGCAGTGCAGTCGATCTACATGTGTAATTTACAGGAAATGGGCAAATTTTTAATTAAGATGCGATGAAACGCCGGTGAAGAAAATCATGCAACTTTCGGCCAGGCTCGGATCCGATCAGACCTTGCAGCTCTGTCACTGACGCGTCACTTAACGAATGAATATGCGGGATTTTTCGCGCAATGTAGGCGGAGTTTTTTACGGTGACTCCCGGCATAGCACGAAGCATTTCCATGGATGTGGCATGAATAGCCATTTCTTGACTGTGACGTTCTGACAGATCATCTAAGCCAATAGCGGCAGCATGTGCAGGGTCTGGCTCGTCATAATTCTGTTTGAGATCAGACAAGATTTCTACGCTGGCGTAGGGCGAAGAAGACCATATCAGTCGCAAACGAGGAAATGATAATGTTAATAATGCTAGTTTGGATTGCAAATCCAAGTCAAGAGAGGATGTTCGCGAAGTGATAGGCCGAGCAGAACCAGTAGGGTTTGTTTCACCCATTCCTTGAAATGTAAATGCACGTTCATGGTCGAATTCAATCAATAATATAGGATACGGATAATGCATAGACATTGATTCGCATTGCGTATACAATCGGCCCGAGGTGAGGCTTTGAACCAGATCCATGAGGCTCTTGCGCTCCACACACATCTCAGAGGAAATCACGTAGTCGCCCACCTGAAGTGTGCATGGAATAACCTGAAGACCAGCTGCATGCAAAAGCGAAGGCAAGCTTGAGCGAAATTCTCTCATATCCACCACAACACTTGGTGGTCGAACTGATGGCAAGGCTCGTTGACCTCCCGCTACGCGAGTGCTCAGCATGCGAACCATGCGTTGATCAGCATCCTCGGCTGGGGTTCCATCCACAGTTAAAGGTATCGCCATTGTTGCTTTCTCCCGTATTAATCGCTCAAATGAATCTTTTTCACGTCGCAATGCAGCCAAATACATTTGTTCTTCGACTGAGTCAGTATAGAGAAGAAAATATATTTTCAATTCTGGCGTCTTCTCTTGTGTAGCTCGGTAAATTTCAACCTGGCGCACAAATTGAGCATTAGGGTCATACATAATCACATAACGAGGTCGTAGTTCTTGTAAAAGGCTGTCGTCGTTGTCATCTTGATAACTTTGTACGATCACAACATGGCTCAAATCAATTAGTCCGAAATAATCCAGCGAATCATCAACCCAATCTTCCTCGACAGATTTTTCCAAAACACGACTTGTTTTTCGAGCGACTTCAATATTTGGCACCTTTTCTTTCCACTCAGCTGCTTGTTCGTTTTCATAAACGATAGGTCGGGAGGGCCCCTGCTGCAGACCACCTCTTACACGCCTTCGCTTATGAGCAGGTGCACCTGAACGCATAATTTTCCGGTGCAATGCTTCATTTAATGTGCTTGAGGCTGTCGAAGATGAAGCTGGATTTTCATTATTATCTTTACCCGGAGATTCATGCTGAAATGACTGGAGGTTCTTTTTCCAGGCAAAATAGTCATTAAGACAAGCCTTCGTGTATGAGCGACCTGGGGTCTTGAAGTCTCCTTCCGCGAGCGACAGCCACATACGAAGCTGAGAGACAGTGCGATCGGATTTAGCCATGATTAAAATCGTGTGATTGGAGGTAGCAGACCTGTTGGTATAGATATCTTGCTCGATTTCGTACAAAACATCGACTAATAGCTTCCATTTGGGCAATTCCTCCAAGACCAGCTCTGTATCACCACACTCTTGTCTCTCACCCCAAATCCTGGCTCTTGCTTCATGAAATATTATATTTGCTGCATCAGTCATGAGCCATTGAGATTGTCGCTGGAAAGCACCTGCTTCAGTAGAGGGTGCGTTTGAAGCCAAGATCGTTTCCAGATAAATATAAAATGACACGGAATCATAAGACAGTAACGCATGAAGTAAATGTCTTAAAGTATTTAGATCGCCCACTAATTGCTTCGTGGAAGGACTAAGCCTGTGCCAAACGGGTTCAAGCTGCCGGCGAACGGCGACATCAAACGCACGGTACATAGTATGTTCAACGTCAAAGTCTTCCATATCTGCTGCAAGTTTGCTCAACCTGATTTCATGAAGCGTGCCTTCCAAGCACTCGATGATGGCATTTTGAATGGACACCATCCTAGGTGTCAATGGCTGATGTAATTCAATCACATCAGCACGTCTTTTGACCAGATCCTTGTCTATATCTTGATGGAATCGTGGCCATATATCCACTTGGCGCAAACGGAGCTGCGACATAATTGTTTGTAGTTTATGAAATCCGTTCGCTAATTGTTCAACATTGTCTGAAAAAGCCTTGACAAATCCGTCTTTGTTCTCTTGTCGATAAACACGCAGAATGAATGCCTCAATCGATACAGGCGAAACTTGTTCTGCGTGCAGCACAACCACGCCAGTAATTCGAGAGATCGGTATTCTTTTGCTCAACATATCAACAATCAAAATTCTAGATGTGACACTAACAATTCCACTCGATACATATACATCTGCTCTTTGCTTCGCACTCATTTCGTGGTGCACATCGCGAACAGCACTATGCCCAAGACCCAGAGTGCCAAGATCATGATTGATACCATTGACATCTTTTGATGATGCGTTCACTACCACGACAAGACATGTCGGACGTGCATAAACTCGCAGGAGGGTAGATAGAACTCTTCGAAGGCCAAGCCCGGGCGCAATCACAACTAGCAAGTCACGCAACTCGTCGTCATCGGGGATAAGCCGGTGTAGTATGGCTCGGTGAAATGGAAGCAGCCAATGCCGACTTGGCGGAAGTTCCATGACAAGGTCTGTCACCACGCCCATCGGAGTTCCCTGAATTTCATGGAGATGGTTGGATCAAGAATTCGCAACGCCCACATATATTATATAAGCATCATGTTATATACTCGTGTATTGGCTAGCATAGACGCAGGGGCTTCTGTCCTTACTTATTCGAATGAACCTAGTACCGTATAAATGATACATCAATCATAGCTCAAGACCTTTGTTGAATCCCCATGATCGCACTTAAAGCATTACTTACATTGTGGATCATTTGTATCAGCCAGTGCATGGCAGCGAGGCTTTCATGCAAGCCCCAGGGTGTCGCTGGTAGTCTTGTTGGCATTCACATTTCTGGAAATACGTCTGAACATTTTGAGGTTTCCAATTCGAAAGAAGTGAACGGGTACCCAGCTCTCATCAAGGTGGACAAAACCGATCAGATGTTTCAGTTTTTCCAATGCGAGCCACCATCGAAGAAATACAAGGCCGGTGGTCAATTGCGTAGCCTGAAAAACACCTCGATGTGTCTTACTCCTGGTCAAGTTCAGCGGTATGATCATGACTCCGGTAATTATTCTCCCTACCCTCAAGACGTTGATGATCGCATATCACTGCAACCCTGCATGGATACGCACAGCCTTTTGTTGCGTAAACAATGGTTTATGGAAACAGAAACTGAGTATGGTTGTCGCATGCGTGTTACCCAGCAGGGATGGCGAACAGATGGTACAAGTGACACTATAATCATGTCGGAGAATGGTGTAGCAATTGGACGCGGAGATTCGAGTCGAAATGAAGTCAAAATGTTCCTACAGGCTAAAGGTTCCTTGGAGTGTTAATTTTTCATGTTAAGGAGGAATTTTTTTTACATGCCACACTGTCCTTTATAAGTAATCGTTTCAGATTCAAGGTTGGCACCAAAGATGCTGGACATCAAAGGAACAGCCATACGGTTTAGTTACACAAAATGATAAACATATATGAACTTTTGTAATCAATGCATTGCCTCTATATCAAGCTTTATTTCAGTGTTTCTGCTAAGAATTTCGATAAATCTAATACGCTCAGCTAGCGTGTATGATGCGCGTCTCACATTGTGTGATCGACATCTTCACACTAGAATATGATTACCATTTCCCGATCCGTTGGCACATACTTCAATCCCAAAGATATTGTCGTTACCGCAATCTAATCCGACACTGATCGACGTCGCTGTGACTGTTAACGCCTTGCCTTTGACAGTCCTTGTGATTAGCGTCGTAGGTTTGGGTGTTGTGGATACTTGAGATAGATTCTTCTTAGATCGATGATTCTCCGCTGAATGAATTACCATGGAAGAGGTCGAAGGTGCTATATCAATCATCGAATCTATGTAATTAGCAGTACAAATTGGAGCATGCTGACTTGTTGAAAGATCATGAGACACGGTAAATGCAGAATGATTTGAAGATTGAGGTTTCACTGTAACTGTCGCATCTCTGATCCAAGTGTTTGACTTTAACGATGTCCTGGATATGTCAGTCGATGATATTAAATGACTTGAAACGTCCAAAATGACTCGATGTGATCCCCAGTTTTCAGAGAAGTATAGTCCACCGTACTTTTGCGTTGCCGCGAGGAATGGGCGCTGGTCTTAAAGGTATCCGTTTCAAATCCTGCGTCCCTTGAAGCGCTCGCACCTTTAGAATCATGAATTATTGATGGTCGAATATATACAGAAGCTAACTTAGATTTGTAGGCGTCTGAATCATAAATTTTGGTGTTGCTCGTACTGTGGCTTGATAGTGTTCCTTCGCTTGGTCTTAGGTCTTGACCGGATAATGAAATCTGGTTTTTGGAGACTGATATGATTGTAGGTCTGTTTCTCTTATCGCTGCTCACAGTATGGGTCCAAGCAACCTGTCTTGAGGATATGCCTAGATCAGAGCTTTTCGAAATGCCAGATTTGATCAATTTAGTTTTACTGCTTTCTTGACCATGGCTTCTCGCCGATTTTGTGGGAAGAGGCGTGTCAGATAGTCCAGTCGTTTTCCAATGAGTAACAGTAACTGTGACAGGCGCATCATAGGTGCAAGAGTCTAGCAGAGTTGGAGGGGCTTGGTTTTCAGATCTGCGGTTGTTCTGGACACTACTCGTCGAAACGATGTGAGCCTCTCTCTGAGATGAAATCGGTGATGTATATAATACATCACCGAAATCACTCTTGCTCGAACTTAGATCATTAGGCTGATAAATAGGTGACTCATACGAGTAAATGAATTGGCTCAAGCAAAAAAAGACAAGAAGCGCAAATTTTATCATAGCTGCGTTTTGACGAAAGCATTGAGGAGAAAAATCAAATAGTTTTATAGTCTCGAATAGGCAAGTTTCATCATCATGCTCAGCTTTTTGTTAGAGAACCGTTTCCAAAAACATTGTTTTAAAACAATATAGCACCTAATGGATTCGTAAACATCTTTCACGAGTTATTATTCTAAGTTGCTGATTGTTCACATTAATTTGATAACGCGAAACACTAAGGCTCATGGTTGTTTCTCCACAACGCCCTATGCAAATCACACCTATCGAATAATGCTTATCATTAATAAAAGAACAAACATTCGTATATCGTCGGGACTACGAGACTTGTGTAATACTGCTATCCGAAGCCCAAAAGGAAATTTACTGGCGGACGCTCACTACTTCTCCCTCATCGATCTCGAGACGGTCATACGCCCGAGCTGCTTCGACTGCTGCTTTGGTGCCGCTAGCAAGCATACCACCAAAAGAAGCGCCCATGCGTGGATGACCGTCGAGTTCGCTTAGTTCCATGCCACCAACAACAACACCAGGGAAAACCTCTCGGGTGTTATTTACAATCAATCCTTCGGACTCGTTCATGTTGAGTGGATTCATGTCTCCCAGGTTGAGAAGACCAGCGCTGGCAAGGCGCTTAACTGTAAACGCGCCGAATGGTCCATCATGACCAGCAAATGAACAGATAATTGGAGCTGTAATGGTCTGAGGATCCATACAGCTCTGGAGACCATGAGCCATTGAGACTAGAGTGTAGTTTGTAACTACACCATTCACACGTTGTGTGCCAGTAGGATCCTTCTTGATAATCAGGTCTTCAACGCAAGTTGCATTGAAGAGCTTTACATTTGGCATGGCAAGCAGCTTGGAAAGGATCGTAGACGTGAAAAGAGCAGCATGCTTGACAACCACGTATGCGCCCTCGTCGTCGAAAGGAACGTCGAGCTCAACCAATAGGTTGTGTGCAGGCTTGCGGATGACCATGGCAGACTGAAGCTGACCACCCAGCCAAGCACCGCCACCTGGAGCAACGCCTGCCTCTAAAATCGTAATGCGAAGGTCAGGGCGGGACTTTGCTAGCTTGTAAGCACATGTGAGGCCTGCACTACCAGCACCGATAACAACAACGTCAGAGACAGAAGCGTCCATCATGTCCTTGTAATAACGACTTATCATGGCGCGGCTAGTATGGGACTCTTTGATGTCGGCAAAAACGTAGTTGCCATCATAGTCCTCCACAGGCTCTTTTCCAGGAACTATAGGAACGCGTTGAACATAAGTGGGAGCATCCACCCCTTTTAGAGCAGTTTGACGGCGTTGAATGGTAGCAATATGTTGCTTGAGCGAATCTCTGGGCCAAATCTTATCAAGGGCAGGTTGAGACGCACACGTGAGGGCGGGTGGCGACATTGTTACGGGCGTACTTGGGCAAAGGGAAGCGCACTATTTAAACCATGATCAGTGTCCCGTGGTATCACGTGAATTGTGGTAAGGATGCCATAAGGGTTTGAGGGGACTTCCTCGGCGCCAATAAGTCTATCGCAATGAGCCAACCGTAAACGAAGCACGAATATATAGGCATGAGGAATAAAGGTGATTTGTTAAACGCGCCTCGATGACGAATATATTCCACAAATCACGTATTTCCCGTGATCACAAACTCTTCACAAGATCCGATGCAAACATCTACAGCCAAGCGGCTTACGCAATTGGTCATAATGGAATAAACTTGGACGCAATAACAAGATGCATTGGCAAAACATTCAAATTGAGAAGGCTATAGGTTTGATATCCCGGTAGAGCTGAGTTCTGGATTGGCATAAAATGCCAACAAGTCACTACTTAGCAGGTATGCTACCCGCAAGAACACCACCATTCTTGGCCACATTTTGCTGGTGCTCGGCAATCACTCGCTGTTTAGCAATAGGGTCATCCACGTCCGGGAGACGCTCCCATGAAAGGTAAGTATTAGACATGTTCGGTACAAAGTCAGGCTTGACGACACCGAGGCGCTTGCAGTAGTTCGTAACCTTGTTCCAGTCGCGAGGAACATTCGAGCAGTCTCGGCTCAAATAAACGAAAGAACGCTCAAACATTTTGTCACATAGAGACGAATTCATTTGCTTTTTGTACTGCTTGTATTCACCCCACGCTTCTGTGGGGAAAGACGTTACAAAATCAGTAGCACGCTTTACTCCACGCATAAACGCACGGGCCTTCTCGGGGTGGTTTTCCAAGAACGGCTTGTTGGCGATATACAGGATAGAGCAAAAGCAACAGCAGCCGAGCTGAGCGAGCTCATCAATGCGCAGCATTTTGACTTCATCCGAGGGACGGCCAGTTTCTTTGCACCATTCTTCGAGTTCGACCATCTGGACATTCTCGAGACCAATACCAGCATCGATCTCGCCGCGCTTGATTGCATCAGCAACATTCATGCCCACCCGCACGGCGGTATAGTCAGATTGAGACATTCCGAAATGCGCAGCAAGCTCATCAATCTGAATCTTTCCAAATTCTCCTACGTAGCCTACGCGCTTACCGCGAAGGCTTGTAAAGTCCTTGATTCCCGAACTTGCAAGGTAGACTACACCTGTGAAAGGTTCGTCCAGAAGAGTTCCAATGGATTCGATAGGAAAGCCACGAGCAGCACCTGCAATGGTGTGGATCATAGCCTTCGTTCCCATGTCGGCCTTGCCAGAACCGATAATTTCTGTCACATCGGATGGATCGTTGGGTTCGAGGATAGCAACCTGATACCCTGATTTCAATGGAAAAAGCCTTTAGCGCTGAGCGAGAAAAATCGGAGTATGATATGGCGTGGCGTGCCAGCTCAAGAGAAAAGTACTCTTTTCGGGACATTATGGTGTGTTGGGACAATCTGTTGTCCGGGTGGATTAATCCGTCCACTTATGAGTTCGGGCCCTTGCCCGTGAATCGGGAATAGGAAATGAGTCATTAGGATTAATTGTCCAATAACAACCGCTTTTGACAAACTAGTATGCATCTGGTTATGCCAAGAAATTGATACAAGTTGAATCAAATAATTTTATAGCTTTGTTGCGCCATTGACGGTGGCGTAATGTACACACCGAGATATCCGGTGAGCCGCCCTTTTCTTTTACTAAGCCTTGTCATCATGACCAGCAGCCTCCCGTAAGCATGCTGCTTTACTTCAAGCGAAAACTAATGCGTCATACCCCGCGTCAGTAGCGTGCACTCAAATGCGTGGTGGCTGGAACGTGTATTGATGCACCCTGATCCAGGTTTATACCGCCTTTCAATTAATCCCCTACATAGATTAAATCCCTTGCATGTAAGTTGGATTTTAGATGGACGAAACGCGCACGTGCGGAGATAAAAATCCACTTTTACATGCCAACAATGTGCCTTGCTGGATCCAAAGAGCGAAAAAATGAGCATGTAAGGACTTGGTCATTGTATAAGGCCAAAACAAGTGTATATCCTGGCAGACCACCTAGTCGTCTCGGGGCATTTTTTTTCATTCATCGACAAACGGAAACTTGGAAGTGAATGTTGATGTTACTTAAATTCCTAATATACTGGTACTCTCTGACTTCAGCGTGCGGCTTAGCTAAAGGAACGAATAGCGATCCTTGGCGCAATGTCACAGGAACCTCGTCCGAAACATTTCCGACAGATGTTGGCTTCTTGGGTAACATGAAGTATGGTGCCAAACCGTTCTTGGCACAAAAAGACCGTTTGAACACCACTCGTTCAAACAATGACTCGTCTGTCGAGATGCGCTGGCTACCTTGGAACGCAGAAGAAGATGCGGCAACGTCAGACGACATTTTCAGAAACCTAGGAACAACGTCACCATATCACCAAGCGTTTGACCTGTTTCCAGAGACAATCGAGCACCAAGTACTGCCTCCGCAATGTAAAATCAAATCCGCGCATATCCTTCATCGACATGGGTCTCGTTATCCTGCAGGCCCCGGGGGTCCTTCTTCCTTAGGTAGAAAGATCAAGTTGGCACAGAAAACCGGACAACTCAAAGCGCATGGCGATTTTGAATTTCTGGAACATTGGGAATATGATTTGGGGGAAGATGTGCTTGTGCATAAGGGCGCACAGGAATTGTTTGACTCAGGTGTAAAGTATTATTATGAATATGCGAAATTACTGGAAAATTATGACAAAAAGCCAGTAATACGGACGACCTCTCAAAGCCGGATGGTTGACTCCGCGCGCTATTGGGCTCTTGGATTTTTTGGGTGGGACATGCAAGATAAAGTGAACATCGAGGTACTGACTGAAACATTCTTTCAAAATAATACCTTAGCACCATACATGAGTTGCCCCAATCCATTTTCACCCAAAGTACTTAAAGCCCTCGCTTGGCGTTTCAAAATGCTGAAAAAGGCCACGGATCGAATTAACAAACACGTTAAAGGCATTACGTTTTCATCATCTGACGTATCTAACATGATCAGCTTGTGTGGATATGAAACGGTGGCTCTTGGTTATTCGAACTTTTGTAAACTGTTTACCAAGCAAGATTTTGAGGAATATGAATATGAGCAGGATCTCATGCACCAGAGCGTGTTTGGATTTATGAGTGTCACATCTAAGGCATGGGGTGTTGGATGGGTGACTGAATTTATTCATCGATTAAAGCACAAGGCATTTGATGGTCCTCAAACATCTCAGAACTCGACTCTTGACCATAATCCTAAGTATTTCCCAGTTCATCAGCCATTATATGTCGACTTTACTCATGACATTGTTATTGAATCAATTTTGACTGCGCTGAACTTTAAGCAGCTGGCGGATGAACTTGATGGCGGTCGCATGCAACCAAATCGCCGCTTCCGTACCAGTCATGTTGTGCCATTCGGTGCACGTCTAGTATTTGAAGTGATGGAATGTGATGAAAATGGAGATAAATCTGAATACATCAGAGCCAAGCTCAATGATGCCGTTGTGCCGTTGGATGGAAATCAAGGATGTGAGTCTCGACTAGATGGACTGTGCAGACTTGATAACTACTTAAGCCACTTGGAGAAACATGCTTTTCAAAATTCGAATTTCGACTTCTTGTGTCGTCTCAAAATTGATGAAAATTTTGATTTGAAGAAGCTTCTGGATGGAGGTATCTTATCTAATGACGACTTGAAGCAGATTTCGAAGACACCACCCGGCTATCATGAGCATCATAAGAAATCAGATGACCCTCTTGGCTTTGCGTTGAATTCAAAGATGACGAGACATACTCGTTCGGGTTTTGTGGGCAGATTTGCACAAATACTCGCTTGATTCATTAAACTTGATGTAAAGGCAGAGATGGACGAGCTTGCTTTGGGACTTTATCTCTTGAATTGTGCTGAAAGGATATATGTGTTGGCATGCAAGGTCTTTTGCGCTTTCGGCCCGCATTCTAGCTGAAGCTCTGAAGATTCGATTGGGTTAGTGTTCGATAATTTGGTTCATAATGATCTTAGGGGTAGTCTATCAGCAAGTATTGCACTTTTCCAGCAATTCGATATTACTAGAAAAAAAAATTCCGGCAAGAGAGGTCCCGTGCATGCAGCTGGCGATGGACCAGATCTTTTTTCAACACAATGTCAAGCCCTTATGCATCCGTTACTGTTTGCGAATAAACAACGCTTCGGTGAACATATGTGGGAAGCTACCTAATGTAGTCGTCGCAAACTTGTATTTGCTCATCTAATGACATCTTAAGCGAGTCACTATACAAGGGAATGCTTTAGTTATTAATCACAGTATAAAGTGTGTCACCAGTATTTCTTTTCTGAGGTATAGAGGTATACTTTTCGTGAACGCTACATGCGGTAATTTACTACAGCACGGCTTTTGCAAGATATCTCACGTATCTAAACCCTTCAATCTTGTTCATGGTTCCGTAAAAATGCCCTCAGTGACTTTCTCACATTGTTTTGCAAGCGCGATTTTGCTATTTTATGCTGTTCAGGACTATTTAGGCTATTGGACGCGTCTCTTTGCGAGCAATCTTCTTCCGGCATGTCAGTGCTTATCGAAAATTTGTATCCCACTTATATGTTCATTAGTGCTGAAAGCAAACCAGATATTTCTAGTATTTGAGTTCTACTATGGTGTATTTCGGACTATGTGTACTGTCGTGCTTGTAAAAATTTGTGCTGGTGTCTGAACAAATTTGCCGCTCGAGCAAGGGACATAAATGTTCCTTGCATGGCGAAGAGGACATTGATTGTGTAATAGTGACAATGAGCATATCGGTCGTGCGCTTTTCGCCGTGCTAATATGGAGCTTTCCGGCCTCTTACTAGATAGTAATGTAATCAGCTTTCGTAGCATTTGATTAATTTGGTGCGCACTGAAAATCGGCCAAAATCAAACTCATGTCCTTCTCCACTCTCACCAACAGATATCACATGCATCATTCTACGATGCAGACAGAGATGTATAAATACTGATCGTCACATCAATCCATTCTGATGGGCATATGCAAGGTCCAAGACAAGACGATTCGATCCCTATAGATCGAAGTCAATAATTTACCGCCAGTTTTTGTAATTGCTCGAATGAGAACAAATTCAGCGAGTCTGATGAGAGAGAAGAGCAGAATGATCTTGGCAGGCTGTCTTCGCCTGTCTGAAGATGAATGAAGAGTGGTCGAAAAAGTTAAACACATCAGCCCCGCTGTTTTGGGTCGCAAACTGATGTCGAACATTCACACACGCTTAACAGCATTGAAAGTAAGATACGTAGTCTACCAAATGATAGAAGATACTATGTTATATTCGCATGCACAGGCCTGCCAAATCTCGTCAACTTCATGATTGGAGCGTGTGATTAGACCTTTATCATTAAGAGCATGCAAAATCCACGTATGCGCCATTTCAGACGACAAACGACAGCAAAGCCTCTGGAAAACGCGTAATACATTCTGACGGATTGAATTATGTTCCACTCTTATATAATTTCAACTATCATTGCCACCCGCTTCAGCTTTTCACACCACAAACAAACGTGATAAAGGGGGTTTCCCTGACAACTCGCTATATTTCGATGTCACGTATGCGCCAGAAGTTCATAAAGGGCATCACGACACGGATCTAACGCTAAATGGAGCCAACTTCGTAATTCTGAGTAGAGAACAGCGGCATACGTCAATAGCATAGGTTTATTTGCGGTAAACAAGCATACATAAAGTAAGGGTGAATGGAAAATCGAGGCACAGAGGTGTTGCAGAGAGGACTGGAATGTGGAAACCTGATAATGTACTGATTCTTCTTAGTATGTGCAGTTTTCACCTAAACAAAGCGACATAGCATGTCCAATTAGGGATACATCATCTTATTTAAATGCCAGATATGCAGCTCGGCACCAGAGAACAAGAAATGTGGGTAAAGTAGACGGTTCAAACAGTTAGACAGACACGGGGATAGAATTTAGATTTTATAAACCGCGGGGGTGAAAAAAGCACTCACGCGTGCTATATCGAAAGACTGAAATGATCCGATTACTAGTTGCCGACATGAGCATCGGACCAGCAACAAACGAGCGCTTGATCCTTGTCCCGTGTAAGACTTACATAAATGAGCCACTCAAACCCAAGTGACATTTGATTGGTAGAAATCAATTGTAAACTTTCACAAGAGAAAAGTGAAACTCACCGACATAACCTGATCTACGCCCTGATTACAAATACCTTTACACGACTTGTCTTCATTGGTTGCATGTGCTCTAAATTACTTGGTTCGCAGCAAATCATGTAGCTCACCAGCATCATTGATAGGGTTGCTCAAATGAAAAACATGTGAATCTTCCAACAGCGCCTTTCTGATTTGTAAATACAGGACAGCTTTCTGATCAAACTGAATCAACCGCATTTAGTGCCTTAGTTTACTTGGGTCAAATGAGGTGACATGTGGCCGACCATCAAGTACTTATAAGCTTCGACTGTCACATTGTGCCCCCTCATACCAATGAAGTTGAACCTTTTTATCCTTGGACTCCTCACGCTCGCGGCACACGCGTACGCACTGGTTGCGCGCGATAAGCTGTTGCTCCCACATGAGGACCCGTTCTTTCAGCCACCTGATGGTTGGCAAGACAAGGAGGTTGGTACAATCCTGCGGAGCCGTAAGGTTACTATCAAGACACTTGTGAAAGACAACTTGAAGGAAGCATGGCAGCTGCTTTACCGTACCACGTATACATCAGACGATGAACCAACGACCACTGTCACGACAGTTATGGTTCCGCATAATGCTCAGAATGATTCCTTGGTTTTGTTTGCAGACTTTGAGGACTCGAGCGCGGATCGATGTGCTCCAAGCTACAGCTGGCGTGCCGGGTCATTGGATGACCCGAGTGCCTCGACGAGAGTTGCGATTGCTATGCTTTATCTCCAAGAAGGATATATTGTCACTATGCCGGACAAAGAAGGCAATAGAGGTGCATTTGGTTCTGGCCATGTTGAAGGCCGCCAGTCTCTCGATGGAATTCGCGCTACGTTGGCGTTTGACAAACTTGGATTGAGCAAAGACACAAGGGTGGCCGGTCATGGTTACTCAGGCGGCGGTATTCAGATTGGATGGGCTGCATCTCTGAAGAAAACCTACGCACCCGAACTTAATGTGGTTGGATGGTCAGCTGGCGGCGTTCCATCCAACCTTACTGCTTTGATTGAGAAGATCAATGGTTCACCATTTGCAGGATTCGTTGTTGCAGGATTGACTGGTGTTTCCAGCACGTACCCCGAGGTTAAAGAGTACATGGAAAAAGTCTTCACCAAGCAAGGCCTGGAAGACATGGAGTTTCCGAAGAAGTTTTGCTCGACGGGTATTGTACTCAGGTTCCTGTTTAAAGACTTTTTCGCTAAAGATTTCAGCAAGGTCGGTGATAGATATTTGTATGAGCCTGTTGTTCGAAACATTCTGGAAAAGCTGACAATGGGAACGAATCCGGACTACACGCCCGATGCGCCAATGCTGTTGATGCAGGCTAAGAATGACGAAGTGGCTCCTTATGAAGCGGTTAAAAAGACATATGATTCGTGGTGTCAAGAGGGAGCGCAGGTCCATTTGGTCACGCTCAACAACCCTCTGTCAAGTCACGCATCGACGACGGTAACAAGCTCATTGCCTGGCTTCCTCTGGGTGCGTGACAGACTGCAAGGCAAGCTAGCAGAGAGCGGATGCCATGAAAATAAGAACTTTGACGTGGGCATCAACACTAATGCACTTGGCGAGGACTTTAAGGGAATTCTTGGAATCTTGCAGGGTTTCCTTGGTGACAAAATCGGTCCAAATGATGAGTATTTGATCGACTGGTTTAAGAAGCACAAGTAAATAATGACTTGAGGCTTTATTGATCCTATAATTTAGGGCAATGTCCCGAGATTACGTTAATGTGTTTTTTTCTATTAGTTCAACTTCAAGGTAGCACATAATTGATATGTAAGAATGCTGAAGGCACAGAAAGCGAGCTGGCAGTGATACGGAATTAGTTTGGACAAGTATATGAAATGAGCATTACTTTCACAATGTGTTGAAGAGCGGTGCCGAGGCGAGAAAGAAAATCATAACGTTCGAGATGAATCATGAAAAATAAACATTCAAGGTGCCTAATCGATTGTGGTAGCTTGTAATTTTTCCTAGGAAGTTTCTGTCTGCATATGTTCGAATAATGCGTATTTGACTGGGTATAGTTCGGTTGACAAATGAAATTGGGTAAGTTTGATGAAGTCGATTCAAAAAGGTACCGATAGACTATCCAGTGGAAGTGGAAAGAAGAAATAAGAATAATTGTCGGACAAGAATGCTGATATGACCAGGGCTAGGATGCATAGTAAGTCTAGTTTTTCAGTGTTTGGAATGAAAAAGAAAGATGTGGTGAATGAGGGAACGATAAGCTAGGCAGTGCAGAGATAGACGACGTATTTGAAGACATAATGAGGCAACATTGACTAACCATGTGGAGTAAATACCACATTATGTGATACAAGATGTAAGAAAGATTGAATCGGTCAGAAGTGTATCGAAAAGTGAAACTATGGTTGCGAGACGAATAATTATTAGTGTAATGGATTGTAGCACCTCTAAATTGAATGGAATAAAATGGGAATTTTTGAAATTCCCCGGCCGGAATCAAAGAAAAGTTGATAAATTTAAATAGGTAGAAGAGAGGCAGACAATGTGATCTAGTAGAGAAACGCAACCTCAGTGACACGTTAATAGAACAGCACATGGAATATTCAGCCAAATTCATTTATAACGTTGAGATCACACTCACTTACAGAGGAGAATAAGGCGGCACGTGTATAAGATGAGTCATATGACCTGACACGACGAAGTGAGTCAAAAATCGAGCTGACTAAGAAGCGTTTGAAGTACCACAACGATAACAGGAGAGACAAAGAAAACGTTAATAAAGGCAAATATATTTTGTATCGGAAGTGCTCAGAAATTTGACAAAATAAGTGCAAAGCGATTCAGGGCTGCGATAGGACAGAAATAATAAAGCAAATTAACTTTAGGAACACAGAATGATGGAAAGGAATAAAATAAGATGCAGAATCGTAAATAGCTAAAGTCCAAGGTAGTTAAATGGAAGGAATCAAGATAGAAGGGAGCAGAAAAGAGGAGAGGGAAGGGGTCAATAGATGGGGGGCATCGGGAAGGGAGAGGTCCAAGGTGCTAGTGTGTTAGTGTTAGTGCTAGTGTTAGTGTTAGTGTTAGTGTTAGTGTTAGTGTTAGTGTTAGTGTTAGTGTTAGTGTTAGTGTTAGTGTTAGTGTTAGTGTTAGTGTTAGTGTTAGTGTTAGTGTTAGTGTTAGTGT